ACTTAAAAACTATCTATTCTAGAACTACTATAGGCTTGCCTTTTATACCTATAAGTCTTAGTTAGCTATAGATAGATAAGAAATAGCAACAGGGGTGAGTTAGGACTAAGTTAGAGGGGAGTTAGTTCTAAATAGCTATAGATATATCTAAGGCTTAACTTAGAATTAAGCTAGAGCTAAGTTAGAGGTTATTTAAGTTAGGTAGTATCTTGTTTATAAGATTCGAGATTTTAGTAGTCGATTCTTATAGTTTTAAGTCTCTTAAACAGAGTCTTCTAGCTATACTAACCTTATATTACTTTAACCTAATATACCCTATAAAGATTAAGACTAATACCTCTTATAGTATTATTATAGGTGTCCTGTCTTAAGAACACCTAGATAAGCAATAGTACCCTATAGCATTCTATAGCTATATCCTAGCTAAAGTAGAACTTAACTAGAAAATCTATAACAAGGAACTATTTGCTATCCTCTAAGCCTTTAAAAAATAGTAGGTAGAACTAATATTAGTTATAAGTTAGGTCTAAGTATGCTCTAACTACTAATCCTTAGAATATTTTATAGTTATAAAGGTACTAAATATGCATTAAGCCTATTAGGTAGAAGCATTAAGCCTATTTATTTTCTAGATTAAGTATATGCCTAGTAAGTAGAATATACACGCTAATATCCTAAGCTAATATAAATAAGACTTAAGTAACCTTAAGGTAGCCTAGCTAGATAATTAATCTTAAGTATTACTAGGTCCCTACTAACTACACCCTAGCATAAACTCTAATTTAGCTAAGTAATACCTAGAAATAGTAGTAGTAATAACCCTTACCTCTATAAAGAAGAAGATAGAACTTAACTTACTAGAATTAGTTAAAGCTATTCTTTAAGCAAACTATAATAGTTTCCCCTAGGAATGTTAAGTCTTACTAGAAGGGTATTAGATATACTATAGGCAACTATTATATAAGAATTATCTATGCATACCTATAGATCCCCTATTCTATACCTACCTCCTTTATAAAGTCTATAACTAATTATCTACTACTTACTTAAGTGCTAAGAAGATATATTAATTATTATTATAACAATATTACTAGAAGGGTATAAGTGCTACTTATAATTACTATATATGCAATTATTTATCTTGTTACTATAACTATCTAAGGTAGACCTAACTTTAGCAGTATTTATATCTACTCCTAATCCCTAACTAACCTATATAATATTTATATATAGATTTTAAGTTATTTCTAAAAGATAAGGCTAGATATAATTAAATTTTAGTAATTATTAATTATCTCTCTAAGCAAGCTATCTTAATGCTATGCTATAAGATAACTACTACCTAAGGTATAGCTAAACTATTTATTTAGTAGGTATATTATTTTAGATATACTCCTGTTGCAGAAAAATAGGGCAAAATAATAGCCACGCGCGACTACTAGATTCTCTAGAATTACTGCTATAAGTAGGCCTTTTCTGCTGCGACAACTCCTAAGTTAATTATTTCTAACTAAGGTCCCTAGTTTATATTAAGCTTCTAGTTAGAATTCTACTATATTATTAGTAGAAAGGTTAAGCTGTCTACTATATATTATAAGGAAATAGATAGTTAAACTAAAATTATAAACAAATATATTAACTAACAATTATGCCCTTTTATATTATACTACTAGGATGACTAGTCTAAATTGCTTCTAATAATATACTAAGTTTAGATAATACTGCTATATTCCTCTCTAGGATTAATACTATACTAGTTGCTATATAGGAGTAAACCTTGCTAAAGTTAGTAGTAGTCTACTATAGAATTAAAGGTAGATCCTATAATAATCCTTAACTATAAGGAGGCTATAGTATTAGCTACCTAAATATATAATGCTTAGAAAATAGCTAAAGATAACCTAGAAGCAGCCTAGACCTAGATATAAGTTATAAAAGATACTTATTAGCTTCTAGTAAACTAGAAAGTTAGAGACAAAGTCTTTCTATTAATATAGAACCTAGCTAATAACTAGCCTAGCTATAAGCTAGCTACCCTTTAGTAAGGTCCCTTTAAAGTTATTAAAGAAGTTAGCTACTTATACTACTTAAGGCTACCTACTAGCTTAAAGATATATAATATCTTTATACTAGACATCTTATATAAAGATCTATATAATCTACTACCTAGTTAACCTGCACTAAAGCCCCTAGGCACTCCTATAAATAGGGTAGAGGAGTAGGAAGTATAAGAGATCTTAGGTAGCTAGATAAAGCATTGCTAGTTAGAATACTATACTAGCTAGGTTAGATATAACCTAGACCTAACTTAGTATCCTACTACTAATTTTAAGCATATACCTTATAAGTTATAAGTATATTATTAGAAGTTTCTATAATAGCTAGGCCCTCTACCTTAACTCTTATAGTAGTTGTTAACCTAGCAAGGAGAGTAGTAGGTATAGGAAAAATAGTAAGGTAAATTATAATAAAGGAAATCTATAGTATTAGGCACCTCTAGTTTAAACCTATCCTATAAATACCTAAAATAAAGGAAACATTAATATATATTAGAGCTATAATATAGCTAGGTTAGGTAAGTCTTCTAACTAGAGTTCCTTATTAGATAGGTTAGAAGGGATATTAGAGAGCTTGCTCTCTTTGTCCCCCCTATCTAGCATCTTAAGGTTGTCTTATTATACTACTCTACCTTATATATAATAACTACCTCTACTATACTATAAACTATAACTCTAACTCCTACTAGTAGTAGAACTACTTCCCTAAGTAGACGCCCTAGCCTTATATATCTACTAAAGGTCTACTACTATCTTTCTTAACACCTAGACCTCCTCTATTAGGATACCTACCTCCTTAGTAAGCCTCTTTAATATCTTTTAAGCCTATATATTATAGTTAGGTTATATATAGAAGTAGTATAGAAGAATACTAGTTACTAATACCTCCTTAAGTTATATAGTTGCTACTTATATAATACTAGAAAGCTTAAGTGCTGCCTAATAAATATTATGCTATATATCTATATATACCTTCTTTATAGTAGCAGCTTCCCTAGCTAAAATCCCCTCTTTATCCTTTACTAATACCTTAACCTATGCATTAAGCACCTCTATAAGAGTAGTATACTTAGGACTAATATAAATTAGAACCTTCCTAGGTTAGTATATAATTATAAGTAGGATAAGAATATTATAATATTACTAGTTAACACTTCTTATTCTACTATATATAGTATATATACTAGGATAAGGTTCTTAAATTAAACTTCTATTTAATCTAATTACCCTTTACTAGGGTATATATAGAATAAAGGTAGATAACCTAATAGGCTACTATAAGAGTGCTAGGAGGGACTAGTATTAGTATAGTAACTAAGAAATAAGCCTAGGGAAGGATTAGTAGGGGCTTAAGTTAAAATTAAGGATATTAACTTATAGTAGAAAGTAGTATCTATTAAAGAATATTAGTATATAGGCATAATTATTTATACCTTACTACTAGCTTAGGTACCAAGCCTAGTTAGTTATACTAGAGATATAAAATTGCTATATAAATAGTATTATAGACCTATAAGCCTCCTAACTTAGCTAGGTATAGCCTTATTAGCTACTACTAAGTGCGTGCTATATATAAATATAGGGTCCTTTATTAATAATTATATAATAAATAAATAATAATAAGGTATAAATAAAGAGATAGTAAGGTAGGGTAGAGCTAGCTTAGAACTAAGTTAGTGCAGGGACAAGTGCAAGGCTAATTAACTATATTAGGGACAATATAACTATAAAGGAGGGGGGTAATATAAGAATTAACTACTAAAATCTTAAATCTTATAAATAAGATACTACCTAACTTAAATAATATCTAACTTAGCTCTAGCTTAATCCTAAGTTAAGCCTTAGATATATCTATAGCTATCTAGAACTAACTCCCCTCTAACTTAGTCCTAACTTACCCCTATTGCTATTTCTTATCTATCTATAGCTAACTAAGACTTATAGGTATAAAAGGCAGGCCTATAGCAGTTCTAGAATAGATAGTTTTTAAGTAATCTTTATACAAGACCTATAGGAATAAGATTCTCCCTAGTTATTATAAAGAAAGTAGGGGGAGGACTAGTCTACTTTCTCCCTTGTCTAGTAGACCTAGACTTACTAGACTAGTAATTTCCTAATAGGGAAGCGTATAGCCTAAAGAGATAATAAAGATATAAAAAAGAGTAGATAATAAAGATATATAATAGTATATATAGCTTATACTCTTAGTTGCTAGGTATAGGATAATATATAGGGGAATAGGAGTACTTATACTTTCTTCCTCCCTACTCTATTACTAAGCAGAATATTCTAGATAATACTAGACTATTCTTATTAGTAATATACTAATAGGATTTATAAGTAGATTACGCATCTATACACATAATCCCTACTAATAATAGTAGTATATATTTATAAGCTTATTCTAGAAGCTTCTCTATACTACTAAGAATAGAACAAGAAATATCTCTAGAACTAGTAGAGCTATAGGCTTAGTAAGCACAGGAAAATACTCCTTAGAGTTAGGAGATTCTATAGCGTGATTATCTAAGCACTAAACCTAACTAGGAATTTACTAGAGTAAAGAGTATTCTAAGTTATCTTAATAACTTTATAGTTATTAACTTTCCTAGTGCTCCTATATACCTTATAGTAGAATTGGAACTATATTAGAGGGTCTTATTACCTGCGTCGATATAATAATACTTAGCTAGAGTTTTCTAGACTAAAGTAATTTAACTTTTATACTTAAAGTATATAGAAGCTATAGTACTAGTTAGCTAGCTTTATTCTAGAACTTACCTAACTTTTACTTTTTTACTACTATATTAGTACTACTTAAAGCTTAAGTCTTAATATTATAGTCTAAAAAGTAAATTTTAATTAGCTATTTAAAAAATAGATAGTATACTAGACTTTAACTATATATATTTCTACTACTATAATACTTTACTATATTTACTTCTATACTATAAAGCATATATAGATACTTTAATTCTATTTATAAGATTTTTATAACATACCTTTATTTTTAATACTCTATTAACAAACTTATAGACTGTTTATTACTAAGTAGGAATAGGGTAGAGAGCCTTAAGTATGTATACTAGCCCCGCTACCTATAGCTACCCCTAAGTTCCAACGTTGGCCTATAGGGCCGACACTTATAGCGGGTAGCACGCGCAAGCACTGGTACGGTACCGCCTGGGCATGCTTATTATTGTTCGGTTTCCAGATGGGTTGAGCCAATAACTGTCTCAACGTCAACCAAAAAGCATCCGGCCATGCTCTGTCTTTGAGGCTTAAGCCGTGGTTGTGCTGGTGGTAATGTGGTACCATCATCGTGGAATCAAGCCAACTCATCCCGCCACTATTCACGAAGGAGGCTGACAAGCGTATGGCAATTTCGTCGCACCTTGTGATATTGATTATACAAGTTCTATGCGCTACTCTTGTCTATGTTTCCGATCACGTATGACATACACCATCAAGGTGAGATCTTGTACGTCAGCCTTCTCGACTTCTTGATAAACGAGCTGACCGCTTCCGACAGCCGATACGATGAGTTCAAATCAGAATCTCTATCAGGTGACGCTGCACGATCTATGATTGCCTTCTCACTCGCTGTCAAGAAAGGGTTGTCATTGGTATCGGTGGAGATGTGGGGATTGTCGTCAGCACGGCGGTCCGACGTATCGTATGCGGTTCGAGTCCGAGGGTCATTTTGTTTTGTTTGGAAACGTTTCCTATGAGACCTGACCATTATGGAGATGGTTATTGCAACGATGACTGACAAGACTCCTAATTGAATATTAGTAGTTGGGTGCGGACGGAGTGACCAAGCATTGCTTACCAAGAACCACAAATACAATGAGTAGTGTCCTTGCCATGGGATTTAAGATACTCCCATTACGAACTTCAGATTCGGCTGTAGAATTCTGAGAGGCGACAGCAACCGCGGCAGTTGACGTTAATATTCCCGGTGCTGATTGCGCAGCTGCGATGGCTTGTGAAGTAGCAGATTTGGTAGTATCGGAGCTTGTAGTGCTCGTCGTCAAAGCAACAGCTGATGGACTCGGCAGAGCCAGTGTGACAGAAGCCTCTTCTCTGCTTTGCTCCGATCGGGTGCTAGTGAGGAAGGAGGTAAAGGACGGTATTGTGAACGAAGTAGAAAAGCCGACTACCGATGATGAATCCAATGATACTGAAGTCGACTGAGCTATCAATGTGGACATTGATGTTGCAGATACTTGGCTGGCGACTGATGGCGTCGAAGAGGGGGGGTTTGAGGGTAGAACATAGGGCTCTGGCGCCATAGATGAAATCAATAGAGGGGCGAGCTCACCCATAATAGGATCGACTTGGTTCTGCCCAGGAAGAGGTCTGTCCACTATTATGGCAGGCACCTGCGAAGGTGTGAGCGCTGCGGCGGGTGATACTGGAATATCGCCCATACGCGAAGTATCTTGATTGACACCTGGCAGCACTGGAACTTCCAATTTGGCAGCATCAAGAGTTGGCTTATCTTGATTTTGTCCCGGTAGTGACTCGATCTGAACTCTTGCGCTTCCCTCAGGTTTTGAAGTTGCAGAAGCCATTACTTCAATAGGAATAGTATGCGTGGTTCGCAGATCGTTCAGGGCCTCAAGTGTGAGCTTAATCGTGGTTGTTGCACTTGGTTGATTTTGCGTCGTGATGTTTGCTGTCCTGTGCATCAGCTTCGGCTTCTTCCCTGGCTGGCTCCTGCTTCTCCCATCCGCACCCACCAGACTTTCTCTTCCTTCCTCATAGCCCTTAAAGCTTGCTGTAATTTTATTAAGGTATCTTCTTTGGTGATCCAGTACCTGTACTGGTGTATTAAGCCTTCGTGGCGTCAGCATTCTGTGAATAAACGTCCATGTAGGCGGTGGTTCAGCCAGCAAAACCACAGATCGCCACGAAAATGGGGAAATCGTAGATGATAAACCGGCAATCAAATTTACAGGGATTGGATGGATCCCAGGGGTTGAGAAACGCGCACTCGACGCTCTGGAGACAGTTGTGAGAGTGGGAACGTTTCAAGACGTACACAGCACCCATGGCCGACGATCACCCGTTTGCTCACAATGCCGCATTCTAGGCACTGAATTGTATCAACAAGGATGTTTCGCTTTTCTTGGGACATAATGCTTCAACGTTTCGGAGGACACACTGTCAAGCCTCCGGATATCGTTGGTTCAAACATGAGGGTGTTTGGTTGTGCGGAAGCGAAACCTTAATTAGATCTACAACGCTTACGATGGCGGCTCGTGCTCACTCCGCACCCGCCGCAACTAGTGGGAGGTCACATGGACGCATCTAGACGATACTCGCGTGAGTCCCAATCGTAACATCGTATGATACGGACTGCAGTGAGTGCTGGCAAGCGCAGGGGGATTCTTGTCTTGTCAGCGGCACGATGCCGAGAAGAACATTTGTGATGTGCGACAAGACATTTTAAATGATGTTGGAGCAACGACCATTGCATAAGCAGATAGTTTTATACACTACCTAAGTGCACTACTGGTAAAATACCAAGCACCTCACTTCGATACTTTGCCTGCCTGGTGCGTGCTCGGGGGTCTGTGGGTCATCAAACGCTGTGTGTGGCGTTCGAACAGCAATGCCTTGTATTCCGTTCGGCATGCCCTCACCATATGAATCGAAGCACTTAAGGAGTAATACTTCATCTGGTGTCATATCCTTCTGGTAGTAGAATCGGTGGTTGTCGTTCGGCGCCACGCCCATCGTTTCGCCCTTGACCTCATAGCCCTCGGTTGAGTTGTACTTGCTCGGATCTGGCAGAACCTCCTTGCCACGGTCGTCGTCGTCCGCATCCTGCGAATCTCGTCGCGGATACAACAGATCAGTGGCAATAAAGTCCGAAGGGGCAGTGGTCCGCCAGTCGATGACAGCAAGAGGGTGGTCGGACGCAGGATTTTCAATTGGTCTCCAGACATTTATAATTTGGTAACGGCCTTTTACAAGTTCATCGGCCTCTTGCTGAGGAATGTGCCGGCGGACACGGGCTTCGGCAGCGGCCGGGGTCTGATCGACGTGAACCTGTTGCACGGGCTGGCGGGCGGAGCCCTTGACTCTGCGGCGGATGGTGTGGTCAAAGATATGGACTTTCTTGATGCCGGGAATCTTGCTGCGGAGAAGATTCTCGACTTCCTGATAGTAGCTGTGTCTCACAACGGCATCGTCGGTAAAAAGCTTCTCCTTAGCAGGGTAGGTGTAAACGGCAAAGCCAGAGTTGTCTGTGGTAAATTCATGTTCCCTGGCGCGCAGATTGTGGACCTCTCGAGAATGGCTCTTGCGCTCAAAGTTTTGGCCGGGACCGTCGACCTTGGACCAGGGCTTTCCTGTGTAGGATGCGGGGTCGATGTGGATGAAGTTTGCGACAGTCATGGTGAACAGCTTGGGCTGGGTGCGGGTGGATCCTTGAATGGGCCATGTGTAGATATATGTACGCAGACAGTGATGCTCGGCTTACAAATGGAAGGATGGCGTCATGGCCGAGGCGAGGAATATTGGCGAATCAGCGGCGCAGGAGGACCGACGGGTGCGCTATGTCAGCTACGGCGCGATTTGTCAGGCAGGCACAGGGTGCAGGATGTCCTGCAGTTCAGGGCACGTGAGACGGCGTCATTGGCACACTGCGGCCCCGCACGCCACCCGAGAGCTCCTGCAGGGCGCATGCTCACGCATAGGACAGACACACGGCAGGCACAGGACAGCCACACGACAACGACGACGACGACGACGACGACGACGAGATGCCGCGGCATGTCGGCGACAGCGACGGCGACGAGCCACTCGAGGACCGGACGGGGGCGCTGGCGCTCAAGTCGAAGCGCACCGAGCGCATGCAGCGGCGGCGCGGGGCGCGCGACAAGAGAAGGGGCGCGGCGGTCAGGCTCAGCGAGCTGCCAGCCGAGTTGCTGCTGGAGTGTCTCGTGCACCTGTCGCCGCGTGACGTGGTCGGCTTCAGCCTCGCCCACAGTCGCTTCCACGCGCTCGTTGCGACCCACGGGCGCGTTTTGGGCGCGGCCATCATCGAACGGCGGTACGCGCTGCTCGCAAAGTGCTTCCCGACGCCGTGGCTCCTGCGTGACGTCGAGCCCGCCGTGCGCGAGCTGCTCACCGATCCCGCCCGCCAGACACAGCTCAACATCCACCGGCGCCCCTACCAGCACATCCAGCCGCCCGACCCACACGAGCTATGCACCTGCCTCACCTGCATCCTGACGTGGAACAACCTGGGCCTGCTGCTGGACTTTGCCCATTGGCAGTCCAATCTCGACCACGGCGTACCCATCCCCGTCCTGCCGCGGGGCCAGCCCACGCCGTGGAACGACAAGCTGGTAGCCCGCAATGCCCGCATCGCCCGCCGTGCCGTCGCCCACCCTCTGTGGCACGCCCGCATCTTGGAGATGCATCTCGACAGCACCGTGCGCGCCATCCGGAGGCACTCGAGGAATAAGGGCAATCAGCGCACCCACATCCGCATGACGGAGGAAGACGCCGCCGCTGGCACCGATGCCTTCCTGGCTAGGCACGGCCCTCCAAGCCTCGAGTTCCCCTACCAGCGCGACGAGTACTACATGCTTGAGGCATACCTGCCGAACCGCTGGTGGAAAAAGGCCGAAACACGTTGGGTCTACATCATAGCAGGCCAGCATGAGCGCGATCTTGACTTCGTCCAGCGCCTCGCCAAGACCTAGAGAGTTCTATGCGTCTCCAGCCCTCAAGCACTGGCCGGCGTCGAGAGCGTCGTTGCAATCACTGTGTCCTGACTCGTTGATCTGCGCCCGACTTCTGCTAGCCAATTCCCGCTTATAGCCGACATAGTTCTGGGTGGCGCAACCCCACTGATCGTGCTCACGAACGTCACCTCTCAGCGTCCTTCTAACCGCTCTCGGACCGAGCTACCCCATTCTCCATCTCTGTCATCGTTGTCATCGATAACCTACGCCCTGCGAGCGTAACCGGAAGACTTGCAACCCTTGCCAAGATCTCGCCCTGTCTGTATCGATGACTCTTGAAGATTGTCAGTGTACATCACACCTCTGAGTCATCCCGAAACCGGCCATGGGGAGGTCTTTGGGCCATTATTTTCTGCCTCAGATGCATGTTTTGCAAGTCTCTCGCTGTCATTGACCGACGTCATGGAATCTCACAACCACACTCCTCACGACGGAGAGAAAGCCGAAACACACATCGACGCCCCCGCACCCGGCATCAGCGCATTTCCACTCGATTCCACAATTATTGGAACAAGGTCAAAGCCAGAGAATGCTCTCGGACGCATACAGTCACATATCACTACCCACTCGCTCTCTGAGCCCGGCCCTCCTCCCGATGGTGGCTTTCGCGCCTGGAGTCAAGTCTTCTGCGCATGGCTAGCCATTGTCAATTCGTGGGGTTTTGTCAATTCATTTGGCGCCTGGCAGCCTTACTACGAAGCCATACTTCCTGAACCCGCTTCAACAATATCATGGATTGGTTCTGTGCAGGCATGTTTGGTGTTCGGTCTCGGCATCTTCAGCGGCCGTGCGTTGGATAGAGGCTGGTTTCGTCCCACAGTCGCTTTGGGCATTGTGATACAGCTCGTTGGAATCTTCACCATGAGCGTGGCACACACCTACTGGCAGATTCTCCTGACACAAGGGTTCTGCACTGGTATGGGTGGCGGCATTTTCTTCGTTCCCATCATGGGAGTCTGCTCAACATACTTTGCGAAGAAGAAAGCTATGGCATTGGGCATAGTGACGAGTGGAACCGCCATGGGCGGTGTGCTTTATCCGCTCGTATTGTGAGTGCAGAATGCGTTGTTTCACGATTCCAATGACTGACTTGGGCCAGGCGTCAACTATTGGGCAAGGTTGGCTTTGGTTGGACCGTTCGGGTTTTGGGCTTCATGAATTTGACCAGCCTCGCTTTCTGTATCGCTTTCATGCGGCCGCGATTACCCCCGAGGAAGACCGATCCACTACTAGACTGGGCGGCTTTCAAGGACGCGCCATACTGCCTACAAGTATTGGGGACATGCTTCATGATGCCTCCTGTATATTGTGTCTTCTACTACGTGTGTCATTCATTAACTACAACACAACAGTACATCTAGCTTACTGTGGACAGGTTGCTTCGTTCGCGCGCGATGAGCTGGGCATGTCCTATAACGAGTCGCTCAACCTTGTCATTATCCTCAACGGCGTGGGTCTTCCAGCACGCGTTCTCCCTGGATATATCGCGGATCGCTATATTGGCGTACTCAACGTGCAGACATTGGCTCTTTTGTTCAACGTTGTCATGTTATGGATCTGGCTCTCCGTACATTCCATTACATCATACTACGTCTGGGTGGTTTTCTATGGCATGGGTGCAGGTGCTTTCCAGTCGCTCTTCCCCTCAGTAATAGGGGCATACAGTCCAGATATCAACAAAACTGGTACAAGGCTGGGAATGGCGTTTACAGTAATCGGTTTCAGCGCCCTTGTGGGAGGGCCAATATCGGGCGCGTTGCTCCGGGCTGGAGGCGGTGACTATACGGTACCGATTAGCTGGGCAGCCTCCAGCATGATGGTGGGTACGGCCTTGTGTGTGAGCGCGAGGTGCATTAAGCATGGTTGGAAGGTGTGTATGCGATGTTGAGCTGTGGTATTCAGAGCCGAACCACACGCAGATATCGACCATGAAGTATATACAGTAGGCAATTGCATTGGCGACCCACGATACGAGTGAAAAGAGCCGTTACTTCCAGACTTAAACTTAATAGGGGTCCACTGGTTTAGCGCGACTGAGTGAGATCCTCGCATTCCGTAACAATCAAAACCTTCACTGAAGAAAGAACCATGTACGAGCATTGACTTCTGCCAGGCATTCGACAAACACCATGGACAACATAGCATTTTGGGATGTAGCCAACTGTGAGGTATGTTGAAGGGCTATACATGCCTCAATATTGTTCATCCAGGCATATAGCATGACAACGGTTCAGTTGTTGACTTGGTCTTTGCCAGCTCGGTCTTCAGCCATTCCAGCCTCTCCTTAAGACATTTGTGAGGATCTCCTTCTCATCACAGGGCATGGTGTAACTGACCTTTACCCGCAAGCTGTGTCTGCGCTATGTGTTGATCATTCACTCCATCTTCCTCGTCCCTGCACAATCCAGGTCAGCAATAGGGCCAGGGATATCCAGACTAGACAAGTGTGCATACTGTGCAGGACTGAGACGAGCTTGATTTTTGACATTCTTGCGCTCAAGCTTCTCCTTCTCTCGGCGCTTCTTCCGGTTGCGATTGTTTTTCTCCTTCATCTTGGCTCGTTTCGCTGCCGCTTTGGCATTATCAGCTATACAGAGTTAGCAAATGTTGTGAATAGGGGAGGCTGTAGAACTCGATACAGCTCGTTCTGAGTACATACTAGAGACCTTGGAGATGTAGTTGGCAGCGTTGGAGGTGGAGTTGCCGATCTGGCCGACGATACCCTCGCTGGACTTGTTGGTGTCGGGGGCAGACATGGTGAGGCTGGACAGGCGACAGTCAGGGGGCAATCAGAGGAGCAGTGTGGTGAAAGAGTTCATGTTTCGATATCTGAGCGAACTTGCTATCTAGAGTGAAGTCTCGGGGCAGGTGGGGTATCTGATTTCATGAAGGAGGCAGGAGCGACACCAGAACCGATCTCACCAATCGATACACAACGCTTTGAACATCATGGCATTTGGGGAAACGGCTCAGCAGCACATCATTGCGCGGAAAAACTGGACAGATGAAGTCTGGAGATGTTGTGTCATCTGGGAGGACGCCGGGAGGAGAAGAAGGAACAGTCGTGGGCTTTTGAAAAGTCTCAATTCCGTACCTTTGCTTCTATACTCCTGCTATGTGATTCTTTAGTCAATCTCCATCGCGCCTGCCTGCTCGGCCTTCTTCTTCAAACGCTCCCGTTCTTTTCTCGATCTTCTCCTTTGACTGTCATTCTTTTCGCTCTTCTTCTTTGGTGGTTTCTGGCCGCGATACTCTTGGATTGTCATTCCCTTTCTTTCTGCGGCAACTGCCTGTTCCTCTACTGTGACCATCTTGGACTGCTCCTTAGCAAGCTTTCGAGCTTGCATTCTTGCCAAGTTCTGCCGCTGGCGCTTCGCTGAGATGGATCAGATTCAAGTGCAGGTAATCAGGTTATGAGACAGAACTTGAAGTCTATAGAAGCAAAGGGATCACATACACATCTTTGGTCCCGTTAGATGAGGTTCGGCTTGCATCTCGAGATCGCCATCTGTATTCGGACCCACTGCATATAATGTTAGGCATGTGGACAATGGCTGATCTTTCCACGGCAGGGCTAGATAAGTTGATCTTATGCCTTGTCACGGTCCACGTACCTGCATTCGTGCTTGCAGGCAGCGCAGAAGACTTTGGCTGATCATTGGATTGAAACGCAGCGCCTAAGAGGTCACCAAGCTCATCCGCAAACGCACCAAACTGCCTGCGCTCCCTCTTCTTCTTGGCCTTGCTAAGGCCTTGCCGCGTTGGTGAAAGACTCCGCCCACTCGCATCTGATTGGTCGCTGTCGCTGGCATCGACATGTTGGTTATCAGCATCGCGGAAATTGCCCAGCTTAGCTGGTACAAGCGTAATGGGCGCGGTAGCCGCTGGGTCTGCTGTTGGAAGCGCTGGAGCCATTCTGTGCAGGTTGTGTGGTTGTTCAACGACGCGGCAAAATTATTCTACAAGGTTGAGATGAGGGAAGATGGAAGGTGCGGCTGCCGAAGATGGTCCGCCGTCTCTGATTCGTTCATTTACTCTACCATTATCGAGAGGTTACATTTGCTCCGAGTGCGCGCTGTCCATGCCTATCTACCATCTACCTCTGTTTTCCGAATTTTGGAATAAATCAATGCTATGCAGAATGCCGCCCGAGCGTACAGCAAAATATGGAAATGAAGAATATAGGGAGCCCATGCGCGATGGATAGGTAGATGATGCATGCATGGTACAGAGGTGAAGATGACAAAGGCGTAGTATGATGTCAAGGAAATTCGTAAGTCGTAAGTGCATGTGCGGCCGCTCTTGTCGCCGAGGCTCGCAGCGTTTCCCATAGCGCCCAACTCCAAAGCCAAACGCCAGTCTAAGGGCCAATCCGCAAGTCGGGTGCAAGCAAAGTCAAGAGGGGCTAAGGATGAACATCGTCGTCGACGAAGAAGCCCCAAAAGGTGACCTCCTCGTCGACGCGGCCCCGCAGACGGCCGCCGTACACGCTGGCGCACATCTCGATGGGCACCTCCAGCTTCAGGCAGCCGCTGCCGAGAAAGGTGAAGAGCAGCCACGAGTCGAAGTCGGGGAAGGCACCGTCGTGGTCGGGGTCCCGGCTCAAGATGCCTCTGTTCTGCAGCGAGGGCGCAGAGGGCAGGCGGAAGGTGTGGTAGGGCAGGGTCTCGTCTGAGTCGGCGACAAAGAACGAGTTGTTCAGGGCGAGCTCGACGGTGACGCCGTGGGGGGGCGCGTCGGGGCGGGCGGCGGCGGCGGCAGCGGGGCGGTGGTGGAAGCGCAGGGTGCCGAGGCGCAGGTCGGTCGGCTGGCCCAGCAGGTCGAAGAGCTCGGACGAGTACAGGCGGAAGTGGCCGCTGTGGATGCCGAGGGCGTCGGGGGCATCGAGGCCGGCAGGGGCGGCGGGCACGGCGAGACTGTGCAGCTGGTCCTCGGCGCGCTTGCCCTCGGCCTCGGCGGCACTGAGCGAGCGGCGGATGTGCTTGCGGGTGTACGTGTCGCTGAGGTCGGCGACGGCCATGCGGCAGGCCTCGCGGCGCAGGGCGTGGCGGTCCTGGCGGTGCGGGCACCACTGCGCGGCGCGGGGGTCGTCGAGCGAGCGCTGCAGGCCGCGCTCGAGGTCCAGCACAAGCTGCTCGAACTCGCGCAGGACGCGGGCCAGCGGCGACGCAGGGCCGGCGGCGTGCGGTTTGGCGGCGCGGGCGGCAGCGTCGCGATCCAGCAGGGCCATCGTGGGGCGCCGTGGCCGGGCGGTGCGGTGCCGTGTGCAGCAGGCGGCGGGCAGGCGGCGGGCGGCGGGCGGCGGGCGGCGGGCGGCGGGCGGACGGGCGCTGCTGGGTCCGCGAGGGCAAGGGTGGCAGGGCGCGCGAGTGGTGCAGCGAACGTGGTAGCGGGCAGCGCACAGCGGGCAGCGCACAGCGGGCAGCGGTGCAGGCAGACAGGCGGCCGGGGAGCGCGGGCAGGAGACAAACAGCAGCCGTCAGGCGGGGGTCGAGTTCACACACGGTCCGCGCAAGGCTGGCATCGAGGCAGAATGGACAAAGAGACAAGAAACATGGCTTTCCTTGGGCGACCGACCGAGATTTTGCTGTCCAGCGCGGCGGGATCAAAGGCGCGCCAAGAGAGGATGGTCGTGCTTCCATCCCAGCGCGGTATGCAGCCAGCACTTGCCCCGGCCTATCACCGCCGCCGCTGCTCGCCTGCCATCACCACGGCACCACGGCTCTGCGACGCTCGCCGCCAGCAGCACGGCGGCTGGGCTGCACGGCCGCCCGCCGCTTCAGGCCATGGGCGACACGCTGCCGTCGCCCACAAGCGCTGCAGCGCGGCCGACCGCAGTCACCTCGCGGCGCGTGTGGGCGGCGCCTGCTCCAGCGCTGCAGCTCCAGCTCCAACTCCAGCTCCAACTCCAGCCCCGCCAATGCTGCCATAGCGCCGCTGGCCGCACCGCAGCGTGCACCGCAGCACGCACCGCGGCGTCGCCTGTGCCGATGCTGCCTCTGTGCTCCCATCGCGAGAGGGGCAGCCGTGAGGGCTGCGTCGCTGTGCCCATCTCCGGCCCTGCAAGTTGCTGTGATTCTCGACTGCTCAAGCCCGATGCGCTAGCTCGCCTGGGACAAGCACCCAGACTGTCGGGACCGGCTACTCTCATTGAAATTCATGAGGGCCAAACCGGGCCGTATGAGAATTCGGTCCCCATCAGCGTGGATCGGGATGCGTGTGACACCCCATCGTATGCGTGCCACCGTCTGTATCTTCGTAGTCACCGCCACTCCTCCACTGTGTGCACTGTGTACGAGCTGCACGGCTCGCACTCGGCATCGGCATTGACTGCCCGGCCCTGTCGCCTCAGTACCTGCCTGCACAGTGCTAAGTGCACCCCCGATGCAGAACAAGCAGCCTCTGCAGACGTTTGCTTTGTAAATAAATGAACTGAGCTGCCACGTCGGCATGGCAGATCCGACTTGCCCTCTGAATGATCGTGAACAGAAGCATGCGCAGGACATCCCTCGCCGCCATGCCGCCAGCTGCCAGCGGCAGTCCTGCTGCGTCGAGCATCGGCCGTAGAGAGCAATGAGCGTTATTGCCTTCTGTTGGCTGCATCTGCTGGCAAGTACCATGGATCGAGCTCCTGCAACTTGACCTCATGCGTCATCCATCTGTTTACATACTCGCCATCCTTCGTACCGAGCAGGTGGTGTTGCAAACCAGCGCCCTATCGCTGCTTCTTCTTTCAGCCACATGGAGCTCTGCAATCGTGAGCACTCAATCGAGTATCGTAGCAAGGAGGTGTAACATTTGTGGACTAGTGGCGTCCTTCGAAGCGCAACAGAGCCGCCGATCGGGTTTGTTTGGTGGAGGCAGCGGCGCTTAGAAAACATGCCAGGTCAAAGATTGGCGGAGAGTAGTGCAATAGCTAGCTAGCCCAACTTCGACCATGCTGACAGGGCTCTTGGCAACCTCGAAGTTGTCATCCAGACTCCTCGCGACGGAGCTGTGGCTAAGACCAGAAGCTTGTGGAGGCATCAGCAGACGGCATCGGAAGGCTCCTTGCTTGAAGGTTCATCAAACCTCGGCATGAGGTAGCAAAAACAAACATGAACGGCAGTTCAAGTCGCACAACTTGGAACTTCGTACTTCGTAGGTTCCATGTCACCGAAGACAAGTGTCTGCCGAAGAGGGGGTCTGTCCCTTGGATGCGGGCAAGCTAAAATCACGTTGCTGTGGAATACTATGCTGTTCTCTGTACGGACTATCTGCGAACGACTGGCATGAATACGGAAATGCTCTGAAGACCCGATGCAATGGCGTGCGGAAGCAGCGAAGATTACACATTATCATCATCTTCATCCTGATGCTTAAAGCGAGCTTTCTTGGATGATTGCCGCTGTATAGACCCAAGAACCATCTCACCGCTGCTTGCCGTCTTTTCCTCTTCCTGTTCATTTCAAGAATTTTTCTGCAGCTTTCCAGTTCCTGCCATAAGCCCATTCGCCCTCGATATCCTTACCTTCCTTACAAAATCTGCATTCCTCCACGTTTGAGATTTTCTGCCGCATGTCTGCCCATAGGACCTGCGATATTCTCCTGGATTTGCAAGACACATTTGTAGTAAGTGAGCGTACTCGTCGCAGGGCTCTAGAGGGAGCGTATGCCCGCAGGCGTGTTTTTGATGCAGATCTGTACGGCCGCACATCTCGAAAGGATCTTGGCTGTCGAAAGGATCTTGGTTGGATGGCCCCTGAAGATGTGGTGTGGAATAGCGCAGGTGGTTATTAAGCCGGTCATGATTCGGGCCTGTGCGTGGTGTACTATATTGTTTGACGTCCGCCGCTCGCTATTTGACATCTGCTGTTTGATGTTTGCCGTTTGCTACCTCATGTTTGCTACTTGGAGACGCATACAAGCTGATAGAATCAAAGTAAGAGAACGCAAGAGATGCTTGTCGCTCTGTAAAGAGATTCACACTTATGAAGCAAGATACATAAACAAAGTTTGAATCAGGAGAAAGCCGTAAATTGAACCAGCTGTTGTATGGCTAGCTCTTCACCGAGTCGAGCCACTGTCTGTTCCCATGAGTTTGCAATTCATCTGACTACCGAAGGCGCTCACGGATTGCCTGTATGCCCCTGCAGTTTGTCCAGCGCAGGCCTGACAACCTTCTCATTGGCGCCCTCTTTCCTCTTCGCCTCTCTAATCGCTACTTTCTCCAAGTTTTTGCTTCTGACTGCCTGGCCATCTTCTTTCCACCATGCCTCTCCTCGTTCAACGAACCGCACAAAAGCTTCGAGAACAACCTCCTTTCCATCCCAACTCTTCCCACTCAGTGCCTTGTCCAGCACAGGCCAGATCTTCTCCGCCGTCAACTTGTCAAGATTCTCGCTACCAACAGCGGAAGTGATAGATAAGACAGCATCAGCAACAGCTTTTGCGGCGGAGTGTTTAATCGCCCACTGCCTACTCTCGAGATGATGGTCGCACAATGCAAGAATCTCGTTGAGATACAAGGACACGCTTCTGCTTCCTGCGACATGCTCGTCCCATGTTTCGGTGAACGCTTTGCACACATTCTCTTCGCCATCGTGCTTGGCGAGGAAGACAAAGGGCAGTAACTCAGAAGAGAAGCTAGTGAAACGATCCGTAGCGTGCTGACTGATGGCGTGTATAATGTCACCGGCCAGCAAACGCGCGCGATCCGAGCCCTCTTCAGTCTCAAAGTACTGGGTTTTGGCGAAGGAAATGGTGGATAACAGTTGATTGTCAGAGACCAGACGCGCGACATATCCAGATGCTGCGGCATAACTGGAAGATACGGTGTCATTACGGTCGTGAATGTGCTTTTGTACCAGCTTCAAGAAGTGGTCCGCGTACGGACCAAATAAGAATCGATGTCGTGTTGCAAGAGTGACGAGGACGCGGCTGCATCCCACCTTGGACGGTAGTCCAACAGCAGCTTTCATAGCGACTTCGAGGCGGGGCATGAGCGCCTTCATTGTCTCGGCGTCTGCGAGGTCGAGACAGCGTTCGATAGACTCTGTGAGTGGCGATGAGCGCACAGAGGCAAGACGCATGTCGTCAATCTTCTGCGCAGTAAGGTTATACTTTGAAGCGTTAAGATGAATATAATTCACCGCTTCCGGCTCGAGACTACTGAGTAAGCCGAGCAAACGCTCAATGAGTTCAGGGCTGTGTGGGTTCAGGGTTTTGGCATTGGCTTTCTTGACAATCTGGAGAAGTGTTTGAACAGAAAACATTCGTACTTCTTCGGCCGAAGACTCGAGACCCGAGGTCGAAAACAGAAATGGAAGAACCCGGGTCAGTTGAGCGTTTGCTGTCTTGAGAGACGCGTCCCCCGCTTCAAGAGAGCGGGTGAGAATGGCAGTTAAGACGCGGGCAAGTGATGCGGCAGCGACGCGGACCGTTTCCTTGATGTCGTCGAGCACTTTGAAACACTTGTCCCAAATCGAAGTGAGATACTTCTCGTACTACACAAATCAGCGGCCATTATGAGATTTTGACTTGACATGAGTTTACCTTGTCAATGCCACGGCCCTGAACGAGATCCGCAATTGCAGCGCACGCAGCTTGTCGCACACGCCACTCCTTTCCTAGGATGCTGACAAGCAAATCGTCCATGATGGCATCGAAATGCTTGTCAATGGTGGCTGAAGAGTCTTTGACTAAGGCGTTCCAGATATCGTTCATGGAACGCTGAACGTTGGGATTGGGGTCAAATCTAAATTACGTCAGTGGATCCGCCGAAAAATGCAGGAGAGCCCGTCAAAATACCTGTATCTATAGAGTTTGGGATACAGCTTTGGGTTTTGCGCCAGATAGCCGTCGACGCTCGAGTCTGAGAAGATGTTACTTAGCCCAAATCGGCCAAATGCAGCACGACTGGACCAAATGGAATTGTTGGAAGCCATCGACATGAAGCGATACACCAAACTCGAATCACCAACCTCGGCTGCGAGGCTCATAATGTCTTTGTAGGTCGTAATCGACTTTCCATCACCTGTGGGCAATGCACCAGCTTCAAAGAGTTGTGTATCCTCTGAGACGGTGCCTGCCATTTTCGACTTGTTGTCTGAGAACGAGCCGACAAGGTCACGAACAAGATCGTCTTTCAGTTCGCGATCACCCTTCTCGTAGACAAGACCGAGACCTCGTGATGCAGCTTCCTGTACGACTTCATCGCGATCGGATAGGCAGCCCTTGAAAGCAGCCTGACATTGACCAAGATAGTCCTGCATGCCGGGCTTGTGCCCGCAATATTGTAGAAGACAGAGCAACCATATCACTGATGCCTTCTTTAGCGAAGGTTTGGTCTGAACACAGCCCTTCAGCGTCTTTTCAAGAACAAGTTGGAAGGTTTTTTCTCGTTTAGGCCCATCAGGCGTCCGCAAGGGTCCATCCCAAGGGGTTTGTGGTTGGTCTGGGTGAAGAATATCAAGTTCCGCAACAAGAGCTTTTGAATCCCAGCCAATAGCAAAGCAACTCAGTGCTTCACCCACTGTGAATTGAACCTCTGACTGGCGGACCTCGTGAAGTTCATATAGCTTGTCGCCAGTGGACTTGTAGTCAGAGGCTTGTCCAGCTTCCTCGGTTTCTTCGGTTATCATCGACAAGTGACCCAATGCCAATATAGCACTAATGTTGCCTGTCTTCGCCGAATCATACGTCTCCGCAGCGAGTTCCTCAGTACTTGTGTATTTTGAAATGGTTGAAGGGGCGATGACGTGAAAGAGACTAAGCTGGTCAACGCAAGCAAATGCCGCGGCTTTGAGTGTTGCGTCTCGTGTCTCTTTCAGGATCGCGACAATCGTCTCTAGTAACTTATGCACCGGGTGTTCTTGCACAACATCACTGGCCGACTTAGTCCCTCTCCAGTGTGTCCTACTAAAAGAATACCCAAGAGCGGTGATAATGCCGCTGATTTGATTGACATCTGCACCGACGGCTGATTGCCAACTACCGAGCTTGTCGAAGAAGCGTGTTTGTGACTTTTGTACCTCTGTCTGATCACATTCTGGGTGAGACGCAAGCAGACCGTATACATGGGCGGCTGCGAGACGGCGACCGACGTTGTTGGACAAGACAGAAGGTTCCAAAGTACGAAAGTCTTGCACCAAGTGCGCAAAGGTCCAGTAACGCTGTGGGCAGAGCGACAGCAAACGTACCAATGTACTGCCGATGTCGCCTACGTCACTCACATCGTCTTTGGTAAGTCTGTCGAAACTAGCTCGAACGATAGCAGAAATGGCTTGACCATGCGAATCGCTGGACGCAAAGGCGCGGAATGCCTGTCTGGCCCGCTGGTCGGTAGACATCAGCGTATCCAGCTTACGTCCCCAATTTTCCGAGACGTCGTCATTGAGACCTTTCTCCACAAGAGCTGACTGCAGGGCAACTTGCGAACAAAACTTAATGACTGTCGGTAACGCATCTGAGTGGTGTTGGTAGAAGCGTTGTACTTGTGTGAGAAGATCGTTTGAGCCCTCGAGATCCATGATATCCTCGTCTTCACCCTCCTGAGCAAAGATGAAATTGACAAGTCTGTCAAAGTCGGGAAATTTGAGCTTCCGTTGCTCTTGACCGATATCAGGTGCCATATTTGAGGTCTGAAACCAATAGGGATCTAGGCCTCGTCGCCCTTCTTCCACCACCTCATGACGCTCTGCAGAGCCACCACTGACAGCGAGGATGTCGATCCACCTGCCCAGGACGTCCTGGAACGGTAGGCATCGGTTTGCGAATCTCGTGGCAACATACCGTGTGCTTCTTGTAAAGTGGGAAGAAGCTGGCGTTGTGACTTGGTCAACAGTAGCATATCTTAATAGAATCTCCCTAAATCGTGGCATGGCTGATTCGTCGAAAGGTTTCGCGAAGGCACCAAGCACAGATGACAATGCCTCCTCTATGCTGACAGCCACATCTTTACCAGCCGAGTCCTCGCGAAGCGACCGAAACAACCACTCCAAAAGGTCTAATGAAGGTTCTATCAGAATCTTCTCGGGTGCAGCTTTTGCTAGAAGACCTATCGTCTCGTAACCATAGCCACGCAGCTCCATGTCCTGGTCATGATCTGCAGCTGGCCAGCCTTGATCCTGGATGAAAGCGCGGAGATTGTCCACAAGACTGGCGGCAACCGCGGACAGGTCAGATGATGAACCACGACGAGCGACAAAATTGACCAGCGAGAAGATGGCAGATCGAAACTTGGAAGCCTCCCGACCCGCAACCTTGTTTGTTGGATTGAGCTCTGTTGACAGCAGGCCATCTTCTACGATCTTTGCTACTTTGTATGGATACGTTGTGCACTTGACCGACTTTGACAGTACTCCCAGTATCCTTATCCGTAGGGGAGTCTTGACTGGCAATGTCCCCTCAGAGGAAGTGCTGCACATGCGTTAGCACAGTAACTGCGAGAGACCGAGAAACCTACGAGCCGAAGTAGAGATCAAAGAGTGTTTCCACAGATTTGGCGTCTTCAAGATCTTGCGTGAGCATGACACGTTTCAAGATATCTTCGCCAACTTCTGAGATTCGAGAGTTCGTATCTGCACTTGCAAACAGTGCTGGCAGAAACTTCTCGTCATCCTTGAACATGCCGCTGGCGAGCAAACGCGTGACCAAAGCCTTCGACTCGGTTAGACTGAGTCCAGCTTCCGAAGAGGGGTCCCAAGCGTCTGGCTTGCCCTGCTGGGTAAGAAACTTGTACTGTTCTGGAGACAGACCGGGACATGTTGTAGTGCTTGCATCTTCTGGAGTAGTCTGCCGCACTAGAGTCAAAAGGACGAGCTTGCCAAACCATTTGGACAGGAATGCGGCGTCTTCGTCTGCAACGCTCAATTTGGTCCTCAGCTCGGTGTCTTCTTTACTTCCTCTTGGGGGGAGCTTAAAGTGAACCAGAAGCCGCAAGATGAGGTGGAAGAGCTGTGAGGCATGTTGGGCTGATTTGTCGTAGTCGATTGCTATCCCCTGGATCAAAATGGGGAGTAGCTCAAGTCTGTCGGAGATTGGCAGGCGCGAGATGCCTTGCTGGATGTACAGGATGTCAAAATGGCGTATCAGGGCTATGTCGGCGTGGTCCTTGTACTGTTTCAGCAGGGCGGCCACTGGCAGCTTGAGGTCTCTGTGTTTCTGTCAGCGCATTGCATGCTCCATGTCGGCGTCCAATGCGTACTGAGACTTGATACGAGTGTTGATGTGCTGGCAAATGGAGATGACCTGCAGAAGATGGCGCAATCAGCAGAGGTCCCTGGGCGGGCAACGCGAGCTGCGGCGAGAGGAGACAACGGCGAGGATCCTACCTTGTTTCTCACAGCTACATGCTCGGAGGCGAGCTTGAGGAGCAGCGGGGCAAGGTACACTTTCAGCAGGTCCTCGAGCCTCTTCTCCGAGTCGGCCAGCGCAATGCGCATCTCGACCTTGCCGACGAGGGCAAGCTCTTTGGCTTCGGGGGGTTGCGCTGCAGCCATGGTGGTGTAGAGGGGCAGCGGCCAGCAGCGGCGGACCGAACGGGGTCTGGTTATATCAGATCAGAGCACTGGCAGCAGGCGAGCAACGCGACCTGTCAGCTGCTACGAAAGCCGGGCCCTGGATGACTGGGATGGCGCTGCGGCGCTGCGGCTCTGCGTGTTCGTCCGGCCCTTGGCCTCGCCACCGGTCGCGCTGCAGCGGCACTGCGGTGAATGGCCGGGGTGGCACGGGCCCGTTTGCCCTGATGAAGTGCGTCACGGCGCTGCCTGGCAAACAATCCGGCGCGTGCTTCCAATTGCTTCTGGCAACGTCGACCGCGCCTGCCTGCTGCCACCTCTGCGCCCGCACTCGCACACGCCCGCCCCGCGCCCGCCGCTGCCTGCTCCGCTCTCCACCGCGCTGCGCTGCGTCATCCATCCACCACAGCCGCCCGCCTGCCATCGCCGCCCGCCGCCGTCCTGACCGCCACTCGCTGACGGTGCGCCTGCCGCGTCTACGCCGCCGACGGTGCAGCCCGAGTGAGAGCGCCGCGAGCGACCAGCAGCCAGCAGCCAGCAGCCAGCGCCCTGCGCACCGGCCTCGCCCGACCTCGACCGGCCCTCGCGTAGTGAAAGCGCTACCCCGCCAGAGCAGTGCTTGTCCCAGGCTGTCTGCGGCCCCTCTGCCACGCCCCCTCTGCCACGCACCAGTCCACGAGCAACCGCCGCCATGGACGAGGAGAATGTGCTCAACTTTGTCAGCATCACCTCGTGTGACCCGGACAAGGCCGCCCAGTATCTGCGCCTGACCGACAACAACCTCGAGCAGGCCATCCAGCTGTTCTTCGACAGCCCGAATCTCGACTTCGGGCCCGCGCCAACGTCGAGCGCCCCGCCGCCCGCCACCTCCGCCCAGAATCCTGTGCAGGTCGACTCAGACGACGACATGTCTGATTTCCACCCGCCTGCGCACACAGACACTCCGCCCGTGCCCTCGAATCTCGAGAGCGACGAGGAGCTGGCCCGGCGGCTGCAGGAAGAAGACTACGGCGGCGGTGGCGCGCGACAGCCTCAGGATGAGGTCCGCGCACCCATACAGCGAACACAGGAGACATTGGTCGGTCCTGGTTCGAATTGGGCCCCCGGCGACCCAGACGACGACATCGATGCCATGGTGCAGGAGCAGCTGGCACGTCGCCAACGAGGTATGTCCCCGACAGCGATGGCTCCGCCACTGTACACAAGACTAACGCCTGATCTGCAGGTCGAGCGGGCATCTTCAATCAGCGATCCTCCGTGTGGGATGACTCAGCCGACGCAGAAGCCAGGCGCCGTGAGCTTGCGACATCGACCGGAGGCGCGTCCGAGCAGAGTGCAAAGATGAACATGTTGGCAGAGCTGTTCCGGCCTCCTTTTGAACTCATGTACCAGGGATCATGGGAGAAAGCGCGAGATATGGGCAAGGAGGAGGAAAAGTGGCTCATTGTCAACATCCAAGATTCCGCCATCTTTGATTGCCAGCTCCTCAATCGAGACATTTGGAAGCACGAGGACATCAAGGCGACTGTACGCGAGAACTTCATCTTTATGCAATACGCAAAAGACGACCCCCGCGGCCAGCAATACGTCAACTACTACTTCCATGCTCGCGATAGTTCCGACGCATACCCACACATCGCCATTGTTGATCCTCGAACAGGAGAACAAGTCAAAGTCTGGTCTGGTCCGCCACTCCCTAGACCCGTCGAGTTCCACGCGCAGCTTCACGAGTTCCTTGATCGCTATAGTCTAAACGTCAACGTGAAGAATCCCGTGGCCAAGCGCAAGCCGGAGAACAAGAAGGTTGATGTCAACCGCATGACAGAAGACGAACAGCTGGAATGGGCATTGCAGAACAGCATGGACAACGGCGGCAGCGGTAACGAGGGGCCCAAAGACGCCGATCCTGACGCGCTCACAAAAGATGAAGGAAAAGGCAAGGCTCGTGCGACGTCACCTGCACAGGCAACTGCTTCAACACCAGTCGCTGCACTCATAGACGAAGAGCCTGCGAGCGCAACTAACCCCTTGTTCGCTTCCATTTCCTCACATGCACCACACACAGAACCGACCGTCACAGATCCTAAGATTACCACACGTATCCAGTTTCGTGGACCTACAGGACGCCCCCTCGTTCGGCGATTCAACCTGTTGGATCCTGTTCGACGTATATATGAATGGATCAAGAGCGATGCCCCGTGGGACGGAAAACAGGGCGTCGAATTCGATCTAGTTTTCATGGGCAAGAACTTCATCGAGCATCTGGACGAGACAGTCGAGGCTGCCGGGTTGAAGGGTGCCAGCTTGATGGTCGAGTTTGCTGAGTAGTGGACCTACCGGGATCAGTGATAGACAATGTCATGATGGATGAATGGCATCGCTACGGCGTTCATGGTATCCTTTCGGCGCTCTGCACTACAGCCAACGATGATTGGCAGCTAACGGGGCTGATACCCGATGTCCTTTGAGTCTCAATACGGAACATAGAGAACATGTGTATATGTCACGGGCTGTAATGAAGTTCTTCTCATTCGGGTGTCGTGCATGAGTCTTTACAAGCTCAATATTGACTACCTCAGAATCCATGACTCATGCCACTTATGGCGGAACATCTCTCAACGGTAGGCCACAGAGCTGGACCAAGCCGAAACTTTTGCTCGTCTGAAGATGCAACAGGGCGCCTGTGTCAGGGTCTGTGAGAGCGGTCAACGACCCAGCTGACGTGAGATGGGCGACGCAGCATGAGGAGCAATGCCAAAGACGTTCTTGTCATAAACTTCAACTGTCGGAGGATAGAGAATGGGGCAGGTACAGCATTTGAAGGGAAGAGCAAGTGCGAGTGACGACACATTGGCACCACCCAGCCAGCTAGGCCATCTCACGGCTCTTGTAATCTTTCCTCCCAGATCCTGCGATGCATCTCCTTCCGGACCCTCCTAATCACCATGCTCAGACATGATCCTTTCGTCTCCTATTCGCTGAGTGAAGGCTACCTTCCGCCGTTCAATTCTCCAGAGGCCACTTGCACCAGGCACGCCCTCATCGCCACCTTGACGAAGCACTAGATCATCAATGTACCTTCCGTACGCACAGAGTAGCTTGCCCTCGTGTGGTCCTTGTCCAAAATGTGCACCTTGAAAATAAGTGACAGCATGCGCGACCTTGCCAGTGTCTTCAAAGACGATCCTTTGCGTTGTGAGACTGTGGTGAGTTCGAACAGGCCCTAGACTGCACAAGATCAGAGTGTGGTCTCACAAAAGTTCGTTTTAACCCTTATTACCGAGCTCTAATTGCCGTCGCGACTGCTTTGACCCCCTGCAGATCTGAGTTGAACGGGTACTCTGCGCTGACATCTTGCGTAAAAACGCTCTCGAGGAGCGTAAAATCTTTTGTGTCTAAGGCCTCGCAGTATCGTGAAATAACATTCCTTACAGCAAGTACGTCCATCGGATTGATCCTTGACATGATGGCGAAGCTTAGTGTCCGCTTGTTGTTGATGCACTCAGGTTCCCATACATATAGCTGCCTCCCGGGACCCCGCAAATTGGGGACCGAAGCAGAACATCGAGAAGACCCATATACCTAAGTAGGTTCAAAGTCAGTTTTATTGCCATCTCGAGACGGAAGTTCAAATGAAGATGACGGGTTCTCACAGCCTAATGATGGGCGATAGGATGTGTTAGCAATGAGATGAGAGTTGGAGTAAATCAACTCTCGAGCCTCAATATCTGATTGGGTGCGACAAAACGGCGCTGAAGGCTCCAGCTACCATACATACTGGACGAGGATGTAAATTCGCGTGATTTAGAAGCTTCCATAGGGTGGATTCATCGTCATTCGTCATAACAGTACTCGGTTGCGAGTCAATTGCCGAACTCTGAACGCGCCCCAGCTTCGGTACCTACATAGTGTCATCTCCGGCGGTGAGATGCCAGTCCGAGTGTGGTATCATCATGTCATCCACTTTCCCACTTAACGTATAAATGGGAGATGCTGGTTCCTAAGATATCTAAGATTAGGCTGCCGGAGAAACACATGTTAGGGCTTACTACATGCCGATGTTCGGGTTGGTAGGTAAGGTTGCACGAACGGTTCCCCAACTTTGCCGAAGGTATCTAGCAGGTCCACCACCATAGACAGTTTCCCAGATACATAATCTGAAGCTAAAGCAAGGCGTTTTGAGACATTTTATATTCTAGGAAGGGCCTGTTGACAGTGTCCTCGGTATATATTGAGAATTGTAAATACTCATCAGGTAGCATGTCCGACTCTAAACCTCTGCGCATAACCATTTTGGGCGGGGGCATAGCCGGTCTGACGACAGCTCTTTCGTTGACAAAGTTCGCTCCGATAAACTCTCCACCTCCCCTGATTACGATCTTCGAGATTCGACCTCAGCCCGCAACAATCGGTGGTGCCGTAAACCTCACGCCCAACGCCCTGCGCCTACTTTCCCACCTGGGCGCTCTCCAGGAAATTCGCTCGTCCAGCTATGGCGTTGAGTGCTGTGCCGTTGAGGTCTTCGATATCTACTCCGGTACCAAGATTGCCGAGTCCAGTTTTCGTGGTCCAGATGGCAAAGGACTCGGCACACCACCCTTCACAGCGCTTCGCATAACAAGAGGCGAGGCTCTCAAGGGTGTTCTCGCGGCGATAGAGAAACATCCCAACATAATCATCACATGCGGAAGAAAGACAACTAAGATCCACGAGACAGAGACAGACGTCACGCTCACCTTCGCCGACGGCACTTCATCCACCTCGGACATCTTAGTCGGCTGCGACGGCATACATTCCGTGACAAGGCTCACCCATGTCGAGCCCTCTCGCACAGCAACCTACTCTGGAATTTGCAACGCTTTTGGGTTTGCTCCTCTCAAATCCCATCAAACACCGCACTTCGAGGCCTCTGGCATGAACTTCGCGCAGGGTGGCATGCTGCTGACCTCCTTTCACAATGCGGAAAGGAACTCGATCTACGTTGGCGCACTGATGCAGGTTCCAGATGACAGCTTGCAGTCCAGGGACGGGTGGAAAGCACGAGGAGCGGACGCAGAGAGGACGCGTTTGGAAATGTCGAAACGATTTGCAGGGGCAAAAGAACCAGCGATTGGAGAGTGGATCGAGGGAGCGCAGGACTTGTACTTGTGGCCAGTTTTTACGCTGTCGAAGCATGGAAAGTGGGCGACTAAGAGGGTTATGCTAATAGGTGATTCTGCGCACGCTATGCCGCCGCAAGGAGAGAGTACAGGGATTGTATTTGAAGACGGAGTGCTCTTTGCTCGCGTGTTGGCGAGATGGATGGAGAAGAGTCAAAACGGGAGTGATGGAACACCGGTAAAACAGGCCTTCGATGCGTATGAAACATTGCGGCGCGCCAGGATCGAGACAGCGTGGGATGAAAGCCAGAGTGTGGTCAAGACGGCGCAAGAGGTCGGGTGGCTAGGGCATCGGATCAAGATGAACGTCGTTCCGTGGTATCTATGGTGGACAAAGGGCTATCGGGAGAAGCATTTCGTGGAGGATGTCACCATGTCCGAGATTGGGTATTGATTGGGCGAGCGTGTCACATGGATTCTTTAAACTGCTATACCCGTGGGCTATATCTCACGTCGACGCTGAACAGGCAGTGTATACTATTCATCCAAATCAGACCAACGTCCCAACAGCTCACCAGGCTTGGTGGATATGAGTGGTTCGTCAGCGGACGCCTTGGCGAGACCCCTGCTTCTCGGACGCGAAGGTCCGCCATCATCCTCGCTGATTGTTCCGCTGTTGGCACCACTGGCCTTGCCCTTCTCTTCTTTTTCCTCTTCCTCTTCCTCGGCTGCCTCCCAGTCGTCTACTACAGGAAGCGGATTGTCCTTCTTCTTCTTACTGCTTAGACTCAACACAGCAAAACCACCCTTGTTTCCGAAGGGCGTGCTCTTCTGTACTTGGCGCGATGGGATCCCTCTTGATGCTGCGACTTGACTCCAACCTGAGCCTGGACCAATATCTGACTCCTTGCGTAATATATTGAGTGAAGCATCCGTGCGAGCCAGTTGCAAAGAACCAACCTTGTGCGTAGCGAGTGCCTGCGTCAAGGGAGTCTTCACAGACTCCAGCATCGTCTGGATTTCACGCTCAGGAATATTCAGGCGAGCAGCTAGAGGTGGTTTGAGTGCAACGGCCTCACTTGGTAGGAAGCTGATCTCGAATTCAAGGGGGAAGTTCGTCTGAGGAAGGACGTTCTTGACGCACATGCTGACTTCTTCGATCGTGAGAGCAAAACGTGGGTTCAAGATCAGGAAAGAGTTGTAAGGATCCCCGGTAGTATTGCTTGGTTTCGGTCGAAGTGGAGCGGCTGCTGGTGCTGCGGATATGGGGCGCTGGACCTGGCGCGATCTTGCACATTCCGCAAGGGTCTTCATCGGAGCCATAACAAACTTTGGCGTTTTGAAGACCGCAACATGGCGATGAGGTTCGGGATCCATGCTCTCTGTATCAAAGCCGAAGTCCTCCGCAAGATAGTGGATGAATTTACGTTGATGTTTTGACATGGGGTTGAATCTGAGTCGCCTCTCGTCCTCATCCGCAGCGAATAGTCTCAGTCGCTTCTCGTGAGTAGCTGCCCAGGTCGAGTGTTCCATGTAGTGGTTCAGTGTGATATCAGAATAGGGAACATGATCCGTCTCATGTGCTGGATCGACATTAAGTGCCAATGCAAGCTTGCGATTGCGCTCGAGACGTGCGCATTCTTCATCACACTTCAAAGACTTGGTGTGGTTGCCTGCGCCAGACTTCGAAGCATTGCACTTTGTCTCTTGCTTGATTCTCTGGCATTCACAAGTGATTATGATCTTGTGTTGACATGGCTTGTCTTCCTTGCAAGGCTGCGGGAAATGACAGGGCGCCATGTCAGGGTGGCCACAGACGCCGAGTTCCTTTCCACAGGTCTGCTTGCAGGGCTCTTCGCACTCGCCGCCGCGATGGCATTGCTTCTGGCACTTGTGGATACCACACTTCAAAGTGCGTCCACAAACCTCGCCACAGCGAACTTCGTTGAGCCAGCAAGGCTGGTTCTTGATGACGTTCTTGCCACACATGCAAGATTTGGTCGTCAAGTAGGGGCATTTAGGACAATCCTCTTCATCACCATGACACGTGTGGCCAACTTGTGGGTGGCCACAACTCTTCGGTCGCTCGCATGAGAAGCGGCACAGGGGAGGGCGAGTTCCACAGGGAAGCGGAGGCTGCAGCACAGTGCGTCCACAATTGCAACTAATCTCGTCAAAAATTGCGTCCCGACAAGTGCCGCAAGGACCTTTGTGGCAAAGTTCTTGGCAGCGATGTTCTGGGTTACCGCATTTCAGCTGGCGACCGCAGGATCGCGTACAAATATGCTCCGCTTCGAAATTGTCGCCTGGCCGTTGGGCTGCTGAGTCTAGAGGACGTGGCTTCCTTCGATTTGCCTGTCGCTCGGCTGCTCTACGCTCGCCGGAGCAGCAGTGCTCGCCACATTCATGCCGTCCGCAATTGAGTGCAACACGGCATATTCGCATGCACTGTGGTGCTTCTTCGGTCCCCTGGTGACATATTGTGGAAAAGGTGTTGCGCCCACATCTACATGCGATGGTGATAGTCTCCATACAGGGCCTACATTCGCCTTGATGGCACGGTTGCTTACACTTGTGGCCGCAATCAAGAGTATTGTTGCATGGTTTCAGGCAGTTCGGTACTGGATCCTCGCAGGACTCTCGACGAACGTTCGAGATCTCTGTCAAACGGGTCTTGCCGCAGGGACAGTGTGTGACAATATCGGGGGATTGCGGACAGTGGGCGGAATCAGCGTTCTGTCGATGGCACGTCTGCTCACAAGCATGTTTTCCACAATCGAAAAGACGACCGCAGGTGCTAGGGCACCCGAACAACCCAGTCCACTCTTCAACCGTGCTAGCACCGTCCGCCGCAGTATGACGCTGCCGGCTGTGCTTCGCTTCCTCTTGATCACAGCACATGACGTCCTTCTGCACCTGACCGCAGTAGCAACGTGCAGGCACGCGAACATGACAAGCTCCGCAGGGACCTTCGTGGCAGGGACGATTACAGCGGTGCTCTCCACAAGCCATCAGCTCGCCACAGCTCTCACCACAGCTCCAGCCGTGCTCATAGTCTGTGTCAACACAGCGGCGAGTAATAGACTTGGTGCCACAGAAGCAGTGCTGTGTAGGACCCATCAAGGAGCAAGGTGGGCAAGGGCCAGCGTGGCAGGTCATGCCACATGGGTGGGGGCATTTCTTCGGTAGGATTCTGGGTCGTGAACAGGTCTGTCCGCAAGAGAATGGTGGTAGGCCTGTAACCGGTCTTGGGTCGAGCTCTTTCTCGCACCAACACGAAAAGTTCTTCGGGAGGACATCTTTGGGTAGATTGCAGCCGGGGCAGCGCCACTGCCGCGGTGGTGGTGCTTCGCCGTCCTGAGCCTGCTGACGAGCAGCGGCTGAGCCCTCGTTGGTCGACCATTTCTTTATACACCCCAGATGAAAGACTGTCCAACATGTCCGACACGACCACACACCCTTTGAGCGTCGCTTGATGTTTTCGGTGCAGATAGCGCATTCGTAGTGGCCATTGTCGATGTCTTGGTGCGTTCTCGTGGCGATGTCTGCTGCGGTCGACTTTGGTAGTTGGGGTTGTTTGTCTTTTGGCGCTCGTGGCTTGCGGCCAACCAGTGGTCTCCCTGGTTCGAACTCGGGGGCATCTGCTTGCAAGCTTGCAGACACTGCAGAGTCAGCGTCGTCTTCCGCGGTCAACTGACCGCCAAACTGGCGACCACCGGCAGCGGTGCGCTGAGGGAACCTCTGCGCGCCACCTCTTCCCGGCCCACCTCTGCCCCGGGGTCCCCTTCTTGCCGGTGTAGGCGCAGAACCCACGGACTCGCTAGGCATGGACTGGAGGACCTGTGAAGGCACCAGAGAGGGCCCTCCCCGACCGCGGCCTCGGCCCCGGCCACTCCTTCCGCCTCTCTGTGACTGTGGCTCCCCGCTGGGCTGTGCCTGGTCGTGCGGTTCCAAGGCCGCAGCTTGTGCGCGATTGCGCGTGCGATTGCGCGTTCTCCTGCCCCGTGAGGCGCCGTCCGGTCCCTCAGCGGTGCTTACGGGCGCTGGTGTGGCTGCAATGGACGCCATGCTGGACTGCGAGGTGGGCACTGCTTCCCTTTCGGAGTGTAGAATGACGCCTGGTAGTGGCGATGGCGACGGCGGGCTACGCAGAGCCAAAGAAAAGGCCAAAGGCGAGGTCAAAGAAGAGGCCAAAGAAAAGTGCAGGCTCGGTTTTTTGTGCGGCCTGGTGAACGTGGGAAAGAGACGCGCAGGTGGCGTGCAGTGCGGTGCTCGTTCAGGAAAGAAGGGCTCGCAGTGAAGGCGTTGTCGGCTGCAGGCGGTGGGGTGCAGCGCGGTGCTTGTTCAAGAAGGAGCGGCTGTCTAATTATGAGTCGAAGACGGATGCAGGAAGGTGGCGTGCAGCGCGGTGCTCGTCCAGGAAGGAGCGGCTGTGTATGAGTCGAAGGCGGTCGCAGGCGGTCGCAGGCAGCGGCCACACGAGCACACGAGGCGAGTCCGGGTGTGAGTGGCGGCAGCGGCTCTGTGACTGTTCGCCATGGGCGAAATGCGAAATCCCACGGCATCGTCATATCCACGCGCTTTGGGCCTAGCGCGCCGTCGCCGCAACGGCTGCATCGCGCAGAGCTGCCATCACGACGGCGACCTCGATACACGAGCCGACGACACCATGGCCAAGACTCTGTTTGGCGCCCTCGCGCTGGCGTCGCAGGCACTCGCCTTCAGCAACACCTCGCCTTTCTTCCTGTTCTCCACCGCCGAGTACGCTCCGCCGCCGCCGTCCCTTGTGTCGCTGCTAACGTGAGCAGCCTGCTGCTGGAGTCGTCGGGCGCATCCATCGCCCAGGCGGACAGCATCGCCGCCGATGTGCTAGCCGCGCTGAAGGACTGTCCAACCAAAAATTACGTCGTCGTCGACCAGGACGGTGTCTCCGCCGCTGACTACGCCGATGGCCGCTCCACGCCTCGCCTGGCGCAGTACATGGCCGCTCAGCACGACGCCGTCAAGTCGACTGTCTCCGTCCCCGACGTCGTCGGCAGGATCAGCGTCGCCGGCATCACAGCGCACCTGGAGGCCAAATGCGGGCCTGTCAAGAGCGTGAAGCTTGACACGCCCCCGTCGTCCAAGGCGCTCAGGTTGCTGTACATGGCCCAGCAAGGTACGCTTGGCAGACGCTGTGCCCCCAATGCATCGACTGATATCCACAGACCAATTCCTTGAAGACAGTCTTGCCAAGTACGCCGACGCCCGAGACTACACCGTCGTCTACATCACCACCCCGCCCACAGAAGCGCAGGCAAAAGCCCGGCTCCAGGCCGACCAGCAGTACCAGTACGAAATGGACAGCTCTTTTGCCGACAACATCCAGATGGAGCTCAAGCGTGACACCGCCGCACACTACAAGCGTGCCAACTCGACTCGTGACGACCGCGGCTTGTTCGAGAGGTACCAGTACTTCACACCGGGCCTGTTCATGGGTTTTGCCGCCGTCATCCCACTCTTCCTGATTCTGCTCGTGGGCATCCGGGCTCTGATCAGCCTGGAGGTATCATACTTTGCCTTTAGCAAGGAGATGGGGCCCAACGCCCAGAAGAAGCAGTAGCTGTAGTGGAGCCCGGAGCAAGCCGATTGGGGATGCTGACGAGCGACGTGAATCTTGTATCTTTGTAAGAGCATGGGCACCAGGCGTTTATGTGGCTTTTATTATGGATTGTAGCGTACGGTGTGTCAAATGTCATATACACATACACAAGACCTGGATATCGATCAATCAAGTATCAGATACTGTGTCCCATATGCAAGCCCCCATAAAGTAGCACGAGAGCCGGCGACCGAACCTTTTGATAGACATCACCCCACGTCTTCGTTCCGCGTCTAGTCGAACTTTCCCACCTCCCGATCAAAATGCACGTAGCAGAATTTCCCTCCCACAAAACACGTCGCCATCCACTGCCACCAGCCAATGCTCGAGACCTCAACCCCATGCTGAGCCAACCTTTTTGTGAAAATTGCCGTTTCAACCGCATGCGCCCCAAATAGGAAGTAGAACAGCCCACTCTGTACCCAAGATGCGTACTTGAGACCATTCGCCGAGAGTCGCGACAGCACGTAGTCGTAAAGAGGCGAGCCGGGCGAGATGACTTCGCGCCGCGAGCTAAGAGCCATGATGATGCCACAGATGATGATGGGCCTAAGGTAGGGTGCTTTGGGCGCGATGTACGTATTCCGCAGGTTCTTCCGAGGTTGAGAAACGGGCTTAGACATGGCGTGCGGCGGCCGGAGTACTGTTTGGTGCTGGAACGGAGGTGGGTCGATGCGAGCTGAGCTGTTGTAAAGTGCCTAGTTGCCGTTGATATCTGCGGTTCTCAATTGCTGTCTGCAGGCTCGGTCCCGTCACCACGAAAGTCGGTAGGTACTAGTACCTATCCACATGCCTCCACTTAGCAGCCTCGGTCAAACATGCATCCTACAGTACACCAGCCACACGAGTCAGTCTACAAGCTCTAGTTTGACCCTATACGTAACTTGCCGCATGAGGTAAGTCCGACCAGAATACCGTAGATCGCTGGAACTCATGCGAACCCAAGGTAAACGTTGTTAGCGTTGGAAATGAACAGCTTTGTGCAATCACGTGAATTTGAAGGACAGTGCGTGCGTTTTAATTGGTTCCGAGTGCCATTCCGGTGAGCTCCAGCGACAGGCGCTCAGAAATGGGCTGCTGTGTGCAATTGACAACGGAATTCAGCTGTAGCAAGTTCCTTATTGCTCTAGTGTACCAGAGACTGTAAGAAGTCACTTGAGTCGCACTGTACAAACAGCGCGTAGTGCATGAATCCGGTCCAGCGCCTCTCATAATCGACAAAGTCCAGCCTGTACCGTTTCTACAAAGCGGAGCAATGCGCACAGAACCAACCAGCTCTGCTCAAGCTTTCAGCCATTCGATTCTTGCAAAGCCCGACTCGTCCGGCACTATCTACTGATATAAGCGTGTCGTCCCATCCTCCCCGCCGGTCCGCCGTCCCAGCCTCGCGCAGTTCGCCTGATCCGGACACACACAACCCGAGTGCACCCTAAAGCAGTCGTCTTCATGCAGCATCCCATATTTGGCTCGCACATTGGGAAAGGCTTGAGCCGCTGTCCCCACGGGCCAGTCCATCTCATGCACCATCGCCTCGGTGGCACTCTGCGATTGGCGCAGTAGGCATTGATCCTTGAAGGCGACGGGTGATGGCGTTCGTTTACGACAGCCATCACAATCTTCCATGGATCAACCTTCAAGCTGCACAGCTATCGACGGAAGACTGATATCTTTCCCGAACTGGAAAGTACGATTTATGTGGAGCCACGACGACGTCAACACCCTTCACGTGAACTGAATTTACTGTGAGTTTAGTCCGGGATAGCGTGTTGATCCTCCTTGAGCTACTCACAATAGCAACAAGACTCATGCACTTGGTGATACGTGTTGCGCTGCAACATTCCGCTCGCATTACGACAATCTGTGGTTTCCAAGCTGATTGTACTTACTTAGTGCTGCTAAACTGTTCGGAGCTCGTCCAATCTCAAGTGCATTCATTCAAGACTTGTGCCGAGATGCTTCACAAGATGGCACTCATCCATAGATTAGGCGAAGGCTCACGAAGCCGTAGCAAGACCAGAGAAGGTGGGCTTGCTGGCTTTTCTGTTGCCCACCTAGAAGGGTGTGCAATTTATATTGCGAACGTATGTTCTCTCATTCCAGTTCCATCTACACAACCGCCGTCCCGCGCTTACACGCCTTCATCTATGACTACAACTCTCTTCTTCTTCTTCTTTTTCTTCACCTCTCCCTCAGGCACGTCGTCTGCCTTCTCTGTCTCACCCTCGGGCTTGACCTTCTTCTTTTTCTTTTTCTTAAGTGGCTGCGCATCTTCTTCTTCCCCCACAGCTTGTGCTTCTTGCGCCTCATCACCCTCAACAGCAACCCTTCTGACCTTCTTCTTTTTCTTCTTAACCACACTCCCCTCAGTGTAATCCACCCGCTCACTCGCCCTTTGCATTTCCAATCTCGATCGCTCGATAGCCTGCAGGGCACGCGCCATCTCGGCTTCCTCTTGCTCCTTACGCTCAATCTCCAGCGCAGTAAGGCGACGGTTCGCACTCGTGCCCTCATCTTCGAGAGATAAAGATGCCAGACCTGCGCTGTCGACCTGCAGTAGCGATTTCTGGTTACGCGTGTTTGTTGCTTTGGGCGCGACGATATCTTCGCGGTCGACATCTTCCGATGCGGGGCCGAGTGTCTCGTCTCCCATGATTTCCACTCTGCGGAATGGCTTGCGAGGGCTGCGAGCACGGGGTATATTATCTGAGGATGCGTGACGGCTATTCGTGGAAAGATCAAGGTCCATGATTGGTATCGAATCGATGTCCAAATCATTACCATCTTGGTTTCCATCGCGAACGATCTTGCTAAGCGGTGTGACGGCGCCACTGCCGCCTTCGGGGTCGATGTAGAATGGATCATCTTTGTAGCGTTCTCTTCGTTCTGCTCTCCGGCGGGCTATGATGTCCGGATCAAGATACTCCTCTTCCACGGCGTTCTGATAAGACGCTGGTTCTCTTTGAGGAGCATCGAGACGGTCGGCTGCTGGAGCTGGAGTAGGCTCAGAGTTGGTGTAAGAGGCAACTGGCTCGCTATAGGCAGCATACACGTCATCTTCTTCTGTTTCGAAGCCTTCCTGCTCGGCTTGAGAAAGAAGAGAGTGCAGATTTGGGTTGATGGGGGTGTCGAGGTCGAGGTCCTCTGGGACAGGGACTTTGCGCTGGGCACCCGGTGCGACCGGGTTGAGCTCCGCGCCAGAGAAAAGGGCGGGTATGGCTTGTGTAAGTAGAAGTGGTGGCTCTGTGAAGTCGCCCTCAGTGTCAGTCGGTGCTCCGGAAGCTGCTTCGGCTGCTAATCGCAACAATTCAAGGTATTCGACTGCGCGCTCCTGGACTTCGAGACTAGGATGTGTCGAGAGTGGCTCAAGGAAGTGGATGACGCGAGCCATCAACAATGACATGAGCGTCTTTCGTTCCGGGGTCCAGGATACCCGCTCGTTACCAGCTATGCTTGAAAAAACCTTGGGAATTGCCTGTAGGTATACAGCAAGTGTTCTCGATGACAGCTGGAGTGACGAAGGATGCAATAGTGAAGTCATGACGGGTTCTGGCTGGGAGAGGTACGTTGCATATTCTCCTACGAGCCAGCCAGCGTATTCCAATACACCTTGGCCACCATTGCCCGAGGTAGGGAACATTCGGTCTCTATGGTCCACGAGCACTAAGGATTGCGCAGCGTCGACAGCCTCATGACGTACGCTTCTGACTCGAACCGCAACATTCTGTATTTCATGCCCAATGCCAGCGCCTACATCGTCAGAGTTTTCTCCATCTTTCTCGTCTATTGCAGACGACGCATGCTTCGTGGCAGGCGAAACCCTGACGAGTTGGGTCAGTACATCAATGTACCACTCAAAGTCGGCCACGTTGCTGTAAGTATCCCGCGAGCACATTTCTAGTATTCTTCGGATGACGTTAGTTCTGTAGTCATCCGGTAACGGCGGTGGCTGATCAGATGTCTGCTCATGGGATGGAAGGGCCTCCTCCGCGTCTTCCTCATCGGAGTCTGCGTAGGGGACAATGGCAGTGTTCCTGTGGCGATCGTGTTCTGAGTCATCGACTCCAGTGGCTATGGGTGCGTTTCGGAGCTGGCGCATAAGACGACCAACAATGGCTGTGAGGTTGTCAGGATTGACCATTCCGACGACGAGGTCAAGGGCGCGCATCCGTATGGAGATGTCGGGATCGTCAATACACTCCAGGATCACGTCCTGTTGTTGACCGACAAGGTATGGATGCGAGCCAACGATCTTCTCGAATGCCAGGAGTGCAACGTATTTTACTGCGGCTGGTGAGAAGCAATTCTGAAGTGGTACATTGCCTGATCTCGAGCTTACAGTTGGAATCGCCTTCTATGACCATCATGCCTCGTAGCTTGCCAACGCACAGCTTTGCTACTTCTTCGCCTTCTGCAGTGCCTTCCACGGCAGCTAGGATACCGCCCTGTATTATGCCGCTGATGCACTCATAAAGAAGAGACATGGCCGACGTCTCACGGATGATCTTGGTCAATGGAGGCAGCAACTTCTTGATGAGTCGCGGCTCGAGGGGAGTCAAGGTTGCAAACTAGGGAGAGATGAGCGGAGTTCGAGAAGTTGTGTGATGGCACGTACAAGTTTGATCAGCTTGATGGCCATCCAGTTGTTTCCGCCCTCGACCAGCAGGTCGAACAGGCGTGGTGCCAGGGGGAGAAAGTCCTGCGGCCTTCTCCACCCCAGCTCACAGACCACGTTCACAATGGCAGCCGTCACGCTTGGATCCTCGTTCTCGTCCAACAGGCGCTCCTTGATCTTCGGCCATGCCGGGCGCAGCGTCTCTGGATACACGAGCGCCAGGCGGTACAGTGTGACGACTGTCTTCTTGCGGATCTGCGGGCTAGAGTGGGTCAGGCGCGGGATGAGGTCGGACAGCACCGAGTTGGCCATGCTCGGGTTGATGACGTGCGGAATGGCGCCGAGCGGCAGCGAGATGAAGGGCGGCGTGGGCAGCATAATGTCCTTCTTGAGCTGGTTCTCGGCGAGGACCAGGACCTCGGTGTCGCGGCGGAAGCTCTGCACGGCCGCCAGGTAGCCGGTGCGCTTGTGGCGGAACTTGGGGCTGGACATGACCTCGAGCACGTTGAAGGACGCCCAGGACATGTCGTGGCCGAACATCTCGAGGTACGTGAGCTTCATCAGCGCGGTCGACTTGAGGTCCATGTCGTTGGAGCGGATTTCGCGGCGGCATTCCTTGATGCTGTCGGCGATGTACTCGCTCTCCGCGCCCTTGTGGTTGCGCAGGCCGCGGATGAGGTCGTAGAGCGACTTCTCGAACATGGCGGCGGGCGCTCACGGCGAGTCTTGCGGGCCGGGGGGGGGAGGCGGGGGGAGGCGTGGGCGGAGCGGACGAGGAGGGGCGGGGCGGCGGGCGGCGGCAGTCGAGACGGGGCCAGGGCGCCTGTTCATGGGGACGGCGAGTGCATGTCCAAGCTCTTGCTGGCGGCAGCAATGGGAGGTCACTGAGGTCACTGAGGTGAGGCGCTGCAGCGCGGGAGGTGCCCTGCAGCGGTTCGACGACCATGCCCGTCCCGCCGGCGGTTCGGCGCCGCCAGGCCAGCAGGCCAGTCGCGGGAGCTTGGTCCACGTCGCCCACCTCCGCATTCACGCGCATCCGCTGCAGACGTACCGCGCCGTGCACCACCGACACACACGTCCGCGCCGTGCACCTCCGCAGCCCGCCGCCCTCGCCGCACACAGCCGCCCCAATGGCCTCCGCAAACCTGCTGTCCCCGCCGGCCAGCATCCCCCCGCCCACGGCCCTCGCCCTCTCGCAGAAGGCGCCGCTGATCCTCGCCAGCCCGCCCACCTCGTCGCTGCCGTGGCCGCTGTCGCTGCTCTTCTCGCGCGAGACCCCCGAGGCCTGGGCCATCCACGAGAACCTCTTCCTCGCCGCCCTCCGCACCGGCGACGAGCAGGCCGCCGCGCAGCTCCTGTCCCGTCTGGAGGCCCGCTTCGGCGAGCGCAACGAGCGCATCGTGGTGCTGCGGGGGATATACAACGAGGCGACCGCGCAGACCACGGCCGACCTGGAGAATGTCTTCGAGGGCTACGAGAAGATCCTGCGCGACGACCCCACCAACATGAGCATCCGCAAGCGCCGCGTCGCCGTCCTCAAGAGCCTCGGCCGCACAGCCGATGCAATCACAGCCGTGACCGTCCTGCTGCAGAACTCGCCGACCGACGTCGAGGCCTGGGCCGAGGCGTCGGAGCTGTACGCCGGCCAAGCGGCGTGGGGACAGGCCATCTACTGCGCCGAGGAGGTCTTGTTGACCGCGCCAAACAGCTGGAGTGCGCACGCCCACGTTGCCTCACTGCATTACATGTCCACCGCATCTAGCAGCCCCCCGTCGATTGCTGAGCTGTCGCTGGCTCTGAAGCACTTCTGCCGCGCCTTTGAGCTGAACGAGGGCTATCTGCGAGGCTGCTACGGCATCAAGATTGTAGCAGCAAAGCTCCTGCCGCTGCTGTCCGACACACAGACCCTGTCCAAGAAGAGGAGCGAGCAGGACGACGAGGACGTGCCTGTTCCAACGCTTACCAGCGTACAGAAGTTGGATGAGATTGCGACCAAGAAGCTGGGCGAGTTCATCAGGGACTTTGGGAATAAGAAAAAGGGACAGTCCGGCTACGATGAGGCCGAGATCATCGCGGCCAAGGAACTCTTGAACAGGTAGAAGCCACATTCAGGCCAGGGCTGTTGATGTCGAGTCGATTTGATGCAAGGAGTTGAGGCGTTCATAGAGACCATCTAGACTCGCGGTGTAAGTCGAGGGACAGGTTAGGCACGGCCGAATAGATCGACTAACACATTGCTGTCCTGGAAAACGACAGAAAGCATTGACTGCGATTAGTTGTCACTGGCAAGATATTCATAATCGTTCGTCACTTGTCATCGCTGTGCTCCAATGCAGGCCTTCTGTGTAGCTCCTGGAAGGATTTCGATTTTCTTACTAAAGAAGGATCATAGGCAGGGGTATTTAAACATCCCATAACTACACTTTGCAGATCTACAAATAGTAGGCATTGGCGTGTAGGAGAATGTTTGATGAGCACATGTATTAGCGCAAGATGATTGAAATCCACACGTACATGAATCCATGTACGGATGGTTGACCGCAACCTGTGATGCTACAAGGGCCACGCTCGAGTCCAGACTTGGATGGGGCTACATTTCAAAGTTTGGTGGTTTGCTGAAACGGCAACTCTAGAGATGCAACGTTGGTGGTGGAAGGAAAGCAAGACGAGCGGCCAGCACTGGACAACCCACTGCGAGCTCTGAGTACGTTTGCCAAGCTGTGACAAAAGGGGAGCTCATCCTCGAGGGGCAATGCAGGGACTGCACACTACCTACCAAATAAGCCCGGCCGGGGAGACCAGGATCAAAGACTGACACATCCGAAAGTCTCAGCTCAACGTTTTCTAGCAGCTGTGGGTTGCAAGAAACGATGACAACAAGTTCTTCAAGCAGATGCAATGCACCGAGATCCGTGGACAGGTTCCTTAGCGGTCGTACTCGGAGATGAAACGTCATCGTATACGAGCCTTAGCATTGGGAATCTGAAAAATCCAAAAAAAATCAATGGCGATCCCCTTTCAACGGCGTGCACGTCAATGGCAATCTATTTTTGATTGACTACTCCACATGGGATAACGTTCAAGGTGGACCTGAGCATGGGTCAGGGATAGGTAGCAAAGCATGGAAAAAAGAAGGGAAGGCGAGGTGTGAGGCGGGCCCTCTTCAACGGCACGACAGGCTGGAAAAAGTGGTTGCAAGCATCACGAAGGCGCAAGAGCGCGTGCAGGGCGCGACTCAGCTGCGGGGCTGACAATCATAAGTGGACATGTTGAATGGAGACGGGGACTCTCAACGCCATCTGGTGTCATCAACCTGCGACAAGCTGACAGGTCCGTCGCAGACGTCGATCCGATCTCATCGTCACAGACAGGGCCGGGGGCAGCGGACGTCTGGGAGCAGGGCGAGAGTGCCGCTCAACAACACGCACAATGGGTGCAGTTCTTTGTCCAAAGGGGTTGGAGATCAGCTTGGTGGCCTGAAGATCAGCGGCTGCGGGGAGCATTACGCGTTCACGGTAGGTACTAGAGCACGTTGCAGGTGTTCAGCAGTCGACCGGAGGACGGAAATCCGAGGGGCGGGAGTGCTAGCGAAGATGCAGTTATTTCTGCTGTGTGACGGTGGAGCTGAACACACAAAGGATCCGTAGCCAGTCGGATGGCTCCAACGACGCACCGCCGCGGGAGCATGTGCAGCTTGGTATGCGGCTAGCAAAAGCATCCGACGAGTGCAGGAGAAGGCTGGGGCTGCAACGACACGGATGGGAGCATGGATTGCAGCAGATTACGTAGCGGGAGCACATGGGAGATTCAGTGGGTGAGAGGCGCGCGAGCAGAAGCACTGTTCAAAGTGACGTCGCGCCGTCTGGGGTATGAGTCGCGGTGTGTTTATTGTGTGGTGTGGCAGTTGGCCGCAGTTGGCTGTGGTTGGCACTGCAGACGGCAGGAAGTCAACACCAAGCACTTAGCTCGGCGAGCCGAGTCTCGTTGGGGAGGGCAGTCTGTGCCGCTCATTAGAGCATTCGTTAGAGCGGTCGTTAAGCGGGGGTTAAGCGTGGGCGGAGAGCGGGAAAGGCAAAGCTGCCGGCGGCATCGATACAAGACCACGGACAGAGGCCCTACTCGGGCGACAGGGGCGGCGGTGCTGGCTGCAACGAGCGTGCAACGAGAGGCCGTGGGCTATAGCAGAAGATTCTACGTGGTGGCACAGGGCAACAGGGCAGTTGGTCCGCGAGGGCTGCTGAAAGCGACCGCGGGCAGGCTGGGCGCGAGGACGGCCTGCGCCACACGAACCTGCGGACCTGCAGACAATTGCAGGCTGGTGCAGGCTGGACGCAGCCTCCCCTTTTGCTCGACGCTGGCCCGTGGTGCGGTGGAGCGGTGCAGGCCAGGCCAGCCAGGCCAGCTTGCAGGCCGACGTGCACTGCAAGTGGCCGGCGCTCGCAGGCTCGCAGCAGAGCCGCTAACATGGGTGCCATGGGTGCCATGGGTGCCGTTGCCATGGAGGTCGCGCACGCCGGCGCGTCGCACACGCTGCAGAGGCGACGAGGCCGCTGAAACCGCAGGACGCGAGGATGCGCGCGACCCAATGCACGCAGCGGGCAGGGCACTGCGATGCAGCACGGCGGCGGTGCGCGTGGGCGCGGCGGTGCGGTGGCGGGACGACCAGCACGGCGGCGGGCGTGTGTTTACTGGCGGCGTCTGCGCAGCGAGTCTGCCGTTTGCATTCTGGCGGGCGCGCTAATTTTGGCTCGATGGCGGGAGCATCACCTCCACCTGGGCAGTCTTCTGCAGCGCCCGTGCGAGTCTCCCTCCGCGCCCTCACCCGCTCTCGCTCGCCGCCCGCCTGCGCTGCGTCCATCAGCCTCGAGCAACGGCGACGCGCCCGTAGGTAAGTGCGCGCCCTCCCCGGCCCAGCGTTGCGGGCCTGCAGACGTGCAGCCGTGCAGACGACCCAGCCCTCGGCCAGACGGCGGCGTGAGACGCTGCGACGCTGCGACGTCAGCGAGCCCCCAGCCCGAGACGTGTGCAGCCTGCGTGTGCAGTCAGTGTGCAGCCGGAGCCGCTGCGAGCCCTTGGCCGCTGTCCCTCGCTGCCCATTGCCCGCCGCGAGCCTGTTGCGTGCTGCCCGTCTGCTGCCCGCCTGCTGCCCGCCGCCTCTCCTGCCTCTCCACTGCCGGCGCTGACCCTCGCAGCACCGCTCGCCGCCCGCCGCACACGCATTCGCTTCCCCCGTCCGCCTGCACCGCGCCCTCGCCGCCCGCCGCCCGCCGCCCACTGCCCGCCGCGCGCTCCACGCCGCCCGTGGATGCCATAGCCGCCCGCCGGCCACGCAGCCCCCAGGCACCCCAGGCTCCCCCAGGCTCCCCCCGGCACCATGGGCAAGCCGGGCCTCGGGCTCTTCACAGCGCGCCGCAAGTCGACGTCGCAGGCGCTGGACGAGGCCGCCGCGCCCGCCAGCCCCGACGTGGCTGCCGCGCCGCCGCCCGCCGAGGGCGGGTTCCGGCTGATGAGCCGCTCCGAGGTCGAGAAGCAGACGGAGCGGCGCAAGACCATGGAGAAGGAGAAGAAGAGCGCGTTCCCGCGCTTCAGCGGCTTCGGCAGCGCCAGCACGCGCGCGCGCAATCACTCGTATGAAGACGAATCTCCAGCCTCCTCAAAGCGGTAAGACCGGGCCCCTGCGGTAGCGCCGGCGAAACTGCCACTGACTCCTGCATTAGCGACAGCAAGTCCAGCAGTGGGACGCAATTTTCCACATCGCGTCCTTACATTAACGGCCAGCATGGGTCCACCTCGACCCTGCCGTCGTCGACCGACACGGGCTCGGACGACAACCTGTTTGCCAATGTGCCTCGCCCGCAGATCCCGCACCACAGCAGCTCCCCTGGTTCGTATTTCGCCTCGAAGAAGTCGCTGCCAGCCCTGCCCAAGACTAGCTCAGGAGCGCCGCCCAATAATAGCTCCCTGCCCTTCGGCTTTGGTAAGCGAGATCGCGCTATGACAACCTCGAGCTACGCCAGCACGGCCATGCCGCCCAAGCTTGACCAAGACCTGTCCTTTGGAGAAGACTCCTCCTTCGACGACATCTTCACCGGACTAAACCGCAAGGCCTCCCCTGAAATGTTGAGGCAGCCTGAGCCGACGGGCCGTTCGCTCCTTGCGGAAAAGCGCACATTCCAGCCGGAGCCTATCAAGGTCCTGCCACAGACACACATCGAGCCACCCTTAAGGAGCTGGGACAGCCGCGGATCAGCCGACAACCTCATGGACTCGCCGCGTTCCGACACCGACTCACCACCCGTCCCGCCGCCGCACAAGTATCAGCAGTACGCCCCTGTCTCCATGGCCCCCGACAGCCCCGACCTGCAGTCGTCGGCCGCCTTCCAGGACCGCAATGGCCACGCCGCCCGCGAGCCCTTTATGCGCGGCGGCAGCACCTCGCCCGAGGAGCACAACACCTCCATCTCCACCTCGTCCGCCAACTCCTTCGAGACGCCCCTTTCATCACGCTCCGCCTCGACGAATGCCACGCCGCGTGCCCCGCTGCCGCCGTCGGCCATTGCCTACAACGACGACGACGAGGACAACATGTTCGCCCCGCCGCCGTCCAAGCCGCACGCCCAGACTGCGCCTGCCCCCAAGCCCGCTCCCCCTGTCGTGGCGAACCCGCCTCGCCCTGTGCCTGCATCAGGGTCACGCGTCATGTCTCAGGCAGAGTTTCGCGAGTACCAGAAGAGGCGGGCTGCTGCCCCTCCTGCCGAAGACAGCGGCTCTGATGACGACTACGAAGACGAAGAGGATGCGATAAAGAAACGCGAGGAGGAGGAAGTCCTGCGGCGGAAGAACCAACAAATGTCCTTTGCCCGAGAAGCCATGCGTCGCTCGACAACAGCACCAGGCGACCCGAGCAGACCCGAGAGCATTGTTGACAATGCTTTCAACTCGTCCAGCATGGGCTTCCCCTCGGAGACATCGTTGAGGGCAGAAGAATGGGAGGACGAGGATGTTCCTCTCGGAATTCTTGCACAACACGGCTTCCCCAGCGCGGCGCGCAACCGAAACCCTAGCCAACCTGTCAATGCTATTCCCTCCGCCTTCCCAGATCGACCAGCCTCTGCTGGCGCCATGGGTGCCGCCCGCGCATCGCACCTCCCGGCTTTTGCCAGGCACCTGCCGATGGACCCACACAACTCTTTCATCGGCGGTGGTCTGGTGCACCACGCGAACCGAGAGTCGTTGGGCTTCAACAACTTCCCTCGCGGCCCAGCGTCTGTCGCTGGCGATGCAATGGGCGGAGGCTACGGACAAGCTCCTATGGGCGGCCAAACACCGCTCATGTACCAGGATGCCGGCTTGTCGGCGCCGTCCCTCGTTGATCAAATTCAGATGCGCGACATGACCAAGAAAAAATACATGGGTGGTGCATCCAACAAAAAGCAGCCTGTCGAGGGTCCGTTCACCGGCATGCTCGGAAGTCAGATGAACGCTCAAGGTCAATCAACGAACCCCATGCGCATGCCGCAAATGCCAACGATCAATGGCATGAACGGCATGAATGGCATGAACGGCATGAACGGCATGAACGGCATGAACGGCATGAACGGCATGAACGGCATGAATGGCATGAACATGAACGCCATGAATCCCATGATGATGGGCTCCCCAATGGGCACCCCAATGATGGGCATGGGCATGGGTCAGATGGGCTTCATGCCGCAGCAACAGCAGGAGTACATGCAGCAGATGCAGCAGTATCAACAGATGCAGCAGATGATGGCCATGCAATACCAGCAAATGCAGATGCAGCAGATGCAACAGCAGCAACAGCAAGATCCTCGCATGTCGATGGCTATGCCAAACACCATGTTCAACAACGGGATGATGGGCCAGGGACAAAACATGATGGGCAACAATTCGTTCCTGAATGTGCCAGGCATGCAGAATGGTATGCAACCTCCTCAGAATCGGCCCATGTCTATTATGTCCGCGCAACAGCGCCCATTCGGGGGCGGTATGGGCATGGGACCAGGTCCCGGATACACACCGTCGATTGCTCCCTCCGAGCGCTCAAACATTGGCCTTTCTGCGCGGTACCGACCTGTTACTAACCATTCAGATGCAGTCTCGAATGGCACATCGATGACGCTGCAAGCTACCAGCGGCGGCGCCAACAAGCCCGGTACCATCAAGGGCATTCTAAAGAAGAGCCCGCAAATCAACGTCGAAGAGAAAGATGACGAGGAAGACTGGGGTTCCATGGCAGCCCGCAAGGGCAAGTTTGGCAAGGGCAAAGACAGCACAAACTCGGGTCTGGAAGACCTGACACGCGGACTGAACCTTTAGCAGCGCAAATCCAAATTTTTAATGGCTTGAAGATTGAAGATGGGAGATGTTTACTGGTTGATTTTGAGGTAAATCTGCGATATGGAGCGAGTTTGGTTTCGGTACCTGCATTTGCATGGCGTTTTCATTTGCTTGGCCTGGCCTGTACGGAAAATTATCAACGCGACTACCCCTTTGCTCATTGATCGAACACATGGCATTGAGACGGGGATGAGAGAAAGAGAAAGAGATGAGAGTATTGCATGCATATCCAAGGCTCTGATGGGGCTGTATTTCTTATAATATAGGTCTGGGCGGTACGATGGCGACTAGGATAGAATTCAGTGTAATTATAATACCATATGCTTCGGCTCATCTCTGCACTCTTTCTTCCCTCCTACACCTGCACTCGTGGTCAAACAAAACAGCACAATGCGTAATGAGTAATAGGTAGGTATTAATAATTAGGTCTGGGTAACGTCCATTGCATGATCCACATACAACATTGCACATCTCACACCACTCACTCTTCGTGCAAGGTAACAACATCCCCACCTCTCTCGAACCAAGCGTCTGCACAGCCACCGACATCGATGGTGTCAACCCAACTATCATTTTCCACTGCCAGTGCCCCTGGGATCCTCTTCCACACGCCCGGCGTACTGCGGTCCATGCCCGATTCGACCGCCGCTGACCTCTCGCATGTGTTCCCTTCAGCTTGGATGTCAATAGCACTGCTAGAAGACGGTGTGTCAAGCATGACAACATCCTTGGGCTCATCAACGCTATAAGAGTCGTGCACCAGGCCGCTTCCACCTACATACTGTGTCGGCCTGGCAATCGGATCGACATAGTTGTGCAGGCGCCAGGTCTTGCACTGCGAGGTGTAGGTGAAAGCCCAGATTAGAAGATCGGGGCGAGTCTGGACCGCCAATTCGCAGACGTCGGTCAGTCTGCCGATCTCAGTGCCAGAGAGCGATACAGGCCAGATAGAGCTGTCATGCTCATCCTTAGACTTGAAGGCTGGCTCGTCCCACCAATTGAACCAGTGATCGTGATGCCGGCCTGTTGAAAATAATGGAGAGTCGGTGTACGCATCCTGGCCATCTGCCACGTGCTGCAGTCTAGATAGAGCTAGAACGTCTGGTGGTATGCTGTACAGCATGATGATATTACCACAAGCCACTACGACGCGAGCCCCAGAAGACATGTCAGCAGCTGCGGTGTAGACTCGCGGGACGATATGCTCCGTCGGCGGATTCAATATCACTTTGTGTAGTAACCTCACAGGGCCACCAAGTGGTGCATCACAACCAAGTGTCAGTCGATCAGTTGATGGGTCGATAAAGAGCACATGGTGGCCGTCACTCAAAGGGATGGCATGATAGTGATCACAACTCTGGAATTGTCGAGAACGCGCCTCGAAGCCGAACGAACCCCAAAAAGAGCTGAAATTCGCACTGCTGAACAGTCTTCGGGTGATGGCTGGTCGATCACCTGGATGCGCAGCACTCGAGATGAGACGCAACTTCTTGGCCGACTCAAATCCGGGTCGAGGTGATAGGAAGTACAGATGATCACTCGGCGATGTCAGAGGGAACCATCGACTGAGACTCTGTCCAGTAAGTGCATCAATCCAATGGAGCTCGATACCCGCCGAGCACCCAAAGGCAACGCATCGGCGCTGTGGACAAATCGAGACGTTTCGCGGTGGGTCATCCTCGGAGCAAAGATGACGGTAGATGGTAGACGCACTGCTTTCAATTGGTGTCCTTTGTACCGATGGTATCATTCTTGATGTACCTCCAAGATCTTTCAACGGTCCGTGAAGGTCCAGATTCCATGTTTGGTTGATCAAATTCCGATCATGGGTCCTGGCGTCATCGGTTTCTTCGAGATCGAACCTTTGGTTGTGTCCTTTCAATTCGATCGCATTGAAGGAACCAGAACTTGTGTCCGAAACGTATGGAAAGCTGTCAGGCACCCCAGGCAAAGTTCGTCCTCGAGGCTCGTTAGTTTGCCCAGCCGGAGTACTTGATCGAGCAATCATTTGAGGCAGATTTCCGTCTCTTCCCATATATGTATCTTCAGAGCTGGGCTCCGGATATGGGCGCCTGTACCGAAGTTCGCACACCATACCCATTCTACCTTCCAGAAGAGCGGCAACAGCATCTCGGCCCACAGAAGTGTTCATACTCATTGCAAGAACTCTTCTCGGACAAACCACGGTTGCTATCGGCTCCAGTAGACCATTCTCCAGTCCGTAGACATAAATGAGGGTATCTTTTGCGACTAGCAGGTACTTTCCACATATGCTGGAAGTAAATATCAGAGCGCAGCTGGTCCGGCCTTTCTGGATGGCAAATCCATTGGCTAGTTCCGAGAAGTCAATCTCACTGCTTTCCACAAAGGCAGATCGTTCATCAACACCATTACCCGTCCAATGGGCGGCCATAGCACATTGACGTGACAGATATCGGCTTAGTATCCATTCCTCGTTGCTGGTAGCAGTCAAACACCTGTTTGCAAGGCTGTCTCCGTTCCTTTCACTGCCACTATGCCACCCTCCTCGATGTATCATCGTTTTAAGTAGACTCTTGTCCAGACTTGCCATCATCCAACTTCGACACGCTCGCCGAGCAGCGTTGAAGGACTTTGCGTCAAGGTAGTTGTAGATGCTCAGCAATATCTCTGTAGGCAACTTGCCAGAAGCCGGACGTACAGGCGGTGGTGCGATGTTGCTGATTGTATTGTACCAGAATCGGCAAGTCGCTTTCAGGCTTCCCCGTGTCCCAGTATCAGAATGGTGTAAGACGAGTGCTGTGACTGCGAGGTTCTGAAACAACTCAATTGCTGAAGCCGTACTGCGGGGCCATTGTGTGCGGTTCGATTCTACCAGAGTAATCTCGCCGTCAGGACACTCAATCAGAGGATTCTCGAGTTCTTCTGTTGGCGTATCGATCCCAAGAAGCACATCTGACATACTTCGTACCACTCCCCTACAGACAAGAGGCTCGAGCAGCTCGTCTCCGAAACTAGTAGTATCAATGGTGGAAAATGAAGTCGAATGCATATGACGGGCTGTATGCGCGTCTCGAAGCGATTCTGTCAAGCTTAGATGTCTAGGAGTCAAGGTGCCATACGACCCCGCAGACTGAAGACTGGGTCCGCTGAATAAGAATGCGCCAGGCGAGATGAGGTCGAGACTTGGGACCGAGCCATGGATGGAGGAGGACCCTAGTCGTGAACCAGAGCTGGATGGTATTGAGCGATCGCGAGCTCGCGGACTGGCATTTTTCACTTCTTGCCCCACGGTATTGCCAAAGAACGAATTGACTACTCTGTGAAAGGTGCCTTTCGATTTCAGCTGCCGCCCGTAAAGAAGTGCGCCCCTATAATAATCGGTTTTGGAGACTCGGGTTCTGATTCCACTGCTGTGAGTGGGACGCGATGAGCGCGGGAAGACGTGATGGAGCATCTCAGAGCGTCTAGTTGTTGGATCGTCCTGGGTTTTGGTTGGAAGGAGTGTTGATTGGCTGTCAGTGTGTCTTAGGTCTTTTCTTATGCATTGTGAAGGTTCGATCACACATTGTGATGCTGTGGGCATTTGGCTACACAGCGGATGAGAAGCACTGTGCGAAGGCCTGCGGGTATTTTGTGATTCGAGAAACGATGCGATCTGAAGAGGCTCGAGATTAGTTGTAGGAAGAACGGGTTCAGATCGAGTACCAGCGACACCCCTCGAGAGGTAAATCTGGGAAGACGTTGTCGCTGCACCCGTAGTGGGAGGTCGAACACAGTGGCGCGATACACATACAAGGATAGATCGGATGTATGGATTGTAATGAGTAAGAAACAGTCACAGGATAGGTGTCGCTGTTTAGGAATGGTCCAAAAGAGCGTAACGATGGAACGGCGATGGGAACGCTCGACGAGACGTGAGATGATGTGAGCTTGAGCAAGTGGCGGCGAAAACCAAGAACGTCAGAATCAAAACATATATTCGGGTATCGATGGAGATAGAAGGAACGCCACAGGCTGATGCTCTAAGTCGTTACAAACAGCATGTACAGGAAGGCGCTATGCAACCACAAAGTGGGAAAATGTGTGCGAAGAATACTTCAGACACCTCCATTGCTGCTGCGAGGAGTGGATCCGTTTGATCCATTTGAAGATCTTGCGTTCTTGTTGGTAAGCCAGACTTCGCTCAGGCTGTGCATAATGTCAGTGATTGTATGCCACGCGTATGAGTAAACTCACGGCATCACCAAGCTTGGAACTTCAAACTTCATCCCCCTCTCCCGAGCTTCATCCAGAGTGAGGCGTCCTGCTGGTCTTCTTCGTCCGCCGTGCTCCGGGTGGAGGGCTTCCTCTTGGACGTCGCGGCCCAAATCTGATCGCTCAGGGTCTCGCAGACTTCGAAGAGCGATAAACTTCATCAGAGGACGATACGTCCGTGCATAGACGAACAGAAACCAGACGGTGCATATTGCGAGTGGTGCCACCAAGATCGCCCGCTTGAATGCTTTCTTCAAAGCCAACTGTCCAGCAACAGTACCCTGAAACAGTACCACACCCATAATGACACGGTCGCACATCATCGTCCAACCCCTACCTGTCGAGTGCTGGCGATGCTCCATTGCATAGAGCAACTGATACTTGTGGACGAACTGTCCTATGGTAAAGTAGGCCAATCCGGTAAGTATGACCAGCCAAGAGTCTCTCATTACACTGTAAACAACGCAGATGATGAAGATGAGTATGGTCTGAGGTAAGAAAAATCCGTAGCTGAAGACAGGGGGCTGGACAAGTTCTGCGTAGTCTGATATGATCGTGAGCATATTACTTTGCTGTTCAGAATGTCATTTTCTTACCTCGAGGAGTCTTAGCACCAATGAGGTAGATTGGATACAACGACAGTGCGCCAAATTCCAGTAGGCGGAATGGGAATAGCCCAAATGCCTGTAGCATGATAAAATTGGTGTAGAAGCCGAGAAGTTTTTCAAGAGAATTGGCCAAGGCGAAAGCGATTTCAGTGGCGCTTGTCAGTTTTTCCCCAAGTCTCGTCAATAGGTCCACGAGGTTTGATGCGGTTCCCAGGATCGTGAAGAGGACGAAGAAGTTGAAAAATGTGAAGAAAAAGTTTTTCGATATGACGGAGAGCTCGACATCGCCTTGTGAAATCATGCCTTGCTTGTTCGCGAGCCCTAACTGACGTTAGCGGTAAGAAGACCATTGTGACAGTCAACTTACAGTCGTAGAGAAAAGGCACAAGTACATTGAGCAGCGTCAACGCAAGAGTCGGCAGTTGTGTGTTGACTAGGGACTGTAAAAGTTCGTGCCGATCGAGTACCCTCGCAAGACCAGGAAAAACCTCTCCAATAGAGCAAGTGTTCAACGCACCAGCGATTGGAACCAGTAGAACAGTCCAGAAGATACTCAAGACTCCAATAAAAAACGTGATGGTCCATGCTCGGAATATGCGTTGACTGCGTGAGAGGTACGTGTTTGGCCAGACCACATCCGATGGAGCTGGGCTATTGTTCGCAAGGAGTTGGAGCGGCGAAGGGTCCAAGACAGCCTGAATAGCCATCTGTGCACTTGCCACACTATCCATAGTGACAAAGGCCAACGGGGTCGGTTCAAAGTCCTTCTTTCGCAAGTCTCTGATCTCGTCGTCCAGCCTCCGAAGCTTTTCCTCGTAATAATCGATAGCATCGACTGTCCTGTAACGCAACTTTAGTGGTCCATACCAGACTTTTGCCACCGGACGTTGACGCGCATGTGGGGTCACGTAATGAGGTTCTCCGCCGGTGTTGTTGAGAAGTCGGCTGTCCTCGCGATCACCGCTGTCAGTCTCATTTGGAAGAGGCTGAATCACAGGAAGAGTTTCCAAGCTGCGCTCAACTCTTCTACTTCCCAGATGAACTGTCCAAGCCTCCTCGAGCTTTCGCAATACAGTTTGTCGTCTTGTTATCTTGTCATCTAGCTCTTTCCAATTCCTGCACAACGTCACACTTTCAACCCTACCAATACCCAGATCTTCAATAAACTGTTTGATCTCATCGTTAGAGCGTAGGTCCAGCGGAATGCCCGAGAGTCTGATGGTTCGGTCGGTGATAGTCGTTTGGCTGCCTAGGTACTCCTGCCTGATGTCGATGATCCTCCTGGTTTCGGAGACAATCAAGTAAAGTATGAGGGCGGTGAAGAGGTATACGAAGACGAGATACATCCAGAGATAGTCCGTGTAGTATTCGTAACCGTGGCCACCGAACGTCGACCAGATTGTAGCCGAGCGCATCTCGAGCTGTTCGTTCGTGTCGTCACCGTCGCCACCAAGATACGGTTTCTTGCCCTCCTTTTCCTGGTGTGTGTCGTGGACAGGCTTGATCACGGTAAGGGCGAAGAACAACGTGACAAGGAGGAACTTGATGGCCATCTTGAAGAATGCAAGGTACTGTAGCTATGTCAGCTGGGAGTAACGTGTTCCTGGGGATACCGGCATACCACATAAGCATCCAGTCCGGCCGAGGCCAGCACCTGCTCGTCTGTAATTCTCCATAGCGGTATGATCCAGCCTAAGAAGGTGTCCGGAAGCTCAGGAAGCGAGGTGGCAAGATTGTTCTGCTTCTTGCGCGCAGCATATAGGCCTTTCCATCGTGGTCGCAAAAACTATGAGGGCTGGTAAGCGCATTGTCACTTAACATAGCACAAACGTCGTACACAGAAGAGTAGAAATGCCCCCACGCCGAGCGTCACGGAGATGTAAAGCTGAAGCCGGATATCGCGCGGGTGGCCGGTGCCGAAGGTGTCGCTGCTCCCAGTCTTACAGGTGTCATTACTGTGGTCTGTCATTGCCGAGTGATGTATGTGGTAGCCATACCAAAAACTATAGAACAGTCGAGGGTCGCGATAGCTATAGAGGCGCGTGCACAAAGAGCGGTTTGGCGGCGGTGAGCGTCATCATGCATGCGCGACATAACCGGCTAGCCCTGACAGCAGCCCTGCGAATTTCCTGCCACCTCAGCCTATCACGCCCGATTTACCCACAGACACGGCGGCCCAGTGTTTCGCGAAGGAGCGTTTTTTGAGGAGACGAGAGCGCTGCGAACATGAGCTGCGCTGCTTGGGCAAGTAAGCGGTCTGCGCTCGCTGTCCACTTCTTCTGTATACTCAGGGACGAACATAGCATCGACACTATGCACCATGTCTGCTAGCGTTGTCCGGCCACCAGACCAAAAAGTAGCTTTTCAGCACGAATTTCGCGTTCTTAGTGAAAGACCTATATAGTAACCCCCAAGATTTGTTTAGCGATCTCCCTCCGCGGTAGATGGGGCACCAAAGCTGCAGCTCAGCCCAGGACGAGGTCTGTTGGTGATCAGGCATGGGAGGCAGATGTACCCATTAATCAGAACCGTGTTAGTGTTCGATTGACTTGCCTCGCGCATTCACCGCTGATTTCTTGAGGATTGATCTGGCCTCTGAGCGGTCTGGGAAGGGCAACAAGTTGGACCTCGACCATGGTCGTCACCGCATTGTGAGTATGAAGAAGACTCGGATTTTGCAAATAACTGCAAGCAGCAATGCCTGAACGCCCCTACTACCTCGACTTACTCTTGCTTGACAATGAAGTCTATGAGGTTCAATATGCTTGTGTAGACTGGCAGCAGAAGGGCTATTCCGTCTATTAGTTTGTACTCTGTGTGATATTATAGCTTGCGCAACAGAGTAGGTTTGATTGGAGTTCATGGTCACAGAAAGCGAGCTTGTTCGCGAATGATTGGACTAGGAGCTTCTGGCACGATGGGGCAGTCGGCACCAGTTCGCCCGAACGGTGCAGGAAGACACGTGCAGTGCAGCTTGCACACAGCAGCTGGAGCCATCCCGTCCTGCACGTCGTACGATGCGTACCGGAAGGTGAAGCGGGATCGACAGAGGCAGCGCAAAACGGTTCTCATTCCGGTACGAACAGTTGATCTGTGTCAGAATGACCTACCTACCCACTAGTATGGAATGATAAGCATCGAGACGGAGCTTGGCGAAGCTTAGCCCGCGTGTAACGACAGGCCGGGTTCTCGAACACGGTGGGTGTTTGGCTGACACGCGCGGCCCAGACGCGCAACCTACCTTGGTTTGGCGAGTCGGCCCATTTGTCGAGTGACAGGGGCGGCGGCGATAGTGCGACTGGAAGCGTGCAGCAGCAGCAGAGGCAGCCGGGTGTGGCAATGTGGCAGGAGCCAGCGCGCAGATGTTTCGGGCAACGCTCAGACTCGGCGGGCCGAAGCAAGTCCAAACGCTTGTTTTGGGCTCGTCGTGGCCGCGAGCAAGACCGGAAGCGTTAGGCGCCTGCGCGCAGCGCTGTCACTGGCCGTTGGGAGCAGCTTGGGTCCGAGTTGTGCAGTACCCAACAGCTCCTATCCCAGACGCCTTGCCCGTTTCGCCAGACGTGAGCTGGGGCACGGTGCGTCTCTAGGGCACTGAGAAGAAGACCAATATCGAGCGCCCTGCCCGGGCGTGCCTCTGTCTCTCTCACGCTGCCTCCCCCAGACGAAGCCGCCGCCGCTCTCTCTTCGCTGCCAGTCTGCCAGCCAGCCAGCCAGCCAGCCAGCCAGCGCCCGGGTCCTCGCTGCCCCCGCACCACCGCCGACGCAAGCTGCTCGATCTGCGATCTGCGCCCACCCGGCCCTGTGTTCTGCAGGTGCATCGCCCTTGGCAGCCAAGAGCTCTTGGAGCCTGCTCGCAACGTCCAGTGGTACGTACATAGCTGTAGCCACCCGCTGTGCGCGTCCTGACGGCACCCACGGCGGCCACGGCCTGTGCGAGCGCGGGCTGGTGCTGGCCCTGGGCTGGCACGCTGGGCCTGGTGCCCTGGAGCGCCAGCAGCGATCGGCCTCGGTGCCTCGCGCTAGAGCAGCACTGCCCCGATCCTCCCCACACCCGCACCGCACCACGCCAATCGCCACTACGGCGCGTGTCGCTGCCACAATGCTGACTGCAAGCCAGCGCCCTCCCGTCCCTGACCACCGTCGCCGCTGTCGCCGCTGTCGTCGCTGTTGTCGCTGTGCCGCCGCCCACCGGCCCCCGTTTACCTGAGACAGCTGCGTGTCGGCCTCGACTCGCACCTCCGCCGCGCCGCGCCCGACCACGCAGCGGCCCCCAGCCCTCGCAGCTCCTCGCTGCTCCTCGCTGCTGCCCCCCCGGCCTGCAGTCGCACCGCGCCGCCGTCTCCAGCACCCGCCCGTCGCAGCGCATCCTCGCCCCCTTACGCCTCCTGCCGCAACGCATCCCACCCCCCGTCCGTGCATCCTCGCGCGCCGCTCCTCCTGCGACACCACAGCTGCGCCGGCCCGACCCACACGCCTGCTCGACCGCGCCCCCGACCGCCTCCGCCGCCGCATACGCAGTACGCAGTCCGGTGCGCGCAGCGCTGTGTGCGGCTCGCGGCATCCCCACCTCGAACGCGGCCAGCCGCAGCATGTGCGCGTTGCAAGTAGCATGACGTCCAGCTCGAAGCGCGACTCCGTCTCCTCCAACCTCCCCGCGCCCGGCAGATCGTTCTTGTCGCGACTGAAGTCGCCCCTGTCTTCCAAGTCGCGCAACTTCACCGACTTCTACATCCAGTCCGACGACCCGCACCGCCAGTACGTCCCCGGAGACATAATCAGCGGCACCGTCATCATCAAGGTCGTGAAGCCGCTGCGCATCACCCATCTGGTTGTGTCGCTGCACGGCTACGCGCAGGTCTTCAAGAATCCAAATGCGCCTGGCGATGCCTACAAGACCTACTCGGCGACCGTGGGGTCCGGCAAAGGCAAGAAGCAGGGATGCTACTTTGGCAATGGCTTCGTATCACTTTTTGAGGACGAGGTAGTCCTCTGCGGCGAAGGCAAACTGGCCGAAGGCGTCTACCATTTCAACTTTGACCTGGAGTTCCCTTCCAAAGGCTTGCCAAGCAGCATTGACGTAAGCACCATGCACTGATCTGCCCACTAGGCATCCTGATGCTGATCATGCTTCTAGTTCGAACGTGGCACAGTGTGCTACATGCTGACCTCCACTCTGACCCGGCCGACCACAATGTCGCCCACAACCACCTGCGATGTCAAGGTCACGCTCCGAGATACCATCGACGTTGCGCCAATCGCAGAGCCCAAGCCTCGAGTCATATCCCTGGAACCTATCTCGCGACGAACGCGAAATAGACCTCCTCGAACACGCCCGGAGACTGCAAGAACGGACAGTGTCCCCCCTACACCCACTGTCGCAGACACTCCACGACTAGCGACCAAAGCCGAGTCTCAAAACGGAACGCATGAAGATACCGTCACTCCTCGTAGTCCGTCCCCAAGTGAAACAAGCTTTGCGAGCCAGATGAGCAGCAGTGGGGCTTCAGGTACAGAATACGGAGTTCGATCTGTGAACACGGTCACCGATGCAGGCGGTTTCATAGCCGCCAGCCGATCAACGGGCAAAGGGAAAACCATTACTGCCACAATTGACGTTCTGAAAGGCGGTTTTCTCAGTGGCGATCAAATCCCCATCAGAGTCACTGTTAACCACAACAAACATGTCAGGAGTCTGAAGGGTGTCATTGTTACACTCTACCGCCAGGCAAGAGTGGACATGCATCCTGCACTGCCCATTGCGTCAAGCAGCAAGGGCGACAAGATGAGAACAGAAGAATACTATCCAAAATCTAGGACAGGGCTCGGTGGTCTTTCCTTGTCATCGGCAGGCTCAAGTCATACTTTCCGCAAAGACTTGGGACAATCGTTTGCACCATTGTTCGTCGATCCCAGGACACTTACAGCAGACATCAAGTGCTCGGTCAGAGTGCCGGACGATGTGTTCCCCACAATCTCGAATGTACCCGGCGCTATGATCTCCTTCAAGTATTATGTCGAAGTTGTTGTCGACATCCAAGGGAAGCTCACTGGTCTGGATCGCATGGTCTCTAACGCTGGTGTAGTCACCGTTCCAACGTCTACAGCAAGCACACCAGGCGGCATGGGTCGTGATGAGTCCGCAAGTAACACGTTCTCGACGTGGGGTGGAAACTTCGTTGACACAGACGGCATCCGACGTGAGAAAGGGGTAATCTCATCCATTTTCGAAGTTATAGTGGGTACAAAAGATAGCGAGAGAAACGGTAAGCGGAAGCAGACCCAGAATTTGCCGCCAAACGGCCACAACGGCGTTCACGAAATACCATACGGATCGTATGACGACCAAAACGCATCAGGCAGTTACGACCAGTTTGACTACGGATACGATGAGCATGGTCAATACTACGACTACGGATATGATCCCGCGTACTACGAAGTTCCTGGTTACAATGATCGTGGTCTGGACGCAGGCCAATCGTACCACGCGCCACCTGCACCAGCACAGCAGGAGGAGGGTCTCTCAGAGAAGGAGATCCTGCGACGAGCAGAAGCCATGTTATTACCATCGCATCCACCTGTTGCCGCTGAGGGCACTGTGACACAGGCTGGGTTGCAACACGGCATACCCCCATCTGCACCAGTGCTCCCAGAAGATGACGATCCCGAGCATCCATATTTGCCTGAGGTGTCATCTTCATCCACACCTTCTCATCCTCCACCACCGTTTCGCGTGTCAACAGAGCCCTCGATAGGTTTCCGTACGCCCATCCAGTCCTCATTAATAACTCGTCGAACAACTGGGCCCATAGAAGAAGCGCCACAGACCCCTGCCACTGGGTCCTCACTCACCATCAACGCGAACCCGACACCATCTGCTCCACCAACGAATGGCGTCGATGGCCACTCCAAACCCCTCCCACCGCTTCCATTGCAATCCCCACCAGGCGCGACTCCAGATTACTATCCCTCGTCTTCACATGTCCCCGCTACAGACGACAAGCAAGAAATGCAGCGGCGGAGGTTGGAAATGGAGAGCAGTGCGCCACCCGCTCACGAGTCGTACGAGCAAGGCGAGAGCTCACAAGAACCGTCAGCGCCTCCGGTAAACGGCATAAACGGAGGGCATTTTGCTCCTGGGCACCTTGCGCCTTCGGCACCAATGTTGGACGAGGATGACGAGGAATTGGCGGCAGCTATCACGCCAGTGAGGAGCCGGGCTGAAAGGCCGGTCAGTGAGGCGCTGCCTCAATATCGGAGATGATAATAATTGAATAGCAGGGCGTTTTTGGCGACGTGAATAATCATCACGGACAGGGATGATTTATTGGTCTTGAGTTGGAAATTTATGATACCTCATTTACGTAGAGACTGAATGGTCACACCATATTGCCTTGATGAGCTTGTTGTTATAGCGTACATGTGGGTATCTGTTATGGAAGCCCTTTATTCTTCTTCATGTAGAGATAGCGGTGGAGACTGCGTGTTTGGGTGAGAGCAGCCAAGCCGCTGTCAGTCCTTCAACGAACCTCTCAAGCCAAATCTTGGTTGTTCGGAATACACTTCCCGCGCTTGCTTGTTCGGAATATGCTTCCCATGCTTGATTATCCGAAACATGCTTGCTACGCTTGATTGTTCGAAACATGTTTTCTATGCTTGATTGCTCGAAACATGCTTTCTATGCTTGATCGTTCGAATCATACTTCCCATGCTTTGATTGTTCGGGATATTTCCCTAACCGCTTCAATACAATAGTTTTGCGTGTCCTAGTCCGGACAAATGCAGCCAAGAGCATCCATCAGTGTCCAGGGCCAGGGCCCAGTATCAGAGCGATGAAACACTCAAGTTCGTCTTGGCTGTCCAGACCTCTACCGACAACATCAACTCACTTCAGTTCCTTGATTCGCGAGCCCACAACAGATGTCAGCTCCTTCGAGTGGGCGTCGTACAACGCACGGAGGCTGGTTAGTTTGGCTATCATCTGTGCTTCGATTGTCGACTTTCTGGCAAGTAGATCGGTAAGACGTTCCATCTGAGCGCGATGTACGGCATCTCTAGTGGCTTGTGTTAGCCGGCCCAGCGCTTGGGGAGGGTTTGCAGTGTCAGTGATTGAGGCCTGTCAATTTGCTGGCTGCCATCTGTGATTACGATGCAGGATATAGGCGGAGCTGCAGCGGGTGGTGACTGGGAGGGGTTGGAGATTGAGTGCATGTGGAAGTTGATGAGGGTCATGATGTCGGCTTGGGCGGCGACTCACGCCTCTTTTTCATGTGCGTCAAAGAAAACAGTAATGTTGTTCTGCAAGTCTGCCGCGGTGCTGCTATAGTTCTCTTTGACTTTCTTCTTGTTGACAGTATGTCGTTGCCTCTGCTATTTGGCTATTAGACGGCTGCGCATGGATGAGTGGTCATCGACATACAGCGTTGAGGTTGCCAATGATCATGTCCTGAACTGCAGTTCCCTGCGATGGCTCGGCTTCAACATCTTCAGACTCCTCGATCGTGTCTGCACAGTCTTGACGAGCATCTTCACCAGGCTTCTCGTCGGCTCTCTTCCGGGCATTGCGGCCTGGACGTGAGACACTTTGTGTAGTTGAAGTGTTGGACTTCGTGGCTGTCCGCAGAGACGACATGCTGCTAGATGAGAGTTCCTCTCAATGTTTTACTCAGTGGCGCAAAAGATTTATGATGAGTCAAATGCTGGTGTCCAGCTTGAATTAACGTTTGGCAATGTTCTCAGTGAGTCCTGTGTTTTGGTGTTGCCGCTGAAGTCGGAAGTGGCCAGGGTCTGCCCCACAAGTGGGTCGAACTCTTAGCAGCGCGCTCTCGCCAAAAGATTTTGGCGGACTCCCGCAATTCATCTTTCAGCAACTCCAGACCAAAGTCACCAGCCGTCAAGATGGGTCTCGCACAGCAAAAGAAGTACGGATGATCTGCAACTCTGCTCTTAGCGTTGCACCCCTTTGACACATGCTAATCATTGACCAGTCGTTCCAAAATTTCCAACGACCCTCAGAACAACCACTGGGCGAACAATACGGAGCGTTTCGGTCACAAGATTCTGGCCTCACAGGGATGGAAGTCTGGCGACACTCTCGGCGCCAAAGATGCCGCCCACGAAGCGCACTACACGCAAGCCTCGCAGTCACACATTCGTGTGTTTCTGAAAGATGACAATTTGGGCCTGGGCGCGAAACGTGGAAGCGAGCGCGCAGAGAACTTTGGTCTCGCCGGTTTGGAGAGCATCTTGGGACGTTTGAATGGAAGAGAAGAAGAAGTCAAGAAAGAGGAGGCCAGGCGGGAGGAGATCGAGAAGAGAGCGTACGTGTTTAGGAAGTTTGGCTCGATGAACTTCATCAGCGGCGGCTTCCTTGTCGGCGACAAGCTTGTGCCCAGGGCAGAAGTCAAGCTTGAGGGAACAGAGCCGAAAATCAAAGAGGAGCCGGACAGCGACGACGGCGTGGGCAAGAAGCGCAAGCGAGAGGTGGCTGATGCGACCGAAGATGACACAAGCGAGCTAAAGCTGAAGCGTAAGAAGAAGAGCATGGATCTGCGTGACGAGGCAGACACGCAAGACAAAAAGATCAAGAAGGAGAAGAAGGAGAAAAAGAAGGCGGATAAATCAAGCAAGAAGATCAAAAAGGAGAAAGCTTCGTCCGACCCCGAGCCTATGTCTGATGACGCGCCCACACCTGCGTCCGACCCCGAACCCCTCACAGACAAGGCAAGACGAAAGGCAGAGAAGAAAGCCCGCAAGGAGGAGAAGAAGCTCAAGAAGGCGCTGAAGAAGGCAGCAAAGGCGGCCAAGAAGTCCAAGGACAGCGCCGACGATTCCAGCTCAGAGAGCGATGATGATGACACAACTCCCAGCTCCTCGGTACCAGCGACGGGCGCTTCCACGCCTAGCTTTGTACCGAGAGGTGTGCAGATGGCCAGACACAGGCACATCATGATGAAGAAGCGCGCAAGCATGGATCCGCAGGCACTGAAAGAGGTATGTGCACACGTTCATTTTGAGACTATGGCAACACTAACGCACATGTCTAGATTTTTATGATCAAGACTCCAGTAGCGTAGTCATTCTAAGACGATTGCTTTCATCATGTGCATAAGCGAGGAGTTTCGGGGTGTTTGTTTGTTGCATGAGGATTAGGAAGCTTTTATTTGTTATATACCGACATATTGATAGGCGGTTGAAAGCACCGAAGGCAAGCCACTATCGGGACGTTCAAGCGAAACCATCGGCACATTTTGTGAAGTGCAGCCTCCGGACGTGTGGGCGAGCAGCGAGCAGCGAGCAACAAGGCGACGATGCTTGCGTTGCTGTCGAGGCTGTGTCTGCCGGTGAGCTCCGCGTTCCGGCGACAACACGAGACTTGCATGCACATGCACGAATCTCGGACATGTCGTCGTTGGAGCGGTGCAAAGGGATCAACAGACGTCGGCGGTCGATGGTGCGCAGCTGAGCGGGCCTTCGCTCGGAGGGTCTAGAGTTGGCCGTGGAACAGGTGCTCTGCTTACTATTGTTGCCAACGCGCATGCGTGCCCACACAAGCCTTGCGTTTCTTTGAGCTGCAGCTCGCGTGGGCAGCGATCAGCTGTATGACGACGCCATGTGGCAGTGAGATGTCTTGGTAATCGGACGCAGCCATAGGGCGGGCGCAGAAAGGCAGCGTTTTGTGGAGTGCAGGGGTCGCTCCGACCGTTCCTGCATGGCGGCTTGGAGGCAAGGCTAGCGCGCCATCGGCCATCAGGCCTGCCGCCTATGTAATGAATGTCGCGGGCGCCGGTACTCAGCGCTCAACGCCTCCTGAAGAAAGCCCGCCCGCGCACTCTGGTCCCCGCGTCTTGTGCACCCGCCGACCCTCGCTTATAGTCCACGGGCATGGCAGTCAACGGCAGCGTTCGCAGGGCCAACTTCGCTTCGCCCCGTCAGTCTTGCCGTGGGAGCACCAGCAACTTCGAAGTCATGGCTGACTTGGACCGCAGTCACACACCAGCCGCGCTCGACGTCTCAGTCCGCGCACACACCTGAACACTCCCCGGTCGATTCTACGCGCACGCAATTGGCTCCCAAGATGCCTTCCCTCGCCGCCTCCGCAGCAGGCGTCGCGCCCGCCCTGAAGCGGAAGCAGTCGTCGCCGATGATGCCTCCCTTCATGGTGTCGGCGCCTGGCAAGGTCATTGTGTATGGAGAGCACGCTGTCGTGCACGGCAAGGTACACCAGACGCCAGACTGACGCGAGGATGCCAGTTTAACAGTGTGTAGGCTGCAATCGCTGCCGCCATTTCGCTCCGCTCCTATCTGCACGTCTCGTTCCTGTCGAAATCGAATCGGACCGTGCAGCTGCGTTTCCCCGACATACAGATGGAACACACGTGGAACATCGACGACCTCCCCTGGGAGGCCTTTTCCAAAGCAGGGAAGAAGAAATACTACTACGATCTGGTCACGTCGCTCGACCCCGACCTCGTGGCCGCTATCCAACCCTTCATCGACCAAGTGTCGCCCAAAGCCCCCGAATCGATACGCAAGATACAGCATGCCTCGGCTTGCTCCTTCCTCTACCTCTTCCTTTCGCTGGCCTCGAGGAAGACTCCGCCCTGCACATACACACTGCGCTCCACAATACCAATAGGGGCTGGCCTGGGCAGCAGTGCCAGCATATCGGTCTGCTTGAGTGCGGCGTTGCTCATGCAGATCCGCGCTCTTAGTGGGCCTCACCAAGACCAGCCGCCGCAGGAGTGCGAGCTGAACATTGAACGCATCAACCGTTGGGCTTTCGTCGGAGAGATGTGCATCCACGGCAACCCCTCCGGCATCGACAACACAGTATCGTCAGGTGGCAAAGCGGTTTTGTACCAGAGGATGGGCGAGGGCAAGCCGCCCCGCGTTGAGCCACTGCACAACTTCCCAGAGCTCCCGTTACTTCTTGTCAACACGCGGCAATCTAGAAGTACGGCGACCGAGGTCGCCAAAGTCGGCACTCTCAGGACACTCCACCCTGCACTTGCGGAGAACATCCTCGAATCGATTGGCATGGTCACCGAATCCGCGTATCAGCTCCTCAACTCTCCAGATTTCGACCCTACATCGCATGCCTCACTTAAGCATCTCGGCGAGCTCGTGACTATAAATCACGGCTTGCTCGTCTCGCTCGGAGTTTCACACCCCAAGCTTGAGCGAGTCCGAGAACTCATCGACCACACTGGCATTGGCTGGACAAAGCTTACCGGCGCTGGCGGTGGAGGCTGCGCAATATCCATTATCAAACCCAAGCCACCGGCGCTCACAAACGGCCACAGTAACGGCGCCCACGAACTTTCTTCTGACGAATCGGACATCTCTTCCGAAGCCGACTGTAGTGCGTCGATCATTTCGAACGGTACAAGGCTCAAACACAAGATCTTGGACTCTCTCGAGGTCAAGCTTGAGAACGAAGGATTCGAAAAGTTCGAGACGACGCTTGCCGGCGATGGCGTCGGCATCCTATGGCCGGCAGTGCTCCACAATGGCAACGAAGAAGAGGGTGGAGAAGAAATCGACCAGGAGAAGTTCTTGATGGCTGAAGGGACTGTGGGGATAGAGAGGCTAGTAGGCGTAGCCGGGACCCGAAGACGGCTTGCGAAAGAGGTTCGCGAAGGCTGGAAATTCTGGCGGCCCTGGGTCGCGCATGAGGAATGACTTTGAGCACAGTTCTTGCAAGAGATCCAGCCTTTCCATTCGACTACTTAATATTCGATTCCACCCCGCCATTTTGGCGCGTATGATGTATAATGCAGGCAAGGACTGGAAAAGGAAGTTGTAAAACGTTGGACGCGAGTCATCTATTTACGTGCGAGCTGTTGGTTCTTTTCGCAGTTTTGCATAGCTCAGTCGCAAGTCCCTGGTCAATAGCTAATATCATTCTCCTCGTTTCTCTGCCGAGAACAAAGACAACAAAGGCACGTTTCGTCTGACTAAGCATCTCCGTAACCAGAGCCTGGAAATAAAAAGGCCAGCCGAAATGTCGTAACAATCGTAACGATAGATGCACTCCAAGTCTCACATGCCGAGGCGCCCGATTGGGCCGCAGGTGCAGGCAATTTTTGACAAGCCGGTCTTTCGCGTGAGCCCGATCTTTGCGAAACACAACCCACTTCCTCCACCTTTCTTCCTAGCACATCTTGCGGCGCATACTCCTAGGCTTGCCTGTTAGCAAACGTATCCCACCCCGCCGACTGCTTCCATCTTTGCATATTCCGCGACAAACATGGCTCCTGGAAAGTGGGGTACGTCATACTCTTAATTTATGCCCCTCCAGCTATGACTGCGCGTTGCTCCACGAGCACCACCGCTGACAGACGACTCAACAGACGACGAGGAGTCCGGCTCCGACTCCGGCTCTCCTGCCCCCGTTGTTGCCCGCCGTGGCAAGTTCGACGATGAGGAGGAAGACGATGTGCGTCAGCCCACTGTGCCCCGCGCTGGGCCTCCTGCCCCGCCGCCGACGCATGAAGGCATACTGACAGCCACAACAGGTACTAGACTCATGGGACGCCGCCGAAGATTCCGAGGTTGAGCGCGAGAAGGCGAAGAAGGCCGCTGAGGCCAAGGCTAAGGCTGATGCGGAGGCGAAAGCCAACCACAAGAGCAAGGCACAGCGCGTTGAGGAGCACAGACAAGAGAAGTTGCGTCGGCGACAGATGGAAGAAGACTACGAGTCGGAAGAGGAGACCGAGGAAGAGCGCCGAATAAGGTTGCGACAGGCCGAGCAGGAGGGCTCACGCTCTCAAGCGGAGGAGCTCTTTGGCGACCTCGCCAGCGGCAAGTCCAAGACCGCGAAGGCTGTCACCGTCTCTGATGCCAACGATCCTACGAAGTCCGTCGACCTTAGTGCGCTGTCCATCTTCAACCCCAACACCAAGGACCAGTTCACAAAGCTGCGCGAGACTCTCACCCCTCTCCTTGCCAACAACGCCAAAAAAGGACAATACTCGCTGTTCTTGCAGGAGTTCTGCAAAGGCATTGCCAAGGACCTTCCCAGTGAGCAGATTAAAAAGATTGCTTCTGGCCTGACCACTTTGAGCAACGAGAAAATGAAGGAAGAGAAGGCAGCTGAGAAGGGTGGAAAGAAGACCAAGGCCGCGAAGACCAAGACAAGCTTGAACGCATCGAGAGACGTCGGCCGCTCCGCAGACATGGCTGCATATGACAACGATGACTTTGGCGAGTAAGTACACATGCGTGCCAGATTCAGTCCATGACACTAACGATGATGCAGTGACGACTTCATGTGAGGAATCCATCTCTGTCAAGCTGAGATGCAAGTTCCTGCTACTCCTCTCCCGCGCCAAACACAACAGTCGGGCAGTCATCGAGTCCGACTCCATGCGCCTCACCTGTGTCACGCCTGGTAGCCACCTCACAACTTCCTTTTCTGCTTCACTGGCCTAGAGCGGAAATTGCATAGTTTGCTTGCATAGCGGAGGCTGTACGTGGAGTGAACGAATTCGATAGACGTTGCTGATGAATACACATCTTCTACAATTTGCATCTTGACCCAAGTCTCAAGCCGTCATCCGTCTTCATACTCAAGGTTACCTACATCTACGACCGATTGGGTTCAAACTTCCCAGCGATATATTTAGGTGGCCCAGTAAATCTTCTGTCCCATGTGATGATGACGCCAAGTGGTGTAGCGAGACAACCGTCAGGTACATACTAGAGACTGACATTAAGGCGGCTATTCTTATCGCTCAGCTACGGCTGCACTTGCGCACGTTGTTCTTGTGCAGGGCTGAGACATGCACGCGGAAGGCAAGAACTGGCGATACGCACCTTCTATGGCTAACGTAGAAGCTTCCATTTTCTCGATCGACTTTGAAAGGGCGGAAGGCTTGAATTTGCTGCATCCAAGCAGTCAACTTTCCAGCAAATCAAGGCGATACCGGTGTCGGGCCTATTGGTCTTGTCATGGCTGATGTAACGTTGTGAGCAGCGCACGTTTACTGAATGCGAAGCAATCGACAGAGACAGCCGTTGAAGCTCATCTTGAGGCATTTGAGGTTCGTCGTGAGAAGTCGTGACGCGAAGCAAAGTGATCGGCAAGATGAGGATTGATGATTCGTACCCCACATATCGGAGTAGCAGGCGTCTAGAGCGGATGCGGCACGCTTTATCGCAGCTCTGTTCCCCACCTCATATCAAGCCTCCAGACAATGATGTAGAGACTGTCATCCTTCCGCACAGACCAGAATTACCAACGACCAAGACGCCTCGTTCGAGCAAGGACCACTGCTATATGTGCCGTGCCATCGCATGGCGCACTACACATGCAAGAGTTGCATTGTGTAGTATCCGAGAGGCTCCTTCCTAACCCCGCTCCACCAGAGTGCTCAGCTTGAGACTACAGTTCGTTGCATGGCCTTTTCGAACTGCCATATATATATCTCGTACCCAAAACCCTGGGACAATATCGCCGCTTGATCTGCACTTGCCTAATACAGCTTGACCCACCGCTGACCATTTCCAAAAATGCCTCGCCCAAAGAAACCCGGTGTCGAACCGAAGCGGAGATCGAGAACGGGGTGTTGGTATGATGCATGTCCGTCACATTAGTCTGCACTAATCGCTTATACAGGCCTTGTAAAGCGCGCAAAGTCAAATGGTGACTATTGATGCTCGACGTTTAGCATGACTGGTGATAACAGTTGTATAGCGGAGAGGAAAAGCCAAATTGTCTGAATTGCGAACGTCAAGGCGAGCCATGCGACTACAACATTAGACTTAACTGGGGCGGACGTACGAAGCGTGACCCATCAGCTTCGGGTTCAACCGCATCGAGCACCGGATCCGCCAGTCCATACATGTCGACTTTCTCGTTTGGGGACGATGCATCGCAGTGGTACCCACCAACCCTGGATCCATCAAATCCCGGAAGCCAACATTCTCATTCTTTGTCGCGTAGTTCCCCCCCTCGATCAGGGCCTACCGCTGTCGACCCTGAGTTGGTCAGACTAGGTCAGTCTGAACTACATCGACTCGGAAGTAGTCTGGAATATCAGCAAGACCATTTCAATCAGACCGTAAATGGACTACCAGTATCCCCAGCACCCTTCCAACAGACTCAATTTCAGACCCCTTTCGAGTTCTCATCTCTATCGACCTCTGCCTTTGAAGCTCTTGCATACAGCAATGTTGGATTCAGCTCTGTCAATGCAGATGCACCTCTTTCACCCCCATCGATGCTCCCACCAAGGGGGTCTGCAGAATCGATGTATAAGCGCCACAAGTCAAGTCATTCAGCAGGATCCCCTGCAACAACCCTCTCGGATGCACAATCGCCATATACAGGTCCGCCTACACCCTACAACCCCTTTGTTACCATGCCGTTGACTCCGAACTCTTCAGTAGGCTCTGAAGAACCAACCGTGCGCTCTTCAACAGACCACCAAAGTCCGGCATACCCACCTCCGGATCTACGACGCTTATCAGTACAGTCGCTCGTCAACAGCACGAATGGTAGTAGTCTACATGAGTGTAACTCTGAAGGCGAGTCAAGGCGAAGATATCCGGTCATGGACTCTGTGTCGACAACCTACGGATACGACATGGGCCTACCAGACTTTGACACACCCAGAAACAAAGACGATTCTGCGATAGCCATCTTTAGTCCACCAATCGGCAGAAGGGAGATCAGTGAAGACTTTCCTTTTGTTGAAGCAGAGCCTCGCACTCGAGACATGGCTTTCGGCAAAGGTGGGTACTACGTCAAACCAGTCCAGATACGGATACCAAAATCGTTGGAACCACTACCGCCACTGCTGATGGAAAACAAGATGAACCTTCTTTACTTTCACCACTTTATCAACCATACAGCCCGCATCCTTGTGCCACATGACTGCGAGAGGAACCCTTTCCGTCAGATTCTGCCAGAGAGTAAGTATACAGACATTGACCTCAGACATGCCGCCACTGATTCTCACAGTGGCTGTACGCGATGATAATATCATGAACCTTCTGTTGGCCTACAGTGCTTCACATCGCGCCCGAATGCTCAACCAGCCTGAGCCCTCCAACCGTATCGCGGTATGGGTACAAGACGTTTTCCCGAAACTGCGCCAATCACTCACAGAAAACCCCAACAACATATCCAATAGCACATTAGCTGCTGTAATCATGATGGCAAGCCTGGAGATCATCGCGTCCAACACATTTGAGGTCCCCATCTCTTGGCAAAGCCACCTTCAAATGGCTCGACAAATGGTTATGGCACGAGGTGGTCCCCAAGGTGTAGACAGACAAGATCGTGTTGCCTACTTCCTTTCTCGCTGGTTTGCTTACCTCGACGTCCTCGGCTCACTTAGCGGCAACAAGACCGACACACCACTCGGTTCGTTCTACTGGTCATCAGAAAACGCATCCGCCGACGAAGAATTCGAAATCGATTGCCTGATGGGCTTCACGAACCGCTGCGTCGGCAGCCTCGCGCGCATCTCAGAACTCGCAAAACTGTGCGAGCCGTTGCGCATCGACGACGACGGGAATATCAGAGACGCCTGGCAGCCCGGCCCGGACATCTACGCCACCGCCATGCACATCCGCAACGAGCTTGAAGAGGGCTTGTCTGACCGCCACATCCACAAGGGCTGCAATCACCGCCACGACTCGACCGCCGAGTCCGAGGGCGCCTGGGACGCCACCGAGATCTACGCCACTAACGAGATGTTCCACTGGGGAGGCCTGGTGCATCTATACCGCCGCGTATTGGGCAAGCCAGCCACAGACCCGGAAGTGCAGAATGCGATCCGTGAGATTGTCGAGCTGTTGTATAAAGTACGGCGAGGCAGCTCGGCGGAAGCGTGTTTGCTATTCCCTATGTTTGTGGCTGGATGCGATGCGCAGGACGAAGGGCAAAGGGAGAAGATTATGGATCGGCTGAGGGGGGTGGAAGGCTTTGGCATGACGCAGGTGAGCACCTCGGAGAATTCTTTCTTGGGGATAATTGAAGCTGACTGGGCGGACAGATTGACAGGGCAAAGTGTCTCATGCAGCAAGTTTGGGAGACTGGGAAGCCGTGGGAGTCGCTTGTGAGCGGTGAATTTTTTGGGTAGTTCTTGTGGTGTCGTTTTGGCTGACTTCAATGGTTGGGTTCAAATTGGAGGGCAGTATGCTCTCGCGTCCTGCATAGTGTGCTGAGACGACGTACGAAAAGCCTCTTTATGTGTATAACTTATGTAGAGCTTGAATACCCCTAGGATAGACTGGACTTCGCAATAATTTTCAGAGAAACCTACTCTACACGACATTGTCTACTATCCATTGTATGGAACTAAAGACTATGTCCCGCTCTATATGACATCTAATTTCTAATCGTGAGTTCTTGAGTTCTCGATCTTGGTGACCAAAATATCGCAAGCGCCCGCCTCGGTCAACCTGTCCATGGCAATAGCAATCTGCTTCCTCTGTACCATGACTGAGATGGCGACCCAGCCGTTCTCCTCCAACGAAGTGACAGTCGGCGCGCGGTTTCCAGGCGTGATCTGCTTGGCGATATCGAGCTTGGAGCGCTCGATGTTGTACTGGCAGAGGACGTACTTTTGTGCAGCTACATAGGTCAGCATTGGTTTTCTGTACAGCGCAGATGGCAAGAAAATACTTACTGATGACACCCTTTATCCTGGCTGTGATCAGATCAACAAGCTTGGGGTCTGAGGGGTGTTTCGATTTGATCAGGATAGCGCTTGACGAGACGACTGTGGAGATAGCCTTCAGGCCTGCAGCGCGCATCGTCTCTCCAGACTCGACGAGATCGACGATTCCATCAGCAACACCGAGCGCACATGCCGCCTCGACACTGCCACCGACGTACTTGATGTTCGTCTTCAGCTTCGCATCCTTTGCGTCACCGTTGGTCTCTCCGCTCTGCTCAGCCTCTAGCCGTCTGAAGTACTGCTCGGCAAGGTTTGTGAAAGAGGTGACGACGTTCTTGCCGATCAGATCTTCCGGCTTGGCCAGGTCGCCCTTCGAGGGTACCTGAACCTGCAGGCTGCATTTTCCAAAGTCGAGGTCGAGGACCTCAACGACGCCAGTTGTGGCTGTGGGAGGAACGCCGCATTCGTGTTCTTCGACTTGATCGCGGCCGGTGATTCCGAGGTCGACACGACCCTCACCGACGAACGTGGGGATATCGGCGGCGGGGAGGAAGACGAGCGCAAGAGGCAAGTTCTTGACGAGCGCAATGTCGAGGCGCGAGTGGCGGTGGAATTGAATGTCTGAGCCGTGGAGGAGGTCGAGGCAGACTTGGTGGAGGCGGCCCTCTGGTATTGTTAGACATGTCAGAGGATCGACCTGCTAAGACACTTACTCTTGGGCACTGCGAAGAGCAAGCGATCGTTCAAGCTATTGCCTAGAGTGTCAGTCATGAATGGCAAGCTTCGACTGCCCTGGCGCGCTCGTTGCATAATATACTCCATCTCATTCGCGCCATTGGCGCCATTGACGTGAGGCATCTTGCAGGCGTTGAACAAGAAGAAAGAAGGAAGCGGGGCAGAAGTACATACGAGTTGACTAGATCCATGCTGTTTATATCTAGCACGCAATTCAAGGTATGGGGTATTGCAGACAGCGGTGCGACAGGTGGCAGCTAGTCTTGAGTGCTGTGCGCGCGGGTTGTGGGAGGGTGTCCACGTATGAATGTGTTATTGGGTGCTGCTGCGTCTGGCGGAGAACGGAGATATGCGCGTGCTGCAGGTGGATGTGGGTGCAAGTGGATGGATGTGTCTTTTAGTAGTGTACAACTTTTTGCGATGACTGCCGTCTTGCCTATCGCGCCCGTAGTGAGTCAAGAGGGGTTGAAATTCCGCACGTGGAACGATTCAATGGCTGCTGAGTCTACAAAGACCGTTTCCCGGTTCTAATCCTTCATCCGGTGCGCTAGTCCTACGAAAACCATACGTTCCTTATAATCACAGTCGAATTACTGATTGTAGCTCCGAAGTACGGCTGCTTTTTTCGGGGGATGACGTGCCAATCAGCAAATAGCGGGCGCGCGGGGCATCTGCAGATGCGCCCGTGTTAAGCGAGTCTCTGATCGTGCGCATTGCAGGAACGTGCATTGACTCGGTACATTCTATCGAATTGATAGGCGTTCGAGTCTACGACTTGATTTTGACAACCTTGGGGAGACTAACGTGGTATGTTGTGCGCGCATGTGACATTGCGACGTGGGTGTTGGCCTTCACGGTTCGTGGCAAGGAGCAAGTGTGTTTCTCACGTTTGAAACTACCCTTGACACAAGGCTTACATCGTTTGTATCTTGGAGGAGTAATGCTACTTGTGAATCCCTGGGGCTGGCCCCTAGTAGGAGATTCAGTCCCTATCTCTGGTCGTGACTGCAAACCATGCATGGTGCAACTCAGTCGTAGGCAAGCATGTTCTGCTCTCTGTATGCATAACGCCTATCGTACATATCGCACAAATCGCACTAGATGTGCCGTTGTTGTCTACAATGCCTTCTCGGCCTCGTCGATCAGCGCCGTAACGTTGAAACTTGCATCTCCACTTGTAAATTGCTTCAGCAGTACCCCTCTGACCTTTTCTTCCTCGCTCTGCACGTAGAACTTTTGCATGCACATGACCAACCATCTCGCCTCGTCTACGCTAACACCCCTATTCTCAATCACCAGTCCCTGGCCAAGGACCATATTGTGGCTGGTCGCGAGCTCTTGGTGGAATGTTATCGTCGTGTGCGGGCTGGCGAATTCGCCCCGTAGCTTGAATTCGGCGAGAGATGTGAACAGTAGGGTCGTTGTATCTTTGTGCGGATGAGCGAACTGGAGATAGTGTAGCTCTGCAGCTTGTTGGGTTTGACCTGTGGCTTGCTCGCCCTCTTGTTGCTCAACGGGGATCTCTCGTGGCACCGGCAGCACGAATGCGGGATGTTGCTTCGCGGTCACGAGCAAAGAAGCCCAAGTGTTGGCAGGAACAGAGAAGTGTATGCTCTGCGGATTCGAAGCGTGGCGCAGTCTCCAGAGAGTTTCGATCTCCTTGTTAGGGAGGGAGCTGATTTTGGACACATCGAGGAAGGAGTCGAGCGTCTTGACGCCTGGCGGTGGCGCACTAGGATCTCGTGGTTTCGGTGGAGGAGGTGGCGATGGCCACGGCGATGACGCCGCAGGTGATGCAGAAGGCGACGAGCTGGCTGCAGACGACGGCGAGGGCGGTGGTGTCAAGGGACCTGTTGCGCCCGGGACAACAGCTGCCCTCCTCAGCTCCTCTATCTTCTCCTTGTGTTTTTCTTTCAACTCGTTGATATCCTTCACGCCCTCCTGCTTCGCCCTGGAGGCGAGCTTGTCCTTGTACTTGGACAGGATCCTCTCTTCTGTGCCATGAGTCGCGAGAAAACGAACATCTTGCACCTGAGCCCAGCGGCGCTGACAGAATCTCGGATTTGACAATGGCTGGCGAAATGCGCACCGCAAGGCCGGAACACGAAGCGCCATAGTTGTGGATGGTGTAGGTTGATGATGACGGAGCTCGAAACCGCTTCTCGAAAAGCTACCGCCGATGCCCGCGAGCTCCCATTGGCTGCGCAGATGCAGGGACCGCAAGGCTGATCACTTCCACTTCAAGGGGACGGCATTGAACCGAGTCAACTTCGGAGATGACATTGCATTCAACAGAACCGGGAACGCGACGCTGGCTGCTGTTTTATGACCGAAGGGATTGCAAGTTGACCACATGGAGAAAACAACGGTGTCCGCACAGGGGCTCGGTACCGCTCGAGTGGAAGCAGGCGTACCTTTCGGCCTCGGGTACTGACTACTGGGAATGCAATCTGAATCCGACTCGTGTATCTTGCACCTTTGCACCGGTTCGAATGAGGACGTACTATCGATACAACGGCTGTATCGACATGTACGACGATTTCACCCGGGGACGTTGACTTGCATCGGCATCGCGGTGTTGCCCGTCTACCGGTAGACAGCCCGTGTTCGTGCATCTCCATCTATTTCGAGCTCCACGCCACATGACGAAGGGACACATTGCCGGTGACGCACCCAGAGGTGCAAGCAATACTTCTGCCTGCTTGAACGCCGTGTCTGGTGAGGCACGAGACGGGTGTCGTGGCTCTGCAGAGCAGGCAGCGACGCTGCGTGTGTAGTGACTTTGTCCATGTCTCGTTCCTGCGTGACAGGCTGCAGGTAGCGTGCTCTGTGTGTCCCGCGCTGCGCCTGCCTGTGATCGACGCACAAAGACGCTTGCTGCACCTCGACGTCTGGCTTGGACTGTATAGATATCTCTGCAGAGGCGTTCGTGCTCTGGCTTTGCGCGTCCTCTCCGTCCAACGATACTCGGCAACATATACATACTTTGAGCCCTGCAGCTCTGATCCAAACCCCGCGCAAGCCATAGCGCCAGTTTGCGACCTCCCCTCCGCGCCGGGCAACCCCATATTAATTAAGCGTGCGATCCTGGACCTCGATTGATACCCGAGCCTCGAGAAGTGCCGTCTCCCTTTCTCGGGTCAGGCATGCACCTGCGCCCGTCCGCCTCTACCTGCGCGCCTTGAGCACCGACTTGCGACTGCGACTGCGACTGCGACTGCGACTGCGACTTGCGACTTGCGACTTGCGACTTGCACGCAGCAACCCGAGGCCACCCTGGCTGCACCGTGAACGCGATCCCTCGAGACCATGGGCCAGGTCGCCAGCAGAACAGGCGAGGGCGAGACGCTGTACCTGCGCGACCAGACTCGCTGTAGGCCATCGCCCTGGCTGCCCGGCTCGTGACCACACCGCTAACACCCCCCAGTCTCGGTCGCCGCCTGCAGCATCGCCAACGCGCGCGGTCGCACGATCCTGAACGTCACGCCGAATGCGTTCCCCGCGGCGCGATACAGCCCGAAAAGAGAGCTTGGGGACGAGAGCGTGATCGAGTACATCCAGGTACAGTTTCACCAGTCTCTGGGCATCGCGCAATGCTAAACATTGTTTGTGTAGGATCCAGATGCCTCACCGAACGCTGACGGACCGCCATCCTTCCTGTTACGCTTACCGAACGACGAAGACCTCACGTTCAACTTCACATTCATACTCCGCCAGCAACTGGCGGTGCCTTCCAATTACAGCCCCAACAGCGCGCCGAGTCACGCTACCACCGCTGGTCTCATTGATACATTTATCAATGGCTTGACCTTTGTGTTTGCCTCGAGTTCTAGAGAGCTCGATAACCTGGTCACGCGCGAGTTTCATGCCAACCCTAACCTCCACAAGAACCCGCAGGTCGAGCTTGTCGGGGACTACACTACAGGCGGGAGCTCCTCAGTTTCGTTTCAGTGGGCTTGGAAGTTCACTCCTCCCAAGACCAACGAGTGTCGCGGTGGGGGTTGGCGCACCAGCTGCAGTGTTCGTATACAGTACCTCTCCAGCTCCAGCACCGACTAACACCATGAAGTTTGTAGAGTACGACCAACGCGCGCATAGATTGGAGACCTTAGCCAACTTTGCTTTCTGGATCCAAAGTATGCCCTTGCACTCGTTGCCTCAATACAGAGACCTGACTTTCACAGACACCACAAGGTCTCTTCAAAGTCCTAAGACCACAACACCGAGACTGGAGCTGGGTCTACCTCCAAGACTACGCGTGCCCTCGGCACAATCGATAGATTCACGTGTCAGCGACTCAGTAGAGGAGAATCGGGAATGGGATAACATACCTCCAAGATCCCCCATTTTTGAGGCAATACCTGAGAATGGCCTCAGTCTTGTGTCGACGCAGACTACAGCGCTCACAAGCGCTTCGGTCAAAGTCGATGTTCTGCGCCCGGGTGAGGATCTCAGTCAAACTGACGATGGGCCTTTATTTCGCGCGACTATGAAATCCCTAGAGCAAAAGACTGGAAACATGCGCATGCGGTGGAAAAAAGTCCTCAAAAGGGCAGAGTCCGCTATGGAAGCGCAGGTGAACTGCAACAATGCCATGTCAGACCTCATGGACGCTCTAAAGGAAGTCTCTTCTTCAAACGCTGGTGCTGTACAACCCGCAATCGACCATTATTTCGACAAAATCGCCAAGGACATCCTCGCGTACGAACGATCGAATGCCACCAACGTCCAAAAGCTTATCATTGACCCGATATATAAGCTGTACAATGTTGACATCAAAAAAGCGGAGACCAAGCGCAAAGACTTCGAAGAGGAAAGCAAGGACTATTACCAGTACCTCGGAAGATATCTCGGACAACGACAAGACTCCTTGAAAGAGAAGAAACGGGCAGAAACAGATTCAAAGTACCAAGACAAGAAGCGAAAATTCGAGCTGAAGCGGTTCGACTACTCATCATTCATGCAAGACCTCCATGGTGGTCGCAAAGACCAGGATGTCTTGTCGCATCTGACGCGATATGCGGACACACAAGCCAACAACTTCCTTTCCACAGCGAAAATAATCGAGACCATGCTGCCTCAGCTTGAGGCTCTAAGCCAGGAAGTCCGGGAAGCAGACAAAGAGTTCCAGTTACAGCGGACAGGAAGAGAAGAGAAAAGGAGGCAGTTGGAGAAAGACAGTAAATCTTTTGACGCACCGCCTTCACAACAAGCACCTGCAACGACAACTGCTAATGGAGGTGCGCCTAGAGCCCCATCGAGCGCAGATGGAGAACTTCCTGGTCGTAAATCGAGTATAGCGCCTGTATTTCAGAGCACAGTCAGTCCGCCTCCAGTTCCAACTCCAACAGGTAGCTCTTATATGAGCTCCCCACAAAGTCCGGAGGCAAGCAAAGCGGTCCTGGTTGCTGTGACTCCTCAGCCAGACAAGTTTAAGGGCATAAGAGATTTGGAGGAGCGGGCTTGTATAAGCGAGCTCACGCCTGGTGCTCATCGCAAGGAAGGTCTGCTGTGGGCGCTCAGTAGGCCAGGTAGTCACGTCGATCCCAAGGGCTTAAACAAGCAGGCCTGGCACAAGTAAGTCGCATCCGTACACGTGATAATCAATCTGCTGATAACGCCAGATTTTGGATTGTGCTAGATCAGGGCAGACTATCGGAGTACACAAATTGGAAGCAGAGCCTGGAACTACACATGGATCCGATAGACCTGCGCATGGCATCAGTTCGCGAGGCACGCAATGCAGATCGAAGGTTCTGCTTTGAGGTCATCACCCCTCAGTTTACACGTGTCTACCAGGCCACAAATGAGGATGATCTGAGGTCGTGGATATCTGCTGTAAACAATGCCTTACAGACCGCAGTGGAGTCCACAGGGAAGAAAGATCGTCCATCGACGGAGTCTCTACCGGGCCAGACTCGTCGAGACATCGCATCTGTGTTGACAGGAAAGAGCCCTTCTCTATCCAGCAAAGGTAACAACTACGGCCCTAGAGCACCATCTCGGCACGCCACAGTAGGGGACAAACCTGGATACAGGCGCGAGGAACCTGCAGGTGATGATGGCAAGCTGCTTAAACAGGTGCGAGAAGCCGACGCTGGGAACAGAATGTGCGCGGACTGCGGCTCTGAAAGTAAGGCCGACTGGGTATCCATTAACCTGGGTATTGTGATCTGCATTGAATGCAGCGGTATTCACCGTTCGTTGGGTACACACATCACCAAAGTGCGGTCCTTGACACTCGATGTGAACTCGTTCACGCCCGATATTATCGAGCTACTTCTCAAGATTGGCAATCGCGTCAGCAACATGATCTGGGAAGCAAAACTGGACTTTTCCATCAAACCGGGGCCCATGTCAACAAGAGAGCAGAGGCTACGTTTCATTACCGCCAAGTACTCGGAACGAGCATATGTCTCTCCCATCTCGTCTACTGTCTCACATTACGGAACGGCCGACGAAACATTGCTTGCCTCAGTCAAGAAGAACGACATACAGAATGTCTTATACGCACTTGCATTGCGGGCAAATCCCAACTCTCGAGACAGGTCCCGAGGGACACATGCTGTGTTCTTAGCCCTCGCAGCCGCCGACCCTGCTTCACCCTCTGCATCTGCATCACCTGCAACTTCACCTGGTCGAGATGCACGGCCTTCGACACCTCAGCCAATCCGCAAGCCTTTCCCTGTAGCAGAGCTGTTGCTTCAGAATGGTGCAGATTTACCGATTACGGCGGCACCCATTCCCCTTAGCTTGTCCGCACGCCAATACCTCGATTTCAAAGCGGATCAGAAGACCGGGAAGCGCGCAATACCTGTAATGCCCGGGGGGCAACCAAACCCTAGTGGTGACGTACTACCCGCCCTACCACACATCACAGCCGGCAATGGTAGTACCCCTTCCGAACGAGCACGTGAGCGAGAGGCACGGCTTCAGAAACGCGTTTCTGCTAGTGGAAGGTTGGTGAAGAACACATTTCAAGATTTCACTGAAGGTAAGCGCGGCTCTTAAGCTGGCTGACGCTTACTCGTTTCGTTTGCTTCTAGTTTATACCTGCCCTGGGTGGCTTGCGGAATTTCTCGATGGGCGTCGCTGGGATGACAGCGAATGTACACACGACTGTTCCGCGATTGTTGGCGCGTTGGGTAGCAAAGCGATCTTGCACGATAGCAGTTTTGCTCAGTGGGCTTTGGATAGCCTCAGTAATGTTTACACGCAGCGAGTTGCTTTGGGTGGTTATTCATTGCAGTGTCATGTCGGAGTCACACACATCCGGTACGCATTTGCCAGAGAGGGGACACTTCAGATAGGGATGACGGTGTGTCCTGTTGCCAAAACCACTTCTCCTCAAATCGGAATTCTGACTTATTGCACACAGCCTTGAAGGCTAGCTATTGTTCTTGTGCAAGTGCATCGTTGCCTGATCTTGGCCCATACGAATGACAGCACAACCAATAAACATTTCATCATGGTCTCCTCGGAGAAGCTGAATCTGGCCATCAGATTCGGAATAATGCAATGAGTCAAAAGCCCAGAGTGAATGTAATTGATGTGATGGATGCAGAAGCTGTTCACGTGACCATGACTGCGCCCCACTAGCGCTGGAACGGCTCAGCACTCAGAATTTCGACTTTAGCGAATTTAAGACGCGGCGACCCCACCTTAACAACGACAACACAACATGGCGCCTTCATACGAGAACCTCCCGCTGGAGGAAGACGAGTTCGACGAGTCTCAGATCGACTTCACAGACCTTGAAGATCAGTTCCAAGTCCGCCTTGACGAAGGGCTCGACGCCTTCGTTGTCATCGATGGCTTGCCCGTTGTCCCCGAGGACAGCAAGTCCAAGCTCATCAAGTTCGTGTTGAGGAAGCTCAACAGTGTGGGACGCGTCAAGGATGACGGTGTACACATGCCTGTAGGCGACGATGGCAAGACCGAGGGGTATGTGGGAATCTGAGGGTGCAGAATCGCAAGCGTTTTTGCGAATGCGCCATCTGCAGACGACCATCTACTGACTACCTTGCAGCTATGCCTTTGTCGAGTACAGCGCACCCGCTGAGGCTATCGCAGCCGTCAAGCAGCTCCACGGAGCCCCGCTCGACAAGAAGCACTCCATGGCCGTAAACAAGCTCACCGACATCGACCGCTACGGAAAGGAGGGTCGCGTGGACGAAGAGTACCACGCGCCCGAGATCGCGCCGTTCGAGCAGAAGGAGCACTTGAGGTGGTGGTTGGGAGATTCGGACGGCCGCGACCAGGTCGCCATGTACCGTGGCGAGAAGGTTGGCGTTTTCTGGAACGACAAGGAAGACCAGCCCGAGGTTGTTGTCGACCGTGAGAACTGGACAGAGTCGTTCATTCAGTGGTCGCCACGAGGAACATTCCTTACCTCGATCCACGCGCAGGGTGTGCAACTGTGGGGTGGCAGGGCATGGAGCAGACAAAAACGATTCGCGCATCCTGGTGTCAATCTAGTCGATTACTCGCCCGGCGAGAACTACCTTACGACCTGGTCGCACCGCCCCCTGCAGGTCGACGAGAACCACCCGGTCCCGACCCTTTCGCTTGAGGAGGACGGCAAGAACTACATCATCTGGGATATCGCTACTGGAAAGCCGCTGCGTTCGTTCGCCACAATCGATGTGCCCAGTGGCATCGATGAGGATGGCAACCCGATCAAGAAGAAGATGCAGTGGCCAACCTTCAAGTGGTCAGCCGACGACAAGTATGTTGCTCGCCTGACACAGGGTCAGTCCATCTCGGTCTACGAGCTACCCAGAATGAATTTGATGGATAAGTCTTCTATCAAGATTGAGGGTGTTGTGGACTTTGAGTGGGCCCCTGCGACCCCCAAGCGCGATGGCATCAAGACATACGAGCAGCTATTCTGCTACTGGACTCCTGAGCTTGGCAGCAACCCCGCGAAGGTTGGTCTGATGTCCATCCCCTCGAAGGAGATTGTCCGTACACGAAACCTTTTCAACGTCTCTGATGCTAAGCTCCACTGGCAATCTGAGGCTGCGTACGTTTGCGTCAAGGTTGACCGTCACTCGAAGTCGAAGAAGTCCCTTGCTACAAACCTCGAGATCTTCCGCGTGAAGGAGAAGGGTGTGCCTGTTGAGGTCGTCGACTCCATCAAGGACGCCGTTATCAACTTTGCCTGGGAGCCCAAGGGCAACCGCTTCGTTCTTATCACCACTGGCGAAGTCGTTGTTCAGGCCGCCGTCCCCCCAAAGACTGCCGTTTCCTTCTTCGCTCCCGAGAAGCTCAAGGGTGGCGCCCCCGGTAACTTCCGCCATATCCGCACTGTCGACAAGAAGAACAGCAACACCATCTACTGGTCGCCCAAGGGCCGATTCGTTGTTGTTGCTACTCTGCAATCTCAGCAGTCCTTCGAACTCGACTTCTGGGATCTCAGTTTCGAGAAGCCCAAAGACGAGTCCGAGAAGGGTGACAAGGAACTCCTCGCCAACCTACAGCTCATGGATACGGCTGAGCACTATGGTGTGACCGATATTGAGTGGGACCCTACAGGTCGCTACGTTGCTACCGTTGCCAGTGCTTTCCGTCATCGCATGGAGAACGGTTACCATCTGTACGACTTCAGGGGTACTCTCCTGCGCGAAGAGCATATCGATGGCTTCAAGCAGTTGCTGTGGCGTCCTCGTCCTCCCACACTTCTGTCCAAGGAGGAGCAGTCCGAGATCCGCAAGAACCTCCGCAACTACTCCAAGGTCTTCGATGAGCAGGATCTTGCCAAGAAGAGCTCCGCTAACAAGGCTGTTATTGAGGAACGCAGGGAGAAGCTTCGTGAATGGAACGAGTGGCGCGCACAGGTCCAGGAGAGGTTACGCGAGGAGGGTGCTGATATCGAGCTCGCCGCCGCTAATGGCGAGGTTCCCGGCGATGCTGAAGGTGGTGAGGCCGAGGAGATTGAGGAGATTGTTGAGGAGATCATCGAGGAGAGCGAGGAGATCATGAACTAGATATCACAGGAGACCCTGTAGTTTGATGTATGTAGATGTGGAAATGGATGGACGCGAGATGACCAGAGACCTCAATGTTGTGCGTACAGTGTTATTAAGACCTTTGGGTGCATCGTGCAGCCACCCAAAAATTATTGGCTTGCTTCATCACGACCAGCCCCCATTCTCCTTCTTCACGGACCGTCTTCTAACCACTCCCTTATACCACTCACAACTACGCCGAATTCCCTCATCCAAACTAACTTTAGGCTTGTATCCCAACACCCTCATCGCTCTGTGTATGCTAACATACCGGTCACGACATGCATCGTCCACAATCCCCCTGCTCAACCCACTTTCCACACCCGTCGCCCACTCCACAACTTCAGCACCAAGTCCCATCCACCACGCCATCCCCTCCGGAACACTAATCTCAAAAGACGGAATGTGCCCAAACTCGCGCCAAACACTGAGACAGATGTGGCGAAGCGGCACTGGCTGGCCATTCGTGATGAAGATGGCTTGACCTGCTGCGGTCTGGGAGTTGAGCAGGTTGGCGACGGCGAGGACGTGCGCGTCTGCTACGTTGGTGACGTACACGTAGTCTTGCAGATTGGAGGCGGAGGCGCCGAGAATGAAGGGCGTTTGGCAGCCCGCGATGCAGGCGTGCAATCTCGGGATGACGGTTGGATCATTGGGACCGAATATCGGGGCGGAGCGGAGCGAGCAGGTCGCGAATGAGCGGTCCGGGGTCGAGGCGGAAAGAACGAGGTCTTCGGCTATAGTCTGAGGGCTGTCAGCTGTTGGACGCGAGAAGGTCAATGTGACAATGCGGTGACGGAAGGGTCAAGTTTCGGACAGCAGCAAGGTTGTCAAGCTTGGTTTGCGTCGCTGTGTAATGTGGTGAGAAGCAGCCAGATGGCTGCGAAGTACTCCTGCCCCAGAGTGTTATATGCCAAGGATGTCGTGAAGTCATGATGGGTATGGAAACATGAGTTTCAAGTGGACCACTGCACCAAAGAATCGATTTGAACCTACCTTACTCTGTCCATAACTCGTCGTCGCTCTCCCAGTTGGCCACTCTTCATTGACATTTTTGAAGTCTTTTCCTAACTCGTCTAACACCACCGTAACGCTACTCGTATACACCATCCCTTTTGCACCGCATTCTTTGCTTGCCTCAAGCACATTCCGCGTCCCCTCGACATTGATTCTGAATTCGCCTTCCTTGTTTTTCATCGAATAACGCGCGGAGCCTAAGCGGTACACACCGACTGTGTGTACCACTATAGCAGGTCTTGCTTCATCGAAGACTTTTTGAAGAGCTTCGCGGTCCAGAACGTTAGCACGAACGTATCGGACGTCCTGCGTGAACGTCAAGGTTCCCAACGCGGGCGGGTTGATGTCGATGGCTGTGAGATCGAAGCGCTTCGTAGCAACAAGCGCAGAGACGATCTCTGTGCCGAGGAAGCCGCAGCCGCCTGTCACTAAGACACGGATCCGGTCTGTGGACATCTTGTTGATGTCGAAGAGATGGACAGCTGGCTGTGCGGCTGTACGGGAGGATTCAAGTGCTGCCAAGTCACTCTGGTCCGCATGTTCGTCCGCCGCCCTTCACACTCGACACTCGACTCCCTTGAGTTTTTGTACCGATTTCAGTTCCCTATTGGTGGCTTGTCAAGCTAGAAGATCAGTTCGATACCGATGGTAAAGGGCAAGGAGAAGCTCGCAACGGAGTGATCGCACAAGCAGCCTTGCCGTAACAAGCTAGTCATCAACACTTCGTTCCGAAATTTCGGAACTCCTGTGAGCGGCACCTATAACATCAATTTCAAGTCTTGTCAGTACTGCCGCAGACACTCGATCGCCAGACCAAAGCGAAGAGTGGGACCAGAAAACGTTTACCAGGACGTTTGTCTGACGCTCAAAGCATCGTATCTCTTCAGAGTGTCGGTTCTTCTCAGATACCAGTAGACATCATAAACATGAAGATAAATGAGTTCACAAGTAGGATAGCATCAACGTGTACGGCAAGTCATACCATGCTGATCTAACCATCACAGGCTTGATCACGCCACGCGTTCTCCTCGTTCCGTACAGCACGCACCACGTACCTATCTATCATGAGTGGATGCAAGACGAAGTTTGTCCCCCACCATCTGCTCCAGGTTTTCTGTCCCTAATCAACATAATCAGGAGATTCAACAAGCTACAGCTTCGGAACCTCTGACCTTAGATGAGGAATACTCGATGCAACAGTCCTGGCGTACCGACGCCGACAAATTGACATTCATCGTATGCACACATCCCGGCGAGCAATTCTATGATGAGATCACCAGATCAACACAAATAGCTTCTATCTCTCCCGGCAAACAAGATGCACCAGATTGGATGGTTGGTGATGTGAACTTGTTCCTTAGCGACGACGATGAAGAGGACGAGGAAGGAAAGGTGGATGAAGAAGGAAACGAAGATAAGCCGAAAAGCGTTATTGGTGAACTTGAAATCATGATTGCGCGGAAAGATCAGCAAGGCAAGGGCCTGGCACAGGAAACTCTGCGGGCGTTCATGTCGTACATCCAGTCGTCCTTACCCAGCATACTGCTCGAGTATGCCGGAGAAAGGGACGTAGTTTTGAAATACTTACGGGTCAAGATTGACAAAGACAATGTGCGGAGCTTGAAGCTCTTCGAGCGCGTCGGTTTCGTCAGAACAAGTGTAGAGCCTAACTACTTTGGCGAGGTGGAGCTGCGGACACCGGTCGTGGAGGAAATCTTGAAGGATGTTGAAGGCAGGATAGGGCTAGTAGGTTCTGGGAAGACATTAAAGTATGAGGCAGCAGACAGCCAGTGAGCACCATATGTTGGGTACAACTGCAATTCAACCCTGAGTATCACTTTGCACCTTCTCCTTTATTGCGGAGCGTTCAAGGATTCCGCAGCCGCTTGAGAGCAACCAAGTCCGCTTCATGGGTGAATCCGACGCATGGTATATGGCTATGCATCGCTAAAAACAGTTGCTGACTTCTGGGACGAAAACTCTGAACATATAGAGCCACTTCTCTCACGGCTTCCTGTCCTTGAACACCTAAGCCTTGCTCTCCCCTGTCTTCTTCTTTCCCTTCGCCTTGAGCTTGTCTACAACTTTGCCCATTACACCGAAAAGCTTCCCGAACCCAAAGCTCCATCCCTTGATCCTCACACTCCATACGAAGAAATATACGAGTGCCCAGTTGCTAATGCAGAAGGCAAGAAAGATACCAAAGTTTCTCCACTTTTGGCTGGCCTGGATGTTGAGTGTGGCGAGATAATCGTTTCCGGTTGTGTAAGGACAGTACATGCAACCACTTGTGGCTTCAGGGTTCAAAAGATAGCCAGGGGCTTGCTGCAAGAAGTCGCTGGCATAGCTGGAGCAGCTTTGACCGGGTGGTGCGTCAAACTGGGCTGTCTCCTGCGAAGCACATTCAATTGGAATGCCATCGAGTGTTGCTGCAAGAACGCCACCAATCCAATAGGTTGCGGGGCTGAGGGTACGTTAGCTTGGTATACAGTATAGCACTCAGGAATACATACTTAACCCAGTACATCCAATACTTCCAGAAGACTGGAAGCATGGAATAAGGCCGAACCACACCGTTGAACAGACCGAACATGACGAAGAAGAAAGGTAGTACGTTGCTGATAACGGTGAATGAAGGCGCGAAAGCGCAAATCCACTGTCCCCAGCTGCTAACGAAGAGCCAGTAGAGCAACGTCATGAGGAAAACGTAGCCAGATGTGGAGCTATCAGTAGGCAGGCCGGTAGGAAAGTACCATATAACCCAGTAAAGAAGCGCACCAATGATGGCGCTAGGAACTTCGCAAACAACTTGTGCGGTGACCTGGAATACTGTTAGTCGTTGCAAGCCTTCAACATCACGGGGATTGCTAATGAGGATACGCTGCTCGTACTTGATACAAACAGACCTCAACCCTGGGGGCAGAGATACTTACAAATGCAAACCACCCATAGATTCTGGACGGAAGTTCACGTGCCTTCCACAACTCCATGTTCTGGTAAAACTTGGGCACCACAGCATTCACGATCGTGGGTGGAATCATAACGATTAAGAACGAGGTGAACATCCTGTTTTGCATGTCGGCGATGGTGTTGCCGAGTTGCCAGAATGTGAAGCCGTTGAAAATCCCAATGAGTACAGCAGTGAAGAGCTTTCCGTAGACGTAGGATGGATCGCGCCACTGCTGAAGAAAGGTACGCTTGGTGAGCATGGTAGTCTGTAGCCAGACAGATGCAGCGAACTCAGACTCCTCCTCAGTATCTTCATTGGCGGAAGCCTTCTGAATGCGCTCAGTCTTGATGTGTTCGATCTCCCTTAGAACCTCCTTGGCATTATCAGACTCCAGCCACTCTTTGTTCCAATTGATACGGGTGCCGTCTTTGCGCTTGACTGGCTTGGCTGCGGTTTCAAGAATGAATTCCGCAACGTTCTTACTTGGAGGGCACTGTACGCCACGATCGCCGAAGTATTTGATGACATCCTTGCCGTTCTCTCCGACTGGGCCGAAGTAAAAGGTGTTACCGCCAGGATTGAGTGCCAGGATCATGTCGAATTGCTGGATGAGAACACTACTGGGCTGATGAATGGTACAGACAATTGCTTGACCCGCAGCAGCCAACTTCTTTAGGAAAGTGACGATCGAGTACGCAGAGTTGCTGTCGAGTCCGCTGGTAGGCTCATCCAAGAAGAGGAGGAGCGAAGGCTTTGCTGCAAGTTCAACACCGATGGTGACGCGCTTTTTCTGCTCGACACCGAGGCTGGCAACAAGAGCATCCTGAACATCTTGCAACTCAAGCAGATCGATGATTTTGTCGACATAGTCAATCTTTTCCTTGTGCGGAACGTTCTTGTCTTGTCGTAAGACGGCAGAAAATTCAAGTGCCTCACGAATGGTCGCAGTGCCATCATGAAGATCCATCTGTTCGCAGAAACCTGTTCCACGCTGGAACGATTTTCCAAGACCTTTGCCATCGACGAACATTTCACCAGACACAACGCCCGTGGTCTGGCGCTGCGACAGTGTGTTCAACAAAGTGGACTTTCCAGCGCCGGAGGCGCCAACAAGGGCGATCATTACACCAGGCTTTGCATAACCGTTGACCTTGTTGAGAAGCTTACGTTCGCCCCCTTGATATGGTACGGTATATTCGACGTCCTTCCATGTGAACACACTTTCGCTGCTCGAGATGGAGGCAAGTGCTTCCTCCTCGTCTTTTGTGCCCTCGCTGGAGGTGTTACCACTGGAGTCACCAGCAGTGACCTTCTCCTCATCAATCGGTCCGTCTTTGATAGCATTCTTTGCGCGCTTTGACTTTTTGAAGACCAGAGCTCCGCCACCGCCCTTGGCAAAAGAGAGAAATTCGGTCGCCCAGACAGTGACAATCAAATAGAGAACCGTGAATGCAATGACCACGCCAAAATTTCGCCAGAGGTGAGACCGCGTATACTCGAATGAAGTTTGCAAGTACGAGGATCCACTGACGGTATTCGCATTTGGCTGAGCACCGGTCAAGCTGCAGCCTTGATACGCCGGATCGACTCCAGGGCCTTGAGGGACAAGCTGAGATGGCGCGCATTCCATAATCCGGTCTGCAAATTCGTTGGACAGAACCGCCTCGAAGGAATATGCGATGGGATTGACGTGGAATAGCCAGCCGAACCAAATATATTTAGAAAGCAGCAGCGGCTTAGGAATAACGTATCCGGTAAAAACGATCAGGAGGTTCAGCGCAAGACCAGAAAATCTCACCGCGTCGTCGATCGATGGTGACATTGCCGCGAACATTCGGTAGAGCGATGTGATACACATGGTAGTGGTGTAGATGAAGAGGAAGTAGATCCAGAACTTTCCAGCTTCAACATCAAGTCCAGTCATGAAGTACATGATGATCGAAAAGGGAATGACTTGAACCAAAATGAGCGGGAAGTCTTGCAGCACTCGAGCCAGAGTAACAGCACTGGGTCGATAGAATGCGTAGTCTTTGTGCCGTTTGACGACATGCCGACCGGAGACCGCCTTCATCAGCTCAGAAAGCTGAAGCCAGCCAAGGAAAAGAATGGAGAAGAAGGCCGAACCACCTCGGGTAAAAGCACCAGAGGTATCCAAAGATTGCCCATAGAATAGAGAGCCGACAATCAATCCGTTGGAGATGATGATGAAGAATTTGGTATATAGCGTTGTCTTGTCGCCCCATGTGAGCCAAAATTCACGCTTCGTACACGCCAGGACTTGTCTAACGAACGAGACGGTGAAGGGCGAGTCCTTCGACTTCAGTTTGCTGTTGCTCTTGCTCTCTGCAACAGCGCCCTCAAACTCCTTCGCGTCGACGTAGTCACTTCTCTTGAGTTCTTCCTCGTACTGTGCAATATCCTTTTGAATCTTCTCGTACGCCGCTGATTGCCTGAATGCCCTTTCAAGGTCCTCAGGAGTCTTTGGCGCGCTGTTCTCATACCCTTCACGGAACTTCCGTTCAGTGGGATCAGTAACTGCAGTGAGGAAGTCGGCAGTAGTCTGCCGCTCTGGGCAGTAGAAACCAAGATCAAGAAAGTACTGTTTGGCTTCCTTTGCAGGGCCTTCGTAGATGCAACGGCCTTGGTCGATAACCATTACCTTATCCATTTGCTCGTAGATGCCCTCTCCAGCCTGGTATAGGGTGACAAATGTCGTCCGGTTGCTCAGGTCGGTCATGATACGAAGTGACTTTGCGTAGTCGAGCGCGGTCGACGCATCTAAACCTCTTGTCGAGTTGTCCCACAGCACAACAGTGGACTTCGCAGCCAAAGTTTCTGCAATCGACACACGCTTTCGTTCTCCACCAGACACTCCGCGAACGAACGCATCTCCGACCGGTGTGTACTTCGTGTGCGAGATACCGAACATCTTTAGAAGAGCGTCAAGAATGATCGGAATATCCTCCTTCCTATTCTTTTTTGTCTTATTGGTCAATGCGAATGTAAGGGTCTGCCAAACATTGAGGTTGGCAAAGTGGACATCGTCCTCCTCATTGTAGTTGACTTCACCACGGAACTGCTTCGCCTGCTTTGACGCCTCGATACCACCGTAATGTACGTCGCCTTCAACTGCAGCGTAAGTCTCTCGGTTGTTTGCAATCGCTTTTAGGAACGTTGAGCACCCAGATCCTGGCCGTCCTAGGACAAGCATCATCTGTCCATCCTTGAGCACACCTGAGAAGTCGTTGATAAGTGTGCGAGTCTGCTGATGCCGATTAAGTCGTAGGGCGGGGACAAAACGTGTAATCAGGTGGTAAAGATCAGGCCCGAAGGTGCCTAGGATCGCGTCGGGAACAGTCTTCACGAATGTAGCTGTTGAACCAACTCCCTTCACGTTTAGGTGCTTCCAAACCACGCCAACCTTCTTCGCTGATCTGCCATCCTTCCTCTTCTCAAAGTATCCTTCCTTCATGAAGTTCCCAAGCTCGAAATCGTCCTCTTTCTCAGCTGCCACAGCAGCATCCGCCGTCTCTTCGTCTTCGGCAGCCGTCGAATCGCTGGTATGTGTTTGTGAAATGCGAGATGCCTCACGAGACACGCTACGACGAGTGCTCTTTCTGCTGATAGTACGCATAAGGCCATCTTGGTCTCGCTCCGAGCGAGCGGCCTGCGATCTTGTGCGGGATAGGCTGGTGAGTTCTCTTCGAAGAGCATCAATATCCGCCGCTGCGGTAGCAGGGTCGAATCTGCCCGCATCAGGTTCTCCCCAGGTGCCCGTCCTGCCAACACCGCTGGGGCTGCTGCTATTGCTGCTATCGTCTCCGTTGACGACTCTTTCTTGTCCATTTTCAATGTACTCGCTGTCGTTGTGCCATGGATTCCTCCTGGGATCCTGATCGCGAGGATCTTGAAGACCGGAACCCCATAGCATTCTTGCGATTTAATTCGTCCTTTGTTTAATTGATGGACGTAGGCAAGAGCGATTGAGCTCGGCGACTAGCTAGGTATATGAAAGCTGACACACGAGCGGAAGTGGTTACGCAACAGAAGGGAGCGCGAGAAGAAATTAAAGTAATGGTGAAGTGAGACCGAATTTCCCCTTCTCTGGAAGACAAATCTACAGTAAAGGCGAGGAAACGGCCTTAACGCCGGGCCCGTAGCCATGCTCTATCGTCATACCTTATGCCCACTCAGCTACTAAGCCCACTACCCGCGTCTAAGTCCACGCCACGCGAATTCTCGCACTTTAGGCGCTTTGTTGGAATTGATATTACCAATCACTAGTGCCTAACATGTTGGCCACTGCTAAAGGAGGTTCTGTGCCTGCATATCGCGACCGGAATATGAATTCCTGTGCCTGCATACAAATCGTGACCGGAATATGGATTCCTTGGTGGGACCCTGAGTCATGTAGTGGACTGTAACGGCGATAACTGACCTGTTGGCGGCGATCGTCCCGCACAATCTGGCGGTGACCCCAATCCGTTCATTGGGTAGATCTGACATGCATTTCTAAGCGGTGTTTACGGGCGCAACTTAGCTCTGACAAGGAAACTCATTTGACTGGCAGCTATGCGCACAATTGCATGACGCTCAAATGTGTTTGACGAAGACTGTCTGCTTTGCATTCAGCACCCTTGGACGCATCAGACATCTGCGTCGTTGCCCATGCCCTCAAAGCTTGTGCGACTACTGTAATCACGGAGATATGATCATACTAGTGTGTCAGCATGTTGCATTTGTGTCAACGCCGGAATTTCGCAGCCTAAATGATAAAATCCCATCTGGGCTACTCAACAGTGCTCGGTCGCATAGGCATACATACCTACTTGACTCAGGGAGTCACGTGCACTTATATTGTGCAAGCAGCATTCGTACCGATGATGTGGAACTTAACGTCAGATCTCTGCATTGAAACGTGCTTGCTCCGCTAAGAACCATGACTGTGGGTGCGTTGAAATCTATAGTGGGTATTGCTTAGAAATGTGTCCACATGCAGGCGAATCCATCGGATTGCTCCACCTCGGAACACGTCGCAGGCTCAATGCTTTGGTTCAATGAGCTCAGGGATGTCTTCTGGCTTCGCCTTACCCTCCAAGATTTTGAAGACTGCAGTGAACAACGGGAAATCTGCCTCCTTGCCCTGCGACCTCAAGAATTGGTTCACCTCGATGGCAGTGCTGGTACCTTGCAGCTTCTGGCCATTGAGTTCCTTCTCCTCAATGGCACCAATAGACTCCCCGCGCTCAACGGCCATCTTTGCGCAGCGGAAGTTGCGACCGCCTGAGCAAGATGTGATGACATCAGCCACACCACAGCTTTCTTCGGTGAAAGTGCTAGTGCGAGCACTCTCTCCAAAGAAGGTCTTGCCAAACTTGACCATCTCGAGGATTCCTACACGCATGACAGCTGCCTTGGCATTGTCACCCCAGCCCAAACCGTCCACGAAACCAGCCGCGAGGGCAATGATGTTTTTCAGCGCTCCGCCGAGCGACACGCCAGCAACATCGTTTACCAAATGTACATGAAAGTAAGGGCGATGAAAGAGCTTGCGAATATTCTCATGCGAAAGCGGGGGATACTCGGAAGGTACAGGGGTCAGTTCGGCAGATCGTTTGCCAGGCTCAATCTCTGGATTGATCAGGTTGACTTGCGAAGAGCTTGGTGACCCGCTTGGTGTAGGATGACGGGAGTCCATCGGTGGCGGGTCATATGCGACAGTGGTCTCGGAATACAGCTCTTTGGCAATCTCAGAAGCGATGTTTGCACCTGACAAAGCACCGCAGTAGATACCCAAGCCCTTTCCGATAGCCTCAGACATGAGTTGGATGCCCTTCTCGCTCACATCAACGCCCTTTGTACAGCAGATAGCTCGAGCATATGGCAGGATCTTGCCTGACAGCTGGGAGCATGTCCTAGCAATGAACTGATGGGGCAGCACGAAGACGAGCATCGTCGAGTCTTTGCAAGAGTCAGGTAGGTCGGGGTTTGCAATTACGTTCGGAGGCAGCGTGATGTTCGGCAGGTATTTGGCGTTCTCGTGGACTCTGTTGATGAGCTGCGAAAGCTTCTCAGGCTTGTCTGAGCCATCGTAGTGTCGCGAGGTCTTGGGAACCGTGTACTCTTCTTCGAATACCCACATCTGCACCTGCTCCTCGAACAGAGAAGGGTTGGCCTTGGTATTCTCGGCCACAAGTTTGGCCATTGTGGTGCCCCTGACGCATGTTAGCTCGCTGTTTTGACAGTCCGAGTCCACCAAGATGAAACTATCAGCAAAAATGTAGCATGTTACGTACCAGTTGCCAGAGCCTACAATGGTCACCTTGTGCTTGCGCTGAGCACCAAGAGTCGCCATGGTTCTATATAGTATGTCCTTTCTTTGTAGATGCTTTGTGTGCGTGTCGACGTCGGTCGGTGCTTTTTGCGTAAAGACAGGGCGGTGGCAGGCTTTGACGAAGCTTGCTGGTGAGCGCAGCGATGACGACAATGATCTCGGGGACTTGAGGAAAGCCAGCTTATATGTCTTGCAGGTCTGGATGCGAGCGTAAAGTCAGAAATGTGAACACCCAGCCCCACCCGTCTCAAGATTTCAGCTGCCACGCACCGACGAGCTTGCTACGTCTGGAAACGGAAAGATACCTCGAGCCTCGGCTGCCTGTGATACGGTAAGACCGAGGGCTGCGATAGACACGTCGGAGGGTCGCGGGAATAACGGGTTGAATTAATCAGAAGAAGAGTGTTGGAGACGAGATGGTGGAGCTCGCAGATCAAGATACCGAAGATTGTTGAACTGATGCAGCTCGTTCAACACCCTGGTTGCGAATCGTTATCGATTATGCACGCCGGGGCGAGCCAGCTGATCAACGCTGCAGGACGAACCTTGGAATTGACCAATAGCACTACACCGCTGTAAGGCTGGTCCAAACAGCAATTATGACAATTGCAGTGGTGATGCAGTGACAGCTCGCTTCCAAACTTGACGTCCTTGTTTATTGCAACGACACTTTGAGTATGTGCACCGCATGTACGAGCATCGCAACGGCAAGGTAGGTTGTAGTGCCTAGCAAGCTAGGCGGTGAAAGGCTGCATGTAACATGACTTCATAGCGCGTTTGAACAGCTAAAGATTTTGAAATTGGGTATTGCAGTTCGTGTATCCATCATAACATCGCATTAAGACTCTTCGACCTTCTGCTCCTTCGTATCATGCGCAAGTGAACATACAAGACCTTGCAACGTGACGCCAAGGTGCCTCTGTGAGACCTGTATCCTCCTCATTATTACCACCCAATAGGGACCCGCCCACTACCCTCACTAAGATGATGGACACTTCTACAAGGCAAGGCCGAAGATGGCAAGGAGACCACCAGCCAGCGCAGGTGTGCCAAAGGCGAAGTTGGCGACAGCAGCACCAGGAGAAGCGGCAGCGGTGCTGGAACCAGTGGCGGAAGTCTGGCTGCCAGAGGTACCGGTAGCTGTACTGCTGCCACTACCAGTACCGGTGGCAGTGGAAGAGGCAGTGGAAGATGAGTCGTCGGACTCGTCGATGGTGATGTTACCGCACTGGGAATCACGAGCGGACCTGCAGGCGAACTGCTCAGCACGGTTGCCCTCGCCGTTGTCGCCAATGGTGGCGTTGATGCAAGCGTCGAACCAGAAGTAGCACATCTGCGCGGGGACGGTCTGCTGGTAGGTCTTCATGAAGTCCTCGGAGATGTCAGTGCCGTTACGGCACGAGCAGCTATACTCGAGGGTGGACTACAAAACAGGTTAGCGATTGCCCAGAAAAGCGGTTGCATGTGGACTCACGGCCTCGCAGTTGTTGCCGTTGCTGGCAATCTCGCCCTGGCCACCGCAAAGGTCGACGCAGGTGTTCTCCTGGGCATCGCACCACGACTCCCTCTGGTTCTCGGGCACAAGGTTGACGGCGACCGAGCAGCAGGGAATGACGGTGGTATTCTGGGCAGCGGCGAAGCCAGCAAGAGCCGAGACGGCGACGATGACAGAAGAGTAGAGCATGGTGAAGTGGTGTATGGCGCAGAGAGTATCAATGCCTGCGAGCGAGCGAGGTCAGCGGGAGATCAACAATGATCAGCAGCGGAGAGAGGCCGCGCGGTGGAAAGGCACACTGCCAGCGCAATGCGTCGAGTGCACACGCGTCCGAGGCATACAATGTGGAGAAAGGCGACTTACTGTGGTGCGGGCTGGTTTCTGATGAGAAAGGCGGTTGCTGGGAGGCGGGTGTGCCGGCGAGCGAGGCAGTCTTAAATGATACGCGGCACAGACTAGGTTGCACTAGCTCCAATTCACCACTCATTGGAGTTTCCCATATGGAGAGATACGCTCGGACGTGCCAGCTTCCTTCCTCCGAGTTTGAGGAAATTGCTACCCACGGCTAATCTATCTGTTGCTCAAATTCGCACCTGCACGCAGTTACGCTGCCGCGCTGCCTTGAGGCCTGCAATGGCTGTTCCCTCGCCCTCTCGTGCAGAAGCCGTTTCAAAGGAATGGCCACCGTGCCCGTGCCGCACTGCCGCAACACTCAGTCGCACTAGGGGGGACACGGTTGGCTGTGCATTCCACCAGCCCACGCGCCAAGTGACGCACGCCGGCACAGAGCGCGCAGACAGCATCCTTCTTGCGACGGCGGGAAGCTGTTGCTTGGCCTGGGGCAAACATGCATCGGCGGCAGCCGTGTCGATGTGGTCGTGCTCAACAATCATTTCCATGGAAACCCCAACCGCTGACACTTCGGCTCTTCCAAGCGCGCCAAAGTGACTGTTCGGACAGGCATCTTGCAACGGGCCGGGCTCCACATCAGCCACAGCCTGCATCATTGCCGGCGTCACAGTGCTGACAGCCTTGCTTGTGCCCCATCTTTCTGCTTGCTGTCGCACAGTCTCAGACGGCATCCCTTGAGCGCACCGTTGTGCGCGCGACAATGGCCGGTTGGTCGATTTCATAAACACACCAGGCAAGGTCCCCCGCGAGTCCAACGCGTCGCTAAACAACAAAGCGTCAACAACTTCCTGTTTTTTCGAGCGCTGCTGCCCGATCCGGACAAGACCTTGCATAAAGCTCCACCCAGACCTCGGGCCGCACGGACGCGTTGGCATCGCGCGAACTCAACACCATCCGGAGACCTTGTGAACTTGACAAATTTGTCGCAAGTGACGCCCATGCCCCATTGAAGCGCTCGCCGCCAGTTGTTTCGCCACATGACATGCGACGCATCGCACGGCCAGTTTTTCCGGATTCGCGCCTCGTTCATGCCTGCGAGTGTGCGCGTTCCAAGTGTTTGCTGGTGGCTGGTGGCTGGTCTTGGTAGCCCCCGCGCAGGAAGTCGCACGTCTAAGCGTCGTACACCGTGCTTTGTTCCGCAAGGTCAATAGACCTTACCAGTCAGCGGTGGGGAGCCGTGTTACGAGCGGTCTTGGGCACTTGTCGAAGCTTTCGATCACCTTGTGTACAGATACAACTCAGTATCGCCTGATCAACTTGTGGCTAGTAAGTAGATGCGCGGCTGCTCGATACTGTACATGAACCGCGCTACTTCTGTTTTGCGATATTTCCACGTATACCTACTTACCACGTCTGATCTCGATGGTCTTAGAATCCTTGGTCTGATTGAACTAATGTCCGGCGGGGTCAAGGATCAGCAAAGTCTCGTTCTGTGGTCGCTGAACAACGATCCGTTTCGGCGACGTTGCGATCCAATCGGCTTCAAGGCGATAGCCGTGAGCTTGCTGTCTCAGAACTTGGTGGCGGGTCTGTACTTAGCGTCGTAAGCAGATTACGTGGATAACCGTGAAAGATGGACTTTACCTTCTAGCACCTGCAATCGTCTGCACAGGATGCCAGACGGCGCGGTGGCGGTCAAAGAAGCGGTGGGCTGCTTTCGGCTATGATGCGGTCGGCTTACGGGCGGGTTTGAAAGGAAATCGAGTGTCAAGTGTACATACATTATCTACGCTACGCTTTGGCAAGTTCATTCCATCACTAACATAAGTATGACAATGCATGTGTTATGTAATGTTACAGCCCTTACAAGTGCCTGAAAACGCATCATGAGAAATCATCATCATGGCAGACTTTCGCCCAACACTGTACAGCCGATATCATAAGCCTCAACCAACACGGATAGACGTTGTGAGAGAAATCACATGAAACTCTGCTAATTAAATACAATGACAATTCACTGTATTCCATGGGCGAGGAGGTGATGTTGGATCAAAATATCGAGCATGTTTGTTCTGTTTCTGATGGATGTTTACCGGACTCACTCTGACACTTTCTAATTGCTATGGCAGGTGTACACTCACTGTCTGAGGAACAGCGTTGCAAGACCTGTTTGGGTTTATGACGAGCCACAGTGTCGACCTCGCTGTGTTGCAGGGTAAACATGGCCTCAGCATGTCATGCTTCGAGGACTTTGTTGAGAAATACCCGTCGCTCGGAAAACCAGGCTATGGCTGACAACCCTCATGTAACCCATCTCTTTTGTGCACAAGTGGAGAGGAATGTAGCGAGGTATATTTCCTCGAAGAAGAGTAAGAGGCTCATGTCACCTTGGCACATGGACAAGAGATTTAGATGGGCATGAGTGCCATCTTGATCCACACTTGAATCCACTCGCGTCCTGTGCCAGAGATTTAGCTCGATAATGGGTTTGATGAGGTTGGGCGGGACACAGCTCGTCTTCCTTCCAATGTCTCGCGCCTTTCTCCCAAGATCTCGTGTCCACTTTCTTTATGCTAGGGAGACACTGCAATCCCCTGTCAAAGTTAACGTCCTGTCCCGCATCCAGTTCTGGTGTAATGTCGTTATCTACCTGCCGCCCTTCAACCCTCCTTCGGCTGCTCCTCCAGCTCCTCCAGCTCCTCCAGCTCCTCCAGCTCCTCCAGCTCCTCCAGCTCCTCCTGTGATCAAGACCATTGCTGATGCACACTGAAACAGTAACACAGCCTCACCCGCGTCCCACAGGTCAGAACTCCAACGCCCCGGCCTACTAGCATGGATAACTAATTCGGCGCGCTGTGAACTGCAACATACCTGCCTTACCCACGTCCCACACGCGGCGACTTCCCGCTCATTCGGCATTGACCACCGGCGATAGCTTGTGTACTATCGACAACAAACGAAGAAAGAGAGAGGAACACTTACAATCACATGGCATGGTGGCAGCGATGCATGTAGCCCTACAAAAGAAGATGAGCTACTTCCTTTGCTAACGGTGTCGGATCAGATCCTGCTCCGCCCTTGCCCCTTCACGAACGAAGGGGTTACAGGTGCCTCAGATAGACGTCAGGATTGCGGGGTGACGAATATCAACACTTTTGCACCTCATTCACTGGCGAAGACCTGGTATTCCAGAGAAGGACTCGAGACTGCGACCTGTGCCACATCACTGACGTTCGAGCGAGACTGATTCACTGTATCCGAGCAAGTGCGGTGAAATCGTGATTGATTACTTCCAGTTGAACACATATGCTCCAACTAGGGAAACATTATAATAAAACCACTGGCCCCTCTTGTCCGGTTTTGCGTTTTGCGAGATAGTCGGTTGGACCCAATTGGAGACTGTTGTGCATACGTGAAGATGTCGCTGAATGAAGGGCCCATCAACTAGTCTGCTCAAGGAAACGACAGCAATTTGTAATGTTCGGGTGGCCGACTAGCAAATTCAAGATTTGCTACTGCGTCCGTCTTTCGCCCGCCGTTAGCTCACACTCTTGAAAGTTGAATCACCGGTCAGCATTTGCGGTATGTGGACCCACCACCGACACATGCGTTTTGATTAGCGCACGTTCGCTTGCACCCACTCCCACACCCTCTGTAAGTAGGCCTCGTCAAGCGGCTTTATACCTCTTAACACCGGTATACACTCCTTGCTCTTCTCCATGGCGAAATATGGTCTCCTTGACGAAGTGTCTTGCGAACCGTCACCATACGCTTCCTTCCACAGACCTAGCAACTTCTTTGCTGAATGCTCAGTGTTACTTTCCTCCAACCGCTGCAGCCAGTTTTGCGGCGAGACGATCTCAAAGTCCGCCTTTTGCTTTAACCAGAGCAGCATATCGTGCCAAGTCGGCTGACGATGCGGATTCAAGACGTGATATACCGGTATCTCCGTCTGATTGCAGTTCTCCTTCCTTGTTGACTCTAGGAAAGCTTGTGCCGCAACATCAACAGGTAACCAATCGAGAACTTCATCGCTTAGATCAGGTAGACATTTGATAATGCTTGCAGTGCTCAACATCATTGGCCATGCCTCCTTGGTGTTCCATACCCCAGACTTCGAGTCTCCTGCAAGCTGCCCGACACGGACGACAGCAATCCGACCGCGAAGACTCGTCCGGCTATCAGCTTCAGCACAGATATGCTCTGCGACCCACTTTGACCTAGAGTAGCCAAGCGGAGATGCTGAAGAAGGGTCGTGTAGAAGCTTTTCGGGCCAGCCGCCGGACTGATCTACTTCACTGTTCATGACCGCGGCCGTGGACGAACAATAGGCGAAGCGTGGAGGGCTCGAACGTTGCGCACTCAACGCGAGATTGAGCAGGTTTCTGACACCTGCTATGTTGTCTTTGACAAAGCTTCGGAGCTTCAGGCGGAAATTCACCGTCCACGCCACGTGAATGATGCAGGTTGCTCTTTCCGCTAACTGATCATAGAGCAAATCGCTCAAGCCAAGGCGTTCGTCGCCGAGCTGCGCTGGTATCACCTTGACTTTTGCATCGGTTCTATCCGACACGAGCAGGTTCATCAAACCTCTTTGCTCGAGTGCCATATTCACTCGCTTTTTAGCCTCGTCTTCGTCTGCTCCTCTCACAAGGCAATACACAGTCTCAACTGACTCAGATCTCTGGAGCAAATCCAAGATGTGTGCTCCGAGAGCACCGGTGGCTCCAGTCAACACCACAACGTCCCGAGATCTGCTACTCCCCAACTGTCCATTTGTAGCAGGCTGTAGCGGACTATCTTCGAAAGAGCCATACTGTTTGACGAGGTCTAGCATGAGTTGTTCTTCATCTTCTTCGAAGACACCAGACTCTCCGTGTCTCTTTTGTAACACGTAATTCGTTAGGCGCTGGATTGAACCACAGTCCTCGATAACGCTCATCGGCAGTGGTTTATCGCAATCCGGTATCAGCCCTCTCAGTCGTGATCGTAGCTGCATACACGCAATGGAATCAACACCATACGAGAATAGATCCATATCATCCGTCAGTTCTGCGGACTGAGATGTAATGGTCTGTATCAGGCCTTTGAGGTGTTGCGGCAAGTCCTCATCAGATACGTCAGTCGATTGGGGCGAGTCTCGTTCTTCGTAAGCACGATTGATAGTGTTCTCAAACCTGGCCTCTGCCGCTCTACGGATAAGAGTTCCCTTACTGCTCTTCTCGAGTGGTTCTTGATACGGTAGAGGTACCAACATATCGTGAGGGATTCTGGCGTGGTCCTGGCTGTCGCGATTGAGCTTCTCTACAACAGGCTTGAGTACATCGAGTAGCTCAGGATCAGTCATTGTGCCGCCCTTCTCGGATCGGAGTAACAGTGCCCCTGGATAGGGCCGATTGGTACCAAATATCAGAACGTCGCCCAAGTAGGGTGATGTGGCAATGGCGTCCTCGAGTGGCGCAGGATCGAACTTTTTACCGGTGATGAGAGTTAGCTGGGAGTCGGCACGAGAGTTGTATATCCAAGCATCTGTGATTGAGGGATGTGGAGCGAATAGATCTGCGGTTGCGAATGATCCGTTTGAACGGTTTTGTTTGGCCTGGGCCTAATGTTAGTCGTTCTGTTGTTACTCGTTTCTTCAACATTCCATACCATATGAGGCCAACCCTGCTTGATTACAAGCTCGGCAAGGCCGTCTTCGCGCGACTCGAAGCTCAACAGCTTCTCTGGATTGTAATTCCGCAAGTACTGCCAGTCCTTGTCCGCTGAAAAGTCGCGAAAGGATGACATGATAAAGCCGCATTCAGCACTTCCAAACCGTGAGATGAGATTCACGCCGCTCTTTGCAAGGCGATCACCCACCTCCGCTGGCAACGCTGCGCCTCCAACACCGACGATGTCCATCTTTTGCAGATAAGTCAAACCGTGCTCGTCAGATTCCATCATTTGCAGCACATATGGCACTGATGAAAAATACTTCACGCCCGGATTCCCTTCAAAAGCTGCATGGGACTCTGCCACTTCCAGACTGCTGCAAATGTTTCTAGCTGTGATGGGTACATCCTTGCCTGGGAACAACCAGATCAGAGAATTGCTAGTCCATGCCCGGAACAAATCAGCAATTCCTCCATGGTAAAGAGGCGTTGTGGTGAACGTTGACTTCATTGGAGTTGTAGGTAGGTGAGGAAGGACGCCTAAGCCTGCTCGATGGGACTGTGGTATGGGCTTTGGTAAACCAGATGAGGTTCCAGAAGTGTGGTGTAGATAGGCAACCGCGGTCTCATCTAAAGTCGGCGTTTTGAAGCTGGTCTGCACTGCCTCACTGATGACCTCGTAGATATCTTCTCCTTCACGCAGAAGCAGTGGCCGTGAATCGAAACCAGCCGCATCTTCCTCTTTCGCCAAAGAAGAAGTTTGTTCTGCCCGCTCTGCGTGTGCGATATCATAGAACAAGGTAGATGCTTGACAAGACTTGTAAAGATGTAATATTGCGGCAGGCTGGCATTGAGGTGCAATCAGTAGTACTGAGTAACCTAGTCTCATCAATGCCAGCCACGTGAATAGGAATTCAGGCGAGCTGTGACAGAGTAGCGCTACTGTTTCTGGAGCTTCTGGAGCTCTGCCCAAAGCTTGCAGGTGTTTTTCTGCAAGCACGTTCACGCCTCGTGCGACATCCGCGAAAGTGAGGACCTTGTAGCTCCATTTATTCTGTTGTGGTCGGGGTACAGGAAATCCAACGGCTGAAATGTAGGGATTGTGTAGTGCTTGGTAATCTACAAATTGCCCAATCGTCGTGTAAGGGTTCGGCTGACGATTCAAGGTGGCGGCTTGACCAAGGGTGCAGACGAAGTAGTTGGTCTGCATGACGAAGAGAGGATAGGAACACTGGCGTCTGGTGTTCAAACCTCAGCAATCCGGGCCTCGTGATAGACTGACACGCAAAGGTACTGTTCTGCCGTTAGGCGATGTTCCAGCAAGGGGCTTAAGTCGTGACATCATACAGGACCGCTTTAGCGAGCAGTTGAGGTTTTGTATCGAATGTTTGACGCATGCACCTGAAATCAATGGTAACAAATCAAGAACTCGACTCTAGAGAGATTCAATGCTATCTGAAAGGCGACGTGATTCGAGAAGTACGTTGGTGCACGGGCCAACACGTAATCGTAGGACGTTGCGGCGCATGTGTAGGTAAAGCTCCAGTCGCAGAAGATCTCGAACGTACTTTGTACAGCAGCTGCTGGTGATCTTGCTCTAGACTTCAGTCTGTAACCCTTTACAACGTTGACGAATGTATGCATATCCACAACAGACCAGACTGAGACACACATACACACTTATTGTTGGATGACGTGGAATTCGTAAGATGTAGGTGCCATCTCTAGCAATCAGAAGTATCTACAATCAGATCTAGCGGATTTAACGTGCGTGTCCTCGGTTCGAAGGGATGATAATGCTCAGGTGCTGGACATCAAAAGCGGCCACACCAAGAGAGGTTACGGCGCGACACCCCTGTTTCCCGTTGTTGGTTTGGCGTACGCTGGGCCACTGATGTATACCCTGCAGTAATTGGTAGAATGTGATTAATCGCATGTGCTCTGTTTAAAAAGCATTTCAACAGGATCATTGATCCGTCGCGTCTGATGCTGCGTTTTGTTGGGCGGCGTAAGCCAACGGATGTAAGCCAAATATTCCACCACAGTAAAGTTAGGAAAACGTCAGAAAGCTCCATGAAATACCTTTTTGCCTACAACATAGATAATGCTTTAATAGGTTTCGGCTTTGGGCATTATGATAGTTGCAAGTTCTGTGCTAAAGTTGGTTATCTCAAAGGTCGCGTATCCAATATTCCCTGAATCGTGAGAGAAGGGTCCGCTGAGGTGTTGAACTGGGCATCGTTCATATTGGGCATCTTGTTGCGAACAGTCATTGACGCCTGCACAGAGAATCCTTCGCGTGCACTCGCGACGATGCCCATATTGCCATCATTAAGCATCGTTAAGGCCCCAAGGGACAGGCAGCAGCTACCTAATCGATGCACCTGCTGAGCAATTCTCTGCACCTGTGACGCGATGACCTCTCGGAACAGATGAAACCAGGCTGAAATGTCGGAGACGGACCATCTGTAGTGGCCGTCTCCGACATTTTCACGACGCGAAAACGGACCAAAACGCCAAGACTAAGCCACAAACTGCTCAGCCAACCTGCAGCCGATCACCCGCGCATAATCAGATTCTCAGGCATCCAAGCTGGTCATGTATCGGCGGACGAAATCTCAACACCATCCTTTCACCTGCTGAGAAGCTATCCTGCGGACCAAAACCATTGCCTGTTATGGCTGGTTCATGGTGATGGGGGTCACAGCTAATGCAATAATGGACCTATGGAGACATTTCAAGCTCTCTTGTGCTTGGCTCGCAAGTCTTGACCTAGACGAATGTATCCACTTTCCGAAAGGCCCACTCAAAAATAAACGAACCCGGGTCGACTCACGTTCGCGGAGTGCAGGCCGGAGATCTGGAGAGTCTGGAATTGTGGTCGGAGCGCAAGAACACCGCACAAAAGTCTTGGCTTGATAACTCTGGTTCAACGCCAGAATTTGACAATTCATAATACTCATGAAGTTCTTTTCGTGTGCTTGCTAGTCATAGGTTAATGGGATCAGTGGAACATGGCGACGTGCAGATGTGACCAATGCATGCGCTTGCTCATTGAGCTCGCGGTGTGAGACTGCGCAGTGAAAGCGTCCCAATGTTCGCAGAGTAGGGGACGAATATTCGACCGATTCTGCATACGAAAACAGGCAAGCGCAATCTTCAACCCCTTGAAGGGTGACCAGGCGCTTCGTGTCGCGCATCCCGACAAACAAAGGCGCCCTAATTTTACCGATGGGCCAACCTCTTGGTATTGCACCTTGACTACAACGTTAAGCCGCCCGCATGAATCATCGTGCCTCTTCCGCACCCTACTTATAACCCTTCCATCCCCAGGCTCCAAGTTCTTTCCTTAGGCTAAGAATCACGTCCTACTCAACAACTACACAGGATCCTTTCCTAGCGCGCACCCTCACATTGTTCATCACTGCCACACAGCCAGACCAGATGAGCGAGATACGCAACCAAACATTGCGGCCTGTCAGCATGGCCGACTCAGAAAAGACAGCTGCCCGTAGCGTGGGCGAGCTCGATAAGAAAGATATGGGTGTTGGCGAAAGCGGTCTGCCTTCTGCTGCGGCTTCTGTGCATGAGCAAATCGCCGGAGAGAAGCAGCCCGAGGTTAACGAAAAGCGAAACTCAAGAAGCAGCGACATTGAAGACGAAGACAACTTTGAATACCCCACCAAATGGAAGCTCGCTATCATCACATTAGCGCTATGCCTTTCAGTCTTCTGCATGGCTTTAGTGAGCTCAATCCATCCATATCAAGACGACAAAACTGACTGTTCTAGGACAACACCATCATCGCAACAGCCATTCCTCGCATCACTGATCAGTTCAAGGCTCTCAATGATGTTGGCTGGTATGGATCGTCTTACCTACTGACAACTTGTGCGACACAACTCCTTTACGGAAAATTTTACACCTACTACTCGATTAAATGGGTCTACATCAGCGCCTTGTTCATCTTCGAAGTCGGTTCCCTCATCTGCGGTGTTGCGCCGAACTCGACGACTCTGATTATTGGCCGCGCTATCGCTGGTGTAGGAGCTGCTGGTATTTTCAGTGGCGCCATTCTCATCATTGCAAGCACTGTCCCTCTGCGACAACGACCTGCCTACATGGGCTTGATCGGCGGCATGTACGGTATCGCGTCGGTCGCCGGACCTTTGGTAAGTGGAGATGCCCAGAAGCGTGGAGAAGTGGATCTTCGTACAAACCAAGCATTTGCTAACGAAACCCTAGATGGGCGGAGCCTTTACCGATCATCTGACTTGGCGTTGGTGCTTCTACATTAACCTGCCCCTCGGTGCAGTCACCGCCGCGTTTATTATCCCGTTCTTTACCATTGAACGTCGCGGCAAGAAGAATGAAGCCACCTTCAAGGAGCAGGTCAAGAAGTTCGACCTTGAAGGCACTGCGCTGTTCTTGCCTGCTATCATCTGTTTGCTGCTTGCTCTGCAGTGGGGTGGAAGCAAGTATGCATGGGGCAGTGGTCGCATTATTGCTCTCCTTGTCTTGTTCGTTGTGCTCATTGGTGGCTTCATCGCTATTCAATGGTGGAAGCAAGAGGATGCTACCGTGCCTCCTCGTGTATTCCTCAACCGTAACGTCTGGGGATCGGCCTTGTTTGGAGCTATGCTCGGCGCCTCCTTCTTCGTCATGGTCTACTTTCTTCGTAAGTCTTCTCACCAGGTCACCGAATGACAGCTAACAGAAGTAGCAATCTGGTTCCAAGCCGTGAAAGGGGTCTCCGCGACCAAGTCTGGCATCATGAACCTCCCAGCTATCCTCGGCCTTGTCATCATCTCCATGCTGGCTGGTGGTCTTGTCACCTACACCGGCTACTACACACCGTTTATGCTGCTCTCATCCGTTCTGATGGCTGTTGGAGCTGGTCTCCTAACGACGTTCGAGACAGATACAGGCGCAAGCGCATGGATAGGCTACCAGTTCATGTTTGGTGCTGGTGTCGGATTCGGGATGCAGCAAATTCTTATTGCGGTCCAGACGGTCCTCCCAGCAGACGACATTCCTATCGGCACTGCTACCATGATGTTCAGTCAGACTCTTGGTGGCGCACTCTTCATCTCGGTCGCCCAAAACGTGTTCACCAACCAACTCATCAAGAATCTCAACAGCGTGGTGCCCGAGCTCGACTCAAGCCTCGTCCTGGTTGTGGGTGCGACTGAGCTCAAGAACGCGATCGAACAACGCTTCCTTCCTGGCGTGCTCTCGGCCTACAACCTCGCCTTGACTCAGACATTCTACGTGTCGGTTGCTGCAGGCGCAGTGTCGATCATCGGCGCTGCTTTTGTGGAGTGGAAGAGCATGAAGGGCAAGAAGATCGAGATGGCGATGGCGTAAAGGACCAGCAAGAGGCAGCACCATTGCTGACTAGACTTGCATGTTACCTTCGTGTCGCTTGACGTCTTTGTATGATACCCATGTTTCACGACCAGCACCAACGAGCGGGCGCTGTGTGGTCCCCTGGACGCTTTCGTAGTTTTTTTGAATACATATTGTAATAGACAGAGATGGAAGCAGGTGGAGCTGTTGCTGGAGATACGGTAGACTAGAGCATCTTCTCTCAAGAGACAAACCCGATCTTGAACTCGTACCTCATGACCTCATTTGGTGAGATTTTCATGTGCAGATCAACAAGATTTCAATGCAGTTACGGCATGACGTATGCTGCCGTGCAAGATGCCGGGTTCCGTATTGAGAAGTGCGAATTGCACCGAAGGGGAAGAGCAGGCCTGGTCCGGTGGGCGTGTTGACGAATGAAACGGCCGTCGACTGGAACGGCAGGCAGCCTCTGACACGATCAAGCCTTTGCCTAGGCGACCATCGAAGCTTAGCACCGCCCACCCGTCCCGTGCCAGCCCTGAGGGCTCCGCCGGATGCGACGCGCGGGGCGCCTGCCAGCCGCATTCCCTCTACTGCGCCCCGTTCCCTGCGATCTTTTTCTCTGGCAGTACTGCGCCCATACTGCATCGCTCAACCGCACCCTCCCGCGCTCCGTCGTTGTGCGCCCACGCTCCGCAAACGATCCCTAGCGCCGACTGCGAGCTGCGCGCATCGACAGCCCCGAGTCCCGAGCGACGCCGCGCGCGCGAACGAGACGCAGCGCAACGAGACGCGCAGGCCATGGCCCAGGAGAAGGAGGACAGCGGCATGGCCGAGACACACCCGGGCCCGGCGACGGGCGCCCCGTCCGACGCCGCAGGGCCGGACGAGCCGGCCTTCGAGGCGCCCAAGCCGCAGAAGAGCAGCACCAGCGAGAGCCAGGGCCCCGAGGGGGGCTATGATGACACGCCTATCCCGCGCAGAGAGGTACGCAGTACGCAGTAGAGCGCCGCGCCCATGGGGGCCGCCGCCGCCCGCACGCTGAACGCACCGCTGAACGCACCACAGCCCGGGTACACGGTCAAGTTCACCTTCCACCGCGCCAACAACCTGCCGCTGGCCGACATCAACACCCTCTCCGCCGATCCCTTCATCCTCGCCGAGCTGATGACGGCCCTGCCTACCCGCCACAAGGAAGACCCGCCCTTGACCCTGCGCACCCGCACCGTGCGCCAGAACACCGACCCCGAGTGGAACCAGGAGTGGATCGTCGCCAACGTGCCCGCGAGCGGCTTCCGCCTCAAGTGCCGCATCTACGACGAGGATCCGGCCGACCACGACGACCGTCTGGGCAACGTCCACGTCGAGGTCGCCTCGGTCAACGAAAACTGGGCCGGCATCCACCAGCAGGTGTTCCCGCTGCGCAAGCGCATGGTCAGCAAGCGTGCCTTTGTGCTGCGTGCCGTCGCTGTCTGTATCCGCAAGGCTCAGCACATGACCGGCACCCTGACCGTCAGCGCCGAGGTCCTGGGCCGTACGCAGGACGAGCACGGTGGCCGCGTCTACACAATCGGGCCCCAGTTCTGGATACGCCACTACTCACCGCTGCTGGGCCGCCTGCTGGGCCAGAAGGAGCCCGACGAATCGGGCAGCGTGTCGCGCCGCACTGGCAAGACCAAGGCTGAGCGATACAACTTCCAATCCAACCAGCTGCAGCTGCGCGGCCCGGTCCCCGAGCACATGTACCACCGCTACGTCGTCTTCAAGCCCTTTGTCAAGAGCATGTTCACTGCCAAGGGCGTGCGCGGCTTTATCCTCTCCAAGGCCCTTCACCATCAGCACGCCCGCGTCTACAACTTCGACCACGCGACAGAATATAAGGAGTTCGCAGAGCCCTGCAAAGCCTTTACGCAGAAGTTCCTCGAACTTGTCCACTACGACCAAGGCGGGCGGATCTTTACGTACGTCCTGACCCTGGACGGACTCTTCCGCTTCACAGAAACCGGCAAGGAGTTCGGCATCGACATGCTGTCCAAACACACTATGCACAGTGATGTAGCAGCATATATTGCCTTCTCCGGCGAGTTCTTCGTTCGGCGCCTCAAGCATCCGAACAAATCTCCCGAGGACCCAAGCCAACAGTCACACCCTCCTCAGGACATGGATGACGGGCCTCCCAAACAGGAGCCCAAGACCGATCCTGGCTACTACGAACTCATCATCGATAACGACAGCGGCACATATCGTCCCAATGCCCAGCTACTCCCACAGCTGAAAACCTTCTTCGCCTCTAATTTCCCTGGCCTGCATATCCGAACCCTCGACTGCCAGGGCGATGCCGAGAAGATGGAGCAAATGAAGAACGAGCAGCGCGAGAAAAAGAAGAAAGAAGGCGACCAAGTAATCTACACCCAAGCATCGCGCTCATCGTCCATCTCGAGCTCCGACATCTCGGAGCTGGACCATCTAGAGCAGGCTGGCGAGTACCAGGAGGGCCATCTGCGGCACCAAGTCCAGGGCGTGGCTGGCGCAAAAGCCGGCGCGCTCAAGCACCACATGGCAGACTTCACGCCGAGCCAGAATCACGAGGGCTGGCGCGGCAAACACCACGATGTCGATCAGGATACGGAGGAGGTCCGGCGCCAGCGTCAGGAGAACGGCGATGCGAAGGAGAACGAGCAGACGGGCCGCAACGACGCGGAGAATGGCGCGCAGGTGCAGCCTGGCCAGACGGGCCAGACGGGGCAGTCATGACGACGCGATCGAGTGTGATGCGAGTTTTCCCTGCTTGTGTTTATGTTTCCTGCCCAGCATGCGCTTGTTCTCGTAGAGTTGAGCGGCATGGTATGTTCCCCCAATGGCAGAGCGGGGGCTGACCGGTTCCCGTGTCTGCAATTGGTTTGGTTTGGTTTGGTTTGGTTTTCCGCCGGAAAAAGCGTGGAGGGCAAGTAATCTGGACGCTCTCTGCTCGAGATACCCACCATGTACTAGTTCAAGATCTTCAGTAGTTAATTAATCATCTCACAGGCTCGAGCTGCTCGTTTGTGTGCGCTATATAGTTGTTCAATGCTTGAAAACTGAAGTGATTACATAAGATGACCTGTAATACCGGCCCGATGGCGCAACGGTAGCGCGTCAGATTCCAGTTTGGTGTCTCCTGAAGGTTAGGCGTTCAAATCGCCTTCGGGTCATTTCCTTTTTGCTGCTGCGTGGGCATCCACACTGGCTCTTTTTCGTAATCGATGTCACTCTTTTTTGGCTGCTAACTCACACACGTGCACATGTCAACTTGCTTGACTGCATGATCACCACGACGTCGAGTCGAACGAATTGCTTTTATTGCGTCTATCTGACATTCACCGTATATCTGACCTTGGATATGCTCTCGCTGCCTACTTCAGCTTCACCTGCAACACACCCTTCCAGGCCTCAACCGCCGCATCCACATACTCTTTTGCATAGTACTCGACATCGTCATCGCTGATCAGCGGCTTCAACGCAGCCCCCGTCTTTCCCCACCGGACCTGTGCCTTGAACGCCGCCGCGCCCCTCTTCTGCAGCAGTCCAATGTAGCCATTCGCCACCTTGCCAATTGCGTCAAACGCGCCTTTGGTGTCGGCGTCGATCTGCTTCGCCCAGTCCTTGGGCACCTGCGACTTCATCGGGTGCGGGGCTTTGGACTGCACGACGCGCTCTTTGATCTCGTTTGCCAGGCGGGGCAGGGCGCGCAAGACTTCGAGCGCGGAGTAGGTTGCGATGAGCATGGTTTCGCTGATCATGGGGGGCTCGTCGATGGGGTCTTTACTGGGTGATGTGGTGGCGATTATGCTTTCTTGGTCCAGGCGCAGCTGTTTGAGGCTGGTGGTGAGTGTGGTGAAGTGCGCGGCATCGACTTTGGTCTCGGGGTTGAGTGCTGAGTAGAGGAGGGTGGAGATCGGGTGCCAAAAGTTCTTGTTGATATGGTGCTCTTCTGCGGTTCCGCCGTTGGTACGCTCTGGTGTGCTCGCTGGTGTCCAGTTGATCGGCAGGCCGTCGCGGTAGAGGATCTTGCTGACAGATTCGCGGTCGTGGCCTTGCGTGATGATGTCGTCTGCTGATGGGATACCGGCAGGCACGAGAATTGAGTAAGGTCGGTGCACATCCGAGTGTTCATAGGCAGGGAAAACGGCCCGGTCGATGTTGTCAGATGGGGACTGAGTACCTGATGGGTAGGTTAGGTGTTATATTCAAGCACGACGACTGTACAACTTACTTCTGTAATCGACGTCTGGAAGATCGCCCGCTGGTTCTCCCTTGATGCGAGCAATGCGGCGGCGTTCGAGGATGGAGGTACGTCTTGTCAAGGAAGACGTTAATTTGGCGTTCATCGAAATGAGATCAAATGCTGAATCCCAATGGAAGCGCTTTATATCTCTGTAGATCAAACCTTCCTGAATTTTACTCATCCTGTTGATGGTGTCGACGACATGTTTCAGCTCCTTGTCTGCAGAGAAACCTTGATGATGCTTGACATCGAACGGTTGTGTAAGAGCTATGTGTGACAAGAGGTACGGAGATAGAGTGTCCACGAGCATCTCTTTGACTTTAACATGTTTCCACAGTTGAAAAGCAACTCTTCCCAGTCCAAGATTGAGATGCAGGCGAGAAGCCAGTAGCGCAAGTGGACGGTTCTCTTTCTCGGTGTCCCGCTCCACAGCAGCGCGTACGAGCATCGTAGCCTGCATGAGACTTCGAGAAGTACCACTTGAAGTACTGCTCAATTCGGCGTCTTGGCGGCTTATGTTTGTCAAACAGTAAGCAATTATCATGATCGGATCAGGGTCTTTCGGCAACGTTTGGCTAATCTTTGACGCCCTTTCGATCAGCAACTCCAATGTCTCTTTGGAGCTTGGTGACGTCTTAAGAGACACAGTAATCAGATACGTGAACTTCAGAACGCAGATCTCAGCCCGTGCCCAGTCTTCGAGCTTAGACTTAGGGTCCTGGTCGCTTGGTTTTGTGGCGATTATATCTTCTTCAATGTAGGAGAGGAAATCTATCCGCTCTTCGTCACTCATCTTCTCCACAGCACGACGTATGTCTGTGAAGCATCCAGGTATCCTAGAGAATTGCTTCCAGAAATCTTTGCAATCATCTAACGTGCTTTCGTCAAGATAATTGCGCAAGATCAAGCGGACAAGGCGTAAGGGTCGGTCCAGTGTCAATGTGTCGAAACCGAAGACGCGGTCCTTAACCGATGAAACTTTTTGTCTGGACCTGTAATCATGAGCTGGTGTTCGAATGCTCAACTGTATGTTTCTTACTCATCGGATGGGTACAACTCTCTAGATGCATCAATCAAGTGAGTCCAGATGTTCGCTCTTGATGAACACAACTGTCGTAATGGTACAGAGTTACCTTCGCTCATAGCTGAAGTTGCGCTTTCGATGAGATCAAGAATGTGCTTCTCGAGTAGCTTGTACTGCTGTGCGCTTGCGAGAATGTCGACCGTGAGCAACGAGATGTCGAGAGCATGCTTCTCCATGATAGGGACCAAGTGGGCAGGTGGTGATTGCCAAAGTTCCAAGAGTTCAGCGCATTTCCCCTGACGCGCAAACATCTTGGCCATGAAACGAAGGTCTCGGATGTCCTTCACACTGATCGGGTCGCTCTGATGTCGTTAAATGAAAGTAATGGCGCACATGGTGACATATCTTACCTCGGATCTCTCATACGCGTCTTTCATTTGCTTCAAGGCTACACCCAGCTGGATCTCAGCCATTCTGTCTGCAACACCTGTTATCTGACTTGTCTGAATCTTCTGTTCGGCGGACATCTGCTGAGCAAAAATTTGTGTGTAGTAGGTCAACTTGTCCGACGATGCTCCTTCCACTCTGTACTTCACTATTGCCTGTATGCATCAGCACATTTCCAGTTGAACGGTATATACTAAGACATTAACATACTGTTCGGACGTCATCCCAGCATCCCTGTCGCATTGCCGTTGTGAAGAGAGCGTCCCAAACGTCTTTGCGGCCTTTCTTTGTAGGCTGAAGGCTTGCGGCATTCTGCCAAGCTTTGATACCTTCACTACCCACAGTGTTGATATGATCGAGCTTCGGCATTGACCTTGTTGTCGCCTCCACAATAAGCCTATAAACATACTCGAGCAATAAATCGTCTTGTACTGTTGCCTTATTTTGGCAGACATCCCGCAATGACCTGGCGACCTCCTCAGGCTGCGACTGTAATTCCAGAGAGACATCGGCCCGCCATGTCTACTGGGGATGAGCCAAGTAATCACATGACATCTAGAGTTACTTACCGCCAGATATGGGTTGCCAGGATTCTTCTTCAACAATTTATCGATGTAAGAGAGCGCAAACTTGGGCTTAGGGTAGTCGCGCTGGGCTTTCGAAAGCTTATCCCAATTGAAAGCCATCACTGCTACGACCAAGTGAGAGTGATCCGGGAAGACGTTGGATCGCGAAAGTGTAAGGGCAAAAAAAGGCTAGACAGCCCACCTTTGGCGAGCCTCGGCTTCGCTTGCCATATTCAGTGAGTTGGTCTGTGCCCAATCAGAACAGAAGGCAAGCAACGCTATCTGCGAGGGAACATTTACTTGTTGTCGAACTATCGAAAAGTGACACAGGATGGCTTTATTGTAATTTCATCCTCGTATGAGCAGGCAAATATGGTTAGGCAGGGCCATAAACCTATGAATACATATACTACAATATTGTGACAGGTCAATCACATCACTCCTCACTCGCTAGAGGAGGGAAGAGTACACCCTCGAGCTTAGAGCCTATAGGGACCATCGGTGTGCCATAATCGAGATCAGCGCCAGGTTGGCAATATGCCAAAGTCCTTCTGTCTTCTTGCACACCAATCTGGTTAAGTAGCATCTCTGCTTTCTTCGGCATATAAGGCTGAAGAAGGATACCTGTCATGCGCAAGGCCTCGGCTGCGAGGTATATGGTACGATCAACAGCTTCACCGGGCTCACCAGGAGCAAATTCGAGTATATTGTCCCACGGCTTCGAATCTTGGAAGAAAGCATTCGCCTGAAATACGTTAGTTTATACTCTGTGGTATACAAGGCTTACTTACTCCTCGCACAAACTCGGTGATCTGATGCAACGCCTTTCGAGGGTCGTACTCGTCAAATTGGCCATCGACCTTTGAGGCGACGGTATTCAAAGAATTACTCCAAAACTGTGAACCAGGCCCTTCGGTCCAGTATTCCGCCGGTGCACTGCCAACGCGCTCGACTGCGCCGCGGACACTCCACTTCTTGCCCCTGATAACGCGTGACGCAAGATTGCCAAGCTGCCCATTCAGAAACTTGTTATACAAACTAATGATGTGGGAATTATCATAGCTGGAGTCGTCTTGGATGCCACCGTTATGAGCCATGTAAAATCGCATTACATCCGACCCGTATCGATCCAAAGCATGGAACGGATCCACCACCCTACCAGTTGATTTTGACATCTTTGCGCCTCCAAGGGTCCAATGACCATGGGTTAAAATCTTCTTTGGAAGCGGGAGACCAAGTGCCATGAGAAATGCCGGCCAGTAGATGCAATGGAAGCGAACGATATCCTTGCCAATAACATGACAATCCGCCGGCCAGCCTCCTTCCTGCTCCTTGCCGGGCGTGAAAGGGTAGCCCGCCTTCGTCGCGTAGTTCATAAGGGCATCGAGCCAAACATAGATAGTCTGGGACTCGTCTTCTGGGACTCGGATACCCCATGTAAGTCGATCGTAAGGGCGAGAGATCGACAGATCTTCGAGGCCGGACTCCACGGCCCGCACGACGTCCTTCATGCGATGCTCAGGAACTATCCATTCAGGGTTCGCTTTGTAGAATTCGAGCAGCCGTTCGCGGAAAAGTGAGAGGCGAAAGTGGTAGTTCTCTTCCGAGGACCACTCTACTTCGCTACCAGTCTCAATGGATGTCTGGAGCCCTGTCAGTATGTCATTTCAGGCATCGGTGAACAAATTCCATACCATAATCTTTCTTCCTGTCGATGGTTCGATCCAAGGTTGTACACCTGACTGTGGATAGAAGCACTCATCAGTGATTGAGTACCAACCCTCGTGTTTCTGCTCGTAAATGAGGCCATTCTCCTGGAGCATAAACTGTTTACAATCAGTCGCCATTGTATACAGCCAGAACAGTTTTGCCCCCTCATACCCAAGCATATTGTACAGCATCTTTGTGATCCTGATCTGTCGTTCGTACGAAGTGGTCGTTCGAGATCTCGGCCTTCCGTGCAAGGTCCTAGGCGTTGTGAGCTAGGTATAGGCTTGGAATCGAATTGCGCACTCGAAAGATATCTGCGCCTTTATCGCAAAAGGCCTTGGCTTCTACACCAGCTTTTGCAGCTGCTTTTTGCACCTTGAATGGTCAGCGCATGCAATGCCAGTTGACGTGAGTTCAAACCTTCAGCCCGTGCTCATCTGTCCCTGTGCACATGATCGCATTGTTCCCTCTTAGCACACTCCAGCGTTTGACGATGTCCGTGAGGACCATGGTATACAGATGGCCAACATGAGGGGCGGCGTTGACGTAGAAGATAGGTGTTGTAATGTAGTACGGCTTCACGGGCGTTGAAGTGGACGAGATGAATCGTCTGGAACTACTGTAAGCTGAGTATGATCGGCATACCCAAGGCGAGCTCCTGGAGATGCTCGAGTAGACGCCACGTAATGCTGGAACTGTCAAATTCGTGAGCCGAGTACGCATACTGTTTCAATGGTATGACGGCGCGCGCATCCTTCGCAACTGCAGCTCCAAAGCTCCGAGGCTCACTAGCCAATCCCGGGTTAGCATGTATGACTAATACTGTCATCTACACGTCTGCCCGACGCGTACCTCACAATGCTGCACCACTCCGGTGATCAAAACAACGAGTGCAAAGGTATTTCCCATAATAATCTAGTCGTCTTGGATCTGCTTCCTAGATCTTTAAGCCAAGCGAGCTTACATGAACGAACCTCAGCTGGGTCTGATTCGAGTCGAGCCCGTGAGCGTAGCGGTTTGCAAAAGAATAAGAGCCAGGAATTGGGACGCTGAAACAGAAGGAAATGCTTGAAGAGTCCAACTGACCGTGTCGTCGCGACAGATAGCGTGATCATTGGCCTTAAAAATCGCCATGCACAGCCAGTTTGAGAGTGTGTTCGACGAACACCTCCAAGCTTGCGCGACATTCTTTGAGTACCGTGTCCTACTAAGCCCTTACAGAGATATCCGTGGCGTGACTATCGGGTTTCCAAGAGGTCCTTTCGAGAGTGGGTGGAGGTGAACGTGCCGCCTTGCCAAGAATCGGCTCGCTATTCAGATGCTATTCAGACCCGAAACCGTCCATCCTCGGACTTCGCCTCAACACACTCGCATCTCAAGAGAACAGCAATCCCTTCTCGAGTTCTGTTGAAGCTCTGCGAGTTCTTTGTGAATTGGCGTCAGGTTCACCAGCTCGATGGTACCGAGTATACTGGACCGTCCATGCTCGCCTTTGAGTATGTCTCTTGCTACACTGGACTTCGTGGCCCTTTGTAGAGAGGTCTACGATTGGATGATTTGGCTTTCTGTGCAGAGGGGTCTCCTTGATGATGTCCTTCACCTACTTGCACGAGAGCTTCTGTATTGGACGCCATCCCGAATCTATACTTGTCTCTATTGACACTCAATATGCCTTATTGATGTTATTGACGAAATACAACAGAGACACAACTTCAATTCTTTGTTTCTGCAGGAAGGCCTCCAACTATAAGACTCTGATCTTTGACTGCATTATACAGACCATCGACTCATCGTTAAGCTACCGGACAATCATTTGGTCACGGTCGATCAACTACCAACTTATTCATTCACTTCACGGTACCCTTCTACATCTTTTAGATGAGGTTCACCGCTGTTATCGCCGCCGCCGTTCTGGCGGCCACCGTTTCCGGTGCTGCCGTCGCCAAACCCGAGGCTACCACCGAGGTCGCTGAGGCCACCACCGATGCCCCCATCGACATTTCTGAGGACTTCTACTACTACGACGAAGATGAGGAGGAGGATCTTACCAAGCGCGAGGCTGACGCCGACCCCCAATGGCGCTGGTCCCCCAAGTTCCGCCCTCCGGGTTCCCCCGTTGGCAAACGCGAGGCCGACCCCCAATGGCGCTGGTCTCCCAAGTTCCGCCCTCCAGGTTCGCCTGTAGGAAAGCGTGAGGCCGACCCCCAGTGGCGCTGGTCTCCCAAGTTCCGCCCCCCAGGCTCTCCCGTGGGAAAGCGTGAGGCTGATCCTCAGTGGCGCTGGTCTCCCAAGTTCCGTCCTCCAGGTTCTCCTGTAGGCAAGCGCGAGGCTGAGGCCGACGCTGAGGCCGATCCACAGTGGAGCTGGAGCCCCAAGTTCCGCCCTCCAGGTTCTCCCGTTGGCAAGCGTGAGGCTGATCCTCAGTGGCGCTGGTCTCCCAAGTTCCGTCCTCCAGGCTCTCCTGTAGGCAAGCGCGAGGCCGAAGCTGAGGCTGAGGCCGATCCTCAGTGGAACTGGAGCCCCGGATTCCGTCCTCCGGGTTCCCCCGTTGGCAAGCGCGAGGCTGAGGCCGAGGCTGAGGCTAAGGCCGATCCCCAGTGGAACTGGAGCCCCGGATTCCGTCCTTCGGGTTCCCCTGTTGGCAAGTAAACTTGTCATCGACGACGTCGGGCTATAACGCGGACGAACGCATCAACGCTTTTCACTTCTTTATATTCAAGGACTAGACAACATGAGAGATAAGCATCTTGTAGATTAGGCCCTTGTATTCACTAGGCTCGGTATAGCGCAGGCATGATCTATACAGGGCAGGACAGTTTCTCGGCATTTGATGGCATCTGGTCGAACGGTGTTGTAAGATGTTGGGACAGCTGACCTTTTTCTCAATATCAATACATTGTTACGCACATACGTATCTGTCTCGAAATTCTTGCAGTGTCCCTATCCACACATCCACACATCTCTACATGAAGTACTTTCTGTTCTCCCAGCCCTTACCATATTTGTACTCGTGATCGATGTCTTTACCTTCCTGACAGAAACGGCATTTGCCTGGATATATCTCCCCTTGCTTCCAGTCGCAGCAAGGTACGTCCTTTGCCACATCAGGAGCAGCATAGCATTTCAAGTGCTCGTTGCTGTAATAATCGCAAGCTTCTCTGGGCAGACGGTGGCCGCAGCTTTGGTACCTTTGGAACGTTTTGGTGTTTTTGGGATCGCACATTTGGAGGCAGGTTACCTCTACTCGTGTGTAGGTTAATTGATGGTGGGTAGTGGAAATTTCGATATGTTCGCAGTGCTTAATCAAGGTGAGGACGTGAATGTGGATGCTGTTGCACAAATAGTGCGTGGACTTTCATGGACACAGGGCGTCACAACAAGAAAGACGTGCGCAACGTTGTCCGACTGCGCGGAAAGAGAAGCTATTGGACGTGCCGACTTCTATGTCAATGGTTCAAATCACAAGTAATTCACCTGAACGTCTTGATTGAACGGCAGCGCATTTGTATGTAGGAAGGTCGATTTTGATTCGCCAGGTGGTAGGACTGCATGCCGGATTGTCTTGATGCGTTAACGGAAGTATATGCTACTGTCTTACAGCGCCATGGTCGACCATCTACTGTATCCTCGTATGTTATTGAGTAAGACCAATTTATGAACCCTCTTCACCTGCGCCGATGCCGGGAACGTTTGCCGTTTTTAGCCATGACAGCCATGGCATCGCAGCTCCCTAGCGCAGGTCGGCTTCACACGCTTTCTTGCGGGCAGATACACTCACGACCACAACACCGCAATGTCAGCACCTATGCTCTCGAGGACGGCGATACCGCGATTCTTGCTACCTCAAAGCTCACGGACGAGCACGACAGTTTTCAGGCCTTCGACACAAAATGTATTTGAAGCCCGGCGGCACCGATCCTCAGCAGCTCCTGAACGATGCGCCACACGATCTGTGATCACAGCTCTGCAGCGACAACGTATGCTACAGTCGCAGAAGCAGGCTACCCAATTTGCTTCCAGCTATGCCTCTGCGCTCGTGTCCCGTCGCAATTTCAGTGCCAGTAGCCCTCGATTCAAGGACCATCACTTCGATACACTCAAGTTCGTTCAACGTCTGAAGGAGGAGGGATTTACAGACGAGCAAGCGGAAGGCATGATGAGAGTACTGGGAGATGTTATAGAGGAGAGGTGCGGACCATGGCTCGACCTGCAGAGCATCTACTGACCTCTTCCAGCATACAAAACCTCACGCGCACTATGGTCCTTCGCGAGGACCAAGAAAAAGCCACCTATACGCAGAAAGTCGACTTCGCAAAGCTACGATCGGAGCTCATGACGGCCGACTCGACGGAGTCCTCACTGACGCGCGCATCGCACGAACGATTGACAAACGAGCTGGCTAAGCTCAACTCACGGTTGCGAGACGAGATTCAAAGGACGCAGGCATCTGTGCGGTTAGATCTGAACCTCGAGAAGGGTCGCATCCGAGAGGAGGCAAATGTGCAGGAGCTCAAGCTGAAGGAGACCGAGACCAGGATCGAGCAGGAGACTGCGCAATTGCGCGAAAGACTCGAGGCAGTCAAGTTCTCCACATTGCAGTGGCTAATGTATGTCACCGCGACAAGCACTTTAGCTGCACATGGCATTGCTAACCAGTTCGCAGGGGTGTTTGCACGGGTACCGCAGCGCTTATGCTCGGTGTTTGGCGTTTGCTGATGTGAAGCAACTGGTCCTTGAAACACGTCGAGACGAAGGCATGGACGGATTACAGGAGACGTGCGTACTGTGTAGGGCTGTCTCAGACGATCGGGTTGTTTTCGGAAGGACAGCGGCGACCGAGAAGACGCACCGGCACATCCCTGCTTCACGTGCTACGGTAAAGCGCAGCCACAATCATGTGTCTAGGTATGCGCTGCATGATGGATGCGTGCTGCAGCGGACGGGGAGCCGTTGGCGGGTCCCCGATACGATGTGCAGATACTGGACACGGCAACGTGTCGGTACACCAGCAATACCGTTGCTCTGGTATCAGGAAAGCACGGCATTCGTTGCGACGCTGAAGGCGACTTGCCCCTCATATGATGCAATTGCAGGCAAACAACCTGCTTCGTGCAGTGTCTCAACACGTCCAAGCATCGACGCTCGCATTGTGATCGAGAAATGCGATGCTGAGATGTTTGCCAATGTGACCTTCATCTCAAGTGACACGACTCATGGGCAGTGGTTCAGGCTTCACGTCTGTGAATGGGCCAGGGTTTCTAGCCTGTTCTACGCGGCATTGATTGGTCCCGACGTGGCATGGTCCATCTCACTCGCTGGCAGCCGCGTGACCGGTGCAACAGCAGTCACGGAGTCGGCGGTGCTGGGGGCAGCAACAGACTCGATCGAAGGGCGCCCGGGCGGCCAGCAGCGCACTCTCACGAGACACGCGATTGAGTTTGGCTGCGCCGACTGTTTGTGTACACACAATGAGCCACGACTGCTAGCCCGCGGACCCCTCATTGCCAAGAGTACCTGGGGAGCAGACGCAACACGGTGAATGTGGAAGGCAGCGGCGTTTGCAAGGCAAGCAGCCTCGTTGCCAGTCAAGCAGGCGGGACATGTGAGCGACACGGCTCTGGAGAAGGCGCAGTGGGGGGGTGGTGTCCAGGGCAGTCGCTCCTTGGCGCCGTCTTCACCTGTCTAGACAGCCGCTCGCTTCCTCCCATCTTCCCAAAACAACTCGACAAACTCTTCCGTGAATCCCAACAGCACACCGCCTTGTATCCTTCCAAAACACATCTCCACCCAGCCCAGTCTCCCACCAGCCCTCCCGCCCACCACACACCGTTACAATGGCGAACGAGGTACGTGACCCTTTATCTGCGCGCCTCCCCGCCGTTGCTGGCCGGCGGGATGCCCCTCGGGCGCTCAACCCCGGGGCACGATGATTGTCAACAGTTGCTAACATGGCCGCCCCAACAGCGCGAGAGGTACGAAACACAGCCCGCCGCCCCGGACGACCGCCTTATTGACGTCGCCACAGCAAGACTTTCCTCGCCAGGCTTTGCGAACAGGCTGAGCGCTACGATGGTAAGTGCTGGCGTGCCCAACGTGCCGGCCACGCATGCTAACACTACTGCCCACAGAGATGGTCACGTACATGAAGGTTAGTCCACCGGCGCTCGCACTCACGTCCCTGCTTGCATGCTAACGGTTCCGCAGGAAGTCGCTAAGGTACACCTACACCGCCCACGCGCTGTGCCGCCTCGTCGCGGCCGCAGCGACGCTGCTGCGCCGATGACTTGACCTAACACATTACAGATCGGCGGTGAGCTCACCGTTGACGAGCGCAACCTCCTGTCCGTCGCCTACAAGAACGTCGTCGGCACACGACGTGCCTCGTGGCGCATCATCTCCTCGATTGAGCAGAAGGAGGAGTCCAAGGGCTCCGAGAAGCACGTTGGCACCATCCGCGACTACCGCCAGAAGATCGAGACCGAGCTCGAGCAGGTCTGCCAGGATGTCCTGAACGTCCTCGACGAGTCCCTCATTCCCAAGGCCGAGTCCGGTGAATCCAAGGTTTTCTACCACAAGATGTGCGTTGAGACGGCTCACTAAGCACATCGCAATACTGACAGCCTCTTAGGAAGGGTGACTACCACCGCTACCTTGCCGAATTTGCTTCCGGCGAGAAGCGCAAGGTCGCTGCGACTGCTGCACACGAGGCATACAAGGTATGACGCAACCATGAAATTCACAGCGCAGATCAGACGACTGATTGTATCCACAGACGGCCACCGACGTTGCCCAGACCGAGCTTACCCCCACCCACCCCATCCGTCTGGGTCTGGCGCTCAACTTCTCGGTCTTCTACTATGAGATCCTGAACTCGCCCGACCGTGCGTGCCACCTCGCCAAGCAGGCCTTTGACGACGCCATTGCTGAGCTCGATTCCCTGTCTGAGGAGTCCTACCGTGACAGCACCCTCATCATGCAGCTCCTCCGTGACAACCTCACCCTCTGGACATCATCGGATGGCAACGAGGCCGAGGCCGCTGACTCTTCCGCCCCCAAGGAGGAGAAGGTCGCTGACGCTGAGGCCGCTGCACCTACCGAGCAGAAGAGCGAGGAGGCACCTGCTGCCGCCCCTGCCGCCGCTTAAGCAGTTCCTACCTCTTTCGACCTGGTTCATCGCCAGTCACCGTCCCCTATTCCCGGATAGACGAAGGAGGCTGCCACGGCAGCGAGCGTCCTACGGAGTTGTGTGTGTCCTGTCATTTCGAAAATTGGCTTTAGCAGCGAGCGGGTCGGATGGTCAAATTCCCCATGACTGATGTGTTTCCCTTTACTCTCCTGTATCACCCGCAGTGTTTTCATCAAGCATGCAGTCTGCCGAGGTTGCGTTGATCGCGCGCCTGTTTACATACTTGGTTCCCTTGTACAGGGCACTAAATGCTGCGTGTGGAGATGGAGGTTTTGGCGTGGTTCCTCGAATGCAATCCCCTATTCCCCTGTTCGTCGACTTCGCCCTTTGAACGAAACTGTTACTGTGGCGGCTTGAAGCAACACCCACTCGACGAGTATCTATCAACGCGGTACTACGCATAAGCGCCTATGAGCAGACACTAAATTCCATAAAGCCCAACAGTTTTACCATCCCTGTAAAGGACCCAAGATGCAGTGACGGTACATCTCACATGCGTGACTATCGTGGGGTTTGTAGGCGTAGTATGTAATCCAGACCGAGGACTTTGCCACATGCATCGGATATTGACAAGCATCCACATTGACCCTGCAAAGATTGTCCCGTGGGCTTGGTCTGCCCCACTAAATTTTGTGAATGAATCCCCACCATGATCGTCCCCCGCTTCAAGGAACAACGCACGAAAGCTTGAATATCCTCTTTCTTGGAGCAGTCCGCAGGTCTTCGAGAGGCGCAAGTGGAACCATCGATCATGCCTTGAATCTCACGCTCCTACGGTCAACGTGCCACGAACGGCCAACACGCCCATATTCAACCCATCAACGCCTGAGCACAGTCAGACACACCGAACACCCGCCACTCATCTCGTCGACGACTCTATAGCCATCATGGCATACACAAAAAATTACTACCACGTTCTCGGCCTTAGTGTGCCCAGCCCGGGGTCTCCGGGCCCAAGATCGAAGACCTCAGACTTGAGAAGGGCATACAGGAACGCACTGCTCGCTGCGCATCCGGACAAGAAGGGCGCATCGACCGCGAAGGGGGACGGAACGTACAGCGTAGACGATGTCAAGGAAGCGTATATGGTGCTCGACGACCCGAAGCAGAGGGCAGACTACGACAACTGGGCCTTAAGGAATCCGCACGTCCTGTCCACCGGCACAGGCACAAGCGCCGACAAGAGCGGTGGAGGGCAGATCTTGAGCCAGGACTTCATCCTCGGGCTCGAGTTGCTGGATCTGAGTGACTTTGAAGAGCAGGACGAGGACGCTGCAGAGGGCGAGTGGACCAGAGCGTGTCGGTGTGGGGATGAGAAAGGGTTTAGGATTTTGGAGGACGATCTGGAAGATGCTGCGGGGAGGGGCGAGAAGGAGGTTCTCGTCGGTTGTGGCGGGTGCAGTTTGTGGGTTAGAGTTGCGTTTGATGTTGAGGAGAGCTGATACTGGGGATCGCGAAACGGGGCTTTGTTGACGAAGTAGAAGGAGATGGTACTATGAGATACCCCATATGTTTTCAAGCGCAGCCATGATAATATCAGCGGTTCGATAGATACGTTTCGCCCTATCAATGACGCACTCTGGTCATTGTAGAAGAGTTCAGATCAGCGGACGGAGTGAGTGATGTTTAATTCGAGCTTCGGTGTCATGCATCGACTCATTCTTATCATCAAGGACTGACTCGTCATCCTGTCAAAATCAACCTTGGCTAGCATATGTTCTGGAACAGAGTATCTGTCGTTCTACTGAGCATATTCACAGGGCTGTAATTGGTCTAACACCCTAAGCGGTCGAGGCCAACGTCTATGACCAGTATCGTGATACGAAGAATGATTGCTGGAGCAAGTATGGTTGTCTCGAACAAGAGACTTTGGTCACCAGGTACTCCTGGGTCAGAAGTCAGCGTACTATTAGCACGCATGGTTAGTGTAACACGACGCCACATCAAAGACCGTTGGTAGAGACCCTAGAATGAGTCGGTTCCTAGAACACATACAATACCAAGCACAATCACCACTAGAGACGCACTGGAGCCTTTGGTGGACCGTTATGAGTAGCATTAATACTACGTCCAATCAATTCAGAACTACAGATATTGCGCCGCCCATGCTATGTAGACCATCTTCTTACCAACGCCGCGATAGTCGCAATTGAAACGCAATAACGCCTAACCCAAATTGCACTATTACCACCCATTTAGCTCACGAAGATACGCTCAGCGCACTCGTTCCTTCCAAGGCCTTCAGTCAAGACCCTGGATCGCAAGCGCTTGACGCGGATTGCGAACGCGAGACCCTTACTTGATGAGGTCACCATTCTCATCAAGCTTCATGCCCTTTTCCTCGAGCATGTTCTTGATAGCAGGTACCAAATCCTGGAACGTCTCCACAAACGGGACACCGTAGCGCTCGCAAACAAGGTGAATGTTACCAGCGCGCCAGAACCTCTTATCGCAGCAAACGACGACCTTCTTAGACTTGGCCCAGAGCCCAAGCTCCATCATCGTGACAGGGCTTATCGTGGTAGCGTCGAAGAAGAAGCAGATGACATCAGCCTTCTCCAGCGCGGACAGCTCCCACTCAACCTGGTGTCTGAAGTCTGCATCCTTGGCTTCTTTCGAGACGTTGGGATCCCAGTGGCCTCTGCGCGGGTTGTTGACTGTGATGGGGAGCTCAGAAAGGAATGACGCCATGAGCTTCTGCCACTGTACGGCTTTGCCCATCTCAATGCTACCTGCAAGGAAGACCGAGTAGTCGCGGTACGTTGGCGCCTCAGGTGGCATGCAATGCTTAAACAGAGCATGGGGCTTGAGAGCAGGTGAAGGTAACGGAGGCAGTTGGTTCAGTGTGTCGTCAACATTTGCATCGATGTCCACGGTGTTGGTCTTTGCAACTTTGGCAGGCTTCTCTTCTATCGGCTCATTCTCGAGCTTTCTCTTGCACGTTGGGCATTCTTTGCCTTCTACTCCTCTTTTGGAAGCCATTGCAGCGGGCTGGCTGGTGTTTTCCGCTTTTGGCTTGCCTGGGTGGACTGCAACCTTGGGTAAGTCCTGTTTACAAGGCTTGCGTGAAATATGGATTCTGCGACTCGACAAGTGAGGCTCAACCAGGCTTGGTCGTACAAGAACTTTGACAGCAGATCTTGGAAATGTTGATGCCCTTGCGAAATTGGTGTGAGATGGTTGGGGGAGGAAGCTGAGAGTACGGATTACTACAGGCTTCGCTAGGCGCCCTAAGTTATAGTATTTACCTTGTCGAAATAGTCGCCATTGTGAATATTCGAAACAACCACGATCTTTGTATCTTTATTTGCCGCAAGCGGATTGATCAAACGATGAGGCACGAACGGAAACGCTACGAATATAGATGCTATTGTTTGCGTGCGATTGTGATGTTCTTTATTGTTTGAGAGAGCGGCCGGAACCGGTAGGCGCAGGCTGAGGCGCAAACAGGATGCGCGCGCCTGTTGGCTCAGCCACCACCCCTTGAACCTGTCCGTTGACTACTATCTCACCGCCAGCTCTTGGGTAATTGCCTGAGCAGGATACTAGTTCCATACTGTTTAGCAATTGTAGATGCCTTGTACTAGTACCTTGCTGCGGTCCTGAGCCGTCAAAGGGCTGAATGCAAGGCACATCTGATCCACTGTTTCAGATCTGTCACGACATCATGCGAAAGTTGTCTGGCAAAGTCTGTCATCACGGAATGCAGAAGGTTGTATTCGCGTTGACCCCATGTCTGTTCGAGCGCGACGAACAATAAGTTAGTGGCGGCTGATGACTCCGCTCACACGGCAACGGAGTTCGAACCGCCAGGTGTGACCACAACGTGATGTCCGAACATGACAACCAATATCAGCAGTCACGATACTCGAGACATGATTGCGACACACGCTCTAGATGTCAGTCGGCTGGCGTAACCCCGTATTATCCATGGGCTTCGGAGTGATGACTCGCATGTCAGCTTGACTTCACTAGATCGGGAGTATGGTACAATTGTGGCAAGAACATTCTCAATTGCTGCCGCCTGTTACTGCGCGAGATCTCACTACGAGGAGACGAGTAGGGAGTTTCTTTTCCACCTGCAAGTTTGCAACCATATGATACACGGAAGCCACGAGTGACTCCAGATGTTCTGGACAAGTCCACAGGCGTAACACCCACATGCTCACAAGATCAACGTACCAAAGGCAATACTAAGCCCAGGAACGGAACCCTTCGGCGGGCTACCATAGAGTCGATATGGGTATTCGGCGCCCTTTAGATGTATGAAACATGTACTATGGCCTCGGTCCGCAGTTCGGGCGAAGCAGATGGTCTTACTTCCCTCGTGGCCTCCATCGTCACCTGCTTCATCTTCGTACCCTTCTCATCAATCTCAGGTGTCGACAAGCTGGAAGCATGGCGAGTTCGAGTCTGTGGTCGTGCCACATAGGCACTCGATGCCATAGAGCCTGACCTCATCATAAGGCGTCTGCTCCTCGGTGTTGCACGTTTGGCCTACTGGTGTTGGATTCAAAGCTGACAGCAATGTGATTGAAGGAGTTTGTAGGGTGAGATGTATCGGGGTGATGCCCCCGAGACACCCAGAGACGGATAATGGATCGGTTACGCTGCAGCCTTGTCAATAAGTTAATCTTCTTTGGTGGGAGCGAGAGTCTCCGACTCAGGAGATATAATCCAACAGTATATGACACACGACTCTGAAATGATCGGTTTTACTGATTTTTCAGTGACAGTGGCCGACCGACATCACTCTTGCGATATCGGACTACAGACGTTTTTTGCATTTCATTAATTTCTTCTATACGTGCTATTGGTCCTTGGCCGAGTGCAAAAACTATCATTGAAGCATATCTGCTTTTCATCTAGGCTCAGCAGCGTAGAATGAAGCTCAATGTACTTCTCGTAGCCGTGCCGAAATGCATACCTCCCAGGGTGGGTATGTGCAGAAGTGAACTGTCAAAGATGAAGCATTTGTTGGGGTGAAAGGGATTAATGGCTCAAACCTGGAGGTTGTTTCTTCAACAACGGTGCACTTATTCAAGATCGGCCGTGGTTTTTTCTACAGCGAAACTGGTCGCGACATTTGGCGAACGTGATCTGGTTAAGAGCATTGTGTATCGTTACAAGGTGATCCGTATTGCACAAAAGGGTGAAGCCTCGTGGATCTGTCCGTGGATGCTGTCAGAGCGCACAGCAGGTGACGTGTATGACCTCTTAGAAACGTGTGCGGTGGGCAACCTTCGAGGACGCGGTGTATCGAGCAGCAGGATCTTCAAGTGCTTTGGTTCTATAGAGAAGCCACCAGGTCAGCATTATCGAAGCGAACAAGAGGTTTGAGGCATATTACATTCCGCTAGCGATGGGCACACGCGAAGATTACGAACAAATGAAGCGACGAGGTGTCTGGGGGAGTGTTGACTCGACAAAAGACACGCAATTACTCAGGCTATGGTGTCGGAGACCAGCAATCACTTCCGTTGACGCTTGGTTGCTGCGTTGTGAGGCTGCTTTTTTCGTTTGGAGGGATGGGACTGGGAGGGTTCGCTTGAAGCAGATGATACATACCCATTGACATCCTTGTCTAGCTTGATGTACTCCTCCGCCGCATCCTTGCCACCGCGATTGAGTAGGAAATCCATGTAGAAGTGAGACAGCTTCTTGGATGCTCCAGAAGAGAGGCGACCTTTAGTGCGAACAGATTCGTGCACCGCCTTCACCCGGTTGTGAGCTTCTTCTTGGTCGGAGGAAGGCTGGTCGATCTCGAACTGCAGGTATTTGTACCAGTAGTCCTGTGAATCCGAGAGCTTTGACTGCTTGTCCTGGAAAGCTCGGCGGGCCTCCTCGGCTACGCCCTTGCATTGCCACAGAATGCGTGCTTGCTCCGCAACCAAAACGCCGCCAACTTGACTGCTGCGTTGCTCGATATATTCCTCGAGAGTCTTGACAGCCTCGTCGTTGCCTTCGTGCCTGCGCACAACGCCAGCAAGAGATATGATGGTCTCAACGTGATCTGGCGCTTGCTCGAGCATGGCTGTATGTATCTCGCAGGCAACTGAGATGCGGCCCAACTTCTCTTCAAAACGGGCCCAGTTGAGGCGTATAGTAGGAGCCTCGATGGGGACGAAGATTGAACTTGCTCGCATGTAGATAATGCGTGTGTTCTCCTCCTTGCCCTGCGAAAACATCCAACGTGCGTAGCGAAGCCAGAACTCATCGTAGAGCGCACAGGCGACCAAGCAACGCTCGTACAGGAAGGACGTGCGCTCAAAATGACCCTGCTTCTCCTCAAAATCGAGATAGTTCCGCCAGTTCTCCAGCTCAGAATCTTCAAGTTCTGTGACATGGAAATAAGCCCGCTTTATCGCTTGCTCGTAATTCCATCGATTATGCACTTCCTGTTGAGTCCGCTGGTAGGACTCATAGTAGAAGGCATAAATTTTCTCTCGAAATTGTCGCTCTAGCTCGAGAGGGGCTTTCTCAGGGAATCCTTGATTCTCTAGCTGCATCGCAGTCTTGATGACCTCCAGTGTTTCTGAATCAGCGAGGTGTTCGACTGGTCGAGTACCGATAAGGGTGGTGAACTTCTCGTAGTAGCGCCCAAATTGGTGGATAGGAAGGAGTAGAACGCGACTGTAGATTCTAGTAGCATTTGCAGGCTCCTGCACACGTTCCTCGAACTCGATGTATTTGTCCCAGAAGGGGTGACTCTGGAAGTCGAGACCGACAAAGTGAGCTCCGCGCTCGAAAAGCCTGAGCGGTTAGCATCGTCTGATGGGACGAAGGAATGGTGAGAGGGGATGGGAGAGAGATGTGCTTGCAGGGAGGAAACTGTAATCACAGCAGGAACCAGGCTGTTGTCTTCCAAACGTCTCGAAAATGCGAAATGAGGTCCACGCAAGGCAGTAGGTATAATGAGGGACGAAGATGCACAAACAGCGGCAGGTAATGGCACTGGATCAAATCTGAACGTGCATCGCCAATCCGCAAGATGCTTGCCGCTGGCTATTGGCTGATTTGAGTCTCAGGGCCGAGGAAAAGGTTATACTTACTCTCGAATGATGTCGTTGTCGTGGCATGTGTCCATTTTGAAGGTACAGTAGTTGGCCCACAAGTCAACAGATGTAGAGACGGCGCAGACGCCGCGCTCGTACACCATCTCGGCGGTCTCTGTGCCTCCTATCGCGAACTCAAGATCGGCATACTTCTTCCAGTATCCGAAGAACAAAGGAAATTTCTGCAGGAAGCAGTCGTATATGTTGCGAACAAGGTCAATTGCTGATGGGCTCGAGTTACGCGTGACGCCTCCCTCGAGCTCGGTCGCGCGAGTGACAATTGCCTCCCATCGTTCGAATTCGTCCTCGTTCTCGACCTTATTATCGTCAGCTTCGAGTGATCAAGTAGGATGCATCGGTCTTACCACTGCGCTGAGCAGCTTCCTGATCTCAGGTGCAGCCTCCTCACCTGTGTACTCGATATGCGCGATCGCGCCGCGCCCGGTAGGCAACATGTCGTCGCGTACAGTGCCGACCTACGGGATCGAATCTAGTACTTGGGTCTGATGGAATCGCGTGCGATGAATCAGATTGCGTGAGCAAGTGGGAGGTGGCTGGAGTGAGCAGGTAAGAACCGCGACGAACCAAGGTTTGGTAGCTTGCGGAGCTGCAGGCCCACTTTTGAGAGCCGCAGCCTAGCGCGTCACACGTGATCAGTGCTGCCTCACCACCTGGGCAATCTACTATAGTTCTCAGAAAGAGACTGCAATGAGAGACGACGTATCAAAATAAATGTATTGGACACTATATAAAAGAAGCGTATGTTACAGTCCTTGTGCTTCCGTTGGGAGCTAACATCGGCGCTTCTGGTGGTAGTAACCATGTAAGATTGATTGATGAATGTCGTTAGTCATGATCCATATCGCATAATGTGAGTAAGTAAACCAGCACCAACATGGAGAATAAGCAGTCACGAGGTAGTGATGGTACTCTCGCTCGAAGAAGAACGTGTAAAACAAAAGGCGAAAGCGAGAGTCGGTTGAGTAAGTGGCGCGCGGTGAAGGGCCATTCGAACGAAAAACCAAGATTACGCTGTAGCATCCCTGCAAGCGGTAATCGGCTGAAGGCTGTCTAGCTTGTAGCTGGGGACGGTGGAGCTGTAATCGTTCGCTGATCATCATCATCGTCATCTTGAAGTTGTTGCTGATAAGCACTGTTCGCACTGAAGAGTGGAGCGCCATGCTGTAGGCCCTGCTGATCTTGACTAAGACCGTAGGCGTAGGCCTGGTAATATAAGCCGGGCATCTGGTGCCCGTGCAAGTTGCCAAATGCAGGCTGTTGAAGCGTGGGGAAGATGTTTTCCTTACTGTCGTACTGAAAAGGGTCGCTGAATGGCTTGTACGAAGCGAATGCTGGCAGTGGTGATGGCGAAGCCTGTCCACCGAAGCCTGAAGTGAGGTAATTGAAGTTGGCTGGCTGGTTGAAGGATGTTTCATCATCCTGAAAAACATCAAATGCCCGTTTACGCTTTGGAGCGCGGTTGCCGAGGCCAGAATCAAAACATGAGCGGCCACGCCTGTCTTCGTACTGCCCACGAGCTTGGAACGGATACATGGGAGCGCGACTGCCTGGTCGAACACGACAAGCGATGTTAGGATCCATGCTGGCAAGGGCAGGTCGTGACAACGTAGGTCGGGGGCTCTCAGTCTTGATCTCAATATCTTCCTCGTCATCGAACACGGAGCTGGAGATTCTTCGTTGTCGCTTGAACGATCCATGAGGTGTGAATATGAGCTCAGTAGCCTCGACATCCTGGGAGTTGAGCTCCAGCTGAGCAACAACCGAATGGTCTTTCTTCTGATTTCTCTTGCGCCGCATCTCTGGGGTCGCAGAGTCGAAGATGTCCATACCGGGCCAGTATACGCCCTTCAGTTTGGTACTCTCACTGACAGCCATGGTGTCATCTGCAGCCCCGACTGTTTCGTCCTCGATGGCACATGTGTCGTCTATCGGGTACTGATAACGCCTGCGCGGTCGCTCGCTGGGATCGGAGTATTCGCTTGAAGTTTCATAATCTGGGTTTGTGAGGCTGCGTGAGCTTGCACGAGACTCTGTGGGCCAGTGTTGCAGACGAGACGTGAAGTTTCTGTGACGTAAAACAGGACCAGATTGGGATGTGGGTGTTGGGGTGCCAGAGTCTGGTTCCACTTTGATGACCTGTTGTTCTGAAAGACGTGGATCGAGGAGCCCACCGACTGGGGCACGGCGACTCGGACGAGATACGGGAGCCTCGATTCGTGGAGCAGGAGCGGAACGAGCTGCGGCGAGTGCAGGGTTAGTAACGGCGTTCGGGTTGCAGTGCAGGAAGAAGAGTGAGAGAACTATACCAGCAGGCCTGGCACGCGTGCGACGCTTATCCTTTTGACTCATCCGATCTGACATGAGCTCTTCGACATTCCAATCGGCATACCATCGATCGTAGGCATCAATGATATGGCGAGAGGCATCTTCGTGTGTCGAGCGGACCTTGACCTTGTAGTAGTGGGACAAATGACCTTTGCTGGAGATGTGCGTGAGCAAGTGAGAAACATCGCTGAAGCTTGGCTTTTTGGGGCAGATGTTGCATAGAAGTGGTATGTTGTTGGACGCCATTGCAGCGCCGTGCAATGGGGTGATGTCTGTGTAAGGAGCGTAAGTGGTGCAGGCAAACTCAAGGCGAAAGCACAATGCTTGCAACGCAATGGTGTACAAAGAAGCGACACGAAAGGAGCGTGTTGGATGTGTGAAGCAGGAGGGGTGGTGGCAGCCCGAGGATATGAGGGCTGGTGCACACGCGCGGCTACCAGTCGCTCATGGCCTTCTCTTGCGGCTGAGGCGAGGTGAGAAGGAGGGATGCATCAGATGCCTCGAGTGGGCATTGGAGGAAAGAGGTTGCCGTCTTGAAGGAAATTTGTATGTGCAGGTTTGGCAGCTAGAGCACGTGGAACATCCGGCCATGACCCAAATAGGCAGCACCTCTGCTCTCCTCCAGATTTTTACCTCACGCTTCACGAACGAGAAGCGTCAGTTTGGATAACGAGAGGGCGCATGTTGTGGATGGGTGAAGGGGATATCTGAGATGCTTGTATACGCACTCTAAGAGTGTTCAGGCAAGCAGTCCAGCCTTATACCATCTGAACCACACGGTCAAGCAAACCAATATCACGGGAGATGAACCTCGTTTATAACCCCTTCATGGAGTTACATTAGTCTTCACTTCCCCAGGCATCGTTTTGTCACAGACCGGGGCATGCAGCTGCTGTTGCGTCAGTCCCCCCCCCCAAAGAGCATCTCAAGGGCACTCACTACACTGGATCCACTTCTTCCAACCCAGGGTGTTTGAGCAGACTGAGTCCGGCAATGCCGAATACTGTGTGGAAGACGTCCACCATGTCTCCAGGTCGGTCGGCCAAGCCACCCAACTCAGGATCCTGTTCACGTCAGTTTTGTACGCGCGATCATGCTCTCATATCTGACCTGGCATTGCAAGATAAATTGCGTCAATTTCTCGCCGTCGATCCAGTGGAGCTTGTTCAGCATGGCCATGCTGCTCATTACCCACCAGCTGTAGCAGACATCCTCCTTCTTCTCCGGCCGCCCATTTAGCCCGCCGTTCTTAAGCTGTCGTTCGCTGAGCCAAGCTCCCAATCTGTCTTGATCGACCAGATCGAGCCTCCCCGCAATGGTCAATGCTCCAACACACGTAAACACCTGGCCTGAGTGAGATTCGGCGCCAGGACTCGTGCCATAGCCGCCGTCAAAATTGGCGCAGGAGTGTACGTGCTGGACTGCCTTATCCACATCAACCAGATCAAGTAACCCCATCAGAGACAAGGCGTTCAAGGCGCCATATAAAAAGCGCGTGTCTCGTTCTCCCCACTCATCCCCTGCAAAAGTGCCGGTCTCGGAGTCTTGGAGATCTGCGATGACTGAAAATCATAAGCATGGACATATAGACGGTGGTTTCAGAATAGACGCACATTTGCCAACCTTCTGCCGCCCGCCTTCCACGCGCTCTTCAAATTCTTCGAAGGCATCGAGGGTCGCGAGAATCTGCACAGCACTGACCGTATAGAGCATGTGGGCATCATGCCCCGGAGCAGCGCCGAAACCACCATTCTCGTGCAGGCAGGAGTACACAAAGTCCAGGATGCCAGTGCGCGGGAGAGCGTCCGGATGTCCTAGCAGGTGCAGGGCCGTCAACCCCCAATACAGGCCATTGAGGCGCAAGTGCTCGGTGAGCCAGTACTCGAGCTCGTCTTTGCGCTGCAGCGGGTCAGCGCGGCGGTCGCGGTGGTTGCGTGCAAGTGATGGACATGGCACGGATGGACATGGCACGCACCGTGTCGAGGCTCTGGATGTAGCGAACGTGTTTATCCACGAAAAGCTGCAATTCGGCGGGCATAGTGCCGCCGCCTGCTCGACCCGGGCCTGCTGCCAACGACATGACGGGCAGAGGAGGAGAAACTGAAGTCGATGGTGTGGAGAGAGCCTAGGCTCGACACGTTTGCGGTGCGCCGGCCATCCCTGCCGCAGGGCTCGCTTGGCGACGGGCGTTGGCACGATGAAGCTCCCACTGCGACAGCCCAAGCAGCGGACGCATCGTCTTGAAATAGCCCGCGATAGCGCCCGCCCACGGCCGGAGGGTGTGCAGAGCCGCCGTCGCCGTGAAGCCGTGACGCGCCCTGCACGCCCCGGAGCGGCGGCCGGCTGCAGCATCTCCTGCGCGCTGGGCAGTGCAGGCCCCGGGGCATTTGGCAGCGCCGGCCATGGCCATTGCGCAGCCAGGCCTGTGGCATCGCGGCGGGGCCCGTGCGCGGTCTCGTCAGGTACGGCCGCACATGGCTGCCGCCGCCTCTCCTGCCTCTTGCAGGCGCAGGTCGGGCTGGCCTGGCGAGACGAGACGAGACGAGCGCAGTGCCCGCCGTCCGCTGTGCTGCACACACCGTCTCGCCCGCAGGCGCCGGGCGACGCGTCTGGCACTCTGTCTCTCCCTCGTGACGCAGCCTCTCGAACCCCTCCCAGCACCCTGCGCTGTCCGCTGTGCTGCTCGTAACGGGCGACTAGGCCTGTAGTCAGGGCCGCACGTCTGCTGTGCCCCAAAATAGCCACTTTCCGAGCGAACCACCCAGGCACCGTTCATACCAGCACGCCCGCTACCGAACTGGTGTGCGCACGCCTTCACAGTCCACAGTCCCCAGTCCACAGTCTACAGCCCACCGCCCACCGCCCACCGTCCCCAGTCCCGTCCCCGTCGTCCGCAACCCTCGCGGCCACCCAGCCGCTGCGTCTTTGTTGCCCATTCCGTGTTGCCGCTGCGCCTGCAGGAGCTAAGTGGGTAAGTAATGCGTGGCCCAGCGCGAACCGCCGCTGCCCTCAGGGCCTCTTTGTTCCACTCCTGCGGCCGGCTCAATGTTGTACAACATGTCGCCCGTAGCGCTGCCGGCCCCTTTCGCGTTCCGCAACCACCGCTGACCGTGTCGCTCAGGCTGCTGCTGCTGAACGAGCCGCCCTCGCCCTCGCCCTCGCCCTCGCCCCGACCGTCTTGCAGCCGTGCCGTGTAGACAGACGGCCTCGCAGGGAGCACGCGCGCCGCACCCGCCCTCCAGCCCCCGGCGTCCTGCAGACCCTCCGCCCGCGTCCAGTCTCGAGTCCTCGCTGCCGACGCATCGGCGCACGCCTGCAGACCGCGCTGGCCAGGGGACACGACAACACCGACCGCGCTCTCGAGGTTCGTACCACCGCCCGCGCCCTTTATCCCGCCGCTCCTGGCCGCTGCCTCCATGACCGCCCGCTGACAAGATGGGCAGCAAACCCAGACGCGTCGACCGCGCACCCCCCCGACCCCGTGTTCCCGCGACTGCCGCGACCCATGCATCGCCTTCACTAACGCCCTCCGCACCCCACCCCCCTGCGCCACCACGCTCTGTCGAACGCTCTGTCGAACGCGCCGCCGCCGCCCGCCCGCGCACTGCAGCCACCCGTGAGGAGCGCCCTTTCGCAGAGGTACTTCGCCCACGCCCCGCGCCCGCGAGACCGTGCAGGACTCTGCAGGAGCGACGCTAAGCGCACAGTAGCAGCCGGGCACCCCGCGCAGACAGGTTCGCAAGATGCCCAAGTCGTCCACGCTATCGCTAGCCATGCGGTCCAAGTCAGGTGGCAAGGAGAACACTGCGCCCATGAGCCCGCAGAGCCCGCGATCACCGAGCATACCCGAGTTCGCGTCGCCGAGCGCACCATTCCACAGCATGCCCGAGTCGCCAGCCTCGCCGAAGCCACGGAAAGACTCGAAAAACATCTTTGCAAACTTCCACGCCACGAAGTCGTCGTCGCGCCTGAACACACAAGAGAGTTTGAACAGACAACATGCCACACAGCAACCGTCGCCAACGCTGTACGCCAACGGACGGGGCGGTTCATCGACACCAGACCTCAGTCGCCCGGTCCGAACGCCGAACTCTGATGGTGAGCAGACTCCCTTGCAAACACAGGGCCTGCGTGCTAACTGCGCAGACAATCGTTCGGAGATAGTCCGCCTCGATCAACGGACCGGCTCTGGCAAATCGACTGAATCAGACGCCCATGTAGACCCGGCGAAAGCGAAGGGAGCAAAGGGCAAGAAACAAGGGACGTTGTTTCGCTCGAAATCAATCAAGGGAGACGAGACTGGAGGCTCTCGTACCAAGCTCAACAAAGCCCCTCCCGCCCAGTTGTCACCAGATGTAGGGGCGACGTGGACCACGAATGGAGACAACACGCCGCTCAAGACTGCACCAATGGAAAAGGGGAAAACATGGGGTAACAAGTCCTCGTTCGGAAAACTCCGAACACATTCCGCCGATCGCCACGACGCAGGTCAACTGGTGAATCGCGAGAACGACAATGGTTCGGCTGGCCCCAGACGTGATAAGAGTGAGCAGGGCTCGTTGCAGTCCAGCTCTTACAACGACAACAAAGGTGCCTCACTTATGTCTAGTCTCGGATCTGGTGCTCGCAAGATGGGAGACAAGATGGATTCGGCTCGCAAAGGCATTTTCGGCAAGCTGGGACGTAGTCACAGCAACCACGAAAGCCCTACACATGTGTCGACCGAGCCGTATGTCTACAAAGTCATTCACACACCCCTTGTCGAACAGACGAGGTTGACCAGGATATCGACGAGGCTAGAGCAATCCAGAGATAAGACGGAATTCTGGATGCCAGCATTGCCTTGGCGCTGCATCGACTATCTGAATATGCGAGGTTGCGAGGAAGAAGGCCTATATCGTGTTCCTGGTTCTGCACAGCAGGTCAGGTACTACGAGCGGAAGTTCGACCAAGGTGAGTCTGATCTTTGTAGTGCCAGTGCCAATCGCTTACATCCAACAGATCGCGACATTGACCTTATTTCTGACGACAACCTGAACGACCCGAACGTTATCGGCTCGCTTTTCAAGAATTGGCTACGTCAACTGCCTGACGAGATTTTTCCAAAAGCGATTCAGCACCGTATTCAGCAAGAGTGCCAGGGCGCAAAAACCACGCCTCAGATGCTGAAGGATGAGCTGTCTAAGCTGCCGCCGTTCAACTATTACCTACTGTTTGCCATCACCTGCCACATCAGTCTCTTGCACTCTTGCTCAGAGTTCAACAAGATGAACTACAACAACTTGTGCATTTGCTTCCAGCCGGCCATCAAGATCGATGCCTTCTGCTTCCAGTTCCTGATTCTCGATTGGCGTAACTGCTGGCAAGGATGCTGGACGGAAAAAGAGTATCTGACCGATGAGCTCAATTACCTAAGCGCGTTAGAGACGGAAAGCCCAGAGAGACCACCGGCGACAGCCAGTCAGAATGGTCACTCACAACCATCTGGCAGGAGCAAGAGTTCACACGCATCCCCCAACATTACCCAATCAAGAAAGTCTACTTCGACAAGAAGCAATTCGGGTGATCAGAGTAAATCCTCTGCGCGTGCTCAGTCGGCAGATCGGAATGGACGCGAAACGCCACCCTCTCTTCCACCCAGACAGGCGGACGTGCAGCCGCCACAATCGGCGCCCCGCCTGCGCAACGAGCATCGTGAGTACGAGTCTATGGCAGAGAGAGCCATATCAACTTCTGATGGACACCATGGTCGAGGCGCTCCTGTGCGTCCACCGCCTTCAGCCAGTACCCGAGGTTCGGTGGATGGGAACGATGGCGCAACACCAACACAAGCATTGCATAGCCGTGGACCTTCGGATACACAATTTCGTTTGGACCTGAGCAACCCGCCCAGCTCACCTTTTAATATCAAGTTTTAATGGAGGCACGGACGCAAGGCGGACACTGCACGCGCATGAGACGACGACAAAAGGGTGGTTGGATCTGGTCTTCAAGTTTCGCATTTTCTGTCGTTTGTGAACTGCCATGAGGTTCGCGATACCCATGCACCAATATTTTTTTGGACTCGTGGCAGCTGATTCTTGGTTGTATGTTTGTATCTTCGTATCAGCGGTGGAGTTGGACCGTGTTTCTTCCAGCTGCGACTTTTGCATTCTATTAGCTTGACATACTGCTGCATCGAGGCGTTCTTTCTGGGCAGCGGCGGATTAGCATCGGGGGGATAGAGGGTGTTGTACGATACGCAGAGACCGAGCGGTGAGCAGAAATGAAACAAATCCTTCGAGGATAACAAGTTTTGACGAATTGGAGGCTCATTTGCAGCCTAGTTGCAGGGATGTCTATTGGCTGCTCACATCCCCACGGGCCTTAGCCCAGGAAACTGGTGTTGTTGAGCGGGAGCCCCGCGCCAATGACGTCTGGCTGGAAATGCGGCTCTGGGCCTGGTCGCGACCTCCTGCGATGCCGATCACTGGCGCTCGCGTCTGCTACTTCCTTTCTTCATACACAGAGGGCAATTGTCCCTCAGCACCTGCGCGTGGAGGCTGCCATTGTTGTTTGTTCCTCTCATCCGCACCGTTTCTCCTCCAAAGCACCCTCGACCTCTACAGATCCGTCCCATTGCTATCAGCAGAAATCTTTCACACCTCTGTATTATTTACTAGCCCTCGCGCGTACGTCCGTTGCAATCCTACCAATTGACGCTATACCAACTGCCTCCAGGACGTATCGTCAGCCATGCCTGCACCACAAGCCTCGCAACAAGCTGTGTATCTGCTGCCCTTGACGGACAGCGGAGCACCAGACGTTCCCGGAACCTACATTTATCTTCCACCGCCGACCGAGCCGGCGTACTGTGTCCGTTTCCAGATACAAGGTACCAGCTCGATATGTCGTCAAGGCAGTCTCTGGGTGAACATTCCCTCGAAAGGCGAGAAGTTCAGTCGCAGTCAGTACCGCGAATACAAGTAAGTCTTTCAAGTGGAAAATCTCGATTACTATACACTGCTAACGTCGCCCAGGCTGAAACCTGATTTCAACGGGATCACTGAGATTGACGTGCCTATCCACGAGGCCAACGCGTACTCTTTCTACACTACCTACACACCGCTGCCTCAGTGGACCTTCACAGATGTCGCAACACCGGAACCTACGCGAACGGAAACATACTACATCGATGTCTGCCCCAGACTTACCCTACAGGGTCAGCAGCTGCCGATCGAGGCCGTTTCGCTGTTCTCCTGCCTGTCAAAGTTCATGGGCAAGTATCCTAGCGACTGGGACAAGCACCTCCAGGGCATCAGCCAGCGTGGCTACAACATGGTGCACTTTACTCCTCTTATGATTCGCGGAGTTTCGAATTCACCCTACAGTATCTATGACCAGCTCGCTTTCGACTCGACCATCTTTCCCAATGGCGAGAAGGACATTGCTCGCATGGTCACAAAAATGCAGTCAGAGTACAATCTCTTGAGCATGACGGACGTTGTCTGGAACCACACAGCGAACAACAGCAAGTGGCTCGAGGCGCACCCTGAGGCTGGTTACAACGTCGACACTGCACCGTGGCTGCAATCTGCGCTAGTGCTCGACACTGCACTTCTCAACTTTGGCAAGGAGCTCAAGTCGCATGGCCTGCCCACCCACTTCAAAACCGTGGATGACCTCCTGAAGGTTATGGAGGTTATCAAGACAAAGGTGATTAGTGACATCAAGCTGTGGGAATATTATGTCATCGACGCAGAGAAGAGTGCCAATGCCATTGTCGAGAAGTGGATTGCTGGCCAAGCCACATTCATCGATGATAGCTTTAGTGAGGCTGGTCTTCGTGGTCTTGATGCCATCAAGAGTTGGTCCCTCAAGCAGAAAGCCGACTGGTTGGTGGAGCATGCGTTGCAAGGTGGTGACAGGATGGGCGAGCGTTTCCGTCGTCGCATCGAGCCCGCAGTGGGTGCTGGCCTCCTCTGCGCCCTTTTTGGACGCTACGACAGTCGTACCGGCACCACTCCTGATGAGAAAGCAGCTCGTGATGCGATTACCAGCATTTGCAACGAGATCAACTTACCGTTTTACCGTGAGTTCGACAGCGACAAGGCCGAGATTATGGAACAACTCTTCAACCGGATCAAGTATGTGCGGTTGGATGACCACGGCCCAAAGCTGGGCGAAGTTACAGAAGCCAATCCACTCATTGAGCCTTACTTCACTCGTCTGCCGTTGAACGAGACAACAAAGAAGCACAATCCCGATGCACTTGCACTCGTCAACAATGGATGGGTATGGGCTGCTGATGCCATGAGGGACAATGCCGGGCCCAAATCACGAGCATACCTGAGAAGAGAAGTCATTGTCTGGGGCGACTGCGTCAAGCTTCGATACGGCACAGGCCCCGAGGACAACCCATTCCTTTGGGAACACATGGCGAAATACACACGTCTTATGGCCAAGTACTTCCAAGGATTCCGTATCGACAATTGCCACTCTACACCTATCCATTTGGCCGAGTACATGCTTGATCAAGCGCGACAAGTTAACCCCAACTGCTTCGTGGTTGCTGAGCTATTCTCTGGCTCAGAAGAGATGGACTTCAAGTTCGTTGAGCGTCTCGGAATCGCCTGCCTGATTCGCGAGGGAATGCAGGCTTGGAGCACCCAGGAGCTAAGCAGGCTCGTTCATCGACATGGCGGTGTGCCCATTGGCAGCTTTGACACCGATGAGGTTCTGAATGCTGAAAACACCAATGCAACCGATGCATCTCAGCCTCGCGCAATCATCAAGAAGATCAAGCGCAGCCCTGTCCACGCGCTATTCATGGATTGCACGCACGACAATGAGACGCCTGCTCAAAAGCGGGATGCCCGCGACACCCTCCCTCAGGCTGCCTTGGTTGCCATGTGCTCCTGCGCTACAGGCAGTGTTTTCGGTTACGATGAGGTGTATCCAGAACTCATTGAGCTCGTTCACGAAAAGAGGCTCTACTCATCGAGCAGCTCCACTGGAGGACCAATCGCGGCACAGGCCGGCGAAGGCGGTATAGGAGGTATCCGGAAGATCATCAACGGTATCCACTACAAGATGGGCAAAGAGGAGTATGACGAGACATACATCCACCACGATGGGGAGTACATTACTGTCCACCGTGTCAACCCCCACACTCGGAAGGGCTACTTTCTTATCGCTCATACGGCATTCCCTGGATATGGTAACGGTAATGGAGGCTTTGGCCAGACCAACCTCCCAGGAACTGCGGCAAAGCTCATTGGCAGTTGGAACTTGGAAGTCGACAACAGTCCCGAGACCAGGGCGAAGGTCATCGGTGATAAGACTACGCTTCGTGGTTTGCCTGCACAAACACATGAGCTCAAGGGCGTCCGAGTGGAATCGAGCGGCGACTCGACAACGATAACCATTCCTGACAAGTTTCCACCTGGCAGCATTGCACTCTTCGAAACCTGGGTGCCGGGTGCTGAACACGCCGACGGCCTCGACAAGTATGTCACCGGTGGCGCGCATGCAGCTTTCCGTGAAGCCAGCCTGACGGACCTGAACTACATCCTGTACCGCTGTGACCCAGAAGAACGGGACGCAACAGGAAACAAAGATGGAACATACAACGTGCCAGGACATGGCAACCTGGTTTATGCTGGTCTACAGGGTTGGTGGAGCGTACTCCGCGACATTGTGAACGACAACAATTTGGGACACCCACTTTGTAACCATCTTCGAGAGGGCCAGTGGGCACTCGACTACTGTGTTAACCGACTCGAACGGATTTCGGAGAAGAGAACGTACCGGGGAGTCCGGGGCCCCTCCAAGTGGTTGAAGGAAAGATGCGACGCTATTCGCAAGCTGCCTAGTTTCTTGCTTCCTCGATATTTTGCTCTGGTCATACAGACTGCTTACAATGCTGCGGTCGATCGAGCTATCGAGCTTATGGGAGACAACGTTCGCAACGGGCAGCAGTTCCTGAAGAGTCTGGCTCTTGTCAGCATTCAAGTCACTGGCTACATGAACAGTGCATCTCTTTGGCCAGAGAAGACCGTTCCCAGCATGGCGGCTGGTCTTCCTCATTTTGCGAACGATTGGGCTCGTTGCTGGGGCCGGGACATTACGATATCTGCCCGAGGCCTATACATGGGCACTGGACGATACAATGATGCCAAGGAGCACATTCTGGCTTTTGCCAGTGTGCTCAAACATGGCATGGTTCCCAATCTTCTGAGTGGCGGGAAGCTACCTCGATACAATTCTCGAGATTCAGTATGGTGGTTCCTCCAGAACATTCAGGACTACACGAAGATTGTCCCCGGTGGGCTTGACCTGCTTCAAGCAAAAGCCAAGAGGCGCTTCTTGCCTTACGACGATACATGGTTCCCTCATAACGACAAGCGGGCTTACTCCACTTCGTCCACCATCGAGGACGTCATCCAAGAAGCGTTGCAACGTCATGCCTCTGGAATAGAGTTCCGCGAATACGACGCCGGGCCCAACATTGACAGCCAGATGAAGTCTGAAGGGTTCAACATCAAGATCTGGACTGACTTCGAGACTGGCCTGATCTTCGGCGGTAACCAATCCAACTGCGGCACGTGGATGGACAAAATGGGCGAGAGCGAAAAGGCTGGCAGCAAGGGCGTACCCGGTACTCCCCGTGATGGAGCACCGGTTGAAATGATCGGTATGCTCTACAGCACTGTCCGCTGGTGCGCGGATCTGTACAAGCAAGGCAAGTTCAAGTACGAGGGTGTCACGTTGCCCGATGGCAAGGAGACTATTACCTACGAGAAGTGGGCAGACAAGATCAAGGCCAACTTCGAGCGCACCTTCTACGTCCCACGTACACCGGATGAGGACGGCGACTATGATGTCAACCCTAGCATCATCAACCGCCGCGGTATCTACAAAGATCTCTACCGGTCCGGAAAAGAGTACGAGGATTATCAGCTACGCCCTAACTTCCCTGTTGCAATGTCTGTGGCGCCTGATCTCTTTGATCCAGAGCATGCTTTGTACGCTCTGCAGATGGCCGATCGCATTCTGCTGGGTCCACAAGGCATGAAGACACTCGACCCTAGTGATTTGAACTATCGTGGCTACTACATCAACAGCGAGGACTCTACCGACTTCCATACCTCGAAAGGCCGCAACTACCACCAGGGCCCCGAATGGGTTTGGCCCACTGGTTTCTTCCTTCGCGCATTGCTCAAGTTCGACCTCAAGCGGCGCAAGACAGCCGAAGAGCGCGTCGAGAGCTACCAGCAGGTCACACGTCGCCTGGCTGGCTGCATGAAGGCCATTCAGGAGAGTCCTTGGGCTGGCCTGACAGAGCTGACCCAAAAGAATGGAGAGTTCTGCGGCGACTCGTGTCCCACACAATCGTGGTCAGCTAGTTGCATTATCGATTTGTTCCAGGATGCACGGGAGTATGAGCTCAAGGAGTCTTCGTAGGCACGACCATTGCTGGATTTAATGGGCGGTTGTTGAGTGGCGATGTAGTCGTCAAGAGCACTGAAGTATTGTGCGGGCTTGGTTTTGCATGGCTGATCGCGTCGACCTTTATACCTATGTATGTCATAATTGAATGCTTTTCCACCTGAACTACAATGACCTCGTTCACACTGCCTTGCTGTACACTGATGAATAATTTGAGGCTGTGGAGAACTGTATCAGGGTTGCACGCATGCCAGCAGGGAACGAGGAGCTTGCGGCACCCCATTTCTTATTTATTTGAGCCGTGCTATAGATCATGCAAGGCTACTATGTTCGGAGTCGCGTGCGAAAATGGCGGAGCTACCAAGCCATTGATTCATAAACCGGTTTCCTGGAGTAACCTCACATCTTTGCCGGTCTCGTCACCAGGCGCCCTGGATTCTCATCTCCCTTCCCCGTCCCTGCTATCGATGATGCTACGATCCTCTTCCTGTCCTGAACCGGCTTTGATAATCTGCACAGAGATACACTGCCGGAGCGAGACTCCTGCCCCGACTCAGATGAGAGGCCCGAAGTAGGGGCCCGCTCGACTTTGTCGGATGCCAGAGACGCAGTCTCCACATCGACGGCGAAGGATGCATCGGACGGGACCTCGGGCTCGACAGAGATAGTTGTGTTCGAGGTAGGTTTGCTCAGTCCAGCAGCTCTGGCCGAACGCATGCTTGTTGCAACGGCGGAGTCGCGTCTCGGCGGCATACTTCGAGATTTGGGTTCTTGGGGCGTGTAGCTGCAGTTGTAGCTCAGGCCGCGGTATTGGCGGCTCGAGTCGCGGAAGAAACTGGCCCGGGGCAGGTCTGCGGCGTCGAAGAAGCTCATGGTTGTGATGGGTGGTGTTGCATGGTGTGAAGGCAGCAGGGGCTTGATATAGGAGGCGGCATTGCATAGACGTTGGCAACGGCGTGGACTAGAGCATGGGTTCGGAGCATGGCGTTGGGTTGCTTGCTGGTGCGCCTAGAGCCAAGCTGCTCGATGGCATTGTGGTGGGTGAGGTGTGCTGGGGAACAATGCTAAGGCTGGCCTGACTGGTTGTGGGGTAGACAAAGGGATTGCCCTCCCTGCTGAAGGGCATGTTGTTGCTAGGTGATTTGGAGCTTGGGGTAAGGGATCACCATTGGCAAGTCATCGATTATGGGGAATGCACGTTTATGTGTAGAAGAATGAGTTCGAGACTTAGCCTGGAATTGGATGCCTTTTCTACCTTTTCTACTGCGGCAGGTATTAGGTTTGAACGTCTTTGACTAGCTAGCTTGATCAGTCTATACTCTCTGCATCGCTTGATGAAGCTATAATTGATGAGCCTCAATGTCAATTTGGCTGCAACTGCCAGCTGAATGTTGGTGCAGCAATCCCAGGCCATTGTCTCGAAGACTGCATGATGAAGGGCTGCCCTACTGCAACCAGAAATCAGAATGAACAACATGACACAACCGCGCAGCAGCCTGAGAGGTAGCTTTGCACAAAGAGCTTAGCATTGTTCTGTGAATGTACTTGAAAAGGGAATGGTGCCCGGGCCGCAGATGTGACACCAGTGGCTCCTCCCACGCGACCCCACCATGTCCCTGCAGTTGATTCGCAGCTACATCGCCCTCATCTTCTGGTCGCCATTCCAGTTTCTGCGCGTCATACTCGTCCGACTGCGCAAAGGACTCACGAACACATCAGATTACACAATGCCGCCGCCAAAATTCTACCACGACGATGAGGCCTGGGCAGACGTCGAGCCGCTGCCGCAAGACGACGGCGGCATGCACCCGCTCGCAGCAATCGCATACACCCAGGAGTACAGTGAGGCAATGGGCTACTTGCGCGCGGTCATGGCGAACAACGAATTCAGCGAGAGAGGCCTTGGGCTCACAGAGCACATCATCAACATGAACCCGGCGCACTACACTGTCTGGTAAGCCGCGCCGCCTGCCGCCGCCGCCTCGGTGGAGCCAGCGGACATATACTGACAATGCGCAGGCTGTACCGCGCAAAGACAATATCAGAGCTCAAAAAGCCTCTCGAGGACGAGATCAAGTGGCTCAATCCGACCGCGCTTAAGCACCTGAAGAACTACCAGATTTGGCACCACCGCCAGACCATCATCGATGCGCTTGGCTCGCCAGAGGGAGAAGGGGACTTTGTCGCTCAAATGCTCGAGAAGGACGAGAAGAACTACCACGTGTGGAGCTACAGGCAGTGGCTAGTCAAGCGCTTCAATCTGTTCGACAAGCCGGAGGAGCTCAAGTGGACTGAGAGTATGATCGAGGCGGACGTCAGGAACAATTCAGCGTGGAACCATCGCTACTACCTGGTTATCGGCAGTCGCGAGGGACATGCACCGAGTCAAGAAATTGTCCAGCGTGAGATCGAGTATGTTGTCAGCACCCTTGCAGCAGCGCGTACTGACACAACCAGATATACCAAGCAGGCCATTCGCAAAGCACCGCAGAACCAGGCTCCATGGAACTATCTGACGGGTATCCTCCGTGCCGGCCAGCAGCCAAAGTCGGCCGTCAAAAGCTTCGCAGCCGAGTTCGCGGATATCGAGTCACCCGATGAGGTCTATTCCAGTCATGCGCTTGACTTGCTGGCTGACATCTACGCCGAGGAAGAAAACAACAAGGAGTCAGCTGTGAAGGCATTGGATCTGCTGGCGACCAGATACGACCCCATCAGGGCGAACTACTGGAATTACAGGAAGAGTCTGCTGAACCAGCCAGAGGTCGCAGCTTGAGCTTTGCGTTAGCGAGTCAGAGCGAGGCTGTTGCATGCTGATCTTGCCGCGGGAAGGGTTGAGATACCGCGGGTCGTCATGCGATAAGATGTTGCACCTAGTCGTCCGGTTGGGGTCCCGGATCCAGAGAAGTGTGCAGATGGACACCAACACGTGCGGCTCCGCATGATCTGCAGCGAGGACGCATGTCACGTTTTCAAGGACCTCCTGCCTGTAATGACTGCAGTTTTCCCCGCCCAGCCTTCTGGATCACGATGGGAAAGCGGACGTGCTACTACGACCGAAGCTCGCCATTATGGTCCTCATGACGCTAAGCCCCGCAAGTTATCGCGATACCCCAGATTATCTTGACCACTCCGACTTTTTCTCGAACAACTGGACCAACCTTCTCCTTCCACTCAAGCGCTGATGCAAATGCAGTGCAATGATAGGGCACCATGTGGTCCTGTCCCCTGGCAGAAAGACCGATTTAGCTCCGCCGTTGATAGCCGCTTTAGGGAACACAATCCACCGGTAGTGTTGCCGCATCATGGGGTCCCTTCCTGTGTCATTGTCGGTCGCACCTTAGTGGGTCAATCCTTATCGAGAATCTATAGGGTAATTTTTCGAAGTTATAGGGTAATCGACAAAACCATGGCGGTATTCAACCCAACTATCCCCGACGGGAAACTATAGTACCGCGGGATTGTGCGGAGCTGATAAGCATTTCGCTTTGAAGTGGTTGGACCTGAGTGTATATTTACAGGGCCCAAATTTGCTATCATCTGGCTCATAAGTGTCGTGTCTCATCAAGTCTTCCTCATCCACATTGTTTTTGCCAGTTCATACCCCAATATGTCTTTTCTTCAACTCAATCACATGGCCGTCAAGACCAACACCTCTTCCCAGAAGCAGTCGAACCCATGGGTAGAGACACCCTTGAGGGAGTCTTATGCGCTCTCTGAAGCAGCGGGATGGTACGGTCATACTTCTTCTATCCTCATCTTGCCATGTTATCGCAGTGATGCTCGTCTTCTTGTTGTGAAAAGAGAGTTCTAAATCGTAGAAGCAGAATCTTCCTCAAGCTGGAGAACCTACAGCCTTCCGGATCGTTCAAGTCACGGTAAGCTTCATCTTCATTGATCACACTACCGACACCCAATCTAATGACCTGATAGAGGAATCGGCAACTATATCCTACGACGCCTTGCAGAGCTTCCCGCTGGGTCCCAACCACACATCTTCGCTTCTAGTGGCGGCAATGCTGGACTCGCTGCTGTTCATTCCGCACGAGCACTCAACCTAAACTGCACTGTCGTCGTGCCAACAGCAACATCTCCCTTGATGGTCACCAAGCTTCGCGCAGCTGGCGCTTTCGACGTCATCTCCCACGGCGCCGCATGGCGAGACGCCGACACTCACCTCCGTGAACACGTCATGCCCTACGTATGTCTTCTCCCATCCGACTGCTCCTTTCCCCTCGCTGACCATGCCTCCAGTACGAAGGAGCAACCATCTACTGCCCCCCTTTCGATCACCCCGACATCTGGACCGGCAACAGCACCGTCATGCACGAGATCGCCACACAGATGCCCGACGGCGCCGCCCCCGACGTCCTCATCTGCAGCGTCGGCGGCGGCGGCCTCATCAACGGCGTCTGCCAGGCCATGGACGCAATCAACATGCACACGCCCACTATCCTCGCCGTCGAGACGGCTGGCGCTGACTCCCTCGCCGCAAGCCTCGCCGCAAACGAGCTCATCACCCTTCCCAAGATCACCTCCAAGGCGACCAGCCTCGGCTGCGCCCGCGTCACAGACAGGACGTTTGAGTACTCCCAGCGCGCCAACGTGCGCTCTGTCGTGCTGCCCGACGGCGTCGCCGCGATGGGTTGCTGGCGGCTCGCCGACGACGAGCGCGTGATGGTCGAGCTGGCGTGCGGCGTCAACGTGGCGCTGTGCTACGATGGGCGGCTCGAGAAGGCGCTGGGCCGCCCGGTGCGGAAGGACGAGAAGGTTGTCATTGTGCTGTGCGGCGGCAGCAATGTGACCAGTGGCATGCTGTGCGACTGGAGGCAGGAGTATCAGCAGACTGTTGATGAGGAGCTGGAGCTCCAGAGGAGAGACTCGGCGTACACGAGTGCCGAAGCGAGTCCTAAGACTGCGCCCACGGTGCCGAGTGAGCTGGGTATGCCGGATATGCCTGTCATTGAGGGTATCGAGGTCGGGAGTTTGGCCGTGAGGGCTTGATTCACGCGGTATACTCTTCCTTCATCATCATCATCATCGGCGTTTGGGGTAGCGATCGAAACTAGTCTCGCTTGTGCATTTCATAAAGCATCTACTCAATGATATCTGAGTTGTCCTTCAATGTGTATTGAACTCTCCTACAAAATCACACGTGATGCATGGAACCTAGATTCGCTCAGACACCCATGTCTGCTTCCAAAGCTTTCTTGAGCTGTTCATCAGCAGCGATCTCTTTCTCTGCGCCCTCAATGACACCCCGCAGCCCATGCGCACACTTCTCGAGTTCGGCCTGCTCATGCTCATCGAGCTCGATTGGCATTGGCTTGACAATCCCCCTTCGACCCACGATAGCAGGCATCGACAAGCAACAGCCCAACTCGGGCTGGTAGAAAGAAAGAGGGCGCACAGAGCGCGAATCGAAGAGAATGTACTTGCAGATTGACGCGGCTATGTTGCCGATACCATACGCAGTACAGCCCTGCACACCGTCAGCGCCATGTTATCTCAGGGGTCAGAAACATGAACCTTACCTTTGCTGCGATGATACTCCCAGCAGCGCCCTTCGTGTGGCTCGCAATCTCGGCCTTGAAATCATCATTCAACTTCTCGCCCAAAACCAGCTTGAGCGACGAAGTCCCCACACTCGCACTGCTCCACGCAATGAACTGGCTATCGCCGTGCTCACCCAAAACATACGCATCGATGCTGTTAGGCGCGACCTCGGTCTTCTGCGCCAGAATGCCACGCAAGCGTGCAGAATCGAGCGACGTCCCCGTACCTAGGACCTGCGATTCCGGGAGTCCGGAGAGCTTGCGCGCGAAGTAGGTCAGGATGTCCACGGGGTTGGCGACCAGCAGAAGGATGGTGTGTGGGCTGATGGGTGACATGGCGCTGAAGATGGACGAGAGAATATGCAGATTACGAGATAGGAGCGAGAGGCGCGTTTCGCCTGTACACTGTCAGCTATCAAGCCCATCTCTTCGCTTTATGAGCATCCACGTACCTGGCTTCTGCTTTGCTCCAGCCGTGATGACTACGATATCGGCTTGTCCGGCATCTTTGTGCGTGCCGGCGCGCACTTTGACTCCACTGCCGCCGCGATATGTCGCGTCGCCCAGGTCACGTACTTGTGCCTCTAACAGCTCTTTCTTCGGGTCGACAAGAATCACTTCGCTGCAGATAGGCTGCAGGATGAGTGTGTAGGCCAGTGTTGCGCCGACATCGCCGCAGCCAACAATGGCAATGCTAGTTTGAAGTTTCGGGCCTGGCATGGTTGGTTGTTGTGTGAACGAGCGATCGTTTGTCGTGGGTTTGAGTGGTGTTGGGGATGACAGCTCTCTTGCACGTGAAATACTCTGGTTGCGGAAGTCGCGATGGTCAGCAAGGCATTGGCGAGCGGAGATGATGCAATTGGACAGATCTTCAAATCATTGGGAACTCGATATATATATTCTATGTTCTGGTGCAATTACATAACGAGCATGTGTATGTTGTAGCAAGGCACGACACGCCCAGGCCTGGGCGTACGGCGGAGGTGGTGTGATGTGGAGCCCACCTGCAGCCTCGCCCACTCAGCCACAACTGAAGATTGCGATACCGCACAGCATTTGCCGTGGCAGAACTCGTGCGAGCCGCATTACCACGGATTCTGGATGTCATCTTCCAGCGGCTTCGTGTGCTTCTGCAGTTTCTTCGCAACAGCGTCTGCCTCTTTCCACACCCGCAGAACATTGCCTCCCGCAATCTTAGCTGCGTCCTTGTCACTGACACCTTGACGCAAAAGTTCTGCGATCAGATTTGGGAACTTAGAAACGTCCTCCAAGCCAGCAGGTGTCCCTTCGATGCCATCGTAATCAGTACCGATTCCAACGTGGTCGTACCCAATGAGCTCGCCGATGTGCTTGATGTGACGAACAACCTGATTCAGCGTCACATTGGCAGGGACAGTCTCAGGGAGACCTGAAGTCGAGTTCCCTTCCTTGCAAGAGATGAAGTCGGGGTTGAAGTTCACCATAACGACCGAGTTGCGCTTCTTCACAAGGTGCAGGATGTCGTCTGGTACATTACGGGGGTGAGGGCAGATGGCGTGGGCTGAGCTGTGACTGAAGATAGGCGGAGCAAGACTGCCGGTCCAGTCTCCGTCGCCCTTACCGACAAGCACATCCCTCATGGTGTCGGTACTGACATGAGCGAGATCGACAAGCATACCAAGGCGATTCATTTCCTTGACAAGATCCCGACCTGCTGGACTCAGGCCCTTCCAGTATGGCGTCGCAACCCGGGCATCATAGTTGTATTTGGTTTCCAATGCGGCATCTGCATACTTGTTGTGGCAGTTCCATGTAAGGGTTGCATAGCGGACACCAAGTTGATGGAACAGACGTAGGTTGGACACAGAGTTGCCAATCTGGTGCAAGCCTTCGATGGCAGCAGGCGAGATGAGATGACCATGTTCGAAGGCTTTGACGGCATCATGGCTATTCGACGATGGGGTGAAGTACTTTGGGTAGCTGTCTCCAAGGCGCTTGTACAGGTCAAGCTGGTCGAGTGTGGCTTTGACGACTGTGGGGGTCAGCAACTTGCACGTGATGATAGAAACGAGCTGGCGTACTGCTTGAATATCGCTCGTCAGAGAAGTCTGCCGTATTCTCTCCGGTAGGACAAACGTAGAAGGCACTCCAAAAAGCACCGCCTTGTAAGCCCTTTTCCAAGCGAGGGACGTCCACGTGCTGTGCAAGACCTCCGTTCTCAAACTTCTCTTGAAATTCGTTGCCGTAGATATGGTTCTGGTATTTTCCCCGGATGAAGATCATCAAGTCATTGTGGCCGTCTTCTAGTATCAGTACACCGAGCGATAGAGCGTTCTGCGACAATGCTGACCAATGAGTGGATGTTCCTTCAAGATCCTCGTGGCTCTTTGTTCAACAGTAAGCTTGTGTTTGCAGCCATGTCTCCCAAACGTGAAGGCTGGTCCAATGGTAGTAAACCAGAATGTAGCAAGGAAGAAGAGAAGCACGGCAATGATTGCGTGATTCGACCGTTTCGGTTGACGAGGAGGGGTCTGATCTTGTTGCCTGAGAGGCAGCTCATCAACCCCAAGAAGCTTCTGATCTTTCTCCATAGCTTCTCTTCAATCAACAAGCTGTTGATGTATGATAGATGCGAGTACACTATCAATGGATGGATGATAACGTGCCATTCGTCATCAGCTTAGCGTGTGGAGTTTAGGCGCTCTTCCCCGGAGTTTAGGGGGTAGTGTTTTTGAAAACACCAACACCACGTTTCCTCTCACAGCTCCTGGAGCATTTCACTCCCACAAGCACAAAGATGGCTATCATAACGGCAAATATGATGATCCGCAGCTTAGCGCTATTCCACCTGACGCTGGCTGCGCTCTTGATCAATAACCCAAAGGTCATTGCGAACCAGAGTGTGATCATGGTCTTGGGTGGATCCATGCAGCTTGTATGTAGCTTGAAGAAACATGCTGGCACGTTCTAACGTTTCATAGCCTACTCCTCGAGATTTTGCAACACCGTCTGCAGCTGTAGCCTTCATCGCCGTCCTGTTCGCATTCATCGGCATCAACGACCTCACTGCAGGCTCGCTCGCCGAAGAAGTCTTCGACGAATACTGGGGCGCTCAGGCACCCGTCCGCCTCGTCTTCCTATTCGCACTCACCGGCTACACATTCTTGTTTAAGGAGGGCGGAATATTCGGTGGAGCTAGGGGCATTGCGTACTCGAAGAGCCCAAGTAGCTATCTCAAGAACAGTGTCGTCTTCAGCTGGGGGTTCATTGAGCTGTCTATGTGGTTCTGGATCTACATCACTTTGCGCGAGGAGCGGAGAGAGCGGTTGAACAAAGTGATCGAGAAGCGCAACGCAGAAGCTGAGAAGAACATCGGTCGATGAGGACGCACTTTACACAGGACGAAATGCACCGCATGCTCGGTTCAGGATATATGTGAAACTCGATTTGGACTTTTTCAAACGCAGTCTATCGTAGTATCTCATAGCATTGCGGCACTGCTTGGGTTGGCCGGTCGCTGTTCTGTCAGGAGGTCTGTGGCAGATCTCGTGGATAATTCAGAAATGGGTACATATACACCATTACATTTGATGTGGGCAACAAAATAATGCCCACCAGGATCTAGTCAAGAGATAGTACATATCCACCAGTATGAAGCGAGATAACATATCAAAGGAGCACCCGTTGCCGCTCTGTTTTCTCTTTCGCAATCTTCGATACATGTGGATTGCTTACCCTGTACTCATCATATGACCTCGTCGGTACATGTTACCCGGGTGTAAAGAAGGGAGTGACGACGGAAGGCAAACCACGGTTGGGCAAAGGGTATGCAAGGTAAGATTCATTTCATTTGTAGGCATGTTTCCGCGTAGGTCCAGCTTTCAGCTCATTCCGTGTGATCTAAGCAGTCCGTACGAACTTCAGGCTGATTGGCTCGACGCCCCGAGCCTTGATCTTCTCCTGCACATCCTTGTACACCTTATCGGGCTCCTGAACAGCGTCAATCTTGACGACGCGTCCCTGGCTCTCAAACTCATCGACGACTGGCATGCTGGTGTCAACGAACACCTTGAAGCGCTTCTTGATTGACTCGATGTTGTCGTCGGCGCGGCCTGATGTCTCACCGCGTTGCAAGAGACGCTTGAGCATGATCTCCTCGGACGCATCGAAGAAGAGAGTGAACTTGGAAGGAACGACGGAGCGCTCAAAGGCGTGGGCTTGGTCGAGTTTGCGGGGGAAGCCTGTCGCTAAGTCAGTGTTCGGTGCTCCTATGCATTTCGCAGCTTTGACATACCATCGATCAGGAACATGCTCTTGTTCTCGGTCTCCATAGCTGTCTTCATAGCGTTCTCCAGCAGTTGAATCGTAACCTCCATGGGCACAATTGTACCCTCCTTGATGTATGTCTTGATCATCTCGCCGAACTCGCTCCCCGGACGGTCCTGCTCCTCGCGAAGCAAGTCGCCCGCACTCAGGTGCTTGAAGCCGTAGTCCGAGACAAGCTTCACACACTGCGTTCCCTTACCCGCACCAGGCCCGCCCAAGACGAAGATTACGGTGACATTGTCTGGCGACCAAAGGGGGCTGGTGCGCGTTGTGGCGCCAAGGTTCTCAATCGCAGGCATCGTGAAGGTGGTAGTGGTGTTTAGTGGGGTACAGGGTTGTTGGCTCGAGGTGTGTTTGGCTTGCTGCTAGGAGAGTGGCCGGCGATAGGACCTACAGGTGTGTACTGACCGTCGCGCTGGTCAACAATCTTCTTAAAGAGAAAAGTGCCGATGCCAAAGATGGCGATAATGGGCCAGACTTTCAGGGGGGACTTGCTCTTGGGAGCACTGATGTGGGTCGGCGGTTCGTTGGGGCCTGTGGGGTCACCAGGCTGACGGCGGTAGAAGCGCTGAGTGCTAGTGCTGAACTGGCGGGCAGCAGTGGGCAAGGCGAGGCGAGCAGTACGAGTCTTGAAGGTGGAGAGTGTTGAAGACATGGCCGATGTAGGAGTCGGTATGACGATGCGGGATGCCTGTGTTGTGCAGCGGCGTTATTTGCTCTTAGCGTGGGGCATGTGCTGCAGGGCCAATGGCGGTTGAGACGCCACCGCCTATCTACACCTCTTCGTGAATGTGAACGTGAACGTGAACGTGAACGTGAACATGAACATGAAAGCGCAAACGCGAAAATGCAGAAAGCGCAAACGCTGCGATATTCTACATGGTCCCGCTCTTGGCTGAGCCCTGATGTCTTGCTAACGACCGAATTACCGTTTTCACTTACCCCGAGTCACCAATACCTAAACGCAGAACTGACCTTGATTTCAACCATAGCTCGCACTCGCTCGAGAATCGCTCCAAGGTACCTCATTACTCATCTCGGCGGACGATGGACTGGCGTAAATCTTTACAACTTTACCTGACACTTCTCCAATACTGACCTTGACCTTGACGCAGACTTTAGTAGCACCATGGATCCCAAGGCCTCGCTTTTCGCTCGCGCTCGACCCAGAGTCAGCGTGCCAAAAAGAAAGAAGGGAGCCAACTTCCTTACTCTCTCGGGAGAAATCAGAAACAAAATCTACCAGCACTACTTTCAAGACACCTACCGCTGCGAGCTGGTTGGCGAAGGCTGCGACTTCTCTGCACCGATGACCTTTAAGCTAGTGTCGTATATCAAAGTATCTGAGGAAAGCCGTCGGGAGAGTCCAGTTGATGATGAGCATGAGAAGCCAATCATGGTCCGTTTTTCGCGCCCTGGCTCTGAAGGCTGCAGCACTGAATCGCGCGTCTGGCTCAATCCGCACGGTGCCATAATCCTCGTGAGCAGACAAGTACACCAAGAGACATTGTCGTTGTTATATCAGCGGACCACCTTCGTCTTCCAAGCGCCTCGTCGTATTGCCAGCTTCCTCCACAAAGTCCCGAAGCCAAACCACCTGTTCGTCACGAACCTGCATCTGCACTACGCCACATACGGCAGCCCTGGCGCCGCATGCGACGTCGTGTGGCAGGAGAAGCACCTCGAGTCTTGGACCCGTGTGTGCAAGTCAGCGGCAAAGAGTCTGACCTCCCTGCGCGAGCTGCACATCGACCTCTGGATCAACGAGTGCGCCCCCAAGTTCGACCTGCGCCAGAAGTGGCTGCAGCCGCTGCTAGAATTCCGTCGTCCGCGACCGCGCTGCACCGACCACGAAGAACTTTCAACAGCCGGCAAGGCTCTGCGGGAACCACGTACCCTTGTTGAGGTCCAGGTCATAGTCTACACTCACTTCTATGCGCACAGCTTCGACTCGAATGTGCCCCTTGCGGCGGCTTGCAAGCACCTGCATCGGCTGTTCGCTCACGGTATCGGCAAGTACATATATGGGTGGAAGGAGAGGAACGCGATGCGTCAGTTCGACAGGGCGTGGAACGAAGACTACTATGTGTGGCAGCATCACCTGGGGTTCGCAAGCACTGGCTGGTAGTTGCGGATAACTGCGCTACGAGGGTTGGGCACATGTGTCGGGCATTCATTTCATCGGTTAGCCCAAGGCCGGAAGGGCGATCTTACCTGCACGTCAGAGACAAGTAAGCAAATAAAAGTACAATGTTTCATACACCTGATTTGTGGATGAGCTGCGTTCGTGGAGCTACATTAGCTATCCCAGAGAGTTTCAAGTCTGGATGGCGGCTTTGAAAGGTCGTAATTGATCAAGCCACTCGTCGCCACGTATACATACATTGCGTTGAAACTGCTCTCAGACGAACAATACCTCACAGCCATGCCCAACCGTCTCCAGGTCCCGAAGCAGAGTCACTCACAGAATACCGTAATGTACCTTCAGACTAGAGCATATATCACTGTTTCTTCTGCGGTAGTGCAAGCCTAGATCATCGGTTGGTAGAGCGGAGGTGTCTGCGACGTCAGGAAGGCATGCATGTTTACTTGGAGGTTTTACTGGGGAGTACTGGACGGGAGGTTGGATATGATGCAGCACTTAGACATTCAAGGTTCACGTGAGAAGTACGAATACAAAAAATAAGTTAAATATGCTATCAAAGCTAAATGATCAAAGAATCGAAAGGAGTGGTCTCATGCCTGGTATCTAGTGTGTACGTCGGCCGTGGCAAGCGGCACGGCAGCCCGTCATAAGGAACAGAAAAACATTACGTCGTGCATTTCAAATCATTAGAATCTCCCCGGTCCGCTGAAGTTCTTCACGTCGCGGTTTGTGTCGTCGTCAAACCCCGCGCGCTCCATCAGCTTCGTGAACGTTGTCGTGTTGGAGTCGCACGTGGCCCGGTTATCCCGCATCCCGTGCGCCTTGGGAGGCGCGAGAAAGGACAGGTTGGGCGCCGGCATCAGCACGTCGATGGTTTCGGTGCTTTCGACGCGCTCAGGTGGCGTGGGGCGCGTGTGTTGGCGTTGCTCCATCTCCGGCTCACGGCGGCGCTGGGAGCGGCTTGACCTGCTTGTGCGGCGCTGCGAAGGGACGGGCTTGGGGGTGAAGGTGGGCGTCTTGTAGGGATCGCGATCACTGCTGCCGGCACGGACGACGGGGGCTGGTCGGTTGGGATTGGGGTTTGCGGGCAGGCCTGGCCCGTTGTTGTTGGTGGTGTGAGCGAAGCCGAAGTTCAACTTCGGTGTGCGATCCCACATGCTCCTTATCCGCGGTGTAAGACCAGTGCCTACAGTGGGCTTGGAAGGCATGCCGTTGGAGGCTATGCCGGAGTGGTTCGAGGCGGGCGAACGATGTGTAGAGTGCGATGGGCGACGCATAAAGTCTACCCGTGCTGCAAGTTCAGGATCGTAGATAGGATCGCTAATTTTACGTGCGACATGACCAAAGTCGCCAGAGTACTTCTTCTTGTTCTGGCTGTTGTGGCGCTTGTTGATCAACCAGATCAATCCCACAGCACCCAGCGCTCCGATGACAATACCTGGCACAAAACCAGCTGCGAAGGATTTGCCATCGAAGCTCGACTTCTCAGCTACAGGCGCTGGGCATTCCGACGTCTGAGACGAAGATGCAGGTCCAGTGGGGGATGGTGTCGAAGAGGCAGACGAGGTGGGGGATGGCGTGGTCTCGTCTTTGGAGCACATGCCGCTCTTGCATGAGTAGCCTAGCGGACAGCACTTGGTGCCACATGTGGGAAGCTCCACGCCAGTGGTATCAGAAAGATGCATCTGGTTGTCAGGATGGAGCGTGGCGTTGAGCTGGGTGACATCGCAGGTGATGGGCTGAATGAAGGCACAGTCCGCGCCTGCGGGACAGCAGATGACCGACTGAATGTCTGGGCTATTGAGGGACATGCATGTGGAGTCTTTGGGACAGCAGAAGTCGGATGGAAAGCTGCCGCCGCACTGCTGCAGACCTTGTTTGCCTCCACATGTCGGTGCTTGCCGGAGGAACAGGCTCGATGCTTGGGTCGATGTGATTGCTGACGTGAGGAGGAACAGCACAGAAATCCGGGAGAAGGTTGTCGAGGGAATCATGGTTGAAATGTGCGCACGCAAAGACAGACCGGCTGGTGTGAAATGAACAAGGCCGGTACCAGACTCGACCGCAGGACAACGAAGACGATGGCAAGACGAAAGAGAAACAGAGAAACAAACAGACTAGAGATGCGAAGGAAACGATCCGAGTATATCTACCTCCTGCACAGGTTCGCCCACCGCGCTGCGCACGAGAGCCGCACGATGCAGACGCCACGGCACGATTGGGCTCGCTGTGGCCAGCCATTCTGCGGCCCACGGTGCCCGGAATAGAGCGGTGAGGCGTTGAGTGGACGACAGGCTCGCAGGGCGTCTGCAGACTCGGGCTAGCAGCGTGGCAGGGCCATAGCGGCCGCTTGCTTGTGTGGCTCTGCGGTTGCGAGCAGCCAGGCGGGTGAAACGCGCACAGGCGGCTGGTGTTTGGTGAAGCATGCGCTGGCAGACGAGGGCGCGTCGTGATTGGGCAATGGCGGCTAGTGCGAGTTGCGCCCCGGCGAGAATTATTAGCATGGCCATGTCGACGGCGGTCTCGTTCCATCACCACACGACATGACGGTTCTGCGGTGCTTAGCAAGGCGGCCTGCTGTCGCTGCCTTCCGGACGGCGGCCTCGGCTGCGAACGTATGCGAGCCCTCCCGATGCGATGCGATGCGATGCACGTCTGCAGCGCGGCTAACAGCGACCCATAGAGAAGACAGGCGCCCACGTGCGCCCGCAGTCTGTACACGGTGCCGTCGCTCGACCGCCACGACCAGCTCGTCGCCAATGGCATCCCCGGCCTGTTCTCGCCGACGGGCTTCCAGGTGGCCTTCTCCGAGTACCAGCAGCACACGGTCGATGAGCTGAACAACGAGACCGCCGGCGGGCCGTATGAGGGCCAGGACGTCAAGTCGCTGGTCATCGAGCTCGCCCGCGACCCGCTCAAGGCCTACCCCTTCAACCTGGCCAGCATGGCCTTCAACAACCACTTCTTCTTCCGCGGCATCAACACAAACCCCGACGTCGTGTCGACGCCGCCCGCCGATCTGGCCCAGGAGATCAGGAACGACTTCAGCTCCATGGACACGCTGCGCGAGACCTTCATTGCCACCGCCGACGCCATGTTCGGCCCCGGTTTCGTTTGGCTCGTGCAGACCAACGACGCTGCCGTCGCCGGCGGCCTGCGCATCCTCCCCACATACCTCGCCGGCTCGCCGCTGTCGGGCGCGCACTACAGGCGGCAGTCATACGACCTGAACAATCACAACCCGGACTCGTACCAGCAGCTGAACAGCGTCGGCGCCTTTGGCGCCTCCTCGAGGCAGGACAACCGCCCGAAGAAGCCGCTGGGCGGCACCGACATCATACCGCTGCTGTGCGTCAACACATGGGAGCATGCGTGGCTGCACGACTATGGTGTCCGGGGCAAGTCGGACTATTTGAGGGCGTGGTGGGAGAAGATTGACTGGGACTTGGTGAGGCAGAATGCCTCCATCGCCCAGAGCCAGGGCGCGAACACGAACAAGTGGTACCAGGACGAGTCCATGTGAGCGGCCATGGCATTGAATGTAGCATAAATGTATAAACAGCCAGCATCACAGAGCGCCGACAGCTTGCATTGGACGTGCAGAGCTGTCAATCTAAATTAGACGTTGAACATGCAACATTGACTTTCATTACTGACAGGCGTGACCAGTCGCAGTCTCCCCAACTGTCACATCAACTGCACAAGTGACTGTTCCAAGGTCATGGCGAAGCTTTGAGTTATGAAGGACAAAACGACGTGCAATTAGTCACACTTTTGGAAACGAAGACTGCACGGGGATGATCATGGGACGCAAAGTTTGAGACAGTCGGGCGTTCATTGGGGAGGCAAATTCTGCTTTGGAGTCATGCAAGCAGCCGTAGCATTCAGCAAGACAGTTCTTACGCTGTCGGCGGGGCCCCAGAACAGCTTCTCAGCCGTCCTTGCGACCCCATTCCAAAGCTGCCAATCTACCAACGATATCCTGTTCATCCATCGTCTACTTTTTAGTTGATCTTCTTAAGCTCGACCTCGAAGATGAGCTCCGAGTTGGCCGGGATCAGACCGCCGCCGACGTCCCTGTCAAAATCAGCACAACCCTCACGCAACAGCAGGGAACCGCGACTTACTGGCTGCCGTAGGCAAAGTCAGAGCTGATGTCCAGCCTGGCCTTCTCGCCGAGCTTCATCTGGACGACGCCCTCGTCCCAGCCTGCGGTGTGTCAGCATTGAGTCCACGCAAGCGAGCATGTGGCGGACGCACCCTGGATGACGCGGCCAACGCCAATGGGTGTCTTGAAGGGCCCGCGGCCGGGCTTCTCGGTGGTGTCGAACTGCTTGCCCTTGCCGTCCTTCTTGCCGGCCTCCTTGAGCCAGCCAGTGTACAGCATGGTGACAGTGTCGCCCTTCTGGGGGGACGGGCCGTCGCCCTCGACAAGAACGGTCTTGGTGACACCCATGTTGCGTGCGGTGGTAGTGAAGTGTTTGATGGGAGTGGTGGTGATGGGGCTGCGGAGGTGAGTTGCAGATGTGCGTGTGAAGGATGAGAGAGCTCGGAGGGACATGGTGGGTGGATGGAGGGGTAGTACTGGGGTGGGGTACACAGCCACATGCAGCAGGAACAGGTGCTGGAGAGCAAATGATCGGCAGCGCTGGAAGCACGCCTTCGCCGATCGAGCGACGGCACGGACGCAGGACCCTGATGTTTGCAGCCGCTGTCTCGAGCAGAAGCCTGGCTCGGGCAGAGAATAGCAAACTATACCGCGGAGCTCTCATAGCACATTGGCAGGTTTCAACGCACGTAGACAACCGTGTCCATCCGCCTGTTCACAAAATGCAGATGGCATGCTGCCTGAATAGCCCTCACGAGGGTGACCATTCACTACTGATGAATTGAAGTCTAAGCGTTTGCCCTACTGTTCCCCGCTGATGCTCGTGAGCTCTCTGTAAATGTCGTACATGATATCGTATGTTTTGAGCGCATTGCTCGCATATTCGTTTTATGATGTTTGTTGGTCGTCATGCCTCATGCATTCTCTTAGGATGAGACAGTGGAATAAGTCGTGTCATGGTCGTCTGAATGATGTAGCAGTAGAGACATAGAGTCTACAGATGTAATCGTGAGCTGTGCACCCCAGTGCTGTCCTGATGTCTGCTAATGTAACAAGTGTGTGTCATGCGAGCAATTAATGTTTCTTCTCTTCTTCCTGCTCCGCGCCGATACGCGGTGGGCTCTTCGAGTGCGACGACAACGGTCGGTATGGCGAGTGGCTGCGTCTGTAGTGTCGTTAGTCGAGAAGTAGACCCAGGATTACTGTCATGGAGGTGGCTTACGATCGCCGCCTCTCGCCTTCCTTCTTCCTGTCTTCAATGACCTTCAGCATCTGCTTACGCCCATCTCGCGCGTTGATGTGTGCATCCTTCATGCTCATGCTGATTTTCCTGCTCGCATCTGCTTTCAACAATCGCTTCAGCAACAAATGCTTCATCAGCACACAAACGAAAACGCCGCAATCGCTGCCGTTTTCCTGTTGCGGTGAGTCGTGCATCGGGATGTAGCGCAGCCTCTTCCCAAGCAGCTGTTCCATCTTCATGCTTGTGCTTCGTGCTTCTCGGTCGTTGCTAGCGGACATCGAGTCGTAATGGAAAGCTACGCCATCAATGACAGAGACGAGCAGTAACGACCAATGCGACCCGCCTTCTGCGGCTGTGACATCGGCGCAATCGTTTATGGGGAGGAAAACGTGAGTGGTCGTGCTGAAGTTGGGAAGGGCTTCTTTGAGGGAAAGAGGATCGGGCGTTTGCATGAGCATAAAGCTCATCGAAGGGCGGAGGAGCACGATTGAGGCCTTTGGGAAGGCTGTGAGGTCTTCGCGTTCGAGGTATCTAGGCACGATTAGGCCTGATCAGACGTCGCGCATGAAGATACACACTCTTGCCAGAATGCGATAGCCTGTACTCAGATTAGCTGGTGCTGCACGTCATTTCGAACGCTCACGTACGTTGTCTGTGAGCCAGTCATCCTTGATGCTTTCAACGTCCGTTCGCATTACTATGCCGTATCAGTCGGGTCCCTATGCGTGCACAAGGCTTGGTTGGCGAACGCCGTGTACTCACACCTTATGTCATGGTCTACTTGACATCAGCATTGTGATTGCTACACCCAATATATCGGCTTACAGGAGAGGTATGCGTCGTCGGTCGGGCTCAGCGTCTGTCTGAAGTGGTGCTTTCCCTTATCCATTAGCCGGCTAAGACCGCCGGGCATGTTGCTGTCAGGCGCGCTGCGGCGTGGAGAGCTCAGGGGACCTAGGTGAAGATGGTGCGACTTGGTGATCACAGAGCGCAGTACACAAGTTTGAAGGGCGCGAGACAGGGTGCTTTCTAGGTTTCGTTGGGATTATGCAAGTAATGTCTGCCTTGCGAAGCCTCTCGACAGCCGACAGGCGCGTGGGGCGCGGGGCGAGAATCAATGTGGCTCAGGCAATGACGTACGACGAGGGTTACCTATTTAGACAATGCACGAGAGCGCGCTGGTGTTGACATGAAGATCAAGTACTATTTATACTACTACTACTGAGATCTTTCATCTTGTTGTCGTTGTAATCATCATGCAACTTTTTGTGTTGTTCCTCCCAGACTTCGATCATGCACTTCGACATTAGCACCAATCAAGGCAGCTGGTCAACGGTTTTAGCTCCGCCGTTGACATCTGTCTTGCCAAACTGTGCTGGCCTGTCAACCTTGAACAACCAGCCCTGCTTGTCTTCAATCTTGCCCTGCTGGAGACCTCGCAGTGTGGTGAGCAACTTGACACAGATTGGACCTGGCTCTTTCTCTGCTGCAGAGAATGTAATCTTGTCATTCTTCGAGCTCAAAGTGATCGACTTGATAGGCACCAAAGCTGCAGCAGTTCCTGCTGCCAAAACCTCGTCAAACTCTTTGATCTCATCGTACGGAATCTGTTATGTGTTAGTCCGATATTGGCCGCCTTGAATACACAAAATCGTACTTCTCGTGATTCAGTCTCCCAGCCGAATGACTCGGCAATTCTGAGCACACTGTCTCCGGTGACACTCTTGATAACGTTCTTGCTACCAGACGCAATGAGCTTGACCTTGTCGCCATCTTTCTTGACGCCGATAAAGGCTGAAGTAGAGAACTCGTCAACCACGCTGCGAGTTTTGCTGTCCAAGTGCAACGTGATGCCGAAGCCAGCCTTGTACGCTTTCTCGCTGTGTCTCAGGACCGGGGCGTAATTGCCACCAATCTTTGCCGAGCCAGTCCCCTCAGGTGCCGCACGATCGAAGTCCTCGAGGATGAGAGCATCAACGGGGTTAGTTCCGTGATACACTCCGGTAGGAATACAGTACACCACGAAAGTGTACTCCTGCGGTGGATTGAGACCAAGCTGTGCCGAGCTACCGAACAGCAGAGGGCGGATGTACATGGCAGCGCCTGTCTCATGCGGAGGCACATATGCTGCGTTCATTCCTACCGCCAAGCTACAGCACTTGAGGTAGTGATCACTAGGTACTTCGGGGACCGAAATGTAAGACGCTGAGTGCTGCATGCGCTCGGCGTTCATGTTGGGCCTGAAGATGTTGATAGTGTCGTTCGGCGAACGGAAAGCCTTCATGCCTTCGTAGCATTGCATGCCGTAGTTCAGTGCAGGCGCCATGCCGTGGATTCGCAGGAAGGGATCCTCCACAAACGTCGGCTCCGACCACTCCCCAGTTTCGACTGAGTAGTGTGACTCGACATGTCCGGCAACTGTACCATATCAGATCCATGTGTTGTGTATCTCGCGACATAGTAAAAGTGTGTCATGTTGGCTCCCCGCTTTTGAAAGTTTTTCTCTTTCAGAAAGCGTACAATTACATCTTCTCTACGCCTTCATCGACGTAAGCTGTACAGAAAGTCTGGCTCACCTTCGCGGATCTTGAAGCCTACATTGCTCCAATCTGTAGATATGTTAGATGAGTACTCACCACGAAGATACAGTCGATGGACGTACCAATTGTATCAACAGGCTTGGGAGGGAAGTCAGACATGTTGGAGGTGGGTGTGCTTTGGTGTGTTGTGGTGTGGGGTGAATGTTTGGCCAGACAACTCGCGGTCAATTCGAATATTTGACGCTGTTCACGTTCCGTGAGCACTTCCGCAGCTGCGATATCGGTGACGCCATATCCGGCAATGTCCTGAGTCAGCCGCAGCAGTTTACCAAAAGCGATCCTCCCGCTGCCATCTTCGGAAATAAGTCAGCCCGAAGCAGCTCTTACACATGCTGACAGCTACAAGGTCGTCAGGCAACACTACGGCGTGAATCCTGGAAACGCGACACTCCCCTCTGCCTCTGGTGGTTCGGACATGGGCTGTTCTCGGAGATTCTTGGCGCGCGTGGCCTGAGAGTTGCTCGACACGCACCAGACACCGTAACACCGTAATCTACAACAGTATCCCTACACAATACGCTTCGTTTCAGTAGCTACTACCTCCTGATAATTCCATTCTTTCTTGCATCCAACAAACACACACAGTACACAGCACCATGATACGTTCGAGTCGCTTCGCCCTCCTCGCTCTAGTCGTTTTCGCCGCCCTTTCGTTCTTCTTTCTAGGACCTTATAAAGCACAGCTGCCAACTGCAGGCTCCATATTACCTGATGGGCAGCGGCAAAGTCACTCTGCCGGGGACAGTCAATCGCTGCTCACAGGGCACGCGATCGCGCCAAAGCTAGGGAATGCGACAGCCAAGTACGTGCAGGTCTATGGATGTGGTCACGAGAACAGTCTGGCTAACAATCCATTAACAGGGCAGAACTCGGCCGCGCGGCATGGAAAGTCATGCACACAACCTTCGCTCGATTCCCAGAGAAGCCTACAGACGAAGAGAAAGAGGCGCTGCGGCAATATGTCCACCTGTTCCAGCGACTCTACCCTTGCGGAGAGTGCGCCGAGCACTTTGGCCAGGTCCTCAAGAAATACCCCCCGCAGGTTTCTTCGCAGAAAGCGGCAGCACAGTGGGGCTGTTTTGTACACAATGTCGTCAACAAGCGGCTGAAGAAGGCCGAGTTCGACTGCGACGAGATAGCAAGTCACTACGACTGTGGCTGCGCGGATGAGGAGAAGGAGCCGAAGACTGCATGATCAAGTTGACATATCGCGCTATGCGAAAAGCAAGCATCAGCTGCAGGAATGTCTGGGGGCAATCCTCATGACTGCCCCGCGCTGGCGACGACCGTCTTGCACTACGTGCTCAATCGTGAACGACCCTAGAGGTCTTCGAGGCGCTGCGCATAAGTCAAACGTCGTGGAGCAGTGACCCCATATGGAGATTCCGAGTGCTGCAACATGAAGGCCGGCCGTACATGTCTCACTGTATACGAAGCATGTGATGCAACAGGCAAGACCAAGTCAAGGATCCCGGGCAACGAGGATGTACCCATCCGCTGATCGCAATTCGCCCAGGTCAGCCGGACTCCGCAGGCGTATGTCTCGAGTAGGCGCAAAGGTGGTCTCGAAAAGGCCCGGCGGCACTATCCTCTGGTAGGGAGGTGCCGACTAAGGTACCGGACTCGAGATTGTACGTGTGGTAGACGCAGCAAATAGGAGCTCACGCGCGCGCCTTCAGCCTGGGAATAGCCTGGAAGAGCAGCCACGCGTGCAAGCGCGACACCATGATAAAGGCAATCAAAGTCTGTTTATGGAACCATGGATGTTTGTTTGATGCGAAAACATGACGCGGACTGCTCCACACGCCATGAAGACTGAAAGCCGGAGTGTGTGGTAGTACGAGAGCAGCATGTCGCAAGCAGTCCGCGAAACACGCTCTGGCAGCAGATGTGCAGACGCCCCTCCACCAACCCACTGGTTCTGTGACGTCCCCGGGCAGTGGCTTGCGTCGGAAGGCCAGTGGCAGGCGTCTGACGGTACTAACACGGGCGGCCGCGTGATATTTTGGGCCCTGGTCTGCAGCTGCAGGGGCGGCTTCGGGGAATCGAGCAGCGCCCCCACTTGCAGCTAGCGCGCATAATGATTCTTGTTGATACAGGTGCGCATCGCTCCATCTGAAACCCTCTGGCACAGGAGGGGTGTATATGCTGGCGCTCGCGCTCACCGACCTCTGCGCCTCTATTCTCGTCCTGCCAGCTGTTCACCGCTCCAAGCAACGTCTCCCGGTCCCTGCCTGATTCGCTCATCATGGTTTCCTTCTCATGCGAAGTGAGTGTTTACTTATTTGTGCCCCTCAAACTTCACCGCGCATTGCGCGCCGCACCCCTCACCCTTTCGCCATGCATCCCGGCTGACCGCGACGTGCCAGAACTGCGGTGACGTGCTCACCAAGAAGAAGCTGGATCCGCACAGAAACCAGTGCTATGGCGCATCCTACACCTGCCTCGACTGCATGGTCCATTTCCCGGGCACCAGCTACAGAACCCATACGGTACGCCTCATTTTTCACAGCTCCATTCTGCTTGTCTGGCAAATGCGCAATTCTCGTCGCGCTGTGTGCGCATGTTATGCGCTCCGGAAAATTTGCGTTCGGCGTGCGTTTGTCCTACCACAACGATAACTAACCGATGCCCTGCAGGCCTGCATAACGGAAGACCAAAAGTACCAGGGCAAGCTGTACAAAGAGAAGAAACCCAAGGGCCAGCAGCAAAAGAACAACTCGCAGGCTCTGACCCCTCACAACGCCTACGTCCAAGATGCTGCTGAAGAGGACAACGCTGTTGCGCTCGTCGATGCGCCCCCTCGCGCGCCCACCCCGCCGCCTGCTGCCCACTCGCTTGGCTATCATCAGCAAGCTGCCCTGCCGCCGGTGAACGTTTTCGACTTCCTCGACAACTCAGCGACCCCAAGTGCCCCCCGGACAGAGTCTCGCATGATCGAAGATAGCGCACCGCCAGCATACGCAGAGACACCCAAGTCTGCGACTGCAGACGTCATGTCTTTTCAGATCCCAGACGATGCATCATTCATTCAGACTGGCGATGCGTATGGCAAAGAGCCGGTTCGTCCGTCAAGTGAGCGATTCGATTCATACACTACGCCCGCGCCCAAGTCAAAGAAGTCGAAGAAAGACAAGGATGGTGAGACCACCACCAAGAAGAGTGAACGCAAGCGAAAACGCTCCCCAGCGGAACTTGACCTGTCAGCTGCACGAGCTCGGGACAGGGATACCATGATGGAGGATGCGCCTCCCGTGCTTCACTCTGGTCTTACTGGCGGACTCAACAGGCTGCTTGCGCGACCAGAGTTCCCACCCTCACCCGATGACTCTGGGGACTTTGCAAACTCACCATTGAGCCCCATGAAGCGCGCCAAACAGGGCACGTCGAAAGCGCTGGAGCGTGCTCAGCGAGAGTGGGAGAACCAGGAGCAAAGGGGCAAGAAGGCGGATGCTAAGGCAGAGAAGGAACGTCAAAAGAGCGAGAAAAAGGAAAAGAAAGACAAAGACAGGGGACGTGAGAAGGAACGCAAGGAACGCAAAGTAAGCACGGCACTGGTCAAGATCAGGCCAAAGAAGAATAAAGATGCGTCGCCTCAGGTCAGACGTCGCCGTCAGTATTCTTCGTCAGTGTCGCCTGCGCCGAGAGACCGGAAGCCCAAGGCTATCGAGTACAGCTCAGGCTCACCGACCCCTGATGGAAACGGTCAGCTTGTGGTACGCGCTGAAGCCGGTGAGCTTGCTCTTCCCGTCAGCACGCGCGCTGAGTTGTTCATGTCTTTCATCAGTAAAGGCCCTGATTCCGAGCGAGGCGTTAGCGTCAACAAGGCTTTGAAGAAGTATCATCGCGAGCGTCACGAGCGTCGAGAAGACCAGCTGCACAAAGTAGACGAGGAGAAAGAGCTCTGGAAAGACATGCGCCTCAAACGCAATGACAGAGGCGAAATCGTCCTCTTCTTTGCTTCCGAGTCGTCCTGACTAGATCTGGACTTTGACTTTGTGCAGCAGATGCAAGATTGCAGCTGCTCCGAGCCTTCGCCGACTCAAGAGTCACACGAAACCGATGGATATATCATGGTGGGAAGTGTCTGATTTGATCACCGCTCTTCTGCCAATTTCTTTTTCTCTCTCTGAAAGATACCCGACGCTCGTCAACACTGGTCAGGGTGGCTTGGTGCATATGTACATCTCTCTTGGCGTTGCATACCATCTCTCCTCCGCTCATGTATGTCTGCTTGTTTCCTGTCACGATCGCATGTCATACCATTATGTCAACGTCCTGCGACATCTTGCGTTTGGAAGGTTGGTTTCTTATGGCCAGTCTTCTTGCCCTAATGCTCCTCGGGCTGGGCCCGCGTCCGTACGATATCGAATGCCGATGATATACGTGTCTTCTTACCAATTCAATTTTTAAGTCAAGATCTGCAATGCTGTAGAGGTTCCGCTGTGAGGATGTACAAAGCCTACCTCCACATTGTCCAAGACCCGTGGCTCACTGTTGCTGGCGTTGTGTTGTCATTGTGGCTCGTCTACATCATCCTGTCGTCTCCGTTGCTGTCCGTGACGAGGCGGGTGTTGAACAAGTCGTACGAGAGATCCAGTCCGCTGCAGTTGATGCAGGAGTCATCACCCCTGGCCTGGTCGACACCACGAGGGGGGATAGTCCATCGATATGATACCCATAAACCTCAACCACGAAGACCATCTCTACGTGCCCACGCTCTTGATCTTCCGCCCCTCCATCCCCGTCTTCACAACACCAGAGGGTGTGTCTCTCCTCACGAAGCTGGGCCACTTAGACACCATTGCCACTTACGCAAACCTCGAGTCCCGCCTTCCCTACTTTTGCGTTGCCGCGTAGGATCAAGAATGGCTGGGCACTCAATATTCGGATGACGTTTAGTGTGGCGAGTGCACTCTCATTGTAGAAGGAGTGCGAGCCGTAGTATTGGGTCAGTACGCATAGCCACCATGTGAGGTACGGCGGGTTGATAGATTGGCTAGTTCATGTAGTGTTCAAGACTACGGAATGGGGGCTGGGTCAGAAGGAGGGAGAGGAGAAGAAGAATGGGCATTGCATTGTGCTTGGAGCGTTGGTCGAGTGTTCCAGGTGTTGCTATATCGGGTTAAGGGTGTCCACGGTTGAGGTTAGAGCTCAATATTGATCTTGCGGTGGCCAGAATGCTTTGCTGGTCGTTCCTGTTTATTGGAAGCGTTTCGGTTGTTTCACTTTGATCGCCATTTCGTTGTGTGCAATGCAGCTTCGAGCAGGCTTCGGAGTCCGGAGGATTCCATCCTCGCGTTGGCCCTGTTATGACAGAAATTCGCGCAATACCGACTCGTGTAGCTGTCTCAAAGAGTGCAAAATCGCGTTTGTTTAAAGGTACAAGCCGCCTCGGACAGTGAGGCTCACTAGGTGCAGATACATGGTATGCAAGATGCAGGGCTTAGCGACGAGTTGACGTAGATACAGTGAGGTACTTCTCGGTACCGGCATCTTTGTTCCGCTGCGAGGCACCTCCCAAGGCTGCTTCGCGAAGGTTGTCAAGGTCGGTTAGTGTGATGCGCTCAGCCCTGTAATAAGCTTCAGGCGTCGGGAATAGTTGCACTGCTATAGTTTGCGGCAATGAGATTGACCATTCACATGTTTGCACGTGCAGGCTGCAAAGGTCTCCGGGGCCCTTAATGCGGTCCTTCGCTTGTGGTTAGACGGCTTCACTGTGGGGAAGGGCAAGGGCACTCGACGTGGGTTTGAGTTGAGATCGAAGTGGCCGCGGGCACAATTGCGTGGGTTGGGCGTGTCAGCGGCCGAGGCAATGTGCTTCCACCCACTAAGACAAGGCAGCACAATCTCGCGCACCATCTGGAGGACGAATGCAACGTATCTTGGGCGTGTATTCCGTTTTGAGAGTCATCGCGTCTGAACGGCCGTCGGAAAGCAAAGGCTTAACGACAGACCCTGAGGCATCGCTGGTTGTCGTTCGCCTTCTCAACCATCATGACATCAGTTGACAGCATCCCACCCCATTCCAAAGTTCGTAGTCACAGATCGACATAACCTCGACAACATGAGTTTGTACGACATGTCTGCAGGGGTTGTCACATGTGGGCGCTGTATGCACGTTGCCACAAGGCGCAGTTCTTCCAGAAGCCTTCCTTATTCACTCACGCTATTATCCCGCAAATCCATCAAATCGGTGCCCCGGCAGCGCTGGCACTTGATCTCTGTTGTTGATTCGATAGGCTTTTGATGTGGCGGGGAACTGGTCCCGCAGCCAGGTAAACGCTAGTCTGTCCGTTTTGGCTGACCGGGCGCAGCACGGTGCTGCGTGATCACGGTGACGCCCTTGCACTCATGGTGCCGACAGAAAAGTTTCCCAGCCGAACGTTTCTGACATGGAGAGTACACTAATTGACGAATGAAAACTAGCAACGTGATAACGCTGCGAGAGCCTACTCGTTCGTTGCCCTGCGGTCATAGTTGTGAGGCAGACAAGTCCTTGTCAGCCGCTCCGCTCACAACGTGCATGAGGCTATACAGCATATGTCTATAACAGTACAGCCTGGCACACACATTTCTGCTGTTGCTGCCTGAGAACGTCTCACACTCCCCTTTGACCTCCAAGTTCTTTCCATTCACACTACTGTTGTATCTGTATGACCCCTCTTCGTGAGGGTAGGCCTGCAAGCACGACTCACCGGAGTTAACAACCTTCCACCCGCCTATTCAACGCAACGCATTCGACGTAGAAACGATGTCTTTCCAGGGCCATGTCGGCACACCCATCGAAGAGTGGCACAATCTCATGAATTGGGACGAGGATTGCTTTACCGATAGTCCTTCCACAACACGAGGGAGCGGTAGTCACAGTTATCTGGCTCCAGAAGCTTCTGGTTTCCAGTCCCCATACGTGACATCGGCACCTCCCTCAAATTACGGCGGACCCTCATCGTTCGACTGTAACATCTCAGCACCGCCGTCTCTCACCGGAGATTCGTCTTCGTACAATCAATTCTACGGCACCTCGCCCAGCTTCTCCTCCACTGCGACATCACCACTGGTAGCGCGAGACGAGCTTCGATACTTTGGATCCTTTGATGCTTGCGACAACTTCTTTCCTCCTCTGGGAGGGGTCCCGGAGTCGCCTTTGTTGGATACCACCCGTGAGGTTATCATGGATTCAACTAGTTCTTTGGCAACAACAGCTGGCAACTTCCTCAATCCGCATGTAGCTGGTTCATTGCAGACGTTCAGCAGTCGTGACGTCGTTGCATCACAGATTCTTGCCAGCACTGGTACACAATTCGAACCTTTCTCCGCAGAAGATTCGATCGCCGAAGGTGATGAATACGATACATCGCCATCGACAGTGCCCATCCCAATCATACGGACCCAAGCCCAGAGCTCGAGTAGCTCATATAACTCTTACGAGCAGTACATGAGCGTTCAAGACAACAGGACTAGAGCGATTACCATTCCACAACCACATGGTAGACCACGCCATAGCGCGAAATCATATCAATCTCGATGGACTTCTAACGCGCCTCCTGTGTTGTCAACATCTCCAATTCCTCAACGCCGTCCTCGAAGCAGCACTCTATCGAGAAGCAGCTCTCGTGCCGAACAACACAAAGGCAGAACCACTCCTTCCCCTACGTCTGCACACTCCTTAGGCTGGGTCCCCATGCAGATGGATAACCAATCGGGCCGTATGGCAGCCGCTGCATCCTCGGATAGCGCACAGGGACGGATGTCCAAGGGACGCAAGAGAGGGCTAGACCCGAGGCAACGAACTGAAGCAGCCCTGATGCGAATCATCGGTTCTTGCTCCAACTGCAAGAAACGGAAGGAGAAGTGCGACCCTGGAACACCCTGCAAGTCTTGTCTCAAGCACTACAAAGGTGATCTGATCAACAATCCTTGCCGGAACCATCTACTTGCCGATCTTTCCAAGGCTTTCTTGTCTGATCGCCATGGTTGGCATCCGACGGCTCGTACGCTCGAATCGTGCACCGCCCCGACTGGCCACAGTATCTTGACAGAGATCACGTACACGATCCCGCTTTACTTTGGTTTTGGGCAGCCGATGAGTGTCAGTGTCCACCCAGTCGAGCTTGATAGTGCTCACCCCCTGGTGCACAGTCACCTTGTCTACAGCTGGCCGCCTCAGTCTTCCACCGCTTCTACTCAAACACAGGCTGTCCTTCCTGCGATTCTGACTGCGAATGCCGTTGTGAATCTAAAGAAAGACCTCGATGCGCACCTCACACAACTTGTCATGACAGAATTCTCCGCATTTCCATTGTATTGCTCGCAATTGCGAACTCTACGGAGCGTTTACATCTTCTTCCGATCACTGCGAGCAGATTCGAAGCAAACACACACCCTTCTGCAGGCACTCAAGCTTTTGGTGCTGGTCCATATTGGCGGCGACATCACCTTGCCACCACGAACGGAGAATCGTTTTCTGGCTCGTCTGATACACGACACTATGAACGTTGCCAGCGACCTACAGCCCACACCCTGCTTTATTCGTTCCCAGTTTGGTGCTATGATGCCCGATCTCGCGAACGATCTTATGAGAGATGTCCTCTCGTCACTGGAAGTACTGCTACTTGGACGCAATGAAGACGATTGGCCGACGACGTTGGCAATTCTCATTGTCGTCCTCATGACGGTCGAGTCGATCCATTACCACTCTGCGAAACGGCCATACCACGAAGCTTACGATCAACTGGACTCTGTGACTAGCAGCAGTGATACTGAGGTGAATGATCAGGCTGTCGACAAACTGCTCAAATTTTATGGCGCGTGCTTCTCGGCTTGTCACACTCGGTTACGACCTGACTGGGAGGGCGAACTAGACAAGGCTGCAGGGCGAGCATCTGCATCTCATACTTTCATCAAGAGCATGCGCGACGCTGTCGGTAAAACGAGTCCTGGGGGCTACTTGGTGAAGAAGGCTTACCAGAAGAGGACTGATGACGAAGACATGGGGTTCTTCTTTGACAGACTGGTCGCTCGGTTACTTCTCCTTGAGCTTCAGTCTTGACCAGCCCGTATGTTCTGACCACTGGCGGTGGTATGATCACAACTTTACGGTCTACGATATTACGACTGTCACGGCCTTTTTTTTGGTTGCATTGGCGTTAGGAGGCTGTCTAATACCTATTTCGTTCCTTTAGACCCTTTACGAAGTACCGATGGCAAATGTTGTACGCTAGTGTCTCAAGACTGTCGATTCAATGATAACAATATCTGGAAGCTAAATTGCGCTGTCCTTCGTTGTGGTGACATACTCGGACTCCTATTAAGGCTTCTGACGAAAGCACTATTCGCAATCCACCGGCTGCCCATCGACTTACTCCTTCAAATAACCGCCAAAGATGTGCAAATCATCCTCAGTCATCCACTCCCCACCAATAAAGATCGGCTCACCTTTCCACTCAAACACACCCCTCTCCGACACTCCACAAGGTCCCATCTTCCTCATAACCTTCTGGCTTGCGAGGTTCCGCCCATTCACAATAGCACGCATCCACACCTTCTCCCAGGGCTGCCAGAACTCCCTGCTCTTCGGCGAACGACACGCGTCTAGGACCGCCGTCAGCGCCTCAGTTGCGTAACCCTTGCCCCACCCCGGGGGCAGAAACGAGTACGCGAGCTCGACAACCAGAGTCATTTTCTCGTCTTCGGCCGGGATGACGAGGTGCGGCGGCAGAGGCAGATGCTTGCCTGCGAGCGAGACGAGATTTACTAGGCCGATGAATCTGGTTTCCTCGGCCGTGCTCGGGGTGTCGGGGACCGAGAGAATCTCGTGCACAGCGTAAGCTATCTTGTAGAGTTTCTGCACGGCATCTGCGGTGGGTGGGGCATCGGAGATGGGATCGGGCACGTAGTTTGCTATGACGTTTTCGGTTTCTTCGAGGGTTTTACTGGGTCCGCTCATGCTGGATCTGTTAACGTCTTGCGCGGAGGACTGGCTGGTGCGGTGGTATCATTGTGGAACCAGAAAAGATGCACAACAGTAAATGAGAGCACGTGCCTCCAAAGTGTGGACTGTTTGTTACTGCGTAGTTCGTGTAGCCATTTCAGTTCATCGCTGCCTCGTGCGGCTTGCGTGATGAGCGTGAGCTTGAGGCGGGATGTGGTTAAAACGTGCTCCATTTCTGTAGAATGACTCGCGTCCTGAGTACTTTAGAACACAGATTCTCGATCTTCTTGGTTTTATATGTGTTTCCTCATAGATAATCATAGTCCGGCGGCTTTTATAGAAGAGGTGATGTTGTACTGTGTTTTAGCTTGTAGGTTCAGGCCTCCCACGTTTTATTCACCACCTTTCCTCATTTGGTTGTGAACCTCCGTGTGTTGTTGCCTGATGATAGTGTGAGAGTACTAAATACCGCAAATACCGCAGATAGCGCGTTAGATACAAGGTTTTGCTTCCTGCAGTGGCATGTACGCCCTATACATGTAGGTGACAGGGCGTGAAGATCTCGTACTTCATCAAAACGATCAAGCTCGGTAGAACACCGCATAAGATTTCGTCCGTAAATGTCTTCGAGCCTAGTGCTGTACTATCAATCCGTTCAGGATCTTGTATATAGAGCAGTATTTGTTGATACAAAATTGCAGATAACGCCAGGAATGCAAACGTGCGATTCGCTTAATACCAGAAGTCAGTCTGCCATGCGACCTTCTCAACTCTCTTCTCTCTTCTCTTCCTTCTTATCGTCCTTCTTGTCGTCCTTCTTCCCTTCCGTCTTCTCTTCCGTCTTCTCTTCCGTCTTCTCTGCCTTCGTCTCTTCCTTTACATCCTCTTTCTTCTCCTCCTTGTTTGCTTCTGTTTTCAATATCAATTCGCCTTTCTCATTCCTCGGTATCCGCGCCCACCCAGTCTTGAATCGCTTTTTACTCGCGTCAAATCGCGGGAAGGCATGAGCTTCCGTGTTCAGCACGATCTGGTCCAGGGGCAGGAGATCGTTGGGGCCAAACAGCAGATAGAAGTACTTGAGGGTCTCGGCCTGAATATCGTTAGCAACCACAATCTTGGAAAGGAGAGAACTATACTGACCAGCCAGAAACTCTCCATGTTATCCCTACTCGGCGGCGGAATCTTGGTGACATCGTTCACAGAAGTGTATCCACCTCCCCCCTCGATAGCAGTGTGGTTCACGAACGCATTGAACATCTGCCATCCCCACTCTCTGTAGATTTCGTCTCCTGTGATGCGCCACATGTACAACAGACTCTCAACCGTCTCGGGTCTTTGCAGGTTATGCGCATCAGCAGGCTTGACGATGAAATCTTTCTTCCATCCCTCGCCCTCTGGAACATCGGGTTCCAATTCCGTCAATGAGGGGAGAATCTCGTCGTGATACATTTTCGGCTCCTCGTCGAGTTCGAAGTGTGCAATCTCGGGGGAAAGCCCTGTGGCCGTGGTGTGATACATGCCCACGCATGTCTTGGTCAACTCTTTTGCGAGCAGCATATTTTCTTCCTGCTCCTTGCCCCAGGACGGCAATTTCTGCGCCACAGAGATGGGAAGACCGCCGGTTTGGGCAAGCGCAATGGTACCGGGATAGAAACAGACCAAATGATCCATCTTTGGGTGTAGATCTCCGTCTAAGCCACCAGGCCGCTCCGCGAGCACTGTCAGATGAGCGTCTTTGGAGTAAGTGAGAAGATGCTTCTTCACACCTCGAAGGGTCTCCTTCCACATATCCAGATAGACAGTTTCTTGCTTCTGTGTTTGCAGATACTGCTTGATCAGGTATTCATAGTAGCTGTCTCCACGGGAGCCCAGACGGACCTCACTGCCTCGGAAGGTGCCGCGGTCGGCATAGATGAAGATAGGTACCAGACCGTCTTTGGAGCCGTTGTCATCCACAACTTGCATGACCTTTTCAGCCTTCTCCCAGTAATGCTCTTCTCCTGTAAGATAGGCAAGATACTTCATTTCGAGCTGCAGGGAAGTCGCTTCGGCGGTTGAGGATGCACCACCGTCAGCATGCGAAGCTTCGCCCTTGCTATCCTTTAGGCGAACACTGGCCCAGGGAATACCAGAGGGTGAATCGTAGGCGCCCATGAGACGATCTGCAAGGTCCGTGGCCTTCTCGAGGAAAACGTCTTGTTCATTTGCGTTGGCTGGTTTCAGTCCAGGAAGGGTTTCCTGTAAATAGTGTGCCGATAGCAGACCTCCGAGCATGCGAATAGTGGTTTCGAAGGTGTTGACGTCTTGGTCCTTGTCGTAATCAAGGGTGGTGGAGACCCATTCACGCGCGTGCTTTAGCTCCTTGGTCAGGTTCATGATCATCATGGTGTCCAGTGCATCAACAATGATCCAGCCCATGCCGTTCGGTTGTGCCATATAGCGGCCGGTCTTCGCAACCGGGTGGTACTCGTCGTAGCCCCATCCATGCTCCTCGTAAGCGTTCCAACTCAGCAAGAAGGCATCTTTTACGGCCTCTCTCCGCTTCTCCCACAACAGAGCTTTCTTTCTGGCTGCGCCTCCACCGAACCAGCCTCCCCCGGATCCCAGTTTGGCGGCTGGCGTCTGGTTCGAGCCCGGCACCAACATCCAGTATACGAACCCCAGCACCAGCAGCGCTATTGTCACCAACCCCCTCTTGCTCCTCACAAATCCTCTCTTCCCCTTCGCACCGCCATACCCGTATCCAGCTGGCTTGTCCTTATACATTGGCAAGCCCTTCTCGTTCCCTGTGACTTTGTTCCAGACATTCTCTTCGAAGCGACGTGAAGCAGACTCGATGTTGCGCGGGACAGCGAAGGACATATCGGAGTCCTTTAGCGCCTGCTTGGTAGCCTCAACGGCCTGCTTGGTGGACTGCTTGGTCAATTCGACGGCCTGTGTGGTGCGTGTGGCGGCGTTCTGGAGAAGCGAGAAGGCGGATGGGGCTGTTCTCGATGCTTTGCTGCGGAGGTTGAACGGGTCGCGATTCGTGTACATTGGCGGCCGTTGGCGACGCGTACTGGTAGCGTCTCAGGGTCCAGTCACCCAGGTACAGTCAAGTCATCCTAGACTCAACCTCAGCATTCATTTGCTTGCGCGAGGCCAGAAATCAATTGCGCTCCTGTGCTTCGAAGCCAGGTGTCACATAGCTTCCTTCCCAAACGGGACGACAGCAGACAGGGGTCAAGTGCCGCGTCGGCGCGTGCGGCGTGACGTGCGGAGCGTTCGGGGGAGACCTCAGCCTCGTTTCTCCAACACCGACCGACCGGGGATGGTGGCGGTAGTACGCGCGGAGCCCGCACAGCCTCTGAAGCACCGTCTAACTATAGCAATGAATGATAAACGATAGTATATCAAAGGCATGGTTGTATCTGCAATTACGCATGTAGACTTTCAAAGTACTCCATCTATCATCTCTCACCTCATCATCATTACCACGTCGTACTGTCGTCATTGATCGCCAACATGCCTCTATTTGTACAGCAGCTGCGCTTTCTCTTCTTCGTCTTCTGTCCATTCCTTCCTCTGTATAACGTCTACTACTCCAGGTCTGGAGACACAGCCACTGGCTCGTCAACTCCAATTTCGCAAACTTAATTCCATGGACAACGCAATACTCTTCTAGTCTCAGTCTGGAATCATGAAGCACCTCCAGCTCACCCCAGGCGAGGGCGTCAAACCACTGAAAGATGGCATATCCGTCCCTGCCGCTCTTCCTGAAGCCAAAGAAACCAAACTTCACCCGGCAAACGCGCCAGACGCAGCAACAAACGCATCTCTATTCTTCGTTGGAACAGCAACCACGATCATAGAGTGGGAAGGCTTGCGCATCCTCACCGACCCCAACTTCCTCCACGCAGGCGACCATGTACATCTCGGGCCTGGCGTAAGCGCAACACGCCGCACCAACCCAGCAGTTGACTTGGAAGATCTTCCACATATTGATGCGATCCTGCTGTCGCACTACCACGAAGACCACTTTGACAGGCTTGTTGAAGACAAACTGTCCCGCTCAATACCCATCATCACCACGCCGCATGCACATAGTTGTCTCACTTCCAAGGGTGCAGACTCCTTCACTAACGTACATGCGCTTGATTTCTGGGAGAGTCTGATCGTGGACGTGAAACCCAAGACCGTCACAACAGGAAAAATACCGAGTCTCAAGGTCACAGGAATGCCGGGGAAACACGTCCCGCCTGGGCCTCTTAACGTCGCCAACGAGATCCTCAAAGCCGTCCCGCCAACAAACGGATGGATGATCGAGCTTGGCTATGCGTCTCCAGAATCAGCAAACGCTGATGAATTCGCTAGCGGATACAGAGTGTATATCACCGGCGACACGCTAATGGTCGATGAACTGAAGGAAATTCCCGAGCGCTACAAGGACCTCAACATCGACCTGATGCTAATACATCTTGGCGGTACTACGATCCCAGGGCCGAGCATGCCGCTGCTCATGGTTACGATGGATGCAAAGCAGGGCGTGGAGCTAATGCACTTGATCGACCCTGATGTGACGATTCCGATCCATTATGATGATTATGATGTCTTCTTAAGCCCGCTGGATGATTTCAAGAAGAAAGTGGAGCAGGCGGGGCTGAGTGGTAAAGTGGTGTACTTGGATCGAAAGGACCAGTATAAGTTCCTGGTCAAGCAGGAGGGGGAGAAGAAGGGAATTAAGGATCTACCCACAGCGAGTTGAGACAGATTAGCCAGAATTGGAATCATTTGCTTCGTTCAAACATGCCGTATGCAGATTGTATGTGATTATCACCTCGTGCTTTACGTTGTGAGATCCATTCGCACAGGGGGCCGTGTGGCAGCGGGCGCGCTCTCCACAGCAAAAAGCACACCACGAACTCTTTTGTCACGCTGCAAGTCTACACACGATAGTGGGTGGGTGGTTTGACGTTTATCATTCCAGTGGTCCCCTGTATGAGCGGGTCCCTGCCTCGATTTCGTATGCCATTGTAAGAGTAATCATCCCTTAGACGCCCTCCGCCAATGCCATGCCATATCACGCCGTCATCCTCTTCTTAACACGGCTCGATGCCTCTCACGAATTCATGAGTGCATTTATGCGGCCGCGTGCCTGCCCTTGGGGTTCTTCTTGCCGACGTCGGAGATGGTAAGACCTGGTCAAGTCATTAGACGGAGAGTTCGCGGCGTGGGTGCAAGGGAAGCATACCCGGGGGAAGCGACTGCCTGAGCTTCTCGGCCTTGTCGGTGTCCTTAAGGACGAGGGTGTAGACGTTTTTCGAGCATCGGACCTTGAACTTGATGTTGTTGACCTTCTTGTTCTTCTTGACGCGCGCGGCTGTCTCTTGTCAGTCGCCATCCAGATACTAAAAAATCTTGCCAGCGCAATGCGGTCTCTTCCCAGGCCTCGTCGTGCCACTTGCACTGCCTCTCGGGGCCTCTATAATTCCTCCTTTTCCGGCATTGCGCATGTGCGGGTATTAAGACGTACACTGGGCGTCCTTGCGGCGGCAGATCTCGATGAACTGCTTGATGTCGGAGACTTCGGAAGGCATTTTGGCGGCGGTGGATGGTCGAGTCGTGAAAATCTCAAGGTTCGCTGGAAGTTCGCGAAGGGTGCTCCAGCAGCCAAATCGTTGTGGTCTCGCTTATTAGCGCACGGGCTGCGAAGGGGCGGTGCCGGCTTAGGATGAGAAGGGGAAAGTGGGGCGTATTGTGGCGGAGGCGAGACGTTACAGGTGCCTGGAAGTTGAACGCGACGCAGCACTCGAAGCGGTGCAGCTTGCGAACATCAGCTTTTTAAACTCTTCGATTGTTCCTTTTCTTCTTGCTTGCCTGTAAAGAGTGCGAATTTCCACTGTTCACGTAGCCACTATCCCTGACATGCCGACTCCCCTCGATCGTGCTACGAGCCAACGTGTAGGTGACTTCTGGTCCTGGAACCTGATATACGTTGTGTGTATATTGGTCAGATGGACACCCAAGTGCTGACTGACTTAGGCTCCCTTCTTCGCCTTTGCGGCGCTCATCACGGGCGTTGCTGCGTGGAGCATATGGGGTCAGGACTTGTTTCCTAGTGCCGACCCTACTGGAGGTATGTGTCCTCTTCCTTGTGCCCTTTGGGCCATACTACTTACTTCAGAGTATCTGCTGATGTTCTGCTACTAGACCCGGAAACGTGGACTCGCGATCAATGCGTCGCATGGCTCAATCACGTAAGTATTCACGGTTTGGCTGTTGTCGGCTTGGACTTACATCTTCCGCGCACGTGTTTTGGACTCTCTGTTGACGAAACATTAGCGCAACCTTCACCCTTCTCCGCTCGCAACCACTGGTGAGCTTCTGGAGCGCATCAAGGCCAATATGAGGGTCGCCCGGGAAGGCAACTACGGCACCACTGGAAGCCGATAACTGCCTAAGGTGCCTTGTGAACCCCGAGGGACGAAGCAAGTTTCACTGTCACATATTGCTATTGGCGTAAAGTTTTGATTACCTGTCACCCTGATTCCGGATACCCTATTCAGTGCACACCAACCTACTGATCGTTCAGATTGTAAATCGTCGTATGGTACATGTCAAACTCTCAAGATCTGTGCAAAGAGCGTTCAATATGAATTTTGATTTGACTCTACGTTCACAGTTGTAGCTAAATTCCCATTTCACCTCGTTGCGCCAGTGCTACGCATAAACTTGCTCGGAACACATACGACGCACGTCGGCCCAGTCCCAAAACCAAGATTGCAGTTATTGAGAATCTGAAGCTGTTGTGTGAAGCCACGTGCTTTCTCTTCTTGGTCGACCGTTGAACCACTTGTGAGGCCGTAAAATCATTCCCTGCCTCCAGTCTATAGCCAGAAGCCAGAGCTCCAGTTAGCCCACCGTTGTGGTGACCAGAGATCTCGTATGGGTGCCTAAACTTGACCATGATCACGCTCGAATTCTGCCAGCATGATCTCGCTAGCCTTGTAGTCTTCTTCTTCCTCAGCCATGATTGCCTCTTCCTCAGCCATCTCCTGCCTCAGACGCTCTAGCTCTTCGGCAATCCGTTGCTTGTAAGGTGCCATACGCTCGTCCAGCATAGCCTTCTTCTTGGACATTTCAGCACGCTTCTTACGCGTGGCCTCAAGAAGTTTGCGCTGCTCGGTGACCTGTGCCTCGATGGAAAGTGTACGAGGGACTGGAGACGCAGATAATGAGCGGGGAAGATGTGCAGGGCTGAGAAGTGGTACCGTATCGGTCTTGATGCGCTTTACGTCCGGAGGAGGCGTGAGGGTACCCTCTGGAGGGCGCTTTGTGGGCGTCGGGGGTGTAGGAGGAATGCCCGGCTTCTGCAGATCCAGAGATAGAGTTGTATCAATAGAAGCAGGCTTAGCACTCATCTTCTTTAAGGGCGACGTGAAGGTCTTGGTGCCAGACTTGAACAGGTCTTTGGTGTTAGATACGCCAGTCGGCTGGATGATGGCCATAGGGCTTGAGACAGTGCTTGGATCGAGAATACTGGGCATATCTGCTGGATGCGGTACCGTGGGCACGCTGGACACTTCCACTGGTAGGGTTGGAGGAATCAGATCTGCCGGCGCAGGATCCTTCTTGCCAGCGACTTTGTTCATGATATTGGCGAAAATTTCGTTACTCTTCGCAGCTACGTCTGCATCTGCATCTTGACCAAGCAGCTCAGTGGCCTTCTTGGTGACAGTTTTAGCTGATCTCTTGGAGATCTCAGCAGACTGATCACCACCACCTTGCTTCGGAGCCGCTTTAACGCTGTCACTGATCTTCTTCTTGTTGTTCACGGCTGTTTTGGCAGCTGGAATAGCAGAGCATTCGTCTATGGTGTCCGTGGAGTCTGGCAGGAAGTCATTTGAGGATGACTTAGCGGTGATCGCTGCAGTCGTGGGCTCGGTGATTGTCGCAGTCTGTGTGTCGCTGGCGGGGATCTTGTCTGCCGTCAAGCTCGGTTTGAGAGGAGTGGGCTTGTTGCCTTGCTTCTTGATGACGACCTTAGGCTTCATGTAAGTTAGCGACAGTCTCCAATGGTTTTTCACTTCCAATACGTCATAAATAAGCTACGCGCAGAAGTAAGACGCTCTCTTACCTGGGTAGACTTCGATTTCTTCGAAGCCTTATTTGGTGTCGAGGGTGTATCAGGAAGAGGAGGTGACGATGTGCGCACCGAGATCTCTCCATCGTTCTTGGCCGCTGGCTTGGATCCCAGCAACAACATGGGCACTAGCTCAAGATCAAGAGCATGAGCCTCCTTCTTAGCATATGTCTTATCAGTTGGGTCAAATGTCAACTCCATTTTCTGATCAACGATTGACTCTGTTCTTGGTTAGTAACGTTTGAAAACCAGAGTAACAGAACTTACGTTTGGTGCGGTAGTGGAACCGAAAGATGGCCCAGGGCTCTGTGCCTGGACGCTTGGCGTATACCCTCTTCTTCTCGCGGTTGCCCTTGGAAGCATCCAACGTGGAGCAGTTCTTCTCGGACGTTACGTGAAAATGAGGCGGTACATCCTTGTAAGTTGCGCTGGCGTTGGCATGCTCATGTACTTCATCGTACTTGCATGTGACGTCAACATCATGCTCAACATCAAACTGACGTGTAATGTAAAGGCGTAGCTCGATGGTACCGATAGTCTCTGCAGCCTGTTTGTCGAGACTTAATGGTCCGGAATATGGAGCAACTGATATGCCAGTGTCGATGACTCCATCTGGCGTCTGATACAGGAACTTTTCGAACTCGAATTTCTTCTTCTGTATCTGCACAGACTTACCAGCATAAGAGTGTGCCTTGCGACAGACCCCATCGATTAAGACATCAGAGGCGACGACAAGAGTCTTATTCAGTCTACGTCAGCACGAGAAAAACCAAACGACATGTGACATACCATGCCTGAGAAACGGCAATCGATCCTGAACTTGTGCCCTTCCTCAGTTGCGACGTAGCAACAGATAGCTTTGTCCGAGGCATCAATGTACTGTCCGTACTCTTCGAGTGGAGTCACACGACCTTCAAGATAGAGATGCGCGTCGGCCGTCCGGTCAGCTCCTTTCTCAATAACTTTCATGCTGGCAGCACTGAAGTTGGCGATGCCAGGCAAGCGTGGTGTGAAAGATACGCTTCAAGGATGCGCAGTTGTGATGTAAGCCCTCACGGGAAAGGTGCGGCAGTGCGGTCAAACAACGAAGATGTTACTGTGATATGGTCAGCAGCTGCAGCGTGCAACTGATATGTGGCATACAGTAATAGGCGACGGTGCGAGTCGTGATGAAGAAGGGAAGAAGAGACTGGGTAGCGTACTGATGGACGACGCCAAACTTATAGACACAGGTGAGAGAAGAGCTAAATCATGGAAAGAACGGTGAGGCGGTCAAAGCATTCACTAGCACCCAGGAATTGCAGAGTGAAATACGGCGATCCTGCGACAGGAGACGAGACAGAGGATGCACAGCAACAAGGCTCGTGGGAATCGTGGGCGAATCGTACCTGCCTCAGCAGGACTGTGCTGCATCCAGTCACGCCCGACCAGATTTGTAGGTATCAAACTGTTCTGATCGCAGCCAACAAACCGTAGAACTACAACTGAATAACTCCATTTAAGCAGCGAATACTTACTGCCTTTCTTGTCTGATGCTACGGTTTGCCAAGTGGCTGGTCGAACGTGTGGGTGCCTGCTGTACACATACATACCTGAAATCGAACACAAATGACTTTTATCTCGGTCGAGACACTTGTACGGAATCTACATCTTTCATCAAGATGTGGCGGGCGAGGTATTGCCCACAGTCCCTGCGACGGCTACTTATATCCCAGTTCTTCGCACGCTCGAGCATGACGCTCAGACGCCTTGTCACATGTCAACTGTCGGAGTTTACTGCTGAAGTGCTGGGTTCACAGACTGTGCCTGCTTTGACAACACGAAAACAACACCATCGTGGGAGCATCAGTAACACTACTACGTAGGTGTAACACACAAAAGCGCATCAAGAGCGAAGACGAGTGGAGGGCACGAGAATGGGCCGGAGATGGATTGATTAGATTATGCGGCGGAAGGACGGATACGGAATGGATGCGTGCGCCGAGCAAAGGGCACGGGCTTTTTTCGCGGCCGGCAGCTGCAGCTGGTTTCTCGACGACCTCATATCCCTCACCAGCACCAATCCGCTGAACGCCGCACAACATGTTGTCCAGGACTTCCCAACGAACTGCGCAGGTATGGAAACGCGCTTCTGGAAGCAATTGAAGCTGTAAGACGAGGGCAAGGCTAACGCGACAGGCAGACGCTCCTGCGGGGCGCACAGCGCGCAGCTGGCCCTTCGATGGCTGCTCGATGTACGTTACGGCCAAAATAGCACAGAACCGCCGTCACGTGCACCTCGAAGACTGGAACATTGTCTGACATCACGCAGCCTTCGCTACCGTCGGCCAGGACATCTTCAAGCCCACCAAGTTTGGCGGCAAGTACACCGTCACCTTGATCCCCGGTGACGGTATCGGTGCTGAGGTCTCCGAGTCCGTCAAGGAGATCTTCAAGGCGGACAACGTTCCCATTGAGTGGGAACAGGTCGATGTCTCTGGTGTCGACTCCGGAAACGTCCACTCCGAGGAGCTCCTCCGCGAGTCCATTGCCTCGCTGAAGCGCAACAAGCTCGGTCTCAAGGGTATCCTGCACACCCCCGTCGAGCGCTCCGGCCACCGCTCTTTCAACGTCGCTCTTCGCCAGGAGCTCGACATCTACGCCTCGATCGTCCTCCTCAAGAACATCCCCGGCTACGCGACCCGCCACAAGGACATCGACTTCTGCATCATCCGTGAGAACACCGAGGGCGAGTACTCTGGTCTGGAGCACCAGTCAGTCAACGGCGTCGTCGAGTCGCTCAAGATTATCACCCGCGAGAAGTCTGAGCGCATTGCCAAGTTTGCTTTCGCCTTTGCGCTCGCCAACAACCGCAAGAAGGTCACCTGCATCCACAAGGCCAACATCATGAAGTTGGCTGACGGTCTCTTCCGCAACACTGTCAAGAGGGTCGGTGAGGACTACCCCACTCTCCAGACCGACGACATGATTGTCGACAACGCCTCCATGCAGTGTGTCTCGCGCCCTCAGCAGTTTGACGTTATGGTCATGCCCAACTTGTACGGAGGTATCCTCTCCAACATTGGAGCTGGTCTTGTTGGTGGCCCCGGTATTGTTCCCGGATGCAACATGGGTCGCAATGTCGCCGTTTTCGAGCCCGGCTGCCGTCACGTCGGTCTTGACATCAAGGGCAAGGACCAGGCCAACCCCACTGCTCTGATCCTGTCCGCCGCCATGATGCTGCGTCACATTGGTCTCGACGACCACGCCAACCGCATCTCGCAGTCCGTTTACAAGGTCATCGCTGACGGGTATGTCAAAAACGCTCTAACGATGCAGTCACACGCTAACAATTACCAGCAAGTTCCGCACTCGCGACATGGGTGGCGACTCCACCACCAACGAGTTCACCCGTGCCATCCTTGGCCAGATGGAGAAGGCATAGATCTAGGTAACACTGATCTATCACAACTTGCTCGATGTTTGGATGTTCTAGACTTGTACAACTAGTTCAGCGGAGCGTGGATAGGGCTGTACTTCTAGTTGGTATATAGCATGCTGCATGATTGAATTGACATTCTTATACCCTCCTGGATATGCCGCAACCTAAACGCCTCGCTATGCATGGTATCGTAAACACTTTTCTTCTAGAACTGGATCCTTCTCTTTCTGCCAGTGTACTTGGAGGAGGCCTTGACAACTTTGCCTTGCGCCTTCTGCTGCTCCTTCTTTTTCAAAATCCAGCCCTTGGTGCCCTTCTTATCTTCGCCTCTCTTCATCGTGCCGGCCTTCCTTCGCGTCTCCATGACATCCACACCCTCCATGCCGCGCACCACACCAGTGATGTCGCCGTCCAGGTTACCACCTCCAACTGTGAGTACGAGGTACGTCTTTGCGCTCTTTGTCCCTGGGTCGTCTTCAAGCAGACCGGCACCAAAACCAGCCTTGATTGCTGCCTGAGCGACCATCTTCTTCTGCTCATCATTCTTGGGATAGAACTGAAGGCACGCCCTTCCACCTCTCTTTAGACTTGCGTAAAGCTGGTTGAAGAATCTGAACAGTCTCGCCGTTGGGCTATCCTCACTTGTCTCGGCCTGACACAACCACTGAATCGCACTAATACTGATTGCAGCATCGAACGTTCCTGGGCGAAACGGCACGCCTTGGCCTGCATCCGCCAGCAGCAGGTCGCCTTCAACCTCCTTCTCTAGCGCAACGCCCAGCATAGACGCACTGATGTCGAAGCCTATCCACACGTGCGGGCCTGCGGGTGTGCCTTCCTCAACCGTCTGTGAGAGGATTTCGCCAGACAGGCATGAGCCGCAGCCGACGTCGAGGATCATGGAGGGTTGTGTTAAGCCGATAAGATCGAGTGCGCGATGCGTCATGTCAGCCTGAATGCGCTGGATTCGCGAGGACGTTGTGTATTTGCGAGATTCTGTATCATTGTAGTGGAGGTCAGGCGGTCTGTAAATGTTAGTCAGGAAGCGCTGGGATGTGCGGGAGGACGGACAGAATGTCTTCGGGACGCGACATGATTGCGATGTATTTTCGTAGGGCCTAGGTTTCGACGGCGAAATTATTTAGATCTGAGAGTCGTAAGGCGTCGTGCTGCACGTTCTGTGGTTTTAGTGTCGACTTCGCGATCGAGCACAACTTTTTGGTGGGCTAGGTCGAAACCCCACGTTGATCCCGTACCAATCACACTCATTGTCGCCCCGCTTATCCCGAGCTTAATGCCACCTTTGACCTCATCGTATCCAGGTACCTGGCAGCTGTCAAATCGCTAAAACTCACACTTCACAACGAACATGTGGATATTACCAGCACTCGGGTATATTGGTGTCATTCTAGGCTTTGCCTTCTTGACATTAGCAATAGGTAAATGCCGTGCAACATTCATGACGTACCATGGGAGATGCTAAGTAGATCGACAGCATCCGGATTATATTACCTCTCCGAACTGGTCGAAGAGCATACTGTCTTTGCAAAGAAGCTGCTTACCCGCCTCATATACGGCGTTATCGGTGTTCAAGCCCTCCTTCTCCTCGTCGATGGCTTTCCAATCGGTCTCAGCGCACTCAGCATAGTTAGCCATGGCGTTTACGCGCAGAACCTGCGACGTTTCCCAATCGTCAAGCTCACAGATCCGCTCTTCTTGCTTTCTTGTGGTAAGTGACCTGCGCACGTTACTCTATGCGCACATACCAGATCAACGCGATGTGGAAACAAGTATACTGATGTCGATTCAGTTCTGGTACTAGCGAACCATTATTTCTGGTTCCGTCACTTTAGTGCGCCCTCGCCCTCTGCGAACACATATTCCAACTATCCCTACGACCGTCCCGATATTCCTACCTTTACTGAGATCGCTTCCTACTTTGGCCTGTGCGTGTGGCTCGTGCCTTTCGCGCTCTTCGTGTCGCTCTCCGCAGGCGAGAACGTACTTCCATCAATGGGCTCTGAGTATGCCACGGGCGATGGAAGCAGTTACATAACTCCTGGTGCGACACCAGGAGGATTTGGTAATGGGTCCGCGGCTGCGGCCGGCAGTGCTAGCAGGAGAAGGGCGAGGAGTGGAACAAACCAGGGTATGGCGAAGCAGGTGTTTGGCGGCGTCAAGGACTGGGTGGGTGAGACTGGAGAGGTGATGGGGTTGTGGAAAGGGGAGAGGACTCGGCCTACATTCTAGGCTAGAAAGGAGTGTTTGATCAATCAAGACAGATACTTTCAGGCACATGCTGGTGAAGCGGCATGCATAACGCGAAACCCGTTCGAGAGTGAAGGAGAGTTACGACGCCACGACGCCACACTGAGTGCTGCCTGACCGATCGCCCCAGTATTTTTCTTTCTCACCTCGACCTGTCCCTTGCCCGACTAGTTTCCACGAATCGATAAACGCGTCTCAAGCTTGCATCAGACACTGACACAGCATCCCGCTCCCACCGCAGCCATGGAGTTCCCGCCAATGCCTCCTCCGAAACAAGTGTATTACAAAACTGCTAATGCGTTGCTGCTGGGAGCGGCCAACAAGAATCCAAGAAAAGTGCAGCCGCTAGTAACCCAGCTGCAAGCAGAGTAAGCCTTTCGCGTTTATTATCCAGAGAGATGCATCTGAACTCATGTGTACCTTGCAGGCATGCGTTGCATCTGCTCAAATTTCCGCACGGCCGCGATGTCACTCTTGTCACCGAAAATGGTGTTCAGTTTATGATCCATTCAGTCATCGTCGCCGGAGGTCCTAAGTATCTCGAGAAACGATGCTTTCCGCAACATGTAAGTGAGGCCACAGGCCTCAAGCCGCTGTCAAAAGGAAATTCGAAACTGAAGCAGGCGACACAGCCGAGCACGCCGACGTGGATCAAGATGCCACCAGAGTGTGACGCTCTCTTGGTGGATCGACTCATCAGCTTCCTCTACACCAAAGACTACGATATCAAGATCGCCGCTAAGGCCTCGCAGTTATGCGATGGTCCTTACGACCTCACCAATGCATCGTTCGTTCCGAACCAGACACCGACAAGCATGCCCCATTTCGGTGAGGCACGCCACATGTTCCATATTCAGATGTATGCTCTGGGCGAGAGACTCCAGTACGAAGCGCTTATGACAGTTGCCCGAGCCAGGCTGTGGGGTTCTCTTGACATAATCATGCATGAACCCGACTTACAGACGTCGGTGGGATTGCTCCAGGAATGTGTGGAAGCCTGCGTCCCGACTGATACTACAGTGCCTGTGTGCTGGGATGAGGACGGCATGCTTCAGCAACTGATTGTCGCAGCTATACTGTTCTACACGACCAGAGACTGGAACAGCTCCGACACCGATGCCCTCGTCACGCACTTCACCCAGCCGAAGTACGCCGCATTCAGGATGGTATACAGCGCCATTGAGGAAGAAAACTCGCAGTTCTTGGACACCATGGACGTCTCAAGTCCCATGGACATGAGGCGTTCCAAGGCCCAGGCCATGAAGGCACAGTTGGCTGAAATCGCGCAGGAAAGAAAGGTCAACAAGGCCAAGACCAGAGCACAGAAATCCAAAGACGCCAGGGCCCTCAACGCCAAGGTCTTCGGCAGCATCAACATGGCTAAAGCGGCAGCTGACCTCGCGATGGCGCGTAGATTCACAGCTCAAACTCGGGACGTCCAGGCTATTCAGGCTGTTCAAGGCGTCCTAACCGGCACCGAGCAGAACATGTTGCATCCATCGGCTTTCGTCCACCGGTTCGTTCCCAACGACAACGGTCAGGGCAGAGATCAGGGCTCCGACGAAGACCGTTACAACGCGGAGAGTGGCCAGATCGATCACCAGATTGAGACAGAGATGCAGGCTAGCATGACGAGGCTGGCGATCGAAGACGTTTCTCAAGACTGAGGCAAGTCCTTGCGATCATGCTTGATACTTCAGGCGTGCCAGCTCTAAGAGTACATTCTGCTGGGATATTGGAGACTGTTTGGTTCTATTTTGCTCGAATCAGAACTACGTATGAGGAATGCTATGGCGAATACTACGTACTCAAGTTACGACACGCCATCAGAACGAAGATACCAACAAACAAAATGCAATAAGGAGTCTAGCTCAATGTCTGCGAGTCTTCAATGTAGAAGTGAAAAGGTTCTTCGATGCCTAAACGCCGTTCAGACAGTCATCTGCGCCTACACATTCCTCCCAGAGAAGTAATTTCCTTGTGGTCCACTCGGCATCACATTAGAATGTGAGCTTTGCTCGGTTGCTTTTCTGACCGGCTTTTCCTTCCTGACAAAACACTCGCCGACAGGATGACCCTCATCACAGCAACAAACCCATCTGCCAATGCCCATCTCTTCCGGCGCTCTTCTGACGCCTCTTCCACCACCGCCAACAATCAAGTTGCCGGGTCTATACTTTGGATCTGCTAACATACGCTTGATGACGCTGGAGTGGATATGAGCGTTGGCAGGAATGTCGCGTGTCTCGCCCTTGGGTAGTGGCCATCTGATCGCTTTCCAAGACCCATCTTCGCAGAGATCCATGCGCCGGAAGGGCAGATATTCCATGACGTTCCAAGACACGACGCCCATCGGTGCAGCACCGTTGTTGAACTGGAGCACGTCATGTATACGACCTCGAGTCGCAGCGTAGTGAAGCTTGCTGTGAAAGCTCGTGTCTGGATGGGTGTGATGGTGATCTAAGGTGTTTTTCTCGTCGACAACATCGCTGACCGTGTGATTAGTGCTAGCCGCTCCGTTCGACTGACCATCCGCGAGGAGTGGTGAAGCTGGATTGACAGCGATGGCAGGGACGACTGGGTGCTTTAGGCCACCGAATGTCCGATCTTCGTGGCAGCAGTGAAGAGCTTCCAATTTCTCCTCGTCAAACTCTAGACCCGCCTTTTGTGCTTCGCGAACCATCCATACAAGGGGTACATGGCTCAAAGCGGCTTCATGGCCGGAGTCGAGAGGCCAGCCACCTCCAATATCCTAGGAACAGTTAGTCAGCGCCGTTATGTGCTTGTTGTAGAATACTTACTGCATGACAACCCGGAAACCAGACCTCCTGGATATCCTGCTCTCCCTCGTCTTCGTCCCAGGAGTCTCGCGTGTGGATCGGATCAGTCGATTGCACCGACACGTTACTACACGAATAGTCAGGGCTCAAACTACGCACCCCTGATGTTTCGTGTGGATTTCTGAAGTCTTCTGGCGGAGCAAGAGTGTCGCGGCGACCCCTAGGCTGTTGAATATCCCTCCCGTTATGATTGCTGTGATCATGTGTCTCATCACTACCGAGGAATTCCTTTTTGTGGTGCTTGCGATGATGACGTTTATAGAGCATGGCATGATCCGGCTTTGCTTGAGATATAAGATCCTGGCGGAACTTTGCGCGTCGCTCGTCGATGGAGACGGCGTGCCGTATGACGCGGGACGAACTTCGTGCGGTGTAAGGAAATTTGCTGCGCTGCATCCATGCACTTTCAAAGTGTGGTACGCTGTTGACGGTATCAAAGAGACCAAGGAATCGGATGGCGCGTACTGGGCGACTGAAGGTCTCTCTGAACGCGCACATGAATTCGAGGAGCTCCTTCTTCTCCTTCTTCTCTTCGTCATTGCTTTCCAGCCGACATTGCCACTTCTGAAACGTCCTGCATGATTATCAGCTCCAGGGCTTGAAAGAGGATAAAAACCACTCACTTCCACGCAAAATGACACATCTCCTCATTTCCAGCCTAAGAGTATCAACTTGGCGAACGTGTCGCATGTGTCAGGGTCTTACCGAGAGCAGACCAACATGGTCGAGCATTTCTGCCAGGAAACGGGCGGTATATGCACCTCTAGAGAAGCCAAAAAAGAATATATCATCCCCTGGGGTATAATATCTCATCAGAAACTGTATAATCAATCAGTATGGCTCAAGTCTATGTCTGTGCTGGTGGTGATTCCAAGATCTGGACCCAAAACTGGTATCACAAAGCATACTTCGTGCTCAAAGAGATGATGTGGACTTACTCGATAGCCAGCCATGACGTGTAGGTCAAAAGAAGTGCCGACCGCACTGTCTTTCGCCTTCGCATACCAGTGCTTGAACCGTTCGATACGTCCTGGCCTCGCCGTAGAGCTGCCAGTCTGCGCAACATACGTCCCGATGCCGGGCTGGTAATAATGGAAAGAGTCGTCGTTGTTTCGATCGAGCATGCGATAAATCTTAAGAATGTTCGAGTCCGCATCAGTGCCACTGAACTTGTTGCCGGTACCATCGAAGCACAGGACAAACTGCTTGCGAACGTGGGTTCGACGTTGTATAGGGGCAGCGGATTCCATTCTGTCGTGTTGTAAAGGTGACACGCCACGCGATGAAGGGCCGTGGGAAGTTTGTTGTTCGGCTTCCTGTCGCGCCATCTTGCAAGACTGGCAAGCACGAGAAGAGAGGCAAATGTTTTAATGAATAGCAGGCAATGACAACCCTCGCAACTGGTCACTAATAAACTTAGTAGCAAAGATGCCTCAAAATGAAATCCGTAGCTGTGCTCGACGATCCCACTTGTTACAGGCACCATTTAGAACTGGTGCAGTACGACACTACGCCATGGTTGATCAGCCACCATGCATGTGCTGGTCGATCGCTCTCATGAACGCACTCACGCTCCCAACCTCATAGAATTCACATGCCGGGTGCGCGGCCCTGGTTGACATCTCTTAGCGTGCTACACAGCAGCTGGTGCACCCTCCTGCGCTACATTGATTCGAGAGCAGACGTCCAAGCGCATTCAACATTGCTCGATTGTGCCAATTGGCGTCTCTGGTAGACGAATGGCATGGACTTTGAAAGTGGAGAAGCGCTGCATGCGGGGCTCACGACGTGAGCGGAAGGGGCAAGCGGTGCATCACCATTATCCCCTGGCTAGTGATTGGCCCAAATCTTAGAGTCGCATCTGCAGCGTTGCTGATCGATCGGGTCGGTCCTAAGTAGATCGTGGGAATTCGGCGACGTGCGAGAAAGAAGAAGCTGGTCCCCAATCGGGCAACGCTAGAGGAAGCGGCCCGCCCGGCGCGTCGATCAGCGTCCCGGAAGGGAATCTGTTCCAGGAATTCCTGCGACCCCAGACCGCGTTTCGGTTCATGCCAACCCGGCCAGCTCTCGTCCTCCAGACCCTGGGTTTATGCGATTCTTGTGCGCGGTATCCGCCGGCTGGACGGGCATCCCGGCTTGAGCGTTACGGCTGCGGATGCAGTGCAACTCAGCACTATGGCCATATATTGAACATGCATACATTCCCCACACACACTGGTATGACGATACGTTCGGTTTTTTTGTAATCCCCTAGTCGCCAATATATCGGCTAGCATCTGACCCGCCATGTCGATCGCTTTCAACACGGCCCGGAATCGCTACCTCTAGATGCTTTCGGGCTGCCGTCCGTGACCTTCATAGTGAGATGCCTGCGCGCTGCTTACCATTAAGCCCTTGGTTTCAATCGTCAGCCTGTCTGGTGTCGACGGGACTGTTCTGGTTAATGGGCCATCTGCCCCTACTGCATCCAGCAGCCAATGATGGCATCATGTGCGCTTATTGGCTCTACGCACTGACATGCTGTGCTGAGCGCTGCAACCATCTAGAGACGATCGGTGTGCCCGTCATCGCCAACAGAGTGGGGCTTCCACCTGTAAGGAGTATTAATTCACAGATCGGTCTTGATATCCCAATGTAGCTTCCGCCAGCGGGTGCTATTGGATGAAGCTTTGCTCCACTCAGCCAGCCACCAATGAGAGTGGCTCCATTGCAGCTGTTGAAGCTCAGACACTGAGCATCCCACGACCACTATCAGGACTGCCAATACGGGCACCATGCTAGGCATGTTGAGTGGGTGGTGCCTGCAAGGGTTCGCCGACCAGAGTACAGCGTCGTTCTTGCCAGCGGTCGATCATACGAGTCAAAACGCTGCTCCTGCTGTGGGAAGACGCCTCTTGGCCTGCCCCGTGTCTGTGCCTCAAAGCTGCTCTTGACCCCAGATCTTTCTCTTGCGTCTTTTACTCTACCTACACGTTATCACTCCCCTGTTTTTAAACATATATCTTGCACCTGCACGTGGCAACACGTGCTCACTTTCACAATGCCCAGTCAACTGCGATCATTACTGGGGACAATTAGGAAAAAGCCCACCAAGGCCAGCGATGGTCGATCGGAAGAGGCTGCGAGTGGTATGAAGAGTGCTGAGAAAACCGCCATCAAAGATGACATAAGAAACCTTGGGCTTAAAAACGCCAAGTTCGCGGTTGAGGCAATCACAACACTGGCTTCTGGCGAGCCTATGGATGACAAGGAGCTTTTGCTGGAGCATGGTGTCGAAATGCTTCAGGGACTACCGCTCAATAGTGGTTTGAGCGCAAAGGTCTCGGACGGTTTCATCTCCATGCTTTGGCACGATCTTCCTCACCCTACGCCCACTATGGTTGGGCCTACGACACGTTATCGTCGACACGATGGCAGCGGAAACAACCCTTGGAACCCAGAGATGGGCAAGGCTGGTTCGCCTTATGCGCGCAATGTACCACCGTCCAAGCCTAAAGGTACACGAACTATCTCTTCATATGACAAAACGGCTAACACGGCGCAAAGGGCCTAATCTTCCCGATGTCGAAGACGTGTACGAAGCTTTGCTAAAACGTGATGGCCCGTTCCGACCACATCCATCCGGCCTAAACCGACTCTTCTTTTCGTTCGCGACAGTAGTCATTCACGAATGCTTCCAGACCTCGAGAGAGAACCCTTGGATAAACGAGACGTCGAGCTATGTCGATCTTAGCACCTTGTACGGAAATACAGAAAAGCAGCAGGCGCGAGTACGAACGTATGAGAACGGCCTGATCTGGCCTGACTCGATCGCCTCGGAACGAATCATGATGATGCCCCCGGGCGTTGTCGCTGTGCTCTTGATGTTCTCGAGGAACCACAACCATATCGCGGAGTCGCTTCACTCTGTCAATGAAGATGGAAAATACAAGCCGTGGGACCAGTTGAATGAGAAGCAAAAGAAATGGTTGGTTTTCTTGCCCACCAAGATCGACTCATCACTAATCTTAACCACAGGCAAGACGAGGACATCTTCCAGATTACGCGTAACATCAACGTTGGCTTCTTTGCGTCGGTAGTTCTCAAAGATTATGTTGCCGCAATCTTGAACACCCCTCGAGCAAATTCAGAGTGGTCCCTCAACCTTGGTAAGGAGATCAAGCAAGGTGGAAACCGTGTTGAGCGCGGCACTGGTAGTGTGGTGTCCGTCGAGTTTGCCGTACTCTACCACTGGCACGCTGCACTAAGCGCTGCCGATGATAAGTGGATGGAGGATATCGTACGTTCTGTGCATCCAGATCTAGGCAGCATCGACGATGTAACTGTTGAGATGTTCCACGAAGTCATGAAGGTCTACGGCCACAAGCTCTTTGCCCCTGGCGTGGAAGCCAAGGATTGGACTTTCGGCAATCTGCAGAGAGGTCCAGATGGGCGCTTCAACGATGCTGAGTTGTCCGAGTTGATAAAACAGTGCATCGAGGAGCCTGCACATGCATTTGGCGCACACGGCACCCCAGCAAGCCTGAAGGTTGTGGACATCATGGGACAGCTACAAGCGCGTGATTTGTTCAACGTCTGCACGCTCAACGAGTTCCGCAGGTACTTGAACCTGAAGCCTTACGAGACCTTCGAAGACTGGACTTCTGATAAGGAAACGGCTCGCGCTGCAGAGCTGCTCTACGGCCACATCGAGAATATGGAGCTGTACCCTGGATTGATGGCTGAATGCACCAAGCCTCCTATGCCAGGCAGCGGCGTGTGCCCAGGACAGACTACTGGACGAGGCATTCTGGATGATGCTGTTGCGCTTGTGCGCGGCGACCGCTTCCTCAGCTACGACTTCAATGCCAATACCTTGACGAATTGGGGCGCTGCTCTGTTGCAGCAAGCTACACCTGGTGCATACGGTGGGGTCTTCCCACGACTGCTCTTCCAAGGTCTCCCTGGCGGATTCACCGGTACTTCGCCGTATGTGCTGTTACCTTTCTACACGCCAGAGGCAGCAAAGGGGATTGTGAAAGGCAACAAGGTCCTGGAGAAGTACGATCTCAAGCGCCCCCCGAATGACTACGACATTGTCAGCGTTCAAACCCAGGAAGGCTGCAAAAAGGTCTTTGAGGATCGTGACAGCTTTGTGGTTATGTACCAGGCTGCAATTCGCCACTGTACTGCTGGTCATGACTTCATGATTGGCTGGGATGAGGCTAAGAAGCACGACGAACGCTCGAACGTGCTCCACAAGATCTTCTTCGAGGACGGCTTCGAGAAGAATATCACAGAGTTCTTCACCATAAATGTTCGTAAGCAGATATTGAAGAGCTCGGTGAAGGGGCCCAAAGGAAGGCGATCCATCGATGTTGTTCGCGATGTGACCAACATTGTGCCTATCTTGTGGCTTGCAGATCGCTTTGCCCTGCCTCTCAAAACACAAGAGCAGCCAAGGGGTTTGCTGTCTCTGCACGAAGCCTTTACCGCCTTTCTTGTGCTCTTCATGTACCAGAGTTTTAACATCATGCCGGCCAACGAATGGAAGCTACGAGAAGGCGCGATGAAAGCGGCTGCGCCATTGCGACAAATCTTCGAGACTCATCTCAAGACCCAGACTGGCAAGTTCGAGGGTATCGTAGACTGGATGGCCAAGGGGAGCGCCTTCGAGGTTGGACCCCACGCTGATCGCATCTACAAGGCACTTGCCAATACAAAGCTGCCGATTGGAGACCAGGTCGGCGACTGTATTGGCATGGGGGCGCCTGTCGCCGGCAACATTACACAGCAAGCATCCCTCTTGATTGACTTGTATCTCAGCCCTGGCTATGAGAAATACAAGGAGCGTATTATTCAGCTCGCCCATATGGACTTCGAAGCGTCGGATCGCGAGCTGCAGGGCTTCGTCTATGAAGGCATGCGCCATTCAGGGGTCGTACCGGGCTTGCCCCGCGTAGCGACACGCGATGTCACGGTCATGGACGGCGCCCGCGGGCCTGTGACTGTGAAGAAGGGCCACACGGTCCTCATTGCCACGTCCAAGGCGGCCAACGATCCTATCGCATTTCCCAATCCTGAGATCATCAACCCGCACCGCTCGTTCAAGGAGTACACCTTGCTTGGCCACGGCCTCCACTTCTGCTTTGGTGCTCGATTGGTAGGACCCTCGATAGCGGCAACTCTGCGTGAAGTCTTCAAGCTGAAGAATGTGCGTCGCGCGCCTGGAAAGCAGGGCCGATTCACCACAACAGAGCACAAGCTTGCTGGTATCACCATGAGGCACTACTTGGATGCGAGCTCAAACGAGAGCCCGATACCCACAAGTCTCACACTACATTACGATGATGAGACCGTGGCGAACGGACACCCGACTAGGCGTGCCACAAATGGGTACTCCAACGGCTACGTGAATGGAGATGCAGTGAATGGGCTCACTACTAATGGTATTGCGCGGTAGATACACTGGTCGAATGCGGAATGATTTGCGTGGCGATGCAGAAGGGGTTCTAGTTGGCTGTAGCAATGGTCGTTACCTGTAGCAATGGTTGTTGGCTCGTTACCAGATTGTCTCACTGGCTTGTCGTTTCATATACCCTAGCAAGTAATCGAGTTTCTAATGCTGCGAACAAGATCGCTGTTGATCAACATCTCATAATTCGCTGTGATCAACATCCATGATTCGCACCAAGTACTTCGTACAGGTGCATGCCCCGCATTGGCATGCTCGCTTCGCGAGTTAGTCAGCCTGGTCGCGCAAGGCAGCAATCAGAACAGACCCCGGCTTCGGATCGATCCTCCGTCAAACTACTTAGGTTGCATGCATCACCGGACATTTGCATGTGAAACCGTACGTTTGGATGTACAGGTGCTCTGAGCTTCAACATCGGCCTGACACGAGACTTGCCCGGGGCAGTTGTTGAATCAAGCTAGGCACCCGCCCCTCTATCGAGCTCCGTCGTCAATGTTGTTTCGGTCGAACCATGCCCAATGTTGGAAGACCTTCGAAAGGATGTAAGCACTGCAGGGACAGGAAGGTCAAGGTGCGTTTGCTGAGTCGAAGACGAGTCGACACGCTGAAATCGAGGTAGTGCGATCAAAAGCGGCCTTCGTGCTCGCAGTGCATCCGCTCCGGCAATGACTGCCATGGCTATCGCGATGCCTTGTCGATGATGTTCAAGGACGAGACTGCAGTTGTTGCGAAGAAGGCGAGGAAACGGTATCAAGCTTTAGCGTTACAAAGCCCCCCTCAAGACTCGACAGCAGGGCAGCTTCCAGAGACAGGCAGTTCGAAGGCTTTATCCATCCTGTACACGGACGTGGACTCTCGAAACCTAAAGCCCGTTCGTTCAGCGATATCGAGATACCCGACACCCGATAGCCTGGTCAGAGAGATTTTGCCGTCAATCGAAGACCAAGCCAGGGGGTTCTTTATCGCGAGCCATGTGTCGAAGCCAGCTATTGTACCCAGAGGACAGTACGAGTGGGTGCTCGAAGCGTTGAGCCATTCTGATTGCGAGGAGGTCCTTCGAAGCAGTGTAAACGCTGCCAGTCTGGCTGCGCTCGCAAACTCCACCAAGAACCCCGTGATTGCGGCCAAAGCACATGCCGCCTACGGCTCCGCCCTGCACATGACCAACAGCGCGCTGCGGGTCAAAGAGACGGCGGTGACAGACAGCACGCTGATATCCGTCATCATGCTGGGTCTGTACGAGAACTTTGTCTTCCAGGACAAGCGATCGATCCAGGCCTGGTCCAAGCACGTCCAAGGAGCGAGCGCCCTCTTGAACCTCCGCGGCAAGGAGCAGTTCAAGTCCAATACCGCCAGGCGCATCTTTCACCAGTTCTACGGTATCATCATGCTGGTCAGTCTTGAGTCTGGACAGCCGATTCCTGACGGCATGCGTGAGTTGTACGACTTTTGCAATCCAACATCAGACTACACCATCCAAGGCCGGCAATGGACAACGCGACTGGTCCACTTCATGCACGACGCGATTGACCTGAACCGGCACAAGGACGGCGATCCCATCGAGATGGTCAACCGCGCCACCAACCTCGACCGCGAGCTCGACAGCATCAAAGCCCTCATCCCGAAGATCTGGCAGTACGAGACAGTCCGCCTGTCGCAGCCCTCGGACAACGCCCACGGCACCTTCTACCACGTCTACATGGACCCGTGGATCGCGCAGATGTGGAACAACCTGCGCATCTGCCGCATGCACCTGTACCGCACGGTGCGCACGCACCTGCAGCGCGGACACGCTTGCAACCCGCCGCTGTTCTCCCCCGCCGAGACGCGCCCGCAGATCGCCGCCGCCGAGCAGGTCCTGCGCACCACCATCGCGGCCGTGTGCGCCTCCGTCCCGCAGCTGACGGGCATGATTGCGTCGCCGCAGTCGCGCGGCTCGTTTGCCGCGTCGCAGGCCGAGACCGCGCTGCCCGACGCCGCGCAGGTACATCCGCCCGGCACGTTTCTCGACCCCGCGCGGCCGACGGGCATGCACCACCTGATCTGGCCGCTGTTCGCGGTCGGGTCGTCGGATCTGGCGAGCGCGGAGACACGGCAGCACGCGATTGACATGCTGTATTTCGTGGCGCTGCGTATTGGCACGCGGCAGGCTGTTGTGCTGGCGGACAGCCTGAAGGAGAAGCAGCGGGGTGAGTCGCGGGAGTCGAGGTCTTGCGAGTCGGGGTCGCGGGAGTCGGGGTCCTGGGACTCAGGCGCCAGTGCCATGTTCGAAACCTGAGGTCCCTGTGGATGCAGACAGGCCATTTTACCTTCTCTTGACGTCGGCGATGCATTCGCAGCTCCACAGACGCCCGCCGCCAGACCCGGGACCACACACCTCCAGCCCAGAGCCGCCGTCGCGTCTCTGCCACACCGACTCCATGGGAACCAAAGACAGCATGGTATTCAGCTGCTATGCCGGCGAGCGCGAGGTGCCGGATACGCGTGGCGGGTCCCTGTTGCGAGCTCCTTTCCTTTGCAGCTGGATCAAGGACGCATAGCCGCGCCGTCCGCTATCGCGAGCTAGTCGTGATACGAGGGTTCGCAGTCGCTGATTGCGGAGCGCGATGGACTGGCGTGGAGTAGTTGATAGTCGATAGCAGCGAGGACACGGCCGTTGATGTATCAGTCATGAAGTAAATTCAGGGTATATACAAACATCCCGTCCCATCCCATCCCAGCCTGTCTATCGTCTATCCACCATCCACTATCCACCATCCTATTTACGCCTCCTCCCCCTCGCCCTCCCCCTCTCCCTGCTTCTCAACCCGCAGCGTGCTGGTCGGCACCTGGCTCTGCAGCCCCTCGTCGGACGCGGGCTTGCGGAACACGGCCTGCATCCAGCAGCGGTACATTTTCAGGCGGCGCTGGCGGTTGACGAGCATGCGTCTGTCGACGCCGAAGTGGGCGACGTCGAAGGCGGGGCGGGGGGCGGGTGGGTCTGCAGTGGATGTCTCTGGAGTGGATGACTCTTCAGCGGGCGTGTTTTCCGCGGGTGTCTCTGCAGGTGTCTCTGCAGGTGTCTTTGCAGGTGTCTCTGCAGCACCTGTATCTCCAGCACCTGTATCTCCAGCACCCCCCTCTCCACCCGCCACCGCCGCCTCCCCGCCCCAAATCCCCCTCAACTCGTCCTGCTCGAAAAAGTAAACCCGCGTGCCATCCCCCCTGACATAGAAATTCTCCTCCATCCACCGCCCCTTCTTAAACCGCACCTGCGCCAGATCCCCGCGCCCGTAGTCGCGGAACAGCACCTGCCCGCCCGGCTTCAGCACGCGCCACACATTGCGCACGGCCTGGTCCCACTGCGAGGGATGCAGCGCCGAGAAGATGAAAATCATGAGCACGACGTCGACGCTGCCCTCGCTCAGGCCGGGGGGCAGGCCGCCGTTGGCGCTCGAAGGGGCCGACGCGACGTCCCACACGTCGGCCTGGATCTGGGGCGACGCGTAGAGCTCGTGTGCGCGGATCAGGTCGACGGCCTGCTTGCTGAAGTCGCAGGCGTGGATCTTGAGGCGCGGGTTGTGGCTGTTCTGCAGGATGGGGAACGCCGAATTGCCTGCGCCGGCGCCGACTTCGAGGACCGTGGCGGCCGGGGCGTCGGCCGCGCCCAGCTGGCTCAGCACGGGGAACTCCTGGGCTAGCCACTTGCGGTTCTTGAAGAAGTTGGTCTTGTTGTTCTTGTAGAAGACGTTCCACCACTTCTCGGGCGCGGCGTTGAAGCGGCCGCGGTCGAAGGGCGACACGGGGTCGGCGCGCTGGCGTTCGAATTGCTCCTCGCTGAAGGCCAGGTACGAGGCGTCGACGGCCACGTTGTCCCACGCGTTGAACTCGAAGATGTTGTCGCCGTCCTCCAGCGTGCGCGAGCCGAAGCTGAACGGGTCGGTGCGCTTCTGGTTGTTGGCGGGGTCGTGGGAGCGCGAGGCGGGGTTGCGGAGCGGCTGGATTGCGGCGGGCACGCCGTAGGCATCGTTTTCGGGCTCGGGGGAGGGCGCGGCCGCGGGGGCTGCTGAGGTGGTTGCTGTGGGCGCGGCCGGGTCGACGGTGACGGCGAAGCGCATGTGCTCCATGGCGCGCGAGAGCTGCTGCTTGGGCTGCTGCTTGGCCGAGACGCTGTTGTCCGTGAGGGCGCTGTCCGTGTGGGCGCGGTCCGCCGGGTGCTCTGCGCGGTCCGCCATGGTTCCTGCTCAATCGCTGCGGTGACTTGCGCGTGTGGAGGAATCGCGGGGGACAAAAAAGTAAATCGATAAGCCCGGCGCGCTAGCAGCGCCCTGCAGCAGGGATGCATGACCGGCCATCCATGACGCCTCGCCGCCATCTTCAACCGCGACTTTCACCTCGCATACCATGCGCCGCTGACACCGCACACCCACCGCCGCCATGCCCGCCCTCAAACCACTCCTGCGCCCGCGCCTGCCCCGCCCGTACCCCACACAAACCCGCGCCTTCCTCCCGCCGCTCCCGAGCCTCTTCTCCGCCCCCGCGCAACCCGCCATCCAGACCCTCCGCGCCGCGCGCACGCTGCCCTACCCCAGCGCCCCAATCTACTCCATCATCGCCGACGTGCCCGCCTACGCCTCGTTCGTGCCCTACTGCACCCGCAGCACCATCACGCGCTGGTCCGCGCCCGACGCGCTCACCGGCCGCCGCTGGCCCAGCGCGGGCACCCTGACCTCGGGCTTCGGGGGGCTGAGCGAGACGTTTGCGTCGCGCGTGTACTGCGTGCCCGGCCGCGTGGTCGAGAGCGTCGGCGGCGACGCGGTCACGGCGCTGCCGGCTGATGCGATTCAGCACCATCTCGTGGACGCGGACGGGGGGGAGCGGGGGGGTGAGGGCGGGGGGCTGTTGACGCATCTGCGGAATACGTGGACGGTGGAGGAGGTGCGGCCGGGCGAGACGCGGATCGAGTTGGAGTTGGAGGTGGCGTTTGCGAATCCCGTGTATGCGGCGCTGAGTGCGGGCGCGGCGCCGAAGGTGGCCGAGGCCATGGTGAGGGCGTTTGAGGAGCGGGTGAGGGGGTTGTTGAGGGACAGTCCGGGGATGGTGGGCGCGCGGCTGGAGGATCTGGATGGGAGCCGGTTGAAGGCGTAGCTGCGTGCATGTACAAACTCGCATGTACAACACTCGCATGTACAACAATCGCATTTGCATGGGCAGCGTATACTATAGACTGTATTACAACACGTCTCACTATGACTGTATCATATTCATCATATCGGTATGCCGCTATGCTGCAAACAACCCAGGGTATCATGCTCACTCCTCACGGCAGAATCTTGACATCCTCCTCGTGCCTCTCGCGGTACGGCGCCAGCGCAATCGGCACATCGCCCGAGTATCCCACCTCGCCCTGCGCCTTCTCCAGCTTGCGCGTGACCTTGCCCACCAGCCGCGCAATCCAGCGGTCGTTTGCCATGGCCGACATGGTGTTGACCCCGGCCTTGCGCATCCCCGCCGCCGTCTTCTGCGACGCGTCCTTGAACCCCGAGTCCACCTTGCGCAGGAACGACTTGAAGCTCTTGTCCTCGCTGACCGTGGCATCCGACGCCACGCTGTTCAGGCTGGACACCGACTCCGCGTCCGAAGTGTTACTGCTGACGCGCTTGAGCTCGCGCAGCACCTTGGCCTCTTCAAAGTCCTTGTCGCTCTCGATAACCTTGGTCGCCTTGACAATCGCCGCAATGAAGTTGAGCATCTCCTGGCTGACCACCATCGGGAGGTGGGCGTGCGCGCTGACGTGCATGTTGGCCTCGTCCTTGGTCAGCCGCTTGAGCGTCTTCTGCTTCTGCATCATCTTGGACGTGTTCTCCGCCTCGGAGATCTCCGTCTCCAGCTCCATCTTCTCGAGGTCCGTCGGCTTCACGGGGAAGATGTGCTCGTGGTGCGGGAACAGGAAGATCGGGACGTTGAGGATCGCGTCCAGGCCCCCCAGCTCAACCACCCGCTTGAGCTCCACCGCATCGGGGAGCGAGCGGTATGCCATGACAGAGGACATGTCGAAGTTGCATTTGATGTCGTAGTTTGTGTTGAGCGGGAACGAGGCGCTGGTCATGATCTTCGTCAGCTCGACGCAAAAGTTGGCTTCTGAGAAGAAGGCCGAGATGCGGGCTTCCAGCCTGCGGATCTCGCTGTCCTGCGACGAGTAGTGCTTGAACAAATACTTCCGCATCAGCGCTACGAACCACTTGCCCGAACCTGCTGCCGAGACCGACTTGAACTTGACCGTGTGGAAGTAGCAGATGGGGAACAGCATGAGTCGGTATAGGAATGGGAAGCGGTGTAGCCATCTCTTGACGTTGGGATATGACGTCTTCCGGAGTGTCGAGACCCTGATAGATCTTGACGGAGGATGGGGGATCGAAGGGCCGCTGTGGATTTGCGCGCAAATGGCTGCTCGAAGATCGTCCGCCTTGTCGGGGTCCAGGCAGTTCTCGTCCTTCAGTGACATCTCGACCAGCTGCTTCTTGGCAATCTGGATGGCGCTCTCATCGTGGATGTTCTTGATGTACTGCCGGTATTTCTGGTTGGCTTTCTCGTCGTCTGGGGACAGCTGCTTCACCGAAGAAAAGGCCGACTTGGTGTCTTCCGAGTCCGTGGGCACCACATCTGCTGTCAGGCTCCGGATGACTTCCGCTGGACGGGCTTTGGCTGCCGCTTTCAAGATGGCGGTATCCGCCACGATCATCGAGTCGTCGCTGTCCTCCTCGGCGGGATCGGGCTTGCCGTAGGGGACATCTCCAAACGTAACCTCCCACTCGCCCCCCTTGATATTGGCATACACATCATCCACGCGAATCTCCCTGAAGAGAGGAACCGTCACCTTGTCGACCTGAATACCAAGCTCAACCTCATCGGAGAGCTTGATACCCGCCTCAATCCCATGCGCAACCAGCGTCATAGTCGAGAGCGACAATGTCACGCCCCGAATCACAAACAACCCCTTGACCTCGGTATCAATCTCCAGCGCCGGCAGGTCAAAAAACGCCACCTGGTCATTAATAAAATGCAAGTCGCGCAGAAACGTTCTGCGCGACAGCCGCCTCGCCAGCTCCGCCGGCGCATCGAACTGGAACAAGCACGCCACGACAAACGTCGGCCAGCACGCCGCCCAGAACACCCAGAACAGCAGCCACGACGTCGAGCACACGGCGTACACCGAGTTGACGCTCGCGAAGATGGTCCATAGCGGGACGAAGGGCAGCACCCGGTTGCCGCGCGACTCGCCCAGTAAGAGGGCGTAGATGAGCTGCGGCGCGCCCGAGACGAGCCAGCGGCGCGGCCAGCGGAAGACGAGCACCGCGAGCGACGTGGCTGCGAGGAACGCGAGGTGCAGACTCCGCGAGACGCCTGTTTCCCGCTTGGCGGCCGGTTGCGTACGAGCAGCTCGCCGTTTCGGTACCTCTGTTGGATTTGACGGCATGGTTGCAGTGCTGCGGAGAAATGGCGGGGGGTTTCGTAACAAGAGTGCGCAACGTGCTTCAGGTGTTCATCGTGGATGCAGAAAGTGTGTTACGGCGCAGGTACAGGATGCGAAAGGTTGAAATGCCATTGTTTGGTCATTCACTATTAGGCAGTGACGTCACCTGGGCTGTTCTAGCCACAGTCTTGGTGTCCTTGATCCTAGAGACTCCTGCGAGTCACATGGCGTTCGTTTCAGTGATGCAACAGGAAGGAGGTTTGTGAGTGACCGTGGCAAGGTCGCATTACCGGTATTACATCAAATGTCGTCGATCCATTTGGGTTGTTTGCTGCCAGGTTCCCCTAGCCAAGGTGACGTATCCGCAAACACCTGATTCGTCAATGCCACGTGTGTTTGCTTACCTTCGATGCTTGGTATAGAGCACATCTGTCGACAAAAAGCACCAGTCAGCATAGAATGTGCCTGCGGTTGCGCTCAACAAACCTCACTGGAAAGGGAGTCTACCAAGACTGTCGTCACTCATCGCAGAACAAGGTCACCGCACGTCGAGAAGAATGATTTCAAAGTAAATTACCCATGGTTACCATAGTAGGCTCGCCCAAACACCTCTATGAACGCCGCCCTAATGTTCTTCGCAAACGCAACGGAACGATCGAGGCCAATTGTAAAATTAACAAGAGCCTTCATAACTCATCAGGTCTCACATCCGCCCTTACTGCTAAGGCAGTGATTCAATCGTGCAAGTGTCCGGTCTAGGATATCGGACGGTCTCGCTTCAAAAACAAAGGTCAAAAGAGAAAGAGGTCTTCGAGAGGACGGGACGCCATACTCCAAATGGCTGAGTTCGTGACCGCAACTCATGTGGTTTGTTGCTCAGTGTGGGGAGCACCGTTCGTCCGTCTCGTCATGCATGTGCAGCCAGGGTCGTTTCGGCAGGGAGTCTGCTCATTCCAAGCTTGCATGAGATGAAGGAGCCGAGTCTGGCTTCCGTTCTTGAATGCAGGACCACCAAATTACTGCCTGCCTGCACTCTGCCTTTCATGTTGTTCGACTACCTCTCGTGCATAGAACTCCACCAGCATAGTCCCGTAAGCCTCCATCTCTTCCAGAGACACAGCTAAGCGGAAGTCGTTGAGCAACAGGAATTGCAATTCCAAATGGTTAAGCTCCACCAATGGGAGACCGCCAACCTGATGCATGTGAGACGGGTCTAGGAATGTTTGTGTGATCGACATACCTTCGCGTATCTAGAATTGGTGTAGAATACGTCAGAGAAGAATTTGCTTGCGCACGTAACGCCTGCAATTACCAGCCGGTGGATGTTGAAGCTATCAACGACGAAAAAATGGGAAAGATTATAGCCGTTAGAGTCCAGATCCTGCTGAGGCGGTGATGGCGGCTGTGAGGTCCGGACCGAGGAGTCCTGTGGCCTGCCCAATGATCCGGATGGAGGTGGTGTTGCGGCTTGCCCGTGGGCAGCATTCGAGGAAGTCTGGCCGGCAGCTGAGACCGCTGAGGCTGTGCTCGCAGCCGCTTCAGAGCGCTCCAACGACTGCTGATTGGCCTGGCGGAGGCTCAGCATAGGCCCAGCGTTTACCCTCTCGGTCATCCTGTCGAAGTACACGAGCAGACTCAGAAACACCTCGTAAGTCGTAGGGCAGTATTTATGTATGCGGCTGAGATAGCTCAGAATCGAAATGCTGGGTACGTTCTTGCCATGAAAGGCTAGTACACTGGTGGTCTGCTGGCTCAGCCCAGATGTTCCATCGACGGGTGGTATCTGGCGATGCAGATGATCGTGTTGTCGATCGTTAGTTGTGGTAATCTTGGTTAACAGCCCGGCAACCATCTCGATGATATCTGAGACGGGCATATCGCTGATCTCATATTGGGGCCCGACGTCTGCCGGGTCCCGCCGCTGACGCCGCGACAATGAGCGCGTCTGAGAGAACGGACTGGACTCGTCGATGGCAAAGCTTTGGATGTGGGCCAAGCTAGTAACCTTGACCTTTCGCGGCGAGGCTGCATTTGATTCGACGGGTGAGCGCAGCGATTGTGCTGGTGAGGCCTGGGCAGGCGTCGACCCAGACGAGGGTACGATCCGAGTCTGCGCAGCAGAGGGTGTGTGTTGCTGCGATTGTGGGCGAAAGCGGGGGCTCGAGGGAGGCGCCTGCTGCTGGACAGCTGGGTGTGGGCTGGCTGCTAAGGAATCGTGCTGCTGCGATCGTTGAGCTGGTGTTGAGCTGGATGGCGGGGCTCCCGCATCGGCCATTGGAACGTCAGCCACGACTCGAGGCGGCGCGTTCGCTGACGAGGACCGTCCAGAATGTGCAGAGGGGGGCTCTTGTGCCTGCTGGTGTCCACCGCTGCCACCAAACATAGGGTTGTGAAAGTGGTTTCCACCGAAGTCGCTCACTACTATCGATCCCATGCCGTGGGTCGCAGGCCGACTGAATACTACGAGGGCAACCGAGGCTGAAAGGCGGAGGAAGGCGCGATGCCAGCACCGTCTTGCTTTGAAAGGAGTGTGTGTTGAGTGCGCGCCAGGTGAGGGGTGCTGCGCGGTGTTGAGATGGGCCGGCGCGACAAGCTCTTATCGTCGCAGAGCCAGCCGGCGGAGACAGGGAAGCGCAAGAGTTCAAGGGCAGTGGAGGATTGACATGCCCAGCTCTTTTCTGCCGTGGACAAAGTGAATTGGACGGCGACGCGTCTGTAGCAAGGTGAGGGGAGAAACGTGGGTTGTAGGGCAGATGTCGTGGTTGGGAGTTGTTGTTTCGCACGGTGCACAGACTGTTCGTCATACAACCCCGTGCTGCTGGCTGCCCAAACCCACTGCGCAGACCCTGGATGGTACGATACGAAAGTCGATACTCGGGAATGCGTTGGCCAGGCACGTCAACCCTTGCAAACCCACGGCTGATACCTGCTGGCTACGATAGCTACACTGCACATCTTCATAATCATGCTCCGACTGCTTGGCCTGGACCCCACGTGAACGTTCAGTTGGACGAGAGCCGCACTAAAAGCCGCGCTGTGATTGGACTGACTCTCAGTACTTACACATCAAGGTCACAACTGCGACATCTAGATGCAATACGTGCTAAACGCTGTCTAGACGACCTCCTTGCACGAGAGACTGCACACTCCTCCCAGTTTGTCCTAGTTTGCCGACTGTCACCAGGCTGGGACAATGCTTCATTTCATCGTAATGGTCATGCCTCGCTCAGAGCTGTGGATCTATGTCTCTTGTCTTGAACGCATCTTCGCCATTCCTCCGAGGATCTACTGCCTGCCCGGGCCGTCATAGTTCTGGTCTGGAAGATACAGGTGTCGCTGTGCGCCAGCGGCTGTGAGCACCACCATGCGGATAACACCACCGGAGCTTCCATCCCACTTAATGGCCTCTGCGAGCGCGCCCTTGACGAACTTGATACCCTCGTCCTCTGTCATGTGCTCCCTCCAGTTTGCGTCACAGTATCCGTAGATGTATGTAGACCCCGAGCCTCCGATCGCGTACGCTTGCTTGTGCAGAGAACCGCCGAGTGGGATGGAGTAGACCTGGCCGCCGTGCTTCTGATCCCATCCAGCAATGATCAAACCAGCCCTGGAAAGTGTCAGCCGTGTCAAGTTGACAATCGCCGCATCACTCACGAGAGGGAGTCTTTGTTCGAGTAGCAGAGCTCCTGGAAGATGGCTGCTGCGGTCTGTGTTGTGGGCGGTCCGTCATTGGTGATGCCGTACATGCCGAGGTGGTAGTGGACAATGTCGGCAACAGCCTGTGTGTCCGCCGCCGAGCCAGATCTACAGCACCAGATGGTGTCGTGGACTTGTGTAAGCTTGTCGGTGACTCGGTTCGCAATGTAAGCGCCAGTAGTCGTTCTGCTGTCTGCTGCGAGGATCACGCCGTCCTTGAAGTTGATCGCCATGCTAATCGTACCGTCAGTTGGGGTCGGGGGTGGGGGCGTTGTCGACGGACATGGAGGTACCCAGGCTGTGGTGGTTCGTCAGCATTGCTTGTGGAGCCGTCAAGATTGATACCTACTTGACTTCGCCTTTCTTCAGGTGGTTCATATCGATGTGGATACCATCTACACGAATGTGAGCGTCGAGCTTGCACTACGCGGCAAAGCCACCTACCCTCTCCTAGCATCCCGGTAGACATCATCGTTGCGGCTTGAGCTGAGTGCGGGGTCGAGCTGAGTGGTGTGTGAGAACGAGTTCCCGCGACGGTGGTGTGGGCGATGAGCGAGCTGTAAGGTTGTCGGCGTAGAGGTGATGGTACACGCGCAACAGCTACAGCCTGGGCTTGGCGGCTACTCGCGCTTGCAAAGTGGGGCCTACTGGCCTGCCGTACCGCATCGCCGACACCATCCCCTGCGCGAGCAGATAGACATCAGTGGACAAGAGCTCTCCTGCTGCCAGACGCAAGATTGATCCATGGAGAGGTGAAAGAGTCGATTTTTTACGCCGGATATTCCTCTGGGCACCCAAAGGCCAACAGCAAGGCTACAGCCACTACAGCCACTACCCTGCTTCACGGACCACAACCCCACCAGCACACTTCCCCAGGTTGTATCCGTCGCCATGGGTTCCGGGTTGGATGCAGTCATGTCGTACTTGCGGATACCGCTGCTCGCCTCTTCTGGTATTGCGGCGCTTTGTAGCGGTCTGTTATACTTCAAGCAGAAGTATGTCTCACTACGTAACGACGACTTTCCGCACTAACCTAACCAGTGAGCTGATATACCCACGGGCATTCCCACCTGATGCGCGGACCAATGTTCCGCGCCCTTCTCAGTTTGGTCTCACTGATTACGAAGAGTTGTTCATCCCAACGCCAGATGGCGAGTCTCTCAGCGCTTTCTACATTCGACCAAACAAGCAACATGCTCGCAACGTGACAATTCTTATGTTTCATGGCAACGCTGGTAACATCGGCTACCGACTTCCTATCGCTAAGATATTGGTGAACGAGCTTCGTTGCAACGTGCTCATGCTTCAGTACCGTGGCTACGGTCTGTCGTCTGGGAATCCAAACGAGAAGGGGCTTATGATCGATGCTCAGACAGGCCTGGACTACATCCGGAGTCGGTCAGAACTTCGAGGCACGCAAGTTGTCATCTACGGGCAGAGTATTGGAGGGGCTGTAGCTATCGGACTAGCTTCTCGCAATCAGAAGCAAGGCGACATCGCCGGTGTTATTTTGGAAAACACGTTCACCTCGATCCGAAAGCTTATCCCATCGTAAGTAAGCTACTGTTCTTCTGAAATATTCTGATAACCGACTCTCTGCAGTGCATTCCCCCCTGCCCGATTTCTTGCGCCACTCTGTCACCAGATATGGCCCAGCGAAGACACAATGCCGACAATCACCTCGATGCCATTTCTGTTTTTGAGCGGCTTGAAAGACGAGATTGTTCCGTAAATGTCCCCTCTACTCTGGATGTTTATGTCGTCAAGGATGTTATCGCTGATTCGAAAACTAGGGCCGCCCATATGGCCCGCTTGTACAAAGTATGTAGAGCGCCGAAGGTATGGAAGGAGCTTCCTAACGGGACTCATAACGACACAGTTGCAGAGCCGGGGTATTTTCAGTACATAGACGATTTTCTGGGGAAAGTCGCCACAGCTTAGAGTCAATTGCATCAAGCCGTACATACAGCTGACGGAGTCGGCCCTTTCACGGACCTCCAGCGAGAACGCAACTGCAAGCTTCGACAGAGCCAATGAACGACGATTTGAAACCTTTCAAGTCTAGACAAAGGGCGCAACATGGTGTGGTAACGGCCTTATTGAGGTGTTATAAAGCTCACCAGCCAATGGTTGTTTTACCGGGTTATCTGCACACACAGTGGTGCGAGAATGCGCGTGAGCTGTACATGCGATGTCCTCTCTGCAGTACAAGTCTGGAGATGGTAACGATCAACGTCGCGTGACCTGAGCTCTACTGAAGCTTGCAGTAAGCTTCATTTTTTGCGCGCTTGCACCGAACGACCAGGGTGAGGCGGCACACGCAAACCATGCATTCGGGGCTTTCGGTTGAACAACGCTACCTACGGCCCATTTCTAATGTTGGTCTGCTCAGGGTCCAAGGCCAGCAGGGTATGGAGGAACAGTCGCTCGATCGCCAGGGGTACGGCAATGCCTATTCGCTTGTTGTACTGTCGTCGTGGGCCTCGAACAGTGTTACAGCAATGATCTACATCACAGCCACACTCGGGTTCAAGTCTTCGCCACAAGCATGATCCGATGCAGCTCGCATTCGTTCTCCACGGGCTGACGCAGAGTTTACAGGACTTTGTCGGTAGCACCGCAGCAAAACCGAGCAAGCGGGAATATGACAGCATGAACTTATTGGGACCGCACGTTTGACGCTTTTGCACTATATCCGGCGCTTCGAAAGCGTTGCGCTTGTGGGCGCTCGAAGCAAGGCCATAGGTGTCGTCAAAGAAGACCCTGAATATTACGTCACGTCATAGCTCCATTCCCCATATCTAATTGACCGAGAAGCGAGTTTGCGCATTACCAAGATGGGAATCGAGTCATGCGATTTGCTGTGTCTAACGTCATCACAAAGCAAGGAACAGTTGCATCAGAAAGTGCGGTTCGGAGAAAGAGAAATAAATCGTGGCGTTGGACTACCAGTGTCCTCGAGACGGCGTAAGCCGTCAGGCCTGGAGGCTCTGTTGCTAACCTTGTCATCCCTTGTCACTGATCTCCACACTGCAGGTTCGCGGCTGTGCTCAGCGCCATTGTCGATCCCGTCTGGCATGGCAGATGGAACGGTGTCACCGAGGGTGGCGAAGAAGTACGTCGACGCGCTCATTGGTGGGAAACTATCCGTTGCGATTCTCACGACCAACGGCTGCACCGCAGCCCTCGACAGCCGCCGAGCCGCTGCCGAGTAGTGGGTTGTGGGCTCGCGCCGGACGTCTTCCCTTCGACCGTTTTGTGTGACGATGGTTCTTTCGCCGGTCCAGCGTTTGGTCCGCTAGCAGTAAGCCTTGTACAGTCTGGTGCGCCGTCTCAAGTGTGGCGCTGGCGAGCATGTTTGGTCCCAGACGTCCACCGCAACTCCCCGCAGAGCTCTCATTGTTTTGTAGGAGAGCGCAGAAACGCAAAGACATGATCGGTGCTAGATGACTAAAGCGCCAGAGCATGTACGCCGAAAGTGAATGTACAAGATGACAATGCCATACTCCTTTGATATGGCCACGCGGCGCCGACGGCTGTTCCCCTGTCCGTCGAGTCCGAACGTTTCCTGGCATTTGACAGCTTGTCTCATTGGTCTGCAACCCCTGTCGCCTTGGACTCGTTCGGGCGGGTAGTCTGCCCAAGAATTACTTCATGACCTCTGTCTAGCCCAAAGCACTCTGGCCAGAGCTTTGTTTGCAAATTTGTAAAGCACGTTTGTTCTCCCTTGTCGCTCAGTTCCCCACTGTCGGCACTTGATGATTTTCAAGATTAATCAAGGGTCTCCGTGTCATGACCTGAGCTCCTCTGCCGTCAATTGTCCCTGCGGTAAGCTTTCCCGTCTCCCAAATGCCAGGGTCAAGAGGGTCCGCTAAGCTCACCACAAGACTTGCACAGCGAGCGCCACCGGCCTATTGGCAGTCTAGAAGTGGACTCACTCGCCACATTCTAGCATGTCTTCTTACACAACGCCTGCTTCGCCTTGTAATCGTTTGTGGCACCCACTTGTCTGTCTTTAATACAAGATCTAGTCGATCATATCGCCTCCAAAGCATCGGTTCCTATCCCGTCATCGCACAAGCCATTCCAAAAGCCACAATCTGCAAGCTTGTGCCCAATCAGATTGCGAGTTTTTACTGGGCCCGGAGGCAATTGAGGCAGAGAACCTGCATACACTCACGCGGCCTTTCCGTAAATTTTGGGTCAAGCCAGTAAGGCCTTCCCCCAAATCCCCTTCGCTTAGACCAGCTTCTAATTGCCAGTCTCCACCGACTCATCTTCTTCCGGCCACTGCCGTTATACTAAAGTCCTGTAAGGCTTCAAAGCACCCAGCTCTGTCATATGAGTGGCCGTGCAATTTTGATCGTCATCCCGTTCCGCTACAAGCGAGTACACTTTTGAGCGGGTCGTCAATCACAGCCGTTACTCGTCTGTCGGTCGGCCCTTATTAACCCCAAGCTTCTTTTTTTAACACTCAATCCTCCTTTACTTCGTCCCCTCATTGGTATATTCGGTTACCAGCATTGCGAAGCCTCAGCTCTTCGGGTGTGAACCTTTCCGGCTTGCCACCTCTATCTGGCAGGGTTATTCTACCATAGATTAAGGTACGTGCTGTAGTTCGGCCTCACCGCGGTCAACGTTGTCCTGTCTTTTGAACTATCGTTCGTTAGTCACTCGTTTTATATGTGGAATATGAGCTGATATGTCTTTTGTGTGGGTTCAGCAGTGGTTCACGGTTCCAGTCATTGTCGAAGGACAGATGGGTGATATACCCTCCGATTCCCAGTCCCATCCCATGGACTACGCTGCAGCTGGTCTGCCGCGTGATGACCAGCATGATCTGCTGCCATCCTCGTCTCCTTACAAGTTGCAAGATAACAATACGCCATTCTACGCTCAGTTGAGCTCCATCTCTCAGGGACACCACCGGCCTGACCATCGTTCGCCCGCACAGTCTGCACCCTATTATGCGTCGCACCACGAATCCTCTTCATTCAAAATGGGCGCAATGGCTGGCGCATTGCCTGAATACGGCTCCGATATGCAGCACCAGTCTTCGCAGGCCGTTCCACGTTCGCTGCCTGGCGCGTCAACATCGGCTGTTGTCTACCAGCTTGGACAGAACATGCAAATGCCAGCGCATGCGTCGAACGGCATGGCCGTCCATCCTTCCTACGGCTCCAACTACGGGGCGAACCCGTATCAGCAAGGATACATGCCATCACAAAACCCACAGAACGGAGTCTACCCACCGTACAACCTGAGCCAGCCGCGGATTCAGGGAGTGGCACCAATCCACAATCCATACCAGCCGTACCCGCAAGCCCCACAGTACATGTATTATCCCACATCGTACGGTCCTCAAGGACACTACCCGCAAGGTTATGCAGCGCAAGGCATGCAAGGACACACGATGTATGGCAGGAGACCCAGTTTATCGACAGCCCCTTCCGGTGTTCCTGGACAGAACGCAGACATCCCATCTCATGATGGCAGCACGCGAATGGGGCATAGTGAGCAGAATATGCCTTATTATCCAGTGCCAGGTACGTGCTTCAGCGTTGCCTCTTGCGACATGACTGACCTCCTCAGGAATGCCTCGATCAGCTTCTGTCAGCTCCATCCCACGCGGTCCGCCTCGAAAACCAAAGCAATCGGGCCATGCGCTCTGGGTGGGCAATCTACCACCCGGGACTACGGTGGTGTCGTTGAAAGATCACTTCTCCCGCGAGGCTACCAAGGATATTGAGAGCCTGTTCTTGATATCTAAAAGCAACTGCGCTTTTGTCAACTACCGTACGGAAGCCTCATGCACTGCTGCAATGCACAGATTCCACGATTCGCGCTTCAATGGAGTACGCCTGGTCTGCCGACTACGTCGTAGCTCAGCACCCGCAGCAGGAGTGCCTACAGGGCCTTCAGCTATGACTTCCCCTCCACACATTGCCGCATCTCCGCCAATGTCACCCAGACAGAACAGTGAAGCCATCGACGGTTTGCCGGAGGAGACTTCCGAGTCACAGGCACACGAGAATGGAGATGGCACTCCCACTATGACCACTAGCAAATATTTCATTGTCAAGAGTCTTACCTTGCAGGACCTGGAACTCAGTATACGAAACGGTATCTGGGCAACCCAATCTCATAACGAGGATGTGCTGAACAAGGCTTACCAGGTAAGTGGCATCCCAATTAGGGGTCCTTGTCGAGCACAGCTAACAATCACCAGTCGGCGGAGAACGTGTACCTAATCTTTTCGGCGAACAAGTCAGGAGAATACTTTGGTTACGCCCGCATGAGATCACCTATCCTAGAAGACGATCCAGTCCTTGTCAGCTCAGCCCCGAAAACCGAGAACATCATGGACGCGCCAGATGTGCCAAAGTCAATTCCAACACTGGCAACAGAATGGGCACCAAGGGGCAGAATCATTGACGACTCAGCCCGAGGCACTATATTTTGGGAAGCAGAACTGTCCGAGTCGGAGGGCGAAGAAGAGGCGACTGTGAAGGTCGAACCCCAGACGGACGGCGATTCACCGGTCGTCGCACAAAGCTGGGGTAAACCCTTCAAGGTTGAATGGCTGTCCGCAAACCGTCTTCCCTTCTATCGAACTCGCGGTCTGCGCAACCCCTGGAACGCGAACCGCGAAGTCAAGATCGCACGGGACGGAACCGAGCTCGAACCTAGTGTAGGTGAACGTCTGATCCAAATGTTTCACCGCTTGGGCCCTTCGATGCCTCCGGTCCAATTGGGAGGCCCCATCATGCCTCAGATGAGACCCTTCTAGGCCAATGCGACCCGGTCCTCCGGTCTACATGGTTGTGGTGTTGTACGTTGCACTGCTTTGGCGTCTTTCAGATCGCTGCACTATGTTTCGCCTAATCCTGGATAACAGTATGGAGCCTGGAACGTGTTGCACCGCCGGGTCTGTCATCAGATCTTCTATGTTTGCTCTTCGGCTGGTACGGGAGTTGACAAGTCACAAAGAGTCACGCAACGATCAAGACACGATAGACAGCCCATATGTGCGCATAGTCGTATCTCTCCCGCTGTAATATATTGGCGTTTGGAAGTCCTTCGGATCCCCTCAGGCATAACAAGTAATAGTAATCGCACGGTTTCCCACCCATCTGTATCTTCTCTCCCATTGCAGTTCTTGACATGCGTGTTCTCACATCTCCATTCCTGTTTGCCCTGATTCAGATGTCAATTTTACCCCACCCTAAAGTTGCCACCGAGAAGGTATCAGCTCATACTCAATGTACTCGTTTAACGGACCCTTTGCCCGCTGTCCAATGAGCGCTGCCCTTTCTCATGGAAAGGTTTCCGGTAGCCACCTAGCCAAACGATGTTGGAGGATTCGTTGCACAACTGCCGCTAGTACTGTGGAGTTTCTGCAGCTGCACTCCGACCAGGCATGAGGAGAGTCAGCCGTGTCGGACACTCGAGCTACGCCTTACCGTACCCGGACGCACTTCGGACATGCACGTGTCCTCGCGGCCCGATGCTGTTTGTGAGAGTTCTTGACGTCCGGTAATGACACAGGGCAGATCTTTTCGCCTCATTGCTCGCTCACGGCGCCCACGAAGCTCTGGGTCGCCGACCTGCCCCTCGCTCAGTCTAGACACCGCAATCGCGTCTGACCTGCGGCAGCTCAGACGATCTGACTCGCCCTTTTGCGCGGTTACACCAGCGAACCGTCTGACAGCTGAGATTGACGCAGACTCGCGACTAAAAAGAAAGTTCCGCGTTTAGCTCCAATCCTTTTACCAAGGTTTTCCATTAAAGGCCGTGCGTAGGTGGCGGTACGGTAGAACTTGGAAACTTACTGCGGGACGGGAGCCGGGGTTTCTTGTGAAAAGTACCGTGGAGCCTCCAGGGCAGCGTTGGTGGAAAGGGCAAGTTCCATCATCCTGATGTTCCATCATGCTGATGTACCAATGACGTCTTGCCAAGAGGAGACATGACAGATGCTACATCGGACTGATCTAAACGATAGGATTAATCTCGGGCTGATGCTGAACGGACATTGCAGGGTCCAGCGCTGCATCCACATGGACATCTGCAAGCGCCGTCGCAAAGTCTGGGGACTGACCGTGCATCGTGATACATCACTATCCAGACCGAGTGTCTTGAACACGAAATATGCAGTAATATTGCACCGGCGTGGATACACAGCATCTTCGACCTGCTTGGTTCCACATCGACAGCGCAGTCGGTCCTTCCCTTCAGGATTTCCACCTTGGTTTGATACTCCTTATCCAGGCGAGGAACTTTGACCGCTCGATACACTCCGCGCATCTTGAATGACGCAGGATTGAATTGCGCCATCCGCAAAACGACCAGGCCCCGTGCCTCTGCCCAGTGCATGTTGCTTTCCGAGCCCGCTCTGCGATCTGATACCAGCGAACCCACACAATCCTCCGTCCTTGGCGATGCTAGGCTCGACGTTGACTTGGAATGGTACATATCAAGCAAGGCTCGGAGGGATTCAGGGAACCACTCTGCGCAGTACCGAGATGCAAACACAGACCAATCCTCCATTCAGTGGCTGGCTGAGCGAGGAGGCAGCGGAGAAGGGTTCCCGATCAAATCACGCACTGCATCAAACAGGTTTGACAGCAACGGTGAACCCATGCTAAAGGTACCGTCGCACAGCCAACGCAGGTCGACATGTCCCTCAGCATAGATGGAACGTCCCGGTACTGCGTTTGAGTCTTGCCCTTTTCGTGCTTGATTGTCTGCTTACGGACAAAGATGGTTTGCAGACTCGTCTCTTCCTGGCTGACCAAGCAGTTCACCGCCATGACCGGGCTCACACCGGACAAAGTATCGCCAGACCACCCTTCTATGGCGAGCACTGACCGTGCCATCACGAAAGCTCCTGTGGGCGGAATGAACCCGTTTCCGCTATCTGTGGATGTGTGAAGACCTGTGGCAGGAAGGAATAACCTCAGTGCCCACGTAGCCTCGCGAGGGATTGAGTCTTGCAAGCGCTTATGCGACGCAGCGAATGGGCTGCGCAGCCCTCAAAAAGATTCAATATGTTCTTCATTATTCACCACACCTCTGAATAAGCGTCGAGGACTGGCCCGTACCCGGACGCATGTCGAACAAACATTGCAGCAAAACCGACAATGGCAAACTAATGGCTGAAGAGATTCAACACAGACAACTGACGTGCCCGTAACAACACGTCGAACTTGCAATTCACCGCAGGCCACCGTACCTCTCACCAGCCCAGTCCCAGCACGCAATCGCCACACCCGAAAACGCGGCACGAAGCCGACTGCGCAGACACGGGACGAGTACCCAGAGCCACACCGCGCACAGCCACCCTACAGAGGACCAAAAACACACAACCCCCTTTCGCCTGGCGCCTCGAAAGGCCCGTACAGGACCGTCCACACCCTCTCCTCGCAGCGCGTCCCCTTCGATACCGCACCACACTCCTCGCAGCCCCCAGCCCCGCCGTGACTAGAAAGCGCGCAACACGTCTGCAACAGCACGGCTCCGATGTCCCCCGGCCCGCTTTGCACCCCGAGGTGACAGCGGTAGTCTGAGCATACTTGTCTTGTGATATCTGCAAAGAAGGATTAGAGGTCTTTACTGATCATTGACAGCTTTAGGTGTTAGCTCCACCGGAACCACCAGTCTGCTATACGTGCGGTCGCCACCGAATAGCACGATGAACAGCGCGAGCGCGAATGAACGTACTTCAGCGTCGCGCCCGCGACTCGTGGACACGAGGGCCTGCTGTCTGCGAGCGCTGTGGACGGCGCGGGCGGAGCACGGGGGAGGTGTGCGTGCCGAGCGCTTTGTGGCGGGGAAGAGGCTCATTGTAGTGTCTAGTGCTGGATGCGTCGATGCGTCTACGCGTTGGCGCGGCGACGGCATGTAGGTATGCAGCGATAGTCTATACGCGTATCGAAAACGGCCGTGTATGTTGCAGTCCGCTCAACGGCTCCACAGACACCCATAACGATAACACGTGCAAAGCGTTCAGGAGGATTATGATGAGTGATTACCGTATAGTCATTGTCATTGCCATCTAGGTACATCCTTGGCCGATCCTTTTTGGCGTTACTAGTGATATCCCAACCCGGGACCGCAGAAAACCCATTAACGCCCCTGTCCACCTATGTTACAACACGCCGAGCTCTCGGAAACAAGAATACTGCTACACAACACTCGCCGCGGCCAATCTCGGATAGCCGCACGACAACAGGGAGTTGAAAAATGCGAAATGCGGTTGAAAACGGACGCGCGCGGACTGTTCAGACTGTGACTTCGCACTCCGCAAACAGCGCCTTCAAAGCGCGTTTGGAGAGGTATTTGTGTTTCGTGAACTCGTTGTCACCTTTTTCACATCAGTCATCATTATCATACTCGGACTGGTTGGCAAGGGTGCGCGGTCCGTCCTTACGGATAGGGATCTTGATGCCCTGCTGGGCGAAGCACTTGCTGAGCGTGGTGCTCTCGATGACGCCGGGGAACTTCTTGGCCGAGTACACGGTGAAAGGGTCCGAGAAGCACGAGGCGAGCATGGGCGTCTTCTCGGCGTGGGCGAGGATGCTGCTGGGGTTGTCGCCGCTGCCGATGTTGAAGATCATGAACTTCAGTCTGCGGTTGTTAGCGGTGGCTGTTTTTGGATGGTGGGTGTAAACATACCGGAACGTGCCCTCGGTGCGCACCGAGAGATCCTGCAGGACAAACCAGAAGCCCGGCTTGCCTTCTGGGTCGTTGAGCTTGAAGGCGTTGACAGACGTCTGGCCAATCAGGTTACGCGTGTGGTTCGAACTGGAACTCTGCGCAGGAACGGCTGGCTGGCCATAGTTTGCGCCGTAGGGCGCCGGGAACCCAGGGGGGGCTTGTCCGCCGTAGTACTGGGGCTGGGCGTAGGGGTGCGGCGCGGGCACTGGCTGGCCGTAGGCATTGTACTGCACCTGGGGCAAGAACATGGGGCGGTCTGGCGGCGGAGGGAACGAGGTTGTCACGCTGCTGGAGATACTGACAGTTGGTGCAGCGCTGCTGTGGCGCACAAGATTGCACGCGCCGCGCTGGGTGTCCTCGTGCCAGAGGTCGACGACAAGCACATTGAAGGTGGTGTCGATGTCGTTGCAGTCAATCTCCTGTCCAGTTGCGGCATCGCATACGATGAGGCGGATGCAAGGAGGCGGAGTGATGGGGCGTCGGTCCTGTCATTGGCCGCAAGTCTCAGCTCTGTACCTCTACCAGAACAATGGATTGCTGCGCGAGCTGTCTTACCTTGTCGCCAAAACCACACATTCGGGCTCGGATGGGCTGCTGGTCGACACGCAGTCTGTCATGTGTGAGCGCACAAACGAAGATACAAGTAGAGCCACGCACCTGTAGGTCTTGCCGCCATGCTGGCCGATGTAGTCGCCGTTAGGGTCTCCAGGGGGCATCTCGCGGTACATGACCTGCGACTGCATCTGCTGCGGGGGCGGCGGCGGCGGCGGCTGCTGCTGGGCGGGAGCAGGGAGATGCATTAGCTGGGTGGGGTCGTGAAGCTGCGGCGGCGGAGGCGGCAGACCAGCACCTGGCCGCTGTTGCTGCTGTGGTGGTGCTGGGACCGGATACTGGTTGCTTTGGCGAGAATGGGGATACATGATGGCTCGAATGCGACGCCTGCGCGGTCGATCTTAGCCGGAAAGGTAAGTGACTGGGGGAAGGGCCGCACAAAGCGCAGGGGCTCGGGAAAGCAGCGGTGGCCTGGTGCAGCTGGTGCAGAAGCTGCACTGTGGTTTAAGACTGGCTCTGCTGGGACGTTCACGACTGCGCGGTGCGCGGTGCACGCTGCTGGCGAGAGCGCTTTGCTATGCGCGCCAGAGGCGAGCGGCGGGAAGCCGCAACTAGTGGCTTGCGGGGACGGCGGAAATTACGCTCTGGGACGATGCTGGCCCCAACGGCTTCTGTGCTCGTACCAGTCGAATGGGCCACACACTGCGAGGCTGCGAGCGTTGTGTGTAACTCTAGCAGTGGCACCCGCCGTCACGGTTGGTATTTGGGTAACTGGAGGAGGTTGCAGAAGGGCGAAAGGGATGGGTGGAGGGAGGAGAAGAAGCATGCAACGAAAACGGACGAGAACCAAGAGCAGCCGGCCCCCTACACGCTGGGTGCGGTGCTTGTCCAGGCGCAGCCTCTGTACCATGGGTCGCTTCATCAGGGCCTTGAGGCTTGGGCAATCACAGCGAGCCAGATGCAACGCTTGGTCGCCCATGACCACATCGCGCCAACGGCTCGTCCCATTCGCTCCCACTGCAAGGGCATTTACGCGGGAACTTGCGCAGCCCTTCCGTCGGAGTGGTAGCCGGCGCCAGCAGCCTCACCAGTCCTGCAAGCCATCCTGCTTTGCGACTGTGCATGAGGCGCCGCCTGACTCACCACCGTGCCTGGACATGTGTCGTATCACTCCGAAGCCTCAGCATTTCTGCTGTGCGCACGTATCAACCGGTTTGCCGTTGTTGAAGGTGCTAAGCTAGGCAACACCATATTTGGATCGCCCAAGAAATCTCTTGTCGGGCTGCTTACACTTGAATGGACTTCTTCAGTCATGGTTCTGCGACTTGTTAAGGATGGTTGGACATTTCAAGTGCCGTACATTGGATCACAATTGACACGACTGGTTCATTCTACGCTCGTGACGTGTAGTCTACTCTACATTTCCGATACACGCTTAACCGCTTGTGTCAATAGTTCAGGCCGCCAGAGCGTTGTCGATCATTGAAACCCACCACCGCTGTGGTTGCTTTTGCTGAATACTGTGCTATCGCTTGGCCAGTTGATGCGATTCCAGGGATTGCTCTCGAAGCCCGCTACCTAGACCTCTACCCGAAGTGGAAGAGCGTCTGCTTCTTGTTCTTGTTGCCCTTCTTCTTGCCTCCCGCACCCTCTTCTACCGCGGGTGTTGTTGATCCGCTGGCACCGGCGCTGGGTGCACCCCACGCCGCATTCACTGGTGTGTTTCGGCCGCTGTTGTCCCGTCGCAGACCGAGACCTGTGTATCCGGGGCTGAAGATGGTGCTCGTTGGCTTGGGGGCTGCGGGCAGAGCAGGGAATGCGTCTGCGATCGCTGCGTTGCTCTTTTTTGCTAATCCGGTTGATGATGCAACGCGAGAGGGGATAGGTGACACCCCGGTGCTGCGGGCAGGCGCGGGCTTGGAGGATGAGGACATCCACGGCGTTTGGCCGGGTTTAGCTCCGATTCCACCGCTGCGACTTGATGAGGCAGCCGCTGGCAATGAGGGGAACGCGCCGCCTGCAGATGTATTTGACCAGCTTGCTTTTCGATTGGCCTGTGACCGTTGTGATTGGGCCGTTGAACTTTTGAGCTTCAGCACTCTTGAGCCTCCGCTGGTAGCAAGTCCGCCATTCAAGGCGCGTTCTGTCGCCGAGCCGGGCAGTGATGGATAGTCCTCGTTGATTGCTTTCCAGTCGCTCCAGGCCTTCAACAGTCCTTGCTGCTTGGCTGGGATTTCAAAGATATCAGCCAGCTCCTTCACCAGTTTACCCAAGTCTTTGGAGTCACTGTCGAAGAGTGCGAACAGCCCCTCGATAAACTGCGCTGGTGAAACCTTGTCACTTCGATACGCTGAAATGTCTGCTCGGAACTGCTGCAGCTTGACTTGGTCGTTACGCAGCAGATTCGACGCTCGTTCGGTGACTGCATTGTGTCGTAGGAGGCGCGCCTGATCTTGGGGAGTCTGCGGTGCGGCAGCTTGCGAGTTGAGACTCAACTGGCTCATGTTGTTCGAGACGTTATTCACAGCTGGTTGGCTCGGTCTTGAAACACTCTGTGTAGGCGGCGCAGATGAGCTGGGAGCGGGTCGGGCTGCGAAAGCTTCTCCGGGTGTAGGGGCTGAGAGCTGGCCACCAAATGCGCGCCCAGTTGCGCCAGACTGTTGAGCCTCCATCTGCCGTTGGAACGCAAGCTCGGCTCTACTAAGCGGCTGTGCAGATGATGCAGGCACTGCCTCGGCGTTTGGATCTCTGCCTCTCCCACGGGCTCTGTTGCCTTCTCGTCTCTGGTTGTCTCGTCTGCCATGCTCTGGCTCGTGTGGAGTGCGGTAGTTGCCAAAGCCAGACATGTCCACCCTTCTCGCGTCTCTGAGAGCGTCCTTGGTCAGGCCGTTTGGATGCTGCTCAATCTGATGGGCCTTGAGGTCCATTTCTGAATCGAACACCACGAACTTCTTCTCCAAACATTCTCGGTCTGGGCACACAAAGTGGTCCTTCTTAAAGTGCTGCTCAAGAGCATCATAGTTTACAAAATATTGCTGTTGTCTGCTGTTCTCTTGGCGATCACAGATGTGGCAGCGCTCGTGCTTGTCCCGGCAATGTGTGTAAAGCTCGTCGTCTCCGTAGAAGCGCTGGCGGCAGAATCCACACTCGGGGTGTCCCTTGAAACCGCTCTGGTCGATTGCGCCGGGATTGTCATCGCCGAATTTTTGGTGCTTGCGCAGGTCCGCAAAGGTAAAAAGCTCGTGCTCGTGAGTAAAGACCTTCTTGTTTCTTGTACACAAGTCGCTAGGCTCAGTCAGTATCACTACAGCATGTACTGGACACCATCACTCACCACATAACTTTGCCGTGCGCCGTCTTTGTATGACGGTGCAGATCGGGCCAGCCCAAGCACGCAACATCACACTCGCCATCCGGGCAATTGTACTGCAGTAGAAGCCTCGCATCCTCGAAGATCTCGGCCTTCTCAAACTTGATCCCCAGATTGTCGTCGACCTTGAAGAATTCCGCCGCAGACAACTCCTGGTACGACATCTCGTGGGCGTCAGTCAGTATAACATGCTCAGACTCGGTTCTGCAATGCGCGCAGGCTTTGGTCTTGTACAACGCGCGCATTCGGATCGAGCAAATGTGGCACGTTCTGTGGTTGCAGGGTGCAATGGCGGTATGCTGCACGGGCGAGGCGCAAATGAAGCAGACTTCGGCATCGTCGTCGACTGCCTCCTCTACAGGCGGTCTCGCGATTGTGGGCAACGATCCGTGCTGCTCGTTGCCCTCCTCAGCAGGCGCTTTGCCCTTGTCCGCCGCAGCTCGCCCTCCCCTACTATTTGCGCCGCCGTCCCCTCTCCCACGACCTCGTCCACGGCCCCCTGAAGCGCCGCCTCTGCCACGGCCTCGGGAGCCGGAGTGTTCTGGGCCGTCCTCAGCACCGGGATGTGCTCCTTTTCCACGTCCCCTCGCCCTCCCTCCTCGTCTCGCCGGGCTTGTCGGTCCTTGTGGGGTTTCTTGCGCTCCAGCGTCGGCCATTGCGGGGTACGTGTCTATTGTGGATTGGCGGGCGGTATGCGGAGGAAATGGGTGGTCAAATGTTACAGAGAAAGAAAAATAAGAACAGTGAACGGTTTGGCGCAGGCCAGCGAAGGCGGTTGTTAAGCGTGTGGAGCTGACGAGCGTTTGTAAAAGCTACACATGACGCTCTTTTGCAAGCGACCTAATCAATCAATGACGGAGGCCGTGCGCACGTCAGCCACATAATCTGGTAGCCTCGGACCAGCCATTAAAGTGACTCAGGCACGCATTTGGCATAGTGCTGTATGATTCACAATGATGCTGTGGATGCGCATCGCTAAGGACCGAATTGTTCGCTGACAATTCGTACGTGCCACCTACATGATTCTAAATTTGGAGCCCTTCTCCACGCATTGACCTAATCTCCGTGTATGCTCGAGCAACTCCACGTCGCACAGCATACATACCCATAGAAGGCGTCAGAGCTCCCGGAGTCCTCCATCCTCATCATCCCACTCGTCGCCGTAGATTTCCTTCAAAGCGCCAATCTGGCTTTCTCGATCCGGCACCCGCGCTTTCAGCCAGCTCTCCATGCAGTAGATGTGTTCAGTGAACTTCTCTGCGGCGGCTCGTGATTGTCTGATTTCTTCAATCTTCTTGTCCAGCTCGACCGGATCGTACTCGCTGTATGCAGCGAGCTCTTTGCGGAGCTTCTCGACTTCCTTGGTGAGCTCGTCGTGCTTCGCGATGAGCGTCTTGCGATCCTCGCCTGCTGGTGTCAATGAAGGAGTCTGCGTACGCTGTGTAGCGTACCTGTCTCCGCGAGGAGTTCTTCATCCTCGGCTTGTGCAGCGCCAGCTAGATCCACCTTCGCCTGCAACTCCGCAGCCGTAGCATTAGCCTTGTCGTGCTCTTCTTGTGCCTTTGCCAACGCAGTCTCCTTTTTCTTCTTGGCCTCGCTCGGGAAGCACCAGTACCAGTTTCCGTTGCCGATCTTTTCAGCGTTGATCTGGGAATCGTCTTGAAGCGCCTGCATGTAGTCTTTCACAGCCATGCCGTTGATGGAGGTGACTGAGGGCACCAGCTTCTCCAGATCCTTGAGGCTGTACGCGAGTGCAGTCTTTTGGAGCCATGCGAGGATGGCGGCCTGCTTCTGCGTGTTGATAATGGTTTTCGGTGCCTGGGAGGTCAGCAATGGTGCAAGTGTGCATTTGAAGTGACTTACCATGGTGATATGAGTGGACCTCGTATCAGATAGTACTGCGACCGATTGGGTGGGGTTGAGCTCAGGGGAGAGCGTGAGGCATGTCCTATGAGCGTACCTTCCTCGACCCATGGCGCTAGACCAGCGCGTTGGAGGCAGTCACGTAGGATATCCTGACTAGCAACCTACCCTTCATACAAAAATTCAAGTCAGAATCCAGCCGCAGAATAGTGCTGGGTCCTCCTGGAAGCAGAACAGTGCCTGCACTGAAAATTATTGCAATGCACTGACGCCTCCTGTTCTTCACACTTTTGCGTGCAGGCTGATTAAACTCAATCCGACCCATCTGAGGAATACCGTGAGCCATCGCTTGTTGAGTCTTCGTCCGTCCCGACCGAGGCTCCCTGCGAGGCTTCCCGCGAAGCCCCCCGCGAACCCTCTCTCGAGCTCTGCACATCCTCTTCACTATCTTCCTCGGAATCAAACATCTCTTCACCCTCGTCGGCGGCTTCAACGAATGCAAAGTCGCCCGTCTCGCCAAGTACTTCTCGCGCCGTCTCTTCCATAAGAATCCCAAAAGCGATCAGTGCAGTCTCGTCCATGCTCTTGTAAGCAGGCTGGATGTCGCCTTCTGCGGTCCGCGAATAGAGCTTCGACACATACGCGTGGATTGCGGTCAGTAGGTCGCCACTTGGGAGCTGTTGGTTGGCAGGCAGGCGGGCATGTGCGTTGTAGTAGTCGGTTTCCTCGTACCGGATTGGCGCGTTGGCTTGCTTGAAGAGGACCTCGTCGGGGCGAAGAGGCTGTCGTGAGCTCTTCACGTCCGTGACATTACCAATCAGCCCTGCCTGCGTGACACGTCCTTGCTGTGTCAGTACAGCGCCTGTATTGGTGCAGAGCAGAATTACCTGCAACTGCATCGTAAACGCTGGCAGTGCGCCTAGACGACTTCTCAACCACACTCTCGCCGCCGACGGAAGCATCGGACGGGCGTCTGGATCTACTGAACGACCTGAGTGACATGGTGGTGGTGGTGGCAGGAGCTTGGACGAAAAAGTTTAGCGTGGTGAAGGGCGGCAAAGGGCGCGACCGATACAACGTCATGCTCGACGCTCAATAACCTTCAGCCTCCGCACCTCCACGCAAAGCATGTAGACGCATATGACCATCCAACAGCACTTGCTCGATCGCGCATACGGCTTCGCACACAACGATGTTCTCAAACGTGCGACGGCGACGAGTCTCGTCTACGCGTTGCAGCCGGCCGCCGTGACATTCAGCCAGCGACTGCCCTCGGCAGACGACCCTCATGCGCGCATTCCAGCCCATATTGCAGGCGTGAATGCCGTGACCATCGATAGATTTGAAGGACGGTATCTGTTGTCAGGCGGCGCAGACTCGTCGGTTGCGATATGGGACCTCGAGGCGCAGACGACCAGCACTGAGAGCGGAGAGACACAGCTGCCTCTCTCCGCTGTGAACAAGACGGCAAAAGAGCACAAGCTGGGGATCACGCAGCTCGGCTTCTACCCCTTCGACTCGCTCGCGTTCCTCACGTCCTCGTACGACCACACAGTCAAGCTCTACTCGAGCGAGACGCTCCAGGCCTCCGCCTCGTTCGACCTGGGCGCCGTCGTCTACAACATCGCCCTCTCGCCCATCGCCTCGCACCTGCTCATCGCCTGCGCCACCCAGGGCCCGAACGTGCGCCTCATCGACCTGCGCTCCGGCGCCACCACCCACAGCCTGGCCGGGCACACGGGCGCCGTGCTCTCCACCGCCTGGAGCCCCGTCACCTCCCACCTCCTCGCGTCCGGCGCCACCGACGGCACAGTCCGCTTCTGGGACATCCGCCGCAGCATCGGCTCGCTGGGCACGCTCGACCTCGAAGACGCCACCGGCCGCGCGGGGCCCACGCACTCGTACGCGCCGCCGCGGGCACACGCGCAGGCGCACCGCGGCGCCGTCAACGGGCTCGTCTGGACCGAGGACGCGCGCCACCTCGTGTCCGCGGGGCACGACAACCGCATTCGCGTGTGGGACAGCACCTCGTACGCCAACACGCTCGCCTCGTTCGGCCCCGCGGTGCGCAACGCGGGGCTCGCGCCGACGGTCCCCGTGCTGCCGCCGCGCCACCTGTTCGCCGCGCACGCCGACGCGCTGTTCTTCCCCAACCCGCACGAGGTGCTCGCGTTCGCGCTGTTCGACGGTGCGCTGAAGCGCCGCATGCGGCGGCCCGAGCGGGCCCTGCGCGGTGGTGAGGCGGTGGCGGGCGGTGCTGCGGGCGCGAAGGACCGCATCACTAGCCTGGCGTGGCGCGCGCACGCGGTGGAGATGTATGCGGGGCACGCGGACGGGAGCGTGAGCGCGTGGACGCCGCGCACGGAGGGGGATGTGGCGGCGGACGAGGAGGAGAGGGACGATGAGGCGCAGCGGGACGAGGGGCGGAAGCGGAAGCGCGGGGCGCTGGACGAGATATACGCGGGGTTGACGGGGAGGACTGTGACGTTTGGGGGGGTGACGTGACATTGGGTTGAACATTGGGTGTGTGGGGTGGGTGCTCTGCTTGTAGCTGGCAGTGTATGGTATTACTATATAAAGCTTCACCCGAAATGCGGGAGTCGCGCCGGCACAAAGGCGTCTCCTTGCCCCTGATCCTCGTCTTCTTTCTGCCCATCCTCCAGATTCTCGTTCTGCGCCTCCCTCCGCACCGCTGTCACAGGCCGCTCCTCGGGCGACCCCGGACGCCCCTCGTCCAACACGGCATCCAGCGCGGTGTCACTAAGGGGTGTTGTCGTGTCAGTCTTCGCATCCAGCACGACATCACCAGGCGTCGTGTCTGTCTTCGCATCCCCCTCCACAGCCAGTCCCTTTCTAACCGCCAAATCCCGCGCCCTCGCCCTCCTCCGCCTCACCTCCCCCTCCTCCTCACGCCGCAACCTTTCCTCCTCGCCCCGCAGCTCCGCCAGCTCCGGCACCGCCTCGCGCGCCAGCATCTCGATCCTATGGTCACTGCTCGTGCGCGCACTCCCCGCGAGACTAGTACTACGCGCACTGCGACTGCGCTCGGTCTTGGCGTCGGACTCGTCGCCCGTCGCCCGGCGCTCGAGCACAAACGCAAACTCGTCGTCCAGCGGGACCGCGTCGTCGAGCTCGTCCTCGGAGGGGAAAATATCGCCCCGGCTCGACAGCGAGGACGTCGTGTGCCGCGACGTCAGCGTGTTGCTGCGCGCGCGGCGGTGCGTTTTGGGATCGCTTGCGCTTGCGCGCGGGGGGTCCTCGTCGCTGTCTTCGATCAGCGGCTGGGCCTCGGGCGCGTGCCGGGCGCCCGGGTGCTCGGTCAGGTCGGCGGCGCTGGGCTTGTAGCGCAGGCCTTTGCGGCCCAGGTTGAAGGGCAGACGGGCCAGGAAGCCGAAGTAGGAGGACGAGGGGATCAGGGTGGGGTCCGGGGCGGTGTGGGGCGCGCCGGTGGACTTGCGGCGGGCGTCGAAGCGCGGGTCGCGGGCGCGGGCGGCGTAGGCCATGGGGCGGGCGGCGGGGGGCTGCTGGGTGGTGCCGTAGCTGGTGCCGTAGTTGCTGCCGTAGCTGCTCGTGCCCAGGAAGCGCTCCAGGCTGTCGTGGCCCCAGCCCAGCAGCCCGTCGCCCTCGTCGTCGTCCCAGTCGTCGTAGAAGTCGAAGCTCAGCTCGGCGCGGCCGCGGGAGCGCGCGCGGTGGCGGCGGCGGTCGCTGGTCGACGGGAAGCACGGGGCGGTGACGGCATTGCAGCAGCGCGTGACCGACGCCAGACACGGGTTCACGTAGCTCTGGGTGAAGCCGTACAGGTTCTCGGCCGCCGTCTCGTTGGCGTGCTCGAGATTCTCCGAGATGTGCTGGATGGTGCGGTTCCAGCGCGGGTCGCCGCGGCGGTACATGGTGGCGGGGGCGCGGGCGGCGCTGGGCGGGCGGCGCGCGGGCGCATGTGGTGGTGTCGGTCGTCGGGCGACCTGGCGGTGCGGGTGGAGGTTGGGCTGATGACGCCTGCCTTGCGGCTCGCCCTAGCTCGGCCCACCCCACGCCCACGCCCCACGCCGGCGCACCTGCAGCACTCCCGTCGTCCACCATGCGCACACCATGCTGGAACCATGCGCTACATCCGCTTCCTCAAAACGCCGCGCATCGCCGCCGACAAGCGCACCGGCAAGCCGCACGCCACGTGCCTGATCGCCCTGACCTCAGACCTGGGCGACTCAACGCTCCCCTACGACACGCCGCTGGTCGCCGACCTGCTCTCCGCCCGCGATGAAGTCGTCGCGTCGCGCACCGCACTCTGGCCCGCGGGCGCCCGCACCCTCGCCATCAGCCTGCCGCTGAAGCCCGCGTTCCCCGCGGTCCTGCGCCTGCGCATCAGCACCGCGCCCGCGGCCGCCCACGACACCTTCGCCGCGCTGTGCGCCGCCGCGCCCGCCGTGCTGTCCGCCTGGAGCGCCGAGTTCAGCCGCGCGCCTGCGCCGCCGCTCGTGCAGCGCCGCCTGCGGATTGCGCACCGCACCGTCAGCGTGTGGGAGGAGACGGGCGACAGCATTGCGCGGCACCTGTGGTACGCGCCGTCCCGCGCTGCAACTGCAATCAGCTGGCTGACCGAGCAGGGACGCGGGGATTGCGCTGGCGAGCGCCGTGGGCGGGCTGGCGACGGCTGCTGACCCGGCAACAGCGACGTCGACATCGCCGTCGACGACTACAGACCCAGCCCCAATCCACCCCCCCGACCTCGCATCCGCTCTCAACCTGCCCCCCTCAGCCCTGGCATCCGGCCTCACCGCCGTCGAACTCGGCACCGGCACCGGCCTCGTCGGACTCACCCTGGCCTCGCTCCTCCCGCACGCGCACGTAGTCCTCACCGACCTGCCTGCCGCGCGCAGCATCGTGGCGACGAACATCGCGGTGGAGAATGCAGTGCTGGCCGAGGGCGCGCGCGTGCGGTTCGAGGAGTGGGACTGGGACGGCGCGGTGCCGGGGTGGGTTGGGGAAATGAGCGAGGTGAGTGAGCGCAGCGACGTCAGCGAGGTCAGCGCGACCAGCGAGACCAGCGAGACCAGCAGCGCGAAGGCGGCCAGCAGCACGACCACTCGCGCGCAAAAGCGAGAGACCGAAAACGAGCCCGAGAACCGCGCGCACCCCAACGCAAAGAAACGCATAGACCTCGCCCTCGTCGCAGACTGCACCTACAACCCCGACAGCAGCCCGGCCCTCGTACGCACGCTCTCGCGCCTCGCAGCCCTGAACCCGCGCCTCGCCGTTGTCGTCGCGCTCAAGACGCGGCACGCCAGCGAGGCCGTGTTCTACGAGCTCATGGCCGACGCGCGGTTCGAGGAGGCGGCGCGGCGGGTGTGGGAACTGCCGGGGGATGAGGGGGTGGGCGGGGAGAGGGTCGAGGTTTTTGTGTATCGGTGGGCGGGGGCGGGTGAAGCGGTCGGGCACGAGAGGGAGGGTGGGTAAGCTGGCAGACGGCAGAGAGCAGGAGGGTTGAGTATTGGATGGCGGCCTCCAGGGCGCGCTTGTATTCGCTCTGTCTGTCCTTGCGTGTTTGATGCCTTTCGGTGTATAGTCGTTCTGTGCATAACCCTCCTGTGTACCATCCTGTATATAACCTCCTGTGTACAACCATCCTGTGTACAACTTTCCTGTGTATACCTTCCCGTGTGTAATCCTCCTGTGTATCATCCCGTATATACCTCCGTGTATACCCTCCCGTGTATTCTCCCAGCAAACTCCACTTCCACTCCCAACACACGCCTTTTCTCATCCGAGTGTACACGCTTGAACGGAGCAATCCCGTCATACCCCTGCAGCCCATCGGCTGCAACAAGACGACTCAGATCACACAACCCGCCCAGTCGCTAATCAGACGCGCCTACACACACCCCACCAGCTCCCCGACCCGCCTCTCCACAGCCCGCACATCCCCCTCCAAATCATGACCCCACAGCCACTCAAACCGCCCCCCCAGCTCCCCCAACGCCTCCTCAACCCCGCACTCCGCCCCCTGTGAATCCCTTAGATTATACACCTCCCCGCACTCGCGCGCCGTGCGCACCTGCCGCTGCGCCCGCGGGCGCCGCACCTCGTCGTAGGCTTGAAATGCCGCTTCGAGGGCGCGCGAGCGGGCGGGCGAGGCGACGGAGAGCGCAGACCGCGGCACGGCGGCGAGTGCGCGCGTCAGGATCAGCGCGTCTTCGAGGCCCTGGCCGGCGCCGGCGCCTTGGTGGGGGGTGCTGGCGTGGGCGACGTCGCCGAGCAGGCAGAGGAGGGCGGCGTGGTAGGTGGGCGTGGTGGGGTGGTCGAAGAGGGCCCAGCGGGTTGGGGGGGTGCGCTGGGCGGTGTGAGATATCAGACATTATGGTTAGGTTACACCGGCGGGGACTCACCTCCAAGAGTCGCAGCAGCCGGCTGTCGACGGGGATGTCGGCAAAGTCGGCCATCATCTCTTGCTTCGATACGTGGTGTGTGTTTCCGGCGTGGCGCCAGGGCTCGGGGTCGCGCACGAACGCAACGACGTTCACCTCCCTGCCGCCGCTGATGGGATACGTCGACATGTTCACGTTTTTGCTCATGTACATCTTCGCGTCGGTGGCCAGATCTCCGAGCATGTCTTTTGCATCCTCGATGGAAACGACCGTCCGATAAACGTATTTGTGCGTGTATTGCGGCTCGACATGTTGCGGATATCGACCACCAAGAACCGCACGTCTCGTGAGGCCCTTGATGCCATCGCAGCCGACCGCCGCGGCGTGGATCGCTACTTGTCCATCAGCAAAGGTCAAGGTGACCTGATCGTCCCTCTGCTCGATGCTTGCAACGGTCCGGCCGAAGCAGACAGCATCCCTGTCAATGAAGCCCGTCATGACATCCAGAAGGTCCTTCCTGTGAGCGCCGGTCCTCTCGAAATACGGTGCTCCCCATTCGCCGTGGCCCCACCAACTCTCCCCTTCACCCAAGCCTTCCTCCATGCGCATCGCCTCCATCATGACATGCTTCTTCTCGGGCCTGAGGTTTCCGGTTGCGATGCCCATGTACATATCGCGGAACCGCTTGTCGATGAGATCCATGGCTCGAAGGGCATTCGGGCCAAGCCCAACACCGGCACCGATCGCTGAGAACGCAGGGGCGGACTCGTAGATAGTGAATGGAATGTCTCGGTGAGACAGGCCAATCGCAAGGGCCAGTCCACCTATGCCTGCTCCGATAATGGCAACGTTGAACTGCTGATCAGCCATGCTGTCAAGTTGTCAGTCTCCCCGCAAGAGGACTGCGTTAAGTCTTGATCAATGAACGGAGGGACATGTCTCTACGACACGCGCAGTGAATTCACCGAGGTGGATTCACCGAAACCCCCATGTTGTTTGAGCCTGATGTGTGAGCGATGAGCAGCCCAAACGTACGAGGCGCCTTGATGCCTACGTACGCTGAGCCCCCACACCAACGCGGCCCCACTGCCCAAATCCTTGGGAGTCGTCGAGGCATAGTAAGTGAATGCTTCAAACTAGGGTTAGAGTACATGGAAGACTGCATCCGATGGTGCTTTGATTCGAAGGCGATCCTGTGCAGTATCGACAGGGCAAGTGAAACAACCTCTGATAGTCACGCGCTTTGGTTGCCGTCCGAGAAGAAGGGCGGTGGCCTCCATACACGCATGTGCCTCCAACCAATTAGAGTTTAATATTCCTCTAGTTTGCGTTGAAGTTTGCACGGGTCAACAGCCCACATCTGGCGTGATGTCCACGGCGGTAGTGGGAGACAAAACTCCAACACGACAGATTGTCAAGACCTCGTATCAAACCGAGCTAGTTGTGGTCTGATCAGTCCGCACTAATTCATCAGATTGCAGCGACTTCAGCCGTGAGCCGCACAATAGCCGTTCGTCTATGGACGGGAGCACACACCTGCAGATTCTGTCAGCCCACTATTATATAGGGCAGCTCTTGACACCCACCCTCTGTCGATTTGGGTACTCTACCCGACTGATGGCAGTGCATGCTGACGGGATACAACGCAACGCTAGGGTTGCGTATCGTTTCATTTACCATCGCGCGCGGGTCCCGGATGGAGGAAGGTTCGTGTCCAGCCGGTCACTGCGCACCGTATAGCTCGATACGTTTTGTACAGCTCGATACGTCTCTGCACTCTGATCAACATGATAGTACATCTGCGGATCCATATCTTGTAACCCCAGTGCATCTGTCACAGTGGAGTAGGTCAAGAGGGCGGACCTGGGATGCGTTTGGCATCACCCAAAGAGCATCCTCATAACTCCGCTGACAGCACACCTGGATGCGTCACGAGGCCCTCGCGGCATAGTGTGCAGTATGTATCTCATACGTCTGACATCTTTTCTTGGACAGCGACAAGACCCCCCCGGGATTAAGTTGCGCCTGACTCACGGCGCAAACCCCGGCGCCACCACGTCGACACGTCGCCTTCCTGTTGGAGAAACGCCCAGAGTGTGGCTCATTCGACAACGTGTGGTGTCGATAAAGAGAACATGGCCAATTTGCGGCGGGAGCCGTTGATCCATGACTAGATCCCGTTCATGTGAAGGATCTCGTACGCGGCTGGTGGAGATCATCATAGGTGTTCAGGCGACCAATGCAGCCCTAAACCGGCATAGCATCTCCACAATGCTCGAAAAAGAGAAAGCAAGGCGAGATCGCTGGGTCAGGGTGTGAGAGGCCATCTGCCCTCATACTCCTCGCAGTAAGGAGATGGTTGATGGTCGGCGGACGTGATCCAGAACTTGCGCGGCCCATCGACGATGCACCGGGGCTGGCTCCGGTCTGACATGTTCCAAGGGCGGACCATGCAAGATGGCGTTTCGAAGCGGATGCATGATGCAATGGCGACGGAAGAGCCTCTGACTCCCCAAACGTCCTTTTAACAATGCACCGTCGCGAAATCCAAATGCCATCCCGGAAAAGCGGTCGGAAAATAGAAGGACATGGCTGTGCATGACTGTGCAGAATCCGGGGCGAACCGACCCCGTGTTCCTGCAGCTGCGAGTCGCCGATACATCCCGATGGAGCTCGAGACGATGCAGATGATATCTGCAGAGTGCTATCTAAAAAGTGGCCTAGCCCATGGGTATCGCCGTACCGCACCCGCACTGAAGCCTTGTGTTTGACAATCCGACGGCTGAAGTCGTCGTGCCCGATTCACAGTCTCTTCACGCGCCTCCAATGCCCTCCGCCGCTGTAGACCGCTGCCGCCTCGCCAATCGCTCGTCGCCGCCATGATGCCTCTAGCATCGCACTCGACATCGACATCGACTCCTACGCCGACGCCAACAGCACCGCCAAGCTCGAATTCGCGCAGAGTGCCGCTCGATAAGCGCAAGCGCACAGAGACTTCGTGCGATAAGTGCAAATCACGCAAGCAAAAGTGCAGGAAAGAGCCTGGCCAGGACGCCTGTCGGTACTGCATCCTGCACAACATCGAATGCCTAACCACGCAGCCGCGCAAGAAGCGCCTCTACGGCAGCGTCGAGGGCTTGGGAAATCGGTTGGCGCTGCTGGAATCGCTGGTGAAGGGCCTCCTCCCCGAAGCTGATTTGAACGACCTGGACGAGTTGCGACAGCTCGGCAGCTCGCTCGGCATTGCGCTGCCAGGCTCGGGGGAAGCTGATAGCCATGGGGAGCAGAACGGTGGCAGCGACAAGGATGGGGATGACCACATGTCGTTGCTGCCAGACCAGCAGGGGCAGGTGCAGTACATTGGACCTGCCAGCTCGTTCTCGTTTCACCTCAGGCTTCGATCGTTAATTGGCGCTGAGGCATTGCGCTCCTTCGTGCTGTTTGGGAGCAACCCTGCAGATCAGGAGCCCCTGGACGGTGGCGATGCTCGAAGCGATCTGCGCAGCCTCTCCACTCCCAGTGCCACGTCCAACGTCGACCACAGCTCACCTGCTGGTGCTCGCGCACTGTCCAGCGCTCAGCCGAGCGAGGTGCCCAGCCTCGAATGTCTTGTTGGGGCCTACTTCGACCAGATCAATCCTGCCTTTCCCGTCCTGTACGAAGGTAAGTTGACTTGAGCGAAACAAGGACTCGCCTGATCAATCGACTAACGAATTGACAGCGTCGTTCCGCGAGGCCTATGAGGGGTGGCTGCTGGATCCGGGGAATGCCGACCCTGCGTGGTTGTGCAGTTTCTTGTGCGTGCTGCTCCTGTCGCGCCGCGTTGCGCGCATCACGTTTCAGGAAGACCAGGAAAAGTTGTGGTGGAGGCGAGTCCAGCAGCTCCTGCCTGTTGTCATGTTTACATCCAGCGTCATGGCGGTCCAAGCACTGCTCTTGGCCTCACTCCACCTGCACAACACGAACCATCGCGACGCTTGCTGGAACCTCACCGGCACGGCTGTGCGTATAGCTTTTGCCATTGGATTACACCAGGATAAAGTGAACACTCTGCAGACCCCGCTAGCCCGCGAGCTGCGGAAACGTCTGTGGTGGACACTGTATGCATATGAGCAGATGCAGCTTTCTTCTTATGACCGGCCAAGTGCCATCGAGCATCCAGGCAGCAAGATCAGCTGTCTGAACGAGCGCCTCCTTGGTTCAGACTTGCACAATCCGCCTGAGTATAGTCAATGGTACAATCGTCTAGTCGTGCACCTGGGCTCTGCGTGCCGGGCACCGAAGACGGTCCGAACCAACTCTGAAGATGAATCCTATGTTGGGCCCTTGTCACCTGCAGCTGGAGTGCTTCGAGACATGGAGCGTTGGAGAGACCTGCTCCCCCAACATCTTCGCCTGGAGGCAGTGGACTCCACTCCACCTGCATTTCAACGGCCTATCTTGATGCTGCACGGCCTGTATCATTACACGGTCATCGTGCTGTGCCGCTCTGCCTCGCTCACACGGGCCAATATACTAGCCAAGGAAGGCAAGGATGCGACGAACATTGCTCTCATAGCTATGGCGGAGTCGTGCTCAGACTCCGGCCGAGCGTTGGCTCGTGTACTGCTCAAGCTTGAGGCAATTGGAAGATTCGACGCAATTACCTGGTGGGACATTTGGTATGCTCTAGCATCAAGCTCAGCACTTGTGCTTGACCTAGTCTGCCTGAACAAGATCACCGGTACAGACATGTCTGCGTCTCGAATCCTGCTTTCACAGCTAGCCGATCTGGCACAGCGGCATAAAAGAAATCCACACATGCCTGGCACTATCGACAAGTTTGCCTCGATCGTACCTGAGCTACAGTCAATGGTGAACGCTATGAATAGTCCGCGATCACCCGTCGCGACCGCACCAAGAGCCGAGATCGCCCAAGACTCGAACCGTGATGCATCTCGGCCACTTCCAGCGGCACAAGAATCCATCGCGTACCCCTTCCACCAGCCCACGATAAATAGCGGTGCGTACATGTTTGCGGATCATGCCCCTGGGCGATTTTATCCTGAACAGCAGTTTCAGGGGCCGGCGTACTCTACTGCACGATTTGATCGTAATACACAAATGAGTTTCATGGACTTTACGATCAATAATATTCACGATTGGAATTGGGGTGACCTGGGGAGTTTACTGGGAAGCGAGAACGTTCCAAATACCCAACCCCCAACAGGTTCCCTGCCACCTTCGTAGCCTTGACAGGGGTGTTAATTCTGGAATACGGCGCTTACGGTTGACGAATGTTCATACCCTAAAGCTGCTGTGGATTCGAGGTTCAATCTCGTTCCGCATTAGCGCATCGAACAAAATAATACCAGGACTCAGTTCCATACACTTGATCTCACTCGCCATCTTCTTGAATCTGCCTGATCACCACAGGGTTTGTAGAAGAACGGAATCTATTCTGGCACCTAGTCTGGCATGTTCCGCATCATACGTGGATTGACGCATTCGTCCGCTGACATAGCCCGAATGACAGTAGTCTAGCATATCGGATACCACGTTCCCGTCATCCGGGCCGTCACAGTCGGCTGTTCCGTAGATTCGGATTCATCGTGCAGCTTTGAGATAAACGTTTGGTATGCCAAACTCATATTTCTGCGTTCCAGAAATCACAGAACGGCCAGGGCGCACTCTCGCTCGCTATGCCAGCGCCTCAATCCAGTCTCTTACCAGCTAAGCAAGACTAATGAAGATTCCATCTCGCAAGCATTGTGTGGCCGGCTTACAGTCGATCATATCAACGAGAATACAGCCGATCCAACCCAAGGCTAGGGCGGAGGTGGATAGAGTGAATACGGAATCAAGCATTACTCTCAAATATATACGCGTATAGGTATCCAAAACAAGTCTTTTTCTCACCTAAAGGCACGGACGATCTGGCGGATCTACCGGTGCGACAGCGATCAAGCGGAGAAATCCATACAACAAGCGTCCACATATGAGGCTCGTCCAGGGTCCCCTAAAGCTTGACATCTGCCACAGCCAATTGGAACGCAGTGGTACGAGTGGTAGGGCTGAATTCGTGGTCGGGCCGACCAATCATCTCGCTCTCGGTCTGATGTCGCTCTCGCATTCGCACTTGACCTTCATGCTACTTGCAACACCACGAAACACATGCGGCGGAGTAAGTAAAGTCGAAGGCTTAGTTGTGTTGCGTCAACACCTTCGACATGCTACACAGATGTTAAATACTTGTGACTAGTAACCACTATGTGAAGCTCATCAGCAACCATCCAGTTACTACATTCCCTCGACATCCAGAGTGCGCGAAATCGATTCGTTATCCAACCAATACTACGACACTTGCAGCTCTACCATCTCGAATTCGAATCTTTCAGCCCATCTTCGCAACCATGGCCATCCTCGACATTCTGAACAAGCCCGTATTTGCCAGTCGATTCAAGCTGCCTCTGCACATCGTCACTGGTATTCTCGTTGTTATCGTCGTCGGCCTTTCGGTACCACGACTATTCATGAAGAACCAACCGCGGACTCGAGCAGGCACCATAGCACTCGGCATGGTACACACCGTCTCCAACTCCCCAGCCTACTACACACTGCTAACGCTCTCCAGGGAGCCAAGTCACTCATCCTGCTCTCGTACATGCTCGCCACAGAACACGTCCGCAGTCTCAGGCGATGGCACAGCTACAAAGCCAATGCCATCATCAGCTGCCTCGAAATCGTCTTCTGGGGCGCCGTCGCTTTCCTCGTATTCCAAGCCAACCTGTCGAAGTGCGAGGGAGTTATGTGCTATCTTAGCTGGGTCGTAGTCGGCATCGCCGTGGTCATCAAGTGAGTCCGTACGAAGTCCAACACACCCCTCAGGATGCTGACGATGCTACTTAAAAGCCAACTCGAAATCTACGGCGCTTGTATCGCTATCCGCGAGTTCCGCGAGTCCCGCAAAGCGCCCAGCGGTGTTCTACTTTCGTCGGCAGTGAGTCGCGGGACAGATGAGGAGGAAATGGTAGCCACTCCTTCTTCTTGGCCTCAGAGCCCGCAGCCGGCGAGATATCATGCGCAGGTCGTGCGCGGCAAGCAGTAGGACGCTGCGTGGAGATGAAGATGGAGAGAGGGTCTTGAGGACAGAGTGACTTGGACCATAGATACCCTGGGAGGGCGAGCTCTAGATGAGAGCAGCGGGAAGTTAGCGGGGAGAACGTGGAGAACGTGTAGGTGACTTCACGCGGATATTTGACAACAACATTGTATATTTTGCGACCTCGGATCTGTTACGAGTATAGATAGATAGAATTAAGACAACCGGTTTACATATTTTCAGGGTCAGGGATTCATGGGCGTTACATGTACGTCGGCCCTATGCATGTTTACGTATTCTGTAAGTGGCTATTGCTTCTAGATGCATCCTAATTTGGTAATAATCAAAGGTAGTTGATAGGAACTTATTGGGTAGCTAATCGCCATAGTATACAGTTAGGTCGCTGATTCAGAATCTAGTACCTTGCTGCATCCTTTTAGTCAACAAGACAAACATCTTGCACAGCCTCCAACTCTGCATTTTGGCGACGGGCTCCACACTCCATACTCTACGCCGTTAGTCATGTGTCCCTCGAGACATGATTGACATTACCAACCAAACAACATTCCTGAAGCACGTTTGTTGTATCTACTTACCCACACCGACCGAGAGCGTTCGGAACATAGTTAAATCAGCCGTGGCACCTCCTCGGGAGCACACTAGACCCTTGCAATCAATTTTCCTATTACACGACCACGCGAGGAAGAACTTGCTAATGCTGGACTTACCCGACCGCCGACGACGGCGCTGTCGCTGGCTCGAGTCAAACAATATCTGTTCATGGTTAGGCGGGCCTGCATTCTGACAGGTGTCAAGCAGTTATGCTGGGATTGAGAATCCATCGAACGTCGGCCCGGCCTCACGCTGGCGACGATAACTGATAAAGCACTCGGCTATCGTCCAAGATTATCTCAGCCATGCAACGGGAGCGCGCCAGGCGCGGACCGGGACTGAGAAGGGTTGAAACTTTTACCGTCAAGTCTCTCGGTGGAGACCGCAATCCTTTCACGGTGTACTTCTGTCGATCGGAATCCGCTCCTGCGGTTCTGTGTCTCCTTCCGTCTGCTCCAACTGCTCCAATCCTACTCCAATTTGGCCGACCTTCTCCGTGCAGCGTGTTAGCAGTGTGGCGTTGACTCGCCGCGCGCATGGTCCACAGCCTTACAGGGTCCAGAAGTATTGGAGTGGGACTCCAGTTGATGGGAATTATTGGTGACGTGCTTTGCGTCGATGCAGCTGTCGTCAAGCGAATGATGCTTGATCCAGGCACGAACACAGGCATGCATTTCAAGACGGGATGATCGCGAGTGAGTCGCGTCTGTCTTGTACTTGTTGATGAAACGTGCAGAAACTCTCTTCGAGGAGATCTGATCTGTTGGTTTCCTTAATGCAAGGATCTGTGGTATTTCCACGACGGGCCGATTCATATGCACGCAATCAATGACCCCTCTGCAACAAGTATGGTCGGAGTTAAACGCCAACCTCGTATAAACCCCGCCTAGACTGACATCACCGAGCTACACAGTATGAGACAGTGGATATACGTCGCTCCAGTCCTCGTGATTTTGTAGCTTCAACTCCAATAATGACTAACGTAATCGAGACACAGTTGTTAATCAACAACAAACTTGTTCCCGCGAGCGACAACGGCACATTCGAGCTCTTCTCTCCACATACCGGGGAACTGGTCGCTAAAGGTACCTTTCACCGCAAATCCGTCTCTCGTTTTGCAAGTATCTGACAGAAGCAATGCAGTTGCGGAAGCGACCGTAGACGATGTGAACACTGCTGTTGACGCTGCTCAAGCCGCGTTTCCAGCATGGAGTGCCCTTTCCCCATTAGAGCGTGGGGCACCGCTCAAGAAGCTGGCTGAGCTGCACATCACGGAAAAAGATGAACTTGCTCGCCTTGATGCAATTTCCATGGGAAAACCCATTAGTACGCATGGAATCGATGTCAACTATGCGGTTACGCAGTACAACTACTTCGCCGAAGCCGCGTATCCCCAAGGCCATACTAGCTTGAACACGCCAGGCTTCTTGAACATGAGCTTGCGGCAGCCTTTTGGTGTTGTAGCTATCATTATCCCTTGGAATGCCCCGTTGATATTTTTTGCGAAGAAAGTTGCCCCAGCACTGGCTGCTGGGAATTGCGTGGTCTTGAAGAGCAGCGAGAAGGCACCATTAACTGTACGCTCACTTCTACAATGCTGTGATTACTCACTAACATCACTCTAGTCCTGGAAGGTATCCCAGTGGATCGAAAAATGCGGGTTTCCGCCCGGTGTAATCAACGTGCTTTCTGGTCACGGCCCAGTGTCAGGGCAAGCCTTGGCTGAACACATGAGAATCCGCGCTCTCTCCTTCACAGGCTCAACGCGGACAGGTCGCACCATTGCTATCGCTGCTGCAAAGTCCAACCTGAAAAAGGTCGTCTTCGAACTTGGCGGCAAGTCACCTTCGCTGATATTTGATGACGCGGACGTCGTTCAGGCAGCAAAAGATGTAGAACTCAGCATCAACTCCAATTCCGGCCAAGCATGTTTTGCTACCAGCAGGGTCTACGTGCAGGAAAGCATCAAAGAGAAGTTTATCGAAGCGTTCACACAAGTAGCCAAAGTACGGAAGCTAGGTGACCCAACAGTGGCGGGCATCAACCACGGTCCGCAAGCAGACAAAGTACAGTCTGAGACTGTACAGAACTACATCGCCGTCGGGAAAAAGGATGCTGGCACAGTGATTGATACTGGCGCGGACGCTACGAACAACGATACTTCTGCTCACCACGTCCATCCTGTGGTTTTCATCGACGTGCCCGAAAACTCGCGTATCGCGAAAGAAGAGGTGAAATCACTCTCTATTTTGTCAGTCCAAACTGATGACTGACTGTACACTAGATATTCGGACCGGTACTGATCGTGAACACCTTCAAGACCGAATCTGAAGGTATCGAGAAAGCCAATGACACAGAGTACGGGCTTTACGCATCAGTGTATACCAAGGACCTCGAAAGGGCGATGCGAGTAGCGAAGAAGCTGGAGAGTGGTATGCTTGGTGTCAATTGCACGAGTCCGACTAACGCTTGGGATTTACCGTTTGGAGGATGGAAGGGCAGTGGTACAGGACGGGAGAGTCTACTCGAGAGTATGGAGCACTTTCTTGAAGTCAAGAGCGTGTATGTCAGAGTCAACGGCATTGGTGGCTGATGGGAACAACCGTAACTCAATGTCAGCAAGGCGAGCAGGACTTGCGAGGTGTAGACTATATGACTCTACGGCCAACGTCTCATTGTCCTCGAGATACTCGAACCACCATATCTTTATGAGAAGAAATCACTTCACTGTCATATGTCCACACGCAATATAGAAAACTTCACTGCCCGAACCACACATTCACTCCGCATAAGAGGACTACCTAAGTCTATCTGAGCTCACCCACTCCATCAACCAGCCACAAACATACATTTCTACCCTCAAATCAGAACCAAGCTTACCACCCAAAATGGCACCTCCTTTCAGTATCATCAGCACTTCTTCCGTCACAAAGCACGACCATTCCGGTAGCGACACCGATCAAACCATTCGCTCCTCGTCCGTTCCCGAGCAAGACCAGACCACAACTCCAGACGTCGATGCACCAGCTGACGAGTGGGATGAAGCCGAGTATGATCGGCAGATGCGAGTGCATCTCAGGCAGGTGTACGAGGGCAAGTCAGTCCGCCTTCTCAAGGTGTTTTGCAGGGAGGGCAACTTGGCGCTTCGGGGTACAAAGGGTGAGGTGGTCGAGAGGCTTGTGAGGGATACTATCAGGAGGATGTATCATGGGGGAGCTTAGATGGGCAGTCAGCGCTGAAACGGACATTATAGACGTCAAAACTGATGGGATATCTTGATCTACATTGGTGAAACATCGTTACAGGCAAAATTGTTGGCACATCAGGGTTGCCTGAACATTGCGGAATGGGGATGAGATAACGTCAACATTCATCTTGAAATCTAGAGTGGTATCGAAACAACAAATTGCAATTGTTGGTCTAAGCTTTTCTGCAAGTGCGCATGCTTCTTAATTACTCGGACTGCAGCAGGATCTCGAACTCAAACGGCTCTGTCAACAGTGCATACTCGTCCAGTGTCCTCGGCCCACAGCTTCCACTGCCCAAGCCGTGATGCTCCGCGTCTAATCTCAGTACGACCTCATCTCTCTTCTTCTTGCGCAACTCATAAGGATGCTTCGCCTCAGCAACATCCTTCATGCGGTAATGCGCAGCCTGGAAGTCGAAGGTCTTCTTGTTCTTGCCGTCACTCTTCACATCCACGAACTGCGCCAGCAACGATGTCTTGCCGTCACTGATCTTAACCCATCGCGTATCAGTGCGGTTGGCGCTCTCCTGTGGCACTTCGTAGTCGACCCACAGCTCGTCAACGCTGGAGACGCTGTACTTGCCCACGGGTTGTGAGAGCTTGCTATCGCGGTATGACTCGCCTGTGCCACGACCGAACCACTCCACGGTCTGGAACTGCGATGGTAGCTCCGTTACGAGGCCAATACGGGGTAGTGTGCGTGGTAGGTTGTCGCCCTGCGGAGTGCCGTTGACCTTGATTGACAACGATCCGTCGGCTTTGAATGTATAAACAAGGGTGCTGTCAATCGACCACGAAAGGATCGGTGGTGCGATACGCTGGTGGACTGTGACCTTGAAATCCCCGTCTTTGGCCTGCGTCCACTCGACCTTGCGAGTGAATAGCTTAGCGAGATGGAGCTTCTTATCATCCCAGTCCCAGCCATCCTGAGGAGCGTCGTTATCGGTCGGAGCACGGAAGATGTCAAGCTCGGGCGCTTTGGAGATGAGCTCAGCCGAGTCCTGGCGCCACGATGTAAGAGCGCCATGTAGAGTGTTGAAAGTCCAAGACGACTTTCCACCTGTGACCTTGAGGGTATTCCTTGTAGCGGTATCTACCTCGAGCTTTCCGCCCGAAGTTGAGAGTACTTTCAAGGTAGCAGACGGGACAACTACGACCTGCGCAGTCGCAATTTCGAAGCCCTTCTCCAGCCATGGCGTTGCTTCCTTCAGCTGGAAGGACAGGCTCAGCAGAATCTCGCCTTCAGAGCCATCCACCTTTGGAAGATCGACCTCGAAGGTTTGGCCTGCAGCAACTCCAGATGGGATCTCAATAGATCCCGTCTTGCTTGATCCAGATTCAATGGCAGTAGAATACTGCAATGTCAAGTGGTCCAGCGTAACGAAATCGTATCGGTTGATGAACTTCGCTTTCTTTCCATCGGACTCGAGGATTTGAACTGGCTCAATAGCCTTCTTGTATTCCAACAAGCCAGCATTAGGGGTGTGATCAGAGTTGACCAGACCGTCCATTACAAATGTGCCATCGTGTACTTCCTCATCGAAGTCGCCACCGTAGGCGTAGTACTCCTCCGAAGTCTGCTTGTCCTTCGTGAGAAGGCCGTGGTTTGCCCACTCCCAAGCAAAACCACCCTGAAGAGTGGGGTACTTGTAGAAAGCGTCAATGTACTCCTTTATGTTACCGGGGCCGTTACCCATTGCGTGAATGAATTCGCAGAGCACGAGGGGCTTAGTCTTAGTTTTGTCCTCGGCGAATTTAATGATCTCATCAATCGGTGGGTACATCCTGGAGTATATGTCCATAGTCTCTGCATAGATGTCGGCTTCATAGTGAATGGGCCTGCTGTCGTCGTACGCCTTGATGTGATCGTACATGGCCTTGAAGTTCTGTCCATAGAAGGCCTCGTTACCTAGACTCCAGATGATGATAGAGGGATGTAGTTGATCTCTCTTCACCAAGTGCTCAGCGCGGTCAACGTACGCTTCAGTCCAGTCCGGGTTGTTTGTAGTCCACTCAGCAGCCTTTTCTCTAGTCAAGAGTTGACGCTCGCGGAAGGGCAGGGCACGCTCCTTGGCGTCAAGTGCAGCATCAGCAATCATTTCGAAGCCGTGGCATTCCAGATCCGCTTCATCTATGACCCAGAAACCCATTTCGTCTGCCAGATCGTACAATCGTGGATCATTCAGCTGATGCGAAGTACGGATGGCGTTGACGTTGTGCTGCTTCATGGTCAAGAGATCGTGCTTGAGGAATTCGAGCGGGATGGTCCTGCCGAATTGAGGATGATGTTCGTGTCGATTGACACCTCGGAATACAACGCGCTCGCCGTTGACCTTGAGGAGGCCATCCTTCATCTCCACTTGCCTAAATCCGACCCGATGAGCAACGAATTGAGCCGAATCAAGCGAGACTGTGAGATGGTAAAGGTTAGGTGATTCCGCCGTCCATTTGAGAGGGTCCTCGACGGAGATGCTGAACTCGGTCGGAGATCCTGCGTTCGCATCCGCCTCCTTCGATGCAATAGTTTGCTTGTTGGCGTCCAGCAGTTTGATTGAAATTTTACCCGATCCAGTAGTGCTGACTTTGACCTTGAGCTCGGCGTTCTTGTAAGAAGAGTCTAGGAGAGTCTGAGCAAAGACGTTCTCAATGCGAGATTCTTTGACAAATCCAACCAAGAACACATCTCGGAAGCTGAAATACGGTCAGTTGACGAAACAGCTACACACAAAGATACTTACATTCCAGATAGCCACCATTGATCTTGATCCTCGATGTATGTTCCGTCACAGTGCTGGTATACTCGGACTGCGAGAGTGTTCTCGCCTTCCTTGTCAACGATAGAGGTGACGTCAAATTCGTCAGGGTTCCTGCTTCCCTGAGAGTAGCCGACCTCCTTGCCGTTCACCCACACGTGAAAGGCAGCATCAACTCCCTCAAATCTGAGGCGGATTTGGCCTTCTCGCAAGTGTTCTGGAACGCTGAACTTCCTTACGTAGGAGCCCGTTTCGTTCTCTGTGAAAGGCACATTGGGAGGATCGACTGGTATGTGGTACTGAACATTTGTGTACTGAGGGCCCTTTCCGAATCCTTGCAGCTGCCACATGCCAGGCACTGCAATGTCACTCCATTTGGAAGTGTCGAATGAAGGCGCCTCAAACCCCTCAGGAGCTTCGAAGGGTGAATAGGCATGATTGAACTTCCATGTTCCGGATAGACTATGCGTCTTGGACTTGCTCACATCGTATGACAGAGCATCAGACTCTGAAACATAGTTGTGGAAGTAGGCACGCACTGGCAGAGTGCCCTTGTGCAGAACATTGAGGTTGTTCCAGTCCGGGACCTTTGCAGGATGGGAATCTGAAGCCATGATGGAGGTGATGAAGACGAGTGCAGCAGCAAGCACATTTGCTCAACTGATAACATGTTGTGCTGCTCCACAACCGGAGTACAATGGCCCGCAGGATTGTCACATGTACCGATTGGGAAAGCCGCCCGTGCATGTTAGTGCCAAGGCTGTGGTTTGGCACTCATGTGATGCAGACGAAGTCCTCGACAATTAGCCGACGGGTTGGAACGGAACATTGCGTAAATGTTCTTGCATCGGGCGGGGTCCAGGCGAGATCGTCGGAATCGTTACTTAGCATGGCTCAATATCGGCACAACTTCCTTAGTCTTTACAGCTTACCCTTAGCGTTCTTGGTTTTCCTGCACATTTTCCGCAGCCTAACTCTTTTAGTTGTAAAGGAAAGTGGTCATCAGGAGACAATCCTACAGTCCGACAATGCAATACAATTGTAATTTTAAAAACGCATCCTGCCCAGGTTGGTGCCGGCTTACACAAGGTACCAGCATCGCTCAAACCCTCTACCATGCGTCGCATGGTGGGTCGGATCATGCAGCGAGGTGCTACAGGTGCATTATGCACAAGAGATCAGAGTACCCACTTTTTCTCCGGATCACTCCACAAATCCGACTCCACGATCCCAAATCTCACCTAGCAATTTCTCCACGTTTGTCCAGAGCCCTTGTCGTGACTCGCCTTGGAGCCAAGAGTGCGCACTTGCGAATCAGGGTCGACTCTATATCCTTCCGACTACGACTCTTCTGGAGTCGCAGCCGCTGTCCATGCTCTTCGCAGGATTTCACCCGCCATTTGCGGCGCCACCTTCTTCCCCTAACGTGTTTCTCAAGCTTACCTGACCTCGGGATGAGGGCACAAGCTCACTTGGCGCGTCGGGTGGCGGTTACCGATGAGCTTTGATGAGGTTCAAACGGGCATCGGTACTTTCGCCAGTCCAGCATTCCCCGATTTGCGGAGAAGCCTGTCCTTTCTCCAAGTCTATAAAGAGACCCACTCCCCCGGTTGGACGGGTCATTGTCGATCACTCTACCAGTGTGCATACTCAACTTCAACGCCTAGTCTGTTGTGCTTCGGTTGCAAGATGGCGGACAACAAAGAAACCCTCGGGGCTGTCACTCACCAGCTGAGTAGAGCAGACGATGACATTCGCAAAGGTGGCGATGTGCAGGAGAAGACTGTTGCTTCAGTAGCTCTCGGTATGTTGCAACCCACCTCACCCAGAGTTGGCTACAAACACATATTGGATCGCGATGTAGGGGCTACCACGGAGTTCAGCTTGGTCCATTATCTGTTTGTTGTCAATCTTGGAGCTCTTCGTCTAAGAAAATCGGACTGGGCACTAACTTTCCTGAAGCTGCTGCCCTTGAGGCCTCGAAGCCGAAGTTATGGTCAAAGAGCATGATGAAACTATACGTGATCATGGGAATCGGCTACCTGGTCTCGACTATGAACGGATTCGATTCATCTCTTATGGGAGCCATCAACGCCATGAAGCCATACCAGAACACCTTTAACCTAACTGGCGAAGGCTCCAGCACTGGTATTATCTTCATCATCTACAACCTCGGACAGATTGCAGCCTTTCCCTTCTGCGGCTTCCTTGCCGACGGATACGGTCGACGCATCTGTATCTTCGTCGGATGTGCGCTCGTCTTGGTTGGAACTGCTGTCCAGGCCACTGCAAATGAGATGGGACACTTCATCGGCGGTCGTTTCATTCTTGGTTTTGGCGTCTCGATTGCTTCGGCTGCCGGTCCCGCGTACACTGTCGAGCTGGCCCACCCCGCCTACCGAGGCACAATGGCTGGCATGTACAACAACTTCTGGTGGTTTGGTAACATTCTCGCTGGATGGACGACATATGGAACTAACAAGAACTTCAACAACTCCTGGGCCTGGAGAGTACCAACTGTCGTACAGTGTCTCATCCCAGCATTCGTCATGCTGTGCATAATGTTCATGCCAGAGACCCCCCGTTGGTTGTTGGCGAAGGACAGGCGTGAGGAGGCCATTGCTATCATGGCCAAATACCACGGTGATGGTGACGAGAACCACCCCCTTGTTCAGCTTCAGTTGCACGAGATTACCGAAGATTTCTCAGTAACCCGTAACGATAACCCCTGGTGGGACTTCCGTGAGCTGTACAACACAAAGGCGGCTCGTTACCGCATGATGATGGTAATTGCGATGGCGTTCTTTGGGCAATGGGTAAGTTTCGTCATACTAGCCTCAAATCTTACCTGCTAACACATCAACTAGTCTGGAAATAACGTGGTCTCTTACTTCATGCCATTAATGGTCAAGAACGCCGGTATAAACGACCCGAACGACCAACTGCTTATCAATGCCATCAACCCCATCTTCAGCATGCTCGGAGCCATCTACGGAGCCACCCTCCTTGACAGGCTTGGTCGTCGCAAGATGCTGCTTGGTGGCTTGGCTGGTGGTCTTTTCTTCTACGTCTTGTTGACTGCCTTTACTGCGACCGCCACGAAGACTAATGGCCTGGCCTATGGCACCATCGTCTCAATCTACTGCTTTGGTATCATCTTCGCTTGGGGTTGGACACCACTCCAGACCTTGTACGCCGTGGAGTGCCTTGAGAACAGGACCAGAGCCAAGGGTTCTGGTGCCAACTTCCTCTTCCTCAACATCGCTATGGTTGTCAATACATATGGTATCTCCGTCGGTATGGAGAAGATCGGATGGAAGTTGTACCTGGTTTACATTGGTTGGATCTGTATTGAGATGGTCTTCATCTACTTCTTCTTCGTCGAGACCGCTGGAAAGACTCTGGAAGAGCTTAAGGAGATCTTCGAGGCACCCAACCCACGCACAGCCTCTCTCAAGCGCGCTAAGATTGAGGTCTCTGGTGGCCAGGTTCACAACGTCACTGACGCATGAATGGAGAAGACAAGATGATGTCACGCATTACGCGCTACGGTAGGAGCTTTAGGCTTAGAGAACTCTGATCACATAGTTAGGGTCCAGTATTAATACTACACTTTAATTTGACACGCATGGTTTTTATATCTTTCACTTGTGGGCAGTAGACCTCGACGTGGGTATGCAGGCAGCGCGAGGTCAGGACCAGCACGTGGAAAGGATGGCGCAGGGCATGAAAGGCGAAGAAGTCAGTAGCCTAGCGGCGGGCGTCGGGCGGCGTGGTTAGGTCCTCGCCTCGAGCTTGGCGGGGCGCGTGAAGTGAAAGTATTGACTTGCCAGTCCGTTGACCCAGCAGCATCAAGTGAGATAACATCCTGTCCGACCCGAAAAATAGGCAGGCCATCCTGCTTTGACAGTGAAAAGCGGTCTTCGACATATCGTTGCACAAACCTAGCGCGAATCCAAGTCAAACACCTCCGATCTTACACTGTTGGAGCCCATCGTTTTGGCAGCTCAGAACGATTTCCTACTTATTATCTATCTGCTGCACAATGGTGTTATGGTAGTGTCTTCAACCCATGTTAAGGACGAACACTGCTGTAGCTTCATGAGCACAAAGGATGATCTGTTGGGGGAATACGACTGTCGACTTCATTACGAATATATAAAAAGGGGCTAAGATCTTACATCAAAGGCATCAATACTATAGATCTCTCGCAGATATCATCAGTAAGCATGCCGCTGGTTCGTGCCCAAGCGAGCTCACTGTCAATTCCCACCCCTACGGTTGGGCTTGGGCGACTATGTCGCCTGTCAATGTGCAACCTATACTTTCCTCATGGAATACCTCGATGCTACTTTTGTCCCATCCGTATCGTTTTTTGGGTCCCTGGAGATCATCGCCGCCACCGTCAAGTTTATCGTCAGTTGCTTCGTTAAACACATTCTCTATGGTTTCTACGCGCTTACCAATGTCACAAATGCCACTGGAATTATCTATAGGTTCACTGGTACCTTGCAGCTCACAACGCAAGAAATTGGAGATATTACCTTGTCATATGGCAGAAAGAAGCCCACCGGTTATGCCACGCCTACTTCTTCCACCTATATCACCTGCTTTCCTTTTGAGCAGACCGCCTTTACTACTGGAGGTACGCCAAACTGGCAGCCTTTGTTCGTTCGGACAGCGACGTTGAGCATAGTCCAGTGTGGGAGGTGGAGCCCGACGTCCCCGTATCCATAGAAACCCCCAGCTGCACCTAGATCCCTTTAGACTAGCACAGCACTTCCGCATATTGTGGGTGAAGTAACCAAGCACTCGTCCGTCGGTCTGCTCACCAAAACCAACAAAGTCGAAGGAGTTGACGCGATGCATATGGATCAGAAAAAGATAAATATTGAACTCTATCAGTTCCTGGCTGCTGGACGTGCTGCTGCTATAAATGACCTTTCTGCTCCTTTGCTGGTGAATAGAAGCTGTGGAAGAAGATGCGATCTCAGATAGAGTTCTTTGCAAGTGGTTGCAGTCAACTCAGTGTTTAGAGAGAGCTCAATTTTTGAGCCTGAAACCGGGCAATGTATGGGTGTGCACACGGGACTGATGTATAATTGTTTGGCGAATTTGTATGACACCCAGGCACTTTTGTATGATCAGACCCATTCTCAGTACAGCCAACAAGCCGTGTAAGTACAATCGAATAACCGCATTGAAGCGCAAGCAAGAAGATATATACGAGATTGTAGACCTTTTGTGGCCGATGCTGCGTTGTGCCGTGGCTGGTCAGACATGCCTGGATGTAATCGACCACACTATAACTAGTATAATCAAGTCGAGACATCTATATAGTAAATGACAAATTTCCCTGGTTTGACATGATGCAGGGTGATAACTTGGGCAGAGCCCGGTCACAGAGTTGCCCACCTTTGTGAGAGTGGTATGCTTTTGATCTACGTGACGCTGACCAGTTCTGGGGGTGTCCGCATGTATGGGACCCATGAGTGTATTGTTGGCCACCGGTAATGCTGCTCTGGCCAAGTCAAACAGACCCAGTGTTTAGGTACTTACCATTGGGCACATCCCTGAGGTGCAGGCTGGTTGCATAGGATTTGCAAGCGTTCAGTGGAGCAGTGTGGTCGGATTATCTCACTTTGGTCTTTAGGCGCGCTTATCATCCGTCACGGAATCGACCCACCGGATGTAAGGCTGCTTCCGTCGGATCGACAGACTGCTTGTACCTTATCTTCGTGTCCCAACGGAGCGGTACACGGGGTGGTTTTTAGCACTGCATGCTCTTTTGCCTTCGTAAGGCGGACACTAGCAGCGGAGTCCAGACATGGGTATACATAGAGCTACGTGTAGGTATTTCTTGTGTGTTCAGATTCGATTGGGTTAACTTGCATTGCTCAGAAGGTGGAGTAAGACGTTTAGACATGCAATTAGATGTTGGACTTAAATTGAGCTTATCGAGACATGGATTCGGTACGTAATTCGGAGTGATAAGGTAAGACGCACTGATAGTTCACCAAACTTCGACAGATATGAGCGCGTGAAACGCGTCAGTGCTGCGTGATTCAATTACGCTTGACAGGCACATGTTATCGGACCATTTTGCGCCCATGCTGGTAGTGTCGCGCATCAAATTTGCACGCGGTTTCTTTCACGTAAAGCGTACGGGTGGCGATGTACCCCGCAAAGTTTGTAAGAGCTAATGCGACGGTCTGGGAATGGTAGGCTGGCGCAATGTGTACTTTTACATAAGTAGCGGTTGAGGTGCGCGATATTCCAGCTATCCGACGTTTCCTGATGGATTCTCTCACGTAACAGCTCCATAATAAGGCGGGAGGGTATGCACCCCAGACGACCCGGGCACTGGAAGATCTGGAGAAAAGTCTGGGGAGAGCCGGCTGTCGTGATACGGCTTGTGTCGGCTAACCGAACCTGTGCCTGAGGCTAAACGCCACAACCCGGACAGCATCAAGACTTGAGAACGAACCTCAGCGCTCGGTGCGCCTCTGGAAGTTTGAACATGCAAGCCATCGGCGCTGTCTGTTGCGTTGCTGTCGCATCACACCAGTGGCTGGAAATAGTGTATCATTGAAAATTTTCACGCATTAGCAACGTGCACGGGGAACTCGAACGCGCCCCTGAACTGTCTCTCACTGCACGCGAGGATTGTGCAGCTCGGGAGCTCACGTCCTGTCACACCGGTGGCTGGACTGGTCAAATGTGGTAGCACCGCATTTATTTGGAGCCTCAGGGTCAGCTACACGTGTAAGACACCAGCGCAAGGCACATCGGAGGAAGTGGTCTGAGCGAAAGGAATGTGCTGCCGGACCCTGCATTGCTCACAGAACCCGTTGCGGGGCGGCGCGTTGCGGACGTTGAATACGTACAGTGTACGGTAAGTGCAAGAGAGGAGGATATTGCGCTCACGACAAGCGTTGTGGTGTTGACAGTGTATGGTAGTTGCACGCGATAGGGCCCAGTAATCGTGGGTCTGTCAAAGTTCCGGGTCGAAGATCTTGAGCTTAGACATCCCAACTGTCAGTTATCAGTGGAGCCGTCCCAACACGAGGAAAAGTGGACTGCCGAGACTCTCTTGACGTCTTGCGATAAGAGTGTTCCATTCAAAGGGTGTGCGATTTCAATTGCAGAATGTACACGATGTCCAATTCGTTGCGGAAGTCAATTCGAGAGGACTAGCCTGATCGTGAGTGGAATCTGGCGAATGAGAACGGCGCGAGTAGGTCCTTCTTCTCGATCTCGATTGGGCATGATTGGCCGGTGAGGGTGTGGCGCGAGGCTCTCTCAATGATGACATGACGCATGCAGACATGTCTCAACGATGGTGAGCATCGTAGATCTGAGATGGTCATCAGCGACTGAAGAGCGAGGTGGTCAGCCTCTTATGCCAGCGTTGCGCCTCACAGGTAAACTAAGCCCCCACGCGCTGATAAGGGCTCTCTGAACATGGTGTTTGGCGGTGCAGTTGAAGGCAACTGAAATTGGCGGCGGGCCTCACGCAATGATAGCAACGCCGAGTACCCGCGTCGAGGGACGATGGGGTCCAGCGTACAAAGTAACGCAAGGATGTCGTGATACAGGCGCCCAAACAATACACCACCGCACCGCACGGACTATTGCGTTGGCTTGGCTACTCTCTGGGGCAACATGTCAAGCTCAATGGCCGTGGGCGTCTGCTCGTATAGCCAGGTGGAAGACATGAGACGCCTGAACAGCCACCTTCTCCATTGTGACGAAGGCAAATGAGCGGAATGGAGGTGATACGGCGGCCAAGCGAGCGATGCCCTAGATGGGTGTGAAAGCTAGCCAAAGACGGCAGGTGCACATCACAGGCGAGAGACGGGGAAGGCACACGTGAGCACGGCCAGGCTAACCGCGACGCAATTCGCTTTCCTTCACTTCCAATTGCTTGGCTCGTTCACAGCCACTGAAAACGCCCTTCTCGAAGTTCGCTGCAGTGTAGTGCGCGCCGCGGCAGGGTGCCATCTTATCTGCAGGTTCGCGCCTAAGCTGGTGGACAATCCCGGACGGGCAGCTGACAAGGAAAAAGGCGTCCTGTCTGATGTGTGAGAGCACCCGTAACCGATGAGAAGCGGGTTTGCCAAGAGCTGCCCAGCGGATACTCTGGTTCTAGAAAGATTGCTGGAACGCGGTGCAGTCGGAGGAGGGGCGTTGTTATCAGTCCACGTTTGGCCTCATCTCCGCTCCAGGCACCTGGTCTGACCAACGGGCCTCCCCATAGTCCAGTGTAATTGTCGCTGGCCTGTCCAGCGGGCCCCGCCACCAATGCCAATGCGCAGAACGTCCCCGCGATGGCAAGTGCCAAGCATTGCCGCGCCCAGACCCCTGCTAGCGTCCTCTCGTCCAACGCTTCTTTGACAGGCAGCGCGACCGTGGTCGTGTGCGCCAGCCATTCACGGCTCTGCGCGAGCGTATCAGTCCGCTCCTCTCAAGCCCCGGCCTCCCACCGTAAAGGATGTGCCGGCTGCTAGCCAAGCCGTCTCTTACTCTGTGTGCCCCGTGCACACGCATCCAGAGGGGATCGCTACTGTCGGTCGCGCCGCGAGCCCCAGTCGACTGTTTGCGGAACAGGCTAAAGCACTTGCTGCGCTCCCCTCTGCTGATCCCGTTGCACATTAAAGAGCGCGCCTGCCCGGCCTCTACCTTGTCTTTGCTCTTTATCCTGCCCTTCCTTCTTTCGCAGATCGCCCAAGATGGACCACGAAAAGGTCGCTCCCATCGACGAGAAGGCGCCTCAGGGCGTTAGCCAGCCCACTGTCTCTTCCCAGGATGAGTACAACGGTGAATGGCGTGAACAGGAGGACTTCATGACCCGCAATGGTCTCAACCTCAAGTCCTTCCAGCGCCGTCCCAAGGGCGGCCCAATGGTCGTGCTCGACAAGTCCATGAAGACACGTCACTTGCACATGATCGCTATTGGTGGTTCCATCGGTGCTGGTTTCTTCGTCGGTTCCGGTGCCGCTCTTGCTACTGGTGTAAGTTGCTGCCGTATACACTATAAGAAGCACGTGCTGACTCTGATATTCAGGGCCCTGCCTCTCTATTCTTGGATTTCTCCATCATGGGTGTGATGATCTTCAACGTCGGTAAGTTCCTGTGTGACAATCGAAACTGATTGGGCATGGAGCTGACCAGTATTCAGTCTACGCTCTTGGTGAACTCGCTGTCATGTACCCGGTTTCTGGTGGTTTCTACACCTACTCTACTCGCTTCATCGATCCGTCTTGGGGTTTCGCCATGGGATGGAACTACGTCTTCCAGTGGGCCATTGTCTTGCCTCTCGAAATCAACGTTGCCGCTCTCACAATCGGTTATTGGCCAAACGCCGCAAGCGTTCATATCGGAGTATGGATGTTCCTGTTCTGGGCATTCATCGTCGTTATCAACATCTTCGGAACTCTAGGGTACGCCGAGGAAGAGTTCTGGTCTTCTTGCCTCAAGCTGTCCGCCGTCGTTATCTTCATGATCATTGCTTTGATCTTCGTTCTCGGTGGAGGTCCCAGCAGGGGTATCTACGACGAGTACTGGGGCGCCCGTCTCTGGTATGATCCCGGTGCCTTCAGGAACGGTTTCAAGGGTTTCTGCTCTGTCTTCGTCACCGCTGCCTTCGCCTTCTCTGGTACTGAGCTTGTCGGTCTCGCAGCTGCTGAGACTGCCAACCCCCTGAAGTCTCTTCCTGGTGCCGTCCGTCAGGTGTTCTGGCGTATCACCCTCTTCTACGTTGTCGGCCTCACCTTTGTTGGTCTGCTCGTCCGCTCAGACAACGAGGATCTTCTCGGTGCATCAGGTGCGAATGCCTCGCCCTTCGTCATTGTCGGTCGCGACGGTGGTCTTCCTGGATTCGACAGCTTCATGAACGTCGTCATTCTCATCTCCGTCATCTCGATCGGTGTCTCCGGTGTGTACGGTGGTTCCCGTACCCTGACTGCGCTTGGCGAGCAGGGTTACGCTCCCAAGATCTTCACCTACGTTGATCGCTCTGGTCGCCCTCTCTGGTCCGTCGTCTTCATCCTTGTCTGGGGTGCTCTCGCTTACATGAACCTTGCCGCGACCGGTGAGACTGTCTTCACCTGGCTTCTCTCGTTGTCTGGTCTCGCTGCTCTGTTCACCTGGGGATCCATCTGTCTCTCTCACATCCGCTTCCGCAAGGCCTGGGCTTACCACGGTCACACCGTTGACGAGATCCCATTCAAGGCTGCTGGTGGCGTTATCGGATCTTGGATCGGTCTCGCTATCATCTTCATCGTTCTGATGGCTCAGGTATGTTCCACTGTGCTCCATAACTCTAGACTCACTAACTGACGATCAATAGTTCTACACTGCCGTCTCTCCTGTTGGAAAGAGCGTTGGTACCGCTGAGGATTTCTTCAAGTCCTACCTTGCTCTCTTCGTCGTCATGGCCTTCTGGATCTTCGGTTACTTCTGGAAGCGCACTGGATGGCTCAGGACCGCACAGATGGATGTCGACACTGGTCGCCGTGAGCTTGACTGGGACCTCATCAACCGCGAGCGCGAGGAGATGAAGACCTGGCCCGCGTGGAAGCGCCTCTGTGCCCGCATCTTCTAAGCACATCGCTATGCAACTTGTTGCATTGCAATGCTTGTGGATTGTGGATGTACGGGGATTGTCGCAACGTGTGACGCAGAGATGATACCTATTATTTAAGTGTGTAATACTTACCTTCGCTCATATGAACGAAAATTCTGATTCCGATCACTTTCTTCTTGTGTGACTTGTTTCCAATTGTGTCCCTTGCTGTGTCTTGGTGTATGATCTCTGGACAATATTGTCAGTTTCGTGAATTGTGAAACATTCATATCATGGCGTATTGACGCCACGTCGTCCCTGAACGTACTCATGTTCAAAAATATGGAAGCAATGGTTTTCTCGTCGCTCTTCACTAATACGGGCCATGGACCATTGTGGTCGGTTTGGAGAGCAAGACCTAAGCTTGAGCTAGTCGTGTGCACGCCGAAGGCAGTTATCCTGGGCAATAGGAAGTGGATGAGACAATGTTCGCGGGTTTCAGATGTTGTCTGCTGATGTGCTGATGATACAATGAATGCCTCTTTTCTCAATGTCTGCCAAGATGGACACCAACGTTCTCGGTATTGTCCATGCCGAGTTCGCAACGTGAGAGTGTTGGTAAGACCAGGCTTATCATTCGAAAATGTATAGTCGTCGACATATGAAATGAAATTACTTTAAAGTCGTCGTGTTCGGGCGCAGAGCTGATTACGATGGGGAGATAGAAAGTGCTAAAAAAGAATAGTGTAAAAAGCAAACAGCTGTCTCTAATCAAGTTCGGAGCGAGCATTAGCTCAAAAGAAGGGTGGAGCTGTTCGGAATGGCCGACCCACAAATGAACGGTCAAATCCAAGTCAATCTAAAGAGGGATGTCACCACTTTGGACAATTTGTGCTCAAATAGCGATAGCATTGTGGCATGTCGCTTGTCTAAACAGTATACATACAACTGCTTTACCTCAAAGCTTTGTGTTTGGCATATTGTGCCCAGTGTATCCACCAGAAAGCCACAGTTCGTTCCGGTCTGGCAGCTTATTACCCCAATCAACTGACAACATACAGAGCTGATAGTTCGCTCACAGGCAATGTCAGTATTATGCACGAGTGAGGATACAAGAGGGCCTTGTGTAATGAGGACAGATAAGATAGGTAAGCTACCTCATCAGCATCTGTAGAAGGTGAAGGTCATACGTTGAATTAGATAGAGACGTGACCCTTGTTGAGGCCAGACTCTAGTAACGATGGTTGTAGCACAAATTTGGTCTCATAAGAAGTCTTAGGACTTCTACTTCTTGGCACTATGATCTTCGGATAAGCGGTTGAGGGCCTTCGTTTGGCTTCTTGCTATAGGGAAATGGCACGTCTGACCTAACCCCCTACCAAAAGTTGGAAAAACTAGCCAAGGCGACTGAAGTGATACTCTAACGGATGCTGGATTAGATACTAACCCCGGAAGCTGCTGGCACTGCCTGAAGTGATGTCAATGCCACTGCCAACATACCTATTTGCATATTTCTGTCAACAGAATGAACTTAGCGAACGGATGTGATCAACAGCTGCATTAGCTCCGCACCCCGTTTAAGAGAACAAGCCTGTTGATGAGCTGGAAGCAGCTGCAAAGTAGTTGTTCCAGACATCAGGAGAAATATCGACTCCTACACTTGACGGCTCAGTCAGTGACCCGTCTTCATCTACAAATCTCTACCTATTTCAAGTGTACACTAAACGGTTAGATAACTAGACTCGACAATGAGGAGCGCAGGACATAGTATTTGTCGGAAAGAAAGAAGTATCAGGCCACGCCAGATTCTAGCACTAGGACAACAGTGAGACCACCAACGCGAAAATGAAGCCACCCTCGTATGTCAGATTGCAGCGACTCTTACTCATGTAAGTTTGGTAATATTGAAGAAGGTTCCACTCGCTTCCTGCCCTAAACTGACGCGTCGAACGCACAAACCACGTTACTGTTATACCAGAAGGAAGGCACTATGACCAATCTGCACAGTACTTACAACAGATATCTGCGTATTATCACAGCTGGTTGCTCACTTAGAACTGTGAATCATTCAAATATTCATATAGTCATGTGCAAGCATGCAGCACGGGAGCGGACATAAAGTTCATCTTCCCATGCTTGCATCTTCCGATCCATATGATCTTGCAGCTCTATTTAGAGACCCATAACCCTTTTAAACTTTAGTGTACAGCTTTGACTATTTTCGAATGGCAAGCTAAGTCCAGAGTGGCGCAAGATTGAGTGCGCGTTGGGTTGGGGTACTCTTGCCCGTCGTGCTGCCTTCCGAATATATCGCACCACTTCTCACCAGAGTTCAACGGTGAAGTTTGTTGATGCCTGAGACCACCCTTCATGAAAGCTTGTAGACCATGGGTAAGAGTATAGTAAGTGCTGAGAAAACAGGACGAAAATCAGACAGCAGTCTCGTATCAAGTTACGAGCAAACACTCACTCTGTGAAAGGCGTACCTTGCAAGAGCCTCGGGTGGGTTAGAGGTATTGTAAGTATCCAAATTCGATTCTATACGCCTTAGTAGATTCTTCTTACTTTCTCCGCCTTCATTATGGTGCTGTTTGCCTTCTCTCTCACTTTCCTTCGCAGAGCTGTGAGTCAAACCAGATAGTCTTGGGATGAAACAAGGCTTCAGGACTAAGATTACTCTTTGATCGTCTTACAAGCGTCATCCTAGATTACTAGATTGAAACAATGAAGGGTCAAAACATATCGCCAAAGACTAGGAGGGCATGCAATACAAGTCCTAGCTTTGAATTAGCGAAGCAGTTATCCCCGTAGGATCCCTTGATTGAGATCTGCCTCAGGAGGGCTAATCATAGCGTTAAACTGTGTTAAACAACGTCTAGAGTTGCCTATACAAGCTCTTCATTAGGTTACCTTCACTGTAACTAGAATCGTAAGTACCAACGTTAATTTTGAGTCACTATGGCATGAACAAAAGGCTTTGCCTGATGCCACTGCTCTACATCCTGTCACAATGGCGCAACACAAACTCCAGCCCGCAATTACGGTCTCAACTGTAGATTCTCATCCTACCAAAGAGCCTGCTTCGCGCTGAAGTCGCGACTGCCTTTGCTCCAACGCCGATGGAATTAGAAGTGGAGTGGCTCCAGCGTCACACTCACCAGCACAACGACACTTGAGCCCTCGGCCCCCGAAGACAAGCAAAAGCCCCACACATCCACCAGAGCCCCAACATACCTCCCCACTACGCCTGCTGCCCCCAAACCGCGCCACCATCACGCTGCCGCACACACCACCATCACGCTGCCGCACACACCACCTCCGGCCCTCCGAACACCCGCCGAACCACCGTCCCCTCTCCCTCAAACCCGCGCCTCAGCCCAAAACCCACTCCGCGCCGCACCGCCCGCGACGCCACGCCCCCAAACCCCTCGTAATCAGGTCCTCGCCCCATTGAGGCTGCCCTTGCTTCTCGCTCCAGCCACCCGCCGCCATCAGGTTCCGGACCACGCGCTGAGGCACATAAGCCGAACTACGTGCCGCTGCCGAGCCACACGCTCGGCGGGAGGCGTGGCGGGCGGTTAGAGGGCGGTTCGGCGGGTTTCGAGCGGAGGGAGGGAGGGGCGAGACGGGGGGGTTGAGAGATGTGGGCAGAATGGAACGCAGAGCGAGGTCGCCAGGACAATTGTCACGCAGATGATCAAGAGAATGTGAAGAGTATGATAATTTTGATTCGTCGGAGTACACACTTTGTGTGTTGTGAGTATCTGTCCATCCGTCCATCTGTGTGCATAGCACGCTCCCCTCGCGCCGCCCATCCCAGCGAGCGACGCAGCAACATAACATAAACGCAAAGGTATCGCGCGAGACAAAGGAACGACGGCAAAAAGCAAACAAGAAAAGACCCTGCTCGGCATCGCGAGCGATTATGGGCGAAAATGTACAGGGCGCCGGGATCGCTAGCCACGCTGAGATGTGTGGGTGGCCCTGATCGCGGGCTGAGGAGAAAGGGAATAATGTGCGAGCGGAAAATGTACACATGCGGATTTAGCGCGCGCTGGGACCGAAGTCGAAGCCTTGCTGCTGCTGCTGCGGAGGTGGGTAGGAGGGCGAGGCCAGCGGTGTGTAGGCGCCCGGGATGGGAACGGCGGCGTACTGCTGCTCGCCCGGCGCGGCGGCGACGTGGTCATTGTGACGCTCGAAGCCGGGCGATGTGGGGGGCAGCGGGGGTGAGACGGTGAGCGAGCGCGCGGGTGCGTCGAAGCCGTCCTGGCTGATCTTGGGGGTGGCGCCGGTGACCTTGATCGGAGGCGCTTGCAGGGCGAAGGGCTGCGGTTGGACGATCTCGCGGACCTGGGCGTACTGAACTTTGCCGTCGTTGCCCTCGTGCGCCATGCCGTTGGGGTCAATGTAATCTGGGTGACCTGGGGGTGGGCGCCAGCCGCCGGAGCGAGGCGAGAGAGGTCCGAATCCTGGTGTGTTTGGTGCTGACTGCGAGCGGAGCTGAGCAAGGTACAAGTCGGATCGAGCCTTGTCGCGAACGGCCATGGACTTCCTGAGCTTCCTCTTGGACCAGAAACGGTAGAAGACGATGGCGTAGATGATGATGCAGAGAACCTCAATGACAACCTCGATGATGCAGCAGACGAGTGCCCAGTTCTGCAGGCGGCAGACAAGCGCGTAAGAAATGTCGTCTTCGAACAGATGCCGTCTCTTGTTGTCGACGCAAGACCAGCCCCACATGTCTTTGTTGTTGTTCTGCGCTTTGCTTTGGTTGAAGACAGCCGCACCTACAGCCCACATGATGATACTCAAGATGAAGAAACCGACGGCGAAGATGGTGTAGTAAGCAGCGACTTTTTCGGCTCGATTGTGCCCTCCTCTACAGTAGGCAACCATGACGATGATGGACATGAGGAGTGAGATGCAAGCGATGGTCAAGAGGAGGATTTGCGGCCAGGTCTTGGTGTTGTCGGCCCATGGGGGAAGGTTGTTTCGCTTGGGAAGCGCCTTTGTCGCATGGAAGATGGCGAGTGCAGTTGCCACCATCGAGAGGACGATGAGACTGCAGGCAAAGTTGATACCGCGCAAGAAGATCTTTGCGATTCTTACTCGGACCTTGACTTTCTACTTGTTGTTAGCTTTCCCTATGGGATGGGTCCAGTTGTTCAAACTTACGATATCCTTAGCCTGCTCCTTCTCCAAAGAAGCTTCTTGCTTCTCAAGATCGCGCTCCTCCCTGAAGGTAGGGCTCAGGATCATGCTTGGCCTGCCAGGTGTCCGTGGAGGCGCCCCAGGCGACTTCAGAGCACTCTTCAGAGGGCCCCTGGGTGTTGGTGGAGGAAGGTATCTTCGGTCTGTTTCCTCCATTTCGACTGGTTGGACGTAGCCGAAGCCGACGTCTGATACTTGAGGTTGAGGTTGGTAGTGGTTTGTAGGATACGACGCGAATGGCGACTTGGGTGCGTCAATGGGTGAGTGCACGGATGTCGCTTCCGCGAAGCGTGCTGTGCGAGGTGTCTTGAGTTCTGAGGAAGTCGAGTCGTCGGTGTTTCGTCTTTCAATCGTAACTGTGAGACCTTTCTTATTGTTGGCTGACATCCTTAGACCTTCGAGCGTTCACGTGGTGGAACTCTCATGAGAGGTGCAAAAAGACAGAGAGAGAGAGGTGGATGGAGAAAGCACGACTATAATCCAGGCCAGCTTAGACCAGTCGCAGGAGGATTGAGGTGTGCAGTAGGTAGGAGAGACAGAATGCAGACGCACGAGGTATTACAAGGAGACCTGCTAGAGAAGGAAGATGAGGCAACATGCGAAGCGCTGACTTTAGATAGCGGGCGCTTCGAAGGCTTAGGACTCTCGGATTGGACAGAGAGGAGTACGGGTAGCAGCCGGTGGGGAGAGATCGGAACGATAGTGGGCGGGTACTTACAACGTATGGGAGGCGAGATGCCTGCACAACTGCGAGTGACGGTCTGATAGGTCAGATGAGGAGACGAGGTGGTTGCAATGGCGCGCAAAGGAGGACGCAGAGTGGTGGCCCCGAAATAGACGCCCGGGTGAACTCAAGGACGCGGCCCAAGTGATGCGCGGCCAGGCCAGTGCTGTTGTGCGAAGGTGTTGGTCTTGTTATATCTGACAGCTTGCTTATGCTGCTGTCAGCGGTTGCGGGGCACAGTCCGGAGCGGTGCTGTCGTCAGTCGTCAAGGTCAAGGTCGTACGTATGCCTTCATGCGCCCCAGAGACGGTGAAGTCTTCCAGAGCAGAGGGAACCCGCAGAAAAAGGCCATGTTCGCACCTCGTGCCCTCGGGCGCAAAGTCCTGCCGAGTCCACGGGCGCTCGAATTCCAGGGCGCTGGTATTCCAACGTCCAATTGATGGCAGCTGTTTCGCGCCTGCAAAACGCGACATGGCTGTTCTGCAAGGTGAGTGGCTGGAGGGAACCAGGTCTGTGCATTGATGTACATTCACGCTAAGCACATTAAGCTCGGGAGCTCAGCGGGTACGCACGCGTCCCGCCAATAGCACGCCGCAGGTGCCCTGAGACCTGTGGGAAGCCTACAGTAGTGGCACTGAGGTGGATATCGAGTCCAGGACGGCCGACGAGGCAGTCTCGAGTCTCTGTTTGCCTCCGCGCCGCTGTCTCGATTGCCGCCTGCACGGTCATAAGAGCATCGAGCTGCCCGCGCTCTTATTATAAATGCTCTGTATGAGCGAATTTGCCACGGCCGTCAGCTCACATCTTACCAGTCGACGGGCTGGGAATGTGGGCACGGCCGTGTCGCCTATCAGTGCAGGCTTGTGCGTGCCGCAGCTGCAGGAGGAAGCACATCGCATAGAACGTTAATTAGCCACGCGTTGGCCTGGCCGTGCAACACGCCACCGCACAACTGGGACATTTACCTGGCTATTCTCTGTGCTCTAGCTCCAAAGGGAAATCCGCTTCAACGCGCACGCCTATTTTTGGGGCCTTTTGCGCTGTGGAGTAGCACGCGGGCCGCAAGATCTGCCATGCGTTCAACGGGCGTGGAAAGTTAGTGTGCTGGCATCCTCGACAGCCCTCTGAAGTCGTCCACGTTGTACCTGCAAAGCGTGGTCGCATTTTGCATATTGTGCAGCTCTTGGTATTGGACAAGGTAGGCAATCCCCCTCTCGAAAGCACTTCTCGATCGCGACAAGCCAGCCATCCATATGCATGTTATTCCAGCCGAGGAACATTGCAATAAAGCGGTGTCGGTATCTACCGGATTGCCACCTTACCTTGCTTGCGAGGTGAGACATCTGCGTTGAGCCACGAATCTCACGGGTCACGTTGTCACGATCGACAGCTGTTGTGTCAGGTCTGGCTGCAGAAAAGGCTACATTTACACTCTGCCTTGCATGGTCAGCGGTCTCACTACCACAATTACGGTGTCTTGCACGTACCGTGTACCACCTTCCTGCCGTTCGACGCCGCAACAAAATAGTCGGAGGCTGGTTTGGAAAATTCACGCTCAGAGGTATCGGTTAGATGAAGAACAAATGTTGAGTGTTATACAAGAACCAGATTAGTTTATTAAATCCACCCACCAGTGGTCTTCTGATCCGACCACTGATTATCAACGTCATGATAGCTATCATCTTTCTTGCGCGTGAGAAGCGCTGCAGGCCGCAGCATCCCCCCAGAGTTCTCACCTGTCCTCATCCTAGGCCCGCCCTCCTGCACGCTCAGCACTCCGTCGCCGATGTACGTACTATAGTCAATCTGCTCATCTATACCCTGGCAAATAAAGCTATCATCTGAATCTGTTCGCTTTGCACCCTTGAATGTCGCAGGCAATGCTGGATGCGCGAGCTTGTTGAGCCAGGCCGGCGACGAAGGAACTTTCTGCTTACCTTTCGCCTTCTCGCTCAAGCTTGGGTAGGAACGAGGCAGGGTTGGAGAGCAGCTGACAGGGTCTGATATAGGGATGGGGCGAGAGATCTTAGCTTTGAGTGCGTTGTGCGCTTTCTCCTGTTTGCTTGGTTTAGACTTAGCCTTGCTATGCATGTCGACGTTTGAAGGTGTTTGAACAAAGTTCTTGAGCCATGTAGTTTGCTGTGGTGCCTTTGGATGACATACAGAACCTACCGTCCGCTCGTCTACTAGCACGTGGGCGGCCTTCTCTGTACTCGAGAAGTTTGGGAATGGGGTCCGAGGCAGGGGCTTATTCAAATCTAATGCCTTACCTTTGACCTTCTGTGGCCCCCGCTTAGGTGCTGTGCTCAACGGAGGAGCTGGAGGAAGAGGTTTGTTCAAGTCTACCGTGAGGACGGTCTGTTGAAACTTGATGGGTACTTCGCATGATGTAAGTGATATGTTACTATAGGACACTGCAGAGTCGTGTTGTGCTCGTCGCTTGTCTGTAACATCAGCTATCTTTTGTGCCCTAGAAGGAAGTGGGCGACTAGCAGACGTTGGTGGCTGCTGAACAGCTACATTCTTCTGCACGGGTGGACATATCTCAAGGACTTCGCCATTGTCTCTTTCTTTGAGATAGCTTTTTATGCCTTCCCAGAACAGCTGAGCCTCACCTGGTGGGCCATTTTGGTAGATCTCTTTAGCCTTTTGATAGTGCTTCTTGAAGAATGTCTGATTTTGACCACGCATGGCGTCGTCTCGTTTGGGTTGGTGCTGTACAACGTCAGCACTTGCCAACGACTTTTTGTGCCCAATGGTTTGGGGGAAAAGGGTGGTTGTAGAAGCCTTAGCTGTCTGGGATGCAGCATAAGAATTGCCTACTGCTGGGCTCTCAGTATCTTCTCGCTCTGTATAAAGGGCAAAGAGTTCACTAAAGTATTTCGAGGCTCTAGGGGATAGCTCTTCGTCGTCGCTGTACCATGGAATGTCGCTGGGAGGCCGGCTCTGGTCCTGCGACATCTCAACTCCCGCTATATGCATGATAGGGTGGTGACTACGAGTTTGACTTACGGTACGGTTTTGATGATCAATGAAGTCGGGGTTGATCTGCTCTGAATGGGCCTGCATCGAGTTGAGTGTGGTGATTGTGTACATATGAGAGTCAGAACGCTAAAAGATTCTCTTTCATATAGATGTGCAGCTGGAATCTACATTGTGCATCGACGAAACGAAACAGCCGAGTTGACTCGACAATGATCACAAAGCTTAACAAAGGCGAAGTAACAAAGGCGCATTGTTCTTGCATGTGTCCGATGCGTTTCGCTCGCGTCCGGCGTTTCCTTGAAGGTTATGACCGGAAATTCTCGCATAGTGCTCGAAAAACAACAGACACGTCCGTGATTTCATCGTTCAGACGCGATGCTGCAGGATTGTGGCTGATTTGCGGAAGTTCGCGGAGAGTCGTGGTGGCCGGGAACGATCGTTTGTGAGATGGGTAGTCCCGGAACTCATGTACCTGGATGTTAGTCCAAGCTACATACGGAAACATGGTAAGCCTTGCCCGCAAGGAAACTAATCAACCTCGAGCATGAACATTGTAGACACGAGGGAGAGGTTTATCAGACTGCGGAACTTTGTCAGCTAATTTCCAAAAGATGCAGGTCGGCAGCAGGCTTTCATGATGCATTGGGTATTGGATTGCATTTATTGCATCTCGTGTACAGAAATCGTCGCTATATCATAATCATTGCACTTCGCGGTGCTTTTCGTGAATTTTCCTTCTCGCAAGCAACATCTTACATGTTGACAGCGGTCCTGAACTTGGAGCCAGCGTAGATGGCGTTGTCACCGAGCTCCTCCTCAATGCGGAGGATCTGGTTGAGCTTGGCGAGACGCTCAGATCGGGCAGGAGCACCGGTCTTGATCTGTCCAGCACGGAGACCGACGACGATGTCAGCGATGGTGACATCCTCAGTCTCACCAGAGCGGTGAGAAACCATGACACCCCAGTCAGCACCGAAAGCGTCCTTGGCGGCTTGGATAGCCTCAGTGATGGTACCGATCTGGTTGACCTTCAGGAGGAGAGCGTTGCAAGACTTCTGCTCAATAGCCTTCTTGATGAACTCGGGGTTGGTGACTGTCAGGTCATCACCGACAATCTGGAAGTCGGAGGTCTTGAAGAAGTAGGACCAGGCCTCCCAGTCGTCCTCAGCGAAGGGGTCCTCGATGGAGACGATGGGGTACTTCTGGGACAAGGACTTGTAGAGTTCAGCAAGCTGCTCGTAGCTGAGCCACTTGCTCTTGTCGCTCTCGGGGTTCTTGAAGTCAAGGTCGTACTTCTTCTCGTCGGCCTTGTAGAACTCGCTGGAGGCAACGTCCATGGCGATCTTGATCTGGCCGGTGTAACCAGCAGCCTCGATGGCCTCAGTGATGAGGTCAAGAGCCTCCTCGGGGGTCTGAATATCGGGAGCAACACCACCCTCGTCGCCAACGTTGCCGGCGGACTGGCCGTACTTCTTCTTGGCGAGGGTCTTGAGCTTCTGGTAGACTTCGGCACCCTGGCGCATGGCCTCGGTGAAAGTGGGGGCCTCACTGCTGACTGTTAGATATAGTTTCGACAGGTGTAGCTGTGAGAACGTACGAGGGAACAATCATGAACTCCTGGAAAGCCATGCGGCCACCGGCGTGGGAGCCACCGTTGAGGACGTTCATGAAGGGAACGGGCAGGACGTAGGGCTTCTTGGTGCCGGCCAAGTCGGAGATGTGAGCGTAGAGCGGGACGCCCTTCTCAGCGGCAGCAGCCTTGGCAATGGCCATGGAGACACCGAGAATGGCGTTGGCACCAAGCTCAGTCTTGTTCTTGGTTCCATCGAGCTTGTTGAGGAAAGCGTCGACAGCGGACTGGTCCTTGACGTCGATGTTCTCCTTGATCAGAGCAGGGGCGATCTTGTCGTTGACGTTGGCGACGGCCTTGGTCACGCCCTTGCCGCCCCACTTGCTCTTGTCACCATCGCGGAGCTCGCACGCCTCGTGGGAGCCGGTGGAGGCGCCGGAGGGGACGATGGCGCGGTGAAGGCCAGTCTCGGTGACGATGTCGACCTCGACGGTGGGGTTACCCTGCGGATAGTCAGCGTGCCGTTAACGGCTGGAGATGCTAGGCAACCTACGCGAGAGTCGTAGACAGAGCGTGCGTGGATCTTGGTGATGGCCATGGTGGGTGTTTGTGTACTGGATCGATCAGTAAAGAATCAATTGCGGAAGTGGAGCTGAGCAGCAGTCGAGTATATATAGGCACACCTCAGCCCTATGGTACTGTGCTTGGGAGACTACAGCGTGCTAGTCAAGCGTCACCGGCCGGTGCTGATGTGGAGCCTGAAGAAACACTCGACCACCGCCCAGCCCTGGACTGTCAGAGGCCGGCGGAGCCTCAAACGGGCACGGGGGTGGGATGGCACGGCCGGCCGCGGATGGAATGTTGGCGAAGGGCTTGACTTACGTGAAAACTTGGACTGGTGTTTTGTTTGGGTGGTGGGGATCTAGCTTTAATAGTTGAATGAGGAGTGAGGGGCAGCCTCAGTCTGCAAACTGATGTATGTGCCCCGCGCACCTGTGCAACCCATTGGCCAGCCGCCACGCCTGGGTCGCCAGATGCATTGATCGTATCGCAAAAGCATGGGAGCGGCTGTCACGGCGATGACCGCCCTATGAAAATGTTGAGATATGAGGCCTGCGCATCAACTGATCATCACGTAGATTACCCCTCCAGCACCGAGTAGCCACCAGAGCCCACATCAGCTTCTCAAAGCTTCTTCGTGCACCTCGGAGCTGCAGGGATGCTCGTTCCAGCTTTGCAAAGCTTCAGGGCACTGTAGGTTCGAGCAAAGTCAAGGCTGCCTTCTCCATCGCTGTCTTGCTGCTCGTAGCTCGCGCGCTACATCCAGACCAGAAAACCTTCCGAGCATCTCCTGACTCAACAAACTGCAATTGAGCAACTGGCACAGACGCCTGAAGAAGCCAGACTGTCCTGATCTACCACCTAGCAACTATTTCACATTTCGACGTGTCACGTTGTCTGCAAACAGTGTTGATAGAATCTTCAGATTACGTTGAACGCGCTATGTGCCTGACTGGGCAAGTACCCTGATGACGCATGCGCCGATCGCCGGAAGGTGCAAATCCGCCAAGGCTGCGTCTCGAAACGTGCCTGGCGCAAATTCCAGACACCACACAAGGAAAATACGCAAACAAACAGCACAAGCAGCAGACCCTGACAGGGATACTCTGCGGCTTATACGTACACAGATACGTAGAAATCAGCACGTGACTGGGAGCTGGCTCATCTTCTCCTCTTAGGCGACCCTTCCCGGCTTCTGTGTTCAAGTTCCTTTCTTTTCCCTGCACTTTGCACCGTAGATGTTTTGCCAGGGTTTGTAGCGGCTACGAAGTCAACAGCCCCTCTGGGCGTCCTAGACTTTTCCTGTTCCTTTGCCTTGAAGATGCGCTTCTGTGAGGCCCTCAGCTCCTCTACATACGCCCAAGGAGGAAACACTGTGGGCACAGCAAAGCCTTCCGGTAGCGTAGAGGCGTACTGTTCCTCCTCACCAATCCCAGCAAAGTCCATCAGCTTTTGCAGATGGCCTGGATCGCGCAGAACCGAAGAGCTCTCAAGTCGCTGATTGAAATGTTGACCCTTCTTTTTGAGCTCAAGGAACTGGGCAAATTTCTTCGTCGCTCGTTGCGGCGGCGACCCCGGGGGCGAAGGAGGGATCTCGAAGTTTGGCACGGTCGGCAAGGTCAAGTTTTGGATAATGGCCCGACTCGACGTGTATGGGGAGCCAGGAGGAACAACGCTGTCGGCATCGTTTTCTGGTGGAGGCGGCGACACGGTTGGACCTTGCGCAGGCCCATTGACTGGGGCGGACGCTGGCGGAGTGACTTGTCGAAGGGCTGGTTGAGGTGCTGCTACAGGCACGGTCGCCAGCTTAATATCAGTAGCTATCAAAGTCCCCGCAAGCGCATGTGCATAACTCACCTTGGCCGTTGTCGCTGGGAGCACCTCGTCCTCGTCACTACTCTCATAACCGACTCCCAGCATTGCGTATGTTTGAGGTGGAAGAGTGGCCGCGGGAACTCATGTGTAAAGTGGCCCGAGCTCCAGCTACCGCGCCAAGCATATCGTCGTCGCCAGTGAGCTGCCTGCCACCGTCAACCACTCACCTCCGAACGCCGTCTTCTCGCTCATCGACGCCGTCCACGCCATATCAGTACACTCCGACACACCAAGAAACTCCACACCAACGCCCACACGATGAACCACCTTCCGCAAGCTTGGGGCCGTGTAAGACGCCTCCCCGCTCCATAAACACCACCGTACTGACTTCAACACAGCCCAGAGATGATGTCTACGGTGCCTACGATGCTTCACACTTCCAGATGAACGGCCCTACGCAGCACTCACAGTCTCCTATCGTCACCGGTACCTCCGTGTTGGCGGCGAAGTTCAAGGACGGCGTAGTCATTGCAGCAGACAACCTTGGTACGATGTCGCCTGCTCTTTGGGATATATGTATACTGACCTTCTACATAGCTTCATACGGATCGCTCGCTCGCTTTACCGACGTCAAGCGACTACGAAAGTTCAACGACGAGGTGGTCGTAGGCTTCGGCGGCGACGTCTCGGACATGCAGTACCTCGACCGCCTCCTAAACTCCCTCGATATCCGCGAGAACTACGCCTCGACCGATGACAACCTCAACGCCAAGAACCTCCACACATACCTCGCCAAGGTCATGTACAACCGCCGATCAAAGTTCGACCCGCTGTGGAATCACCTGTTGATTGCTGGTCTGGACGGCGAGGGCAAGCCGTTCCTTGCGAGTGCGGATCTTCTCGGCACCACCTTCTCTTCGCCTTCGATTGCCACAGGCTTTGGAGCCCATCTTGCACAGCCGATCATGCGCACATTACTGCCCGATGAGGCGTCGGTGCAGAACGTCACTAAGGAGCAGGCGGTGGAGAAGGTTAAGGAGTGCATGAAGGTCCTCTTCTACAGAGATGCAAGGAGTATGGACAGGTACTCCATCGCTGTCATCACGAAGGAGGGCGTAGAGCTGAACGAGGACGTCCAGTTGGAGAACCAGAGCTGGGCGTTTGCAGAGAGGATCCGCGGCTACGGCACGCAGACGGCATAAGAACGAATCGGACTTGTCGGATATGACAGCGCTCAGAGCCAAGCAGCTCGGAGGCTAAACGGCTGAAAGATAGACATGAATAAATGTACACTTCGACGGAGTGATTATCAATCTCAAACACACATCATCCTTGGGCGCAAGCCACACGCGTCTACGGCATTGGCATCCTTCGGCGGCAGGCCGATGCTATCGGAGGCGACAAATCGCGCTAATGCCGACGCGACCATCTCAAGCTCCATACAATGCGGGGAAGCTTCCGGGTATCGCTGTCGCGTATAAAGACTGAGATGGAAGCAGCCCTGTTGAACCCATGTCCCTTATTTAGCCTCCCCTGCTGCACGCACAACCATGTCTGCCAGCACGTCTCCCGGTACCAAAAAGCGCATAGTCGTGACGGGCGGCTCGGGCGTTGTGGGCCGTTGCGTCATCGAGAAGCTGCTGAGCTACGGCCACGAGGTCCTCAACGTCGACCAGACGCCGCTGGATAACCCAAATGTACACACGCTCAAGGCAGACTTGACAGATGGCGCGCAGGCATTCAACGCGCTGAGCTGCCACTTCCAGATCAGCGAGCCGTTCCGGGAAACGCTCAGGACGCCCGATGTAGTCATCCATCTCGCGGGTATGTAGTTGCAAATAGTACCACAAGAGACCGAGTCCTGCACGAACAATCAGACTTGCACTCGCCCAATCTCACCACGCACAACACACCAAACTAACCCCCTTCTCCTCCAGGCATCCCCCAACCCAACCGCGTCCCCGACAACGAAACCTTCCGCATCAACACCCTCTCCTCGTACGCCATCATCGAAGCCGCCTGCAAACTGGGCATCCCCAAAGTCCTCCTCGCCTCCTCCATCACCGTCTACGGCCCCACGTACGCAGAAGGCCCGCAATCCTTCCCGCACTTCCCGGTCACGGAGACATCCCCCACCGAACCCATGGACGTGTACGCGACCTCGAAACTGTGCATGGAGCGCGTGGCGCAGTCGTTTGCAGCGCGCTTCGCCGCCCTCGCCGCCCCCGTCGACATCTACTGTCTGCGCTTCGGCGCCGTCGTGTCGCCCGCGCTGCACCGCGAGACCATGCTCAAGTACACCGGCCGCCCGCGCGACTGGGGCGTGCACGGCTGGAGCTACATCGACGCGCGCGACCTGGGCAATTTCCTGAACTGCGCGGTGCAGACGGATGGCCTGGGGTTTCAGGTGTTCAATGCGGTGAATGATGAGAGCACGCTGCCGGATGGGGTGGCGACGCTGCAGTGGCTGGAGAATGAGTGTCCGGAGAGCGAGCTGGTGGATCGGGCGGCGCTGGAGGGGTGTCGGGCGCCGATTAGCAATGAGAAGGCGAGGCGGCTGTTGGGGTTCAAGGAGGAGTTTTCGTGGCGCGAGGAGAGGAAGAAGTGGGTTGTGCCGGAGACACGGTGATGGGTCAGGGCGTCGGGTAGGTACTGCAATCTGGCGCATAGGCGTCGTTGCTGCAGTGCATCACGGAAGAAATGCTGTACACGGAAGAATACAAACAAGAAGTACACGCAAGAAGCGAACCGAACAGGGTATCTCATTGCGTCTAAAACAAACACACACACACACGCACACATCTCGTCTACCACACAATCCCCTTCCAGTCAAAACTCCCATCGATGTTGCGCCACCGCCCCTGCACCATCGCCTTCTCCCACCCCATCATCACCGCAAGCAGCTTACACCCCACACTACTGACCGTGCACACCATCGCATCCGCGCGCCCCAGCACCGCCAGATCCATCAGATACGCCCGCCCCACCAACTCCCGCAGCTTCATCGCGCCCTCCGGCACGCGCTCCGCATCCAGACTCAGCATGTCCCCTGCGTTCCCGACCGGCTGCCCGAGGCTGAAGAATATGTCGCGGTAGAACCCCCCTTCCCAGCCGGTGATTTCGTCGATCCAGGGGTTCTTCTTGCCCTGTGCGGCTTCGAGCGCTGCGCGCGTGGCGAGCACGATGCGGTCCTGGGCGCGCAGCGCATTGGGGCCGATTTCAGGCGCGTCGTAGACGAGGGGGTCGTCGGAGGCGAGGATCATCTTGGAGGGGGTGTGGCGGGCGAAGAGGGCGGCGTTGTCGCGCTTGGCGGACGTCTTGCCGCCGCCCTCGACGAGGTCGATGTAGATGTCGCGCGCGGCGTCGGTGTAGCGCGTCAGCGGGATGTAGTCCTTGCTGTACTGGTATTCCATGGGGTGCTTGTCGCCGTGGCGCACGTGCATGCCGATGCTGATGCCGCCATCGGCTTTGACGGCGCCGTAGAGGTGTAGCGCGCGGTCGAGGACATATTTGGCGTCGTCGGTGCGCAGTTTGAAGAGGGCGTCGTGCCCGGCCCGGAGCAGGGCGAAGATCTTGTGCTGCCGCTGGACGCGCATCTTGGTGGCGTCTTCCCATTCTTCGGTGAACATGTGGCCGAATGTCGACTGCACTGTTGCAGCGGAGACTACGATGTGCCGCGCGTTGTGCGGGCAGGGGACTATGTGGGACTTGGGCGGCGGAAGGCAGCCCGCGGAGGGAGGGTTGATGAAGTATGTCAGGTACTTGCCATACGGCCTGCTAACAGTCAGCATATACTCATTGCAGGCTTGACATTTGACTCACCATCGGCTGTCGTCGATGAAGAACGCGCGCTTCTCGGCTTTCGCCAGCCCGTACGACATCCACAGGCGCATCAGCGAGTTACCAAAACCCGCTTCCGCCGTCTCCAGCACATACGTCAACGACCTATCACAGACCTTGAGCCCGCTCGGCGAGATCCCATCCGCAATCATATCATCCTCGACAAACCCCTTCGGCCTGCCACTCGCCTTCGACGGTGGCAACAACGACTGTGCCTCCGCCTCCTGCACATCAATAAAGTACTGGTCCTTCGCATAGTACCCGAGCATCCTCTTCGCAAAGCTCGCCGCCGCCTGCCCCTCCTGCCGCATGTCCCGCGACACCTCACCTGCCTGGTGGCAGATATCGCGGTACTGGGCGGGCCGGAGCGGGAACTCAAAGGACGACGGGATCGACACGGTCCACCGCATCTTGCCCGTGTTGTCGGCCATGGCAACGACCGAGGGCTCCTGCGGCAACTGCGCGCCCCCGGCCATCTCCCACTCTTCACTGTCGCCGTCGTAGCTCGACTGCGCCGAGGCGTGCAGTTGGCGGACTACAAGCCACAGCAGGACGAGCACGGCGAGGCCGGCTATCAGCCCGCGCTTGATCAGCCGGCGGGAGCTGGGCTGCGGCTGCCTTTTCCCATGGCGGGGGATCAGGGATGGGAGACTGGGTGATGCGGGGGGTGAGCGTGAAAGCAGTCCCCGACGGTCTAGGTTCGGGGACAGGAAGGCGCCGGAGGTGGCAGAGTGAAGGGGGGGAGCGAGTTGGCTGTAGGTCGCCGTGGACTGGATGGACAGATTCGGGTTCCGTCTTGCATGCATCTTGGAAAGCTTCTGAGACGCTTGGTTCAGCATGTCGGATAGCAGCACCGGGCCTCGTCTGATATCAGGTCCGGTATGTCGGGCAACAGCACGATGTCAAGCGTGCAGATATGTAGTCACCTGTCCCTGCAGGCGTCGTGTTACCGGAAAGAGGGGGCGAGGCAGCGTCAAGATGCCGTGGTCAAGGAGTGTAAGAAGAGAATGAGACAAGAGCGAGAAAGAGAACACACAGCTCCAGCTCGTCAGGCAAGCAGGGAAGCCATAGAGAGACACGGCAGCTTACTGTAGGAGAAGAGGGAGGGTCACTGCCTCAGATGCAGAATCCCGAGCGCGAGAAGTTTCACGACATTTAACAGACGAGCAAGATCGCCCTCCAGGGCCGTCGCGTAGCCTGCGCAGCTCGACCAAGCTGGACGGCTTGCGGCCGCTTCTGGTAGGTGTAATTTGAGGAACTTCCCTCAAGGGCAACTCCCGTGAGCTCGCTAGCGCAGCGGCCAACGGCCTCTGGCATCATGAGGAAGGAGGAGGCTGAAGCGAGGAGCAAGCGAGCATCGTTTGGAGGGGCAGCCTGGCTGGCGCGTCCGTGTGCGCATCTGAAACACACAGAGGAGCGCTGCGGGAGCCTATCAGGCGCCGCTGCCCGACGCGAGATCCACCTGCATCTCCGAGCACGCGCAGTAGGCCTCCCGTACATAGCCTGCGCTGCGTCCCTTACACACACACCTTTGCGTCGGCCCCCGACCAGCGCGAAGACACGCGCGCAAACTCACCCTCCCCTCGGTGCTGTGTAAAAACCTGAAACAGCGCACTTTGTGTGACGTTGACGAAGTGGAACCCAGTTGCGCCTTGGCGACCCGTGCATGAAAGACTCCAGCGACCGCAGGACCAGGGGCACGCGCCGGCTGCATCCACGAGCGACCGCTCATACGGTACCTAGCGCGCGCCATGCGGGCTCGTACGAAGTACATTACCTCTTCGTACCAAGTGTGTTGCCTCTAGTCAGATGCTTAGTTTCAACGGCCGGCCGTTGCAGGTAAGATGAGAGTGGTGAGGGCGCGTGTGACTCTCGAGGGAACGAATCATGGATGGAGTGATTGAATCGTGGCGCCAGGACGGCGGTTGCTCGTGCCCATGGTTGTGATGTGATGTGAGGTGAGGAGGTGGTGGCGGCGTGAGGAATCCAAGCCGTGCGAGGCAAGTCAAGCAGCGCGAGATTCGAGCAGCGCACGCACTTACAGCACAGTATCGTGTACTGTGTCTTGCACTACATACCTACACCACAGTCTACAGCTACACCATACACAGCAGTACACCAGATCCCTGTACCGCTTAGCCCCACTCCACCCCGTTAGAGACGCGAGTCACCTTCACGCCGACCACCTCCCCCCCGTCGGAACCCACCGGCTACGAGCCCCATCAAACCAAGCCCCCCATCGACGCACCACCCCGTCGCAACGATCCCATCAAACGCCCACATCGAACCACATTAACATTCAAACATTAACATTCAAATACAAACCCTATCCGATCCCTTCCCTTCCCCTCCAAGCCCACCCCAACGCCCCATCAAACCACCCAGCCCCATCCCCAGCTACCCATGCCACTAAACCCCAAACCCAGCCATGCCACCAGGGTCCAGATCGCCACCAAGGAGCACCGGCTGCTCCCTTTAGGCCCAGGATATGTGCAGGGAGGGGGGCACTCTTGATACGGCGCCTTGCAGCACGATATAGTGTTTTATAGCACTCTATGCGCGACGCTGCGGGGTCGCGCATGAAAGACGTACGGCGGATGTCTGGGGCAGCGGGAGGGGCGGACTGGGGGGTGAGGAGAGGGGGGTGCGAGGAAGGCGGTTTCGTGAGATGAGGAGTGCGGTATGGGGCGTGGCGTGTGAAATAAGGCGTGGAGCGCGCACGTATGTTTGCCCATGTCACGTTGCGTGTAGAGTGTAAGGTTCAGTTCGAAGAAACAAGCGCGCACACACACATGTAGTAAAGCCCGGCTTTTCAGAAAACCTGGTACATTACAGTCTAACCAAGACCTAAAGCGCGCATATGGGGTATCTCCATCTCCATTGTCTCTCTCTCCACTCTCCACTCTCTCGTCTCTCTCCATGCACTCACTCTCATCCTCGCCACTCGCTCTCTTTCTCTTCTTTTCTTTTCCTTCCCTTCCCTCTGTGGGTTTTCCCATCCCTAACGCCACGCGCAAGATATCCGTATCTGTATCGTACAACCCAATCCATTAGCCGGCCACCGAGACGAAAAACAGCAGTTACAGTACAATTACATGTGTAAAAGTTCGCATGTGTTAAAGTAGCATGCGTGCATGGAAACAGCAGCATGTGTGAAGTGAAAGTCGCATGCTCTAAAGCAGAAACGCACTGTGCGGAGAAGATAAGGCGGTATAATATAGCGAGACCATGCAGCAGGCTATGCAGCGGGATACAGTGCGCCTGCCTCATTCCAAGAGCCCAAAACGCCGGTGGTGCAGAGGGTGTGTGTTCGACGCTCCGCGCGCGATTTGTATGCCGTGCGCGACGGCGGGGCGGGGCGGTGTCTCATCGTCATTACGTGGAGGCCATTAAGATCGTATTTGTGCGGGTGCGCATTACAAAGAAGGGAGCCATACAGCACAGCGTAGATCGCAACTGGGGTTGTAGTAGTGTCTTACGCAGCCCTTGCATGCTTAAGACCGGCGCAGCTCAACAGGCATAGCACTACTACGGCGGGCCGCCCTATCGACTCTCCCTGTGATCATCTCGTCGAGCATGCGCGTCATCTCCTCGATATTCTTGCCCGTGTTCGAGGGCGTCGGGGGGAAGAAAGGCGTGCTATTCGGGCTCGTCGGGGATGTCGGGCCCTTGGCGTGCAGGACGTTTATGCTGCTGCCCTCACTGCGCTGGTAGGACGAGGTGCGGCGGCTGCCAGGGGAGCCATCGCTGCCGACGTCGTGGGCCGTGTCGTTTCGTTTACGTGCCGAGGTGAGCGCGGTGATCATGCGTTCCTTGTCTTCGAGTTGGGCGCGCAGGGTCGAGATCTCCGAGTCGCGTTCGGCGACAGTCGCGAGGAGGCCGCCGTCTTCGCTGCTGCCGTGGCGCGAGTTGATCGACAAGGATACGCGGGAATGGCTCGATCTTCGAGCTTGCAGAAGTCGCTTCTCTAATGTGGCGATGTAGCGATTTCGGTCGGCGAGATCGGCCTGCAGTGCCTGGATCTGAACGCCCGGGCTGGCAAAGCCATCGCCGTTCTCGCCGACCGAGTCGTCCTCTTCCGAGCAATCTACAGGCAGGGGAAAGGACTGCAGTGAGGCGCGTGGTACTTCGAGCGTGGCGTGGCTGGCGGATGATCGTACGGACATGGGCCGGAAGTCGCTGGCGTGACTGAACGTAGAAGCGCGTTGATAGCTCATGGACGAGAACGCTCTGCCGTTGTTGACCCCAAGTGACTTAGAGCTCAGGATCAACCGGTTGAGATGCTCGATCCGCTCTTTGAGAGCTGTGCGAGCAAGCTGCATCTCCAGCATTTGTTCTTCGTGGCGCTGCCTGTCTTGCTGCTCACGTACTCTCTCCTCCTCTCTGTCTCGCCGGAACTCATCCTCCTCTTCGGTCTTAGCTTCTGATTTCTTGCCTTCTTCTAATTGCTTCTTGAGCTCCTGAATCTCGAGGCGGTAGCGGTCCAGCAGTGCTCGGCTTCCTGCGTCACCACCGGCCCCCAACGAATCGTCCGCTTTCTTTGCATGACTAATAATGTTGTTCTTGGCCCGAGATGCGAACTTCAAGGTGTTCAGCGTCTCATTGGCGTGGCTGGACGATGTTGCAACGCTACCGCTTGCGCCAATCTGGATCGTGCAGAGAATGCTGACCAGGGAATTACCTGACAGCGCTCCCTGCAAAAGACGAGTGAGTTTGCTGTCACGGTACGGCAAATGGTTGTCCTTTTTCCCGTCCTTGCCCGGCTTGCTGCCTGCCAGTCCACCAACAACAGCACCCAGAGTAAGCAAACTCTTGTTGATGTGAGAGCCCTCAGTCCGTCTTTCCTTATCGTCGGCCGCCTTTTCAGAACCCGCCAGATCGATAAGACTGAGTGTTGACACACGGACACCACCTGGGATAATGGCTGATCGCTTGTCGCCAGCCAGATTAGGGCCGGGTGCGCGCTCTCTGCTTTCGACAACGATTTGTACGACGGCGTGACTGCGCGAACTCCGGGAATTGAACTGTGTGCCAGCAACCCTTCGCGCCTGGTCACCGCGGGAGATGACTCGTAGGAGCTGGGTTGGGCTTTGGACAATTTCCTCTTTCAGGGGGGTGGCATAGACACCCCGCTTGCTGTCCTCGCGTAGCTTAATCTCCTCCTGTGGACCTGGCTGACCGCCCATGCCAGCCACCGGCCCCGCCAGCAGATCGTTGATCTTCTCGTTGTAGATTTCGAGATAGCTGACGCGCAAGAGGAACTCCCGATGTGGGGTCTCGCGAATGTAAGAAAAAATGTCCGTGATGGCCAGTGGTATTACACCAGGATTTGTCGCGGTTCCTTGCATGGAAAATGTCTTTCCTGTTCCGGTCATACCATACGCGAATACGGTTCCGTGGTACCCTTCCATAACTCTCCGGACCAGTCGTTTTGCCGTGGCGTCGTACACGCGAGCATTGTTGTCTTGGGTGTCGTAAACATTGTCTAGGACGCAATCAGCAAGCTGAACTACACTGCTTGGCTGCAGTCACTTACCGTAGACGTAGTCTCCACCCCCATCGCGGCCGTGGTATGTGATAACGTGACGCTTGGCGTTGACCTCCCAATCTTTATCTTGCTGGCCGTCTTTTGGCCCGACGTCTGGGCGCACTCGCACGCTGACGATGACGTTTCCTTTGCTGCTCGACTCGCCGTCGGGCTTGCTGTTTTTCCGCCCTCGTGCGTCGTCATCCTCTTCGATTGTGGTTGCGCTCGTCGAGCGGGAGCCGTGCGGCGACGAATTGCGGCTCTGCGGGGGCGAGGGCAGGCTGAGGCGGCTGGTGTCGACGGCGACCGACTCGGCGCTGCCGTTGCCGTTGAGGAAGCTGGGCGGCATCATGGGCGACTTGGGGAGCAGCCCCCTGCCGCCGCCGATATTCGAGGCTCTGGGGCCTTTCTTGAGACTGCTCTTCCGGGACGGGATCGAGGCCTTGGAGCCGGCCGACAGGCGGTGGTCGACCGTATCGCCGTTGACCGAGGCGCTCGAGGCCAGCGGGCTGCTCGGGGTGCGCAGGCCATGCTTGGGCGGCTGGGGGAACGCGCCGATGCTGACGACCTTGCGCAGCGACTTGCCCATGGGCGGCCCACCCGGGTGCTCAGCGGCGGCAAAGGTGGGCACAGAGGGCGAGGTGATGTGCTTGGCAGCGGCCGGGCGGTGCGGCGTCGAGTAGGAGACGGCGCGGTTCGCAGCGCTGGGAAGGCCGCTGGACGGCGTGCGCAGGGCGGCGGGGGTGTTTGGCGCGCGGTGTTTCGAGACGGGCAGCGACGGCAGCGGCCCCGAGGGCGGGGCGATGGAGCGGCGCGGCAGGGTGTGGCCGGACATGGCGGTGGTGCAGAGGAGCAGCGGCGCAGAGCAGCAGCGCAGAAGAGCAGCGCGGGGACACAGCAGCGCTCAGCGCGCGGCGTGCGTGGCTACGGGACCCGACGCTTGCTTTGTTTTTCGCGCGGCTTCACGGCGTCGCACGCATGACAGCGCGCAGCTGGACGGACGCGGGTCGACGAAACGCGGCGGCGCTCGCGTGCGGGGAGGCCTGGGATGCCTGGCGGGTGCAAGGGCTGGTGCAGTGGTGCGGCGGCGGCGCGGTGCGGGACAGTGCAGCGGCAGCGGCAGCGTGCAGGCGGCCAGTGTCACGGCAGGCAGGCGGGCAGGCGGGCGGTGCGAGGAGGGCGGCGGGCGAGGAAGAGCGCGCATGCATTGGCAGCGAAGACGCGGACGGGAGGGTGGAGCAGCAGGAGACTCGACTCGGTGCTGCACAGGCCCAATTGCGCCCGAGAAGGATCACAGGCCCGACTTTATCGGTGGGGAGGCGCACGGCGGACAGGCCAGTGGGCGATCGGGCTGCCTGCGCTGCCTGCGTGTGGGGGGAGCGGCAGAGGCACAGAGGCAAAGCAGGAGTGATGCGCGCCGTGGGGCCAGGAAAGGGGTTCGCGCGCCGTCAACCACAGCTTCACGCTCGTCGTGCGCGCCCGCGAGCCTGCGCCCAATGCGGCACAGCGGGGCCTCACGCCTGCGTCGTCGCCATTGGCCGCCGGCGGAAGGGCTCGTAGGGCCCGTGGTAGCCTCAGCAGCGACAGGGACTGCGCCCAAATGACAGCGCCAAAAGGGCTCCATGGCAGCGCCCAGTAGGGACGCGCCCAGTAGGGAAGCGCCTCCTGGAGAGGTACCTACCCTCCCGTAGTCACGGCGTAGTGCGCCCATCCGCGCCCACCACCCCTGCGCCCGAATGCGTCTCCCCGAGTCTCCAGGGCCCCAGCAACCACAATCGAGCAGGACCCTAGGGCGTGCCGGCCGCCAGCCCAGTCCGCGGCCAGCAATGCGGTCGACAACGCGGCGCTGGCCACGACACACGACACACGCACACGCACACACGCCCGCGAACCCTGCGGAGAAGCCGTCCAGCGCACGCATCCCTCTGCCCGTATCCAACGCCGCGCCGCCCGTCCAGAGCACGACCAGACGCTGCACCAACGCCTTGCCGTCACATGCCCGCGGCCAACCGCATTCGCAATAATCTCCGAATCACACAAACACACCCTCTGGACCTGCCGTCCCATTCGCCTGCGCCGCCAAATCACCCTGCGCTGCAGCGAACGCCGCTGCGGCCCCTGGCGCCATGGATCGTAGCTCCGTAAATGCACGTGCGCTGCCCTCTCGCTTTCCACGTGCAGTTCAGCTCATTCGCGCGCCGCCGTGCTGCCCTTGAAGCAACGGCCGGCAGAGCCAAACTCTGGACATCCCGGCCCGGCACGGTTCTCCTGCGCGTCTGGGTGTCTGCATGGAGGGCAGCATTGATTCCAGCGCTGAATGCAGCATGTATTGACAACACGCAACATGCAACATGCAACCGTCACTCTGTTGTCAGGGTCCACAATTGCACTGTCTCCTGCATTGTATCCTGCGTTGTATCCTGCACTGTATGCTGCACTATATCCTGCATCCTACACTGTATCCTGCATTGTATCCTGTGCTGATCTCTGCCCGTGCTCGTCCATGCGCGCAACTGCTTTTCCTGGCTATAGTACCGCTCAACGACATGGCCTGCAAGCCAATCCCAGATATGGCACCACCGGCAGTTCAGCGCCGTCTTACACGTCAGACGTATTGTATTGCTACCACAGTAATTGACCTTCTGCTTCTGTACGCCCACCACACATGCACGAATCCTGTGCCATGCCCAACCACACGACTGCCGGGCCAGAGAGTTCAACACTTGGTGCCAATGCCGCCTTGTAACAGCCACTGCTGTTCGGTACCAACGGCGCCATCCGTGGGGCCTGAAGATCACCGGAGCCTTTTCCGCTGTACGAGACCGCCTAAACTCAGTTCCCGCGATCCAGGAGCACCAGAGACCTCGGAGAGTTTGTTCCGACTTGTGCCGCCTGTCGAGCCCATCTAGTGAAACAACCCAGCAAGCCTTCCTAGTACCTCCACGGCGGTACACCGAGTCAGCAGCCCGCATACAATGCCATTCGAAGATCAGACGGCGAATTACTCGTCTTGGCCACATCGAGTTCTATTAGAGCGCACCCCACCCGAAAACCTTCTTGCCAATAGTTGTGACAGACAGGCAATATGCGCTCCAGAGACCGAGGTCAACTACCAATTCCCACGCTGCACAGAGCACTATGCGTGACATTCCAGTGCCAATGGATTGGAGCGTCAACTCACTGAAGCTGGAAAGCGTCTCAACGAAGCGTGGTGCATATCCACTGTGCTGCTGGCCGGCCAGGTAGTGAGATGCGACTAGCCGGAGGACAACAAGCTTGAACGGAAGCACTGCAAGTCCAACTAGCTGTGCTTTGACGATGGCGCCGATCATCTCTGACGGCTCAGTGGAAAGCTGCGTTACGCGGTGATGAGCTCGAGTCGTTGTGTAACGAGAGACTCGACGCGGTGCAACATGACTATGGCTCGAGGTTGCGGGCTGCGCGTCTACGACTTCAGTGTGAGAAGAGATGACCCGTGGGGGCAATCGTACTTCCATCTCAACAATGCCCTCGCGCGAGGTAATCCTAATCCTCGGGTCGTTGTCGTCGTGCTCTGAAACGGTGGGTGTTGGTGGTGTAGCGGGACGCAATAAATCATCTACCGTCTCGACGGGTACGGTAACATTATTTTCGTTAGTCCCGTCTGTGATAGGTCTGTCCATGTGAGACACTGGCATCTCAACTGGTACTAGGTTCATCAGCTCGTGGCCCGCGACCTCTACACTCTGGCCTGCAGAGTCAAGCGATGGCTTTCGGTCCGCATTCGGATCGTCCGGTTCGCACCAGCCAAGCAGCACAAGTAGCCTGTTGATGGCGCTTCTGATCAGGGGCGGAGATCTCCGTTGCAATCCTAGTATGGAAGTAGCGCGGTCCTTGTTGTCAGCGTCCAGACTCTCGATGTCTGCGTTGTCGGGTCGAATGATGAACGACTCAACAGCCTCGAAAATTGCCGCGTACATCCAGCGCTCGCAGAAGTGCTCCGCAACCACTACGACCATAGGAGAGGTGGCGATGACTTTCAAGATGCTAGGCGCAGAGTCAGGTGCATGGTGGTGAATGGAAAGGGGCGTAAGCGGCGACCACGGCGAAAAAGGTATGAATGATTTCCAATACGGTAGCAATGGGCGTGCAGGAATGAGACCGAGCCGTTGCAAGTGAGCATGGTAAGAAAATGGACAGAAGAGGATCTCAAGGCACAATCGAAATCTGCATGTTGTCAGTCATGCTACGGTACGCATCCACAAGGACTCACCCAAACGTGAGGACACTTCTCGAGCGTCGTATGAAGCGACGAGTCTTGGAGCTCGCATGTGTGACCTGTACCAAGCGTTCGACTGGCTGGTAGACGTACGCACTGTATGCGAGAGCCTGTATGCCAATAGTAGAGACTAGTCGAGGAGCAAAGCCAGCAAAGGCAATTGAGTTACCAGAAGCCGCGTGCTCCGAAGCCACAATCTGCACAAGTGGGATTGCATTGGGAATGCGGAATGTAAGGATCCGATCTCTAATCGTGCCGATCCACCAGGTGCACAGGTTCTCCACCACCGTGGATGTCAGCGCAAGCGCATTGCCAACCGTGTCTTCGACCTCAAGCTCTTTGAGTCGTTCTTCGTATGCGCCGGGAAGTGCTTCCGGATGAGACCTGCGCCTCTCGACTACGCCTACCGAGGCAAGGACATCGTTTTGAGCATCTCTGAGCTTCTTCCCGTATGCGTGAGAGCGTGGGTTGATAGGATTACCGCGCTCGTCGTAAAGTTGAATGTAATTATTGGCACTTGCTTCGCGATAGCGTTGCGGCAAAGGCTCGTCGGACTGGGAGGCTGCAAGCTGTATGTATTCCTCTGACTCAGTCACTTCGTTAGTAGGCTCAAATGCAGACCGTCCCTAGGAGTGCGCGTTAGTCACGTGGCCTGCATCGGAGCTATGTGATCTGCGGCTGGTATGAGAGGGTACACGTACAAAGGCAAGCTTGGCCAGGTAGGCTTGTCGGCCCATATTGATTCAGCTCGTCAGCGGCGAGGAAACATGGCTAAAGAATACACTGCTGCAGGGCGACGGTAGCCTTGTCAGAGTCGTGGTGATGTCTGGGCTCGAGAGCAAGTCGTTAGTCGTTAGTCGTTCGCCGTCATCCCTGTAGAAGCCGCTATCCTTATCGATAAGGAACTAATATTTCTCTCTCAAGACTCTCAAGGCAAGCAACAACTCCGGTTTAGAGCAAACCAGCGCAACGTCATGTCGCAAAGAACAACGGTCCGCACGACCTACGAGGTCGAGCGCACGCTGCAGCCTATCTACTCCGGTGGCAGCATAGCGCTCAGTGAAGATGGGCGCATCTTGGCCGCATGTCTGGGCGAAGAAGCACTGCTCACAGATCTCTCCACCGGGAGAGAGTTGGCAAGAGCAGAGGGCGACGGTGAGGCAATCACATCGCTGGCCCGTAAGTTCACGTCGGTGTGTTGAGCATGCACTGGCTAATCGCATCAGTAACGCCCTCCGCGTCCCACCTCATTGTATGCTCGCGGTCGCTGTCCATGCGCATTTATGCCCTGCAACCCTCCGCAACCGACGACGAATCGATCGAACTTGAGCTCCTCCGATCATTGAAACCGCACACAGGCCCTGTTGTGACATTGGCCGTGGATAGCACTGGCACGCTCGTAGCAACTGGCGGAGCAGATGGCGTAGTCAAGATCTGGGACATCCGCGCAGGATACACCACGCACACCTTCCACGGCCATGGCGGTGTTGTCTCGGCGCTACACTTCTTCCAGGTCGAGGTGCTAACAAAAGGCGAAGACGCAGACGGTGGCAAGAAAAGGAAGAGGAGCAAGTCCCAGCAAAGGTCCGAGGCAGAGGGAGAGCGCACGCTTGAATACCGATTGGCCTCCGGTGCTGAAGACGGCAAGATCCGCATTTGGGATCTGCACAAGAAAAAGAGTGTCGCGGTGCTGGATTCGCACGTTTCTGTTGTGCGCACGCTGCAGTACTCGTCGGAACAGAAGGTGCTGATTTCGGGAAGCAGAGACAAGACGTTGATATTCTGGTCCTCGGAGAAATGGAAGCAACAACGGACAGTCGCCGCACTGGAAGGCATTGAGAGTGCAGGCTTCCTTGCGAATGGGCAGATTGTGTACTCTGGCGGAGAGCACGGCAATGTCCGACTCTGGTCGACAGCTACTGGCCAGGAGCTGACCGAGGAGCAAGAGCCCGGAAACGAGACGGACGAGATTGTCAACATCCTGTATTACCCGACCCTCTCCTACCTAGTCTCAGTTCATGCTGAGCAGGTCCTCAATTTTCATTCGTTGAAGTCGGTCGAACCACCCTTCGTCGAGGAGACGATCGAGCCGCTTTCCATCTTCCGACGGGTATCTGGCACCCACGACGAAGTCATCGATATTGCCTACGTTGGGCGAGATAGGTCGCTTATGGCCTTGAACACAAACTCAGAGGATATCCGGATAGTCACATTAAGGGAAGACACAGCTGAGGGAAAATACTTTGGTGCGGACGTCGGAGTCTTGGAGGGGCACGAAGACATCGTCATCTGTTTAGACGTGGATTGGTCGGGTCACTGGCTAGTCACAGGTGCCAAAGACAACACAGCGAGATTATGGCGGCTGGATCCTGAGAACAGCTCCTTTGAGTGCGCCGCTATCCTCACCGGTCATGCAGAGTCTCTTGGAGCCATTGCTCTACCCCACACAATTCCACAGGAGTCTTCGGCTGCATTCACAGACCCCCTGTCACATCCACCGGCATACATTGTCACAGGATCGCAAGATCGAACAGTAAAGCGATGGGACATCACCAAGGATACCAAGAAGCTGCGCGCAAAGTACACACGAAAAGCCCACGACAAGGACATCAACGCTATTGATGTCGATCCCTCTGGCGCTCTCTTCGCATCAGCATCGCAGGACAGGACAGTCAAGATCTACTCTGCGGCAGAAGGCGAAGCTGTCGGTGTTCTCAGAGGGCATCGCCGTGGTGTCTGGACTGTCAAGTTCGCACCAAAAACATCACAAGCACCCAGTGCTGGCAACAAAGGTTTGATTGCCACTGGAAGCGGAGACAAGACAGTGAAGATTTGGAGTCTCTCGGACTACTCTTGCCTACTCACACTCGAAGGCCACTCCAACAGCGTCCTCAAGCTCGCATGGCTGCCTTACCGACCAGTCGACGCACGCGACAAGCGTGGCCCACAGGTAGCATCTGCCGCTGGTGACGGTCTGGTCAAGGTCTGGGACTCGTCATCTGGCGAGTCCATGTCCACACTTGACAACCACGAAGACCGTGTATGGGCGCTCGTAGCCCATCCGGAAACGGGAGCTCTGGTATCCGGAGGTGGAGACAGCATTATCACATTCTGGAAAGACACAACAACAGCAACACTCGAAGCTGCCACAACAGCCGAAACCGAGCGCGTCGAACTCGACCAGAAACTGCAGAACTACACCTACGCAGGCAACTACCGCGAAGCCATCACGCTGGCCCTGCAAATGGACCAACCAGGTCGTCTCTTCGCCCTCTTCAAATCCGTCTCCGAGACAGAACAACCAGATGAAGGAAGCATGTCCGGCTTAGCTGCCGTCGACGACGTGCTCGCCAACCTCGCCGACGAGCAGCTCTACAAGCTCCTCCTACGCCTTCGCGACTGGAACACGAACGTCCGCACCGCACCCGTCGCGCAGAAAATTCTCTGGACAGTCGTCAAGTCATACCCTGCGTCCCGACTCGCCAGCCTCAGGCCCAAGGGCAAGGTTGGTGCGAAGGGCAGCCTGAGAGACGTACTGGATGCGATCCGCGTGTACTCAGAGCGGCACTACAAGAGGGTCGAGGAGCTGGTTGATGAGAGCTATCTGTTGGATTTCACGCTCAGAGAGATGGATGAGGTTGGTGATATCAAGGCTATTACGAACGGCACGTCGAGTTTGGGGTTGGATCATGATGTGCTTATGGTCGAGTAGGTGTTGTTTGGATAGATCAATATACCCCGTTCTACATCAAGCATTATCGGGCCGCATCTCCCTTCTATCGTGGCGATCTATATGCTATCATCGAGCCTCGCTGAGCAGAGCATCCCCGATCGGCAATACAGGTAGACATGGCCGTCAATCGGCCAAATTCCACCATCCAGCCTATCTCAAAAGGTAGAGACCCCTAGATCTCGAACATCTTGGTCGTACTCACATTAATCCTGGAACAAGTCAGCTCAGCGCACTCAACAAGCATACACCATATACATACCTGCTCCACGCCTTCCCCTTCATCAAGCACTCCACAAATCTCGCCGGCCAATACACATGATACAGCACGAAGAAAGGCCACGGATCCTGCACCGTCAGCGTCCCGTCCCTCCACCCACCCAAACGCTTCCAAAACGTCTCCACGCCCTCACGCAACCCACTCCACGGCCCCGCACCCACGACCGCATCTAGCAGCGGCAGCAGCAAGCAGCACACCACCTCGTGGCCGATCCAGTAATAGCTCCTCGCAGGCGCGCGCGGAAACACAGGGCCCTCCACCGCGCCGCCGTCCTTGCGGCGATCCAGCGCCGACAAATACGCGCCCGCCATCTCCGGCGTGTTTTCGAACAACACCACCGCCGTGTGCGCGCGCGGATTGCACTCAATCGGGTACAGCACCACCTCGCCATCCCCTGTGTCCGGGACCAGGAAGTCAAAACTCAGATGCCCCGTGAAGCCCGCGCCACCGGCCGCAGCAACGCGCCGCGTGAAGTTCAGCATCGCTTGGTTGAGCAGGCACTGCGTGGGAAGTGCAGTGTAGTGCATTAGCAGCTCGCGCGAGGGGCAGCTGCAGAAGGCTTTCACGGCGCCGCGGACGACAAGCGCGTGCGTGCAGTATTCGTCGCCGGCGATGTGTTGCTGCAGCTGGAAAGGGGTTTGGGGTGTGATATTGAGGGCGTGGATGTATTGCCTTGTCTTTGCGGGGGTGGAGAGGGGAAGGCGGGTCATCATAGCGTTGCGGGCGTGGTCGTCGACGCCGATAGGCTTCATAAGGAAGGACTTGGATGCGTCGGCGGGTTTGTCGCTGGTGTCGCGGAGTAGGATGCTGAGGGCTTCTTCGGGCGAGGTGACACGGTGTGATTCTGGGATCAGCAGGTCCAGCGACTGGATGTAGTCGATGAACTTGTCTTTCTCGTGGAACTTCTCGACTTCGTGCTCATTGAACTGGATGGCTTCGAAGCGGCGCCCGGCTGCTTGCGCCTGCTGCTGCGCGAGGCGTACAACCTGTCCATCCTCGACGGCTGCGATCACCGACGAGCAGCTAATCCAGAGGTCCACCTTCTCGTTACGGATAACCGAGAGGATAGAGTCGATGTACGGCTCGGCATCGTCGCCATTCGGTGTGTCCAATCGGTAATATTTTGCGATTGCGCTGGAGAAGCGGCCTGGAGAGAGGGCAGAGATATCTGCGCCAATGACACGGTGTTGCGTGTTTTGTGAAAGGACTCGGGCGATTGAAAGGCCTTTGGTCATCGAGACCCCCGTCACAAGGATTGTCTTGCGTTGTGTAACAGCTGTGCTTCTCTGTTCTGCTTGCAGGACTTTGTCTCGCCCATTGATCCGCTGCAGGATGAGACAGCACAGCACGAGGCCCGCTGACACGGGTAGACAGAGTAAGCTCAGCGCGACAAGCGACACATTCTTCCACACATGGGAATAGTAGAATGGCTGGCCGCGCTCCTGTTTCTCGCTCTCTGCACCCATTGCTGTGGAGGACTTCTTCGCGATGTTGCTATCTTTCCTTAGTCCGAGTCGTAGCAAACAAACCTCATCAAAAGGAACAAAAGCCTTCGACCCCATCGACCCAGAACGAAGAAGAAAACAAAAGACTAAGGATTCCTAGCGGCTAGGACGGCTGCTAACACACAGGGATATCACATGCGAGTCGTGTATGCATGCAAGCGCGGACGCGGGCGCGTTCTTGTCTCTCACCTGAAAGCGGATTTCAGCGAAAATAGTCTCGACGTCATGGTTATACGTTGATGCATGTGGACCCCTGGTTGGTGCTGCACTTCGCAATTCCTGCATAGTGCATGGATGGGTCAGGGCCCAGGCGCTCTCGTCTGCAGGGTCTTGTTGTGCTGTAATAAAACTTGCAGGGTCGGGTGCTTGTTTGTTTGGGTGGAGGTTGTGGCTATGAAGTCTTGCAGTAGGTGGGAATGGCGCCATGAGCGCAGGACTGTGGACCGTCAAGTACAATGATGGCGATGGCACAGACATAGCGAGGTCTTGCAGTTGCATAATGGAAAAATATGTAATTCTCGAAGCTTTGCAATTGTTCTAATTGTTTTCGCGATACTGTTGCTTCTGTTGCTACAGAAACATTGTCCAAGGGCTTCCTGACAGTCTTGCGGTCCATTCTATCAACAGGTTCCTGCATCTTCTAATGACACACATGTGCTGCCAGGAGCCAACATCGAGTCTGCACCAGTATGTTGCGATTCTCGGGGAGATTGCTCACTTTTGCTCTCCAGTACAACGAGTGATCTCAATGCCATCCTGTGACAAGTCAGCGGTACATTCAACTGCAATTAAGTGGTATGAAGACTTACGGGCACGCCAGTAGGCTCGTAGCTGTTTACCAGATTGCTTTCGTAGATGAGGGTCGGCTTTCCAGGACTCTGGTTGAACTTGGCCTCGCCGTATCGCTTCTCGTACATCTTGACGTTGGTCTCAGCGATACCCTCTGTATTGCTGTTGCCGCTCTGCTTCGCTTTCTTGACCTTCTGTTCGACACTGCTCCTGACGTACTCCAGGTACGGCGGGTTGCCTGGCTTGATCACGTTATCGGCAGCCAACACTGAGCCCTCAGTGATCAAGCCCAACTCCTCGCAGAGTTTCAGATCGGTCGTATAGGCAGGTTTGTAGTGGTCCAAGAACATGAGGTCAATATGCTTCAGCTGCCCAGATTGATACAGACGAGCAATCGATTCATCACTAGAGCCAACGACGACCTTGACAACGTCGGAAAGACCTGCCAGGTCGACAAGAGACATAATGACCGCGGCGAACGCAGGATCGCGCTCCAAGCTGAAGTACCGTTGCCCTCCAGCTTTGCGAACCGCATCACCAAAGAGGACGCATGAATAGCCAACGTAGCCGCCGAGCTCGACCTGATTCATTTGTCAGCTCCGAAGATGACCTCTACCAATTGACATACCATTGTCTTGGGCTTGACTTCTGCAATAAGATCTGTTACTATACGACCCTTAAGCTCTCCTACGTTCATGAGATACTTCTTCGTGCGCCCATATTCGTCAATGGCTGCAAGAACATTCTCGGGCGAGCCCCGAATTTTGTCGATATTGGGGTGGGAGTAAACGAAGTGCAGAAGCTCAATCTCGCGGCCATCATCAAAGAAAGCGCCGTCCTCTTCTTGCGCTGCGTACGCTTTGCTCTGATCGAAGCTGCCCATGATTGTGATTTGTGTTGTTCGAGTGCAATGCTAACTGATGGTAAGCTTGTGGGCTCGACACGGCTCGACGCGTCTAGGGAGGTCCGGATGTCCCTCAGTAGCTGCCCCTCAACGCGTAATTTAGTGCGGGGCATGAGAATACGACGACGGCACTGCATGCATATGTACAAGCTGCATAGCGCACCCACTCAGTGGGCCTGGTGCGAGCCAGACAGACCTCTCGGGAATGAACTTCCATTCAGTCGGCATCATGTCGTCAGATGTTAGGAAATCGTCTTAGCAACGATCTACCCATTCGTCCGTGATCCTGCAAGCAATGCGGGATGTCACTACAAGCGCAATGTACCGTTTTCGTTGGCATATTGCTGTGGCGCCATGACATGCATTTCTAGGGGCTGCTCAGCCGAGTCGTGACAAGCTCGTCGCGCAAGCATGTGGATACGCGAAAACACGATACTGGGGTAAGCTGTGCGGGAGGTTGTGATTGGCGCATTCGCGCATTCTTTCGAGTGCTGACGTTGAGACAGTTGTTCCTGTCCTGAGCGGTTCTAGGCGTGAACGCTGTACCCACGTTTTAGCGGAGACAGCTCCACGGAACTTAATATGAATAAATGGACCGTCCAATATGGTAATATACCTCAGAGATCTGGGATCATCCAAACTCTATCTATCCGACACGGGAGCTAAGATCGCAGGATCTTGTTCGAGTCGCCGGACGTTACGTTGATGATTGGCCAGTGTTGAGGGGCTGAGGTAGAGCAAGGCCGCCTGTGGCTGGACGACAACCGAGGCGTTAGAGACCTTTAGCTACCGATCTGCTGGACATGCTAACCGCCCTTTGTTGAGATGTACCTTCCTCCAAAGACGTCGGAGGCAGGCAGGATGGTGGCGCGGCTGTGAAGTGATGTGATGCCCCGCAACTGCATCTCCACACCGGGCAGTTCTCCGTGCGCAGCACTAAAAGGGCTAGCGTCCGTACTACACTCCTTTCGGTGCCTGGGCTGCAAGCAATTACGATTACACTGCTTCGTCCAAGCATGCAAAAGCCCCTGTTTGCATTGAGGAATCGTGTTTTCCCATGTGCCGGAACCGGGTTTTGCCGTTAATAACTCGTTGGCTCTCAAGTCATTTCATCATGTCCAGCCAGTAACAGTTAGTCCTCAATGTATAGTCGTACCAGATCCACACGAACAAGGCCTACACAGGTCCTCGGCAATGTTGGCGAAGATTCTGCGTATGGTTGACGTTTCTATGAAGCGTTGCCGGCGTGTATCAGCCAATTGAGTGGCACCGTGTACTCAGGCCCCTACGCCTGGTCAAAAACGACATCGGCCCTGGAACACCTTATATAGGACACAAGACCCCGTAGATTGGTGCAACAGACACTCAACGTATCTCTCTTTCATACACACTTTCCCATCATGTCAGACCTCAAAGCAACCGTCGCCGAGACTAAGAACGGCTTCCACGTCGAGGGTTATGAGAAGATTGAATATGACTTCACCTTCATGGACGGCGTCTTCAACCCCGCCAACCCTCAGCTTTCCAACTGCTACGAGCGATGGGGCCGTTGCCTTGCCATCATGGACTTGAACATTTTCAATGTCTATGGCAAGCAGATGCAGACTTACTTCGACCACTACAACATGCCATTGACTATCCACAAGACCATGATTGGTGAGAAGGCCAAGTCCATCGAGACTCTGCTTAGTATCGTCGACTCCATGACTGAATTCGGCATTATCCGCAAGGAGCCTGTCCTGGTAGTAGTAAGTGTCTGCATACGTCACCTTCAGAAATGCATCTAACGTCTCGCAGGGCGGTGGTTTAGTGACTGATGTTGCTGGGTAAAATTATCTCTAAGGCACTCTGGCCTGAAAACGTTTCGAAAACATGACTAACTCGACGTGTTCAGATTCGCGTGTGCTGCCTACCGCAGAAGCACCAACTTCATCCGGATTCCTACCACAGTCATTGGTCTCATTGACGCCAGTGTCAGCATCAAGGTTGCCGTTAACTACGGCAACTACAAGAACAGGCTGGGTGCTTACCACGCTCCCATTCACACCTTCTTGGACTTTTCATTCCTGAAGACCCTTCCCGAGGCACAAGTCCGAAATGGCTTTGCCGAGTTGATCAAGATTTCGACATGCGCTCACAAGCCCACATTCGATCTCCTTGACAAGTACTGTGAGAAGCTAATTACTTCTCGCTTTGGTCGTGAGGGAGACGACCAGGAGGTCCGCCAGGCCGCTGACACCATCAACCGTGCTGGCATCCACGAGATGTTGAAGCTGGAGACACCTAACCTTCACGAGATCGGTCTTGACCGTGTCATCGCCTACGGCCACACATGGAGCCCTCTTCACGAGGTACGTAATTCAACTCATCTTCCAGTCCCCAGTACTAACCTCTTGTAGCTCTCCCCCCCTACACCGCTTCGCCACGGACACGCCATCTCTATCGACATGGCTTACTCCGCGACGTTGGCTAATCAGCGTGGTCTTCTCTCAGACGAGGAGCACCGCAGGCTGTTGAACTTGTTCTCTCGTGCTGGTCTGTCCATGGACCACGAGATGTTCGACGAGGACATGCTTGACAAGGCCACCAAGGCTATCCTCAAGACCCGTGATGGTCTCCTCCGTGCTGCCGTTCCTAACCCCATCGGTACATGTGTTTTCCTGAACGATGTATCGGCTGATGAGATGAACACCGCTCTGCGAAGGCACAAGGAGCTGATGAAGGAATACCCCCGCAACGGTGAGGGTCTCGAGGCTTACGTGGACGCATCCGATACAGGATACACACAGAACGATGTTGCCATCGAGGATGCCCTGAAGAAGGACGAGGTTGCCGAGAAGCTGAGCAATGGGAAGGCTGATGGACTAAGCAATGGCCACAAGCAGGCTAACAACGGCATTCCTGTTGGCCTTCAGGGCATTGCCAATGGTTACTCCAATGGTTACAAGAACTAGATTCGAAAGGAAAAGGATAAAAAAGCTTGGGAAAAGTACTTGTCTGACGGCTGGTCTGAGTACGTCAGGAAGTTAGACCGCGTTGCACTTAAAACTTAAACCTCTTCGATACCAAACATTTCAATTCTCACAACCCAACATCCGAGCATGTTGCCTGTGATCAAGTCGTTGTCCTCTTCTCTCGCCTTTAGTCCCTTTCTATCCGCATTATATCGTTCAATGCCTCTAGATCGACGTAAACGATGAATGACCTGTGTTATAGGTCGTCGTTTTGAATTGCGTTGACCATTCGCGTGGCTTGCGTGGAGATGACTAGTTTGACGCTTCGCACATGGATGTCAAGAATGTCACGAGCTTGGCGCTAGTTTGCAGCTTTTCACAATCGCGTTCAACGCGCATCGCTGGGGTTACGCGTCTCGTGAAGTACTGCAGATCACGAGCCGCTCTTGCGTACGCGGCATTTTACTGATGCACAAATGCCTGAGTAGCAGAAGAGTATGTGCTCCCTAAAATCGACACCGACATCCCATCGCCATCACTAAAGACGACCCAACGAGAAACCAGTTTCCTAACAGGAGAGTTATTCGCGGGGCCCACGCCACCCGAAAGTGACTGGCAACCAGAAGCAGTGGATGATGCTAATGGTCGTGGCTGGGCCCCTGAGCTTTTTTGATAAGGAAACAGAAACGGGTGTGGGCGTTGAGAAGATTTTATAGCAACGGGGACGGAGCAAGCAATCGCCGACGTGCTAACCGTTTTGGGTTGGATAGGTTTCTTGAGCCTCTAAATGTTTGCTACCTAGGAAAAGTATGAACTTCGTTATCTTGAAATGTACCAGGCTATGAATACGCTTTCAGGATCTGCAAATCTGCAGGCTGCTGTCAATGCGCTTCGTTGGAGAGCTAGTAAGATGGTGCAGCCGTAGCCTTGTACCTATCACCTAGACATCGTTCAACCCTAGACAAATATGGGCAGGCTTCTAAAAGCTTCAATCCCCGTAGCCAGATTGCGAGCATACTCATTGCGCGACTGATGTACCAGAAAGCAGGAATTTGGGTGGCTCACGCGTTGTTAGCGCGATCGGCAGCAAGCGACGTCAGTAACGTCTTCCATAAACATGCATTTCGCCCAGACCTCCCCCTCGCATCTTTGTTACACGGAAAGTATGACTTCAAAAGCGACTGTACAGGCAACTTCAATCGACGGCGATAAGCTGAACACACCTTTGAAGAGTGTGCTGAATTTCAGAGATGTCGGCGAGTTTGTCAATAGAGCCTCAGGGAGAAAGTGAGTAAGTCTGCAATTGGAGTTTGCAAAGCTGACGAATCACAGGAGTCTAAAGACGAGACTGTTGTACCGAGGCGCGCGACCAGGTCAGTTCTAGTCCTTCTTCCAAGCATACAAGCACTGACTCAAACAGATGAAGCAACAGTAGGCGACCGAGAACGCCTTGTAAAGGAATATGGTGTGAGGAGCATCATTGATCTTCGAACAAAGTATGCAAGACAGAGCTGTCCAAGGTGTGCAGACTGACAGAGGCAGAACCGAGCATATCGAACAAGCCCAGAAGCGAGATAGCAAAATCAAAGCATCAGCTGCGATCCCTCAGTCCAACGACGATGTTGCTGGACCTCTCAAGATGCCAGAGGTTACGTATCACGAAATCAACTTCAATGGCTCAGCATTCTCGCGAATGCTGATTTCCAAGCTCACCTGGCTGGAATTCTTTCGCCTAGCCGGACTCATGCTCTTTGGATACCGCCTCGATGCAATCAAGGTACTGTCGCCACACATGGAAGAGATGGGTCTTTTCGGACTGGCAAAGAGCTCAGTAGACGTCTGCACCAAGGAAGTGAAGCAGGTCTTTGATGTCCTCGCAGACGACAGGAATTGGCCCGTGTTAGTTCATTGCACACAAGGCAAAGATCGGACAGGCCTGATTGTGATGCTTGTCCTTTGGCTAGTCCAAGTCGAGGACGATATCATCGAAGAGGACTATCTGCTTTCTGAGCCCGAGCTTGCGTCGGAGAAAGAGTCTCGAATGAAAGAGATCGGCGCGATAGGCCTGTCTGAACAATTTGCGGTGTGCCCGCCAGGTCTTACAAAAGAAGTCCATTCACACATTCAGGAGAAATATGGTGGCGTTGAGAAGTACTTGCTGGAGAATGTTGGGGTTAGTCAAGAAACGCTAGGGATGCTGAGAAGGAGGATGCTGGCCGCTGATTCGTAGAGAGCCGCGCGTTCGCGTTCGCATATTTTATCGATTGAACCTGGTCTCAGTCGCAAAAGTGCAGCAAAAGTGTGGACATGAACCCAAGACATGTCCAAAAGACGCGATTTTTGGTTTTTGCTGCTCGCACGGCAAGGTGCTACCGATCTAAGGGCCCTGAGTGCTACAGTTCCCTTGCTTTGTGGCTTCGTTATCGCGGGGTGTTGGCGTTTCAGGTGTAGAAGCTAGGACTGACACCAGATTCGCTTAGTGGGCTACACCGTTCAAGCTTGGCACATGCAGCTGTCTTTAGAAAACACCACGTCTTCTTATCGTTCCCCAAAATTCTCTGGAGTTGCGCAAGATGAGCGGCAACACCTCTGAGGAGACTTTCGAGTTCATCGAAACGCCTGCGGCGTCTTCGACCGTCTCCGAGTTTGATTGCGGGGTCAAGACCACTTCGGTACGCAACATCCCAACATTTTGGCGCGAGTTTGGCGAGCCATTGAGTGCTGAGAGAAAGAGCAATTGAGCTGACAGATGATGTGGATAGTACCCTACAATTGCCAATGCCCCCCTCCCTGCTGAGGGCTCTGGCCGCGAGTCGTTCAACAACTACGCCCTCCTCTCGCTCGTACTCGGCGTTCCTGCCTACCTCACCTGGAAGATTGGCGGCGGCTTGAAGACCTGGATCTTCATTGGCCTCCTCACCTTCTTTCCTATCCTCGGACCTTTCTGGTGGATCACCTCCGAGTTCGCGCCCCGCAAGAACGAGAAGGCCAAGCTCCCCGGCAAAGACATTGAGCACTACCTCAAGTTCAACAAGGAGGAGGATCGCGATGCCTACTATGGCAAGAAGAAGATTCCCATCGAGACTTTCCAGGAGAAGTACTTCGATGGTGAAGTTGAGTTGAAGGGCGACATGCTCGACATTCTCGAATGGCGCCACGACTGGTCAAAGCCCCGCATGACCCTCGGTCTGATCAAGCACTTCCTCTTTGGCATGATTCCCGAGATGATTGTCCACTCCAAGTCCCAGGGTACGTTTCTTGCTTTCAACTAGCTTCCGCACCGACCGCAGCTAACATCACCTCAGACGAGGAGCAGGTGCGAGACCACTACGACCGCGGTGACGATTTCTACGGCTGGTTCCTCGGTCCACGCATGATCTACACATCTGGTATCATCTCCGACATCAACAAGGAAGAGACTCTCGAGCAGCTCCAGGACAACAAGATGGCCATTGTTTGCGAGAAGATCGGCCTCAAGAAGGACGAGAAGATGCTTGACATTGGTTGCGGTTGGGGTACGCTCAGCAAGTTCGCTTCTGCCAACTATGGTGCTCAGGTTACCGGTATTACACTTGGTCGCAACCAGACTGCCTGGGGCAACAACGGTCTCAGGAAGGTCGGTGTCTCGGAGGAACAGTCCAGGATTCTCTGCATGGACTACCGCGAGATCCCCGTTCCCGCTGGAGGTTACGACAAGATTACATGTCTCGAGATGGCCGAACACGTCGGTGTTCGTCACTTGGCTGGCTTCTTCCGTCAGGTCAATGGTATGCTCGAGGACGATGGTGTCTTCTTCCTCCAGATCGCTGGTCTGCGTAAGGCATGGCAATTTGAGGACTTCACCTGGGGTCTCTTCATGAACAAATACGTCTTCCCTGGTGCCGACGCTTCCACTCCTCTGGGCTTCGTCATTGACACCCTTGAGGGTGCTGGCTTTGAGATCAAGATGGTCGACACTATCGGTGTCCACTACTCGGCTACTCTCTGGAGGTGGTACCGTAACTGGCTCGGCAACAAGGATAAGGTCAACGCCAAGTACGGTGCCCGCTGGTTCCGCATCTGGGAGTACTTCCTTGCCTACTCTACGATTGCATCCCGCCAGGGTTCTGCAACCTGCTTCCAGATTACCTGCGTCAAGAACCTTAACGCCGTTCACCGTATCGACGGTATCAACACCCAGTACTCCCTGGCTGGAGCTCTTGAGGCGAGCAAGGCCAAGATGCGTAACCTCCTCCCTAAGAACATTTGAATTGATGACAATGTTTGATATGCTGCTTCGGCAGATTATCGACAGTATCGTCGATTCAAGTGAAAAGTCGGCTATCCAGATGCATAGGATAGCCTCGATGTAGAAAAAGTTGTAGTTGCATCTTGTTTGATGCATCGACTTGGACCGAGTAATGAGCATGATTTGTATGACGATATGGAACATATGAATGTCACAACGTAGCGCATGTAACAATGAAACCTGCTACCACCTTTACAAACTGTTCTTCTGATTGACTTCGAGGTCTAACTTAGCGACTAAGCTGCTGCCATCATGTGGGCTGCAAGGCTGTGATAGTCACCACCATGCGAAAAGCCGTTTAAATTTTTGCCACGGCCCCACCGCGCGTTTGAAAGCTTTGGGTGGGGCAGACCGAAACCAAACCCCACACGTACCGTTCGCAACCGCGCACGCCAAACGAGCGCAAGTTTTGCATGAACGCGGCGTGGATGGACGGTGGAGCATTGATGAAAAGTAGATTATATTATTTCAAACCTCCGGAATCTTCATCAATCAATATATTAGACCTCAAAATCTGACATACGGTGGTATGGTCTAGTGGTATGACGTCGCGTTGTGGCTGGCGAACACTCAGTGTTCCGATCCAGATCCGCGCCAGCCCGTGTTCGATTCACGGTACCGCCAATAAGTGCGACATCTTTTTTTGCTGCTTGCTCGCCTTCTCACCGTGCTGGAAGCGATGCGAGAATAGTGCCATTCTTTTTTAGTTGGGTAGATCTGGCAGCGTGCAGATAGGGCAAGGGACATACGTAGACGATCTGATATTCAAGGCGGACTACTCAACTTTGCATGAGCAATTGATGTGAGATTAACTGCGACCCTCGTCGTTCTCGACTAGACCTAGCTGCACATGATTGGCAGTTTAATTGAAAGTGTCTACATCGCCAATCGCTTGCGTTATCTTTGGATACTTTTCGAACCGGACATCTTGGATTCTAGACATCAGGCACACAGTGCGAATATAAAACGAAGAGCACGTCAATCCAGTCAGGCACACACGGAGCCCAAGAAAACCGAACTATCTTTCTGCCGCTCTCTAGGTAGTTGTGCAATTCCAAGTGCCGCCGGGCAGTGCTCGGCGAGTCTCGATGAGGCAATATCGCAGTATTGTAGCGCAATGGACGGCTAAGGTCGCGCAACCCCAAGTCTCCGGGTGTAAGGTAGATCTTCCCCGGAGTTCAGTGCGGCCGACCAAGACTGGGCTCGGATCATACTAGGTCATGGGCCGATATTAGGATAGGAAAAATGGCAGGAGCACGCCATGGATGTTGATGGCGGCGCTTTTGAGTTGTTACAGAGACAATATATACTGCAGTATCGCGTCTAAAATAACTGTCTTGTCTGGTAACATTGGGATTAATTGATTTGAAAGAATGGCCTCCTCAGCTACAAACGACAGCATTGAGCGTCTCGATTCCAAGCCGCGCGCGACGTACTCCGATGTCGAGAAGCAGCTTACGATCGAAAACAATGAGCCGAGCAAGCCTGAACCGAAGAGTTTGGGATCTGGAGTAGAGCAGTACTTCTTCACTCAGGCTGCTTCCTTACTGACGACGACTACAGACCGCGCTCGCAATCGGCGTCTTTGCGACGACACTAACCACCCTGTCACTGAGCCTGATGGAGTGGCGCGGAGTGACAACCAACAACGTCTTTGTACGACTCCGCAGTCTCTGTCACTGACTTTTACTGACTTACACAGGTTGCTAATTTCTTCTTTGCGGCGGCGTTCGGTTTGCTCATCACTGCTCAGTGGGAGCTCTCTGTCGGAAACGGGTTTGCATACACAGTTTTCAGTGCTTTTGGTAAGTCTACTGCTCCCAAGTCAAGTTTAGATGTGCTAAAGCTGTCAGGTCTCTTCTACGCGGGCTATGGAGCGATTCTGACTCCAGCGTTTGGGGTTATTGAGGCGTATGGTGATAACACCACCGAGCTGAACAATGCTCTGGGTTTCTTCATGATCTGTGAGTTATTTGATACTTCAGAAAATAAATGCTAATGCGAACGTAGTATGGACGGTATTCGCAGTCGTCTTCCTCGTTGCGTCACTGCCAACCAACCTGGTCTACATTGCGATCTTCTTCACAGTTGTCTTCGGCTTCCTTCTCGTAGCCTCGAGTTACTTTGCCCTTGCAGACGGGAACATAGCTGCGTCCATCGCACTCAAGAAAGGTGGAGGCGGCTTCTGCTTCGTCTCGGGACTGATTGGCTGGTAAGCTTGCTCGAACGCAACGCCCGATGACATCCACTGATCCGACCAGGTACTTGACCTTCCACCTGCTCTTGAAGGACTCGATTGTTGAGCTGCCATTGGGTGACACATCCCGGTACTTTGCCAAAACTAAGAGGGTGTAGATGGGATCTGTGGGATTGCGGCAGACTGGAGTACCGAGTGTAGATCTTGATCTGTTTGGGGTTCACGGAATGGTCCGAGAGCCATGAGACGCGTGGTTTGTCCAGGGGATGTTGCAGTGCGGGGGATGAGGTGATTGTGATGAAGGATTGCGCTCGCATGGTGTAGTTGAGGGACTAGATCGAAATTGGTTAGCTCATGCAATCTAGCGTGACTGTCAGGATATCTTTCGGTAGACACTACAGTGAGCAGGTATCTAACCAGCAAATCAGTGCATTTCGGCTATGCATTAGTTTCCTTGAGATGCTAGAAACGATTACGGGATTATCTCCTCCTCATCTTGAAGTCGCCGACATTGGCACCCGCAATATGGGCAAAAAGTGGGTGCATAGCACGCAATATGTAGCAAGCCCAACTAGTACGAGAGGCTGAGGCCATATGAGGGCTGTATTCTGCCCTTCTGATTTGCGTGTACTTTTTTTTCTGCAGCTCAGTCAACGATGGCTTCCACGAACGGCACCAATGGTAGTACTACTCATGGCAATGCGAAGCAAGTCCCCTTCCGCGACCCAGCAGTCTACTCGGAGTATGAAAAGAAATGGAGCGATATACCAAATGACGAGGTAGCCTGGCTTAAGCGTGCCCAAGATGTTGCAGACGTTCTTGCCATCGACGCTGCTGTGAGGGACCAAGAGAACAAATCCCCCAGAGCTGAAATCGCACTACTGAAGCACGCTGGCTTACTGAAGATCCTCGGTCCAAAGAAGTACGGCGGTGGGGAGCAACCTTGGAGTGTAGGCTATAAGGTTATTCGCAAAGTCGCTGAAGCAGACGGGTAAGTGACTTACATTCCGCTGCCAGATGGTGTATTGACAGATGCAGCTCCATTGGCATGCTCTTAGGCTACCATCTGCTTTGGAGCACCACCGCAAATGTTGTCGGAACCGAAGAGCAAGCCGACCGGTACCAAAAGCTGATCATCGAGAACAACTACTTTATCGGCGGCGCAGTGAACCCGCGAGACAATGATCTCAAGATCACTGCGGAGGGGGACAAACTTGTTTTTACAGGCTTCAAGCACTTCAATACAGGGGGTGTTATCTCCGACCTGACGGTGTTGGAAGGCGACTTCAACACCACCGGCGACCACATCTTCGCATTTGTTCTCACCGACCAGCCCGGCATCCAATTCTCCCACGACTGGAACAACATCGGGCTACGACTCACCGAGTCCGGCAGCGTCAAGATCAATAACGTGACAGTGCCATGGGAAGACGCGTTGGGCTGGGACGCAGCACTGAAGAAACCCGACCCCGCCGCACTTCAGATCCCATTTGCATCTCTGCTGCTCCCCACCATCCAACTCGTCTTCAGCAACTTCTACCTCGGCATCGCGCTGGGCGCACAGCACGCTGCGTCCGCGTACACCGTCAAGGGCACCCGCGCGTGGCCCTACGGTGGAGATGTAAGCCTCCATTCCCCCTCTGCGGAACACGCGCCACTGACACACCCAGAATAAGGAGCGGGCAACCGACGAGTTCTACATCCTCGAGCGCTACGGCAACTTCCACGCACATCTGCGCGCCGCCGTCGCGCTTGCAGACAGTGCCGGCGAGCAGGCGAGCCGCATCTACGCCGCTTACTCGGGGCCCTTAGCGACGCGGGCGCAGCTCACAGCGCGCGAGCGGGGTGAGCTGGCCGAGTGGGTTGCGAGTACCAAGGTGGTGACTACGGATACGGGGCTGCGGGTGACGGCGGGGGTGTTCGAGGTGACAGGGGCGAAGGCGACGAGTTTGAAGGTCGGGCTTGATCGGTTCTGGAGGGATATTAGGACGCATACTCTGCATGATCCTGTGGCGTATAAGAATCGGGAGCTGGGGAGGTTTCAGCTGTTGGATGAGATTCCGGAGGTGACGTGGTATACCTGATCAGGAAGTTGAGATGCATTTTGTTGGTATGAATGCCAGAGATTAACCAATCAGTTGTCGTGGTCTTGCTCTAGATTCAATGTGAATTGTTTAGCAGTGAGCAGTATGGTTGTATCCGTGTCGGAAGTGCTGAGAGTGCTGCTTTGGTGCTTGATAATGTGCGTGAAGAAAGTTTATAGAGGGACCTCATGAGAATACGCCCAGAAGGTAACTTCGTTCCCAAGTAATACCCTCTTGATACGCTGTCTACCAGCCTAGAGTCTAACCCCTCTAACAAGTACCCACAACACGACAGGCACAATTACATTATCATTACCGCCCGTCAACACCGCCTCATTCAGACTGGCGCCGGCCGCGCACAGCACTGCCTTGCCGATCGTTAGCGAGGCATCAACAGCCAACTCCATAACTGTCTTGGTTTCTGCATTGACTTCGCCCCAGCCAAAGTGCAGCCACACCCTGGCAAAGACAAGACCAATGGTAACAGCAACAGCGAATGCCAATGAGCCTTCAAGAGACTTTCCACCAGCCCATGGCCATTTTCTTCTACCGTAGCGCCTGCCAATGAGTGATGCTGCTGCGTCACCCATGCCTACACAGACAACGCCAGCAACCATACTAACATCTCTCGATTTGACTTCCCAGCCATCCCATGGTTCGTCACCGGCACGATCAACGCCTGCTAGAGACAGCCAGAGTGGGATAGCGCAGCCGATCAGTAAGAAGATATGTGAGACCACAACAGGTCCACGTAGGTCTCGTCCATCGACGTAAGGTGTGAGGAATGTCGCAATCGGTCGCGAGAGCGGTGGAAGCTGACTTGCGCGAATCAGGTCGAGCAGCAGGAAGACTGCGAGCACGAGGCTGAGGGCGAGTGCGACAAAGCACGGATCGATAAAAATAGTTGGTAATAACATCGCCACCATGGTACCATGAAACACCTTTCTCCGTGTGTCGACTTCGACCAACGCGGAGAGCGAGAGAACGGACACGAGACCAACGACTATGGTGCCGGCGCAGTAGACGCATAGCAGGAGTCGAGTGTTTGCTTCGCCGAGGATGATAGTGCGAATGTACTCTGCTGGCGCAAGATTTGCAGCTGCTTGTGCCAGATCATCCGAGTCCTGCATTGGTGGGAGTGGTACCCACCAGTCAAGGTTCCAGTGGAAGACCTCCCAACGCAACTTTTGGACGTTACCAAAGAGGTAGCTGATGGCCCAGCCAAATGGTTCGTGCCCACGCAGTGCATACTTGCCAATAACAAATCTCAAGGGCCCAAGTATAATCAACACAACGATCACGTAGAAGTACCCCGCATACGCCCATTTCCTGAGCATGGCCTGAGTGGGTGTCAGGGACAGGTAAGACTGTAAAATGGACCTTGAGCGTTTTCGGCCTGTGAGTCGGTGTTTCGAGGTATGATCGTCAGCAATAAGCGCAGGCAGTGTGTTCCTGCGCATGCGTCTTTGACCATTTACTGCGTTGGCATCGTTGTTGGCGTTCTCAAAGCCAATCTTCCGTGGATCTACCGCCGACTGAGGTTCTTGTCCATTATTCGAAATGTTGCTGTATGTTGTATCCAATGTGTTTAGCTTAAAACTGATAGTTTTCTGCAGCGGAATTCTTGACATGGATTCGTCTTCGTCAGCATCACTATCCGAAACATGTCCTCGTGTCGTGCTTTGGCTTCGCTTCGGCCGTAAGCTTTCGTTCAGAGTCTGGAGAAACGATTGCCGGTTTCTGATAACCTGTCCGGCGCGCCTGAAACGCCATCGTGGGATTCTAGCAAGTGCGACACCCCATTTAAGGACTTTTCCGCAGGTGACGAAAAGTCCAACCCCGCCGAGCCACATCATGATTGTAAGAATATCCGCCTGCGGCGATGTGGCAAAGAGGAGGAGGTTGATTAATCCAATGGAAAGCAGGTGGAGTTCCGTGGATAGCAAGCTCGTTGTGGTAAGATAATAAAGTGGTGGGAGCAGAGCTTGGTGCAGCGGGAAGAGTATTACCAGAATATCGGGATCAAGTCCTTGCTCCGGGGGAGGCAGCTTGAGCTTGTATGGCCGCGACGCAAGAAGTTTGGACGGTATGTCCGTGTTTTCTGAAGCTAGAAGTGGTAACACCGAAATGAGCCAGTGAATCGAGGAGTAGCCTAGCAGCGGCCTGCCGAACGGTACAAGTTGCGGGGGAAGTGCGGCGAGTCCAAGTATGATATTGGCCAGGAGCGGTTTTGGATATGATGCGAAAAGAGAAATTGACAATAAGGCCGGCAGAATGGCTGGGTATAGTATCGGGGCTGGATCGAAGGACGCAGGTATTCGTATTCGCTGGCGAAATCGTAGCGCTGAGGGAGGATCCGCTCTCCATGAATGATAAAGCAGCCTGAGAGGGTAGATACCCATGACGCCTGCCATGACTGCAGCATGCGTGACGAATTCTGCTAAACACTGATCAGCTACCTGCTTCATACCTTCTAGCATAGAAAGGGACTGACCTCTATGCCACTCAAGTAGCTTGGACCAACAGTCGCAACCATTGATCGCGAGAAGACCTATCCCAGCCAAAAGTCCCGTCTCAGTCACTCTCCTGACCACTTCATTGCGTCGCCTCTTGAGGTATTTCTGCCTGGCTGCTTTCGCTTCCTGATCTGTTGCAGACGCATTTCCAGCTTGTGCTGGGTCTTTCTTGCCCTTGAAATATTCATCAGAGTACTTTCGTACTTCTTCCTCGATTTGTGTTGGGGTCAGAAGTGGGCTGAGCCCCTCCTCCCGAAAGCCCTTTAAACCCTTGCGTGGCCTCAAGGGAGGCGCAGGCAGAGCTTTCACGAACTGGTATCCTTCATCGTCGGCCTCAGTACCGCTCTCGCTAGGCGACTGCGAATTACGTTTCCTCCGTTTCCGGCGGTCTTCGTCGGATATTGTGCGGTCGGAGGAGCGAGGGGGGGTCCGAGATGCAGATGCGTTGTTACTCGAGGGATTGCTGGAAGTCTGCGCGTTACTCAGGTCGGCTCTGTGACGGAGGTATGGATGCGGCGAGCGACGAAACAGCTCGAGTGCTTCGATCTCAGAGGCGGGGGGCGCATCCAGCGACACGTCCGAGGGGTCGGCTTCGTGCATTGCGCTACGCAGTCTGCAAGCCCTGACTGTGTCGCAGTCTGTGGCGCAAGGTGTATGTACGGCGACCTATCTGGCGACCGGTATGGTGTGCGCGACGTACGCAACGTTTTCGACAAGTCGGTTTTATCGCTATACGAGAGCGCCGTCTTTGGTGGGTTCGATGCGCATTGTGGTGTGAGATCAGCGAGTGTGTTCAATGCCAGCCGTGGGAGAATGGAGAGAGTGGAAGGAGTGAATTGGCTTGCGTCAAGGTCGAACCTTGCATAGCCCAGGAAATGTCTCGTCTAGAGCCAGACTTGAACCCTTGACTGTCCTCACTTCTAGTGGCATGGCGCGTGTTGGGGAAAGCCGGTGCTGACGTTGGTCTCCACTTTCGGCAACTTTAGCCCGAATTGTCGTCGACCGTACAGTCACATGCAAGATCGACCGCAGCGGGCATGTGAACGTGAGTGATGGGTTAATTACTATGTTCATGTTGTACAATGGTCTACGCTATCTCGACTTTGCTCAAGATAGGGAACACGTGGGTTGTGACCGCTGCAGTCTTCCAGAGGCCTTCACAAGTACTTGTGCTCCTTGAGCCACGCCTTGACATCCTCAGAATCACGCTCGATCCAAGCAGCCTTTGCGCTGATGCTGTCGAGAGCCTGCGAGAGCGACATGTCGAAACCCTTGGTGTTCTTGTCCTTGAAGAACCCTTCGATCTCCTTGATGTGCTCGCGGTGTGTGAAGCTTGATGTAGAGATGGAGACAACAGAGCTCAACAGTGGCAGACTCACAGGGAGTCTCTTGACAAGCTCATCCCAGTTGTCCTTTGTCCACTTCCAGAGCGCATTGCATCCCTCCACATGCCCACGAAGGCCAGACAAGGGCAGGTAGATGTCCTGGGTCTTGACATCCTTGCTGAGCGAGAGATCAAGTGTGCGCTGGATGAGCTCGGGAGACTTGGCGCGTCCAAGTGCACGCAGCGCAGTGTTGCGCTCGACACTGGTCTCCGCATTGATGGCTTCGTTCAAGACGATCTCGTACTCCGCCTTACCACCTTGGTCCAAGACGATGGCGTAGACGCTGCCTCGAAGGTTAGGGTGGATTGCCTTCTTGTCGCCAGCCTTAAATTTCTCCAGCATCTCAAACGCCGCCTTGGAGATAGCCTCGTCAGAAAAGCCAGCCGCACCGAACATCATAGTCTTGAACTGCTGCTCGAGATGCCCGTCCTTCTCAGTAAAGGTCCAGCCCATTTCGTGTGCCTTGCTACCACACAACTCACCCTGGAAAGCCTTTAGGGCGTTCTTGACTTCTTGATCCTCGAACATCCATGCGCCGCGCAGTGTGGCAATACGAGTGATGATCTCAGACCAGACGACGTATTCAGGCTCCTGTTTGAAGCTGTCAAGCAGTGATAGGATGCCAGATGTCTTCTGATAGCCAGAAGCAGCCAATGAGCCAGCGTCAGCGATCATACCAGCGCGGTCCTCGACAGAGAGAAGCCCTTCCTTAGCGGCAGCACCAAGCTTCTCCAATCGTTCAGGAGTGTAGGAGGTACGGTAGAAGCCGGAATGATCGGCGTTGAGCTTGAAGAAATCTGTGTTCTTAAGCTTAAGTTTCCTCTCACGCTCGAAAAGAGTCACATCCTCATCCACGCCCTCCTTAGTGCGGAGAGCCAGGAAAATGGGATAAAGAGTCTCGTCTTCCTCAGGCTTGACGTCACCTGTGCGAAGGTAACGGTTCTGCTTCAGGTGGATGGAGTCGGAATCCTCAGTGACACTGACAACCGGGAATCCAACCTTCTTCGTCCAGATATCCATGACCTTTTCCACGTCTTTGCCACTAGCATCAGACAGAGCAGCCCAGAGATCACCAGTCTGAGTGTTACCATAGGCGTGCTTCTTGAGGTACCGGCGGATGCCTTCCATGAAGACGTCCTCGCCTAGGTATTTGGAGATCATGCGGATGACACTCGAGCCCTTGGAGTACGAAATGGCATCGAAGATCTGGTTGATTTCGTCTGCTCTCTTGATCGGGACTTCGATAGGGTGACTGCTCCGCAGCGAGTCGAGAGACAACGCGCTCGCAAGGGTGTCGGTGACGTAACCCTCCCAGACCTTCCAGTCAGGGTAGAAGACGTTGCAAGAGTACCAGGACATCCATGTTGCGAAACCTTCGTTAAGCCACAAGCCTTCCCAGAAGTCCATGGTAACCAAGTTGCCAAACCACTGGTGCGCAAGTTCATGCTGTACGGTCTCAGCAACTCGTTGCTTGGTGGAAGCACCAGCATTCTTCTCGTCGATGAGGACATCAACCGTGCGGTAAGTGATCAAGCCCCAGTTCTCCATGGCGCCTGCACTGAAGTCAGGGATGGCAACCATGTCCATCTTTGGCAGAGGGAAGGAGCTGTCGAAGGTCTCCTCGTAGAATTTCAGCGTCTTTGCGGCGAGGTCGAGCGAGAACCTGCCGTGCTCGATGTCGCTACCCTTAGGGGCGTAAACTCTAACGGGGACACGGAAGTCCTTGGTCTCGATGTAGTTCAACTCTCCAACGATGAACGCCAAGAGGTACGTCGACATGAGTGGGGTGGGGTTGAAGGTCACGGCCTTCCTCTTTCCGCCGACGATCTTGGAATCCACCTGCTTCTCCGAGGCTACGTCCATGTTACTCAAGCAGGTCATCTTCTCATCTGCAATAAGTGTGACTGTGAACTTCGACTTCAATGCCGGCTCGTCGAAGCAGGGAAAGGCCCGCCTAGCATCGGTCGGCTCCATCTGCGTTGTAGCCAGCCATGTATCTGAGCCGTCTGCAGCCTTCGACGACGAGCGGTAGAAGCCTGCCATATCGTCGTTGAGGGAACCGGTGAAGGTCATGGTGAGCTTGGCCTTGCTGCCGCCGGGGATGGTGTGGTCGAAGTCAACCTTCGTCGTCTGCTTCTCCTCATCGAATGTGACGCGGGGGCTGCTGGAGATGACATTGTCGCCGGCGGTGACCTTGGTCGAGTGGATCTTGAGCTCGTTGGTGTTGAGGGAGATCGAGGTGCTGTCTTCAACAACGTCGAGGCTGGGGAGGTTAGCATGTCATTGCGCCGTAATCAGTGCCTCGTACATACTCAATGGTCACCGAACCCTCGTACGTGAACTTCTCAAAGTCCGGCTCGAGAGTCAGGTCGTAGTGGAGCGGCTTGACGTTGGTGGGCAGCACCTCGCGGGACTTCGTGACGTCCACATGCGAGTGAACGTCTGCGCCAGAGTGTCTACACATGTTGCGGCGGTGGGAGCAGTGTCTGACGGAGGTCAAGGGAGTGTGTCGAGAAGGTTGGGTGGTCCGTCGAGGGGTGGTGTATGTGGCGCGAGACGCGTTGGTGGGGTAGCAAACAGCTTTCGTGGGGCTATGTATGCAGCGGCGAGGACAAAGGTTCGGGACCGACGACACTGACAGCGAGGCGGTGAATGCTGCCCGCCTGGGCAGGCGCGCTCCTATCTTGGTGAGCGCGTGATCTGCTCTGCGCAGGCCGCCATGATGCCTGAAGCAATGCATCTACTCGTCTATCTGCGATGCAGTGAACCCTGAACGCCTGGGGAAGATTTGCCGCAAGCAGACAAGCAGGCGCGAATCTGGCACATCGGCGCCAAGCCCCGGCCTGCACGCGCCATTTAAACCTCGCAGCCCTCGGCCAATCCTGCTCTTCAACACCGCAATGAACAGCTCCAGCGCACCCCTCTCACGGACGCGCTGGGGTCTGGCGACACGTCGCCAGTCTTTGCCAGACTATAAGCAGTCGTTTGAGCCCTTCACGAAATTCCATGAGTCGTCGGGTATAGAAGTATTGCAACATATCATTGAAGTCGTGCCGGCGTTGCCTTTGAAAAAAAAAAGCGAAAGCTTGGGCGCATTTGTTTGGAAAATCTCAGAACTCGATTCTGAGGGATGCTGGAAATCCCTGAAGCTATGCATTGCAGCCCTTGAGATTGCTCCGACCGTTTGGATTATCTGTGCTTCGAGCACGAGGTCGAATCAATCTGACAGGTCCACGGGTATGCGTTCATCCTGGTTCGTCACCTCCCGTAGCATCAACATCTGCCCAGACAAAGAGTGTCCTGCAGGTCTTGCGTCCTCATCTCGTGTCGAAGCAATGGCAATCGACGGTCAACGCCACAGGTTGACCGCTGTTCTGCACAACCAAAGGACTTTCACACTCTGACTTCCAAAAGCGTCAACCGCGAGCTGCACAATCACTTACACAAGATGCACAGTTGATGCTTATGTCATGAAAACAACGCGAGACATATTTTGCTCTTCATACCAATCCGTACATTACAGTGCGCCTGCTCTCATGTCCCATCAGAACCGTGAGGTTAGAAGACTCGGAAGAAGCCGGGTGCGTTCTCATATCTGTGCTGGAGATTTTCAGCCTCTGGTCGCAACACACACATACTAGAATGTACCGGTCTTGAAGATCCAAAGTTTTACACGACTGACAGATATGTCATTACAACTGGGCGCTGCATGGCACTTGCAGGAGGACCCTGAGAAGAGTGAAGAGCATGATGCACGTGCATGCCGTGACCAATATATGTTCTGTCTTAGGCACGCACTACCTGGGCACATGTTGGATGTCGAACGATACTTTGTCGAGAAGTTCAAGGCTGCCTTGTCCCGCTGAAGTCGATGGGATCATAGATGTGAAATGGTCGAATGGGAACCTCCAGTAATCAAGCAAGCGCGAGCCAATCACCTGCCTGCTGATTAAGAACGCGCCAAGAATCGTGAGCGCAGAAGGGACGATTCTTTGCGCTCGACGTCTAGTATCACCACCGCCGCCAACCCCATCGATCCACTCTCCTCTCCGTAGGCTCCGAGCCACCTTCACATCACCATGTTGGCTCGATCCGCACTGCGTACGGCGCGCACAGCCGGCGCTGCAGCCCGCAATGCTGCCAGCAAAACAGCTTCGGTACGACCCCCGGATGCCCTCCACGACCCGCCCCAGCTCCCGCGAGCCTCGACGACTTCAGTCCTGCCTCTGCGATATCGGTCACCGGGTTTATGATACCCATTGATACAGTTGCTGACGAATTGGGTGATACAGCGCTCCGCCTCCACCTCCACCGCCGAGGGAGCTGCCTCTTCCTGGAAGAACAACGCCCTCCCCGCTGGCGCCACCATCTTCTCGATCGGTTCCGTCGCATGGTATCTCCACCTCTATGGAGGCAACGCTGATGCCATGACACCTGCTGAGGAAGGGTGAGTGTTCCCGGAACCCACACTTGGCCACGACCGCGAAATTGTGGAAGGCCAATTGTTAGGTGCAGAGGCTAACAGGACAACTACAGTCTTCACCCCACTGCCTACCCTTGGGAGCACACCAAATGGAACAAGACCTTTGACCACGGGGCGTAAGTGCGCACAGTTCCGCTTAGCTGACGTCTGCTCTAACCACCGATCCAGTCTCCGCCGTGGTTTCCAGGTCTACCGTGAGGTCTGCGCGTCCTGCCACTCCCTCACTCGTGTTCCCTACCGAGCGGTCGTCGGTACCATGATGACCGTCGATGAGGCCAAGGCCCTCGCCGAGGAGAACGAATACGATACCGAGCCCAACGACCAGGGCGAGATCGAGCAGCGCCCCGGAAAGCTCTCTGACTACATTCCCGCTCCCTACAAGAACGACGAGGCCGCCCGCGCTGCCAACAACGGTGCTCTGCCCCCGGATCTATCGCTTATCGTCAAGGCCCGCCACGGCGGTTGCGACTACATCTTCAACTTGTTGACCGGTTACCCCGAAGAGCCTCCCGCTGGCGCCGTTGTCCAGGAGGGCCTCAACTTCAACCCGTACTTCCCCGGCACCGGTATCGCCATGGCACGTGTACTGTACGACGACTTGGTCGAGTACGACGACGGCACACCGGCGTCGTCGTCGCAGATGGCCAAGGATGTTGTTGAATTCCTCAACTGGGCCGCTGAGCCCGAGATGGATGACCGCAAGAAGATGGGCTGGAAGGTTCTGGCTGTCACAAGTGTTCTCTTCACCATCAGCGTCTGGGTCAAGAGGTCAGTTCTATTGGAGGAGCGCAGGTTGGGAAATTCGAATCTAACACATCCAACAGGTACAAGTGGGCACCGCTCAAGACCCGCAAGATCCTCTACAACCCCCCGGCCGGCAAGAAGAGCGTTCTCGACTACGTCCCCAAGCCCAACACCCAGGGCAAGACAAACCAATAGACATGGCGTAGTTTTGCATCTGGAGGAATTGGACGAGACGGGTGGCAGAAGCGTGTGTTCTATATCTTGTACAGTGCCAGCTACTTCCAAAATACGATTTCTGGAATTCCCTAGCTTAGTGATCCGCTGTAGATTTCCAAACAATGTTCCTTTTGTTAAAGCCGAATCTTCCCCGCTTTCTGCCGATGGAATCACAGTCGCAAGTTTGCTAATACGAGCTTCCGGATAGCATTGGAGCGTGTGAACGCTGAGGGCATTTAGCCTTCCATAACGACCCGAACGTCGCCTTTCTGGAAAGATCAAGCTAATATCTCAACGGCACTTTCCGTTGTGAACATCTACGCAACGGGTCGCTTCTAGCCATGTGTGTTGTGGAACTGCGGCTTCTCACGGATTTTCACAACAAAAACAGGTGGCGCTATCGTGATACGAACAGAGTCCATCCGCTAGAGAACCAATATCTCGATCTCACACTCACCCCACTCCGTCCTGGACCAGCTGTTGGGTGCGGTGTTCCGAACTGCAGACGGAATGATATGCGTTGATAGAAAGCCACAAGGGCTGTACTGGGTTCTAAGCCTATTGAGGCAATCAACGACGACTCCTGGTTTGGAGGGAGCGTCGGAAAGGGCACTTTGTGGCGGTAGCGTGAGTGTGGCAGGCAGGGTGTTGATCGAGGAATATGAGGGGTTTCTCACGTAGACATGGACAAGGTAGTGCGTTTGGTGGTACGTCTTGTCGGTCGTTTCTCTCCAGAGAGGCTGTGGGTGTTGTGATCTGTATTCTTGAACATACTGGTACCAATTTCACTGATTGCAACGGCCAGCAATCCATCTGGAAAGCTAGAGGTGTTCAACAAGAGACGTAGGATAATGGCAAAGCTGCCAAAGCGGTGAAGTTCTTCAACAGCAGGACGGACGGTCTTGTGGACGGTGCATCGGTTGCGTATGCCATCTATGCAGCTAACAATAAGATAATGGGAAACGTGGATACAGCAGAACAATAATAAGATTCATACCGACACCAACTTGAGTGCGCCGCTCAGAAAGAGCCAGGCCATTTTCCTAGTAATAGATGTTCACAACACAAGGTATGCGGTGAAATAAGAGGTTGAAGAGAAACTTGTTAGCGAAACAGAGTTTAACAACCTCCTAGAGGGACTGCATGGCGAAGACAAGATCGATGAAGAAGGACGTATTCTCCACGGCCGGTTTTTATGGGCGTATCGTTCTCGTTCTGACTGCGAAAGGTACGGTTTAATGAGCGTTGGGCTGTCAAGACTAACGCAAGCCATGGCAGTGTCGGCCAGCGTTAAGACACCCCTGCGAATATGATCTCGTCTGATTGAGTCAGTCTCGTACACGAGTGAAAAGATGTGGCGGGTGATCGAAGCAGACGAAGTGGGAGGTCTGAACACACACTCACAGCAAACTGCAGCATCTCGTCGTCAGAGCAGGTCATGGGGAAAGTACTGCCATGTATGCCAGCTGCACTGTTGGATGGTTTAGTGATCATATCTGAATTTGGTCGAGTAAATAATGGTCAATCGTGACACTATTGGAAGGAGGTACAAGGCCGAGTTATATTTGTACAAACACCACTTCTAATAGGTTCCACAGAAAATATCACTTTATAAACATAGATCGGCGCTTAACGCGCCTGCCTCAGTGAGTCATTTTAAGTGTAGGTACATCCTTGAATTGAAGGATTAGCAGTCATTACTGCAGGTCTCGCACTGGCTGGTCTATTGCCTTGTTGCCCAGTCGGGGTATAACGCATCCACGAACTCCAAAGAACTCCAAAATGTCCGTGTACTTCAAAAAGACGCATTGAAAGCGTGCTGACCATACCGCAACGCATGGCGGCGCAAGCCCAGTCTACACGGATGCTATTCAAACGCAAGTGTACCCAGCCATCTAACAGGAACACATCTTATCGTGGCTTCATTTCTTTTTCTTGGTTTCCTTGACGTCTAACTCCTTGTCAAGCTTGTGGCGGACGTAGTTGTTGCCGTCGTTGAGGTACAGGTGAAGAGCCTGAGCCCTTTTGGCAGCGAGCTGATCATGAGTAGCTAGCCTGATTGTGGCGTGGGGGATGGGGTCGGAGGCGCTGGTATGTTTCCAGCTTCTGCGCACCATTAGCTTGCGGTCTACCTGTACTCATAGCGAGGCTGTACTGACACGAGGGTGGCTTGCACAAAGTGGGCCAGGTCATACTGATGAGTGGCGTATTCAACAGCCTGGAGCGTGTTCCTGGCCATCTCTGTGTTGCCCGTGAACTCTCTCAGCACGATGGCTGCCCTGGCGATTGGAGACATGGTGCTCGTGTAAGATTCGAATGATCTAGCTGAGTGGTGGAGAAAGCAAGACCTTGTGTGAGCAGTACAAATAAAGACTCCGCAATGCTAACCGCGCTAAGAAGTGAAGGTAGCTTCACGAGTTGGTCAGGTAGACTCAATGAGCTCTGTAGGCAACCAACTGTTAGCTCGCGGTATTTCGAATTCATCGATACCTATGCAGAACTCAGTGCGAGTATGTGACCGATCGCTCTAGACATCCTCATTTCCATTATAGTTTGCGCATGAGAGGGAGTGTACTTGATCTTAGATGTATTGACTCTCTCCTGGCATCCACACATCACGCACAGTTTTACGATAAACCACCTTCTTTTGCGTAGCGATTTAGACATTGTGGTGACACAACACCTTAACTGGCACCAATCCCTGTGTATCCTAGATTCGCTTGGACATGAACACGCGAATTGAAGTCATGACACTGCATCATATGCCTGTCAAGGATGCTGCCAATGTATTACATGCTGGAACTGCTCTGCTGTTTGTGACCTCGCTATCACAATTCGGTAGCAAACAAATACTCTTGTAGCTCTTTCGAACACATCACCAACTAAAATGCGGATAAAGAACCTTTGTTACGTCTCCAGAAACCAGGAGTCTTGCAAAAGCTCTCGCGCCGAGGGCCTCGCTGCAGGTTCGAGGCGCAGCATCCTGTGAATTAGCGCTCCGACCTTGAACATGTCCTCCTGGCTCAAATCGACTCTCTGTTCCGTTTCAAAGTACATCTTGTGCAACCACTCTTGGAGACCATACTGACGTCCAGCTTCAAGTGGCAACGAATATTTCGCACGCAACTTGTCCCGCCTGGCCTGGTTCTCGAGAGACATTGGTCGCCAGATCTCCTGCCAGCGACGAGGTAACGCCTCGTCGGTCCTCTCTAGCATCTGCGCAACTAGACCTGAGGGCGTTTGCATAAGGGCATCGAAAGGTAGTTGCTTGGTGACTAACTCGAACAACTGATCATTTGCGTTAGTCAGGCGTGCTGTAACAACAGTATTGAGATTGAACACCTACCATGCAGCCCATACTCCACAGATCCATCCGATAATCCACTTTATCCTTGAAAACAACTTCGGGAGGTCGGACAGAGATCGGGGTATGGAGTTCAAGTGGGATGTCGTTGCTCGAGAAACATTGACCAAAGTCGATGATCTTGACCGGACCAAACGCAGACTCACAATCATGTGGATAATCAGTGGGCATTACAAGGTACTGGGGCATGCTAGGCTCAAGCGGAGCTCCGTCGACCCTTCGGATGGGACTCGTGTTGGGGTCTCCCAGTTTCTGTAGAAATTCTTGCTCTCGCAATTCTTGTACAGAGGGAATCGTGAAGGCCACATTACGGGTGTGGAGATCTGAGAAATGTAAGCGATGGAAGACCAAGACGGATTGCCTGGCTACCTACCTCCATGTACAATGCCTTGTTCATGCAAATGGTGTAGGCCAAGGAGAGTTTCAGCTACAACGCTCTTGACGACTTTTCCAGGGTATCTATGCTCGTCGACATAGGCCCCGATGAAATCCCCAAGGTTAGGCCCAAGCATCTCTAACACAAGGCAATCATGAGTTCCGTTAGGACCCTGAACCTGGAAGAAATCTTGCATGGTCATGACATTTTGATAGCCAGGCTGATCAGACTGTACTTCTTTGAGGGTACGCAAAGTCGCCAGCTCTCGATTCTGACATCTCTGCTCGGCGACTAGTATCTTGACTGCAACGTATGTGTTTGTTCTGCCTGCGGTTAGTATGATGCGCTGCAAAGATAGTAGGATTCAATACTTCTGATCTCGCGCAGCCCATACAGTAGAGTAGCCGCCCCAACCTAGTTTGTGTAGAATCTTGTATCTGCCGTCGTGCAAGAAATCCCCCAAATGCACCGGATGATACCCACCAGTCTGGTATCGATGCAAGGGCTCGGCAGGAACATCACAGTCGTGTTCGAAGAACCTTGATCTCATCGTAGGAGTATGGGAAGATCTCCGACAAGGTGAAGACACGACCGATAGCCGTGTTGCGCGCCACCTCGAGATTGTGCTGAGGCAAGCGTTGAATCCGGGAAAAGCCATGTCCGACGTCTAATTCACGGCTCCTTGGAAGCTTTGGTAGCTCGCGGTTGGTACGAGTCGATCATTACAAGCATCTGTGAAAATATGGTCGTAGGGTGAAGAGCGGCTGTAAGTGGAAGTTGCTGACGTAGAATCACCGCTAAGCCTGTCCGAGCCATTTAGCGTGGATTACTTTCACTGATATTCCAATGATACTTGGTGCTCAGATACACTAATGACATATTCATACATTGATTTCACACGTGTCAGAAAGCAAGCTAGTAGCTCTACAGGGCGTACTTTCACTGAACAGTTCACATATGCAGTGCAACTACACAAATATGGAGATAGAGAGTTCACTCGGGAGCATATCATACCAACCGTCCACCACCCGATAGCCGTTGATCTATTTTCTCTTCTAGTGTTTCAGACATGTGCATCATACAGCTTCACCAGTACTGCTATCTGACTCGAGACTTACATAGTGGTCAGCGACTCGGTGCGTCACAGGAGCGTACAACATGATGCCTTTGGTACTCTTACGACAGAAGTTGACATCGGGTGGCAATCTTGTTGGGATGCATGGCTGGAAACCTCCAAGTCCCAATGCTTTCTGTACTCGAAGTTGTGAACTCAGATCCTTGCTGGGCGATGTTAATTGATCCTGCAGTCTATTCATCCGTGGTGGAGGTTGTCGAGTCGTAGAATTGGGGTATCATTGCTGTAAAACAGGTCTAGTCTATGGGTATCTAATCTGAGCGGTCCGTTTCGCTGTCATCGTACCGATTGGAGTTTACGTCGCCGAGAAGGATGTCGTCGGGAGCTGGACCACGGTGGGTGCGTACTGTCATCTGTTAGCAATGCTCAATCTCTCGACACCAAGATGCACATGGATGCACTCACCCCACTCGGTCTCCACACGGAAGAAGATCCACACCCATCTTCTCACCACCTCGAGTATTTCCATTGTAAAGATTCCACCCTCGAGATCGTTGAAATGGTCCAGGTGTGGTGACAGCTTCAAGCTCCAAGTACACCTAAGCAATGCATCCATGAAAACTGCAGCGTAATAAAACTCCTTGGCGTGAAAGTACCGGTGTCGTCGCAGTCCCCAGGGATACTCAGGATTGTTCCTCTCCCTATGCGAGAAGAGACTAAGGTCCCAATCGCGCATCACATCCCACCAGAAGGAGTAACCAGAGTTGACACACACAGCGATCATCCACATCCTGAACAATGTCGCCTCGCTGACACCGTACTTCTCTGGCTCTGGGGTTCGCTGTAGCGCGCTCAATATGATGACTGGAAATGCAGTACTGTACTTGAGCGCGTTGGCGAGGTGCACTCCGCCCCAACCAGTGGCTTTCGACATCGTGCCCGTCTGTGCATTTGCGCGCTGCACGCGAAAGTACTCCGTGATGCATTGTCGGAACCGTATCAAGTATGGTATGCTGATCACAAAGGGGACCCAGAATGCGCCGCCACAATTGCGATTCGGTGGACCCGTGCTGCTGTGCGAGGACGAGAAGAACATGCACAGCGAAACAAACAGGTCTCCCAAGACTTTGGCGTACGATGTCAACGCATCAGCGAGCAAGATGTCGCCGAATTTCCCGTCCGCGGCCTCCGCAATACCTCCAATGCTTATGCGCTTCAGCGTGCTTAATGTTCTACTGCGCCCGGCGCGTGAGACGAAAGGCAGAGGCGCTATGAAGCCTACGACAAGGACAAGGAGATATAGATTCGGCAGAATCTCCCATGCTGCGATGTCTCTTGGGCTGCCGTTCGTCAAGGTCCAGAACAGCAGAAGAGAGAGGGCAAGCGGTATCGAGAGGAAGGTTGCAATGCGGTAGCAGGAGAGGTGATGCGGGAGGTGGTGCGGCGAGGATCGTGAAGGATAACGTATGAGCGAGGGGACGTCGATGCGGATTAAGGAGAGATAGTGCAGGTTGAGGCCCCATGCCCAAATACCTGCAGCAGCACATTAGCGGAGGAGCCACATAATTGAAGTCTCTGTAGACATACCAAGGACGATTATGAGCGCCACGCGATAGGGCAATGGCAGCACGCGGCTGAACCCATCGAGTGTTGGCTCGACAGCCGGATCACCGTCCATGGTGTTGGGATGCGCTGAATGCGGTCGCTGTCGCTGCTTCCCAGGTCTATTGCTGTCGAACAATCATGAAGCTCTCGTGTCCCGCTGTGGTCGACAGTGGTTTTCCTCCTCTTCTCAACAATTCGCGCAAGGGATAAATAGTCAGTGATTGCGTGTCCAGTTGCCTTTTCCAGGAGATGTTTCGCAAGCGATAGTCAGCCACTGTGGCTTGTGTCTCAGCCGCATCTCAGCCCTAACGCCTTTTGGATAGCTCCGCTGAGGTTTCCTAAGGCATCATCAATTGGACGTTATGACGACACCATTCAAACAGTTCGTACAGCATTGTGACGCGCTTCTGCTGCACTACCATTGGCCTGGAATTGAATAACATCACCTGCAACATCCCTAGCTCTAGGCTCTGACGTCCATACTTTCTCACGGTTTACCCTTACGCATCACACCACAGCATTCCAAACCTCTCCACATCACATCTCAATTGCACGACGAACCCCAAAATGTCTCCCCTTTCAGTGCCCAAAATCTTCATGGCAGGCGGCGCCGTCGGCTTTGGTTACTACCTGTACATGCGACAGTACTGGTTCCCCAACCCCTACAAGACACAGGGCGTCGAGAACATCGAGAACCGCTTCTCCGCCGGTGGAGGCCATCCCACACACACGCCTGCGCAAGCCAGCCTACGAGGTACATAAACAAGACACAGCGCTTGGCGCCGCCCTGACATCAAGCACTAATGTGGACGTCCAGGCTCATCAACAGACAACGAAGGCAGAAAGGAGGGTGGCAGCAACAAAGGCCCTGACTCGGAGCACTTCAAGGGCAACCACTCGAGCCAGCAGAGCGATGTGAGTTGATATTGATGAGAGGAATAAGCTCATTCACTGACCACACTCAGGGTGTCTGGCCGGCAAAGTTCTATGAGCAGCAACTCAACAACCCCAAAGGCAAATAAGCAACTCGCCCAAGCCCTCGAGCGAACATCTCAAAAGATAATAAAATCCAAGCATGGCGAAGTCTTCAAAGTTATTTGATGCACCGATTCAAGGAGTGGGCGTTTTGAAGCATGAAGGGATAGTCCTGGTGCATGTGTAGCATGTCACCCATCATGACAGATGCGATACCAAAAATGTATAACATGTTCACATTCATTGCCATGATACTCTGCGTATCTTGAGTATCAATGCCACATATGGGCCAGGTATGTCGCAAGCGATAGAAGTCGCAGGGTTGCAGACCTGTCCGGGATTTTGGTTTGGCTTGTGCTGTTCGACCTGTGTCCTGTTACTCCAAAAATAGTGGCCGTCCAGAAACCATGGCCTCAGAAGTTGTAGTGTGCCGTACAACAAAAGATAATATGTATAAGACTGTACACAGCTTGTGTAAGCTAGGAGGCACCCGGTACATTGGAAAGTCTAAGACGTTTTCGTTTGCTGTTCAATGCAAGTAATCTTAGACCAACCCTTGCAGTTACCCAAATTTCGCGCCTGCACGCAACGCGTCCACTGAGGAAGCCACGCTAAATCAATGTATTCGAAAAACCTGGAGATTCTTCATCCAGCCTCTAACCATGTTGGAGTGGTGATATGACGATCTCACCACGGTGAAATGTCGAGGCAACTTGAACCTCGGCAGGAGTGCCGGTTCCTGAGGCTCAATTCTTTCTAGCGCGGCGATTTCTCCGCAATCCAGCGACTTTTGAGTCTTGGAAAACGCGGAGCGCGCCTTTGAATCTCGGAACACCGCTTCCCCCACATGGTCACCAGCGGACGGTCTACCCTTCCTAGTAAACGTCCGTTGGACGCCTAGCACTCGGACGGCAATCGCCCGACGAACCGGCTGCGATCAGCAGACGTCTACGTCAATCCGGATAGCTTTGGAAGAGCTTGGGGGAATTATGCAGGTTATGATGCGGAAGAGCAGGATGAGTTCGGCGGTATAAGAGTGCAGTGGCCCCGGAAAAGTTGGAGCACAGCTCTCGTGAAGACCTGCAGAACGCACAATGCTGGGACCAAAGCTATTGTTGACTACAGTGTTTGCTGGCGCTCTTGCGTCAGCTAGCTACCTGCCTCCAACTGCTGAAGAGCCTCACTTCTCTCAGCATATGAGGAGGCAGAGCAATGGCACAAACTTCCATGGCCCGTATAGCACCCAGGGAAGAGAGATTGTCGACAGCCGTGGTGAGGCCGTCACTTGGGCTGGTGTCAATTGGCCAATGTCGGGTACGCAAAAGATAATTCCGTATAACGGCAATTGCTAACAATCACAACAGGAGAGACTATGATCCCAGAAGGCCTTGAATGGGCATCTGCAGGAGAGATTCTTGACGACATTGCAAGTGTTGGCTGGAACTACATCCGCATGTAAGTACTCACATTATATAGAAGACTTTGACTGACCACCAAAGGGGCTACGCCATTGAGATGGTTGATCAGGTCTACGACAGAAACGGAACAGATGTACCTCTCGAGGTTGCGCTGATCAACGCTCTGGGCTACGTCAATGGGACCAAGGTCACAAATGAGATCATCGCAAAGAACCCGGGCTGGACGACACAGACCACCCGCTTCGAGATCTGGTCCGACATCGTGTCACTCGCCGAAGAGAAGGGCATCTTCATCTCGCCCGACGTCCACGTTGGCAAGGCACAATGGTGCTGCTCCCACATCGACGGCAACGCCTGGTTCGACGACGTGAACTTCAACGCCACGCACTGGCGCCGCGGCCTCTCGTACGTCGCCAATTGGGCCAAGCAGCACCCCAACGTCGTCAGCATGTCGCTGCGCAACGAGATGCGCGAGTCGTGGAACATCACAAACCTGTACTACAACTGGGACACACTTGTGGGCAACATGACCGCGGGCGCTGACGCCATCCACGCCGCCAACCCCGACATCCTCATCATCTGGGGCGGCATGCAGTACGGCCAGGACCTGTCCGCGCTGACCAGCGGCAAGAACATTCTAACTGCGCCCTGCTACAAGTGCACCGCGATCCGCGACGCCGCCCGTCGCGAGCCCGTCGTGTTCAACCTTGCCGACCACGCCTGGTCCAAGAAGCTGGTGTGGGAATTACATTTGTACCGCATGAGCGAGGACGTTGACACCGGTAACTGCGACATCATCAAGGCGGGCTTCTACCGGAATGGTATGAACGCGCTCGGTATTGAAGCTCCGTCCGCGTGCAACATCACCAACGACTGCCCCGAGGCCGTCACACAGACACCAGTCATTATCTCGGAGTTTGGCAGTGGCCAGGATGAGACGCTGTTCAATGACACTCTTCAGAACTGCCTGAAGGAGTACACAATTGAGAACAAGATCAGCTGGATGATGTGGAGTGTTGCGGGTAGCTACAGGATCAGGTCTGGCGTGCAAGGATTTCCGGATACCTGGGGCCTGACGACACCGGACTGGACTGGATGGCAGTACGAGCGGGGTATTGAGGAGTTCTGGAAGCCGTGGACTGAGGCTATGAATGTGACGCATGTGGTGTAGATACATACAACATCAGCCACTTATACAACATCAGCCACTTTGTAATGATACGAAAGTTTGCTTGAATACACAAATAAAGTTCATTCGAAGCTCAACTCATTGAAGTAAAGGTGCACGTTTAAAGGATGTGTGGGTCTAGAGCATGTCTGGAATCTAATAGTATTCAAGATCTATAGGCCTCTTGGCCAACAAACATAACGCTTGCATTGTCGCTAGGTACCCGCTCGCTTATCAAACCTCCACCTACGCCAACCTTCTGACGCCTTGACACGCCGCCAACACCGTGCTGACACGCCCTCGAGGGCTACATTCATTGGGATTTCCTGAACCAGCTTGTACGGTCGTCAAGGCGGATAAAAAGAGCATTAAAAAGATATATACAGTGCAAGACAAGCATCGAATGTATGAGATGCCTCCAGAGGTCATCAGTAGCCTACTCAGGAGGTACGATTAGGCTGGGCTTGTGCCAGGCCAGGGCTTTGCTGCATCTGCTGTGGATTCTGAGGTGTAGCGCTCCTGCTTGATGGTCGTCCAGTCATACCAGGGCTTCCAGCCTGTTGTCGTTGTTGGCTCATTAATCGTTGCTGCTGAACCAGCTGTTGTTGATAGTTTTGGACTGCATTGACGGGCGGACTAGTAGCCATACCGCCGTTCTGCTGCATGAACTGATTGTTGGCCATCTGTGGAGATGGCGAAGCCATTCCGGGAGAACCGGCTGCAGCATTCATCGCTTGCACACGTTGCTTAGCCATGTATCTCTGGAGCTGTTCTGAGGCCGACTTTTGCACTTGCTCATTGGTCCAATCCGGATGTTGCATCTTGATGGTATTCTGCAGTTGCAGGAACTGGGGGATATGCGCGCCAGCATTGGGTACGTTTTGGCGCTGCATATTGGGCGTTGCCTGATTTACTCGCGGTGACCCTCCGTTGTTAGGCATACCATTCATGGTACCATTCATGTTTCCATTCAGGTTTTGGCTGCCTATGGGTGCCATCATATTTGCGTTGGGCGCGTTCATGTTCATACCCTGAGCTGCGAGATTGTTGGCCATATTCATCTGTTGTTGCTGTTGCTGTTGCAACTGATATTGTTGTTGTTGGTTAGGGCTGTTAAACTGGTTGCGCTGCATGGCCATGCGCATCTGGTCTGGAGGTCCCATACGCTGACCATTCTGCATGTTGGCTTGCATCTGTGCCTGGGGAACGCCGGGTGTACCTATCGGCATGCCAGCCATGTTTAGGTTATTCTGCATTCCTTGCTGGCCTTGTTGGGTCCGCGCGGCCATCGCAGCCGCATTCTGGGCTTGTTGCGCAGGATTGGTGGCCATTTGCGCGGGCATGTTGGAATTGGCGCCACCAGGTGTGCCATTACGCTGCATTTGTGGTACACCATTCGGTACTCCGTTCTGGGCATTGAGCTGGGCTTGGCGCTGGGCGGCCATTTGGTTCTGCAGGTTCTTAGTTTCATATCTACCAAGTGTATCGATCGCACTTACCCTAACGGCTATCTCCTGTTGCAGTTGTCTTTGCTTCAGCTTCTCTTCGCGTTCCCATTTGAGCTTGCTGAACTCTTGCGGAGTGTGCACGTTGTTCTTTGGCGCCGCAGGCTCGTGTGCCTTCCTAAGTGCTGCTGCCTTTTGTGATTCCGCCTGCTTGTGTGCGGCGGATTCACGCTTTCTGGCCAACTTACGCATACCATCAATGATAGCGAGGTGGCGGTTTTCTCGTCTGCGTTCCACACGGATTGGCGTGGTTGTGGGACGCCTCCTAGGTTGTCCCGGTGTTGCTCCCCCGGACTGTTGCTGCTGTTGCTGTTGCTGAGCTTGATACTGAGCAAAGACAATCTTGTTGGCCTGTTCCAAACGTCCTTGGTATGTGCGGAAATACTGCGTCTTAGACATTTCCGCAGGCAGGCCCTCCAATTGCACCCAGCGCTCAAAGCATTCCCACGGTGTGCGGCGACCAGACCCTGAGGTGAACTTTGAGGGCAAAGCCAACTGCTGTGCAACCAGGGACCAGTTGAAGGTGTACTCTTTGACAAGGGCGCGGAGTTTCTGATCCTCTTCCCACAACCATTGTGACGGTGTCCTGTTCTCGAAGAAAGCGACTGAAGGCATATTGAACTCAGTAGGTGGCCTGAATTGATGCGCTGCTTGCAATCTGTCCCTCACATGCTTGTTCTCGGCATTGAACAACGCAACATCGGTCATCTCGGGAGGTAGGTCGTTCCGGCAGAAAAGTCGCCGTCCGGGGGTGGACGGCATGGAATGCTCCGCAGAAGTACCAGCCCGACTAGGTGGTGTTGAAAGCTCATCTTCCGAATCGTAGTCGTATCTGCTACGCTTCCTCGGCGGACCCTTAATCTTTGAAACCAACTTCCCAGTAACAAACTTTGAGACGGGTAGGATGGGTGGTTCGGATATCGAAAAAGGCGTGACATCGCTAGCTCCCTCAAGCATGGGCTCGTAGAAAGGCAGTTCGCGGAACATATGATCGCTAGCTGGGGTGCGGTCGATCTTCATGACGACATCATTGAAGCCAAGAGAAAACACGCCAGCGGGAGGGTCGGTATGGAACGGTGTGAGGAGCTCGTCATCATCTGCGTACGATTCGCTCTCTGTTTCATGCGCACCAGATGGTACAAGATCCGGTGTAGGTGCATCGTGCATGTCATCTTCGGCCGTTGTTTGCATCATCGCCTTGGGGGTGCGAGCCTTGAATCGAAGAGCTGTGCGCTCCTCTGGAGTGCTGTGGACATATTCGGCGCACCAATCAGCAAAAGTCGCTGCAAGAGCATGCTTCCATTTCCTCTCTTCCTTGTAATCAGTTTGCATCCACTTCATTTCCAGCAAGAGCTGGTCTTGGTGTGTGAAAGGACGCTCCGGCTCAGCAGACTTCTGCAATTGTCTGAGTGACCATCGATTAGCGTTTTGAAGCTGATAGACCCGCTTAAGGATTTTGAAGTCCTGATTCTCGCGAATCATAGCAAGGGTGCCGGATGTAGAGAGTGTCTTTCGAGCAGAAGTGACAAGATCTTGCAGTGGGGAAGACCGTGGTGGAATGTGCGCTTGTGACCTGAACAGGCCTTCCATGTAATCCCGACTCGAATCCTCGGATGCCCCATGCAACGACGCATAGTCCTGATCGTAGAGTTGCATGGATTTTTGAGTTTTGCTCGAGTTCTTCTTTGCGAAGACGACCGTTGAAACTTCCATTGACTTTCGATCCTGTTGTCGTGGACGTTGTGGACTGGATAAAGTGCTAGACTGGGGAGTCAGTACTGCCTTGTGCGCCGCATGTTCGCTGATGATCTCCGAGACGGATTTCTGACGGATGGCCCCCGAAGAAACCCTAGTTGTCATGCGCTCACGGCGCGGTGAGGGCTGCATCGAAGCGGTGTCTTCTTTGACTACCGCTGGTGCTTCAGTCATATCAAGGTCGATATCGGCAGGAGGGGTTGGGTGATCGGCGATTAGGTTCTCTTTGTGTTGGGTAACAACGTTGTCTGTACTTTCGCGATCTACTAGTGATGGCTCGGGGGCTGTTGTGGTTGGGGTAGGAAGCGAATCCGCAGCGGGCTCTGGATGCTCCCGTGTTCCATATGCGACAGCAATTTTACTGACTACCTGTTCGGCTTCTTGTGTCATCGAGTGGCCTGTCTTCCCGATTGATTCACTGAGTCGACTCTTCCCATCTCGAGCTAAGCGTATCGCCTGTTCATCTTCAATTTGCTTTTCGACATCTGATGTTGGTGACTCGGGTCCACGTGCACGTTCTCGAGCTTCCTTCATTTGTTTTTGCAGCGCACGCTCGTGGTCTTCCTTCACTTGTTGCGCCGCGGGGTCCAGAATGTCATCGTTGGAGACGAGAGGATGCATGGGATCATGGAAAGCTTCGGTATCGGGACTCGTGTCGGGGGAGTGGTGCGGCGCGTGCGGGGTTGCTTGTGAATATGGTCCGACTGTGGATGAAGGCGAAGAGACGATATCTGCCCCGCTGTTGGGCTGTGGTAACGCAGGTCGCTCCTCCTCTTTCCGTTCCTTGCTCGCAACAATCTCCGGTCTTTGCTCCGTCTCTTGAAGCCGTGCTTCTTGGGCCTCCTTCGATGGAAGTTGAACGACCTTACGTGTCTTAGACTTCTCCTCCTCCACAGTCGCATCTACACCATCTTCCGGAACAGGGTCAGCAACAAGCGTCGGTTCGATTGAGCGTCTTTCTTGGCCAGAATCGCTTCCTATTTCGATGTCCTGGGTGGCTGGTGCTTCCGTGGGTTGCTGCGCCGCAGCAGAAGGCTGCTCGGGCTCTTGCTCTTCGACTGATAACGGCTTCGCGGGTGACGATTCGCCGGCAGGTGGGACGACTGAGGATGATCTTTGGGGTCGGTAATCATCGCTTTGCGTAGGTGCATCTAGAGGTGGCAGTGGCTGTGTGACGACTGAGGGCGAGGCAGACGCTGCTCGTAATTGCTCTTCCAGACTCGGGCCGGTGATAGGAGATGGCGATGATTTTGCGAAAGAGGAGAATGAAGGCTTTCCAGGATGCGCAAAAGGTAAAGTCGACGGTAAGGGTGCTTGCTGTCCAGAGAATGGGAACGGTAGTGTTGCGTCATTGAAGCGTCGACCTCTGCAAGGCAACGATGTCAGTGGAATGGAACGACAATAGCAACATGATTGTATGATCAGGTGCTGTGGAGATGAAACATGACGAAAGAAAAGGAAAACCTACTGTTCAATATCGTTCTCATCTAAGAATCGGCCTTCTAGTTGGTCCAACTGGGTGTTGGTGGCCCACTTGTCGGGCACATCCAGGTAGACCGTGTACTTGTAAAGCTCGCGCAGCTTGCGCTTGCGGGACTCATTGCACGTCCTATGCAACGCGATATCAGCACCACAACACAATAATAAAACGAAACAAGCGATTTTTCGGTGTCGCATCGACACATAGAATCGAAAAAACTGCAATGCGACAATATCGGCGCGTAGTACTTACACGCTCTCGTTCCGCTTCTCCCTAAGTAAAGCATCACGATGACCGTCGAGGGACATATGAGGACCGCCGAACGGTGGCCGACATCCGTTGTTCACGAGTGTCGCCAAGGTGATGGATTATGGGGGTTGTAGAGCGCGTTCGTTGATGGAAATGTGATTGACAGTACGCTGAACTGAGGGACTTGCGTGAGGTTTCGTGAGGGAGCTCACTTGCCCAGATAAGCTTTACGCTAGCGCTGCACATGGCTAGGCTACCTTTGAATTCAGTCTGCCGTATTTTTCTTGCGGCCTCAAAAGTGTCTGCACATCAACAAACACGCTTGACAACATACTTTCAAATGGCTAAGAGGAAGAACGAGAATGTCGAGGCGGCAAGGGTTCCGAAGTCTCTGAAGAGCAGGAAGGAAGAGACGGCACCAGTCACAAAACAGGCCATAAAAAAAGCTGCAGCCCAAGGCAAGCCAGGTGCAAGCAGTAAGAAAGTCGTCCCAGGCAAGAGCAAGGCAGCAGTAGCACCCATCCCCGCGCCAAAGGATGAAACGTCAGAAATTCCCAGCTTCCAGGTTATAACTGGATCCTACGAGAGAGTTCTGCATGGTTTTGCCGCAGCAATTCCGTCAGATCTTGTTACCGGAAAACACGATGCATCAGAACCTGAGGCCGAAAAGACCAAAGTGAATTTCACAGACACTTTCCTCTTCAACGCACACGCATCCGCAATCCGCTGCTTAGCTGTCTGCCCACTTTCAGATGAAACCAACAAAGTCACATTAGCAACCGGCGCCACGGATGAGCGAATCAACCTTTACTCTCTTTCTACAGCACCACCGGTACCCTCAAAGACCCCCAAACTCCCCAGCTTGACAGGAGTCTCTATTACCGAAAACTCCAAGAACAAGGAATTGGGCTCTCTTCTCCACCACTCCTCTAACATTACAGCCCTCTACTTTCCTACACGCGCAAAACTGCTTAGCGCTGCAGAAGATAGCACAATAGCCATCACGCGTACCCGCGATTGGACCGCGCTATCCACCATCAAGGCCCCGATTCCTAAACCCCAGGGACGACCGAGCGGTGACACCGCAGGGCCAGGCGAAGTTCCTAGTGGCATCAATGATTTTTCTGTGCACCCGAGCAACAAGCTCATGGTCAGCGTTGGCAAGGGCGAGAAGTGCATGAGACTATGGAATCTGGTGACTGGCAAGAAGGCCGGTGTGCTCAATTTCTCGCGCGAGATGCTGTCCTCAGTTGGCGAGGGACGGTTCCAGTCCGGCGAGGGGCGACGCGTGATCTGGGACAAGGAGGGTGAAGAATTCACTGTGGCCTTTGAGCGCGGTGCAGTGGTGTTTGGCATTGATTCTAAGCCAAAAGCCAAGATCCTGCCTACACCGAGAACGAAGGTGCACCAGATGCACTATCTCCCTTCGGAAGAGGGCCCAAACACACTCCTCATTTCGACCGAGGATGGCCGTATCTTGCTCTACGACACGAGTGCGACGGCACCAAGCGAGGACGCCGAGCCCAAGAAGGAGGAGATGCCTTCCAGCAAACTCATCGCCCAGATCGGTGGCCCGGCAGCTGGCATCACGGGACGCATCAAGGACTTTGAGGTTCTGCCATACTCGAAGACCGACAACTCGAAGCACATTATCGTGACTGGAAGTAGTGACGGCACAGTACGCTTCTGGCTCATCGACACTGCGGAACTGAAGAGCGGCGCGACCGCAGATGCGGAAGAGGGCAGTGGATTCGCAGCAAAGCAGGTTGGCCGACTGCTCGGTACATACTCGACTGGCACACGGATAACATGTCTGAAAGCGTACCCCATGACTGGCAAGCCAGATGAGGAGGAGATTGTCGACGAGAAGATCGAGGTTGAAAATGATAGTGAGAGCGAGGATAGCGAGTAGATCTTACAATGTCTCTATAGCTGTACAACGATACCAATACGCAACCATTTGTACCTTCCACGCTCTCCCTCTGCTCGTTGCTGAAGGAACGCGATACGAACCTCCAGTATTGGTGCTTGACAGAATGTGTGGACCACCTAACTTAAAGAATAGAGATGCTGTGAAGTTCTCCAATTGGCTTGAAAGATTTGATGTGACACACTACAGGGTAACACCGTAGAGACTGGCTACTTATGGTATAAGCTTCATAATGATACTATGAAATAGTCTACTTGATGCATGATCGTACCATAGCCACTGTGGTCTACGCATTTCGATAATCATCATACATGAATCTAGCGGATTTGTTCAAGATATCCGCGCAAGCTCTACAATGGAACAAAGACAAACGAGTCTACAATTGTTCCACCAACCAAAAATAAATCAAATTCAGCTAAAGAACAACCTCCCGCCTTCGAGCAACATCCGCGGCCCGCAGCCTACCATCTACAAATTCATAGTCACCGTCATACTTCCTCCACTAACCAACAACACCGGCCCCAGCCCCTCCATCAACACCTCCAAATCACTCACATACTTGACACTTTCACTCTCGCTCTTGCACGTCCCATCCATCGGGCTCGGCAGCGTCGTAAACACAACCGCCGTCGCCTCGCTCTGCGACCGGATCAACTCATTCAGAATGAGGTGCTGTGCACGGCACGGCAGGTCGTTGAACGACAGCGGAATGGCTTGCTGGGCGGGGAATCCGGAAGCGGGGGACGCGGTGGCGGGGGTGCTGTGGCGGGTTGCAGGCGAGGGCGAAGGCGCGGGGGAGTGCTGCGCCGACGATGTAAAATGAGTCCCTGAGAGAGTGGGGCTGGGAGATGGGAGGGTGGCTGTGGCAAGGGGGTCTGGGTGCCGGGTTGCGGTGGGAGTGTCGACGAACATTATGGATGGGCCTGGGGCTTCGTCTTGGGCGACTGCTGTTCGGGGGACAGTTTTGGAGGAGAATTTGGGGAGGGATTCGGGGTCGCGGATTGTTGGGGGTGCGCGGGATGAGGAGGAGAGTTGTGATGTGGAGAGCTGAGAGACACTGCTTGCAGCGCTTCTGGCTTTTCCACTACGATGCTTAGTAGTGGATATTGCGGCGTCGGAGGCAGTAGATTGCAAATGCGGTTTGAGTCGTGGACTGGATTCGCTCGCCGGACGGCTGCTTCTGGGGGAGGACTCTTTAGGTGAGCCCTTCCAAATTGCTTTTCTGAGATCAAGCTTCTTGCTGAGGAAAGACACGCCCGTTCCAGAAGGTGTGGTCCTGGATCTGGCAATGGCACGTGGCCGATGAGGGTCTGAAAAGTCGCTGTCGTCTTCGGAGGCGTCAAGGTCATACTCGTCGAAGTTGCTACCGCTTACGCCTGCTTCGCTCTCCGTGACTGCTGCTTCGTCATCCGCATCGTCTCCATCGCTAGCAACTCCGGAATCACTGTCGCCATCAAGCAGAAGGTCGGCGGACAGTCTCTGACTGCGCATACCCACACTGGCGCCCGTATCTCTGATTTCGCTGACCGATGCCCTGTTCTTAGCTCGACGGAGCAGCTTTTGCAGTGCAGCAAAACGTTTTGGTTTCGTATCACGTCGACCGTGCTGGAAGGAGGCCGTCGGCCATGCATATACTGCTTCCAGAAGATCTTTGGCTTGTGCGAGTTCCTGGCTTGCGCTCATGAAATTGGGTTGACGCAACCTCTTGATATCTTGCCACCAACGCTCGTCTTCTAGGGAGAAGTCCACATCTTTGGCTACTTGTTCGAAGTTGCCTTCGTCTTGGCCGTTTACGATGACCTCATACATGCTTAGCTCACCACTTGCAAGCCAGAGGACGACAATCTAAAGATACCAGTCAGAAAATGAACATCCATAAAGGCTGATGGGGTTATTTGAAAGATAGAAGTATGTAGATGATTGAAAAAGAACACGTGCTGATGAATGGGCTTACCTCCGCTTCAATCCGCAGGTTGCGTAACAGCGTAGTGACTCGTCCTCGTTCCTCTTCGACGTCCGTCTCGTATTCGACAAAAACACATATCCGCAGCTTGTACGAACGCTTCCAGGATGGGACAGTGTTCAGGATACATCCGAGTTGTAGGATCAGGGTATATGTGTCGAAGTTAGTGGTCAAAACATTCTTACGATTGTGATCGTCGCCCGCAGTCGCGACTTCTGCCGACATCTGGATTGGCCATAGATCTATGTATTTCTTGGTTGGCTCGTCAACCTCAGCATCGGCAAGTCCCCATTGGCCTAACGCGCGCTTCATCATTGGTGGCCGTGAGGCTGGCAACTCTAGATCTTTGAAACCTTTCGCGATAGCCACGTTCATCTGCAGTCTAAGTACTAGGTCTTCGATGGTGGTGACGTAGCTTTGTATCCCTACTGAGCCTTCTGGTCTAATCGTATCGGTGGGGAGCATTCCGGTGACCTTGTCTGTCTGCTTGCGACGGGCCGCTGCCTGGATCGCCTGGCGAGAAATTGATTGATTCGTAGATTTACTCGTAGGTCGTGATGGCTGGGGCGACGGGATACCTAAACTAGGCTGCGAATTTCTAAGCTCAGTAAGGTTGTAGGAGCCCATGACAACGATGTTTGGTCTCATACCACCCAGTCCTGCGCCGAGAACTAGATTGCGAGCTCCCCATTCTACCGCGGGAGAGATTGCGACGTTGACAAAGGCCTTGATTTTTGAAAAATCAATATACTTGAGCCACAGTGCTTGTTGTCGTCTCGCCTCGGGCACAGCTTCGCCAAAGTCCTGGGACACAATGACATGTCCGAGTACGAACAGTCCACCCTTCTTAAGCGAGTTGCAGAACTGAATTAGCTTGTACTGACGTCGAGGGTCATTGACCAAAAGAAGAATCTGTGGTCTCCAAAATTTGACATGCTCTTGGCGAAGGCGAAGGAGATACTTCCGGACCTGATGGTAGATAAGCCCCTGGCTAACATCACCCCATGGTTTGGGAGGCGTTGTGTAGTGAATCAGAATGAACACAGTAAGAAGCAGAGCAACACAACCAGACGCGTAGAATCCATCTACAAAGAACATCGTCGTCCCGCAAACTACTGTGCCCATTGCAGCAGTCTGCCAATTGAAGAAGTGGAAAGAGGGCCTAAAGTTGGGAGCGGACCCGATTTTGAGCAGGAAACAGGCCAAATTCGTAACGAGAAAGGTCATTAGATACGTCATAGTTATAAATGAGGCGATCTGATTGATGTCTGCGAACATCGTGAGCTGCGCAAGAACGTATGTGAACACGATCGCATAGATAGGTTCGTCTTTTGTTTTGGTGCCTTGGCCAAAGATAGATAGCCCAGGTATCAGATGGTCGCGGGCAAGTGCCTGGAGTAGTTTTGCGGAGCCAATGACGCCCATTAGGACCGAGAACAGTGATGTCGCGTATTCCCCCAGAAGAATTACGACTCCAGATAGGTTAGTGAGCTGGATAACGTTGGTATTGTTGTATAGTGACTCTCGTCCAATTGAAGAAGCCATGGCTAGGATCACCGTAGTGTAGAGGATGAAGGTTAAGCCGAGTCCGTATAACGTTCCTTTTGGAATTGCCTTGGAGGGGTGCTTGAGATCTCCAGACATGCTGGCTCCACTGTAGGAAGAGTGTCAGTAAGCATCAGGGGGCAAGGCACGGTCGTTTCTTACGCTAAGATCCCCCCTGTTGCGGGAAAGAGAATGCCAAACAAATCCTGGAAACTTTCTCGGTGCTTGGTCACACTGCCAGCGGCACCTTTAGTGAAACGAGGCATCATGTTGTCGCTCAGAGTGTCGAGACTAAACCCAGTGAAAACAATACCATGTTTATCGTCCACGTAAGGGTCTTTCACCATTGCTGATACGGGTATGCTCACGATAGCAATCAACAATATGACTAGCAGACCATTGCTGCAGCGTGCAAACAGTCCACTGCCAGCTAGGCAGATCAGCGTGCACGCCAGGAGCACCAACGTCGCCCAGAGAAACTTCCACCAGTAGCTCTGAGGCATCCATTGAGACATGGACCCCGTAAGGCTGCCAAAGTTCTCGATAGAGCAATCGATCAAGCCAACGGCATTCAGACTCGTGCTGAATACAAGCCCTAGATAGAATACGATGCCAATGGAACCGCCGAACTCGGGACCTGTGGTCATCATCAGCGTCTGAACAATGCTATTGAAGGTGTAGAGCTGGAATGTAAACAAGGCAAGAAGCAGACTGACCAAGGCTTCGAGAGATAAGATAGTATGCTCCTCCACCTCTTACAGTGCCATTTGTAGCGATTGCAGAGATGGACATGGTAGTGAGAAGATTAATGGCGTAGCCAGCCACGAGCATACCTATAGTCGTCAGTTTTCGCAGCTCCACAAGGAAGTTGAAGTTCGTCCGGAAAACCTCTTGTCGTCGCTCGTCGCCACTCATGCTCGACAATGTAGTCAAGCCCGTGATCAACGAAGGGAACCTGACTTCTACGACTGATCGTCGGCTTGCCTATGAGGCGAACAGAGGTCTCCAGACAAACTAAGGTGATGCTCACCCATCATGCCTACTACACCTGTTTGGCCTAAAATAAATCCAAATCGGAGGAACATCAGGATACTCAACACATTGAGCGTTACAGGCACAAAAACACCAGCGAACGTGCCGAGCTTATCGGTGCCTCCCACGGGTCTCGGAAAAGCCCCTGGTCTTGGTTTTGAGACCTCGCTGGGAACTCTGCGATGGCCATGTTGGCTACTAGAATGTGACTTGGTCCGCGACAGGTGGAAAGTGTTGCAGAACCAACTCCTCAACCATTCGACGCCATGGTCCTCCTCTTGAGCATCTGGCGCTTGAGCCGCGTGTAGCAGTGGAGTGCTCTCATTGGGCGGAGGCGAGCTTTCGGCAAACGAGCGTCGATGCAGCCGTTGAGAAGTATCAGTTGCTGTTTTTGCTGCAAAGTTCGAGCGGGACCTCGGCGGCATGCGCCCTGGTCGTTCATTGCTGACGTCTGCCATGGTGTGGTTGACAGTGTCACTGTGGCTCAAATCGTGGTTCAGGGTACCAACCACATATCGGGCCGTTGCTGCTTGAAGTCTAAGTCCGGTGATGGAAGCATGGGACAACACGGACAGGTTCACAGCGTTGCTAAAACTTGCGCGGGAAGCGATGACGATAGGCGTAGGTCACTGACTTGCTCCAGCCAAGTGGAACTGGGGCTCGTTTGACATCCTTTCGGCGGCTTAGCACGAGCCGCTTCAGACGCTTCCTGCCCGGAGCAGGGTAGGTCACAAGGTTATCCCGCGACCGCCCCACGCGTGCTCGTATCCAATCCTGTGACCGCGGCGTCGGGGCACATTCCTCTGCCAGATTCACGTTTGTTTTCATCTCATCTCTTCGGTGCAGTTATCTCGAGTGTTACAGAGGAGCTTCTCGGTACGTTTGTGCCGCTCCTGGGTCCCTAGGCATTTTCCAGCTAACGTGTGCCGGGCAGACTGCTATCGCCGACGTTACACATCAATAGCCGACGCTTGATTCGCAGCTGCGCAGAAACCTCGACAGCACGCGACAGACGCGTTAGACACAGCTGCCATGGCGAAAGACCCTCCAGAGTCGTCGATGCCGCAGGCGGTGCCCTCCTCGTCGAGGGACTCCGGCCGGAGCTCGCCAGCGCAGTCCACCATGTCGCAGTCGGTGCCGCGTGCAGAATCGACTGCACGGCTGGGCTCACCTGTACCCTCGTCCATCCAGTCTCGCACGCCCGCCGTTGGCCAGATCCCGACCCCTGCCCAGCTCGACGAGGTCTCGCCGGTGCCCATCCAGACGCCGCTGCCTGGCCGCGCCGAGCACAAGACATCGCTCCCTGGGCCCGGCACGTCAGCCTTGTCCTCTGCGCTGAAGGAGTCGCTTGGAAAGAGCCCGCCCAGGTTCGCTGCGCCGTCTGCCACGCCGCAGTCGCCTGCAATGAACGCCGCGGCTTCTGTTCGCGGTCCGCCAAGCAACTTTGGCTCCTACGATGGCCGCGGTCGCTCGCCCATACCCTACGAAGACCCTGAGATTGTGCGGCGCCATTTGGTGGGACAGTATGGCTCTCCTAGCCGGTCCACGCGAGGATTCGGCGGTGACGACGAGTCTCAGAGCAGAAGAGGCGACGAGGACGAGGACGAGGAGTTCAACAGTCTGCAGCTGCAGGGCGGTGACATCACACGGCAAATATACAGGTGGAGCGAACAACAGGCCGCTGAGGAGCGTGGGAAGATGGCCCGCAGCAAGAGCTTCCATGCGTCTCGCCGCAAGGATGACACCGACATCAGCGCATCGTCCATCCGACAGCCAGGCGGCTTCCGTCGGCAGTACCTGCGTAAAAATGCACCGAGTCCGTCACCCGCGCCTGGCCCGTCTGGCTACGGCACGATCGGTGAGCCTGCACAGCAAAGACCTCAGCCCTTCACGAGCAACTTTCTCGAGTTCCTGACCCTGTATGGCCACTTCGCTGGTGAATCGCTCGAAGACGACGATGAGGTGCTCGGCCCTGATGAGTACTTCTCCTCCGATGCCTTAGACTCCGGCGAGCATTCCGAAGACGAGCGCGAGTATGGTGAATCAAGTGGGCTTCTACCCGCCACACCTGGCAAGCGACGAAAGCGCAAACCGAGACCAGAGGGCAAGGGTACGCCTACAGGAGCTGCCTTGCTGCTCCTCAAGTCATTCGTCGGCACTGGCGTTCTCTTCCTGCCCAGAGCGTTCCTCAATGGTGGCATGGCCTTCTCGAACGCCGTACTGCTCGCTGTAGCAGGATTGTCGTACTTCTGCTTCGTACTGCTCGTCGACACCCGTCTTGCGGTTGAATCTTCGTTTGGTGACATGGGACTCCATCTTTATGGAAGATGGATGCGAAACCTGATCAACTTCTCTCTTGTCATTTCGCAGATAGGCTTCTCGTCAGCCTACATCGTCTTCGTCTCGGAGAACATGCAAGCGTTCGTCCTGGCTGTCTCGAATTGTGCAACCTACATCGACATCAAGTTCATGATCTTGATGCAGATGATCGTCTTCCTGCCACTCTCGCTCTACCGCAACATCAACAACATCCAGAAGCTCGCGCTTCTCGCGGACGCTTTCATCCTCCTTGGTCTCGTCTATCTTTATTACTACGATCTCTTTACTATCGTCCACCAGGGTGGTATCTCAGACATTAAAATGTTCAACCCCAAGGACTGGACCCTGTTCATCGGTACAGCTATCTTCACATTCGAGGGTATCGGCCTGATCATTCCGATCCAAAGCGGTATGAAGGACCCGAAGAAGTTCCCCAAAGTCCTCGGAGGCGTTATGATCATCATCACCGTTGTTTTCGTCAGCGCCGGAGCTATCTCATACGCCGCGTTTGGCTCCAAGACAAAGACTGTTGTGCTGCTCAACATGCCGCAGGACAACAAGTTTGTCAACGCTGTGCAGTTCATCTACTCTCTTGCCATTCTTCTCTCGACCCCACTGCAGATCTACCCTGCGATCGAGATCACCAGCCAGCAATTGTTCAGTAGAACGGGCAAGTACAATCCGCTCATCAAGTGGAAGAAGAATTTCTTCCGCTTCTTCATGGTCTTGCTGTGCGCTTGCATCGCTTTCGCGGGTGCTGGTGACCTCGACAAGTTTGTCAGTCTTGTTGGCAGCTTCGCCTGTATCCCGCTGGTCTTTATCTACCCTGTAAGTCATCGACACACTTTATTGGATTTGCAGCTACTAACCCATTCACAGCCTATGCTCCATTACCGAGCCTGTGCTCGGACCACGATTGCACGCAGTCTGGATATTCTCATGTGTGTTGTGGGTGCCGTTGCTATGATCTACACTACGTCTCTCACTATTCAGAGCTGGGTCGCAGGAGGCGCGCCCAAGGCTCCAGGGTACTGCGACGGTCGTTAAGCTCGATCCTAGCGTTTACGTTCTCTCAGCGGTGCAAGGGCGTTTTCAGGACATTTCAATGTATCATAGGTTTCTTAGGAGGCTGGTTGGATATAGATTACCTTTAGACTGGACAACAAGCCGAAGCAGCGAGCTGTGCATGGCTATACCTATTCTCGTAAGTATAAGTCAGCAATAACGCCCTCAAACACTAAGTGCTCTTCCTGCTCGCAAAGCCGTCTATGGCCGCCCATGGCATGTGGTCTCTGCCCCTCCACGAAGCGCCATCGCCAATGACTGTCAGCATTGGTCAACGGTGTGTAAGGCTGAAAGTGCGGCTGATGGTAGCGCGCGCCACACCTGGACGCCTGTCAGGCTTTGTCTGACAAGAACTCCACCACGATCCTGCAAACTCGGCACATACGAAGTGTCCTCGACGAACGTGATCCAAAGCGGCCTCAGTACCGTGGTCGGCAGGATTCCGTAGCTGAACATGCGGTATGTGTACACGCCTCGTTGGTCGACGAGCTAGCAGCCTGCAACGGCAAAGCGTGCAGTAGTGCGCTGCGTGGTTCACCGTACAATTGTGAATCCGCGGTTGTACATGCATACCTCAAGCAGGCAAAGGACTGCACATGTCACGACGATAGCAGGCGATGTCTCACGCGGTACAGCGGTGCAGAATGGAGCTCGAAACGTGGTGGCTGGCGGCGTAGAGACTTGGAAGCACCTATCAGCACATGTGTCTTGCTCACGCTGGGGACGGCTGGGACGATGGCTGCCCTGTACACATGCACGCTCTGAGACAAGGCTTGCCCGTTGATAACAAATGTGCAGCGTCGAGCACGGTGACATGCCATGTTTTCTTGAATCTGGTTGAGCGCATTGATGGCAACCATGAATCGCAGGTAGTGGGGCTCTTGACAACAAACATGGCCTGTCCCATATCGACAAGCCGTAGTGTCTGCAACGTCTGCACTGCACGAATAAGGCAAACACCAAATGCCCATTGTGTCTTCCGAGAAAACAAAGGCATTACCAGGACCGGCTGCTGGAGGTTGAGGGGGCCTTGACCTGGGGGCTCGCGTTCGGCAGGGATGGCGCTGCTGACGTAGCTGGAGCACCGCTTTCGGCAGCACGGTGCAATTAGAAACACGCCCTATGTACGAAGCGTGGGAGGCAACCCATGGCACGCTCAATGGCCATAGCGATGCTCGCCACTCGACACGAAAATTGAAGAGCCGCAAAATAGTATCGTGGAAGAGAAAGCGTTCAAGCGTGGTGGAAAATGTGGTAGTGAACGGGCGTGGTGTGCTATGTTTAGGTGCTGCTGCGCCTCGTCCCTGAGCTACAATACAGATAGCGGCAGATCAGGAACGACAACGGCCGCCATGTCCGAAGCGCTGGCGGGCTACCGAGCCATGACGATGAGGCGGAATAGGAGATGTCTTCTTGGGAATGGATTTGCAATGCTGAGGTGGTATCAGCGCTTGCAACACGAAAGGCAAGATGAAAGGGTGGTGTGGTTAGCGTCAAGGCGCCACCGGGTTATGCGAGACTGCAGGTCGATGGCTAGCCGGGGATAGATATGGAGAAAGTGGGTTCGGTGCAAGCTTGGCCTGCTCAGATACAAATATCACGACCACCGACCGCTCTTTCGCTCCTCTCATACCATCGAGCTTCTCATCCTGCATATTGCTCAGCACTCTCCCACTCTGCTACCACCTTACGATCGTTTCCTCTTTTAGTCTATCATAGTTCATTCGTTCAATCATGTGGTAAGTCAAGCTGCCCCGCTTCGGTCCCATGTGAGCTGCGATCGGCGCTGCGAATAGAGGCTGACCAGGCTCGTCAACAGTGGAATTTTCGGGTACATCAACTACCTGGTGGAGAAGGACAGGAAGTACATTCTCGACACACTCGTCAATGGTAAGACCCCGCATGGCTGCGCGTGCAATTCGCGGTGACAGCCAGCTCCCCCGCGTCGTGGACCCCCTTCTAACCACCGCAATCCACAGGTCTGGCACGTCTCGAGTACCGCGGTTACGACTCCGCCGGTCTGGCCGTCGACGGTGACAAGAAGAACGAGGTCTTCGCAGTCAAGGAGGTCGGCAAGGTCGCCGCGCTGAAGAAGCTCGTCGAGGAGCAGAACTTCGACCTGAACAAGGTCTTCGACTCACACGCCGGTATTGCCCACACCCGATGGGCCACCCACGGCCGCCCCTCGCGCCTCAACTGCCATCCCCACAGGTACGTGGTTCTGCCTCCAGCCGGTTGCACGGCGCACGGCGTGTCCGAGCTGTAACTGTTGAGCTCCTGCGGGTTCGCCGACCCCGCCGTGCCACCCGTGCCATTACGCAACTCCGAGGACCATCGCTGACTTTGTGCCTGCAGGTCCGACCCCGACTGGGAATTCGCGGTTGTCCACAACGGCATCATCACAAACTACAAGGAGCTGAAGACTCTCCTCGAGAGCAAGGGCTACAAGTTCGAGACCGAGACCGACACTGAGGCCATCGCGAAGCTCACCAAGTACATCTACACCGAGCACCCCGACCTCAGCTTCCCCTCGCTCGTCAAGGCGGTCATCAAGGAGTTGCAGGGTGCCTTTGGTCTCCTGATCAAGTCCATCCACTACCCCCATGAGGTCGTCGCCGCCCGCAAGGGTTCGCCCCTTGTCATCGGTGTCCGCACACAGAAGAAGATGAAGGTCGACTTCGTCGATGTCGAGTACAACGACGAGAACACCGCCCTCCCCGCCGAGAGCGCCTCCCACAACGTTGCCCTCAAGAAGAGCAACAACCTCCTCGCTCCCCCTGACAAGTCCCTTCTGCACCGCTCGCAGTCGCGCGCTTTCCTCTCCGACGATGGCGCTCCCATGCCCACCGAGTTCTTCCTCTCCTCCGACCCAGCCTCCATTGTCGAGCACACCAAGAAGGTCCTGTACCTCGAGGACGACGACATTGCCCACATCCACGAGGGCTCGCTCAACATCCACCGCCTGAACAAGGATGACGGCACCTCCAACGTCCGTGCCATCCAGACCCTCGAGATCCAGCTCCAGGAGATCATGAAGGGCCGCTTCGACCACTTCATGCAGAAGGAGATCTTCGAGCAGCCCGAATCGGTTGTCAACGCTATGCGTGGTCGTCTCGATGTCGAGAACAAGACCGTCACACTCGGCGGTCTCCGCCAGTACCTGGCTACAATCCGCCGCTGCCGCAGGATCATCTTCATTGCTTGCGGTACCTCGTACCACTCCTGCATGGCTGTCCGTGGTATCTTCGAGGAGCTGACCGAGATCCCCATTGCTGTCGAGCTGGCCTCTGACTTCTTGGACCGCAAGGCCCCCGTCTTCCGTGACGACACCTGCGTTTTCGTCTCTCAGTCTGGTGAGACCGCCGACTCGCTGATGGCTCTCCGCTACTGCTTGGAGCGTGGCGCCCTTACCGTCGGTGTTGTCAACAACGTCGGTTCCTCCATCTCTCTCCTCACCCACTGCGGTGTCCACATCAACGCCGGTCCCGAGATCGGTGTCGCCTCCACCAAGGCGTACACCTCCCAGTTCGTCTGCATGGTCATGTTCGCGCTGTCTCTCAGCGAGGACCGTGCCTCCAAGCAGAAGAGGCGTGGTGAGATCATGGACGGTCTGTCCAAGATCTCCGAGCAGTTCAAGGAGACCCTCAAGCTCGACCAGCCCATCAAGGAGCTTTGCCAGCGCTTCAAGGACCAGAAGAGCTTGTTGCTCCTCGGCCGTGGCTCCCAGCACGCCACTGCTCTTGAGGGTGCTCTGAAGATCAAGGAAATCTCCTACCTCCATTGCGAGGCTGTCATGTCTGGTGAGCTCAAGCACGGTGTGCTTGCGCTTGTCGACGAGAACCTGCCCATCGTCATGATCCTCACCCGCGACGACATCTTCGCCAAGTCGCTCAACGCCTACCAGCAGGTCATTGCCCGTAGCGGACGACCAATCATCATCTGCAACGTGGACGACCCTGAGTTCCCCGCGGACAAGACCGACAAGATTGAGGTCCCCAGCAACGTCGACTGCTTGCAGGGTCTGATCAACGTCATTCCCCTGCAGCTCATGTCCTACTGGATGGCGGTTGCCGAGGGTGTCAACGTTGACATGCCCCGAAACCTTGCCAAGTCGGTCACCGTCGAGTAAGCGAGTAGAGTTGGAAATTGTTTGGGATTAGCTATGATATGTATGGATTTGACTGGTGTTACGAAAGCTCTTGGAGAAGCTGCATGTTACGATCATCTAGATGGATAGGCGGCATTGTACCCAAGAGGGGCTTGCCAGCTGGAATGAACAAAATTTCCTTTTATTAAAACTGTTACACCACTTTGCTGTTTGCTCGTATTTGAGATGGTGATCTTCTGTTGATTGTTTCAGCACGATGCACCAGCGGCGCCAAAACCGTGTGGGATGACGCGACGCAACATCCCTGTCAATCGGGATGCGGGGCAGCTCTGGCAAGTGCGTTCCTGCATTCCAAGTGTCCAAGCAACGGCACAACACCCCACACACAAACCGTCATCGTATTCCGTATTCTCGCACAGCTTCTAGAGATTCTATATCAGCATCAAGAACAACATGGCTATCCTCAAAGGACCCGGCGAGCCCAAGAGCTACGACGGTATGTACCCCACCATCCTCCCCTCCGCAGTCACAAACCCGACCCCGTATTGCATATCATACCCCTCCAGCTACTCCAAGCACCCCTAAACTGACATCCCCCAGGCTCTGGCCTTCGCATCGGCATCATCCACGCCCGCTGGAACACAACCATCATCTCCGCGCTGCTCGACGGCACAAAAAAAGCCCTCGCCGACGCCGGCGTGCGCTCGGACAACATCGTCATCCAGAGCGTGCCGGGCTCCTACGAGCTGCCGTACGCGGTGAAGCAGCTCTACTCGGCGTCGCAAGTGCAGTCGAGCTCGTCGGGCGTCGTGGGCGCGGCCGCCGACCTGCTCGGCTCGACCTCGGACCTGACGAAGCTGAGCGTCGATGCGAACGCGCAGTCGACGGCGCCGTTTGACGCCATCATCGCGATTGGCGTGCTGATCAAGGGCGAGACGATGCATTTCGAGTACATTGCCGACGCGGTCAGTCATGGGCTGATGCGGCTGCAGCTGGATGGCAATGTGCCGGTGATTTTTGGGCTGTTGACGCTGTTGAGCGAGGAGCAGGGGCTGTATCGGGCGGGGATTGCGGGTAAGGAGGGGAATGAGGGGCATAATCATGGGAGTGATTGGGGTAGTGCGGCGGTGGAGTTGGGGATCAAGAGGAAGGGGTGGGTCGAGGGCAAGTATGTTGATTAGATGTGGTGCTGTGGAGAGTCTTGAAAAGAGGACGAGAACGATATGCATAAGAGCAAATGAATGATGAATAAAAGCAGATGAACGATGAAGGCGTGGATTGGTCTTCAACGACGTTATTTCGGTGTCTCGGAGCTGGAGCTACCAAGGAAACTTTGAACTAATATTTTCATGGGCCAGACACGTTCAACTACGTATGGGATCTTGTGTCTGCCATTGCCCTATCTCACAGAAGGCCGTCGTCGCGTTGGGCTGTCCTCCTCATGCTGGATTGTAGGCTATCGTGGTGTCGCCAACCGTGGAGCTACAATCGGTCGCCGTATATGCAGCGACCGAGCGGTAGCGATTTCTTAGCAGCTTGCTGGCAACGATGCCTTGACTCTTATAAGTCCCTGTCGTTCTAAATGGGAGCAATCGTCGATGTCCCAGCCGTGCACAGCTTGGCCGTCACATGGTCATATCGTCGCATTCAATTGCTGTCCAGAGGCGGCGCATGCACTGACGAGAGTCGTCGCATTGGGTCGGCGCTCATTCTTGTTCGTCGTTGAAGTGTAGTTGTTGTTCCTGGCTGGTCAGTAATGCTCAGGCGAGCCGTGTGCGCGGTGCGCGGCGCGCGGCCGGGGCCCAAGCAAATAACGACCCTCACGTGAGCCATATCAGTGTCGAAGCCACAGATACGTCGTCGCAGTCACTACCAGAGACGATCGACTGCAAGTATCCTGGCCAGACACGCAGGTGTTTGCGCACGCACTGGCGGTGCGGGGAGCGATGACGTCGGTGGACTGGACGACAGCCGTGCAGCATGTCGCGAGAGAAGTCGGCGCGCGCGGGCGCGGAAGGGCCCTGGAGGGATGCATCACACAGGATAGCTTCCAGGAGTCTGCGCGACTTGTCTGGGCATGATTCGAGGCGTTGGGCTGTTTGATGCGCTGGGGGCGAGTGGTCGTGGACGCAGGACCGCGTCGGCCAGGGGCAGTTTCTGGGAAAGCGCAGCCCGTGCGCGCGACAGCGTCCGCTGGACCTCAGACCTCACATTCTTCCAAGCCATCACCCGCCTGCCGCCAGCCGTCTGTCGTCTGCCTCCGCGAAGTGCTGCTGCGCGCTCGCCCGACCCATCCCTCCGCCGTCTGCGCCCTTGCAGCTGCGCCGTGCGAGTTGCGAGTTGCCGACACGCTCACGCACCACCGCGTTTCGGTGCGCGTCCGGATCGTCTGCAACCCTGCAGCGCCGCCGAGTCCAGCACCGCGTCACATATTGTTTTCGAGCGTCGCCACAACACCCCCTAATACTAATGGCGCGAGGAAAGCGCTGCTGATCCGACGGACGCCCTCTGCCTTGGTGCACCGTTGCGGCAGAAGCGCGGCACACCGGCGTTGGCACCAGCGGATGCCGAGCGAGCCAGCGTGTGCGAGAACGAGGCACCGCCAGCACCAGACGTACCCGCGTCGCGCACACGACCGCGCGCCCAGCGCCGCAGGTGAAGGCGCCCCCCGCCAGGCCCGAGCACCTCAGCACGTCTCTGTTTGTCAACAATGAACGCCGCCTGCTGAACGCCCCGACCTGGACACAACCTTCCCGTCTCCTGTTGCGCCTGACGAATCCACACCCGCGCAGCGCCGCGCACCATGTCGCGCCCCGGCCAACGCATAACCCTGCAAGCTCTCACGCCCTTGACCAACACAGACTCGTCGCCGCCTGGCAAGCTGGCCAGTCCACGGTCCACGAGATCTTCACACGATACGATGAGCCAGTCTGCTGCCGCGCATGCAGCGCCGTCGAGCGCGCCGCTCAATGGCACCGACGCCATCACGCCCGTAAACACACCGCCCGAGACGCGGACACCAATCTTTCCTTCAGACGGCGTCCTTGGCCAACGCATGACCTACGACCCGCTCCTCGACTCGAAGTTGGACAAGAAGGCTCGTCAGTCCCGACCACCGACATACAAGCAGATACTGGACAAGGTATGAAGGCTGCACTTGACATGACCCGATGCGGTCGCTCTGTGACATTAAGGCTAACTTGACTTGTGTTACAGGGCGACCCATCTCCCCCTCCCGATCCACGCTTGGCCATTGCTGGCTACAGCACGGGCGCCTACACCATTAAGACTGCTGGGCCAGCCGCCCCTAAGACCAAATTGCGCTTGTCGCCCTATGTGGCAAAGCCCTACGCTTTCGATGCGCGCATTTCTTGCGGCCCTGGGCCTGCGACGCAGGTGGTCGTGACTGGTTTCGACCCCCTCACTGCGGATGCGCAATTGCGCGGCTTCTTCTCCACCTTCGGTGACGTGGAGAAGCTGCAGAACCAGGTCCACCCGGACAACGGCAGTCCTCTGGGGATATGTCTGATCAAATTCCGTGATACTGCGGCCATGCGCAACACGCCGGCGGTCAAAGCTTCGGCATCGGCGAAACGCGCAGAGCGTGAGGGAACCGGTCAACGCATCGGCACGGGCACACATCCAGTCAGGGTCCACACAGATCGTGAAGGACGAAGATGCGCCAAGCTGGTGGATATGGCAGTTCAGCAGACTCGGAGAGAGCAGGATAAGTTGCGAGCTAAGCTTGCTGCACAGTCGGCCAAAGCTCCCTCATCTGCCGCATCGGCTGGTTTCGATCTTCCAGCGAACGTGCCTAAAGGGCCATCTGGCAAAGGCACGCGCCCGCCACCTCCAATGCCCCGAGAGCCCTTGTCGCGCAAGGCAGCACTTTCCTACCTCATCGAACGAGAGCCGATCAAGCCCACAATGAAGCGAACACCGTACCTGTTCATTGCCCACCAATACGTGCCTGTACTGGCCACAACTATAGATCATCTGAAACGACGTCTGAAGGCCTTCAAATGGTCTGCAGTTCGGTCCGACCAGACTGGTTACTTCATCACGTTCGAAGTCTCTAAGAGAGGAGAAGACGAGACCGTGCGATGCTTTCGAGAATGTCACATGCAGGCCTTGTTCACGTATGTAATGAACATGGAGTGTAATCAGTACGGTGACCCACAATACGAGCGGAGCCCGAGCCCAGAAAGGGTCATAGCGGATAAAAAGCGAAAGGCTATTGAGGAGCGCGTTGCCGAGGAGGAAGCCGCCGACCTGGAGCTAGAGAAGAAGCAAAGGGCAGACTCGTTGGATCCCGTCTTAGCAGCACTTGACCAGCTTAAGCATGAGTTGTCAGAGAAGTTACTTGGTGACATCAAGACTCGCATCGCCGGCCCAGCTCTGCTAGATATCATGTCTTCAGAGCGTCAGGCTGCGAAGCGCCGAAAGCTAAACATCCAAGACCCTCAGCAAAAGGAGAACAGCATAAGTCTGCCCTCGATGCTTACACCTACATTGGATCCTTTTGCAGCGGCGACGCCCAAGGGACGACATGGAGGTTTCGGATCACGACGCGGTCGCAACGCCCTTGGGCCTCTTGACCACAACAGACGAGGAAAGAAGCCGCTTCGAATTGTCAACGCTTTCGCGGATGAGCGAAGGAAAGCTTCTGCACCGAAGCCAAAGATCGCTCGTGGCCTTCATCGACAGATGTTGGAAATGTTTGAGCCAGCGGAAGATTCAGATGATGAGGGCCGCAGCACACTTACACGTGGCACAGAAGAGCAGGAAAGCCGGCCCATCAGCCGCGCCCATTCTACTGACGTCGAAGATGAAGAAGAATCTTCAAGAGCGCACCGCGCGAAACGGCGGCGCATTGAGACTGGGTGGGGCGAGGACAGCGATGAAGAAATGGACGATACGCATGCTCGGAGTTTGCTTGCTCATTGTATTCACAAAGACCCAGAAAATATGGCGGAGAAAGAGTTGGAACAAGTGCTTGCTATACTTCCGCGTTCTTCGCCAATCTGGAAGAAAGCAGACAAAGCGCTCAAGGGTTTCAGGAGATTGCGAAAAATCGAACAAGAGGCGGACGCAATCTTTGGCCTGGAAACACCACCCGAAGACAAACTTGAGCCCACCGTCATTGTCACTCAAGAAGATGAAGCGTCCAAACCCATCGAAACTACCGAGAAGGAAGTGCCAGCTCCCGTCAAAAAGGCCGCGAAACCAAAGAAGAAGACGAAAAAGCAACTCGAAGCAGAGATCAAGGCTGCGAAGGTTGAGATCACAGAAGAGGTTGCAGAAGTCGCAGAGGCTGTTGAGGAGGAACTCGTTGAAGTCAAGAAGCCCGAACTAATGACAGAAGTATCCCCTGCTGAGGGAACGCCGGAAGAGGACGATACCGGCTCCGTCTACTGGGGAGTGTCCTCAGACGAGCCTCGGAAAACGGTTGAGGATGATCTCAGTGTAGTAATGGACATTGATGGCTGGCAACACATGCTCAAAGACGAAGAGGATCTCAAGAACCTGAAGATCGCCATGCAGTCGATCGAGGCCGCTAATATCGACGATGCGCAGTCCTGGGCTTGGAAGCAAAAGTCCATCAAGCACCTCAACAACTCCGGCGAGGCAGGTGTATCACGCAAGGAGACCAAGATCGAAGGCTACTACGTGCCCAACCCCACTGGATCAGCCAGAGCCGAGGGTGTCAAGAAAATTCGCGAGTCCGAGAAATCGAAGTACTTGCCTCATCGCATTCGAGTTGTCAAGGAGCGCGAAGAGCGACAGCGACAGGCAAAGCAAGAAGACAAGTCTACCCACTCTGTGGAAGGCTTCAAGTTCACGACTAGTTCGCAGAAGACATCCACAGCCAACTCTCGTGCAAATCGTGCCAACAACCGTCGTATGGTCAACGATATCAACATTTCGAAGGTCTCAGGCGCCGAGGGTGATGCTTTGCGCTTCAACCAGCTGAAGAAGCGCAAGAAGCTCGTCAAGTTCGACCGCTCAGCGATCCACAACTGGGGTCTGTACGCCGAGGAGAACATTGCTGCGAACGACATGATTATCGAATACGTTGGTGACAGGGTGCGACAGCGTGTCGCAGATCTGCGCGAAGCCAAGTACGACATGCAAGGTGTAGGTTCCAGTTACCTCTTCCGCATCGACGAAGATACGGTCATAGATGCCACGAAAATGGGTGGCATTGCGCGTTTCATCAACCACAGCTGTACACCAAACTGTACAGCGAAGATCATTCGAGTCGACAACTCGAAGCGCATTGTCATCTATGCCTTACGTGACATCGGCAAAGGTCAGCATTTCCCTTTTTGTCTTGTGGACATCATACTGACCTTGTTGCAGATGAGGAACTCACCTACGATTACAAGTTTGAACGCGAGATGGATGCCACCGACCGTATTCCATGTCTTTGCGGCTCGATTGGCTGTAAGGGCTTCCTTAACTAATCGCTCTACACATTTCATTGCGTGGGTTGCGTATGTCTTCAACCACGCCCGCACTACAGCCATTGCATGCTTCGGCGCTCCTTCAACAATAGCAAAGAAGACGGTATTAGGCCACGGCCAGGGACGATTTGGGGGAGCTTGCATTCCAAGGCGTTTACATTTTTCAACTATCACAAGACGATGCCACAATGTATTATTGACGGGAAAGGTGGAGGGGTTGATTCTATTTCATCATCAAGGCCGCTGCGCTCGGTCTGTCTTGCATCACACTTGGTGTTTCACCGCTTTGTACAGTCTTGCTGTGGGGGTTATGTTGGGGCGAAGAGAACAGAGCGGCGGTGTAAGCATCCCCGGCTCTTGGAGGCGCGCTGGGTAAAGCCTGATCTATTTGTGGCTGCTACGGCATGCCATGCGCCTTTTATAGGGGACTTTGAATGAATAAATGAGAAGTCCGCAAAGGATTGAAGTGTTTAGAGCATGAACTTGCCTCTTGTGTGCAGAATCAGTGGGATGCAGACTGAGCTACTCGGTCACTCGGTGCCGCTAGGAGGGATTCATGACTTTGATTAATTCTTTACTGCAAAAGACGGTGTAGTCGATTTGCTATTTTTGGATACAATTGTCCTGCTGCTGCTTGGGTGTTATAATGCTCATGAATAGGGGGAGCGGAGAATTTGAGTTTCCGGAAGCTTGCTTCCATGAGTCCACCCTGGAAATATCGTCATTGAGATAGGCATCAATGTATGAGCATCATATATACCTGCTACTTGCTAGAGTGCGTCGTCAACTTTAGCTACATGACTGATGATAACCCACACTGCATCCGTCGAAACAGTCCATCTATGCGGGTCTTCTTTCCCTTTCCAGGTAAAGTCCGCGCCGGTCCGTCAGCCTGCACAGATCTTAGGCAAACTACATGCCAACTTTGGACTAGTTTCTACAATGCATGTCAAACCTAGATTCTCTGTTATACAAAATTATGGAGGCAATCCTGTCGATGGTATTACAAGACACAGGTAGGTTACTGGATACTCCTTTCATCTCGTCGTGACGAACAGCTTCCCCTATTGAGCTCGATGACAAACACTCGTGAGCTGGACTCGACCGACAATACCCTGCAACTGCGTAGGCTGGCCAATGGTCTTCCGTGGCAGACTGTCAAAGGCATGTCAACGATGCCGTGACCGACGATTACGCGTAAGTCACTTGCCAATGTTCTCACCGCACCAAGCCACCATACCCATCCACTAACTTCCCTCTCCAGTGCGACTTCCTGCGCCCGAGCTGCAGCTCCTGCATCCGGGCCGCCACACCCTGTGTCGGCTATCGCGACACTCTCACCATCCGCATCGCCGACGAGACAAATGATGTCCGCACAAAGGCAGACGCACGTAGCCTTGCCACCCAGGCACAACAACTCACCTACCTGCCCCCGAGCGTAGAAGTCACAGCACGAGACTTTTTCTTCGCCAACTACGTCTGCGAATTCAGCCACACCTGGGCCGGCCTGCTCAAGTACCACCACACGACCAGGGCGCCCGCGCACCTCTCCTCGAGCCTCGACGCCGTGAGCCTCGTGTTTCTAGCGCTCTCGACACGGTATGAAGCCGCGGTTGAGCTGAGCAGGAGGAAGTACGTTGCCGCGCTGCGGATGATCAACGCAGAGCTGCAGCGCGCGGATGCGGTGAAGAAAGTGTCGACGTTTGAAGGAGCGTTGCTTTTGGATCTGTTTGAGAAGATGAGTAAGGAGATCAAGGAGGGTGCTGTGGTTCGGCATGCACACGTGGAGGGTGCGTTGGTCCTTGCGAGGCTGAGGGGCGTGGAGGCATTTCGGGAGAGGGGGGAGGTGAAGGCGCTTTTGGGGCTGACGCTTAATGCGACGGTGTGCTGTTTGAGCGCGAGACGGAAGATTTCTGAACCGATTAGGAAGATGAGAGAGCATGCGGCGACGGTGGTGGATGGCGCGGACATGAACTGGAGGCTCAGTGGTGTGTTGTCGGATGTCGTTGATCTGGTCGCTGATATCCACGCGAACACCTTGACACTGGAGGAGAAGACGGCAAGGTGTGCGAGGCTTGACAGCTGCCTCGAGGCTATCTCACACGAAGCCACCTCGACATGGTCGTATGAAAGCGTCATAGTACCGGCAGAACACAGGGCCGGATCACTGCCCAGCGACTCACCATCTCTGTACAACATCTACCCCAGCCGAGCTGTCATGCACACATGGAATGTCCTACGCCTCCTCCGCATCCTTCTCCGCGAAGAGCTCATCTCACACTTCCCAACATCCACCCACTCAACCCTTCTCCTCCAACCCCCGCCCTCCATAACGCCAACAATACGCCAAATCTGCGCATCCGTCCCCCAAATGATCGCCTGCTCCTCTGCAGCTTCCCACAAACTACCACCCGGCTCACCGTGCCAGCACCCACATTCCCCATCCTCGGGCCTACTGCACACAATCCCGCACCTTCTCGACGCCTACATCCTAATATTCCCCCTTTACGTCGCAGGGTGGTCGCGCTACTGCTCCCCGCCGACTCGGGTCTGGATCCTGGATCAGCTAGAATACATCGGTACGCACTTTGGCCTCATGGCAGCAAATGTGGTTCGGGAGGTTCTGCTCAGAGACACGGGTTCCGGTGGTGTGGAATCGTGGTATGTCAAGTGCTTATGCGTGGCAGAATTGGCTAATTGTTTGCAGGGTGGCGAGGCGGAAGCAGTTCGATTTTGTCCTTTCAAGGCACATCGCGGACTTCTACGGGTTAGGTCTTTGATGCTGCGTTGGGCATCAACGGTGGGCGAGTGTCGGCTCGCCTCACTGATTCAGAAACGCGGTGTGTTACTGCGGAAGTGGAGTCTTACAGCAATATGTTTGCGTTACAGGTCGTGTCGAGACGGGTAAAACTCATATATTATAGGGCCGTTGAGCATTGAGCCTCACTGTAAGGCCGCGTGGAAGGAGCACATGATGTGGTGACCAAAGCGGAAGGTGCGAAGATCCGCGGATCCTCAAGGCGTCCAGGCCTTCCCCGCCCCCCAGACTCCGACAACGCACTCAGGGTCCAACGTGCTGATTGGTCTCCACACCCAAATATCACCTGTTCGTCTCGGGCGAGACGGCTCGGAGTGCTGGCCTAGCCGCCATGGAGCATGTCGTGACTTACGCGGCACGCTGCGACCTCGTCCCGAGCAAGCCAACGCTCGGCGCGAGCTATAGCGGCCGTCGGCGGAGGGTGCGAGGCGGCGAGACGGGCTATGCATATATCGACGGCTGAGCCGCAGGAATGCACCTCAACATTTACTCGTTGAGAGCACTTAGTGTGTAGTCAATTGCACAGGAAGTACAGCACCGACAGCGGTATAACACGGTACCCTCCTCCGTCAATAGCAGACAACAAACATCCATTCACAATGCCGGCATCCTTCCTGGCCCTCCCCCGCGAGCTCCGCGACCAAATATACGACGCTCTCTGGATCTCAACCCCCAAAATCACGCTCCTCGACCACCCCTCCAAGGGACGCATAGTAGCCTGCTACAAATCCCTCGTGACGCGCGAAACCGCCCTGCCAACCTGGCTCCTCACCAACAAGCAAACCCTCTCCGAAGCCACTGCCCAGATGGTCCGTCACGGCACCTGGATCGTGCGGCTGCGCAGCGACTACGACGCGCCGCCCGGCACTGTGCTATCGCCCACGCTCGCCCGCCGCCTGACCCTCACCCTGACACACGCGCTCGAGGGCCCGCGGCCACGCTGGCCCCACGTCGTGCGCGACGCCACGCTGGGCCCGTCGCGCGAGAACGCCGCGTGTCTGGCGCACGCTCTGGAGCACATCGCCGGGTCGCGCAACGCGCGCGACGTGCGCCTGGTGCTGGAGCTCGTGCGGGAGGAGCCGGGGGCGCGGCTGGATCTTGCGCCGCTCGAGGCGGCGAGTTGTCTGCGGCCTGGGTTGCGGAGCCTGGAGGTGGTGGTTATGCGGGAGCAGGTTTATCGGGCGTATAGTGCGGGGTTTGTGGAGGCTGTGGGTGCAGAGGTGAAGAGGGTGGGGAATAAGGTACTGGGGAGTGATGAGGATCCGAGTGTGTGTGGGTTTTTGAATGATAGTGGGCTTGTGTATACATTCAGTAAGCCTGGGGATATGGAGCTGTGTCGGGTCGATTCGGCAGTTGCTGAAGCGGGATGCTGACGGGGTGTGAGAAGCCGAACGGATATGAACATAATGATGAACAGAGTGAAATTGGAGACAGAGGAATCTCCACCAAATTGAAGCACATCCAGTCACCGTAGAGCCGTCTAACACGTGAACCGCTTTTGAGGTTGCTATTTCTTGCGCACTGTCTTTGCTAACAATGTCCAAGTGATCGCTTATTGAAGCCGTTATGCGCTCATTGATGAAGGTGTGATGGAGAAACATTGTAGGTGCAGCGACCACTATCATGTAGGAATTGTGTACAAGGAAGTTGTCGACAGACACGAGTACATTGGCTCTGTCGTTTACTCACTACAAGTACATTCATAGAATGCGAGTGCTATCCCCTTCTTCCCATTCCAGCCATGACCCCTTGCCTTGAGATACAAATTTGTGGATAGGAAAGACCATCGCCCTTCATGTTCATCCTCCCATAGACGCCTTCGTTGACATTTGCCTTCCGAGGCGTTCTACAATTTGATGCCATCCTCCATACTCCAGTGAACTCCTGAAGAGGACCTACAGTCGTCTCCTGACAACTGTAATAGTGCAAGCACACCGTTGATAAAAGACACCAAGTACCGCAGATATGACAGGTCCCTGAACAATGCTTTCGGCGAAAAGGAGGTACTGTAATGATACGCATCGAAACAGACGCCGTATAAGCTCGGGTGTGAGATCCGAGATTGAGCGAAAAGTGTGCCGAGAATGTAAACGTGCATCTGCTCTCCTCATTCCTTCGTCCTCGAAAATTCGAGCGATGGCGTGCCCAAAATATATGGCTTAAAATGCAACTCGCTTGCAAACGCTAGTCAATGCGGATCGTACATTTTGGTGTGATCTTGTGGACAAATCTGCTTTATATGGCCTTGCGTAAAGGTCAGCAAGCGTGTTTTGGCCAACATTTATCAGTGGGTAAGGACATACCGCAGATAGTTTGCATCAGGCAACACGATGTCACCTAGTCCATGTAGAAGTCGCCCTTGAGAATTCGCTCTTGCATAGCGTCGGGCTGCTTCGGCTGCTTGGGCATCTCACGGACGGGAGGCTCCATAACGGCGACACTCTTCGCACGTTGGTGCGAGGGAACGTTCAGCATCGGCGGCGGGCCCGAAATGGAGCCACGTTCGGCGCGGGAGCGGAGGTTCTCCGCGAAGTTGTAGCCTTCGCCTGTGGACGACCATGTCAGCGAGTGTTCATACTCGGGATAGTCTTCAACATTCTCTGCGATTGTGTACGGCCAAACAGAGGATATGGATATTGAACGCCTCGAAGAAAGACCAGGAGGTGATGAGGAGTGTAGAAGGGGTGCTGATGTGGGCAGAGAATTCGACAATGAAGACAGACCTCGTCCTCGACCACCAGTCGGGGGAGAGGCTTTATGGGTGGAAGGTCTACCATTTGGGTTTCCAACACTACCACTACCCTGCCTGACATCCCGCATTGCTCGTGCACCGAAACTGAGGCGTCGTGCGAAGGGTGTGGCCGGGTTACTGCCGGGAGCAGATGCGATGGGGGCGTAATCATCCTCGAAGGGGCTCTCGTCTACCGAGCCCGAATTGACGCTGGATAGACTCTCGGTTCGGGTGCGGGGGTTGCTGAGGAAAGGAGATGTCTGGCCCGGTGATGCCGACAGGCCGATGGTTGTGAGCGAGAGGCGCCGTTGCTGAGCATTCACTGCAGCTGTGGTAATGGGGCCAGACATTCCTGGTCGGCCACCCTGCTGTCCAGAATAACTGCCTTGTCGCCCGAAGAGATCCTGGAACGTCTGACCAGTGATTGACGCACGTCGGCGGTCTGTAGGGCCCGGGGAAACGAATGGGGGTGAATTGCGGCCGGAAGACATGGCTTGGGCGGGATATGCGGATCAGTGATGTCAAGTATTTAACTCAAGTAGAAGACAGTGGCTGCAATGTTTGTTGTATGTGAGCTTCAGTGTGGGTGCGGTTGTGCTAGAGAGGGAGTGGGCGAGGAGGTGGTTGATGTACTAGCGCTCGGACTCGTGGTCCTCGCACGGACAGGCTAGTGCAGTACGTCAGTGGGGTGGGATGGCGTGATAAGCGAGCTTCGTTTCGCAGAGAGGTATGATAGCAACGGCGTGGTGTGACAGGTGACTGATAGTGGAGAACAAGGAGGTGTGTGGCTACTGAGGCAAGGACGAGTGATGGACGGTGCTGTAATATAGCAGCCGCAATGGTGGGTAGAGAAGGGACGACAAGGCTAGTGGCTTACAGGTCTAGCGTACCTTCCCCGCAATCCGGCCTGGAAGGAACAAAGCGCTTCATGTGGATAGCATCTGCATCGTGGGCCAACCAGATGACGAACAGCTCGAGATCAGCCGCTGCCCCCGCCAGCTCGACCAACCTTCCGCGCCAACTTGCTGCACCATGATCAGCGTGGAGCCCTCCGTCTCTGCTCAAGCCTTGGTGCTAACGCCTTGGATGCATATTTGGTGCTTCGCGTACCCACTCCATACGAATCGGCCAGGATGTGCGAATGCATAAGACTGTGCTGATTATGAATGCCCTGTCTAACGCCTTGTCCTCAGGAGATATCCCACTTGTTACCAGCTTGACACGAAACAAGTGTGCATGTATTCACCGGCGGACGATGAGCTGGGCGTTATTATGTTGAGCTGCGGAGCTGTTTCATTCAAGTAACAACATGGCGGGGCTGACTAACAGCAAGTGCAAGTGCAAATCACCCTTAGACGAAGAGCGAGATAAGCGACCCGTTTTGGCAAGCCTGAATGCATGTTTTGGCCGATGTGCTGGCTTCACCGCTGGAATGAAAACATCTGGGAAGAGCGCTGATTTGAGTGTTGATCCAATTTCTCGGGCAGCAGAAGCACTCTGCACCATTCATTCAACGCAGCACCAGCCAGCCATTCTAGTTGCTGTACGACGTGTGACAACGACGTTTCTGATTGGCTCCCTAGATCTACAGTACAATCTTGCTGTGGTCAATCGACAGCCCCGACATTCACTCCGACATTCCTTCTGCTCAAAGTCCTTATCTTGCCTGTCGATAGAGAATGAGATTGGACACAAAGACACTGCGGTCCGATATTCTGCTCGGCTCCACTTTCGTACGTACTCGGCCGGACCTCAGCGATCTAACTTCACGGCTGCGTTGCCGTCGGCCACATCCCAGAGCCCCGGACCTTTGAATTCTAAGCCTTGGCAACGCCTGCTGTGCGGATGCGGGGACAAGATATCAGCTGAACGTCTTACGACTCGTGTGCAACGCATGCTACGTGTTAATGTGGATATTGTCGAGTGGATCGTCCGCATGCGGAATTCTCGAGGCCTATCACAGAATTCATTACGGGGTTTCACATAAGCATAGACACTAGCTGCAAAAGCAAGAGATTGAATATGGTTGTGTTACGTATGTACAATGAATGTAAGAAGAGAAAACAAAGGAACCATTGTGGTTCAAACTCAACAGATATTCCTTGCGTGGAAGTGGTGCTGTCATGGCAAAAAAGCGGTGAGACGAAGGTAAAACCAGCATCTTTGAAACATGCACATGCACTGTAAATGATCGTAAGAAGAGAAGTAAAGGATATCAAGGAGAGTCTAGAAGAATAGCCAACAGCATGGTCTAGAAATAAAGTGACAAGAGTCAACAAAATCGCCTCAAGAGCTGAAATGAGAAGGAGTGAACCAAGACAGAAAAGGAGTGAACTGACTACACAAAATCCAACAGCTCCAAATGCTATAAAACAAAAAGCAATTACCCTAGAGTACTAGCCATTGAGACTAGCATTGCGAATCGGAGAAGAAAGGAAACGACTCTGTGGCTTACTGATCAAGAGGCTGTCCTCTTCATCTGACCTCCGTAGACCTCAGAGGCAGCTCTCTTGCGGTTATCGTGGATGATCTGATAGAATGCATTCAGGTAATCGACTGGCGCATCGTGCTGAATAAGCTTTGCTTCAATACTTTGTAAGGTCGTCCAGTGACTGCGGATGACATCTTCGTGAGGGAGCAAACGGAGTGCGCTGAGGACGAACAGGGGGGCACCGGCCTCTGGCTCACCGATAAGAGCACAGTACAGGTTGTTTTCACGAGGGCTTCCAGGTCGAAGGCCCCACGTGATGTCCTCGTAAGCATCAACGTTACGATCCGTGACAAGATCGAGAATGCGCACCAGCGCTGCGGCTGCCCGGACTGCGATATTCTTGAAGTCAGGATCGTCTTTGTCTTGCCGGTTGACAAAGTTATTGATAGCCTCCACCAGACCCCTGAGCTTTTTTGCAGTGATTGGCAGTCCAAAGCGCATCGCATCTGCCGAAGCGTCTGTGCCACCGTACGTAATATATTCGTCCAAGGCTTGGAACGTTTGAGTGATGCGATTCTCAACGTTTTGGAAGAACACACGACTCTGAAAGTTGGGATCGATGATGTCGCGCGTCTGCAGAAGCAGTCCTGGATCCTGGGTTGCGTAGCGAGTGAACAATGCCACGAACTCCTGATACTTCTTCGAGCGTTCAGAAGTGAGAGGCGATTCTGGACACTGGAACTCTTCTGGCAATGCTCCCTGAGGTTCGAATACCGAAAGCATGTTGATAACTGTCTCCTTGATATCGTCTTCATCTTCGGATACGTCCTCATCCTCATAGACCCAATCCAGATCTTCTGCAACATCTTCTAAGCCTCTTCTATGCAAGACGTCTGCAGGTTTGATATGTTGGAAGGTAGACCCATCTGTAGAGATCTGAAGGGGCTGATCTTTGACGACATCTGGTATGGTGGAGACAACGTGATCACCAACCCAATATATGTGCTATGTAAAAGTCAGAATTGTAAAGAGTATTGCACGAAGCAAGTGTACCGACCTTGCAGGCAATGCCATCTTCATTAGCCCCGCATGAGCATCGAGGTCTGCGAAGTCTTCCACCCATCACAACTTCGATGTCGTCGTTGATGTAGAAATACTGGGTCCGGATGCTGGGATCTTCATCATCGACATCGGATGTGCAGTATTTCAGCCGGATTGCAAGGTTGTCTTGAAGTCCTCGTTTAGCCCTTCGACGTTGATTGGCGTCGAATGAGGAGATGTTGTAGCTCAAATTATTCGTCGAGATGACGAGAGAGGGGGTTGGCGATACTGGGGAAACGGGTTCGACTGAAGGTAAGGGCGTGTCTTGGTCAAGCTGCTGAGGCAGAGCTCGCTTTATTGATGCCTTGGCGGCTCCAGCTCGAGTAGTCACCATGGCCTCCTCGAGAGAAAGCTGTGAGAATTGCTCCACGGACATGAAGACTGAACAAGCTGGTGTGCTGCATTTTGCTCAAAGTACGTGAAGAAGATATATATCAGTTGCCTCGCGTACCCTGCACCCCGAGCTAAGAAATGCTCCGAGCGATGTGTAAAAAGTTGTCCGTTATGTCGCGGGCGCTTAGGGAGGTGGCCTTTCGTGCCGTCGAGCATTGAGACCTGTGGATCGGTTGTGGCTGTTCAGTACACACTTGTGGAAGAACATGGCACTTCGGAACGCCGCAGGGCTGCATGACCATAAACGAACAGGAATCCAACTCGAAAGGGCCAGGATAGAACCAATAGCTGTAATGCCGCATATCTCCTGTTCCTGAGCTGCATCAATCTTGCCGTCAGCAGCATCGTTTTCGTGGCACACGTGTGGGTTGAGGGTGATTTCTGCTAATTTGCTCTCATTATGGACCAATCAACAGCGACTGTGCCTCAGTTGCTAGTCGTTTTGCCCACATACGGCGCTATTAGGGGCCAATCCTACTCCTTGACTTTCCGTATACAGGCAATTATAGTCCTTTGCCGCCGTGCCCTGGTCGTGGATAGGGCACTAATATACCCTGTGCAGCCATTGCGGGGGAGAGTTCGTGTGTGCTGCAATGCAGGCGGTCACGTCACTGCAGCCGCACCAAGCTTGTGATCGATGCCGCGCATCTCGAGACAGAGGCGCGTAAACGCTGCACACGTTAAACGAGTCTCGGACTCAGGTGTTCTTGCGGCTGTTGAGTCGCGAGGGTGGAGTTGGATGCTGGAATGGGTGATTTGGAGGGTTGTGAACATCTCGGTCCGCTCAGCGTCTGGGGCTGATGTGGTTCTGAGCCCTGCGACTGCCAGTCGTTTCAAGCTCGACCAAATTCACTAAATATCGCGAGGCTGATTGACAGAATGGATGCATAGCCTTTGGTACAAGCTTCTGACAGTTTCGACGTTCTGCCATCTAGGCACCGCCGTCATCGCCGAGAATGCCTTGGGCCGGCTGCTGGCGACCACCATCAGTATTCAGTCTCCGCTTCGTCAGCCCTGCTTCGGGGCTGAGGCGGTACAGGCATCGAAAGAGAAAATAGAGTACACGGTCGAGTTTCGGGTCGCTTGTTTCACTGTCTGTGCGTCCAGATCGATGCATTGTATGGCGCTTTTGCCGTGACAGCATGTAACAGCTCGACGCGGCAGAGCGTGCCTCGTTCCTACATATGCAGCAGAGGAAGAAATCCAGGCACTTGGGAGTACGAGACCGGTGTCTTGGAGTCACTCAGGGCAGCATTGCCTCATTTGACCATCGTGCAATTGACGCTGACCACTAAGAGAATAGATGTAGCCGCCGAAACCAGGAACAAACGGGCATCAAGCCCTTTTCATCCGAATCAACTGCTGCAGCTCTGCGGCTACGCTTCTAGCGTAGTTCGACAGCAATGCCCCTCGGCTGCAACAATCGGATGCTTGTAGTATACATAATATGCGGCTTTGTGACTTGAACCCATGTCGTGAATGTAACAACCGAGCACAGCTCGGCTCAGGGCTATTACCGTTCAGAAAAGCCAAGAGTGATTGTTCTAAAGGGTCCCCACACCGCAGGACTTCGAGCGAAACGATCCGTAAGGCAAAGTCCAAGTCTGAGACCATGTCAGTCACACGCTCACCGTGGGAAAGCACAGACTCACGCTGGGTGCCTCACCTGCTGCTCCCACCTGCGCGCATGGCGTAGACAGAATTCTCCCGTGAGCTTTGCTGCGAGCTCCGCTCCTTATCTTGCCCTGCTGCTACGATATGTTTGAACGATATACCTCCCCAGGGAAGGCCTGATAGGGTGTGGTGATCTTCAAGCCGAGCTACTTCTGGGCGCCTGTAGGAACTCGAAGCTCGTCGAAGATTCTCTGCCTCACGTTCTGCTTCCTCTCTCTGCTCTCGAGCCTTGGCTCCTGTGCAGTATTAGTACACTGTCAACCTATATCCGCAGGAAGCTACCTACTAAACCTCTGTTGAGCCAGTTTGTTCTGAATCTTCCGCCGTTCTACAGGATCGGCCACTTCTGACCATTCAGGAGATCTTGTGTCTGATGGCGACGTATCAGAGGTCCAAGATTCACCTGCTGAAGCCCGTGGTTGTTGTCCTTCGTCGGTTCGTCCGTAGGACATGTTGTCGACGGTTCGCCAATCTTGAATGCTTATGGTGATATCGTCAAAGTATATCAACACGAGGTGGTTTCGATTAGATGATGTCCTTGTTCGATGTTCGTTGGTTGGTTAGATGAAGTTGCGAGTAGAGGTGAGACATCGAGGTTTGCCTCATAGCTTGGAGACAGGACTGGCGCTCAGGCCAGTACTGGCAAGAAAGATGTTGATATACAGATGCTCGCCTCTTGCTGTCGAACAATCCCACTGGATGGCTGTGTGAATATGAAGGTGACGCCTGGAGCTGGGGTGTGGTTGAAAATAGGTACGCACGAATGCTCTGAGAATGGTAAAAGGGCATGGCCAACGGGCAGAGGTTTATGTTTGCTCGGAATCATTTGAAACCCGACCATCAAGGAGGAACGCGAGAGTGGTGTCGGAGGTTGAACAGGATTAGGATCGATGTCCTTGCTCAAGCCTTAGCAGTGGAAAGACAGACTGCAGCAAGCCAGATCATTGGTCTTGATGTCGGATTCAGGCCGAGGAACTAGCTCGCGAAAGGATTATGGCGGAGGAACCGCCCCAGGCTCCGACACATGGCCTTCAGCCTCTTGCTGTGCTAATAGCTCCTATGAACGCAGCATGCATGGGAACTTTGATGGTCGGCCCTCCCGTGATGTGTAGTATGAGCCGCACCTATGACGTTCTTGCAAGGTCTGGCGCTGACCGGCAAGAGTGACGATTTTAGATGATGTCCCCACAGCCCTGCAGGACGGGACCGTTCAGTCACTGTGAAACGTGAGTAGCACGTCGAGAGCCATCAACTGATTGGCGTAGCAGTAATCGAAGTAACGCCATACAGCCCTCGGTCAGTGAGATCGAAGGCTCCCAAGGGTGTTGATGCAGGGGTCTTACCATGGGACCGGCATGGTCGTCGGTAAGGCCGGTCGCAGCCTTATCGCAGGGCTGAAGCACAACCTTGATGCCAACGAAAGCGTGGGGCAATCGTTCAATCTGTCCCAGAATAGTGGAAAGCCATACTTTAGTGTCTAGATCGGATTGCCTTGGTCTCTGCTGTAATTTCACCTCATAACCAATAACAGGGTGTACAGCAGTCGCTAGGACACAGGTCTTCAGCCCCCTTGATACCACAAGAAGCGTGATGGACGTTTCTGCGCCTTAAACGGCCCGTTGGTTCGACACCCTACGTGGTCAGCGACCATGTGAGCGCAAACAATGCGCCAAACGGGCATGAAGTGCGAAACTCCTGACCTGAGCCAAAGCGCGAGTTCAAACACTGATGCAAGAGCGGGGGCAACTGCTAATTCCCGGTGCAGGATCAAAATGGTCTGTGTCGTCGCGGCGCGATGACGAGAAGGAAGAGCTGCGAGTGAGGAAGAGCGGTCGAGGGCACGGCTAGATGCCCGAATAGGACACTGGTTCAGCGTACTGGCCAATCAGACGACTGCGCACGGCCCCATCTTCAGAAATAAGCGTAAATTCCTTTCGGCGTCACCGCTCATCGACGTTGCCATGTACCTACCCAGGTATCCATGCTCGATATTGTTTTTGGCACGGCCCACACGTCTGCCTGGAGATCTTCAGTGTAATCGCAATCCTTTCCCAAGGCATGCGTGGTCGACCCTCTTGGCCCGTGCAGCGCGTGGAGAAAGCTAGACTGTTGTGCTATACAGTGGATGTCAAGTGGGATCGCGGGGTTCGCATTAACAGCTCTATGTAGTCTATAAGCATCTTTCTCACGCCATCATCACTATAGAAATGTGGAGCCACCCATCCAGGTACGCAGTTGCGCGCACTAGGTCTTCGACGTTAGTGCTTAAGGGAACGACTGCCCCATGCAAAACTGCATGTGCTAGAAGTGGACTGCGTCTGCTAGGGAACAGAGTAGGGAGAATTTGGTTCAATGCTGTACCGACAGTTTGTGGTTGTCCTACTCTATTGTTAGGGCCGTCTATCACTCATCAGCTCCTGGACTTACGAGATGAGAGTTTTGGCGTGACAAGACTTTGCACGACCCTGAGGCTGCCGGGGCTGGCTGCCTTCTGGTCATCACTATCCGCAGCATGTGGGAGATAAATTCGCACTGGCAGGTGGCGTAATGTGGCACCTTGCGGATTCAGCAGCTTCTGGTTGATGGGATTATACAGGGAGAAATCGTGCTGTTTGACCGCATCCCATAGCTGTGTGCTATCTTTCTCACTCAAGAACATAACAGTTTTCCCTGTTCCGGTTCTTAAGTAGTCGGCTTCCTTAACCCCGTTCCTGAAGAGATCATGCATGACTTTGTCTTCGGCGTCAAGTTGGACGAGTTGCTCCGCCGGGTACCTTGAGAAGTGGACTGTGAGTTTCCATGGCAGGTGGCGGCGATCGTCCTCGGGCGGCTCAGTCCTATGAGTCGGAGACGATGAATCTGATGCATTCGCTGGCTCCGCTCCAGAGTAGAGATCGTACAACAGTCCGAGAGGGTAGTGCCACTTCAGTGGGACACCTTCATATGAGAACCACAGATCCGCCGGAGAGACGTCAGGATAAATCAAATTTGGCGAAAAGAAGGCATGCAGCCTTCGATTCAGTAGTCCGAGATACGAGAGCCTGGGAAACTGGATCTACAATGCCTCATTAGATTGCACCCAGTTTGGAGAAGGCGCTCTCACTATGTATGGGTCGGAATCATCGTAGGTCCTACAATCTTCATTGTGCAACCGCACCTCTAGAGGTATGCTGCCATTCCAAACGCTCTCTCGCAGTCTACTTGTGACATCCCTCGAAGACATCAACAACGGCGTAGGATGTAGACGGACCGAGTCTGGCTTGAGTGACTAGATTGGTTGTGGGGTAGGGCGGATAGCGCGGGGAGTACATAGGTGTAAGGGACCTCGGCTGCAGCCAACCGTAAAAGAGCAAAAGCAACCTCGTAAGCTTGCGCGTCTTCGTCCCTCACGCATCTCTGCACAACAAACAACGTCGCCATGTGACAAAGCGCAGGACATCATCCATTCTGAATTGCTCTCTAAAAGTTCATACGGCAATGTGCGCACGCAAATGGTTGATCTCCTCCTCTTCCCTCCACCGAGCACCATGAATGCACAGCTCGGTCGCAAACGATCGCGTCTTGCACTGGACTCAGACGACGATGAAGCGCAGCAGCAACGCCAGCCTTCGCCAGCACTCTCTTCAATGAGCGACACACTCAAGAGATCAAAGACTCAATGTGAGCTTGACGAGCTGGACATCATCGAGCCAAGAGATGCCTGGACCGTTGACATAGGCGCCATCCTGTCCAGCAAAATGCTTGCTGCACCACCAGGCGGTGGACTTAAGCCCCACAACAATTGGCAAAGGTATAGGAAGGCAGAGTCTACTGTAGTGCTCTGTGTACAAGGAAACCTACAGCTGCATTACAATTTGTTATGGTACGTCTGAAGCCTCAAGACCTGGTCGAAGACTGATCAGCTACAGCTCCGCTTTGGATGATCTTTACGCCTTAGCACCCTCGCTACAGGCTCTGATACTCTGCCACGACCCTTCTACACATAAGCCTTCCACGAATGCGCCTTTCTCGTTGCCTTTGGTCTCGGCAGTGGATCCACCGGATAACCATTTCGTTCGTCTAGGATTACTTCACCCTCTCGGAGGAGGGAAGTTTCCCTTGGATGCGCTCGCGGTTGTTGATAAAAGAGGTCGTCGAAGACTTGTACTGCCGTTTGGGTGGGGTGCTGGGAAGCATGCGGACACACCAGCCGGTCGAAGCATACAGAACAGGATGATGATGCTACTGAAGCACTGTATCAAGACATTGGAGAATGAGGTATGAAGAGAGACCATGATACCCAAGACTAAATAAGAGTTTCGGCACTCAACGCTAATTACCGCATGTCACGTCAACACAATGGAGAGATCAAGATTATTATCTGTCAATTAATGACTACAATTATCGTAAAATCATGACCATGAAGGCTGCTCCATGTCGGCCAGGCGTCAAAGTTGAGAAACTAATCACTAACCCAACCTGGTCTCCTTGTCCTTGATAGGGATGTCGCTACCAGTGGCACCCTTGTACTGTCCTCGAATGAAATCGGAGATCTGCTCGTCCTTGGCTTGCTCCACAGCGGACTGTAGCGGCGTTAGTGTGTATGCAACATTTGTTGATCAAGGCGACAGCATACCTCGTTGTCTTGAGGACCTTGTCCAAGGAACTTCTCCTGTACTAGGTCCACACCTGCAACACGTCAGCCTGTGGACGCTTGTGACACAATCGTACGAGCTTACCCTTGTCGAGGTAATCCTCGTTCTTCTCGCTCTCGCGGCCACCACCAGCAGCTGAGTTGAGCTTGTCGCCAATGCCGCCGAGGAAGCCACCGCTCTGCTGCTGTCCAGAAGATCCGGTTGACTGGGTCTGCTCGTTGGAGCTCTGACCCTGGCTATTACCGCTACCGGTGAGCTTGTTGACGAAATCCATTATATTTGATGTGGGGTGGTTTGATCGTTGATTGAGCGAGGAAGTTGGTGGTTGTGGAGAAGCGGAGGACCGAGGAGGATGCTGGTTTTATATGCAACTAAGCTGCTGCGAAACTCAAGCTTGGTATCTATGAGTGCGGTAGCAAACAGGATCTAGGCGAGCTTGGTATCGGTAGTGCAAACGATGCGCTGAGGGATAATGCGTACTGGACATGCTAACAACGCTGGGACAGGCGCTACGTCATCGCCGGCGAACCCCTGCTAAGCCCGCGCTCGGCGACCCCGCATTAGATTGCAAAATGCAGTCGCGACTTGACGCGTGCCAGCCCACTTCGGTACCGCCGACCGATCTGCAAAAGGAGGAATACAAGGCTCGCCCAGTGTATTGCCAGAAATCTTGAAAGCTGGCATTATGATACCTATTACCATCGTCACAGGGTTCTTGGGATCGGGAAAGACCAGTAAGTTCTTGAGGGTCTCAACAAATGTTGGTCTGCCCGCAATTTTGAAGTTGATGCTCATGTGTTGTAGCTTTGATCTTGAACCTGATACAACAACTGCCGAAGGACTACAAGCTCGCTCTTCTCAAGAACGAGTACGGCGATGTTGCTGTCGACTCTCAGCTTGCCTCCTCCCAAGCAATTTCTGGAGTACAGGAGCTCCTTAATGGCTGCATTTGCTGCAATCTTGTAGGCCAACTGTCTGAGGCTCTCGAGCAGCTTTCAAATGATGTTCGACCCGATCGCATCGTCGTCGAAACCTCCGGGTCGGCATTCCCTGCGACACTGGCAATGGAAGTCAACCGCCTCTCGCGAGAAACAGGCAAATACGTACTCGACGGAGTGATGAGTGTCATCGACGTCGAAAACTGGAAGGGATACGAGGATACAAGTTATACGGCAAAGATCCAAGCAAGATATACCGATCTCATTGTTTTGAATAAGTGGGAGCTGGTAGATGAGAGGCGACTCGAGGATGTCGAGGACAAAATCTTGGACTTGGACGTGGATCCCCCCATTCCTAGGCAGAAGAGCAGCAAAGGCTGGGTTGATAAGGACATCGCATTCGGGCTAGACGCAAAGCTAGCAAAGGCTGTTGAACAGCCGAGTGAGAATGGCCACGCGCACGAGCATGATCACAACCACTCGAGCGAGGTGGAAGTCCTGAGTATCACGCTTGCTAGCAACGACCTGAAAAGTAGCGTCGACACAGACAAACTCGCTAAACTGCTCGAGAGTCCTACAAAAGACGAAGTCTACCGCATCAAGGGAGTGCTATACGCATCCACTCCCCCGGAGTCTTCAGACAAGGACATCGCCACGGCGACAACGGCGAACGGGAGAGGACGATACATCCTAAACTGGGCGTTTGGGCGATGGTCATTCACCCATATTCCCGAGGCACCATCATCTGCTGGAAGCAACGAGCCAGAGCTTCGACTGACCGTTGTCACTGCGCGATACGAATCAAACAAATGGAAGAAACGAATCGAGTCAAGTGGGTTCATTGCACTGCAAGACGGCATAGAAGGGCAGTTGACGGTAGAGAAGAAGCTATAGAACGATACCCAGATACTCAATGCCATAGACGATGCTACATCATCCAATTGACATCTCTCACCTTCCATCTGTTCACCCAGATTGAAGACTAATCCTGGGAGTCTTTCCAAGCAACAGTCGGGTTCTTTGGGTGCAGAATCACTGGGTAAGTGTCCTGTTCTGGCAACAGCCAATTTACCACATCCACAAACATCTATTCAGATAACCGGCTATGACAGGCCTCCGCTCGTATCTAACGTTATCCAACCCATCTAACGGCCAAACGCATGGGTGATGTCGACGGCTGGGGCTTTAATTGTCCCGGAGGTTGGTGGAAGCTTAGTGTCATCTAGGACGAGGCTGACGGTGCAAATGAGCTTGTCAGGATGTATGGTGTACGTGTTATTTTGCTATCGTGAATTAGCTACTGCTAGAAAAACTGGGCAGTTCGTTTGAAATGTCTAGAACTGGGTATGGTCCTGTACAGCAAATTTCCGCAAGGCTCGCTAAAAATGAAAAATGGTAGAATGTGAATGTTATTGGTTCAGTTCGCGTACATGTCTCCAAAAATACAGGCCTAACTCAAAACACCAATTGCCAAGTCGAAATATGTGCATACAGTGAAGGCTAATTGTCTTCTTCTTCGCTCGTCTCTTTTTCCTCGCAGCACTCTCATCCCTCTATTAGACCCGTTTAAGTGAAAGCCATGCTCTTCTTGATCTCAGCGATTGCCAGCGCAGGGTTGAGACCCTTGGGGCACGTCCTCGAGCAGTTGAGAATGGTGTGGCATCGGTACAGACTCATGCTGTTGTTGAGGGCGTCCTGGCGCTCAGCCTTCTTCTCGTCACGCGAGTCGGCGATCCAGCGGTAAGACTGGAGGAGAACGGCGGGTCCGAGGTACTCCTCCTGGTTCCACCAGTAAGACGGGCAAGATGTCGAGCAGCAGGCGCAAAGAATGCATTCGTAGAGACCGTCGAGCTTCTTGCGGTCCTCTTTGGTCTGGCGGTATTCACGACCCTAGGTGAAGTTAAGATATGTTTGATTGCAGAAGAATCACAGGTACTTACGTCGGGCGAAGGGGTAGTACGCTGGAGGTAGGGCTTGACGGAACGGTATTGCTTGTAGAAGAGTGTCATGTCAGGAACCAGGTCCTTGACAACGTACATGTGGGGAAGCGGGTAGATGCGAGACTCCTTCGCGGTGTCTGTGGGGATGCGGCACAAGCAAGCCAGGGTGTTGACACCGTCAATGTTCATCGCGCAGCTACCGCAGATACCCTCACGACAGCTTCTCCGGAAGGTAAGGGTAGGGTCGACCTCGTTCTTAATGCGAATAAGCGCATCCAGCATCATGGGTCCAGTCTTGTTCAGGTCGAGGGTATACGATTGCATCTTGGGCTTCGACGACGGCTCGTCAGGGTTCCATCGGTAGATGTGGAAGGTCTTCGTCTTCGCATCCTGGCTGGGCGCGGGCTCCTGCTTCGTTGAGGTCGTTTCAGCGACGGAGGCAAAACCGCGCGAGAAGACAGCTGGGCGGAAGGCTGGTGACTTCGTCAGCAGAGCTCAATGGCACGTGAAGCTGATGTGTGGAGATCGCCTACCTGTCTGCCTCGTAGCCAGACGAGCAAAGGTGCGTGTGCAGGCCATTGTGGATTGTGTGGAGTGGAGAGTGCGGGATGTCTTGGTGTCAGTGTGTTGCGTTCATCGAAGTTGTGTCAAGGAACCTCGGGCGACGGCTGAGCCAATGAGATCTAGCCTATTTGCTGAGTGCGCTGGAAAAGCCTCGGGAAGAGCCGGTACGCTTTTCCGGCTTGCCACGCTCGATCTTGAACGTCAACACTCGAGATGGCTATCATGAGGTCTCCACTTCACACCTTCTGGACCGAGAACATTTGAAACACCTGCTGGCTGAGGAGGACACGAGGTTCTTGATCAACATATGGTATCCGCGTGTGCTTGTTCTCTCAGAGTCTGACGTAACCACGTCGCACCCGACATTGTATCCGATACAACAATCGAAAATACGCAAGCAGTCGCGCACCAGCTCTCAAGACGGTTTGGAGCGCGGTAATCCGCCTTTTCCGAACCCACCGGTCGCAAGGCTGTGTTGCGATCACGTGATCACCTCTTCTCCTATCACATGGGCTCTCACGATTGACCTTCACGTGTATGTCTTGGCAACAACCCCAGATTCAGAGTTATACTTTTATGTTCTTGCGGGTCCCTCGTGCTTGCAGCATCATTGCCTCAGCTGCGAATTGTCGTCCACCGAGGCCATTTACAAGAAGTCTTACCACGGCCACAAAAACCATGCTCGATCCGACCCAGCCTGTACACTGGATCTTGGATTGGGACGGCACGATAAGTCAACACGATACACTTGATGCGCTCGTTAGTATATCGGCCTCTGCAAAGCCTGGTTCACCTGTCTTGGATGAATGGAATCGGGTCTCAGAAGCCTATGTATCCGATTATACCGCCGCCATAGCGAGACTTGCCCCTGAGGGCAACTTACCAAAGACGATACAAAAGGAGAAGTTGCTGCTTCACGCACTCAAGAGTGTAGAACAGGCTAGTCTTGACCGTGTATCCTCTTCTGGTATTTTCGCAGGGTTGACCAGAAAGCTGCTGGGGGAGGGCACGAACGAGCTGATTAAATCCAAGAGGGTCGAGATACGTCCTGGTTTTACTGAGTTTTTAGGCTTCAGTCAAACCCGTGGTAATGACCATATGAATCTTTTAAGTGTCAATTGGAGTCGCTACTTTATCGACTGTTGCCTAGGAGCTGCAGGGGCAACAATCCAAAGAGACTCGATCTATGCGAATGAGCTGGATGGCATCGAATGTGGCTCGGTTTCGCACGGCCAGATCGGCCCAAGCAGTGACGCAGATATGTTAATCATCTCCAGCGGCGACAAGCTGGAACACATGGATCGGTTACGCAAACAGCATCACGAGTCGAGAAACTCTAATGCCGCGCTCAGCACGCCGGCGGTGTACGTTGGAGACAGCTGGACCGACATCGAATGCCTCCTTGAAGCAGACTTGGGTATTTGCATTCGCGACGAACCACTCAGTAGCTCACAGAAAAAGCTATCAGAACGATTGCAAAGCCTGGGCGTCCGTTGTCCTCACTTGTCAGCCTGGAGTGAGTCGGACGCGGTGCAAGTGGTATGGGCTCGGAATTTCCACGAAATCAAAGAATGGGTGCAAATGAGAAAGACTTGAGAACCATGGGGTATCTAGTTGCGCGTTGTGGGATGGTTGACTGCAGGACGGACTCTTTTTATCGCATACATTCACATGTGTGTACCATGGACGTATAGCGTCGACATATGGAATGTTGGGTGTATGGTGAGTGTCAATGGTTTAAATGAACGGTCTATAGCTGAACTCAGTCTTCCTTACAGATCTGGGACGCTTTCGAGGGCGAGCACCTGTTTACCGGTCACGATCCAGAATTCGAGACGTACCGGGGCCGAGCTCATCTTGCTGAAATAATAGCCCTCAATGGGCCTCCGCCGCCGAATGTTCTTGCCCAAGGGAATCTGAGAAGCAAGTTCTTCTCTGATACTGGTGAGTTGCGTGCCCTTTACGTGTACCTCTTCTTTGACGATGTCTTCAAAGGCGACTTCTGCGCAGGAATTGCCATTCCAGAATCAACATCGCTCGAGCACAGGGAAAAGTCTCTCAAGGGAGATGATAAGAGTTGCTTCATACGCTTCATGCGGAAAATGCTGCGATGGGAGTCAGAGAAGCGCAGCTCTGCGAGAGAGTTGGCAGAGGATGATTGGATACTCAAGCACACCACGTGAATGCGGCGAGGACGTTATCTAAGGTAAGAATCACTCGCGGTGCATGCCGCTGTCGCAACAACAGATCTGCTACTGTACATCCGTCGATCTCTATTTGATTACCACGCCAAGGACACATCTGCTGGCTCAATCCACGCCTTGATTATACCAAGCTTGTTGGCTGGGCCCCAAGTATATGGAGGCTCGGGGCCCATGTCCTCTTACAGTCTTACATTAAGTTGAGCAGCCTTAGCGCCTGGACAGATATTACATCTTTTACCCGCATGATGAACTGATAGTAGTGGTTGACGAGATCTTGCTCTGCCCTGCTGATGATAGCGCATCCACATGCTCGAAGGTGGAGAGTATCAGTGTTACCTGGTTATGTTACATGCTGTCTATCTCTGGCAATGAGGCTCCACTGACATTCTCAAGACTGTTCAAAGTTGAACACGTGTTCTGACGTTGTCAGCAAGTTTGCAGCATGTCGAGTTCCCAGGAGTGCGATATAACAAGTACGCATATACCTAGCTACTAGCCACAATCAGTGAGTTTGGAGCCCAGCTCAAAAAAGTCATGGCTTTGTTCGGACTCTACCAGAAATATGGACTAAGCATGTTTACATAATAACAAGTCCTATACAGCATAGTGTAGGTCACAGCAAAGTGTGGTAACGACCGCCCGAGCTGCAATCTGGGCCTGTTGTATATGCTACAGGACGTTAGCTCCACTCCAGATCAGTACATGACCAGGATGACCCGGCACAAAATCAGCCAAAAATAGCGTGTGAGTAGCCTCCTATTGCAGAATCCAATTGTTGAGCCGTGCGGTGCAATTAACTCGTTTGGGGCTAAATTGCGCTCGTATACAATGATCTGATCTTGGAATATTTCGCTATTAAATGCGAAGAACACTGCCTTACCGAGCTGTAGCTAACTCTCAATATGCATACTTCACGGTCTTCACTTTTAAATTTGGCAAGTTGCCTCTCTTTGGCAGCACTTGCTGTTTCAATCCCCACCAATGACCAAGTATACACACTATCCAAACGCAATGCAACGGTCCAACAAAGCGTATTCTTCGAAATCAACGGCACAGAAGTAGAAAAAAGGATCGCAAACCTAAAATCAGAAGGATATCGGCCGACGTCTCTGAGTATTCATGGCTCGCCCACCGATGCGAAATATGCCGGTATCTGGACGAAGCAGGATGGCGAAGCATACGAGACTATTCTGGGCGCCGACGAAACCGCTTACAATGCTTGGTTGGATCAATGGAGAGCTCGTGGTTATGTTTCCACACACGTCTCTGCCACCGGGCCCGCCTTCGACGCGCTCTTTGCGGGTGTCATGCAGGAACTGCCTTCAGTTAGCAGTTGGAACCAAAGGTGTGGTGTCGAAGACCCTTGGGCCATCGACAACACGACCGCGGCCACACCAATGACCGTCAAGGGTGTAAGCATGTATGGAACACCGAGCGAACGCCTGTACTGCATCCTCGAACACGAAAACACGATAAACTTCCAGCAAACAGTGTGGTATCAGACAGAGTTCTCAATGACAGATTACCGGACGTTAGAAGCTTCTGAGACTTCGAAAAGATACTGGAGACCGGTATACATCGACGTTTCCGAGGACCAACTCTTTACGCCTATATTCGACGACACGAGTGTTGGACAGTGGGCCACCTTTACAGATCTTACCACATCACAACTGGACCTGGAAATAGCCGCAAGAAAGGCGAAGGGCATGTACCCCATTCACATCTCGGGAGCAGGTTCGGTGGGAGCGAGATATGCTGTAATCTTCGCGGAGCGAACAACCCCTCTGGAACGCGAGTGGCATGCTACAGGTACAGTTACTGGCTTCAGCGACAACGCCGGGACTAGAGCTGCTATGGACTCGGTTATGCAAAAGTTCATGCAAAGAAGCAGCATCAGGCAAGCCCAACTTGCCGCCTCTGTCAACGGAACGATCGTCGCTTCTCGCGCGTTCACCTGGGCTGAGAGCGACCGCGCCATTGTCGAGCCGGAGGATAAGTTCCTTCTGGCCAGTAACTCTAAAATGTTCACATACGCGGCGATAAATGACATGATCACGAAAGATCTGCTGAATCTGACGACTCCTGTCTACTCACTTCTCGGATACGACAAGCCTGCAGACGAACGCTCCATGGACATCACTGTGCAGCACCTTCTGGATCACACTGCCGGATTCGATCGCTCTGTCTCGCCGGATCTGGGCTTTGTATTCACATCCGTTGCACAGTCTCTCAATCAGTCCACCCCAGCTACGCTGCGTCAGGTTATCGAGTGGGTTTTCGCGCGGCCGCTGGACTATACTCCAGGAACGAGTGGGGCGTACAGCAACTACGGCACCATGCTTTTAAGCTATGTCATTGCGAATATAACCGGCGAGACATACATGTCATACCTCGAAAAGAACGTACTTGAAGGCGCCGATGTGGAATTATGGGGCACAGCGACAGACCTGCACAAGTCGGACCGTATTGTGCAAGAGACGAAATATACGGCAATTTCTGCTCTAACACCCCTTTCATCGGACAGAGTCTCAAGTACGTACGGTGGCGACGGAAGTGTCAAGGAGGAGGCAATTGGTGCTTTTGGCCTGAAGGCCTCTGCTTCCACTCTTGCCCAGTTCATTGGCACTCATTCGGTGTACGGTATCGGAGGCCGCCAACGTGGTGGCAGTCGGGACGGGTCTTTGGCTGGTTCACGTACTTTCTCCCAGAGTGAGTACGACGATATTGATTGGGCAGTGACGCTGAACACCAGGGAATACGTCGATGAGAATGCCTGGCAGAACCTGATTTTCTATGACATCTACGACATCTGGCGTGCGTTCTCACTCGCCAGGTAGGAGAATTGGTGTTGGTACCTAAGCAACATTAATCTTACACCAAATTCAACTTCAATAAATATTTTCATCCATCGGGACCCAACGCAGCTTGGAATGCTTACATGACAATGTATCTTCCAGTGCGAGCTGTACTGGAAACATGCCTACAGTTTTGTGAAGCATGGAAACCGACGATCGTTGGGTAAATTGTCGAACAAATATTCAATCTGTGCTGGCACTGTGGTTTGATCATATGTGCGTTCTCCACACCTGCATTGGTATCGTCGGATATACACGTATAGCTACGATTTCGATCAGCCGATTATTGGCGTGGACGATTACTGCTCCGGTCTATCTCAACACCACCAGCATGTTATTACACACGCCGGTATGGAAGTTGCTAGAATCGACTGCTTCATCTCCAACTCCATGACAGGGGTTCGCAGCCCTGCTTGTGCCGGTATTCATTATGTTCCCTGCCCTCTTCTCCGTTTGTTGTATATCTTACAGACACCCTCCTCTTGACCCAGCTATGCAACGCCTAACGCCAGCTCAATGCAACCCTGAGCGGAGATATACAATTCCTCCTCTTCCCCCTCTCTTTCCAGAAATCTACCCAAACCATGATTTATTCTTCTTCGCCTCGGCACGAGCCTCCATCTATGCAACTAGTCAGTCCTCGTTTACACATCTCGATGTACTCGCGTGCGGCGGGTCGTTCGCATCTCGGCGCGCAATATCGGCGGAAGGCTTAACGTACCCATTGCTTTTTGCAGTCCCTATACGCCCTTTGAAATATCAGCCATAATACCAAAGACATTGGAGGTGCGCTGCCTACTGGAAGAAATCACTGCACATCGCCCGCTCTCCGCCATTGCGCTTCAGACACCTGATGCTCTTGTCTGCGGCTTCCTGGCACGGGTCGAAGTACTCGCTGTACGCTTTACTAGTGCCACGATTAGCTCCAATCCAGGATGTCGGCGTGCGTTTGGAGGCAGGCGTACTTTTCGAACTTTGTGGCGGTTGGACCTGTCCATTCAGGCTTGTCGTTTTCGCCGAGCTTATCGTTTTTCGCCATGATGAAATGCGATCTGGCGTTTTATGACCAATGGTGTGAGAGGGGTAAAGGGAAAAGAGCAAGGTTGCGCGGTCGATGAAGGCGGGTTGAGCTGAGGTGTGAGGACGACCTCGGTGGTCTGCGGAGTCTCTTTATCGATAGTGAGGCAACGCGAACTATGGAAGAAAGAGTGCGTCATAACGTGACACCGCGTGTCGGTCGTGTATCTTCTCATAGACAACATGTTATGTGACAGGCAAGTTTAAAGATTGATTGAAACACCGAAATGACAGTATTGCATGAGCCGCTCTAGCTCTGTATCCTTTTACATGAACCTCGCTCAAGACTATGGTATAGTGCAGGATAAGAACGCCAAACAATGCACAAGAAACCATGATATCCGTTTTGATGCCGCTGAAAGACAGATTCGTGACCGTACCCGTGTGAAGTGATGCACCTATGCCGTAGCAAACTTTCATACACCGTTCCCTACAAAGTAAATGAGAAAAGGTCGAGCTGTACTCTCAAGCCCCGACAAACAAAATTATCAAATGAGTTGGCCAGTGGCCACAGGATTGGTCGCCCTGTTGGTTTGTTGATTGGCTGGCTCATATGCCAGCGGGCCAATGTTGTTGCCCTGCCGTGAGCGATATGCATTGTTAGCATATGCTGTAACAGGGGATGTAAAGGCCTCGGATGGAGGTAGAACGCCTGGAGGTGGAGCATTCATCATGTTACGGTTGCTCCTGCGCCGACCCAGGGAAGGGCCGGTGGAGACATCGTGTGCTGTTCCAGCAGAGTTCACTGAGCCCATAGACTCATTTGAGTTGCTTCGAACATGCTGAGAAATAATTTGACCCTGCGGCATGGGAGGCGTGCTTCCAGCATTGCTTGGCCGGCGGAAACCTGAAGAAAATGGATTGGTTCGAGCTGGGACACTATTGGAAAGACCAAGAGCCTGTTCCCTGGTGTTACGGAGCTCTCGAGCTCGAGCGCTGAGATCGTCTGGTCCCATCGGCACTCGTACCATTGACGGCCCAGCTACATGACCACTCGGTCCAGGGGACGGAGGAGTTCGCAGAGCTCTTGTAGATGGCTGTGCATTCAGTCGGCGCACTGAAGGTTGTGGGCGTAAGCCAATTCGTGAGGGCTGTGTCCTCATGACTGGGCTGGGCGCTGCGTTGTCACGCAAGTTCGCACGTGAGCTAGTCGGCCTCAGTGTAGCCGTCGACGACTGCTCTCGCAGACCCAGACGAGAGTTGCGAGCTCTGATACTGCGTGAGACATATGCAGCCCATGGATTGGCAGGACGTGGAGGTACCGCAGATGCCGGGGCATGGATACCCAAGTTGGGAGGTGGGAAATTTGGATACACAGGCGAGAAGTTGGCGGACCCTCTACGCCCTGCCGCGGATGGCGGACGTGCGCTAATGCGACTCTGGGGTCGATCTATCATATCCATAGCTGCAACAGCTTGCGTTCGTGCTGTTTGATCAATGGAGTACTGTGAGCTGGCCGCCGAACTGCCTGGCGTCAGGATCACAGAATCATTGCTTGCCGAGCTGAAAGAAGATGTGCGGTCATTTCGCATCGCACTCTCCATTATATTGGCCGTCGGCAAAGCCGGGGACACTGCGCTCCGTCTGTTGGGTGATGCCATAACACGCGCCCCAAAGTTGCTGTTGTCCATCAATGGGGTTCGCATCCGTGCTGGAGGGAGGAAAGGGGAAAAAGAGGCCGGTGCAGGGCTTTGGCGGTTGCGGTTCGATGTAGGTGGTCGGTTGAGCGGTGTGATGGAACGGGACTCGATGTCTATCAGATTGCCACCTGCTTGGTGTTGTTGCAATGCGGCTTGGTGGGCAGCAAACATCCAGCTGATACGAGGGTCGTACTCGCGGCGCTCAGTACGCGTTGGACGACGACGACCGAGGCCAGCTTGTGAGTTGTCTGAATTATCGTCGGTGTCTGCCTCATTGACGGTGTTGCCCCCTGGAGGAGCAAAGCGAGTTGACACATTCGGGAACCCAGGACCATTGCGCATCATCTGTTGTGATCGGCGATTGCGAAGAGAATTCATGGCCATGCTGCTAAGGTCGCCATCCTGGTCCGAGTCGTCATCATCGGCTTCGCCGTCCTCATAGTGGGGGTTCGCGTTGGACAGTACAGAGGATCTTCGTCGAAGGCCACGGGAGGCATCGAGCGTTCGGAGGTTGCCCACTCGCGAAGGGGGACGGATAGGGGCACTAGGCCGTTGACGATCTGCAGTAGGTGTTAGAGACCCGCCCATTCGGCTTCTGTCATTTGAATTCGCAAGCGGTTCCCACCCAACGGTCGTAGCTCCTCCATCGCTATCTCCATCTTCTTCAACCATCTCATCGTCGTCCGTTTGGCGCATCCAACCTTCTTCCTCTAGCAAGGCTTGAGTATCCTCGTCAAGATCGTCGTGTGAAGCGTCTGTAGAAGCTGATGAAGATGGCGCGACGACACGAGCAAAGCGAGACCGCGTGCCGTTGGCCCTGCTCAGTACGGGGTTTGGTACTCTCGATCGTTGTGCCGCTGGCCTCTGCCCTCGACGTACAGGGCCAGCGTCGTCTTCATCGTCATCTTCATCTTCATCCTCCTCTTCCTCTTCGACTACACTTGATATCGTAGAGCTAGTCTCGGATTCTTCTACGACGGGGCGCGCTCTAGCGCGTGCTTGTGTTCGATTCGGGTGAGGCTGTGGTGTCTGGCCGGGTGTCGATGAAGCACCACTGGCGGATGTCGAAGACTCTAGAGCACCGTCGTCGTCGATGAAGTCATTCATTTCTGAATCTTCTTCTTCGTCCTCCTCTTCGACTGTGTCCATTTCGTCTCCGTAGACATCCGAGACGATGCTCTGTGAATACGAGCGTCTGCTGCCGGCTTCGCTGTGGGACATGTGTCGTCGAGGCCCGGTGTTGTTGTGTTGGAGGAAGCGGCGCATTACGAAGCCAGCGCCTGGATCGCCAAGATAGTCTTGCCAGCCATCCATTGGGTCGCCAAAGCCTTCAAACTCGCCTTCCTCAAGACCCAGGGCCGCATCCAGGTCGTCGGCATCCTGCTCTGACATTTCGTCCATGTCGCTGAAGCCCGTGAAGCTATTGTCCCACGAGACCTCGCCTGTCTCGTCGAAGACCAGGCCGCATTGTGTGCAGCCTCCATCCTCAAGCTCCCATGTGCAGATTGGACATCGATCAACGCCGTCTTCCTGGTCGCGCATGATATGGAGTGAAGGGCGTAGAGGGTGTGGGGGTGCGTTGAATAAGCCCTTGAAGAGCCCTCCGGTGCGTGGGTCGGTGTTCTCGCGGTCTTTCTGGATAGCATCGGTGTCTTCTTGCAACCATTTCTTGTGCTCTTCTTGGGTCTCGCCAGGTGGAAGGAGGTCGGCTCGAGCAACGAAGACGGCGGTCATGTCTCTGATCTGCAAGCTTGGTTAGATGACTAGTGGCAGCGTTCTGACTGCGGTACGTACAACATAGGCAGGAGCAGGCAGATGCTTGACGTCAACGCGGCAGTCCGGACAAGTCAGCTTCGACTTGCCCTTCAGGTTCATGAACCACGTGCAGAGACACTGTGTCTTGTCAGCCGGCTGTATCCAAGTGGCAGCGACATTCGCCTCGTACCGTGTAGCAGTATGTATGCCCACATGCTATTGTGTATGGCTGGTAGAGCAGCCGGTCGCAAATCTTGCACGTGAGGTGCGAGCGCAGGCCGTCAAACTCGGATTTCAGAGACTTCAGTTGCTGTGCAGTGTCAGCGCCCACCTCGGCCATCACGCATGTCCACACGCACCTCGTCTGCCTTGCTCGGCCGCGGCTGCTCGTCGCCTTTGGCCAGCATCTTCTGCTTAAGGCTGTTGCTGCTCGCCGCCCGCACCGGCTTGTCTGCGCTGGCTTCCTTGACGAGCCTAGACGCCGACCGGCTGGCGGTGGGCGTGCTGCCGCGCGACGCTCGCGGGGCCGACGCCATGCCGTCCGTCTTGGTGGTGGGCGGGGCTGGTGATGCGCGTGGAGTGCTGCTGTCCATGGCAGGCGAGTTAGTGCAATGGCCCCCGGCGATGAAGGGAAGGAACGGCAGCCCAAAGTGCCCGCATGAGCGTCACAGTCACGTTGGGTCGTCAGTGGCAGTCGCAAAACGCATGCACGCACTCCCAAGAGTAGCCGCCCTAGCAGCCGGGTGGAGAGTGTTCTACCGGGCCGCTGACTATGCGCTCGCCTCACTTCCAGCGCCAACCGCGCGGCCAATCATGTCACGCACATTCTCAAATATGCACGCCAATCACGATGGGAAGCTTGTCTGAATTCTATCACATTTGGGGAGCCGTATCAGACCATGCGACCTTCACTCTTTCATTGATGCTGAGTCTCAGATGTGTTCTTTCTCGAAAGGAATAGCGCGGTTCTCCTTCGCCCACAACTTCTCTTCCTCGCTCTTGTGGGCTGGGGGGAATATGCCGTTGATCTTCCACAGCCTCCTCTCCGTCTCGTCGATGTGGAATTCCCAGTCGTACCCTTTGTCGGCGACATGCGGTTTGAGGGCTTCGTCCACCCTGTTGGCCGTGTTTCGGTATACCTCGTCTTGGTTAGGAAGAGTCACAGCGATGTGCTCAATAGCGAGTCGAATGAACGGCTTCTCCTTGTTCGCCTTCTTGCCGCCCACCCACATGGTGTTTCCGGGCATTTTGATGAAATTCACGATGACATAGAAGGCAGGTAGGCTATTGACAGTATGAGACAGTCTTCAACCTAGAGATGGGAGGACAGCTTACCCGACGCCTGTGTAGATCTTGGTGATATCCGTGGACAGGGCTTCCTTAGACGCATCGTCCTCAAAGGTGCCATCAGGGTGAAAGATAAGCCAAAGCGGCATCTTGATGTTCTTATCTAAACTTGGGAAAGGAGACCGGAATGGTAATAGTATTGAGTAGTGGTTGCCTTAGACGGAAGAGGCGCTCGCTCCCGCCTTATTATACCTATTCGTGTTCACTAACATCCGGACGCTGTATTCTCCCGTGACTGTCAAATGATTACTAGTCGAGCACAGTGAGTACGCAATGAGTGCGTGTAAAACGTGGATTACTTATTGACTTGAAGGTGGTGCGGGGGGCTTTCGACATATTAGCAGAACTGATTACTATACAACCATATTCTGGCTTGAGCCACGACACAACGTCGATCACTCATCACAAAAGCACATCATGTATGGTAGCTCAACATGCAGTGTCAAGATCAGTCATCATATGATAGACGCGCAGACTCGGAAAAGCTCGCTTTGCATAAAAGGCCAGCGCTGCGCTTTGAAGTCAAGATATCACCTTCATCGAATCCCCCTCATACAGGTACCCCAAAACACCCCAAAAGCTGTTGAAGTATGTCTCAATCCCTGATATTCATCACCGGCGCGACCGGCTTTATCGGCTCGCACGTTGTCAGTCAAGCCCTCGCAGCAGGTTACAAAGTCCGCCTCAGTGTGCGCAAAGAAGCACAGATTGCTCCCCTTCGCAAGCAATTCTCAAAGAATGAGGCTCAGCTCGAATTTGTCAACATCGCAGACTTCACGAGCCCCAATGCCTTCGCCGAAGCCCTTCAGGACGTGACGTACGTCTTCCATCTTGCCTCTCCCATGCCCGGCAAAGGCACCGACTTCGAGAAGGACTACGTCGAGCCGGCCGTCCAGGGCACAATCTCACTCCTCGACGCCGCAAAGAAGTTCGACACGATTAAGCGCGTCGTCATCGTCTCCTCGGTCCTCGCTCTCATCCCACTTGACGCCTTAGCCACAGGGCAGTTCGTCGCCAAAGGCAAGTCCCCAAAACTAACCCCTACCCTACCTTGATCTCCCATTTAACACGCAAACAGAAGGACTCAACGAGTCCATCGCCGTCGACCTCAAGATGTCCTTCCCAGACGACCCAATGGCAAGCGGCGGCATCAAATACCACGCTTCCAAGGTCCTCGCGCACCGCGCAACACTCGCCTGGGCGGCATCCAATACCTCCTCCTTCCAAATCATCACCCTGCACCCCTCCTTCGTCTTCGGCCGCAACCTGACTCAGACCTCTGCGGCCGCGCTCGACGGCACAAACGCAATGCTCTGGATCTCGCTGACGTCGGCGAAGCCGATTATTCCGATGGCAGCTGTAGATGTTCGAGATGTGGCGGGTGCGCACATCAAGGCGCTGAATGTGCAGGTTGGTGCGAAGGGAGAGGTAGAGGAGTTTATTCTTTCTGCGGGCGAGAAGGACGGTTGGACGTGGAGCCGCGTTGCAGAGTTTGCAAAGGAGAAGTACCCTAGTGTTGGTGTACAGTTGGAGGGTCCGTTTGGGGAGCCACCGAAGGTGGATACGCAAAGGGCACAGGAAGTGTTGGGTGTGAAGTGGAGGACGATGGAAGATACGATCGGATCGTTCCTGGACCAGCAGGCTGAGTTGAGGAGTCAGCTCTAGAATGCATGTCTGTTGATAGTTGTATCCTGTCCTTTATTAGACCACTAATCTCACTGCCCTCCCCACGCTTCCCGTTTCGAATAGCTCCACCAGCCCCGCTCCTACACACTCTTCTAACGCCCACTCAAACCTCATGCCATAGAATTGCTTCCATTTCTTCGTTCTACCGGGCAGCACGCCGACAAACTCTCTCCTTGCTTTCTTCCTCTCTTCTCTCTCGGCGCTCCCAGCGCCTGCGACGCCACCATCCCATCGCTCTCTAAGTACATCGAGAGGTGCAGCTTTGAACTTGGTTTTCTTCAGAATACCCAATAGGTGGTTTCGGGCGTCGACGATAAGCTTAATGTGCATCCCTGTATGTGGTAGTGAGAAGGAAAAGATGCCTTGCGCAGGGGTGCGAGAGGAGTGTGATGTGCCACCGTGCATGTGTTGCGTTGCATGCTGGCCACCTACAGCCTCTAGAGAGCCAGCAGCGTGACGAGATCCCGATGCAGAGACCGCAGACAACGAGGCGGCGCCTGGTGAGGCGAAGAAGGCAGAGACAGTTGTATTAAATGTAGAGATCGAGGTCAAGAAACCGGTGCCTGTCAGGGCAGCGATCTCCACCGGACTAAACGCTGAACCAGGTAATGTCGATGATATCGCATTGGCATCCATAAGACGGATGTACTTCTCCTTCAGTTCTTCGGCTAAGTCGTTTTGTGCCCTGACGAGAGCTTGCCACTCTTTTACGCTTGCGACTCCATCGCCGACTGCAGCAGCGCCGACACCACGATGCGGTATTGTGACTCTCCTTAATATCCCTTTCCTCGCCAGCTCAGCAATCTCCCTTTCAACAAAGGTGGAGCTGGTACTTAGCGCATCCACATGGGCGATAGTGACGAACGGTGGCAGTTGCTTCCTAAAGTTCAGAACCTCCGCAATTCTAGTGCTGTTCATGCCAGCTTTCTCGGGCATGTCGCTGAACATGCGGCTCCGGATGTACTCCATATACTGTGGCACGTCGCGGAAATTCAAGTCAGCGGCCAAAGAGGCTATAATTCCCAGATCATCCAGCTCTTCATCCTCGTAGGCAATGGAGTCTTCATTTGGTAGTGACCTCTTGGAAGAGCTTGCATTTGATGGAGACGAAGTTGCACGTTTGAGACCCAACGCAGAGGCTGCGCTTCGCCTCCTGCTTGCAGTGATGCGAGACGAACGTGCTGGTGTTGTCTGCATAACTATGTGCCTGTAAGTCTTTACTGAGAGGCCTCGAAGATTATGTGTGACGTCTGTGACGTGTTCGTGCTGATCGCAGGCAGCAACAAGTGTTAGTCAGGTAGTAAGAGCGTGCCAGAGTCGCCAATAAGAGTACAAGTGCAATGCATAGTAAATTGCGTGAAGGTCAGGCCAAAACCATGTTCTGAAACTGGCAAGTCAAGAGAGTGGCGACTTGAGAGTGGTTGCTCGGTCGAAGCCTTGTTTTCAGCCTCGGTTTGGCATGCGCCACATCCAGATCGGAACCAATCTGCCAGTCACGTCGCGACGCGTGCGTTGTTGAATTCCTCACATGCATAGAATGTGATTCGCTTGAGGGCGAAGCAACGTCACCACAAGTGGAATTGACTTTTGTTGTGACAGTAGCGTCGTACGCTGCTTCCGTTCTCTCCGGTGGAGCCACTGCCCTACGTCAGATGGTGCAGCTTTAATCGGTGCATCGTCCAACAAAACCACACTGCATGGCTCTTTGGGTCAACTACCGTCCAGATACCGCCAGCTCGTCCGCCGATATGTCGCTAAACCCAGAGCCTGCTGCTCCTGAGGAGCGCGACGCTCAGCACTTGCCGCCCAAGTCATTCGCCGACGCTGCCCAAGAAGCGCTCGAGCCTCGATCACATGCGAACGGTGCTGATGGCGCTGCTAACGGCACAGCTCAACATCACGACAATGTGAAGACAGCCGAACCCAAGGCCAATGGTGTTGGTGTCCTTCGAATAGTCAACACCAATGGGCACCAGGATGACGACAAGAAGTCAGTGACTGCGTCGACCAAGAGTTCATCCAGAGATTCGTCGATCAAGGACAAGGAGTCTTACGAAGGCACTGGCATTGACGAGACACCGAAGAGCCCAAAGGCCAAGACTCACCACAGAAAAGGCTCCCGCAGCTCACTGGGCTCCGTGGGCCGCACATACGGCGTCTCGATAAAGAACGAGCACAAGAGCGCGACCGCCGACGTCAAGAACACAGCATCGGACGCAGCGACTGAGGTCAAAGACAAAGCAGATGATCTAAAGAACAAAGTAAATGGCACACGAGAGGATTCTGCGAATGGAGTAAAGCCAAAGCTGAAGGACGCTTTTCTGCAAGAGAAACCCCGGTTCATCAATGGCGATGTTTTGACTACCGTCAAGCCGTCAAATGAGGCTGGAAGGGACAGCCGCATCGATAAGCCTCTGAAGCGCAGGAACTCAGAGCTCAAGGCCGGTCGACAAGCAGGTGCGGGATGGGCAAACAGCAAGTACGTTGACCGTCAACCACTCAACTCGACGCCATCACTGACTACCGCGACAGGATAAGATTTGCACCTATGAACGTCCCGCTTCAGCGCCGACTCCAGACCTGCGCTGTGCTCATGCACACGCTGAGTATCGTCGGATCCCTCGCCATTTTCTTCTTCCTCTGCAGCATCCCACTCCTCTGGCCAATTCTACTTCCCTACACCATTTATGTTCTGTTTTCCAATGCAGGCACATCTGGAGAGCTTTCCTTCCGCAGCGAGCGCCTAAGGCGTCTCAAGGTGTGGTCGCTCTTCGCCTCGTACTTTCCCGCTCGGCTGCACCGTTCGCAGGAGCTGGAGCCTACCAGGAAATACATCTTTGGCTATCACCCACACGGGATCATCTCCCATGGCGCCTTTGCTGCCTTCGCTACTGAAGCTCTGGGCTTCTCCCAACTATTTCCTGGTATCACCAACGCGCTGCTGACGCTTGATTCCAACTTCCGCTACCCCATTTACCGCGAGTATGCTCTTCGTCTGGGCATGGCTTCAGTCTCGCGTGACTCTTGCGAGAACATCTTGTCAAAAGGCGGACACAATGGCGAAGGCATGGGTCGCGCCATCACTATTGTTGTTGGCGGTGCCCGTGAGTCTCTCGATGCACGCCCCGGTGTCGTTCGCCTCGTCCTCCGTCGCCGTAAGGGTTTCGTCAAGATGGCTATTCGTACCGGCGCTGACCTTGTGCCTGTCCTCGCTTTTGGCGAGAATGACATTTACGATCAAGTAGACAGCGAGTCACACCCTCTTCTCCATAAGTTCCAGATGCTCGTCAAGAAAGTCATGGGCTTTACCGTCCCGATCTTCCATGCTCGTGGCATCTTCAACTACGATGTCGGCATGATGCCATACCGCAGGCCCATCAATATTGTCGTTGGCAAACCCATCAGAATTGTGCAAGACAAGCATCCTAAACCCGAGTACATGGACGAGGTGCATGAGAAGTACATCGAGGAGCTGATGCGGCTGTGGCACGAACACAAGGACACCTTTGCGAGGCAGAGGACTGGCGAGCTGGAGATCATCGAGTAACAAGTTCAGATTGACGAGCGGAAACTTTTTCACAAGCTGTGTAAGACACAGTCGCGTTATTTTACATTGTTGTAGGACTGTTAGGCCAAATTGGCGAGTGACTATACTTTCGGAACCGGGCTACGAATTCAATTTCAATCCTCATAGGGGAGACTGTCTTAATCTAGTGTAGTAATTACATACCGCATCTGTACTAAAGCTTACACGTCCAACTCTCACCGAGCATCCACCTTCTCCGCTAACCCTCTCCACTTCCCCTTCCTCAAGGCCTCAGGCATAGCCATCAACACCTCCCTTACTTCTCCTTTATCGTACTCCATTCTCTCAAGCGTGATCGCCTGCAGGACATAGCTCCCCACTGTGCTGCCCGGGAGCGGCGGATCACGCAAATGCCGAGCGATTTCGTCCACAGAGAGTCTCTGATGACGCCACATGTTGTACGCACGCAAGTGTGGGATCGTGGCTCGGATATGGGAGGGCACGCGGGAGGAGGGAGACGGGATTGTAGAAGCGAGATAGGAATGCGCCCAGGATGTTGCGCGGTCGAACTCTGGCGTGTGGAGTGATGGTTCGGCTGGCGCAGATGGAGGGAGTGGGAGCTGTGCTGGAGTGTGGAGGTACTCGATGACTTCGGGGTCGTTGAGTAAGTCAAGGAGGTCTTGCTCATCAGAGGCGGAGGAAGAGGAAGCGGTATCCTCGGGTGAGTCGTCCTCGCTCTTTGGTTCCAGGAGGGCCTGTGTCGCTTCAGGCGCAACACTGCTCTGGGCCAAAGCACCCGGAGCTTCTGGAGGTGTGGGGGCTTCGGTCGTGGCATTCATTCTCGTGGCATCTTGCAATCTACCGTCGCTATCGATGTCTAGGTTCTGGAGAGCTTCATCAAGCTCTGAGTCGTCAAATTCACTTGTCGTCTCGCTGGCTTTCGGTGTTTCTGCAAGCTCAAGATTCCCGTGGGGCCTCTCGTTCCCAAAGTCTTCTGAAATGTCAACAAGATCCTCATCAGATGAACCAGAGGGGTCTTCGCTGGTGGAGAGTCTTGGAAGAGTCGGGTAAGCTGGATCAGGTCCTTTTAGCCAGGTCACGTTGATACGGCCAACTCGCCTCTGAGTCGCGTTGTCTGGCGTTAAAGTCTCTTCACTGCCTAGCAGTGACGCTGGATTCGGAATATCATCATCACCACTCTGGTCCGTGGACTCAACGCTTCCTTCGGAGGACACTGAGACTTCACCTTCGAGTTGATGGCTATCCAGTAAGTCTTCCTGGGCTGTTTCGTAACCGTCAGTGTCTTGTGAAAGCTTTGACTCCTCTTGGCTCTCTTCTCTCAGCTCCTCTTTCTGATCTGCTAGAGCCGGAGATTCGTCTGCAGCATCATTTTCAGATACATCGGTCTTCGTAACAGCTGTGCGCTTCTTGCGTCGCTTGCTGCCGGGTTTCGGTTTCGAGTCATAATCACATACCAGAGGTCGAGGTGGAGTAGGCTTCAACTGCTTTCGCTTTTCTTCAAGGGTATCGTATAAGCGAAACCCGGCATATGCGTCAGCAGCAGCGTAATGTATCTGCTGAGGATTCAACGGCAAACTCCAGTCGCTGGAGCGGACATTAGAGGTATCGTCTGGATCATCGACAAGTAGTCCGCCTTTGTACAGTGGTAGTTGCAGGTGTTGCTGGACTTGCGAAGCAAGGCTTACAAGCTTGTTTGTAACTTTCGTTGGATCAGTCGCCGAAAATTGTACTAGATTGTGCAATCGACTGAGCTCAAAGACCCCTTGAGCTTCGACTTCAAGATATTTCATAACACGACTGAAGTCTCCTTTGATAGCAACCCCAACCTTGTATATCTCTGGAGACTCGAGAATAGCCTTCAATGTTGGGGGCATCAGTTGCGCAGCCGTATTTCCCGGGAACAATGCAATGTGGAAGAGGGCAATACGATTCTCGCAAGCGAGTTGGACAAGAGACACGTTCTTTTTGATCGATAAAGGGTGTGAGAACGGTTTCCACTCAATGTCAAACCCAACAACCTTCTCGCCAATGAAGTGCTGGGCAACTCGCTCTGCCACCGCTTTGGTCCTGCAGTAATGCACAAGTATTTTTTTGCAATCTGGTCCACGGTAGAGGTTGCTGCTCCAGAAACTTGTTTTGGTGTTCTCAGGGGCAGCCATTGCAGCTCGTAGGACGTTTTCAGGTATCTGGAACTCAAGAGGTGTGTGCACCTCTGTTGCCTTCTCTACAGCATCATCAGCTTCAGTGTCGTCCCTTTCTGATTGGCTACCGCTCTCATCAGCAGAGCTTGACAGGAAGTCAGTGTCAGTGACATCTTCCATTGTACTGCACTCGGGAGACGCCATGGTGTTTTCATCATCGCTGCCGACGCTATGAGTGCCGATGAATGAGGGTGAAGCTACGTTCGTTGTAAGATCTTCTGGCGACGAGCTATGGTCAGTTGCATAGTCCGCTCGAACATGATAAGGCTGCGCAGTCGACTTTTCTACGCACGTGCCCTTCTGTTTAGACAACGCTGTATTGCCGAGGTCTTCCAAATGCTGTGTCGGCTGTGGAAGATGTGGCACCGCCTCCCCATGATCGTTAGTCTGTCTTGCAATGCCTGACCCTACTGCTACAACATTTCCCTCTGTGTTCGAGTCTGCCTGCTTTGTACTAAAGGCGCGACCGGAGAAGGTAATAGGTCGTCCACGCTTCCATCGACAATCCTTTATATGCGATGAAGCCTGAGAAGGCAGAAAGGCGGGTTGATAGGCACGTTGGAGGTCTGTTCGTAGAGCAACGAAGCTCAGGGATGCCCGGTTGAGGCTACAATAGCATCAGTAAAGCTAATGGGTATGAGCGACGGCGTCTACAATACCTCTGACTTGCATGGACCGTGTTGGGTGGCGTATTGGGCGCTGCCATTTTATCGCAAGCGCGTCGACGTACGTGCAACGCGCCCTGAAGAGACACACGCTGTCTGAAGAGCATAACCCTCCATTGTAGTGCTCCTGCTAGGCACCAAGGTAGTTACAGATAAACTGTGCAGCGTCTGCCTTGCGCCACGCCGCTGGCGGCTCGAGGTTCACGACGAGTGGAGATGTTGGCTAGCGCGCCTTCCCGTTGGCTCGAGCGCCAAGCATCAATTGATTCCAACAACTGCTTCGCCTCTGTCTAAACCGCCGACACAACAGGGGACCAGAAACTACCGTAGAAAACCATCGGACATCTCAATCGCCGCAATGTCGCTCGAAAACTTGCTGCCTCTTGGTAGGCGCCAGCCAGGTTCGCCCGTAGGAACCCCACTAAACTCTCACAGAACTCATCGACAAGTGCGTTGGTTCGCAAATATGGGTGATCATGAACGGCGGAAAAGGTATCATAAGGCGCTTGCTTACAACCATATGAAGACCGATTACTAAGTTAGCATAGAATTCACGGGGAAGTTGGTGGGATTCGACGACTACGTCAGTAAGTAGAGAAACCGCGAAATTCAAAACCCGACTGACCAAATTGCAGATATGGTTCTGGAAGATGTTACTGAAATGTATGTTCGAGCAAGCACACCCAATACGGCCCAATATTGATTGAGCAATTAGTGATCCCGCCGAAGGCAACAACAAATTACCGAAGATCCTGCTCAACGGCAACAACATCTGCATGGTACGAGCGTTTCACACGACGTCAAAGACGGTCCTGACATTATCGTAGATGGTTCCTGGAGGTGACGGCCAGACGGTCCTTGAGGATTAGACTGTCTGGAAACAATGTCCTCAACATAAGAAGTCTCAAGCCCAGCGTTTGTATCGCATGTTGCTCTGCATAAGTAGCATTTATGATCTTAAAGCAAAGTCACTTGCAGATTGCATCTAATGTGGGTGAAGTGGATCAACATCGTGTAGTTGACACGCATGGCACCACATTGAGAAAAAGGTTCCAACAAGCTGAAGTCTTGCCGGATGCACGGTCGAAGACACGTCTTTCAGGGATATTCCTAAGCAAATGAGGCCACAACGGATAGCCAGACTCAGAGTCAGGCTTGTCCAAGAAACTAAAACAATAGACGTGACTCGGTAATGAATCCCGCTCCAATAAGCTTTTCGAGACACGCAGCAGGTGACTTATGGCCATTATAACTCTGAAAGTGATTGTGGTGAAGCCTCACGAAGTCGTGAACTGCGATGAATGTCGGACGATTGCAGACGCTTAGCACGTTGTTGGGCGTGAACTTGCCTCAGGAACTTATGGTACGATGTGCCTAGTTCCCTGGATACTAGCACTAATTCGATCTGTCAAGATTTGGTCTTTGGCACCGTAACCACACCGGGGAGACATCCGCAAAACACGTGTGTGAGTGCAGCTAACATCGATCCTAGTTCAGCAGATCTCCATCATGCTCACATCGAAGATCTCCGATTTCGATGCCAATCTAGCCGATCTTGTCCATCCATTGACGGTGCAGCTTCATGTCCGCATCACAGGCTGACACGGAGAACTCGTAAGGTCTTCACAGGTGCATCATGCCGTGGCTGCTAATGTGCAGCATCGCAAGGACTGACAAAAGTGGACTCTGTCTTTACTTTCGAAAGTTGATGCCACCTGTCTTAGCGTCCAAAGTCGGCCTCACTTTCGCACATACACACGGAATTGACTTACCCGACAGACAATCAAGGGGATTTCTTCCGTAGTCATCCTGCACCATGGCGTTCATACCAGCTTGTCGGTGATATCTTACAGGGTAGCAAAGGGCGTCATCTGAGCCCGCTCATGAACAGCAAGATCGGAAGTGTTGCTCTTCAGTTGCACTCGCTGCTCGCGGCCCACCAGTGGAGCAGCATGTTGGTGAGCGTCCGGGCCCGTCGTAGAATGAGTCGTGATCGAAGATCTGGTCAGACTAGGGTCTTACTAAGAAGAGGTACGCCCACAACGACGTCAACGGTGTGTGCCAGTGTATGGGTGGCCTTCCAGCCAATGACGAGGGTCCCTGGCGCGCAGATAGAGGTCCATTTGCATGCAGGCCGAGGCGGTATGCGCCCGTGTGGAGGACTGCAGTGCTGCTGAGCTTAGGATGCAATAGCATCAAGACAATGCGGACGTCATTGCAGGCTAACTGCGGATCAGCAGCCAGGCGCTCGACCCCAGGCCCCTCGCGATCGCGATGCAGTTCTGTGCGGTCATGCACACGTTGGATGTTGCAGCAGTCCCTAGGCTCGTTGCGGCCGTGGCGCGAGTGCAGGCCGGTCCTGCATTGCCGTATTTCGCCAACGGCCGATCGCATCGGCTCTGGCGATGTTGCCAGCATTTCAGCGTCTGCTCGCGTTTCTCCCACACTGCCTGCAGTCTTCGAGCCACTCACAGTGAGGTTCGTCGTCCCGCGCCCTGCGCATTTCGGTTCGTGCTCCTCTGCCTTGGCCAGAAAAACGCCGTCGCCCGCCGACAACCCACGCTTGCACCTCTGACCTCACGGGCTGGTGGCTCAAAACTCTGCTCTCCTGTTCCCAACATGACCATCATCACCACCGCGCAATCCTGACCCAACACTTGATTCTTGTCTCTGCCGCAGCTCCGCCATGCGCACGCCCAGCCCTGCATCCTAGCCGTTGCCCGCCCTCTTGGATCCCACTGTACTCGTCTTGCTCCGCGCCGGCCTGCTCGCATGCTGAGGTCTTTGTGCACGACCGGTCTATTCGTGCCTGCACACCCCTTCGACGCGCGACAGATGCCCGCCCGTCCCCTGACTCTTGTCGGCCGCTACTGTCCTGGCCGCGCCAACCCTAAAGCCAGCATTATTCCATGACGGCTGTCCAACTATCGCCTCTCGTCTGTACCACAGTATAATTACAGAGTTCGAGCTCTTGGAGGTCCCACCTTCCCCGAGTCCAAACTGTGCACACCCACTCATGAGCACGCACTAGTCGCCGCTCAGCACTTACTCTTCTTGCGCCTCCGCGCCCTGCAACACTTAACCCTACCTAGTTTTTCGTTACGAAACGTCAGTACCAACGCTACTGCTACTCTCCGCACCAATCACCGGCCGCGACCAGAAATTGACCATTTCCTATTCTGAATCTCTGCCTGTAAACTATTCTCATCTACACACCTCTACTCTTCTCCCTCCTGCACATCCTGATCCTGCCGCCTTTGGCCACTGGGGGCTTAATACCAAAAGGCACATTCCCGCTCCGTCCACCGTCTCGGGTGGGTTAGGATCGGCTCCTAGCAGCGCTCAAGTTCACCCTTATCGATACCGTCACATCCATACATACCACAACGCGGCTCCAATAGCGTTACCTCGACACCACCCAGACACTACCCGTCTGTGTCCTTCTACATGAGCAGCGAGCTGAAAGAACGCCTGGCGCGATTGGGTCTTGCCCAGTACTCTGAGGTGTTCGTTACCGAGGGCTTCGACACTTGGGAAACCGTTCTCGACATCACAGAGTCCGATCTGAGCCACCTTAGCGTCAAACTTGGGCATCGAAGGGTACGTCATACCCCCTCTTCTGGACCTGCACATTTGCTCGAAGCATGCCTCGATTAATACCTAATTTAGAAACTCCAACGGGCCATCGCCGAGTCAAGAGGGCAGTCGTCGTTTCGTCCGTTGACCATCGCCACTACAAGAGGAGCAAGCGCCGAGGGCTCCTATCGCAGTGACGATTCAGCAACTGAGAGCAAGAGCAAGCAAATCTCAACCGGAGGTGACGGAAATACCGCCACAAGTACGAAGCGGAAATATCGGCGGCATCCGAAGGTTCGTTCACCTTCTGACTAACGATAGTGTCGTGAAGACGCATAATTTTGGGTTTGTTGCTGACCTGAGCAGCCAGACGAGAATGCTCCAGAGCGCCCCCCTTCGGCTTATGTGATCTTCTCCAACCGTAGGGCTCCACCAAATTCTATTGCGACGCATGACTAAAGATGCGCAGAAGTTAGAGAACTCTTAAAGGGGCAAGACCTGTCCTTTACCGAAATCGCGAAGGTCGTCGGTGAACGATGGCAGATTCTACCTGCAGACGAACGCGAGGCCTGCGAGCGTCAAGCCAATAGTGCCAAAGAGAAGTATTACGCAGGACTCGCGGAATACAAGAAGACTATACAATATGAAGCGTATCAAAAGTACTTGGAGGAATTCAGAGCCAAGCACAATGCACCCACCAAAGGTCCGTTTCTCTCTACACTAAAATTTACAGCAATGGATATTGACCTTTTCAGAAGGCAAAAGATCGAAGTTGGAGACGGAGACGAGCACGTCGACCCGAGCCAGTAGTCACGATCAAACCGAACGAGCAGTAAACAGGCGGCTCAGCGCGGCGGTAACCGATCTTCTTCCTGGACAGCACGTACGAGGATCCACTCCTCCCGCTGGACCTGCACGTTATCCAATGGGACCATTGTATCCAGCGAAGCCAACATCACCAGCTTCACATCCTTTGTCTGGGTTCAATTCGCCTCGCAGTACAGAGCTTTACTCACCGGTGGCTGCATCTCCACATTCCAATGCTGTACCCAGAGACGCACCGTTCGAGCCTTCATCCAATTTTCTGTCAAGAGACATAAGAGGAAACCTGGAAAATCCAACAGCTCCGTATCATTCATCTGCATACATGCAGTTGCAGCAGACGCCTACGACCATGTCAACGCCGGTCAACCGTTACGTTTCGCACTATCACAACCCATTAGAATTGCCATCACGACGATCCAACCGAGAGCCTTTATCGCATCTTCCAAGCCTTTCACACGAGGATACGACGTTATCTTCTGAGAGCGGACACAGCAACTATAGCCTTCCACAGGCCACGCAACCAGCAATGATGGATCCCGTTAAATCAATGAGAATGCTTCCGCAGCCCGTGCCCAATATCGGACTGTCACAATCACCATTGGATCGATCGTTGGCCCACCCGCCCGCTGGACCTCCTGCGCATATTCAGTTACCACCGCCAGATTATCGCACCCAGGGATCTTTGGCTGCTCTTGTAAGAGCAGGGGAAATTGCAGCACGGGTAGCAGATGACGAGTCTTTAGATCGGGATGAGTCCCCTTGACATCACGTTAAGCTCAAGACAAATCATGACTCTTGACGAGCACGACTATGCGCAGGCAGTACCGTTCGGCTTGGACGAAATTGCAACGCTCGCCACAACACTAAACTCTCTACATCTGAGTCAGACCCAAGAGTTTATAGGCCACACACGGGTTTTAAGGACCCATTTCAATGATACCCCGCAACATGTGGCCAATATAAAGATGACTGCGCGATATAAGCGCAAAATCGCTGCTCATGAACATTTGTCTCTTCTGGTAGGACGGCTCAGGTTTTCTGTAGTCCTCCTCAACACTTAGCCGGCGTTCTGGGCCATCGAGCCATGCAATCGCGCGTTTGGACGCGCATGGAAAAATCTAGCTGCGTATTTGGCTTTCTTTCAAGCATGCCTGTTATTATGCAGGTTACATGATTACACATAGCGATGGTGGAATGATACAGTAGACATGCAGACCTCCACCATGAAAACTGAGTGCCGTGCCATATTTTCAGCTTTGTGCCAATCAAGTTATGACCGTGGGCAACTCAACATGGGCCCATTGAACGTGATTGAAATTAGCAAAACTCTCAGTGCAGTGTCCGTTCACTCTCTTTCAACGAGATAAGACGCTATGTGAATCCTCTCGGAAGCAGATCAGAAGCGCAACAGCCAGTCCGCATCAACGTTTCAAGCCACAAGCATGGGAGCTTATCTCGATTCGATCTAAGCCGAATCGACAAGCAATCTGCAGCAAATGGATGCGAGGTGCACTCAAGCTTCTCTGCATGGGCCGCAGCAGGTGGGGTAAGCAGCCAATGTGGCCCTGTTGATCATGCCCACAAAGGAACTATACCCCTGGCTCCGCGGGGCAGATCACGGCAGCTCAGTGACTTCTGCATTGCATCGGCATGCGGAAGTGGAGAGCTGCATGCCCCACGCCTACTACGGTAGTAGGTGCGCCGGTGTCTGGAACGTTGGCTCGTGTCAGACGGGAATTACGGGTTGGCCGTTTGCTGCGAAGGGCAATCCGAGAGCGTACAGGTGGCGAATCGTGGTGGGGTAGCTTGTGTGCCCAAAACGTGGCATGGTGATCAGCATTCGGAGTTTCCTAGCATGCAATTGTAAAACTTTGCCATGATCCATGCGCGCTTTGCATGATCGCGCCTTTCGATACGCGCAACTGATCGTCGGCTCTCTCAATCGAAGACATCTGATTGCCAGCAACAACGGAGAATTTGGAAACAAGCCCACATCCTTGAGCCCCCTTGCTGTGCTCGCCACTCCCTGTTCGCTCGCAACTGTGGGCTTGGCCGAGATGTCAAGTGCTTTGACTCCAGGTCTTCTTTGTCTGGCGGCTCATGACCAACCTCATGGATGTTCCACGCCCTGTTCCAGATCCTCATCGAAAAATTTGACCTCGATAGTCTTGACGTCGCATGGGCTGAACGGCATGGGTGCAACACGTGCCTCATTGTTCGTTACCCAACACCATATGTAAGTGTTGTTGCGTTATACCCTGCATTATACAGCATCAATGGTGGTGTAAAAGGGCCATGCCTGGAGCACTCTATCTTTAGCCAACGGCGCGATATGCTTGCGTCACGATAGCGCAGTCTAGAAGTCTAGGGTCGTCAAACATCACCCATGCCTGTGTCACCACATCCCCACTTCAGACATCCCAAGACTTCCGCTCCGCCGTCAGCACGATGGTGGGTACTTACCTCAGTCTGCAACGATTGCGTGTGGAGGACGTTCCGCAACACCCTCAATTCGCAGTGCCATCCACCAGTGCACCAGAACTGAAGACATTCCTTGCCACCGTTTTCAAAGAAGCGCTCGAAGAGGATTTCGAGACTGGCTTCTCCGTTGCAGGCAATTGGGCACCCACTGGCAAGAATGTCAAGATCACGGGCGCCGATGGTGGCACCTCTGCCGTGCCCATCTCGGTCGAACAGCGCAAAAAGGGAAAGGGCGAGCACACATGGTTCGCCAGACGATCAAAGCATCTAGAGACTGATATACGACACACGGAGCTAGACAGCCTACTGATGAATGACCACAGCTGGTGGGAATACCAGTACACACCAGATCTGTACGATGGAAATCTACTTCTCGAGTGGGATGCTGGCGCCCTAGAAGAGGCTGCAGCCAGCCTCAAGCAAGAACTGACCATTGGGGAGGTAGAAATGCGCAGTGAGTTGTCCCACCACCATGCTTCTGCGAAGGTATCATGCATTTGCGAGCTTGTGAAGTATGAGCTATGTCTGACCACAGAACACATAGTTGTACAAATGTTTCACATCCTACCGGGACCACTGCAAGACCGCGTCTTCCATGCTCTAGCAATCTCCGGCAAGCAAGAAAGTCAATCAATCAACATGCAGATCCCCATTGATTATGCCTCGTTCAGCAGCGTAGAAACGATACGTGCAAGAAGTCGTCTGGAGCCACAGGGGAACGCTTTCCGCTACAACACCGAAGCCAACCGCGATCAAAGCCGAGAGCCCAAGCCCACTGAAATACAGAAGCAAAGGACGGGGAAGAAAGTTACGGAAGGAGTCTATGCTTCGTTGGAGCGCATCCGTATCATCACAGGCACAGACCCACAGTACACGCAGTGGGACATGATGACGCTGAGCAACGCTGGGGGGGTCGTCAGCTCAGTGCCAGTGGCGATGCAGAAAGGCCAGCTACTGGAAGCTGTAAGTAAGGATGTACAATTCGTGATCGAGGAAGTTGGCAAGCAGAGAGGGGATGGGAAGGGAACGGCCTAGTGGGGCTAAGCGAAGGCGCCGGCAACGCATGCGCAGTCAGCGCGTGGCTCCAACCAGCCCACATCAGGGCGTGAACAGTCGAGCTTCAGCCCTCAGCCTCGTCGCGCATGGATCTGCCGCTTTCCTGTAATTACATTCCAAATATAGCAGATGCCTACTACCCCACAGTTCTTGCTGTGCTCTGTCCTAGATTTTGTCCCTTGCTGTGTCCGCCGCGCTCGTGTCTAGCTGCGACCCTCTAACTCCACGTCAACGTAGACAGCATGCAAAACTACGGCCAGCCTGTGTATGACCGCCCCGGCAGCACAGCGAGCTTCTCAGGGCAGCACGCGCCGCCGGTGCCGCCTTATCAACAACAGCAGCAGCAGCAACAACAACAATGGGGCCAACAACCGCCTCCGCAGCAGCAGCAATCAGGGTACAACCCCAACACATATGGCGCCATGCCAGGCGGCTACGCCCCGGGCTCGCAGGTATGGCACGAGGATGATAGCTTCATTTCCTGAAGTCGCGCTGACAAGTGTCGCAGTACCCCCCACAGACGCAGCCTTCAGATCCATATGCGCCTCAGCCGCACGGCGACGTTCCCCCTCCACCGCCGCCCAAACCTTATGGCTTCGCAGCTGCCGTGCAGCAACAGAATGAGCAAACACCACAGTACGTCCAGAACGCACAGAACTGGCAGCAGCCGCAACAGTCAAATCCAGGCTATACACAGCAAGGAGGTTACCCAGGGTATAACAATGCTGCACCTCCACCACCCTCTACTACACCTGCCGGCTCGTACTTTCCCCCTTCGCAAGGGGGACGCCCGGGCTCGATATACGGCGGGGACCAAATTGGAGTCACGCCATCCCCTGTACTCCAGCGGCCTCCCAGCACTGTGATGAGTCCGAACGAGCAGGCTCCAGCATACATACCACCATCACTGTCGGGGCAAGGTGTACAGGCATACATGCCGTCAAACACAAATCCTATGCCTGGCGTATACGTGCCTCCTCCGCCAGATGTTCCGGCGTGGCAGCAAGCTCAGCATGCACCTTTGCAGGGCGGGAACAAGAGGTTCACATATACCAAACCTACCGTAGACCCTAGTTTCTATGCGCAGGGCTACCAGGGTGTGCAGCAGCAGCAGCAACATCAACAACCACAACCGCCGCCTTTGCCACCGCGGTTCGAGCAGTCAGGACAGCAGCCACACCAACCGTATGTGCAACCTCAACAATACCAGCAGCCTCCACCAATCCACGGCCAGCATCAGCAACAGCAGCAGCAGCAGGCTGCGCAACCTCCTGCGCATTTCGGACAGCTGGGGCAACCTGTTCAGCCTCTCCAACACGCCCAGCCTCCAGTGCCCGAGTCGTACATTCAGCAACAAGCTGCGCAATTGGAGCAGTATGCGCAGACTCACCAGCAGCAGCAGATGCAGAGCCCTGCACAGACGCAACCTCAGTGGCAGGCGCCGGCGCCGGCGCCCGTGCATAACAATTATGCACAAAATTATCAAGATAACAATCAGCCTTCTTTTGGGTATCAGCAGCAGCAGCAGCAGCAGCAACAGCCACAGCAGCAATGGCAACAGCCTCAGCAACCTTCTATGGGACAGCCATATCAAGGAGGGCCCGAGTCGACCACGCAAGCACCAAGACCGCTTGAACGTACTGACACTGCACCGAACTTCGTAAACCAGGCTACTCCGCAGAGCCAATACGTATCCCCTGTTGTTAGTCATCATGCTTCTAGCTTTGCACCAAACCACGCTGCGCGTACCGATTCGGTAAGCTCAATCGCATTAGCTAATCTACAATCCCAACGTGCAGCGACTCGGACAGCTTCACCTAAACCGCCCTCGTTCGTGATTCCCACACCACCTCCGCCTCGGGATGATGCATCGAGATTCAGTGCTCTAGGCACAGGTGGTCCCTCAGATTGGGAGAACTTCGGTGCGGGCGATGAGATTGACGACGAAGCTCTATTCGCGAAAAAACCTGAGCCTGCACAGTTGGATAGCGTGGAGCTACCTGCTCATCAGCCCTCGCCACCATCTACACAGGGCTGGCCGAGTCCAGCCAATCCTCCCTACCATAACAGTCAGCACGATACATACCAGCCGACCCCTCCGACCGCCACAGTCAGTCCTGTACATAGGACACCCTCACCTAGGACACCCCAACAAAACTTCTTTGCAAATGATGCGGTTGTCGCACCACTGGTAGTTTCGCCTAAGCCACTCCAGAAGTATACTGTAGCTCAAGATGCGCAACAAGGTTTTGTGATGGGCGAGGTGCTTTGGGGTGGCAATTCACCAAAACAGCTACACAATGCACCACAACGAGCCCAGCTCGAGGGCCCCGGTGCAGCCCATAGTGGGCCGCAACGGGCTCAGGCACCTGCTGCATTACAGGTATCTCCTATTCAGATACCTCCATCAGATGCGCAAGCGTCGTCGGTGGAGACACCGCGACAGAGACCCGGCACGACGCGCTTCTTCAGCGATGTCGGTCACACCTGGGGTCTGTCACAACAAGATAAGGAGCAACCAAATATGCGGGTTTCCAAGGATGACCTTGATCTTCCTGCCAAGTTGCAAGCAAAAGATGAGGAACTTTGGCGCCTCCGTAGAGAAACCAAAGACGAAATGCAGAAAGTACAGGCTGAGATTGAAGCCGGAAAGGCTGAGTTTCTGGCTGAGATAGCGCGCTTGAAGACTGAAGAGGGGGCAGCCAGAAGTTTAGCAGACGAGCAGAGCATGCAGCTGACGCAGCAGATTGAAGTCATGAAGCTTGCTGCGGAACAAGCAAAGATCGATGCTGATGCGCTAAGAAAGGAAAACGATCTCACTATCGAGAGGATCAAAGAAGACATGGAAGGGAAGGAGGACACGATCAGGGAGCGCGATGCAACCGTTGTAGATCTCCGAAAACAGCTTGACGACCTCCGTCGTCAACTCGAAGAAGAGAAGTCAAGGGAACCACCCGAACCTCCTAAACCTACAGCCCTCGATCTGATACCAGATCTGGATCCCTGGTATGCTGGCTCTCTTGAGCGTTACATCGTCATGCTCCGTGGCGAAGCAAATGAACCGCAGGTGGATGAAAAAATCAAGACGTTCAAGGCCTTCTTAAAGACTGAATCTGCCATTAGAGGCATCGACTACAACGATAGTGTGACGGTTGTCCCAGCGGCCGAGCATGTACATGCTGAAAGTGTACCTGCTGCTGCCGCCGATCCACGAGGCTTGAGTGTCACAGTACCACAGGAATCTCCGGATGACGATGACTACGAGTACAGCCCTGGTGGCCGGCCCTTGCTGAAACGCTCAAAGATTCCAACTGGAGATACGCATGACCCATCCATCCATTCCTCACAGTCTACAGCCATCTTGACTCCTGCAAGCTCGGTCCCAGATGACTCGACCCCTGTGCAAGCTACGGCTGCCGAAGAGCAGGCACAGTCGCTATACAAAGCTTATGTACCACCTCTTATGACAACGGGCGTTGAATCGTCTCTTGCTCAACGAAGAGCAACGGGACATTCTGGACTGCCAAATATAGCCACTCCTGTGGGCCCTGGAAGTAACCATGATGAGATATTCTTCGGACCTCCAGATTCCGGCAGTACTCGAGCAGCTCATCAGCCAGGTGGCAGCAATGGGACGAGTAACATTCCTGTCGTGGCTCCATTGAATCTTACGTCAGGGCGCCCAGTCTCTATGGTAGCACCTCCAAAGGGCAACGCTCTCGACACGCTCAATAGCCTTCTACCTACCCAAATCCGGCCTGTGCAAAAGAATTCTTCCGTTGAGTCGCTTCGAGAGAACGCTGCAGCTATCAAGTCTAAATTGAAAGACACGGAGGAATTGACAACATCCTGGGAGAAATCTGCATCGCTCACGCGCAGAAAAAATGCCGATGCACGTCGCAAGCGCGGAGAAGAAAGCGAATCTCACAATGACGATCTGTTCAATGCAGACGAGATTTCCTATGCCGAGTTGAAAGATCTTGAAGCTGAGTTCAAGGAGGAGGAGAACAAGTTGAAGAATCAGGAAGATCAAGACGAGTGCAAGAGCTACGTGCAAACGGTCTTTGACAAAGTATACCAAGATCTTCAGGCCGACATCACCGCACTCACCGACCTGTATATCGAAGCAGAGACTTTGCTTCAGACTTCAGTGTCTGGACTGAAGAGCCTCGGAGGCGGTGACACAATGACCACTAAAGACTGTCTTGAGCTGCTCATAGACTTGCATAAACAGATCGAAAAGGCCCACGACGAGGTCGTGCAAGCTATTGCCGAGCGAGACAAGCGATACAAGAAGACTGAGATCCAGCCGTTGTACAACGCTGGCAACATGGCGAAGATGAAGGTGGTTGAGAAGCACTTCGAACAAGCCGAGAAACAGGCCATCTACAGAGCGAAGAACGAGAAGGTAGAACGCCTGGGCGACTTGATCAAAGTTGCAGAAGAGGCCGTTGTAGGTGCTGTGAGCATTGAGCAGGGCGAACGTAGCCGCATCGTCGCTGCACTTCGCGACCTGAAAGAGGGCGACAATGCCGATGTTCTGAGCCGGGCCAACGAGTCTCTCAACCTACTTCACGATGCGTCCAACTCGCTCCTCGTCATCTTCCACCGTTTGGAGATCGACTTTAATATAATCGAGGCCGATGCCGATATCGCACAAGCGCGCCTCGACGGCGCACCCGAGTCAAAGGTCCAAGAGATCCAGTCACGCATGAGCGCGAAGGAGACCGAGCTGAAAGACGAGTTCAATCGGCGAAGCACCGTGCTCGACCAAGACCGCGAAGAGTCGGGGAACTTGATCAAGCAACAGGGGGAACCTGCGGAGACTAGTGACGAGCTGGAGAAAGCAAAGAGGCTTAAGGCGGCGCTCGAGGAGGCGAAGAGGAGGAACGGACATGCTTGAGCGTGATGATTCGCATATACCATACTATACCTTCTCACATAGCAGATTTGGAGAAAGCCTTACTGTTCTTAATTGACGGCCGCTCTATAATTAGTAGCATCATTCTTTTGAGCGCAGGATATCTTCATGAGGTGATCGAAAAATGATCTCGTGCTTACTGCGCATCCTCACCCCGATTCTTCGAGCTCCTCCAACTCGTACTTACTCGTGCTATGCTTCGTCGTCTCCACTTATGCAAGGCGCTTCTTGCCCTGCGTATGTACTCGGTACCGCACTGCTCGTTCTTGTCGGGGTCTTTCCGGCTCTTGTCCAGCACGGGAATGATATGTCGTGTGACCGAATGTCTCGCCGTCGGCCTTGGGTCGTCATCGGGTGCCTGCGGAATCGACCTGCATCGGCTTGGCGTGGAGTACCTCTGCTGATGTGCTGATGTCGGGGATGGATTCCCCGCTTTGGGGTAATATGGAGTCGGGGTTTTTGTCGGGTGGTTTTTGCAGGTAGACTGACAGCGTCACGAGGAGACTGGTTGTTGGAATTGACCATATCGCTGGAATTCGACCACTTCGCTGGGATTTGACTATCTTGCCACGGCGGAAAACAGGTCTGTGGTTCCACTCAAGGCGGTGTTTTGATCCGGATGCGGATGTCTTTTTGGCCGAGCATTCGGACCTCAACATTGACGTCATCACACTGGTGGGGACACTGGTGGGGATGAGGGCGAATGTAAACAGGTGACACAATCGAAAGCTGCATTTTGAGCCGCAAGCTATTCACACGGCATTTTGCATCCATAGATATCCTTAATTACAGTAAGGTGAAGTGAAAATTGCGATGTCTGTTCCAAATGATACCATACCAGACTGTTTACATCTCCTTACACGAAATTTACGTTGCATCATAGCGCGATGCTAAGCAACAGCTAGCGGGAGCCTGCGAGCCTGGATTCTAGGGTAGGAGGGGCGTAGAGGTTATATAGCAGACGTGTACTCAAATACAATCGTTTTTTGGTTTTCCGTTTTTCTGTCAGTTTTCCCCATGATCGATGAAAATTGTTGAGGTTGGGGACTCCGCGCCCTCCAGGAAAACCCTCGCCCCTCCATGCAACTCCGCCCTCCACGTGTACTCCAAAGTTTTTTCGCAGCAATTCTCGGGGCCCCGTTTTTTTCTTGTTATTCCTTGTCTTCGATCGCCGGACTTAACAAGGCCTCCGTAGCTAACGGAGCCGGTAGTCCTCGAATCTTGGCACGGATCCTAGATGCCGGAAACAGACCCATGCAGAGCCTCAGAATGAGCTGGAACGGCAGTTAACGGGCACGTTTTGCACGACGTGTGCCTGTCAGCCAGCCAAAATCCTTCGTAAGAGCCGCACGAGTGGGGTTCGCACGAGTCAGTTTTGAGCCGCATTGCGGGATTTAAGAGGCGGAGTGACATTGATGTGGAGATGCGTCGCAGAGCCTCACTAGAAGCTTGGAAATGTTGAGTCTTGCACAGACAGTGGATACAATTGGCCCCATCCACTTTCCTGCACTCCACTCCAACAAGGGGAAGTCCAAGTACGGCAACAATCCGGCATCTCACTAGGTACCAGACACCAGGAGGAAGGTCACACGACACTCCACGGCAGGCCGGCACAACGGTTTCTCTACGGTCGCGGCACGTTGGCAGTTCACTAGTTTGCGGGGATGACCACATCAGTGGCGTGCAGCCAACGCGACTATGAGGTGCTGGAGTAAGCAACGTCGAAGTCAAAGAAGACGCCGCAGATCTTTAGCTTGCGCGTGCAGGTCCCGTGTTGCTGGGGATTGGAGCTCCTCGGTCGGGTCGGATGTTCGTGGTCAGACTTGTCGAATCGCGGCTGCTCTCCCCACAACACGTCTTCTAGCGGTGTCACACATCGGGCTACGCTATGCGCGTTACAGAAGTTTCCGAGATTGCTGTTGGCTGTAGCAGCAGACCAGCCAAGGTTACTGCTGCTTGTGCAGTGACGGTAGTGGCGTCTATGACGTTTTTTCCCCCAAAGCAATCTCTCGGCATAATCTGGGCGTCTGGGCATTACCACATGGTCTGCACGACAATGGTATTCATACTTAACGTCCGCGATGGAAGCCAGTATGATACTTCACTGAAAAGCTCTTAGTTTGCTCTCGAAGCTCCTCAGAAGCCGTGAGCTCAACTTCGCAATCATGGGTCTCGGCAAAACAGCTATCAAGCTGCGCGGTGCAGAGGTCGGTATTGAGGCCATCATGCTAGGAGTTGTCACATCGATAGGTGGTAAGTAGTGATTCAACAATGTCCTCGGCGATGCAGCGCTGATAATATCGTAGGCTTCTTGTTCGGATACGATACTGGCCAGATTTCCAGTATGCTTTTGTTCCCTGACTTCAAGCGACGCTTTGGTCAGTTCCAGGATGCCCAGGGCGAATGGCAGTTCGATGTCGAGATCTCGTCTTTGATTGTGTCCATGATGTCCATTGGTACTCTCTTCGGTGCTCTCCTTGGAGCTTACACTGCCGATTGGTTTGGTCGCCGACGCAGTCTGTCCATCGGGGTTGCCATTTTCGTCGTTGGAAACATCATCCAGATCACAGCTATGACATCTTGGGTCCACCTGATGATGGGTCGTATTGTTGCTGGTGTCGGCGTCGGTATCCTGTCTATCGGAGTTCCGATGTTCCAGAGCGAATGCTGCCCTCGTGAGATTCGAGGAGCAGTCGTTGCATCGTACCAGCTCATGATTACCATCGGTATCCTGATATCGAACATCCTTAATTATGGTGTTCGTGATAGCCCCGGCGATGACAGCGACGCTTCCTGGAGGATTGTCATCGGTCTTGGAATTTTTTTCTCCCTACCCCTCGGCATTGGCATCCTCTTCTCACCTGAGAGTCCTCGCTGGCTCGCTGGCCGCGGTCGGTGGGAGGAAGCGCGCATGTCGCTTGCTCGCCTGCGCGGAAAGAAGGACGACCCTAACGACCAACATGTGAACGATGATTTCAAGGAAATGCAGGAGTCGATCGCAGAGCAATCCAAGGCCGGTCAGGGTACTTGGTTGGAGTGCTTTACTGGTCAGCCGTCCGGAATCCCTCGTCTCGTGTACCGCACTTTCCTCGGCTGTGGGCTACAGTTCTTCCAGCAGTGGACTGGGTAAGTTTCATCACAGCACCCTCAACCTTCGCTTGCTAATGTACCAAAAGTGTAAACTACTTCTTCTACTACGGTGCCACCATTTTCGAGTCTGCCGGTATCGATGACCCCATTCAGACCCAGTTGATTCTTGGAGCTGTGAACGTCGTCATGACAGTTCCTGGTCTCTGGATGATCGAGCGCTTTGGTCGTCGCATGCCTCTGGTCTACGGCGGCCTTTGGCAAGCCTCTTGGCTGCTCATCTTCGCCATCATTGGTATTGTCCGCCCGCCTACAGAGCATACCGACTCCGGCATCGTCATGATTGTCTGCGCTTGCATGTTCATCGCATCTTTCGCGTCCACCTGGGGTCCATTCATTTGGGTCGTCATTGGCGAGACTTTCCCTCTCCGTACCCGTGCTAAGCAGGCTTCGCTCGCCACCGCATTTAATTGGCTTGGCAACTTCATGATTGGTTTCCTGACACCATACGCCAACAGGGGAATTGGGTACGCCTTTGGCTTCGTTTTCTTCGGATGCAACTTTTTCGCCGCAGCCATGGTCTACTTCTTTGTGTTCGAGACTAAGTCCTTGACTCTTGAGAGCGTCAACGACATGTACATGGATACATCTACCAAGGCGATCAGCAGCAAGAGTTGGGTCCCTGTTGGCTACATCAACCGTGATGAGCGCGATGAGTCTTACTGGCATCGTCGCACATCCATCCTTGAGGATCGTGCTGCTGCCGCACATGTACCCAGGTCGGTGGATGAGAAGATTGATGATAAGGACAGCACTCCCCGCAACCAGTCGATGCACCGCGAGACTGTGGGTGACGACAGAGTGGTCTAAGCTTGATGGTCAAGCGGATCAATTTAAACATTTGCAGTTTACTTTTAGCGTTGTATATCTGTACTGACTATGTGTCGCACTCTTAAGAGGCGATATGTATATCACAAATTCATGAAATTGTTCAAATCAAGGCAACATACCCAAACTTAATGTTTATCATCTGTGCACTGACTGATATTGCTGCGTTGAAGTATGGGATCTATAAATCAATAGAAGGCAGTCAATCCATGTCGCTCGTGTTCTGGTAATCCTCTGGGTAGCCTAAAAACTGTGAGCAGTCTTACTCCCCTCATCATATGATATCACTTTGAACGCTTCTTGGCCATCTTGCTAATCAATGGCTATACGTGTCTGGCTTTTAACCTGTTTGTTTCCTTGTGTCAGGTCCACGAATCATGTGGTATTCTGCCTCTGGAAGGGTGATCCAAAAGCTTAGGCGAGTCCTATAGCTATACGCAAGGTTCGCAAGCCCAATGCCTAGGATACAATCTACTGACACGCTCAATACTTTCAAAGAGCCCTCTATGGCTTGGCACATAGTGGGTCTTTCTGTGCTGTCAACATCAGCTTTGTCACACAAATACAAGATAGAGATATCGGATTCAGCTCATCGATCTTCAAGTAAGACAACTTACTCTTGAACCTAACAATACACATGACCGCCCCACTACATCGCACCGTGAGATCGCATAGTACTAGAGCAGTAGCAAATAGAAAGATGTCAACACATGTCTAGCACTCCTCCTATGAGCAATAGCGAGGTCGTTTTGACTCTCGTGAGCAGTGAGGCGCAGATGAGGCGGGTGCCAGAACGCTTCGACATCTGCGCATCTTCCGGCAATATCACCCATTGTATGCAGCCATCGACCGTAGGCTCTTCATGCGGACCACGGTGCATGTGTACCATTATGTGCCCACTCTCCTCGTCGTCACCCGACCTCAGTAGATACGCAGGCGATATGTGCGCACGCTGGAGTTGAAGCCGCGATCGCAGTTGAATTTTATCTCACTATCATACACGATGACTTACTTCGCCATTAAAACATGTAAACCCCTCTCTCTGAACGTTCTGCACAAATCATGCGTGCATGTGGAGCCGTTGCTGACATTCAGACCCCAGGTGAGTGGGAGGAAGGAGGTATGCTAACTAAACGTGATCTTGGCCGCTCAATAAGACATGTGTTGATAAAGAATTTACTTTCTCATTGCACAGTGTCCGGACGGCTCTGGTGTAAGTAAGGTGCCGCGTTCGGATGATCGGCGCAACGCATGCCAACACACAGCCACGTCCAATTTAGCACAAACGTGGCGCACGTACGTCGCAAACACGCGTCAGCTGTCAAAGCACCACAGCCGGTCCCCAACCTCAGTAGAACCCAAACAAAAGACCCATCGCATCTCGCAGACTCGCCCTGAAAACCTCCGTACCCCTCTCTCGTTTGTTTGCTCACAGAAGGCATGCCCGCGATTCCCAATCCATACGGCGTGCTAGCGCGGCGCGCCTTCGTTACAGCCGCCCCGGCGCTGGCCCAGCCACACCTGCACTCGCTCTCGCGGCGTGCTCTGGGTGTGAACCACACGCAAGGCGTGACGCTGGGTGTGCTCGGCGCATACATCGTGATCATCGCGATATTGTGGAACGTACCGTATGTTCGTTGGGTGCTATGGCCGTTCAAAGTACGCCGTTCTTTTCCTTAAGTGCTGAAATGTCACGTGACTAATACACTCTTGCAGATGTTGGTCATTGCTTTCCACGAGTTTGGGCACGCGATCACGGCGTGCTGTACCGGCGGCCGTGTCGAGTCTATCAGTCTCGACCCGCATGAGGGCGGCGTGACGCACATGCGTGGCGGCAAACAATTTCTCACGCTACCGGCAGGGTATCTGGGTTCGAGTCTGATCGGGGCCCTACTGACGTTCTGCGGATTCAATATAGTGGCTAGCAAAGTCGCAAGTATTGTGCTGGGAGTTTGTTTCCTGCTGACGCTGTGGTGGGCGAGGAAAGATTGGTTGACAATCATTACGATCTTGATGGCGGTGGGATTGTTGATTGGGTGTTGGTTCATTCAGCATGCTGAGGCGTTGCGATTCGTGGTTGTAAGTTTTGAGCTCTTTTTAGTGTTGGTGTAATCACCTTGCTGACTTTTTGCAACAGCTCTTCATCGGTGTTATGTCGAGTCTTTACAGTGTGTGGGATATTTGCGACGATCTCATTCTACGGAAGGTCAACTCATCTGATGCCAGCGTCTTTGCGAAGAGGTATGGTGGCTCCTCGCAATGTTGGGGCGTACTATGGTCGATCGTGTCTCTAATTTTGATGGTCTGCGGTATCATTGCAGCACTGGCGGCCTTCCCACAAGACTGGGAACAGCAGCAGAAAGATAGCCAGGGCTTTATTCCAACATAAGAGCGTGGTAAGATAGTGTCTCAATTTCTAGTGCTAGATTCTACAGGGTCCAATCAAACACGTCCTTCGACTCATTCATACACTGCAATCGAGGGAAACGGGAGCAGGACCAACCACTATTCAATTTTACATCATAGTTGCACTCCTGAACATCTATCTATGAGGGAGTTCCATATCCTATCGCCTATCCCAGTATTGAGCATACTCGTACGGGCCCTCAATGTCGCGGCCTGTGCGACAGAACGGACATTCCGTCAAATGGACGTCTTGCACAACTGCATACTTCATGCGTTTGGTGTATGGATTGGCGAGGCATGTCTGCAGCTTGTTAGACCAATGAAGACAAGCCCGGTTAGGTATTGTATGGCCGCAGCTTATGTATTCCTGGGCTCTTCTTGTATTCTCGGGATCGCACATGGTAATTTGATGTTAGGTTCCTGGTAATCTAGACGTTTTTTTTAACAGTAGGTATTGTAGCTTTGCTGAAGTATGCTTCTACAAAGCTCACGGAACGTAGATGATTTATACACCAACAAAGGTCTCTGCAATTGACAGAGGTTATGTGCTCTCATTCTACTTCCGTGACCTGTTGCAGTCGTGTCAGGTTTCGTACCTTCACTGCAGTTATGTCTCCATTCATCGATCAAGACATTGTACTTAGGTGACATCAAAACCCGTCTATGAAACCACGCACAGCCTTGCTTCATTTCTACAATGCAGAACCACAAACCAACAGCACACCCGAAATAGCCGCCCGTTGAACAATGCCGACACAAAATGGATGCAAAAGGAATGGTCGCCATATGACCAGATAACAGCCGCAGATACTTCTTCTTTAACTTCTGCGACTACATAGTGAGACTTTGGAGACGTTGAGATAGAGGAGAGTTACACCTGGTAGTAACAGTACAGTCAGTGCTGATCAAGAAACTTGGCGTGGTAGTTGAATTTCCTGGAGTGCATGGCTACACAGGCGACAGCGAAAAAGATTACATATGAAAGAAATCGACGGCATAGCAAGTTCATATGCTCTGATAATATGTCTGAAGTATGTATCGCATTTTCTATTTGCAGCACGAGGGCTGCCCAATCACTCATTACCCAGAAAGAGAGCCGTGATGCAGGCGCTCAAATCCCTACTCCTTTTGTCGTGACATGTCGGAACAAACGAAAGCAGTACATCTCCATCGTCGCCATCTACATCTAATCAGCATCCTCGTCAATAGGAGCCCTGGGCTTCTGCTGCTGCTGGCCTCCTCGGCCCTTGAACCTTGCCGCCTGCTCGGCCTTCTGATCGGCCCTGTTGGCCTCGTCCTCCTTCTCCTGGATGAACTTCTGCTTCTCCTGCTGAATAATCTCAAGCACACCGACCAAGCTATTCCTCCACATGTCGAGCCTGCTCGCGACCTCTCTCCACTGGTTCTCGCCGAAGACGCGGTATGTGGAACGGTGGATCAGGAATGTCTGGTTGAGCTGGCTGAGCTTGCCCTCTACAAGGCCGGCGCGGATCACATCGATGACCCACATCTCGACGTCTTCGCTGGGCACTTGCAGCGCCTTTGCAATCTTCTCGTAGGGAAGCGACCTTTGCTGGCCTGACGATGCGGCGATCGATGCGAGTGTGAGGAGGCGGATCTTGCGGTTAAGAGCATCGCTGTCGAGGCCAGAGTTCTCGATCCAGCCATCGTGCTCGTCCTTGAAGTCGTTGAAGTCGTCTACCACGTCGGAGTTGAAGATCTCGAGGAGCTGGAAGTAGACGGGTTCGGAGTTGCGGAGGGCCTGGACAGAGTCTAGATCGATAAGGTCCTGGAAGTCAAAGTGGCTGGGGTGGGTGAGCGCAGACTTGAGCGCGCGAAGAGACAGCTCTTGCGCCTCTGGCGACGACGCCTCCTCCGAAGGGAATGTTCGGAGGGCGCGAAGGAGGTATGTGTATGCCTGCTCGTCCTCAGCGGCAGCAGCGGCCGAGTCGCTGACTGCGAGGTACAGCTTGCGCTGCTCATCCTCCTCGACCTCCCATGCCTGTAACCAGGTATCGAGCTGCTTCAACTGTGGGCGCAAGTACTCGAAGTTCGTTGTGGCGCGAATGACGCGGAGAACAGCGAGCAGAACGTGGAAGCGCACTTCGCTGTCGGCAGGGAGAATGTTGAAGATTGTGCTGAGAATCGAAAGGGCGAGGCCGCTGCCGTTGGCGGGTGACGAGGTGACGGGGTTGCTCAGGTTCTGGCAGATCTTGGGCAAGAACATGGACACATTCGGCGACTGGTTTACCAGGTGGATCAGCAGGTTGTATGCGGCAATGAACTCTGTGCACCGCCGTGTTAGCCCCGCGCTCCACGCTCATGACTGTGTCGTTCGCATACCCTTCTCAGGCGCCTGGTTCAGCGCTTGCGCACCGACGACCAGCTTCTTGAGCACCTCATCCTTCTTGTTCTCCTTCAGCAGGTCTGTGCTCTCCTGCTGGACGTTCGAGCTCTCGTCGCCCTGGGATTTTTTGAGCGTGTCGATGTATTGTGCGAACTCGTCGGTAAGCTCCTCGAAGGAACCCTCGATGAGGAGCGTGTTCTTGGGGCCCGGCATCGCGTTTGACGTGTAGGAAGGTGCCTGGAGAAGTGGGCGAGCGGGGTCGTCGAGCGCTGGACGTGATTTGGGCTTTGTGTCGAGGGTTGCGCCTGCCCGTGGTGGGATGTGCCAAGCCCAAAAGTTCAAAATCCCCATCGATAACTAGCAGCCGACCAATTAGAAGCGATGTCAGTGGGGCCCTTCACTGCACCACCAATGTCGGACTGCTGTTCAAGAACATGTCAGTCAGGTGCCTGTCTGATTCGTTGCACTTCAGGATGTGTTTGTTGGATGATATTTGAAACTGATTCAAAATTGTGCTTGAGTTTTTAGCAGCCGCACAGAATGAGTATTGTACCTTGCAAATGCGCAAAGGCAAATTTGCCAGTGCAATAGAGTTCGTTAATTGTTCGTTTCTGATTTATAGTACTACACAAATAGTGGAAGAACAGCCTCAACGCCCGCCGAAGACCTATAGCTACCACCGACGTCTTGGTCGCAAAAGGCGCGGGACGAGAGCATTGTCTGGTAGGAGTTGTGTCTCGCGCGCCAGTTGCTTCAAGAAACTAGAGTATGACTTGTACATAGGCTGGTACCCCAACAAGCGGTTGATTCTCCTGGATGCCTCCTCGAGTGTATCTGCGGCTTCTTGGGCAATGAAATGACCTGTGGCTATTGAGTTGACACACTCGTGTACGTCTTCCATCAGGTCCGCAAGAGGATCGTAGTGACGCAGTTGTTCGTACTCAAAAATATATCAGCTACTTGGCCACATGTTCAAATGGCGTACATACAGGCTCTCGGTAGTCACCCCTACAATGTAGGCATGTGTCATATTGACAGTCGAGTGTTCGGCTTCTCCGTCGCGTGAAAGAGACGTGGTCGTAGCGTACATCCTCGAAGTCGGAAGTATCGTAGCTGTTGAAAGACTGGAATGGGGAATAGCCGGGGTGGTACTTGTATCCTCGACGGTGTCGCGGTCGATCTGAATCCCAGAAGAACATTGCGAGACCTGCCTTGATAGTGATATGGAAGTTAGGCGAGCTTTGGCAAAATCTCAGAAGCAGCGGAGATTGAAGAACCTGAGCTCACCATCGCCCTTATGTATATCGGATCAGTCCAGGATGAAGGCCTTGGTGGGGCACACCATGAGCGAAACGTGGTACCACATAAGATGGCGGTGTGGCTATGGAGGTCATGTCGTGATGAATCTACGCGGCAATGACCGCTTTCAGCTCCTGATGCCTGTGACCTGCGAGGCTGAGGTGTTGAGAGAGCAAACAAATATCCCTGCGACACATGCATCTCGTGCAATGTCTGTGTCCGCAGGCATTGTGTCACTTGAGAAGAGTGACCAATCGAGCACTCAACAACCCAACGTGGGGACATGGAAAAGTAAAGGTGGCCGTTGAAGACACTGATTGATCAAGTATCAGGTCCAGTCACCAGTCTGTTGTTTTGAGCACTTCAACGACCACTTTGCAGTCAATTATGTCGCGGTCTCAGGCGCTCCTGTTCCCGTGTTCGCTATCCATATCTGACCAATGAATGTTGTGTAAGGGTGGTCATTCATTACGCATGGCAACGGCTTCACGTGGATACTTATTAGTGTGTTACTAGCCATTTTGATTAGGGATTCGATTGATTTGTTGCCTGTGACAGGTTGAGGCAACGGCTGTGGGACCAGAGGATGATGAATCGACATGTATGAAGTAACGCGTGGAACTGGCTCGCATGATTGAATTCACAGAGCAGGATCATTTGAATGAGGGGGGAAGAGGCCCTGTTCAAGGTTATGCCTGTTATGTGTGGTGGGTTTCACTGTCTGGACAACGTCGCACGGTCAACATCCTGACTAGTACAACCCGCATGTGAATAGTGTGATTATACTTAAGCGCTTGGCAGACGTCGTTCGAGTTAGGATGCCTGAAAGGGTGAAGCTGCACCCGACATCATGAGACTCTCTTCGGCACTTCCTGTGTATATTCTTCAGGCCACTGTTAATGGTCACGCGTGACCTGGCTTGGAGGTTGTCGCAGCAGGATACAGTCGCGGGGCCCTCAGGTCATGTGCCGATATTACACATTGTCGACAATCGTTCGTCGACATCAATCTCTTGCAGCATGACTAGCAGTCGGTAACCGTACTTGGAGCCCCAGTGTCCAATAGGTTTGCTGTACGATCTCATCAATCGCGGACCCCTTTTCATCCAGAAAGCACCGTTCAAGCACTCAACGGCTTGAATCCATATATTCAATGGCCCATATGATGCTGCGGTCTCGCCATTGCGCATTGAACTTTCCCGCCTTGCAAGCTCATCAATGAGAGCATCCACGCAGCTTCCTGCAAGCCCTCTCTTTTTCCAGTCAATGTGAGTTGTGACTATCTTGATCTCCCACCCTGATTCTCCCTCTTCTGCAAAACCCTCGAGGTCAGCTTCCCATCTCTTGGTCGCAGCACAAGCCACAGGCTTGTCGAACTCCGGGTCATAGGCTACGGCGAATAGCCCTTCGTCGCCCAGGGCACGGAGAATGGAGTCAGCGGAGGATAGTCGATCGCTCAGATTGCGATCCCACCGTTCTTCGTTAGCTGGAGTGAAGTAGCGATATCCTTCGTTGACAAATGCTGTTAAGCTTGCAGCCAAAGCAGGATCTGCACGTATGGCGGAGGCATAGTGGATGCGCGGTGTAAGCTGCGGTGCTGGACGTGCATCCATCCTGTGAACTGCGTGGTTCGAGTAATGGGCCATTTGGATCACTTCAATGCCATAACAGATGGCGGGCGCTTGGGAAGACTTGTGCTACATTGCTATTCCGTCGGAAAAGAACGTACAATTGTTCAACTCGAGCAGAGTTACCAACGCTACCGAGCACAGCCTGTACTGGAGCTGACATGGTGGTAGTATCTTCTCACTATCGCGATTGGAAAGGCGATGATTTCGTTGTTGTTGTAGGCTCCTTGAGGTCGGAACGGTTGAGGGCTCTGCGCTTCAAAGCAGAATCCGAAAGTGTCTTTTCCAATGTCAAGACATAACACGACTTCCGCATTTCCAGACATTGTGGTACTTCGTCCAGATTTCGTCATTGGCGATTGATGGTCTGCTGCTCAGGAGTGAGGGTACGGATCAGAGAGGTACCCTGCGCCAATCAGCAGGAGCCACACCGCCGAACCCTGAACCCCTGCACCGTTGACCGTCCCTGTCAAAGACGCCTTGCTTATTGCTACGCGCGAACTGTCGCGCAACATATCGAGATCGGCAGCATGGCGTATGTCTCGCTGGGATAGAAAGACGCTCTATAGCTGACTGTAATCTATAGGCGTACAATCCGAGCCAACGCGCTCGAGAAGCTCGCCCGCCTTTCAGCGCAATCGCCGACCGCGACTTCGCCCAGCAATGACTTTGAAAGATTATACAAGAGATGTGCAAATGCCCCAAGAGCTCCGAATGGTGTCGGTGGCGTCAAGATCACAGAGCTAGAGGCAGTTCTGGCTCTGTGCAAGGCTGCACCATATGTCGAATCCATAGAAGTCGCTGCACCGCTCTTCGATCGTCTCGCCGCCTACCTGCCCAGCATCTATGCCCAGGTACTGCTGCCGTCACCGAGTCTTCGAGAAATACAGCCTTCTCCCTACGAGGTGCTTTCCTACAACCTGGCCTCTGCGATCCTGCAGCTCGGCGCCCGCCACGACCAGCTTCGATCAAAGGTTACGGAAACTTTAGCAAGCTATGTACAAGGCTGGACAGCTACAGCGGCCGAGCTGTCAGCGTTGCAGTTGGATGATGGCGACGAAATGTCTGATATAGATGCAGGCGGAGAACTTTCGCAGGTCATCACACACAGCTTGTCATTCTTAGGCTTCCTAGATGCCGCCGCCGAATATGCAAGATTCTGGAATGCGTACGAGAGACTTCAATTCGTTCAGGAGGTTAAGGCAGCACTTTCGGAACAATTCTTCCTCGCTTTCGAGACCGCGTTGTCGATTGCGCGTAATGCGCGCTCACATCAACATGGCCTAAGAGAGTGGAAGCGCTACACGAAGCATTATGCGGCCATTGGACGGCCCTTGGGTGCTATGATCTTGCACGATTCATTCTTAAAGGTTGTTGTAACTTCTGCATCACTGCTTGTCGAAACGCCAGCGCGCAAACCTCGCGAATCCATCCTAGACCATCTTCAAACGTCCTATAACAAGAACCGTGCAGCTGGAGACACATCTGACGATGCCCTCGCCGAAGGTCTGACGCGAATCGCAGTCGACGAAATGCACGGGTTAGAGAACGACGTTGACTACTTGCAAAGGGTAGGGTCTGCGTGGCAGCAACGTCAGGCATCTTCGGTCAAAGCTAAGATCATCACAACTTATCTGTGCTGCACCGTGTACGATGACGACGTCGCAGACAATGAAGTCTTGCTGGCCTGGCTTGACGCTGTGCTGAATGATCCTACTCAGAGCGCGGATCACAACTTGGCTTCCACAGCGTTGAAGTCTATGGCCATTCTGGCGAAGGTGTCTGCGTCTACTGCATCGATATTGGGACGGTCCCTTCCAAGGCTCATTGTCCAAGCTAACTTCGATCACCGGACCTCCTCGGCTGCAGCTGATTCTCTAGCTGCTGTCCTAAGTCTGCTTCCCCAGGACGCTATCATCACGACATTGTACAGTCTTGGAAACGTTATAAGTGCAGGATCTGCCACTGCTGGTGGTACTTCTGCATCCCCTTCGCTCAACGGTACTGGTAATACATTGCGTACTCCGGGGATATATGCGCAGCAATCTAACGGTAGCGCAATCTCGCTAACTCCGAGTGATGTAGAGGAACCGCATCACGTGCATACAACTATCGTGGACACCGTGGTATCTGTGGCGAGCAAGTGCAAGGACGAAAAGATTACGGCTCTGGCTCTATCAATGCTTGTACAGAAAATTGGAAGAGCGAGCAAGGTTGTCGACGTGAAGATCATCACCGACGCAGCACTGCTCGGTATTCACACAACCCCAGCAGAGTTCAGATCGCTTCTCAAGCTCTACTCGACGCTCTGTCATGATGCGCTTGTCAAGGATGATACAGTCACCCTCGATGCTGTAAGTTCAATGTCTTTTTGATCGCCTATGCAACTGCTAACAAGTGTTCAGGTCATGAATGCACGCCTGAATATCTCGAGAATGGTATCCGAGGATGAAGCTTTCGAAGTATACCTCACTCATCTACTGGACGCGATTGTCAGTAAGGGCGACGCTCAAGAGACGGCACATAAGCACTTAAGGGATACTGGCTTGGCTTCGCAGGAGATTGCGCAGATGCTGAAACCTCTAGCTACACTTCTTGCTTGCAATGCTCAGCGCGCGGACTCGATTGAGCTAGGCGATGCTATCGTCAGCTTACAGCGCGATGCATGGTTCAACATTGTGGTTCACGGCTTCGATACCAACTCAGATCTGGGTAAACAATACATTGAAGAGCTTCGGACCCTTGCTCGCTTTAGCAAGCCCCTAATCGCCGAAGAGCGTCCGATGCTGTCAGAGAGCGACATCGAGTTAAACACAGTACTTCGCCGTGGCAAATCCCCAGAACATACGACTGAGCAGAAACGACGTCTTGCCAAGCTTCTCCCTTCGTGCGAGGCAGATACGAAGCCGCTTACGTATCCTGAAGCAGTATTCTTGAACACAGCATATCTTGTAGAAGAATTGCGGGCTAGTACAGGCGACTGCACTAAGGCGCTTGCGTACTTCCTGGACCCCAAGTTGCGGACTGGAGCAGTTGGCAATTGCATGTCCGCGATCACTATCATGGCTGTCAGGACATATTTGGCGAAGACACTTTCAGGCCAACATCATACCTTCTCTACGCCATACCTTGCACAGCAGCTCGCGCAAATCTTTGCAGCCTGTTGTCACCGCATTGCCCGGGTCCAACAGGCTGCAGCTGCTTGTGCCGACATCATCATTCGAGAGGTACCATCGACATTGTGTCAGAAGAGTGCTCTATTCGCTCTCCTCGAGCTGCTTTCTATCATGTGGTACAGCTGTCTCGAAGGAGAAACCGACGAGTACACTTGGAACTCAACGTTCACCTCGAAGAAGTCGGACATCACTGTGGAGCTGTCGGATGATTACGCCTTTCGTCAGGCGACCCTTGAAACCTTGCACAAGCGTGCAACATCTTGGATCAAAGGAGTCATTGAAGTGGCTCCTCTGGACGTCAAGGGTCTCCTCCAGACCTATCTATCAGAGTTTGATGATGAGACGTCTTATGGTCATGTGTCTCTGGGACGATCATTTGCCCTGGATATGGGATCTGTAGTCCCTGCGAATGATCAGCGTCTTGGTGCGATTGAGCGCCAGGGCATCAATATCAACACCGCTTCCGACTTCATCACTCAGTACACCACCAGACAAGAGTATAAGTTCCTTGAGAGCAGCAATGACCAGCAAGAAGAGTGGCTCAATGGAGGGAATACTAAAGGCTCCGTGCCGACACATCTATCTCGCAGCATTCAAGACGCTACTAAGCTCCTCATTGACGTCGAACAGCGAACACTTCACCACAAGCATGTCACCATTGCTGAGTTGCGAGATATTCTGCGACGTGCAGCTGCCCTTCTTTGTCGAGTTAAGAGAGATCAGGCACCTATCGTACATCACCTAGTCGGTATTCCTTTTGCAGTCTTCTCCAAACAATCGATTAAGCTGGGTATCTCGCTTTGGACGAGTGTCATCAAGGAGAACCCTCGCATGGAATCGCGTGTCCTAGTGGCAATCGCCGAGAACTTTGAGAGTACCGTGCGCAAGCGGAGAGGTCTCTTTAGTTCTTCCCTCAAGTATGTGTAAACTTTAGTTTCCAGTGTCCATGCTGACGATCATTAGTCACCCGGACCCCTTCTACGGCAAACAAGAATTTGCTGCTACTGACAGGGAAACATTGGCCAAGCATCAGCAGCACATCTACAATCTCATCGCACCACATTTCCGGCTGGTACAGTTCCTGTCCAGCCATTTCAGCGCCTCTCGGCTCAGCAAATCGGACTTTGAGCGCGTGTACGTCCGGTTGATTCACACTACGCTCGACGCAATGAGCGAAGGGTGCTCGCAGCCTTTGGCTAGGGAGGCTTATTTCCATATAGTTCTGCTCGCATTGCGCATTGTTCGTCATAGCACGACCATATCTTCTGCCGCCAAATGGCGTCTTATGGACCGTCTGTTGACCGTAGCCCTGGCGTGGTTCGCTCACGCACCTCAATGGTCTTATGGTGGCAACCGTTTACAGATTAAAGCAGAAGCTCAGGTTTTATCAGACGTGCAGACTCATCTAGAAGCCCTCGGGAAGTTGGCCATCGTGGCGGATTCAGCATCGAGACAAGTCAAGGCTAAACAGGACTTACTGTCCTTACTGATCTCCAATGAGCAGACACGTCTAAGTGTCTGGTTGTTTCCTTTGGACAATGGGAAGAAGCATCACTTTGGTGGTGGCGCCAGGAACAGTTTGCCAGACGCCGCTGTCTCAGCCCACGTCAAAACAGCATGGGCAGAGAATCCGGCGATTGCCATCCATCTAATCAAACGCTTCCAGTCTCTCCGTCTGCAGAGCGAGGTCCGGTTCCAGGTACTCAACTTCCCACACAAGGTCTTGGATGTACCAGATGCTCTGGAGATCATGCTAGGTAATCAGTTGCCCGGTGATGTTTCCTTCCAACTCAAGTATCTGCTTTACTGGGCTCCATTGAACCCCATCACGGCAGTGACACTCTTCATGCCGGCTTATGGCAACCACCCATTCGTCATTCAGTATGCTATGCGAGCCCTCGAAAGCCATTCGGTAGATGTCATGTTCTTCTACGTTTATCAGATAGTCCAGACGCTCCGATACGACGTTCTTGGTTACGTGGAAAGATACATTATCGAGACAGCCAAGTTGTCTCAGTTGTTCGCTCATCAGATTATCTGGAATATGAAGGCAAACGCCTTCAAGGACGAGGCTTCGGAGATCGTAAGTAGCTTGAGTCCTTGTACATGTCCACATATTGACTTTTACCAGCCCGACCCAGTCAAGCCCACTTTGGACAAAGTCATGACCAGTCTTGAGTCAAGCTTCTCAAAAGAGGATCACGAATTCTACGAGCGCGAATTCGCCTTCTTCAATGAAGTCACCGGAATATCTGGTACACTGCGTTCCGTTTTACACGAGCCAAAGGAAGTCAAAAAGCAGAAGATCGCAGAGGAGCTGCGCAAGATCGAAGTTGAGGTTGGCGTCTATCTGCCCAGTAATCCTGATGGTCAAGTCATCGGCATCGATCGCAACTCCGGCAAGCCACTGCAGTCGCACGCGAAAACACCCTTCATGGCAACGTTCCGCATCCGCAAGAACAAGCCTGACACAGGTCTCATCGAAGACATTGAAGAAGAGCCCCGTTCCGGACTCCCTGCAAAGAGCAACACCTACGAGACCTGGCTTTCAGCCATCTTCAAAGTCGGAGACGACTGTCGCCAAGATGTTCTTGCGCTTCAGATGATTGCTGCATTCCGCGGTATCTTCAACACCGTCGGGCTTGATGTCTGGGTTTTCCCTTACCGGGTTACTGCGACAGCGCCTGGCTGTGGTGTTATCGATGTTCTTCCCAACTCCATTAGTCGCGATATGCTGGGCCGTGAGGCAGTCAATAGGTTGGACGACTACTTCGTCTCCCGCTACGGCAACGAAGACAGCATTCGCTTCCAAGAAGCGCGTTCCAATTTTGTGAAAAGTATGGCCGCGTACAGCGTCATCAGCTTTCTGCTACAGTTCAAGGACCGCCACAACGGCAATATTATGATCGATGATGCTGGCCACATCATCCACATCGATTTCGGGTTCTGCTTCGACATCGCACCCGGCGGTATCAAGTTCGAACGCGCACCCTTCAAGCTCACTGCTGAGATGATCGCCGTCATGGGCGGCAGCACAACGTCGCAGCCTTACCGTTGGTTTGAGGAGCTCACTATCAAAACCTTCCTTGTGGCCAGACAGCACTGCGATCACCTATGCCACATCGTCGAGCTAATGCTCGATAGCGGGCTGCCGTGCTTCAAGCCTGAGACTATCAAGAATTTCAGAGACAGGTTTGTGCTGGATCGCACAGAGAGGGAGGCCGCGGACTACATGCGCGGATTGATCCAGAAGAGCGCGAGCAGTTACAGTACGGGCACGTACGATCGGTTCCAGTTGATCACCAACGGCATTCCGTATTAGACAATGCAGCGACGTGGACGGTGTGAATATATAGCACTAATACAATTGTTTTTCTCGAGTACTCTGCTGTTCGACATCGAAAGCACATCGGTGCTGGATCGTTGAGATGAGTCTTTCTACTCCGATCCAGCTCTGCTCAATGCAGCTCAGCTTAGCACAGGTGGTCGTTCCGCGCTCATGCCTCCCGCGCTCATGTCTACAGGCGGGACCTTCGAGCTCCGCACAAAGGCACTAGAGTGGAGGTGGGTGCGGAGAAGATGTGCTTGTGACGCCCACTTCTGGCAACGACTCACGAAGCGACTGGGCAAAAGACTTCTACCAGATCCAGCACACACCAAGCCATCTTCAAACACCCATTTCGTGAGGCCATTGCGTCCCTGACTTGGAGTCCACGGATGCCACGGATGTCGCGATTGCCGTTCTTGTGATGATGGGGCGTGGGCCTAGAACATTTGCGCCGTCGAGGACACACAAAGGACGTCCAATAGTCACACACTCGAACGTTTGGTACGGCATGCACGGACCTGGAAATTCGTTTCGAAGGCCGGATTGAGGCTTATGTATGGGCCTATCGTGAGCATGCGATGCAGACTACAGACTCCGAGATACGGACTATGACGGAGGTGTGCAGGTGGAGACACAGAACGGCCGGGCTGCGTTCTCAGAGCACCGCATCTATGTATAGCTCGAGACGTCGAACAGCTGTGGCTTTGGCGCAGACCGATGAATAGAGGAGATGTGGCGGTTCTCGTCAAGTCTGGACTTCGAGCACCCGTGTATTCAATAACATGAAAAACTTGCTCGTGGAGACGTGCACCCCTCTCACGCATCGTAGACCATGGCTCCAGACTCGGCATTGCACGCAAAGACGATAGCTCAAGGTTTAGTGCAAGACATGAGTTGTTCAAACCTGATACTTAGTGATGCTGTGACGGGTAGGCGACGGGCTGACGTCCTTAGTAGCCGCTGTATCGCTCCACAACGGCAGCCGCCGTAGACACAAAGAAATTACGTAGAGCTAGTCCAGTCCAGACGCTGTTTGCTTGCAGCAAAATACCATGGGTGCTCTTATCGTGCACTGCCTATTTGGGACGTTATGGAAGTTGCAAAACCTTGCACGCTTGGATGCACGTTAGTGGGTTGGGCCGTCAATCAAACAGAGGATCTGTCGCGGCATCTGCCCGGTATTACTGTAGGCTCGTCCAATCGTGACACTGTAACGTCGTACGAGCGGCATGTGCGTCCTGGCAACGTCCACGATCTCTGATGTGGGGCCTAGACCACTCCGTTCAACGCTAGGCCGACAGACAACGCCAGGCGCAAGCATTTGGCGGAAGACAACCAGTGCTATCCCTAAAGGAGTCCCTATTGTCGGTATGTTCCAGACCGTTGCCAAGCAGTAAGGACCAGGCCCGTACCGCAGCGACTGAATAGATTCATGTCGTCATGTCGTCATGTGCATTGGTATAAATATTCAAAAGGGCATGGTTCGTCAGAGCTGGTGGTGTTGAGGATTGTGGCTGTTGGTCAAATCTGTTGCCGTGTGGTCGACATCAGGAAGTCGCATGCGTGCTCGAGCATGATCTGTAGTCAGGTGCAAAATGAGGCGATCTTGAGAAGACGCGTTGTCTGACATGTCCAGCCCTGCCAGATCCATGCAAGCGGTCCGAACGCTCCATCCACGGAGTAATTGAGCATGATGAAACGCACAAAGACCGTGTTGTCTTGTTGTTAGCACGTGTTCCCGAGAATTGGACCCTGCAGACATCATATGTGCCGTCAATCGGTGCTTTTGGTGACCCGAATGTTATGAGCCGAGAGGATGCACTTTGGACCGCCCTTCGGTCTAGACGCCTTGAGCTGCTTGAACGCAAATCTGGGTCTCAATACACAACGGTGCTCCACTATTTGCTCCAATGCGCTAGAAGGAACGATGCATAACCCCACTGTTGACACCGACGTACCTTCCCCAACCATCTTCGACCTTTGTTCGGCTATCGTTTTCCTTGCAAATGCTTCGCAGCTCTTTCCGGCGCTTGTTCAGCCAATCGTTACTGCGAGACTGTGGGCTTGTCGGTACTAAATACTTGGCAAAATGCCGTAGTCACTGTCTTCAAATGGACTTTGTTCATGCGCGAGCAATATCACCATAGAAATCACCCAAACTAATATAGCCCGATGAAATCCACTATGCTTCCTCCACCCTGGCGCAACGACTCGGGTACTCAAACAGCATATTGCCCGCACGCAACACGCACCCTTTTATGCTGCGGAAAAGATGCAATGTATCCTCTCAGCCACTTTCCTACATCATGCAGCTAGTAATACTCTACCATTTTCGGGCGTATTCACTGTAAACATTCAAGATCATGTAGCCTTAACCCTTATATAATTGAAAGCCGGCTGTAGAATTACCTGTGCAGGATATCTATCTAAATGAGCTAAGAGTTGTTTCGACTCGAGAACCGCTAGATACGTGAGACAATGAAGTTTTTATTTGGTGCTCACCAATGATATAGACGTCGGAGTATTCGGTGGTGTTCTTGTATGCCTGTACAGGCGGATTGCGTGTCATTGCAGCAGCGAAGACGATACACATTTTGTGTGGAGATGTCAGCGTATACTTTAGAGTGAGATGACGAATGGTTCCTTGAGCAATGCTACGTCGTCGTGCACCACCATCACTTAAAGGTAACTATGTACAAACAATCGGAGCAGCCAAGCTAGTGGAAAAGTAAGACGCAGAACAGATCTCCAAGGGTGATATACAACCGAGGATGATTATAATACAACATGGACATTAGAGCGTGATGATATACAACACAAACAAATAGTATGCACAACGAAGAATCTACTAATGTTGGAAGCTGGCGCAAAATAACACTATGCAGGACTTCGCTCTGACCTGCTGCACTAACTTACAGCCTTCCACTGGGCGTGCGGAGATGCACGGCAAGTGACATCAGAAGCAAATTTGATGCTGACATTGCTAAGCCGGTGCCTCCGTGGAATGCAAGCCCTGACCCCTGTCGTAGCAGCCGTCTCTTTCATGATCTTCCATTCGGGAGGTATGATCTCGGCCAAAAGTTGAAGCTTGATACGCATGATCTGCCACTATATGACAGAGATCCCACATGTCGCTCCTGACCTCATTCTCGGGTCCCATAAGGTTTCAATACAACAGGGGAGGATCGGACTTGCAAGTAAGACCGCGAGTCTGGTATAGGCACTGCGAGTACGTTCATCGCAGGCACGTTCTGGCTCTCGCATTACATGCTCACCGCTACTCAGCAAGTCTGCCTCGAGTGTACACATAGGGACATAAATGTTCTTCGGTTGATACGATGCTGTTCCCAACAAGAACCGGAGCTTCCATGAGCGATACCAGCACAGTTTGGGCAGCTACCAGCCAGCCAGCCGGCATCTTTTTCAAAAACGGTCCGGATTCCCGTTGCTTATCGACAGGCAGTACAAAAACGTCACCAGTCGCGGCGAAGTACCTCTCTAACGACCGAGCCCGAGCCCAATAAATTGGCGGAGATGTAATAACAGGACCGCTTCCATACTTGCCGACTCCATCATGAACCCAGTTTGGGAACCAATGGGTATTCTCGCCGCTTACATTGCACAAGGCATTGTACACCACTTCGGACCGATGATTACGCAGAAGGTGACTCCTGGTAGAGGTCAGCATGCGCTCCAACATGTCGGCAGTTCCAAATCCCAGTGCGAGACTGTATATGCTTGTACACAGTCCCTCCAGTTGCTTGAAAGGCGGGTTACGAGCTATTCACGCTTAGCTCTAATAAAAGCCTTTAAAGTAGCTGTAACGAAGATCCACACGTTGCTGAATAGACCAAAGACCATAGACTCTTGTACTAGAGAGGAAGGTAAATATCGCACCGTCTCTGTAACACGCGAGACAACACATTGGTGTCATGGCCATTGCCAAGCACGGCGCCGAGTCTGTGGCTTTGCCCGTATTCGTATGCACAATCGGTTATACCAGTCAAGAGAGTTCTGTACGTAGCGTCTCTGGGAAGCTGCATACTCGATACAGTCTATATTTGAAATGGTAAGTCACTCCCTATCTACCTAGACCACACGACACCTACCACCGCACTGAGACACTGTGTCGTGACAGTGCGCTGACGCATTGCTCGGCCGGAATCGTTTGTCCATGCAAAGTGTCGATCAGTTACGTTCGACTCTCCTTTCGATTTTCCGTCTACGGATACTTCGTTGAACGTGAGTAAATCCGGGCGACGCCAGTCTCAATATACAAAAGCGCTCCACGCTCTCGAAGCACATGGACGCACTTTCTGTGGTAGCTCACTAGCTTAAGGGTGGAAGGTTACTGAAATCGGGCGGGCCAAGCGGGCCTTGGAGTTTGGTCAAGTGGATAACGGCGCATGGATCTAGTCTCGGGTTGCTAACATCCCGTGCGCCGCTCAGGCCGAAAGCTCGGCAGCGGCGTTTGAACCACGAAGCCTGGCTGCTTGCAAAATTCCGCTGAGGAGTGGACGAACTGCTGTTGTTGAGCAAAAAGAAAGATGGAGGAGGAAGGCAGTGCGGGGCGGTTGCGGCTACTCGAACGCCCAGGAATCCTTTGGCCCTGAGTGGAAGTTGCGATCGACGCGCTCACTTGTCCAGGCTCCAGCAAGTGCATCAGTGTGCATTCGGGCAGACCATGTCCGTTCGCGGACGGGTGCACAGGACGCACGTATCATGTGTTTCCCGTTCGGTCTTCGGGACTCGCAGCAAAGCCCGAAGCGCTTAGTTAGGGGATGCGCCCCAAGGATAGGTTACGGAATAGTCCAGCATCAGCACGAGTCTTCACTCCGGCATCAGGTGCTCGGACTGCTATGTAACGTTACCTCCCAGAGCCTCTAAGTACATGCAGGTTACCGGTATTGAACGTGAATTGAAAAAAAGGACACAGTGTTCAAGTGCTCGTGATTGGCCTCGTAGCCCGCGACAGTGGAAATAATACAAGCAGCGTGAGGACGGGCTTATATCCTGCGGCCTAGAACACCTGGCCAGGATATGACACACAGCAACCAGAGTTGGTCTGCTCGACCAAAGCTAGAAGGTTTGACGTGCTGTAGATAGTAACCCGCCGAGCTGTTACTTCGGCCTCACTCCACATGTGCATCTGTCGAACGGCTACGGGACCCAGCTTTGAAGGCACGAGCAGGTTCGCAAGTCCCACAACGTGCTCCGCACAGCACGCCAAGTGGGCGTGTCGAGCTGAGACGCTCTATGCTTACTCTCCCAGTGCAATGACGTGGGGCGCAGCGAGTGCTGTGTTGCAGCAGCTGAGCGACTACGCGAGCGTGTTTGAGGTGCCTGGCACAGAACCATGGTACCTAGTGCTCACAGCGTGCGCGGCTCAGGCCTGGGAGGCTTCGTAAGCAAGACATGTGCCTAGCGTGCTGCAAGGAGTAGCTCTGTTTACTCTTCTCCACGATTTCAGCAAGCCGTGCCGAGCATCTCCACGATAAAGTATCGCGAGGCAGATTGCAGATTGCACAATCAGGCAGTCGTCATCAGGTCGCCAGGCCGCCCTGGCTGCACGCGCAGGCCCACTGGTGTGCGGGCGGCGTCAGTGGGTGGGTGCTGCACAAAGGCGCCGCACAGGCACGGTCAGGCAGATCGGCTTTCGACACCAAGCATTCTAGACTGCCAAACCGCCCGGGCGATCCACCCTGCCAGCTTGCCGAACGCGCAGGCCTGTGCTGCAGGGGCCCCACCCTCCTAGCTGCTTCGGCCGAAGGTGTGGCTGCTGTGGTTGTGCAGCACCGCTCGAAGCAAACATCACCGCCATGGCACGCCTTGAAGCGTCGCAGTAGGCCTCGAGGGGGCACGGTGTGCTTAACAGCATCTGGATGCAGCGCCCAGATGGGCGCCAGACGGGCCTCTTTGTGTCTCCACCAAGAGCCACCGGGGCGCGCAGGGAACGCAGAGGCCTCTGCAGCACCGGAAAGCGTTCTAGATCGCCTTGGAGGCGCAACCTGCGCCCAGCCCTCTTATGTGCGACTCTAGCAGTCCGTCTTCCAGTCCAACCATATTCGCCGACACAGCCCTCCTCCCTCGCAATCTTCGATTCCTTCTGCACACAACCGCATTCCTCGCCTGTCCCAGCTGCTTCTGCACCTCACATCCGTTTAGTCAGCCTCTTCCGGATACGGCCTGTTCAATCTTTGTGACCAGTTCCACCAGCCGAGTCTCGGACAATTGCTCTCCACAACATCCGTGTAGCACTGTCCCCATTCTGCGTGATCTATAGTCCTCCACTCTAGAGCGGGTACGTACACCTAGCATTGGAATCACGCTCGACTATCACACCGGCCCACATCTACCTGGAGCCGCGCCCCACCTACTTTCCGAATGGAAAAGTAAAACCATGAGAGAACTCTCGACCAGCCCTGTTCCACCCGACATAATGGAGCGCCGCTCTGTTGCACTCTCGCGGCCCAGCCCCGGCATGGTCGTGCAAGAGGGTGAGGCCGGCTTCCAAGAAGAACTCTCGAAAGTATACGACGCTGCCGAGAGCAACGCAGCAGAACAGCTCGTCGAACTTAAGAGCGCCCTACGGACTGCAAGCATCGACAGCTTCTGGTCTCTTCTAACCAAAGGTCTTGCACACATTGCCGATGCTCAGTATGCTTTCGTCTCGAAGAGAATTTTGGTCGACGAGAAGGATGTGCCGGTGGAGATGCCGCCAATCGGGGAGCCTGGGTCATGCTTGATGGGGGAAGCCTTCTACATCAACGATGATAACGGTAACGGCCCTGGTCATCTTCGCGACTTCAAGTACCACGCATATCAGTGCCCTTGCGCCTACATGAAGCACGACAAGATCTTCATCATTCCGGAACGACTAAACGAATTCATCGTCAACAACCCCAACGATCTAATAATCCCAGGAGAGGCCTACCTTGGAATCCCACTGTTCGCTGAAGGAAGATGCTTTGCACACTTTGGTGTAATGTGGGGGAAAGAAGGTGCTGCCAGGCGCAAATTGAGCTGGGGTTTCCTTGAGACTCTATTCCATGCACTGGAAGACATGATCCTTGATCGGGTTTTGGAAGGAGACAAGTTTGCTGAATCCGCTCTTCCCATTCAGAAACAGCAAAGCAAAGTCGTCCCACACAAGGCCATCTCAGTAGCACAGTCGTTGAAGCCTTACGCCAGGAGTTTATCGCACGAGCTAAGAACACCAATGCAAGGCGTTGTTGGCATGCTGGATGTCATGATGGCCAACGTAAAAGAGGCGTCCGAGACGATCGATGTCGACATCCGAACCCGCCAAATGCTCGAGACTCTGAAGGAGAACATTGAAGCTGTGCAGGGTGCGTAAATTCGTTGTATTCCTCAGATCTAATGTTGCTAACTCATCGATAGATAGCTCAAGGCGTGCTGTTGAAGCGGCTGACAATGTGGTTCATGCCTATGACATGAATATGGGAGTCCCAGAAACACCCGTGTCCCCACTCGACAAGACCCCCAATCAATGGAACACCTTTTGGCGAGAGGCCCGGCCAGAACACTCGGCTGTACCCAACGACGTAGCTCAAGAACAACCACGTGGTATCAAGAGACGTAGAGACGAGTTACCATGGGGGGAGGGTCAAACCCGCGTAGCACGCCCCATTCGACGCCGCACTCGAGATACATTTTCCGAAGAGCCTCCTTCCCGCGGATCGATATCTTGTCCCCCACACGCTAGCTTGAAAGATATTGCTAAATTGGAGAGTTGTCGAGGTCGCTGCAGCAGCTCAACAAGCTTTCCTAGGCTCGTCCCGGGGCATCAGAAAACGCCAAGTCTTCGTCATACCAATCTCAGGGAGGTCTTGCATTATGTGATCACAGACGCACTCAAAGTTGGTGGACGTCCCGACTCTGCGATTGCGGAGGCAACAGACGAAGGCGAACGGATCGAGGTAAGGACTCGAGGCTCAAACGGAGAGGCGTCCACCAAATGGGTCGAATGGAGCGTGTCGCCGGACGTGCCAGACTCAATACTAATTGACGAGAAAGACCTCGCTAAAGTCGTGTCTTGCGTGACCTTGAACGCAATCAAGTTCACACAAAACGGCAACATTACCTTGGAAGCGACACTCAGTGCGAAGGGACGTTACGTTGTCATCAATGTCAAAGACACTGGGTCTGGTATTCCGGCCGCTTTCCTGCCTGATTTGTTCAAGCCATTCTCAAGAGAAGACGACTCGACCACCCGACAAAGCGAGGGCCTTGGGTTAGGGTTAATGGTTGCGAAGGGCCTCGCAAGAAAGCTTGGTGGCGATCTATTCTGTCTGCGGTCGCACGTTTCTGGCCCAAGAAAGGGGTCAGAGTTTGAGTTTCGCGTTCCACTTACGGCGGGTGAGGTCTGCAGCCGACCATCCTCACCATTCGGCTCCCCTACACCTTCCATCCGCGCTCGCATGTCTATCGACCATGACATTCCTCACACCAATATGTCTAGAGGGCCAATCACACCACCAATGTCCTCAGAGCCGTTCGTAGGTGTCTCTGACGCCTCACTCGACACACCGAGCGTGGTCATTCACACCACACCGTCGTCGAACGTTCTTGGCCTTCTCTCCCCACGCAGGACATCATCTCCGCTCCGATTCCCTTCAAAGGGGCCCACCCGCAAAGCACCTCCTCCAAAGCTTTCTGAAGAACTTCCTCTCAACATTCTTGTTGTTGATGACAACGCGATCAACAGACGCGTTCTGCAGAACATGCTCAGCAGGCTGGGCTACAAGGACGTCGAAACAGCTTGCAATGGCATCGATGCCATTGAAGTTATGCAGCGCAATGCTTTCTTGCCTGCGTCTGAGGCCATTGACGTAATTCTCATGGATCTCTGGATGCCACACCTCGATGGCTTCCAAGCAGCTCAGACCATCTTGCACATGCCGGAACTCATCGACAATGGCCGCAAGCCCACTATTCTGGCGGTAACAGCTGATGTTACTGATGCTGCGCTGGACAAGGCAGCCAGCAGCGGCATGAAAGGCTATGTCACCAAGCCTTTCGTAAGCAGGGACCTCGTTCGGTTGATCCGGACGTACTGCGCGACTCGAGAGTCGTAAGGTCTCTGGTCTACTTCGCTTCGTTCAGGACACCATGCGTGTCTTGGTCTATTTATCACTATTTAATCAGTGTTGATGTACAGTACCCTGGGGTTCCCAGGACGAAAGTCCCATGGCGTAAGGAATAAAATGGGCATGATGATCATGATAGCGTTCTGCAAGACCGGCCAAGTTAGCCCGGCACTCGGTTTGATTCCCCCTGGCCTTCGGGCCTTTGTTGCAGTTCTGCGACGACAACATCCACTGCACAGGCAGTTTGTCTAGTAATACAAACAATTACATCATACCTCGTGTCTCGGGACATTACGATCTAGTCTCCAGTGAGCACATACTCGAATGCAGCGCGATACCTGCATTCGGCTGCACTCAAATGCGGCTCTTGGAAGAAAAGAAGGTTTGCAATGCAGCGCAGAGCCGCATGCCGCGTAACCGTGTCTCGCCCTGCAGCAATGATGATGATGGATGCTGGGAGGGGCAAGCTTTCGTGGGGCAAATGCAGCCGACTTCCGGATGCAGCGAAATTTGCCGGTTAACTGCATGCATCGACTATGCGAGATGCAATGTGTCTTGGGGGCTCCTGTGAATAGTGCAATCTATCCAGACGCCAGCAATCGTTGTGGAACTGACAATTGCACGGGCAAATCGTATCAGCAGACGTGAAACGTGGACCACGTCCACGGTGGCTGGTGAGCGGCGGAACCTCGCACGGCCTAGCGCCGGCGTGGAGTGTGTGGCGCATCGATGAGCTAACTGAGAGGACAGATTTCTTGAGAAAGCTTCAGAACTCTTCTGCCGAGATCCATACTTGCTTTAAGCCGTCTGTGCCCAGAGGCTTCTGTATTCGAGAGGTTTCTTCACCGTCCTTCCTTCAGAAACCACCGTCGGCAGCTTTTGCAGCAGAGCGACGACCCGAGTACCCTTGCGCCTAGAATTGGGGGAAGTGTACCGCAGTTCTATCTTCGACGACGTCAGACCCCGCACATTCTCTCAACGCCCACGCGCCGTATAGATTGCTAGACCGTCGCCGACACTCCACAAGCTCGTGTCACAGGGCGACTGGTGCACATTCAGCATGGACAACGCGTACACAAGAACGCCTGCCGAGGCGCTCAAGCACTTCCAGGTCACAGAGGAGAAGGGTCTATCAGGACAGCAGGTCGAGAGCCTGAGGGAAAAGCACGGCAAAAATGGTATGTTGGCGAGCCTCCTGCGATAAGAGAGCCTTGCGGTATACTAACAAGGACGATCAGCTTTGCCCGAGGAGCCGCCCACACCGATCTGGGAGCTCATCCTTGAGCAGTTCAAGGATCAGCTAGTCATAATATTGCTCGGATCCGCAGCAGTATCCTTCGTACTTGCGTTATTCGATCAAGAGGAGGGCTGGACAGCATTCGTGGACCCAGCAGTTGTGAGTACCGCTTATCTGCGCGCCCCCTGACACACGCTGACAGCTTGCTTCACATAGATCCTCACCATTCTCATCCTGAACTCTGTTGTCGGCGTCTCGCAAGAAACCAGTGCCGAGAAGGCCATCGCCGCGCTCCAAGAATACTCAGCAAACGAAGCCAAGGTGGTCCGCGATGGCGCAATCAAGCGCATCAAGGCTGATGATCTGGTCCCAGGAGATATCGTATCAGTGGCTATTGGCGACAGAATTCCTGCAGACTGCAGGATCCTTTCGATTTCGAGCAACAGCTTTATGGTCGACCAGTCTATTTTGACTGGTGAGAGCGAGAGCGTGAACAAGGACATCCGGATTGTTAAGGATGAGAGCGCAGTCAAGCAGGATCAGATCAACATGCTTTTCTCAGGAACCACAGTTGTCACCGGCCACGCGAACGCGCTGGTCGTTCTGACTGGCCCGAACACCGCCATCGGAGACATCCACGACAGCATCACTTCGCAGATCTCGCAGCCGACTCCCCTCAAGGAGAAGCTCAACGACTTCGGTGACCAGCTCGCCAAGGTCATTACCGCTATCTGCATTCTCGTCTGGCTCATCAACATCCGCAACTTCAGCGACCCGTCTCACGGAGGCTTCACCAAGGGTGCTATCTACTACCTTAAGATCGCTGTCTCGCTCGGTGTGGCTGCTATTCCTGAGGGCCTTGCCGTCGTTATCACAACCTGCTTGGCTCTGGGAACCCGCAAGATGGCTGCAAGGAATGCCGTTGTTCGCAGTCTTCCCTCTGTGGAGACTCTGGGAAGCTGCAGTGTTATCTGCTCTGACAAGACCGGTACCCTGACCACTAACCAGATGAGCGTCAACAAGGTTGTTTTCATCAACGAAGCCGGCAACGGTCTCGAGGAGTTCGACATTGAGGGAACTAGCTTCGCTCCTGTTGGTCAAATCTCGTTCAACGGAAAGCCTATCGAGAATCTCGCAGCATCTTCCGCTACCGTTCGCCAGATCTGCGAGGTATCAGCACTCTGCAATGACGCATCTCTGGCTTACGACTCCAAGAACGGCACATATGGCATCGTCGGTGAGCCCACTGAAGGCGCTCTTCGCGTTCTGGCTGAGAAGATCGGTACTCCTGACGCAAGACTCAACCTGAGCAAGACCAGCTTCTCACCTGAAGACAGCATCCACTTCTCCAGCAAATACTATGAACAGCACGCCAGCCGTCAAGCTACGTATGAGTTCTCCCGTGACCGTAAGAGCATGTCTGTCTTGGTCAACAGCCAACAAGGTGGTGCTCAAAAACTTCTGGTCAAGGGCGCTCCTGAATCTATTCTTGCCCGCTGCACATCTGTCCTGGTTGGAAAAGACGGAAAGAAGGTCCAATTGAACAACCAGCTGGCCGACCTGATTCAACAAGAAATCGTTGACTACGGTAACCGCGGTCTTCGTGTGATCGCCATTGCCTCTGTTGACAACATCTCGAACCCTCTTTTGACCAAGGCTAAGACTACCAAGGAGTACGCTCAGCTTGAGCAGAACATGACACTCATCGGTCTTGTTGGCATGTTGGACCCGCCTCGCCCAGAGGTTCGCGCTTCTATTCAGCAATGTCGCTCGGCCGGTATCCGCGTTATTGTCATCACTGGTGACAACCAGAACACCGCTGAGGCTATCTGTAAACAAATTGGAGTCTTCGGTCAGAACGAGGACCTCACTGGCAAGAGCTACACTGGACGTCAGTTCGATAGCCTGAGCGAGGCCGAACAGATGGAAGCCGCGAAGAACGCTTCTTTGTTCTCCCGCGTTGAGCCCACCCACAAGTCGAAATTGGTTGATCTTCTCCAGCAAGCCGGCGAGGTTGTCGCTATGACCGGTGACGGTGTCAACGATGCACCGGCGCTCAAGAAGGCGGATATTGGTGTCGCCATGGGCTCTGGTACTGATGTCGCTAAGCTTGCCGCCGATATGGTTCTGGTTGACGACAACTTTGCCACCATCGAGGGCGCTGTTGAGGAGGGTCGCTCCATCTACAACAACACCCAGCAGTTCATCCGCTACCTCATCTCGTCCAACATCGGAGAGGTCGTCTCTATCTTCCTCACTGCCGCCGCGGGTATGCCCGAGGCCCTTATCCCTGTCCAGCTTCTTTGGGTCAACCTTGTCACCGATGGTCTTCCCGCAACAGCGCTCTCCTTCAACCCTCCTGACCATGACATCATGAGACGCCAGCCCCGCAAGCGTGACGAGGCTCTCATCAGTGGCTGGCTGTTCTTCCGTTACATGGTTATCGGTACCTACGTCGGCGCAGCCACTGTTGGTGGTTACGCATGGTGGTTCATGTTCAACCAGGAGGGTCCCCAGATCTCCTTCTACCAGCTCAGCCACTTCCACCGTTGCTCCACTCAGTTCTCCGAGATTGGTTGCGAGATGTTTGCCGACTCCTCCGCACAGGCTGCTTCCACCGTCTCGCTTTCCATCCTCGTCGTCATCGAGATGCTGAATGCTATGAACGCCCTCAGCTCTTCAGAATCCCTGCTCACCCTGCCGCTTTGGAAGAACATGATGCTTATTTACGCTATCTGCCTGTCAATGGCGCTGCACTTTGCGCTCCTCTACATCCCCTTCCTGCAGGGTCTGTTCAGCGTTGTGCCGCTCAACTGGAACGAATGGAAGGCTGTGCTGATCATCAGTCTGCCTATCATCCCTCTTGACGAGGGCCTCAAGGCCCTCGAGCGCAAGTTCTTCATCCAAACAACTCACGTCGACGACGTTGTGCAGAACGGACGGCCGAAGAAGGAGTAGAAGAATGGAGAGGTGTTTAAATCCCGCTTGTATGGGTGAAAGAAGAGTTTGTGTACCATATTGGTCATGCATATAGAGAGCAAGAGGCAGACAACGGCGCGTCAATGCGTTAGACAGTGATCTCTGTCCAGCAATTGGCGGAGGCGAGGGCTTGTGTATATTCTGCATGTTAAGAAATAGATTCGTACTACACTCCACTTTTTACCGTCTCACTGTTTGTTGTTGCTTGAACGTGTATGACAACCGCATGCTTGGCATGACATCCTCCTCAATCGGTCCGCGACATTCCGCACTGTACCACGCAGTATAATAGCCTGCCCCTCACCACCATCGCTCTACCTCAGAGCTGCCCATATTTCCGAACATATGCACCTCTGAGTAGGCAGAGCGTATTGTCTCTCACACCCTCGTCCGCTGGTGCAGAGTGCAAAACATTCGAGCGAACAAACATTAAGGGCCTGAGCGGATGACAAGGAAGGCATGATTTGAAGCCAGGCAAAACAGGAACAGCTAACTGGAGCAGGTATACGAGTAGCAATAGATGGAAAGAGCGAACGCATAACGAGGGGCACCTCCTATCCTCTAGGCCACCCTGCGCCCTTCCTCAACTGCACGCCACTCCATCCCCATTCCTGCAGCTCAGCTGCGACACCGCTCGATCTTCCTCGTCCCAGCAACATCTCTGGCACACAGCCCTCTCGGCCTTCTGCTCTACAAGCCGCACATACCTCGCATCCGGATCGCGCCTGTACGGCTCCACCGACCCAATACAGAATCTGGGCCAGTCGCCATACGACGAGGCACCGCATCCCTGACACGTGACGCCATAGAAGTCAATCGTCGACCCTACCATCTCAGCACGATGGCTTAGACCACACGCCGTGCACACGTGCAGATACCGCGGCTCCCGCCCCTGAGCCGGCGCGGGCGCATGAACCATGCCGAACGGAAGCGGCGAGAGGATTTCGGTGGTGTGGCAATGGCTGCACACGATGCGGGTGCAACGGCGACATGTCAAGTGCTTGAAGGGGAATAGGCCGGCGTAGTGGCGCAGGATGTTCTCATGACGACAGTGGCAGCATAGCCAGAGTCCGTCGCCGATTTCGGCGTCTGATGTGAGGGCTCGGAGACTGGGAAAGCGGTGGTCTGCGATAAGGGATGGTTCTGTGGGTGGCTCTACTAGGACTTTGGAGGTGTAGTCCTTTTGCGAGCTGGTCACTTGGTTGCAGCCCTTGGGAAGGGCTGCCTGGCTTGTGATCGGTAGTTGCCTTCGGTGTTTGACACGTTCTATTTCAGTCATACGGATGAAGCTCTTGAGATTCAGACATATCGACAGTGGATTCGAGAAAAGAGTACTGCGTCGGTGCATTTCGGATCTGGCCCTTCCTGGAATACCTGGTCTGGAAAGTCGCGGCTGTACGCGCCTTTCTTTCACTGTGTGTTGGTTTTGACTCTCCAGTTTGCACATACGAACGCACAGCTTTCGTGGTCGAATTTGTTATATCGCCAATCAGAGGTAGTGCAGCTCAGAGATCCGCTCTCTCCTGTGCAGGTACAATGTAAGGTGCTTTGCTTTTTGGCCACGCGAGTAATACGGGATCGTAAGTTGGTGAGGATGTAGACTCAAGATGCTTAGGCGGTAATACTGACGGAACATGAACATGTTCCCCGTCCCAGATGTTAAGACGAGTAAAGAACATCTGAAGACACTGCTAGCGAGCAAATCTAGGGGAACGTTGTCTTCTGCATGGTCGCATGCTGGCTACATGTGGATGTGCTGGACCTGCTGTATCTGCATCTGTGCCAGCGCATTTGCAATCAGCATAGGCGTCGTTGTCTCACAAGCGAACCGTGTCCGACAATCCTTTAGACCCTGCCTCCAGGCCTCCCAGCGCTCCCGAGTATTCGAGTTTAACTCAGAGTCGCGTACCTTGGACCATAACTTGCCCGAATCATAGATAAGCCAAATACATGCAAGACGCACTGCGAGCTCAGACGACTGCGCTGACTCGCTGTCCCCTTCGAAAGCCCAGGCGAAAGCTGTGGGTGCCCATGATGCGGAGAAGTCTAGGACTGAAGGTGATTCTGAGACACTAGAATCAATTTGGGCGAGGAAAGCTGTCAGATTCTCCCACTTGTGCGCTTCTTCTTGCGTGTAGTCTGGGTCTTGGCCATCTGCACTCAGTCAGCATTGCGTATAGTTGTGTCTAGCGTGACTACTCACCGAAGGAACCCATCTCGTCAGCAATAGTGTAACCGAAAGTGGGAAGATCTTGCCAGACGACACCTGCTCCATCCTCGAATGTCCACGGCTCATCCGTGCTGGAGTCAGTCAGAATGACGGAGCGAAGAGACAATAGAAGAGCGATTAATTTTGCCTGTTGCCCTGGCGCAGAACGAGCAGCTACCTCTAAGAAGCTGCAAGCGGTCATCCAGCAGTGATTGCCTATTGTTTCCTCCAGGGCAGATTGGTGCGTGAGGTTTACCAATTGTTGAACGGCATCATCTGGAGTGGCATCAGGGTTTTGTACGAGTTCTGACAGCAGTCTAAACTCGGGTCTTTGCTCCAGCTCAAGTATCCAGCTTGCATGCGCGGCGCGTGTCTTCTCTTTGGTCAACGGGGAATTGGGCGCAAGGTCGAAAGAATCGATAGACGCCGCATCAGAGGCCGCGGTCATTGAGTGGTCAGCCATACTTGATCTTTATGCTGGACAATCCGGATTTTTCGAAGTTGCTGGTCGTTCAACAATGATCTTGTGCAACAGCGGGGCGTCTTGACGTGCAGAAGGCGACATATGCACACTGGTCGTTTGATTGGCTGGCTTAGCGAAGATGAATGCCAGCGAGCTATGCCAATGCTTTGAGTTTTATGGACTGGGAAACGGAGTGTATCATTGGTCTCGGCGCTGATAATCGGTGTTATTGTTATCATCATGATCAACTGACTCCCGTCGTCATTGCAAATGACGCCTCTGAACACGGACAACTTTGGTCGAGCCCGCACGTCCAGGGAAAGACTTCAGGGTTTTGAATGAACAAACTTGATCAAAGACGAGGATTCGCTGCTTTCTGCAGTATTATGTCTGGAATGAATCTTCCCTAATGATGAGCGAAGTAGGTGCCCCGACATGAGCACCATTCCATCCAGTTCAGCCTTTAGTGACTGTTCATGTTACTCGGCTGTACGAAGAAGCTCGTTTTTTATAACCGATCACTACAGGGACCAAGACCCCCTCCCCTCGCCACTTGCTATTGCTAAACACTGGAATCTATTAAGTTCTTTTTACTTACATAAACTTCTAGCGCAGGTAATTCTCTATCTTTTGATATGAATTAAGCAGTTATTTTGTGTATTGTGCTGTTGTTGTTTGCGCAATAGGGTGAGTTTAGTAGAAGTTCCTGCCAGCGATCGGTTATAAAAACGAGCTTCTTCGTATTCCGTCTACACAAGTCATTATCAACATCCGTACACCACTACATTCTCTACAGGAACTTTGATCATAGCCACGCGTCAAACCAGGTCACTGCCTGCACAAAGCTCGCTTGCTTAGCGTATGCTTGTTGCGGGATCGTCAGGTTTGGTCGGACCGCAAACCCATGCGGAGCCTGTGAGTACAGGTTCGTCTGGAAAGTGATGTTGTTCGCATTAAGTATGCTCTCTGCCCTTGACTTCGCCGTGGAGTTGAAGCTGGCATCGAGTGCTGCGCATGTTAGCGACTGCCTACGTGATGGAAGATTTATCAAGTTGATGACTTACTGCCTGCGGCAATGCTCAGTGGTCCGGCAATGGCTTGGATCTCTGCCTCAAGAAGGTTAGAGGGGTGCGCAACGAATCCGACGTCTAGGCCGCTGTCGTCCCCTTTCAGCCATCTTCCAACATACTTCCCACCGAAGCAGTAACCCACGCCACCAATCTTCTCAATTCCGAGCTCGTTTCGTGCGTATTGGATTGTGCTGTTAATCACAGCTTCAATATCAGATTGAGGATGTAATGCGCGCCATTCAGTGAGGTTGAGGCCTGCTTCTTGCTCCTCGACGCTGACTGGGTCGCCAGCAAAAAGGTCAGGAACAAGAACCAAGTAGCCGTTACTAGCTAACGAGTCTGCAAGCCTAAGTATGGTTAGCTTTCAAGCCTCGTAACTACGGACGTTGCATCTTACAGCTTGTTTTGGAGCAGCGGAACACCGAAAATATCAGTCAGGTGGATGATGGCTTTATCTGAGGTGTTGCTGTTGGGCGGATACGAGTGATATATCTCAACTACACACTATAAGCTATTTGACTACAGTTATGTAGCATCTACACATACTTCCGCTAACATTTTTCAACTGCCCAGCAGGTACTCCGGCGTTCCGGACCTCCAATGTTGAATAGGAGGATGCAGCCAGCACAGTGCTAGCGCTCGCTATTGCGACCAGAGATTGGCGTAGATTGATCATGGCGAGAGCTAACAAAGAACAGATTGTGAGCTTGAGGTTGAGCAGATAATCAATTGGAAATCGCGGAAATAACGTCGTCGCTCTCGGAGCTTTGTACTGCTCCTTGCCTGCCAAAAGCACAGACTCTTCGGGCGAATGTCATCTCGGTGACGACAAGGGTCTCGGGGTATTGCCAGGGTGCTACAGGTGTTAGATAAACAGCCAAGGGCGGGGTAGCCTCCTGATTCGCCCGTTTCCTTCATCGCGCCCGTCTTGGAGAAGCACGTTCCAGCGCCCACGTGCTCTGATTCGTGCGACTTCAACATCAACTGTTCATTTTGCTGGGCAGCTTGCGACGACGCCTGTATACCAGGGGCTGGGTCGTTGGCTTTTCTAATCCAGAGTCTCGCAGCAATTGGCCGAGAGAAGAAGGTGCTATTCGATGACGTCATAGAATCCTCTACAGACTGCTAGCAAGCCTACAATGACTTCCTCATCTCCACAGGACCTCTCGTCCACACTGATATTATAATGAGAGTCGTCTTCAGCCTTCCTAAGCCAATTGATACGCATTCCTGGACTTTGTAGGCGCAGGCGCTGAGTCAGTCCAGTTCCAAGACATATCCGGCTTAGCAGACGACAACCCGAAGACGACTTCTACAGTATATTCGACTTGTTCCGGGAATTGCTGTGTGGGACTCGTCGATGATCCTCAACGATGGATATGCTAGACACAGCTCAATAAGTTACCGACATTGGCTATCGGAGCCAGAGAGACTGGCAACTCGCCGCCTTCGAAGTCCCAAATACGTTTGCTGGTAAGTCAGTAAGCGCAGCAGAGGTCTGATTCCAGCAGCAGCTCGAGAAAGCAGTACAGCAAGGTAGCACATTCCCTTTGAAGCCTGGAGTAGGTGAGCAAAGCACCCAGATTATACATGAAATTACGTTCTGTGAGATAAGGACTCAATCTGCACGGCAATGTTTCTTCACATACACACAGTTCAACGACCTCGTTCCTAGAACTTCAGTGGCGCCCAATCCGTAGCATGGATTGTTGCCGCGCTGTTCGGCATCGAGGAGGACACCAAGACGGCTGCGTTGCTTCCTTTGGCCTATAAAGAACATTCGACAGACACGGATGCAACGCGATACTTCAAGTCACCCAAAACATGTACCCCAGACGGGCTTTTAGCCGAGGCTAATTAACCATGGAGAGCCATGTCAGCTGATGTGATCGTTTATACAAGCTCATCTATACATATTGCTTTTTTACGAGTTCATGAATTCGGCAGTCGGCGGTAACGTTCAAACCTGACACCGCAAGACATTCCTGGATTGCATACCCTCTAAATGGTAACCGCACGGATCAGAATCCGAAAGGACATCGCTGTACGTCTTATGCGAACACGAGACTGAGTAAGTTCCACGTACTCTTGTCTTTTCCGATCGCGATTTCATGGCGTTTCGATCTGCACGTCTACCAATCACGTAGTTCGCCCTCCAGAAGTCCAATTTCACAGTCCACGCGTGCATCCTGGTAAAGCTTGAGTATTACTACTAGGATACGTTGAGCAAGCCAGTCACGCAATCACTACACTATGTTCAGGGAAAGTCATTTCGGATCGAAGTCCCGGTTGAAGGCTGTAAAGAAGCTTTATTGCTCATCTATCGGAGGTCACACGAACACATGGGATCGGTAGTACTACTCTCCCAAATTATTACGGTGCGGGGGAAAAACTTCACAACTGTGGTGAGTATGAAACGATCTAAGGTGCGCAGCATATAAGTCGGAAGGTAAGTGGCTGTCAAGTTATTTTGGATGATCACAATCATATGTGACTTTAGCCATCTCAAAACATCATACCACCCATACCATTATGAAGGCTACTATCGTCTTGGCCAGCGTTGCCACCTTTTCAGCTGGTGTAGCTGGACATGCGACTTTCCAGCAGCTCTGGATCAACGGTGTAGACAAGATAAGTTTTCCTAGCATGATCGGCAGATCATTTTGGTTGACATCATAGCACCAGGGTACATGCGCTCGTCTTCCAACTAGCAACAGCCCAATCACAGATGTGACAAGCACCAATATACGATGTAAGTTTTCAATTTTATTTACTGAAGATTTTTACTTATAGATCTGATAGGCAACGCCAACCAAGGCTTCGCTGCATCCAAGTGTAGCGTCGCTGCTGGCGGTACTGTGTAAGTCTTACCGATATGTTTGACTTCTAGACACCTGATGAGTCAGGACAATCGAGATGCACCAGCAGCCGAACGATCGATCATGCTCCAATGAAGCTATTGGCGGGGCACATTACGGCCCTGTACTGGTACGCCGACTTCTTGTTTTGTGGTTAAACATCACTTACCGGTTTCCAGGTCTATTTGAGCAAAGTATCGAACTCGGCTACCGCCGATGGCTCGACTCCGTTTTTCAAAATTTACCAAGACACCTGGGGCCAGAACACAGCTGGTTCTAGCGGTTCTGATGATTACTGGGGAACGAAGGATCTTAACACACACTGCGGGAAATTGGACGTGAAGGTGCCAACAGGGCTGGCTCCAGGTGACTACCTCTTGCGGGCTGAAGCAATTGCACTGCACTCGGCTGGTGGCAGTGGTGGTGCTCAGGTAACCTCTCTCATTACCCTCCTGATTTCTGATGCTGACACGAGAGCACCAGTTCTACATTACCTGCTACCAGCTCACCATCACGGGAAGCGGCACGACCAACCCGACAGGTGTCAGCTTTCCCGGAGCCTACAAGGCGTCTGACCCGGGCATTCTGATCAACATCTACCAGAAGCTTACTCAGTATATTTCACCGGGACCTGCTATCATCTCTGGAGGTACAGAAGCCGTGGCTGGTAAGGCAGGATCAACGCTCGGAAAACGCTTCTCAGCGAGGCTCCGGTACTAGTCTCTTGTCGCTTGTCAAGCACAAGAACGATGGGTGTGCTGGTCGATTCGTGCCGCGTAGGTAGTACATGCTGTCAGTACCTTTCCTGATTCTTATCATCACATGTTCCGATCGAGCAATCGACAACCTCACTAATGCAAAGACTGTTGTCAAAAGTGTGCCTCAGTGACTTGTGGTACCGTTCACGTGCGAACGTGTGGGTTGCAGTGGAGCTTATTGTACTGCTTTGAGTGTACTGCACCCCTGGCATGTCCGACCAGCCACTTGGCACTTCTGTAGGATCCAACACTTTTTTGGCGCAGCCAATAAGCCGCAGTACTAGGACTGAATAAGTCTGTTTAAACGTGTATGCTCCAACAAGAGAGAGTCCTGATGAGGTTGTTGATCCTTCTTACCTGATGCTGTGCTTTGCCAAGTAGTGGGTCAGACGTGCCTGGATGCAGTGTTTCGCCTCACTCTGCTCCACACTGTAGAAATGTGCAAGCAAATGCATGAAATTCGAGGTTCTTTTGGGAAATCCACGCAAATATGCTGCAAGCACGTGGACATATCCGGTTAGCGGAATCCTGCACCGCACGGAACACGTCACACACCTTCCACACGCCGCCACACTTAACGCCCCGGACTTTTAATGAACAACACAACGGCTGCCAGCTCAGAGCAGAGTTGATGGAGGGTGGTAACCCCCACATCCAGCCTTGTGTGCTCATGAATGACTCTTCGAGCCATGCCCGCGGATCGCGAGGAGCCGACACCGACCGAGCGTTGCGCTGCAGCAGCAGCTGAGCTACGACCACGTCGACGCCCCAAAGGGTAACAGAACTCATGGTCTTTGCACGTGCGTCCAGGAACGGGCACGTTTGGGGAACTGTGATAGTGATATGGGCTGCATCACGCACCGGCTAGGAGATCCTCAGGGCTGAACCGTTCATGCCAGGAACACATCCAACATCGACTTGCTCTTCCGAGGTATACGCATTGCTTTTGACCATGTGGGGCATGTACGCAGCCGCCTTTTGTGGGCCCGATTGGTTGTTTCGCAAATTGGTTGGTTTGAAAAATGCGCTCGTTCGATAAGCGGCATGCTTCTGCAGGCGAATACCCAGCATCGACATGCGAAGAAGGAACGTTCAAGATGACGCGCGCCCACGGATTGACAGTGGGACGGAAACGGCACGGCTCGCTTTTGTCTTTACCGTAAGCGGACCATTGCCCGAGAGGATGCTCGGCCAATCTGCTTAACACATCTGGCACCCGTCGGCCTTGAGGAGGTAGCCTTGCAAGTCTTTCAGTCGTCCTTCAACTGCCAGCACATACATTAGACCAAGCTCATAACGGCAACGCAGCAGCTTTCACTTTTTCTTCTGCATCAGATGATTGGTCGTTCGTGCCCATATCCTCGGTACCTGGCGGTCGAAGCAGCATGTCATATATGGAGTTACCTGGTTCTGACGGTGTGCATTCGAAATTTGCCGCCTTTCGCACCCCAATGCCCCCGCAGTTCCTTGCCCACGGACTTATCTGCGGCCCAATCAACAGCGAATACGATTGCCAGCGCAGCATAGCATCAAGCTGATGGCATGCTTCGAGAATGATATGTGCTACAGCAGGTAAGAACGGTGACCTCGACGCGACCGTGTGGCAACAGAGCTGTTGGAGGATCGAAGAAATGAGGCTCTGACAGCTGTCACGAACTATAAACATGGAGCTGGAGTCCCCAATGGCAAGTCTTCTTCTGCAGAGACGGCGCGCACTTTGATTCTTAATCCCCACTCGCGAGAATCTCCCCCGCCCAGCGCTGCTTAGCATCGTTCTGCGACCAAACCTCGACAGACCAGTCATACGTAAGACATGGCATCCAACAACTCAGAAAGCTATGTTCAGAAACTCCAACGTATGCTTGCCGACATCGTTGTATTACTGAGCTAAATCTTTTAGACTATTGCGCCACAAACCAAATCGCACAGCCTCAATTCCAGGATTATTCTGACCCTCGAGGTTTGTATTAACACCAATCTTTCTCCCATAGTGCAAGCACGCTAATGTATCTCTAGGCGTAAGGACGGCTTGGTCTAGCAGTGTCTTCGTCGGCGGTCGCGAATACCGAGCACACCTATGGCGAGATTATCGATACCTCGAACAGTCGCGTGAAGAAGCTGCTGAGGCTGCCTGGAAGGCCATCAGCGCTGCTTCTCCAACATCGCAAGGACAATATGCATACACTCGCAGCTACACAACGGCTCGGTAGTCTGACCATGATCAAATCCGAACCCGCTCGACGTCTACTACCCCGGACCACATGGATTCTACCACAGACAGTTGATTGTTCTGCCGAAGTCGCAATAGCGGCTGATAATGCCCGATGACAGCACATCGAACTGTCTTGACACATATATCGAGCCTCCTTTATCGAACGAGCACCGGCGTACCATCTTCTACACTATCTCCAATACCGAAGCCTATCTCAGGATCCTTACATGTCTCTCTTTGTCTCATTCTTGACAGGATCGGTTCCAACACAGTGTTGTCTGGATCTGATCCAAAGCTTTTACTATCTCATATATGTATCATTCGCGCTATCGTTGTCAAAAGATTGCTACATTGACCGGAGGTTTGGGGCTTTTCCTTGCGTTTGTCAGACGGACCAACAGTGGCCCTCCCATCATTCATAATATGTGCCGCAGTGCATCAAAATTGTATGTTAGATCCATTTGCCTTAGCGATCGAATCCCATACTTCATCTTCAATCTCTCCCAATGAGACTGTACGTGTCAGGCAGTAGACTTTGGTCTTCACACTTATGAGATACCCAAGCTCAAAGTTTACGAAGACCACTGCATTATCACGAAAACGTCTGCATTACACAACTATAGCCCAATGTCTTCTCTCATTGTCATGTCGAGCGCGAACCAACGCGCAAAGTCGAACGAGATTCAATCAGCACTGCCCTGTCTGAGAAATGACATTATAATAAGATGTATCTTTGGAGGTAGCCTCACTATGAGAAAGGGGAATTGTCGCTGAAAAGGGCCTCCGTCTGGGAGATAGTAACCAAGGAAACCCTAAAAAGACCAGTGGTATGCCTAAAACGCCTCTCGTATCATGTCTATACATATTACAACATCACACCGCTGCGCGCCACTTCATGAGCCGGGAATACAACCGCTCGATACGGTCCGCGTGTCATCGCCTGAGCTGTATCGCTCCCCACGCTCCAACGACGCACTCATCCACTTCCAGTCCGAAATTGAGAAGCTCCTGCGATGATTCTCTCTGTGACGCGTTAGTGGTCATTGAATCAACTGTGGGTGCAGGGTCAAATTACCTACTGCCTAACCTTTGCTGCCGGCACAGCATTAGGGAACAGCAGCGCAAGACCTTCTTCCCACCCTCGCTCTGTGACAATGTCAATGACCGGCTTGCCACTCTCGTCAATGGCTTGCAGATCAACCGAGCCACCCATGTCAATCATCATCTTGAGAATCTCCGCATCGCCGTTCTCGAAGGCTTGAAGGACGCCGTTCCAACCGCGGTGCATCTTGTTGATATCCGCGCCACGGGAGAGCAGCATGGTAAGAATCTCCGCGTCGCCATGGTATCTGCGCAGGGCTTTGACGAGGGGGAGATGCTCGCCAGGAGCGTTGATGTCAGCGTTCGCGACATCGAGCAAGTAGCGGACAATGTCCTTGCGATCTTCCCGAATAGCTGTGGTTAGTGGCGAGAAGACGCCACAGTTCTTGTCTTCGACGCTAACACCAGCTGCAAGGAGAAGCTTGATGGACTCCAGCTGGTTGGCAACGACAGCCATCTCGATCACTCCACGGAAAGCACGGGGGTTTGGCGTAGCGGCAAGGAGCCTTTTCAAAATGGCGGGCTGTTTGACGGCCATGCAAAGAGGCCAGTCCTGGCCACGAATTGCTGGATCTGCACCATTAGTGAGAAGTAAATCCACAAGGTCGCCACGGCCTTCCCGGATTGCAGTAGTGAGAGCGGTGTTGCCCTCGGGTGTGCGGTCGTTGGGGTTGACATTGTGTTCGAACAGGAACACCATAGCATCCTTGTCGTTGAACTGAACAGCTGTCTCCATAATGCCCTTCGGTGAGTTGAGATCGACTCCAGCTGCGACAAGCTCAGGTAGGAAGTGGATGCGTTTGTGTGTAATGCATTTGAATGCAGGGTACTCTGAAGCATTGAAGTTGGGATCAGCACCGTTTTCCAGCAAGTAGGTAACAATCTCACGACTGTCATCACGAATGGCTGAGCAGAGTGGAGTGTAAACTCCGTCCTTCCTTAGGTTGGGTGATACTCCAGCCTCGATAAGTATCTTGATCGATTCAAGCTTCTTTAAACTCGACGCCAATTCCATAACGCCAGGGGTTTTCTTGTGGTCAGCGCCGCGGGCAAGGAGGAGAGCTAAGCACTTCGGCTTATAAGTCGAGGGCCACAGCGGGTGCTTAGGGCCAGGCAGGTTGGGATTAGCACCATGGTCGAGCAGAACAGTCATAAGATCGACACGGTTCGCTTGAATGGCCTGGAACATAGCTGTTGTTCCCTCGCCAGTCTTCGCATCAGCGTCGCCACCTGATGTGAGTAAGAGCTCAACCAGCTTAGGTGAGACAATCTTGTTCATGGCCTGAACAAGTGCTGTGGACCCGTTGTCCATGATGGTATTGACATTGCCACCACTGCTCAGGTATAGTTGAACAAAATCGATCTGATTCTCACTCGCAGCCAGAGACAGAGGAGATTCGGAGTTGGGTCCAGCAGAGAGATTGACATCGGCGTTGTGTTTTAGAAGCATCTTCGCACTCTCGAAACAAGAAGCTTGCGTGGCAGCAAAGAGTGGTGTAACTCCTTCCCTATCGAATCCGTTGGCATCCATCCCGTATTGAAGAAGGAGGGCTAAGCTCTCAATGTCACGGTTTTGGGCCGCCGTTCGAAGCATACCAGCCTCAACCTGAGGCTCGGCCCTTGCACCACCATCCAGCAGTTGCTCAAGGAATCGATGCTTTCTCTGTTCCACGGCATTGACGATGGCAGATTTCCCACCGGCGGCTTTGGAACCAGTGTGGTGTCGCGGCGCCCACGATGAGGTCATTGGAGAATCAAGCCTCGAAGGGTCGTACTTGGTGGATGAGTGCATACTCTCGTTCATGTAGCGCTCGTGAACGCTAAGTTCGGCCAACTTCTCTTCCATCATCATCCTTGATCGATGTGAATCTTCGGACGATAGGTCTTCATAGACCGGTTCCGAGTGGTATCGACCACTGGGGTTTGTATTGCTGGTGTACATTGTGTCCCTGACAGAGCCGGTTGAGCGGACGCTTGGTGCCCTCCAATTCTTGTGCAAGTCCACGATTCCTGCCGAGAGACCCATATCGTCATCATTGCGCAGCGACTTGTCGCTAGAATACTGTCGAGCCTCCGGAGTGAAGACGTGGGAGTGCGGCGGTGTGGGGCGCATATCATTCAATGATGGTCTGTCGGCTAGACGGCTTGGGGGCGATAGCGTATCAGAATGGGGCGAGTGGTCTTTTGACGGGAGATTGGGAAGACGAGATTCTGGCGGGGGACCGATTGGTGGCAGAGAACGCATCTTGCTGGGATTGATACTCTCGAGAGCAGCAATCAGACCAGCATAGCCAATACCCATTGTGGGATCTGTGTGGTTGTCGCCGATCGTCCAGCGAAACATGGCTGAGCTGACTTTCAGCGAATCTCGGCTTCTTGACAGAGTTACGCGCATCTTATCGACATCGGTATCTGCAAACATCATGCGGAATCGTCGTCCGAACCCTCCACCTTTTCCAGAGTCGTTGTCAACAAACTTGTTGACCATCTGTTGCAGGACTGAGAACTCATCGCTGACTTGGCGGAATCGCCTGTCAAGATCCTGCGTAACCTCGGAAGGAATAGCATGGCGAGGAGTTTTGGCAGATTCTATGAGCCCGGCCTCAATAGACCATAGCGTTCGGCAAAGCTCAATGAACTCGGTGGCGAGAGCTTCGAATCCCGGAATGGCGTTCTTTGATGTACCGAGGTACTCTAGCATACGAATGGAGATGGTGTTGCCTTGAGTAGTGATTCGTTGGCATAGCTGGAGAGACGTCTCCTTCTTTGGTGGAGCCATTGCAACCGCAGAATGAACGGAAGGTGAGGGGACGAGGCAATGGGTCCACGGGGCCCGGGAAATTCTTCACTATTTGTTCCTGACTACGGGCTTTGACCTAGTCATTGTTCCATGGTCGCGCTCGCCGTCCGCCGGATCTGGGCCACGCGAGCATGAAGCCCTTTAAGCCTGGTAATACCTGTCCGCCAATCATGTCGCGCAACAGTGCAACTTTGGTGATGGACTCGAGGGGTAACCGACGGCTCGGAATAAAGTTCAGCTTCGCCTGCCCCGGAGCCAACGCTAAGCTCCACCCGCTTGTGCAGCCAGCCAGATGGCGTAGATCCGGCATGGTTTGAAAAGATATCCTAGCAATGGCTCACAACCCTGACAGCCGCACTACCACGTGGTTGCGTACGCAACATTCTCAGCTAAATTTTTTACTTCCTCCAAATGTGAAGCCTAGCGCCTGGTCGGGGTACTGCAGGCAAGAAAGCAAAGAAGCTTTCCTACCTAACTGCCGTACATTTTCACACAGTATACCTGGGCATAAACACAGACTGTGCTTCACAAATTAACAAGGATGGCCTTCCATGCCGCCACAAACGTTAGCGCTTTCTCACATGCTGCCTACGAATCCTCCAGGAGTGTTGTTGTGACGTCTAGCTTTGCATCTCGTGTGACCTGGGTGATGATCTGTACGTGCACAGTAGATCTCCGACAGGGGCCAAACTGAGTGGATCCTGTTATACAAGTAATCTTCACGATAAATGCAGCACCACTTCGCAGCTTGACATTCACGACAGCTTTTCATGCATACACGGCCGAACACGAGAGCCGGGCCACCTGTTCGTTGACAAGCCGGGCACGTTAGAGACGCCGAACCACACAAAAACAAACTGATGGCCGCCGACTTGCCCTATATGGATGTTCAATCTCCCACGCGAGTGCGTGCGCCAGGGCTAATTGTGATTTGCATATGTATCTACTGTGGAGCCTGCCGTTGGTTTCGTGTCATCCAACGTCGCCTAGGAATGCTGCCAATGCGTGATGCAGGTTCTCGTATGTACTCCACCCATGTCGGGCTTGTGTATGGCACCGGCGAGGCATACACCGCAAGTCAGAACTTCGAGGAGAATGTGACTAAATTGAAAGTTGATCAAACTTTGCAGGACCTGATGTACTTACCTAATCCAATGCTGCCCGATACCCAGATTTGCGAGCAGCGCCACATCTCGATAAAGTGGCTTCTAGGTTCGACTCCGAGGGAATGTCGACACTTAGGCGTCATTATGCCCCTGACTCTTTAGATCAGGCAGTGAGGAATACTGACAGGCAAGGCGAGGCGGGTGAGCCATCGGAGGTATCACCGCCTTCCTCTTGGCTATCCGGAACACCTACCCGAACCAACATTGGCTGCGTGGCCTGATTTCCACATGGCGGAATCAAAAGATTATGTTATTGGATGGCTGCAGTGTATTTTTTCGCGTCGCATCAAGGTTTGACTATCCCAAGGTTGAGTTCAGAGGCTCTGGGTTGCCGCTCATTAGCGTGACAGCTGTAAAAGATTATAGTCGCCTGCCTGAAGCGTCGGGCTAAGCTGTTTGGCGCTTGTTCGTTGAGGGCATTTCGCCGATCACAAATTCTGAGACCGAGCATTGCCAGCTCCTGAGAGTTCGGCACGAGGCCGCAACTAGAACAGGACGGCCAGCTCGGCTGACGAGGTCCCGCAGTCATTGTGCTGAAGTTTCATAGTGATTGGAGTACATAGAAAGTCAAAGACGAAAACAGGCAAGAGGTATGCAGACTAGACGCATGGGTCTGCGTCGCGTATGCATCTACGTTTGTATCTGCAAAGCTATCAACAGGTTTCGTATCTTCCCCGCCTGTGCACCTGGGTCCACATTTAGCTGAGTGTTAGGTCTGTTCATCTCCGTGAATGACGCTAGATATTGATATCAAGGCTGGGAGACGCACGTCTACTGCGGGCATAGCGTCTGAAATCCGACAATCTGGGCCTTCAGCCCTTCAGCCCTAGGATGTGGCTGTGGCTGTTAGTCCGCACATCTTTGCTATCAGCCACTGGTACTGTCGTACAATTCCATACGGATAGCAATGACAACAAGCGACACAACAAAGAATTTTACGCAAACGGTTTCGAAATTGACCGCAAACGTTTGAACAATACTTAGGCTGTCAAGGGTGTAATGTCCCCGACCAGGTTGAAAGAATCTTAGCAAGGGTCCGACTCGCAACTATCTGCTAGCTCCATGGGTACATCCGACAAATTGGCCTTGCAGGTCATGAGTGAGTGCCGAAGTCCTTGCAAAAGCAAGAGCAGCATGCAAGCTGTGGCCGCGGAAAGCCGCTTGCACGAGGATAGGATTCTGGAAGGTGTGTCGGTTCGGACCTTATCCAGCTGTCCTTGACAATAAGGTGCTGCAGCGCATGTCTGCTTGCGATTTTGCAACCCAAGTTGAAAGGAACCGAATTGGGGACCTCGGGATCCATGAAGCTTACGTTCCTCGTCACGTGCTAGCGTACTTTAGTCTTGGCTTCTAAGGTCGTGCGTCGAAGCGTAGGCGCATCAAATCCGCTATGTCATTATCACAATTTGATAGCCATCATGGAAGAACAGATAACGCCAGGCGACACACATCCTGTCGATCTCTCGACATTTAGCATTACCGGCTCCTTGAAGACGCCGCACAATGCACGACTCTACCAGGAGGTGCAGAAGCTTAAATCACTCATCAACGAACTCGTGGACTACCAAGCTGCGCATCCACTCAACGAGCAAGCCTCCGTCGAGAGTGAGAAGCAAACGAAGATTGAGATCGAGAAGAAGGAGAAGTACATCAGGGCACAACTATCCGTCATCAAGACTCTGTACCGACAAAGCGTACTGCGAGTGCGTGAAGAGAAAGCGAACACTGCCGACGTCAAGGCGGTCAACGATGCGTTAATCCTGGGGTTGCACAACCTGAAGTATGAGGAGCAGTCATTGCGGTCTGAGATATCTGCTGCAGAGAACTATGAGTACGTACAATCCTGCACAGGGAGAATAGAGGAACTCACACGACTTGATAGCCACAAATACATGAAGCTACCACTCATATCCGTCGAAACGTACCTCGAAGAATTTCCCGAGCAGAACGATCTGTCAGAGCACGACCTCATGACAGCACGCATCGAGCATGAACATCAAGTCCGCCTAAAGCTGGAAGAAAGACGGCAAGAGAAGCTCAAGCAGAAGCAGAAACTCATCGCAGAGGTGAAGAAGGGCAAAGACGACCTCACAAAACTGGATACCATGGTGGAGAAGTTCATCGAGGCTGCGGAACCTATCAAGAAGGTCCTTGCGACTGAGTAGCCAACCATTCTACGACGTTATGCAGATTTTACTTTTCGGCGTTTGATACCCTACACAGCGAACAAAAGCTCAATTGACTGCTTTACCTCATCCCAGGATGTTCATGTTCGGTTGTCCGAGTGCGTTTGCAAACACCATCACACGTGAGGGAAAGGCTACTGCCGCTCGCAGGTTATGGTAGAAATACACTTGATAGTTACAGATCGTAAGTAAGCATGACACAACAACAGTGTTAATGCATACAGGAGACATTGGTCTGGCGCCTGGCTGCTGCCTGCTAGTGGGGAAATGTGAACATCCTTGCTTATCGATAGCGCTAGTCGCCTGTCTAAACTATCATTGCTCTCCCTAACCACTGACTTGCCTCAACCACTGCCTTGCGTTAGTCCGGGCATGGCGTATTCTGAGATTGAAGTGGGGGTTCTCTCCGTCAGATCTCATATGATCGGTGATATTTCTCGCACGACTTCGAAAGATGCATCACTTTCAGCGCCACCTAACACCCAAGACACTGTTGAGGGTCTGGAGATACTGCATGGTCTTTTTGCTGCTGCAGACGTCCCAGATGGCTACGAGGAGCGACAAAGGAAGAGGCGTAAGATCGATAACGACGATCGTGCTGATATACAAATCACACGTTTTCAGGAAGATCGAAGCGTTGTCCTGACAAAGGTCTCCATCAACCTGGTATGACTTAACATCAAACCACAAAACTCACCTAACAAGTTTCCAGAGCTTTTCTCCGGTTTCTATCCCAGAGCAATCAGCTCTAATAATAGCAGAAGACAAGGAGCCCGTTGATCTTAACTTTGAGCATGTCTCTGATCTGGGCGCCGACCAGATCAGGATCGTGCTGTTCGAAGCAGTTGCCAACGCACGTGTCGACATTCTCGCCACCATCGATGCCGCCTCACTTCATTCTGTGAAAGCGCAACTCAAGGCCGCCGAATCCCTGGCACACACTAGACATGGCCGCAAGTGTCGAAACAAACCGCGGGCTGCTTTCCCTCGGTGTTTGCTCTCTCAGTCATCCACGTCACAGCACATTTACAAGCTAGACGTCGAGATACGTTGGACTTTGGGGATGTCTGTGGTTGAGGACCCTTCCGTGAGCGCTCACATCATGAAGGAGGATCTGCGCTTGTTGTCGAGGTATTTTCCTCGCGCATCTGCACCGTCTGACACAAGTTGGGCGCTTTCGGATTTTTACGATTCGGTGCATGTTCCCGCTGTCGATCTTCAAGTATCTCCGCAAATTCAAAACAAGCTATTGGACACGACACTTTACCCATTTCAGCAGAGGACTATCGATTGGCTGTTGCGACGAGAGGGCGTAGCCTACTCTGCGACTGGTCAACTTGAGCCTTTCGTTGAGGATGTTACACCAGCATCGTTTCATCTTACACAAGATGCAAGTGGTACTCCATGCTATGTCAGTATGCTTCGAGGCTTGATCGTATCCGACCTGAATGCTGCAAGAGGCGACACACTTCACTCGCTAAGAGGGGGTATCTTGGCAGAAGAAATGGGTCTCGGCAAGACAGTCGAGCTTATTGCTCTCATATCACACCATCAGCGTCGGGTGCAGGACGGAAAGATCCTCGACGAACTCACAGGGGCTCACGTCCAAACATCAGGTGCTACCCTGATCATCACTCCGCCCAGCATTCTGGAGCAGTGGCAGAGTGAGATACACATGCACGCACCCAATTTGAAGGTGACCCACTATAGAGGACTTCCATCCTCTACCGCATCGAAAAAGGAACATGCAGCAGCAACAGCAGAAGAGTTGATGCGCTATGATGTGGTCTTGACGACATATGGCGTTCTATCTAGAGAGATACACTTCGCTACCCCCACCTCCCGATAGATCTTCCCGACATGAGCGGCGCCACGAACGCCGGAAAAGCCCTCTTGTGGAGATTTCTTGGTGGAGAGTCTGCCTTGACGAGGCCCAGATGGTGGAAAGTGGTGTGAGCAATGCAGCCAAAGTCGCGCGGGTCATACCCCGCTGCAATGCGTGGGCCGTCTCAGGGACCCCATTGCGAAAGGACATTCAAGATCTGCGCGGTCTTCTGACGTTTTTGAGATGCGACATCTTCGCCCAAAACAAGATCGTCTGGAGCCGGTTGGACAAATTTTCTTTTCACGCCATTTTCAACCAGATTACTTTGCGGCACACCAAGGATAAAGTACGCAACGACTTGCGTCTTCCTCCACAAAATCGTGCTGTCATCACGATTCCCTTCACTGCGATCGAGGAGCAGAATTATGCTGATCTCGTACGTCTAATGTGTGACGAGTGCTCACTTGGACCAGAAGGGGAACCCTTGGACGCACAAAAGGATCCTACCAGCCCGGAAACACTCGAGCGCATGCGTGAGTGGCTGGTGCGTCTGAGACAAACATGCCTCCACGCACATGTTGGACGCAAAAACAAACGAGCTTTTGGGGCAAGGAACGGTCCGTTACGAACAGTCCACGAAGTCTTAGAGATCATGATTGATTTGAACAGCACCAAATGGAAAGCCGATGCCCGCGAAGTGATTCTCAATAGAATCAAGATGGGTCACGTCATGGCGTATAATGGTGACAACGAGAAACGCGCAGAGAATGCTCTACACTTCTACACCGCAGCTTTGGAGAATACCAAAGTCTATGTCAGCATGTGCCGACAAGATCTGGAGCAGGAGCAGAAGAAATTGGGCGTGGCTACTACCATCCCTCAAGCGGACATAGAGTCTGATCTTGAGGGATGGGTGGAGAAAGAGAACTTGGGAAACATTCCTGCCCTCCGCAGATCTTTGCGATCATTTTTAGAGCTTGAGCATATGTGCAAGTTCTTCATCGCCACGTCACATCATCAGATCAAGGATCTGCTTCATGAGCAGCAACCTGGATCAGAGCAAGCTCTGCTCGAAGAGCAGATGGAGACAGATTGGTACGATCAAGCGAAAGCGATCAGACGTGAGCTCCTTGAGGACGTCAAGAATCCAACACAACGACAGATGAGAAAAATCGAGTCTGGAAGACCACATCACCAGCTGCCCACTGTCGATGAGCTTCCTGACCTTGGTGGCATTGAGAGTCGCAGGGTCTTAGAGACGATTGACGAAATCGGTAACTTCTTGAACGCGCAAGCAGTAAAGATTCAGGAATGGCGGACAAAAATTGTCGACATTCTTGTGATGCGCCTCACTGATGACGACGATGATATGGAAACCACCGGAGAAGAATACGAAACCTCCTTGAAGGCACAAGACGAATTGTATGTGTCCATCATGGCACTGCGCACTCTCATTGCAGATCGAAATCTTGCGGTTCATGGTCTTCGAGACACTCTCATCGAAGATGAGTTGAAAACAGCTGAGAGGAGAGCCTTGAGTAAAGACCCACATGAAGACAAGGGCCATGCACCTGAACTTCTGCTCGAGTTTGCGAGACAACGGCGAGACCTTGAAATGACATTGCATGGTGGCTCTTTGAAGGGCGTGATTGCTGAGCTCCGGTCGAAAATCACTCCTCTGCAGTGGAGAGCAGAGAACGACGACAACCGCGCCCTAGTCGAGTCGAATGTGCTCCAGAAGCTTTTGAGCAGCGTCCAACACATTATGTCGCAACAAAGCAAAGCTCTACGTGAGATGGAGAAAGAGCAAGAGTTATTCCGAAGTACTATGAACCAGCGTTTGGAGTACTACCGGCAGTTCCAGCACATCTCCGATACTGTTGCAGCGTATAAGGAGAAACTCGACGACGAGTTTGACCACGTTGCCTTCCGAGCATTCGCGTATCGGGGAGACAAGGCTGCAACAAGCGTAGATGCCTTAAAAGCAAAGCACTCTTATTTAATGAACTTGCGAGCTGAGGACCAAAGAAATGCGGATGCGGATTGCATAATCTGTCAAGAGGCTATCGAGGTTGGTGTTCTCACGACCTGCGGCCACAAGGTATGAAACTCGCCTCATTCATTTAACTTGGTCTAACAGGTATTATAGTACTGTAAGGAGTGCATCAATCAATGGTGGCATGTGCACCGAACATGTCCACTCTGCAAGCAAAAACTCAAAAGCTCCGATTTCAAGGATATTAGCCTGAAACCCAGCGAAATACGGACGAAGCCTGACTCCCCGTCTCCACCAAGCCTCTCTCCAGACTCGACATCAAAGGTAGCTGATATATCCATTTACGCAAATGTATCCGACACAACCCTCAAAGAGATCAAGATGATCGACCTCGCTAGCTCATACGGCTCAAAGATCGACATGCTTGCGAAACACCTGCTTTGGATCCGAGCCAATGACCCTGGTGCGAAATCCGTAATATTCTCTCAATATCGTGATTTCTTGGAAGTGTTAGAAACTGCGTTCCGGGCATGGAAGATCGGCTGCTCGAACATACGAGACAAACAGGGTATTGAAAACTTCAAAAAGGATCCGGCCGTCGAGACCTTTCTGCTTGACGCCAAATCAGACTCTTCGGGACTGAATCTGGTCAATGCGACATACGTATTCCTGTGCGAACCACTCATCAATCCGGCCATCGAGCTTCAGGCTATCGCAAGAGTTCATCGCATTGGTCAGCAACGTTCGACTACCGTCTTCATGTATCTCATCAGCAATACTGTCGAAGAAGCCATCTACGATATTTCCGTTGCTCGTCGACTAGAGCACATGAAAAGCGCCACTTATAATGATGCTGTGGACTCAGCTACCACATCTAGTGAGTCGATACCCATCACTGTCCAAGAGAAGAATTTGGACAAGGCCAACTCTGCAGAGATGCAGGCCGTGCCACTTAAGCAGTTGCTAAGTAAGGGAGGTGGGGGTGAGGCGGTGCAGAACAATGATTTGTGGCAGTGTCTGTTTGGGAAACCGAGACGGGTTGGGAAGGAGGCGACGGCGAGAGGAGAGCAGCAGATGAGGGTCACAACTGGTCTTTGAGATGACAATCTGGTGTTGGAGTCTTAGATGTCGGTACGGATGAGATACTTTAATTGGGAAGACCTGGAGCTAGATGAGACGACCGCGATGTGTATTGCATATCTTTTATACTAGGGCCCTCAATAAGTCAGTCGTGTGGCATATCGAGTAATTTTGCCCGCAATAACAGACATATCACAGCCGGTCAAGAATTCAATCGAGAGGGAAAAAAAGTATTCGTTGTTGCATGTGTCAAGCGTTCTTGTGCAAGTTCTTTTGGTATAACTGGTACGTTGCAGCCCAGTCAGCATCGTCCTGAGGTATCTCGTCTGTGATGGCCGCGGCTCCTTCCGCTGGCACGGCAGGTAGGATTGATGAGAATATTTCTGTTTGTATCCGACTAAGGGGTATGAGATCCACTTTTCTTGCGTTGTTGAGCAACTGGTCATACGTCACTGCTCGCCGAAGCGGCTTCGGTGCGTGTACGGGCAAAGTCAATGATGGCCGCACGTGCTGTACAACTGGATCGAGGCCATCCTGTAGCAAGAGCTCGTCCGCAATCCCAGGATGCGAAAACTGCTCACGAATCACGTCTTGTATCAATTGCTCGCCTTGAGCAGTGCCTTTCACTGCGCCATACGCTACTGCTCCAAGTGTGGCTGTCAGGTATACTTCCGCTTCGCCACGGAACGTGAGACACCCCGCTGAAGTAGTCCACGTCTCTGCGTGGTTGATGTTTGGACGCTCTGAAATCGGGGATTCGTTATTTGACATCTTGCGAACGACACGCGGACTCCCGTTTTTGGATCGCAAGGCGCCAGATCGACTGAGTGGGCAATTGCCGATTTGGATGTTCGGAACAATTGGCCATTGCCCTCGATTAACTGCTACCGCTTGTACAGGTGCACGCATCAAGCTTTTCGTCAAGTCGTTGGCCTTGGTAGACTTGCTTTCCGCACTCGACAACGAACCAAACTTTGTTTCAAGTCGGTTATCGTTCAGCTGTCGGGCTGCTTTCTTGTTACAGAACTGAGATCCCCCAGGAGCTTTGATAGTGTATTGGAGCCACTTTGAGTCTGGAAGCTGACCGCAATGGCACTGCCTCAATGGGGTCCATTCCCATAGGTTGTCTTTGACGAAGACGGCTCGATGAGAGAGGCCACAGGAAGGACAGACCTGAGCCATCCTCAACTCACTCCCGTGTACAACCACACGCGGATCCTGTTCCCACAGAGTCAGAATGTGAGTAGTCTCACAGTTGCCGCACAACACATGACCGCACTTTTCACACTTCAAGTACTTGAAAGGGTGAAGTCCAGTCCAGTGAACGAGCTCGTTCTCAGCTCCACAGCAACACAACCACAATCCATCAACATGAGTGTCAATCAAACAGAGACGGTCGTGATCAACGCCATCACTATGAGGTATGGTTGAAGGTGTTCGAGCTTTGTCTGCTGGCTGTGAGTGCCCCGGTCGCTGCTCTACAGTTACCGGGAAGTCCGTTTTAGACTTTTGATGGCGCTTGGACTCGAAACCCGTCTTACCTTTGAAGACTGAAAACATTTTTTGAGGTACTTGAATTCGTTTAGGTTTGTGTAGATGATTAGGTGAACGAATTCATAAGTAGGTGTGGTCTGAGGCTTACAGTGGCAACATTGGCTAATTTTATGTACTATCAACAGGTGTGGTGAAAAGTCCTTAGAGTGTATTTTAAACTAGATATACGCTAACAATGTCAAGAATTACACTGTCGAGATTGTGGCAGAAAAGGTGGTCGTGTTACGCCGTTCACAGACTATTCAGTATGTACGGATAATGTTGGCTCGTTGCAAAAATCTACTCCTAGGAAGAAATCGCCCTTGTTCAATAGCAGGCATTAATTGTTGTTGATTCTTATATAGTACGGTGCATCTGAAGACGCTTGAATCGGTGGTTAAGGCGTAAGTTTGCTTGCGTACTACGGTCATTGACTCCCAATAGAAGCACTCACCGCAGCTTCTGTACCTCTTCAAGCCCAGCTATAGCCGTCTTTCATTTTCGAAGTTCTAGTAGAACAAGTTTGCAATGATTATGCACAATGTCGAGAAACCGAGTTCAAGACAATGTTGAGCTCGACGCGGAGGCTGCGTATTCCAGCTTCTCTACAGCGACACAAATGTGGAATGAATACATCGGTTCAGTTTTCGCTTCAATTCTAGGGTCTTTTGACAGCGTTGAATGATCATTCGACCCTGGGAGATCTGATATGTAATGTATGACTGCAGTGAAGTAGATTTGGGCGCATTGCAGTTGTTGTTGACTAGAAGGTTCAAGCCTGAAACATACTCCATCGTATCGGTGCACAGAGTTCGTCTGTCTGTGAAAGTTAGGCTACATATTGCTCGCTTTTGTGATATATGGAAACCATGAATAGTATAGAGATATGAATAGGTACTTGTAAAAGAAAGGGACCATGGCTTGAGCCTCATGACCAAAAACTGTGTTTATGATTTGAACAAAGAGTCCTTGTTGTCTCAGCTATAAGCTGACTTTCAACCTCTAAGACTGTAACAGTCTCAATAGAAAGCATACAACATAGTGCGAGGTATTAATGAACGGTCTACAGGTAACCTAGAGGATGTTTGCTTTGGCGTTTCGTCGGCAGGGATGGCAAACATTCCAGGATTTCTATTCGATAAATTGATTTCAAGCTGAGCTGTGTGTCGATGTTGTCGCACCACTGGAGACAGCTTTCACTTTGTTGTCTAAGGATTGAACAAATACTATATCATCTGAGTCTCAATTAAGACCTCGCTCGTTTTGTATATATGGCCTTTATGGCTTCTTTCACCCTCACTAGTCGCTGCCGTCGACATAGCCTCGCTCTCTTTACTCGTACGTCGCGTATGATTACTACCTCCCATCTCGGTATATGGTCCCTCAGCAGACACCAGTACTGTTTCGCTCTGTCGTCTATTACCCGTACGCGCACTACCGATAGTTACCCGCTTCCATCTAGAACTAAGACCAAGCTCAAGGTTGACATCAGGTTCTCCAGTTGTCCGCGTGCGGCTTCGTGAGAATGACGACCCGAACCATTTCGGCAGTATTTTGACGAGTATTGGCTTGACTCCTGGTGCAGAAGCACACATCAAACTGGTATAGACCTCCGTGGATGTCCAGATTGACACATCATACTGATCCCAGCTTGGGTCGAAGTTCGGCATTGTTATCGATTCGCTGACCCGCACCATGCGGACGATACCAGCCGTAGCAGCAAGGGAACCGAGAAGAACGACACCCGTTAGAGCCCATTTTTGTCGTCGATCCATTTGCAGTTCGAAAATACGGGGTAGTACGATGGCCATGAGCGCAACATCGACGAATACATTGATGCTTCCACTGAGGATAAAGCCCGGTAAATCCTGGAGACATTTTGCTTCAGGACGTCCTTCAGTCCAGTAGACATGAACTGGGCTACATTGAAATGCGACTTCGAACATAAAGGGGAACGTCAAGAGTACCAAGATGACCAGTAGTGCCCGAATCATGTAGCGGCCCCGTTTATCTGTGTAGAAGATTCGAAGATACGTGAGGCATATGCTTATCTTTGATAAAGCAAGTGCGGGAAAGAGAACGATTTGCGCTGCGTATGCGTATTTTTGCGATTCGACCGAGGCCATTGGATGTTCGATGGATGTTGCGATTGCATGACGTCCGTTGCCATGATCAATCTGACCGTATTGGCAGACGCTATAGCCGGTACAAAATATCTGTAGATCAGTAAGCTTGGGCTGGTACACGTCAATTGAGTTGTATTGACCTACCCAAGCCAACGTAAGAATATAGTCTTCTGCCCTCCATGCTTTGATGATTGCAGCTCGAGAATACACTCTTGCAAAGAAGACTAAGGATCCAACAACCTGAACTACGATGTTGCCAATGATCATCTGTGGCTGACGCGATTCTGCAAGATAGCTTGATGGATACTGCAACCCAAGTCAGTCGAAGTAGACTTTTCCATACCACCACCTGTTGTCGTACCTCATGGTTGCCATTGTCATGACGCATGACATGATGAATGAGGCCCATCAGTCTACGTTCAAGTCTTCATCTGCAGTCGATGTCGATGTCGATGTCGATATAGAACTGTCTGCCAGAATCTACGGGGAGTAGGGACTGATCTTTCGGGGAGGTTTGTCTTCGCGCTATCAGGGTTAATGCTAGGAACTGTACTTCGGATGTCGAATCAGCGTACCCCGGACACTGACACTGTAATTTTAGTGCGATGTACGTGTTCCCGTAGTTTGAGGCCAGTGTAGTGTGCAGATAGAGTTTCGATAGCACCCTCAGGTACAACGGCAATCGGCAACTTCAGGTACCAAGTCTCTGATCACGTTGTGCATGTCGTACTTCAGGTTGGGGAAGAGATCTCAAATTCTACTTCTGTATATCTTAAGTGTGGACGAAGGGTTCGAGCGGCTTATAGGTACCAAATCCTTCGACCCACATTGTCAGTCGGCTACTGCAATGACCGAAGCTCGGAAGAGAGATCCTTGTGGTTATTGATCCTGACTTCTAGGCAGTGAAGTCTTGGCTGGAGGTCGAGATCGTGCACGTAAATCAAAAGGCTAGATTCTGCGTTACCCTGGAACCGATTGCCTACTATCAGCTCTCGGTCGAGGTGCTATAGACCGCTGTCACGTTGTCTAACTTTCACTGGCGTTGCTGTCATCAAGTTCTTCAGATCTTTTCTGAAACCACAAGCGCGACATACGGCGAATCGCGACCAGTGTCAGACCGCCACGATCTATATCTGTGGCAAGTTTGCCGCCTCAAAGCCACACGTAACATTCTTATCAGCCTCATTCTGTCATTGCGGTGTCCATTGTGCTAGAATTGTAATCAATTACTCGGTGGCTTTCGGACCGCGTTTGTTTCGACAAGGCTGAGCATTCAGCAGGTAGTGGCAGTGGTGGCTAGCTCTTTGCGGGTGCGGCGGTACGGATCGATGATGCGGCTGCGCATTGATACCGAAGGTATGACCATCAGATGTCGAACAGCAGCATAACTAGGTCCAGGCGTAGGTACTTCTCCTATACCGTTAGATTGCCACATTCCAAGATAAGGCGCCACCACAAGCTGCCATACTTGTGAGGCTTAAGCGTGAGGCGTAATGTCGGCAAGCTGTCGACGCCTGTATACAGCTTTTGACAATAGCGTCGATAGAGTTGCTCTGTGGATGTTGCACAGTTCCATACAGTTGTCATCAGGCCTGGTCCGGTCGGACTCTGGTGGAAGATCTGGTGCACTTGCTGGCCTCAGCTGGGAGGTTGTACTCTGATCCTAGACTCCTAGTGCATCTCTTCATCTAATAACATTTCTGATACGCTCACTTTAGAACCAATCGGTCCTGTTGCGGGAGGGCTCTCGGGAGCACTCATGACGGATGATTAATGACAACAGCTCGTGCGTAATCAGCTTGACTCGATCCGAACCGTTGAGTGAGATACGACGTCGGATGTATCCCGCGGAGCCGGGTGTATCGAGACGAGGTTGAGGTCCCCTTCAGGGACGATGTACCTGTCAGATTTCCTAGCTCGGCATTCGTCATGCCGAAACAAAGCTCAAGCTTGCGCACCGACATCTCCAGCTCCCCTCATTCCAGCCTCCACCACTCAATTGAAGCGCCCTAGCTTCTTATCTCCAGCATGCTCTTGCAAACCCTCTCATTGTTATCGCTAGCTATAGGAGGCTTTGCAGCTTCTCTGCAACCAGCTTCTTCAGACGTTACCACGCTTGACTCTTCGACATCGAAACAGCTGCTCGCATTGCATAAGAAGCTGGTCGAAATCGAGTCAATTAGTGACAATGAGCTCGAAGTAGGGACGTGGCTAGCCTCGTATCTTAAAGACAATGGCTTCACTGTTGAGAAGCAGGAGGTCGCGAAGGACCGCTACAATCTTCTCGCCTACGGCAGCAAGCGCGACACCACCATCCTCCTATCCTCCCACATCGATACCGTTCCTCCATACTGGCCATACTACTACAACAAGACTACCGATATAATTGGTGGGCGTGGTAGCGTAGATGCGAAGGCAAGCGTTGCAGCGCAAATACTGGCGGTCGAGGGTCTCGACAAGGAAGGCGAAGCTAAGATCTTGCGCGACGACATCTCGTTGCTCTTTGTTGTAGGCGAAGAAACTGGTGGCGAGGGAATGAAGGCGTTCAGCGCATGGGACAAACGCCCCCAGTATGACATTGTCATCTTTGGCGAGCCTACAGAGGGCAAGTTAGTCTGTGGACACAAGGGCATATTGGGCTTTGAGATGCATGCTACAGGCAAGGCAGCGCACTCAGGATATCCTTGGCTCGGCGTGAGCGCCAACGATATCCTGGCTGAGGCGTTGGCCTCGCTACTCGAGCTGAGACAGCACTTGCCTTGGAGTGAGAAGTACGGCAACACGACCATGAACTTCGGCCGCATCCAGGGTGGTGTAGCAGCCAACGTGGTCGCAGAGACAGCAAGCGCAAAGATCGCGACACGTCTTGCAGCCGGTACACCCAAGGTTGTCCAGGGCCTCATTCTGAATGCTACCAAGGACGTCAAGGCACGCGCACAACAACAGGGCGGTGATCTGGAGTTTGATTGGAGTGGCAATGGCTACGGCCCAGTAGATATTGATTGTGACATTGACGGCTTTGAGAAGCTGACTGTCAACTACGGCACTGACGTGCCTAACCTCGAAGGCGACCACCGACGGTATCTGTACGGACCCGGCAACATCTTTGTCGCGCATTCAGACCACGAGGCCCTGAAGAGGAAGGAGCTCGAGCAGGCCGTCCTCGATTATAGGAGGCTGATCATCCAAACCTCAAAGATGGAGCCAAAGCAGCGGGGCTCTGAGATCTATGACGATCAAGTCGAACTGTAGATAAGTATCTATGTACATATATGTAACTCACGAAATATAGAGAACCGTCGCGTTTGCTCACGGGTGGAGAATTTGTTGTGTCCAAAGGACAATCTCAACTATCCACACTACAATCTAACGATACTTAAATATTCCAATGTGTTCTTACAGAACATAGCTATAACAGTCTGTTCTCCTCAGTGTAATTGTCCCTCTAAAGTCGATGAAACGATTGGAGAACCCGTTGAACTCCAGAAAAGAACATGGCATCGCAGTCCTAAACTTCACTGTTAATCAATTTTTTTACACATAGTAGCACTCTTCCATTAACAGAGTATTTATAGCACCACGTTCGACTCAATGCGGTGTGCTTACTATGTAATGGATGTTCGCATAATACTGCCTGCTAACTTGGACAACAAGCTCTGGCTTGTTGTTTGATTCATTACTGGGCAGTGCCTTACAGAGTCGGGCAGCCCTGCTCATAATGCTATCTAAACACCCTCCAGTTCTTGCCTGGTAACTCGCAAGCATAGGGAGCATATTGACCCAGAAGAGAACGAAGTGTCAGAGGTAGGACTGCTGTTCCACCTAGGCCTATTCGCAAACTGGAATGGCCGACCACGGCCCCCAAAGGTAAAAAAGACTGCTACGTGTAGTGGTTCTCCTATAATCTACATATACAGAGATAGACGCACTGCTCAGGACCCCCAGGGTCTGTCTGCGGCAGACCAGTCGAGCATATACTCTTCTTCCACCCACTGGGAGCATACCTTCACTGGCTTCCTCGTTGACAGAGTGGGACATCTGCCTATGATTGGAAACCTCTCTGCGTGGATTCTGCAATCAGTCGCGTTGTCAGGCCATACCTGAAAGACGAATGCATCTACCTGCGGTGTAAGTTGCAGGTCAGGGTTTGCAGCACGTTAGAGTTTCCAATTTACACCCTTGGTCCAGACATGTCACAGGAGCAAGTCCAGACATCGAACGCCACTATTCATGAATCCAAGACACTGACCGGAGACATCTGGCGCTTGGTCCCAAGCTCTAACTCCAGGACCCAACCCCAATTGCACCCGCTCCTGCACCACTTGCGCCACCGTGCAAAAGTAAAGCAGACTCAACATCTGGCTGCCTTAGCCCTGATGACCGTCCGTTCAAAGAGCAAAAAGTTCATCGCGTACATGCGGCAAAAAGACAGGTCGTGCCCGGAATCGAACCGGGGTTGCCGGAAGATACTGAGGTGATCAGAATCCGGAGTGATAACCGCTACCTGGAGAGGAATTAGCGATTGCTTCGGAGTAAAGTTGATCGGGTGAGACGTACACTACACAACCATGAATTGGTAGTTTTGATGGAGAATTGGAAAATAAATTGCTATATATCGTTCGCAAGTTAGGCTGGATCTAGCGATTGGAGTGGTGGGACCCGGCGAAAACTTCTCTCTCTCGGTTAATGAGGTTGACAGCAACACCAAAACTCTGGTTCAGCGTGGGGCGATCAAGTTTTAGAGGACGTTGGCGAGAAGAAACATGGCCTCTACAGTAATGTGGTTGCAAGTGGAAAATGGTTGGGTGCGATAGAGTGATATTCTGGGTGTTCTTATGACTGTCGAACACGATTGCTTTACGGCTTCGATGAAGGAATCAATTTCTCTACGCCTTGCCTTTCGCAATGTGTCGTTGTCACTACCTGATGCTTTCCCGTTGTTTGAAACCATGTTATACTTCCTTAGATGAGGATCTCGAGATGATTTCAATACAGTGAAACGGGTGTTAAGCTTCAATAGAGAATCTCAGGTTCGAAACGACTATATTGTTCATGGCGTCAAGGTGTCATGCAGGTATCCTTACCCCAGGTATGTTTGGCGACCGCCGTTAGGTGAGCTTTGACCGGGTTGCGCAAAGCGGGCATGCAGGATCGCGTACACACGTTGCGCTCAGCGGATTGCCGGGTCCCCCTGCAACACGAAGGCCAGAACTGGGGTCGAATCAGCGATCACCCAGGGAGAATGCTACCAAGCTCGTGCAGCACTGTCCTCTTCCGATAGACTTACTTTTCTTCTCGAAGCAGGCATCTTGACCTCCTCTGTGGCGACTGCACGCGGCGCTTTGTGCAGCGCGTGAATACACGGGCTGCAGTATTATGGGTCACGGTTGTCGAAACTCGCCAGACGATCAGTAGGTATGTGACATTGTTCATTAACTGTCCACCCATCTCGTCGACTCTCTCTATCTACACTTTTCCCCAATGCTCCGAGGGTAATAGCGTACAGCATAAAACGTGCAAGGGCTGCGCAATGCCGGAAAACGGACATGCCGCCTGGTATCAACTCCACCCAGTAAAACAGAAATGTGATGCATAAACGCTGCAAGTAACAAAATCGAGGACGAGACTGCGCCGAAGCGCTCGACGTGAGACGTCGTTAGCAGAGGAACTTGTAAACCTTCTTCCACTTAGGCCACTTCTTTCGCTCTTCGCGCTCCTCCTGGATTAGAGCTTCGATGTTCAGCTCGCGAATGCCCGTGTGCAAGTCCATGTTATGTGACCTGACAACTGAGGTGCGATAGTAGAGCTTGTAGGGAATGTAGAATGCAACGGTGACAGGGAGTGCGAGGTAGATGCTGAAGAAGCGCTGCAGCCGTTGTGATGTTGACAGATCGCCGTATTTGAAAGGTGCAAACGCAACCCAGAATTGGGCGATAAGAACCAGTACGTTGAAGATGAGACCAACATAGGAGCCGATCAAGCCCGGTTGTGAGCGGAAGGCGAGTTCAGACAGACTGTGGCCCTGAACGCGCCAGCCCTTGCGGAAGCGGATATGCGCCAGACAAATGGACATCCAGGTGAAGACGGCTGATAGTGCAGAGAGAGCAAGGAGCCAGTTGAAGACACCATCCCGTAGGTTGTCATCCGCACCGGCGAAGTAGGCGAGGAGGCCGATGGAAAGCGCGAAGGCAATGGAGACAAGGGGGCGGCCTTGACGGTCGATGTAGGCGAAAATCCTTGGCGCTTGGTGTTGTTCTGCCAGCGCAGCGAGGGTACGGGATGAGCCGTATATAGAGGAGTTGCCGACGGAGAGCACGGCGATCATGATGACTGCATTGAAAACCGAGGGCAGACCTTCAATGCCGGCATTCTGGATGGCGATGACAAAGGGCGAGGCGACAGCGTTCGCGCCGTTTTCGTTTTGCAGGAGACGGGGCTCCTCGTAGGATACCAGCAGGCCGACGATTGTGAGTGAGACAATGTAGAACAGGGAGATTCGCCAGAACACCTGCTTTACGGCGGTTGGCAACGATTTGCGGGGATTTGCGGTTTCTGCCGCAGCAAGACCAACTAGCTCGGTTCCAGAGAATGCGAAAGCTGCGTTGACGAAGACGCTGCAAAGTCCTTTGAAGCCGTTGTTGAAGGGACCAGGGTCTCGCCAGTACTTTCCGCCGATATAGCTACCGTTCGGTCCGCCACCGATGTTGATGATAATGCCCAGGATGATGAATCCGATCACGGCAGTGATCTTGATAATCGCGAACACAAACTCAGCTTCACCGTACCCTTTGACACCGAACAGGTTGATGACGACGATGAGAATCAGGAAGATGGTGACGTAAACATTGTTGTCGACGACGTGGTTGTCCTTGGTCCAGTATTCGATGGTAAAGGTAGCGGCGACAATCTCCAGCGGTAACACGACGAGCCATTGCAGAGCGTAGTTCCATCCCATAGCGAATCCCCATGCCGGATCGATGAAGCGGGTCGAGTAGGCCGAGAAGGAACCTGCAACAGGAAACAGTACTGCCATCTCGCCCAGGGCGTGGACGGTGCAGTACAACATGATACCGACCAGGCAGTACGCTATTACAAGCGAACCGGGCCCACCGTTCGCTAGTGCTTGGCCGGAGCCGACAAAAAGACCGGTACCTGGCAGAAGTTCAGCAACAGGTTGGTAGACACGCGAACAAAAAGCATACCTATGGAGCCACCGATGGCAATCATCTGCAAGTGGCGGCCTTTCAGCTTGCGCGCCAGTGGTGAGCTTGCCGTGTTTGCTGCTGCTTGTTCGACATCGTAGGCGGTCCCGTCGACTCCCGAGCCTCCCTTGGGCAGCATGGTCGAGTTCGGGTCGCGCCTGAAACTGTCCAGCACCCTCATGGCTATCCCGTCTCGATGCTCTGAGCTCTCGCCATAGTAGTCCGAGTTCTGCGACGCCCTGCCAAAGCTCTTTTCGGTGCCGTACATGTCGTCGTCGACGACCATTTTCGAGGGAAACAGCAGTGGTGGTTTGGCCGGGTGCGAGGAACGGCAGCAGGCGCTGCAAGCTCGAGGCGGTGTCGCTGCAGCGCAGCTTGAATCGTGACTGCTTGGGTTCGCGAGGGGGATCCTGGAAAATGGAGTCGTCAGTTGTGCTTATGCGCGAACGGCAGGGCCCAGGCTCATTTTACACACGAGCGCCGCCTGTGAGACCGGGGTGGTGGACCAGGGTCCAGAGATACGGTACGTGATGGAATACGGAATAGGCGCCGGGGTGGGAGGGTATCGGGCTAGGGCGGCGGAGCTTCTCTCGCGGCGGCGGGCTGTCTACCTGCCACTAGCCGGCGACGTGACGGCAGCAGCAAACGCTCCGCCGTGGAGCCATGGCTGCGAGAGCGAGTGCGCAAAGCTGCTGCTGAGGCCCGCTCCCACGAGGGCGCTGATCCGCTCGTGAGCGCCCTGTCGTCCCGGACTGGGATGGCCAGGGTGACCAGAAGGCAGGGTAGCAGGGTTGATTGCGCCAGTTGGCCAATGTCTTGGAGGCGTCGAGTCCAAGCACACCGAGTCCAAGCAGACCCGGCAGGCTCCCTCAAGGCTCATTGCACGGTCGTGCGGCGTGCGCCGGCGGCGAACCATGGAACCTCAATCTGTCACCCTCTAAAGGCAGCCGTCAAGCTGCTCCACGGTTCGGGTCTCACAAGCGCGGTGCCACGCCCTCTGCCCCTAGCCGTCACTGTCGTCGTGCCTCGGCGACGTCTGGTGGCGCCTGCCGTCCACGCTTCTCGAAGACGCCGCCCGTGCGCTTTGTTATCAACGATTGATGCGGCATGAGATCGCAAGACGCTCATCTCCCACGCCATGCTATCTGCTCCCACCATGCGAGATAAGTCGGCCATCGTGCGACGAGCCTAGCCCTGCATTAGGCGACAGCTGTCTTCGATGCTCGATGCTTGACCCTCCATGCTCGAGTCTAAGGTGACATCTTACGACCCACCTGTGAACCTCCTGCGAGCCTGCAAGCTATTGGCGGAGATCCCCCGCCAGCCTGCAATTGCTCCCTATCCAATACGAACCAATACTGCCAGAGACACACTCTACAGAACTATTGCACCACGCCTCCCAAAGTGCAAACCCCGCGCAGTGGTTCGTTCTGCACGCTGCGGTCAGCGCACACCGCCGCAATTTCTCCAACGTGTCGCCATGAACGTCACGGCGACCTCACGAGATGAAGCTTACCGGCTGAAGCGGTTCGCATGCTTGCCAATGCAGCGGCTGTTCAGGAACAATCCTTCGTCAACCGCTACATGCAGGTACATAATTATCCCACCCCTCGTTTCGTCTGCCACCCTGGTGGTTCCAACATCGGGCTGACTGCGAGTACGAGTACGGATGAACGACTTGCTCCTGTGCCGCAACCCGGCCCCCTCGAGTGCCCGCCTTGGATGGTACAGTCACCGTGTGACGATCTGCGTCCTCTGTTGCATCAACAGCGCCCAAATGCGTCGCCGACCGCATTGTACGACAGCCCGAATGGGACAGGTACTTCCATATTGACAGTCTGTCTCAGGAAAACGCTGGCCCTTGTATTCGTACAGAATATGTACTCGTCACCGCGCCTGTTTTCCACATTATCCCCTCGATAGTTATGTCACAGGTAGATGCGCGCGTCGATGCAGGTCCCACACGAAGGATCACCTCGAGCTCGTGCCTTCCTCTCCCGGCTAATTGATGTGCGCCACAGCACCCTACAAGGCAAGCGAAAAAGCCTAACGTGTTTGCGTGCTTGGGAACGTTGAGGTATTTTCGGAGTGGCCCGCTGTCTGGGTTAGCAGATTTGGCGAGGCCTAGTTGGTATGTCGCTGGAGCCTGAGGCCTCAGAGACGGTCCGACCCACGCACCCACGAGCAGTTATTGCTTCTTACCCGTCGTCTCCTAGTACGAGGTGGTATTGTTGAGCATGACGCAGGTCTCGGTCGGCCTGCGCCGCATTGCAAGAAGATGTCGCTGTCGCGCCGACTCCCCCTTGACCAAGCTTACCACCACTCCCTCAATGGACGCTGGCTGACAAACCCCCCCTTTGCAATATCTATGCACACTCAAGACACATTTGTTACATGTCTCAGTCCTCTCCACTCATCGGCGAACGCCACCCTGCCGTGCCTCCGACAAGAGAACCAGAGCCGCCGGTCTCGGTTTCGCTTCCCTTGCCAGGATGTTCATAACAGACAATCTTATACCCAGCATGCCGCGACCCGTAAGTTTGGATCTGGGAATCCGCACGTGCACGTCGCATGGCGATATCCTACCCTACCTCGTGCGCGCTCTGGACGCGCCGCGCTCCCTCCCCTCGCAACGCAGCAACACGAACACCGCCTTGCTGCGCGCACCCGTCAACCAGGTCCAGGTACGCGTCTGAGTGTCCGAGCACGCAAGTGGCCATGTCAGCGCACTATTATTGCGGAGGCGCGCAGCACTGCCTCCAAGCAACGCGGCGTGTGTCGTGGTAGGTGCCACCGCGTCTGTGCCGGCGACCTTGTATCAGCGATGAGCCGCGAGCAGCGTCCTGATCTGTCGTGAGGGGGTGAGTGCTGTTGTGTTGAGCGCTGGGTTGCACTTGTAAGTTTGCGTGTTGACATGTGTATGCGTGAGAAACGTACCAATTGAGCAATTGCCTGTTGTGGACAGGACGCGGATGTATGTGTGACGTGGACGTAGGATGGACACTGAGGACTTGATAAGAGCGTGCCTGGCCATGATTCAACCCCGAATATACACACCTAATACATGGCCCCGCCGATCCAAACTAATCTTAACAAATTGTACACAGGTATCATGACCACCACTGACCACACCTCGCTCATCTGCACCCCCACACTCAACACCTTCTCGCGCACCTCAACACTACATCTATGATCCCGCCCCATTACGCCCTTCACATCTCACAGCCCACTCTATTACAACCCAACCCATTACATCCCATCTCAGTATATCCCAACCCATCCCACGACATCCCCCCCATATCACAGCAAAACACAGCACGCTTAAACCACTTTCTCAAAGAAGAAAAAGAATCATATACAACAGAAACCCCCCCCCCTCCCCCCCCTCGTTGGGTGCACTTGTCCACTACTCTTCTGATCCACTGATCTCCCAATCTACGGGTCCACTGGCCTGCTACACGGGCTTTGTACAGTACAGTACTGCTACAACAATAACGACGATGACGACGACGACGACAACGACGGCGGCGGCGGCGGCGGGATATAACAGAGAGAAGGTGTGGTGGCGGCGGCGGCGGTGGTGGTGGTGACGAGACAGAGATGGCGGGGCGGGTAACAGACGAATAGGTGATTGATAGTCGAGGGCAGACAGGACAGCAGACAAGACAGCAGACAGGACAGTAGGATAGATACGGCAAGGTAAAGCCGCGATAAGGTAACGATAAAGATAAAGATAAAATAGGTAAGGGGAGGTATCTAGCAAAAAAACGCACAAACCACACAAAACTGTCTTGAAATACAAAAGCGATTTTAAAGGGTACAAGGGGGTTTCCAAGAGCTGGATGTCGAGGGACAGGGAAGATAGGTAGTCTAAGCGCGTTGAAGAAGAGGCGGAAGCGAGGAAAGGAGATATGTGTGTGTGTGGTGTGGCGGGTCCGTAGAGCGCGGGAAGGAAAGGGGGGCTGGGGTGCAGCGTAGTGTGTCTGGCGGGTGGCGAGTGAGAAAGGGAGGAGGGGAGGATGGGGGGATGGGGGGGTGTTTGAGATGCGACGCGGCAGCACGGGAAGCTGTGCAGCACCACGGCACGCACAAGCACGCAAGGCGATGCAGGCACGCGCTCACTGTGTTGGGCTACACACATCCCACACCACACACCACGCACCCTACCCCTTCCCGTTCGCATTCCCATTCCCGACCCCCACTTCCGCGTCATCATTAACATCGACCACGAACTCACCCGGCTTCAACCCAGGACTAAAATCATCCACCTCCTCAATCTCCTCCTCCTCCTCATCCTCCTCCTCCTCAGTAATCCCCATAATCTCCCCGCTGCGGCGGCCCTGGACACTGGCGCCGCGACTCCCCGGCTCGCCGCCGCTGCGACTGCGCCAGGGGCTGGCGCCCGCGGTGCCGATGTTGGGGCCCTTGAAGGGACTGCGCTTGCGCTTGGCGAACATGATGCCCGGGGACGGGGGCGGCGCGGTGCCGAACGCGGCGCCGCCTTCGCTGAGGGGCGCGATGCCGAGCGCGGGCGCGCCGGCGCGGACGAGGCGCATGTTGGCGGGGAAGGTAGTCGAGGTTGGGGTGGCGGGGAGGACTTTGATGGAGTTGTGGGGGCTTTTGGTCTTGTGGGCGCTGATGTGGCCGCTGACGGTGGAGACGCTGGGGGAGGCGAGCGAGGCGCTGGAGGTCGATGAGGCTTTGCTGTGCGTGTGGTGGTGGTGCGGCATGCTTCGTATGCTGCTGACGGAGGAGGATGTGGACTTGCGGCCGCGCAGGCCGCCGGATGAGCGTCGGTAGGTGGAGCGCGGTGTCTGGGGCGCGGGAGAGGCGGAGAGGCGGCGGGTCGAGCCGGAGCCGTGAGTCGTGACGCGTGGGCGGAGAGGCACGTTGTGTGTGGACGGAGGCGGGTGTGTGTAGACCGAGCTGCGGTTTGCGTTGCTGGTGCGCCGGCCGCTGCGCGAGTCGCCTTGCGACCGTGTGCTTTCTGGAATCTTCGGTGACTTTTCGCTGCTAGCCTTCGAGTTTGGCGAGCGGGCGCGCTTCGAGGTTTCCTTGATCCAGTTCCGGAGCGAGAGGAGGTGGTTGATAAAGGGTTGCTTCCGGCGGCGCTTGGGCACGAAGCCGTTGGGGTGGAGGAGATCGGGATTGCTGCCTACCACCTGCAACATGCTGCTGTGTGATCTCCGTTTGTGTCTGTCGAGGTCTTTCGCTGGCGGCGGTGGCCGCGACGACGAATTCGACTCGCGACCAAAGTCTTTCTCAGGCAGCGTTGGAGGCTGTTCGAGGACCAGGTTTGGACCGGCGCTCGACTCTGGGAGATCGGGCAGGTCGGGCACAGGAGGGACACCTAGATAGCTGTTAGCACACACACATTCTTCAGCGAGCTCGCATAGTCACCATGGGTACTGCGCCGGTTGATCGACCGTCCCCGGCTCTTGGGCGGATCTCCGACGATCGGGTAATGCTGACCTTCCTCGTCGGTTTCCCTGATGGTGGGGGCGAGCTTGTCGAGTCGACTGCTAGCCGCGCTCAACCGTCTCAAGCTCTTTGCTTCGGCCTCGCGCTCCTTGCGCTTGCGCTCTCTTCTCCTGGCCTTGCGCTCCTCTTTTTCCAGTAGTAGTGCCCACCATCCTGCCAACGAGTCGCAGCGCTGCGCCAGGACGTTCTCGATGACCAGGTCGATGTCAACTCCAGCCGCCCGCATGCGCTGCAGCACCTCCTTCTCCAGCTCGGTCGAAAACGGCGCGGGCTGCTGCAGCTTCAGCGTCTCCTGCTGGCGCGGCGCGTACTCGGACAGCCACGGGTTCTGGAGTATCTCGGCCAGCGTGGGGCGCAGGATCGGGCGCTTCGAGAGCAGCGACTGGCACAGCTCGCGCGCCTGCGGGGGGAAGCTGTCGGGGTACGGGGGCTCCTCCTTCAGGATCTTCATCTTAGTGATGTTCTCGTCGTCGTCGTCGAAGGGCAGCTCGCCGACCAACAGGGCATACAGAATAATGCCCAGGCTCCACACGTCGACCTTCTCGCCGGCGTACTTCTCGCCCTTGAGCATCTCCGGGGCGCTGTAGCAGACCGTACCGCACCATGTCTGCAGGTAGTTGCTCTTGCCCTCGTACTCGCGCGTGAAGCCAAAGTCGCACAGCTTGACGTCGCCGTGCTTGTCCAGCAGGATGTTCTCGAGCTTCAGGTCGCGGTGCACGCAGGCCTTGTTGTGGACGTAGGTGACGGCGCCGACGAGCTGGGTGAAGATGCGCTGGACCTTGGGGGGCTCGAGGGCGCCCTTCTTGAGCAGGTAGTTGTACAGCTCGTCGCCGGGGCAGTACTCCAGGGCCAGCCACACCAGCTCCTCGGTCACGATGACCTCGTACAGGCGCGCAATGTGCGGGTGGATGAACTGGCGGTGGTGGTGGATCTCGCGGGCGAGGTTGGCGTCGTCCTTCTTGGCCGACTTGAGCACGACCTTGGAGCCATTGCTGAGCTTGTGCGCGGCCAGGTAGACCTTGCCGAAGCTGCCCTTGCCGATCAGCTTGCCCAGGGTGTAGTTGCCGACGCTCTTGAGGTCGGCGGCCGCGAATTCACTGCGCGGTCAGCATGGCGGGCGGCACGGGGCGGCACGGGGCGGGGTGCTTACTCGAGAAGCTGCTTGTACGAGTTTGCGAGCTGGCGGGCGTCAGTACGGGCGTCAGTACGGGAGTCGGAAGCCGGCGCGGCGCTGGTGTGCGCCCGCGCGGCGCGACGCACCTTCTTTCGCTGTGCTGCTTGTTCAGCGGCGGCCCGGGGATTCATGAGAAGCGCCTCGTGTGCGTGCAGTCGGGCGTGCCTCCGCCGTCATCTACCACGGCGTGTGAGGACGCTGGGCCTGCGCCGGGTGGAGAGGCCGCACACGCCAGGCCGCGGGGCGAGAAGCGCGACGGGCAAGGCGAGGCGAGGCGAGGCGACGGGCGAGGGAGGCCGCACTTGCAGGCGGCGGCGATGGGGCAGGCGGCTGCGTTTGCGTGTGGGATCGCTTGGAGCTCGCGAGGAGATCGCGAGAGGCTGCGCGGCGTCACCCGTGGACCTCCTGAAACGGGGCCGTGGTGTTCGCAGATCATCCGGCGCCCTGCCGCAGCGGCGGCCGTGCCTCTGTTTGCACGGCTGCACGTTTGCCCTCGACGCGGGCCCTGGCCCAACAGTTGGGAGCCAGCAGTGCGCCGCGCAGTGCACCGCGCAGTGCACCGCGCTACCCAGCGTCGCGCCCATTGGAGTGCGACGCCACGAGAAGTCACCCATGCTGTGGCAGTGGCAGCTGTGCAACCAGCGCAGCGGTACCACGCCAGTCGCCGCTTGTCCATTCACGAATCACAGCTGCCGCCTGCCGTGCTCGGCCCTATACAAGCTGCTTAAGTATTGTCTGCTTACTGCATGCTTGTTGCACTGTTTACTGCACTGCACTGTTTACTGAACTGCACTGTTTACTGCACTGCACTGCTTACCGCATGCTTGTTGCCTGCCTATTGCACTCCCCACCTGCTCATGACCCTGCTTATTGCACTCCCACTCACTCACAGCTTGCTCCCCCCCGGCGCCGCCGCAATAAACGTCTGCCCCAGCCTCAGCATGTGCACCGCCTCAGCCACCATGTCCTCGACAATGCGCGCCGCGGGCTGAATATCCTGAATCACGCCCGCGACCTGCCCCATCAGGAACGGAATATCCACGTCCTTGCCGTCGTCCATGTCCTGCGCGAGCGGCACCACGCCCTTGTCCAGCAGCGCCTTCATCTCGGGCTCGCGCGCGTGCCAGTCGTTGATGTAGTCGTTGTAGCGCACGCGCAGCGGCCGCCCGGACACGACGAGCGTGCGCCCCGTGTCGGTGAAGTCGGCGGATACCACGTGCTCCTTGTGCATCTGCGAGCACCCGGCTTCCGTGGATGCGACGAAGCGTGTGCCCACCCACACGCCCTGCGCGCCCTGCATCAGGCTGCTCGCCAGGCTGCGCCCGTTGTAGATGCCCCCCGCGGCGACCACCATGGCGGGCTCGCCGGTGAGCGGCGACTTGTATCTGCGTGCGACGTCGACAACCGCGGGGATCAGGATGCTGTTTGAGATGTCGCCCGTGTGACCTGTACATGTCAGCGGCCTCGCTATCTGTATGCTGCGTGCGCCTGCTTACCGCCGCCCTCGCCGCCCTGCGCGCAAACGATGTCGACGCCCGCGTCCAGCGCCTTGACGGCGTGCTTGGGGTGTCCGACCATGTTCATGATCAGAATGCCCGCCTCGTGCAGTCTCTTGATAGTGCGCGCGGGCGGCACACCAACCGCGCTGACGAACAGCTTCGCGCCGTTCTTGATCGTGACTTCAATCAGGTCGTCCAGCTGGCCGTGTGTATAGTCGTGGTTCGTCTTGCGCGCGCTGCCGCCGACCTGCGGGAGCGCGAGGTCGACGCCAAACGGGAGGGATTTGTCCGTCAGGTTGCTCTTCAGGTCGTCGATGATGGACTGCAGCTGCTGCGGCGTGTAGCCGAGGCCGCCAATGACGCCGAGTCCGCCTGCGTTCGAGACAGCCGCTGCGAGTGGACCGCCCGATGTTCGCGCCATGCCGGCAAGGATGATGGGGTACTGTATCCCCAGGAGCTTCGAGAGCGGCGTTTGGAGCGAGGGCGTCGCCATTGTGGAACCGGGTGTCTTGGATCTGCAACAGGAGCGAACTATTAGAAAGCTATGCAGGTGACAGGTAACACCAGACTGCGGGTCGCAGAGTCGGTATTAATCTATTTGCGAGCATCATGGGAAATCTGGGGTTGTCAGTGCTAATAACGGCTGTGGTTAGCCGCTGCAGGGGAGGCTTGCGGGGAACGGCTGTTGTCGTTGAGCCGAGGCGTCTGCCCAACTCGACTCGACACATGGAGATGACCGTGCCTGACAAACAAGCCAGACTGGGCTCCGTGACAGCCTCCACGTGCCATTTGCCGGTCTAGTCGCTGTCCAATGTTTGTTCTTGCCAACCCTGTCCGTGCTGCAGCCTAAGATGCCGAAAATCGCCAGACCATGGACGTCAGCACAACGAATGTGTTGCCTCCCTCTTTTGGATGCTGACAGCACGAAAGGAAGATCTAGTCAGACGAGCTATTGAAAACATATGAACAATGTGAGATGAGCAGTCAGACTGAATGTCATTGCCTTGCAGATAGTAATATACAGCTCTGAGCGAAGCCAGTCGTGTTTCTTGCGTGTGCGTGGCATGATAGGCGCCGTGCGTAGCTGCACGAAACGTCGGCCAAGAGGCCTGCTTCACTGTGGTGGGCACTGCCGGAAGGAAGAGGCTGGACGAAGCTGAGATGGACTGACTTCGGGTTCTAGGACACGACAATTAGCGCTTGACTCCATTCATCTGCCCGTTGGGCTGTTTATGGCTAGCAGGTTTGCCATTCACAACGCTCTGCGGCGGAGGCGGAGGTGGTGGTACGGGTCCGAATGGTCGACGCTCGGGTGGAGGCTCGATGGCATCTTCTTCAGTGTCGTCGTCGTACTCGCCGCTCCCTTCATCGTCTTCCTCGTCTTCGTAGTCGTACTCACTCTCCGTGACCTCTTCGTCCTCCTCCAGCTCCGCCATAGGAACCTGACCTCGTCCTTGCGCCTGCATGCCACGACACAGCGTTTCGAGGCGAGCAATCTTCTTGCGTTGATCTTCGGCGTCTTTTGTCTTTCTCGCCAGCTCTTCCTGCATTCTCTGCCGCTCTTCTACCATCTCTCCGATATTGCGATTGGTGATCTCCTTGTGACGTTGTAGATTCTGGTTCTCTTTCTCGAGGCGCTTGGTCTTCTTCGACATCTCCTCCATCTCCTTGCGGAACGTCAGGAATAGGTCGTTGGAGTTGTTGAGTGTTTCCTCAACCTGCATCTAGTCAGTATTAACCAACATGCTACCAGAACAACAATGGGAAGCAGTAGGGAGACTCACCTGCTTGAACTTCTCAACGTAGATGTTGAGTTGAGTTCTCAGCTCGGTTTCGGTTTGCGAGAAGGTCGACACCTGCCTCGTCAACTGGTGCGACTTGGACGACTCGGCTTCTTGCTGTTTGCGCTGCTGCTCCAGCCGTGCCATCTGGTACTGTATCTCGAGCTCTTTCGTACGCAGGAGGGAGTGGAATTGCAGCTCACGCAGCTCGTACTGGTCAATGAAGGACTTAAACTTCAGTCGAAATCTGAGACAATTAGTATGCTGTTGACGGATATGTAGACTCAACGCACGCTTCGTCTAGCTCAATGTCACGTTCGTCTGGTCGCTCTGGACCCTCGGCCACTCTGATGCAATCGTCCACTTCTGCAATCAACGTCTCGAGTCGCGTGTGCAGCTCGTGCCTGGCGGTTGATTCGCTGTTCTCGAGCTTGTGCAGCTCGTCCTTTAGCTTCTTGTTCTCCTTGGCGAAGTCTCTGGAGAGCTTGTCGAGCTTGTCCTTCATGGTGGTGACCTTGGTCAGCTCTGACCGCTGGGCGTCCTTCTCCTTCTGCAGCTGATCGCCGCGCTTCTTCGCCTTGGAGTGCTCGCGTTCCATTCGCTTCATGTCGGAGAGCAGCTCGGTGTACTTCTTTTGCAGGGCCGTCAGCTGGGACATGGGGCCGTCCATGTTGGAGAGGAGCGATGCGATCTCGCGGTTCGCCTTCTTGACCTCGCGCTCTGTACAGACACAAGTCAGCCAATGGCCTCCCAAGAGCGCAGTAACGTGCCGTTTGCTCTGCTTCTCAGCTGCCCCGCAACATGCAGATGCAGAAGTGGCACGCGACACGGCCCCTCGTTCGCCGCTCGCACTACGGAAAGAGATCACCCACCGACTTCAAGCTCCTGCTCCTTGTCGCCCGCGGCATCGAGCTCGAGCTGCGCGATCTTGGCCTGGATCTGCTTCTGCTGCTCGGACGGGTCGGCGGCCTTCTTGCCCTTGCCTTTCTTCGCGGGCGCGGGGGCGGGCGCGGGGGCGTGCTGGGCGGGGGCCATGGCCGGGGAGGGCGAGGCGGAGGCGCTGCGACTCGAGGCCGGGTGCGCGTGGGCGGGGGCGGCGGGCTGGCGCTGTTGGGCTACAGTGGCCATAGATGGCGACGGCCGTGGGCGCTGGGGGGGTCGCTGCGCGCCTGGCGGCTCTCACGCACGTGTCGGCGGGCGTTTCAACAGCGGGACTCGGCGCCGGGGGCACACGAGCGCATGCGCAGGGCGCGGTGGGCGACAGGCTCGATGCGCACAGCGAGGATTCGTCCGTGGCGGCTCGGCGGCGTCGGGGCTCGCAGCGGGTCTCGAGGCGCGCGCGGGCGGAGGGTGCGGGCGTCAGTGTGCGGCCGGCGGCGATGCTATGTACAGGAGGGCGGCGCGCCGGGGGCCAAGGGGGGACAGGGTGATTGGGCAGTGTCTCGCAGAGGTATGCAGCAATGGTGGAGGGGGCCGGCTCTGCGTGTGCAAAGTCGTTAGTCGCTGCCCCGGACACGCTCCTCTCCACCACGCCTCTCCCTCCCAGCGCTCACGGCAGACGCGCAGCCTGCGTCTCTCTACCCGCCGCCATGCCCGCCGCCCCTTGCATCTGCAGCGCACGCAGCCTGCTGCCACCGCGACGCTTAGTAATGAGCATTTTGCCGGCTAGTCGAGGCGGGCGGCAGCACGCGGGCCGTCCAATCGGCGCGTGAGGCGTGAGCGTCATCGCAGCGGTGCACCCTCGAACTTTCTGCACGCGAGCTCTGCAGTCCGCGACCACACACCACATCGCAAGCATGCTGCGCACCGCCCGGCTGCAGCTCCGCAACACGCGCCCGCCGCCGACGAGCCTGCGCCGCCCCGCGCACATCGCCGTGCGGGGCTATGCCGCCGTGACCGACGTCGCCAACTTCCCCAAGGTCGGCGAGCAGCTGCATGGCTTCACGCTCAAGCGCGTCAAGCAGGTGCCCGAGCTGGAGCTGACGGCGCTGCACCTGCAGCACGACCAGACTGGCGCCGAGTATCTGCACATTGCGCGCGACGATGCCAACAACTGCTTCTCCATCGGCTTCAAGACCAACCCGCCGGACGACACGGGCGTGCCGCACATCCTCGAGCACACCACCCTGTGTGGCAGCGAGAAGTAAGCCGCCGCCGTCTTTTTGTGCCCCAATGCTAACAGCGCCAGATACCCCATCCGCGACCCCTTCTTCAAGATGCTGCCGCGCTCACTGTCCAACTTCATGAACGCCTGGACCTTCCCCGACCACACCGCGTACCCCTTCGCCACCACCAACGCCCAGGACTTCCAGAACCTCATGTCCGTATACCTCGATGCGACCCTAAACCCGCTGCTGAAGGAGAACGACTTCACCCAGGAGGGGTGGCGCATTGGGCCGGAGAACCCACTGGCGGCCGACACGGACGACCCGAGCGCAAAGAAGCTGGTGTTCAAGGGTGTCGTGTACAATGAGATGAAGGGGCAGACGTCGGACGCAAGCTACCTGTTCTACGCCCGCTTCCAGGACCACCTCTTCCCCGCCATCAACAACTCGGGCGGCGACCCTCAGAAGATCACCGATCTGACCTGGGAGCAGCTGCGCAAGTTCCACGCCGACCACTACCACCCGAGCAACGCAAAAATCCTGACGTACGGCGACATGCCTTTGGTCGACCACCTGAAGGAAGTGAACGAGCGCCTAAGCAGCTTCAACAAAATACAGGTGGACCAGGAGGTCAAGGCGCCCATTGAGTTGGACAGCCCTAAGGAGGTCACAGTCCCCGGCCCTATGGACCCGTTGGTCCCGCAAGATAAGCAGTACAAGACGTCAGTGACATGGTTGATGGGCGACACAGCCGACGCTGTCGAGAACTTTGCGCTTGGTGTTCTCAGCAGTCTGATGATGAACGGCTATGGGTCGCCGCTGTACCGCAATTTGATCGAGTCCGGCCTCGGTGCCGACTTCAGTGCCAACACTGGATACGACAGCGCAGGACGGAAGGGAGTCTTCTCCGTTGGACTGGACGCCGTCAAGGCTGAGGATGTGCCCAAGGTCCGCGAGGCCATCATGAAGACATTCAAGGAGTCGCAACAGAACGGCTTTGACGAGATCAAAGTCAACGGCATTCTCCACCAGTTGGAGTTGTCGCTGAAGCACAAGACCGCCAACTTCGGCATGGGCATCATGCAGAGGCTGAAGCCCGGCTGGTTCAACGGCATCGATCCAATGGACGCGCTCGCGTGGCAAGAGACTGTCGATGCTTTCCAAGCAAAGTACGCTGAAGGCGGTTACTTGGAGGGACTCATCGAAAAGTACCTACTCACCGAGAACACACTCACATTCACAATGAAGCCATCTGAGACCTTCAGCCAAGAACTCGTCGAGGAAGAGAGCCAACGACTGGCGCAGAAGATCGCCGAGACCACAAGCAAGTTCTCAAGCGAGGAGGAGGCACAGAAGTATCTCGAGAAGCGCGAGTTGGAGCTGCTTGAGGTTCAGGAGAAGGCCAGAACCGAGGATCTCAGCTGCTTGCCCACTGTGCACGTCAAAGACATCCCGCGAGAGAAGGAGAGGAAGCCTCTTCGCCACACCAGCATCGGCGACGCCAAGGTGCAATGGCGCGAAGCTCCCACTAACGGCCTGACATACTTCCGTGCGGTACACCGGTTGGAGAACCTGCCAGACGAGCTGAGAGAGCTGATCCCGCTCTTCACAGATGCTCTTATGCGTCTGGGGACAAAGAACAAGACTATGGAGCAGCTGGAAGAGCTGATCAAGCTCAAAACTGGAGGCATCTCGGTCGGCTACCACTCCAATCAGTCGCCACTGTCGCTCGACACTTACGAGGAAGGCATCGCTTTCTCCGGCTATGCTCTCGACCGCAACATCCCTGACATGTACGAGCTGCTGCGCACAATCCTGCAGGAAACCGACTTCGAATCCCCAGAAGCAGAGAAGAAGATTAAGGAACTCCTCCAGGCCTCGTCAAGCGGTGCGGTCAACAACATCGCGTCTTCTGGCCACTCGTATGCCATGCGATACGCCGAGGCAGGTATCACATCTGTAGGACGCCTCGCAGAGCAGACCGGCGGCCTCACCCAGGTCAAAGTCACAACCAAGCTCGCCGCCCTTGAGTCCCTCACAGAAGTCATCCAAAAGCTCAAAGCGATCCAATCCTTTGTCATCGCAAACTCATCCAACCTCCGCGTCGCCCTCAACTGCAGCCCCGAGTCTGCAACACCCAACCAAGACGCCCTTGCCACCTTCCTCACCTCCCTCCCCAAATCCGTCGCCGTGCCCTCCACATCGCAGGAAAACACCTACCCCCGCAACGCGAAATCCTTCTTCCCCCTTCCCTACCAGGTCTACTACTCCGCCCGCGCCGTCAAAACAGTCCCCTACACCGACCCCGCCAGCGCGCCCCTCGAGATCCTCGCCAAGCTGCTCACCTTCAAGCAACTGCACCCCGAGATCCGCGAAAAGGGCGGCGCCTACGGCGGCGGCGCCTACGCCCGCGGCCTCGGCGGCGTCTTCGGCATGTACTCCTACCGCGACCCGAACCCGGTCAACAGCCTGCGCGTGATGCGCGACGCCGGCGTGTGGGCGCGCGACCGCGCCTGGTCGGCCCAGGACCTCGAGGAAGCCAAGCTGTCCGCGTTCCAGGGCTACGACGCGCCGCAGAGCGTCAGCCGCGAGGGCATGCGGCTGTTCCTGTCCGGCGTCGACGACGACGCGCTGCAGCTGCGCCGCGAGCGGCTGCTCGACACGACGGCCGCGCAGGTCCAGAGCGTCGCGGATGCGTTCCTGGTCCAGCGCGCGGCCGAGGCGAATCTGGCCGTGCTCGGCGAGAAGAAGGAGTGGGCTGCGGACTGGGAGTTGCGCGACCTGGGCATGGCGGCGCAGAGCGAGGCGGCGCAGCCCGAGGCTGCTGCTGCTGCCGCGGCCTAGACGCGGTGGTGTTGTGTGTATGTATCATAGCTTGTACAGTATCCCTACTCCCGCATCGCCGGTGTTCGCACTGGGGCTGATGTATCTGCCTTCGCCTTCGTTCCCTTCACTCTGGCCGTGGCGGCTTGGGACCCGTGATAGTGATCATGTGCTGTCCTCCGTGTGAAATATATCCCAACCAGCGCAGAACCACAGACGTACTGCCCACTCATGGCGGCTACGCTTGTGCCCCCCGGGGACTCTGCGCGAGAGCAATGTCGCCACCAGCCCAGCTGCGCGCTTGGGCGGGGCGCTGGCCTCCTTACAGAACTGCCTACGAGCGAGATCTTTCTCTGGGTGGACTATATTGGAGGGCACATTTCCTCACAAACACTGGCATGAGTAGCGCGCAAGAGGGGGTTTGAGGGAGTGGTAGCATGAGCTGCGGCCGCATCTACATCTACTACGTACACGCCTTTCTTGTGGCTGCCTACGCTTTGCGTGCTAGGCGACGACTTCCAACGCGCCGCCGTCCTGCCACATCCCGCTACTCCTCCTCCCACGGTGCCAGTCCCTGGCGCCGTTTCCACGCCGCCACCCGGCGCGACACCTCGTCCAGCTGCTGCTGCGTGTGATCGCGCGCGCTCGTGCTCAAGGCACCCGAGTCCTACTCGTTAGTGACTGCTTGCACGAGGGCGCCCTGCTCGGCCTGGTCCAGGCCATCGAGCGCGGCCATGTCGTCGGCGTCAAGCTCGAAGGCGTAGAGCGCTGCGTTGGACTCGATGCGCGAGGGCGTGTCGCTCTTGGGGAGCGGGACGAAGCCGCGCTGCAGACTCCAGCGGACGAGGATCTGGGCGTCGGACACGCTATGTTTCTTGGCGAGGCGCTGGAGGGTCGGGTCAGAGGCTTTTTGGTTGCGGACTAGTGGGCAGTAGGCTTCGACGACGATGTTGTTGTCGTGGCAGTACTTGACGGCGTCTTTTTGCTGGCACCAGGGATGGAGCTTGGGCGTGTTAGTATAAGATGTATATGCAAACAACGAACGGAACGTACCTCGATCTGGTTGATGGCTGGCGGCCAGACCTTGCCGATGCTCTTGATCTCCTCGATATGTCCGATGCCGTAGTTGCTGACGCCAATCTCGCGCGCCTTGCCTTCAGCCTTGGCCTTCTCCAGCGCAAGCCACATCAGCTTCCTCTTCTCGGGACCCGCGTTAGGGCTGTGAATGAGGAAGAGGTCCACGTATCCATCCTTACCTGCGAGCTTCTCGACACTCTCCAACACGAACTTGTATGTCGACTCGACGTCGCTGCCCGGGCTGAGGATCTTGGTCGTGAGGTAGATCTCCTCGCGCTTGAGACCAGATTCCCGCACTGCCTGGCCGACCTGCTCTTCGTTCGCGTAGTACTGCGCCGTATCGATGTGGCGGTAGCCAGCCTTGAGGGCTGTAAGACAAGACTTAATGCATGTCTCAGGCGGGGACTGGTAGACGCCAAAGCCAAGCTGGGGGATCTTGTGCGAGGAGTTGGGGAGAGGAAGCGTCGAGTCCAAGCTAAGCTTAGACATCTTGGGCGTGTTGGTGGTGGTTGAGTGACGTTGAGATGCACGGGTGACTGTTGGTTTGCAGACGGCAAGACGTGACAAACGGACTAGTCGAGGTGAAGTGAACATGAGAGGAAGCTGCAGCGTGGCCTGATCAATGCTGCATTGGTGGCTCTAAACGCCGCCCTGCGCATACCGAGCGCTCATCTAGGTAGTCCTGATGTCATTGTGTTAACGCTCATTGAGCTTGACAGTGGGTCAAATCATTGGACTAGAGCTTTACATGAGCAATCGAAATTGAGACTAGAATCTTCACCACTGGAATGTTCAGGACAGAGCCTAATTGGCCATTGTGGTAGCTCTGCTCTGTGCTGGCATGTGTTTGTTGCAGTGTTGTTGCCCCTCCATCACGCTTGCTGCTTTGGTGGGGCAGACAGAACGTGTTGTTCGCGTTGGGCAACCGCGTCATCTTGAAATTTTTAAGCAACAATACAACCAACTTCAAAGCCGACAACATGGTCCTCCAGGCGATCAAGTACACGCGGGGACAGCTTGAGATCCTTGATCAGCTCAAGCTGCCTCATGCCGAGGAGTATGACCACATCTACTCCAGTACCGACGCATGGCATGCAATCAAGGAGATGCGAACTCGAGGAGCACCGGCTATTGCGATTGTTGCCGCGCTCGCTCTGGCAGTCGAACTCACAAACATGAAGCTCTCGTCGGTGGCAGAGGAAGTACAGGTCTTCATTACAGAAAAGTTGGATTACTTGGTGACCAGCCGACCGACTGCTGTGAATCTCGCAGACGCCGCAGGCAAGCTGAGGAAGATCACCGAGGAGAGTGCTGCAAAGAGTGGGGCTAGCGGAGATTCAGTAAGGGAGGCGTATGTCACAGCTGCAGAGCAGATGCTTGTTGACGATGTGAGCGACAACGAAAACATCGGCAAACATGGCGCAGAGTGGATCGTGAAGAACACCGAAGCTGGCAAGAAGGGACCAGTGAGCATGCTGACGCATTGCAACACTGGGTATGTTTGTGCCCTCGCGTTTGGGTAACGCTGCTAAACCGATCAGGTCACTTGCAACTGCTGGATACGGAACTGCGCTGGGTGTCATTCGATCTCTGCACTCCAGTGGAACACTGAAACATGCTTTCTGCTCAGAGACCCGCCCATACAACCAAGGCTCAAGGCTGACCGCTTTCGAGCTGGTACATGACCAGATACCAGCAACCTTGGTCACGGATTCCATGGCTGCGGCGCTCCTCCGACTTAGAGGCGGCAGCGAGAACATTGCTGGCATCGTCGTCGGTGCTGACCGTGTCGCTGCGAACGGTGACACTGCTAACAAGATTGGTACTTACTCCTTGGCTATCCTTGCAAAGCACCACGGAGTGAAGTTCCTTGTCGCTGCACCAAGGACCACCATTGACCTGAAGACCAAGTCCGGAGCAGACATCGTCATCGAAGAACGACCTGGAAAAGAAGTCACTATGGTCAAGGGGCCCCGCCACGATGGCGTTAACTTGGATCTTGCAGTTGTGGAGACTGTCAGCATCGCAGCGAACGGTATCAATGTGTGGAACCCTGCATTTGATGTCACCCCTGCCGAGCTCATCGACGGCATCATCACCGAAGTGGGCGTGTTCGAGAAGGACAGCGAAGGGGTGTTCCATTTGGAGGAGGCTTTCCAAGCAAAGGGCTCGGAGGTGAAGCCCTCAACGATTGGAGGCTTGTAGGCGAACTTGCAAAAGCAAGAGTATATAGATACCCAATGTAGTTAAAAGTGTGCTGCTATCTTGAAATGCAGATATCAACCCTCTCTCCACATCCATTACCAACGTCTAACTTTCATGCTTGTATTCCACGATCGATCTTGCAGGTCTACTTGTGCTTGACTCGACTGTTTGCTCAAATCAGGAGGTGTGTCGTTTGTACCTTGGACGCGCAACACTCGGCAGAGGGGATTCTTAGCCGTCCTCCTTGCTTGATCTGCTACTGGTCTGAGCAACCAAGGCTGCCTCATGAGCTGTTGCCTTGATCTTTGCCAGCTGGCTTCTCGCTGGAGGACGCGCCAGCCTGCATATCCTTCTCGGCCTTCTCGGCTTGTGCCAGGAGCTCTTCGATCTTCTTCTCCAGCGAGTCGAGGTGGCCTTCCAGCGCAGAGGCGGTCTGCTCGCCCCGAGCAAGCTCCTTCAGTGCCTGTGAGAGCTGTCAGGAACTGTCTCAGTCGTTCGTGGAGCTGCCTACTTCAGCGAAATCGGCATCTGCTCTCGGCGCCGGCGCTCCGTTCTGATCGTGCGACATAGTAGACGTGGTGCAAGATCTTTGCTATTGCGGTGGCTTGGATGCATGCGCGTCTGTAGCCCGCAGCTACCCAACGTTGCGTCATTGGGCCTAGCGCGAACGGGACCTGGAGAGAGCTGCACAGACAGCCGGCAGCCCGACCTTACACATCACCCTCTCCACCTGTTCGCGCGATTCCTCCTGAATCTCTGAGTCCACCTCGCATGCGCAGCACCCGAGCCGTTTGATCGACCCGCGACCGCTCGCACACGATGTTTTCGGGGTCGAGCTCGTACCTAGGGGGCGGGAACAGTGCCCGCCAGTATGGCCAGCAGCCGCAGCAGCCGCAGCAGCAGCAGTTTGGCCAGCAGCCGGGCTTCCAGGGCGGCATGCAGCCCCAACAGACGGGCTTTGGAGTGCAACCGCAGCAGACGGGCTTTGGAGGCGCCCCGATGCAGCCAATGCAGCAGCAGTTCACTGGCTTCCCGGGGCAGCCGCAGGGCTTTGGACAACAGCAGCCTCAGCAGACTGGATTTGGACAGCAGCCTCAGCAGACTGGGTTCGGTCAACAACCTCAGCAGACTGGCTTTGGACAGCAGCCCCAGCAGCTCCAGTCGCAGTTCACCGGCTTCCCTGGCCAGCAGCAGAACCAGAGCTTCCAGCAGCAAGCTCCCCAGCAGCAGCCGTTCCAGACCGGCGCACCGCAACAGCAGCAGCAACAGCAGCCTCCGCAGCCGCAGCGACCCCAGCCCACGGGCATGACCTCGGCCGCAATGGCCGACTCCTTCCGAGGATCCTCGTCTGTGCCACCGCCGGTGCCTGCGAAGACAGGCAGCAAGATCCCCAGCATACGGCTGTCGTTCATCACAGCGCAGGACCAGGCCAAGTTTGAGCAGCTGTTCAAGTCTGCTGCGGGCGATGGCACAGTCCTGTCGGGCGACCAGGCGCGCGACTTGCTGCTGCGCTCGAAGCTGTCAGGAGACGCGCTCGGTCACATCTGGACGCTGGCTGACACCACCAAGTCGGGGCAGCTTTTGTTCCCCGAGTTCGCACTCGCCATGTACCTCTGCAACCTGAAGCTGACAGGGAAGGACCTTCCAGCCGCCCTGCCCGACCGCGTCAAGAACGAAGTGTCGAGCATGGTCGACATCATCTCCTTCAACATCGCCGATGAGCAGCCGAACCGTGCTGCCGCCGCCAGCAATGCGCCCTCGTTCAACGAGCCTCCCACAATTCAGCAGCCGCAGCCACAGCCATCGAACAGTCAATTGCTGTCATCATTGGCGTCTCAGCCGACTGGATATGGCCAACAGCCCATGGGTATGCAACCGCAGCAGACTGGCTTCGGCCAGGGCATGGGAGGCGGCTACAACGGACCGCGTCCCCCCATGCCGCCGATGCCTACTGGGTTCGGTGGTAACAACTTGGCCCCTCAGCAGACTGGCATGGCACCTCTCAATGCTCAGCCAACAGGCATGCCTGGACAATGGGGTCTTGTCAACACCCCTGCTACAGGTCTGCCCAACATCGAAGCGCTGGCAGGGCGTATGATGCCTCAGACAGGGAGAGACACAGGCAATCAGACGACCAGCGGACTCACTGGCAACGCGACTATTCCTTGGGCCATCACAAAGGGCGAGAAGAAGCTGTATGACGAAACCTTCAAGGCTTGGGATGGAATGAGCAAGGGCTACATTGCTGGTGCACAAGCGATTGAGATTCTTGGTCAAAGTGGTCTGCCCAAGCCTGACCTGGAGAAGATCTGGACTCTTGCTGACTCTGCGGACCGTGGGCGTCTCAACCTGGACGAATTCGCTGTTGCAATGCATCTCATCTACCGCAAGTTGAACGGATACCCGGTACCGAACCGTCTGCCTCCTGAGCTGGTCCCTCCATCCACGCGCAACATCAACGACTCTATTGGCGCAATGAAGAACTTGCTTCGCGGAGACGCGGAAGACAGGAAGAACTCTGGCGCATTCCTTCAGCCGCAACGTACTGGTGTCAGCTATCTCAAGACGCACTCGTTCCGGTCCACTAGTCCAGCGGCCGGCGGCCGCAAGGATGCCACTGTCTTCAGAAACAACGATGATAATGCCGGCTATCGCTCAAGCGCAAGACACCGTGTTGGTGCTGGTGGTCGCTCACCTTCGCCCGCTTCGGGTGCCTCTTCCCCACCATCTGGGCGTTCGGACGAGATGAGCTTGGAGCAACTCAGAAAAGCTGTCAAAGAAAAGCAGATCTTGTTGGACGCTATGGATACCCGGGATGAGGACGCCGCTGATGAAGATGACGCTCTTGACCGTCGGGACCGCAAGGAGGCCGATGAGTTGTACCGTCGCATTCGCAGGGTGCAGGACGATATCGATGCTCACCCTAAAGCTTCACTGCATGGGGGCGATTCGGACGCAGAGCGTCGTACGCTCAAGCGTCAGCTTCAGACTTTGACAGATCGTCTGCCCGAGGTCGCATCCAACGTGCGTCGCATCGAACGCGAAATCGCTGATGCCCAACTCGAGCTCTTCAGACTGAAGGATGCCAAAGCGCACCCTGGATCCTCATCTACAATCGTCGGAACAGGGCCCGGTGGCGCCGTCACCGAATCAGACCGATTGAAGGCTCGTGCTAAGGCCATGATGCAAGCACGCTCCGCTGCTCTGACTGGCAAGCCTGCTCCTGCTAGTGACGACACAGGTGCGGCCACGGAGCGCTTAGAGAAGGAACAATCTCGAATTCGATCGGAGAAGGAGAACAACGAGCGCATGATTCGTGACGTGGAAGACAGTGTCAACGAGTACACCAAGGGACTCGACGCCAGTTTGAAGGAGGGTGGACACGACAACCGCAGCGAGCATGAGCGTCGCAGATGGGAAGAGGCTCTTGGTGTCGAGGATGAAGTCAGGGATTTCATTTTCGACATGCAGCGAAGCAGCCGTGCTACTCGCGTACGAAAGGAAGAGAAGTCTCGCGATACAGGGCGCACGCCTTCGCGCACCAACGATGCCCCGTCAACGTCTCGTTACGAGAGCCCTGCACGTGCCACTGAGTCTCCGCGACCAACACCTTCATCCGGTGGTGCCTCTAATTACAAAACACCAGCCGAGCGCGCTGCGTTCATCAAGCAGCAGGCTGAGCAACGAATGGCCGAACGCTTGGCGGCTTTGGGCCTGCGAGCCCCGGCGAAGGCTGGCGAAACCCCTGAGCAGCGTGCAGAGCGCGAGAAGAAGGAGCGCGAGGATAAGCTCAGGCAGGCTGAAGAAGAAGATGCTCGTCGCGAGCAGGAAAGACAAAGGAGACTTGAAGGAGAGTCCGCAGCACCTCCAGCTCCAGCCAAGTCTGTTGGCAAGAAGCCGGCTCCTCCCCCACCAGTGTCGCGCAAGAACAAGACCGAGGTTGCACAACACGACGTGCATCAGGCAGAAGCAGAGGCGAAGAGAGCTGAGAACGAGATTGCTGAGCAGGCTTTGCGGGAACAGCAGAAAGCCCAGGAAGCAGAGACTAAGCGCATGGAGTAAGTCAAGATGAGTGCCATTAAGAGACTATTACTGACGATGTTCCAGGGAGGAAGAGCGCCGACAGGAGGACGAGCTTGCACAGGAGCGCGAGGCTGCCCAGGCACGTCTCAAGGCTCTTGAGGAGCAAGTACAACAGGGCAAGCTCAAGAAGGCAGAGGAGAAGAAGCGCAGAGCTGGCGCGCAGAAAGAGCAACAGGACAAGGAGGCCAAGCTGGCCGCTCAGCGTGCCGAGATCGAAGCTGCTCGCGAACGCGAGCGGCAGTTGCAGCTCCAACTGGAGGCTCTTGATGACGACGACTCTTCTGACGACGACGGTCCCCACAACATCACCCCGCAAGACTCCACTCCCGCTGCAAGCCAGGAGCTACCACGGAGCACAGCACCGCCCCCAGCGCCACCTATGCCACAGGTACCGGGATCGTTCCCAAGCCCGCCCGCATCGGCGGTGACCAGCCCTCACCCTGTTGCTGGAGGTGAAAGCACGAATCCATTCTACAAGAAGATGGCGTTGTCTACCCAGGACAATAACAGCACACCCCCGCCTCCGGCCAGCACCACTAGCGAGCTGTCTACAAATCCATTCCACCGTCTGACGCAGGAGCAAGCCCAGAAGGCTGCCGCGCCGACCTTTAATGAGCCCGCTGCGCCGTCAGCTCGCACCCGTGGAAGGCAAGATGATGACGGTTGGTCTGGTGATGACTCAGATGATTCGTCCTCAGACGATGACGAGGCTCCTACAAAGGGAGGTGCTCAGCATCTGGCTTCCATCTTGTTCGGCACAATGGCACCCCCACGACCTTTGTCGTCGATGGACAACAAGGACTCGCCTGTTCAAACTCCAGCGCCCTCAGCGGGTATTCCACCACCACCTCCAATGCCTACAGGCGCTGTACCTCCTCCTCCCCCAGGTCCTCCACCACCTCCGATGGGAGGGGCTCCTCCACCCCCACCAATGCCCACTATGAAGGCATCTGGCGGTATGGATCGTGGAGCTCTTCTGGGTCAAATCCAGGCTGGCAGAGGCTTGCGAAAGGTTGAGACTAAGGACAGGAGCACATCGTCTACGGCAGGTAGGGTTCTATAGAAAGCACAAGGTTATCTCTGTAAATAGCTTATAATATCATCGTCGCCCTTTTCATCACTGGAACCATCTGACCGTGACCATTTCTGAGCAACCGCTACGACCCCAGGATACTAGAGTGGAGCGGACTCCAGTCGCGGACCGATACGGAAGATCAACGGGGCTTCTTCTCGACCTTATGCTGACGTCGCGTGGTGTTCTCACGATTTTCAATTAACCTCTTCTACATCTCTGTCGGACCGAACTTGCAAAATTGGCAATGTGCAGTTCATCGACTCAAACTATGTTGACACACGAAGCTTTTGCTGTGGAGCGCACTCGAATCAGTATATACGGTATACGGTTATGCGAGTGCGAGTGCGAGGAGTTACACCGCACCGCTTGATTGGAGGAAGAAGCGACCGTAAAGTCCGTATTGGTCCACGCCTACCTACTGATCGCCAGCGTCTGTTCATAGCACCTACACTCCATCGACCCTCCGCGTCTCAGCTTTCGTCCGTTCGCAGGAAGTGTAGAACAGCGCAATACTCTCCCGGAGCTTACGTCTCACTTACTGTGCGCATGCGGCACCGGGACCATTTATTGATCTGACGTGCCACCCTCCGGTGAAGGTTACCACCCCTGGTGGGCACGCTGCATCGGAGGAGCTTCCTCCGACCCTCCATTTATGTCCGCTGAGGCGTTCGCCCCCCTGTGTTCAAGCTCGCCTCGACCCAGAACAAGCCTTGTCTAGGCGCGGCTACCGGCCCCTGGGCTTTCTGATTGGTGCAGGCGTCCAACACACAGATGCAACACACTCTCCCGCCTGCGGATCGTCCGAGGCCTGGTGGGTGGATGCGTATGACTTCCCCTTTGCCCCGCGGCTGGGGTCCTGGGTCATAATCTTGCTTCGTGGGTGTGCTGCTTTATAACACTGTCACGCGCTGTATTGTACGAAACACAAGAGGTGCAACGCAGACTTGGTTGACTGCTGGATCTTTTGTTCTAACGGTACGTTAGCTTCCAAGGCTTGCTTGTGTTGCTACAGCCTTGTCAGAAGAGCAGCATTACCACTTGCAGCTTACTAACGAAGACTCCACAGCACACTTCACCATGACAACACCGTCAACATACACGAATCCTACGGGAGAAGCACAGGAGCCAGAGGAGAAGGATACCGCATCCTACCAGCAGAGCCAAGATGCCGATACCTTCACCACGGATGTCGAGAAAGGCGTTCACAGCCAAGCACTGTCAACTCACACAGACGAACGCGCGTTAAGCGCCGATGCACCAGCTCAAGATCCAAATGTTGTTGACTGGGACGGCCCTGATGATCCTGCGAACCCCCTGAACTGGCCCGCGAAGAAGAAATGGTCCATCATCGCTGCTCTGGGCGCCGTTACGTTCATCACTCCACTCGCATCATCGTTCTTCGCGCCCGGTGTGCCGCAGGTCATGAAGGCATTTGAGGAGCCGTCGAACCTGATGGCGACGTTTGTCGTATCGGTGTACCTCCTCGGTTTCGCTATTGGTATGTCGACTCCAAGCTTCTTTGGTTCCAAGCTGACCACGTGCTATAGGCCCACTTGTCATTGCGCCCATGTCCGAGATGTATGGACGCATGCTCGTCTACAATATCTGCAATGTGTTCTTCGTCATCTTCAACATTGGCTGCGCCCTCTCAAACTCCATGGGCATGCTCATCGCATTCCGGCTCCTCGCTGGATGCGCGGGTGCGTCTCCCCTGACGCTCGGAGGTGGCACGATTGCAGACATGTTTCCGCCCCAGCAGCGTGCCGGCGCCATGGCCATCTATTCCATGGGGCCTCTGCTCGGACCCATTATCGGACCCGTGTGCGGTGGTTTCCTTGTGGAGAGCCTTTCGTGGCGCTGGGTGTTCTACCTGCTTGCCATCTTCGGCGGCGTGTTCGGTGTCTCGCTCGCGTTCTTCGGGCGCGAGACGTTCCACCAGACCATCCTCGCGCAGAAGACTGCGCGTCTGCGCAAGGAGACTGGCAACATGGAACTCCGCTCTAAACTCGACAGCGGGCTCCCGCCCAAGGAGGTCTTTGCCCGCGCCATCGCTCGTCCGATGAAGATGCTCTTCCTCTCGCCCATTGTATTCCTCATGTCGCTATACATCTCCATCAACTACGGCATCTTGTATCTGTTCTTCACGACCATGACGTTCGTCTTTGAGGGCCAGTACCATTTCTCCTCCGGCGCCGTCGGCCTCTCGTACCTCGGTATGGGTGTTGGCATGATCCTCGGCATGGGCATACTGGGTTCAATGTCAGACAAGAATATCAAGAAGCACCAAGCCAAAGGCAACGCGAAGCCCGAGCACCGCCTGCCCATGTTCCTCACTGTCCCTGGTGCTGTTTGCTTGCCGCTGGGTATCTTCTTGTACGGCTGGACAACGTACTACGGCGTGCACTGGATCGGTAAGTCTTCTGTCTCGTATCATCTGCGTCTCCGACAAGCCAGCTAACACATACAGTCCCCATCATCGGCACAGCATTCATTGGCGTCGGCAATCTGACCGCCATGATGACTATCCAGACCTACCTCGTCGACGCATTCACCGTGCACGCCGCGTCCGCCATCGCCGCCAACACGGTGCTCAGATCCGTCTTCGGCGCCGTGCTGCCCCTTGCCGGCCTCGACATGTACGACAAGCTGGGACTGGGTTGGGGCAACTCGCTGCTCGGCTTTGTAGCGTTGGCTTTTATTCCCGTGCCGGTGTTCTTCAGGCTGTATGGCGAGAGAATCAGAACGAACCCCAAGTTCCAGGTCCAGTTTTAAGATTGCGAGATTACGGAAGCATACGGCTGAGTGTTTCGGCTGATAGAGCGTGTCATTGGTTGCATCGCGTGGCGAACTTGCATCATAGATGGTTTCTCATACAACATATACCCCTATAGTAGAATTATTATAATCAAAAGTCATCCTCGATCGGAAGACACACGCGCCCAGGTTTGAATATGTGGTACTAAAAGCCGCTCACAAGCACGTTGGGTTTGATCTTGTGTATCTGGGTAACGTCAGGTTGTCTGCCGGCCGTTGTACGTGTGCATTCTCCATGTGACAACCAACCTGGCTATCGAACCGGTACGATGAACTCGACTTCGTTTAATAAATGACCGTGGTCCGACACTTGCACTTGTGAACGTGGTAATTGAGGTGGTAGAGGGTCAATTCGAATTCCATTGGTACGACCTCGATCCAGGGCCAACGTGCTCTATGCACTGAGATATAATACGCCAAAACGCCACGCCCTATGTGTGCATTGAAAGGCTGCAATCGAAAGAGATAGAAAGTGCTTTTGAGAAGCGCGCCCAGTAGTTCAGTCTCCCAGCACCATACCTCCACCACGCGCGAGACGTGATCTCAGTATCGGCTCGTCGGCGGGATCTTGAGTTCGAAAGCGTTGTCGGTGTGTTGCGCGCAAGGAATCGCGTTTAGAAGAACATGCGGATGACCTCGAAAAGGAGACCTCCGCAAAGAACGAAAGCAAGCAGGACTATCATGGTGTCAGCGTAACATCCTACGCATCTTCCGCAACTCTGGGTGTCGCGTACCGATCCAGCCCTTGCTAATGGGGCTCTTCTGCGGCCCCCTTGGCTTAACGACCACAGGGCCCTCAGGCTTGCCCATCTTCTTCTCCTGCGCCTTAGCAAAGCGCATGTTGGCCTGGCGCTGCTGTGGTGTTTGGGCCTGGCGCAACGGTTAGCTATATTCGACATGTTTCGGCGGAGCTGGCCCGATGCGGACGACAGCTACCAGGGTACGGGCCGGTTAGCGTACCATTGCGACGGGAGTTGTTAAGTTTTGTTTTTGGGGAAAGATTGACGGAGAGAGGGCGGTGAAGAGAAGAGTGAAGGAAGAAGTACTGTGTAAAGGAACGAGTGCGCTATAGGGATGCGCAAGTGATGCAACGGTGTTCCTTACGGAATTAGGAAGCTCGGACGCGGCGCTAGTGCGGAGTGCGGGCGGAGGTTTGCTTGGTGATGCGGTGGTTGCGATGGAGCTTCGCCCTTCCATCAGCGCTATACCAACCCTCCAATTCAAAGCGCGACGCACTCAATTCGTTGTCGCCGACCAACAGCACTTCAATTCTCGATCAGCCATTGAATCGACTAAAAGCAACGACACGCAAGGACCGGGATCCAACACCCAATCGCCAGGATGAATACAATCAGAGCAACACAACTCGTTCGCCAAAGCGCAGCCCGTCAGATGATAACACGAACCACGCGACGAAATCTCTCCATCGAGCCCCAGACACCTCCGCCGCAACCACCAAAAGAACCCTCCAGAGTTGGCGCCTTCTACAAGTCCTTTTCGGCACCCATACTGAAATGCTTCCTCGGCGCGCTCTTCACATACCAGTTGGCGTACTTTGGGTGGATGAAGCTTGAGACAATAGAGGAGGCGCATGGAAAGAAGAACGAGATCCAGAGTCTGCAAGAAGAGTTGGCAGATGCGGTGCACAAAAAGAGAAGGGAGGCTGAGAAAATCGCGGGGAAGGTCGGGAATAAGGTTGAGGAGATCACAGGGACCGATGTTGTAGGGAAGGCCAAGAAGAGCGGGTGGTGGCCCTGGTAAGCTGGTTGAGAAATGGTCAAAAAATGGTCGAGAAAAGGTCTCTACTTAAGAGAACATGTGATAACATGTCGTGTCAAGATATATCTGCAGTACGCATGAGTGTGTAAAAGAGTCAAATTATAGTGGGGTAGACAATCAGGACATACCCAAGTTAAACAGGCCAGTGGCACTCACGAAGCTACAACAATGTCACTTGGGCGACGCCATACACGACTGATTCGGTCCCTAGAGTTGCTACAGTCGCCACTGTTGATCAGCAAAAGCTTGATGAGCATCACGAAACCTTCATATTCAAGTTGACCAAGGAACAGTTTGCGGTCTGGACTACGGTCTCAAATGCCATGCAGACTCAAAGTGTATTTTGGCAATTATACTTCTGTCAGATTAAACTCTTCTTGCTAGTGGCTGTTGGCATGTATCCATTGGAACTTGCTCTGTTCATCGCGCACCTACTGCTGGAAAGACTTGAGCAGTTCCTGCAACTGCGCGTATGTGTCATCGGGGTTCTTCACCGAGTGCCCAATCGTCCTCGAGTCGCTGTAGATCTCGTAGTCGTTGCCGCCCTTGTATGTCTTGTCACCGAAGAAGTGAATGGTTTGGTAGTCCACACCGTCCTCTCTCTCCTTCTCCTTCGCGATGAAGTTCAGGCAGTATGTCTTGTCCCAGCCAGTGGGGAACACGTCGAAGGAGATTTGCCCGCCAATCGAGTATGTAAGTCCGTAGTCAGGGAACTCCTCCTTCAGCTTGCGAACCATGGTAGGGCGGATGTCGTGCTCGATATCGTACTTTTGGTAGTCGTTTCGCTCTTCGGTAGAGGCGTTACGGCCGATGGGAGAGACATTGATCATGCCGTTGCGGAACTCAACAAAGGTACCACGCTTGATGGGAATGTCGAGGTCGGCAATGTAATGCAGAATCCTGGAAACCCGTGTCAGTCTTGAAGTAACTTGCCGGCGAGCAAGAGGCTGGACGTATTCAGCATCGCCTACTACAGGAAGACGTACCACTTCACGAGCTTGTTGTACTTCTCCTGCCCAATCCACCCAATGAAGCTTTGGCTAGCCTGCTCCTCTCCAAGACGGTATGCTGTGAGACCGTTCTCGGCAAAGCAGAAGTCGAAAAGGGATGTGACGTTCACGTCTGCTGTCGCGAGCTGCTCCTGCTGCTTGGCGAGGTTCGAGCCACCTACGAAGCCAATAGCGACCTTGTGACGGAGCTCAGAGAGCAGCTGAAGCATCTCCGGCTTGACGAGCTGGGTGAAGTATTAGCATAGGGCTTTCGACGTGTTCACAGCCATAAGTGAGGCTAAGGAAGTGCCGCAACAATAGGAATAGTCGGCATAATGTAGCATAACAGTTGCCTCCAGAAAGTAGAGGCATAATCATTGACAACTGACGAAGTCCGGTACGTCTTACCTGGCGCGGCTTTGTGAGTGTGTCGTCGACATCGAACAGGAGCACCGTGTTCTTGACCGGGCGCTGGTCAAGCGGAGGGTAAACAGAAGCTGCGGCGGCCATCTTGGGAGAAATACTACTGTGAAGCTCTGGACGTGGATGATAGACAGCTGTAAGAGCGACGATCGCTAATTTCAAGGGTCCGAGAGAAGCAGTAAAGTACTGAGCGTATGCAAGGGAGTCTCAATTGGACTTCGTGTCTTTTGGAGGGGCTAATGTCCCTCACCGCCCCGGGACGCGTGGGGCATCGCCTAACCGAATCCAGTCTACTTCCAGGGTCCAGAGCTAGGGGTAGGTCACGATGCTTGAAAACACCACGAATGCGATGGACTTGTGAAAGGAAATACGTTTCCATTCTGTCGTATGCAGGTTCTAATCCATCTGATTGACTTGAAGTATCAATGCCAGAAGTCTCTTGAGATCTTTATACTACTGATGTCTGCTGGAATCTAATACAACTTAGCTGCCTCATGCTATAAGCTTACTGAGAGTTACAAAATTCCGTTGCATGCTCATTGCACACGTCGTATGCTTCTGATGCAGTGGTCTGTACGACTAGTCATTATTGACAATTGTCATCTCGGGGACTCATTGCTGTACCACGCAGTCTGACCGATCGTACCGAAAAAGCCATCTGACGCGTCTCCCATTCCATCTACCAAAAAACCCATCTGGCGTGTCTTCCGTTCCATCTCCCACATGAAGACAAAACGTATCCCGAGACAGAGCCCAAATGACGAAGCCTGCTCAGTCCAGCTGGCAGCCATCATGGAATGGCTGGAACAAGTAGACATGATATTAGCAAAATAGGCTTGCTGGACACAAGAATAATGATACTGAAAGGGCACTTGTGAGGCTGCCTTGAAAGTCAAAGACCTTTGAAATGTGTACCCAAGGTGGTCGGGATCGCCCACCGTCATTTCCTGGCCACAAAAATTAGATGGCTATGGAAGGATGGACAGGGCGGATCAGGTGCACGTAGCAGAAGGCAGTATGAAACGTCAAGTGAGTTACTGTGTCAAATTTTGTGGTGTGAATATATTCATCTGATCTGACCAACTTTCCATCAAGCATTCTTGGTCCAACGGTAGGATAATTGCCTTCCAAGCAATTGGCCCGGGTTCGACTCCCGGAGGATGCATAAGATCCTTCTTATGATTGACTTGGAGATGACCGTTCTTTTTGCGGTTGTGGGCTTCTTGGACAGGTCCACATCCCCTAGCTTCTTCAAGCCCCTCTTTTTGTTCAAACACACTTCCGCTTCAAACCTGATCAGTGACAACATTCTAATTCTTGTGATGCTATTCTCAAACATCAATGAGTTGTGACGTTGGACGTTGAACCCTGGTGAGATGAGGTACGCGGGGTGGTGCAGCGTCGGGCTGATACAGTGTGCCGGCGCGGCATGCATTCAGCAAGTCATAAGCTCTAAGAGAGTGTCATAGCTGTCCTGTATCGGCCAAACTCTCAACAGATACCCCGGAGCTAACAGTGGGAGGCTGCACCCCTCTGTATCAGCCTTCGGGTTCTCGCGTGCGGGAGCCGCACGCTCACGTGTATGTACGTGGGCGTGCCCACGTGCGTTTCTGAGTCCGCGCACAAATTACCTTTTTTAGTAGTGCGCGCCGCTTTGCTATGTCTGGAGATCACTGCCAAACCCAGCACCCAATCGCTTGCTATACGCCCACGTTCACAACCTAGCGTCTGCGGCTCCAAGAGAGTTTGGAACAAGTTGCGGGGTAAGACAATCAGCCCTGTCGCATCGAGTCCGAACAAAACAGGAGCCATTTCCCGGCTTCAAATCTGGCAATTTTGTCAATTCTCACTCCACCAGCCGCGACGCTCAGGTCACTTCCCGATAGTATTGCAGAGGCAATGAAATGCGGCAACGAAGTGGATGGTTCGTCATTCCCTTGCATGAGTACAAGCGATGCTTTGCTTCGTGTATGTATGACGTAGTACTGAACATTCGTGTAGTAAGGCTTGCCGGGAGCGTCACATCAAGTGTAAGCTCCATGCTGTAAGACCAACGTGTGCATTTCGACCGTACTAAGCCTTGTGTCCTGCAGGCGTCAAGCAGCGCGATTCTGAAAAATGCAAGTACTGTACAGAAAAGAAACGACCCTGCATCAGGGGCAATGCATTTCGCTTTCGGCCAGTCAGAGCCGTGAAGTTTAATGCCGGTGAGGATATTGGCTCTATGGAGCAAAGCCTAGAGTTCGGTGATGGCCAGACATGGGTTGAGATACCTAAGTCTTGTAAGTCGAGCCTAACTCCTTCCTGCACATTTGATACCGATCGGCAATGAGCGGAGATTATACGTTCCAACTAGAAGAGTACACTGAGCTGACTGATTTGGTTGATAGTGCGTTTTATTGCACCAAATTCAGATGGTGATGATGAGGTTATGCCAGTTGAAGTGGAACAAGAGATCACTTCGGATGAGTCAAGTGATAATCCAAAGGATAATCCAAAGGATACGGTGAACAATGATGATGTATTCGGCACAAGTGCTACACATACGGACTTGATTCTCTCATACAACGATCAGTCTCCGTTCTCGAGCATTGCTGTACCTGTCTTCAGCGAAAACGATCTTCCTTCCATCCACGACGTGCTGAGTCGAACAGCCACTCTGGACAACATCTCAACGGTCGAAAAGTTTCAGGTACCACACACCGGCAGAAACGAATCCTTTGCCAGAAATGATTCTCTTAGAAGGACTGATTCGTTGTCTGAGATCTTGCATACAACGGGCGCTTGGCATAACAGCCCTGGCTCAAATCCTCGAGCATCAGCCTCGCCGCATATTTTGAAGAAGAGTCCTCTGGACTCCATCAACAACATCTCGCCCTACAATTCCACGACCTTTCCTCAAAGTCCCTCATCAGCATTGACACCAAAGTGGCCGGTGAGCAACGCATACGAGGCCCGCCTCATCCATCACTACATCATCCACTGTACAGGCTGGATAGATGTATGTGATCCACGCTGCCATTTCGCAAAAGAGGTACCCAAGCGTGCGGCGCATTTCCCAGTCATCTTGAATGGCATTCTTGGTCTAGCGGCTCGACATCTATGGTTGATGGGTAAAGAGCCCGAAGACCATTCGCAGCCATATGTTGACCAGTGTCTTAACGCACTCATTTTAGCACTGGAAGATCCTCTTGCACACTGGGATGAGAACTTTCTCGTAGCTGTCATTCTTCTACGACTGCACGAAGAGATGGGAGACGTCGATGATCAAACCCATCATTTTGGAGCAGCGCGGATACTGAACAGTATATCGTCTTTCGCCGCGGACGGCGGTCTGCGGGAGTCTGCGAGCTGGGTATCGCTTCGTCAACATATCTATGTTTCCCTTACCTCGCAGCAACCGCTCAATCTGAGCCTCGAGAACTATCGTCATTCAGCAGTCTTCCGAGAGTTCGACGATGAGGCTTGGGCGAACCGAGCCATCTTCCTCTTCGCCACCGTCCTGCAGACCATATTTGAAGACAATGGCGAGGCCAACACTAACAGCATGACCAAGGAAAAGTGGACGGAGCTGCATGCTGAGGTCGATGAATGGGAACGCACGAAACCCTGGTCGTTCAGTGCGCTTCATATCGAGCCTGACGCGGGAGTAAAGTTCAACGGCTCCTGGCCTCGGCTCCCATGTCACCAGGGTGTGGTTGCTGTAGGCCTGCAGTATTACCATCTATGCAAGATCATTCTCACAATATATTCGCCAAATGCGTCGCTGGTAGGGCTGGCGGGGGTGCGGGCGCGGAAGGCAACAGATGCATTGATACGAAAACACATACGGATAACGATTGGGTATGGTATAAGTAACGAGCATTGTGACAACGCTATGTTCCAGGGAAGTCACATATTGAGCGCATGCGGTGCATATATTATCGATCCGGCTGAACAAGTCGCTTGTGTAGAATACCTTGAAGGTCTGCAGGTACGGATAGGGTGGAGGACCGACAAGGTTATAGCGGACCTGAGAGAGCAATGGTCCGTCTGAACGAGCAGTCCATATTCAGACAATGGCAAAATGATGGCTCGCAAAATACTCCTGGCTGACACTCCGTATGTCGACTCTTCGCTTTCCTTCGTCTTGCCGTCGAATCACCTCCTCAAGGAGGTCGCCAGTAGCCTTTGCATTTGAAGCAATGCTCTCTAGCCCTCGAATAGCATCGAGAATCCATCGTCGCTCTTCCAGTCTCTCTTCTTCGGCCGCCCAAATCATAAGGGGCCATAGCAAATTGACTGGAAGTGACTCATCGGTCTGGGCCATGAGGTGCGAGAGGCGTTTGATCTCCGCAATGGCTGTGGTGACGTCCTTCGTTTTCGGATACTGTACATACGCAACACGATGTAGATGGATGAAGGACGCATAATAGTTTGCAAGGTAGGTACGGAAGCTTCGCGTAAGTGCGACGGCCAGGTTCTGTGCGAGATGTTTATCGGTCAGATTGCCTGCAACCGCATGATCCATGAGAGCCGGTCGTTGTTCGTACAGCGCATGCAGATCCTTAGAAATTTGCGCAGCCAAGGCCATTACTTCAGTCTCATCTTGTACAGTGCCGCGGCTTCGGTGCCAAGGATCTATTCTGGTGATTCGTCCTACGAAGGACTGCACTTTCTGATAAAACACGATGCCGGGATGGTACAACACATCGAACAAAATTTCTTCGATCTCCATATCCTGGGTCTCGGGTCCTGAAGCAGGGTTGGCGGCTGGCGATGCATCGAACAAAGATTCGTCATTATCTGCGAGGAACAGTCCTTCGCCTCCATTGGTAGATACAGCGCGTGCATCGAGAAGACGGAGCCAGGAAATCAGACGCCTCTCTGGCACAGTAAATGACATTTTGTTTGCGTTTTGTATCAGAGAGTAAGCTTCACGCAAATTGGCATGTGCTCTGGGAAGGGTCTCTGTAAGTAACTTTGAGGGGTCGTTAGTGATATGCGTGTACGGGGCAGATGTATGCAACTTACGTCAGTATATGTGAGAAGAAAAAGAGACGCCAGTATATGCTTAAGCCCACTCTTAGGCGTTTCTGTGCCTTCCGACTTTCGCTTTTTTGTAAGGGCCGATGACAGCTGTCTCGCAGCGGTATCATACAGTGGTCTCCAGTCAGTTTTCAAGGCGTCGCCGCCTAGTCCGTTCCGTTGCATTTGCATGGCTGCGAAGGCCATGATTGCACTTCGCACAATAGGTGCTTCGGTGGCCATAGTTCCGAAAAAGGCTCGTGTGGATGCCCACTTTGGGCCTAATGGGGAGTCAGCGACGTTATCAGACTGAAGGCAATGAACGCACCAATCTCGACAGGCGTCAGGATAGGGGGCATAAGCATTTGTAAGAAAGTATTAACAAGTAGATCGCCATCAGCTGCCCCGCTCTGTGTGCCTTCGTGCGAAAAGGGAGATGTCGAAGCGGGATCCGGCTGTCGCCCTGCACGTTCTGTCAATGCCTGGAACCTTGCCCGAGGCGTGGATGGAGCGGCTGCGATGAGTGGTCCGGAGGATTGGTGTCCAAGCGGTAGCTGGTAGATGGGCTGAGGTACAGTATCGAAGTGTGAAGTCGCTGCAGCAATCGTTGGATCCGTAGGCCACGAGTTGGGGCTGAGGAGCATCTCTTCATCCCAGGCGCCGAATCCAAGAGGTCCAGAGAAATCGAAGAAGGCATTACCGCCCATTCCGTAGCCCTCAATGGATGTCACATTGGTGTTGTACATGTGCGAAGTTGCCTGAGGTGTAGTAACAGCGAGCGACTGTGTCGATTGAATGCTACTGCTACGTGCTGACACAGGTCGATTCCAAGTACACTCAAGATTCAGTCTTTCACAGTGGCTGCACCGAGGCCGCCGCTCGTTACAGCGGACCTTCCTTCTCCTTCACAAAAGTTAGCGCTACCAAGAAAAACGTCGATCGCATCATTCACCTGCAGGCATTGCACCCATTTTTGGATCTGGCAGGTCGAGGCGCAGATGGACGCTGCTCTGAAGCCGGTCCTGCAGGCGTTACAGGTTGCTGCTGCTCTTGTGACATGTAGATTGTCGGTTCAGGCAACACTGGCGGAGTGCGATCATGCATGCGCGATTGTCAGATGTCGTGATCGGAGTTCGGCTGCGTCGAAACGGGATATGAAATGCGGGGACCATCAAACCTGGGGCTACTGGTAGCGTCTGGGCTTCCATCACGCGCACGAACAGTTTTCACTAACAGCCGCAGTTCAATATTGAAGTCGTAAAGATTCGTGCTTCTATCTCGACACATTCCTTGCAGAAACGCGGAGACAATGATATAAGTGCGGCAAATGAACGCTACAGACAACAGTGAAGGTGCTTTCCGGCTAGCCACTCAACGCCGACTTCCTTTCCCTTCTCCAGACCTTGACCGGCATTTCACCTAAAATCCAGTTCATCGTCTCTAATCGCTCGATTTCCCAATCTGGAGATTTCAAGGCAAATTCGTATCTCCGTAGGAGACTCGCCAATACCACAGTCTGCTCAAGGTACGAGATGTTACGACCGATACAGCCACGTGCACCAGCCGAGAAGGAGAGAAAGTAAGGCTGTAGTGCCTTACCTTCCTCGCCAAGCCATCTTTCCGGGATATATTTGTCGGCTTGAGGGAAGACAGACTCCTGTCTATGCGCGACATGGGCTGACATCGCTACGGACACGCCTCCAGGGATGTAATCACCCAGAATGTTTACACCGTCTGAAGGCGTCTCGCGAGGAAGACCGTGAGGTGTAGGCGTGAAGAGTCGAAGCGATTCATCGAGACAAGCGCGAAGGTACGGCAGGTGCTTGACGGTGTCGTACGCGATTACACCAGTCTGATCTATATCCTCGTCGTCCTCGAGTGCGGCGTCGATCTCTTCCCTCAGTTTCTTCATGCATACGGGATGCTTGATCAACTGCAATGTCGCATTCGCAATAGCAATCGCAGTCGTTGCTGAGCCGGCGTTCATCATGATGCTGACTTCAGCAACAATCTCGCCCCACTCGAGGTTGTTCGGGCTTCCGCTCTTTTCTTCCATCAGTGCCTGGAAAAAGTCATCGGACTTCTCACCAGCACGGTATCGCTGCAGACGTCGATACGCCAGCTCGTTTGGAATACCGTCCCATTCTTTGGCGTAATCGTCCATGCGGCGGTAGAACGGGATGATGTTGACTATCTTATTGACGACCGAATACCATTTGTAAGGCCAGATTAACAGGGATTGCTTGCGAGCAGTCTGATACAGAGCCGGACGAAGATCGCACTGATACGTGGTTCCGTCGGTCTTGCGCCCAGTCACCATGCTGCTACCTTGATCGAGGAATCCGAGCTTCTCAGAGAGACCAATATCGGCGATGGCATCGAGGGTAAAGAAGTTTGTCCATTTGCGATAATCCAGATTGATGTCTTCGGGCTTGGGAAGGGCGCCAGCGGCCAATGGAGCAGTACAGCATGTGTCAACATGCTTGATTAACCTCTGTGTCTTGTCGGCTACCTTGTGTTCCCAACCCTCGAGGTTTTTTAATGCGTATGCGGCACTTAATGTCTTACGCTTACGGGCGTGATCATACTTGTCAACGACATCGGCAAGATGATAGTGAGAACCGGCAGTGATGACGTAGGCTCCGTCCTTTACACAGCTCGAGCCGTGCCCATAGATGTCTTTAATCGCACGGAGATCACCATACGATAATGAATTCGGACCGGTGCGGAGCACGGGGTGCACCCGGTGCAGCTTTTCAAGATATGTAGAGCGTGCGCCTGTGTGGGCAAGAACCATGAAAGGAATGTTGGTAACGCCAGCAAGAGGATGAAAATTGGGATATCGACGAAGACCTATTTGCATCAGCACGTGGAGTGGATGGTATGTGCAGGGTGAAGTGTAGGCTACTAACCGTTCACGTCGCGAAAATAAACAACAACTGGGTATACGATAAAGTACAAAAACACACTGGCACCCAGTGCAGCGGCGTAAGGGCCGGGGAAAGTTGAAGTCGACATGGTGTAAGGCTCAGATCTGAGCTACGTACTTTGCGAATTTTAGAGCGCTTGATCAATGTTAGAAGACCAGCAAACCCTTAAGTGCTTCATGAGGCTTTCTCGGTGCCGGACGTTCAAATCCATCAAATTGGATCATTCGTTGCATGGAGAAGTCCACGGAGAACTTTACCAGATTGAATGTGACTAGTAATGCGGGTGATGTGCGCCTCCGGTAGTGCAAAGGCGGGGTGAATGTGGGGTCGCTGCTGAAGTTGGTGCTAACGCAGGTCAGCAAATATGGTCATTCAGGGTTGACATGAACAAGATGTGGGAAGGTCTTTGATGCGATGGCTCGTACGTCAGAGTTGGTATTTCTCCCCATCTAGAATTGTGTCAGGATTGTAGCCTTCAGAACTGTGGAAGTACAGGTTCAAGTACGAGCTCTACGACGCGAATCCTACTACACATTTGTATTGTCCACGATGGAATCGCTCAGGTTTCCAGTTGACTTGTCGGATTTGCAGATGAAGTTAAACCCACTCTTTCGAACGATCCTTGCATCGCCAGCAGTACAAAGTGCCAAACCATCGAGCACTGCTGACGAGGTCGCCATCTTCCTCTTCCTTCTTTCAGCTCTTGGCTACCTCACGCATGGCCGAATTTGGGATAAGCCGGATCCTCATCATGGCATATGGTTCGAAAGGCCACAACTTTCCAACGGTTCTTCAGAAGGCAAAGTGACTGCCACTCGAGATGTCGTCCAGAAGCTTGTAGAGGGTGACTACCACTGTGTTATATTTTGGGGCTCTCAATCTGGTACCTCGGAACGGTTTGCAGAAACACTTGGGCGCGAGTGCCTCTCCCACTTCGGTATCAATGCTCTTGTAGCGGACATCTCAGACTACGATGCCGATACTATTTCTAAGATACAAGCAACACACTTCGCCATTTTCATAATCAGTACATACGGCGAGGGCGATCCCAGCGACAACGCAGCCGGACTGTGGGATTGGATTAAACAATTGAAGGACGAGAAGTCGAGGCTGGAGGACCTTCGTTACTTCGCGTTCGGCCTCGGAAACAGTAACTACAAGTACTACAATCGTGTACTGGACGTTGTGGCCGATGCTCTCGATGATGCTGGTGCCAACCCTCTCATACCTCGGCACAAGGCAGATGATGCCAACGGCGGCACAGAAGAAGACTTCCAAGCATGGAAAGATGATGTCTTTACTCTTTTCCGCCAGCTTGGCTTTGAACAGAAGATCGTGGAGTATAAACCGACGATCGAGCTCACATTTAGTGGTGAGAACAAGAATGGGGAAGACTCCAGTCCGGCGGCATCATTGATCCATCAGCAAACCTCGACACAATCCGCCATCGTACCGTTGACCATCAGAAGTGCTCATCAGTTGTTCGCTGCTGGAGATCGGAATTGCCTCCACATGGAGCTTGATCTTGGGAACAACGACGTCGTATACAAGACTGGGGACCACATTGGCATCTGGCCATGTAACCCAGATGAAGAAGTCGAGAGGCTTTTACACGCTCTCGGAGCGCAAGCAAGAAGACATGACGTCTTCAGTACTACGAGCGACAACGATTCAGTCAAACCAAAGATCCCATCGCCAACGACACTTGAAGCTGCTTTCCGACACCACCTCGAGATCTGCGCTCCAGTCGCACGTAAGACTGTGCAGGATATTGCACAATATGCACCAACACCTGAAGCGAAGGCAATGCTTCTAGAGATTGGGCGCAATCGTGAGCAGTATGAGCAGCTTACTTCGACCACACATATAACACTTGCTCGCCTTTTGCAACTGGCCAGTCCTAATGAGCCGTGGATATCACTACCTCTGGCGTTCGTCATCGAGAACCTGCTATCACTACAACCGCGTTACTATTCCATCTCATCTAGCTCTGTTATCGCTCCTCGTCGCATCGCAGTCACTGCCCTAGTAGTCAACAAGACTATTGGCGAAGACTCGAAATCATCAACGATCCACGGTCTGACCTCGAATTACCTCATGTCTGCGTCTGACCTTGCGTCTAATACCACTGTACCCACACCGTCGTATCAGCGGCTGAGTGGGGCCCAGGAACTGCAAGGAGCCAAAATTTTGGCCCATGTGCGCAAATCAAAGTTCAAGCTGCCGATCACATCTTCAACGCCATTAGTTCTTGTCAGCGCAGGTACTGGCTTTGCACCCTTCCGTGCTTTCCTGCAAGAGCGCGCGAAGCTCCATGCGATTGGCAAACCTGTTGGCAAGATCCTGCTCTTCTTCGGTTGCCGTAACAAAGACGACTTCATCTATCAAGAAGAACTGCGTAAAATCCAGAATGAGTTGGGAGATAAATTCCGGATTATCACTGCATTCTCGAGAGACGGACCGAAGATCTATGTGCAGGATCGTGTTGGTGAGCACGCTGCTGAAATCATTGAGCTTTTAGAAGCTGGTGCCAATATGTACATCTGCGGCAAAGCAAGCATGGCGCGCGAGGTTGACATGAAGTTAGAGGATGCAGTAGGTAATGCAAAATGCCTTAGTGAGGCGGAGGTCAAGACATGGGCAGATGGTCTGAAGAAGAGAGGAAAGTGGAAGTCTGACGTTTGGGGTTGATTGCTCCTCATCCTAGAATAATTAGGTTCAAAGTAATTCTTTCCCTGCTTAGTACCATACCGCTCACACATGCAAAGGCTCGCGACCAGATTCATGCTCGTAGAATGACACAGATTGGCAGAAGACAAATTAAGAGGCAATAATGGAGTTGTGGTACATCTCTACCTAGGTAGTCAATGACTTGATATCAATAACTTTCCAGGATCCTCGTGACGTCAGAATCATGGTCAGTTCGCAGGATGTTCCAAGGTTGTCTCCGTGTGATCAACATCAAAGCACAGGATGCTACAAGGGGGGTGTCTGTGCGGACGAGGATACGAAGTGCCCCACAGAGGTTTCTCGGGGTTTCTGAATGTTCGATAGCTACATCTGAGGGGTACACGGGCGAATACAGTGTGCTGGCGCGGCATGCATCAAGCAACTCAAAAGCTAGGTATAGGAGAGTGGTGTAGCTGTTCTGGATTGGGGAAACTCTCAATGGTTACCCGTGAGCTATCAGCCGGAGGAATCCCCCCCCTGTACACATGCTCCATTCTAAATTGTATGCCGAGCTCTGTAGCATATGACGTCATATTCTGGTCAATCTAGCATACATGGCGTTGGTTCAGACACGGCAAGGCGCACACAAGGGGAGAATTGCTTCGCTATCAAACGTAGCTGCCAATGCCGAACACTACCTAGGTGAGGTTGAAACCACCCGGTCCAATCACACTTCACCTATTTCGCTTCTCGGTCGTTTTCAGCCAATATAGTGCTGCGTAATTATGTCACATGTGCAGCTCGGAAAGCCTCAGGCGTCGGTTCATCGCTCGGCAAAGGCACAGGTTCCCAACAGCAAGCTGTTCGCGTCGGGGCGAGGTCCACCCCCGCGTTTCCAACCCCAGGTTCCGCTTGCCTGGATTTGACGAATGACGTGCGGAAGATAGAACCTGGGGAAGTTGTCGGCGTCGGCACTCTAGGCGTGCCCACAAATCATCCGGAACCGCACAGAACCTAACGTAGCAACTCCTAGGATTGTGGCGTAGGATTGTTGAAGTGATATCTCGGGTAGCCCCGAAAAGCTATACAGGCTTAGAACCAAGAAGCATAAGTACGAGGGTGATCTCCACGTTGAAGTTTGGATCATCACCGGGTCTCATTGACTGGACAACGACATCACTTCAATACATCTTCTCGCTATACTTCTCATCTGCGACCACATCATTATTACTCGCAATGGCTTTCGAGACTGCATCCCTCGATGGCAAAAATGATACCAAGTTCAACAGCACCGCAGACAAGATCGAGGACGTCTCCGAATCAGAACACGCCCAGCACCTCGCCGATCTTTCGAGCATTGAGGCCACTGCTGCATCAAAGGCTGCATGGCTGATATCCATCACTGTCTCATTGGGAGGACTGCTCTTTGGCTACGACACTGGCTACATTTCTTCCGTCCTGGTCACTATTGGAACTTCCCTCGGTCATGAGCTCACATCATCCGAGCAAGAACTTGTCACTTCTCTCACATCTGGTGGTGCCCTTGTTGGCGCTGTCATTGCCGGTACGATGGCCGACAAGTATGGTCGCAAACTTCCGATCTGGCTCGCCTGCGTCGTGTTCGTCATTGGAACTGTATTGCAAACCGCCTCATTCCATCTTCCTCAGTTCGCTGTGGGCCGCTTTGTCGTTGGCCTTGGAGTTGGTAGTGCAGCTATGGTTGTTCCTCTGTATATTAGCGAACTTGCACCTGCTCGTTATAGAGGTTCGTACTACTTCATCGTAGACACCTGCTACTAGCACTAACACGAACACAGGCCGCATGATTGCTTTCAACAACATGTCTGTCACATTCGGTCAATTCTTGGCCTCTGGAATTGGCGCTGGATTTGCTCAAGTTGGTGGCGAGGGCTCCCAAGCATGGAGGGCAACAGTTGGCATTGGTGCCGCACCCGCCATTCTCCTTGCTGGACTTCTCTTCTTGTGTCCCGAATCTCCTCGTCAACTTGTTGCACACGGCAAAGTCGACGAGGCCAGCGTTGTTCTTACCCGCATCTACCCGACTTCCACCGAGGAGCAGCGCCGTGCAAAGATCACTTCGATCGAAGTGAGCATAAATGAAGCTACCCAGACAATGGTCGACGACTCAGTCTTCAAGACGTTGGCTCGCATCTTTACTACCCCCGCTACCTTCCGCGCCGTCCTCACTGCGTGTACCATCATGGCCATCTCCCAGCTCAGCGGGTTCAACACACTTATGTACTACAGCGCTACTCTGTTCAAGATTGTTGGTTTCTCTAATGCTACGGCGGTTGCGATTGTCGTTTCAGCTACGAACTTCGTCTTTTCGTTCGTCAATCTTATCATCGTCGATAAATTTGGCCGCCGCAAGATCCTCCTTGTTACCGTTTTCGGCATGTGTGTCTGCTTGGTAATCGCCGCTGTCTCGTTCGCCTATATTCCCATTGATCTTCATACTCTTGAGGTTCAAAGCGATAACATTGGCTGGCCTGGCATGCTGCTCATTGTCGTCATTGTCTTGTTTGTTGGGTTCTACAGCTCCGGAGTCGCCACAGTTGCGTGGATCGGTATGTTCAAACCCATCACACACCACCACCACCACCACACCACCACCACCACAATAGCAGTAGCTAATCAAACACAGGCACCGAGCTTATTCCACTCGAAGTTAGAGCCGTTGGCACTATGCTCAATACCGTGACATGCTGGTCCACAAATATCATCATTGCGTCCACTTTCCTCACCATGATGAAGGGCATCACCCCCTCCGGCGCTTTCGGCTTCTACGCCGCGATCTGCTTCTTCGGATGGCTCTTTGTCATCTTCTGCTTCCCTGAAGTTAAAGGAATGCCGCTCGAGAATATTCGCCAGGTCTTCGAACACGGCTTTGGTGTCCGCTATGCACGCAGGTGGCAGAAGGAGAACAAGCAATTTGCGAAGATCAATGCTGCGAATCAGGGTCCTGCTATGGGTCATTAGATGCGCAGATATATGGCGGGAGGTTGTGGCCGTTTTGTATATTTTGTATCAATTCCGGAACATGTCTATACAGTCAGTGATCAGAGCCACACCTGCATTTTGCACGAATCAGATGATAGTATTAAATTAAGCAAGTTCAAAGAAATACAGAACTAAGAACACTATCGGGCACGGAAGGCCTTGAGGTGCCTCATTATCTATGCTGAACAGTCTGACGCTAACTTGCAAAGACAACACCACCTGCAAATCCACAAAACGCCAATGAATGCGACTGCCGCCCCGAGTGGTATATAACGCCGAAGATATGCAACTCCGAATGCCTCAATCAGGCTGTTGGCCTCACAGCCGCAAGCAGATTGGATCAGATCGTCAGTAGACCTGATGATAGCTACAACTTAAGCAACAGATCTAAATGCTACTCTTGATAACGACTGTGAAGGATCCATCTCCGTGGAGACCCACTGCCACGTTTACACATGCCTTCCTGCCGTACACAACCATCTTTTCCTACTGTCACATAACGACCAAGATCTCCTCCACACATTGCCTCCCTTGCACCTTGCGACTCGACAGGACCATCAGATGATATGTCCACCATGGAACGGATACACATCCCCCGTCAGCGCCCCAAAGCAATGCCCCGCATGATGCCGTAGCCGCTCCGCCCGCTCATGCTCCTCGTCATCCGCCTGCCGCGCCCGATCCTCATCCGTAACTGGCTTTGGATCGGCCTTGCGAAACTGCGCATGGCGCGCCGCATGAGCATCCCAGAACTGCTGCTCTGTGAGCTCGTCGACGTGGTGCAGGCCGATGTAGGACTTGGAGAAGGGGAGGTGCTCGGCTGTGGGGTGCTTTGCATAGTACTTCCCCCACACAGCGTCATCGCGGTCGAGGAGCTTGGCGCACGAGTTGCTCTTGCGAAGTGTTGGGGTTACACCAACAGGTATGGGGTGAGAAGGGAAGCCGACTTGGATCTCGGCGGGTGTGAAGATATCAGGGTGCACGTAGTAGGTGCCAGTGAGTGGATGCTCTCGCGCTGGAAAAACGAAGGGCGCATCCAAGGCCTCTTCGATAGGAAGGTATGGCCGCCGAGAGGCCATCACCGGGTTTGGAAGGGGAAGGTTCAGGCGTGGGATTCGCCGAGGAGCAGTGCATCCATTTGACACTGTGGCCTGTGTCAATGGATGTGGTTGTTGGGAGGGAGCTGCTGGCCCTTCACTCTCTCCTTGAGAAGGTACAGGTGAGTTTGATGCCTCCTCGGTAGCAGCATGCTGGCGGCGACCCGCGAATAGAGAGACGACTCGCTGCAGGAGGGTGGACCGATGCCTTTGACCCTGAACTGGGGCCGACAATGTGCGCGTCAATGGCTTAGTGTATCCAACATAGTGTGAGATCTCTGCTAGAAGGCGTTCTGGCTTGACAGTGGCCTCCTTCACCGACCAGATGTCTGCGGCCGTGATGTCAACCTGCTCAAGGTGGGTGTTGGGTTCCGCCAGCGTGCTCGCCGTGGCCAGGAGCGATTTCGGACGAGCACCGTTTCCGCTTCCATGAAAGACAGTGCGAGCTTGTTGAGACTCGCGCTCATCCTTCTTTGTGGACGAGGCATTCCCCTTCACCCCTCGCAAGATTGGCCGCTCTGTTGCTTCATCTGCACGCTCAACGACAGCTATGCCCAGACCTGCAGCCTCAATATCATCTTTGAGGGATCCTTGAACGATTGATGTTGCCAGAAGTGATGCACAGGGACCATCGTCTCCGCCGGACCTATCGGTAGAAGGCTGTGCTACAAGATAGCCGTCCGAATCTGGGACATAAAGAGGTGCGAGCATCAAAAGAGATGCCGGCGGGTCATCGTCTTCCTCTTGAATTCGCTCAAAATGCTGACGTGCCGGCGATAGTGGTAGTCTACCTGCTCGCTGCCGAGCTAGGTCGTTCGCCTTCACTGCTGACAGTGAAGAGCTGAGGTTGCTGCGAAATAGATCGCCCTGCTCATCGGCCGACGGAATGCGCAGCTTCGCAAACCGTGGACCATTGTTGATCACAACTGGTGCGCTTCGAAACACGGTTGTCTTTGGCTCGCGCTTTGTCTTCTCGCTGCCGCTGTCCTGCTTGACCTTCTCTGTGCGGTGCTGGAATCGGACGCGTGACTTGCTCTTGTGGATCATTGTGAGGATATCAGGAGACTGCAGGGTTGAAAGAGACAGTCGTTGTGGTCAATTGGGTGGAAGAGGGGAGCAATCGGGGTGTTACTGAACAGTAGAGAAGGGCGGTGCAGTGACCAAGAGTAGGTGAAGCGAAGAAGGGTAGGGAAAAGAGACCTTTACAGGCGGCAAGAGTGAGTGAAAGCCGGGTGATGCCATTGTGGCCAATCGTCAGCAGCAGGATCGTGACATCGTGCAGTTGAAGATGCGGTGAAAGCGTCGGACATATTGAGAATTTAATTCAACCAAACAGCGACGATAGAGTGGGACTGAAAGAGGGGACTCGAGTACCAAAACGAGTCCATTTGACATTCGACTAGGCAATTCAATGGAATTTAAGAAACGGTCCACATCTTACTCTTATACAAGACGACAAGTGATGGATCAAACATGTACTGTCATAGTTTGGCAAGTACAAAAGGCAATCACATATCTCAATCGGTCAATTGAACTAAGTTCATGAACAATGCGGATATGGTATCTTCATGACTTCGTCACTCGAAGGCGCGTGTATTCGACTATTCCTGTATTTCTCTTCATGCGTTGTCGGCGCAGATGTATGTGACTTCACAATGTTAGTCTTGGGGTAGCTTTGCGAATTTTGATCACATACCGTTGTTGCCACGCACAAACGCATCGCCCCAGTTGCGGGTGACACGTCCTTCTGAGACCTCCTTACACCGCTCGAGAGCAATGTTCATGTAGCCATCGACGGATTGAAGGTCGCCTGGGGGATTGTTAGGCTGATGTCGTTTGATCACGTGCTTGCATACCCTTATAAACGATGCCAGAGTTCAGCTTAACCGTAACGGGAGCGCCAATGATCTCGCTCAAGAAGCCGCTGGGATCTCTCGAGTCGCCGTTGCTCTCTGGTGCCGGGCTTTGGGACATGTTTGCTGAGTGTGACGTTGGTGGGAAAGAGTTTTCTACGTAGACAGTCAGGTTCTGAATCGACATGACTGTAAGTTTGCTTACGAGTAGCGTGTTTTTCGAAGCTGCTCTCGCCAGTGTAGCACTAATGTTTGTTATGCAGGTGTCGTGACAATTGAGCTGTCGTCGGCATGGACGAGGCGCCGATGCGCACAGGCCAGCACTCCCACGCATGCGCGACAAACGTGACTGCGCGTCAACCCGGCGCAAGCACCCCGCAGTAGCCGACAAACGCCCCGGATGCTCCACTTTGCCTTGCACCGAACACCGCACCGACTAACTTCATGTAGCTGAGATGACGGACGCCACTATAGGCGCGCCGGCACCCAAGAAGCGGTCCCTGTTCAAGCGAGCAGCCTGGCAAGATGCTGCAAAGAAGGAAAACGAGGACATTTTCAGCCATTCCAACGAATTTAAGGATATAATCGCAGAGGAAAATAGGACAAAAGAAGAAGAGAAAAGGAAGCAAGCGGAGGCAAAGAGGAAAGCTGAAGCAGAGGAAAGGCGTGAACAAGCTGAGAAGCAGGACAAGAAGGGCAAGAGACGGAAGGTTTCTATCGACCACGATGAACCACAATTGCTCCGCAGTGGGTCTTCAGACTTGGGGATAACAAGCACATCACAAAGCCAAGAGTGGGTAGTTTTGTCAAGGAATTGTAGCGACAGCTAACATATATTAGACGGAGCAAGACATCCCACTCTCCTGCTGCACCCGCGCTACCACCAAATTCTCTCACTGCGCGCTACGATACTGTCGCGAGGTCGACCCGAAGTCAGGGCTTGAGAGCAGCGCCTGTCATAGTCGATCTTGGCGGCTCAGACGACGAGGAAGATGTGTATCATTCGAACTCGTTCGGCGGTAACACATGGGACGATACAACATCAGGCGTCGAAAAAAATCACCGCGTGGCTTTGCGCCCGTCGAAAGCCACGCCGTTAGATGTCGACGATCTAGAGGAGGTCCAAGACCCAGAGCTTGCAGCCATTGAGGCGAGAGCGCGCGCAAGAGCAGCAGCCAAAAGAGCAGCAGCAGCAAACGGGAGTAAGGCCCCTGTCGCACAGCTGCTAATAGACTCGGAGCTACCCAATACAAACCCCCTGATGGTCAAAGTGCGCATCGACACCACCATCGAGAAACCCCGCGAGGCATGGTGCGCGCGGCAAAACTTCTCGCCCGAAATGACGCGCAACGTCTTCTTCACCTGGCGCGGCACCCGTCTGTACGACAGCACCACGATCAAGCGCCTGGGCATCAAGATCGACGACCACGGCAACCTCTCTCTCGAGGGCGACGACTCCATCTACGACGACCACACGACGCCCAAAATCCACGTCGAGGCCTGGACCGACGAGACGCTGGCCCAGCACAAGCGCGCCGCCGCCGCCGAAGCAGAAGCCGCCCGCAAAGCCGTCGAGGCCACGCCCGTCGCCGAGGCGCGCACTCCAACGCCCACCCCCGAGCCCGAGGCGAAGAAGTATCGGCTGTTTCTGAAGGCGAAGGGGCTCGAGGACTTCAAGCTGCAGGTGCGCCCCGACACGACGCTCGAGCGCCTCGCAGACGCGTTCCGGACGGCGCGCAGTGTCCCCGCCTCGCAGCCGCTGACGCTGATGTTCGATGGCGAGCGCTTGTCGCCGATGGACACGATTGAGGACACGGAGCTTGAGGATATGGATTCGATTGATGTGCTGCTCAAGTGAGCGGCGCGTATGTGTTTGACACTATCTGGCTGGCGTTTATCAGGGGCATTGCGAGCGCGGTGTTGGGGTGCGATATTCTGGTGTGCATTGCCAGCGTCTGGTTTTAGCTACGGGTTGGTGTTGCATGGATACCACACATTGACATACGCAAACCAATAATAAATTAACGTCGACTCGATGAAGACGGCATTGCATGATATACCCAGCCCCCTGCCATTTCTCCCTCTACCGCTGTCACTTCAGTAGGTTCAGCAATGTCGCCACTTTTCCGTCTAAAGTAATACCACGGCCGCAGCTGACAGGCTACCAGTTACATAAACAAGGCACAAAGGCCAGTTGATCGTGGTCGCCATGCTTGTCACAGAGAGCACGTGTGTTGTAACAGTCATGTCAGCTACGACATGTGCAGCGCCATACACCGCCACTTGGTCAGCGATAACTGCACAGGCCAGGGAGCGTATTCTAAGGGAGCGTTGAGAGTAGAGCTGGGTGAGAGTTGAACAGCGAGCACTAGATAAGCAAGATAGCCTAGCTAGACGGGATTGACCGACTGTTCTACGTGGGACAGGAAGGTGGAGGAAGTGACACGGCTGCTGTCTTTCGTTCACGATGTTTGTAGCTCTTGTGCTATGTTGTCCTGGATATCCCATCAGACTCCTGTGCAGCGACTTAAGCCAGTCATTGTCACGCTTCTCAGCGTTCGAGGGGCATGCGCATTGTATACGGTGAGCGTCCTGGACGACGGCGATATCATTCAGTGCGTGACTCTGTAGCTTACATACCGACGAGGGTTATCTCTTGCTCCTGAAATAACACTTCAGATCGAAGATGATCGGGCATTTGGAGGCTCTTGTAAGTCATATCTGACGTGCATACGGAAGGGGCACGTGGGACGGTTGCCCTTCCCGAGAGCCAAACGCAGGGTCCATCCCCGTTGGATGACGTAGACGGCACTCGGCGGCTTGTACTTTGTACCTGCGTGATCACAACATGTCTCTGAGAGGGAGAAGTGACAGTGAGTGTGCGGTCGTAACAAGGTCATGTTGCTGCTGTCACTATTGCTTAGCATGAGGCTGAACGAAGCACGCTACGACTGTCGAAGCCGACCACATGCCGATTGGGACGGTGAGTCGACAGGAGCCGGACGCCTCGTGCAGAACCCTGGTCGGCTGGTACGACGGTTCGGGCGTTTGAGAGTGCCGCTGGTGCTGCTCTGGTTGGAAACGACCAAGATAGCGTCATATGCCGACGCCGTCCGGTGCAGTCCATGGTACTGCCTTACACGGCGAGTTAGCGTGGATACCTGAGTAGAGGGACCAGGCGATCTCGGACGCCCGACGCACTCCTGACTGCATGATAATGGCATGCTGAGAGGCTGTTGAGGAGGGGTTGCAGGCAGCCATGGGCCTATCAATGGCGGACGCAGGGCACAAGTGCTGCTTGCACTGTCTTCCCCACGATAAGCATCTGGGGAGCACAGAGCAGCGTTGATGCGGCACGGGCGCTGATTGGCCAGGCAGCGAGACGCGCTCATGGAGGACCATCACAGCGCGGCGACTCGGCATGGCATGCAGATAGCCATGTCTGCGATCGGCTGCCGCGGTCATAGAGTTGCAGTTGCCTGTTCAGACATGGTATCCACGGCAAGACGTCTTTGGTGTGGCACAAGGCGCGAGAACGCGGCGAATTGCGAGCTTAGGCGTCATTTGGACCTTCACCACATGACCGCTGCTGGCTGGCCGGCGGGGACGATAACGCCACGGGGCAGCAGGATACCGCCAAATGCGCGTCAAAGAGACATGCTGCGGGCTGCGCATCTGGGGGCGATGGTCAGGTCTGGCACAGGCCTCGCGGCGGTTCGAGACATGGAGCGCATGTACCTCCAACGCGTGCAGGCAGCTCCGCTATCGTGATAAGGCTAGCGCGTATGCCTCGATGAATGACTAGGACAGCCATACCCATGCAGCACACCTCGGACGGCATCGCAGCTGGCCTCCTCTCTCCGCCGAGCCCTCTCTCCCCAACTGCCTGTTATTCTTCCCCGCCGCGCCGCCCTTAAGCATCCCAACACTCCGGCCGACTCGTCCAGTCCGCCGCCTGCACCTCCACACCGTTCGCCGGCCACATCCCAGCCAGTCGCCAGCGGCCGCCTACAGCCCAGGCACCGCCAAACCTCCACCGGCACCGCCAGCACATCTGCGCGCAGCTTGCACACGCCCGCACAGTACATCAGCGCCCGCCCTGCTCATCGGGGTGCTCACTCCGACCACGCCTCCCGCCCGCACCCCCTCCGCGCCGTCGCCAGCCTATGTGTAACGCCCTCACGGCTACGCTCTATCCACACCTGCGCTGGTAGCTGAGCAGCTGCCCCTCCCGAGCACCGCTGGGCCTGGCTGGCGAGCCTCCACCGCCATCATGGCAGCACCAGCGTCAAACGCCTACGCGCCGCGCAGGTCGGCCGCGTCGCCGACCTCGTCGGGTTCCACAGACCAGATCATCGGCAAGTTCAAGCGCCTGGAGCACATCGGCAAGGGCAGCTTCGCAGAGGTCTACCGCGGAATACACATCGTACGTCACTGCTGTGTCCTGCACACCACGGCTGTCGCAGGGTGTATGGAACGCTGTCGGACATATGCTAACGCAGAACAGGAGAAGAAGGCGTCCGTCGCCATCAAGTCGGTCAACATGAACAAGCTCAACAAGAAGCTGAAAGACAACCTCGTGTCGGAGATCTCCATCCTCCGCAGCCTGCACCACCCACACATCGTCTCGCTCATCGACTGCCACGAAACCCCGTCCCGCATGCACATCATCATGGAGTTCTGCGAGCTGGGCGATCTGTCGGCATTCATCAAGAAGCGCGCGGATCTCACCAACCACCCGCAGACCCAGCGCATGATCGAGAAGTACCCAAACCCACCCGTCGGCGGACTGAACGAAGTCATAGTACGGCACTTTGCAAAGCAGATCGCCAGTGCTCTGGAATTTCTGCGGTCCAAGAACTACATCCACCGCGACTTGAAGCCACAGAACCTCCTGCTGAATCCATCGTCCCTGTACTACTCGCAGAGCGGGACCCTGGAACGCATGCCGCTGGCTGCTGACGCAAACTCTCTGATCCCTGCCCTCGGAATCGAAACGCTTCCGATGCTCAAGATAGCCGATTTCGGATTTGCCAGGATCCTGCCAACGACCTCGCTGGCTGAGACACTCTGCGGCTCTCCGCTGTACATGGCGCCCGAGATATTGCGTTACGAGAAGTACGATGCGAAAGCTGACCTGTGGTCTGTGGGGACTGTGCTGTTCGAGATGGTTTCTGCGCGCCCTCCGTTCAGGGCGAACAATCATGTTGAGCTTCTGCGGAAGATCGAGGAACGCAAGGACCAGATTAGGTTTCCCGAAGGTCTTGTTGCGAGTCGAGCAATGAAGACACTTATCCGTGCGTTGCTGAAGCGCAAGCCTACCGAGCGCATGTCGTATGAAAGCTTCTTCTCGGATCCCGTGATCCGCGAGGAAATCCCCGGTCTTGTCGATGAGGATCTGCCGCTTAACATGCAGGCCTCTGAGCCAGAGCCACCAGTTGAGCCACCGAAGCGAGTCCAAAAGACGTCTGTCGAAATGGAGCGCCGGACGTCAGAGAGCCCCTACTCACGATCCCCAAGAGACAGGACCCTCTCCACGGGGACACCACCACTCCGCCCTGCTTCGCGAGCTAGCCCTAGTAATCTCTCTGGCACACCCCCACGCGTTCCCAGCGGTCAACGGGCGAGCAACACACCTATCATGCCGATTGAAGAGCATGCACCTCTGCCCGTGCGAGAACAACGCCGCCCAACTCTTCCCAATGCAATGACTGCCCCTGCACGCCCCCCTATGGTGCAGGACCCGTCAATGGCGATCGGACACCGTCGTCGCTTCTCCAAGGACGACCCTCCTCCTGTATCTTCGGGGCTGAAGCAGCATCTCGAGCGCGAGCGCCTGCCGGCGAAGACAGAGACCGGTGCCCTGAGAGACGCAGCCGAGCGAGCCGCACAAGACACGGCCTTGGACGAAGGCTTCGTCTTTGTGGAGAAGCGTCGCGTAGAGATTGACGCTCTTGCTGATGAGATCGCTGCCAGTCCACAGACTCAACGAGACCGTATGGTCTCTAGAGATGGGGCGTTGCGACGAAGGGCCACAACTCAGGGATCGCCAACTTCTACCACCGGCGCAACCGTCCCTTCGAGAGCAATCTCTATCCAGCAGAAGACGCCGACAGTAATCCAGCGTCCTGGTTCGTATGAGCGACGTCGGCCGTACCGTCCCAGCTTCGAGAGTGCCACCTCTGCGCTCTCAAAAGCCATGAACATGGTGAACATCCGAGGTCTTGGTCTGTCGCCCCCCACGCTGAAGGGCGTGTCGCCGCCACCTCAGGGCTACGCCGCTTTCCCCGTGTACCCTACCGCCCAAAGCAGCATGTTGCTCGTTGGCGACAGCGGCAGGACAGCGGCGAAGGACGAAGACAGCACCTCCGTGAAGAAGATTGAAGAGCTTGCTCAGCTGAGCCATGTCATCTATGGCTTCGCGGAAGTCAAATACAAGCAGTTGGTTCCAGTTGCACCAAGTGATCAAGGCCTAGGAGTTGGTCCCACAGGTGTTGCCCGCAAGCCTAGTAGCGATGTCATCGAAGATGATGATGAGGACGAAGACCTGACGCCCGAGACGGTCCTGATCATCTCTGAGGAGGCGCTCGTTCTGTACGTCAAGTCACTCGCTATGCTCAACAAGGCCATGGACGTGGCTGGCAGCTACTGGAACCGACAGCGTCGCGGTAGCACATCACCCGAGGCAATGAGCCGCGCAGCTTCAAACTCAGACCGTCTAAACCGAGTTGTGTCTTGGACACGAGACAGATTTAACGAGTGCTGCATCAAGTCGGAGATTGTCGCTCGCAAGCTCAAGCAGGCACAGCAGCTGCTGCCAGAGGACCACCCGAGCCATCCAGCGAACTTGTCGGTCGCCTCGGGCTCTGCAACCACTGTTGGCTCTGCCGAGAACATCCTCCTGACGACTGGTGTCACCGCCGAGAAGCTGATGTACGATCGGGCACTGGAGATGAGCCGGACGGCTGCAGTAAACGAGCTCGTCAGCACAGACCTGCCAGGCTGCGACCTCAACTACTGGACTGCCATTCTGATGCTCGAAGCAATACTAGAGGAAGAGGACGAGTCTTCCAGCCGCAAGCTGGACGGCGAAGAGATCAATGGACTGGAGTCTGAGGACCGTCAGTCGATCCAGAAACGTAAGCTTACTAACTTGCAAGACCGTGACCGCTCGCTAACAATCTCAGTCCTCGAGCAGATGAGGAGCCGCCACCGAGCCCTAAAGAAGAAGCTGGACGTGCAGAAAGCACAGAAGCGCAACTCCATAACGAGCTCTCCCTACCAAACCAGCCGCAGCTCGCCCTCCTCCCAAGGCACTGCGCGCTAACTCATTCCGCACGGACCTTGCATCAGACCGACACATCATAGCGAATTGGCAGCTGCATTCACGGCGTTTTCGGATTCATGGGGGCGTTAAGGCAGACGCCCCTCACTCACATACTGTTTGTTTTAATTTGATTTCAAGTCGCAATTTCACGGTGTTCTGCGGCGCGGACGCAGTATACATCAGCATAGATACCAGGTTGCGAATCCTGCATTTCTCATTTCCGGCGTTTGTTTTGGGGTTGGGCGGGCTGGCTGGGTACGGTGGAGTTGGGGTACGGGCTGGCGCATGGCAACGGACGGGCGGGGAGAAGATGGAGATGTACTTAGATTGGATCGGAGAGTACTCGGGGGCGGGTGTGTTGCGGGCAGACCTCTTACCTAGTGGACGTAGCATCGAATTTGAATCCTATCCTAATCCTTGTCACCAGAGTTTGATTGCCCAGCTCGGCGTGAACTCTACAGAGCAGGGACCGCAAAGCATAAGCCGTCTTATCATGACCAGCGTGATATTCACCAGCGGATATTCACCAGCGGCCTATCTATTCCCCAGTAACAAAGTATGCATGGAGCAAGACTCAAGACATACATAGCAACCGGCTCACGTCCGTCGCAGCGTCCCACCACGCCGGGCGTTCACGCACCGCTCCGCCGATCCGCCCCACTTGGTCCACCCAACCCCAGATCGCCGCCACGCGGACCCACGTTCGGACCAGGGGTGCACGACAAGGCTGTCAACACCTCCAGCCGCGTGCGCATCCGTTGCATCCGCCGCGCGCACCTGCACGCCCTGGTTATGCGCTGCTGGTGTATGTAGCGCGGTTGTATTGTACTTCGTAGCCTCGACGATACTCGACGCCGACGCTCAACGCCTGACTCCACCTCCACGGTCCACCCCGACGACCCACCTCCACCGATCCACCCCGACTCCCCACAGCAGAGTACCTACCTACCCACCCACCCCTCCACAATGGGCCTCGGCATCCTAGAGCCCGCGCTCCCCTCCCCCGGCCACGTGCCGGGCAGCGTGACGGTGCTGGACGACGGCAAGACGCGCAGTGCGGCGGAGCACGCGGCGCGGGCGGCGCTCAAGTACGATCGCAGCGGGAAGGTGCTGTTGGTGCCGCAGCCGTCGGATGATCCTAATGATCCGCTTGTGAGTAGCTTTTTTCTGTTTCGGGGGGGAGGGGGAGGGGGAGGGGGAGGAGAGGGAAAGGTGTAGTCAGGCAAGACGGGGGGATGCAAATGTCTCAGTGTTCGAGTGGGGGATGTTCGGGTGGAGAATGCTCCAGTGTTTGAATGTCTGAATACACAGCGTGCACTCGCACTATATACGCACGCACTACGCGCACAAGCTAACCCCCCGCAGAACTGGCCCCTCTGGCAACGCGACCTCCACCTCGCCCTCCTCTCCCTCCTCGCCCTCCTCGCCGCCACCCTCTCCCCCCTCTTGGCCGCCAACACCGTCTCGCTCGCCATATACTTCGAGCGCTCGCTGACCGACATGGCGCTGCTAACCGGCTACCACCTGCTGGGCGTCGGACTCGCGGGGTTCGTGTTCGTGCCCAGCGCGCGCGTGTGGGGGAAAAGGCATCTGTATGTGCTGGGTGCGGTGGTAGTGGTGGGGAGCTGTGTGTGGGGGGGCGCTACGGGGCCGCGGTATGCGAGTTTCTTGTGGGCGAGGGTCGCGCAGGGGGTTGGGTTGGCGCCGTTTGAGGCGTTGGTTAATGCGTCGGTGGGGGATTTGTGAGTTGCCCTGCCTGGTCTGCGTTCTGGCTTCTACACGACCTGCTTGCGGCCTTGTGCTACGGCTGAAGCTGTAGGGGGATTGCGGACAACGCGCTGACGAACCCAGATACCACGTGCACGAGCGCGGGCTGCGCATGGCCCTCTCCAACCTCGCGCTCTTCGGCGGCGCGTTCCTAACCCCCGTGTTCGTGGGCCTGATCGCGGACCGCATGGGGTACCAGTGGACGTTCTACTTTGTGGCGATTTTCGCCGCCGCGCTGCTGCCGCTGCTGGTGCTGTTCTGCCCGGAGACGGCGTACCGGCGCGAGGCGCGCTTCGACATCGACACGATGGGGAACCTGATTGTGGCGCCGGCGCTGGAGCTCAAGACGGCGCATCGGGCGGAGTCGACGTCGGATGATTTCGAAAGGGGCGCTGTGGATCAGGCTCCGCTGACGCAGGCTGCGCCGAGTCCTGTCCCTGCGAAGGTGACGTTTCGGCAGTCGCTGGCTCTCTTCAATGGGCGGAAGACCGACGAGCACTATTTGCACCTCCTCCTGCGCCCGTTTCCGCTGTTCTTCCACCCGGGGATCCTGTGGGCATGTCTCATCCAGGGCGTGATGATTGGCTTCACCGTCCTGATCGGCGTGACTCTAGCCGCCATCTTCCTCGGCCCCCCGCTGTGGTTCGGCGAGCTGGAGACCGGGTACATGTACACGGGGGCCTTCATCGGGGCGCTGCTCGGGTTCGCGCTGTGCGGGCTGCTCGGCGACTGGAGCGCCGCGGCACTGACGCGGTGGAACGGCGGCGTGTACGAGCCCGAGTTCCGGATGGTGCTGGTGATTCCGCAGGTGGTGCTGGGTGGCGCGGGGCTGTACGGGTTCGGTTGGACGGCGCACGAGCCGCTGAAGTACGGGTGGTTCTGGCCGGATTTCTTCTTCGCGCTGGTGGTCATGGGGATGGTGTGTGGCGCGGTGGCGTCGGCGCTGTACATTGTGGACGCGCATCGTGAGTCCAGGAAGCTGCCATGCTGATATGATGCTGACACCAACAGGCGACATGTCCGTGGAGGGCTTCACGTGCCTCCTCGTCTTCAAGAACCTCTTCTCCTTCGGCCTGACGTTCAAGGGCTTTGACTGGCTCGTCGAAGCCGACAGCACGAAATCGATGTTCATCGCGCTGGGCTCCGTGCAGGTCGGCATCTGCGCACTGTCGATTCCGCTGTGTACGTTTGACCCTTTACTTTTCTTATTTCACTACACGCACCTAACATGAACCCCAGATATCCTCGGCAAAAAGAATCGCTCCTTCTTCCACCGCCACAACGTCTTCTTCAAATCCACCGACGCGGTGGCCGACTTCATTCTGCGCATTTTCGGGCAAGGAAAAGGGGTGCGGGGGTGAATTATCATTCAGGACGTACGTAGAACGTGTGTAGATCTTGTGTATAGAGCTTGCGTATCAGACTGAGAGAGGAGTGGTAGCATGGTTGTAATGGGGTTTGTATATGGGAGTCGTAATGGGTGTGCGGAGATGTGGGATTTGTATGTGGGAGCTGTATATGGAAGTTATACATAGAGGGTAGGGATGAGTGGTATTGGGTTAATAACTACCTCTATTCTCCTATGGTCTGTCCACACATCCCCCTCATGTGGTACTAGAGTGCGACGAGGTGCGCCCTGGCACGTGTCAAGCACTCACGAAATCGAGATACTGATGATCTTGATATCCTCCTCGGGCTTCTCCTTGTAGCACTTCGCATTCTCAATCCGGTGCACCACATCCATACCCTGCACCGCGCGGCCAAAGATCGTATGCTTCCCATCGAGCCAGGGCTATTCACAAGTCAGCATATGTCCCAGGAAATCTGCACATCTCCACTTCGCGCGGCGTTGTAATACGCTTCACGCCACGCTGCGTGATATCAGGGTCAACATACCGTCTTCTCCGTCGTGATAAAAAACTGACTCGCATTCGTCCCGGGCCCCGCATTCGCCATACTCAGCGTATACGGCTTATCGTGCCTGAGCACGCCAATCTCGTCCGCGAAATCCTTGCCCCAGATCGACTCGCCGCCCGTGCCGTCCCCGAGCGGGTCTCCTGTCTGGATCATGAACTTGCGGATCACGCGATGGAAGATGACGTTGTTGTAGTACCCGTTGCGGGCGTGGGTGGCGAAGTTCTCGACGGCCTTGGGCGCCGCGTCGGGGAAGAGGCGCAGCGTGATGTCGCCGAGGGTGGTGTGCAGGGTCGCGGTGGTGCCTGTTGCGGCGGCGGCCTGGGCATCGGAGGTCTTGGAGCGCGAGGACGCGGCGGGTTTCTCGTTGTGGATGTCGCGGTCCTTGGAGGTTAGGGTCGCGTTGGTGTACAGGTAGAAGCGCACTTTCCCCACGCCGGTGCTGACCAGCATGGCGTCGCGCGCCTCGGCTTCCTGCAGCAGCGGGTTCTCCGAGGCCGCCATTTCGACGGTGGTTACGCGTTTGGCGTCGGGCGCGCCTTGGTACAGGCTGATCCATAGACTGCGCAGGGGCTCCTCGCGGCCGTAGAGTTTGACGAGCTTATTGGTGAGCGTGTTGAGGACTTTGATGCCGTACATGGAGCCGTAGAGGATGAAGTTGCCGGTTTCGTCGAAGATGACGTTTTGCCGTGCGCGCAGTTGGGGGGTGTCCAGCTCTCGCTCGACGCCCAGCCGGCGGCCGAACTCGATGTCTTCGAGAGCCTGTACGGCGGTGCCGGCTTGTTGCATGGAGTTGATGGTCTCAATAGACTCATCGTATGTGCGGTGTAGTTTACCGGTGGGGAAATCGAAGATGCGGATCTTGCGGTCCGGAAAGGAGAGGGTTGCGAACTGGTGGCCTGAGGGGGAGATTGTGAGGGTCGATGGCACGCATTTCGCTTTTTTGAAGTCGAACAGGTTGGTGGAGGACTTCATCGAGAAGACGTTATCGGGTTTCGAAAAGTCCCCGGACGGTCTCCAGTACTCCACCATGCCGCCTTGGTCGACGCTCACAACACAGTCGTATGCATTGTTGTACGCCATAATGCTGACAGGCGCACGATGAATATTTTTCAGCGTGTGCAGCGGCTCCAGATTCTCGCCCCGGCCATCGTATATCCTGATCCAGGCATTGTCTTCTGAGCTCACAGCCAGCTGGGGGAAGCTTGCGCCGCGGCCATGCACCCAACACACCGCCCGCGGGCTGTAGTCCAAGCTCAGCATAGCAAGGAGATCGAACGTAGTAACATCAAATATCTTAACCGTGTTGTCCGACCCCGCCGTCGCGAAACTGCGCCCATCTGCGCTGACATTGACCGACCGTATTTCGCCCGTATGCGCCTTGAACTCTTTCACAAACTCTATCCCGCCGAAATCTTTCTTCCAGAACTTGACGACGCCGTCGATGGAGCTTGTGATGAGGAAGTCGGTGTACGGTGTGAAGGTGGTGAAGCACAATTGGTCGCGGTGCATCAGCGACTTGGAGTAGCGTGGGGCGGCAGGCAGCGCGGCAATGTAGAGCTTCTCGTACGGCAGCTTGCGCTTCTTCTTCTTGGGCGCGGACGAGGGGAGGGCAGGGCCGAAGTCGTCATCGTCGGAGGAAGAGTCGTCTATATGTGTCAGCTATTCTGCGCGCGAGGCTTGGAGTGTACCTACCGTCTGCTTGCGCAGCAGGCTCCTTCATAACCTGGTCTTCCGCCTCCATTTCTGCGCGGGAGCGCTTCGATTTGCTAGGCGACTCTGATCCATCGGAAGCCATGGTAGTGGCCGGTGTGTTGTGTTGTGATTGCGATCCAGACACTCCCGCGGCGCAAAAGTTGGAGTTCGTCAGAGGCTGGCGCGCTCTCACGTGTCGAGTTGAGTGCAAGGAACATGTAAATTGGAATGACTTTCTTTTGTTGTTCAACTACAATTATGTAGACATCACGTAGTTTCATACAATGTGTGTAATGTGTCAGAAAAGATGCCGGAATGGTATTGGTATCTAAATGCAGCACGCCGCTCCAATGCAAGTAAGTCGCTTTTTACTTCTCTTCCACCTCCTCGTCATCCGCAACGTCCTGGTGAAGGGACTTTCTCGACACCTCGAAAACGTAGATGCCGTTCTTGACCTTCCCTGACATCCACCTGGCTAGTCTGGGCTCCTTGCCTACTGCAGCAACCACACAAAGCCCGTCCTTCCCTCGGTCTCCCCGTTCTTGCACTGAAAGCCCGTTCACGATGCCACGGATGAGAATGCCGTCCTCGCCCTCCTCTTCCGGGACTCGGCCGATCTTTCCGACTGGCTCGATGGTGCGCTTGTCGGCACCGACTCGCCATGCCCGTATCCAGCCGTCCCAACTTGCCGTGAGGATGAGATCGGCGTAGGGTACTGTTGTAAGAGCGGTGACGTATCGTGGTAGACGGGGTCCTTTCTTTCCTGAGACGGCGGCATCGTGGTTGGCGGACATGTCCTCGGCGGGCAGTGCCGGATCGCGTCCGTGGGTGAGCGGGTATGTGAAGAGCGGCTTTTTCCTCTGAACAGACCACAGCGCTAACGCGCCGCTGTCCGAGGCTGTGACGAATAGGCTGGCGTCGAGAAGGGCAACGCAGTCAATAGAACCTTCGGCGTATGCGATGGGTGTGTCGTCCTCGTCACCGTTGGCTTGCTTGTCTGCGTCTTTCTCGTCCAGGTACGAGACGTCCTTTCCAAAGCGACCCTTGCGCAGCTTCTCGAGACCCTTCTGTCTTGCTGTGCCACCGCCGTGGAAGACCAGCTGGTTCTCCTCTACGACTTTCCATAACCTGGCTGTGCGATCGCGTGCGCCGACACTGACACAGGTCTCCTGGTTCACCTCGACTCCGCCTGCAATGCCTGTCACGGCATCCTGGTGTCCTACCAGTGTCTCAATGTATGCAGACTCGGGGGCACTCCAGACAATGACGGCGCGGTCTGCTCCTCCAGAGAAGAGCTGCTCGGTGCCTCTCCTGAACGACAGCGACAGGACAGCATCTCGATGCCGTGTGAATACCTTGCGGGGGGTCAGAGTGTCAGCGTCCCAGATGATCAAACGTGCGTGTCTGTCGCCAGTCGCCAGGTATTTGCCAGAGTCAGATACAGCAATGGACAGGATCTCGCCGGTGTGGCCCAGGTAGTCCCGCTCGCCCTTCTTGTTCTTGTCGCCCTTTCTCCAGAAGAGCTTCTTGGGCGTCCGTCGGGGGGTGATGTTCGAGGGGCGCTCCGAGTCTGCAGCATACGACTTGGGATCCGCAATCTCCCACTTCTCAATGACGAGATCTTTGCTGATTGTCCATGCGTGCGGTAACTTGACGGCGCAGCCGGTGATGGCCTTCTGCAGACCAGACTTGCCGAAGACGTGTGATGCCCCGTCGAAATCCAGCTTTTCTGCAATGTTGCGGTAGATCTTGCCCTTGTTCTCGGCGACGTCCTCCTTCAGCCGCTCTGCAATCAGGTCCTTGTCGATCTGCTCTGCGTCCCAGCCGACCTCTTCCTCGACCTCGCCGCGGATGTTGTCGAGGTAGCGCTGGGCGAGCCGCAGGCGCTTCTCGGCGGCCGTCTCGTCCTCGTCATCGGACGTGTCCGAGTCATCGTCGTCCTCGTCGAAGACATTGGCGCGCACGCCGTCCTCGCTCTCGCTCTCGGTGATGGAGTCTTCGCGCTCGGTGCGGGCGGGGGCTCTTGGCTGCGACGCAGCGGGGGCTCGCTTTCGCGGGACAGTCGAGTTGGCGTCGGGCCGCTTCCGCTTGCGCTGGGAGGCAGGCGTGGTGAAAAACGAGGACATGGCGGTGGCTGTGAGAGAGGCAGGTGGGCGCGGTGACCTTGAACTTTTTGGCCCGCAAAATAATTCTGCCGGCCAGGCCCGCCTTTGCCAAGCCGTCGACGTCGTGCGGCCAGCCAGTGCGGCCGCCTCAAGCTCGAAGCTTCCAAGCGCAACACGACTCCGACATCCGTATCGACTGACCACCATATCGACTTCTCTCCGCCTCCGTATCCGCTGCCCATCCATCCTCGCCCGCTGCTGCACTTGTCCTCGCCCGGCAAGCAAGCCAGCGTCTACGCGCCATCACCGCCTGGAGCTCGCCTCCGGCCGCCGTCCGCCCCATTCCCCATCACCCATCACATCCCGCCCTCGCCATGAGCGGCGACCCGGAGCGCGAGCACGCCCTCGAGGGCTACAAGAGCAAGCTGCTGGAGTCGCGTGAGTGGGAGGCAAAGCTCAAGAACCTGCGGTTAGAAATCAAGGGCCTGCAGCATGACTTCGACGTCTCCGAGGACAACATCAAGGCGCTGCAGAGCGTGGGCCAGATAATAGGAGAGGTCCTGAAGCAGCTGGACGAGGAGCGATGTACGTCTGGTCTGTGTCATGCATATCCGCCTGCTAACGCCCGCAGTCATCGTCAAGGCGTCGTCGGGGCCCCGCTACGTCGTCGGGTGCCGGTCCAAGGTCGACAAGGCGAAGCTGAAGCAGGGCACGCGTGTCGCCCTCGACATGACCACACTCACCATCATGCGCATGCTGCCCCGCGAGGTCGACCCGCTCGTCTACAACATGTCGCTGGAGGACCCCGGCCAGGTCAGCTTCGGCGGCATCGGCGGTCTGAACGAGCAGATCCGCGAGCTGCGCGAGGTCATCGAGCTGCCGCTGAAGAACCCCGAGCTGTTCCTGAGAGTCGGCATCAAGCCGCCCAAGGGCGTCCTGCTCTACGGGCCGCCCGGCACCGGCAAGACCCTGCTGGCCCGTGCCGTGGCGAGCAGCCTGGAGACCAACTTCCTCAAGGTCGTCTCGTCGGCCATCGTCGACAAGTACATCGGCGAGTCGGCGCGTCTCATCCGCGAGATGTTCGGCTATGCCCGCGAGCATGAGCCCTGCATCATCTTCATGGACGAGATCGACGCCATCGGCGGCCGCCGTTTCTCCGAGGGCACATCGGCCGACCGCGAGATCCAGCGCACGCTGATGGAGCTGCTGAACCAGCTCGACGGCTTCGACTACCTCGGCCAGACCAAGATCATCATGGCCACAAACAGACCCGACACACTCGACCCCGCCCTGCTGCGCGCCGGCCGTCTCGACCGCAAGATCGAGATCTCGCTGCCCAACGAGGTCGGCCGCCTCGAGATCATGAAGATCCACTCCGCCAGCGTGCAGACAGACGGCGAGATCGACTTTGAGAGCATCATCAAGATGAGCGACGGCTTCAACGGCGCCGATCTGCGCAACGTCGTCACAGAAGCGTAAGTCTGGACCCTTCTACACTGAACACTGCCACTAACACATCGCAGCGGCCTCTTCGCCATCAAGGACTACCGAGACTCGATCAACCAGGACGACTTCAACAAGGCGGTGCGCAAGATGGCCGAGTCGAAGAAGCTGGAGGGCAAGCTGGACTACCAGAAGTTGTAGACCCCCAGGGTTGTAGACGGGGCGAGCGAGCGCTTCTCAGGCCTATTGCTGGCTTGGCATGAATTTTCGTCATGTACGATAATACGACATGGTAGCAGATCAATGAACACTCTGCGATCAATGACGCTTGACATTTCGACATTCAACACTCAGCATTCGACATGCAAACATTCAAACATTCGACATTCAAACATTCAAACATTCTAGGCTCTAGGAATCCCGCGCAATGCACGCAGACGCCGTCTATCCAGGTATCAGGTATCATCCGCCCAAACGCAGCAAAACCGCTAGACACGTGCACTCTGGCCCGACCATCTCGCAATCCCTTCCTTTCTCTCTCGTGTTCTCGTTCTCGTATTCTGGTTCTCCTGTCCTCGTTCTCGCATTCTCGATCTCATACCCTCGTCCTCATACCCCCCCTCACACGCTCTCCCCAACCTCAACCACAGGCGCCTTCTTCCCCCACCTAACCGCGGCCCCATAAAACGCCACCAACCCCTCCACCTCCGCCCGCCCCTTCCCGTACTCCGCCCTTAGCCTCTCGTACCCGGGCCCCTCCCCTTTCGTCCCCAGCCACACGCCCTCCCCACCCACCCCAACGCGCCGCCGCATCCCCGCCGCCCACTCGCCCGCGCGCCGCACCATGCGCCGCTCGGCGTCGGGCGCGTGCACGGCGATATACCCCGTGAGATTAAGCAGGACGGCGATATCGAGCGGGGCTGCGACCGCGAGGTGTGGGAACGAGGGCAGATCGGAAGTCAGGGATGGCTGGCCGGGGTACGCGGAGGTCGGGCGCTTGCTGGACGCGGTGCTGGAGGCGCTGGAGGCGGAGCTGGGCGCGTGGACGTGGTGGGCCAGCGCGGCGGCGAGCGCGGCGTGGGTGTACGCCGCGTGGTTCTTGGCGTCGAGGGATGCGAGCGCGAGGCTCGATTCTAGACATGCTGCGAGGTAAGGCCAGAGGCGCTGGACGCCGCTGGGCGGCGGGACGAGCGTTTTGAGCGTCTGCAGGTGCGAGGCGGCCCAGGCGGTGACGGGGGAGAAGTCTGTGGGTAGTGTGGGTTTGTGCGCGGCGAGGAAGAAGGCGCGGATCGTGCGGTGGGCGTAGGTGACCTTCAGGCTGTCCGGAGCCGCGAGGGCGTCAGGACGCAGCGCGGGGTCCGCGGTGTCGAAGACGGCGAAGAGGTTGCGCGTCTTGTAGGTGAGGATGTGGCGCAGGTCGGCGGTGCGCTGGGCGAGTTCTGCGGATTTGAGGGGCGTGCGGTGCGCGGCGATGCTGGATTTTTCGTCGCCGGAGAGCGCGAAGGAGAGTGCGAGGAGGGACGGGTAGGGGTGGGCTTCTATCAGCGCGGAGAGTTTCCAGGCCTGTTCCAGGTCGGCCGGGTCGAAGTTGCTCATGATGTGGGACAGCAGTTCGTCGAGGTCTGAGGGGAGCACTTCGGCGCGGTTCTGCAGGCTGGTGAAGTTGTCGTTGCCCGTGAGTTCTTGCAGCAGGAAGCGTGTGGCGAGGATGCCCCAGAGGAAGACGCCGCATGCGGTTTCGGAGAGGATGGCGACAATGTCTGTTTCCTCCGGCACAACGGTGTTCCCGCGGAGTTTTGCGAGAGACTCGTCCTGGCTGAAGCTGTGGAGTATGTAGGCGTGGAGGTCGTCGGTCGTGTGGTCGTCGACCCAAATTCTCGGACGTTTCTCAAATGCTTCTTGGAACCCTGGCGAAGGACGGCTTGAAACTAAAATCTTGACGTTGTCTCTCTTGCTGGCGCTAACAATGAGCGGGACCACGTCTACGAGGTCCCCAACTTTATCGGCCTCATCAAGACCATCAATGAAGAATAGGAACTTCTTGTTTGCGTCTGAGATCATGAGTTCGAACGCGCTGCGCAGTTCGGCGAGAGAGAGGGCGCCGAGGCCACCGCCGTAAGTCTTGAATTGTTCCCAGCGGTCTGGAAAGAGAGTCTGTACAATCCCCATTTCCTGCTCCAAGGGGCCGTAGATCATGTCTTGCAGCGATTCATACAGCAGCGACCGAAGCAGCCCAAGTGCGGATCTCTGCAGTTCAACACCGGAGTTCCAGAAGAAATATCCAGACGTAATTCCCGGTGCTTGACCTGACCACGCCTCCAGGTAGTCAAAGATTCGGTCGTTGCGGAATAGGTGTTTCATGAGAGTCGTTTTCCCTGCACCCGGCCTTCCTGTGATCCAGAAGAGATTCTCTCCTCTCTGATTCCCCAGCCATTCAAGCACGCCCCCTTCGTCAGTCTGCTGGTCGTCAAACGCCCACTCCAGAGTCCCCTCGTGCGGCGCAGAAATAGAATGCAACCGATGATCCAGCTCTTCAAACCTCATCCTCTCAAAAATCTGCTCGCAAAAATGCGCCTCGTTCGCCGTACTAACCAGACGATCAACTTGCTGCGAAAACTCCTCCACATGCTTCTTATTCTTCGACTTCCATTCGTTAGCATGCACTGCATCCAGGGCCTCGTTCTGCCAGCGCTCCCAGTACGGCATAATCCTCAGCTCCTCGCTGAACACCGGCAGCCCCGTCTCCGCGGATTGATCAAGATACTGTCTGCACACCGTCAGCCGCCGCGCCCAACCTCCCCTTACAAACTCCACCCTACCTCAGCGCCAGCAACAGCGCAACATCGATTTCCCGCCGCACCGCACGCAGCTTCTTCTTCAGCCCCGTGACATCCCGCTCCTTCCACACGCCGTGACACAGCGCCTCGCGCGCCGTGCCCCACCGCGGATCGCCGAAACTGCCCTTCGCCTGCGTCGCAAGCAGGGCCTCAATCAGCGGGTCAGTCAGCAGGCGCAGCTCCTCGCTGATCTTGAGCAGCAGCAGCGCGGGCTCGCTCAGCTTCGCCTTGGAGCCGTCGCCCAGGCGGCGCAGCTCGGCGCCATCCACGGCATCGGTGAGGCGGAACAGCGTGTCCACGATGCGCTGCAGCAGCTGCGCGTTCTCGACCACGGGCACCGTGTCCGAGGCGCTGGGCTGGTGGATCGCGTTTTGCTTGCGCAGACACTGGATGGCGAATTCGTTGAGCAGCAGGAGGGCCGCGGCCAGTCCTACGGCCGGGATCGGTCGGTGCGTCATGGTGTTGGCGCGGCCACCATCAAGGCGCGACCGAGGAGTGGTGGGAAGGACAAATGGCTGCTTCGAACTCCTGCTGTGCCGCTTTGCTTAAGGGAGGTTCGGCTTGTACTCGAACCTAAGCGAATCGGTCTCCGTCTCATGTTTAGCGCAGTTCCCATGTCCGAACACAGTATTGAAACTTGGCGCACAGTTGCTATTTTGGCAGGTGGGGGCCCTGATCGTTGGAGTGACGCGTTTCACGGCTGCGGCAGGGAGTGGCCTGGAGAGTCACGCGATCGGAATTGCAAACTTTGACAGAGTGATGCACAGTAGTACGGTTGGTATTCACGCTGGCATCTCATTTCACGGCTAAGCTATGCATGACTATAATCAACGCTTCATGATCACCACACCGAAACGCTCCAACTCCGAGTCCCGCAAACATTCTCTACATTGTCTGCCCCTCGAAATACGGCTTGAATCTGGGCGCACTCGCAAGATCACACTGCTGAACTGCCTCGTAACAAGACATGAGGAGCGTGGGGAACTTGGTAGTCCAGTATCTTAGGTATCCGTGAGGCAGAGGACCGACCTTCGCCTTTACGTTGTCGTCCATATCCTCGTAGTGATTCTTTTTGTTCCTGAGCGCTCGAAGCAAGTCCAGGATTCGATCTCCTGTGTACTTGCGTTGCTTGCCGAGGGAGTTGATAAAGGCCGTGTCAAGCTTCGCGAGGAAGTTCATCCTCTTGTCTAGGATCTCCTCCGCCCAGTCTTCGAGGATGTTCAAGTGCTGGGACGGTGGGTCTCGCGGCTCACGTTCCCAGTGGTCTGAGCAGTCACAGAGGAAGTTCAGACGCTTCTCTGCCGACCAGAAGAATGGGTGGTTCATGACCTGTAGAGCGGTGGGGCGATCCTCGGGGCGGGTCTTCAGCATCCACTGAATAAGCCAGTATGGCTCTTCCGAGTCATCCCCGAGTCGGAGACCCTCAAGATTGGCCTTTTCCTTTTTGATATTGTACTCACGCATCTGCATCCAGCCTTCCTCGTCGTCGAAGGGATGAGAGCCGTTAGTGAGTACGTAGTAGAAGACACAGCCGAGGGAGAAAATGTCCACAGCGCGCTTGACACCTTGTGCGACGGGGTCTGTGGAGGTGGAAGAGTCGCGAGAGTAGCCAGTCGAACTACCTCTGTCCACGTCTCTTGGCTGCGAGATCAGCTCAGGAGCCTTCCACCCAACAGTACCGGCATTACCGGTGGTGCCAATAAGAGTGCTGACATTGTCTGGCAATGTCTTACAGAGACCAAAGTCTGAAATGACCAGACGTGGGCCCTTGTTTGAGGTTCGTTGCGGATAGGCAATGAGGATATTCTGAGGCTTGACATCGCGGTGAATGATCCTCAGGCTGTGGAGATGGTTCAGACCATTGGCAAGCTGGTACAGGGCTCGCGGGACATCCCTGTTGATCTCATTGACGAGGCGTCGATGAGCATCAGTGAGATCCTCGCCTGGCCTGCCGTCTCTGAAGAGATCGAAGAGACTGGCCTGACACATTTCGACGGCGATGTACAGGAAGTTCTCATCCTTCTCGTCGTCGAAGTAACGGATGACGTTCGGGTGGAGATCACTCTCCTGAAGGAGTTTGACTTCCTGCTCAGCCAGCCCAAAGTACTGGGGCAGCATTCGCTTGATGGCTACATCGCGGTCCTAGAGAGTTGTTAGCCCAGGTTGCAACAGCAAACCGTCAGTCTACTTACATTCCACTTGCCCTCGAATACGAAGGTGCCGCCACTGCCGTTGCCCAGGAGCTTGTCTTGGTCGATGGTGAGCTTCCCGATTCTCTTTATGTTTGAAACATCCTGCATGTCATCGCCGTTCATGGTGACCTCATCAGGATGCAAGGTCGGTGCGGGGTCGAGCCGTTTCGCGGCATCAACAATGCGATCAACGTCATCCTCGTCTTTTTGCTGGTTCTTGTTGAGCTTGCGACCGCCTCGCTTTCCTCTGTGTGTCTTCTTCTTCTTTGTGGGTGTCGAACTGGCGGCATTGGCATCCTGTGCGATGCCATCGGGGTTGTTGGTGGCAGACGTGGCCTTTTCAACTAGATCTGATGTGGCTTCGTCCGAATCGCCTTCTGTTGGAGACGACTGGTCAATTGTAGTAGTCCTCGAGAGGGGTTCTAGGTCTGCGTCATCATCCTCTGGAATGTTGAAGGTCACGACCTTCTTCTCTTTCGCTTCGGAGGTGGCAGGGGCCTCAACGTCAGCTTCTTGAGTTGGCTCTGGTAGGCTCACAGCTACGGTGACTGTGTCTGCAGTGGCTGAACTCTCCACTGCCTGGCTCTCCGGCTCAATGGCTGGCATAACCTCAGTTTTGACTTCCTTCGGAGCCTCAGGCAGCACTTCGGGTTTGGGTTCGACCTGCTTGTCTGCCTTCATCTCAAACTCCGGACCTGTCGATGAAGGGACCGAAATGGACGCATCTCGGTTCTGACGAGCTGCAGATGACTTGATGAAGAGGCTCATGAGTTTGTCGAGCTGGGGGGGATACTTCATAACCGACACGGTACCAGCCATAACCACGAAGCAAAGCAATATGGTATAGACAGCAGCCGCTCTGGTCTCGATCATCGTCTCTGCCCGAGGCGGCGGATCGATCATTGGCCTCTCCATCGGCGACGTTTCTGGAGGGCGAGAGATAGGCTGGCCTTCTTCAGCATGATAGGCTGTAGGGGCCGCAATTGCCAGGTATCTTGAGGGAGTCTCGAGCTTCTGATCCAGCTTGTGTACTCCTACCAGGCTCTTCTGGTCAGGGAACGAGTGGGGGCCGTCCCAGTCGAGCATGTCCTTGAGCATGTAGCAAGAGGCCTCCGGAGCGCCGTCTGTTACTACGGGATAGTTCTGCTCTGACAACGCATACCAGGCACCTTTTTCGGTGGTATTCAGCCACACGTGCTTAGCCATTGCTTCTGATCCGGCCTTCCCAGCAGGCTGGGGCAGCAGGATCAATGCAGGCTCTGGCGAATCATCGTTGGAAGGCCGAGCAACATCGAATACTCGAGCAACCGGATATGGCAGTTCCTGCCTAAACAGTGGCTTGAGACGAGACTTGCCAAGGCGTTTGTGGTCAAGAGCGATGACTTCTCCATTGAATCTGCTGTAGATGTACAGGTTATCCATTGTGGCTGAGTACTGCATCTGAAGGTCGCGGTCGCGGTTGTTCGGAGCCCATTCTGCATACTTTATCGTGCAAATGTGCTCGTTCGTCAGCTTGTTGTGGATGCTGATGGTGTACTGCGTCTGTCCGAGGTTGATGGACCCTGAGCATTCGCGCTCGTGTGCATGGAAGTAGTCTCGGTGCTTGGGCGCACAGCTCTCCTCGTCGACCGAGTAGGTTCCGCTGGGGCTGAAGCTCTTCTTGATCTTGCCAGAGGCTGCCTCGACGACGAGCATGAAGGTGGACTTCTCGACGTTGTACACGACCGGGAGCGCGGGGTCCTCGCTCGAGTACGGGGCCATGTTGGCGAGCTGCTTGACGGTCATGCCAAGGCGGTGGAGTGCTGGGTAGGGGCCCGGGGTGAGGAAGTACAGGGCGCCGTCTTCCTTGGGCTCGACGATCCAGACAAAGGGCTGGTCCTGGATGGTGGCGGAGCCATCAGAGACGTTGTAGATGGTCTCGAGCATGGGCTGTCCAGCCAGCTCCCATATCTCCTGTCCGGTGTACCGGTCTCGTGCGTGGATGCGGCCGTCGACGGTCGCCAAGAGAACAAAGTCCTCAACTTCCCAGTCCTGCAAAGAACGCGCACTCGGTGCCAGGGCACCTGTGGCTGCGTTGACGGCAGAGGGGGCTCCGACAGCGGAGACCGCTGGAGCAGAGGAGACATGTGTTGCTAGGGCGCTCTCATCCTGGGCGAAGACGGGCGGGCTGGAGCGGCGGCGGGCGACGTGACCGGCGCCGTCCTGCGAATGCGTGGATTTGCCGTTGTTGGGGTGGATTGTTTGTGCGAGCACACTGCGGGGCGGCTGTTGCTGCTGCTGAGCAACCGCGAGGAACGACGGGCCAAGGATGACGATGGCCAGGAGCGTCGTCAGCGTGAGGCCAGCACCCGGCGGCCGGCGCGGGCGTGGCATGGCGGATGGGGGGCTCTACGATGCGGGCGGCGATGCCTGGGGCCGGCTGAGGAGGGCGCGGGGATGGGGCATCGAAGGGCGACGATGGTGTGATGAGGAAGATGGCGGATTTCGACCCTCGATATTAAGGCGGGCGGGGAGCTGCTCGTGCGGCGTGCGCCTCTCAGAGCGGAGCGTTAGGAGAGGCTTGGGCCGCGGCGCTAGGCGGGATCCCTGGCTGGATTTAGATCCCCGCGGCGCTAGAGCGTGTGTAAGGCTGAGGTGTGCGTGTACTGTGTAGAAACGGTGTCAATGGCAGACGGTGTGTTGGACACGCAGCAGCGCGCGGGGCCCAAGCCTTCATGAGCGCTGCTGTTTGTGCGACCGCGGCCGCCCCATGCGAACTCCAGCAGCTTTTGCTGTCCAGGACGCACCGGCTGCCAAAGGGAGCACCGGCGAATCATCACCGAGCCGGAGCGACCAACGTCGGCCCTGCGCCGTCTGCAGCGTCTCCTGCATTGGGTGTGCGTCGCCTGTCTTGCACGTGTGTCCACGCTGTCATCGAGCCTAGGAGACCCCGAGCCAGCCTTTGCTCGCCCTGAAGCTTGAACTTCTCCACTTGACCGTGTCTCAACCACCAGAACACAGACTGCCGCCCGTGAGCGGCAATCTGATCGCAGATGTGCAGCCTGGCATCTTGCAGGCAGTGAGTCCTTGCATCATCGCACGACAGCGGCAAGGTGGTTCTGTGCATCAAACACCGGTCCCACGAGCACCACTAGTTCGCGGTGTTTCGTACGCTCTCGATCGCCGCACTCGCTGTCTAGGTTTCGGTCGCAACAGTCTTTCGGCCACCACAGCCTTTCGGCCACACGGAAAACTCCACACCAAGGCGGTATCTTCTCGGCATCGTCCTACACACTGTTATCCCACTGCCACTCCTTGCTCAAATTCTACCCAGGGAGGAAGGTCTCGAGCGAGAGATATCTGCAAGGTTTGGGGTCTGCATGTCACGGTTCTTGGAACACAACGCGTCCGCAAAAATCACGCTTAGAGTTCAGCTATATTCCCAAGGTTGCCTACTGTTTAGCTTCAACTGTCGTAAAGTTCGCCCTACGTCACTCGTTGAAACACGATCGATCTCGTTGACTGCATGGATTTCGTTTGTGATATACACTTCGTCTAAGCCATTACGCTATCATGCCCGTCGTCTCGAGTTGTCACAGCCTTACATGCGCTCGCGGCGGCGAGGAGCTGATCTGATGATGTTGTCGACACGCAGCAGCAACTCTGCGGCTTCCGATGCCGACGAGACGACCGCACGCTTGAGCTTGTAGCTCTCAATGACACCCAATTCGCGCATGTCCGCTACACCACCGCTGGGCGACAGCAGGTCGAGTCCAGAGCTGGTGAGACCGGAGTAGACCGCCTTTCGGAGCCGTGTAACGAGGTCGCTGGAATCAAGACCAGCGTTGTCGGCCAAAATAGTAGGCAGCTGCTGTAGCGCTTTGCCGAAAGACTCAACGGCGATGGCCTTCTTGCCCTCAACGTTCTGTGCAGCCTCAGCAACAGCCTTTGCCATGTTCATCTCCGCACATCCACCACCAAGCGTTGTCCTGGGTTCCTTGACTGTTTGTGACAGAACCGCAAGGGCATCGTGTAACGATCGCTCAGCCTCATCAAGAAGCTGCTCGGTAGCACCACGGAGCACGACTGTGCATGCTCGGCCTGCCTTAACGCCAGAGAATCTGATGAGTGTGTCCTCGCCAATGATTACCTCCTCGATCAAGTCGCACTCGCCGATCTTAACCTGCTCTGGGTGGTCGAAGGTTGATGTGATCTCTCCGCCAGTGACCAATGCCAGTCGCTCGACACCGTCGAAGTCTGCGTGCTCAATAGAGCAGATGCCGGCATCTGCGAAGAGCTGCTCTGGCCAGTTGTAGATCAACTGTCGGTTGACGAAGCAGTTGATGCCGTGTGCCTTGATGCGCTCGACCTTGGCCTTCATCTTCTCGCGCTCTGCCTTCTCCAGCTCAGCCAGCTTGCCGGTCGAGTCCACCTTCACCCTGGCGCCGAAGATCTTGATCTTATCTGTGTCCATTGATGTGTTTGCGACCAGGATCTTAGCGTTCTCTATCCTCTTGGGCTGGTTCACGCCAAACTTCTTGTCGAGAATAAAGCCATCGTCAAGGTAGGAGTCCTTGAGCTTTCCTCCTGCCTTCTTGATGATCTGAATGTGTGTGAGGTCGGTTGAGCCCCCGAGCTTGAGCACAGCGTCAACTGCAAGCTTGGAGAACTGGTCACGATCCTGGCTCAGCACCTTGGAGCTCAGCGTTGTCCTTGCAATGGCTTCCAGATCCCCCCTAAAAGCTACCTCATCCTTGCTGTGGTCTGTCGCAATCTTCTCCAGAGCATTCAGCGCAGCGCGGCTCGCTATCCTGTATCCCTCGATGATTGTCTGGGGGTGGATCTTCTGGTCAACAAGCTTTTCAGCTTCTCGGAGGAGCTCTGCGGCGAGAACGGTGACCGATGTTGTGCCGTCACCGACTTCGTCGTCCTGGACTTTCGAGATGTTGACCAGTACTTTTGCGGCGGCGTTGTCGAGGGCGATAGCTTTAAGGATAGTAGCACCGTCGTTTGTGACCAGGATCTCGCCTGTGGACCTGTGTACTTGTGAGTTTCGCTGTACTCGGCATTATGTTGTGAGGCCATCATACGCAGACTGGAGGATCTTGTCCATTCCCTTCGGCCCCAGTGTGCTCTTAACCAAGTCGCCGACGGCGATGGCGCCTACAAATGCGGAGAGGCGCGCATTCTCACCCTTCTCCTCCGTGACATCGTCCGCAAAGATCTGAGTGGGGTTCGACTACACACAGGTGGTCAGCGGTGCAAACAAATACCGGGCATGTGGAGATGCATACCATCTTGCAAGTGTTGGTATACAAGCAAGGAGGGGTATCTGAGAGGATGTGGGGTGGTGGCCTTCGGACGCGACTTTTTCGAGCGGCCCGCGATTTTGCAGTGTTTGGACATGCGCACAGACCTTTGACGTTGCCTGGAGCTTGAAAGCTGCGCAACTCACTTACAGTATCATACCATATACTGCAAGACAAGAGATACCGAGCTCCAACACCTCGTCGACATAGGCTACCTCTCAATTAGAAACGTCCGCAGCTTCTGCGAATCCAACAATCCGCAATGTCCAAGCGACCGGCATTTGAGCCTCTCGAAGATGTCATCGATGCGCCGTCGCCAGCTTCTAAACGAGCGCGAGTCGAAGATGTAGACATGGACGAACCGCACACGAATGGCGCGCCTTCGACTGGGCGACTCATGTCTCCGCGACGGGGAGACCAAGACAAGGTCGACATTCTAGGCGCAGATGCTGAAGAGCACGAGGAGCTTGAGGAAGCAGGAGCGCTAGATGAGGTTGACGAAGATGAGTCTGCAATGGCTGCACCGAGACGACAAACCGCGCCAGAAGCAGGATACACCGACCTTTACCTCGACACAATAAATCGCAAAGTGCTCGACTTTGACTTCGAGAAGCTATGCTCCGTTACGCTGTCGAACATCAACGTCTACGCCTGCTTGGTTTGCGGCAAATACTTCCAAGGAAGGGGGCCGAAGTCGCAAGCATACTTTCATGCGCTAGAAGAAGGGCATCATGTGTACGTCAACATGGAGACAAAGAAGGTCTACGTGCTTCCAGAGGGCTACGAGGTGAAGTCGAAATCATTAGACGACATCAGGTTTGTAGTAGATCCGCGCATGAGCAGGGAAGAAGTCGCGCGACTGGACAAGGAGCCAAAGGTGTCATGGGATCTGTTCAACAGAGAGTACATCCCAGGCTTCGTGGGCATGAACAACATTAAAGCAAACGACTACTTCAACGTGGCGATACAAGCCTTGTCGCATGTCGTCCCTCTGCGAAACTACTTTATGCTTGAAGACTTGTCGTCAAGACCGCAAATTGCGCAACGATTCAGCACTCTGGTCAGGAAGATATGGAATCCCCGTGCATTCAAGACCCATGTATCACCGCACGAACTGCTTCAGGAGATTTCAATGCGATCGTCAAAGCGCTTCAGTCTGTCCGAGCAGTCAGACCCGGTTGACTTCCTCTCCTGGTTCCTCAACAATCTCCACCTGGCTGTTGGCGGCTCAAAGACTAAACCCGGGTCGAGCATCGTTCAGAAGGTTTTCCAAGGAACAATGAAAATCGAATCGCAAGAGATCACAGCACGCGCAGATGCGGGAGATCGGTTGAGATTCGAGGATGCTGCAGTCAAGTCGAGCATCAGCAAGTTTCTTGTACTCACTCTAGATCTGCCAGCTGCGCCGCTGTTCCAAGACGCGCTGGAGAAGAACATCATCCCTCAAGTGCCCTTGACTACGATTCTCAACAAGTACAACGGCATACAGCCACAAGAGAAGATGAAAGACCGTGTACGGTATCGCCTCCTGCATCCTCTCCCACCATATCTGCTTTTCAACATCAAGCGCTTTAGCAAGAACAAGTTCGTTTCCGAACGCAACCCAACGATCGTTACGTTCCCAGTCACATCTCTCGACATGTCGCCGTACGTAGAGCCAAACCCAAGAGAGTACCCACCTGGCGAGCCGATCTACTACGACCTGGTAGCCAACATCACCCACGAAGCTGTGAAGAAGAAGGACGATAGCGTAGAAGGAGAGCAAGAATCCAAGGTCTGGAGAGTGCAGCTCAAGGATAGGAGTCGAGACGAATGGTACGGTATTCAGGATCTGTTCGTCGAGAAAGAGCAAGGCGAAACGCTCTTCACCAAGGAGGCATATGTAATGGTTTGGGAGAGGCGGAGAACGAAGCCAGCTACCAATGGCAAAAGCAAGGGCAAGGCCTAGTTCACAAGCGTTGCCGAAAGTTTTCGAGTTGGAGTATGTATGGGCAACGTAACATTGGACGTGAACTTTGTCAGACCTATTAAATGTACAAAAGCCGCCTGTCATTCCAGCAAGTGTGCCAAAGCTGGTGGCCTCGATGCTAGTGCTGACGGTGCGATCCCCATGAACCATCCATCCGTACTGTAGGTGAGACTTGTCTCAAACCTTGTGCGTGGCGCCTTGGGATTGTGTGCAAAAGATGAGGAGAAGTGCAACTTGTTCTTACCAAACCATTCGGACATGTTATCTCTGATCGAGCGTCATCTTTCTCATTATAACGTGCTCAAGAATTGCCGGCGCCTGCCGAACTCGAACATATTATACAAACATGTGCTACCCGTCAGCACGCGGTGCACGATTACCTTGACTTTCCACATCAGCATTTGACCACAAACCAGCGTCGGGGTTTACAACACTCCGAGTACCTATCTTTGCCGTTCGCTCGACTCCCTTCAATTATTCATCAGGGGCACAGTCACCCAGGCTCTACCTCTTCAGCTATAGCTCGACACACAGAATTGCGGTGAACGACGTTGAGGATGACAAGAGCCAGGCATCAGCTTTACACAAGTGGCAGGTGATATGCAGCTACAAGCTGTTTACGGTCCTACTAGGTAGAGCTATGATCAAGACAGGATCCGCGAAAGGGCGGCACCCGTTCGTTGAACGAGCCGTGCAGGTGGGGACGCGTCTGCTCCGCATATTGACCGTCAGCAGTAGAACAATCACGACGACTTGAGATGCGCGTTGCACAACTGTGCGTGGAGAGCCGGAAAACCTGTGCCGCTACGCAGAGCGAAACACAAAGACGCCCGAGGGTGATGATGTACAACAACTCCAAGGTGAATTGCAACTAGTGCATCGTATTATCATACGCCTCACGAACAAAGTAATCAGACAGTTCGTCCGGTGAGTAATCCAGGTTCCACGAAACACAAGCTTTTTGCCCACCCGCTAGTCTAGCGATCGGAAAGTGGGCCAGGCCGCATACGACAATACGGCATTTTGAACCGTGGAAACAACAATGCGACACCTGTCAGAACAAGGGCCGCGTGGGCAGCCAGCTATGTGCTCCAGACACTTTGGACGTGATCGGCAAAAGATATGTACCGAAACTAATCAAGACCTCCTTCCGAGTAATGTTTCGCGGACAGTCGCAGATCTGAAGCTCGGGACGTCGGGCGACAACAACGACCGATGGCGTAAAACTTCTTTGGTGCTTAGCAACCCCAGATTCTGCCGCCTTTCGCGTGCTGCTGATTGGCGACATATTATGTCCGCTGCGTCCGGAGGCTAGCCTTAGGAGACGCACTGATTTCATGACTGTTGCCGGGATATATCATCTGGACTGACCCTGCATCCTGCAACGAGTCAACTTGCCTCCCTCAGGCTTTCGCGACATTCACTTGCTAGACTTCTACCCTAGGAACAGACAGTCGCTTCCAAAATTCAGGGGCGTGAAAGAATCGATTTTGTAGGATTTGCCGGGCGGCTCCTCTAGCACACTTGGTTCTCGGAAGTCGGCTTCTTGCCTATCCGGTCAGGCGAGCACCGACAAATACATAATGTCGTCGTCCGCATCATCGTTCGGAGAGAAAGAGAAGGTCATTGGACTTGCAGATCCCCAGGCTGCAGCAGAGAACCCTACAGAATACGAACCCATAAAGACGGAGCCCAGCGCGCATGATCCTGAGGCAGACCCGAAAAGGCGGCAAAGTCTAACACGGCTCGAGAGCAATGTCAGCGCAGTATCAGACTTCAGCGACAGCGATGCGAGTACGAAGGCATCGACACGGAAGAAGAAGAAGTTCTACAAGAGACTCAATCCGCTGAAATGGGGCCCCAAGCCACCGATTCCAAAGGAGCGGGAAGTTTGTCCAGAGCACAGTGCCAATGTGATCAGTCGACTCACCTTCCAATGGATGCAGCCTTTGATGGCCACAGGATACAAGCGACCGCTTGAGAGGACCGACATCTGGTCCGTGAATCCTGACAGGAGTGCTGATGTGCTCATAGTGCGCCTAAACGCAGCTTTCGCGAAGCGTTTAGAGGAGGGTGGCGACAGGCCACTGTTGATGGCCATGTTCGACACTTTCAAACGCGAATTCATCCTCGGAGGCCTCTGCCAACTCTCCGCATCCATCATCCAGGCCGTAGCACCGTTCGTGCTGCGATACTTGATCAACTTCGCTGTCAGAGCCTACGTCGCCCAACGAAGCGATGCGCCACCGCCACCAATCGGCGAAGGAATCGGTCTCGTCATCGGAATCACGGCGATGCAGGCTCTGCAAAGTTTGTTCACAAACCAGTTCATGTATCGCGGTATGATGGTCGGTGGACAAGCGCGTGCTGTACTGATCACGGCTATCTTCGACAAGGCGATGAAGCTCTCCGGCAGGGCCAAGGCGGGTGGTCAAGCTGTCCTGGAAGCGCCGCCACCGGAGATCAAGCCCGGAAGTGAGGAAGAGAAGAAGTGGTATCAGAAGATCCTCAAAAAGAAAGAGAAGAAGGCAAAGGATTCCACGGGTGTCGCTGGAGGTGGTGAGGGCTGGGGTAACGGCCGAATTGTTAATCTGATGTCCACCGATACTTACCGCGTCGACCAGGCCAGTGGATTCTTCCATATGATCTGGACAGCACCAATCGGTATCTTGATTACGACAGCTCTTCTCCTGGTCAACCTAACATACAGCGCTCTTCCCGGTCTTGGACTAATCATAATCGCAATGCCATTGCTCGGTAAATGCGTCAAGACTCTGTTCCATCGTCGTGTAGCTATCAACAAAGTCTCCGACCAGCGTGTCAGCCTTACGCAGGAAATTTTGCAAGCAGTACGATTCGTCAAGTTCTTCGGCTGGGAAACGAGTTTCCTCCAGCGCATCCAGGATATCAGGAAGAAGGAGATCCGGGGAATTCAGGTCCTTCTTACTATCCGAAACGCCGTTCTCGCTGTCGGCATGTCCATACCCGTCTTCGCTTCCATGCTGTCATTCATCACGTTCTCCCAGGTCAACCCCACCTTGGACCCGGCGAAGATCTTCTCCTCTTTGGCGCTGTTCAACTCAATGCGTATCCCGCTGAATTTCCTGCCTCTCGTTATTGGTCAAGTCATTGACGCTAACGCCTCAGTCAAGCGTATCCAGGAATTCCTGATGGCAGAAGAAGCCGAGGATAACGCCAAGTGGGACTATGACGCCAAAGATGCCGTTGTTCTTCAAAACGCAGATTTCACCTGGGAACGTCATCCCACCAGCGATGAAGCGAAAGACGGGCCAAACAAGAAGAAGGAAGGAAACGAGACCAAGGCCGAGACCAAGGCGAGGGTGCAGACCGAAGAGAACGAACAAGCGGCGGACTTGGAAAGACAGAAAAACGCAGCGGAAGAGAAGCCTTTCAGCATGAGCGGACTAAACCTCACCTTCGGCCGAAACGAGCTGGTTGCTATCATTGGAAGCGTCGGTTCCGGAAAGAGCTCACTCCTTGCTGCTCTTGCTGGCGACATGCGCAAGACCAGCGGTGAGGTCGTTATGGGCGCTTCCCGTGCGTTCTGCCCGCAGTATGCATGGATCCAGAACGCCACAGTACGCGAGAACATCGTTTTTGGAAAAGACTTCAAGCAGAAGTGGTACGATCAGGTCATCGATGCATGTGCCCTGCGACCGGATCTCGACATGCTGCCTGTTGGAGACGCCACCGAGATTGGCGAGCGTGGTATCACCGTGTCTGGAGGCCAGAAGCAGCGCATGAACATCGCCAGGGCTATCTACTTCAACGCTGATATCGTGCTCATGGACGATCCTCTCAGCGCTGTCGATGCACATGTCGGTCGCCATATCATGGATAATGCTATCTGTGGACTGCTGAAAGACAAGTGCCGTATCTTGGCTACTCACCAGCTTCACGTCTTAAATCGCTGCGACAGGATTATTTGGGTCGAGAAGGGAGAGATACAGGCGGTTGATACGTTCCCCAACCTCATGGCTCATAACGAAGGTTTCCAGCAGCTCATGACAATGACGGCTTCGGAGGAGAAGCATGAAGAGGAGGCAGAGGTGCTGGAAGACGAAGTCGAAGACGAGAAGAAAATTGCGAAGAAACAAAAGAAGCAGAAGAAGGCTGCAGCGCTCATGCAAGTCGAGGAACGTGCTACCAAGAACGTGTCCTGGGACGTCTGGTTCCAGTACATCAGAGCAGGAGGCGGCATCTGGGTCGGACCTCTTGTTTTCATCTTGCTTGTCCTGTCTCAAGGTGCAAACATCGTCACCAGCTTGTGGCTCTCGTACTGGACGTCTGACAAGTTCGGCTACAGTGAGGGCGTTTACATTGGTGCCTACGCTGCTTTCGGATTCAGCCAAGCCCTTCTCATGTTCCTGTTCTCGTGGGCTGTGTCAGTGTTTGGTACTGAAGCTGGCAAGAAGATGTTGCACATGGCCATCACTCGGGTCCTCCGCGCACCGATGTCCTTCTTCGATACGACGCCTCTCGGACGCATCACCAACCGCTTCTCCAAGGACATCGATGTCATGGACAACACCCTCACTGACGCCATTCGCATGTACTTCCTCACGCTTGCTATGATCATCTCGGTCTTCATCCTGATCATCTCCTACTATTACTACTACGCCATCGCCCTCGGACCGTTGTTCCTCTTCTTCCTGTTCTCAGCCGCCTTCTACAGGTCCTCCGCCCGCGAAGTCAAACGCCACGAGGCCGTCCTGCGCAGTACTGTATTCGCACGCTTCGGCGAGGCCGTTATGGGCACACCCACCATCCGCGCCTACGGCTTACAGAATCAGTTCTCGCGCACCGTACGCGAGGCGATCGACGACATGAACAGTGCTTACTACCTAACCTTTGCTAACCAGCGCTGGCTCAGCACCCGCCTAGATGTAGTCGGTATTCTACTTGTCTTCACCACAGGTATCCTGGTCGTCACGTCTCGCTTCAATGTCAACCCCAGCATCGCCGGTCTTGTCCTGTCGTACATTCTCACCATTGTCCAGATGATCCAGTTTACCGTCCGTCAATTGGCCGAAGTGGAGAACAACATGAACTCCACCGAGCGCATCTACCACTATGGCACCCAGCTCGAAGAAGAAGCGCCTCTCCACACCGACGTCCAAGTCCGACCGACCTGGCCCGAACATGGCGAGATTGTCTTCGAGAACGTCGAGATGCGTTATCGTGACGGCCTACCACTGGTACTGAAGGGTCTGAGCATGCATGTTCGCGCCGGCGAACGCATTGGTGTCGTCGGCCGTACAGGAGCAGGCAAGAGTTCGATCATGTCTGCGCTGTTCCGCCTGCAGGAACTCGCAGGCGGCTCTATTACCATTGACGGGATGGACATCAGCAAGATCGGGCTGCAGAACCTGCGCTCGAACCTGGCCATCATCCCACAGGATCCCACTCTCTTCAAGGGCACCGTAAGCGACTCACGTGAGCTCCTCATAACCACCGTGCTAACTTTGTTCACAGATTCGAAGCAACCTCGACCCATTCCACAAAAAGTCAGACTTGGAGTTGTGGTCTGCTCTCCGCCAGGCCGATCTGGTGTCCAACGAGGCCGAAATGGGCGACAAGAGCGGCCGCATCCACCTCGACTCCGTCGTGGAGGAGGAAGGCCTCAACTTCTCATTGGGACAGCGGCAACTGCTCGCGCTGGCCCGCGCACTCGTGCGAGGATCACAGATTATCATTTGCGACGAGGCAACGTCGAGCGTCGACTTCGAGACCGATCAAAAGATTCAGAAGACAATTGTTGATGGCTTTGCGGGCAAGACGCTGCTCTGCATCGCGCATCGCCTCAAGACTATTATCGGCTATGATCGCATTTGTGTCATGGACCAGGGACAGATCGCCGAGCTCGATTCGCCCATCAACTTGTACGAGCAGGGCGGCATTTTCAGAGGCATGTGCGAGCGTAGTGGGATTCGGAGGGAAGACTTCCTGGTGAAGCACTAAGAGCCGCGTGCACAGGTGCAGGTGGTGTTAGTACGTAGCCACGAGCGCATTTTACCGCGCTACGATGGAGGGGTTCAAGGATGAAGCTACGTTGGCCGGAATAATTTGTACACTAATTTTGCACGCGGTGCTTGTTGCGGAAGCGGTCTGAGTTTACGCGCATGAGCATGACGGTTGTAGCGGCATTTTGTCCGCTGCTCCTCAACGTTCGACTGGGCATGGCATGTCTAGCGAGGGTCTGTTTCGTACTGGTGGATACTGAGATTACAGAAAATGGGTAGTACCGACTGCAAATACACAGGCTGAAAAGGCCATGTTCAATAGTCTCTTCGAAAACTGGTTGTGTTCTATTGCTACTGTCATGTGCTGTCCAGCAGCTGAGGACGAGGCTGTTACCTCAATAAACCTTCACCAGCCGCACACCGCAGGCTTGTACAAGCGGCGCAAAGCGTGGTAGGATCTAGCGGCTTGGTATCGAAACACCTCTGCTTCAAGCGTCCCTTCAGCCGGGGCCAGTCTGGCAATCTAGTTCGGTAGTTCCTCGAAAAATGAGCGATAGCAGCAGGCGCCACCAGCCGCTTGGGGGCGCTTGAAGTTGCGATTGCAAGGCTGTTGGGTCTGCCGGTGCGGCGGCGCCGATGCATGCAGTCGAGACTGGTGTTCCAGACGTCTGGAAGACCTCATCAGATGTCGCCTTCGGCTGCAGCTCTGTCACGGCCACGACAGGCAGGTCGGGTGCCAATCACTCGCGCCGCACACTGCATCAAGTTAAGGCGCCGCCGTGGCTCTCGGCCAGCATTCTCCGCGTGGGTATGAGCAGCTAATGTGCCCAAGCAATTGGAGACCGCGCGCTCTAACCGCAAGCTGACTCGCCCGGGCTCATGCTGTCGAGCCAAGCTCCAGTCGTTCTGCACGGATTCGTGACCAAGCGAGCTTGGCTCCTTTGAGTGCGGCGCCTTTCAGAACTCGTTCAGGGACGCCGTGACGAGCCCATGTCTGGCTTGCAGCAGCGTCAAGACACTTGGTGCTTAGAGGTCGCGATAAGCTCTTCACATGAGAACGAGAAGGCGCGAGATAACCAGTGTTGGGGACCGCAGCATGTAGTCTTGACCGCAATGAGCGTTGAGAGTGGAGCGCTGCGACAGACAAGAGCGAGCAAATGGTCAATATTGGCGCAGCCTATCAAACGAAGGGCCGAACAAAGTCGCCTCGCAGGAACCTGTCCCTGTTTGGCCTAGCAATTGCGATCGGCCGTCTAGCTTGGAACTCAGCGGTCGCTCAGACCTTCCCCCGGCCCTGGGTCTGGAGTTCTCCTCCAAGCTCATTATCACGGCCTGCGCCCGTCAGCTACGCTCCTTTTGCTAGCTGTACTGTTCCTCTCCTGCTGCTCTCTTGTCGTTCTCTGTTATTCCCCGCAGCAATTGTAGCTGACGCACGCCGGTCGGCCAGCTATCTACCACCTATAACCGTTGTTTGCTCCCTCCTTACAAACAGCACCCCTGTCGTGTCGAGCCTTCCGTCTCAGGAGCGACCTCACCTGGAAACCACTTCACGGAAGTCGATACTGCGTTAAATCACCTGACCCGCGTGTCATTCTTGCTGCAAACCCAGCTTGGTTGCCAGACGTTGCACAGCATTTCTCCGCTGCATCTGCAGTGAGCAATCGTTGCAAAGGGTCTTCTGACAACTCGTCCCTGCGGCACTGCATATAGGCCGATTGCACGCTCTGCCCCTGTCACTAGTCACTCCTTCCGACATTCACAATGGCGACACACTACGAAAAGGAGCCTGTCACCTTCGGCGCCACCATTGAGAGCAAGCCTGCTGCACCCAAGTCCACATCATCGCCTGCACCTCCGGCCCCTTCATCCAACGCATCGACAATGACGACAGCCACCGCGGACGCCACTGCAAAGGAAATGGACATCGACTCATCCAACCCCTACTCTGCCTTTTACAAGCACCCAGACGCTCGCCGCTCTCTCGACAATGCCAGCGCCCCACAGAGCAAGGTGCACCTCGACATCAACACATTCGAGCGCGACCTCGAGGCCGGTGCCCCACTCTCGGCTGCTACCACACAGCAACTGCCTAAGGTCTCGGTCGACGGCCGCGTCAGGGAAGTCAAGGAGTGCACAATGTGGCCGTCAAGGCAAGCCGTGCTCGAGAAGCGAAAGGATCATAAGCGCAAGAAGGGCTGCAACCTCTTCCAGGGCTTGACCAGCAAGCAGAGGTTATGGATTAAGATCATCATCGCTCTCCTCGTCATAGGTGCCGCGGTCGGCCTCGGTGTGGGCATCTCGCGAGCGGTCGGTGGTGGTGTCTGGGCCGGTGATGGCAAGAGCAAGGAGATTCCACACAACTGAGCTCGCAACGGGCTCCGCTAGCAACAGCACTGTCAAAGGTATGTTGCTCCGTATCGCACCAACTCTGAATTATAGCTGACATTCGCTAGAGTCGCTCGACACGCCATGAGCACGACCTTTGACGCCATCCACACGCACACTTCTCCCGACATCATTATGATATCCTCTTTCTACTGTTATTGCTTGTACCTAATGTACATATTTCTGTCTCGCTTCTGTCCATGTTTCCACAGGACACAGCTGGGTCACGGCGCACCAGGCGCACTTTACTGGGCATATCAACGCATTTGGGCAAGGATTAAGGCGCTAGGAGTTTACGAAGGATTTTCTACAGGTGCGACAGACTCGCAGTAGAGCTACCACGCACGATGAGAGGAACAATCGAGAATTGCCTTTGCATAACCGCAAGGCTGGCTTCAAAATTATCGCTCCTGCATAACTGCTCCTGCACGTCATGATGAATACACTTATGTCACCCCCTCAACAGTTTCACAACCCCACTCATCATCTTGTGTCATACCAAGCGCACCGGTGCGTTCCACCTGCATGAGAAACAAGTCCGCAAACATCGCACCTGACGTTGCCGTCGAACGCAAAACGCCCCCTCAAACGCGCACCCGGGACGCGCACGTCACATACGCGGTCCGCCAAACCAACCCCCCAGCCCCAGCGGCGCTGTGTGGCCTCGCCCCGCTCCAGCCGCAACCACGACCCGTCCTGCAACTGCCAAACTCGCAAACCGTGCAGGCCCATGCCGCAATCACACGGGCCCGAAATTAGAATGGTCCCTGCATTTTATCGGAATTATGTACAATACCTAGTTGTGGGCTGCGGTGGATAGGAAATATGGACTGCTGTGCTGCGCCGCCGGTGGACCCGCTCGCGGTGGCGCAGGTGCGGATACGCTCGCTGTACGAACGGGACCGAGTACGACGTATTGTATATTTTGGTCAGGGTCCTCGGGGGGTTGCCGGGCTGCGTGGAATGCTGACGGAGGACGTGCGTTAGGGCTGCGGAGGATTTTGGGTTGCGGGTGAGTTTTTAGAATCGAGTGCGATTGGGTGGTGGTGGTGAGCTTGATGTATTGCATTCTTTTTTTGCATGCATGTGGTTGTCGAGCCAGTTGCTTGGTGGTGGCATCGCGTTGCCTGTTCTACGATACTTCCACTGCTCAGGGACGGTCACATGTTTGACTGTGCTAGAGCGATTGAGATTTCTGATTGCATAGGGACAGTCTATACGGTACATACGGTCGGAAGGTGTCTTTGGTCAGACTGTTACGAGTACGTCTCACCGACTTGAGGCCTCATCGTGGGCTTCGACGACAACGAGCAACGCCCAGTACCGGGGATGACACCCCATTGCACCTTCTTCAGATGCGGATCCACCTCGCTCGGATCCGGATGACATGCTGCACTGATCATGATACTACAGTTCTCTGCCAGTGGAAGATTAGGCATCATAGGCCAGCGACCTATACAACGAACTATCGCCACCAGGGCCACACAGACAACACAGAAGACGATCAGACCAGAGAATGAGATCCCGCAGGCGGAGGTCCAACGCTCAAGTCCGCCTTCAGTGTTGTAATAGTCGAGACGAGATATGAAGAACGTCTGCGATAGCAACCAATGTAACCCACCACTGGTCATCATGAGTGGTGTTGCCCACTTGTATGGGAGCTGTAGGAAGTACGTGCTGCGCTGTTTGCCTCGCGGTCTGGTAACTCGAAGCCCTTTCTTCGTGGTGGCCAAGCCGTCCCACTCAGCTGTGCTTGCCATTGCAGTGCATATTGCGTTGAGATTGATGTAGCAGAGGGACAGCAGGACCTGTGGCATGTTTGCCAGCCAAGCGTTCCAGAGTGTAGCCTTTGTAGATGCTCCCGTTGCGCCGAACGAGATGGTGCCGCTCGATGCAGATCCCCACTGCCACATCCCACTACCCAAATCAGTTACCCTCGTTGGGAAAAGAGTAATGACGATGACCAGTAATGTTCCGCTGTAGCGATGTCAGAGACCGATGGTATCTTACAAAGGTATCCACTCACGCTATAACAGCAGACCAGGTTTTGTCGTATCCGATTGATGAACAGTAGCGTCGTCGCCGTGGCTGCCATGAAAAGCACCTAGAGGCTATGGTACTATGGCTCTCAAAACTTGATAGCATCTTGTCAAGCTCTAGTATACTCTTTTCTTTTGTAAAATCCTCGGGGTGCTCCAGGTAAGAAGCTGCAGCATCGCCCAAAGTAACGAGGTATTCTGACGAGTCCATCGTTAGCACACCGACCATGATAACAAGCTTGAAGAAGTTGAAAGCGACAACTACAATCATGAAAGGAAGACTGATCTGTATCCGGCTTTGATATTTACCCCGAGTCGCCCAGCCCTCTACGATGTGTAGCGTATCTGGTATGGACTTGTTTGACACTGTTGAAGTCCAATTGTTGAAGGGTATCCAGCCGGCGTCTGTAGGCATAGGCATGTTGACGAAAGCATCGCTTCTTATCTTTCGTGGGAAATGATCCGCAATCGAGAAATCTACCTCCGCGAGGTCGTTCTTCGTTACAAACGAGATTTGATCAATAGTCAAATACAGATCACTATATCGTGTGATTGATGGGTTTTCGTAGGTTTTCTTCCATGCAGTATGGTCTAGACGTTCACCAGGAGCGAGAGTCTTGTTCAAGATGGGGTCGTTTTCTTGTATGATCAGCACATCGTACTTGCTCAGTGTGATGATTTTAAAGATCGCAGCGTTGTAGCTGTATACAGTGAGCCGACACTAACTCAGAAGTTGGACGGAGACTTACAAGAGGTGCAGAGGCAACGATGATACTGCTAGCATCAAACAGAGAGCTGCTCTTTTCCGAGATATGACCCTCAAGTTGTGAATGCTGACAAGGCCAATGTCGAGCCACCTTCCGCGCAGATGAGCCACGTCTATTTCTCGTCGGGTGGGTGAGTTCAGAACCTGCATTGTGTAATTGCTCGCCGAGAGCAGAACTGTGCTGAGAATGTTGATGAAGACGTGACAAATAGTATTCCACCTGGAGATTGTCTCTTCGTCAGCCGCCATAAGCGTTGCGACGCCCTCTCCATCATAGCCAGATCCTGTTTTCGCGCCTACGATTATCATGGCAATGTTGCAGATGAGTACAAACGTGGAAACACAGCTTCCAAGCAGCACTCCAACTCGCCAGCCGTAGAATCTAGATTGTTCAAGATGATACCGAAAGCGTTTGGCAACCTCCGGCCCATACTTGTGTGGCCGGTAAGGTCTGGTTACATCGTCTGACTGAGTCTCAAAAGAGGGCCTGGCGCTGAGGTTTGCTCCTTGCTGGTTGACGTCGTTGGCGGTACTAGAAGTCCTAGTAGGTTTTGCGTTAGAATTGATACAGAGTGAGTGTACGGTGACCTTACTGCCCTGATTCATGCATCCGTCGACTTGAACTGTTCAAATCTGGGTGGCCTAGAGTCGCTTCTGCACGAACCGGGTGGCGATGGATTTGGGCTTCTTGGTAATCCATGCGGACTTCATCGAATTGAGTACCTGTGTAGTTCGCCATACGACTAGGAATCCACCCTTCCGTAGTTGCCTGGTAGCGAGTGGCCGTAGTGTAATTGGCATGGCCATGATCGTAGTAATTGGCCATGCATCGTAGAGGTTGCTCTTCGTAGCTGCGATCTTGGGGCATCGTGCACACTATGCAACAGAAAAATAAATAGTCTCAGCGCGTATGCGATGCAGGGGGCGTAGTTATAGACTGAGAATGACCAGGCTGAAGGGTTGCATCCGGGTTTGCAGCAAGCTGAAATGAGCCCCTGCAGCGCTGCATTGTGTATGATGTGCGGCTTTTTGCTCCAACCAAACACATCTGACTGTTTCAGCAGTCGCCAGCTTGATGTTTTTCTTTACGGTCCTCGCAGATGCCCAGTCCTAGCCTTCTACAACGATGCGTCTTTCACATGCATGTACGCGTAAGGGTAGAGAGTGATTATATTTAATTCAAAGGGCACGCAGCTACCTTTACAATAGTTAATACTAGGGTTACGTCATGTAGTTCTTATGTGTTGTCATGTGTAAAGCGCCACTATTAATAAGGTACGCCATCTACACCTAGCGCTAGCGCGCCTTCCTACCTTCAGCACAAGATCGCGGCAGAACATTACAATATAGCTGGTAGCATCTATCCACTCTTCTAGCACGTACTACTACGTGATCTCCAAGATCAAAAAAGGTAGATCGACTCCTGAAATCGGGAAGTCGCGATTCATGGATGACCGCATCGTTTAGGATCGTTGATCGACTGGCTGACGGACATATTTTGCTTCCAACTACGATCAGTGCAGATATAGCAGATCAATTCCAGCTATCCTTTAGATCAAAGCAAGGTTAGAGGCTCACTGTAAGGCGGGTCTTGAAGATGTCGAGCGACTCTGTGTTTCTGACCATGTGTAATTGACTTTAATGGTAAGAACGCCAGTTACAGATCACTATGTTGCGTGATTGATAGTCTACTTTAGATGGGTTTTCGCAGTGGACAACCTCGTTCGTGTAACGGTTTTATTGGAAGCTGGTCGATAATATATCCATCAGCCAGAAGACGACTGACATGGGGTAACTACAGTATGATCCCGCCACCTTCCATATTTGTCTGCAGAACTCAGTGCTCCAGCAACATCTTCAAGTCCAAATGTGAAAATTTTAGTATGAGATCGCTCCCCAATACTCAATAGTTCTGCTGCTGCAAGGTCAAAGACTCCGCGGGCGGTATCACGACTGTACATGAGTTTCCCCGACATCGTTATGTGCTTTTGTGACAAAAGAACTACTCAGTTCTTCTTGGAGATCGCCATGACAGCGATTCGAAAGTATTTGTTTAGGATGTTTGATCCATCAGCCTTGCTTTGCGAACTTGTACTGTATTGTGAAGGAAGAGTCGATTAAAGATCACGTGACTTTGGTCCGGGTTTCAGTCCGTGATCTGCACTCCATAACATCATCAATCCAAAGAGACTACTAGGGTATGCAATAGTTTGTATCTACTCATAGGGCTGATACTATCTCTCGTGACTACTTTTATCTCCCCTTCCATGCCTCGTTGACCAAATCCTTAACGCTTCTTGGCTTGATGTCTGGAAACTGATTGTTCAAGGAATTCGCGGGGTTAAAATCGAAAAAGCCCTGTTCAAACAAGATGCCAAAGACCGCACACATGCCCTGGAGCATCTGTTTCGGGAAATAAGGGTACACAGGTGGGTGGCCTGGGAGCTCGGTGACTTGGAAGGACTTCAATGTGTCCAGCGAATCGTACGTGGTACTGAACTTGGTACCCCTCGCTTCTTCGGCAATGGCAAGGAACTCATTCAGTGTAACCTTGTCGCCAATGATGTAGGATTCCTTCTGCCACGACGACTGGCTGAGAAGAGCGGCGACAAACTTGCCAATGTCAAAGCTGTAGGTGAACACAACTGGGACTTCACCAGATCCGGGGATGGCGGCTGCTTTGTTGGCAATGTCAATGGCAAGTGTCATGCCAGAGAGGTAGGACTTGACGTATGGCTCGACGTAATAGTCCAGGAAGAAACCATTGATAACGGCGGTGTACTCCAGGGATGTTTTCTCGAGGGCGTCGAGATATGTGATTTTGTCCTGAGCAATAGCGAAGATCTTAGCAACCCTACGGAAGGCAGTTAGCATCGGCTTTTATTCGTGTATGGCAGCACTGGATCGGCTTACTCAGGTGTGTACTTGATACCCCATGTGCTTGGGATGTACCGCTTCGTTGTAGTTGACTCTTCAGCAGCCTTGATAAGGTTCAGATCAGCCTCCACGCCATTCATGGATCCAAGCGTTGAGATCAATGTATCAACATTGTTCTCTTGCAATGTGTTCACGATTGAGGCTGCGTCAGTGTAGTCGACGGCGAGCACCTTCGCTCCCAGTTCGCTGGATTTTGCATCGCTGGCCTGTTTCATTAATGTTAATTCAAAGTATAGATCATGCTATGAGAAACTTACCTCACGAGCAAACACAAACACCTGATACTTCCCACTGGCAACAAGACTCTCAACAATGGCACGGCCAAGTTTACCACTTCCTCCCGCTACAGCAACGATCGAAGACATTCTGCTATGGTGTCTGTGAATTTGGTGGAAATGGTTGTGAACAGATTAATGAGCTACTTCGGTAAGAGCCTCTCAGGTTTAATAGATGGAAGTAACTCGTTGTTTGTAAGCTCAACTAGGTTACGGGCTGCGGATGCGCTCTGTGCCAGAGGTACATTGCTAATCGCGGATTTGCGGGACGTCTTCTTTCCGAGCTTGAGCAATAACAGATCCCTCTTCATAGTCTGGGGTGCAGATTTGTAAGATTTGGGGTTCAGTAACACTAGACTAGTATCTTGAAATAGAATTTGTATCCGCTGTGTAGAATTTACATCCGCTTTGTAGAATTTGTATCCGCTTTATAGAATTTGTATCCGCTGTGGAGAATTTGTATCCGCTGTGGAGAAATTTGTATCCGCTGTGTAGAATTTGCATCCGCTGTGGTATGCGATAGTAGGTTGGAGTGTGACTACCCAATGCTCCTCTGCGGCGTTCTGAAAAGTGCATTACAACGCGAATAATACACAGTACACAACTGTTCTGTGGTCAATGTCTGATAACCTTAAATTTTTAGATTCCGTCTTATTTGGTCCGCGCCCAGGCTATCCCACTGCTTGCTTCTTCGGCGAAATGCCTGCCCTATCGCATTCGCACTCGCATTCGAATACCCTCACATCATCAGAGTCTCCGCACATTCTAAAATCAAGATCCAGATAGTCGTCCACATATAGACTAACTATGGTCAAGGTTGCTGTTGCTGGTGGAACGGGCAGTAGGCTTTCACATTGCGTACACATCACGCCCAAGGCTGACCTTCGCTTCAGACGTCGCCCGCGAAGCGATCGATAAAATCCGCGCACAGAACAAGCATGAAGTCACTGTGCTCACGTAAAAGGTATGTGTGGTATGAAGGTCCTAAAAGTTGTTGCTGTGCTGACACGAGAAGCCGCTCAAGAACGAGAGCCAAAACGACAGTCTCGTTCAAGTGGTGCAAGTTGACTACAGGGACACACAAGCGCTAGCTTCAATCTTGACTGGTACAGATGTAGTGTTGTGTTTCTTTGCGGCATTGGACCAGGAATCTACCATCAAGAGCTCGAAGAACCTTATCGATGCCTGCGTTGAAGCGGGAGTTAAGCGCTTCGCCCCTTCGGAATGGGCATGGTAAGTAGCGTGGCGGTTACGTGAGGGTACTGTTGACTGCATTGACCGTGGTATAGTCGCAATAACGCGTACCTGCCGCACTACCAGTACAAAGACGCGATCCGCGCGTATCTAGAGGACATCAACAAAGACAGGTTGGTGCGTTGCAGACTCCCCGTCCGCCCTCAGACTACAACGCTCTTGGCTAATCCTTGTAGACACTGGAATACACACTGTTCCAGCCAGGCCTCTTCACAAACTACTTCGCGTATCCACACTCGACTACGCGCCACTTCTCCGTAAGTCCATGGTTCGTCGACTTCGAGAACCGCCGCGCTATCATAGTTGGTGATGGGAGACAAGTCTTCACCACAACGACTGTCGAGGATTTTAGCAGTGCAGTGGCCCAGTCGCTCGACTACGAGGGCACGTGGCCTGTCAACGGCGGCGTAGTAGGGTCCCGCATCACGGTCGCGGAGCTGGTAAAACTCGCGGAAAAGCTGCGCGGTATGTAACCCGCCAGGCTCCAGCATGTAGCCTCATCGCGGCAGTAAAAGAGACTGACGAGACCAGGACCCATCACAGTCGACAGTCTTGATCTCGATGAGTTGAAAGCTGGTCAGTTCAACGCCTCCTGGGTCCCAATCATCCAGCACCCGGGTATTCCTGACGACCAGCGCGAGGCGATTTCCAGATCTGTTATGGCGGCGTATGTGCTTTCTACAGCGCAAGGAGGGTGGGATGTCCCAGGGGAGTGGAACGAGAGATTGCCTTCCTTTCGTCCTACGAGCGCGGAGGAGTATTTGAGCAGGGTTTGGGAGTCGAAACCGTGAAATATGTCAACAGAGAGGAATGCTAGTGCAAAGCAGCTTGAACTGCAACACATCTTGTCGTAGATTCGGGTGCAGGTGTTGCAAATAAGAGACTTCAAGAAAATCACAAGAGCCCTGGAGATGTCGTATCGTTCTGGCATCGTAGCTTGGATGATATCTAGATAATCACTGCAAGACAGACCTTGAAGATGACCAGCCACTCTGTACTTCCGGACGATGTGTGACCGACCTGAAATGCAATGCAATTTTGTGATGGTAAGACTACATGTACATGTTTTGAAAGGAAAAGACACCAATGCATCCTACGGTACGTTAATACATCAATCATTACAGTTCGTTAGGTTCCTGTGTACTCTCATCATCGCCATCACCGGTACTATGCTTCGGGAACTTCTTGTACCAGTCCGTCGGATTTCCGCCAGGAAGACACAGGCCAAGACGCCAGAAGTAGTCTCTGTGCGCAAAGAACAACTGCCAGAACTTGAAGCGCGTGGGTACGCCCCAGGCAGGGCGGTCCTCGTCACTGCCCTCGATGCAGTGCGGGTCTTCGTCGCCTTCGCAGTGGTGGACGTGGGCTATGGAAAACGGCAGGCTTGGCTCGGAGATGAAGACTTCTTCGCTGTGCATGGAGTAGCCCCACTCTTCCAGGGGCAGCAAGGGTACAGGATCGCCGGCATGGGTGACGCGGTGGAAGGTGTTGGCCTCGTGGTTGTCTGTGACGTTGAAACGGTCGTCAATGTAGGTATTCAGGTTCTTGTTTCCAAGTCGCGGCTCGCCAAAAGTGGTCACGCGAGGGTTCCAGCCACGCGCCTTGAAGTCCAGACCAGCCAAGGTCGCGACCGCGCCGCCTAGAGAATGCCCAACGAGAACCAGCTGGTAATTGGGGTATTTCGCCAGAGCCTCAGAAACATGTGGAAGAACGACCTTGCGTGTGTTTAGCCAGGAGGTGTAGAAGCCCGTGTGCACGGTGCAGTTGGTGCACTTGGGCGGGTCTGCAGGCGGTGGATCTCCTTGGGAAGGTGGGGACGACTGCACATGGGGCGCAAGGAAATCAGAGGTTGACCCGTCATCGTCATCGCCGGGATAGGACACATATTCTTGAGGGATGGTCGAGAGGTCTGCGATGGTGTTGGCGATGGAATAGGTTCCGCGAAAGGCGAGGATGAGTCGTGGGTTCTTAGGACTGTGCGCCAGGGCGATGTATCCACACGAGTCGGAGAGGAAGGGCCCTGTGTTCCATGCCTTGATACTGTCAGTACAGAGACAGTGGAGGACTGCATCCGGCACTCACTGTTACGAGCTCAAAACTCTCGAAGTCGCGGTCTGAGCAGCGGCTGGCGCACTCGAAGGGCTGCTGGATGCCCAGACCGGCGGTGCCAACACAGTAGGCGATGTCGACTATGCGCGCAAGCTCCTCCAGCTCCCAGAAGAGCTTCTGCGAGACGAGCGTGTCGTTGCCAGGGTGCACGAGTGGCTGCTGCGTCGCATCGCCATAGCTGCCAGCGGCGGCGGCGAGTACCACAAGACAGTGCAATATGAGGCCAAAAACGGTGGCCATCGAGTCTCTATCACATACTCCTCGGAGGCAGGCTCTGCTGATTGCAGTGGGACGACAGTGAGGTCAGAGGACGATGCATCCGGGCATGATCAGGTGTTGACCGGGGTCGCAGCCATTCCCGGCACGCGCCGAGCGTGGCTTGCTGGGCGCCGAGTGCAGAAAGATCATCGGCGACGTCATAGTCGGGGCCAGCCAATGCAATTTGAAGGGGACTCTCGGGAGACGACGAGTTCATCCAGCAAAACGGCGCTCCCTGCTGACACTTTTCTCCAAGACACACCACTGCCGCACACAAGACGCACGCTATCCGTCGGCATCCGCATAAGAAAAGGCGAAGACACGACCGCTTGCCTTGAGTATCGCTTGTTTCTTTGGACTGCACGCACCCAGCACCATCCACCTCGCCCATTATGGCCACCGAACAGACGTCCACCGAACCGCTGCGGGCATCCACGCCCCAGATGACAGAAACTGCCCAACTGGCAGAACCCTCGCGACCTGCGACAGCACATACCGCAAATGGCTCCCTCAGTGTTCCGGGCGGCGACGTCACCGGTACGAACAACAGCACAACAGCGGTCAACGCCGAAGCAGACCCAAACGTCCACAACCCTCTCAACGCACGATTTCCCCACACTCAGATCGCCTACGATGACCCCGACTTCACACGGCCACCGCCGCTGAAGTACTCACTGCGAACGCGCAAGAAGGCCATTTTCTGGTTCTGGACCCTCATTATTCTCGACTGCATCTTTATGCCTATTGGATTGTACTTTGGCATGTGGTATGGTCTCACACGAGACCAGCTGTCCGCCAACGCCACTTTCAGTATCAGTACTGCATTGCTGGGTACCGTCTCGATTGTCGAGTACTTCATTCGTTTCCACCGACTTTGGAAGAAGAACTCCAACTGCAGAGTCATTGGTGCCAAACGAGCATATGTAAGTATCCACAGAAATTGTTTCAAGATATGTGCTAATGAATGCAGCTCGATTGGTTCCACTGGAACTTGTCTTTCGCATGGTTCTTCATCATGATTGAACTGATTGCCGGAACATGTCCCCACGACCCACCAATCCGTGTCCTCGCCATGCCCGCAGCCACCATGCTGTTCGCCATTGGCTTCCAGCTCCTGTTCCTCGACATCCTCCGACTCCGTGGTGTTCCCGCTCCTTGCCGTATCTCTTCACTGCCCAAGGGCGCAGCTCTGCGCCCCGGTGTTTACGCATACATCGAGGACATTTGCGCCGTCGACGGATCCGGAGGAACCGAGTTCAGGCAGAGGCTCAACCTGCGCTACCAGGCCAGCAAGGCTTTCCGCGAGATGCTGCACCGCCAGACTTTGTTCTGGGCTATTGGCGCCATTGTTTGCGCGACTGTTACCACTGCCATCATTTTCACCATTCAGCGCGACGCCGCCTATGTTGTAAGTACCATCTATTCGCATATATCAACATTCACTAACTTCATCAGGTTGGCTGGATTCTCCCCTTCCTCTGGGCAGGCGTCTGGGCCGCAATCACCATCCCCTGGGTCCAGCGTGATCTCAAGAAAGAGTACAACGACTGGACCGAGGCCAAGTGGAAGGCTTGAATTATGTAAATTTCCTGTAATACTACTTTACACTGTACAGCGGGCTCACGGCGACGGCGTTTGGTCTTGACATGAGGGGATACACTACGATACCACGGATGCTAGATTGTCTTTCACTGCAATGCCCTCCTTTCACGACGCAAAATACATTTTCACATTTCTACATTTCTACATTTCTACATCTCCACATGTCTATTTTCGTTGTTGTGTCGTTTGCACCGCACCACGCGTCCCGTGTCGATCGCTGACATCACAATAAGCCCACTGCGAATTTCCCATGTGCAGATCGCCATCATCGATCACAATTGCATCGGGCTGTCGTGCGAAATTCAGGGTTTCGAAGCTCGAAGGAAGCGTGGCGCCAATGCCTTGGGTATCGTCATGGAAAGCTTGTGCTTTGGCGCTGTGCGCCTGAAGAGGCTTGGTGGACAACTGGACGTTTGTGCACGCGAGCCGGACCCTTGACGACAACTCCTCTTGGTGTGTCGATATTTGTTCGTCAACATCAAGCCTCGCCCGTGATGTACCCGCTTCTTCGTCGCATTGTGTCTTCACTTGCACATGACCCGGATCAGGTGACACACATCCGCTTCGAGTTTACCGGACCGTGAACGAGGCCAGCTACATGCCCGTAATTGCCTAAAATATATTTCCAGCGAAGCAACAGCGATTCAAATAGCCACGGAAGTGAAATGCTACCTGGATATGATACGAATCGATGGTGACTGCCAAAGTCTACGAACAAATCCAGCCTCGTGGCTTCTTCTTCCGTTTTAGACCCCTCCCTGAGGTAACAATAATAGTCAGGCAAGCCAACGCAACAACGATATATCTTTCACCACACATGTACTGCACATTGTTCAGTATCGTTACCGTCACTGCATAGAACCTTATGAACTCGCCATACAGGTCTTCATCGATCGAGGTTCCCCGCCCATGCAGTCAGAGTCGTACGAGACACGCATCTGAGCCCGCATCTCGACAGTTGCACTTCACGAATAGCAGGTTCGCTCTGGCAGTGGTGGAGTGGTATCATTGGCTTCGATGAAGCCAAGAAAGCCACAGACAACGCCACAGATAGATACACGCTGTATTGGGGCTATCGCATCTCAGCCTTGTCGACCCCTAAGATTCCATGTTTTCCAGAGGTTTATTGTATTTCCTCCCTCTTCTAGCGGCTCGCCTTTTATACCTGTCTATTCCTTTTGGCCCAGCCGTCTGACTACTCGAGATGCCTATCGTAGGTTCAACAACAGTTTTGGGTACAACCATTTTGGGCAGTACCACGTTTGTTGCGACCTTCAACCCGGTTATCACCTACAATGCCAGCGAATATTCTCATAGTACTATCTTTGTCACTGAAGCAGCTGACGATGCGTCTTTTACGAACCTGAATGCGCCACCACTCACTACTTACTACACCCCACCAAATGAATGTGCGGAACGATGGATGTTGGCGGGAGGTCAGGAGATAACCACGACCCGCAGACTCCCTACTTCAACCCTCATTGCGAATAGCGATGTCGCCGCTACTTTCCCCATGACATCTTCGGCGGCGCTGCTACCACGAGCAACCTTCGTACCCCAGAACTACACAGTGTTCAGTCTGGATCTGAACGGAACTGCAACCGACCCATCATACCGGAGTTGCCAGCCCTTCAGGCTCGCGCCGACGTACAGCCCCGGCATATGTCCAGATGGCCAGACCGTCGCAGAGGTCACTGCATGGCAAATCAAAGCCGCGACCGGGCACCGCACATTCTGGCAAGCCAGCTGCTGCCGAAGGTTCGTTGCGCGCCCTTCCACGACGCACACGCGCTGACACACACCCCAGCGGCATGACCTTTGGGCCCGAGTTCTACGAGGCCTGCATCAGCACGTTCGCCACGCCGCTGCAGGCCCTGGCCCTCATCGTCACCTCGCCGTCCAGCGGCGCCGCCGCGTCCACCACCTATGAGTACGAGACTTTGGTGTTCGTGACGTCGGCGAGCAGCTGGTCCACGACCACGGTCAGCAGCACCACGCTGCTGAGCACGGGTCTCGCGGTCGCCGATCCGATTGTCGTTGCCTGGCTGGACGAGAACCTCGGCTTGTTTCCGCCAGAGTACGTCGCGTCGCTTGCAGCGCGGTTCAGCATGACGGTACCATCGAGCACAGGACGCCTGGCACCGCCGACCGCCACGCCCGCCGCAGGGCTCAGCTCAGGAGCAAAGATCGGCATCGGCGTCGGCGCCGCCGTGGGCGTCCTCGCCGCCGTCATCGCGGGCGTGTGGCTGTGTCTGAAGCGGCGCCGCAAACCGCAGACATCGGACCCGCACGCCTCGCTGCCGGAGATGGCGGACCAGGACGGCGAGCTCGCGCGCAAGAAGTGGTGGGGCGCGGGCAAATGGCGCAGCGAAGTCGCCTCGCACGCAGAGCCGCAGGAGCTCGAGAGCAAGAGCGTCCGCGTCGTGCCTGGGCCGCCAGCAGAGCTCGATGGCGCGGAGCTGCAGCACCCGCGGGCGGCGGGACAGGTTGTGTATCCGCGGCGCGACGGCTCGGGGACGGGGCCGTGATGGACGCACACGCGCTTGCACGGGTTGAATGAGCCTCTGCACGGGAGTGAGGTGCTGGCATCCGGGTGTTTGCGTGTTGTGGGCGCGCTGGCGGGAGGGGGACACGGCGTGTTGTATCCATCCACGGGACGTGATGGCAGGCGTACCACGGACTGCTTGTTCCGCGTCACGCCTCCAGGGACACGCGGTACGTGTCGAGACGTGCGGACTACCTCTTCCTTGGTACTGTGCATACACGGCGACTCCCAAGATTGGCGACTCGGCACAGGAACGCTCTGGTTCGCCGAGGTCGTATCGGGGGGGTTCTGGTTCCTCATGTGTATGTGTTCGAATGCTGTTCGAATCTGCAGACACATTAGCGATGTCGTGGTGGATGATGAGATTGTCGTTTCGTAGCTTGCGATGTGCATGCAATCAATGAAGGAAGGGCAAGAACATCTCAGTGAGTGCACAGGAAAGGATCGGCAGGGTAGAAGAACTCTCGACAGCAGAGTAAATCATGAGTAGATTTCCCTCCTAGAACCTAGGCATCTTAACTGAAACCCATGTGGGGGGAATCCGCTGAGCCTGTTAGCTGCTCTTGTACCAACTACGTAATCCACACAACACCGCGCTCCACAGCACTCAAACCCAGCCCCAACCCCATCCAACCCCTAACCACCTCTCCCTCACTTCTCCCCCCCTCACCGCCCAGGTCTCAAAACCTCCCACCCATCCAACCCCCGCATATCAACCTCATCATCCATCAACCCCCCAGCGGGACCCGCGAACCCCGTCCCCGTCCGCGGCGGCAGCGCAGGCGGTCGTTCGCCGGCATCGATCAAGTCCACCCCCGCCCCCGTTTCGGGCAGCGGCCTGCGCGCCAAATGCAGATTCGCCGGCGGAGGCGCCATACTGCGCCGCGGCGCGTCGTCACGGTACTGCTGTGGCGGGGGCTCGTGCGCAGCGGCGCGCGACAGGAGCGCGGGTTTCTTGCCGGGCACGGGGGGCGCGGGTTTGCGCAGGACCTTCTGTGGCGGGCCGCCGCGAGACGGCAGCGCGGGCAGCGAGCGCGTGGACGCCGAGGAGGCGGCGCGGCGGAGGGCGGCGGCCGCGGTCGGGGTGCGGTCGTCGCGCGCGCCGGCGCCGTCGTAGGTGATTTGGTCTGGGTCGCGGGGGTTGAATGTCGGGACGATCATCTTGCGGGCCGTGGAGGCCGGCGGCGGGGGCGGGGGGTTGTTGAAGTCGAGGGTGTGGGCGCGGGGCGGGCGGCGGGCGGGCGGGGGCTCGGGGCGGGAGCGGGCGAGGTCGACCCAGTCTGGTTCCGGGCTGGGGGTGAAGGGGTTGGAGGGGTGGTTTGGGTTGGGGATGTGGGAGGCGGACGGCGGTTGGATGCGGGCTTTAGCGGGGAGGCCTTGCGAGGATAAGCACGGTGGCGGCGAGGGGGAGGAGGAGGGGAATACCGTTGTCTAGCCACCACTTGCGCCGGTCGGAGCTGGCGGGCGGCAGACCGGGCTCGACGCTTTCGTAGCCGATCAGGTCTTCGTCGTCGGACGAGTCGTCGCCGAGGGGCCCGGAGGCGCGTGTGTCGCCGACGAAGGTTTTGCGGGAGTTGTACAGCTCTTCTTTGAGGGCATCGCGCTTTCGCTCGTCGACCCGTCGGATCATGACCTGGAACGTGGCGTACACGGGGCGGTGGTCCGAGAAGCGGAGCGGCGCGGCGTCGTAGTGGATCTGCCGTATATTATCACCCTTCCGCAGCACGCGGTCGCACCAGGCAGGAATGCGAGCCTTCTCCGAGGTATCATAAGTATCGGTCCCGAGGTCGTATTTGTACGTGGGCGCGAACGTGATGCGGGCCTCGGAGTAGTGTGGGAAGGTCAAGCCCGCAACCATCTGGAGATTGAGCTGCGACGATAAGCAAAACTCACAACTCAGCGGGCCATACATACCTGGTCGTTGTCGTACAAGGTCTCGAGGTCGTTCATCTGACACAGCCTCTGAACCTTGTCGTTGCTCAGTCCGATCCTGTAATTAAAGTCGCCCAGCCAGATCACCGTATCGTGGTCCTCGATCGAGCGGTTGCGCTGGAACCGCAGCCCGTGGCTGATGGTCTTGTAGTCGCGGTTGCGCTCCTCGTAATTTGCAAATCCGGCCGCGAGATGTGCAGTAACGAGGCAGATGGATGTGTTCGCGTACTCCATACGGATGGCGACCGCGCCCTTGTTGCCCGCCATACCCGACATGCCCGTTTTCTTCAGGCTGCCCTCGACGTTCTTGACGTTCTTGAGCTTGTCGGCGCGCACGAAGACGGACAGACTTGCGCCGACGAGCTGGCCGCCACGCAGCAGCACGTACTCCTCCTTGCCGTGCAGCGCGGCGTTCTTGTCGAGACAGTGCTTCACAGCGAACTCCCAGTCCTGGCGCCGTGTGGGCTCGGTGGACATGATCTGCTGCGGGCTTAGTTCGACGATCTCCTGGAAGCCGACGGCGACGATCTCGGGGCACTGCTGGGCTTCGTTGACGTCGGGACACAGCCACGGCGACAGGTCCTGGTCGATGCCGGTTGTCTTGCCGTTGAGGTTGAATGTGCCGACGAGGATGTTGATGACGTCCGACTCGGAGAACTCAGGGGCTCGCCGCGTGAGCTCGGCTACGACGAAGTCGTTTATAGGGTCATACAGATGGACTGGCACTTGCGCCATCAGCCGCCCCAGAAGCATGTCGATGGTGTTCTGGCGGCCCTTGTCGGCGAAGTTGTTGATGTACGTTCTTGTAACGCTCTTTCTTGCGTCTGCCAGCGCACCGGCCAGCGACATCTTGCCGTGTCGTGTGAACGAAGACTTCAGCGCGCCGGTACCTGCGTAGATGCGAGACAAAGCGTCGCCGTTGTCGGCCCACATGCTCGAGTGCCGGACCCAAAAGTCCGGGCTTCCTCCCAGCCCCTTGTGGCTTAGGAAGATCTCCATAGCCATCTTGCTGATAATGGTCTGCACGAGGTTGGTCCGGTCCAGACAGTCCAGGCAGTTGGTTCTGAAGATGCCCTCCTGATTTAAAATTGGCGAAGAGCGTCTGACGAAATGGTCCTGCCCGTTCGACCTGATATTCTCCTCCACATCTTCCGATAGATAGTATGCGAATGAATCAGCAGAGCCCTGGATCCACCGCGCAATCATGCTCGCCATCTCGTACCCCCCAGGACCCCGTGTCTCGGCGTGGAAGTCATACTCAGTAAGCTTGATGAGCTCATGCTCGCTGTCTCCCTTCTCAGTCCCGAAGTTCAGCGGGCTGTTCCTGATGTGATCCCGATATCTATTGGTGAGTTCAATCTCGTTCGGCTTCTCATTGCTGAGCAGATTGACGACATGCATAGCGCCGTAGGAAAGTTCGAGATTCTCAAAGTGCTTGTCGAAGGCCGGCTGCGTCGCCTCGGGGCCGCGCGTGATGGTGATCTTCTGCTGGCCGGGCAGCAGCCCCGACTGCTGCTCCCAGAAAATGGGCACGCTGCCGCGGACCTGCACGTACGAGAAGCAGACGCCCGACGGCGCCCAGTAGACGGTCTCGGTCTCGACGAAGTTGGCGACGTTGCCGTCGTCGTCGATGCCGCGCGAGTTGAAGCGCGTCCCGGCTCTCCTGCACGACAGCCGCGAGATCAGGGTCATGTGCGAGGGCAGCCCGGAGCCGCGCACCTTGATCGGCGCCGACGAGATGGGGACCGTGACTGTCAGCGCAAAGCCCCGGATCGCAGAGGTCAAGATGCCCGACGCATCCAGCGCGTCCTTGTCCTTTGGCGCCAGCCGGCTCCTGAAGTCGACCAGCGGCTGGATCATGTACGAGTTCCACAAGAAGCCCGCGTCCAGACTGTCAATCGACACGGTCGCGCCGTCAGACGCGCGGTCCTGCAGGCGCCGGGTCAGGTCGAAGTCGGAGCTGTAGTAGAAAGTGCCGCCGCTCAGCAGCTTCTTGAGCGCCAGACACGGGTGCTCGAGCGGCGACTGCTCCTTGCGGCCGCCAAAGCCCATCTCATAGCCCTCGTCGTCGATGGTGTCGGTGGGGTACGGATTGACCTCCTCGTTCAGCAGGGCGTCGTAGCTGGCGCTGGTCAGGCAGTAGAAGCCGACCGAGTGGATGCGCTGGACCGTCTCGCCGGGGCGCACCGTCGCGACCTTGCTCGCGCCATTGACCACGACCAGGAAGACGTCGCCGTTGACGGTGATCAGGCCCAGGGTGCCGTGGGCGGTGACCGAGTGCAGGGCGCGGTAGTCGTCCAGGTCGACGTCCCCGGTGCGCGAGAACTCGACCATGCAGCGGGCGGCGGCGGCGCCGTTGCTGCCCAGCGACGTCGACGAGGCGTTCGGGTTGGCATGGTGTTCGGTCGAGGAGGCGCTGTGGCGCAGGACGAGGACGTGGGTGGGTGTGCTGAGGGCGATGGCGCGGTGCGGGTACTCCTTGATCAGCACCCGAACGGACATTCTTTCGCTGTACGCTGCATGCGCGGGCGCGTCGGGGCAGGCAGGCACGTGTGCTGGGCGGTCGCACGCAGCGTGGTGCTGGTCGCGGGCGGAGGAGTAGTTGCTCGCCCAACGGCCTCAAGTCCCTGGTGCCCGAGCGATTGCAGGGCTTCTAACGGCGTGCTGACCAACGACTGATGTGGAGACAAGTGGTCGATCTGAGGCCCGAAAATACATGTGCAGTCCATGGCGAGCGGAATTCCCGGACTGCCGCTGTTCAGGGTCAACAATGATCTCATCGCCCAAATAAAGTCGGACCCACAACTCGGGGCGTTATATGGGGTGGTCAATGTTAGGAGACAACAATATCCAAGCAAACAGCACGTATTTCAAAGAGGCGGTCCCAATCGTAAGAAACATGTATTCGTCACCGCTCGAATCATACATAGACATTACATACTCGCAACCAACACAACGCTCCACAATGAAATGCAACCACAGCCCAGCAGCCCCTCTACCGATACCCGCCCTGCCGAAAATCCCCCTGCCAATGACCCTCCTACCATCACCCCCTACCGATACTCCCTCCTCCCCTCCCCTCCAAACGACACCCTGGTCCGCTCATCCACAAACTCCCCCCGACTCCTACTCCTCTGCCTCCCATAATCCACCCTGACCCTGGACCGACTCCTCTCCCTCTCGCGCTCCCTCCCATACCCCCTCCCGCCAAAACTGCTCTCACTGCGCGCCGGCTCCACATACCGATAGTGCTCGTACCCAGCCCCCCGCTCAGGACTATACGCGCGCTCGCGCCTGACCTCGCGCTCGCGGTACACGTAGTCGTCGCGGGTGTCGGACGAGCGCGAACTCAGGCTCGAGCGCGGAGAGACCTCGACGTACTGGGGCGCGCCGTGGGAGCGCGGCGGCGGGGGTGCAGGCGCGTGCACGTGGATCGGGGCGGGCGGGGGCTCGACGAAGACGGGGACGGGCTGGGGGGGCGGGATGGCGAGGGGGCGCGGCTGCGGGGTTGGGACCGCGATGTAGGATGCCGATGGGCGTGGGGAGGCAGCGTGCGATTCCCGGACGACTTCGCGCGAGTAGCGGTGTGTTGACTGGCGCGAGGCGCGGCGGCGCGGGGGGGAGTGGTTGTGCCGCGATACGACGCGGTAGGGGACGACGACGTCTTCTTCCTGCTTGACCTTGACGAGGCACATGGTGGGCGGTGTGTTGGCGGGCGCTGGGTGGTGGGCGGGTTGGATGCGATCGCGCGCTGATTCGCGGGGCGATCACGGTGTGGGGTTTGGATGCTCTGAGGGTTGGGGAGAGCGAGAGAGGGTGCGCGGGTGTGAGACGGCGCGGGTCAGCGCAGAACGAGCGGCTGCTGGGACTGATGAAGGACGCAGAAGCGCCTTGGTCTGCGGCCGTCGGGCTGGCAGAGCCCAGCCACACCTGCATCCATGGCAGGCCCCATGTCGAGGTCAAGCGGTCGGTGACGATTTGCCAGACTCGATGCGGCCAAGTGCCCTGTCAGCCGGCTCTAGCTCAGGTACCGGCCCGGCTCAACCATGCCATCTCGAGCAACGGCTACGGACCACGCCAATATCTTAACATCTTCAAGCCCCGACAACGCTTCATGTGGCTGGCACTAGTTAATCGACAACGAACTCAAGAATCTGAAGCATGTGATCATTGACAGTATTAACAAAAGAACCACCAAAGTGTCCCGCAAGTGATTACACGCTAGTCGCTGATATCGTAGCCGTGACGACGTTAGGCATCAAAATCTCCTCCTATATCTATCGCTATCGCTCCTTCGTTAGGTATATTGCACTGTCGTTGGGCTCAGAACAACCACTAGTCGTCCATGGGCTTGTCCTCCAGCGTTACCCCTCGCGGCGCCGGGTCCTCGAGTGTCACGCCGCTGGGCCCGTCTTCGTTGCTGGCGTTCGCAAGACTCCTGAGACTACCAGTCGAGTCGCGGTTGCCGCCCCGCTTGAGGCTGCCCATTGAATCTCGGTTGCCTCTTGCCAGGCTGCCGGCGTGCTTTCTGCCGCCAAGCGCTAGGGGCACGCGTGTGCTTGAAGGTGCCGGATGCTCAACAGGCGAGAAAGGAATAGGCTCATACATCTCCGCAGCACGTGCCGGGACAGCTGAGGGTGCTGGGGCATCGGAGGTGTCGTCTGTCGTGCCGTTCGTAGAAGCCGAAGCGCCAGCACTGGGGCTGTCAGGGTCAGGGACCTCAAGAGAACCGCGGTTCGTGGGCGCTCTCCGTGATTCGGTAGGTGAGTTGTTGGCGTTCACGGGGAAGCGCGTCTGACTGCGGTCACGACGGTGAGAACCGCTGCTGCGGTTGCTGGGGCCTGGCGAAACGCCTCGAGGGGATCGCTGTGCAGCGATAGCTCGCTGGCGCTCCTCCATGTTCGCACGTCGGTTGCTCTCATCAGTTGAGATGGCACGAGGGCGCTGCGAGCCCGAACTAGAGTGCGTGAGTGTGCTGGCACGCTTCAGCTCTCCGAAAATGGCATCCTTGTGAGCGAAGAGATCGCGCACGAGGCGGTAGCTGTAGCGCTCGTTCATGGTCAGAGTGTTCTCCAGCCTTGGACGCAGAATGCAGGGTGCAAGTGCATTCGCCAGTGCAGCAACGTAGGTCTCGTCGGCTGAGGTCAGCTCGATCAATCGCGTGAAGTGTGTGCAGATTGCATCAAGAGTTGCAATGTTCGCGAGACGAAGCTGACCAAGTGTGGACTGGAGGACTGTGACTCGGGTGGCCTCGTCTACATCCGATGCGGTAGTGCTGTAAATGGTCTTGATAATTTCGTAAACGTGAGATGAGACGAGGGAATCTATCCTGTTAGCAAAGCTCGTGTATAGAAAAGGGTGACGTACCGGGAAGTTCCAGGAGGTAAAGCTTCAAAACGCTCGCAACAATGGGTATATCGTACTTCTCCAGAATCTCATCCTCGAATCTCTTGCCGGTGTTGATGGTGGCCCTGAGGTTGTGTGTCTGAGACAACGGCACGTCAACAAGCCAGATACCACGACGAGCCTCATCACCCTCAAGATCGGGGTAGTGGTTGTCCAGGAAAGTCAAAATCGTGGTAATCAGGATAGGAACGCGCTTCTTGTCGGAGCGAGCGCGTGCCTCGAGATCCACGCCAAACGTCTGCTCGTCAACCGAGTTGTAGTAGTTCTCGTAAGTCGTGACCTTAGGCACAAACGGCCCAGTACGGTAGTTCTCCAACATGTAGCGAAGATCGCCCAGCGGCTGGACCGTCTCCTGGAAAAGCATCATCTTGTCAACCGTGCTCTGCAGACTGGGAATGACGTTGCTGATGGCGCCAGAAAAGTCGAGAATGACAGCCTTGATGGCCTTCAGCCTGTCCAACTCGCAGCGCTCCATGAACTTCAGGTGGTCGATCATAGCCTCTTCCAAGTTGCATCGCAGGGAGTCCAGCTTCTTCACTGCGGCCTTGTAGCGTTCGTCAGACTCGCGAGCCTCTCGTCGCAGCCTCTCCGGGGCTGTCTCGTTGGGGTACTGGTTGTTGAGCGGGTTCCAGCCTGAGAGGTACTCCTGCATAACGCCTCCTGGCGAATCCACAGTCACGCTGTCGTTCGACATGGTAGACGCAGCAGTGCCTGAACGTCCCAGGGGCGTCTTCTTCTCGGGAATTCCGGTAATCGTGAAGACCTTTGTCTTCCACTGGTAGTTCATGCGGGAGCTGTTCGCAAACGCGTTACCGACGTTGCCAATGAGACGCAGAAAGCCGTGGTTGACCAGATCCTGGCCGATTCTCTCTGCATAGCTGACGCTTGTGGCTCCAAGGTGCTTCTGGATGTACTCGGTGATGTCGGCGCCAGAGGAGCAGTTCTGGTAGGTTCCGATAATAGGGACCTTGACTTCCCCGAGCTTGATGGTCTCCAGCATGTGGGTCAGGATCTTCTTCACCTGCTCGGGCTGGTAGGTCTCGTCGCCCAGGTCAATCGGCTCCTCCTCGGCGTCTTCAGGCTCTGTCATCTTGATGGTGGGGACCTTCGCCTTGGGACTCGCAAGTGCCTCGCTCTGGGGGTCTTGGAAAGCCAGCTTGTCCTCCTCTTCCAGATCCTCCACCAGCCGGCACTTGTTGTAGTACTGCGAGCGGAACTTGCGCACGGCGTCAGCTTGTCGGTCGTGGATCTTGATGCGCGATTGGAGGTCGTCCTGCGAGTTCTGCACGCGGGCAGCATGCGCCTCGCACCAGCGGCCGAACGGGTTCACGACGAGCTCGCGGATGTTGGACGCAATCTTGTTGTGGTTTTGCGCGGCGGCCTCCATTTCGGTGCGCACGCCATCGTAAGCCTGGCAAAGGTGAGCTGTGTCGTGTGCGGCGGGGCGGCTCACACACCTTGCGGACGCTTGCGCCCTCGTCTTTGGCAAATCCTCCACTTATGCGCTCGGTCGCAGACGTGATGCTGGACAGGCTGCTCCCGTATGCGTCCTCGGCGTCGGCGCGCAGGCGGGCAACGGTCAGGATCTGCTGGTTCTCCTGCACGCCCTGCTGCAGCTTGCCAAACAGCACTCCCAGGCCTGCGTGGAGTCAGCACCGACAGCGTCAGCATGTGCGCGCAGCTTACCACCCGCGTAGTCTTGCGACCAAAAGGACGTAGCGAAGCCGGCGTTGGCCATGATGACGTCGCTGGGGTATCAAAAGACAAGAACTCCTCGTAGACTGGTAGGGAAAGGCGAAACTCGGCTGAGACAAGCGTCGCGGCGTGGGTAGTGAACGTGGAGAAGGAAGGTCTGGGGAACACGCAAGCAGGCCGTGATGTAACGCCCGGGGCTGCTTTGTTGGCTGCGCACAATTGAGCTGGGGTGCGGTGTTCGGCGGAGGCACGCAGTGCGGTGGATGGGCGTTGGGCTCGTTAAGATAGCACAGGAGACGGAGCAGCTCTTCAGGAGTTTTGCAGGCCAGCTGTGGCAGAGCTGAACGACGTACGAGGACCCCTGTCGGCCGTTTGTCACTTGCTGGCAAAGCAGCTAAAAATACCAGCGTCAACTCACCGAGCAGCGCTTGCCCTGCAGGGCTTAGGACTGGGACCCTGTCCCTCGAGCGCTCTACAGTCAAAGCATCATAGGGGACAGATTACTATTGCATTCGAGCAGGAGCATTGCGTTGCTGATCAAACAGACAACCATCCCAACGCCGACCAGACGCCGTGCCACCTGTGCCGGTCACTGCACGGGATCCTGTCCTCTTCTGTTGTACGCTCGGCAAGACGCCCGTGACCACAGCGAAGGTCGGACTTGCACTGCATCTCCGGACGGATCCTCACACCTATGAGGTTGCCAGCGCTGGAAATTGATCACCATCCCCCCACTACTAGATCCATCGCCACGGGAAATTAGCTCAGCAGCACCGACTGTCCGGGCACGTTGCACACATCACCGCAATCGTCATGGGGCCCCCTCAGCCGGCAAGCGAGTTCAACTACAGCCGCCAGATTAAGTACTGGCGGCGGAATCTGAAGACGTATCTCCCGCATTACTACACCGGCAATGACGCCAACCGCATGACCCTGGCCCTTTTCACTGTTTCCGCACTGGACATACTGGGCGATCTGGACGGAGCGTTGTCTGTGGAGGAGCGCCAAGGCTACGTCGACTGGGTGTACGGGTGTCAACTGCCAGAGGGAGGGTTCCGGCCATGGCCAGGGTCTGACTACGGAAATAGGAGGAATGAGGAAAACAAGAAATGGGACCCAGCGCACGTGCCGGGCACCTTCTTTGCGCTGCTCACTCTGGTCGTGCTAGGAGATGACTTGGAGAAGGTGAAGAGGAGGGAAATCCTGCTGTGGCTGAACACGATGCAGCGGCAGGAAGGTGGCTTTGGCGAGACTCGTGGGGAGGATGGCTACGTCCACGGCGGAAACGACTCGAGATTCGGGTACATGGCGACAGCCATCCGCTGGATACTCCGTGGGGACGTCGAGGGGCCATGTGGTGACGTGCCGGATATCAGGGTGAACGATTTCGTGGCCTGCGTGCGCGAGGCCGAGACCTACGATGGAGGCATTTCAGAAGCACCGTACCACGAGGCCCATGCGGGATTCACAAGCTGCGCCATCGCTGCTCTGTCATTTGTTGATCGCCTGCCCCTTCCTCCGGGGCAAGTCCCCGACGGCCGTATCCGTGGTCTGACGAACCTCAACGGCACCCTGCACTGGCTTGCTTCGCGGCAGACCGCAACGCTGGAAGAGGACGACAGCATCGACACCTTCAACGACGAGACAGATACGGCTAATACATGCCACGATGCCCACTCTTTCGTCAAGGTCAGCAAGCACCCAACGCTGTCGATGGCGACCACAGTGGGTTCCCAACCCAAAGTGCCGTTCGATCTCACATGGGTAGGCATGAACGGGCGCTGCAACAAGATCGCCGACACATGCTACGCATACTGGGTGTCCTCGCCGCTGCAGATCCTCGGCCGTCTGGACATCATCTCGGTAAAACCGATTCGCAGGTATCTGCTCGACAAGACACAATACGCACTCGGCGGCTTCGGCAAGGTCGTCGACGACCCACCGGACATATACCACTCATTTCTAGGATTAATGGTGCTGGCGATGCTGGGCGAGCCGGGCCTGCAGAACGTCGACGCCGCACTGTGCATCACAGACAAGGCGAAGCGGCATCTGGAGTCGTTGGCGTGGCGGAAGGAAGCAATAGCAGCGATACAGCGTGGCAGCAAAGATCAGAACGGCGCACGTTAAGAGCAGACGCAAGATCCTTAAGCATTAGCATAGTACCTAATAGACCTCACATCATCACCGCACGCATCAAGTTCTCACGTTGCACACAACACATGTAGGATGACGCCACACTAGCGCCACGCCCCAGCCACACTCCACCAGACCCCTGCAACAATTTATCCTGCATACGAAGTATTCCATACCGTCCAGCACAAGCTCCCACCCACCCACCCACGTTTCCCCACGACCGGCTGCTTCACAATCTCCCCCAAGCCGCCAAAATGCGCAGCGCCCCGCCCCCCAACAAGAAACGCAAGATCAAAACGGTGCACGAGGAGAAAATCGACTTCGACCCGGCGGCGCGCGAAGAATACCTCACGGGGTTCCACAAGCGCAAAGTCGCGCGGCGCAAGTTCGCCGAGGAGGAGGCGGCCAAGAAGGACAAGGAGGAGAAGCTGCGGGCGCGGAAGGAGGTACGCTTATCACTTCGAGGCGGCGTGTGGGCACTGTGTTGCGAGGGCTAGGTTGCAAGAGTGCGCGGAGACATGTGCTCGACGGCGTCTGCTCGACGGCATCTGCAACGGCCTCGCACCGCGCGCTCAGTCCCCCCCACAAAGCAGTCCAGTGTCTACGTCCAAACACCACCTGATCTAACACCGCCCAGCTCCGCCAGCAGCGCAAAACCGACCTCGAGAAACACGTCTCGGAAACCAACCGGCTGATGCGCCTCGCCAACGGCGACATCCCGTCCGCCTCAGAAAACGACTCAGACTCCGAGACCGAAGACCCCGCGACCGGCGAGCCCACATTCACCGGCTTCGACGACCCGATAAACCTCGCGGACGAATACATCGACGAAGACAAATACACGACCGTAACCGTAGAATCGATCGGCATAACGCGCTCGGGCTTCTCGCGGCCAGGCGAGGCCGAGGCGCTGGCCGCCGCGGACCGGGCGAAGGGCGAAGAAGCGCTGAAGACGAAGCGGGTGTGGACCAAGGAGCGGCCGAGGAGCGAGCGGCCGAAGAAGAAGAAGGTGAAGTTTAGGTATGAGACCAAGTCGGAGAGGAAGATGGAGCGGATGAAGCAGGGGTTGAAGAAGAAGAAGCAGGCGGAGAGGAGGAGTAAGGATAAGGAGGAGAAGTGAGGGGGGGGTGCGAAGTGAGGGTTGATACCCGGTTATATCATATGCATGGGCGGAGTTTGGGCGCAGGCAAAATCAATGTGTGAATCAGTGTGACGACAGCTCAATGTGACTACAACTCGTCGTGACCACAACTCGTTGTGACTACCTCAATCGAAGTGACCTCGACACACCAACACGCATCACAACGCATCACAAAACGCAGCAGTCAAGTAGAAAGGGTGGTTTGCAGACCGCCAGCAGTGTTGCTTCCTCAGGACACATCAACAGAGTACAGGGCATGACTAACGGCTACAGAGCAATGCATGCAATCAGGAAAAAGGGGGGTGCGGTGTCGAGAGTCCCCACCACTCTCTCGGCGCACGGGCGCTCATCTCGGTATGGGATCAGAAAGTGGACATTTGCTGCTCTAGGGGAATATTGGACTGGCAAGTGTCTGTCTGGTGCGGCGTAACTCAGATGTTGCCAATGTCCTTGACAAAGTCGTCCAGCTCCTTCTTGGTGTCCTCGAACTTCTTGGCCATCTCCTCGTACTTGGACTCCCACTGGTCGCGGGACTGCTCGAGAGCCTGGACTTTGCGTTCGTAGTGGCCGGACTTGACGTCGGTCTGGCGGAGCCTGGGGGGGTGTTAGCAGTGAGCGGACCAGGGGTCAGCGACGACCACGTCAGGGGCGGGGCACGCACTTCTCGTTGAGCTCGCGGATGGTCCTGTCAGACTCCTCAGCCTCTTCCTCAAGCACTTGGATCTTGCGCTGCAGGCTCTCGGCCTGGGTGCCGGCCTGAGCGCCTGCACCGGCCTCGTCCTTGAACTGCTTGACTTGCGCTTCGAGCTTCTCGACCTCGCCCTCGAGCACCGAGTTCTTGTGCGAGAGCGACGTGATCTCCTGCTCCTTCTGTGTCGTCTCGCCCTCGAGCTGCTTGACCTTGGCCTTGTACTCCTCGGCGCGGGCTCCGCTCTCGTCGGCCTCGACGCGGAGGGCCTCCATGCGCTGCGGCGGTCAGCGGCGAAGAAAGGGTCCGGCGGGGTAGTCGACTCACCTTCTTGATCTGGTCCATGGCGGCGGGGTGGGTGGGTGGCAGTGGGTGTGGTGGGTGAGTGTGAAGGGGGTCTGGAGTGCAGGCAGCGGGCAGGTGCAGTGTATGAGAGCAGTGTTGACTGTTGTCTGAGAATTGGGCGCGCTGGCACTGATATGCGGGCGGGCATGGCGGCGCTGCCTGCCGACCCCTGTCTCGCTACGGGCAAGCACACCGCTGCGGCGCTAGGGCAGCGACGATGGCGCCGTTGCTGGGCCGGGCCAAACAAACAAACGCCGCGCACGCACGTCACCGACAGCACCTCCACGACCCACCTGCAGACCACGAATCGCAGCCGCAGACCGTCCATGCGACCGCGACCATGGCCACGCTCGCAGCCCACGACCAAGAGAACGCAGTGCGCAGCCTGCACGTCGGCCCCGGCGGAAAGCCGCTCGGCGCCAAAACCCCCGCCCAAGTCCCGAAGACGCCGTTCAAGGTCGCCCTCAACGACGAGAACGTCTTCACCCGCGGCGCCAAGGAGGGGAAGGGCCTGGCGCCCACCACCGCGAAGGGCGGCAAGCTGGACGCCAGCGCCTTTGTGACCCCCGCCGGTACGTAGCTGTGAGCTGGATGTAGGCGCGCACGACTGACACACGCAGGGCCGCGCAGCCGCGCTCCGCTCGGCGCAAAGACGACCAACGCCAAAGCCCGCGCCTTCCAGACCCCCGCGCCGCTGGGGTCGTCCGCCAAAACCCTCAAGCTCAGCCCGCGCCTGCGCCGCCCGAAAGTCAAGGTCCACCAGCCGGAGCCCGAGCCCGAGTCGGAGGATGACGTACCCGAGATCGAGCACATGCCTGCAAGGGAGGTGCCGCTGCCAGACGACATGGACGACTACCTGCCGCGCGACTGGGACTTCTCCGTGCTCGCGGGTGAGAATGCCATGCGCGGCGTGACTGCCGCCTACCACAACCCCGTCGAGGCCGACGGCCGCACCAAGGGCCAGCGCGAGTTCGAGGAGGGCCTGGAGCGCGACCGCAAGAAGCGCGACAACGACTTCGACCGCCTCTTCGCCGCCCAGATGGCCCGGGACGACGCAGAGTCGAAGCGCTACTTTGGCATCACAGAGACAACGGACCCCAAGCCCGCCGTCAAGTCCACGTCCACCGTGAGACCCACCACCGGCCTCTCGACCATGCGCGCCCGCTCCGCCGCGACCGCCCTCGCGCCCTCCCGCGTAACTCAGCGCCTCGGCGCCTCCTCTGCCACAGCCAAAGCCCGCGTCCCCGCCGGTCCCGTGTCTGGCAGAAAGACGCCCAAGCCTGACGCCGCCGCGCCCGCCCGCCTCGCCCGCCACGCCTCGTCCGCCGCCGTCTCCTCCAGGAGCACCATCGGCTACGCCCAGGGCCGCGCCGTCCGCTCCTCCTCGGCCATGCGCCCGCCGCTGTCCAACATCGCCCGCCCCGCCCCGCGCCCCGGCACCACCACGCCCTCGTTCTCCTCACACCACCGCCCCGCCCCCAGCCGCGCTTTCTCGCGCACCGTCTCGTCCGCCTCGGACAGCACTCTGGTCGACCCGTTCGCCGGCTCCGAGACAGCCCTGAGTGTCGAGCGCGAACTCGCGCTGCTCGCGCTGCAGGACGACGAGGGCGACGAGGCGTGGATGCAGGGGTTTGGGCTGCCGAGTGCGGGGGCGGTCGAGGATGAGGGTGTGGGATTCCAGTTCAAGCTGCCCGAGGGCTTTTAATCTCCGTCTTGTCTTTCGCCTTGGCTTGGACAGGTTAGGGGGTGTTTGGTTCAGTTTGCTTTGCTTTGCTTTGCTTTGCTTTACTCTGGACAGGGCGCTGCCGACTCGAGTCGACGCGGGTTCAGAGTGCTCACGCGCTCAAGATTGATTTTCCTTTGTCTTTTCCCCCCGTGGTTCTCCATTACGATCCTGGAGCCTTTTTTTGTACGTATGGGTTTTGTCTGGATACCGTCGTGTGTTTGCGGCTTGGATGCCGTGGGTTGGATACCGTGGGTTGGATGCCGTGGTTTACATACCGTGGTTTACATACCATGGTGGGTTTTGGTCGGTTGCTGGGTTGCTGGGTCAGTGGATTGATTACCTCCGTGGTGCTTTTGCGCGCGCGCGTCGAGTTTGTTAGAGTATGCGTAGAGTAGTAATTTCTTGGGGGTGGTGGTGGTGGTGGTGCTGATGATGAAGATGAAGATGATGATATTCGTTTGTTGCATCCTGTTCTCGTGTCTTTCTCCTTCTGTTTGTCTGGCTAGATCGTGTCGCAGAGCGTTGATTATGAGTTACTGGTAATGAATTGCTGGTATTGATTGATGTTATTGATTGATGTTATTGATTGATGTTATTGATTGATGTTATTGATTGATGTTATTGATTGATGTTATTGATTGATGCTGTTGAAAGCACTGTTGCTGCAAGAGTCAGAGTCAGATACACAAACCCGTTTGAACTAGGTGAACAGGTGCTCGGATTGCGATGGCGAATTGCGATGTCGAATTACCATGTCGAATTACCATGTCGATTTGCTTGCTCTCGCTATATCTTCCTCTCCCTCCCTCTCTCTCACTGTGTGTATGTATGTATGCTCCCCCTCGCCCGGGGTAAGCCTCTTCCCCTCCATCTCCCCATGCCCCATCTCCCCCCTCCGTCCCCCCCTCCTCCCACCCCCGCCGCCCCCCCGCCCGCAGATTACCCAAAAGAAAGAAAAGAAATAAATGAGTCCCCAAGAACACGCCCGCGATGCTCCGGCCCCGGAAAATGCGCAGATGGAAACGCCATGCTAGATATTCACAGTCCGCGCGTCGAATTCCACGCCCAACGCGCGCCTTTCAAGTCTCTCTGTCGCTGTTGCTGTCGCGCTCGACGCAAGTCTTGGTATCCAAGGTCTTGGTATCCAAAATCTTGACATCGAGTGTCGTTGTCGAATCGCCGCCGAGGCAGCACCTCTCTGTCCAACCCCCCCTTCAATCCAAACCCAGCCCCAACCTTCAACACCCTTACTCCGACCCCGACTCCCCCTGCCCCTGCACGGGCACCGGCCCCGTGATCTCGTCGACGGCATACAGATTCTGGTTCAGGATCTTGTTCATGGTGAACATGTGCACGCGGTCCGACTTGAAGACGGCGCGCATCGCGTCGTCGCAGCGGATCTGCCGCTTGTCGCTGGGGTCCTGCAGGTCGCGCGCCTTGACGTACTCCCAGATCTTCTTGACGGTTTGCGGGCGCGAGAGCGTGGTTTCGTTGAGGAGGGCGGCGAGGGGGGGGGAGAGCGCCATTGGCTTCTGCGTGGCGTGTTAGCGGGAGAAGAGCGCAGAGGGGTGGAAGGGTGGGTAGAAATGGTAGGACGCACGTGGAACCCGCCTTTGCGGCTCGGGCTCTTCTTCTCCTTGTCGCTGCCCGACGCAATGTCGCTGTCGTCCTCGTCCTTGACGCGGTTCGCGCTCTTCTTCTTCGCCTTCTTCTTGGGCAGCGGCGCCTTCTTGCGCGAGTTGCCGCCGCGGGTTGCGCGGCCCGAGCGCGCGTTCTCCTCGGCCTGCAGTTTGCGCGCGAACGCGGCGTCGTCGTCTTCGGCGGGCTTAGCCTTTTTCGCCTTCTTCTTGGGCGGCGCCGCGTCCTCGAGCTCCGACAGCGCGGATTCCGAGTCCGGCGAGCGCTTGTGCTCGGGCGTCGCTGACGTCGAGGCTGCGCCGTTTTCAACGCTGGGGAGCGGCTCTTCGGGCCCCGTCGTGCCGTTGACTTCGGAGTTGAACTTGTCGAAGCGCTGCATGATGAGCGCTGTGATCGCATCCTGCGCTGGGTCAGTTCTGGGTTCTGCGGTGGCTGCGCGTGAGGCTTGCCTTCTGGTCTGTAGTGTCGGTGTTGATGCGCTCCTGCAGTCCTTTGCGTATGCGCTTCGCTGAGATTGTGTTCAGGTCGCTGGCGCGCAGAATCTCGTCAATTATGGCCGAGTAGGAGGCCGCGACCTCGGTAGGGAGAGGCTCTATCGTCATGAGTACTGGCTGGGTGCGTGATATGTGCGGGCGAGTGCTTACTGGACATGGCTGCGGGTTGCTAGGCCTCCTCGCAGCTTGTAAGGACGAGCGATGGCAGCGAGCTGTTCTGGTGTGTCACGCCTTACCACGGGTCGGCGCGAACCGCGTAGTATGGACCAGGATAGTCGGCCGGGTGGGCGGGGAGTACTTCAAGACGGAGTGCCAACAAAGGAGATTATATACACGAAACGGCGCGTGAACCTTGCGCGGGAGGCGTCTCTCACCGAACAACTGGTGAAGCGTGGCTCAACACACGTTCACCCAAGTGAGAGAGCCGGCCGGTCTAAAACGGTAGTGCCGGCGGGGTTCACCCTGTAACGGTGCTGAAGAGCGCTGCAGGAATGTCGGTTTTTAGGACGTTCAGAGCACCAGAGAACAAGTCGCGGAGGTGCGCTTCAGCTGTATACAGGAATACCAAGTTCAATTGATGCTGCGTTGATGCGTGGTGACGGGGTGGTCATCTGTCGCTCGGCCGCTAGCCAGGTACAAACGAGAGGCTGGGGAAGCTTCCAAGGCTGAGGTGCAGCTTGCCAACACAACACGGCCGCAGAAGATGTGTGGACAAAAGGAAAGCGGAGTATGTACGTGATGCAACAAGGATCTCAGGCGAGGGATGGCACGTGTTTGGACTTGGTATTCGAGTCGCTTGACCTGCTCTGCGGCGGCCTGCATATCTCTCCGAAAGCGGTCTCGCTAACTGTCGCAGAGCCGCATGCTCAAGCTATGTTACATAACCCAGCAGCCAACTCCATACATCTGCTTTTCAACCGCGCTCTTGATCTGGTACCAATCTGCTCTCCTTTCTGCGTACTCATACACCTCTTCCGCCCTGAAGATGCCGTGGTAGCGGTCCGTATCTGCAATAATAGTCGCAATCTCTTTCGCCTCCTTCGGCGCGATCAGGTAGATCTGGGAAAGCTCGCGAAGAGCTGCAAAGTACTGCATGAGTGGCTTATTGCGTAGCGAGACGATGTAGGCGTTGTATGCGTTCATGTCGCTGCAGAATTAGCAGGATGCAGACAGTATTTGTCAGAATCTTACCTGATCAGCACAATGGCGCCATCGACGCTCACTCTTTGACGCTTGAGGTGTTTGCAGATTGCAGTGAACAGCCGCACTCCGACTTCCTGGTTGAACACATCCAGCACGTTCTTGTCTGTGCTACCGACTAACATGCTTGTGTGCGACGACACCATATCGACGACCCTTCTTGCCGTCTCGCTGGGCCCGATGTCTGATATTTGTGCTATCCCGTTGGGTCCCACGGGAGGGTTGAAGTCAGAGGGTTGTTGCAAGGTGCCGCACAGATACTCCACTTCGTCCATGAGCACGTCGATACCTTTGTTCAAGCCTGCGGCGACGCGTTCGTCCAGCATTTGCTCGAACTTCTTCTTCTCTTTGGCTGCAAGACTGAGGAAGTCATCGCGATCGGTAAGGTTGGCGGAGACTAGCTCTTGCAGGTAGAACACTTCCACCATCTGCTGGATCAAGTCACCGACGTTGACAAGCTCCAGAAACGCTACCAAGGGTGCCACACCTTCTTTGCTGTGATCAACGACCTCACGGGGCTTGTATTCTGCGAGATGGCCGACAGCCTTGTCGAGCCCCAACTTCATGTGTCGATTGCCGAGGATCTGCACAAGGTAGATGAAGATCTGTTCGCACTGCTCCTTCGCTTCCTCGCCAGACTGTCCACCAAGTCTGACAAATCGTGCAGCGCGCTCAAGGCCTGACTTCGCCTTGTGTGTCAAGTCGAGAGCGACCTCGATGCTGAAGAGCGTCCGGATGCCTTCCAGTCGAGAGTTCATGATTGCTGCTTTCGCTGCAAGCTCGGATGTTGGTGCTTGCAGACCGGGCGAGCGTGCACCATCGCCGGACGGTGTTTCAGATCTTACAGGTGTCTCCAAAGTGCTAGTGCCGTTGGCAGCAGGCGCAGCAATGACAGAGTTTCTAGACCCTGAGCCACCAATGGTCGGGAGAACATTAACAGGCATCATCACCACCTTCTTGAAAGATGACAGGAAGTCCTGCTTAGCCGCTTTGCGATTGACATTAGACATGTAGAATGTCTCGGTCGTTTGCTCCTCTTCGCTTAGACGCTTCTCCCACGCCTCGACCTGTGCGACCGAATTTTGCTTGAAGAAGTCCAGCTCCTCCTGCAGGTATAGATCGATATGCTGCTCGAAGCACCCGGCAACTATGCGAAAAACCTCTTCCTGAAAATTAGCCTTCGAGCCCTTCGTCGGCTTCAGTGAGATGGCAAGTTGCGATGCTTGGTCGAAAACGCCAGCAACAGCTTTGAGATAGATCTCAGTGCTGGTATCGTGTGCCTCATCGAAGAGGGATGTAATATACTCGGAGACTATGTCTTCAGCGACGCGCTCCAAAAACGGTTGGAGTACGTCAAAGGTGGGTGGAAATACACGGTCGATAATGGCAGTCTCCTGGTTCATAGCGATTGCAAGTCCGTGGAAGAACTTTCGCGACGGCTCTAGGGTAAGTTGGGTTGTGCTCAACCCAGGCAGACAATCTCTGGGGTTTCCCAACTTTTCCTTGTCCAGCATCAAATGATGGTTGTGAATGTACGAGTCCAGACAGGCTCCGCCGCCGTTCAAATTGTAGAGCACCGACGCGAATCTTTTCATGCGACCGTCGTAGTCCTTCTCTTCACAGCCAGTCTCGAACTCCCGCAGTACTGCGTTTTCGAAGATGCCTGTCATGGTGTCCACCTTCTCCTCGCGCCGATTCCACCCTTGCGCGAAGTCGCTCTTCGCGAAAGTCTTGAGCTGGGCGAGCATTTGCGCCTGCTGTTCTGGGTCCCGGTATGTGCGAAAGAGAACGGGGTCGGTGTGGCTCCTCGAGCGTGCCAGATCAAAGTAGTACGGCGCCAACGCTCCGTAGACCTTTCCATATTCCTGGCGTGCTCTGCCTCTGATGGACCGCACGCCTGCAATAGCCTTCAAAGCTACGTGCGGGTCGACAGCAGCTGATCTCGCTTGCGCTCCCGTGAACGTAGGCGTCAGAGTCATGTCGTTGAAGCCTTTGTCGAGCGTCGATGATCTCGCTCGATTCGGGTGCTCTGTTGACAGCCGTTGTATGTCTTCGTCTGCGTCGAAAAGCGTCATGCTGCCGCGAGGTTGTTCCACACCACCTATCCCGAGCCCGGCAGCATTTCCTTCCGCAGGTATGCCTGTTCTCTGCGCTTCTTCCGCCTTTTGCGATTCGACTTTCCGGCGCATGGCCTCTTCAAAGCGCTGCTTTGCCTCCACATCGTTCCAACAGCCCATACTCTTCAATCTTTGTACCCATCGGGTGTCATCGTAGACCATCTCCTGCATGCGCTTCGATGCGCGGGCGAACGTGAACATGTCGGGAATGGGTAGGTAGTCGAGAATGGTGTTGATGATTTCTCCAGAGGTCAGTTGATTCGGACACTTGAACTTGCCAGTAAAACACACCTGCCGGCAGAATGGCTTTCGACTCGTCTACCATCTGCGTAGTCCGGAGCGAGGATAGAATGGACGGCTGCGCCTGGGGCACCGCCCGCTTGAAGTTGGATCTGGCAGCCATTTTGCTGGCCTTGGAATTGTCAAATCAGTCTACATGAGTCGCAGGTGCGGTTGTGGTCATGCTCGCCGCCATTCGGGTGTTGGCGCGTGAACGGTGGAGAGCTGGGAGAATGCGGGCGGACTGGGTGGAGACATGACGCTCGCGCTTTGACAGAAACGTGGTGAGCACGCGAACTCCGTGCCACAACACCCTTCGATCGCACAGCATTGCTAAATAGAGCAAGATCCTCAGCAGCTACAGCTCATCGCTCATGTCACCAAGCACGGGCCAAGTTCGATGATGTTGCCTCCTTGTGAGCATAGTTGCAAGGAGACATCTATCACTGAGCTCTAGGCAAGGTCCAAATGGAGCTCAACAGCGGTACATCACTCAAGCATAGATCGGGGTAGTCGATTACGTCTCGCTTGGTGATTACTATACTCCTACAAATAACCTATACCCTCCACAACGCCCATTACACAACCAGACCAGGAATCATCACCATCTACAAAGCAGCGAGCATACCGACGACAGCAACACCAAAACCGAGGATAGGACCGGCGGTCTGGAAAGCACCGGCGCCCGTCGCAGCAGTCGCAGCGGGGGAGCCAGAGGCAGAGCCTGATGCAGAGCGAGTTGCAGAGCCGGTGGCACTGCCAGAAGCTGTGTTGGTTCCGGTAATCGCGGTCACTGAGGCAGAGCCAGATGCCGCCGAGCTTGATGCGGCAGCAGACGCAGACGCAGACGCAGAGGAAGACGCCGAAGAGCTCGAGTTCGCCGCAGCGCAGTCGGGGCTGGTGTTCAATGTTACACCGGCACCTCTGCAGAGAGTCGAAGCGAAGTTGATGGTAGCTGTTTATGGCGTCAAAGGCTTGTAATCAATCCGACTCGCGATGCTTACTATCAATGTCTGCTTGGTTGCAGGAAGACAGTACGCAGCATGCAACTTGGGTGATAGCTGAGCTACCACAAATGCAGGCAACGTCAATGAGGTTACAGGTACCGAGGTTGTCGGTGCCAAAGCACGACTGTGCGCATTGGGGGATTTGTCCAACGAGGCCCTGTCCGAGAACGGTAGCGCTGAAGGTAGCGACGGCTGCAATAACAGAGAAGCGCATTTTGGAGGTTGGACGTGAGGTAAGGTGAGAGATTCAATTGCAGGAAGCCAGCGGATGAAGCGACTGAGGACGGCGCTGCCAGCTTTGGGGAAGGCTTGCAGTAAATAGCTCAGACGGCTGGTCTGGCTGATTGGATCGTCCGTCCATGGAAAGACTATTTGTTGTACCAAGATAGTAAGCGGCGCCCAGTTGAGCAACGCGCTCTTCTGTGGCTTGCAGCTTCTGCGACCGCGCCAAGTTGCCAGCTGCTGGGAATCTGGAGCTGGCCATGGAGATAAGTACTTAGCACTACTACGAACACAATGCGGGGATATCAATGATAATATTCACACCAGCTGTTGGTCATTTTTTGGTACTTTCGTCGTTTGCAGCTGTGTCGTTCGCAAGTACAATTTCCTGGCAGACGGGAGGCAATGAAAGTCTAACTCGAGACAATCGGGCCATTGACTGATATTCGGTCTTACAGGCCGACTCACCCGCTCTCTCTACAAGAAAGTGCCTGAGTTGTTCTGCTCCTTGATGTCTGACCCGGTGCAGTAGATGTCGAAACCAAACGGTTGTTGGTGGATCGACCGCGAGCGGGAGCTTGCAGCACATCTGCACGAATGTGGGAGGTACCCACACTTCTCAACTCTAAAGGGACCTGATTTCGGTGCCGCGGCAACACATGACCTAAGAATGGACTTACTCGCTGTGACGAAATACCGTGAGGCTGCTGGATGATCACAATTCAAACGGCCGAGTTGACCGCCGAAGAGTAGCGCTGCACGAGAATTAGGCACTGAACGTACTGTGCAAGAAGCAAGCATAGTTGTCACAATCGTTATGGACGGGCCTCAGGAGAGAGTTGGTCTAGCAGTCGAATTGTCAACACTAGCTCACGCCGGGGTCGCAAGAGTCCCTCAGACAGCAATGAGCAACTTTGCTTCTTTGCGCTGATGGTCATGTGTCCTCAACCGAAGGGCAGCGCGGTATGATCGCCGAAGGACCTTTCCGACTTCTCATGTGATTTCAAGTAGGCAACGAGTCGTGTATGCCTCTCACCAAAAGGCGCAGTCTCCCAGAGTCCTTCGTCTGACAGGTGCTTGTGGAGGGCAATGCAGGGCACACTGAGTGGCTGCTTCGGTACCTGAGCAGGCGCCTAGGACCTCTCTGCCGGGCTCAGGTGGGTGGCGATCAAAGGGCAAGGGCGGCGGGGCACAGCTGTCAAACAACCGCCACGGCGCAATGGTAAGGGTCGAGCAAAAGGGCCCGTTTCAACGGAGACCGTGTTCTGGCTATGATTAAGGGATGAAACACGAGCGTGCTGGTCGAGAAGGCCGCGCGAACACTCGCGAAGAAAGCCCGAACGCTCCACGGGTTGTACGTGCATAGCGAGGGCCCTCCCCGACTGGACAGAGTTCAGCCTTACGCATCGTGGCTCGTCTCTAACGTGACAGCGTGTTTAATTAGCCACACCTGTGACGCTGTGTCGCCAGCGCATGGTAGTTTCAGTGGGCCGAGAGGCTTGAGACGCGATGGTCCCGCCACGCCTCTGCTCCATCGAAGCTGTGCAAGAAGGCGGCTAGAAGCCGCGCACGGGGGATGATGCTTGGGGAGTCGGAAGACGAGGACCGGGTGTTCCGCTTCAGCTGCGAACCAATGGTGAAAATGAAGCAAGTGGGCCTCACCATCATGATCCTGAGTCCTCCAAGGTCCTTGCTCGTGGTCTCGCGACGGCTTATGTTATCAACCTTGAATGTCAGTGCTGTAGACGTCAGACTTGAGACGCCGATTGATGAGGCGGAAGCGCGATTGGAAGGCGTGTCACAGTTAGTGGGTCACAGACCTCTGTCTCGTTCCATCCCCTTTCAGATACCGTCGTGGAACTTCCTGGCGAGGCAATTCAAGCCCTCGTTGAGCTGTGCTCAGAGGTACGTACCTGACAGGGCCACGTACCGTTGGTTGCCCTCCGTAGTCTGTCGCTTATTGCCCCGTGCTTGAGTAATGATGAAGGCTGAGAATAGGTATGATGCTGGGAAGGCCACTCTTGGTAGTTCTCAGATACAAAAGCATCTCTGCGACCCGCCTGTATCAGATATCAATACCTCCAACGCACTGTTACTCTCAAGCTTACTGTTCTATTCAAGTCTCAGACATCAAACATAGTCTCACAGCCGCACGCTTTTAAACACCCTTTCAGATCGCACTCCTTTTGTATCCCCCATACCGATTCCAGCACAATGGCACCCACCATGAAGACGACCCCCAAGACCCCTGGCGGCGGTGAAGCCCGTGATGGAGGCAGTGAGTACCCATTCGTTGACCGTGGAGTGTCATCTCTAACATGCTCAAAAGGGAAACCAACCAATGCCGCCCGGGAACTCTAAGCGGCTGCGCCTTCCAGGACTTCCCAAAACAACAAAATTCGCGACATCATGACTGTTCGACGCAGGGCGTCATACGTTTTCACGGCCTTCAACTTCGACTTTTTTCAGCATTAATGGCCATCTTCCACATGGCGAATTCCAGGCACAACGATCGTCTTGTCTCGCGTTTCGGTTTTCGAAACATGAGCCCCTTGCCTGCGCTAGGCTGCGTACAATTGATACCGGATCTGTGAGGCGCAGCAAGAACATTGAAACCGCAACAGCATCCATTGTACTCACCGACCTTGGGCTGTGTTCTCCGGTGAATAAGACGTGCAGGCAACAGAAGAGTCATCACCAAGGAATCAAAGGACCTCCGGGGAGTACTTATCGACATCGGCATGGGCTCTAGGCAACTTGTGTGCCTTGAAGTCTGCCGTTCCGCAGCAGTAGCAGCCCCCAAAGCGGCTGTGCTGCCGGTCACGCTTTCGCGGAATTGTTCAGCCTAGCAGGCAGCGAACTAGGGTTCGTCGACTAGAGTCACCATGCCGCCCTTCTGCCTGAAAGGCAGCCTCAAAATCATGGCCTGTCTCGTAATTCGGCATCGGTCAATGTGGCTATGACCCACTAAGAGACCCTTCGCGGTGGACGGAAGGAGTCACCAGCGCGTTCTCCAGGACCGTTGGCCTTCCCAAAGGCGCGCTAAGGTGATGGCAGCCTATCAATCGCCTTATTCATCAGGCTTCAGCCAATTGTGCCCTTCCATTGGTCAGTGGCGCAGCACATCGTCCCTTTCAAACTCACCGTGGAGTCTACCGGGGAATTGAATTGAGTTCAATGCGTCATGGCCGGGCAAGAAGGCTGTCGTTTGCCTGTTCCTGAAGTCTCAATGAGGCAGTACAGATGGGTGGCGCCTCTGACAGGCCTCTGAGCATAACGGTTATATACCTAAGGCTGTCCATCTCATTGAAGACTTCATCTATATTACACCAAGTCTACAATCACATACAACTCCACAGCCACCAACTACTACAACGCCATCGACTACAACACCATCGACTACAACACCATCGACTACAACTCCACACCTTCGATACATACAACAACGACCATCATTATGCAGGCACCCAGCTTCAACAACAACAACTTGAACTTCCGCGGCGGCTCTGAATCTCGCGACGGTGGTGCACCCAACCGATCTGCCAAGTTCAACTTGCCTATGATGAAGGCTATGCGCGGTGGACCAGAGTCTCGCGATGGTGGTTAAGAAGCCCGTCGGCCATTGTAAGTCTACCATCTAGACCTACCATCGAATTGGTCTAACAACTCTCAGTTTATTCGACCAATACGAATCATACTGGTCGTGTCGATCATGGTATCTCTACAACATAGGAGGTACCGTGTCATCGATATGGGTTAACGCTCATCGTGGGCTTCGGCCTGCTATCCATCTTGACTTCGGCGACTTCTACTCTGTTTCTGGACTTAAGCGCTCATTGTTTTGCCTTGCAGCGTTCTGCATTTTCGACGGCATTTTTCGGTGTTTGGGTTTTGGTTTTTTGGTGTACAACATTGGGACGGCTGTATGATACCACGCGTTTAAACGTAATTTTGCTTTTGGATTAGACGGCCCTGCTACAGGGCGGAGGGCAACCTCGGGGTTTTAGACGTTGCATGGCATTGTAGACAGGAACTAGACGGACGCAGCTTTATGCCACATTGGTATGAGAGTCGATCATAGATGGTACGGGATAGTCGCAGGACGATAAGAAGAATAATGCAAGGATAACAATCAACACTTTTGACAAATCAGCAATACTTGCCTCCCTGACTTGATTGATTGATACGATAGTTTCTGACGCTGGTCTAAAAGAATCAAACTACTCCTTGCTTGATTGTAATGTTGAGTCGTGTTGGAAGAAGTGGGGATGATCTGTGATCTGGTGTTCACGTACCCCACGCCTTGGCATCAATAATAGCATTACATGCATGTTTGCTTCTTGCTCTAGATTATGGAGAGCGATTTTGCAACTCAGCTCTTTCAGACTTGTCCCTTTCACCCAAATGCTGTCGAACCGCAAACGGGTGTCCATCAGAATGACTGTTATGCACGAAATCCTCACACAAGGCAGCAGTGCCCGAACCCGAGATCTGAGATGACGTATTCGGTCGATCGTGCACGTTTCGTAGGACCCCGCCGAAGGGCACGTAAATGACTAATTTCAACCCGAAAACAGAGTCAGGCACGCGCAAAACAGCACCTTCTTACCGTGTCACAAGGCGGCGAAATGCAGACGGCGCCAATGTGCCTAGGCACGAAAAGACGGGTCACGCTGAAGATTGAGAAAAGCTGCTAAGGACATCGTGCTGGTGCGCATCGGTCACAGCGTCTCTTGGAAATCGTCCGCCGCTTAGTTCGTTCGCGGGCGCGGTGAAAGCCAAGAGCAGTTCAAGAGCCTTTAAGGGTCAACCAGTGATCGCGTCATCTGGTGATTACTGCCTTTGTTTCTCGCACCTCGCAGTCGAACACTCCTACGCAGACGTGAAGATCTATCCACCAACTCAGTTTCGAGACTCCACACTACACATATCACAATGAGTACACGACCAGCTCAGGACCGCATTGCCTCTCACGGCCGCGGCGGTGCAGGTAAGTCATAGCTTTGCAATCTGCCTCTCTCGCATTCGTCGCGCCTTGATTGCGATCATATCCACAGTTGTTCCATGTACACGCGACAACATCTAGCATCCTTGGAAGTGCCACTGACATGTAATAGGCAACATCGCACCGGATGTCAACACCGCATACACCAAGCCCGAAGACCTTGTCACTCCTACCATCAAGTCGAACAAATACACTACTGGCCGTGGTGGGCAAGGCAACATGGCAAGGAACGACGACCCCGAGCAGGCTCGTCTTGCGCAAGACGTCGATGGCCCCACCAAGGTCTCCGAGCCCAAGGGTGCTGTTCACTACGGACGTGGCGGTGCCGCGAACATTGTGACCGACAAGGAGCGCAACAGCGGCGAGGCCAAGCGCAGCGAGTCTGGCGGCTCCGGTGACCAGGGCCTCCTGTCCAAGGTCAAGGGCATTTTCAAATAAGCCAGCAGTGACGGTTCGGGATTACGGCCAGGAATGGTCAGCCGGAACCATCTAGGTTTCTTGAGAGGCCTTCAGGTCCAGCTGCAAGAGTTGGATGGGATACGGAAGCAGGGTGTCTTTATTTTGTCATGATATACCCTGGAGTTGGAATGCTTTCCTTGATACCACTCTCAGTGCATCACTTTGAAGATAGGAAGTGTTGCACACTTTACTTAATACTACTACACCCCCATCGGCATCTTCTTTTTGCACCTCAATCATCGCGAGAGACTCAGTACAGGCAAATCACAGCCTTACTCGCTCAACCATATCACCTCGGTACAACACGTACTTATTTCACTGCTGCAAGCCACTTTCAGGGTCTTCTGCAGGGAAGCATGTGCGATGCGGGGTCGTCACAGTGGGGCGAGCATGGAACAAGCGCTTGCACTGGAATTCGACCCTACCGATTCACTGTGGATTACCCAAGGAGTCTGAGATGCCGATGGACTATGCCGAGATCGACATACCTAGATACCGCACCCTGCTACTGCGTACGAGATCCTCTAATCAGAGCAAAGTGCGCGTTGCTCCGTCCCAGAATTGTGGTTCCGGTGGTGTCCTCCGTCTGTCCGTCGCTGCTTCTGCTCACACTTGCAGGTAGTTGCTGTGATTGATAGAGGACGATTCAGTAACGCTTCGTCATCGAGTCTTGAGCTGTCGAACCATCTGCATGACCAAATCCTACTTCGAGAATGGCGTATAGATCGTTGTCTGCAGCATATCAGAGCCAACAGCACCTCTCCATTGTAAGGCAAGGGTCTCCAAAGTGCGGCGCGGTGAGCATTGGCGTGTTGTATTGTTCATGTTTTGCAGGCCATTGGTTTGTCACTATAAAATGATGACCCGGCACGCTTTGACTGTCATGTTTCGAGACCTACATAAGTCCTCCACAGACGTGTCCATTATCCATTCGACACGACGGTAGTACAACGAGCTCAGCAAAACAGTGTTATGACAGGATCAGTAAGACCTGCGTCAGACATAACAGACGACTGCCCGTTGTGGAGAACATATCCTCCACTGTACAAACAGCAATCTCCTAGTGGAGACGAGCCACTGGCTCTACCGTTTTGAGTCGTCACGACCGAGCATTCAATCTCTATCCCGACGACATCATGTCCACAACGGCAACAATAACAGCAAACGACGAGGGTTGGGTTCATTACCATGATGGAGGGCTCCCAGGACGACGACAAGTTCTGACTGGCGTCACAGCCAAACCAACTTTCAACGAGCTCCCCAGGATTGACTTTCAGCGTATATATTCCGACAATCTCTCAGACCGCCAGCAACTCGCAAAAGAAGTGGGGGCTGCCTGTAGAGACGTTGGATTCTTCTATGCTGTCAACCATGGTGTTGATGAGAGCCTTCTTCAAGACACGTTCGAAGCATCGAAAAGGTTTTTCGATTTGCCGACGGATGTTAAGATGGAGGTACATAACCAGAAGACATCGAAATTCAGAGGGTAGGTTGAAGCCTCCATCATTCATCGATTCACTGCTCACAGTCAGTACAGGTACGAGGCGTTCCTCGAAGGAAAATTGGACCCCAGTACAAGAGGCGGTAAGTGTCCAAGCCAAACACAACTCCATATTTACACGAACTCACTCCACCAGATCTCAAAGAAGGCTTCCTCATGGGCGAAGACGCCACCGACCCCGAACAAAACCGGTCCATAACGCCCTCCACCGCAGAGCCACGCAACCAGTGGCCAACCCACCCCTCAGCACTCTTCTGGAGACCGGCAATTTACCGCTACTACAACGCCATGTACGCCTTCAGCAAGCAGCTCCTGCGCATCTTCGCCCTCGCCCTCGACCTCCCCGAAACCGCCTTCGACGCCATCACCACGCACCCCATGACCAACATCCGCGCCGTGCACTACCCGCCACAAGAATCCGAAGCCGACGTTGGAATCGGCGCACACACAGACTTCTGCTGGTTCACGCTCGTCTGCCAGTCTCAGACCGCGCAGCCCGCGCTCGAGGTGCTGAATGCGAACGGCGTGTGGGTGCCCGTGCATCCCGAACCGCACACGTTTGTGGTCAATGTTGCGGACTTTTTGAAGCTGGTGACGGGAGGCACGTGGCAGAGCACAGTGCATCGGGTGCGGAACATGGGTGGAGAGGAGAGATACAGCTGTCCGTTTTTCTTTTCTCCCAATGAGGATGCGAAGGTTAGCGTTTTGGAGCAATTCAGGAAGGAGGGGGAAGTGTATGAGGAGTTTGTGGTGGGCGAGTATTTCCAGAAGAGGCTGGATGTTGACAGGACGACACATCTGGATGGTGACGAAGGCGAGAAGAAGGGAGGCTCCTAGGATAGGTGGTGCTGGTCTATCATTCCCGACCTAAAGTTTTCCCGATTAGCCAGACCTGTAGAAATGGTATTTGTCAGAAAGAGCTTGGATAAACGGTAGGGATCAAGTAAAACAGGGCCATAGCCAAAGACAATGTCACGATGCCATCTCATGAGGGGAGCTGATCACTCTACGCATTGATTGTATCATGCTGTTCATACACATCATTTTGGATGTGTGTTCGTGTCGTTGATATCGTCTAAGCTCCGCCCTCTCGGAAACGTCATCTAGTCCTGCTTCAACTGCGTGAACGTCTCGTGGATGCCGTCGCTGGTGATGATCATCATCTGCAGCCCGTCACCGACCTCGATGTGCCTCTCCACCGCACTTGTGAACGCGTCGCGTACCAAGTCCTCGACATGGTTCTGCGGCAGAGGCTGTGCGACAACACTCTTCAGGTTGTGGCCTGTCCCGCTGCCCGGCTCGTACTGATTCTTGAAGTTGACCTGGTTGTCCAAGAAAGGCATAATGAGCGATGACGCCGCACCCGCTGCCCTGCACTGCTCCCGCTCGTAGCTGCCCACCGGGTCGTAGGAATACAACGCACCCTTGCCTTCCTCGTCCAAGCCACCTAGGATTGCGTGTACATAGTAAGGGAAGAATCGCTTGTTGTAGAGAATGTGGCTCAGACGCTGTGCGCAGGCGGAGACGCTCATGGGCTTGCCGTGCTTGTACTTGTACATCTTCACGATGGTGTCGAGGTGCTCCTTCAGCGCATGGCCATCTGCAGCAAAACCGACTACGGAGAGCACTATCCGTGCGCCTTTGTTGTCGGATCCCTCGCCGCCAATCTTGAAGAGCTTGGGCTCGTATCGTGTGTTGATGTTGTAACCAGATGTGGATCGAGTGTCGCCGGCAAGGATGGCGAAGTCAGCACCAGAGATACCAAGTGTTGAACCGCCATTGTCAGTGTATCTGCTTCCGTTAGTTTCTTTAACATGTTTTCTATCTCCAGGGCTGACTAACGGGTAGAAGCCGTGCTGCCTCTCACCAGAGGGAACAGCTGTGGGGGTGCTCTTGAACGAGTAGCCTGGGCCACCCTGCGGCGGCGCTCCCGAGAAGATGGCGGCCATCGTGCAGATGTCGAGGCTGTTGTAGCGAAGAGAGTCGAATGTTGTAGGTTGGTGCGGGGCGGGTGGAAGATTAAGTTGCGGTTGGTTTGCTGGTGGTGATGCTGGAGCTCCACGACGCGGTGATTGCCTGCCGACGCCAAGGCTCGGAGCTGGTGAAGCTCCACCACCGCTGCCGCCGCGTCGTGGAGCTGCCTTGACGACAGTGACGGTACCCATCCAACAACGCCTCGCTCGCACAACGTTTCCCCGTAGCTCCACCCTCTTACACCGAGTGTAGCTCAGCTGAGTTTCCTTTATCGCTCTGAGCCCCAACACGATCCGCGTCTAGACAGCCAAACCATCGGCCCTCATCACATCGCACCAAGTCACAATGTAAGAGCAGCACATTGGTGGTTGCATAGACATACTGACAACTGTGCAGGGAGGTTCTGCTTGGTATTACGGGGAAGGACTTCACCCTCATCGCTGCCTCCAAAGCCGCCATGCGAGGCGCCACCATCCTCAAGGCCACTGATGACAAGACCCGCGAATTGAACGAGCACACTCTGATGGCTTTCTCGGGCGAGGCCGGTGACACAGTGCAGTTTGCCGAATACATCCAAGCAAACGTCCAGCTGTACTCGATGCGCAACAACATGGAGCTCTCGCCCGCTGCCACCGCCAACTTTGTTCGTGGGGAGCTTGCACGCGCACTGCGATCACGGAAACCATACACAGTGAATCTGCTGCTCGGAGGATATGACAACATCGCCGACAAGCCCACACTCTACTGGATCGATTACCTAGCCAGTCTGGCACCCCTCCCCTACGCGGCACACGGATACGCCCAGTATGTTCTGACCCATTTGAGTCTGCAACGATAGCATGAAAGCTTCATGGAGAAGTTAACAAAAGTCCAGGTACTACTGTCTCTCGTTACTCGACAAGCACCACCACCCTGATATCGACTACGAGCAGGGTCTGAAGATCATGAGGATGTGCACAGAGGAACTGAAGCGCCGCATGCCGATCGACTTCAAGGGCGTTTACGTCAAGGTGATCACAAAGGACGGCGTCAAGGTTGTCGATTACGAGGATGATGTCAAGGTTGCGATACCTTAAGGAGGAGACAGGCTGAGCAAGCTATGAACACTTGGAAGTCTGACAGACAGGAACGCTACACCTGTCAAGAGACAGCTATGAAGCATTCAGAAGTCACAGCTCTAGCTTTAAGACTAGAGTTACGATAGAGACGCCATAGTCAATGAAAAGATCACGACCGAGCAGCCTCAATCTCACATTATGAATTTTGCTGGGATGCACCTTACGACGGTTCGTCGTGTAGCCTTTAAGTGTAAACGATTGCGGCACGACGGATGTACAGCCTGGTGCACCTCTGATCTGATGGTTAGTCATCGGCTACTTTGTAACTCCAACCCACACCTCAGAGGATCTCTAGTAGCAATGATCGTACATGATGAGCTTCTGTATAAACCAGGGCCTGCTTATGGCGAAAGAATCAAGAAGCACTGTGCTTGCTGCAGATGCGTTGAACACTCGACGTAGTGTGGATTATCGTAGTGCAGGTTTAATGGAATGGGGGCTCTGTGACAGGTCATACCTAGTGTAGCGAGACTGTCTGGTAGGTACCAAACAGGGTTTGTGACGATCGACACAGCTTTCGAAGGTCCCCAAGCTCACTTTGGCACCCTGTCACAAACTTGTCCCTTTTCTTGTAATACGACTGCCCGCTTCAGGTTGGAACGAGCGTGTGATCACCAAGGCACGTACGATCGAGACTGAAGGCGGTTAGAAGGGATGTGTTGCGGAAGATCGCCGCGGCTCACAGTTCGCGTTGTGGTGCGTCAGTGTGGGAATGACATCACCGAACCAGACCTCTAAGCTACACCAGTCCAGCGTTATTAGCATGGCCGCTGCAAGGCGGCTAAGGTTGGGCTCGTCTCATTCTTTGCTGCTTCAGATTCCTACCTTTCCATGATATCCTAAACTGATACCAGCAACCCTGTGACGATCACCTCGACCTGATTATTCCAGCATGGCGACGACCGGGTTGTCGAACGCTGGTCCCCACACTGCCGATGGCGCACCCCTGAAGAGCACGGCAGATGCTCCACCAAAGACCTCCACCGAGGCGGGCATGCGATGTCCTGATCCTTCAGCGCATTTACATCAATCTCACAATGCGTTACAGAATCAGGCATCCGCTGCGGCCTTGTACAGCACCAAATCAGCCAACGAGAAGCAGAAGATCAACCCGCTCGGACCGGACGGAAAGCTTTCGTCAGCAAGTAAGTCGCGTATGAGCGACGCTCCAGAGGTGGATCTGACACGATTGTAGGCGCTGCGGCCAGCCTGAAATACGCGAGGGCGAACGAGCTTCCTAGCTATCCAGTGGTTGGCATTGACACTTCATCTTCAGCTGGAGTAGCTGCACTGCTTGCGAACCAAAACAAGAAAAGCCCGGAGTGGTGGAAACCCGAGCAATCGTCGGCTGCCGGCAAAGCCGCATTACTAGCAAACGACTATAAGATGAAGCCAATGTGGCAGCCAGAGGCAAGCGCTGCGGGCTCCAAGGCAGCACTGCTAGCTCACAGAGACGGCGCAAAGTTGAACTTCTGGCAGCCCCAAGCCAGTGCCGATGGCAACTCAGCAGCTAACATTGCTATGCGCAAGACGGGACTGGGTCCACAAATCGATCACGGATCCACCGAAGACGGGAGGAAGAAAGCACTGATCGCAGCCACTGGAGCTCACGCAGCATCGGGTCGCAAGCGCGCGCAGTCGATTCCAATGTCTGCTCCACTCTATCCTGATTCCAAGAACTCTGCCAAAAACGCTCTCAGCGCTGCGACAATCGCTCACACTCCCTCGATGCGAGCGTCGAAAGCACCAGCGGTTCAGTCTCAAGACTCAACCCGGGTTGGATCCGGAGCTCTGGACGCAGCAAGGATTCAACATGCTAAAAGCTCCCGGGAAATGTACACAAGCGCTCCTCCTGTTTCACTGGAAGTAGAGGAGAAGAGACGCAACGACGCGCTCAAGGCTTCAGCTATCGTCATGGCCAAGAAGATTTATGACATACAACAACGGCAAATCGACGAGGCTTCTGGTGTATCTGCGGCTCGTACAGGTGCTACGACCGCTCATGGGAAGCAACCGGTAGCAACAAGCGAAGGCGATCTCAAACAACAGGCCATGCAGTATATTGGCATACAGGAGGCAGCTCAGAAATTGGCACAGGAGCGCCTTGCTAAGATTGGTTACGACGAGAATGCTGCCTACCGAAGCTACTACGGTTACGAAAAACAAGGCCGTTCAAAGATTTCTATGCGACGGGGAAGACCTCGAGCTCGCAGCGCATCAGCAGCACCGGAAGAGAGCGACTCCGATGAAGACGATTTCCGCTCAAGGCGCATTCGTCACCAAATGCAGCAATTCAACCAACAGTTGGCTGATGTTGATGCGAAGAAACGTGAGCAGGATCGCAGGAGCCTGATTGCAGCGGCGGAACGCAAAGTCCAAGCTCAAATGCAAGGTCTTGACAAGGAGGTTTACAACAAGACTGGCAAGATGTCGAATTCCAAGACGGATGACTGGGATGATAAAGCACGCCAACGGGCCCTCGCCAACTCAGAAGCTCGCATGGAGAACCACGGCAGAGTCCACATCGGTAATGGTAAATGGATGGATCAAGCTGAGATCGATGCCATTGCTCAGGCTAGGCTTCAACCAACACTCGACGAGATCACCGACAAGGCTGAAAAGCGGAGGGCTGAAGACGCCGAGAGGCAGTTCGAGCTCGAGAAGAAGCAGCGCCAGGAGCAAGAAGAGAAGGCACGTCAGGCAGAGATCAAGGCTGAGGGGAAGAAAGGCAAAGGTATGGTCAAACAGATTAATTTTGAAGATGTCACTAACAAGATGCAGAGGAAGAGAAGAGGGTGGAGAAGGCCCGTATTGCCAATGAGAAAGCGGCTGCAAAGCAGATAAAAGAGAGAGAAAAGACCAAAAAGGCGGAAGAGGAACGTCTAGCCAAGGAGGAGAAGCGCAAGTCTAGAGAGACTGCTCGAGCTGCACCAGCGCCAGGGCCTGCTTTGGGAACTGCAGTCGTCGCCACACCAACAACAGCGACTCCTGTTGCAGCCGGCGTTATTGACGGGAACAAGGACCTGTACGAAGATCCTGCTACTTCCACACGAGTCTCAGACGACGTCCCACCTGCAAGAGAGTCTACTGTAACTGCAACCACGCGGGACTCTACCGCTGTTGCGACTCCATCGACTGACCCTACTTCTCCCGCCTCGCCGACTTCGTCCAAGGGCTTCAAGTCTATCTTCAACAAATTGAAGCGTCGTTCCAAACATGACTCAGCCACTACAACCGACACGGATGGCAAGACTGCTGAAAAGGAAAACACTCGGTTCATTGGTGGTGCAACCCTTCGGGCGTCCGAATCCAAGTCCCTTTCGTCCACGACACCATCTGCTTCCCATGCAGAAGCAAGTTCTACAACCCGGCCTACTGATTTGGGCGATGTCGAGCCTACAGTCGTCCCTCATCTCAATGAGCTTCCAGCTACCTCTGCAGTCAAGGACGACCGCTACTCAGACATCTCTTCGCTCAGCAGCGACGATGAAGACATAACCAGGGGACGCCCCCGCCCACAACGTCTCATGAGCGACGACACCAGAGCTTCGTCAGACTTTGAGGAGGCCAGAGATCACTTTGATGAGGGTCTAGCTCCACCTCCTACATTTACCAGTGACACAGACAAAGGCCGCCATGGTAGCCCAGTTCGAGACTCGAAGTTCCATGAAGTTGGCATATAATGAACCGAGAAGCAAGAACTGATTTGAAGAAGGGGGCAGGGCTAATTAACAGACGACTCCGGAGGTTGTAATGGGTGTTTGACGAGGAACGCGATTGTTTGCTGTCATAGTTTAATTTACCCTGACACCTGTATACCTGAATTTGAACGACCTTACGATTCCACGGTTCCACTGTGTCAGCCGAAATTCATGTGTACTGATGATGTGGTAATCTCACCAACAACCTGCATGCTTTCCATCGTTTGCTGATTCCGCAACCTCACCGCAACTAAATTCTGTCACAGTGAATTGATGGAGCTCCAGTGTAAATCCGCGCGGCAATCGACGTCAGCCCGCTTGCAAACGCTTTGCCTATTTCGGATCGGCCAAGCCCGGGACGCTCCAGCGTACTGTGGAAACCGTGGACTAACAACGAGCTCCTGAGCATCACCTATCCCACCCACCCCACACCGTCTACCGACACTGTCCCATTTTCTATTGCGCGCCTCTGGAGTTGTGCATCTGGGTTTAATACTTCTTTCCCTTCCGATACCCCCGTAGTTGAGCGCCCTCTCACGCGGTGAGCTTGGAGCTGTCGCAAACATGGCTCAGCGCCAGGTCCCATTGCACGTCGCACAGCCGACACTGGTATGTGTATGACCGAATTGGTGACGGAGAGAAGCTAACGATTGAGTCTTAAAGCTCACGAACTTGAATATCCTTGTAAGTCGACATGTTCCACCTAGGCTCCCACAGAGTCCAGCTCAAGGGGCAGCAAGCTAACAGAGTCTATAGCCAGCATCGATATCATGGCAAAACTGTGTATGTGATAGTTCCTCTCGAAACCAATCATCAGACAATATCCCTAACTATAGCCACAGACTCTCGAGTCCGACAAGTACGTTTGCGTGCGCCAGGTCAACAACGATGCCAACACTCCCGCCGAGACCGTCATCATCGATCTGAAGAACACAAACAATGTTATCCGTAGACCGATCCGCGCCGACAGCGCGATCATGCACTTGACTGAGCCCATCATTGCTCTCAAGGCGCAAGGTCGGACGCTGCAGCTCTTCAATCTCGAGACAAAAGAGCGTCTGCAAACATACAGCCACCAGGAAGACATTGTTTTCTGGAGATGGATTAGCCAAACTACGCTTGCGCTGGTCAGCTCCAAGGCCGTGTACCACTGGGATGTGCTGGAGTCGAAGACCGCGACACCCCGCAAGATCTTCGATCGCCAGGAGCAGCTCGAGGTGGGTCATTTGGGTTCGCTACTTGGGTTCATTCTAACACAGCGCGCAGAACAACCAGATCATCAACTACGTAACAAACGATGACGAGAGCTGGTCTTGTTTGGTGGGCATTGCGGCGGGTGCCAACGGTGGCATTCGCGGCAACATGCAGCTGTTTTCTAAGGCGAGGAACGTCAGCCAGCCTCTTGAAGGTCACGCGGCCACTTTTGGCACACTCCGTCTTGATGGCGCAACGACAGATACCAAGATCTTTGCCTTCGCCGTAAAGTCGCAAACCGGCGAGGCCAAGATCAACATTGTCGAAGTTGACCATAACGCGGCGAACCCGGCTTTCCCCAAACGGTTGATTCCGATCCACTGGCCCGCCGAGGGCACTGGCGACTTCCCGCTCGGCATTCACATCGCGCACAAGTACGGCATCCTTGTCGTAGTTACTAAGTTCGGTTTTATCCACCTGCACGACCTCGAGACTGGTACCGCTCTCTTCTTGAACAGGATTTCGGAAGAGACAGTCTTCACGACCGCACGCGATGACGAGGGTACTGGTGTGGTTGTCATCAACAAGCGCGGACAGGTGTTGCACACGACTATCCGTGAGGATACGTTGATTCCCTACATCATGGAGAACCCAGCATGTGCGGAGATCGCCTACAAGCTTGCATCGAAGGGTGGTCTTCCTGGAGCCGACAACCTGTACAACCAGCGATTCGAGCAGTTGATGAACCAGGGCAACTACTCTGAGGCAGCGAAGGTTGCTGCCAGCTCACCTCGTGGGTTCCTCCGCACAATGAACACAATCAACCGATTGCGTTCGGTCCCTCAGCAGCCTGGTCAGATTACCGTCCTTTTGCAATACTTTGGCTCGCTGCTTGACAAGGGTGGGCTGAACCGCGAGGAGACCTTGGAGCTGGCCCGTCCCGTCTTTGCCCAGGGCCGCAAGCACCTCATCGAGAAGTGGCACAAGGAGGGCAAGCTTCACTGCTCTGAGGAGCTTGGTGATCTTGCTAAGCCTCACGACTTGAACCTTGCTCTGGCCATCTACAAGGAAGCCAATGTCCCTCAAAAGGTCGTTGCTTCTCTTGCCGAGCTAGGCCACTACGACATGATTGTCCAGTACTGCACATCCGTTGGTTACACTGCGGATTACAACGTTCTCTTACAGCATGTTATCAGGTCGAACCCCGAGAAGGGAGCCGAGTTTGCCATTCAGCTCGCAAAGAACGAGAGTGGGCCGCTTATTAGCACAGACCGTGTCGTAGACATCTTCCAGTCGCAGGGCATGATCCAACAAGCCACTGCCTTCCTTCTGGATGTACTCTCCAATGACCGCGAGGAGGAGGGTCTCCTGCAAACGAAGCTACTCGAGATGAACCTGCTCAACGCACCTCAGGTAGCCGATGCCATTCTTGGAAACGAGATGTTCCACCACTACGATAAGGCCCGCATCGCCAGCCTCTGCGAGAACGCTGGCCTGCTCACACGCGCTTTGGAGCACAACGATGATCCCGTAGCTGTGAGGCGCATCATTGTTCAGACAGACAAGTTGCCCGAGGAGTGGTTGATCAACTACTTCGGTCAGCTCACCGTTGAGCTCTCGCTGGACTGCCTGGACGCTATGCTTACGACCAACATTCGACAAAACCTGCAAGCCGTGATTCGCATTGCCCAGAAATACTCTGATCTTCTCGGCGCCAATCGCATCATCGACCTTCTCGAGAAGCACCGCACGGCTGAGGGCCTGTACTTCTTCCTCGGATCCATTGTCAATGTCAGCGAGGACCCCGATGTCCACTTCAAGTACATTGAGGCTGCCACAACCATGGGCCAGCTCAATGAGGTCGAGCGTATTTGCCGTGAAAGCAACTAGTAAGTAACCCGTTTACAAGAGTTCCAGAACAACTGGCTAATATGTAACACAGCATTCCGGCTGAGAAGACTCGCAACTTCTTGAAGGAAGCGAACCTCACAGAACAACTGCCCTTGATCATCATCTGCGACCGATTCAACTTCGTGCATGATCTTGTGCTACATCTTTACAAGAAGCAGCAGTTCAAGTCCATTGAGGTCTACGTACAGCGTGTCAACCCGGCGAGGACTCCCCAGGTCATTGGTGGTCTGCTCGATGTCGATTGCGACGAGAGCATTATCAAGAGCCTCCTCGCTTCGGTCACACCCTCTTCGATCCCGATCGATGAGCTTGTTGCCGAGGTCGAGTCACGCAACCGTCTCAAGCTCCTCTTGCCATTCTTGGAGCAGACATTGGCTGCTGGAAACCAGCAGCAGGCCGTGTACAACGCCCTGGCAAAGATTTACATCGACTCCAACAACAACCCGGATAAGTTCCTCAAGGAGAACGATCAGTATGACACACTCACGGTCGGAAAGTACTGCGAGAAGCGCGATCCCAACCTTGCGGTCATCTGTTACTCCAAGGGCCAGAACGATCTCGAGCTTGTCAACATCACCAACGAGAACGCCATGTTCAAGGCCCAGGCTCGTTACCTGCTCGATCGTGCCGAGTCTGAGATCTGGGACTTTGTTCTGAGCGAGAACAACATGCATCGCCGATCCCTGGTCGATCAGGTTACATCTGTCGCTGTGCCAGAATCAACCGATCCTGACAAAGTCAGTGTTGCTGTCAAGGCGTTCATCACCAACGACATGCCTGCTGAGCTCATCGATTTGCTTGAGAAGATCCTGCTTGAGCCCACAACCTTCAGCGACAACCCGAGCTTGCAGAATCTGCTGATGCTCACAGCATGCAAGTCTGACCGTGGACGCGTGGCTGGATACATTCAGCAGCTTGAGAACTACACTCCTGAAGACATCGCTCAGCAGTGTATCGAGGTTGGTATGCACGACGAGGCTTTCGAGATCTACAAGAAGCACGGTCAGCACGTGGATGCTGTCAATGTCCTGGTCGACCACATCGTCAGCATTGACCGCGCTCAAGAGTACGCAGACCGTGTAGACACACCAGATGTCTGGAGCAGGGTCGCTAAGGCTCAGCTGGATGGTCTCCGTGTCACTGACTCGATTGAGTCCTACATCCGCGCTGGTGACGCATCGAACTTCCTCGAAGTGATTGAGGTTGCCACCCACGCAGGCAAGGATGAGGATCTCATCAAGTTTTTGAGGATGGCCCGCAAGACCCAGCGCGAGGTCCCTGTCGACACTGCTTTGGCGTTCTGCTTTGCTCGCACCAACCAGCTGTCAGAGCTTGAGGACTTCCTCCGCGGAACCAATATTGCTAACATCGAGGCATCTGGAGATAAGGCATACGAGGAGGGCTACCACGAGGCTGCGAAGATCTTCTACACAAGCATCTCCAACTGGGGCAAGCTTTCTACCACTCTTGTGCACCTCGAAGACTACCAGGCTGCCGTTGAGTGTGCTCGCAAGGCGAACAGCGTCAAGGTCTGGAGAGAGGTCAACGAGGCCTGCGTTGCGAAGAAGGAATTCCGCCTGGCTCAGATCTGTGGTCTCAATCTCATTGTCCACGCCGAGGAGCTTGCCGATCTGGTCAAGCAGTATGAGCGTAACGGCTACTTTGACGAACTCATCGCTCTTCTGGAGGCTGGTCTAGGTCTTGGTAAGTTGTCTCTTTCTTTTTTTCCTATCTTCAGACAAGCACCTCGTAAAGTCGAGTCTCTTTCAACATGTCATCGCCTACAGACCAACTGCTAACGAACCTAGAACGAGCTCATATGGGAATGTTTACTTCACTAGGCATAGCTCTTACGAAGTATCATCCTGAGCGGGTCATGGAGCACCTCCGTCTTTTCTGGTCCAGAATGAACCTTCCTAAGGTCATTCAAGCCACAGAGGAGGCTCACCTGTGGCCGGAACTCATCTTCCTTTACGTCCACTACGACTCTTTCGATGATGCGACATTTGCTATGATGTCCCATTCAACGGACGCCTGGGAACACCAAGCCTTTAAGGACATCATCGTCAAAGCCAGCAACGTTGAGATCTACTACCGTGCATTGGCTTTCTATCTTGAGGAGCAGCCAACAATGCTGACCGACCTGCTACAAGTCCTCACACCTAGGATTGATGTCAACCGCGTGGTTCGCATCTTTACACAGAGTGACAACATTCCGATTTTGAAGCCATTCTTGCTCGCAGTCCAGTCCCAGAACAAGCGCGAAGTCAACAATGCTCTGCACGATCTTCTCATCGAGGAAGAAGATTACAAGACACTGCGCGACTCGGTCAACAACTACGATAACTACGATGCGACCGCACTGGCTCAGCGCCTTGAAAAGCACGACCTGGTGTTTTTCCGTCAAATCGCCGCCGATATCTACCGCAAGAGCAAGCGCTGGGATCGCTCCATTGCGCTGTCTAAGCAGGACAAACTGTTCAAGGATGCCATTGAGACGTCCGCGTTGTCCCAGAAGCCTGAGATTGTGGAAGATTTGCTCCGCTACGTAAGTACCTATGTATTCTCCAACCCTCCTCATGCTAATATTTCCTGCAGTTTGTCGATGTTGGTAGCCGCGAGTGCTACGTTGGTATGCTGTACGCTTGTTATGACCTCATTCGCCCTGATGTCATCTTGGAGATGTCGTGGCGCAACGGTCTTCACGACTTCACCATGCCATACATGATCAACCTCTTGTCCCGCCAGACTGCGGCTATCGAGCTGCTGACAAAGGATAACGAGGAGCGCAAGGCTCGCGAGGTGACGCAGCAGAAGAAGGAGGACGACACTCCGATCCTCGGCTCCCGCCTCATGCTTACGCAAGGCCCCATTGCTTCCGCGCCTTCCCCCGGCCCTTACGGCCAGGCTAACGGGATCACACCTCAGATGACGGGTTACCGGGGTTTCTAGATAGACTGGCAGTGACAGATGACATTAACGGTCTTGCATGAAGGAAATGACGGGCGATCGATTTCGATCTACATATTCATGGGTTGGTGGGGCATGCAAAAGTGAGTGCATTCCCGGCTAGTAGGCAGCGATGTACTCCAGGCGTTCAATGGAGGACTCCTGGTCTGTATGTTTCCAGGCATTTTCAGTCCATGTACACTACTTAATCATTGGCTTAAGTTCTATTTCGTGCTGCGGAACCCTACTACCCGTTATCTTTTGTGACGTTCTGTCTCAATTCGTTTGTTCGCTTCCACCATCGAACCTGCACGTTTCCCCAGCAATGGTAGTAGGTTGTTGAACCCCAGCAGCTCTGACCTGCGAGGAGCTCAATAGTGAACATCATTCCGTTTTCTAATACAACTCGACGAGCCAGTCTTTTACGATGTAGGATGAACGGCGGACTGATGATTTGACCCAGGAATTCCACAGTTTCTACTACGCGACAACAAAGTAGTGAGAGTGCACAGGAACTCTTCGTAATACTCTCTTGCCTACAATACAGGTAATGCTCCATTGAGCTCTAGCTTTAGGTATTATGATAGCTACAAGTTCTGTATTGACGTTGGCTAGCTTGAAGGTCTAATCCGCCGTTATTTCTGAGGCTTGAGAGCCAGTTCATCCGACCTCGTATACATCGGCCTCCGAGACGAAGAAGTTGGAAGCTATCGCAGATATTACTACAACCAAGGAGGGATGTCTTGTCTACATTCAGAAGGAACAGCCAGAAGAGGCGAAGACAACTGTTACGACGCTTCGTCGACTCAATAACATCATTCAATAAAATGGCGGTATAAGCGAATGGGATAGAGAGGATCATAGAATTCAGATCACGGAAGAACTACATCAAAGAACGACGAACTTCCTTGGGAGCGCGTAAACCAAGATTTTGGGCATCTTGTGTGGTTATACCTCCAATCCAACCATCACGCACGATATTGCAGGTAACTTTGTAGTCCTTCAGGTTACAGATGGTCGGCAAATTGGCGTCGAATACCTCCTGTTCTCTTATGATATGTGGTTGGATTTGGAACTCTATCAAAAACCATTGGCAGCAACAAGCTTACAATGTATGAGCGCGATGATAGAGATCGCGCTAATCTGCAGCCAGCAGCGAAATTAACATCCTTGTAGTTCACACCTATCACTTGAGATCTGCATCGAAGAGCTTTTGCAGGTGCTGACATTTCTTGCGACTCGAGACATTGAAATTATGATATTGTGGCTGCGTAGTCGGAAGAGCTAGAAGTTTCAAATCGTGACGCTCAAGATCTTTGGGGGCAGTTCGAGGCTGCCGGCGGCTAAACTTATCAACAGTGCAACTGCACGCGGCGGGATACCAGCACTTGTTTCGCGTGAACCAGTTCTCTGTAGGATCCGGAACGCGCAAGCATTTCGTCTAACCTTAACGTGGGTTTACAAGTTTGTGAATTAACGATCTTCGGTCGCTCGGTCGCTCGGTGTGATGATATGCCAAGGGCCCTAGATACAGGGCGGGCCCGTGTTTGTTTGACGAAGCCGCAGCCACGCTGCATGATCTCCGCCAAGTCGTCTCCTCGCTCCACGAGCTTGACTCATGCAGATAACTTCCAGATCCAGCCATTCAGTGCATGGAACGACTCAACGTTGAGCGGGATCCCCACAAGGCCGACACAATGGCTGAAGGCGGTTGCCTTTGCACACCGGTCGCAGAATGGGTCCTGAAAACCCAGGCACATTGCCCAGCGGTTTCGACCCCGTCTGGGTCAAAGGCACCGAAACTGTTCGCGCTGCACTCGCACCGAGATGGTAGCCGAGTCCCGGATTGTTCGCGATGCAATGCAGGTACGTGACAGGCAAAAACCGGAAAAGCATACCACGATGAGGATATATCTCGGAGCATCAGCAGATGATGTGAGCACTTTGCTCGGTTGAGCTGCGCTCGACCGAGGCCCGCCGAAGCAAAGCGGACCCTGTTATGGGAGGAGAGGCATTTCTCCGCTGGCGTTCCACATTGCCGAGCTATACCAAACGCATGTGGTGGGACGGAAAATAGCAGTCAGCCACGCAGGAAACATGAGGACTGGTGGGCGGGACTGGCGTGCGTATGCCGCGGTTGAATTGGACCGAGCGGCCAGCGCCAGTGTGTAGGAAGTGTTTGGATGAGCAGTGGGCCAGTAAAGTTGAACGGCTTGGCTTAGTCTGGGTACATGTCACAAGCTCCGCTGCGTGCGTGGGGTGGACAGACAGCGTTTTATGTCTGTTCGACGCCCCGGTATGAATGCAGGGTGGGTGTGCAGTAGCATGTGGCACGGCGGGGCGTTCCTGAGGCTTTGGCAATATCTGTGACAGATGGATGATGTGAGCATGGGCCGGGGGGTTCGCGCGGGGACTTATCGACAACGCTCTGGTCTGGTGAGGGGCAGGCGCTCCGAGCAGCAACAGCTTCACCGGCGATCCAGCAGCTAGGGCATGCAGCGACGAGTCGCTGTTGAGGCAGCTGTAGCTGGGCAGATGCCATCATAGCTTCGTCTGCCACCCAGATAAGGGTTTCAAGGGCATCTAGAGGCTTCGCGTAGCGCAGCTCGACCAATTCCACCTCTATCTTGGGATGCACAGCATCGGGGAGCTCTAGCCAATTCGTGGCCCGCCGCGGCTTTGTTGCTTTTACGTGCATGAGACTGGCCGACGGTCACGACGACAGCAGGTGCGGGTCCTCAAGTGCGTGTTTCGATCTAGTCTTGGCCATCCAGCTTTCCAAGGTCGTCGCTGTTTTGGGATTAAAGTTGCGCTGCTCCCAGTGATTCGTAGCAGGCCCAGTCCGATACCGCCTATATAGTTTCCTTCGCCCTGTACATTTAGTCCAGCAATCTCTCCTCCCCTACCCCTCATCCCTAACCCTCCTTCACCTAATTCCATACTGCAGTCACCCAGCATGGCCACACTTGCAGTTGACAAGAACGCGTCGAGCGCCATTGACGAGAATGACTTTGATGACGAGCATGGCGAGCATGGCGAGCACCACCCCCACAGAAACTCTGTTCACCACAGGCTGCGGGCAAGCAGCTCGATTATGCAGCTGAAGAAGCTCCTGGGTACGTAGCCGCGGCACTCAATGGCTCCCGTTGAGCTCCCAGACCCCTCTAACAGCTCCCTTAGTCGCCAACCGAGGAGAAATCCCCATCAGAATCTTCCGTACCGCCCACGAGCTGTCGCTGCACACAGTAGCAGTCTACAGTCATGAGGACCGCCTCAGCATGCACAGGCAGAAGGCCGACGAGGCCTACGAGATTGGGCAGCGCGGGCAGTACACACCCGTCGGTGCTTACCTCGCTGGCGATGAGATCATCAAGATCGCGGTCGAGCACAATGTCAACATGATCCACCCTGGTTATGGATTTCTCTCAGAGAACGCCGGTTTTGCTCGCGCGGTCGAGAAGGCTGGTTTGATCGTAAGTTCTGCCCGTAATATCCGCTTTGTTTACCCTATGACGAAATGGGTGGAGGGGCACCATTGCCAATCGCAGCTGTTGAGCGTATCTGAGCTCTCCGAGAGGTTATAGCGGGGCCGGCGGCGCTCCACCGAGCCAGCCCTGCTATGCTATCTTTGCAGCGCGGCACGTCGGCGACCCAAGAAATCTTGGGAGTCATTCTTATTGCAATTTACATTGGCAATTGGATGGTGCAATTGAGGCTTACACTACTCTAGTTCATTGGGCCTTCGCCCGACACCATTGACGCACTTGGCGACAAAGTCTCTGCGAGACGGTTGGCCATTAAGTGCAATGTCCCTGTCGTGCCGGGAACACCAGATCCCGTGGAGAAGTACGAAGATGTCAAGGCTTTCACCGACGAGTTCGGCTTCCCGATCATCATCAAGGCCGCTTTCGGCGGCGGTGGCCGTGGCATGCGAGTCGTGCGCAAGCAGGAAGAACTTGAGGACTCCTTCAAGCGCGCGACATCAGAAGCGAAGTCGGCGTTCGGCAACGGCACCGTCTTCGTCGAGCGCTTCCTCGACAAACCCAAGCACATTGAGGTCCAGCTTCTCGGTGACAACCAAGGCAACGTCGTTCACTTGTACGAGCGTGACTGCTCCGTGCAGCGTCGTCACCAGAAGGTTGTTGAGATTGCGCCTGCTAAGGATCTGCCCATTGAGACCCGCGATGCCATCCTAGCTGATGCCGTCAGACTGGCTCAGTCAGTCAAGTACCGCAACGCGGGTACTGCTGAGTTCCTGGTCGACCAGCAGAACCGGTAAGATTCCACGTGCATCGCCTCAGCAAGACTAGATACTGACAAATCCCTTTAGTTACTACTTTATTGAAATTAATCCCCGTATTCAGGTTGAACACACCATCACTGAGGAGATCACTGGTATCGACATCGTCGCCGCTCAGATCCAGATCGCTGCTGGTGCATCTCTCGAGCAGCTTGGTTTGACCCAGGACCACATCTCCACACGCGGTTTCGCTTTCCAGTGCCGTATTACCACAGAAGACCCTTCCCAGTCGTTCGCTCCGGATACTGGTAAGATCGAGGTCTACCGTTCCGCTGGCGGTAACGGTGTCCGTCTCGACGTAAGTTTGGCACCGAACACCTCCTAGTGACTCCTGCTAACGAATCTACAGGGTGGAAACGGTTTCGCTGGTGCTATCATCACTCCTCACTACGACTCCATGTTGGTCAAGTGCACATGCCGTGGCTCCACATATGAGATCGCTCGCCGAAAGATGCTTCGTGCGCTGGTCGAGTTCCGTATTCGTGGCGTCAAGACCAACATTCCGTTCTTGATCAAGCTCCTGACAAACCCCACATTCGTGGATGGCAAGTGCTGGACAACCTTCATCGACGACACACCCGCACTCTTCGACCTCATTGGCTCCCAGAACCGTGCACAGAAGCTCCTTGCCTACCTTGGCGACCTGGCTGTCAACGGCAGTCAGATCAAGGGCCAGATCGGCGAGCCCAAGTTCAAGGGCGAGATCCCTATCCCTGTTCTCTATGACAACAGCGGCAACAAGATCGACACCTCCAAGCCATGCGAAAAGGGCTGGAGGAACGTCCTTCTCGAGAAGGGTCCTGAGGGCTTCGCAAAGGCCGTTCGTAACAACAAGGGCTGCCTCATCATGGACACCACATGGCGTGATGCCCACCAGTCGCTCCTTGCCACTCGTGTGCGAACTGTCGACCTGCTCAACATCGCCAAGGAGACCAGCCACGCCTACTCCAACGCCTGGGCCCTGGAGTGCTGGGGTGGTGCGACCTTTGATGTCGCCATGCGCTTCCTGTACGAGGATCCTTGGGACCGCCTGAGGAAGATGCGCAAGCTGGTACCCAACATCCCCTTCCAGATGCTTCTCCGTGGAGCCAACGGTGTTGCGTACTCTTCTCTCCCCGACAACGCCATCTTCCACTTCTGTGAGCAGGCCAAGAAGAACGGTGTCGACATTTTCCGTGTCTTCGACGCTCTCAATGATGTTGAGCAGCTCGAGGTCGGAGTCAAGGCTGTCCTTAAGGCTGGTGGTGTTGTTGAGGGTACCGTCTGCTACTCGTAAGTTTTCCAAATTACCCATCAGATACAGTATACTGACTGCCGCTCAGCGGTGACATGCTCAACCCCAAGAAGAAGTACAATCTCGAGTACTACCTTGACGTTGTGGGCAAGCTGGTCAAGATGGGCATCCACATTCTGGGTGTAAAGGACAGTAAGTGGATGCGTTTCTCCACTGTTCACGCTTATTACTAACACTTTATAGTGGCTGGTGTCCTGAAGCCTCGCGCTGCTCGCCTCCTCATCGGTGCCATCCGTGAGAAGTACCCTGATCTCCCCATTCACGTCCACACTCACGACTCCGCCGGTACTGGTGTCGCCTCCATGGTTGCCTGTGCTGAGGCTGGTGCTGATGGTGTCGATGCTGCCATTGACAGCATGTCTGGCATGACTTCGCAGCCCAGCATCGGTGCCATTCTCGCATCTCTCGAGGGCACAGACTTCGACTCTGGCCTTGATGCTCACGCTATCCGCAACCTGGACGCATACTGGGCTCAGCTCCGTCTCGTCTACTCGCCCTTCGAGGCCGGTCTGACCGGTCCCGACCCCGAAGTCTACGAGCACGAGATTCCCGGTGGCCAGCTCACCAACCTCATCTTCCAGGCCTCGCAGCAGGGTCTTGGTGAGCAGTGGGCTCAGACCAAGAAGGCGTACGAGCAGGCCAATGACCTGCTCGGCGACATCGTCAAGGTCACACCTACCTCCAAGGTTGTTGGTGATTTGGCTCAGTTCATGGTCTCCAACAAGCTGTCCTATGACGATGTGCTCAGCAAGGCCGAGCAGCTCGACTTCCCGTCTTCAGTCCTTGAATTCTTCGAGGGTCTGATGGGCCAGCCGTACGGTGGCTTCCCCGAGCCTCTCCGCTCGCAGGCCCTCCGTGAGCGCAGGAAGATGGACAAGCGTCCTGGTCTCTACCTCGACCCCGTCGACATTGCCAAGGTCAAGACAGATATCAAGGGCAAGTGGGGCGATGCCACCGAATGCGATGTTGCATCCTCCATCATGTACCCCAAGGTCTTCGACGACTACAAGAAGTTCACCCAGAAGTACGGCGATCTGTCCGTTCTGCCCACACGCTACTTCTTGTCGCGTCCTGAGATTGGCGAGGAGTTCCACGTCGAGCTCGAGAAGGGTAAGGTGCTTATTCTCAAGCTCCTTGCTGTCGGTCCCCTTTCCGAGCAGACCGGTCTGCGTGAAGTCTTCTATGAGATGAACGGAGAGACCCGTACCGTCACTGTTGAGGACCAGCACGCCGCCATCGAGAACATCTCGAGGCCCAAGGCCGACCCCACAGATAGCAGCCAGGTCGGTGCACCCATGTCTGGTGTCCTGGTTGAGGTTCGTGTCCACGATGGAAGCGAGGTCAAGAAGGGTGACCCAGTTGCTATCCTTAGCGCCATGAAGATGGTATGTATTCCCCGAGTCTTCATTTATCGAACCAGTGTACTAACAATCATACTAGGAAATGGTCATCTCCGCGCCTCACTCCGGTAAGGTCAGCACCCTGTCTGTCCGCGAGGGCGACTCTGTCGACTCGGGCGACCTTGTCTGCAAGCTCGTCAAGTAGATTGGGAAACTAGAAAAGCGTGTTTGATGAGGGTGTCCGCTATACCTGCAAGAACTGGGCACCTCTTATGACTTTCCTTGCGGCGCACGAATGAGTATGTCACGTAGTATGAACGATGTTTATTTCTACACGTATGTGATCAGATGTGTGATGTTTTGAGACTCTGATGTTACGTTTCTAACTCTCTTAATATTTACAAGACTTTTGGAATCTGTAATGATCTCTGTGCCTTAATGCAATGCTTCATTCTTTTCTGCCAAGATTTATCGACACACGCGCGAGTCCTTCACGGCACACGCGCTAGCACAACGCGCAACACAGCATGCAATTGCGCCACGACTTTTACGTACGTTACTCTTATCGCATTACAACCTTTCTATCACAGACTCGGTGCATCTCGGTCTTCAATATGGCATGTGTGACTCTGTGGAACATGTCAAAACCAGACGTGACGTTGACCTCGGGGCCCACTACACCGAAAAACCAGGCTGCATACCCCAGACCCCAAGAAAAGTGCTCCACGGTTATCCCAGGCTTAAGCAAGGCTTCCCGTGCCCCGAAAACGCCCATTATGATGTGCAGGCCCCATGCAGGTTCGCTTCGCGTCCCTTGACCCGCAACGGTTCCGTAAGTTCGGGTGATATCGGACCCGCATCGTTACCGCACCCGGGCAACGACAGGAAGCTTATTCTGACTCCCGACGCGAGTCCCGCGGCAGGCACGCGACAGCAGGCTGACTGCCTCCCGGTTTCGTTTGGAGGGGCGTTGCCGTGGTCAAGCTTTGCTGACATTTGTTTCGTGCCGGCCCTTACATAGACCCTCGGAAAGCGATTCTGCTGAGCGATTTTTGCTCGATGTGGCAACGCAATCCATGAGAGCTTCACATGCCACCGAAGTCTAGCTTCCTTGCTACCTTGTCGACTCTGCTGGCACCTGCAGGGGTCTCTCTTGCCCTTCTCTTCAGATCCTCGGCTTCTTTCTGCACACCTCCACCCTCATTGGGAAGGTTCTCCTTCTTTGTAGGTCGCGGGGCAGATGTCCAGTAGCGATGTTTGAGTGCTTGTTCAGCTGTCAATCGCTTCTGAGGATCCATTGTCAACATTCCTCTCACCAAGTCAATACCGTCATCACCCAGTAATGGCAAACGACCTCTCCACCAGTTCAGCGGCTGCGGCAGCTTGACAGCGCTGCGATTCGGTGGAGGCTGATAGTACCTCAATGAGCCCACGCCGGGCCAGGATTCTTCAGTAGGCGTACCGAAGACGTCTACTATGACGGCAACTTGCTGCATATCTGTCTCGCTGGGGAGAAAGAACTGGCGCAGTGCGAGCTCGGCGATCACACAACCAACAGACCACATATCAACGTTACCGCCGTAGTGATAACATCCGTAGAGGAGCTCTGGCGGGCGATAGAAGCGTGTGATTACGTTCGAGGTCATTTTTGCGCCTGGATCCGCAAAGGAGCGCGCGAGACCGAAATCTGCCAACTTGACCGTGTTATCAGCGGCGATGAGCAAGTTGTTTCCCTTGATATCGCGGTGAAGGACGTGGTTGGCGTGGCAGAACCAAATGGCTTGACACAGCATATTGGACCAGGCCTTGATGTCGGCGTTGCTATATGTAATGCTCTTATTCTTCCATAGGCCTTCGAGATCGCCCAGGGGCAGATGCTCAAGCACGATCGACAGGTTCTGGTCCTTTGTACTGAAGACAGCATGCAGTTTTATGATGTTTGGATGCGAGAGCTCGGAGAGAAACTTGATTTCGCGAATGGCGTCCATAGCAATGCCGTCTTTGAAGTCGGCATTGAGCTTGATCTTCTTGATAGCGACTAGCCTGCTAGGATCCTGGCGATAGTGACCTGCGTACACGATAGCGTACGTTCCTTCACCAAGACGTGCTCCAGACACGAATTGCGAGCGCACTGCATCATTCATCTGCTCAGCCATGTCTGTCTCTCCTCCATCGATAGGTGTCTTTGTGATGATGGCGCTGGTCGGGGGCTTCGTAACGCGTGAGAGGCTAGAAAGAACTTTGGCTCGGTCGGGTATCGAGGAGTGCGAGCCTGGCGGATTAGGCCGCGGGCTAAGTGCTGCGGGCGAGGAGACGCCCATGGTGAGTGATGTATGGTGTTGAGCTCGAAGTGAGGCGCAATAGAGATGGTGGATGATTGCTGGGTGTTGATGGTTCAAGGAGCGTTGCTCATAGTTGCCGGTATTATTCGCGCCCGCGCCGTCCCTTCTCTTTCTTTGGCCTCTTTGTGTGTTGTCGAGGCAGTCGCCATGTTTCTTGACATGCCTGATGCGGGCGACGCGGCGAGTACGCACGTCCCCCGAACTTTTGGACTTGGCGCGACGGCCGCGAACGCGATTTCTGCGGGGAGCTCTCACCTCCGAGACACCAACACAATCGCACATCATGGCCACACAAGTACGAGGACCACCGGGAACGGTGCCGGTGAACAAGGAGGGAGTGCCAAACAGAACGTAGGTAGATCCAGCCCGTCCTTCAGTGTGCAATCATTGACGGCAGGAGATTATATGTCCACAACCTCAACGAGAAGCTGCCGAAGGAAGACCTTAAGCGCAATCTTTACATGTTGTTCACAACGTATGGCGTCATTCTGGACGTTGTTGCACTCAAGACTATGAAGATGCGAGGACAGGCGCACGTTGTGTTCCGTGACATCGACTCCTCCACACAGGCGATGCGCGCTCTGCAGGGCTACACATTCTTTGGAAGGGATATGGTACGTCATGCCTCCTGTTTCTAAACTAAGGAACGCGCGACTAACGAGCCATAGCGGATCTCCTACGCAAAGACCAAGTCGGACACAGTAGCGAAGCTCGACGGATCCTTCAAGATGCCCGTGCCTGATCTGCCAGAGACAACGACCGAGGATAGTTCCGCGCAGCCGTCTGGATTTGCTGCCGCGCTGGAGAAAGCAGTACCGGTTAACGAGCAAGATAGGGCCAAGGGCCTGAAGCGCAAGGCAGACGAGGAGGAGGAAGAGGAGGACGATGACGCTGAGATGGAGATGGACTCAGACTCAGATTAGGTGGACTCCGAGTCCAGCACACGAGCTAGGAACAACTACATTGTCCGCGTGCGACCGGACGAAGAGAGGAGCACTCGCAACGCAGAGACCCGACGAGAATCTCGGCGACCTCGGGACGGGTTGAGCCTGCCTGGTCGATCTGCACGTTGGACACTTGATCGCGAATGTCGGTACCAGCACGTCAACGTGCCTGATACTGGTGCTGACTATTTGCAGAACGCATATAATGAGAAGGGCGAAGCTGCCCAAGATACCACTGAAAGCATTGTAGTCCTTAGAGACATCGTCAGTTTACAGATTGTCGGCAGTTGGCTCTGACTGCCTTTCCTTTGGCGACGGTCGTATGCATACGTCGGGCCGTTCCCGTTACTTAAAAGTAAACTCCGGCTTCGACCATGCTTGAAAAAAAGAAAATACGATGGAATACACCCTGCTTTCACCCTACTCGTGTGCATTCAACTCTTCTCGACTAATGACTACTCGAAGAAGCGAAGACGACTTCGTCGACTGTTCATCTAGCAGACAGTTTTCCTACGAAACCAACGTTGTAGGCGACGCCTCCATCGACAACGTATCTTCCAGGCTCTACCACTTCGATGTCAAATCGCCTCACGATCTATGGTTATTAGCGACTTCACCTCGTTGGCCGAACAATCAACTACTCACCTCAGGCAATAGCTTATACATCTCCATCACAGCCACATCTTTCCCCAAGCATACTCGCGGCCCCATTCCAAATGTGAACTGCGCTGCCTCCAGCTCGAATGATCGTTGCTCACTCTCCAGCCACCGCTCAGGCTTGAATTGCTCGGCATCGTCACTGTAAAAGGTCCGATCGCGTTGAACGCAGTACGCATAAGATGTGATCTCAGTACCAGCGGGAACGAAGTGTCCGTCGATCACCTTCCCTTCCTTGGGGGCGATACGAGCATACAGATTCGTTCCAGGCGGCTGCAATCTTAAGCCTTCTTTAATGCATCCTACAAAGAAAGGCAGGTGCTGACGCGTTTCTTCGAACTGGATGGGCGCGGAAAGTAGACCAGCTTTGTCTGCGGCCTCGAGCTCTGCGTGCGCTTTGGCCAGAGCGCTAGGGTTTGTAACGAGGTAACGTAGGATGCATCCCATTGCGGTTCCTGTTGTGTCTGCACCTGCTTGGATTAAAAGCGTAACATGTGCTCGCTTCTGACTTGCCGTGAGAGGCGACCCATCAGGCAGCCGGGCTTCGAGGCAGCTGGTGTCAGTGTCAGCGGTCATCCAAAATATGCGCATACGTGCTGTCCAACTCACTACTGCATGAAATCTTTTCTGCCCTCCGTGGCTCCGTCCTTCTCGGTAGTAGCGTTCTGCTCCTCCCTCACGCTCACCTGTCGATCAGCCTCACACATCAGCCAGCCCATGCCAGTCCCATTCTCCACTTTAGGCAGGAACCACAATCCCACAACGGGCAACTGCAGCACGACATCCCTGAACCAGCGCCACCTGCACGCAAACCCGAAGAAGCTCAATCCCAGCCTCCAGTTCCTCAGAATCCCCCTGACGTCCTCCTGGTTCTCGACACACCCGAACGGAGTTGTAAACGAGACCATAGACATGATATCCGCGGCAAACTCAGCTACCTTGTCGCTCAAACACACTTTTCGCTCTGCCTTCGCGTGCTCCTGCATCTTGCTAATGAACAGATTCACGTGCTCGTCGAACCGCGATTCCCAGGTCCTCTTCAGCTGCCCGAGAGTCCAAGGCGCGTTGGACAGCGCTTTACGCAGGGTGCGGTGTTCCTCGCCGTCGAGTGTGGAGAAGAGGTGTGGCGGGCCGAGAACACCGGAGCCGTAGAGATTGGTCTTGCGGTTGCACGAGGGCGAGCGGTAGATATCCTTCAAGGCTGATGCTTTGGGGAAGAATAGCATGGTCGGCGAAATGCGGATTGGTTTATCGTCTGAGTCGGTCAGTGTATAGAATGGGAGTGTGAGCAGGAGGAGACGTACAGCCATATTTCGAGATCAAGTACATGAGATACTCGGGCTCTCGTTTAGTGAGGGAGATCAAGGACAGAGTCACCGAGAACGACGAAGCGTACCATGGTCCAGGAAAGGCGGAAAGAGGGTGGAAGAACTGGGTATATACGATGCGATAGATGAGCGCTGCGAGGACAAGTGCAGGCACCACGAGCCCGACTTGTGGCAGAAACAAGATGGAATGCTCCATGTTAGCCAGGACGATACAAGACAACAAGTTTCAACTTCAAAAAGTCGAAGAAGAGAGACGGCAGAAATGCAGATGAAGAAGACTTAAAACCCATGCTCGAGGAAGTTCGCGTGCATGCATTGTCGCAATACCTCGCTGGTTATAGCACGATCCTCTTCTTCTGCTTATGAGGGGCAGTCCACTTTCCACGGGTTCGGCACGTTCAAGACAGCAGGCAGGAAGATGATCATATGCAATATAGAACGCGGTTAGGAAGTGCTCCGAACAAACACCACTGTGGTTGGTGGGCGAATATGCAGGAATAGTGGTCGTGCTCCTAGGTGTCCAATGAGGGACGACATATTTGGTGGTCCAGATTATTACGACCAGGATTATAAGCGGAGAGTCAATACTAGGAAGGCGGCTGGCCTGAATTTCTATTACGGTGCCACGCAGTTGAGGTAACATGTGTGGACTTGATGGAGTTGCATTCTGCAAAGGCCACGATGTGATATAGTGGTTGTATGGGGGGCATGTGGTCGGAGTCCAGTGATGCACCAAGCACAGATCTGATACTTGAGAACCTTATGACTTCACAGGACATGTGTCTCCTTCGGCTACAGCGAAGCAGTGGGCGGCTTCAGCGATCAGATTCGAGCCTGTCAAGATCAATCACAGTCTGGGAACCACGATGCAGCAAGAACGCGGCTGCACAATTCAGGTCAGAGACATACGGCAACGAGTGTCTGTTGGGACTGCGTGGCCTGAGTGCGGAGACCTTCGAGATGGTGGGGGTGCAAGACCGGGCAGCTCGAAAAGAGGAAGAAGGCTGGAGTTGGAAATGTCAGGCACTCATGTATGGTACGTGTTACAGCCATGCCTTCATATGGCTCTCGTTTTGAGCACTATAGCAAATATCTACTAGGGTATCATTTAATGCTGACCATGACTCCACATATGCATATAACAAATCCACTTGTGAAAGAATCTCGAAATAACCATTACCTGATGTCTGAATCGTTGCGTGCAACTGTCCTTACTCAATATCTTTCAATTGCTTCCTTTGCAGCTTCAGATTCTTGGACGTATCAGAAAGCTCTTTCAGTAGACTTTGTTTCTTGGTCATAAGCTCTTGAAATGCCTCTGTAGATTCGCTTTCCTGTCTCTCCAGCAGTAGGTTGAGCAAGCGCTCTCCATCATTGGCGAAGACATCAGCTATGTCGGTGACAGCAGTCTCATGGCCCACGATGTTACGGACGACGCGTTTCGAAGTACGCAGCAGCTGCTCGTGAAGATCTCGCTGATGTGGCTGGAGAGAATCCTCCCATTCGAGCTCGTCTGCCCTCGACGTTGCGGGTGACTGCTCCGGCTCTGGTTCTGGTGCATCAGAGGAGGCATCTCGGACGCTCGACGAGTCTGGAATGGGCGGTGACGATCTGAACCGTAAATCCGAAGCCTTTGCCGTGTATTGCTCAGGTAAATCCATTTCTTCACCAACGAGTGTGGTTTCACCATCCACATTGGCTGCATCTGGTTGTTGGTCTATTGCCTGGGGCAGGGTGTCTTCGACTGCTTCTTGTGGTGCTGAGATAATGGACTCTTTCGGTTGTACTTGCTCATCAACAGACTTTCCAGTCGCACAACGATCCTCTTGTGCAGCTGCAACAGGGATAGGACTGACTCTCTTGGTGGGTGTTGTCTTCTTTTGACGGCGGGCGGGCTTGATCTGAGAAGATTCCGTGAGGTGCGTTGCCTCGAGTTTCAGCGAGCGCGTTGTATCCTGGGACATTGCTGCTGGATCCTCACGCGGCTTCTTCACAATCGCTGATAGGCCGTTGAGGTCTTTTCGTTGTGTCTGTAGATTCTGTGTGCGGTGCTTGAGCAAGCTCGGACTGTGTTTCGGCAGTGGTTGGCTCGCGATATCAATGGGTAGCTCATCAGCCTCAAGGTCATCGTTGAAAGACTCCTTGTGAACTGCGCCATCGTCTACGAATCCCTCTCCAGTCAGCTTGCGAGTGAACGTAGTTATCTTCTGCCCCTGTCCGCGTTGCTGAAAAGGATCGCTCTTCGCAGTTTCCATGTCTGCTATACGCTTTTCTCTTTGAACGTCGTCCCGATCAGCATGCCCGGAAATGGCCGTGGACTCGGCATGTGGTGAGTCAGGAACTCGCTTTGTGTTGCTTGAGAGGATCTCGGCATCAATTGGAGTGTGGCCAAGACCGAAGTCCTCCTCGTGTATCACCTGGCTGCGCGGTGTAGATGACGACGAGATGTACACAGGGAGATCTTCCGCGTCGTGGGGTGTTTGCGGTCTCGGAGTGGTTCGGACAGATTGGGTCTTTGGCCTACGTGGCGTTGAAGCAGGCTGGCCTGGCTTTTTGAATGTTGGGGCAGCAGCTTTGTTCGGGCTCTTTGAATTCAATAACCCATCAATCAACGAGTGCCGTCCTGGCCCCCCGTTCTGGATAGTCTGTTGTGCATTTGATTGCCTGATCGAATCTCGAGCCTGGGCTCGATCTGTCTGTACAGATCCCTGCATTGAGGTCTTCTTCTTTGCTGGCGTGCTGCCTGCAGGAAGCTCAACGTCGGTGCCTGACCTCATGTCTGTTTTCTTCTTTGTTGGACGATTATGTTCGTCTGCGTCGCTGGATGCTCTCTTACGCTTGGTCGACATCGGCTTCGCTTTTGAAACGGTCGGGACAAAGGCTTCGTCTTCGGCGTTCATTCTGCGCCGACCCTGTGACTTTCTGACGGTTCCGCTACTCAGAGAATTGCGCGCCCGCGCGGTCGACTTTGGATGATACTCGTCTTGTGAAGAATCCTCACTTTCATCTTCGTCCCCGCTTACATCGATGATAGGGGCAGCCCTCTTAGCGGCTCTGGATTTGGTAACCTTTGACGGACCAGAAGGTAATCGCTGAGTTCGTACAGCTTTCTGTTTCGTCGCTTTTGATATACTTTTTAATTTCCCTTTGCCCCGCTCCTTACCCGACCCGGGCGGATGCTCGGACAGGGCAGGCTCATCCAATGTTTCTGCTGAGCTAGTGACCGAATTCGTATCCCCACTGTCTCGAGGTTCGGATCGTGAAGCGGATTGTTCGCGAAGGTTCTTGTGAGGGACCCTGGAAGTTTTCGGTTCGTCTGTTTCGGCTGCCGCATTTGAGGCGGTAACAAAGCTTTGAAGCCCGGCGTAAAATTCATTGGCATCGTCTTGCTCGGAAAATGCCAGCCTGAACTCAGATGTCGTGCGACTGGACGCGTTCAGATAATAGTTCGGTGAGCTGTGATGTAAGACGATCGTCGCACTGTACATCTTGTGCCCAGACCGACCCTCTTGGCTTTCATGAGGAGAGTCGTGCTGCAGGTTTATTTCTTTGATGTGGCCGAGAGGTATGTCGACGAATTGAAATTCGGTAAGTGTGGAGTCAGACACGAACATTTTTAATGCGTTCTCTTCGATAAGCGCAACAGCAGATCGGCCAGTCCATTGGAAGTCGTCGTTGGCGGAGAGAAACATAGGATACAGTACCACGGCATCAGTGCTCAAGTTCGCAAATGCGAGACCGCTTAGGGTGTCCAGATACCTTTGGAATTGAGCCATCCATTCCTCGTTCGAGTCCTTGGGGAAATTGAGAACGCTGTCCATTATTTTACTCGAATCCCAAAAATCTGCAAAGTCAATGCCTGCATCAAGACCTTGCCGTATGATGAGCCCAGCGATAATTCTGCGTTCTTCAGTCTCTCGGTGGTTAAGAACAATAGCGCCAAGTCGAGATGGTCCCCGAGACAGCTTCTTTAAGCGCTGAACAACGCTGGCAGACGCGCGCATCATGCCAACTAGCGCAACACCAGCCCATCTTCGACGACCATTCGAGTAGCTATTGTTGCAAAACGCGTCCAGATATTTGTGCGCAACATCGGGCAGTCCTCGTCCAGTGAATTCGCCGGCGGCAATCAGTTCGACTAGTTGCCGATGCGATGCGTTGTTGTCCGGAATTAGAAGCTGTGCGTCGAACGATTGCGAGGTCATCGCGTAGGCAAAGGCTACTAGAGGCTGACTATGGAGAAACGGACAGCATTCAAGTGAACAGCAAAGTGAGAATCACGGCCTGATATGTATGGAGAAGGGACTGAAAGGAGAAAACAGATAAGCGCGCGCTGTGGTGGGAAATTGACGCTGTGAGCAGGCGCAGATGAGGAAGTGAAATTGGAAGACGACGCGTCGAGCAGCAGGCGCGTTTGACGTCAGTTGAGGAAAGCGCGACGCGACACTACCGGTACCCAACCCTCGCTCACCGCAACTCACACCGCATCTGCCTCACCTAGAATTTGCGCAAACAGAACCAAACTTCGTGCATGAGCAGCAAGAGTCCCAAGTGCATGACCTCACCTAAGTAAAGCCCAGAGACGCCTGTGCGACATGCCTTGTTCGCTCCTACGGTTACACAACGGCAAACATGGGCGGCTACACCCTGTGTCGGGTCGCACAAGAGTAAGCACGCTATTTGTGTCTCGGCGGCAACACGTCGCTGGGGTCGTAGCGATTGCATATAACACAGCTAGGAACGAGTTCTTCTGGCATAGCGACGATGGTGAAGATCATGAGAGTTCAGAGCGTCCGGTGGCGTGGATCGAAGCCCATCGTGACCGGCTCGGTCAGCACGCTATGACGCTTCAGGCATTCATATTTTCGACGAAGGTCGGCATAACCGATGCGCTCCACTCTCCTTGGTCCAAACTGCAGGAAATACTCGTTACTGTCCCTCCATGGCTTCTGTTCTCTCCAAGTGATTATAGGTACTACAATCTCGAAAGTCCCGATTGAAGCCAATTTTACCCCCCAATTTGTTGGTCGGTGCGGCATGCAAAGCCTACAGCAATCCGCCTGCAGCAGCTAGCATCCCCCACCAACCCGCATCTCCTGACACTCGGACAGTGACAGTAAGACCCCACAATGGATACCTGAATGAGGTTGTTGTCTGCTCAGGATGCAGTTCGCATTCGCTTAAGTGCGCCATGTATGGCTGAGGCCGAGGCAGGCCCATAAGGCAAGCCACAATCGTCTCTAACGGACGTATGCCACAGGATCAGGCGGAGACGGGCCTGATATCGCTCCTTCCTCCCATGCTGCGGACTTTGCAACCCACTGCTGGCCCCAAAGCCTCAGCTTTTACGGCCACTGGTGCAATCAACGTCCACGTTGCCGCGTTCTGAACCGCTACCATATATGAGAGTTGGGGCTCCATCTGATGCTCATTTCGACAGCCTTACGATTTTTGCTGTTTGATGAAATTGACTGAAGTGACACGATGTCCCCAAACCCCGCGAGTAGTCCTGCTACCATTCCATCGACTGTGCCAAGCATCAGTCAAGCGAGGCTACATACCATCATCGCAGGACTGTGGTTTTGTCTGTTTCTCTCCGCTTTGGATACGACCATCGTGACTACCGCCCTCATCAAAATCTCAAGTGGCTTCAACGCTTTGGAGCAAGCAGCATGGCTGGTCACCACCTATCTTCTGACATACAACAGTGAGTACCTACCACACCAGTCCTGTTCACCTAGAGTGACATCAATAGGCTTCTTGATGATCACGGCAAAACTAAGTGATATATGGGGGCTCAAGACCGTTCTACTTGCATGCGGCGCTATATTTTTGGTCTTCTCCATGGCCTGTGGGGCAGCTCAGACAATGACCCAGCTGTACGTCAACACACTCGGGAGGTTCACAGAGCACTGACTGTACAGGATCGTTTTCCGTGCGTTCCAAGGTATCGGAGGCTCCGGCCTGTACTCGCTTACCTTCGTGTCGATCCTGAAGCTCATCGTGCCGGAAAAGATCGGGTTCTACTCCGGTGTCATCAGTTCAGTATTCACTATGTCCAATCTCTTGGGACCGCTACTTGGTGGTATTATCGCAGATCGGACGACATGGCGGTGGATCTTCTTCATGAAGTATGTGCTCAAGCCATTCGTTGACTTAACTAACGCGCAGAACAGTGGGCCCATATGTGTGGTCGCGATGACACTGCTCTACTTTTCCATGCCCAGCCTAAAGGATAACAAGTCACAGTCCGAGCGCATACGCGGTCTTGATGGCATCGGAGGCATCCTCTCCATATGTTGGCCAATACCACTGATCTTTGCCCTGCAAGAGGCCGGTGTGTCGCATCCTTGGAGCAGTGGAGTCATCATAGGAACTCTTGTTACTGGAATAGTCTTGTTCTTCACGTTTGTAGTCTACGAAACCTGGGTCACCTACCGAACCAAAACGGAGCCCATCTTTCCGATTCGCTTTATACGCAATCCCTCTATGGCGCTCATCCTATTGTAGGTCGACAGTCCTGGGCCTTGCAGTAAGACATGCTAACAGGAGCTTAGGAGCATGTTCCTCCTCGGTATGCCATTCTACGTGATCTTCGTGCAGCTCCCTCAGCGGTTTCAGACCGTCAACTTCACCACCGCCGAACGCGCGGGTATTCTTCTCCTGCCCTGCACCCTCGTTTCGCCAGTTGGTGCCATGGTCGCAGGCCTCGCTACTAAGAAGATCGCACCAGAGTATATACTCATTCTGGCCACGGCTATTGTGTGCGTTGGCACAGGACTTATGGGTAGCTTACCCACACACTCGCACCTCTGGCCCGGTATATATGGTTACGAAGTCATTGTTGGCCTAGGCTTGGGGCTTTCAAGTCCTCCGTACTTCATGTTACTTTCGATCTCGATCGCAGAAAAGGACATATCTGTTGGCACAGGCGCGCTCAATATGATGCGTACACTAGGTGGTTGCGTTGCGGTAGCGATATGCACGGCCGTGCATCGCGAGTACACCTCCGACAGGCTCACGACGTATCTCTCGCCGGACCAGATTGCTGCCGTTCAGACATCGAGTGCAGCGCTTGCGCAGATGCCAGAAGCCATAAAGGATGAAGTCGCAGAAGTCTTTGGCGGGAGCTACAACCGTCAGTTCCTTATCATGCTTGCCTTTACAGTATTGAATTTGCTCGTTACAGTGTCGTTGGTCGTTGTGAGGAAGAAGACAGGGGTCTTTGGTACACCAGTGGAGCGAACAGAGGAGAATGAGTTTTACAGGGCTGCAGGGAAGAACGCTGATCCAGAGAAGTTGCCAGCGAGCAAGGATGGAAATGGAACAGCTGGCATAAGAGCGTCGACAACAGTCGATGATCGGGATGAGATTCTAGCTACGCCAGTTGACGCAGAGAAAAGAAAGCTGTAATCGAAGCCAAGAGCAATCAGAGCAGTTTTCGTGTCACAACTTTCTCCGTGGGCAATGAGACCTTATCAATAACCCCCCGTCTTTGATGACTATCTTACTGACTGTATGAGGCCGTCGGAAAGCCAAGTCCAAGCAGGCGAACGCCAGAAAACACAGGTGCCAGTCAACCTTTGCGTACTGGATCAGCATTGTTCGATGGCTGACTTGAACAATACGGCCAGCTTTCTGACTGACCATACGACTGGGGTAGTTTTGGTGGTGTCTTGGCCTGATCAATTCAGAGTTGCGGCCGGACTTCTCTGCAACGTGAGAGCTGCTATATGGGGCGGAACCCTGTCTTCGTTCCCCACGCGCAAGAGACTAGGTTCTGGGTACTGCTTGTGCGACGGGTTAAAACAGAAGTAAATATTAATGCCTGCTCTGGGCGGAGTTCCTTAAGGCAGGTCTGCGCGCGTATTGGCGGCCAAGCACTAAGTACGGACCTGTAGTCATCTGCTGCAGACGTCCTGCTCGTGCACTGACAGCGTCCGACCTTTTCCGTAATACCCCCGAGGCCATTGCGGGGACGATCTGGGGAAAGCAGGAGCCTCCGAAACATGTAGCAGAGTCCCATACGCGGCCGGAAGCTGCAACGTACATAACTGTCCAACGTGAGCTTTGAGAACGCTGGAAAATGGCTCAAAGGCTTGCGGACCCAAGGGCCAAGGTCCTAGTGTTGCGAAAGACTGCAGGGAGCGAAGCTTAGCTAGCTTCGCCGTGGCGAGCATATACCGGACTGGCATTATTGCAGGGAGAGAAGGTGCACGTGATTAGGGGTTACATGGTCAGTACCTGTGGACGCTCGTCAGTCAGCTGTGATGTGTTTTCGTTGCCATGGAGCTTGTTTGCTGTTTGCTATTCAGTGTAATTGCGCGATGCTAACACGAACGCGCTAAGTGGGCGGGCGGCAGCACAGTTGCAGTAGTGTTGAGAGTGGGTCCAAGTAATTTGGCAACCGCGATTATGGTGGTCTGGACGCGAAAACGATGGAATTGAATGATTCCAGAATGGGTGCATCCCTCCAATGCAACGGCAGTGTTGTAAGTTGTGCGCGAATGCTTGCTGGGTATGAAAATACATGTCGGATGGGTGAGTCTCGACTCAAGGCCGACAGCAGAGCTGTTGAGACGGAAGGTGTGTAGGGAAAATCGAGGACGCAACTGCGACAATCAACTTGTTGTTTCAACCATGTTCATTGAAGGTATCTGAACTCATTACCACGGCTCCTTCTACTATGATCTCTTGCATGATCGAAGAAAGCCCCATTAACAGAACCCATTTGGTACACAGACATTATACATGTGTATGGCTCTTGCCAGTCCACGTTTGGCATACAATGATCTCGTCATTGCTTTCCTCTACTCTTCCAATCCACCTCCTCTCCTCTCCTCATGGGTATCTTATGCGCGGTTGGCTTGCTTCTGTACAGAGTTATTAGACATGATTCAAGGCACGGGTGAAGGAGGCAACATACACGCTTGGAGATCCATACACCGATCAACAAGATAGCGACAAGGAAGACAATGCAGAGAACAACAATGACACCGGGCTCGCGCTGGGCCCAGTTCTCACGCTTGGCCAGCTGGGCCATAGCGAATTCGCTGCGAGCGGCAATGAGGTGGGAGATAGCGGCCATTTTGTTGGATATGGATTTCTACAGTAAAGTTAGTCAGGCATGTCCAGTAGCGAATGTTTGCAGCGATAACACATCGCGAAGAGACGTTGTTGAGAGGTTGGAGCGCGAGCATGAATCGACCGAGTATCGCTCCGGATGACGGAATCCAGGGCGACTGCGCGCGCAGGGCGCAACCTTGGAATTTGCGCAATGGCAACAACGATTCAAAGACGCGATAATTGCTCCAGAAAGGAAGGTATCGAGCATACCTTTAACTGAGACGGTCCTCTGTCGAAGCGGTGTTGAGTCCTTGGGAATTATTGAAGCTCTCGAAGCTGTTGATAGGCGAGGAAGCTGGTCAGCGGATCTCCACAGAACGGCGCGACAGAGTTGACAGAGGTGGACTAGATGGAAGAGCAAGACAGGGCATCAAAGACGAAGAGCCTCAAGAAATGGAGGCTACTATCCGCTTTTAAATGCGCCGGTTCGCCGAAAATTTCTTCAGAGTGAGGCATTTGTTTGGTTCCTGTTTGGCCGCCCGGGCCCGGTGGACGCCCGGTAATAAACTTGCATGGGGCAGGCGATCGCCTAGTCAACGAAAATGTGGACTTACTCTGAGATACGGATGGCTCTGCGGAGAGGATGAGGACAGGTAGAATTGAGAGAGCAGAGTGAGGAGAAGAACGATGCAGCAGCTGGTGAGGAGAAGAGGTTGGGACCTGGCGAACCCTACCGGGGCTAAGCTTGCCGGAGAGGGAATAGATGGTCGGCCAGCCAATCACGCGTAACGTGAACTGAACCTGGGTTGAAGACGATCGCGGCCGCTCTCGAAACGCCTGCGATTTCACCAAGGCTCTTGGTTGCACAATTCACTCAATCGCTGGAGGCTAGCTCTGGCACGTCCGGGCCTGCCTCTGCAGCACCTCTCCAGCGCCGTGCTCAGCAGGCTCGCGCTGTGGGGAGCTTCCAGCTGCTCCGCAAAGGTCGGATTGCAATGCTGCAGCCGCCGCTGACGCTACCGTAGAAGACCGCCATGGGACCCATGCATCGCCGCGCTTCCGCTCACGCACAGCAACCATTATGTCATGGGCTGCGGGCTGCTTATCTGCCCTGCGCTGCATCATCATTAGAGCTCACAGACCCCCGAGACTCGCACGAGGGCTGCCAGCAGTCGTGGGGCGCGAGGACCAACCGCGACCAGGGGCCCCAAAATGCCTCATTTCGCCAGCTGCGAGCCTGTCGATAGCGCGAACGCTACTGGAGCGGCTTGAGCAGAGCACACGGCCCACGGAGAAAGTGCGTGGGATGGCGTCTCACCAAGCTCAAGCTTCTGCAGCCCCAGATTCCATAATGCTTGGCGCGCAGCTTGCAGCAGTTGGCGGCTGACTGACGCTTGAGTTTCGAGTGCATCCATTACTTGCCGAATGCGATGCTAGCAATACTTTCGAGTGGGCTGCTCCACGTCACTCCTCTGCTCCGATGGCACCGCATTCGGGTATGCCTGTTAGTATACCGGGGCTCCCGGGTAACTTACCTATCACAGCAGCCGAGGCAGCACCCACCGTTGAAGCCAAACAGTGGGTATCCATGGCTTCGAACAAGAGCCTCACCGCCAGGGAATTTAGCGGGCAGTAGCTCGTAACGTAGGTCGGATGAGTGTTGCCGTGGGGTTTATCAATTTTGTGTTCTCACCGGAATACTTGTTCACAAGTGCACACCTCAACACAATTCCTGTGCAAGTGGCTGGGCAGTGGGCACACTGCAGGGTAGCTCTCGATACGAACAGCCGTCAACTTTCACAGCTGCATCGAAACACAATCTTGTTGCAGGGAAGCTTTTCTATCACACTATGATTCTTTGTTCGTGACCGTTGACGCAGGCAAGCGGACCGCATGCCTTAGCCCCCGAGCAGAGCCGCATTTCTAACCCCAGATTTTCGAAGGTTTGGGTATCCGCAAAACTAACAAATTCCCTGGCGATCTACAAGTTTATCATCGACTCTTCAGCTCCTCCATATTCTGACCTGCTTGTCCGCTCCTCCACTGCCTACTTTGTCGCCGTCTGGGCTCCAATCCAGCGCGAAGACCTGGTCTTTGTGGCCCGGAAGATCCTCCTTCAGTTTTGCTGTTCGCATGTCCCAGACCTTCAGCGTCGTGTCTTTGCTACAACTGGCAAGCAGTCTGCTGTCTGCGGAAAAACTTGCCATGTACACAGGACCCACGTGTGCTCTCAAAGTGTTAAGGAACTTGCCGTCCCTAGCGGACCAAAGCTTGACGTGGTTATCCCATGCTGCAGATGCCAGAAGCTGACCATCTGGCGAGAAGACGACCTGGTTGATTTGCTTTTGGTGTCCAGTCATTCGATTGACTGGCTTCGGGCTAGTCAGAGGAGTCCACAAGATCAGAGTGCAGTCTTCCGAAGCTGTCGCAAGTCGCTCAACAATCTCGCCATTAACAGTGGCCGCCTTCTCGAAGCGTGCTTTCGCCTTCGCGACCTTTTCTTCCTGTGTAGATGGCACGGCCCTTGTGTGGTCGTGGTACGCAGTGCGCAGGACGAAATCCGTGGATAGAGCCAGATGGTTTACCCAATGTGCATGGCCTGACAGGGTGCTGATCAGCGAGCCAGTTGCGGCGTTCCAGACTTTGATTGTCTTGTCGTGGGAAGAAGTATATATGCGTCCCGTGCCACCCCATTTGACGCACGTTACGCTGCCCTTGTGACCTGACAATGCATAGTCAATCTTGCCACCAACTGCGTCCCACACCCTGACCGTACCATCCTTTGACGATGATGCTACTCTTGGCCGCCCTGGCTCTTGTAGATGGTACGGCTCCCAGCATAGCGATGTAATGAAATTGGTGTGGCCTTTCAGCGCACCGCCAATCTGCTTTCCTGTCTCGGGATCCCATATCCGGACCTCGTTGTCGTAGCCTCCAGATGCCAACAATGAGCCGTCAGGTGAGTAGCTCACAGCAAGCACCCATCGCGTGTGGCCCTTCATCGTGTGTACAGGTGTACCGGTGTCACAATCCCATACTCGAACTGTCTTGTCTCCGCTCCCGCTAGCCATGCGCCCTGAGTTCTTCGGCGAAAATTGCACCGCTAAGATGTTGTCTCCGTGTCCAGAAACCGCCGCTGCGCATCTTGACACGGCCTTTACCCTGAACACAGCCTGTGGCGCATATTGCAGCACTATCTCAGTTTCTGCTGAGGCCTTGCCTGACTTCACCAATGCGTTGTACAGATCTTCTTTGTCTCCAAGCGCTTCTGTAGCCTCATCGTGAAAGAATCGGTACGGTACTTGATCGTCGGCTTGGTCTTTGAGGTTGTTGAGAAGGATCTCGAGGTTCTTGGTGGTCGCTTGCGACAGGGATACGGTAAGGACAGGTAGACTGTCACTCTCGCCTGTGGCCTGGTCGACAAAACGTACTCGAACGGAGCCGTCTGGGATTGTTGTGTCGATTTCTTGCTGCTCGCGCGTGAACTCGGCCTGCGCCCGCTTCTGGCGTTTGGAGGGAGGTGGATATTGTGTCGCCATTTCGAAAGCGAGGCAGTCTTTGGCGTAGATCTAAGGAAGGAGATGCAATGTTTTCTTTCAAAGGTCGCTGGAAGGTGCACCCCACCGCGTCTGCACTTTTTTCGTTATCGATAATCATGGATCGCGCTAACGACGCGCTTGCTCTTTCCCCTAGCCATCAACGCCTCTCCACACATCAGATGTATGCAGAGTGAATGTTCATATGACGAAGAACACGACATCTGAACTTGATCAGCGACTAAACTCGTAGCACTAACCAACATGGTTCGTCCCTCGAGGCCTTCCACCTCTCTCACCTCAGCTTCCACTTCCTACGCCTATGGTGGTGGCTACAATACTACAACGACCTCACGTCCTAGGACCCAACCAGGTACTGGCAGACCCTCGACTGCTCGACCTAGGACAGGTGTCTCGACGATTGCTAGGGTAGAGAACCAGCATGTCGTTTGCGCTATTGCTGAATCTCGTGGTATCTCGCCTACAGTCGGGTTAGCGTTCGTCAACCTTGACCTTGCAGAGGCAGTTCTTTGTCAGATAAACGACAGTCAAACCTACGTTCGGACCGTCCACAAACTGAAAGTGTATGGCCCATCAGAAATCCTCATCGTCGGCTCAGCTTCCAGTCCCAAGTCAAAGCTCTTCTCCATCATCGAAGAGAACCTTGAAGATATCGGCAGCAAAATCACCTTACTTGACCGCCGCTACTGGATTGACTCTACGGGTTACGAGTACATTCAGACCTTGGCCTTCAGGGAGGATGTCGAAGCTATCAAGATCTCAGTCCAGGGCAACTACTACGCTATATGCTGCATTGCGGCTGTGGGTGGTTGTCTAGTTGACTAGATCACGAGCTGAGACTTCTACAGGCACTCAAGTATATCGAGCTCGGACTGAAAGCACATTTCTCGTACCATTCGCTGAGAATGAGATATGAGCCATCAGAAGGATCTATGATGATTGATGTGTCCACCATCCACTCTCTTGAGCTCGTGCAGAATCTACAAAACCCAAAGTCGAAGGACTGTCTCTTTGGACTCCTCAATGAAACCTTGACGGCAATGGGAGCACGCCTCTTACGGAACAACATCCTACAACCACTCACAGATGCTGACGTACTGAACACTAGATACCTTGCGGTTGAGGAGCTGACAACTAAGGAAGAGATGTTCTTTGCTACACGATCTGGTCTGCTGCTTCTTATCCAGTATTGCTTCGTGCTTCTGACTTGCGATAGCCCTGAAGAATTTTCTGGATGCTGATAGGATCCTGACTGCTGTAAGCCACGAACGAAGGAAGCGATTTGAGTGTCTGACACTTGCAGCTCATCGTCAAGCCTATCAAGCCGACGCTACAAACGACTGAACTTTCCATAAATCAAGTCATCATGCTGAAACAGTTCGTTTCATCTGTCAATCCAGTATACGAAGCCCTTACCGGGGCAAGATCAAGCATGCTAAATCACATCCGAGAGGTGAAAGATCATAGCTCTTACCCCCTTCCTCGACTAACTGGTGTAGCTTTGCGCGCCTGAGAACATTTCTCCAGTTCGGGACTTGATCGACGAAGTAATTAACGAAGACACGACGTACGCAAAGCAGCCGCTTGAGCTGCGGAATCAACGTACATACGCCGTCAAATCTGGCGTCAACGGCTTGCTTGATGTTGCAAGAACCACCTACAAGGAGGCATCAGAGGATGCGTACCAACACTGTACTGAGCTTGGCCGTCAGTGTTGAGTTGACAATCTCGGACTGCGATGCTAAAAGTTGTCAGAGGAGTACGAAATCCAGCTCGACCTGAAGTATGAGAATGCGCGTCAGTTCTACATCAAGATACCTGCGACCGAACTCGACGGTAGGGCACTTCCACCAGTGTTCACAAACGTTGTACGCCGAAAAAACAATTTCGAATGCCAAACCTTAGAGCTGATGAAGCGCAATCAAAAGGTGCACTGGGCGCTTTTTTAGGGGTTCCATATTGTTCACTGACTGTTGCAGATCAATATGTCGCATCACGAAGTCGTACTGATGAGTGCGTCCGCCGTGGAGATGCCATTGCTTACATGCTTACATTCTCGCAGGTGACCAGACCGTAGACGCTCTCATTGAGGCTGTCCGCGGCCACATGTCAGTCATGTTCAAGATTTGCGAGGCTGTCGGATTGTTAGACATGATCGCAGCTTTCTCACAACTCGTAACCGTGAACGACTATACCAAACCGCAACTCACCGATACCCTTGCGATCAAGTCCGGGAGGCATCCAATCAAAGAAAAGATCATGCCCAGCAAGTTCGTCCCAAACGATGTCTACGCCACGCAGCAGACTCGTTTCCAGATCATTACTGGCTGCAACATGAGTGGAAAGAGTACTTACATTCGCACCATCGCCTTGATGTCTATCATGGCTCAAATTGGCAGTTTGTAAGATAGTCTGACTCACCTTGCTGCTGTACATCTGTTAACAAGGCCCAGCGTACCTGCATCGTATGCATCATTCCCAATCTTGCACCAGCTCTTCGCCCGCCTGGGCATGGACGATAGCATTGAGACGAATGTGTCGACCTTTGCAGCCGAGATGAGAGAGATTGCATTCATCCTACGCAACATAGACAGCCGCAGCATGGCCATTATCGATGAGCTCGGTCGCGGCACGAGTACTCGAGATGGGTTGGCTATTGCCTTGGCCATCGCGGAAGCTCTCGTTTCTAGCAAAGCCCTTGTTTGGTTTGCAACTCACTTCAAAGACCTTGCCACAATCATGCATGAGCGTGCTGGTGTACTCAACCTCCATCTAGCCGTCAACCTAGAAAACGAGCAAAGCATGACTATGCTGTACAGAATCTCTGAAGGCGCTGTTAAGGAGTCACATTATGGTTTGGCCCTCGCTCGAGTCGTACCGCTTCCACCAGGTTTGGTGGATCATGCGGCGGCTGTTTCGCAGAAGCTCGAGCGCCACATGCTTCGCAAGAAGAAAAACTCTGAGATTGTGCTTAGGGAGAAGCGACGCAAGCTCATCCTGAATCTCAAGGAGCACCTTGTGCAAGCACAGAAGGGTGTGCTAGAAGGCGAAGTGCTTACTGCATGGCTCAAGGAGTTGCAAAAGGAGTTCGTCAATCGTATGACTGCACTTGAGACTGAGGCTGCCAGTATGAGTTGCGAAACAGATGATGAAGCCGAACCAATGGAAGGAACAAGACAGGCGTATGAGCAGCAGCACATTGCCACTTCTTCCAGAGCGCCCTCAGTCATGAGCATTTCGTCAAGGATGACTTTGACAGAATCAGAGTCCACCATGAGATCAGTGTCTGAGGTTTCTACTGTTTGAACAGTATCAGGAAATGAGCGCTAGATCCCATACTTCTCTTCTGCAAGATGCGAAAAAGGTGGTGGATGGGCAGCAGCCGACGTGTCAAGTTCCGAGTCACACCGAGGAGGGCTTCACCGTATTATGTCTGCTGCTCGCTGAGATTACAAAGGTGTCAAGTCGTGGATACATATATATCAACCTATTTCAAGATACGTGAAACACATAAGAAGGCTTTGATTCGAGGCAGTAAGTGATGATCCGCGTTTAGCTTTCTTTATGTCATGCAATCGTCTATCCACTTAATACCTGCAGTGCCATGGATCACACCAGGAGGACTTCAAGAATGATTTTCGTTCAATACTACACTCTGAACGAAGCACCTTCTATCAGTCTCCTCAAAGCGTCTCTGACCTCCTTCACAATCTCACCCGCACCCTTGACCTCTCGCACTAAACCTACGGCACTTCCTGCATAAGTACACAACCTTGCTTCGACCCCCCACCCTTCGTCTCCTCTCTTCATATCCGCCTCATACAGCTTCTTATTTTCACTTTCCTCCATGCCACTCATGGCATCTGTGTACGTCTTGTTAACGATTCCCCTCCCATTGTGCGTCCCCGCCCATCCCGTCGTACCGCGCGCATTATCCCACACCTTCGTCCTCACCGTCGACTGCCCTCCATCCCTCGCGCGAAGAACCTCATCCTGATAGCCCTTCGCGATATTAGCCTCACTCGCCGCCAAAAACCGCGTACCCATAACCACCCCACTTGCGCCCAGCATCAGAGCTGCCGCAGCACCCCTACCCTCCACAATACCCCCCGCTGCTACCAACACCGGCGCCTCCTCTCCCTGAGCCGCCACCGCATCACTAACCTCCGGCAGCAGCGACATCAGCCCCGCGCCCTGCGCCAACCCGTGACCCCCTGCATCCGTACCCTGCACGACCAGCACATCCGGGCGCACCGCACTCACCACCTCGCTCGCTTCCCGCACACTCCCAACCTGCACCCAGATCCTCGAGTGCGGACTCGCGGCCCTGAACTTGCGCGTCCATTCCTCCAGCGCCGCAATGCTCGACGGCGCGAAGAACCACACCGCCGCGGGCTGGTGCTTTGCGACGACGGGTAGCGCGCGCGCCAGGTCGGCGCCCCAGTTGATGAAGCCCACGCCGACAGGCAGCGTGGCGCTGCGGGACGCGAGGGGGGCGGGGGCGAGCAGCTGGGTGGCGTGAGAGAGGTAGGAGTCCAGGTCTGAGACGTCTGTGCCGGCGCCGATGAAGCCGATGCCGCCTGTGCGGGGTTAGTGGTGCGTGCTGGGGACGAGTGGGCGGATTAGGTGTGGGAGGGGTGCTGGAGGGGGTCACGTGTACCTGCTTGGGAGATGGCGACGGCGAGGTCTGCGAGGGCGATGAGGCGCATGGGCGCTCCTATTACGAGGGGAGTTTGGATCCACGGGTAATCGGTCTTCAGTCTCTGAATTGCATCCATTGTCCGTCTCTTTCTTGCTGAACTAACTGTAATGTACCTGCTTGTTGTTTATTGTTTTATTGAACCTTTGGACAATATCGCGGCAAATAATGGAGTACGGCTCTGTCTGAATAGGATGAACTGCATGTGTATGTCGTTGTTTTATTCTTATGGTTCTTCGTTGACTGTGGTGCGGTTATGTCTCCGCCGGTCCGCTTTCGTCATCGAACATCTCCTCGGCAATGATCTGGCCAGGCCAAACAGTTGTACACCGATTTCTTACTCTGCTTGAAATGCAAGCTACAAGTGGCTTTCGAAGTATTCAATTACTAGTCGTGATACATACATATTATGAACGACTCTATATCCAAAGTCTAACACACCAGGTCCCGCGCCTGCTTGTGTGCATAGAAGCGAACTCGCTATTAACTTCGTAACGCTCATTAAGCAGTTGCTCATTCCATCACGTGCATGTACAGCATGCGATGCTTAATTTCTCCTCTCCCACTCAACAGTGCCAGGAGCCAACGGCCGGGAGAAAAGACTCGAGTAATCGGTGCCAACAATCTCCTTGCTGCCGCCCACGTTCCTGAGCTTGAACTCTCGGACAAAAGCGACGAGAATCGTCTGAAGCTGCAGGTACGCGAACTGCTCACCAATACACCTATGACGTCCGGCGCCGAAGGGCAAGTATGGCGAGTTGGTGCCCTTGGAGATGACACCCCAACCGTAGTCGATGGTGTCCTCAGCACTGGCCTCGGGCTCTTCGTAGTTGTGCTGGTTCGCGTCCCAGCGGTGAGGGTCCCAAACCTGGGGGTTGACGAAGTGAGAGTCGAGCTGTGCGGAGAATCCAGGCGAAGACATGAGTGTATGCGAGGTAGGAATGACGTAGTTGGTACCATCTGCGACAAGAGGCTGCTTGACCTTGCGCATGATGGAGTGGATGGGGGCGTGAATTCGGAGAGTTTCCTTGACAACCTGAGCGTGCAGAGACAGCTTCGGGAGGTCTTCGTAAGTGAGGGCTGGGAGTTCCGGTCCAAAAGCAGATATCTGCTCAGCAAGAAGTTCCTCCACGAGTCCAGGGTTTTGGGCCAGACGTAGAAGGATCCAGGCAATGGTGGAAGACGAAGAGTGCTGACCAGCCATGAGGAGAGCAATCATGATACCAGCGATCTCGTGTTCGGGGATCTGTGTGCCATCCTTGTACTTGCAATCCAACAAATGCCAGATCATATCGTGCTCACCCTCTTTCCTCTCTGCCTGACCGTTCCTGCGCCTGCGAACGATGTCCGAGTACAGCTTGATCATAGTCTCACGTGCGTTATCACGCGCACGGTTGTGGGGAAGAGGTGCCCAGGAAAGCATGAAGTTGACGGGTGAGAAACCCATGTCGAGATCGTGGTACAGCTCGGCGAACTTGGAATCGAAAGAGTTGCGGATCTCTTGACCCTGAAGGGAGCGGGAAGCAGTGTAGATTGTGAGTTCAGCCATGACCTTGGTCACGTCGAAAGTTCCCTTCTTGCCCTGAAAGACCTTGTGGCGCTTAATGAAGTTCTCGGTTTCTTCGGTGATGACGGTAACGTAGGAACGGAGCGCATCTTGGGTAAGACCGAACTTGACGAACTGTAATTTATGTTAGCTTATCCCAGTTTGAAGGTTGCATGAATGCGCACCTTCTTCTGCTCCATCAACTTCGAGTTGGGACAGTCGTAGACGACATCCTTGCCGAAGACGGGAGTTGTAAGGGGGCTGTAGATCTCCTCGGCGTTGACGTCCTTGAGCTTTCCGTTGAGGATGAAGTTGTTGCCCTTGGTATCGAGGCAAACAGTCATCTTGCGGCCGAGGAGAATGAAGGTGAACACATCGCCGTACTGTCATGCTAGTCAGCGCATTGCCTCTATGGCCACCGGGCGGCGACATACCTTCTCTCGCTGAGCGAAGAAGAACTTGTATGGGTCCATGCCATACGTGACTGTGCTACCAATCACGGGGAACAAGTGGAAAACGACTGGCGGCTCATTGGGGTTCTTGAGCAACAACTGCTGCAGAACGTTGAGGACGACGGCTAGGACGAGAAAGGCTGCGAAACCGGTGGCTACAGTGACAGGAGTGGACGAGTTGGCCGTGAAGTTGGCGATCGGCCCAGAAATATCGGCGAGGACACCCATACTGCGCGACGTAGGACTGCGAAGCCGTGAAAGAGCGGTGTTGCAATTGTAGGGGGGCGCGGCTCTACATAAATTTCCCAGAACGCGAGGCCCGCTCTTGCCAATCAGTGATCGCGCCTGCGGCAACTGGGGTGAGCTGGCTTGGCAGGGACAAGCCGCGGATCTGTGCTCGCCCATCAAGGCGAAGATCACGCGCTCACACGCCACCGCCCGTCGTAAACAGTGTCACGTCATTGGCGGACGACAATATTTGCAAAGAGCATCTCAAAGCGGACGCCGGATGTTCGCTATTCCTTGAGCGAAAGCTCATTTCATTACTCCGCTTGACGCACGCGATGCGGCTGTAAACCCGTCTTGACCGCTCAGTCGGACCCATAGTTTTACATCCGTTGTGACGCCAGCCAACCAGAACGCCCTGAGTACGCGAAACACAGCCTCCGATAACGTACACCAATCCTATGCACCATGCCGCCCTTATTTGCCAACGATGCAACAATTGGCATCGACTGTTGTGTGCAGGAAAGATCCGACGCCCCGAGTCAGAAACGCTCGATGTTTGATGAGATCTCGAGAGTCTGTAATCATTTGCCCATTATTAAACCCCCGAAAAGAGTATGTGTTTGGGGATGGTGTAGCCAAAGCCTTGCTGCGACTTGTCATATGCTCATGCATCGTCAAAGAGCGTTTGATCGCCGTTGCCCCCCATCTCAATGAATTCTCGAGGGTCCCGCTTCGCAGCTGGTCTTGGCTCCTCTATGATATCCTTGTCTTTCAGCATCTTGGTATCGCCTTTGTACTGCGATCCATTCTTCTCATACACCTTCAACGGCTCTTGACCTTCTCCTGTCTGAATGACGCGTGCGACCTTGATCTCGTTGATGGTGCTGAGCAGAGTTCGCTCGCGCTTGATCTTTCGCTTGGAAAAGTCCAGACTGGCAATGGCGCCTGTCAACCCATCTGTACTATCATTGGGGTTGATAATGCCGCCTTGCGTAGTCCAGGGGTGCTCGAGACATTCTTCAATTGAGATTCGTGATTCGACGTCTACTGTGAGCATGCGGTCGATGAGATCCAACGCTGGGTCGCCCACTGAGTCCCAGTAAGGCGACGGGTAGTCGAAGCGACCCATTTTGATCTGCTGGGATAATGTGTAGGGGTTCTCTGGGCTGTATAGCTCGTCCGAGAACGGTGGAAAGCCACAGAGGCAAATGTATAGAACGACTCCTAGAGACCAAACATCAACCGCTCGTGTGTAACGGCGGTGGTTGGAATTCTCTAAGATCTCAGGCGCAACGTCTATCGAATATTAGCAAAATTTGGGATCGAGAGGAACAGCTGCAACGTACACGATGGAGTACCACACAGGGTGGTTGTAAATGACTCCTCGCCAATGATCTTGGCAAGACCGAAGTCAGCAAGTTTGACATGCAGTTCTTTGTCGGTAAGGAGAATGTTCTCTGGCTTGATGTCGCGATGCACAATGTTGCGCTCATGCTAGCAAGTTGTCAGCAAATATCATAGGTGAGGTTGCGGCATGCATACCAAATACTTGACGGCCTGGAAAAGCTGGATGAAGACCTTTCGTGACTCAGCTTCTGTCAACTTCTGCTTCATGACAATCCAGTTGAAAAGCTCGCCCTCAGTCGCAAGCTCAAGAACGAGATAGACACCATCATCCTCGTCAAATGTATCCTTAAGACATAGGAGAGTTGGATGGCTAATCCCCATGAGCACTGCGATCTCTTGCTGCAGACCCTCGACCTTGGATTTCTCCCCTGGGCCGGTGCGCTTCTCGAACTTCTTGACTGCATGTCGCATGCCGGTGCACTTCTCAACACACAGATATACGGAAGCAAAGTGGCCCTTGCCGAGCTGCTCTTGGATTTGGTATTGTTGGTGGAACCGATGCGTGGCACGCGTGAGGGGGTATCTGAAGACGAACCGCGCCTCTTCCAGGATTGCGAGCTCGTCACCCTCCTTCAGTTCCCTCCGTTTATTCCGGCCAACTAGCGAGTCGTTGACGAACGTGCCGTTGCCGGATAGATCTTCGACCACGGCGACCATATCGCCACCTTTCTTTTCCGCGAAGATAAGGCAATGTCGGTTGGAGACGGTAGTCGATGTCAATTGGCGATCTGGAGCCCAGTCAGTGTTGATCATGCTCGAGAGGAAGCAAGAAAAACTTACCACACTCGCGATGTCGTCCGATGAGATATCCACCAGCAGTGACGCCCTTTTCCGCTTTATCTTTCTCGTACTTCTCTTCCTGATGCGTGTACTCGTGCTTCGATGCCTTCTCTGTACCGGACGTTGGGTTAAGGATGTTCTCTGGGACGGGGCAGGCTTCTCGCCGCCTCAATACCAAGACGTCACCGCACTGATCGTCGAGAGGCACAAGGTAGCCCCATACCTGCTCGCCCTCCTCATCATCGACTGCGTATGATCGCGATTTCGGCGGGTAGACGAACTGCGAAGGTTGCGTGAAGGCCTGCGTGTCTGACTGCTTGTCTGTCGGGGGCGAGGATAGTCCGTTGCGTGCTTGCGAGAACTTGGCCTGGCTCTGTGGAGGCGGCGTGACGGTGCCTTCCTTGTGGTTCTCATCACTGGTTCCGGTCGATTCCTTATGGGTAATGGGCGAAGGCAGCTGCCCTTGCTTGATATTGCGGTGCGGGTCACCGGGCGAGAGCTGACGCTGGCCCCGGACTCTTTTTGGCTCAACTTGCTCGCCCTGGGAAGGCTACATCAATTGACATGTCAGCAAATATGTCTCATCTCGGTCTAGACAGAAGATGCGAAACATACACGGCCTCGCTTGAGCTGACTCTTCTCGGGCTGCGCAGGCATCGCGACGGGTGGAGACTATGTGTGTATGCTGCGGTCGAGGCGACGGGGGATCAGTGCTGGCGCGTTTAGATAGTCGTGCAGCTGAATGTGGAGGGCATGATGGCTCTGAATGGAGACGACTAGTATGAGTAGGGCTGTGCCGCTAACCTTAGGACGCGGATGCCTCGAGACGTTCCAGGCAGATGAGCCAGCCAAGACTCAACACGCCGGGGGAGCGTTGCAACTCCGCGATCGCCGCATCCTTGTCGCGGCGCGTCCGTAAACGACCATCAAGCCAACTGCTCGGAACGCGACTACGATTGACAGCGCGCAGGCGCCTCTCCGTCGCATCCGATTGCTACGATTTCTACGCGTCGTCTCGGATGCATTGGGCAATAGGACAGACTGGACCCTATGTGAAAATCGTGTGCGCCAGTGCCGACCTCAACCATGGTATCTCTGCTGTCTCCTCGCGACTGACAGACCCACTGAGCTCCTCTAGTCTTGCAGTCACCACCTGGCATCGTTTCCTCAGCTGACCGACTTGGAATTTGAGGAAGCATGCGGCGCAATCTTGAAGCAATTCGAGCTGCAAGCCCACAGACAGGACGAGTGGACTGCAGTGGAGAATGTACTTCAGAGTGAGACTACTGTCTTGAGAATCACCAAACCGCTGGGGACGCGTCCAGATGTCTCAAATATCAGCGATGACACCGATGATATAGAGGTCGAAGAAGAGGACGATGAGATTGCCGAGTCTGCAACGCCCGTTGGAGCTGTCATTCAATATGATGTCGTCTTGTCCGTCTCGTATCGAGTTCCTGTGCTGTACTTCACCATTTCTGATAGCCAACACCGCTACCCGCCCACCATGGAAACACTATATTCTCATATAATACCACCTAGCTTCAGGGCGCAGACTGAGAGCGTAGGTGTCATCGGAGGAATCACCGTTACCGTTCGTGTTCTCTGTTGCCAACAAGAAACAGATCTAAGCTGACCGATGTGTAGGACCATCCAGCCACAAACCAGCCAGCGTTCTTCATCCACCCCTGCCGAACAGCAGAACTCATGCACGCCAGTGTAGGTGGACGAGACATCACTGCGTATGACTATCTTCTAATCTGGATGGGTGCGCTGGGACAGTGTGTGGGGCTGAAGGTGCCCTTGAGTTTAGTCAACTTAGACCAGAGACATGGCTGAACGGACCACCGTGCGAGGCGGTGCATGCGATCTCTGTATATACTACAAGTTCTACATGCCAACATATAGTACAACGCTATTCCGACACCACAGCTCTCATAGCCTAGTTCTTACACTCGCCTTTTCCAATTCACCAATGTTACCCATGCCTGCCAAGCTCCACTTCTCGGTGACGAGAACGTCATTCACCTGGTGCTTCAGCATTCCACTCTCCGCATAGTATTCCATAATACTCCTGGCCTCTTCTTTGCTCACGCCACCAACCTCGAGGATATCAAGATCAGCCTTCGGGTCCGCAAGGTCCTTGAGGGCGTCCATGGTGCGCTTATCGACGCTTGTGTAAGGGTTCCACTGCGGGACGCTGGTCTGTGCCTTGATGGCTTCTGCTTCTTTGATGCGGAAGTCCATTGCGGGCGAGCTGCGTGCGTTGGACTTTGAGGTTGCAGCGAGCACAATACCTCCGTTGGGTAGTTGCTTGACACCAGAGAGGTGATCGACGAAGTGGCGAACGATGGTCAGATCGTGAGCGTGGATAGGCTTCACATCGGCGTTCAGATAGTCCGAGTTTCGCATCATGTGCGACAGTCCGTCAGCAGCAAGGAGGATTTGTGGCTGGCCAGGCTGTGAGAGTTCTGCCCACAGCGCCTTGAAGACTGGCCATGCTACATCGGGATTGGCCATGCCAACTGCAATCAGATCCTTAAGTTTCCCGCTCGCGGGTAGGGGAACATTGAGGTCGTGTTTCTGTGTAATCTTTGCCTGCTCAAAGTAGGCCTCGTTCGCTTTGAGAGTCTGTGACAGGAGAGTAGCAGTGTACATATCCTGCGTGTACTGCGTGGGTTCAGAGCCCTCCAGAGGCGCGTACTCAGTGTGAGCGTTGACGATATCATAGCCTGGGGAACATCAGCGAAGCGCCCTCTTAAGAAACGATCGTACTAACACTCTGGAAGATTGATGACAAACCACTGTCTCAAGAAGGCCACGCTCAATCCCTGGAGCAGCAGCGTGGTCTTTCCACCCATCCTCTGCCCGGTGATTATCCGGCGGATAGTCTTCTTGTCCTTGCCAGTGGCTGCCTCTTCTACATCCTGAAACAGCTTCGCGAGGTGGATCGCCTCCTTTCTCATCAAGACTGCTGGTCTCCTGAAGAAGCTCCAGCCCTGGGTAACCTTGAAGGCGTCCACAGACCGCAACGCATCGACGACAGGCTCTGGGAGCCCGACAACACGACCCTCGTTTGCCTCGCTAAAAACGGTTGCCTTGGTCAAATCCTTCAGCGAAGAGACCTCGAGTGCGTTGTCGTTGCTCAGCACAATGCGCTTGCGCTGTGCCTTTCGTGCTCCGGGTGCTGGCCGCTTGCCTGCGTCCGCCGATCCGCCTCCTTTGCTCTTCTTGGTGTTGAGTGTCTTGACACCCTTCTTCGGTGCCGCGACCATGCCCTTCTTCTTCATCAAAGTGTTGTTAGCATGGCGGGCGGTGGACGTGGAGAAGCAGGCCACGCGCGGGTGCAGGAAGCGCGAGGCGGCGGTCGCGTGGGCGGTCGCATCGAGAGACAGCTGCGACAGGCTCCGCAGACAGTTGGCGGACGGCATGATGAGCGACTGAGACCCACGGCCTCGGCAATTGCCTGTTGATGTCGTCGTCGTGCGAGAGGCTGCGATGCCAAATCTGAGGGCCGGAGGTTTCCCACTTGGGTTAGCGCGCGAAAGTCGTTCCTACTTTTTTTGAGGGCAGCGCAGCACCACCGGCTCGACTGCCACACTTCTCACTCGCGAAATTGTACGATTGAAATGCCCGCCAGCGTCGCACTGGACTCACACTCGCAACTCGCCGACAGAATCAACGGAGGAGCCATGGACGTCGATGCGCCGAGCAATGCTGCTCTTTCCGTAGCAGACTCGACTGCGACAGGCCGACTGTGCGTCTCAAAGCGCCCCTCTACCCCGCCGCGTTGCACGCCTTTACTTACATCCATGCAGTCCCATCGCTGTCAACAAGCCCACACCCTTCACCTTCGACCTGGGCAACCTGCTTGCCCACGACCCCAACCCCGTGCCTGCTGAGGCCGACGAAGAGGCTTTGGCCGCCACTGCTCGCGATGCCGCACAAGCCCTCATCAACCAGCTGCTGTCCACCTGCGAAGTCAAGGCTACCTCCGAAGGCGTGCACCTCGTGCTCCCTGCGCCACAAATGGCCCTGCCCCGCGAGAAACCCATTCCCCAGGCCAAGGAACAGACCAAGTGGGAGCGTTTTGCCGCCAAGAAGGGTATCAAGGACAAGAAGCGCGACGGCAACAAGGTTTACGACGAGGCGACCGGCGACTGGGTCCCCAAGTGGGGGTACAAGGGCAAGAACAAAGAGGCCGAGAGCTCCTGGCTTGTCGAGGTTGATGAGAAGAAGGAGGAGAAGACTGGAAAGGCACATGATGCGCGGGCTGAGAGCAGGCATGAGCGCAAGGAGCGCACCAGGAGGAACGAGAGGAAGCAGCGCTCGAACGACGCCAAGTCTCGAAAGCCTGGTGTATAAATTGGGTTCCATGAAGCTTGAGGGAAAGAGATGAGCATCCTTCGTCATGTTATGCATTGGGCGGCGTTATCAACTTGGGATATCCGACTTCACAGGCGTAAGAGGTTTAAAAGCAAGGCTGCATGCACAGTCAGGAATGACGAAGATGTGGACGTGATTTTGCTAGATATGGGGTCAGCAGCGGAGGCCGTGTGATAGCTTGAGCATGTACTGAGGATTTACGATATGAGATATCCAAACCTTTGTACTACACAGCCTGGTGAAGTGCACCCAATTGTGATGTAGCAAGGTCGGTTCATAACATCCATGTTGGTTCTGGACTCACAAGTTACTGTCGGTTATCATAGAGGCCAAAGCAATAGAGCCGATACGTTACTAGAAATGGCCATACTCAAGCAGCCAGGCCCAAAACTGTGGAGATGAAAGACTCAGCTCTGCTTCATTCTGTTAGCCCCTCCACAACCTGAAGACAACATTCAGGTTGAGTCGCTTTCTAGAATGTATGACGGTAAATCGGACCTATCGAAGTTGAACTTCAAACGCCGACCAGCGGCATTTGCAAAGATTGTGTGCTCCATCCTTCGTACTGAGAAGCAACACCGAAAGCGCTCCGAACCTTGCAGCCAAGGATCAGAATCAGTGCCCATCTCTCGTCAACACATATTCCCCAAGCAAACCACAACTCTATTGGTTAATTTCAATAGACTAATATTTCAACTTCCAGCTGGACAAACGCTCCTTCCCATCTGGACCTTGAACCTGCAGTACCAACCACACCCCACGCGCGCGACATGCATGAAAGGATAACTCCGGCGCCGCATGCGGCTGCTTCTGTGCGGCTGCTCCTGTGCAGCTGCAACGGTCGGTAAGAGAAACGCGAAGAAGCGTCACCCCGGCACTTAATCAATGCTTATGCCCCGCTTCAACACCCCATTGGTTTCTCCGCACCAAGCGCCCGGCCGATGAAAAGCTTCCGACAACGCCGGTCCTGGGCGTCATTATTACCACTCACATAGTCAGGGAATAAGATCAACGTTGGAGGCGTAAAGCCGGCAAACTCTACGATGAAAGCGAGCATCTTATTCGAGCTCCGTAAGAGCAGACAGCAGCCGTGACAGCTCTACGCTTCTCCAGAGCTCCAGACGATCAACATGCGCTAAATGATGGAGGTGGGGACACAGTGTATGGGGAATCAGGCCACTGGTCAGAAAATGCTCTAGATAAAGCAAGAGTGGTGATAGGTGAGGAGCTAGCCTCGGGGTAACTTGCTCCTGCCGTTTGTGCGAATTGTGCACACGTCAGAGAACGATGGTGAACCATAGTATATCATGTGCCGGTGTCGCTGACCGGTAGACTTGCGGCTCTAATTCCATTTCCACGGTTCCCTCGCACCTCTCTGGTTGAGATCCGTCCTTTTTCAGTTCTTACAATTGAATCCTGGACTGGGCCTGTAGCTGGTTGCGCGATAAGATGGCCTCTGCGACTGATGACAAGCATCGCGATAGCCTGAGCCTGGATGGCAAGGCGGATGGACTTGACATCCACGATGAGGTTGCCAATCCACTCTCGGACATTGCAGACCCGGATGCTGGGCTCACTGAAGAGGAGCGCGCAGCTGCGGTATGTTCCCACAAATTCTTCTCGGGCAGAACAGCATCACTGAACATTCTCTAGGACAAGAAGCTTGTTCGCAAGCTTGATCGCAAGCTACTACCGTGGCTCACTTTCCTATACCTCATCTGTTAGTCCTTTTACCACTAAATCACGACGAAGCAGTCCACTGACTACCTCCTCAGCCTTCCTTGACCGTACCAACATCGGCAACGCCAAAGTTGACGGGCTCCAACACGATCTGGGAATGACTGATGGCCAGTACAATGCCACTCTTACCATCTTCTTCGTTAGCTACGCTGTCTTCGAGCCCTTGACCAATGTGCTGCTCAAGAGGTTGCGACCCAGCATTTTCCTTCCTATGATCATGGTAAGTCGTGTCGCCTTTAACTGGGACTTCACTGTCTAACTTCGTAGGTTGCATGGGGTATTGTCATGTGCTGTATGGGCCTCGTACACAACTACTCCGGGCTGATGGCTTGCCGTTTCTTCCTTGGTCTGGCAGAGGCTGGGCTATTCCCAGGAGTAAACTACTTTCTATCGTGTTGGTATAAACGATCTGAGTTTGGAATCCGAGCTGCCATCTTCTTCTCCGCTGCAGCCTTGGCTGGCTCTTTCGGTGGTCTTCTGGCAGCTGGTATCGCTCAGATGAAGGGTATCGGTGGGAAGCCTGGTTGGGCTTGGATCTTGTAAGCCCACACCTAAGTATCGCAGCATCCGTGTGCTGACTGTTCTCAGTATCCTTGAAGGCCTCGCTACAGTCGTCGTAGGCATCGCCAGTTACTGGATGGTTCACGACTTCCCCGCCGAAGCCACTTTCCTCGCTCCTGACGACCGAGCGCGCGTACTGCGCCGTCTTGCAGCCGACAAGCAGTCTTCCGCCAAGGTCGAGGTGTTCAAGTGGAAATACTTCTGGCAATCAGTCAAAGACTGGAAAACCACCGCATTCGCCGTCATCTACATGGGTGCTGACGGCGCGCTCTACGCCTTTGCCCTATTCGTGCCGACGATCATCAAAAGCGTAAACCCGCAGTACTCGGCGACAACCGCCAATCTCATGTCTGTGCCCCCGTACGCCGTGGCTGCTGTTGCGACCGTCTTCATCGGGTGGCTCGCAGACCGAACGCAGCAGCGCGGATACTGCAACATTGGAATGTCGCTCTTCGGCATCGTGGGTTTTGCCATGCTACTCGGTAGCGGAAACCCGCATGTGCAGTACGCAGGTGTATACCTGGGAGCCCTGGGCATTTACCCCTGCATCCCCAACACCATATCCTGGGCCTCGAATAACGTGGAAGGTGTCTTCAAGCGCGGCGTGACTATCGGCTTCGTAATCGGATGGGGAAACCTAAACGGCGTTGTGAGCTCGAACATCTATCGCGGAAGGGACTCGCCGCGCTTCTTCTTGGGACACGGCGTCGTCCTTGCTTATCTGACCCTGTTCTTGTTTGTTGGTAGTATCTTCACCAGAGTTTTTCTGGCTCGGGAGAACAATAAGAGGAGGAATGGACTGCGGAATCAGTGGACTGAAGGGAAGAGCCAGGATGAAATCAACGAGATGGGTGATGAGGTGCCGGACTTTGAGTATGTCCTCTGATGTTGGACAATGGTAGATCGTTATACGTGTGTCAGTGTAGAAACATGCTACAATGAAGTAAAGTTTTTAGACCAGTCGGGGCTTGCGGCGTGTTCTGTGACTCCGTACGTCGACTGCTCGGATATTCGTCGTGGTAAGTTTTGAACTGGCTACTGTGCGCATGAATATTGACTTCTTAGGGAAACAGGCTTCAAGGTTGTCAGTATCGTACAGTGTATCCGCACCGTCGACAGCAAGATTCAGCAGTACCTAGGTAAAGCTAATCGATAGGTAGTCAGCGAAGCCATCTTGACCATGGACATGCTTGGTCGAAGTCTGCCCTGTACAGGGAATCAAGGGGCAGCGAGAGAAGGCGCCATGTCACAAGGGCAGTTGCCCTCTTCCTTGGCAGGCAGTGTCGAGCCTGAACCGTGGAAAGATATAGCCAGCACGCTCCCCACACCCACTTCCACCTGTTTTCACAACCTTCTGCTACCCTTCGCACGCCGCAAGATCGTTCCTCCAGCCGCCGCTACTGCTTACGCCCAACGCCCCGAATCCTTCCTGCACGCCCGACCAATCACCGCGTACCAACGCCCTTCAGCCTCGCCAGCAATGTCCGACTACGTCGAAAACCAGGAGTACAGCATGCAGCTCGCTGCGTCCGGAGACGACCCTTTCGAATATGATTGGACCAGACTGCGACACGAGATTGATCAGCCAATGCCTGGCCTCTTCGACGACATCACGCTTGCCTCGCTTCAGGAGGATATCGACGTGGACGCCAGTGACTGGTCTACCTTGAACGATGCCCTCGAGAACGGCTTTTGGCAGGACATTTTTCATTCGACGGCTGGGGACCAGGGTGCTGAGGCGCAGCCTGGTGACCGGTGAGTAAAAAAAAGATTTGAGCTAACAAAGGGGCAGAAGTCCTTGCATGTCGCAACTACCTTATATAGCCCCATCAGGCACCTCCTTTGTTTGCGACCATCCTGACTGTGGCTCCAATGCTTTCAAACGCAGGGGAGATCTGACTCGCCACCAAAAGAAGCACACAGGCCAAAAGAAGTTTGCATGCACGGCGCAAGAGTGCAAGTACTCCTTCACCAGGAATGACAAATTACTCGATCACATGCGCGCTGGACATGACGACGATACACTCTTTGCTTGTTCAACAACATCAAGGAAATGTAAAGTGCTCTTGACAAGGGATGTCTTATGTGCGCATGTTACATACAGCAACACCTTTCGCCTGTTGAACTCATATCGACAATGTCCACTTCCCAAATGCAGTTTCCGCGTTAGTATCCGGAATTTGGACAAACTTCAACCTCATCTGCTGGAGAAACACGACGCAAAGGGCCGGAAGAGATTTGCGTCGCTTCTTCTCGATAGGGGATATGACCACGACTCGGCCTCAATTATCTGTCCTATGTGTCCAGACGAAATCCACTTTCCCACCCACAGTGAGTTCGAGGAACATCTCGTAGACAACCACTGTGGCGATTACCGAGAATATGTGAGAGGCGATGAGTTTTTTGGTAAAAATGCGTGGGTGTACACACCTTCAGATGGGCATAATCGGACATACGAGTCTGCCCCCCAAGAGCTACGCGAGCATCGTCGTACTGTACTGAGCCTATTCCCCGCTTTCACCAAGCATCGTCTTGTGTGGAACGACATCAGATGCAAGGCCTAGGCGTGGGAGCTACGAACACCGTTCAAGGAGAAAGAGTATCGTCTTCGCACCAGCGTTTCCTTATGTTTTTCGTTCCATGTATACCCATAACTTAGAAAATCAAAAAACATGTTTTCCCTTATAAGTAACACGACAACCATCTCCATGTGTCTCCCTCTACCCAGCACCACCTCACCACCTCACCATCCAGACTACCACCACCACCACTACTACCAGCACAGCCACACCTCCCCCTCCCCCTCCCCCTCCCTCCCTCTCCATCTCCGATCCCAAGCCCCCCTCGGCCCGAACCCCAAACCCGTCTCAGCCCTGAAACCCTAGCGCCCGCCTTACCCTCCACGCCATCCTGCCACACGGCGCCCACGCTGCGCTGGGAAGATCCCGCAGCCTGGTGGCAAATGGCATGTGGCAGATGGCAGGTGGCATGTGGCATGTGACAGGCGGGGCGGTGAGTGTTTGAGGCGCTGACGGCTGGGACAGCTGGGGTGTCGCGGACGTACATACGCGTTGTGAGCGGATTACGCGCGTGCTTGGTGTAGTACAGGAGATATTATGTTGTTAGCACGAGATAGGACACACATTTATGCAGGAGCGGGAGAAGGTTATGTAGATCTGGATTTAGATTTATGTAGGTTTGTGTAGATGTGATGTAGATGTGATGTGGTATTGCTACTCGCCGCGCGGGCCTTCGCAGTCCGGTATGCAAGAAGGAGGAAAGGTATATACACTAGATAGACAGATAAAGATAAATAGTAGGAGGCGGCAAGCAACGCAAGGAAAGAACAGCTGTACAAGCCAGAACCGCGGCGACCGTGTGACGCCGAGTGTAAATGCAGAAAAGCCCGCGACAGCGATGCGAGGCACAAAACGGGAGTTGCGGGGCGCGAGCGTGCGTTATGTCGTCTCTTCATCTCTCTTTATACAAGGGCGCCTTTGGTAGGAATAGGGGGAGGCGGGGCGGGGGGCTAGGCGGGGCCCATCTTGCCCGCCTCGTAGACGCGCGCCATGAAGATGTCGACGTCCATGTCGATTTTCTTCTCGCGGAGCGCACGCTCCACGACGGCCTTGTCGCCCTCCATGCAGCTGCCCTCGAGCACCAGCAGGATGGCGACGGCGACGCGGGGCGGGATTTTGTCGCTCTCGATGGTGTACACGTCCATGATCCTGGCTGCGTGTTCGACGCCGAGGCGTCCGCAGAACAGGGAGCTGAACATGTGGTAGAGGTAGTCCCTCGGCTCGACGCGGAGGGTTTCCAATTGCGTCGCGAGAGTGGGCGACTTTTTCGAGAGGGCGCGGAGGGTGGATGAGTATGCGGCGTGGATATTATTCGGGTCGTGGACAAGGAAGGAGAGCGGGAGCGGTCGGTTGAGGAGATTTGATAATGTGATGAATGTTTGTGGTGCTGGGAGGTTGAGGAGCAGTAGTGCGGCGATGTGGTGGATGCCGTTTTCCTTATGCGAGATGTCGGGGCGGTAGGTTGCGTATGCCAGGCATACCTGGACGAGGTCCTGATGCATCGGTTGCTCGTCGTTTGCGGTCGGTGAAGAGGGAGCAGCGAACATCCTAAGCTCGGGAAAGACCGAGCGGGTGTTCTCGAGGATTTGAGCGTAGCGGCCGTCCAGTGCCTCGAGTCCGTGTTGCTTGATCTCTTGCTTTGCTTTTCCGAGTGCTATATTGAACGTGCCCTCTGTGACTTCCAGGTCGTTTCCCACTGCTTTTGACCAGACCTCCCCTCGCAACCGCGGGGGAATACCGTTCCACCACATTTTCCTATGTGTAGCACGGAGCTCTGGCTGCGTCATCTCTGTGGCCCAGTTGGGAAGCAGCAGGTTCGACCAGTATTCGGCTTTGATGCGGGAGGCTTTCTCGCGAGCCAGGGCCTCGTCTTTGACCCGCTGGGCTTCGAGGCGTTCTGCAACTGTCAGCTGACTGTCATTCCATTTATGATAGCTTGGCTTACCGGCTTCCTCGATCCGCGCCAGCATCCGCTGGTACTCTTTCAGGTGCTTCTTCTCCTCCTTCGGGTTTTTAGGTGGCAACCACGATGGACGAGTGCGCGAAAGGTACTTTTGCTTTTCAGCGGACGGCTGGAACGGGTCGATCAGGGGGTCGCTCTTGCGGATCGGTGGCAGGGCGGGCTTTTTCGACTTGGTCTCAGGCTCGCTCAGCGAGGACGACCTGGCCAGCCCCGGCTGCTGCCGCTTGACCTCCTGTTTTCGCTCAAACTCTACCTGAAACTCTTCCAGCTTCTCGGTCAGCACCCTCGCGTCTGGATCGAGGGAGCCGTATGTGTCCTGCCAGGTGTGTGTTCGCTGGCGTTCTAGTGTGGGCGGCGACGGGGTCCTGCCTAATGTGTGCGGTGATGGCGGCTGTGGAAGGCGCGAGTGGGGCGCCGGGGACGTCCTCGACGATGAGGGGCCGGCGCTGGCGGTGCTGCCGAGGGGCGAGGGATGCGGCGGGCTGCCGTTGGTGGACGGGGCCGGCGACCGCTCCTGGGCCGGGCGGGGCGAGATGGGGATGTTCCAGATGACGGCGTCCTCGGGCAGCTCGTCGTCCTCGTCGTCGCACTCGGCCTCGCGCTCCTGCACCGTCTTGCGCTTGGTGTCCTGCCACGAGTGGCGGCGGGCGGCGAGCCCGGGCGAGGGCAGCACGTCGAGGGCGGCGCGCGAGCTCTTGCGCGACAGGGTCGGGGCGGCCGACGTGTGGGTGCTCGAGGGCGACGGCGACCGCGACGAGCGGCGCGGGGCGGCCAGGTTCATCGTCTGCAGCGTCGGGGCCGATGGCGAGGTGAAGCCCCTCCGCATTTTCGCGGGTGCTAGCTGCGGCGGCGGGCGCATGGCATGGCTGGCGGGGCCCTTGGGGCCGGCGTACGACGACTTGCGGCCGGTCAGGTCGCGGAACGAGTGCTGGGAGTGCTGCGGCGTGCTGCGGAGCGACGACGAGGAAAAGCTGCGGGCCTCGTAGACGACACGGTGGTCGGCGGTGCTCGGCATGGGGAAGACATTCGGCCCGCCGCTAATGTCGTCGAGGTTGATCTCTTCAAAGTGCGAGAGGTCGCTCGGGCCCATGTAGTCGGACAGCGTCTCCGAGTGGAAGCTGGACGACTTGGACGACTTGGAGTTGGTCAGGTCGGGCGGCTCCAGCTCGTACGGGGCCATGGCATGGGCGGGCGTGTGGGCATACGCCAGCGCGGCCATGAGGGAGCGCGGCTGTCGAGGTGGGAGCGGGCGGACTGGGGCCCCAATGCGGTGAGGAAGCGTCGGGTGGGCCTTGTCTGGAGCGCAGGCGTTGCGCGGCACCGGGAGCGGAATCAGCGAGCGCGTGCGGCCATAGTCGTGTTCCGAAATAATGTACAGTGCAGCGCCCTGGGAGAAAGTATCGTCGGCGGGGGCGCTGTCGTCGCCGCCGCAAACCTGGTGTTGCTCCAACCCGCCGATGCAATTTCGGGAGGGCATCGTCGCCGTCGCGCTAAGCCCCTGATGGCCCTGCAGATCCCTGCTCGAGGACGTTGTTCCAGGCTCCGTGACGGCTGCTCTCGTCCAGTGGATGCGGGCGGGCGCGCACTTGAATTGAGATGATAAGAGGGCCGCTGCATGCACGGTACGGACGCAGGCAGTGGTCAGGGCAGTGGGCTACCGAGCAGACATGGCGGTGGACTGAAGCACTTTGATTGCCGGCGCGCAAGGGACGCCGGACTTTTGAGTCTGATGCTCTAACGGGCGTCCTCTGGCGTGCAGCGGCCTCCCGCGTCTGGAGACTGGACGACGTCCAACGTGAAACCATCGAAGCCCGTCATGGTTCGTCGTGGCTGGGACCGGCCCCTGCAATTCCTCGGGGCGCGCTTGACATCACAGCAATCCATCGCCGACCAATTGCCCAGCCCGCACCACTTTTCGCGGCAGCTTCCAGCAATCATGGCTGCTAGAGCGCTGCTGGTGGCGCGTCGTCCTCGCCGGCACCCGCTTGCAGAGCAAGCCTGTTCGTCCTGGTCGCTGAAAGCAGGATTTGAGACGTCAGGATTATTACAGTGCCCATGCTCCCGCCATGCGCCGTTCATGCAGCCAAGCCTGGCTTGCAGATACGCCGCGCGCTAGTACATGCCGGGTCAGATCTTGATTCCCGTTGAGTCCGCTTGCTGGTCGCGCAAACCACTGCACGAAGTCCGTCACACAGCCAGCTTTCCATGCTCCCGCGAAGCTCGTCAGCGTCTCTTATCTTCGCTGCCAAGCACTCGCTGCTGTCTCGAGCAGCTCTCGCTCAGCTGCATCGGACATGCGAGCCGCCCTGAGTGACCGTTCGAGCCATGTCAGCAGAGCTCCATGCTTCGTCTGCGCGCGCTTAAACACCGTGTGGAATGCTTTGCTCGCGAGCCTGTCCTCAAATTAGCTTCAGCACTCGTCAAAGTCTCCGCGATACGAGTGCCCCGCCCGACCAGCTCACGCGCTCTGGGGTTCATCGGACAACCCCCTGGGTTGCGCGATTGGGGAAAAGGGCATCTCGAGTTCCGTCCCCGCCAACTGTGAGACACTCGCTTCAGCCACACTTACCACTGGATCTGCCGCCGGGAGATGACACTTTGAACATGCACAAGTCGTCTGTCGCTGCGAGTACGCGCACGCCTCTGCACCATCACGAACGCCAGCGCGATGATGCTGTCGACTGTTCCTGTTCATTCGTCAGCCCACTTGATCGGTAGGAGTAGCCGTGCCGATCGACGCTGCAGATGACTCGTGTTCCGCTTAATCTGTGCAACCACGCTTGCGGCGTCGTTGTGACTGGCTGGAAAAGCAAGCATTTCAGGAAATCGCACGGCCGCATTAGGGAATTTCAGCCTCGAGGTGAACGCACTGATAAGCAAGCTTGAACACGTTGTCCGCACCTTGGCCAACATGCGCACGTATTCAAGGCACCTCACCGCCGCTTCATGGAAGCTTTGGTGCAGATTGGTTAGTACCGTCGACACGCTATTCAAGGTCGTGTCGATGAACATGGCTTTCAGCTGAATCTTGAACCCACTGCGGACGTCAGCACATCACCCACGCCAAGCTGGGTTTTGGACATCATGTGTAACTTACTTGAGCGCTTTTCGATGGAATGTCTGCCCTGGGACTTTGGACAACTCTATGGTCAGCGAGTTTTCGATATCTACTGCACGTCAGCTTGCTAGTCCAGCGTCACGCTATGCAGCCTACTCACCAGCCCGTGTCGGACGTTCGGTATTCTTCCTCACTTCCAGAGTGGCCATGTCGATGGAAACACCACAGTACAGAAAATGGGTGCCCGGGCTACATTTGGGGATCCGAACACCGTCGTCAGTGACCACGTCGAAGTTCGTCATGGACTTCGCGGATTTGATCTGAACACCATAATCCACGTGGCCGTGGTGCATGACGCGTACGAAGCGCTCTGCATGCTGACGATCGACTGTTATCAGGAGAAAATCGTCCAATAGACGCAAAAGCAGACAATCACTACCAAGTGCGAAGCTTAGTACGTCGCGCTCGAGTTCAGCATAGAAGTAATTGCAGAGGATGCTCGACAAGATCGATCCTTGTGGGATGCCCGTTCTCTGACGATAGAAGCGCTTACCGATCTTGACAAGATTGCGCTCTATGTGTTCACGAAGGAGTTGCATGAGGTCACCCTTCAATTCTTGCTGCTGCAAATGGCTGTTCACAAAGACCGTGTTGTTCTTCGCGCCGACCAGTCTCTCCTGGACCAGCTGACTGAACGATGCTGCATCTTTGGCGGTCGTTGTATGTGGTACCCAACGCTTCAACGGCGCTGGCTTGACGTGCTGGCCGTCAAGGCGCTGCAGGACGCCCAATGTACTGATCTCCACGTGCTTACCAGTTGAATACGTTTGCGCTGACATGAGGCAGTCAATCATACTCAGCAGCCGCTGATGTGGGATAGTATCGAAGCAGGACACGACATCGACTTTGGCAAAGTAGAGTGGCTTGTTTTGCAGACCTTGCTCTAATAATGAAGCCTTGAATGCTTCGATCTTCGGGAACATGTCGTCTACTGAGAATAGCGACGAACCGAATCGTTCAGGTTGACGGCCCTGCTACAGTCAGAATGGTCCACTTGGGTCGCACGATACCGACTGACCTTCTCATAAGTGATGGCATTGAACACCGGAGTCATGACCGTGTTAATACTTTTTCCCAGAGTCATTGCGCCATATCGCATCACCTGCGGTCTTCGTTTCAGATTTGTGATCATTCGGATACCTTGCTTTTTGGGCAATAGGCGGATTTTGCTGAAGCCGAGCGGACGCACGGCTAGGAGCCTGTTCGCGCGCTCCATTGGCATCTCTTCAAACAATTTCAGTCGTAAGGTCGACAACGACGGTTCTGCAAGCATTCGCCAGACATCGTGTCGAAAGTAGAACAGCCGATTGCGGTGTGCATTTGACTCTGTGACATAAAAGTTCGACCTAATCAGAGGAATCAAGAATGAGTCGAAGATCCAGTAGACGAACTCCTGGAAGATCTCCTTGCGCTTTTCGAAATCAGGACGAGCCAGCTTCGTGGTTTCATCCTGACCAGGTAATCGGAGCCATCCTAGACTTGTGATCTGCAATGTCTTAGTCGCGGAATGGGCCAAGATCTGAGAACCACATACCTGAAGCTTCTGTGTGACTTGGTGCAAAGTCAAAGTCTCGAATTTCCGTAAGCACACGAACTGGTCGATATAGTGCATTATTGTGCGTTTGTTTTCATCGGTCCCCCAAAAGCCCTTTGGGATGACTTTAGCAACCACGGCACGGCAAAATGCAGACACATGTGCTGTGGGACAAGCCATGTCTGTCAAACACGCCTCATTCGCCCCTTCCCGTGTCGGATTCGTGATATCCATCTTGTTACTTTCAATGACTGTGGATTGAGCAGCATCGTTTCGGAGATGCTTTTTCCACTCCAGCTGAGACGAGAGAGGGATAGACTATGCTGTCAGCATTCAGCACGCTGAGATGAAGTCCGACACCCACCTCAACTGGACAATAGTGGCGTAACATCTCTGTGTACGAACACCGCTGATTGAGTACACGTAGTTTCTCAATCAGGTGTACCGGGTCACCTCGCAACCGCTTTGGCACACGTAACTTCCATTTCATCACTATTTCTGCATCGTTGATCTTATCGCCCAACTGCTGGCACATGGTCTGGTGTATTTCCTTTTCTCGCAAGGTGTAGTCTTTGGAGGACATGGAAGTCTCGCGTCGATCGGTCGTGGATGTGAAGACATTGTGCAAGTCATATTGCCGCGGGAATATGTACTTCATAACCTGGACAGTCTGCTGCTTGTCATCTCGAAGGGGGAGGCGATTCAACACATCTGCGAGAGTTAGCCATAGTGAGCAGACAGAGAGATGCATAGGGACTTCTGACGAATGTGACGCAGGCCGAATCTGATACCTCCTTTGGCGTTTAAAGCAGCTTTGGCGTAGAACATACGATTGCGCACGAAGGCGATATTGCACGGTGTTTGAGAGACGGTCTGCAGGGTAGCATGTTTTCTGTCAGACGCACTTTCTGATGGACTGTCCGGAGAGGCTTTCTTTGAGACCTGACAAGGTTTCAAGTCATAGATAGGGGAGCCGCTGATCTGGTAGTAGTTCGCAAGGTGTTCATCGACAGAGCAAAATATAGCACAGTTCGTGAGCATGTCCATCATGATGCGATCTCCACCATCGCCGAGGACGGCATATAGTCGACGCCATAGCGGTCCCTTCAATGTATTCACGTTACTGTTGGGAAAGCGTGCAACGAGCCCAGGTATTGAGGATGTGACGCCATCATGGGCTGGCTTGTGTTGATGTGCAGACCCAGATCGCTCAAAGCCAAAGCAGAGCAAATGGGGAATTTTGTAAGACGAGGAGCGACTGAAAAGGCGCCATATCACGAAATCCACAATCTGTGCCATTTAGCACTTGCATGAGTACCTTTCAATGGCTATGTGTTGCTGCACAGCACCTACCTCGGATTGCAGAAAGCGGCCAGGCCTGAAGGATGATGCCGTGACGGAGGGCGACAGCTGTTGAGTGAACGTCTCGATATCTTTGTTGCGCTCTTTTGCGAGATGCTCTTCGTCATGGGCCTTTCTGGTCTTGTGTTCACCGATGATGGTCGAATCTAGTAGCTGCCCGAGTTCGATGTCAGGCCCACATGTCGACTGTGCCGCTCTGCTGGCTGCAATTGGCCGTCCCAGCTGAGCGATTTTGCGACGCCTGTTCTTGGACGATGTTGGGAGCACAGACAGGAGATAGTGGCGCAGGGTGAGCAGGCAAGGATAGAAGCGTTGCAAAACAGGCTGTTCAATGGCTGCAGGTGTGTCATTCGCAGATTGGTCAACGACGTGCGCCTTCTTCCGAGGACCGCCCGCGTGGGATGAGCACTTTCGCTTCATGCTGGCCTGACGACATGGACGTGACAGCGGCGGCCTGAAGGATTTGAACGGTGCACGCGAGGGTGAAGTGGCAGAGAAGGAGCGAGGCTGGGCTGGGGCTGTGGTGGTGTTTGGGCAGCCGAAAGAAGCAGGCACGCGAAGCAGGCACGCCAACCAACAGCACGCGAGCGCTCAGCGCTCCAATATTGGCCGCGCTGGCCCTGGCACTGGCACTGCGCGCCGCACTGAGACGCCGCGAGACGTCCCCGGCTGTTTCTGGGCCGGAGCCAGAAAGGGGGAGTCGGCGCGAACTGTCACTGTCGTCCGAGTAGGGTTGCGCAGGAACCCAGGTTGACCTTGGGAGCTGCTAGGCTCGAGATGCTCGTGATGTGCGCTAAAGAGGCCGCCGGGCCATCTGTGGAGACGGCAGCGGCTCCCAGCGGGCAGGACAAGCGGGCAGGACACGCACAGCAGGCAGCGGAGGGCGTCTGAGGGCTTCCCTTGCAGGCTCGTGCGATGGCGGGCTGGCGGGCGACGGCTGCAGCGCCGTCAGGCAGGCGGGCTGCTCTTGCAGGCGAGGGCTAGCCCGCCCCGGCCACTCGCAGGCAGGCAGAGACAGGCCGAGCCGCAACGCTCGACTGGCGGACGTGCGGTCGATCTCCACACCACTCGAACCCACGTTGTCCCGTAGCCGTTGCCGCTGTTGACCACCGTGACGCCCGCCGCGCGCCTCTGCCCTCGACCGGACCGCCCCCAGGCGCGCTGAGTCGACACCGGACGCCGCACGCCGCACACTGGACCTCGCCCGCTGCCTGCTGCCCCCGACTGCCCGTCTCTGAAACCGCAGGCTCGCCGCCGCCGCCGCCCCCGCCCGCGATTGGCTGCTCTGCGCATCTGCCTGTGAGCTGTCGCCGCGACACCTCGCCCGCGGCGGACGATTGGACGTGCCGGTCGAGCACCGCCCTGATTCGCGCCCTCGCCTCCCACCCGCCGCGCAGAGCATGGCCCGGTAGACGAGGGACACCATGGCCGAGCCCAACTATGCATACAACCCGGCCGTGGCCAGCTGGGTGCAGTCCATGTCGCTGGCCGGCATTGAGGAGCAGGAGCTGGACGAGCACTCGCCGCGTTCCGTCCACGGCCACCACGGCGCCCCGGCGCTGCACGACGACTCGCCCGACAGCCCCTCGCCCGACGACTACTACAAGGCCGCCTACACGCCCGCCCCCGACCACGACCCCAGCCCCGTGCCGCTGCCCGACATGAGCGTGACGCGCCCGCGCCAGAACACGCTCGGCTCGAACCGCGTGCGCTCGCCCACCAGGGCAGGCCCGCGCTCCGTGTCCGGGCCCGCGTCGTCCGTGGCCTCGTCGCGCTCGCCGCCGCAGGCCGCGAACAAAGTCAAGGCTCTGGCCGAGCGTTTCGAGCGCTCGCCGGGCGGCGACGTGATCCCGTCCGTCATCCGCTCGCGCTCGCGGGAGCCCTCGCGCACCCACGACCCGCCCAAGCGCCCGGCCCCGACCTCGTCGCCGGCATACGGCACCTACAAGTTCAGCAACCTCAAGGCCCGGGACCGCCCGCAGCCCGCGCCCACGCCCGCCTCGCCGCCGCGCACCGCACGCCGCGCCACCAACGCCAGCCACGCCAGCCGCGCCAGCATCGACCAGACGCTGTCGCCCACACGCCACGCCGTGGCCTCGCCTACCCGCAACCCCGTCACCTCTCCGCCCCGCCGTCCGGGCCTCGAGCGCGCGTCGTCCAGCGCGCGCCAGCTCTTTGGCGAGATAGTGGGCGGCCAGGACGCATCCCGGCCAGGCTTCATGATCCCCACCTTCGCGAGCGCTGCACGTGAGGAAGCGGCCCAGGCAGCGCAGATCCCCCTGCCGCCCGTCAACGATGCGCACGACCTGGCAGGTGACCAGGTGCAGCTGCCTGCAACCACCTTCACCGCGCCGCAGCACCAGCGCTCGCAGAGCAATGCCACAACCGCTTCCTCCCGACACAGACAGTCACGCCCCACTTCGCGATCCGTCCAGTCTCCGCCCGTGCGGCAGTCGCCGCCCTCTCGCATTCCAGTCATGTCGCAGCGATCACGCCGATCGAGCAACGCATCAGAAGCCAGTTCGACAGCCCACTCCGTCAAGTACACACCTACTCGCAGCAACCGCTCGTCGCCCAACCGTAACATGACCAGACGGCCAGTCGGAGCCAGCACACCCGGGAAGAGCAACGGCGCCGATCATGCGACGCTACCAGCGTTAGCCTACCGTGGCTATCGGGAGCGAGGGAAGTCACCCGCAAGGACTGGACCCAGCGTACCAGCAGTCGTGACTGCCCCACCTCCACCGGCCTCCCCGCGATTGCGCACCTCGCGCGACAGACAGCCTCTGCAGTCTCCTAATGTACAGGGTAAAACAGGCGACTCGCACGGCGAGCTCGAGTACTTTTCGCTGGGCGATCAGCTTCACCCAAGAGCCGATCCTCTGGCGAGCCAACCAGAGCTGTTCAACGGTGAAAGTGAATCGCAGACCCTGAATTTCTCCTTCTCTCCAAGCGTGCTTTACCCCGATGAGCAGGAATTCGACCCAATAGCGACCGAGCACGCTCAGCAGGAGACCCACAGTTCGTCAAAGCACAAACAGTCTCTAAGCTTGCAGACTTCCGGCTTAGGCGCGTCTCCACCAACGCAGACGTGGTCCGCAGTGACAGATTTCGAAGAATCTCCGACCCTAGGCATCCCAGGTAGCTTTGTTTTAACACCTCCGATAGCTCATCGGCAGCCTCGAGAACCACGGCAATTGGAGCCCAAGCCTCAGCAAGAGAACCAGCAAGATCAGCAAGAACCTGAGATCGAGCTTCTCAGGCCAGCTATATTCCGCCAGGTGAGCGGCGGGCAGGCTCCGGAGCTGCCTCCGATCGAAGAATCGATCTTGGGCGTCAGAGAATCGATACCTATCATGTTCAATGATGAACACCTGCCCGGCGGCGAAGTAAATGGTGCGCACGACTTGCAGGAAGAGGAAAACCAATACGTCGTCCCTCCCAGACGGTCAGTGCAGGTGTATGGACATGAGACATTGCTGCCTGCACTTCACTTCAAAGGCGAGGAGGAGGAGGACTCGCCTACAGATTCCTTCCACGACGATCGTGATTCGGTGCATCCAGATGACTCCATCAGTGTGGCTCCCTACCGTTCATCAAAGCCGATGCACACCAAAAGCGAAACGTACAGTGTTATCAACTCTGTACTAAACCTCTATCATCAGTCGCAGGTCATATCCCCAGAACTAGCCCTGCTCTCTAGACAGAGAGTTCATCAAGTCTCGCCTGTAATAGCGCAACACCAGGATTGGGCGTCAAAGGAAGCCACTGAAACCTATCTCGCGCGGATCCTTAGTGACGCCAATGGGTCGCAACGAGACAGCGCGCAGGAGCAGCTGCGAGAAAGAGAATCCTTGCCACTTCTGACGCCGAACGTTTATCAAGCAAGGAAGCCTTCGCCAGAGCGTGCAAATCAAATACCTGCATTTGTCTTTCCTCCAGAGTCACATCGCTATTCTCGCGGTTCGCAAGGGTCTGCAACGACACTTATACAGGAGGATGCATCGCCGCCCGGCAGTTCCTTCGGCAATCCCTCACAGGACACCTTGTTGCCGAATCCTGCGGATGATGATGCGACATCTTCAACGAATGGTCTCGATCTGCCGCAGCTTGCTTGGACGAACGGAGGTCTTGGTTTGTCCATGAACAACTATATGCCACCTTCACCTACGGTCCCTTCACCAACAGTGCAACATCCACCACGACCCATCTACTCTCCGCCGCCACCACCGCCCCCTGCTAAGTCTCTAGACGATTTCCCGCCAATCTCGCCTTCCTTTCCATCATATCCATCCTCCGAACATGCTAGGCCGTCTCCTGCCTCGCAGATGGATGATCGTTTTGATGAGCATCCCGCACGCGCGCTCACACCTGTTGGTAACATGCACGACAGGAACTACGACGATAGCCATAGCACTACGAAATCTGCAGAGATTAGCGACAAGCCGCTACCAGATGTTGATGTGACCGAGGATGAAACTCCGACAGCATCTGAAGAACCGCCACCAGATCCAGCGCGACAAGCATTAACGAAGCGATATCGCATCCTTGAGGAAATACTAACCACTGAGCATCAATTTTGCATAGACATGATGATTGCCCACAACATCTTCGAAGCAACGGCTGGCAGCATCATGACAGAGAAAGAGAAGCGTGCTCTTTTTAGCAACTGCAAAGACCTGGAAAAGTTCTCGCTTGCTTTGTTCCGGGCTTTCAAGAAAGCGGCGAAACCGATCGTCAACCACGATATGCCACCTCCCACTGGTCCCTGGAGTCGCGATTCGACGGACTCCAAATCCTTTGGCTCTGCCGAACTACCTGCGAATTTACGATCGGATGAATTCAACCAGTTCGAGAACTGCACGCCCGAGAACGATCACATGACAACAATTGGCAGTGTTTTCGTTGACAATCTGGAGAAGATGGAGCGCTTTTACACGACGTACTACCTCAACTCGCAAAATCAACACGCATACATCAAGAAAAACCAAGCCAACCCAGAACTTCTTGGCTGGGTGGTGGCGTGTTTTGAGCAAGTCGAAAACATGACGCAAGCTTGGGACCTTGACTCTTTGCTTGTCAAGCCAGCACAGCGCCTGCTCAAGTATCCCTTGCTCCTGGAATCGCTGGAGCAAGCTACTGATGCTGACCACCCTGATCTTGAAAACATCAAGAAGGCTCGTCAAGAGCTGCTCGCCATCAGTGGACGTATCAACGATGCGAAGAAGCGCGCAGATACGTTCCGTGCTGCGACCACAGAAGGCAAGAAAGAGAAGAGCAAAGGCAAGGGACTTGGAAATGCTTTCGTCAAAGCTTTCATACCAAAGGCAGACAAGACGAAGACCTACGACGAAGCCGAGAAGACGTTTAAAGACATGGAGTACAAGTCTCGAGAACAGAAGTTTGGCGGCCACTTCTTCCAGCTTCAGATCGTCATGCGCGACTTCGAGAATTACCTCGATTCGATTACTGAGCATTATCTCCAACTCAATGTCGTCTTCCTAGGGTTCATCACAGTTTGCGAGGTTGCGCCTTCGGTTAATCCTGAGATTGAAAGTACGTGGCGTAAATGGGCAATGGCTCATTTTGAGCTTCAAAACAAAGCCCTTGAGGATCACGTAGGTGCCTGACCAGTATCGAGTTAGGTCTGCGCTAACCTCGATTTAGAAATCCGCTGTCCGCAGTCGTGTGTTAAAACCGATTGCAGATCTATGGGAGATGTGGGTATCGTATCAGAAGACCATCGAGCAGCGAAAGAAATATCTGCTCTACTACGTCAAACACAAACAGGCTGTTGACCGCGGTGAGAAACCCGACCCAGAGGTTGTGGCGTCGGCAGAACGTTTCACGACGATTAACGATACTCTGAAGCTTGAGCTGCCATTGTTGTACGACAAGACAAAAGCTGCCATGAGGAATGTGATGACTCTTTTCATGGCGCTCCAAAAGGACTGGTACAAAACATGTTCGAAGAAAATCCTTCCGCTCTTGGAGACCGAACCACAACACACTACCTCCATAGTCTACGACTTGCAAGCATACACAGAACGCTTCAAGTCAGACTACAATCTGCAAGAGCAGAAGGCAAAGGGCTTCGGTATTACCAACAGTCAACGTCTGCTGCAAGAAATCTCAAGCATGACATCACCAGTGCCATCCGATGGTGCTGGCTCTACGCGCAACTCTCAGTCCCGGCGCACCGAATCCATGAGCAGCGAGGCGTCTGGCTTCGACCCGCGTAATCGACACAGTGGCGGTTACAGTTCGCGGTCTAACATGCGCTCTATGGATGGGCCTCCACGCTCATCGCCCGCAGGCCCAGCGTATCCATCACTATACCAGAACTCGAGCTCCTCCCGAAACAACTTCGGGCCTGCGTCCTCCCGTGAAGCAGCTCGAGTGCTCAGCCCAACATCGGACAACAGCGAGGCGACGACCGTTCGCCAGTCGGAACGCCGCAATTCAACAAGATCCAGAAACCAACCCTACGCGGGTATGGACGGTGTTGTTGATTTCGAAGACCGCACTTCGCTCAATACCGGTGTTTTCGACTTCCCGCCTCAGTTGGGCGCTTCGTTCCTCTCGCCTACACAGTCGAGCATGTTTACCCTGTCTACGCCGAATTCGCAGCCTCCGTCTCTCCCGGGCTCTACTCGACAATCCGGGGTCTTCAATTCAGCTCTTCCGATGTCTGACACGCCCAACCGCGGCAGTGCTGAAGAGCTTCCCATGACACCTGGCGACACAGACGAACCCGAGGTCCTTTTCTTGGCAGCAAGTCTTTTCGAATTCAACATTGCGCACGATCGTCGCGAAGGCGGTATTCCTTATCTTGTCTATGTTCCGGGCGAGATCTTCGACGTCATCGGCATGAAGGGTGAGTTGTGGCTGGCACGCAACCAAGACGATTCGAAAAAGACAATTGGCTGGATCTGGGAAAAGCATTTCGCGCGTATTCTTCCTGAAGATGCCTGATGTACCGGGAAATACATGTTCACATTTCAGTATCTCTACAGATGTCGGGATCTCACTTCTTCGGACCGTTTTCTCTAAGAAACCTTTCTCTCTCCTTTTTTCGCTTCGCAAGGTCCACACCTTCTTGCTCTTTCGAACTTCTACACGTATTTTGTTCGCGGTGGGCTTGGCGCTTTTTTTTTGGGATGGGGCAAAGAGGGTGTCTGGAGGCGATCACGAGCATTGCTGGCGCAATTTCTGGCCATGTATGAAACGATTTGCGGACATGGTGGGATATCGGGGAGTAGCTCGGCGCTACATGGGGCTGTATGATATAGCAATAACACAATGCATCTAACAATGTCCATCCAACGGCCGCTGCTTGTCGTCGTGCCTTGCTTTCCCCGCTTGCCAATGCTGTGTACAAAGAGACTTGAACGTCGCCTGGGATGCAACATGTTTTTTTGGTCGACCAGTGGTCGCGTTTCGGACAGGTGTGGGGATACATGGTATACCGTTCCGCCCTCGCCCTCGCCCTCGCCGCTCTCAGCTTCGGACTTGCACCTTTGTGATCAGGCAGTTCCCACATCTGCCACTGCCACATCTAGGGCAGGCTGAGCTTCTGTATGGGATGGAAGGGTATCCACAATAACACTGTGGTACGTTAGCTGGCGTTCGCACTAGGTATTAAGGTTCGTGACTTGCGCACTGCCAAATATAGGTATGCTTTTTCTTGGATGAGACCTAAGTAGATCCGCTTCATTAGACTCTTGACAAAGTGGTTCTGAACATATGGGGCCCTACGAGTGTGTTGATCGACGGACAATCGCCTTGTTGCACAGTGTCGATCGGCGGGTAATCTCCATGTTGCACAGAATTGGTTTGACAGCAGGGTCTCTCTATCGGATTTGCGAAGGCATAGTAATTGCTTTTTCTGGACGACATATCTAGAGCACGGTACTTCCAGTGTAGAGCTCGGTCGACGCACTTCTGTTTGGAGCTGCTAGACTTCTAATAGTAACCAATTGCACAAGGAGCAGTGTAAGAGTAGAAATGTCGAGGCTGGATATGCTGTATCCATTCAACATGTCCACATTCTTCTTATATTGCCCAATCTAGCGTCACGCAGATGCCCCTTTTCTTAGAATATGTGATATTCGTTGACACTACGCGGTGTTACCGACGCGGGCCCATGCATGCGGCAAGGCAGGCTCTATAGCAAATAACGCCGTGTTCAGCTATTGTGCCATGACAGTGCCCATCTCCGGGCAAGCCACGATGCTGGCAGCCGTTTCGTGTCTCTACTGGACTTATGTGCTGTCGATCAGCTCGGAATGTACTTTTCACAAACACGGAGCATAAAGCACGATGCCTACAAAGGGGTTACACGTCGGGCTGATACACTGTGCCAGCGCAAAATCCATCTAGTAAGTCAGAGGCTCTAGGGGAGTAGTGTAGCTGCTCTGGATTGGCCAAAGGATACCCGTGAACTTTCGGCCGGAGGAATATCCCCACTGTAAGCACCTGGGGCAGTACTGCATAGGAGGATGCCTTCTGCTCGTAAGACGGCTGCTTCCGTTCGCAAAAGCTATACGGGGCCCCGGCTCGCTTAGCTATTTATCATTCGTAGGGGGAAGCATGGCTCATAGCCGCAGAACGCTAAACGTCAACCCCGTCGCTACATCGTCTCCCCGATTCGCCAATGTCCTCCTCATCAGACAAACTCTAGAATTACCTTTACCTTTCTTAGGCAAACCTCTCACTCATGACTCGACTTCGTTGTCGTACGAGTTGAGTATAAATTGACACCCACAGCCAAGTCAATTCTTTAATTTCCTACGTCGAAACCTAATGCTATGCTATGCAAAAATTGCGATATGTCGAACGCAGTTGCTCTGGTGTCGACGTTTTGAGTGAGTATAGCGACTTCTTGAGCGCATGCAGATGATGGTAGAGTTGGTGGTTGGGGAGGCACGTAAGTGTGGTCGATGACGAACGGGTGGTTGGCAAGAACTTGTGATGAAAGCAAACGCTTCGTACTTGCTAAGGAGTAGAAAGGTATATGTAACAGTCTTTGAAAGTTTGAAATTAGCCATCATGTTATCAAAAATAAAACTCTAATACTACATAAAACATACAATACGACGTAGCCTGATTGATCGGCACGGACCGATTGGCTGTAGAGCTAAATCTCCAACCCCATACAGGCTAGCGAGAGGATTTGCTTTTTTCGGAGGATAGCGCTATGCTAGGCTTGATTAGGTACATAGGTAGGACAGTGAACACAAGGTTGCAGAACGAACCTCAACAACCAAGGTTCCGCATACATCTGCAGGAGTATTCTATACACTCAATTCAGTGATACCTATGTATGCTGGGGGATGTCGTTTTTGGCTGCAATAAATCTGGGAAGCCCTCTGTTGGCTAAATTTTGGCATAGGTAATCAATTCGGCCTTATTGTCGCCCTCTAGAGAAGTTTAGCATAGGTACTCGATCAGGGACGCGTCACGACCGGCTTGGCTCACACTAGAGACCATGCTTGCGGTCACTCTGTTCCCGCATTTCTCTCATGTGCACGCGGATTGTTTGCATCGACAGACACGTGGATGTGTTTACGCTCATTGACGATAACGTGCTGCGTTCAAAACTAGACTCACTCGAACAGACACCAACTATATCTCAAGTTTGTATCATTGTGTGATTGTTTTCAATATATCCCGTCGGGAGCAATGCCGAGCCCAGTAAGATAACGAGCGTGATCAGTCTGTACTCAAAAGGCAACATGAACACAAAAGCTATTCATACTAGTGTCATCTAAACAGTCGTCAGAAGACTACAGGACTACGGTCGGTCATATATGGTAGTTTACTAGTCCCTCTTCCAGAGTCACCGCTTTCTGCTGCTTTCCAGCAAGTTTATCGGTAAGGAACTTCCTAACCTGGTCCACAGCGTGAAGAATGTATGTCAAGAGAAGAAGACTTGGAACTAACACGCAGATGCTGACCCAAAACATACGTGGACTTCTCTCGAACTTGAAAAGTGCGCGTTCAGAGCAGAAGTACTGCAGGGCAATAACAACGGCAGTGGTGACCATGAGAAGTTGAACGTTGAGACGAGTGAAACGACTCATCTCTTCAGCGAACTTCTCGCTCTTTGCAGCACTTTCAGCAACGTACGTCGTCGCATCGGTCTTTACGCGGCTCATGCTATGCTTCAATTGACGATCAAAGCCCTCGGCCGACTCTGTGCAGATCTTGAGCATATCGTCCAATGCCGCTACAAGCTCAGTCAACATTTCCACGCTTTGTTCAATCCCCAGTAAGGCATAGCGAGCATTGCCGTCCTGAAGATCATCGAAGTATTGAATATCTCCTCTTTGCCCACTGAACCGGTTCCAGACCGCAATAGCCCTTGAAAAGCGCTGGTGGAGTCGGCGAAATAGTTTGGTCATCTCTCCAATGCATCGAAGTGACTGTTCTAACTGGTGGTCATCAACACTTCGACAGCCTGGCCGAAGGTAATCATGTTCTCTCACCTAACAAAGTCAATACCGAAGTTATAAATAATGGTTCGCCTACTTACCCAAATTTCAACGGCCTCTTCCAATTTGCGGACGAGGTACTCGTGGGACTGAACCACGACTCCGAATCGATGCTGTACTGCTCGTAGGAAGTAAAGCCTCGGGTCCATGATTGGACTCACGGCGATGAGGATACTCTGGCAGCCGCAAATGGGATAGCCATAGCCCTGTATGCTTCAGTGGTGATTCTTTTCTACTGCTCAGATTGCTTACTTCTGTAGATGTGACAGTTATCGAGGTTTTGCCTGCTACGTGTCCACGTATGACATTTCTCAAAGACATCGCTTGATCGTAAGATGCACTCGACACTAACGCCGTCATGATATGGGATGTCAAGTTTGGGATGAATCTTTATGGCGTTAGCCAACAGGCGTCAGGCGAAAATCTTTGGAGGCCTATTGTCAACCGAGAGTGTGTTGCTTACGTCAAAGATCTCCGGACATCGGTGTGTATAGACGGTCGAATCCGCTTTGGAGGTCAGCCGAAAAAACACAGCAAACTTTGGAAGAAACTAATTACCGGCGGTGGGATGATGGTGGAGAAGTCACTTGTAGTCAGCCACCTTGACTCGTGCTCGGCACCTTCGCTTGATCCCAAGACTCCAGGACCTTCGATACGACAATCAAGCCAAATGCGGGACTCAACAATAGAACCTGGTTGACTCAGTAATCTTTCCACCTGTTCGACTTCCCATGACGCTCCAGCAGCATCCGTGTTCTGGAGAAGCGCGGTCACAGCATCAATCTCTAGTCGGTTCTCGGTGAGAGTATCGATAAATGGTCTGTCAAAGAATTTGCGCCTCTGGAAGAAGCCCGGGAACCATAATTTGGAGGTTCTCAAGCCGCGCCTTTGCTCAGGTCGTATTAGCACGTGTTTCCTGACTTTTGACGAAGAGGATCGGTAGACAGCAAGCTTCATGATCCTTTGGGTTACAGGGTTCGATTTTGACTTCTTCTGTGGCTAGAGCTGTTCGCGAAATATCTGGCCAGGGAAATGGCTTGACAGTTCATGCTCTCGAGCAGAACGTTTGCGGTATGGACAATGTATGGAAGAGTGAAAGAAAGGAGTGGTGCGAATAGTATGCAGCCCTGTGTTTTGTGCTGTAGCGGTTGCAGTACACAAGTGAAAGAGGCTAAATACATATACATAGAGGGTAAACTTGCTGATCGGTCAGAGATAGCGGTTTCCGCAAAGCCAGATAGAAGATTGTCCTACCATGCGGTGCTCTGTGCAATGCTGTGATTGGTATTAACAATGATCAACCTCCATTAAACCAATGCATGTGGCCTGGTGACCGGTAGCTCTTCAGACCTGTTGTATGACTTCCAACCAGCTTCGCAAAGCATTGCCCAGCGGACACGTTTCATTGTTCGTATCGTTGTAGAAATGGTCACGATGCATGTAAAGCAGTCATGCGAAAGGTGGATTGAGGCTGAGCCTATTTCTCGAAGGGCAACCTACTGAGGCTTTCTAGGGAAGGATACGGCATGACAAACAACATATCTGATTCGCTAAATCTTTACGATATTAACGGTCCATAACAGCTTTCTGGTAGCTTCACTCGAGATTAAACACAAGGCAAATCGTTTGCCTTCCCAACTACCGTTCTTGGGCATCCATGCGTCAAGCTGCATGAAGGACCTACCAACTCACGGCCCAACTTGTAGAAGCTCTCTACGTGTCAATCTGCGAATTGTCCGGGCCATCAAGCTTAGACATGAGATCCTGTGAACGAATCTCTCACTCCTGCAGTCCAACTTCCGATCGCGGTGACTCCGTGAACAGGCACACAAAAGGTAGTTACCTAGGCTATGCTTAGCTACATAAAAGCTCCAGTTTGCGAAATCGATAGAGAAACAATTGGTCTGCCCACTGATCGAGGCTATTTCTTACAGCCGGGCATTGCTATCAAGTTACGTGCACATCAACTATACAGGTAGGACGGGAGTGAAGAGAAGAAGACCAGTCTTACCTGCTTCCGTTGAACTCTCGTCAGTTTCGGTACGGATAATCCCCAGATTCACCCAACGAGCATAGATGCGTCATTTCAAAACGTGGCAATGGATCCGCTTTTACCCGCTTCCTCCACGCCTGTTACCAAAGGGGCGGGTCTACGGGTAGCACGCCCTGCGCTCTGTTGCGATGATCATGTGAACATTACGGTAGGGCCCGAGGCTTCCTAGGAATACGACCGCAGGCTTGCGATGCCAGCAACGTGTGCACAAAAGTTGGCCAATCAACAAACAAGCGTTGGACAGAGCCCCATGCCCATGAACAGAAGAAAATTAACAGCCGGATTCAATTCTAGCGTGGAGAAATGCACGAGGTCAGTCGTATTCCCGCCGATGAAATCTTGCAGATCGAGCATGCAAGGCTTACCCTTGCATGACGTAAGCCTGACCAACTAATCCAGCCTTGTCCGTGGGCCACTAGGTAGGTTCATGACGATATCTTCACATAAAGAACACGCCAGTACGATGCTGGATCAAACCTAACATGACGTAGAATTTTTGTACGCGACCCACAGGATCTACAGGACAGGCCACGGGCAGGCACCTAGCTAAGTAGCGTTCAATGTGTATTGTATGCCATTACAATTGCAGTTATTATAGCGATTATATTTAGATACCTAAGCAATATCTCCACAAGAGCACTAAACTTGTCAGCTAAGACTGATTGGGAACATCTGTTTCGCTTTTATTGGGCTTTACATGCGCGATACTTGGTGATATCGTAATTCGAAGCATCTTCTTCCAAGTCAGCATTGATACTTCCCCTAACTTGGCGCCTTGCTAAGAGTCTTTGCACTGATTGCAGTCTATCTCAGCGAAGACTGTAATCCTCAAACCATTTCAATAAATTTAGCTGCCGCTACTAATTTACTTTGTATGAGCAGATCGTTTGGGTACTTCTATCGATCAAACAGTTCTGGGGTCTCACCGGACAGGTCACTGTGACCGAGAATAATAGTTGATGAATCAAGTGGATATCCTTGAATGGTTCAACGTCAGCAGCCGTGAGTACGAATGGGTTTGAAGAGGGGAATTTGGGTGGATATGATGACCGAAAGATGCCTTCCACAGTGGATCTGTGCTATTTAATCTATAAACACTTCAGAACTTTGTTCAACCTCACATGGTGGCAACTGAGACTATCTACAGCAGATCATTAGGAGGACCGGGGACCCTGACTTGCTCAGCACGACCAGTTTACAGTGTGACAAGGACCAATACGACAGAAACCAGACTCGCCCCAGCAGTTCACAGGCCACACTTACCGTGCCAGCTAAAGCAACCCGGACAAGAAGGTTCAGGGAATCACTGGAGACGGGGAAGCGGAGAAGACCGGCTAGCATGCTGTGTATCAGTGTGTCACACTGGTATTTGAGATTTGAATGCACGCTTTTGGCGAGCACCACAATTAGCAGTAACGATACAGAAATACGCTCAAGTGACTCTTGTCTCAACTGACCTGACAGTACGACAGGAGGTGCGTCATTCAAGAGGCGGAGTATGCGCTGCTGGAGCAATAACAATCCAGTGAGCCTCAGGTTGAAGCAGAAGATGAACAAATGCTTTTATAACACCGGGGCGTGCAGGACTCTGAGGCTATGTAGAGGCTGTGCAAGGCTCTCGTAACTCCGATGTCGGTGAGTGTTTTGGAACTATCGTTTACCTGCAAGATAAACATATGACATGTGTAGCAGGCTTGCCTTGTCGATGTCTATCAGATTTCGGGTCAACGGTACGTTGAGAGGCAGCATCGAGTAGACCCCTTTCGGCATCCTGTGCAGGGTTGTACGAGGCGCTGGATCCTGGTGTAACCATGAAGGGGTCTAAGAGTCGCTTGATCAATGATAGTACCACAACATGTAACCTCTGTTATCTCTTGCGAGACATATTTCTTGTCATTGCGATGTGGTTCCAATATGTGTGAGTTAATCTTGACTGAACCTCGAACTGACCAATTATCTAGGTATCTGTGTGCAATCTTAGTGAATAAGAGGAAATAATCCATCTCACTCCTTTATGTACTTATGCAATTTGACGTACCAGCAATTATGACTCCGGCTTTCCCGCTTTGGAAGGTCGTTGATGTGAAGGGCGCGCACCTTCCCGTTTGCGCAGTAGTTGATGACTCGAGCGAACCCATTGGTCAAGATTGGGCGGCGAAGTTTCGAAAAAGGGCTTCCCCGGATTTATATCTCCATGTCAAAAATTCAACGACAGCTACGTAGAACCAGCCTTTGTACCCAGATCTAGCTTCGAGTTCCTTTGCATTCTTTGCAGATTGTTATCATGGAGCCCGACATTGAGATGGACATCCAGTCCAGGCCCATTTCCCCCACTTTGCCACTACCCGACAACTCCTCGAGCCAAATCCTCCACAAAACATCTTCGAAACAAGATGCAGAAGTACAGGTCGCTAGCAATGTCATACCAAGAAGTAAATTCCGGATGTTCGCCATTCTGACTGCGCTGTTTGTACGTAGATCGCCTTCCATCGCCAATTGCTTCCTTGGGCAGCATGCTGAATGTTCTAGCTTTCCCTTTTTGTCGCTGCTCTGGACGCTACGATAGTTGCTACCGCAGCGCCCACAATGTCTCATGACCTGCACTCAGCAGCAGGCTATACTTGGATTGGAGGCGCTTTCCTCCTCGCCAATGCCGCATCGGGACCTATCTGGGCCAAGTTGTCAGATATTTTCGGCCGCAAACTCGTCATGCTGCTTGCACTAGCTGTGTTCTTCGCTTCATCGGCCGTGTGTGGGAGTGCCGCGACCATGGAGGCGCTCATCATCGGTCGCGCGTTTCAGGGTGCTGCTGGTGGTGGCTTGATTCTGTTGGTGCACGTTTGCATTAGCGACATGTTTAGTTTGAGACAGAGAAGTCTGCTGCTTGGACTGACAGAGGGAATCTGGGCGCTGGCTGGGGGTATCGGACCGATCCTAGGTGGTGTATTTGCAAGTGTGGTAAACTGGAGATGGTGCTGTAAGTCTAAAGCCTGTCCCGTGAGGATCTGGAAACTGTACTGACATTTACAGTCTGGATCAATCTGCCGATTAGCGGACTTGCAGCTATCCTGATCCTGATATTTCTGGATATCAAGCATGAGCACACGTCTTTCATCGAAGGTATGAAGGCGATCGACTGGCTGGGCATGTTTACCTTCCTCGGATGCACCCTCATGGTCCTGCTTGGTCTTGACTTTGGAGGCGTCCTCTTCCCCTGGGATTCGGCAAAAGTCATCGCGTTGCTCGTCGTTGGTGGCTGCATGATCTTCGCTTTCATTTATAGCGAGGCGAAATTCGCCAAGTACCCTTTGATCCCTATGTCTCTGTTCAAGAACAAGACGAATGTGGCTACTTTCTTGGTGGTCTTTTTTCATGGCATTGTAAGTTTCCTCTGTTCAAGCGTTGATTTGTTCTGACTGACTGATTAGGTGTTTATTGCGTCTGAGTACTACATGCCCTTGTTCTTCCAGTCTGTCTTAGGAGCCTCTCCACTTTTCTCTGGTGTGCTCCTACTACCACTCATTCTCACCACAGCTATGATCGGTGTCCTGTGCGGTGTAATCATTCATCGTACTGGACGCTTCCGAGAGATCATGTGGGTCGGCTGCGCCTTCATGTGCTTAGGGACTGGTCTCTTCATTCTATTCGATCCCAAAACAACCACTGCGCAGGCAGTCGGTTTCCAGATTATCGTTGGTCTGGGGCAAGGCATGCTCTTTGAATCACCACTCATCGCGATCCAGAGTCAGGTCAAACAGGCTGACGTAGCGACTGCTACTGCAACGATGGCGTTTGTGCGCAACATCGCCGTCTCAATCTCAGTTATTGTTTGTGGGACAATCTTCCAAAACTCGATGTCGAACAGAAACGGCTACCTACGCGCTGTTGGTCTGCCACAAGATGTGCTGGATCTGCTGGACGGCGAGAACGCGTTAGCAAATGTCATGGTACCAAGTACACTCGAAAATCCAGCGTGGGTGTTTGCCGCGAAACAGGTGTTTGCTTGGGCAACGCGGAATATGTGGATCATGGTGACCGTAATCGGCTTTTTGGCGCTTGTCGCCAGTGCGTTTGTCGATGCCGCACATCTGGATACCGAGCATGAGGAGACCGTGACTGGTCTACGGAAAGAGAAAGGACCATCTACACCAGAGACAGTTTCAACCTGAGCTAGCGACTAGTGATTCACTGGATAGCTCATGGTGACTGATAGATGGAGACGAGCTAGATATACTTGGACAGGATACAGATTCGATGTCGCGGAAACAGGATAAAGGGGTGGGGCTTATTGAAGTGCTATTTGCCAAGATCTTTCTTAAGATCTGGACAGCACAATAGCAGACATTTCTGTTACTCAACGTTACTCCGAGAAGCGATCACAAAGCAAGCTATAATCAACAGCGTGCGACCGGCATTATTATTGGTCCCAGTGGCTTGACTGCAAGGGACAACTCCACCTATAACGCAGCGATTTCCTAAAAGGGATCTTCGTAGACGTGGGGATTGCCCTGAGTCAAGAAAATCTTTGCAGTATTTGTCTAAGCCTTCTTTTGACGGGTCGATAGCTGCGAACAAATCTGGAGAGAAGATTCAACGGATGACATGGTCTTCAAATGACAATTTTATCGTCAAGCAATCTTTCCCTCCACAATGCATATCGTTCTGCATACGCCACAACGCCCTAAGTTCGGATTGAGGGGTACACGTGTGATGCATTGCACGAAAAATATTGTTCTGCGTGTCATTCTGCAAACGCAACAATGACCTGATGCTAGCTCATTGGTGTCCAGCACAAAACCTTGTAAATGAGTCAAAGGCCTTGAGCGTGGATTGAAGGGTACATGTATGATGCATGGCAAGAAAAACACTGCTCTTTTACAGGGGTAGGTGAGAAAGAGAACTGCTTCGACGACCCTTTGTGATCGACGCCAACCCTGTTACTAGCTGGGAATGGTCTTCGACTGCATCCTGTTTTCTTGTACACCTTATCTATGGCGTCTTGATTCAGCCAGCTATAAGTATGGTCTGCCACGCTTCTTCTTGGTGTGCCTTCCAAGGTTTGAGTTTTTCAACGTTTGCGCAGCTCTCATTCGTTAAACCTTTTCTGAAACAAGGATGCGGTGTGGGTACGTGTCAAACAGTACTCTGCATGGCCCCAACTATCTTAGTCTCATACTTGGTTGGCTACCCAGTCACGGCACGGTAATGTAAGGTCAGTCCGAAGCTGCCGAGTAGCTGCATGTGCGCGACTAGAACCCGCACATAAGAGGGGCTAGCATATTGTAAACCAGTAAGATAGCTGGTACTCAGCCTTAGACAAGCCAGTATCTAAACATATTCTAGAGAGCACTGTAGTTACTACTGAAGCTACCGGCTTGATTGTGTACAGTCTTTCTATGCGATGCGTGTAAGGCCTCCTAGTCTTTCAAGAGCGTGTCGGAGCTTTTATCGTAGGACAGTGTCTGCTTAGAAAGTGCTGAAAATATACTAAACTATGAAGTAACACCGCAACGCGATGATCGGTACACATGCCCATTCAACAGAAACCAGCGTTTAATGCTCCGTGTAGAACAGTACCTAGTGGGTGCATACATGTTGATGACAGCGACATCTAGGTAGGTCTTGACGAAAATGAGTGCTACTCTAGCTGCCCAATGCTGCGGGTCGGATTTCGGCGCCAGGAATGTGACGACCATCTATAACTAGCTCTTGATACCCCAGAAAAACCCAGAGCCCAAAGGGCTTGTTGCATGCCAGCGTCATAATTTCACCGCCTCTCTGCTAAGAGACTGCTCCTGACTCAGGTGGCCTTGAGGTATCTAGGTATGGTTCTGGGGTAACAATTGCAGTTATTGAGCTGATCCGCCGACCAGCTCTGCTGGCTGAATTGTTTTTCACTTCGAGGTATGTCATTAGCTGATTGGCTGAGCAGCCGAGAGGTTTAAGATTCTAGGGTACGTACCAGGTATCCATGGACGCGAGCCGACCTGATGCAGAGGGCTTCTTGCATTGTCTTTGCTTCAATACTAACGGATTATCTGGCAGCTACAAACAATCGAGAAACCTTCAGGCAGACTGCGGTATCAGGAACCTGGACATTGACGTTGGACTCTCCCCTCCTTCTTCCCCGCCTTAGGCACATCAAGTCCTCAACAGATCCCGGCTGTTCTGTTAGCCACCCGCAAAGCAACGGATCCAAAAATATACGTCTGCTACAAGCTAGCAAGTATCCGGCTTGCCAAATACTTGAATTGGCCAATTGGTTAGCCTCTCAATCATGAAGCGATGGCGATATAAGGCACGATCGGAGCGCGTAGATTTGCCCAAAGGGGCTACTGCAACAACCGCCACCATTCCTGTCACACCGACTCTTCCAAGGCATGACAATACCGACTCGCCATCACGAACTCATGTGAGTGCGTGAGTAGCAGATTGAAAAGAAGATGAATAGCTTATTCGGAGCCTCTAGGCCGCCAAAAAGAAGTACAGCTACGTGTGGCAATGTGTGGGTGCTGCACTTTGAAGCCTGAGGTATGTCACTCTGACTGATCTCGAAATAGTGCTATTGCGGATATCCGACTATTCCGTATAGGAGCGTCGCATGTCCTTCATGCGGCTGTGGGCGTTGCGGCAACTGTTGCATCTCGAAAGTCCAAGTCAAATAATACGTTCGAGGATTGGCGGTGGAAGCCGGAGAGTAATTTCGCAATCACAACACGCGCCAAACCCTGGAGATCTCGTCAGTTTGGTTTCAAAAAGAAGGACAGGAGCCATCGAAATGCTGCAAGGGCGTTCGAAGGGGAGTGTGCCATATGTTCAAGAGGTGTTGACTACTAGACCATTTTGATTCACTGGCGTTTTCTATGTCGCTATAGCTACAATATTGGGTATCAGTGTGAATTTGAGTCTGCGTGATCGAAATGCGCCGATGACAGTTGACAAGAACAACCACAACACTTACAGCAACGGCAGGCGGGAAGCAGTGGCGCACGCGATTTGTTGACAACATTTTCTGCGATGTCTAGGGAAAATAATGCAAGCATCATTTGCTGACACATCCGTGCGCCAGCTTCGTGGCGCTCACACCTACCCGGTACCCGTTCCTCCCGACGACATCATTGTCCCTGTCGTTTGCTTCGGCGCGATCCGGACCCACCTGCTCTTCACAGAATAGTGTTTAGATTGCTGTGCTATATTCAGATCACATACAGAGGCTGGCGTATCTCGTGATGTTAGCAAGCACAAGCTTTGCGTGTCGAATGCATCTGGTCCCGGGATCAGCCTTTGGGTTACCTACATCGCAACGTGTCTCCACAGCCGTTATACCCCGCAAGTTTTGGCCCTATGGCCACCATTTTGGTGACTCAAGCATGACAGCAGTCTCGTGAGACAATAGGCAGCTCGTTTGCAATACATTACATCTTCACACACCCAGCTTATATCATACACTCAGCCTTATCATGAGTCCAAACTAGCAAATGCCATTACCTTCTCTTCCCTTCGACACCTCCAATATCCACTGGCAATCGAACTCTACTCTGCACTGGTCTGTAGACTTGGACTTCATGCTGATCTATATTTTGTCACCTAAGATTCATTACCTAGGTAGACAGGGATAGTTGCACTAGCGCGAAACGAGAGTCCTCCATGCAAGGCGGCCCAGTCCAAAGTTGCGACCTCGGTACCCGAAGCAGGTGAGCGATTTGCCTTACAAGCCCTCCTTTGGTTTGTGACCGTGGTACTAGTGGTAGGCTCTCCGTCGCCACCTACAACCACGAATGATAGCTCGTCACACATTGCACTGCCCGTTTGTTATTGCTCAGATAAAGGACCACACTTTGAACATTCAGCCCACGTCTTTGCCGTGTGGACGATGCCTTATGCGGCATGACCTTCTGCAGGTCGATACATGATGTGCCATGTGTTCGGACTGCAATGAGAGGTCCAGGTATTTGGGTTGGCACAACCGCCTCCGCATGACTATTGGTCACCAAGTCGTCGGTACTGGCTTGTACGAGCTAGTTCAAGAAGGCAAAGACGCTAGAAAGTCGCTTAGATCCGATATCTACGGAATAACAAGGCTTTCGAGGGTCTTGTTCGCTCGGATACGCTGGAATCGGAGGCGAGAGCTACAGGTATCATTTCTAGCATATATTGTGGTCATGTCTTACTCCTGGGGAGTGTTCCTGGTAGCACACATCAATACATCCACCTCCATCAACTAAATCAGTCTGGTGACCACAGGACGATAGCATGAACGTTTCTTTATTCTCACGGCAAACCGTAATTGGATCAAAGTTGGCCCACATACCTAATATTCAGGCTCGAGAGATCTGCCCAGATCACAGGCTGATAACCTACGATCATCCGGATTCCGATCTTCCTGTACTATGGGCGAACAGAAGGCTGGATCCGCCTTGTTACCTGGTTTGGACCAACCTGGGAAACGATGGCATCCGGATTTTTCTATGAACCGCCGTAGAGACCGGCAAGTTGGCGATCGACTCTTCAAGGAAGCATTAGAGAAGATTGAAATGGAACGTGGTCTTTTGGAAGCTTTCCTTAGGGATGTAGAGACTTCTGGGCCCGCGTTCAAGGCAATTCAAGTTCGGAAATTCTTCCGTAATTCAGACCGGGGCCTTGATGCCAAGATTTGGATGGACTTTCGTGTTGAAAGCAATCAGGATCAATATACGCATCCAAACTGGCTCACCTCAAATGATATGGCAAGAATACTCGAAAAGCTGGTGAGTGCTTTCACGGGCATTGTTAGGACCAAATTAACTATTCAAGCGCTCCCATTCCGCATCCTCCTTGAATACCATTCGGCAATTGACGTGAGTTCCTCATATCTATGCTTCCTAATTGTTTTGTGCTCAATTGTGCCTAGATTTGTTCCTATCCTTACTCCGAAGGCGATTGAGGACCTCGTTATCACTGCGACAAGGAACGAGATCGACGCATTGAGACCAGCGGTATGTCAACACATTGCTGGCGAAACTCTCATTCGTGTTGAAATACCTGTTCGTACCATCCAAGCTGTCAAGTAGTCAACCACTCATGAGAAATAGGCTGAAGGCTTTTCGACCTTCAAACTGATACTGAATCTGCCTTATCTGGTACTGGAGGAGACCGAACAAGATCCTGCTGACCCTAAGCTGCTACCCAACGGCCAGATTCGAAAGCAGTGGGCGGATCTGTCGGATCTACCTCTTGAGTCCGATAACGGTGAGATATCGAACCGGTTTGCTATATACAAGTCCCAGATCACTGTCGTTATATCAGGGTACGATGATTCAAAGTGGTTCGGATACGCATTTGGCAGCGTTGGACCAGATGATCCTACTCCAGACAAAGACGACGGTACCTGCGCTGACCAGGAAGAAGAAGACTTTGTCCCGGAGCCAGTGGAGGACCTCTTTGCTACTGGTGGTTCAGATACCTTCTTCGGCCTAGAGAATCCGATTTGGGACCCTAGGGTTTACTTTCTCAAGGTAGTCCGTATCAGGTTGGATATCGCCGTACAGGCGTATGAGTATCTCGTACGTACAATAGAGGCTGGGGTCAAAGACTGGGTAGGTCGGTATAAGCTTATCCTGATCGCTATGCTGACGCAGTCTGTAGACCCGAGGGGTGAATAACCACGATTCTAACAAGAAAGCTCTGGAAAAGATCATATACCTGACCCTTCTCTTACAGGATTTAAAAGGGCACTTCTCACAGGCCATCTCAGCCTGGGAGAATTTTGATGGTACCGGAGATGCTTTGTACTTTGCAGATCTACGGAGCCATCAAGTCGCATACCAGGCGTTGAGCGGTATTGAGAAAGCGTTCGAGACCATCGTCGACCTCCAACGAACATTGACACAAATGGAAAACAGGTGTCGAGCTTCGACCACTATTGTAGACGCTATTCACTCCATTAGACGATGGATACTGACATGTTTTGCAGCTCCAACTCCGCATGACTGATGAGAACAATCGAATGACCCAAGAGAACAATCGCTTGACCTCCGAGAGCATCGTGCTGATCAGACGAACGACAGGTATTAACCTGATAACAAGCCGTCACAGCGAAGAGGCTGCAGCAAGCGCGGCCGAAAGTTCAAGATCTGCCGAAGAAACAAGTCGTTCGACGCGCATCAATGTTCAGGTAAGACCAGCGTTCGTATCTGGATGTAAATTTGATCTGACATGTCTAGCTCTTCTTGTTTGGAACAGTTTTGATGATTGTTCTCCAGTACTTTTGCTCAGAGCGAGCACTCTTTCCTTTTGAACGAACACAGCGAGCTTTCTGGATCAGTATCGCTGTTCTCATGCCTTCTTTTACGCTCCTCTCCACTATTCTGTACCGCTTCGACCGTCTTAGGGAATCTATCCTCAGTCAACTGATTGGAACAAGGAGGAAAGACGCAACTCTAAAGGTCCCATGAGTATGTTTTACCCTTCAGTGTTCAACATCTGGAAATTTTTGCTGAAATGAAATACAGGTACGGTCGACACAGTGTTGTCAATATATTCGGGGTTGGTCATCAAGCTTCTCAATATACTTAGTTACGTAGCTTAAATGCCAGAATTGCATGCTTTTGTTGTATGATGGTGAAGACTCCTTCTGTCAGCCTTACAAAAATACAGCCTGGTTACCAGAGCCCGCACGCAAGCTCAATGGCACCTAACTGGATTGAACGCGCCTGAATAAGGCCCCCCCCCCTATCCACCTGTCTCCACTTTTCCTTGGCATTTCTGAGAATGAGTTTCGGCCCCACAGGGCCTCACGTTGTCACTGTTTACTCACCTGCTCAGAAATTGTCCCTCTCTCTCTGAAAACAGATGATCTGGCACACAAGACTCATGTACTTTTCTCGACTGGTGGATGATCCTACACTCGACTTGGTTGTTACCAACTGCACCTTGAACAGTGAACTGTGTTAGAGGGACCCAGGGGCTGCAATCCCTGAGTCCCTCTGTTCACACGTCAATCAGTGTCCTATGGGAGGCCGGTTTATTGTAGAATAGCCCCTTTGACGCAAATAATTATCAATCAATCAATCAATCCTCCGCAGCTATCACTACCTCACTGATACCTAGTTAGCATCTAGACTGTACCAAGGTAACAAGTTCAGCACATGTCTTTTTGAAATTGGAGAGCACCACCAAACTGATGGATAGAGCGAAGCGAAATGGGGTGGTGACAAGCCATTACCTATGAACTTCCTTCAACAAAATAGCGAGAGAACATGCTTGCCTCATACCTAATCCTTGGTAGAAAGTGAGCATTTGTCATCCACATGGTAACCACGTCGACACAGGCTCGTACTTGGGTAGTGATGATGTGCTTGTGTAACATGCAGGCGGATGCGGGGTAACATACGTACTGTCCAGGACCTATACGAATCATACCTAGCCCCCCATCACTCGCCCTTCACGTCCATGACGTCATTTAGCATGATCAATTCGTTCACATGCACGCTAACTTCCGAGGTCAAGAACAACTTCGCCAGATTCCATAATAGCTTTTGCTGACTCTGCCCTGATTTAGATTTGCTCTTCTTCTCGCGAACGTCTCTGAGATTCGATTTGCCGTCTCTATGCCTGCTTCTGCTTTCCGGTAGGATTAGCAGAGCAACCGAAGGAGCCAGACGGTCCCATCTCTCCACGCAGGTTCATCTAACTTGCAATTTTGTAATACAGCAGTTTCCGCAACGCCTATGGTCACAACCTGGGCATACAACACTCCGATAAGGTATACGAGCATATCCACAACAGCACTGCTTCAAGTATCAGTCCAGCGTACGCTCGCGTGCGGGTAGGTTGCAACTTGCGCATTGCCACACGTAAGTATGCTTCTTCTTCAATGCCTGACATAAATATTTCAGCTACAGGTACTGAGTTGCCGTTATACCTGTGAACTTACACGTGTCCTCCTGGGTGGATCGTGGTAGGTATCTCTGCTTGGGAGAGCCGGTCGGTTCGGTGGGCTCGCATCTCCACCTGTAGCTGCGCTCGACGGATCGACGCCTTCAGCACGTGCCTCGTATCTCCAGCGCTTCATGTCCGACTGTTACTTGTCTAACCGAAACCAGATATGGATACTGAGATCTCAAATTTTCTGGTGCCGCTATCGTGTCTGCTTCAGGATGTCTTTGTACAAATCTTCTTGGAAGTGTGATCGGACTAGCTGCAGGATCGTGACGGAGAAAAATCGGGGGTCTGCTCAGCGGGGTTCAGTTGGCAAGGACAGTGTGATGATTGCCGTGGTCTCTTGAAATGGTTTGAGAATGTAGATCGCGTTCCTGATAACAAGGAGTGGCCTTCGGTGTACAGGCCGCAAACTTTTTGGTGCTAGGTTAGTATGGCGATGCTAATGTCTAATCACATGTAGGAGCCGGAGTAGATTAAGGCCTGTTCTCTCGGTGAGAGTTGCTACCACATTATATGCGCCTCGGAGAGCCTCTGGCGTGACTAGCTCAGCTGTACAGGGTCACCGCGTCAAGGTCTCGAATACAGGCCAGAAAACGTTCCATTACTAGGTACGCGGCACCGTCGCAGAAACCCTTGCGCTATTAGAAAGAGCACTGTAACGCTGGCTGGCTGAGGTTGCATAGGCACTGCATCGACATATTCAATAAGCAACGCCTTTCTCGCCAGGTTGTTTCTATCTAGGGGAGGAAACCCTTTGAGTCCGCGCCTTGTACGTGTCTCCAACCGAGAATAGTTGAAGTTACTTTAGATCGTTTATCGATGATGAACCGGGACAAAGCGCCGAGACTGTCTCTACAATCAACTCTTTGAACAATTCATGAGGCTCTTATATTTTTGAGGTTGGAAAGAACGGGTCAATTGCATTGAATCTTGATTGCGACGTGTAGATGGAGGCAGCCCTGCAAAGTCAAGCATCCGGTAGCGAGCATGCCGTGTAACAGATCGACGCCGTATTGAGTAAACGTTACAGAGCCGCAGTCTAGACGCTTAATTTCACAAAGGCGCCTCCCGGTGCGAAGCCCGGTTCATGATCCGAAACACCGCTGGACATACAGGAGGGTCACACGTCGGGCTGATACAGTGTGCCGGCGCGGCATGCATCTAGCAAGTCAAAAGCTCTAGGAGAGTATTGCAGCTGTTGTGGATTGGCCAAACTTTCGATGGTTACCCGTGAGCTATCAACCGGAGGAATAACCCCCCTGTACACAACCGAACGCGGCGCAGGTTATTTAGCTCCATGGGCGCATGTACACCGAAGAACGGCGGCTAGTAACGGGTTACAAGCAGTGACCACCTGGCTAGAGAGTAGAGAGGATGTGATGGGAGAAAAAGGAATATCATGACAAGGGGTGACATACAGCAGCCAAAGCTGGCTCAAAAACACCTGAAGGCACACACGCATTTGGTACACCCCGAGCTTAGAGATAGAGATAGCGTGACATGAATCTCATCCAGATTGGTGGTATGGTCATTACAAAATCATTGTCGTAGTCAGACATGTTGATTGTGCAACCTCAAGAGATAGACACTCTCACTGGCTGAGTTATCCTCCAATCATAATTAAGAATTAGCAAAGCATCCTGGCTACTGCTCGCGTCAAATGTGGCGCAAGGTACCTACAAAGGACTCAAGGCCGGCTTTCAGTAACGTCCAATGATCAATCAGACATGGATGGTGATCAATCGGCACCACCAATCCTATTCAACCACGATTCTATGCACCTGCCTTACAGCGTGGCAGTCATCTTCCCACAAGGCTGAACCTCCAACAATTTACAGTGATGCATCATATGAACTGGCTCATGAATGCATTAAGTATCGAGGCGTTGCCCTTGCACCCTCCACATTTCCACACGACTAACGCCCACTATTGTCGCGCATCTCCGTTCAGATCGGGCTGATCTCTAAGCCTCTTTTTGCCTTGTTGCCTAAGGCTGAATCCTCTTGGCCGCCACGATGTCGACGCTCAATCAGGCTGGGCTGACGCAACTACTCGAAAATCTGTCGATTACTGCCCCAACCTCGGACATCACCGGGGCAACTGTGTTGAACAATCCGCTCGACTTGTGTCGCACGACACTCGCTGAATTGCTCTCTGGTCTCATTAATTGTGATGTGCAGACTGCGTACAAGTCTATCCAATGGCCTAATAATATCTTCAACGGTGACCTCTCGGTGACCGTGCCAAAGCTGTGTCCCGGTCGCAAGCCTGCTGAGTTGTCATCGCAGCTGGTCGACAAGGTGCGATCCAAACTAGAGTGAAGACATGCGCTTGGCTGACCTTTGACAACAGTTCCCCATAGATCACACACTCTTTGACCCGCCGTTTCTCGACGGCGTGCATCTCCGCGTATTCCTGAAGCTTGAGGTGGTGGCACACCTGCTGCTACCATACATCCTCGATCGTGGGTCAGAGTATGGCTCGCGAACATCCAAAGAAGCGCCCACGAAGGTGGTTGTTGAGTTCTCATCGCCAAATATCTCTAGCGAGCTTCAAGGGAAGCATTTGCGCAGCACCATTATCGGAGCCTTTATCGGTCGACTCTATGAGTCCCTTGGCTGGGATGTGACGCGTATCAATTACCTCGGTGACTGGGGCAAGCCCATCGCACTTCTCAAAGTCGGCTGGGACAAGTTTGGTTCTGAAGAGGCCTTTGCGGAAGATCCGGTGGGCCACTTGCTGGAAGTTTACCATCAAATCGAAGGTCTCTTCCAGCCCGAGCAAGTAGCAAGTAAGAAGGCTCGCGATGATGCTGCGAAAGAAGGTAAAGACGAAGGCGAAGCTCAAGTTGCGATTGAAAGCCAGGGTATCTTCGCTGATCGCAACGAGGCGTTCAAGAAGCTTGAAGCAGGAGATGAAGAGATTGTCGCCTTCTGGGAGCGTGTCCGTAAAGCTAACGTTGACAACTACATCGACTTCTACGAGAGACTGGGCATCCAGTTCGACGAATACTCCGGCGAGTCCAAGGTTTCTCAGGAAGTCATGGCTGAGGTCGAACAATTACTCAAGGAAAAGAACATCTCCGAGGAGAGCGGAGGTGCCTGGATCGTACACATGCAGAAAATTGGCGCCAAAGCTGGGACTGGTATCATTCGAGATCGGTCGGGTAGCAGCACCTACCTCCTGCGGGACCTCGCTGCAGTGTTGGAGCGCTCAAGGAAGTATGCGTTTGACAAGATGGTCTATGTCGTTGCGAGCGACAACAGTGTCCATTTCACGCAACTCTTCAAAATCTTAGAGGCTTTGGACATGAAAGACCTTACTAGCAAGCTCCAACATGTCCGCTTCAGCGAGGCGTCGAAGATGGGAGCTGCACTTGGAAAGGGTTACAAGCCTCAGGCTATCCTCAACGTCTGCGAAGCATCGATCAAAACACTACCGGATGTGGATGCAGACAAGGCCGCACCACTTGTCAGCTCCGAACAAGCCATCAAGGCTCTGGCAACCTCTTCACTCCTAATGCAAGAGTTGTCAACTCGAGCAACCAGTGCTCACGCCTTCGATACAGATGGACTTGCATCTTTCAAGCCAGGAACTGGACCAAGTCTGCAGTCCTGCTACAGCCGGGTCTGCGCTCTTTTGAATGGACAGACTGCGTCGTCACAACTGGCTGATGACCAGTTCGAGTCGCTCGCAGATGAGGACCAGGCCAATCTTCTGCGCGTACTTGCTCAGTACCCCGAAGTCGTAAATGCGACGTTCCAGTCTCTTGAGCCGGCTGGGATCGTCACTTACCTGACAGCCATCGCTGAACAGCTTTCTGATTGTCTTGCGGATGAAGAGGATAAAATTGACATCTCCCCGGGTTTTGTTGCATTGCTTGAGGCCACCAGGATCGTGTTGCAGAATGGTATGAAGCTGCTCGGGGTTGTACCTATCCCAGACCTGCCTCAGGAGCGAGCAGATACGCCTGTCGCGGGCTGATTGGGCTTGGTCCTGTGGGCGTCTTTTGGCGTTTGCCGTTTTGATTCATGAAGAGACGAAACTGCTTTGTCCACGTCGACATTCCCGAACTGTAAAGCGGTCTTTATTGAAATTTATCCCGCCAAACTGTAGCAGATAGCGGACTCGTTGATATCGCCAGGTGTTTTCGTGTCGAGTGCCCTGACTTTGTATGTTCTCGATATGACCAAACCCACTGAAACGTATGAGACGGCAAGCCAACATGTCCTTCGAACGAGAAATGCACATCGATCGTGCGGTGCCAAGGGATGCGCAGCGTGCCTTCCGCTGCTGCTGAGGTTTTGGCCTAGTTTGATCGGACCGGCTTTTTGCCAACGCGATTGCTGTCTCTGGCGCTCTTACGCCGCGGCAAGTGACGGAGCCAGCGATCAGAACGCGCGACACGTGGAGTAACGATGAAGATCTTGGGAGTTTGAAGTTGTAAGGTTATTCTTGCACTTTGTGGGCGATAAAAATGGCGCAAGCGCGTTGTTATTGGCAGAGATGCAGCCGCGACAGTTTGCGCAACCACCTTCCTCACAACTTTTGCCGGGCAACGCGAACCAAACGAATCTCCATCATAATTGCACGATGCTCTCGACATCGAACACTCTTACGTTTGGACCGCTCTTCGCGTTTGAACCCTCGCTCCCACACACCACGAGACCACGCTCACGAGCCAATCATGATTGCGCTAATGGAGACCGCCGCTCACAACCGAGGGCTTGCCGTTCGCTCGTACCCTATGCGCATGTGTACGCGAAAGTTGACAAAGATATGATCGTTAAGTGATAACATAGGCGTCTGTCGGCACCAAACTCAACAATCAGTCGAAATAAAGCCCCTGACTTCTCCCAAATCCTCTTCTCACTTCTTCACCACCAATTTCCACCGACTGTGAAGTTCCCCCACCATTTCTACCCCACGTTCATCCTCCGATAACGCAGACAACACCATGGCACCTGGCGCAATTCAAACTGAGGCTGCGCCTGCGGGCAATGCCACTTCCTTGAAGCCCACTGCACGCTCGTTCCACCCTACAGGCACTCCTGATCCCTCCAAATACCACGCCTCCTCATCCTCTGAGGCCACAACAGCAGAGGCCAAGTACGCCGCTCACAACTACCACCCCCTTCCAATCGGTACGTCCGCACTTCTATTCGACATGCCGAGTATTAACAGTGTCTAGTCTTCTCTCGCGCAAGTGGGTGCAGCGTCTGGGACCCTGAGGAGAACCACTACCTGGACTTTCTCTCGGCTTACAGCGCCGTCAACCAGGGCCACTGCCACCCAGAGCTTGTCAAGGCGTTGACCGAGCAGGCTTCGCGATTGACACTCAGCAGCCGTGCGTTCTACAACGATGTGTTCCCACGCTTCGCCGAGTATGCCACAAAGCTGTTCGGGTTCGACATGATCCTGCCCATGAACACGGGCGCCGAGGCTGTCGAGACCGCCGTGAAGATTGCGCGCAAATGGGGATACAAGGTCAAGGGCATCCCTCAAAACGAGGCTTTGATCTTTTCTGTTGAGGAGAACTTCCACGGACGAACAGTAAGCATGTGCGTTCAATGGCATTGCGAGCCACACTGACGTCTGGTCCAGTTTGCTGCCATCACCATGTCTACCGATCCCGAGTCGCGCGAGAACTACGGCCCCTACCTACCAAACATTGGGAGTGTCAACCCCACATCAGGCAAGGGCATCCGCTACAACAACGTAGATGATGTTCGCGAAGTACTCGAGGAGCATGGCAAGAACACTGCTGCATTCCTCGTTGAGCCCATTCAGGGTGAGGCGGGCATCGTCGTGCCGGACGATAGCTACCTGAAGGAGGTTCGCGCTCTCTGCGACAAGCACAACGTACTCCTCATCTGCGACGAGATCCAGACTGGTATTGCGAGGACTGGTAAGATGCTCTGCCACGAGTGGAGTGGCATCAAGCCAGATCTCGTCCTGCTAGGCAAGGCCATCTCTGGCGGCATGTATCCTGTATCGGCAGTACTAGGATCAAGGGAGGTCATGCTCACGATTGAGCCTGGTACACACGGCTCAACCTACGGAGGTAACCCTCTGGGTTCAGCTGTTGCTATTCGTGCTCTGGAGCTCATCCAGGAGGAAAACATGGTTGAGCGCGCAGAGACAATGGGCCAGAAGTTCCGTCAAGGCCTGAAGGACATCAACAGCCCTATGATCACTACTATTCGCGGCAAGGGTCTCCTCAACGCCATTGTTATCGATGAGAGCAAGACAAACGGCCACAGCGCGTGGGACTTGTGCATGCTGTTCAAGTCGAAGGGTCTTCTGGTACGTTGCTCACGAGGTGCTCTACTCTGAACACCAACAACTGACATTCTACAGGCAAAACCCACTCACCAGAACATCATCAGGTTGGCACCACCTCTTGTCATCACTGACGAACAGGTTGAGAGCGCTCTGAAGATTATCAAGGAGGCTATTGAGGAACTGCCAAGCCTCCAGGGCGAGAAGGAGGAGCAAGTCATCCCTGATCCTAGCGAGAAGAACGTTCACATTGGAGTGGACAACTGAACGAGTGGGCACTTGGCCTCTTGATTCCATGATACCCTACGAAATTTGACGGCGGCTTTGGCCCGCTTTGGCGTTGTTCGGCGTGGCTGCACATTGCGCACTACAATCTCAGATCTCTAGAGGTGGGTTTGCATACTAGGACGGCGCTGCGCGTAAAATCTGGATCAGATCAAGTCAGTGTACCACAAAATTGCATATAGTTTTGTCAGATCTTCATGTGTCGATCCTTGTTGTCATCTTGTGACTTGTTAATCCGGCTTGAAATGAGGCTCTCTACGCTTCCTGCTGTGTTCGAGCTAGCGCTTTCCCCAGTTCTCCGCAACGTGATGGGCCTCGGCTGTCGGATGAGGTCACTGGCACGCATCATCACCTGCGTGCTCTCCAGCGGCTGTGCAGTATTGTAGGAAACCAATTCCTACGGCTTTGTTCTGCTACCTCTCTAACATCTCTTCGGGTAATCTGATTAGTGATCGTTCCAATCACATACGATGGCTCAATCGAAGATCACGCTGTATGTCGACATCGTGTCGCCGTTCGCGTACATCGCTTTCTACGTTCTCAAGGTGTGTTCGAATCCCTGTCCAAGCACACATGACTCGTCGGCCAAATTGTTTTATAGACGCAACATTTAGCACGGCGCATGAACAACAAGCCCCATACTGACGACATGCGTAGAACTCCCCAGCATTTAAGCAATGCGACATCAAATACGTACCCATCCTTCTGGGTGGCTTGATGAACACCTGTGGAAACACGCCTCCCATTGCCATAAAGAGTGAGTCTGATATTTCTATGAGTTCGTCAAAGTGGTCGGGCCGTACAAGCAGTTTGCACATGCATGGAAACTCCGATCTAACTTTAGCCAGACAAGGACAAATGGATCAATACCGAGCGCGTACGATGGGCAAAGTACTTCAACATCCCCATCTCCGCGAACGCACCCCCAGGTTTTCCAGTCAATACTCTACCCATCCAACGCGCTCTGGCTTCGCTGTCCATCTCGCACCCCCAGTCTGTTGAAAGTGCCATCTCCTTGTTCTACGAGAACACATGGGTCCAGTGGGGCGAGCCCACCAAGCCAGAGAACATCCTCGCCATCCTGCGGACGGTTGTGGGAAGCGATGAGGAAGCGAGGAAGGTGCTCGAACGTACGAAGACGGATGAAGTGAAGAAGGTGCTTACACAGAACACGGAGAAGGCGTTCAAGGACGGAGCGTTTGGACTGCCCTACTTTGTTGGTAGGTGCCTATGGAAAAAACGTGCATTATACCTTGTACTGACTGCTAGTAGCTACGAATTCGAAGGGCGAGATGGAGGGCTTTTGGGGCGTCGATCATCTTGGACAACTCACTGATTTCCTCGGGCTTGACAGACCAAGTGGGAGGGGCTGGAAGGCACTACTTTGAACGACAGTGCTTGGACAATGCGATTGTTTACCATACTAACGTCCCTTCTCCACCCCACTTGAGGTGATACGAAGGGTCTGGTGACTTGTGACTGCTGTACTTGAGACTCTTCGTTAGCACTAAGAAAAGACACGCATGCATCGGTTTGACACTATGTATGTACATCTGGCCACGCGAGCTACAAGTCTCAAACTACTATAGCGTACAAGGGTGTTTGGACCTATGGATACATGGACAGATCCACAAGGTAACCGACAACAGAGACCAGACAGACGGGACAAATCGGTAGCCAGACGAGTTTGCCATACCCACTGCGTCCTTTACACTTGATCTCCAGTACAACGCACACTCCTCACCGACTCAAACAAACAGTTCTCAGACTCAGTATGCATGCAAGAGGCACAGCATCGACATGTACGTGACAGTGCATTCCGATCGCAAACCGCCGCACCCGCCCTCTGATTGGCCAACCGCTGCACCGCGATCCTGCATGCACCAACCCTCTAAGCCTAGCTCCCGACGAGCAAGCAGCGCGTACATTTAATTTGTATCTGCTTCCCCACTCCACCCGCTGCGCGTTGTGCGCGTACGTCTCGCCTTCTCCGTGCCTCCACTTGCAGCTTGATTGCAGCAGCAGTCTCACGGTAAATCCAGACAGGTGGGCGCTGTCAACCACGCCCCACGCGGTTCGCTCCCGTCTACATGGCCTGTCTAAGCGCCGTGCTGGCCCCCACCCTTGCCGCACCCCGGCATGGCCGTGTGATAGGTCGTGCCCGCAGCGGGAAGATTCCACCGGCTCGTTACCCATGCGCTCCTCACCGGTGCAGCGAGTCATGGTCGCGAGACGGTGTTGAGGGGGAGGGAACAAGGTGTCGGGACAGCGGGAGGGCTGGGGCGTGGAAGGCGCTTTGAGGTGGTGATTGGGGCGCGGTGGAAGTGGAGAGCAGGGTTGGGTTTTGGCTGGAGTTGTCTTGTGAGATGGAGAAGCTGCGTGTGTGTCACATGTATGCTCGAGGCGCTGCCATGGAGGTGCATGTTTTTGGTTGTGGACGGCGATCTGAATCTGTGCATGGGCTAGGCTAGAACAAGTCACACAGCAAGAGGGTCGAGTTAATATCGAACAATTGGATTGAATATGTTGATTGGTTATGCTTCTGAGTGGGATAAGGACGCCATTCAGTTGGTGGCTCTCTTGCCGCCAGCCACGCCCACTTATCTCACTCATCCTCTCACAAGAGATGAGCCGCTTTTCGCTTGTTAACAAAAGATTCGGGGTGCAATATGATCCCAAATTTGCGCCATAGAACAACATAAGCGCCAGTGCACCATGAGGTATCCGCGATAAAAAATGTCCACAACACCGATAGTTTACCGCGCCGTGAACTTCGGCTGGTATTCGAACTGCATGGGTCGTGAGAGAACAACAGAAGCATGAGTGGTTCCTCTAACAGTAGATAAGACAAAAGAAATGTGCATGTGGGGGCACCAGCTCCGAGAATCGAACGTCGAAGGTAGTCGAAAGGAATGGTTGGTGCGACGAGTCGCCGGGACCCGGATATTAATTGGTAGGGTAGGCCGGTAAATATCGTGAATGTAGGATGTGATCGTGATACGTGAGCGAAGCAGCCGTCGCAAAATCAGGCGCTGTGGCAGGTGGCGCCAAATCGATACTCGGTTGGGGGATGTCGTGTCGTACGCGGTGGTTGCACACCCGCTTATGCTCGAGGCTATGCAGCGGTACGGGCAAGCCGTGTAACCTCTCCTTGTTTACTCGATCTTTCTCCTCTTGCCACGCGGTGCGGGGTCGATTTGCGGGAAGCTGGGTGCTTTCTTGTCGACCGGTGTGCTGCTATATGTCACAGTGCGAGTGACGACTTCCCGCACACTGACACGCCTTGACCGGCCGGGCTTGGCCTCTGCCTCCCACACCTTAGGCGAGGCTGTTGGGAAGGGTGAGATGGCTGAGTTGTTGGCTGAGTTGCTGGCAGAGTCTGCGCTGTTTGGTGATCGCACTGCTGCCGGCGAGAATGGTGATTGTGGAATATAGAGACGTGGTGTGCGCGCGGACTGTGGCCGTGTGAAAGGTGATGGAGGTGGGATAGTGATGGTCTGTGTCCTGATCTTCGTGGGAGGGGCAGACATTGGAACTTCGTCTTTGGCCTCGTCCTTGATGTCGCTTCGGCTGCAGCTGCTTGACCTTGACGTCGCAGGCGAGTCCTTATCTGTCGGTGCCGAGGTTGATGTATATGAACCACTTGAAGCCGATGATGTGACTGAAGTGGGGCGACCCTCGAAGACGAACTTGGTGCTTGTGCCAGTAGACATAGGGCTCATGAAGGCAGGCGATAGCGTCTTGAGGAAGTCCAGGTAGGCTGCTGGTGGAGTGATCGGAGTCTTCAGGCTATCTTCGCGCTTGATCCATGCGAAAGTTGGCGTGGTTGCAGACATGACCATGGGAGACTTAAGTTCGGAAGGATAGGTGGCAGACAAAGGCGTCCTCAATGACGATGGCAGAGGTGCCGGCGCCGGCTTCGAGTCGGTAGCAGTGGCCATTTTGTGGGGGTTTGCCGTGTCGTGAATGAAAGACTGTGGTTTCTGGTCGATAGTCCTGCGAGCGAAAGTGGGCTGCGCTGTGCCTTCCACGGTAGAAGTGGACAGGTGAAGAAAGAACAACAACAAGACAAGACGGAAAGGCAGGTACTTTTGTCACCGGGCCAGGTGTGTGTTTAATGTGTGGACTAGCTTGATGCGAGTGCTGTGTTGGTGGGCGCTGAATGGGTCGTAGAGACGGACAACCTAAGAATAGGCGGGCGCGTAACAAGATGCGAGTGCAAGTGTCAGAGTGGGTACCGTCTTTTCGGGGGTGCCAAACAGCCGCCTAATCCTGCGGCGCTGCAAATCAAACGTCGCTGTAAGCGCCGGGGCTGGCCTGTGCGCTTGGGAACTGCTTCCACCCTTCAGAGCTGCAATTGGTCAGGGGGCAATGAAACCAAGCGTGTGACCTGTCTGCGGCCCCTGCAGGTCTGTCGAGCAGAGCGGTCGTCTGAGCCTGTGATTTGCTACGTGGTTTGTGAAAGTGTGATGCAAGCGTCGATGTGCGGGATGCTGCACCTGCTGAAAGAACCAGGCGGCGTAGAAATAGTTTTGCGGAGTAAACCTGAGACAAGCGTATGAGGTGATGGCCTTTGGAGACGAAGTGATTGACAAAAGACGCTACCGGTGCGAATGCTGCCGGGAATAGAATTGAGGCGAGGTGCTGATGCAGGCGAGCTGTGCAGCTGATCTCATGGGATTGTTAGCCATTTTATGTATCGCATCCAGCCGCTCTATGATCTCTATGCTTTGTGTGGACGTGTCGCGCGCTTCCATTTGCTGCCGTCTTTACGCCTCCTGGCCGCTGCAAAGCCAGCCGTTGAACCACTGTGATGGCTCTCTCTGGTTCGCCCTTGAGCGCGCGCCTCTCAACGCCAGCGGCACGCCCATAGGCCGTGCGGGAGACAACTCTCGGGGCTACCTGACAGGCTCATGTACCTTGAGCACATCTTCCTTGAAACTGCAATGTACCGCGTTCACCCCTGCCGTTCGCTGCAACAATGGCTATCTTGGCCGGATGAAGCGCCATACTTCCTCGTTGCCATGTGCGATAGATCATGGCCGTTCCAGGTTCGTTGCACAGCTTGCATTGCAACAGCTGCCAGCCAATGAGAAACTCTATCGCGTACGACTCGAGCCACGCGTAACGACTGCGAACTGCATGGTAGAAGCGTGCGAGATGTATGACAGGACTGTCAAGGTTCAGTGTAGCTAAGTATAGTCACGATTTGGCTTTCATCGAGACGCCGACGAAGAACCTTGGAAGCGTCAAGAACTTTCAGCCTACAATAGACCAGAGACCACTGTCCTGGCTAATCTCGTCGTCGCGATATGGCTTCACGGCGTCCCCGACCATGATAGTAGGGTTTTGCACTACAGCTGATGGATCGTTCATAGGGACGTGGCACGTATGCTCGCCAAAGTACACGCGGCCGTCGAAACGGCGCGTCTTCGCAAGCGTCGAAAAAGGCTCTTGGTCACGTTCGGCGGTTTGCTGATCGATACACACCATCTGGCACCTTCGGCAAGCCCCCAGCATCTCGAAGTACTGGTAGCCAATCTGGAGATAGCGCCAGTCGTCCTCTGCATATGGGTCTTCAAGCCCTGGCGGGTAGTCTGGATTCTCCGCAACCACTATGTTTGCTCGGAAGACCTCAGCTTGCGCCGCCTTGCCGCCATCTGCTTTGATTAACTCGTTCAGGCGGTTGAGGCTTGATCGGGATATAGTCAAGATGGGACTCTCATTTGCCAGTAAAATAGGTTTGGAAACGCATGCGCCTGGTGTAACGGGTATCGTATCTGGGTAGGCGCCGGGTATCTGCATGCTCCGAGCTTTCTGGTATTTTTGCAGATGCGCTTTGGAATGTCTGGGCGAAGAGCCGCTCCCGCTGCCGGCGGCTGGAAAGCGGGCCAGATGGCAAGCCACCCCGAGGGCTTGCGAGAAAAAAGCTGATATGTTGCTTGACTTGTACGTCTTGGCTCGGACAGAGTCCCCGCACACTTTGGCGCTGGCCTCTCTGTATATCGCGTTATCTGCAAACATGCGTGGATCCGCTGAAAGAGGAATCGTAATCTCAGCATCTGCAGAGGTTCCCTTCAATAGGCCCGCCAGCCGTACACGTAGCACACCTTCTGCAAGATCGATGCTTGGGCGAATGAGCGCCATCTTTGGATAGCGCTTCTGGCTCAATGCTGCACCTGTGCCTTGATGGACCAGACACCACTCACGGTCCCAAGCAAGGCCTTCAGGGTAGACTTCCCACGCCTGCCCTGGCGGCACGCTGAAGCCGGCACAGCTCTTGATAGGATACACTGACAGACTCTCCACATGCAACCGGCTTGCAAGTGGCAACTCCACATCCTCGCATAAACTGGGCGGCATCGTACTGGGTGGCCCGTTTTGTACGAAGAACTCGCGCACGAACGCAAGGAATGAATGCACATCCTCCAGTGTACTCATTGCGCCCAGGCTAATGCGTACCATACCAGTCGGTTTACCGCGCATAATGTCATTCTCATTACCACATCGCTGGCCAGCAGAGAAATTCTCATGCATCTCCCATGGAGCAAGATCGAGCGATGCAGCGACACCGCCCGGATTGCAGAGTCCGCCTGTACGCAAATGGAAATTTTTGATTGCCGCCAGCTTTTCCACTTCTGCATTGCTGACCCAGCCACCGGATTCGTTGCGCAAGTTGAATGCAACAACCGGCCCTTGCGTGGCTGCATCGTCATATGCGGACTGTGAATCTTTGTAGATTTGGCAAACTTCCTGGCCAGTACCGTGGCGCAGAGATGACAGCTCGTTGTACAACTTCGCCGCGAGGAAGCTTGTGTGTTGCGAGACAAGCTCCAGCGAGGTGAATAGTTCCTTGTGGACAGCAATGGCGGAGTCAAGCGCCATGATGCTGTGAATAGGGAGGGTGCCGTCCTCTAGACGCTCATGAAGCGAGTCTGCTTTCTTCGCATGCCATTGCTCTTTCAGGCACACAACCATCTCGACTGTGCCACCACCAAAGTATCGGCGCTTATCGAATGCATGTGATGATGCTTGCCTGACTATCAACGCGCCCAGATCCGGAAAGCCAAACATCTTGTAAAGGCTGAGCACAGTGAAGTCGGGTGCAGTCTCGGCATTGCTCAGGTCAAGAGGCGATGTCGACACTAGGGCTGCGGCGTCCAGCAAGGTGTAAGTATTCTTGCTCTCATCTGCGGCGCGGATGCGTTGGCACCAGTCCAGCGGTAGTCGGCGCCCATTCATGTTCGACTGTGCAGGATACGCGAACAAGCGTGTCCTGGCGTCCTCTTGCGTTGGCTGTTGTATCCAATCCACGACTTCGGAATCAGTGGCAAAACAGCGATGCTCTCTTGCCGCTTCCCGTACACCTATGAGACTTGTATGCGCATCCCTGTGGTATCCGTACCAAAAGCCCTCCTCTCGATCCCTGAATGCATCCATGACCAACTTAATACCCGCAGTAGCATTAGCCACAAACACCACGTCAAATTCTTGTGGATCGGCCTTGAACAGCTCCAGTAACCGTAATCGGACATCTTCAATGCGGCGCGTCGTAAGCTGAGAGGAGTTGGAGGCGGAGTGAGGGTTGCCGTAGAGATTCGAAATCATGTCAGCGGAGAAGCGCTCGATCAGCGACTTAGGGTAGAGTGTGGTTCCGGCATGGTCGAGGTAGGTCGTCCCTAAGGTCAAGTCAGGACATATATCATCACTACCATATTCAACCAACCTTCAAGCATAGGGTATTCCCTCTCCCTTAGCTCGTCGACCGCCTTATCGTAAGCAATATGCGCAGCTTCCTCCATTGTGACGTCGCAGGGCGGTTTACAATTTCACCCGTGGTCTACGAAAGCAGAAGAGAAATGAGACAGAGCTCGGTAGAACCCCATCTGGTCGCAAGCGTGGTGGATGTTTGCTAGAGTGGGGGCACTTGTGGATGGCAAATGGTGGAGTTGGAGACCCTGAAACGGTCAGCTCCGAGGTCGTCGCGCGGCCAAAGCCGACGCGCTAATTGACCTCGAACGGCGCTCTATCAGCTTGACGACTGTCGTGACATGCAATAGCCTCTTTATCTACTCAAAACACACTTTTGTATTACAAACTACATTTAAAGTTTAAGTTGTAAGCGTACATTCTGTATTTGCCCATCTGTTATAAAACCAAGTAATAAGTTCAGCTATACTAAAGGTAAGTGTTAAGTCCCATCTCATACTATACCGAGGGAGGACTCACGATCGTGTGAGACGTGATATCTTCTTGGCTTGCTGGCTCAGTGGCTCGGTACTAAGGCCTGATACTAAGACTTATTCTTACTATATATCTAGTTTATGATATATATAACTTTTTTTATAGTCCAAGTAGCAAGTTATCGAGTCTAGAAGTATATTAATGCTTTGCATCATTCAAAGGGGTTTGCTAAGGCGTCCTTAAAATCTCCTAGCTTTATTCATAATCCTAACAGTTGCCAACTGCGGCACACAAGCATTCTCACACCAAAATGATGTCCTTGACTTGTACGCCAACAGCCTTTAGAGTGTCTGGAGGAACAATATAAATATGAGGGACTCGCGCCCTTGGGCTGGGGTGGTTCCCTTTGATTTTGATTCCCGCCTTCTCGAGCATCTCGCCAGCGTTAGAATAGCGCATCCCATCGCCGCAGTCAACCAGATCTGGGAAGCCATTCCGTTCTACAATCCTCAGATTCCGTTCCGCTGTGTAGCTATTGTGATATATGGCCTCTCCGTTCATTAAGCCGTGTGCGTAGCAGCTGCCTACGACCAAGTACGTGTTATCGGCGGCGGGGCGCAAGATAACGGGGCGTTGAGCGCCCAACAGGACGCAGAGGATGTCGCCGATTTGCGTTCCAGTAGTTGAGAGCCCAAGATGGCCGGTTTGAGTTTTGAAGAGCCGGCGGCCTTGGAGGGCGGTGTATACCGTTTCGAAGTAGAGTTGCGATGTTTCAGGCAGGTCAAACCACTGATCCTCGCCACCATCACTGAAATCCTTGGACCACACTAATCGTAATGCCTCTAAATCCTGCTCAAATTCAGGCAATATCGTCTCTGGTGATGTTCCACTGTGTAGTAGAGTATCACCTGCGAGGATACGACAATATACTTCTAGCACAGTTTCACCTGTGATGTATTTACTTTCCAGACTCTCTACAGCTGGTCGCAATGCCTGGAGCATAAGACATACATCACGCCAGCTCCATGAATCCGGAGCTAGCCCTCCCACTTCTACAACGCTTCCTATCGATATGCCAGACACGGTGCAGCGCAACCCCGACTCGTCGAAGCTTGGTTGAGTAGCAATCCATGCGCAGGCACTCCATTTGATAACATTCCAGTGCACTTTTACGGGTGTTGACCAATCCGGTACCCAGGATGGGATGTCCAATTTAATTCGTGCGAGCTCACAGTCCTGCATCAAGTCCAGAGTCAACATCTTGGTGTACACGCGTTGGGCAACGCCCCTGTATACGCTCTGAGTTGTTTCCGAGTAAGTGGGCACGATCTGCAATTCTTGACTTGATGCGTCCATTATACCTAGGAACGAGTATATCTTGTCGCGGGGATTACCACATTCGAGGTGGCCAAGAGAGAATGGGACAGTGAGAATAGACATGTAAATGTCATTTGCCGCCGTTTTGATGATTGCAAGACGCCAAAGCGGCTTCAAGGTTCTGGACCACTCCTCTGGATCACATATTGTAGCCTGCGGCCCGTCACTTCTCCACAACAAGATAGCAGCCTTCCAAAGGGTATTTTCAGGAAGCATCGCATAGCCACAATGGAACACAACGCGCCTTGCAAGCTTGACCTCTTGTAATATCCAAGCTCTTCGAAAGTAAGGCTTTGAAAGCACGGGGTATGCTGAACTACACTGCTCAGCCGTCCAGGGAATCGGACCGCCTTCCACCATTTGAAGGATCAGTGACCTCTCCCGCTCCTCTCTACGAGTAAGCGCTTGTTTACCTTTCCGAGAGCGTAGGCTTGGGCACTTTGTGATCCAGTCTACGTCCACATTGCTTCCTAGGTCCTTGAACAGTCTTATTCCCTCGTCGCTATTATCATCTTTGGGGCCAAGCCATGCTATCACACTACGCGCTGCCTTGTAGACCTTGCCCATATTCATCACTTGGATATCTTTCTCCTCAGTACTTGCTTGGTTGATGCACAGTGCGTCTATCCATAAAGATCGTAGTTTCTTCTCGCTTCGCAGATACCGGAGTGCACTGTCCAGGTTGTTTGTGATCGAGACGGTTCCCGAGTGTCTTGGTGCCTTCACATAAACATGTGAGGGGTTGTCGTTCGAGCCCCAGACGTATGAAAGGGCTTGGTAGACGGGCGCATCGTCCTCGAGTATTCGCAGAATGAATCGTACGACGATCGGATCTTCGAAGGAGCCTGGCTCTAGGACAGCTACGCGGATCTCGCGATCAGGCTGAGCGAGCTCATCGTACTCGAACTTCATAAATATTGAGTCGTGAGATTGGATGTCGTCAATTGAACAGGAACTATTAGTTGAAGAATACACTCGTGAAACAAGGCGTGATGTGTTGTATCGAGCAGCCGCGTTGTGTGAGGGTGGTTCAAGGAGCAGGCGTCAATCATACAGAAGTACCCCACTGTGGCGCAGGCAAGGCTGACGCAGAAAGATACTAAGATGTGTGCATCAACAATCCGAGTTTGCGTTGGCGTGGAACAGGGTGTTGAACCAGGCAGTTGCCATCCATATCTACGCTGGTAAATAGGTACGGGGCATCCAGGGGTAGGGTAGGGTTGAGGTAGGGTCTGTACGGATCTAGGGCGGGGTCTGTGTACATCACGTGATGTACCCCTGCCCTACCTAGACCCTACCTAACCCCTACCTGCTTGGCAGTAATGCATCGCCATGACGTTCTAGATTCCTGCATCCCTACGAGGCGACACTGTAGTAAGGTAGTAGCTTATGAGTAGAATAGAGCAACTTACCTAGGTAGCTTTTAAGTGGTGAGGTAGGGACCCGCGGCCCGCGGGCTAGGAACTCGACCGTGTAACTTCTTCTTACACACGCATTGTCATTAATAGGGGCTTGTCCTGTTTAGTCTTTCTGTACATCAACGTGCTTATACTGTCTCGTAACTTGGCACTGGTACCATAGACGCAGTGAAGGAGTCTTATATCCAAAAATTCATGCTAGGCTCTGTAAGGTACGTTGGACAAGTACAAGGTCATTTGATTTGCATCTTTCAAGCCCCTAAGCTAACTCTCGCATCAGATCCTGACCGAAACTCCTACTTAGCACGCCTTGTCGTTGAAATTGTAATACCCAGGGCCTAGATCTGCCGTATCCGTCACTGACTTGTCATATTTGCGACAAGTTCCTGTCGTGGTCCCAGTTGAAGGGTCTGTGACAAGATAAAATCCAGTGGCATAGCATCTGTTGTCAGACTTGCAACTCGCGATACAAGCCGCCTGGTTCGTGTTAAAGTTTGCGTCGTAATTAAACGCATTAGCACCAGGGAGACCTCTAGCATTGCAGATTTTTGGCTTGACGAGGATCGGCGTTACAGTTGTAGTGTACGTCTGGGTCACAGTGTCCACAGCAGCTACAGTGCTGGTGGTCGTTATTGTTGAGGTGGTCTGGACCGTGATTATGGCTGTGACTGTTACGACATTTCCGGGAAGGGTGGCGGTAGTTGTCGGGCCAGCAACACTTGCTGTTGTTGTGGAGGTAATTGTGGTTGTGGTGGGGGTCACGATGCAGCTGCAGGCTTTGGAGATGCGGGAGGCAGCGAAGGCGGCGAGCTCGGGTGGAATATTTCGTGCTGTTATTTGCGCATCTCGCTTCTGATAGATCGTTGAGGTGCCTGCAGTTACAGTGACGGTCGTTGTTGTGGTTGGGTTTGGCAGAGGCTCATTCACCGTCGTTGTGGCTAGATTGACATTGGTGGTGCTCGAGGTTTCTGTCACAGTCTGATCAGCCAGAGTGACTGTGGCGGTCTGCGTCGCGCCAGTAAGAGTTTGAGTCTGTTGGAGAGTTAAAAGTTTATTACACAAGGCGTTATTACTGAAGACTTACTTGAGTTTGTCGAGCCGTCTTGTCTCCACCAAGAAATGAGAGGCAAAAAGATGATGCCTTGGCTTTCAGTGGTCCTCTCAAGATGGCATACACGGCGTCGATGGCATCACACTTAGGTGCTGGGGCAGCGTGAACAAACAGGCTGTTTGCCAGGAAGGCCGCAACAATAGTTTTGGAAATATGCATGTCGGGAAATCTTGTTGGTTCTTGATTGCCTTTGATCTCATCGCATCCATTTGCCTTAAATATTGATTTTTTTGGACTGATTCAGGTGGCACTCGCCGCTCGCTCAGATGATTGACACTGCTGATCAACTTCGACTACAAGATCTGCAAATGATGATCTGGAAGCTCATGTCAGGTTCTCGGCTGGGGCCCTGGAGCCTCTCTTGTGAGGAAATCTGTATCGTTTCAACACTAGCCGCGCCACTACCAGATACTGTGCCCAGTAACATCCTCGGCCACGCGAGACCTGGCACGTCCGAGTGTCACTTTGCGGGTGCTTAGCCAGATTTTGCCCCATTTTCAATCGCGCTGCCTGCCCTTTAGCTCTGATCTGCAGCATTGAACGCACTGTACATCAGCCCGACGTACCCTCCTGTACGCGGTTGTACCTAGACCAAGGCGCCAGCTAAAACAAGCAAAAGCTTATGAGGAGCGCTAGATTTACGCGACGCTAATCTTTCCCACTAGCCCCTAACCCCTTCACTCGGGCGCCAGAATCCCCCGCACACCAGAATACCTGGTACCTCAACCACATTGCAGCGAAAAGAAGTTTGAAACCACAGAGGCTGGTGTATTAGCACGCTCCACAATACTATCGAATTATTTTATCTAATTGAGCGTTGCGGCTGCGGCTGTGTGGGGAGTCACGAAAACCTCATCATGTGACGTAGTTGAGGACGCCGGCACGAATATACATATTGTGGCGTGCGGGGAATTCTGGCACACGGGTGGCCCTCTGCTGGTTGGAGGCCACATATGAACTCAAGCTCAGCTGGCTATCCGTCCTACCTCTCTAGGCTAAGAGTACAAGATCGTTGCCCACTAGAGACACTGAAGCGGCTTCATGGCTAGCTGATCATGAAGCATTCTCCGTAGCCATGGGCAGCCTCAATACCCCCTGTAGCATGATTTTCTAGCTCGCTTGATGTACCAGGGGTCCAAACCTGACGCATGCGAAAATCTAATCAAGGTCCAGGCTGAGCAGTAAAAGACTAAAGCTGCTCAACCGACGAAGCTGGCACTAATTTTTACTCAACTTGGCCTTGGCGAGCTCTGTTCATCAACGACTATGTTCGCATATAGATCTAACGGTAGACGGGCGCGGTTCCTCAGTCCATGTTTGGTGTTTGGGAGAACAGAGCTGTGCATCACATAACGGCCCCTTGATTGTGCATAGCGCGCCGCACCCCCACGAAGCCTTCATCTCCATCCCAGTGCATTCTCTTTCTTTCATATTCCCCTTTTTTCCGCTTACGATACCATCTTTTATTTGCTGAGACTGTGAGGTCGAAGGAGGTTCCGTTGGCTGCAACTGCGGCTGCGGCTGCTACATGTGCATGCGCTCTTTGCTTGCGCTGGTGTGGATAGGTTAGGATAGTTAATTGCAGATCTTTTATTTATCTTCATCACTATTTCTATGGTTGAGCAGTCTGAGTCTGAGTTTGCGTTGGCGTGGAACAGGGTGTTGAGCCAGGCAGTTGTCATGTCTGAACCATGGTACCTGCCGCGACGCGGACTCACTGCGTCTCTTTAACTCTTCAACGTTTCAGTATCGTACGCACCGTAACACCGTAACACCGTAACACCGGCTGTTCGACATGGTAAATTCAAATCCCTCACTCGGCACTTCTTTCAAGAAATTCGCAGCACCATGGCATCCTGGACAAAAGCCCAACTCGCCCTCCGCAATGCCCACATCTCCAGATTCTACACCCCCTACTTCGGACATCTGGTCCCTGGCACCCCGCAGTACAATGAACTCGCTCGAAGTGGATTAGTTTGGGACAAAATCTACAAGCTTCGGGATCTTGCGCCCTGGAAAGCAGCTGAACATAAATTGTCACCACAGCTGAAAGAAATTGATCTAATCCGCCAGGATCGCAACTTGAGAATGCGGACCAAGTTTCCTCAGCTAGCGCAAGATTCTTTTCCCACCCTTGGTCTCAACTACGCCGACTTTGCCTCCAAAAGCTGTGAAGTTGAACACAATCATCTCACAGACTCCGATGCATCGAACATGCAACAGCTACTTCCAACGATTCCCCTCGATGGGAGTCCTATATTAGCCGCACTTCGCATGAAACTCCCTTCTGCTGAGAGTCTGGCAGCATCACTTCAAATTCCTTCTAGTAGATGTCAAGACATACTGGAACTCTGGAACCAGTTGATCGCGCTCCAAGCGGTTTTGTCCCCAAAACACTTCGGCCGAGTCGAGACAAATCAATCTTTGCTCGAAGATGTCAAAATCCTATCTCAGCTGTTGCTTCGAGACACTACACTTGACAAAGCTGGACTGTCATCCGGAAAGTATCGCTCAGCACCAATTCAAGTCAAGTCGGATCTGTACGCCATTTTCCCTTACCCAGCGGAAGTCCCGGCAAACATGCAGTTCTGGAGTGAATGGAGCACGAAATGCAACGACGATCAACTTGTTCATCCTCTCTTAAAGGCCATTTGGATGATGCTCTACTTTGTCAGTGTGCATCCGTTCCAAGATGGTAATGGAAGGCTTTCTCGCACGATCATGGCAGCACGTATGGCTAGGAACGGGTTTGCCCCGGTCATTTGCTCCCCGGAACTGGAACGGGCTGAGTACATTGCCATGATCCAAGCTGCACATGTTGGAAATCCCGAAGCGCTTTGTAAGGAGGTCGTATACTCTGAGCTTGCAAGATTACTATGATTGCTTAGGGGCAAGATGCTCGAATAAGCAGGAGTAGTGCGTGCAGTCCTTAAGCTGACCAATTTCAACACTAAACTTGTAGCCACAATGATAATCAAAGCTAGATGATGGGTAACAATTTCCTATATTGTAGGTAAAATCATTCTACAAGAGCTTTCTGCATTATTTCCAAACAAGATTATTGCATAGTAGACTTAACTCACATCCTTAGTCCGCCGTTTATTCTGCAACGTGAGAGGGTAGGGTGAATGATACATGGACGGAGCTCTACTCTCTCACATCTCAGCCATCATTCAATCGAGCACCCGCACACTCGTGCGTTCCTAAGGTGAAGGTCAGACATGAGCGCTCGCTGGTTGACGATCATGAGCAACTACACCAGGGTAACTGGCAGTAAAAGGTCGAACGGTACTGCCGTTAGTGCACATCAACTTGACATGTAGGTCACAGAACCAGCACGAGAACAGCGCGCTGCAGCTAGAAGGCAATCAGTGCATTGCCTGGGTATATAGACGGGTTCAGGGTAAGGGAGTTCTGGCCGAATGATGTCACTCGCACCGAGACAAACACAGCAAATGCAGCAGACAAGCACATCGAGAATGATCACCAATGGTTGAGCGGAACATCACCCAAGTGAAGCCTCCATTGTAATGTGATCGAAGACCCGCTCGTTGGAGACGGGTCAGCTCCATTGATAGGCCTGAACTTGCAAGTTCAATGCTTGCTCTTTTAAGTACACTCCGGGACTCCGCAGGACCAAACCCTCCGAGACGGAATATGCTGGTGAATCGTTCAGAATCTTCATTTCGTTCCCTCTTCGCTCTACTCGTACCACGCTTATCGGACAATGCCCTCGAAGCGGTTCTTGTACCACTTGACGGTCTCGGCCTGGTTGACCTTGTGCGAGGCGCCGATCTTGCTCTGGCAACGCCTGCGCTTGGCGACGCGCTCACCGGGGCGGGTCATGCAGACGTAGAAGTCCATGCCGTAGATACTGCGCTGTGTTAGCGGATGCGCTCGCGTTTCTAGATTTTCGTTCCACATACCCAATGCTGGGGTCGTACTTGATGCCCAAGTCGATGTGCTCGGAGATACCGAAACCGAAGTTGCCGGACTCGGAGAAGTTGCGCTTGCGGAGCTCGTACTCCTTGACCTTGAGGCCGCGCTCGAGGATCTCCTCGGCCTTGGGGCCGCGGACGGTGACGTGGACAGCGATCTTCTCGTTACGGCGGATACCGAAGGTACGGACGGTGTAGCGGGCCTTGGAGTAGACGGGTGTCTGACCAGACAGCTGCTCGAGCACCTTGGCGGCACGAGTAAGCCTGTCACCAGACTCGCCGACGGAGATGTTGAGGACGAGCTTCTGGATGCGAAGCTCGCGCATGGGGTTGGAGGCCTTGGAGTCGGACTGCCATGACAATTAGCATTCGAGTGCGGTGCTGCGGGCGTCGGCGGGCCATACCATGGTGACTGCTCTGTTAGTAGGCGAGATGGACTGTCGAGATGAGGTCGGCTGGCGAGAGTTCGAGTGATAATTTGGGCTCGGCTGTGGTGTCGTGCGGCGCGCTAGACGGATGGGTTGCTCTGCGGCCCGTGCGTTGAGCGCAACTTTGAGAGCTCGACATCACGGTCGGCAGCTCCACATCCACCCATTCACCCCACCGACACCTGCAGGAAGGGGTTGCGCGCAGATCGCCGTCGTCACCAATTTTTGAGCCTTCATTCGTCTTCGGACGCGCAACATAGCCATGGCCGCCGCCAACCGACAGGGCAAGATGGTGAGTTCTCTGCCTGGACGCTCGAACCGCGACCTGAGAGAAGACGCGCATAGAAACTGACTGACGTGCCTTGGTGTAGCAAAATCTAGTAAGCGCCCTGCAGCCCGCTCACATTCGCCGCGAACTCACAATGCGCAGATCAACTACCGCATGAAGGTAACACTTCAGGACGGCAGGCAGATGGTCGGGCAGATGCTCGCCTTCGACAAGGTGCGTCTCGCAACTCCCTTGCACTAGCTCTGCTGACACTGCACAGCACATGAACCTCGTTCTCGCCGACACGGAAGAGTTCCGCCGCACACGACGAAGGGGAAAGGCCGCGCCCGGCGCAGCGCAGCAGGTCACCGAGACTGAGGAGCGACGCGCCATTGGACTCACCATCATCCGCGGCGCGCACGTCATCTCGCTGTCCGTTGACGGACCACCACCCGCTGACCCAGCCGCGCGATTGGGTGCAGCATCTGGTGGTCCTTCGACTGCTGCGACGCTGGCTGCTGGACCTGGTGTTGCACGGCCAGCAGGACGTGGGCTGCCGGTTGGTCTGACTGGACCTTCGCCCGGTGTTGGAGGGCCTGGAGCTGGCTTCGGTGCACCACCGTTCGCCGGTGGCCCACCAGGATTCGGAGGGCCGCCCCCTGGCTTCGGTGGACGTGGAGGACCCCCAGGTGGACCTCGTAAGTCACATGTATTATCTGAGAGCGCAATTACTAACATATCACAGCTGGCTTCCCTCCTGCTGGCGGACCCCCCGGCTTCGGCGGGCCCCCAGGTTTCGGCGGTGCACCGCCTGGCTTTCCCGGCCGTGGCGGCCCTCCTGGATTCGGTGGACGTTAAGCGTAAATAAAGCTCATACGACAATTGAGTCACCTCAGCAACTCGCCTTTGCGCCAATCGAAACAGCTCGAAAAATAGTAGTACGCTGGCGCACGCAGGACGCACCGAACGAGGCAGGACCGTGGTTGAATGCGAAAGCAGGCACACCAGATCTCCAGCACCTTCAGAATATGCCTGGTTCAGATTGGACGGAGTATCAGGCTCCAAAAGCATGTCGAGTTGGAATTAGAAGCAGCAATATGCCGCACGCCTTATACAATACCACAAATAGCAACCACTGTCTCATTCAATATCTCTCCGCAAGCTGCTTGCAACTCCCCTCGTCCAATCACCGCTTATCATCCAGGCTGACACCGCACGTGACACCACCCTCCGAGAGCGCTCGAGTGGAGCCGCCCTGCGGACAAAGTCTTGGCACGGCATCTTCTCAACACCACAGCTCCGCGCACTCCAGTCCGCCGCGCACCTCACCTCACCTCACCTCGACTCACCGTCCCACCGCCCACCATGGCCGCCGCAATCAAAGCGCTGAACGCGAAGATTCGCTCCAACAAATACACCGACTACATCTGCTCGACCCGTACGTCTCCCGGAGCGAAGCGTGTGGATCCGGCGCAGGCATTGCGAGTCCGCTGCCATTGCAGCAGCTGCTGCCATTGCGCCGGAGGAAATAAAAATGACTGGGGGAGCGCTCGCTGACTCTGGCTGCAGATTTCTGGGGCCCCGTCAGCAACTTCGGTATCCCGATCGCCGCAATCGCAGACATGAGCAAGGACCCCGAGATGTGCGTTCTCCATTCCCTCCTCCCTCACTCCCTCTCCCAACAATTCCACCCCACCCTCACGTCCTCACCCCCACGCTGCCCAATCCCCCCCTCCCTCCCTCCAATCCCTCTAGATCTCTCACCACCCACCTAACACCCCCCCAGCATCTCCGGCCGCATGACCGGCGCCCTAACCCTCTACTCGGGCACCTTCATGCGCTACGCGCTCGCCGTCTCGCCCGCAAACTACCTGCTGTTCGGCTGCCACGCCATCAACTTCACCTCGCAGCTGGTCCAGGGCTACCGCTACATGAACTACTTCCACTGGGGCGGGAAGGACGCGCTGCTGGCGCAGCGCGCGGGGCAGGTCGCCGAGGGCGTCAAGGAGAGCGCGCAGGGGGTTAAGGAGAAGGTGGAGGCGGCGGTGTCGAAGTAGAGGGTGTGGATGGGGGGAGGTGTATAGTAGCGTGCATTGAGCGTGTGTGCAAATAAGCAAGCAAGCAAGCGAGGCGAGACAGGGCAAGGCAAGGCAGGAAGCGTGTGGTGATTACGATTCAAGATTCGAGATTCGAGACTCAGAAGCTGTTTGCTTCTATATTCCACCCCCTCTCTCGCCTTCTGTACAAACCACTCCAACCCTCCCCCTATCCATCCCCCATACACATACACATACACAGATCCCCACCCACCACCACCCCGGCATCTCCTCTACATCAAACTCGTCCGCCCCCCAATCTCACTCCCCCCCTGCCCACTCGGCAAATTCCCCTCCCGACCCTCGACAAACTCGCGATAAATCCGCCCTAGGCGCCCGCGCTCCTGCGCACTGATACTGCTGCGCCCGCTGTCCAGCGCGCTCGCAATGTGGCGCCACTGGATCTGCGGCTCCTTCCTGTCCGTGTCCGGGGCAGCGGGGCCGTCGTCGCCGTCGGCGGTGGATGCGTCGGCGGCGCCGCCCGGTGGGCGCGAGAGCAGTTTCTGCTTGCGGCGGAGCAGCTGCAGGGCCGCGATGTCCTGGGCGACGCGGGCGCGCTCGGCGATGGCGGTGCTGGTCTGCAGCGGCGAGGGGTCTGCGGTGGCTGCGGCGGGCGGGTCCGCGTAACGGAAGTACGAGAACTCGGGGAGGCGGGCGGGGGTTGTGGTGGTGGCGGCGGGCGCGGTGCCCGGGTCCGCGTCGTCGAGCACGTCGTGGATGGCGGCGAGCTGGGCGTTGTAGACGACGGCCTGCAGGTCCGCGCCGGAGTAGCCGTCGGTGCGGTCTGCGATGGCGCGCAGATTTTGGCCCGACGCGTCCGTGGTCAGGATGCTGGGGTTCAGGTGCAGTTTGCGGGTGACGGCCTTGAGGATGTCGATGCGCTCGGAGGCGTCGGGCATGTCGCAGAGCAGCGACTTGTCGAGGCGGCCGGGGCGCAGGAGAGCCGGGTCGATGAGATCGGGGCGTGAGGTGGCGGCGAGGACGTACACGCCGCTGAGGCCCTCGGCGCCGTCCATTTGCGTGAGCAGCTGGTTGACGACGCGGTCGGTGACGCCGGTGGAGTCGTGGCCGCGCTTGGGCGCGATCGAGTCGAATTCATCGAAGAAGAGGACGCAGGGGCGGGCTGCTTCAGCGCGCTCGAACAGGTCACGGACGGATTTCTCGGACGCGCCGATGTACTTGTTAAGGATTTCGGGGCCTTTGACGGAGATGAAGTTCAGGCCGCATTCACCGGCGACAGCGGAGGCGAGGAGCGTCTTGCCGCAGCCAGGGAAGCCGTAGAGGAGCAGGCCGGAGCGCAGGCGTAGCGGGCATTGGGCGAAGATGGGAGCGTATGTTGTTGGGTATTGGAGTGTCTCGAGGAGGATCTGGCGTGTTGCTGTCAATCCGCCGATAGAGTCCCACTTGGTGGTTGAGGACTGCAATGTGACGTTTCGGAGCGAAGCTGGTGTGAAGCCTTTGATAGCCGATGCATAGTCGTCTCTTGTCAGGGTGATAGTGTTCGAGGAGTCGGTGACAGAGCGAATGAGGGACTCATTACGGGCTCGAGAGGTCAGGAGCACGAGATCTCCAGGCATGTAACCGTCCGTCTGCCCAGCAAGGTCAAGGAAGTCAATACTCGTATCTACAACAAAGCCGTAGTCGTCTGACGTATCGTGTTGGATGCCATCGTCGCTCGCTTGACTGCGGTGAGATGTACTTGGGCGGCTGTTTGCTGGTGAGGGAGGGAAGGCGTGGCCGTTCGTCTGTGCAGTCTGGGGCTTTGCATCTTTGAACGCTAGCTTCTCGAGCACCTTCCGCCGTCCGTCCTTGCTTGGAGCCTTCAAGCTGACCATCTCGCGGACGATGTGACCGCCTACGATGACGTTGTTGAGTGCCTCCTTGCCTTGGGCTGTGGCAAGCAAGACCACTCCCGAGTCAATGGAGCAGTACTGCCTGACGATGGAAACGATACTCTCGCTGACATGACGGCTGCGGCCGTTCTCGTTACCAACTTGGAGCTCAGTCTCAACAGGGCACAGCTTGTCGAGGTCATCCAGTATGACCACAGCGTTGCCGCCTGACCGTGCACACCACGCTGCGGTCGCAAAAAGTCTGTTTAGTGTTTCTTTGATCGTCGCTACCCTAGTTTCGTCTGTGACTAGCTTACGACACGGAAAGTAGATGGTGTTGAACAAATACTCTGTCCGTAGTTGGTGTGCAAGCAGCTGCGCGCATTCAGTCTTGCCAGCTCCTAGCCCGCCACTGAGCAGGACAGACGAATGGTGCGTCAGATGTGAGCGCAGCTGGCTGACAAGTGAGTCGATGCCAACCAGCTCCGGGGTGTTCTTCGGCAGCGGGTCGCCTTGTTGCCAGCCTCTCGCCCAGCTCGATGGTGTTGCGATCTCCGGCCCCAACTCAATAGCCGGTTTCCGTTCGGGAAAGAGAACCCATGGTATTCCGCCTGATGGTTGAGCCGGCTCGAATTTGACGATGCCTCCCTGCCAGCTTGATTCTGAGTCTGTTACTGGCGGCAGAACCATGCCGTCCGAGATTGGTCCATCCAGAAGGCCGTTTTTCCTGCCGTAGATCGTCTTCAACTTTTGTATGGCGTCATCTTGCTCTTGCTTCGATTCGCCGCCAAACTTCAAGCTCGCGTTGCTCAGCGATGCAGTTGTAGAAAACGGCAAAACTTTGATCGACTTGACGATTGCCTCCTTCGAGTCTTTGGTCGCTCCAGCGGACGATTTGATGGCTGACGGTTTCGGCGTCTGGCTAGGAGCGCCTTCAATGCGCACCAGTCCGCCTGTAAAGCCTTCACATCCCAGGACTCTGCACAGATCGGACGACAACGCGACGTGTCGACTATCCGGCGCGTCTTCCCACGCTCCTATCCGGGCAATAACGCGGGTAGCGGCTTTCTCCTGGTCCTGCTCCTTTGCCATGTCCACGGGCTCTTGCAGTCCTGCAGGCTTGATGACGGCCACCGAGACCCATGTTGCGCCTCGGAGCGCTTTTGTGAGAAGAACGTCTTTGTCGACCCAGATCCTGAGACCGTCTGCATCTGTGTCGTATTCCTCGTCGAACCACTCCCTGGCCACGCTCCGGTCAACGCCGCGGAGGAAGACGGCGCCTTTGCTGGCAGCTTCGTCGCGGCCTCGGCGGCGCACCGTGCTTGCAGCACTCTTCCCACTCTTCCGTGAGGCGGCGCCCACGCTGCGGCTCTCTCGGTTCGCAGAGCTGCGGTCTGTCTTCTGGCGGGTCTTCGGGGCGACGATGACTTCGGCGTCGGGGGAGATCTTGACGAACAGCGAGCCGGCGGGCGGGGCAGGGGCAACCGAGGTCACGATGATGTTCGCGGTGGTGGTGGGCGAGAGGTGGAGGGTGAGTGGGTGCGGGGTCTGGGCCTGGGGGTTGGGCAGGGCGCGGATCTGCGACAGGAAGTTGAGCTCGAGGAACTGGGCGTGCAGCTCGATCATCTCCCAGTCGACGGGGGTCAGGGGCTCGATGTTGATGGTGTGCGCCTGCGGGGGGTCCAGGTGCAGCTGGATGCCGACCTTCTGGCCCTCGCTCAGCCCGATCAGCCGCGCAAAGGTCGCATCGACCTCGACGGCGGCGATGTCCTGCTGGCTGGCCGCGGGGCTGTTCCGCAGGCCGTTCCTGTCCACCACGGGCGCGAGGCGGCGCTTGCTCTGCATGCCCGTCCACCCCACGAAGAGCGACTTCTGCGGGGCGGCATTGCGCGTGTCCGAGGCGCCGGGCGGCGGCGGCTGGCGGTACGAGAGCTCGACGACGACGTTCTGCGCGACCTGCGGCGGACTGTCAGCACGGGCAGCCTGCAATGCATGGCGGATGGTGGACTGGCGGGGACACCTACTGCGTTCGCGTTCACGAGCACCGACACCAGCGACGCGGGCAGGTGCACGAGGCAGTTCTTCAGCGACTGCTGCAGGGCCACCTCGGCCTGGACGACGCTGCCAGCAGGCTTCTTCGGCGGCATGATGCGTGGGTGAGGAGTGAGGGCCCAGTGCGCGCAACAGCCATCGCCATCGCCGACCGCGCTGCCTGCACCAGCCGAGGCTACGTCGGCGCCGATGAAGGCGGTGCCGACAGGGCTCGCGCGGCCGCAGCCCAGCCAATGGCCGTCGCCCGCCGCACGTCTAAGGTCGCAGGCCAGGCGGGACGGCGCCCTGGCCCCTACGCGACGCGCTGGCGTGCAGCAACGCGCTCCCAAATTCTTGTCCCCACCCCTCCACGCCGCCGCTGCACCCCCCATACGGCCACTCGCCCGCACCGACGTCTCTACACCCGATCCCGAGACGCAATGGCGCTGCTTACCGAGAAGGCGCTCGTCAACTACGAGGAGCAGGAAGGTCGGTAGTCGTAAACACGCCGCACAACACACGGTCGCTAAGCAACCACAGCCGCCTTTGTCGACTTCCTCAAGCACTTCAAGTCCTCGTCGACCGAGGCCGAGGAGCAGCTGCAGGGCCTGACCCTCAACGGCAATGCCAACGACGACGAGTATGACATGGTCGACGGCCCCGACGACCCGCGCTCGCAGCGCCCGTCCAAAGTCAAGTACATGGCCGTGCTGCAGGACGTCGCGAACCGCGCGCGCAGCGACGTTCTGATCGACCTGAACGACCTTGAAGAGGTACGTCGCGCGCCATTGAACGCAGTAGCGCATCGCTGAGCACAGGACAGTACGAGAGGACCGCCGCTGCCGACGACACCAACTACAGGCTGGTCGAGTCCATCGAGCGCAATGCACACCACTACCTGGAGATCCTGTCGAGGGCCGTGGACAAGTGCCTGCCGCCGCCGACCCGCGAGATCAAGTACGCATCGCCCGCCAATGCCAGGCTCGACTAACGTGACGCAGCTTCAAGGACGACGTTCTGGACGTGATCATGACACAGCGATCGAAGCGCAACGAGAGAATACAGGAGCTGCAGGGCGTAGAAGACACCGCGCAGGCCGCCCCCGAGTCCATCTTCCCCGCCGCACTGACCCGACGGTACACGCTCAACTTTGCGCCCAGGATAGCCTCAGGCTCGAGCAGCCAGCGCCCCATCAAGGCGCTTGCCGTCCGAAACGTCAAGGGCGAGCACCTCGGCCACCTCATCACCGTCCGTGGTATCGCGACCCGGGTGTCCGACGTCAAGCCTGCGGTGCTGGTCAACGCCTACTCGTGCGACCGCTGTGGAAGCGAAGTCTTCCAGCCCGTCAGCACAAAGCAGTTCACGCCGCTAGTCGAGTGCCCGTCGGATGACTGCAAGAACAACAAGACCAAGGGCCAGCTGTTCCTGTCCACTCGCGCGTCCAAGTTCCTTCCGTTCCAGGAAGTCAAGATCCAGGAGATGGCCGACCAGGTCCCCGTTGGACACATCCCTCGACAGCTGACGATCCACTGCCACGGGGCGCTGGTGCGCAAGGTCAACCCCGGCGACGTTGTCGATGTTGCTGGTATCTTCCTGCCCACACCCTACACTGGATTCAAGGCAATTCGCGCTGGACTGCTCACCGACACCTATCTCGAGGCACAGTTCGTCATGCAGCACAAGAAGGCATACGACGACATCGTCCTTGCTCAGCCAACACTCCAGAGGATGAACGAGCTGGAGAGGACAGGACAGCTGTACGAGTACCTTTCGCGCTCAATCGCTCCTGAGATCTTCGGTCACGTCGATGTGAAGAAGGCGCTTCTGCTGCAGCTGATTGGCGGTGTCACCAAGGAGGTCAAGGACGGTATGCGCATTCGTGGTGACATCAACGTCTGCTTGATGGGTGATCCTGGTGTTGCCAAATCGCAACTTTTGAAGTACATTACCAAGGTGGCGCCTCGTGGTGTATACACAACTGGTCGCGGTAGCAGTGGTGTAGGTCTGACTGCCGCTGTCATGCGTGATCCAGTCACCGACGAGATGGTCCTTGAAGGTGGTGCTCTTGTCCTCGCTGACAACGGCATGTGCTGTATTGATGAGTTCGACAAGATGGACGATAGCGATCGTACCGCCATTCACGAAGTCATGGAGCAGCAGACAATCTCCATCAGCAAGGCGGGTATCACCACCACGCTCAACGCCCGCACATCGATCCTGGCCGCTGCCAACCCTCTCTACGGCCGATACAATCCCCGCATCTCACCCGTCGAGAACATCAACCTTCCCGCCGCGCTCTTGTCTCGTTTCGACGTACTTTTCCTTATTCTTGATACCCCTTCGCGAGACTCTGACGAAGAGCTGGCGCGTCACGTTGCTTATGTGCACATGCACAATGCCCATCCTGAACCTTCTGGAGGTGTTGTTTTCAGCCCTGCTGAGGTCCGACAGTGGGTTGCCCGCGCCCGCTCGTATCGACCCACCGTACCAAAGGAGGTCTCAGACTACATGGTCGGTGCGTATGTCCGCATGCGCCAGCAGCAGAAGCGCGACGAGGGGTCGAAGAAGGCCTTCACCCACACGTCGCCCCGTACACTGCTTGGTGTGCTTCGTCTCGCACAGGCCCTGGCCCGCCTCCGATTCGCGGCAGAAGTCATTGCAGAGGACGTCGATGAGGCGTTGCGTCTTACTGAAGTCAGCAAGGCCAGTCTGTACGCAGATGAGAACCGCAGGGACGACCAGACCCCCAGCAGCAAGATCTACCACCTCATCAAGTCGATGGAGGCCAGCGGAGCTGCTGCAGTTGGCGACGGCACACGAGGCGAGCTGGACCTCCGCCGGGTCAGGGAGCGAGTTCTGGCCAAGGGCTTCACGGCCGACCAGTTCGAGCAGGCCATTGACGAGTACTCTTTGCTCGATGTAAGTATTGATAGTTCTGAGCGAATCTTCCGACTGCTAACAACTCTTCACAGGTCTGGCAAACTACCGGCGAAGGCACAAGACTGGTTTTCATCGAAGCCGGTGACGATGACGAAGACATGGACGCTGACAACGATTTTTGAGGGACTGGAATGTGAGTGGCATTTGGCTAGATATTTTTGGACATGGCGCACAACGGCGTTCACACCCAGCAAGGTGGGTAGTAAGCAGGCATCTCACGATAGCGGAAGAAAGCAATTGTACGAAGTACCATGTGCATATGCAAGGACGTGATCAACCGCCCTGCAGGCATTGTACATGCCTGCCAAGATTCCCCATGCAGCTCACCATCATTGCGCCTGCGGGGTCGATCACCCAGCTTGATTCGCGTGAACTCAGCATCGTCACTTTCAATTCCCAGCTTCACCAGATGTGCTGGCCCTCACCCAAGTCGTCTTCAAAAAGCAGTCCTCGCAACTATTCCTTAGATAGGAACTCGCTACCGTCACCAACCGCGTTTAGGTTACCAACCGCGTTTAGTCGGCCGTCAAATCCCAGGAGCCGCAAACGATAAGCCTCCGGCCCGCCCATCGCCCTCCGCACAAAACCGCCGTGCGTCCTCTTCTCGACACCGCGCAAGTCACCGCGACACGAACCCGCAATGGCCGGCAACAACTTCGCCCAGTTCATGGTCGTCGGACGTACGTACCCCACGCGGCGCACACTCCCGCTCGCCTTCAACGAGCGCCCCAGCTAACCCACCCCGCAGCGACCTGTTTCTTCCTGGGCATCCTCTTCGCGTCGCTGCCCTACGATTACAACGCGCTCTGGGCGGTCCCCGCGGACCGCGACGCGTACTTCACGATCCTCGAGGACCACATCAAGTTCCTGTACGCGTCGCCGCCGATCATCAGCCGCATCCTGAACATGGTGATCGGCACCGGCATCCTCGGGTTCCTGCTGAAGCTGTTCCGCGCCTCCGAGAGCAACATGCTGTTCGACGGCGCCAGCCTCGTGCTGTACATGGCGGGTATCACCGTGTACCTGACCAACATCGTCAAGGGCTTCCGCGTCGTGACTGCGGGGATCTACGGGAACTTGTCGCCGGAGATGCAGTCCGAGGTGCAGGAGGACGGCGAGGGCGAGTATATTAGCCGCGAGGACACGCTGAGGGTGTTTGCAGCTAGTAATACGATTCTGGCGCTTGTGCTGGTGGGTGTCCTGGTGCTGCAGGCCGGGCAGTGGTATGCGAAGCGCGCGGAGGAGATTGAGATTCGCGAGATCGAGCGCAAGGAGGAGGAGCGCAAGAGCGCGGGGAAGAAGAAGAACTAGGCGGTGATGGGGAGTAGTAGGCCACGGGGCCGCGCGCTGGGGGCGCTGTGGCCCGCAGCGTCTGTCTCACAGGGAGAAAGTAGTTTGGTAATTCGTTTCTGCATCATCCCGTCCTCGTCTCTCTGAATCGTGTTTCTCACCGTGAGCCGCGGCGGGCGCCCCAGACATCTGGCTGTCCACGCCGCCGCTGCCAAACCCCGTTTGCACCTCCCCCATCCACCCCAACCCACTCGCACCAAACACCCAAACACCCAAACACGCCAAACGCTACTCCATTGCCTCCATCCCTTCCCCAGCACACCACGTACACTGCGCGAAATCACGCACGACGATGGCGCGCACTCACACCCACCCGTCCTCGCCCATCTCAACCGCCTCAACGACATCGTCCACCTCACCAACTCTACCCACCTCGCTCACCTCTCCACCTCCGCCCACCGACCAATGGGCCAGCCTCAGCGCCTCGCTAGCACAAGCTTCACGGCGCAGGGACGAGGAAGTACGCAGAGCGGTTAGAAGGAAGGGGGGCGTGATGGGTAGAGGGGAAGAGGAGGAGGGAAGAGGGAGGGAAGAGGGGAAGGGGGAGAGTGGTGGTTTTGTTGGTTGTTCTGTTGGTGGTGGTTCTGTTGGTGGTGCTTCTGCGAAGGGTGTTGGGGGGCGGTTTGATGGGGGAGATGAGAGTGTTGCGGACGCAAGAGACGTTGGTGAGAAGGAAGAGGAGGAGGAGGAGGAGGGAGAGGCTGCTGGAGACGCTGCCGGAGACGCTGCTGGAGAAGAGACGGGCGAGATAAGAGGAGCGGGCGAGATAAAAGACAAAGGAAAAGGAAAAGGAAAGGCAAGATGCACGGAAGAGGAGGTGCGAGATATAAAAGGGAAGGGAAAAGGAAAGGCCAGACGCACGGAAGAGGAGGAGCTGCGCGAGAAACAGGCAATGATCGCTCAGTGTATGGCTGAGATGCAGGTTGCAAGTGAGGAGCTACGCAGGTCCGACGAGGAGCTACGCATGGCGACCGAGGAGCTTCGCAGGGCAGATGAAGAGATCGCGCGCTTGGATGCTGAGATGGAGGACGAGGAGGCGAGGGAGGAGGAAGAGTGGCGGCGTATTGCTGAGCGAGACACCAGGAAGAGAGTTAAATTGGCTGGACGATGTGAGCACGTAAGGTCCTTCGGCGAGTCGTCTCGAGGCGCTGGGACGCATGAGCCCGCCGTCAGAGTCGCTGTGTCAGATACAACCGGTGGCTCCAGCTCAGGTTCTCTTTTCACCTTTCTCAACGCTACAGACGTCGATCAAGACACGCCCTCACTGCGAGGTGGCAATGCCTCATCTCCAGACGACGACCCAGCGGCTCTCCTCGATGAGCTGCGTAGCCTCGTGCGAACCGCACACGCACCAGAAGCACGGAACGACGACGCAGGCCCGAACACAGATGATATCAGACAGATGCTCGCGGAGCTTGACCAAGCGCCGTCTTCCGCCCACACACCACCAGCCGCAGACACCGACACTGATCCACGACAGATGCTCGCCGAGCTTGCTAGGCTGTCAAACCCCGTCTCTCAACGTGTCAGCTCTCCCACTGACCAAGACGAGGAGGGAGACGAGGAGGGAGACGAGGAGGAAGACGACGATCATCCTGCTCCAAGCCAGACTCCAGAACCTCCGCTCACCCTCCAACGAAACACCACCAGAGCCCGCCTCCAACACCATCACTACCCCCCTCGACCCAAAAGCACTCCCCTACCTCATCGCCCTCCACCTCGAATCCGCAAACTGCGCCTGGGAGCACGCCCAAGCCTGGACGTCCCTCCTCTTCAGCAACAAGACCACCGCGCAGCAAGAATCCACCCAGCAAGATCTCGCCCGCGCACTCGCTCACGCTGAAACCCGTCTCCAAGCCATCATCGCCAGCGTCACCCTCGAACACCACGCCGACCGCCGCGCCGCGCATCAAAAGGTCTTGCAGCGCCGCCTGGTCGTGAGCAATCTCGCGGCTGCGGCGGGGAGGGAGGAGATTGAGGGCCTGTTCTGGGTGCATCGGTCGGATGTGTGGGTCTCCCCTGCTTGATGTTTTACTGCCTTTGCGTTTGACTGCTTTCACGTCCGACGTCCCTTCACGTCCTACGTCCCTTCACGTCCTGCGTCCAAAGTGCTGACAGTGCTTTCTCTAGCCTCGAAATCACGTTCCTGCCCGAGCGCGATCCGCTCAAGCGCACGCAGACGGCGCATATCGACATGCGCAGCCGCGAGGCGGCGGTCCGGGCGTCGTGTGTGGGGGGGCATGTGTTTGGGCTTATTTTCCGGGTGGAGTTGGCTGTTGCAGTTTGTGAGTGAGTCGGTTCTCAGAAGCTTGCTCAGAAGCTTGCACGCGTGCCTCGTTCGTACACTAGACTCAAGACCGAGAAACCGGGAGACGGGGGGGAAGGTGTGTCCGCGCACCCCAAGGCTGCGCGTGGGTATCATAAATGCGATTACTACGTATCACCACACTTCCAAGACCGCGTGGCGTCTGCCCTGTCTATGCCTACCTCCTCGACCCCCTCTCCCGCTCCCGCTCCCGCGACCGCTCCCTGTCCTTCCGCCGCCGCCGCTCCGCGTCCCGACTCCGACTCCGGTCCCGCCGCCCTTCGGCGTCGCGGCTGCGGCTGCGGTACCGTGAGCGGCGCTTGTCGTCTCGCGGGCTGCGGCTGCGGCTGCGGTCGCGGTCGCGGCGCTTGTCGCGGCGGCGGTCACTGTCGGTGTCGCGTTTCCTGTCCGAGTCGCGGCGGCGCTCGCTGTCGTAGTCTGAGTCGCGGTGGCGGTCGCGGCGGGGTTTGTCGTCGCGGCGGGATTTGTCGTCGCGGCCTCTGTCATCGCGCTTCTCGCGGTCCCTGTCGTCGCGACGCTCTCTGTCTCTGTCGTCACGGCGCTCTCTGTCTCCGCGCCTCTCCCTCCGCTCCTCCTTCTCCACACCCCCTTTCTCCTCCCCCACCAACTCCTGCCCCTCCAACTTCCGCTTCAGCTCCTCCTCCGACACCACCTCGCCCGTCTTCTTATTCCGCAGCGACACGGGATTATACCCCGCTGGCGCATCCCTGCCCTTCTTCCCGCGCGCCTTGCTATTAAACTCGCCCAGCTCCACATCCTTCGCTGCGTCCGCCTTGGCCCCGATCCCCAGCAGCGCGGGCCGGCGCTTGACCTCCGCGGGCGCCTTGCCGCTGCGCGCCTCGCCGTCGCTGTCCTTCCACCCCATGCCGCGCAGCATCGCGAGCCCGAAGCCCTCGATCGGCGTGGCTTCGTAGGCGTCCAGGCTGGGCGCGTCGGGCGCGTCGAGCAGGTCCGCGGCGAGCGCTTCTTCGTCCGAGATGGCGGGCACGATGCGCGCGGTGTCTGTGGCGGACCCGGTGAGCAGGGCTTCGAGGGCCTGGTTGTCGAGGCGCTGGGCCGGCGTGAGCGCGTCGTTGGGATCGACGTCCATGGCCTCGGGGGCGGGCGTGGGATTTGTTTCTTGCGCGGAGGAGGGCTTCGTGGGCACCGTCAGCCCGTAGACTATCTCCTTCTCGGGCTCCTCCATGACCACATCGCCATTCTGTTGTTGCTGTGTGTGCGGCGCGCGCTCGAGCTGTTTTTTGCGCGCTTCCTCGCGCCAATTGCGGTTTGGCAGCGAGGGGATGACGAGCGGGCCTTTCTTTTCCTTGGGGCCGTTGATGTCGATTGCGCCGCCTTCTGCGGCGTCGAAGCCGGCGATTTCCTGCGCTTTGTTGGCGTCTTCCGGCTCGTCGTCGCCGAGCAGCGCCTTTTTCGGTTTCGTGTTGCCCTTGGCTATAACGCCTTTGAGGCCGGGCTTTGCCTTCAAGCCGCCCAGCGACATTTTGAAGCCGCCCGCGGCCATGGTGTTGAGATTGGGGGTATTCGGGGATTCGAAGCGTCCGTGAATTTATGAGGTGTTTCGATGACTCCGATCGCAGATCCTACAGGGCTGCCTAATCGTGCACCCTGGCGTTGTGGAGGAGCTGTCTCGCGTGGTAACATTTCTCGCGCGATGACATCGTGCTTGGCAGGGTCCAGGCAGCTCAATCACGTGGACGCGGTTTGCAAGCCACCTCAGGAGTATACAAGAGAACATCTACATCACACGACACTCCATTTCTAATGTCAGGTCTAGAAAACCACACGTGCGCTTCATTCGTCCTTAAAGCTATGCTCTTTGGCAGCGGACCAGGTATCAACATGCACAAAACCGTCCGCCAGCGACAAGGTCTACAAATCCGCTACAATCCGCTAACTCCATAATGACAATGATCTTTTTCTTTCTTTCTACGAAATATCGTCCCTATGCAAGTACTTCGCCGTGTCGTTGCCCGCAAACGAGAACGGACTCTTTCCTATCTCAGGACTCCGGGGGTCGATGGGGCTGGCGAACAGGCCGTCGTCGTTGTCGTCGTCCTCGGCGGTGAAAGGCGATCGAGACTGGAAGAGAGGTGCGGGACTTGAAAGCGCGTTGAGCGATGCCATGCCAGTGGAGTCCTGACGTGCAACGATCGAGGGCGGCGGGATCTGCACTGCGACCTTTCGTGGCGCTGTTGTTTGCAATGGCTGCGGCGGCTGTGGAGGCTTCGCTGCGAGAGACGAGGGGTGTTCGCCTTTCAGCATAGCGAAGGATGAGAACGAAGACACGGCAACGTCTGAGCCTTCCGGTGACAGAGGGTTGGCAAAGGGTGCATCGCCGTTGGTGTCTTCGAGCTTGGGGGTGAGATCTCGCTGGTTGGTGGTCAGCTTGAGGCCGGCGAGCTTGTCCAGCAGTCGCCCTCCACCAGGTGACCGGGGGCTTGCAGGGCCGTTGTTCATAGGTGATGCGGCTGGGAGCGAGATGCTGAGGCCGGACGGTCGTGCGGTCACGCCAAATGTTTGTTCAATCCACTCCTTCTCCTGAACCGCCATGAGCAGCCCAATCCCCTCGACGTTGTCACGCGACTCGGCCTCGATCTCCTTCTGCAGCACCTGTAGCCTCTTCTTCGCCCATATTGTGTGCAGCACGCCCTTCTTCCCCGCGGCCCGAGCTGATGCCCCTAATTCTGGCGGAAACAGCGCAGGCAGCGGATTTGTGTGCCACACGACTGGTGGCCGGCCAGCGTCCTGCGGCTGGTGTGCGAGAGTGACGCTCTTGGGAACCGCACTTCCTGCGGGCAGCAGAAAATACATGCGGTGCACATCGTTGGTCTGCTGGTCATCCGCAGGCAGAACCCTTGTGCTGCCGTCCCATGACACATGCCAATCTCCGCGCACGCCTCGCGTTGAGTCGTCGTCTTCCCATTCTACCATAAGGATCTTGGTCCCCCCCGGTGTGGCGTTGTCGTACTCATAGCGAGCAAGCGCATTCGTAACCGAGATGCTCGGCGACTCGACCTCGTCCTTGTGCGGTCCCTGCGTCGTCGTGTCTACGGACGTGAAGGACTGTGTGGCCGGCGACGCCATGAGCAGATGTGGAGTCCGACGATCGAGAGCGCGGTACGGAGGCGTATACAAACAGGGTGGGGGCGAAATACGAAGTCGCAATGCAGATGCGACGTTAATGCAGCACGGCTGATATGGGGAGGCGCGGCCCGCAGTCGACGGGCTCCAGATCAACTGGGGCTAATTACACACAGGCAAATCTTGCTTCCGTCTTGGTAGAGCAACCAGAAAATGCGCTGCAGACAGATCGCAGCACAGAGTCGTCATCAGTGTCGACATGCAGCGTCGAGCGACCTGGCTAAATTTAGATGTTCGTCTGTCAGAACCGGGGCAGAACCTACCGATTCTTCGCCACGGAGAGGTTGCAGCCTCGCGAACTAATCAGCCAATCACAGTGGGGAATGCACGAGGGCGGCAAAGCGGTTTGAGGTTGAGCGATACGCCAGTACTGGCTTTCATTCTCGAGCTGGGCAGTGCCCCTATCAAGTACTGTACAGAAAGTGGGAGCTGCACTAGCTTCCCAATGCCCCTTTCTCAACCCAGAGTATGCAGCCGTATCGTCATGGTAATCCTGCATCGTCCAATCGATGCATCGCGCCGTAGAAATGCTTCTAGCTCGCCAGGGCTGAAAATGCCAAAAGAATAGAACTTGGGTATAGTGCGAAAGAAAAAAACATATGCAAGAAGAGCAAACGCGTGAAGTAGATGTGCAAACAGATGATGCTGTCCAGCAGACTGGCGGGGCTGCTCAGATGAGCAAGAAATCCCAGCCCTTCTGTTGCATCGTGTCCCGCCAGTGGACACTCTGTTTGATGCCTTTGGAGAGGTTGTAGTCGTTGACCGACCACACCTCGTTGAGAAGCGCCTTCATCCTTCCGAAGGAACCCGAGTTGGAAGCATCGCCGAGGCGAGCAGTGCGCTCGGAGAACATCTTGCGGAAAGAAGAGTTGGGAAGAGAGACTGTGCCTGCAACAAGCAGGGGCCAGACAAGAGAGCGGTCAAAGCCCTCGGACCCAGCGGGGATGTAGTCCATGGCCTTGCTAAGCGCGCTGACCAGGTTTGCGTTGATAGGCTGGGTGCGATCGAAGTCGGGGACTAAGCTGCAGAGGTAGATGCGAGCCGCCAGGCGGTAGACTGCGGTCATGTTGCGGCGGAGCTGCTTGGGAAGGATCTCGCCTGTGGAGGAGAGCGCGCTGTTGTTTGAGCCAACCGGTGGCTCAGTCAAGCTGATTTGCTCGCCGAGCAGCTGGATGTGCTGGCAGAGCTGGACATCGTCCATGCCCTCCTGCTTCAGCGCGTCGAGGCAAGCAATCTCGGAGATCAAGTACATGATGCGGTCCTCGCAACCCATGAGCTCAGCCAGACCAGAAGGCGCATCAGCGATGAGCTTCTCGCGGTAGGTGTCAGCAAAGGAAGGCGTCCTGCCGAGCATGGTTGCGCCGAGAATGTCGATCCACGATGCGAGGGTCATGTTGAATGGAGGTTGAGCCTGCTGCTGGCCGTTCAGTGCAACAAGCTGAGATGGGAGATCGAGCTTGTGAACAAGACTCTGGACAGCCTGGAAGTGCTGGTGCCAGGGGATATCGACCAATGCATCGTCAAAGCGGCCAACTGAGCAAGGGAAGAAGATCATTCCGAGAGTAGCCTCGAGGGTCTCCGCGTGGTCACGGTCGCCCATAAGGGAGTCTGTGAGCTGCTGGACAGCGGCGAAACGGTTCCTGTAGACATCGTTGTCGATCTCCTCTCCTTGAAGGCCCTGGGTGGTCTTCATGTGCAGGGCGGAAACGCTCAGGCAGGCGTGCAGATAAGCCCTGTTGGACTCCAGCGCTGGCAGAATGACCTTGTTGCGCGCAGATCCAGGCTGATTGGCCTCGAGGACGGGGTAGACCATGCGCATGACATTGTCGACAAAGTGAGTGAGCAGGTGCTGCTCGCTCTCGTCGACTTGGACCATGGGCTGGTGAGACGGGCTGAAGGCGCCGTGAGTAGGGAAGTCGAAAGTGCTGCAGAAGTCAAGCGGCTCGTCTGCGAAGGCCTCACGGTGGCTCTCGAAGTAGTCCTGCTGGATCCAGTTGTCGGTGGGGAAGCCGTTCACAGCTGGTGGTGTCTGGTAGTGACTGAAGGTCGAGAATGACGAATCCCTGCGAGTGGGAATGTCGTTGATGAACATCTGGCTCTCGGTCTTGATATCGATCTCGTAAGGCGCAAACTGACCAGGATGTTGGTAAACAGGAGCGAACATTGGCGGTGGCATTGCTACGTTGTAGTAATCAGGTGGTGTCACTGTGTTGAAGTTGTATTCCAGGGAGTTCTGAGAGTCGACAGACTGTGCGCGAGTGCAGGCGATCCCATCTGAGTATGTATCAGATGTCTGCATTGAGTGGCAGAGACTGGGCGGTGTGTTGGTAACTCCTTGGGCGGTCTTCTCGTTCAATTTTGTGCGCTTGATGATGTTCTTGATTACTTCCTTTTGGTTTCTCCTCTGCTCGTTGTTGCTCCACCATACTGGTCGCTTATATTCACACTTGAGACCAAGGTGTTTGCAGGCGCGGCAGGCACCCTTTCCCTCATCACACTTCTTTCGTCGCAGACGACATGTGAAGCACCCTGAGCGGCAATTAGCTAAACGTCCGAGCGGGCCGCATCCCTGCATGGATGGCAGTTGAAAGGGTTGCCCTACCTGTTCGTGACCGACGGTGCATCTTCGAGGCAGCTTGCTTAGCTGCATTGGCGGCAGCAGATGTTGTAGTTCCAACCATGATTGAAGGTTGCTTGACAGTTGATGTGAGTGCTGAGGAGGGCGACATGGCGATGTATGTACTAAAGCCCCAGGCTGTGGTACAGAAAGCTAGTAAACAATGCGGCAATAACGACTAATGCGCAACGGGACGGTTTGCAAGGGACAGGATGGCAGGGCTCGGCCGGCTGCTCTTAATTAAAGATTGGTAGGCGAAGTTCGACCAGCGGACTTCAAGGTGAAAAGAAGGAGTGGAACCAAATTATGCTGCTGTCTGGGTTTCCATGGAGGAAAGAGCAAGGCATATATGTACCTAAGAGTACCACGAACGGCACAAATGTGAGCAAATGCTGCTCGATCTATTTCTGGACCCCATGCTATCGACCCAGTGGTCAAGAGGATCCATCCAACAGCAGCACGAATATGCACGTCGTGCGGCATTGTCATTGGTCAGACTAGCTGTACGCTGCAGGCAGATATTGAAATTTGGGGCCTTTTGAGATTGCACCTATTTTGGGGCTTCTTTACCCGCCGCGCTAAAACCGACTGCAGCACGAGGGCTTGGACAGGTGCATGTCTGGACGGTTATCGATCGGCTGCAAGGCTCTCGCGAGCTTGTGGAGCACGTTGAGCGACCTTCTTGAGGCTAGAGGAAGGATTTTCTGGTCGTCTTCGTGAGCTCTAGTTTAGGGTCGTGGCTCTTGGTTCTACACACTGACCCAACCTCTTGCGGGGCAGGCAGAGATGCAGCCGTAAACACTTGCAGCGGCTGCGATAACTGGCCGGCCCGAACGTTGCTAGTGACCTGATCCGTTCGTGCAGATCTTTGGCTGCGATGCATGTGTTGGATGAACGTGTTCAATGTCGTGAAGCGTAACAGAGGTTGGGACCTGCCGACAACGACGAATGCATAGTGACTTGTGGCACCTCAATATGCGGGAGTTTCTCGAAGCTATTCGTTCGTACAACCTGCGGCCAGAACGTTGGGGCGAAATGGAGGGGCCATGCAGATTGGAGCTGGCCCAATTCGAGGTCGCAATTGTCGTGATCATTTCCACTGCGGGACTCGACGACCGAGCTAGCTTGGCCGACGAGAAGAGAGAGAGCATGGTCAGCTCAAGGGGGCAGGTCGGTTGGTGCGCATTTCCGAGCTACGCGAGTTGTAAGTTCTCGTGTGACGCGGCACACTGGCTTGGGCGCAACATGCAGAAGCGATAGAGCGAAAGGCGTGCTGGCCCTCTCCGCGCGGGATTGCGCGCTGAGTGGTGCAAATGCTTGCGTGGGAGTTGGATTTTGCTTGACAAGCTTTCTCTAGTCCAGCCAATGAGATTGTGTACAAGCCTAGCTCCCACAGTGGACCCAGCCACCTGACAGGGGCCTCTCCGAACATGCCTGCTACTATGAATAGTCCCTTAATTAGGTCACTTTGCTCGAGGAATCATAGCTAATTTGACCCAGGTCTCTAAGCTTGAAGCGACTTCCTATCCGGGTACCCAAAGCTGATGCTGCCTGTGATTGGTTACCGAGGATGACAGTCAATAAGTTTTAGTCCACGAATGGCTCTCGAGCACACATGTACCCCTCGGGCTTCAAGCACGCGTGAGGATTGCTCACCTGACGGCGCGGATTTCAAAGTACCCACTTCAACCCGTGGTCGTCATCCTGGTCCTCGGAAGACCCTTTTTCTTCCTTGCTTGGTCGTGGGCCGCCGCGTCCACGTGAAGCGTGAGGTAGCTCGTCAGATCTTCGGATAAACACTTGAAGCCCACTGTTCCTTAGACTTTGAGATGACGCAGGTTAGATTGAGTGGAGCTGAGCTAGACGCAAGCCGTGTGCCATCCGAAAAGATGACTTAGAGCGAAATGCAGGCCTGGACGAGCTCTGTTTGTTGAGCACAGTGCGACGACCGTTGTGCCGGTGCCGTACTCGGGAAAAGTGCGCAAACTGCGCGAAGTGCGCGAAGTAGCTTTTCGCGGTTCCCTTGGCAGAGGGGCGTCGAAGTGGGCTTAGGCTAATCCCTGCCCGCAAGCTCCCATTAGCGAATTGTAGTGTGAACTCCAGAGGGCACTTTGACAAGCTGATTCGTCTTGCTTGATCACACTCCAACAGGCTCTTCGTTGTAGCGGAGGGGCAGGAGGCAAAAGAGTCAGTTTAACCCGCATGGTTTTTCGGTCACGGGAGCACGGTGAGGTAGAATGCTGCAAAACCGTTGGCTGATGACCCGGCGAGAGCTCCATCGCAGCTCTACCCAACTGCTCTTGAGTGGTGAAGCATTCGCGGCCAGAGAAGCGGTCAAGGTCGCAGGTTGATTCGGTGGAGTCATTGAGTGCCGTGTGCTGGCGATGCAGTGACTCAACGCTTGATCCGCTGCTGGTCGCAGATGGGCGCGTCGTACAGCAGGTAATGTGGCCGAGAAGTCGTCTTGATGGATTCGAGCATGAAGGCAGGTTGCGACCAAATAAGAGACCGATGACGTATGTGCGCCCGGACTTGTGAACGCACGCACCTTGTCAGCGGCCGTGCCTGTGCTGAACTCAAATAATCTGTGATGAGCTGTTGCCAATATCGCGTATTGCAGCATGGCTTAAGATGAGGCTGCGGGATCACACTTTCGCGAGGCCGCGGTCGCTGTCGGCCAAACCCGCATCCCGCAATCTGTAAATCATCTCAACCGTTCCCCAACCTCACTGGTCAGCCACAATGACAGGGGACTGCCATCGCCGCCCAAGCCAGAGTCAGTTGACCGCTGCACAGGCAAAGTCGTTGTTCATGCAACGTGAAATTTACGTAGCTTCGGACCGGAGCCACTTCCAGGTACGGCTCTATCGTGAGGCTGTGCGACGTGTCGAAGCAGGCACCGTACATTGCACGCGTGCACAGCATGGCCAGCTCAGATCTGCAATGCATCTGGTGCACGAAGCCGGCGTCCGCGATGATCGCCTCTGGCGCTTCTGGCCGAATCTTTCGAGCACTGTCCCGTCGACGGTGCGCCCATTGCCGTCCTCCCGAAGCGAGCCTGATTCAGTGCGGGCCATCAACCCTAGGCTAGTGCCGCATGACCTGCGGTGTAGGGTATTAATGGCATTTTACGTTGCCTATTTCGGAGCATTTAGCCCCATCGCTCATCTGCAGAGCGACGAATAGCGTCCTGTCGTGTCCTCTCAACGCTGTCGTACAAGCGCCGGACTCAAATGGACCATCATGCGAGCAGGAAAAGCCCGCGCTCGGATTGGCGGGTGCTTCGTGTCTATCTTCGAGCCGAGAACTCTCACTGGAGGATACAACCCGCCGGATGTGCTCTCTCTGCAGAAGTTGAGTTGTGATAGACTTGAGCCGCCAGCGTCCACCGTTAACGGACACTCAACCACGCTCTACAAGAAGTCCTGCAAGCGCCCTCCACCCGAAGGATCTTTTTCCGTTTTTCCAACGTTGCTCTGACACCGTGCGCGTGCCATGCTTGAGACATCAGCCCGAATACGCTGCTAGACCGCCATTGAGCAACTCGAAATTTTGTATCTGAGTGTGCACCGCCAAACCCGTGATCATGGTAAGCAGAGACCGCCAGGTCCAAAGCTCAATTAGGAAATCCTAACATGTTTCAAGCAGGCCATGACGCCCATCACGCCGTTGGAACCTGGCGTAGAGATGTTTGAGAGGGGGAAGTCCCGCGACTCTTTTTTCTCTTCGCATCTCACAATACGATCTTCGCTCGAGCGACCGGTCTCGGGGATAAGTCTCGCATACACCGACATCGAAGATGATTCCAGCGAATTTGAGGAGTACAGTGGCTCATCTGTATGGCATTCTAGGCATTCCAGTCATGTGCTTTGCTGACAGTTATCAGAGCGACAACAGGCGAAGCCAAACTACCATTTCGACTTTCGAGGAAGTGCGAACACCTGGGGATGACATAAGACCGCAGTATGCCGACTGGTACTTCCCTAAAGCTGTGGAGGGCCCAAGGGGTCCCCATCTCTTCCGTGCTTCTCAATCCTCAAATGACTTCGACTACGCTTTGCAGATGTCCCCCCTGCTTCCCAAAGATGTAGCATCCCGCTTCCCAATATCTTCCAGAGAGCCCACACCAGCTACGATCGTTCCGCAACATGAATACAACAATATCGCATTTGCTGTTGCGCACCTGGACAACAACGAAGTGCGCGCCTGGAGCTCGCGCGACGTTGCTACCTGGATGTATCAGAACGGCTTCGAAGACGACGTAATCGATAAATTTGTAACTCACGACATCACTGGCGCAGTGTTGTTGGATCTGCAGTTCGATGATCTTAAAGAGTTGGAAATCCAATCATTTGGCAAGAGGCATCAGCTCTGGCACCAGATCGATTCTCTGCGCGCAGCAGACGGCTTGACCTCTCCACTCGCGCCCGCTCCTATCCCAACGCCATTCGAAGACATCGAGCGCCCATGTACCGAGGCGCGGGAAAGGTCCAAGAGCAAGAACCGTGGTGGCCGCCGTCGGCGCAACCCTGTCGATGACTTGATAACGCCCGCAGAGTCTGTTTCAATTGTTGCTATTGAGCAACTCTTGCCCAAACCACATGTTTGTGCGAAAGGAGAGCGATGTGCTAAGTGGAGGAAACAACAACGTCAGCTAGCCAGACTTCAAGAGGAGCATGGGTTCCCAATCTCCCCCGAGAAAGGTGGCAAGATATTCATTGCAGGCGACCCAGGCAACGCCCACAATGCGCAACGCGCTGTTGAGAATGTACATCGCCCAATTTCTGATGCGGCGCCGTCAGTGGTCGACCCCTCTGTAGTAGCCTCGTCCGACATCCTTGGACCTGGTCAGCTTCCGGAGTTCACTCTGCAGGATCTCCAGAATCTGCAGCAGTGCGATCCCCAGGACAATGTGCGAAACTTCCTGTCACTCCAGGGCATGGATCAGCCCTACACGACAGCCACACCGATCGAGGCACCCCCAACGCCGCCTATGGACATGTTCCCTCCCCGCCCACAGTTGATAATCCCGCAAGGTCAGAACTATCCTCAGATCTCGGCGTTCTCAGCATCCACCTCAGCCCATACGATGAAGTTCGATCCCGCCACCTTGCCAACCCCTGTCTTGTACTCTCCCGACACCACGCCAGCCCCTCACTCCAATCTGAGGAGTCTTCCGAAACTCACAATACCACGTTCCATGTCTGCCCAGCCTCAAGGTAACCCACGCCATGCTGTACCACAGAATTCCTACCTTGCACCAATCTCCGCGTTTTCGCCAGCCTGTGAGACAGCCATCACGCCCGGCGGTATCTACCGATTCGGTACACCAGCCTCCATGATGGACGTTCCGGTGACGGCCGTCCACGTCGAGCCTGTGTCTCGTGACACAAGCCAGTCTGTACCACCGAACATGCAGTACAAGATCCAACTCCAGAGGGCTGGATCACGCAGCGAGCGCCGCCGCCCTTCGCTGACCATGCCAGCACTTGGCGAAGATTCTGTATTCACACCTACAGGTGCTCATTCTGACGATGACGCCTACCGTGGAACGCAGTTCTTCGACAACAGCCCAGAATCGTCGCCCGTGAAGGAGACAGAGCTTGCGAACGTTCAGGAAGCTCAAGATAGGCTCGCGCCACTTCCAAGCAAGGGAGGCTTCGAGTACAAGGGCATCAACCACCATGGCTGGATGAAGAAGCGCAAGACTAAGATGCTGCGTCACGAATGGCAAGATCACCACTTCCGGCTCAACGGGACGCTGCTGGCCATGCACCCCAATGAGCTTCCCTCCTCCTCTGCCCTGCAGACTATCGATGTCGACGACTACGCAGTTGCCTGCTCATCGCTTGCATCCAACAAGCTGTCTGCCAGGCTTCGCGCTCTCAAGCTCTCATCCAGCAAGAAGGAGGAAATCATGGCCAACCCATCGGCCTTTGAATTCCAACTCGTGCCCACCGTTGGCGAGATGAAGAGGGTCATGCCACACGGCAAGGTGCACCACTTTGCCACCAAGGGCCGCGACGAGCGCATCGACTGGATGCGCGAGCTGATGCTCGCCAAAGCCTTGAAGGCGAGAAACGAGGGCTACGAGGTCACTGTCAACGGTGCGGGCATGTGAGCGCACCAACCCATCAGTTTGTTTTTTTGTTTTACGACATTTCCTTTTCTGAACACATCATGACCGCTATTATACCCTTTAAGTATGTTATATCGCTTCTTTGGTTTACACGCATCTCCTCTTTTTTCATCAGCATAGCATAGCACTTTTCTTACCGCAAAGACTTCGGAGGCGGGCTAGACCGCAAGGTTACATGGCAGCCTCCGCATATATGTTAGGTAATAATGGCATCTCCGTAGCATTTGGGGACCGATACACAAAAGCTGTCGTTACATTGGTACAGATTGAACAGTAGAAATGACGGGCATACGACAGGCACGGACGGACGGGTGGATGGATGAGTGGAAGGATTAGGTAGAATGTTGCAATCAATCGAAACGAAGGTCTTACGAACATTCTGTGCCACGCGCTCTGTCACTGCGATATCGCCCCCGAGAAGGAATCCTGTGGTCACACACTTCGTTCTGTGCACACTACACGTCCCAGTATTACCTGCGAACCGAGCTCTTGTCACACCGCTCACCAGGGCTCAAGAGCGTGATACCGTGTGGGACCGCTGCAAATGGATTGTAAGACGGCTGTGACTGGGCCGGCGCACCGGACTTGCTACCACGAACGTGGTAGTCGAATAGGCAGTAGCGCCGGCCGCGAAGTGACAGCGGGAGTCTGCAGTAGCAACAGCAACACATTCACACAGCTCGCTGGCGCGGAATCGTTGGGCACCATCAGTACGGTTTGCTGGGCTCATGCAAATTTACGCGCTGGTGTAGCTGTGGTGTGATGACTTGAGAAGGATCGATAAGATTGATGACCCATGCATATGCGAAAAGGGACAATCTTCCCCAACGAGCATTTTGCTCGTTTTTAGAATATGGTGGTAGTGTGTTAATTACCTACTATGGACGAAGACAACACAGTGTAGGTTTGCTATGGAACTATGGGGAAAACAAAGAGTTCGTACTCAATCGGGCGCAATTCTACGAAGTAGTTTCCCTTTGTGGTGGAAGGAGCGAGAGAGCTGCTTAGAACTCGGTCATTCTCTCCACATATAACACCGCAATGAAAAACTCGTTTATTGAGTGATCAAAACTCAAGGTATACTCGTCAGCTAGCGGATGCCCTTGATTTATGAATATTGGACTAGCACTCGCTCCGCGATATTTTTATCGCTGCTCTGACATTCGGGTTTTGTGCACAATATCACAACAAGACTTTCAGACAAATGTGGCGAACAGCCCACTCCACTGAACATAGGAAACTGACAAGACGTAAAGAAAGTCTCAGAAAGACTCAATGATACACCTCATACTTTGTGATTTGACAAAAGAAACCAAGCAGCTGGGTCATACAACGCTTCTTGATCCACCACCCAACTCCCTCACACCTCACAACACGCCCCCTGCATTAAAAACCGAGTATTGACCAACCCCAAGGACCGTGATACCCTATGGCGCAACACGACACATCCCTCATAGAAATTGAGACCGACGGACGCGAGAAGCAGTCTCAAAACCCGGCACCCGCCGCCGTGCATTCTAACCAGACTACAAGTCAAAGTGCCGAGCTTCGACGGAGGTCTTTGTAAACGACACGGAAAGATCAGTAGATCAGTCAGAATACAGAACACGACGATTCCCTACCAGGGAACCCAGATACCCTAGGATGAAACAAACAATTACTAGCCGTACTCTACAAACCACTATGTCAACAGTGTTCATATCCCTTGTTTCTGCAGCACGAGAGTGTGTCAGTAGAAGCATATCATGACTCGAGGCTTTGCGTTGTAAGGTTCTACTGCTGGTGGTCGCGAAGGGGTCTGGAAGGCGGTGTTGTCGGGAAATGGCATACTTCCTTGAGTAAGTGGGGGCGTAGGAGGGCTTGGGGATGGGACCTTAGTGTGTAGTCGAGCACATCCTGGCCTCGCGAGTGGTAACGGTGGTGTTGCGGTGAGGAGAGGACTTGTTGAAGGGCTACTAGTAAAGCGAGGACTAAACACAAGTAGGAAAGGTACACCAACATCACTGACTGGTGGTCATCATATCTCGGCGCCACATCTAAACCATAAACAGTTGTAATAGGAGTATGCACGCTATAAAATCTATTGTAATGAACATGAAAGAGGACTTTTCCATCGTACAGTAGGACAATGTCCTCTGCACAGAGATGCAAGATAAGTATGTACGGAACATCTCAGAGAGCCAAAAGGGCCTGAGCGCCCGGCTCACTGCAGACATAGACCACGTCGTGGCTGTCAGTGAAACCGTTGAAGCGAGTGGCAGAGCACTTGGTGTAGGCGCCCATGTCCTCGAAGTAAAGCCAGTCACCAACATCGAGGAGCTCAGGGAAGGTGCTGGACGAGGAGATGATGTCAATACCATCGCAGGTCGGACCCCAAATGGAGTACTCGATCTGAGAGGGCGTGTCGTAGCCAGAACGGCGGGCGTCGTACAAAACATCGTTGCCAGACTTCAGGACCTTGGCCACCGGGTGCTGGTGGTCAAAGATGATGCTGGAGAAGTTGCCGTAGACGCCGTCATTTAGGTACAACATATAGTTCGTCATACCGAGGGTCGCATCAGTGACAGTACGGCGAGCGATGACATGGCATGCAATGGTGAATGCAGTCGAGACGTAGTAGCGACCAGGCTCACCAATCACACGGATGTGTGGCGGGAAGTACTCGTCCAAAGAAGCCGACAGCACCGCCGCCATAGGCTCGAAAGTAGCATCGCCAGTGAAGCCACCGCCGACATCAAGGGTGTGCATGTTGAAGCCAAAGACAGCCGCCTGGTCGAAGACGAAGCGGGCGTCTTGCACAGCCTTGATGAACGCCTTTGGGTCGGAAGCGCCAGAGCCAACGTGGAAAGCCACGCCAACGACGTTGAGCTCCAACTTCTTCGCAAGCTCGAGTAGCTCAGCAGTTTGGTCCATAGCGGCACCAAACTTCTGGCTCAGGCGGCACAGGCTGGCTGTGTCATCAGTGATGATGCGCAGGAACAGCTCGGCGTCAGGGAAGAGCTGCTTGGTCTTGTAAAGCTCGTCGGCGTTGTCGAAGGTCATCTGCTTGACGCCAGCGTTGGCGGCGTAACGGACGTACGACTTGGTCTTGCAGGGCTGGGCATAAATGATGCGGGAGGGGTCGACGCCCATTTTGAGAACCATCTCAATCTCGTTCTTGGAAGCACAATCGAAGCCAAGTCCGAGCTCAGTCATGAGCCGCAGTACTTGCGGATCCGGGTTGCACTTGACCGCTGTTCAGGTATTAGCAGAGCCAAACAACAACGACCGGGTCTTCTGCTTACCATAGTGCGGCTTGACACGAGCTAAGTTCTTCTTCCATCGAAGGTGCTGACGGTAGACCTCGCCCAGGTCAGCGACGAAGAAGGTGTCCTCGTCGCCGACGTCACAGATGTCGTGATCGATAGCCTCGACACGGCTCTTCAAAGCTGCGCCAATGAGTTGCTTGGAGTTGCTTGCGCCATGGTTGTCAACGCTGCCCAGGGAATAGTCATTGAAATACTGTTTGTGATGCAAAACATCGTTGTATTCCTCGGGAGGGGGCGTAAGTGCAGAAGGTGCCATTCCCTTGCTAGAGTAGTCGGGGAGTAGCTGAGTAATTGGGACTGTTTGCTGAATGGCGAAGGGGTGTTAAGGCGGCTTGAAGGGCGCGAAGGCGAGGCTTGGTGTTGGGCGAGGCCTCCTGCTAGACTGTTCCTCCACGGAACAGACCACAAAGAGTGTGCTATGCGGCAGCTGAGAGTCGAGTGGAACGGGGATTTGGTTGTTGTACGAAAACAACACTCGCTCAAGCTCCTGTTTGGAGGTGTGTGGCAGGCGGTGGGGGGATGTTGTTGAATACGTCTGGCGTGGGTCGTGCAGAGACAACTTGAAGGTTGATTAGGAACAGGCGGCCGCGAGCCGTCTTAAAGCGAAGCCTTTGATTGCGACCAAAGGCGGTCGGTGCGTTATTTTTGGCGAGCGAAAGGCAGCCGTGGAGGGTCCAGCGACTGGCAAGAGCGATGCAAACAAAGATGAGACGGTGAGGTGAGGTGAAAGGAGATGCGAGGTGGCTGCGCTGAAAATTGCTCCCCGCCGCCAAGTGTGTTCAAGGCGAAGGTCGGTGCGGTGCCTGGATTACCAGCAGCGCCCCTCCCCATTGGCCTCCGCACTCGCCCCACACGCAACAAACCACTCGGGCTGCGTCATTGACCTCTTGATGATCGGACGCACCGCCCGAGGCTGGAGCAGCTGAATCAGGAAGCGAGCGCCTAGATGCGCCTCAGGTTGGTTCAGCTGCTGCTTCTGTCGACTGTCACCATGGAAGGAGCCACGCTCGACCACGAGGCAATTATCGACACATCTTAGGAGGCCGCATCGAGGAATTGGGTTTGGCCTTGGCAGCTGTCACATCGACGATCCATGGATGCCCGCTGCACGTGCATCAATCGGGCTCAAATGACATGTGTCGCGAGGCATTTCTCGACACCAACACGAACGTGCACACAACAGAATATTGAACAGACCCCTGAATTTGTATTTATTATTGAAATACTCAAGTGGTTGCCGCCCGTGTGTTCGTAGGCTGGTCATGCTAGAAAATGCTACTGTACAAGTGTATATATGGTCGAATGGAAGGTCATGAACATGGAATCGTCTCTATACGTGTTCGTAAGATGCCTATTGCTGCCTCTGGACGAAGATAGGAACATCAGACAGATCAACGCCGTAACTCTGTCTGTATAGCATGCTCCGAGGCGTAGCAAGGCTGTGCAGTTGCCGTGTCCCTGCTGAGCCGCCAACCTGCCCGTGACCTTCGTGTTCATAGTCAAGTCCACCGCTGTAACGGCCGAAGGCCGTCAACTCCTGGGGTGTGTAAGGCAATGGACGGGCATGAGATGCGGTTGCGACATTTTCATGGGCTTCTACTTTCGGTCGTGGTCGTAGGTTGTCTCCAATAGACTTGCGACGTTCACTCCACTGTAGGGCATGCTGCTCCCAATTGGGTTTATGTTCCCAGTCAACATTCTTACGAGCTGACGGCGGGCGTGTGTAATTGGGCCTCGATGGCGAGTGCGGACGAGAATTGGCGCGAACGCGAGACTGGTTCGCCATGGGAGTGTCCACGTTCTCCAACCTGGGCCTAGCAGAGAGCGGCGACGAGTACTTTGTGTGGTCGATAGCTGGCATCGGTGGAGCTTCATCAAAGCAGAAGGTCTGAGTGCGTCTTCTCAACTGCTTCGCCTCGCCGACCTCCATCTTTGGTTTCCGGCGCGGCTTGTGCTGAGGCATTTGAGGCATTTCTGGCTCAGGAAGAGCACGATCCTTGCTACGCATGCGCGCATATTCTGCGGCTGTGTCTGAGCTCATGCTCATGGCTGATCGTGATCGTGAATGCGCGCGTACTTGACCAAGCTGGTGAGGATGTGTAGGGTGCTCGACCGCCTCCTTTGGTTGAAATGAGCCAAACATGGAAGGGTCATAAGGGGAAGCACCAAGGGATGTGGCAATGGTGCCGAGATCGAGCACCTTGGGCGAGGGAATTTCTTCCTCTCCATCTCTGTCCTTCTTTCCTGGAGTCGATTTCCTCCGGAAGAAAGACATACTCCGTCTTCGACTACGAGGACTTGTGCAGTCAGGCTCGAGCTGGACCGGAGATGCTACGGATTGAACCCGGCTGAAGCTAGGCACTGAATCAGGCGAAGTTATATGATCCTTACTGGGATAGGTGTGAGTCAAACACTCCATGCCAGGTGTAGCTGACAGCCTTCGCTCAAAGGTGACTCTAACATCGTCCGGGACCTCGGGGATGACTTCGCGGCCTGGCAGTGCAGACTGGACGACCGGCAATTGAGGCTGCGATGGCCGTTTCTTTTGCAGGCGCCTTGTTTGTCTTGGCAAAGTTGGCTCAGAGGTCATCGAAATTGTGGATCGGGGCGTCTCTGGTGCAAGCACGAGATCCATGGAGGGGAGTTCAGCAACTCCACGAGGAATCTCTAGTGACAGTGTGCGTCCATGCGCGTGCTTAGGTACAGTGTCCATCAGAGACTGCTCGAAACGAGTAGGGAGATCGGCTTCAGCGGGCAATTCAAAGCTCATCGTCTGCCTTCTGCTGGCGCTGTATCGGGCGTACGGTGAGTCAGACGGTGGAACAGTCACTCGAAGCGCGCGAGGATGCTGCTGCTGCTGCTCATCACTGACTACTCTGAGACTGCCACCAGATGAGCCAATGGATGAGTAGCCGGAGTCCGACGACCTTGGTGAGGGCCGAAGGGACGAGTTTTTAGCCATCTCCATGGTTCTTGTACTCGTAGCTGTAGAAGGGGGTGACAGCTCACTGACGTCAGTAATTGTTGCAGACAACTCCGTCAGGTTGTCCAAACGTTCTCGAGGCGGGGAGTCTTCGATGAATAGCTCATCGGTCGTTGGCTCTTGATCTTGCCAAGTGTTGTGAGCAACCATGCGATTCTCGAAAGGGCTGTACGGGATGTAAGCCTGATAATCTCTCGCAAGAGTATCAGCGCTTTGTGATGATCGCCTCGTGGTGACGGCGATGCTCTGCGGTCGCCTCTTAGGCTTGACTTCTGCCTTAACGTAGGTGATAGCGATCTTCTCTTCGCCAGCCGGATCTGGGATACCCATGGTCCTAACGTCGCGAGCTCCAGTAGCCGACATACTCCGCGGCCTTCTCTCGTTCTTCGTAGCCAAGGGGCTAGGAACAGGTTCGGTCGTGGGAAAATAGTCGTTCCTCATGCGATCGAGGGTGGTCGTGCTCATCGCCGGCGAAAGGTCACCGTTCACGACCATCAGTGTCCCTGGTTTGTATCCAAATAGAGGTGAGTAGTTCAGGTCGCCGGGAGTCTGCACTTGAGTGTTGTCCACCAGATCCAACGCCACCAGGCGATTCAGAGGAGACGGTCCCTGTCTCGGAGTTTGCCATTTAGCGGCGTCTTCTGGTCTCATTGGGGGTGCTCTCCAAGAGCTCCAGGTCCTGCGTTTGCCTTCAGCCGGTGACATCCGAGTCGCAACCCCTGGCGTCTGAACGAGTGACTTTCTTCGAGTGAGTGCGCCGCTGATCTCTGGACTGGACCTGTCGAACTCCTGCTCCAAGGTCGCTACAGAGGATTCGGTGGGACGTTCCAAAGCGTCGCCTGCAGAGCACCACGTTAGCACACAATGGTCGAATGCGGTAGTATGTCAATTGCAAGTGACACCGGGGAACTCCCAAGGCATCTACAAACGCAAGGGAGTACTTACGCAAAGCGGCGAGCTCCTCCGGGGACGCGTTTTTCTTGACTTCCTGCAACAACCGAATAGCTGCCTCGATATCCGACTGCGTGGCCGACGCCAAAGACGCTCTTGACTCAGGCATGTTCTTGAGGTTGGTGGTAGAACTCCGCCTACTTCTTACGAAGGACCTCAACACGGACCCTGACCTTGAATGTGCACGTGAATTTGACCGCGAAACCATTGATGAGCAGCGTCCGCGTCCTTCTGCCGCTGCATTGGTGTTGGGCGCATCTTGGTCGGATAGGATCGCTGATTCGGCCTCTTTGCTGATGGGCGAGATCGCATCCCTGATTTGTTGCCGGCTCTGCGCACTCAAGTCCGCGTAACGTGGCGATTCGGGTATAGGGATATCATTGTTAACAACGGGACTGGCCGGTTTTGAGTTTGTGTTCGTCCTCGGCTTCGATAAGCGATTGTGTTGGGAGGCGTGCTGGACGCTGCCCTTGCCTCGACGTGCGACGCGGTCCTTGAATTGCGAAAACATAATTACAGAAAGGTTACAGAGAAAGAGACATCAAGTGAACAGCTAATACAGACACCGTTGAATGCAAGAACGAAGTGGGACTTTCTCTTTGAGAAGCGTGAAGATGGCCGGGACACTTGCAGTGTGGGGGCTGGAATAGTGTTCGATCTCGAAGCTTAGTGCAGCGTAGGTAACATGGAGTTCACGGCTTGTCTATGTAGAAGACATGCAGCTCCCGTCAAAGCAAGGCGCTTGGGTCAGTCCAGTCCCACCGGCCTGTATCGTCTCTGGTCAAACGTACGATTACGAGTCTGTGCATGTCGCAATGTGGAGAGTGCAGCGAAGCAAGCAACAAACCTGGAAGGGCTCTGAACTTGAAACTAGGCGCATCGGCTTTACTCCGCCATGGCCAATCAGAGAACGATGGCGCTAGAGGCTGCGCAATATGCCAGCCAACGAGAGCGGCTGAGCGCGTGGCTGAAAGCCTGATCCCAGATGTTGATCTTGCATCACGGTTGGTCTTTCAGGTCCAGATCCCGGTTTTCAAAGCGTGAGGCTTGCATCTTAAGCCAGCAATTCCCTGGAAAGTTGCAAATTTCGATGCTCGATCTCCCCAAAACACCGATAGTCAGCGGGGGTTGCAGAATCTTTGCAGCTTCTTTGTAGGGTCACACCTGTCGACCCTCCCCAAAACGCTCGCATCGGCCCGCATGGTTCCACGTCAACCAAAGTGCGCTGCCAGAGGTGCGTGAACGGTTCCGCTGCTGTGCAGTACAGTTGTCGACGCCAACGTGAGTACTGTAGACGAACGTTGATTCGATAACCGGATTGCGCCTGTAGATGCCAATCTCGCTGCAATCTCATCCTCATTTGACGTGCCGATATCAGACAACATGATTGTAATCATTTCATCAGTCGCTGTGCCAGTCCCACACAGCTGCACGTGTTGTAATGCCAAGAAGTCGCGGTCTGAAGTTGCTGTCGTTGTGTTTCGTCCTCGAGACCGAAGAGCCACATCACCACACCCACACCAGGACTGTGCTTTGCAGGTACGAAGAACAAGTCGCGTCCTTCGATGACATCTTCGTTGGGCTGCGCCAGGAAAGCCGGAATACCGGCGGGATGTGGTCGGCTATGGAACCGTGAAGCGAACTGCCGTTTCTGCCGTTTTTGCCGATTTTAGGGATAAAGGGCTGGGTCCCAACATTTGTTCGAAGTGATGTCGAGATCGCAGATGCTAACCACAGACATCCTCGAGACACTCATGCAGGGCGAAGTGTGCGTGCGCAGCTAAGTTTGAGTTGAGACTGACCGCTCTGCGACAAGCGAGGAACAGCGGGAATCGATCGTCCTCGCAGCGACTCGTCCTGACTCCTTAGTAAGCACAGCTTGCAGCTGAACTCCTCAAACTTCCACCGCGCTTTGTCCCTTCGGCCGCCGCTTACTTTGCAACGCCAACGGAAGCAAAGCAATTTTCGATGATGAAGCCTCAACAGCTACTCGGTCTTAACCCCGGATGACGTGGAGATGGGGGCTCATGTACCGTAGATCGCGGGAGTCGGCGGACCAGATGATATGACGTCAAGGCTCGCCCGAGTCTTATAGCGTGTATGGAATTTCAATTGCTCGCACGACCAGCCTTGTTTAATTCTGCGACGACCCTTGATTCATATACCTCTGATCTGCCCAGGGACTGTCCCTTCAACGTCCTATTTTCTGCATTTCTCGTGTTGTCTTCGACACGCAGCAAACGCGTGATTTTGGTTGTAGTGAACAACAACAACAACAACAGTAATAACCAACAACCACATCAGCCATCATGTTGGTGGCATCGTTTTGGGTCGTGCCCATCTTCAGTTCGATATGTTGGATGGCCATGTTAATCACCATGCTGGCATACTGGAGCGCAAAGGGGCACCCCCATTATCCAACAATGGACCCGGGAGGTAACGGGGTGCAGAGGCAAACGATTGCGTACATCTCTGGTATGTCTACTGAACGAGCTCGAGGACCATCTTCTCGTACAATTTGAGCGGGTTGATCTCCAGGTTCAGGTGTATCAGCTTGCAGTTACGAACTGAACACTGACAATTTCTCCAGATATCGGCGCACAAGAGCTCAAGCCTATGTTCATCGCCATGTCGGCCGTTACCGTTGTCACATTCGACCTCGCCTTCATCTTCGAACGCTACCTGCGCCATGCTGGCAAGCTTGCACCTAATACGTCGGTCTGGCAGAAGATCTACTCGTTGATAAGCATGCTCGCTGCGATTGTGGGCGCTGTCGGCCTTATCCTTCTGACCATCTTCGACAATTATCATCACAACCGTATGCACAACATTTGCCTTGCGATCTTCATAATAGGGTACATTGTCAGCGCGATCTTCATCTGCTGGGAGTACCAACGCTTGGGAATCCACTACCGCCAGCACTCGATCCTCCGCATCTCTTTCTGGATCAAGCTCGCCTTCATCATCACCGGTACGCTTCCCTGCCAATCCAAACTGTAGCCACCCGACTAACTCATCCCCAGAAATCTGCCTCTGCATTATCTTCGGTGTGACCCAACTCTACGACTACTGGAACGTTGCCGCGGTATTCGAATGGATCATCGCCTTCGTCTACACGTGGTACGTGCTCAGCTTCTTCATCGACTTCCTGCCCGCCGTGCGCACCAAGAACCACCAGAGCTTCCAGACCGAGATGCAGATGGCCGAGGAGGGCGGCCCGCAGCCGCGGACCATGGGCGACGGGGCCGCAGACAGCCAGCAGTACTTCCGTGGCGCGCCGATGACTGCTGGCGAGCCGGGCCAGAACTTCTACCCCAATGCCAGCGGGTACAACAACCATGCTAAGCCCGAGGCACCGATTCCGTCGAGGAACTTCTAGGTATTGTTGGTTGTAATGATTTGTAATGTTTGTGTGCGTTTTTAGCTGTGTATATACCACTTGATGACCGGCGTTGGTTTTAGCCAATGCGTTCACGATTAGACGTCGCCTATGAGGGCATCATTGAGCATTTCTGCGATTTTAATATTACGCATATCAAATGATCGCATCAGAATTTGAATTCCTGCCGTGCTCTCTTGTGCCTCTCACATCATTGATGAACTGAAGACATACCAATATGTGTGTATCATACTGCTTTCTTATCATGGCATGATATGTCTCATGGTGCCAACCCATAACGGGTACGAGGACAGTTTGTCTAATACGACTATATAGCCCATACTGCATGATGTAGGTTCCGAATTGCCACCAAGGCAGCTGCAAGGCAAGAAACAATGGATCATCAACATCAACATGACGCTCCCTTATTAGTGCAATAACACTCAATTGGAGGCATCTAGTTGTGGTTTAAAAGCGTACTGGCTCTGCCAGAAAAGATTGTAGTTCTTCAAAACTGCCAAGATGTAACTCGGATGTGCCTGAGTGCGGTACAACTCTATCGATCCGTCATTTCGACAGGCATCAGGTCGCCATCTCCCTCAGTACCTAAACATCACCACTCCCGCCCTCTCCGGATCCACCTTCCCCATCCCCGTTACATTCCCACACCTCTCCGTCGCCAACGCCCCATTCACAACCAAACTCACGCTCCGCGCCAACACCCCCTCGTACTTCTCCTTCACCGCTGGACTCAAATGCGGCTGACTCACCACCTGATCCAGAAACTCACAGATCTGCTCGTGCTGGACTTCCGGCGAGTAGCCCGCCTCCTCAGCCGCGAGCCCCGGCGCCCGCGACTGGTAGGCGCGCATCTGCGCCAGCGTCCAGGGCGACCAGGCGACTATGGGAGCGGATGAGGTCACGGGGACGACGAGCGCGGGGCATCCGGATAAGAGGTGGAAGATTAGTGTGCCGCAGCCGGGGCGCCGCGAGGTCGACCACATGTTGGCGCGGTAGGGGGAGATGGCGGTGAAGAGGATGAGGAGGCGGTTTGTGCCGATGTCGATGGTGGGGTTGGGGTCGCACATGCTGAGGGTGTGAGTGCTTTCGCTGAGGAGCTTGTGGGCGAGGAGATAGTCGCCTGTTTGATGTTAGCTGATGGCCTTTTGGTTCCTGTGTGAGAAAGGGGAGGCGAGGGGTGACGCACCTCCTAGGAACGGGCCAAAGCATTGTGCGATGGCAAAGTCGTTTGACCGTGGGATCGAGGGTGTTCGCGCGCTGGCAAAGAGATACGGACAGAACCAGCCTTTCTCAATGCCTTGCAGGTCCCGCGTCGGTCGCACCCCGACGAATCTCAGATCCGCATCTACGCCCATGAGCTTGTGCTTGACGCCGACCTGTAAGCTTTTGACTTCCGTCGTGACGAGCATCTTCTCCTCCTCGGGCAACATGTGCTCCAAGATCCCCTTGTCAATAGCCTGCTCCACGATCTGGAACACAGAGTACTTGAGCACAGTGCTTGCCGCAATCGCACCCGCGCCGCTGTTTACAATTTCCGCCACAAAGCTGTCCGCGCCAAATGCGCTGGTCACACTGTCTGCAGCGCCCTCGGTCAGTGGTCCGCCAACGAAGGCGAAGGTTGTGAAGAGCACGGCATCGCGGTAGCGCACGTTGGGTAGGGTGACTGGGTTGTTGTCGCCCCAGGGGGAGAGCGAGAGTGGCATCTTGGCGAACGAGGTCGCGGTTGACACGGAGCTGCGAGCTACGCGGCCAAACAGTGTGTCGCCGAAGAAGCGTTTGACTTTGTCGGATTGCTGTGCATCTTTTGGGCCGCTTTGGCTGGAGCTGGAGGAGTGTTTGGAGCCAAAGAGACCGGATGGCGCGGTTGTCGTGAACGAAGGTCTTTGGAGGGGTGGTGGGGATTGATATGGTGGCGGTGGTGATTGATACTGATTCGTTAGTGGTAGTTGCGGAGCTGTATTCTGAAGCTGATGCTGTAGTATCTGTAGCTTTTCTGGTGGCATGTTGTGGATGACTTGTTGAACTTGTTGTATTTGCTGAGATGTCATATTGGATGGCCCTTGATATGATTGCAATACTGGAGGAGGTGATTGCTGTGCCACAAAGGAGTCATTTTTTGTATGTCCCTGCGAAGGTGTTACTTGGGCGTGAGGTGGGATGTAGGTCTGACTCTGGAACTGCTGGAAGCCATTTTGCGGTACTGGCGGTTGTCCGAACGCATTAGAAATTGGCACCGGAGCTGGTGCTTGCATCTGCTGCGGTCCCATTGCGTATGGTGGGGGCCCTGGTGCCTTGGGGTCGAAAGATGCCACTGAATGTGCTTGCTGCATGATAGGCATTTTGGGGTGAATTCAACTCAGTAGACTCTGAGCCTATCTTTCAACGAATATCTCTCTAGCTGTGCGATTGAGGAAGTTTTTGTGAGAACGGTTTGTTGGAAGGTTGAAATGTGTGGCAGTTCACGCGTGGCTGAAGAGAGTGGCTGTTCAGTGTTTTGAGAGACGTGCAATATCACGAAAGCAAAACGAGGGACAAAGTGAGACGGAAGTATACTATAGACGCATCTTAAGCTGACAGACACGAGGGTTCTTGAAGGTCGTATCCCGGCCGCATTCTGCACTGCAGCTGGAGTCAGCCCTGTCCTGTGGCTTCAGACTTACCGCTTCTGGTGACAAGAAGCGATTCTCGTCGAGAAGATGAGCCCACGTTTCGCGTGGTGGCATGTCTGCAATTTCAGCCTTGTGTGTCTTTGCAGAAGCTTGATGCGTCGAGCAGTTGCAGGCGAGATGTTGCCGCCAAGGCACCAAGCTTGTGAAGGCAAGGTAAGGTTTCAACTCGAGCCGCTGCCAGACTTGGGGAACAGCTCGTTCCGCTGTGCGTCCGCATCTGAGCTTGCGATGATCATCTCCAGTAAATCTCATGCATCGTCCCGAGGCGAGGAACGTGCTCGCGGGCCGCTCATGCTGGGCCGAAGCTGCAACCACTGCGGGCGTGCACCCTGACTTTAGCCCTGAGGATCCTTTATTCTGCTGTGTCGGGATAACACAGCAGATGATGTTCCTTCTCTTTTGCATTGTGATTTTTTTTAATGAGAGAGAGAGGATTTATTCTCGAGCTCGTGTTCTAGCCCAAGTCCTCGTGGCCCATCCAGGGACTCAGTGTGCGAAAGAGTGGCTCGTTGTGGATCCAACAGCTGCGCGCAGCCGTCGACTCGGAACGTCTCCTTCGCGGTGGAGCAGAGGAGCTGCCTGAAACGTGACCGTCTACGCGCCTGCGGCCGCTTTGGCGACCAACAGTCACACTTGGCGGGCGCGTGTAGAGTCGCTGGCCAATAGGAGGCCGCAGAAGCGCGAGAGCAGCAGAGCCCAATATACCAACTGAGGCGCAAGCGCAGTCATGGAGCGAGGCTACGGGAGTTTGCCACGGACGGCAGCAGGAATCAGGCACATTGCCGCTCTTCCAGCTGCCTGCATATAACCCCACCGCTCCCTATACTGTGCATGTGAAGGTACCCGGTGCTCTCCTGCGTCAGACGTCATCCGTCGCTGCCCCACCACGCTCCTGCCTACCAAGCAGCGCGAGTGACCAAGATTCGATTGCATTTAATCCACCGGTTGCAGATGAGAAAGTAGCGCGCTCACATATACAAACCGCGCACAGATCAATATGGAGGGTCGTAAGCAAGGCAGGCCGGAGGAGGAGCTCTTCTTGCGCTACGAAGGAGACACGCAGACGCCTACCGTCGGGCCCCTGAGGATACAGAAGCAGTCGCCCACCTCCAAGAGCCCGCCGCCGCGAACAGAATCGGCTGGCAATTCGAGCAAGCCGCCGGCCTTCTCGTTGCCAGCCTTCTCGCGCCCGCCTCCTATGCCCTCGTTTCCGGCACCGCCATCGAGTCCGCCCACAGCTCCCCCACCGACCGCCCCCCTTCCATACCCCGTCGACAACGGGCCGCCCAATCTCAGCCAGGGCCGATATACCCCTCTCAGTGAGCGTGAGCGTGAGCGACCGGCAAGAAATGCAACGCCGCCGCAGCCGGAAGGCCGCAGACGCAGCTCGAACGCTGCGCCCGCTCCTCTCTCGCCAGAGCAGCGCGCCCGCTTCGACGCGAGCGATCCAAACAGACCGAGCGTGGGAGGATACGGCGGGCGGAACCAAGATGGGTCAATCCAGCCTTCGAGACTCGCGGAGCGTCGGGGGACAGCGCCCAAGCCGCTTCCGGACTCGCCAGGCCCAGACACACCAGACAAGGAAGGTCTGTTTGCGAGAGCGCCGCAAAGGCAGGGCAGCACCGATCAAAATCCATTTCCCGAGTACCACCAGCAGTACTGGCCTCCTCCAAGCGGAAACGCGACTGCGGGCGCATCCTCGAGCCAAGCACCGCCACAGGCACTGAATATCCCAAACCCAGGAGGGATCAATCGCCTCAGCTCAACAGCTTCCACATCCACTGTTAAAGCACAGCGAGGATCCCCCCCACCGCCCGAGACCCCAATTATCCCGCCACCCGGCGGTGGCATTGAAGCACGGTTCGCAGCAGCTGGCATAGCTGGGACATCAACGTTGACGAGTTTGCAAGCGCAGAGTGCCCAGAATGCGGCTGCTGCGCAAAGAAACCAGGTCTATGCAAATCAGCAACCTCGGCCGGTGATTAGCTCGCCTACTCCCAGCCAGCAACAGCAGCAGCAACCTATACGGAGACCTTGGACACCAACAGAGCAACCAGGCCAAACCCCCTATGGTCAGCCACAGGTGTACCAAGGCATGGGCGAGGCCCAGCCAGGCGCTACAAGCACACCTCCCCAAGGCCCTCTTCCACAGGCACCGACCGGTGCTGGTAACGTGTCTTCACCACCTCCCAGCAGCATGAGGCCCGAGCATCCTCTAACTCAAGATATGGGTCGCATGACTGTGAATGACGAGCCCCCTCCATCATACTCGAGCATTCAGCAGGCAAATGCCCAACAAGCACAGCGATACCCGAATGAGAAAGGGCAGCAACCTGCGCCTGCTCCTCAAGGTGTTTCATTGTCCGATCCAATGCAGGGACATCCCGCATTTGCAAACGACCCACGGCCTCAACAGGCGGGGCCTTCGCAGCCAGTCAATGTGATGTCGCCAAAACCTTCAGCACAGCAGTCTCTTCCGCAGATTCAAACAGCTCAGCCAACCCATACGCCAAGCCCAGCCCCTGGAACAGGACTGGCATCTCCGCCGCCTCTACCTGAAGGATGGATCGCACACCTTGACGCTTCTTCAGGACAGTATTATTACATCCATCTGCCTACGCAGTCCACACAATGGGAGTTCCCCAAGGGCCCGACGCCTCTTAACCTGAACGAACCATTGTCTCCGACAGGAACATTCGTCAACCCTCTTGCCTCGCCGTCCTTTGGCAAACAGCCTCTAGCATCGCCAGGATTTCCTACTCAAACAGCGGGATACCCTGGTGACTTTGGCATGGCGCCGCTTGCCACACCAACCGCTGGAGGCTTCACAGGACCACCACCCACGGCGGGCGTGGACACGTATAAGGTGCAACCCACAAACGGCGTATACTTTGGCCCCTACCTGAGGTACACAAATATGGATCTCGAGCGAGGGCTATGGCTTGGTTCTATCTTGCTTGTTACGAACACTCCACACCCCCCAACAATCCACATTCATCAGAGCCAGGATCTGTCACCAAGCCCTCGACAATTGAAGGCGAATCCTATCTACACCCACCAAACGTGGATATTCTACCGATATGATATTGATTTGAGGATGGAGGAGGAGCATGCGGCCAAGTGGACTTACGCTATCACATCGCATCTTGGCTGCACTCGTTACGAGTTCTTGGTAGCTGGCCGCCACGAGACCAGCTGGAGATTCATTGCTCATTCTGGCAACGACTTTGCTCTCAATGTGAGCGCCAACGAAAGGACTAGACTTGGCGGCGTGGGCCTTATGTGGAAAGACATCCTACAAAAGAACGCAGAATGCGGTGGTTTCCATGTGCAGCTAGGCCTCGGAGGCCAAATTTATGCCGACAGGTTGTGGAAAGAGATTCCACTATTGAAGCAGTGGACAGCGACGAGTGGCAAAGATGCACGCAAGAACGCCCCATGGACAGCGAAACATGAAGAGGAGGTCTGCCATGCCTTCTTCCACTACTACACCAGTCACTTTGATCAGCCGAACTTGAGAGAAGCGTTCGCTCAGATTCCCCACATTCTTGCTCTCGACGATCATGATATGTAAGTTCTCAGCCAAGACATGTGTTGACAATACTGACTGTGCGTAGCTTTGACGGCTTTGGCTCGTACCCAGAATACATGCAATTCTCCAACATGTTCAAGAACATTGGACGACTTGGTATTGAGATGTATCTCCTCTTCCAACACCACACCACACTCGAGATTCTCCGCAATGTTAGCAACGACATTGATCTCTTCACCGTTACTGGTACTGGCTGGCATTTCATCAAGTATCTTGGCCCTTGCGTTACAGTTGTTGGCCCCGACTGCCGATCTGAGCGCAATCCTCATCAGGTCATGGCGGGTCCGACATACCAAGGAATCTTCCCAAAGGTTGCGACATTACCGCCAAGTGTGCAGCACTGCATTTGGATGGTTCCGGTGCCTATCGTCTACCCCCGTCTGGAGTCCGTTGAGCACCTGGCTCACTCCATGGCAACTGGCAAGAAAGCAGTCACGGGTACATTCAACATGCTTGGCAAGGTCACAGCCGGTGTCGCCGGTGTTGTTGGTGCAAAGAGTGTAGTCGGTGACGGCTTCAATTCGATCAAGAAAGCTGTGGGCAAGTCAGGTCTTATGAGTGGCGTCTTGAGTCCTTTTGGAGAGATTGATCTTCTTGACGAGTTGCGAGATCTGTGGACACACGAATCGAAGGTAAGACATCCAGCGTCATGAGACTTGGACCCTGCTAACGACCTTAGGATCTCGAGCGCACATACCTGATTCGAACCCTGCAGGGCATTGCTCACAACAAATCGTTACGGATGACGTTCTTCTCCGGAGCAGTTGACTGTTGCGGTGCCGGACTTGTACACGACCCAGCAAAGCCACAGGACCACAAGACCATGTACCAAATTATCTCGTCCTCAGTGGTCAACGGCCCACCGGGCAGCTACGTCCTCCGACTACTGCACAACAACCGGGCGCTGTACGTACCGCAGAACGGCCACCGCAGCAACCACCAGCCCTCCGACACCAAGGAAGACATGATGGAGATCTTCACCCAGGACGTCAACGGGCAGCCTCGCGAGCACAGGCGCCTCATGGGCCGCAGAAACTACGTTGCATGCGTCATCTACGACCCCGAGATCGTCAACGGCACATTCGGCCAAGCGGTGCCCGGGCACGGAAGCGGCAAGTTGAGTCTGGCGGTGGACTTCATGGTGCAGAACGACGGCGGCTACAATGCGCCGATGAAGTACGGTCCGGTCATTGTGCCGAGTCTGGAGTACGGCAGGTGAGGAATTAGCGGGTCTGCGAGCTGCGCTGCAGTGTTTGTTTGTTGCGTTTGAGCGGTTGCATAGCAAGGGATTTCGTCGCTTGGCTTTGGAGATGATATCAAGTAGCGGCTACGGCCACACGCGAAATTGAATGAGGTTAAATCAATGTTTGTGTCAATAAGCATGGCTTATGCTTGTCTCAAGCGATACTGTGCGTAGTCGCGCGGAGTTTCTCAGGTACTCATCGACGGAGGTGTAACCTTGGACCTCTGCCTCTGACCTGCAGTCATATGCAATTTTCCTTACTTAGAATGACACTCAGATGGTGCCATGAAAAAGACTCATCGACTCTTTCTCCGCACAACAAAGGCGCATAACCGTGACCTAGATTTCTACACGTCACGTGAATCATTTGGCACTACCTATCTCCGTAGTTTCCTCAAGGTGTCGTGCATCAAGAAACGATCAGTACACCGTAACTCATCGCCACGGATCGCAGAATTAGTGCTCGTTTGAGACCAACCTCACACAGCAGTTTCATGAATCAGCAGCGAGCCACTCCGTTCCCGACACAAGCGGCTCCGCGCCGGCTCGGCAGAGTGGATCCCGTCCACGCAACCCCAGACGACGATGACATCCGCCACGCCCGCCACCGACTAGCCCTCAATGCCCTCACTCACCTCCCGCGCTCACCCACCATGACAAGCCACCCATCCTAACTCCCGGCGAACGCGACCATGGCCAAATCCCCCGCCACGGCGTCCACCGCGCCCGTCGACCTCGAGCCCGGCCTCGCCCCCAGCGGCTCGTCCTCAGCCGCCCCCGGAACGCCGAAACCCGTAACTCCGCGCACGAGCCTGGACTTCGAGGACCGCGCGCGCGCGCCGCGGCGCCCGCGGGCAGCCAGGGCGTGGTCGAGCGTCGAGAAGCGATTGCCCACGCCTGCTGTGCGCTGGGGCCGCAACGGACTACGCTGGATCCGCGGCCCCGCGGCGCCGGCGCCGCACCGCATTACGCCGGTGTGCGAGCGCGCGCAGACGCTGCCTGCGCGGGTGCTCGCGCGGATTCCACAGCCGCTGCGCGCGTGCGTGTTCGGCGCGGTCTTCGTGTTATGGGCCGTGCTGTTCGCGGTGCGCATCAGCGCGTTCGGGCTGCCGGGGGACGTGGCAGGGTTCGGGGCGCCGGTGCGGTTGGGCTGCGCGGCGCAGCTGTGGCCGAGCGCGCAGAGCTGCGGGGTCGATGGGCGCAATTGCTTGCCGTTTGAGGACTCGGCGTTTGCGTTCAATTGCCCTGCGGGGTGTGCGGGGACGCAGGTGTTGAATCCGCGCGCGGTGGGGAATGTGTCGGTTGTGTATCGGTCGCTTGTTGTGGGGGGTGCGGAGGACGAGGCTGGCGATGCGGTGTATCGGGGCGATTCGTTTGTGTGTGCTGCGGCTATCCAGGCGGGTGTGATTGGGAACGGGAGGGGTGGGTGCGGAGTTGTGTCTTTGGTGGGCGAGAGGGATGGCTTTGGGGCTGTGGACAGGAATGGCATATCGAGTGTGGGCTTTGACTCCAGCTTCCCTCTGTCGTTTAGCTTCAACCAGACGGCGCAGGTGGTGAGTGCTGCGGCGAAGTGCCGAGATCCGCGGTGGGACTTGCTCATCCTGTCGACCATCTTCACGGCAGCGTTTGCTCTGTTCACGTCTAGCCCTGCGACCTTCTTCGTCCCGATCTTCGTCATCATCTTCTTCCAGATCGCCATGGCCTCCGACCCGCCGACGTACGCGAACTACGCCTCCCTGGCTTCCACAACACTGGGCCGCTTCCTCCCAGCAGCATTCGTAATGGCGTTCATGTACCGTTACAGCATCCGCAAGACCCTTACTAACTGCAAAGCGCACGTGGAGAAGACAATCCTATGGGTCGGCGGGTGCTGGGTGGGCGCGCTGGGCAACTACACATTCGAGCGCATCCCGATCCAGCGGCTGACACCGCACGACCTGCAGCAGCAGCCCGGCGCCATCACCGCGCTAATCATCATCGTGCTCGTCCTCTTCGCCGTCGTCCTCTACCAAGCGTGGTGCTTCCGCACCGAAGGCCGCCTGCCCCGCATGCTGGGCCTGTACGCCCTCCTCGGCACCGGCCTGCTGCTCTGCCTCGCCCTCCCGCGCCTCAGCCTGCGCATCCACCACTACATCCTCGCCCTGCTGCTGCTCCCGGGCACCTCGATGCAAACCCGCGCGTCGCTGCTGTGCCAGGGCCTCCTCGTCGGGCTGTTCATCAACGGCATCGCGCGCTGGGGCTTCGACCCAATCTTGCAAACCGCGGCCGCGCTGCGGGGCGACGCACAGCTGGGCTCGGGCATCCCCTCGGTCACGGCCGCGGTCAGCGGGGCGAACATCACGTTCGCGTGGGCGTCGGTGCTGCGCGGCTACGACGGCGTCAGCGTCCTCGTGAACGACGTCGAGCGCTACCGGGGCGTGCATGCGGGCGGCGCGGGCAATTTCACGTGGACGCGGCGTGCACAACAGGGCCCCGAGTACTTCCGCTTCGGTTTTGTGAACTACCTGCCGTTTGGCGGGGTGTCGTATAGCGATTTCACGCGCGCGGGCGTCTGGTGGCCGAATGGCACGTGGGGCGGTCCGGCGCCGGGGCGGACGCTGTACTGAGTGAGCAGTTGTTTGTTTGTTGTTCGTGGATATATGCCTAATCGATACATTTCCGCCGTGACGCGAGTTATACCATACCATACAGTCATGCAGCCATACAGTCATATAGTCTTCCGTCCAAAACGCCTCCGAAATACCAGCCCAACGCTCTCAAAATGCCAGTCAGACGCTCCCCGATGCAAACCCACGATCCCCCGTTTTACAGTAGTTATCCCACCCCGTCCCCCCATCTCCATCACGCCTCACGCCTCACGCCTCACTCCCCCCCAAACCCCCTATAGCCCTCCACACTCCGACCCAAATCCCCATCCCGCAAACCAACCCCACAACACCCATCCCCAGCAACACCCGCGCCTGCCCATCAAACGCCTCGCCGACCTCGACGCGCGCCACGCGGCGGATCTTCTTGTGCAGAAACCACCTGCTCCCGTCGGCTGCGGTATTATCCTCATTCAACGTGGAAGTGGAAGTGGACGTGGAAGTGGACGCAGACTGATACGGCGCGGATTGATACGGCGCGGCTTGATACGGCGCCGTCCCGCGCCATGCGTCGCGGAGCCGGGTTACATACGACGCCGCCGACGACGACGACGGGGAGGTGTGGGTGTGCGAGTGTGCGTGTGCGCGGCGTGCGCGGTCGCGCGCGGTGACGAGGAAGAGTGAGAGCAGGAAGGAGGTGAAGAGGAGGGGGGTGAGGATGAGCTTGTGCTGTTAGCTGGACAGTTGATATGGGTGGCTGGGTAGCTGGTATAGGTGTCTGGGGTCTGTGTGGGTGTGCAGGGAATCGGTTGTCGGGGTACGTACTCTTGTGAGCAGGGAGTCTGGTGTATCAGACGAATGGGAGGGTGAGCTTGGGGTGGGCGAGGGGAGGGGAGTTGCGGCGAGGGCGGCGAAGGAGGAGGATTGTTTTGAGGACTGTTTTGAGGACTGTTTTGAGGACTGTTTTGATTGGTTTGAGGATTGGTTTGAGAATTGCCTCGAGGATTGTTTCAAAGGCTGCTCCGAGGATTGTTTCGATTGTTTCGAGAATTGCTCTGAGGACTGCTCTGAGGACTGCTTTGAGGGGTGTTTTCGGCGAGCACGGGGTGATGGCGGCGGGCTGAGGGGGAATTGCGTGGCCATCTTGGGTGTGGTGTTGGTACAGCAATTCTACACACTACGAGGACGGCCTCTCCTCCAGGCCATGACGACGCCGTTGTTTGCGGTCGTTTGCGGGCCCACCGGAATGACGTTGGTTGCGTGCGTACCGTAGGGCTGGCTGCTAGCCCTGCGCCGATCCCAGGACCCTCCCTACGCCCTCAGGTTCCAGACGCGTCAACCCCAAGGTGCTTCCTGAACACCGCGGGGTTAAGCAGCTGGGCAGCAATCTCTCGGCGCTTCGGAGCCTCCGGTTTATCCGCAATCTCCACGATGGTCCGACTCTGCCCATAAGCACAGCCTCGCCTCGCACCGCGCGCACGCCCATTGGGCCTTGGCCTTGCAGCCCGCACCCAAAGCGGCACGCAACTGCACCGACTTCTGGCAAGCACATGAACGCGTTTAATGGGTGCCTAGAGCCAGGGGATGCGACTGATATATGAGTAAGCCCTCAGGCACGCACGTCTGCCACCGGAGCTTTCTTGCGGCAGCCAGCGGATCCAAATCTTCGTGCTTAGCTAAGACGCGGACGAACCCTCGTCCGACCCTCTTGGATTCCCTCTGATTCCACCATCCTCACCGCAGAGCCTGCTGTCTGCGATTCCAGCAATCGAGTATTTCCCACGCATCTACCATCCTGAGCAGACGCGCAGGAATCATCTTTCGCCTGTGATCGTGAACTTATAGGGTTGCGGACGCAGCCAGGGCGCCCCGGATCAGCCGGACGAAACTTGCAGGACCACAGCACAGAACCCACCCACCATCGAGATGCCCAAGGAAGAGTCGCTGCCGACGCGGAAGAAGATGCGGAAGGGCACGCACAGTTGCTTCGAATGTACGTTCGTCCGGTCTTCGCTTTGCAGTCGTTCGCCGTGTCCTTCACCCTCACATACATATTATCAATCAATTGCTTTCCACTCGTGCATCCTGACGTGCCCCAGGTCGCCGCCGCAAGATCCGCTGCATCTTCCAGTCCGACAATCCCGATGTGTGTTCCGAGTGCTTTGCTCGAGGCAGCAGGTGCGTCGACCAGGAGAATGCCAATCCAGAGGTCATTGTCGACCACAGGAAGAACCTGCGTGAACGCGTGTCGCGTCTTGAAGCGCTAGTTGATTCGCTGCTCGAGGACAAGACAGTCAAGTCCGAGAGCCCCAGCCAGAGCCAGGCGGAGACGACGTCGCCAAGGAATGTATACACCAAAGACCCCTTCCCGCCCACACCGCTGTCGTCGGAAGCCTCGTCGAATATCCTAAGGGAAAGCCAGCGAGTGCCGTCTGTCAGTGCACGCCACCACATTCCCATTCTGTCCGTCCTTGAGGATGCAGTAAGTCTCCACTTTCCATCACGTTTCGCGTGCTCACACCACAGCTCAACGACGCCGAGGAGAAGATCAAGGCCCGCATGGGCCCGCAGCACAAGAGGTTCCCGGCCTCAGAGAGCGGGACTGACGACCGGTACACGGTCGTCAACAAGCACCCCGACGACCTGACCAGCGCCGAGGTGCCCGCGCTGTCGGCGAAGCGGGAACGAGTCAAGCAGGGCCTCCTCGCCATGCTGCCGTCGTATGACCAGCTCACCAAGATCCTAAACAGCAACAGCGAGTGGTGGCTGACGTGGAGGCGCAAGTGCAGCGGTACGTCTAGCCCGGAGCAGTCGCTTGCGCAGTTTGCCACGGAGGCCATTACCTCCAGCAATATCGGCGCCATCGGCACGGTGCTGCTTGCGGTTGGTATTTGTTCGTCGGCTGAGGATGACGACGTCGAGCGGTACATCGAGGCCGTCGACAGATGGGTGCTGTCAGACGATGAGTTTGCTGCCACCCTCGAGGGTATGGAGTGTCTGCTGTTGAAGTCGAAGTGGTTCGCCGACATTGGCCAGCCACGTCGGGCTTGGATATGCCACCGCAAGGGGTTGATGTATGCCCAGCTCATGGTATGTCGACGTTTCTATCTATCTATCACAGCTAACATCCCAGGGTCTCCACCGCAAGCGTACTTCCTCAGTCGCTCACGAGAGTATCTGGTGGGGCATGTACCACGGCGACCGCTTTCTGTCGCTGCTCCTGGGCCTCCCCTACGGCATCAGCGACCTGCACTGCGACCTGACCGTCCCGGACTTCGGCGGCGAATATATGCACCCACTCGTCTTCGTAACCCACGTGTCCAAGCTCGCCGGCCGCGTCATCGACCGCAACCAGGGCGTGGCCGAGCAGTCCTTCGCCTGGGCCCTGCAACTCGACCAGGAGCTCGAAGACCTGTGGAAGAAGCTCGACCCCACCTGGCTCGACTTCTCCGAGCTCCTCGCGTCGCCCGAGTCCAACGCCGCTGAGCTGCGCGAGCGCATCATGGCCCAGATGATGTACCACCAGATCCGCGTCTACCTGCACCTCCCCTTCATGCTCAAGTCCACCACCAACTCGCGCTTCACCTACTCCCGCACCGCCTGCCTCGCCGGCTCGCGCGAGGTCCTGCGCCTGTACCAGGCGCTGCGCACCGGCGCCGTGCAGCCGCTGTACGAATGCAAAGCCGTGGACTTCATCGGCTTCACCAGCGCGACGTTGATCCAAATCGGCCTCTTCAACTTCACGCCCGCGAGCGGCGCCTCCGCCGCCAAGCTGCAGGAAATCGAAGCCGACGTAAGGTTAATCGAGATAAGCATCGACATCTTCCGCCGCGCGTCGAGCGAAAAAGGCGGCAAAGTAGCCCTCCAGTCCGCCCAGGTGCTCGAGAAAATGCAGGCCAAGTTCCGCGCGGGCGCGCACGCACAGGCCGGACCCTGCTGCGACCCGGCCGCCGACGACGACATGGTGATCCCGTACTTCGGCACCATCTCGATCCGGCGCGGGGGCCAGGCGGTGTCGCCGCCCGCACCACCCGGGCGGTCGCCAGGCGCCCCCGGGTTCTCGCCGGGCCCGTCGGTCAGGAGCGCGAGTTCCGGGGCGGGCGTGCCGCTGTACACGCCGACGAGCGAGAAGAGCGGGTTCGCCGGGTCGGTGTTCTCGCACCCTGCTGCTCTCTCGCTGACGCCCAAGTCGAGTGTGAGTGCGGCCGGGAGCGGGTTCGCGCTCGACCCGAGTCCGTTTGTGGCGTACGACGGGTTCTACAACTTCTCGACGCTGGACGACGGGCAGACACCCTCTGGTAGCACCGCCGGAGGGAATGTAGGCGGTCGTGTAGGTGCGGCCAACGCGCCCGGCAACGGCGGCGGCCTCGCGGTCAAAGACGACTCGATGTCCGCCTTCCCGCTGCCCACCAACAACTTCTCCTGGCAGAACATGCCCATGGACATCGACCAGGACTGGAGCTGGTTTCTGAACGACAGCCAGACGCAGGGCGTGGGTGTCGGTGTTGGCGCGGGTGCTGGGGGCGCGTTCCAGGGCGCGCAGTTGGATGCGTTTGGGAACGGGTTTAGTGGGTTTGGGTAGGCTTTTGCAGTGAAGAAGAGAGCGGGGGTGGAAGGGGGGATGGGGAGATGGGTGTATGATAGGTATGACATGGGGGCGCGTGTTTCTGTTCGATATCCGGCGGTCACTCCACTTTCGCTGCGGGATGCGTGCGGGTCGGTTGTTTTATTTCTATGTTTCTAGATGGCGGCGGCCGGCTAACGGCTGAGCGCCGCCGACCTCAACCAGCGATGGATACTACTACTACTACCACACTACACTACACGTTCCAAATCACCACGCGCCCGTCGACGCCGCTGGAGCTGATCTTGCTCACGCGGCCGTCGGCCTCGGCGTAGCTGCGGATGGTGCTGATGGTGTTCTGGTGCACGGTCTTGAGCTTGGTGTCGTCGGCGCTGGTCTTGCCCTTGAGGTCCATCTGGCGGAACATGTTGAAGGCGCTCTCGTCGCGGGCCTCGGCGAGTCCGGGGCGGCCCTTGCTCTCGAGCGAGCCGGCGAGCGCCCAGCCGGCCTCGCTGCCCTGCAGGCGGTAGGCCTCGCAGTTGTAGCCCGCGGCGATGATCTCGTCCTCGGCGCTCCACACCAGCGACACGAACGGCAGCACCTGGGTCGCGATGCTGACGACGGCGGCGGGCGGCTGGTCCGGCGCCGACGGGTACACGACGGTCAGCGTGGAGTCGTGCGAGGCGAAGGCCAGGGCGTTGCCTGACGGCGAAAAGGCCACGCTGTGCACCCAGCCCGCGGTGTTGTTGAGGAACTCGCCGCACACGGTGTTGAAGGGGAGGCGCTCGCCCCAGGCGCTCGGCTCCGGGCGGGCGTCGACGCCCTTGACGAACGAGGACAGCACGCGGGCGTGGCCGTCGGTCGAGCCCGCGGCCAGCAGCACCGAGTTGGGGTGCCAGGCGACGGCGGTGACGGTGCTGCGGATGGGCTTCTTGATGTGCTTGGACACCCACCAGTTGTCCTCCTCCTCGAAGTAGCAGACGGGGATCAGGCGCGCGCCGGAGCCGACGGCGAACTTGGTCTCGGAGGGTGCCCAGCGCACGCACGTCGCGGCGCGGTTGATGCGCAGCAGCACGAGGGTCGGCTTCCAGCCGCCCGCCGACGGCTCCCACACGTAGGCGTTGCGGTCCTGCGAGCACGTGACGATCTTGCCGCTGTTGGGCGCAATGTCGACGCCCGTGACCGTCTTGTCGTGGCCCGTCAGCTCGTCCTGCAGCTTAAAGCCGGCGCCCGAGTGCGCGTACAGGTCGACGTTGTTGTCGCGGGCCACGGCGAGCGTCTGGCGGTCCGCCGAGAACGAGTGGTCCGCGATCGGGTGGTGGAACAGGTGGTGCACTTCGGGGGCGGCCATGGTGGAGGGTGATGCAATAGGAGACTCTCTACTACTGCGGGTGAGGTGGAAGCTCGGAGCTGCCTGGCGGGGCGGTGATGTCGTCGGCGGCCCCGCGCCCTGATTCGCCAATGCCACGCCCGCACGTGACGCCGAAACCTTCCTGGCCAAAAGTCCAGCGACACAACACCACACCCACGATTCCGCACCACCAACATCCACCGCCGCCATGATCCTCCGACGCCCGCTCGTCAGCGCCTCGGCCGCCGTCTCCCTCCCCCGGACGTGCGCGCGCCACCTCCAGCACTCGATCCCCATGCGGCCCATCCCCAAACCAACACCCTTCATCCCGGACGCCGCCTCCCTCCTGACCGCCATCGGCCGCGGCCTGAGCGCGCACGCGGGCAAGATCCCGTCGTGGGACGCGCTCTTCACGCTGACGTCGCCGCAACTCAAAGAACTGGGCGTGGAGCCCGCGCGGTCGCGGCGCTACCTACTACACTGGCGCGAGAAGTTCCGCAACGCCGAGTACGGCATCGGCGGCGACTGCGCACACGTGGCCGACGGCGTCGCCGAGCTGGCCGTCGTCGAGGCCCCCGTGCAGCCCAACCCCGCGCTCGGCAACACCGTGAGTCCGCGCTCGGCGGCGGCAACCGCCACGCGGAACCCCGCTACGCGCCGCGTGGTCGTCAATGTGCCTGCGGGCGGCGCCGCGAGCGCGGAGCTGCAGCCCGTTAGCGGGGTGCTGGTGCAGGGCGCGCGCACGATCAAGGGGAGCTATGTCGAGCCGATTAAGGGCGAGGGGATGCGCGCGCGCATCAGGCTGCAGGAGGGCATGTGGGAGGAGAGGCGCGGGCACAAGGTCGACGGTGGAGAGCGGCGGAGAGCCATGGTGCGCGCGAAGCGGCTGGCGGCGGAGAACAAGGAGAAGCGGGAGAAGGGTGAGAAGAGGTAGGGTGTACCCTACAGGATGTATTGAATTGATTGGAATTGTACTATTGGAATTGTACTATATGTGCCTGAGGCACGGAGCGCCGTCGAGTCTGGTATTGGTGATCAACGCGATGCGTGGAGGGTCAACAGAGTAACGCAGACTATCCATTCTCCATCGCGAGTCCCGTCCTATCCCGAGTCTCCCGCCCAAAAGAGCCAGCACCACATCCCTACCGGTTCCACATTCGCACCTCCTCACCTCTTCAAACCACCTTACCTCCTTCCTTCTCCTCTTCCCCCCTCTCTTTGTCTCTGTCCTTCTGTCTGTCTTCCTCTCTCCCCCCTCTCTCCGTCCCCCTCTCATCCCCCCCTCTCTACACCACCCTAACCCCAACAAACTCCATAACCCCCCCCACCCCGCCACTCAACAACAACCTCACATCCACCCTAACCAACGCACACCCACCCCCCAGAAATACCACTTCCACGGCATATCCCTCGCTCGTGCGCAGTGCGTGGGGCCGGAAAGATGCGTACGCCGGGAGTGCGAAGGCCACGGTCGCTGCGGGGACGGGGGCGAAGGGGAAGGGGGAGAGGGTGAAGGGGAGGGAGCGGGGCGGGATGTGGAGGGCTGCGGTGTACGACGTGTCTGCGGCGGCAGCGGCATTCGAGGAGGTAGCGGCAGTCTCAGCCTCTGCATCCAACGAAGACCAAACCCTCAACTCCCGTCCCCCGGCCCCATACCGATCCACATGCTCCCTGCCATACGCCGCGCAGTACAGCCGCCACACGCCCTCGACGGGGCCGCGCGGCACGGGGACGCGGGCTGTGAGCGCGGCGGCGAGGAAGGATTCTGCGGTGGCGACGTGGGCGTGTGCGGATGCGATGGCTGCTGCTGCGTCTGGTGGGGGGTGTGTGGGTGTGTCTGCGGCGGTGGCGGAGGCGGAGGGTGTGTCTGCGGTCTCGCCGGGCACTTTGGAGGTCTTAGATACCATCGAGGCCGTCGAGGTCGTCGGGGTCTTAGACGTCTTATAAGCCTTAGCAGCCTTAGGAGTCTCAGCACCCTTAGAGCCCGCAGAGCCCGCATCACACGACGCGTCCTCAGCAAGCTGCCTCCGCATCCGCAGCACCGTCTCGCGCTTCGCATTGCAGCCGCTCGCTTTCTGGCCCAGACAGGGCAGGGGCCCGCGCTCGGCGGCGGCGGCGCGCCAGCTCTGCAGGGCGGCGAGGTGCGTGCGTTCGGCGGCGAAGTCGACGGTGGACTGGAGGGCGGCGTAGTGTTTGATGAAGGAGCTGTTTGCGGATGAATTATCGAGGGTTGCGTGGGGAGTGTGCTGGGCTGGCTTCTCCTTCTCCTTCTCCATCTGCTGTGCGTTGTCCTTCTGCTCCTTCTTTTTGGCTTTGAGCTTGTTCTTCTGCTTCTTCTTCTCGCTCTTCTTCTTCGCTTTCGCGCTCTTCGTGTCGTCCGTCTGCCCCACCGTCTCGCCAGACACCACAAACGGATTCCCCGCCGCCTTCCTGCCCGCGCGCGCAAACATCTCTTTGATGCTCGGCGTCGTGCCGCCCGATGTCGTCGAGCCCGCTGCCGACGCTGCGCGCGACCGCGGCTTGAGTCTGGGCTTGGGCATGTCGCTGAGCGGCTGCGTGGTGGTCGTGTACTGGAGCAGGTTCGACGAGGTCAGGGACACGCGGCCGTCGGGGTTGAGCTCGAGCTTGTGGTTCTTGTACAGGGCTGGCGGGGCCGATGAAGGGACGTCCGCCACGAGGGGGGTTGGGGGCGACGGGTCTGCGACGCGCGAGCTCGTGTGGGTTTTTGACTTCGCGTCGGTGAGCTTGAAGGGAATGGGGGAGTCGGGGAGGTGGACTGGGGTCTTGGGGAGTTGCGAGAGGGGGGTCTCGAGGATGAGGAGGCGGGAGTCTCGGCGGCCGATTCTGTTGGCGTTGGCGGAGTGGGAGAAGGCGTTCTCGGGGAGGGGCACTGGGGTCTTTCGCGGGAGCGAAGAGAAGACTGCAGCTGGGATGTCGGAAGGCGGGAGAGCCTGGATTGCCCCAGCACTCTGTCGTCTCGCCTTCTTCTCCTTCCTTGTTTGTCGGTCGATGGAACGCGTCTCTTTCGCCATGCGGTCGAAGTCAATGGTGTCGTTGCTCTTGCGGCTCGTCTTGTCCTTCTTGGACTTCTTCTTGGATGGCCCTTCGGTGTGTTCAGCTACGGCGCTTGGACTGCTGAAGACCTTGCGAGCCGCCTGGACTGATGACTGGACGTTTCGGAGCATGTCGGCGCCAACAGCGCTCAGCGAGTTTGGCAGCACTGGAGCGAAGGCGTGGTCTTCACTCGCACGCTTGCGCTTTTTGTCAGACTGAGGAGCATCTTTCTCCCAAGACTTCTTCTCTTTCTTGCCCTTGGTGCTGGACGTAGCTGGGACGATCTTGATCAGCGGGGTGGAAGATTGTGGCGTGCGACTGCTCAGTTGCTCGTCGCCCGCAGAAATGGATTGCTTCTTCTTCTTGACTTTCCGCTCTTGCGGCGTAGCTTCACCTTTTTCGTCCTTCACCACCTGCACCCGATTCTGCGAAGCTTTGGCTTCCTCAGCTGCGAAATCCATACTGTTGAAAGTAGGACGCGGGGTCAGCTTTGCGGCGTGTATGTGGTGGCTCGGCATTGAATAGAGACCAGTGCGCTTGTTGAGCGACATGGTGAGGTCAGCTCGAGTGAACAGGAACCGAAACTTCTCAGTACTAAATGAGGTTGCCAAAACCTGGCTGCTAGCTGCTGCGAGAGCGAAGGAACTTCTATTTCGACTGTCTAGTGTTAGGAGTGTTTGTGAAGGGCTACAGCGGAGACATACCAAAGTACTATCTTAGTGGGCGATTGTTGGTGGGATGTGTTGGAGGTAGCGATGAGAAAGTTGGAGTTGCGAGGTGAGGCTAGATAAGACAAACAAACACCACGTGGCTGGCGAAGTCGGAGTGAAGGTGAAAATGAATCGTCGGCGTCGTTCACCGCTATTCGCCGTTTGTGTTACGTTGGAAAATCAACACCTGCATTATCAGATCTAAACAAACAATTTGTACATGTCCCATGTTTCCTCGGATCGCATCCATGCAATGTCAAGCTCACATGGTGCACACTGCCGTCCACTCAGATGCCGTTTCCCGCAATCGCGTCGCAAGTTATTCCGTGAAACATCATGCGTAGCTTGTCGGCCGTCCTTTCTTCCCCTTCCCCATGTAGGCCAATAAATCGCGGTCTGACTCCAACTTCTTGTTCGCCATGACCAACGAATTATTCTCCTCATTCAGCCTCCGAATCTTCTCCTTCGCCTCCGCGAGCTCGGCCTCCACTTTCTCGAGCTTCCACTTTGGCACCGTCAACACCGGCTCCGGCTCCGTCTTCGGCGCCGACTGGCCCACGGGCTTGTCCTCCAGGAGGTCGACCATGCCCTGGATCAAAAAGTCCAGGTCGACGCCCCCAGCCAAGGCGTCGTCGAGGGCAGCCTTGAGCTCGTTCAGGAGCGCCGTCATCTTGGCAGGGACGCCCTTGGAGGATTCCAAGTTGGCTAGGCGGCGTCGGAGCTCGATCTCGAGTTGCCGAAGCTCCTTGTAGACCTTTTCGGGGGCGTCGGAGTCCTCGGCGCGCTTGTATGTGTTGGCTAAAAGCCGGTACGTGATGTGGCAGTGCTTGTAGCCAGGACGGTCGGTGGTGTCCGGCGGCAGATACTGCTGGACCTCGCTGATGATGGCGCCGATGGTGGCGTGTCCACGGCGAACTGAGACTGTGGTCATTGTTGCGGATGATGGAGGAAGCAGTTTGCTAGGTGAAGTTGGGGTTGGAGTATGTTGCAGGTGCGGGCGAGGCCAATATATTGGTGAAGGCGCAACGAAGACGGGAGGAAGGAGTTTGCAAAGCGGATATGTGTTGGAGTTTGTGGCAGGTGCGGTCGATGTATTGGTGAAGGCGTAATATGAGACGGGAAGTATCCAGCTTGTAATATTCAACTTTAATATTGAACTTGATGTGATGGAAACGAATGTATGTTCTCCAGGTACATGATATTTATACTGATTGCTAAGATGGCCTGTAGTCTTATTCTACTAAGGCATGGTACGTGTGTGCATGAACCATCGTTCAAAGCCGAACCAAGACCTTCCCATCATCTTTGCTCCGTAGGTCAGGTAGTCTGCACATGAAGACAAGCACCAATAAATCGATGATTCGTGATGCGCTTGTAATGTCGGGAAAACGAGTGCAGGTAACTGAAGAGCACATGATTTCGTGCACCATCATGTGTCGATATGCTCGCAGGCTTCGTGTGAAGTCGGCATTGTGTGAAGGTGGCATCGTGTGCAGTCGCTGTAGTGAGGGATATGTTATCTTTTTGTGGGCCGGTTACAGTCCGTGCGCACCCAACGAGCCAGTTCAGTCAGCGAGCCACCCCAACAAGATCAGACGACAAAAAAGATGAGGTTATTGAGCCACCCACAATAGCTATTATCGTGAGATATTTTGGTGTATTGATATATTAACGCTACTAAAGCGTTTGCACTACTTGTATCTCGCTGGCGTCTTAAGTTGGCGCTCTCGCAAGCCAAATCTGGGTGGGGAGGGCGCCCAAGGCGGACTGGCAACCACCCTACTTAATGGAGCAACAACACGACGACGCTTTATTGGTTTTTTTGCTGGTTTGTGTGAGGCTTCTCGCTTATGCTTATTTACTGTATCGCGACTTTTTTAAGCAGTTGCAGCTTGTTGTTGCTGCTTTTTAAGTGCCCGTTCGGCAGCTTTCTCCTCACGCTGCCATAACTGCTCTACATCCTTAGCAATTTTGGCTTGTTATCGAGCCACCTTTGCAGCTTCTTGAGAGCGCTTTTTCTCAGCTGCTTCTGCTGCTTTTCTCTCTCTATCGCGAGCTTTTTGGAGTTGTAGCTCCGCAGCTTCGTCTAGTTCTGCGGCCTTGCGCGCGCGGAGGCTGGCAAGCTTCCTAGGACTATAGAATACAGCTCCGCCGTGCCAATCGTCGCCCTCTTGAGTAGTTAGTGTTGTTGATTTAGACGGTCAGGATCTCATAAGGTTGAGTTCAGCGCGTAGCTCCGCGTTTTGGAGGCGGAGAAGCTCATTGTTAACCTGCAGCGAGTGTAGGCCTTGGGACAGCCGTTTGGCTTCAAATTTGGCCTTGTCAGCCACCGCAGCGTCAACAATTTTGCGCAGTTGAGGCCAGGTATTGCCGTCGCCTTGCTCCCCAATTCCTGGCTCGTCATCTTGTTGTTGTGGTTGGTTGTTGAAGCGTTGAAGTACCGGGTCAGCGTCCATCAGCCATACGCCTGTAGCTTGGAAACTCTTCAATATAAGATCGTGAGTCATTGTAGAGCTCCAAGCCGGCCAAAAGTTGCTGTAGAAGTCGCGTTTAGTGATCTTCGAGATGCCTTGGGTCCGCTGGAGGCGCTGGGTAAGCTCCTCGGTGTAGTGCTTTAAAAGCAGCAAAAAGAGCACAACATCCAACAGCTGCAAACTGTGTGTAGAATGTGGTGGGTACACCATAACCATAATGCGTTTGGCTTCACAATACTCCAAAAAATCGGGCGTGAGGTGACTGGCGTGGCCGTCAAGGATCAGAAGGCGCCATTGCCGACGAGCTTTGGCTGCCGTGAAGCGTTCAAAGACCTGTTGAAGCCAGGCAAGTCCCAAATCATTATTTAACCATCCCGAAGCCGAGTGGAATACAAAGATTTGGTGTTGTTCGGCCAACAGGTCGTCAACCCAGCTTGATTGAACCCCGGAGATGCCCTGATAGATGAGAGCGGGCAGCAATGCCTCTCCAGAAGCGCATACGCAAGCCAGCAGCGTTACCCATTCTCTATTACCATCTCTCATCGCTGCGGTACGCTCCCCCGACTCATAAACTGCCTTAGAGAAGATCCTCTTCCTGCGGTGGGCGATGCCAACAAAGAAGCCCTTCTCATCCATATTGTACGTGTTGCGCTCTTCAATCTCATATTCTTGCATCTTAGAGTGCAGCAAGTTAAAGTACAACTCATATTTACGCTTGTTGTCAGCCAAGTAACGCTCACAATCCATACCAGTATCCCATTTAGAGATAAGCTCATTAGGATGACGGTGTCAAAACCGGGTAACCCAGCTATCCGAAACCTCATGCTGCGCAACCGCGCTGCCAAAATTCTTCAAAATACTCCTTATAGGTGGTACGCCATCTTTTGTTTGCCCTTTTACGAAGCTAATAAGCTCATCCTCTTGTTGTGGGTTAAGATTTCGTCAATGTTCGGCCGCCTCTGTGCCCCAGGGTTGTTGTGCGCCCCAGTGCCTCCGCAACAACGTCGTTCGATCAACTCCGAATATCTTTGCAACTTGGCAGTACGAGAATTTATCTCCAGCCTTACGCGATTCGATATATCCAATCGCTTCTTGAATCGGGTCCATGGTTGTGGAGTTATGACGCGTCGCAGTTGGGATGGTTCATGAGGTTGCGGGGCTTCAGGTGGCTCGTTGACTGAACTGGCTCGTTGGGTGCGCACGGACTGTAGCGAACCCCGCCCAAGGTACAGTACGGTAGGATAGATAGTAACGTAAGTGCATAGCGAGTGGACCGGCTAGGCGAGTGGACCGCCCCAACAAGCCATTAGGCACTCTGCAAGCAATTGCGCAACACCACAATGCTTTACTATAGCTAACAGTAGCAAATATTAATTGCTGACTTCTACTGCATCTTTCTCACACGTGCGCGAGTTGTGCCCTGCCTCACCGCAGCGCCTGCAGTGCCTTTTGTGCTGCTTGCCTGCACCTGTTCGAGCCCTACCCTCACGAGTTTCCCCCTCAAGCTGCGCCCCAACGTCGCGTTGGGCTATCAAATCCTCTGCCTGTTCCTTTGAGAGGTCTCCACCCTTCTGAATCCACTTTCTTTTGCGCGATTTGCGCTCAGAAGCAGCCCTGTTTGACGCTTCAAGCTGCAGCACTCGGGCGGCTAGTAACGTCTGTGAATGCAGTATCATTGCAGTGCCTTTTTGCAGCTAATCCATCATCTCAACTATAGGAGAAGGTGACGATCCTTGGTGCCTCTAAATACAATCGCGAAGCAACATTAATTGAGCCTCTATCTCATTAGCGTTGGTAGGTGTCTTAGGGTTCCATTGGGGCTCCCCTGTGAGAGGCGGTGTTGGCGTGCGACGCTTCACATCAAGCTTTAATAGCACTACCAATAGATCATTAGGCACTAAGCCAGTTGCTTTAAAGCTTGATATAATGTTTGCCTTTAAAAACGCCTTATCAAACACCTTCCTAAGGGTCGCGATGAAGGCTTTTTTGTCAATCCGGCCAATATGGTCCAGCGCCAAGACTCTAATCTCTTTGCTGTACGCCCGCTTTAGGGGGGCAAAACAACCCACATCAAGTGGTTGTAGGATGTAAGATGAGTGTGGAGGCATACATAGGGTAATAATCTTGCTCTCTGTGCAAAGATTTTGGAAAGTAAGCAACTTGTAGCTCTCGTAGCCGTCGATTATTAGCAGCACGTGGCTACCCACCCTCTGGCCCCGAATCTGCTCAACAAAGTGCCTTAACCAGGCTACTCCAATATCGTTAGTAGTCCAGCCGTTGTTACTGACCCCAATGCGCCATTAGGGCTTCAAATCAGGGTACCAGGACGCGTCGTGGTTCTTTGCTTTGAAGATAAGGTAGGGCGCAATTGCCCAGCCCATCGCGTTGACTGCAGCAATCAAAGTCACCCACTCACGGTCTCCCTGCTGGACCCCAATAGGTTAAGTACGTCTCTCAGATGCAGTAACTACTCTGACGCAATTTCCAACGCCCATAGTAAAGCCAGTCTCGTCAAAGTTGTAGGTATCTTCGTCCTAGATGCCGTACTTGGCCTTAACATTCCGTACTAGGTCAAACCAGGGCCCAATGACCCCTAGGTCGCTGCAGAGAACTCTCTGGCGATCCCTCTGTCGAGTTAATCGTGATTGGAGTCCAGGCTCGCGTTTGACAAAGTTTGAAGCCCATCAGGGGCCAACAGGCTCTGCATCGCGTGCAGCGCGCAATTAATTAGCCATATCTTCAACGCAATGGAGCGTTGAGGCAAGTCCTTGCTCGTCAAGCCTCCTTATATACTGCACAAGCGCCTTCTCTTCTATCTTATTAAGGGCTGATGATTTAGGCTGGGTATCGCGTGTTGACTGCCTCCCAGCGCGTCGCCAAAGGAGGGTTGTTTTTGACACCTGGTAGACAACAGCAGCGCGTCGCACGCTTAGTTCTTGGGGTTTCTTAATTGCTTAGAGTGCAAGCTTAATCCTGTCTTCTTTTAAGAGCGATTTGAGGTTATGTAGCTGATCCATTGAGGTTTGAAGGTTGGAGGGCCCAATGGCTTGTTGGGGCGGTCCACTCGCCTAGCCGGTCCACTCGCTATGCACTTACGTTAAGTAATGTTAGGCTAATTTTTTTTCAGAACTTTAAAACTAAAACCTTAAATTAAAGATAGTATATAGTATTAGAACTTCTATATGTCTATATACTACCTAGCGTAGAGCCTATTTCCTTAGGCTAAGTTTTATGTTCTAATTTTGTAAACCTCTCTCCCCCCTCTTAGATTTTAAGACAAATTTTGCTAAGTATACTAGTAGTAGGCTTTTCCTGTGTAACCCTTTTTGAGAACATATGTCATGTCGTAGCATTAGCCCCTCTCGACCATAGTTGCTACATCTGCTCTTCGTCTCGCTACTCCACGCTGCTGCTTGGGCTAGGTCCGATCTAACTACTTGACAGTAGATATGGGTGGCACATGGTATGTAACAGAGAAAGGTGGCGTTGGTGATTCTAGTGTAATGGACGCTCACCATTTATTGTCAAACAACTTGCCATCAACGTAATTGTTCATATCCTTGACAGGCGGTAGGTGGTCCCGGCCAGCACCGAACGCCATGCCTCGCCCCATTACGTTGCGGTAATTTGCGCCCGGTGACACCTTGCCAAGGGTATACTCGCGGCGGGTCTCAACGCGAGTGGGGACAGGGATGGAGCGCCCGATAATGGCCTCCATAGCCTGCCAGGCGAAAGTGATGCTCTCTTTGGCGCCTGCCGGTACACCGGCCTCATCTAGCATCATGATCCTGGTGTTGGGGAAGGCCTTCTGGATGAAATTGGTGATGTTCGGGTTGTAAGCGCCGCCGCCACACATGAAGAGCTCTTCGATCTCCAGGTCGGCTGGAGCGTAGCGTCGGTAGTGGTCTACAATGGCTTGGGCTGTGATACGAGTGACGGTAGCCACGACGTCGTCAGGGGACATGCCCAACTTCTCCGCTTTCTCGATCAGCTCGAAGGCAAGCGTATCCCGGAAGACCTCACGGCCAGTCGTCTTCGGCGGATCAAGACTAAAGTACTTGTGCTGCAGGAAATCATCGATGAGGGTCTGATTAATCGTACCGCGGGCGCCCATTTCTCCATCTCTGTCATACTCTTGCTCGCCATTAGTGTAGTGGCGTACAACGGCGTCAATGAAGACGTTGCCTGGGCCTGTATCGAAGTCGTATGTCTCAGAAACGCCGCCCTTGTTGTCTGGTGGAATGAAGCAAACATTTGCGATACCCCCTATATTCTGGCATGCTCGAAGTTTGGTGGGATGATGCAGGAGAAGAGCATCGAAGAACGCGATCAACGGTGCACCCTGACGACCCGCTGCTTGGTCTGAAACGCGGAAGTCCGTCACGGTGGTGATTCCAGTACGGGAAGCGATGAAGCAGCCCTCCGCCATTGTAAGCGCGGATCTAACCTGCCCAGGCTCAGGCATGGACAGCAGCCAAATCGTCTGGCCGTGAGAACCGATAGCGTCAATGGACGATACGTCCACGCTGTGCTTCTTGCAAAACTCATGTACCGCATCGGCAAAAGTCTCTCCGAGGATAACGTTGACTTCAGACAGACCGGATGCGGACGTGCGGTCGTGCAAAATGATATCCATTACCCGCTTCTTTATAGGTTGAGGAAGAGGAACCTCATCGTATTTTAGGAGCTCGAATTGCATAGGTGACTCGGGTGTCTCTTGGCGGAAGCGACACAGGGTGCAATCGATACCGTCCTATTATCGTCAGCGTGTCAAACCCCATGACGCAGGGAGTAGGCGACTGCTGGGACGTTTGGAGCCCCTGGAATATGCAAAAAGAGGCGCCGCTGGCACGGGAAAAGGCTGTAGTGAAGCTGAACAGTCGTTTTGAATGCAATTGCAGTAGTTCTCTCATCGTGTGCAAAACCCAGAGCCAACACAGACCCTGAATACGTCCCGCAGCTAAAACAACGATGGTGCTAGGGTAGATCGTCGATGAAAAGGCATTTCTCACCATAGATGTCCCAGAGTTCAGACCCAGGACTGTGAGGTCAAGGGGTTGGTTCCCTTGAGCAGTCATTGTGGAGAGTTTGTGAAAGAAGGCCACTGGGAACCAAAGACGATGTTTGAAAGCAAATGTCAAGCAGAATGCCTAGAACGGTACCCAGATATCAAGAAACAAGGAACGGAGCTGTTGTCGCGTGCGGTATCTTTATAATACAGGTGTGGAAACTTGCCATGTAACAACGGCAGTAGAACCGGTAAGTTATAGGACACGCAGGGCCCCCACCTTGGAGTGTAGATGAACAGCCACGCCACCCAAATAGCTGGATTGAACGGGGCACCATGAGCGTCTCGGTACTAACTATGCCAAGTCTCGGACCGGGGATAATTAAGTGAAAGACCAACTGAGGCAAAAGCAATCCGAGAAATGGCCGTGAGGATGGCAGAGCCAGAACATTCTGATTTCATCTGACTAAGCCGGCAAAGCGTCTAAGCGGCTATTGTTAAGTGGTAACACGGCTCTGATGTTCCGTAAACGGTACAGCGCGTTGAACCTCATCGAACATCTCCGGATCTTCCCCAGTTTTCACCGCATCGATACTACCTAGTTAGCTATCTGTGCTTTTCAGCGCTTTATCCCGGATTCGCTTCCACCTCCACGGCACCTTCTTCCTAGCTCACGCGCACGTTGGACCTGCTGGCTTCACCCGCCCCATGGGGTTGAATGACAGATAATTACGTTGAGGATTATTCCCGGAACGTAGACTAGTTGCACCTGATAGTTTCATGATGTGCACTTGGCGGTCTTTAGGTCTTAATCCTTCACTGCGAGATCATTCTGCACATGTTTGTCTAGACTTGGCTCCCGATGCAGTATATATAATCCGTCAAACCCGACGAAGGAGTGGTTGATACTCAGCTTGTCCACCTGCATCTTCCACACACGTTGGCTCTGGACGCCCTCGAAGTTCACCATGACTTATACCACCTTTTGGAAGAAGCTGTCGCCTTTACAGCTGAACATAGCTATCCAGACTTTCTCCCTAATCTCCATCTTTTTTGAAGGTTATGACCAGGGTGTCATGGGCGGCGTCAACAGTTCGCCCCGATATGTGCAGGAGGTAGGCATTGGGACACCCGATGGCAGAATCAGCGACAGCTTGCACGAAGGCGGAATTGTCTCTATCTACTACCTCGGCTGCATATTCGGCTGCTTTGCTGGAGGTTGGCTAGCAGATAGAATTGGTCGTATCAATGGGTAAGCGATCTTGGGTCAATTAATCTTGTTGCGTTAACTGATGGCCGACGTTCTAGTCTTTGGATCGGTTCCGTCTTTGCTCTGGTCGGCGGAGCCCTTCAGGCCGCTACGCAATCATCAGATTTCATCCTCGTCGCTCGTGTCATCACCGGACTGGGGACAGGCGCTCTTACCGGTATAACTCCTGTCCTTGTGTCTGAGACATCCTCGGCGGACCATCGTGGTGGCTACCTTGGCTACGTCTTCATAGCCAACTACTTGGGTATATCTGTAGCCTACTGGCTCTCGTTCGGCCTGTCGTTCATCAACAACGGGTACTCCGACATTCGCTGGAGATTTCTTCTCGCCTTTCAATGCATACCCGCTATCCTGCTGCTTCTGGGTGTGAAGATGCTCCCAGATTCCCCGCGATACTTGGCTTCCGTTGGTCGCTTTGACGAAGCTCGCGAAGTCCTCACCCATGTCCGTGGCGGCTACACCCCTGAGATTGAAAAAGAGTTTCTCGAGATCGTCGCGGTAGCAAAGGACTCCAAGCCCAGCTCTCCCATGCAGTTCGCTAAGATTCTAATGGGCAAGGGCGGCAAGCCTGGCACGCACCTGGGTCGCCGCGCTTGGCTCTGCTTGTTCCTTCAAATAATGGCTTCTTGGTCCGGTATTACCGCTGTCACTGCATACTCTCCAACGTTACTTCGCGCTGCTGGTTACTCGACACTTACCCAGAACGGCTTGGCCGGCGGCCTTAATACCGTTGGCATTGTCGGTACAATCATCTCTGCCCAAATCGTCGACCGCCTGGGTCGCCGTACTTGTTTGATGATGGGATCTTTTGGACTATTTGCTGTCAATCTAATCGCTGCTTCTCTATACGAAGCTTCTCGATCTCAGCCTCAGAATGCGACGAAGTTTGCACCTGCCGCTGTCGCAATGCTGTTTCTCTTCAATCTTGTCTACGCATCGACCTGGGGTACCGTCGCATTCTTGATCCCAACAGAGATTTGGAGCTCCGACATGCGCGCACAGGGTAACGGCTTCGGTATCACGGGTTGGGCTCTCGGTGTTGGTATGACAGTTCTCGTCAACCCAGTCATGTTTTCAAAGCTCGAAAACCGCACATACTTCCTCTTTGCTGGACTGAACTTGCTTTGGATTCCTGTTGTCTATCTTCTCTACCCGGAGACGGCTGGGCGCTCCCTGGAGTCCATTGAAGCCTTGTTTTCGACGAACAGCCCCTTCAACTGGCACATGGAGCGAGCATACCGCAACCAGGGTGACCTGCTTGAAACGAAGGACGAGCCTGACGTCGAAAGTTCGCTTGATGGTGAGAAGAATAGGTCTCTCAAGGTTGAAGCCGTCTAAGTGGCGTCTCTGCGCATGTACATCACCTTGTCCTTGCTAACTGGGGAGCGAGCGCACTGCACATCGCAAGGAATGTGAGAATCAGAGTTCTTATCGGAGGACTTCGGGTCGGATCAACGAATTAAAGACTACACGGATAGTTTCTGAGGCGACTATGATGTTTATTGGCAGCGTGATCTTTTCGCTTGTTCTTGCGTCAATGGCCATGGATTGGCGACAGGATAATTTGGTAAATGTTGACACAATTTCTCTATGGTAATCAAGCCTTCATAAGACTTATACGTTCGGATGCCACAAGCAGAAATAGCAATCTTGACTTCTCAACCCTTGTGTTATAGGTGATAAAGAAAATTGTCAATCTCGCGGCCAGACCTCAGTTCTACTGGGTGGTTTATCTTGTTAGAGCTGAGCCTCATTGTCATCATGACGTAGAATTGATGCCTAGCCCAGAAGAAAAAAGAGCGGCGGAACCTGCGCTACGGTCCCCGCATCCCACATAGTTTGTACCTGACAAAGCGTACATAGCGTCTGGTCGGATCGGGGATCGCTTGGCTCAAATGTAAATAAAACCTGACACGCCATTTGCCTCAAACCTTTTCGAGCTCACTGATGCAAGCATTTAATCTTGTGTTCATCATTACCGCATTCGTCTAAAGTTTCTAGCTACACTTCGCCAAAGGATCAGAAATATCTAACCATGCCTAACATGAAGAAGCCAAATAAACTCCTAAGAGCAAGTAGAGCTTGTAAGTTCTCGAGACCGGTGATGCGCATGTCATATGGGGAGGCGTTGACCCTAGCACAAGGTCATTAATCCCGGCCATTATACCACGCCTATCGCCTATCCTGAACGCAGATTTTCTTTTCCTTTCCTACGCCTGATACTTTGTCCATTATCCAAATCGCAATGCCGTCTTTATCATGGTCGGGACCTTTGCTGACAGGCAAGCGTCTTAGGCGACTTCTGCCACAAACGTAGCATCAAATGTCATCCTCACACCGAGGACCTCGACAGGTGTCAGAACTGTTATGATTTCGACGTGCCTTGTACCTATGAGCGACCACTAAAGCGCGGGCGCGCCACGTCTAAAGGCACTCCGCCAGATCAACCCAGAATGTCTGCGGCCGCTACTACCGGGGTTCGATATCAACGGCAGCCCCTGCTCCAGCACCAGGACCAAGACTCCTATCAGCAATTGAGACCTGGACGACTACGGTCTGTCCGCCGGGTGGCGGACGAAATACTGGTAGCGGCTGAAGAAGTGCAAAGCGCGCACTCCTGGCTGGAAAATACCGGTAAACGATTTTCAGAATCGAGAAAGCAAACAGCGACTCAAAACTCACATGACGAAGGGCTCACAATAGCATGGAGAGCATTTGCGACTGCGAGCGCAGGAACGATTGAGCATCTCGTCGATGTGTATTTGCAAGTCGTGTATCCAATGTAGAACACCTGTCTATTAACCCTTTTACTCTGCTGACATGGAGCTCAAGATTCCCTCTCTTCCATCGACCAACACTACTTCAAAAAGTACGGGATCAAGATTACCTACGCGATCAGGGTTGTTTCGCCTCACTGATGGCGGCTTGCGCTCTGGCATCAGCCCGAGAAAGAGATGGCGCGTTATATTGTTCGATCACAAACGCGTCCTATAACGCTAATATCCCGTCCGAGACTTTCTACAAGGCAGCAAGAGATATGCTACCAGAAAGTCTTGTAGAGGCTGATGGCTTGGACTATATGAGGGCGTGCGCGCTGCTATCGATCACTAGTATTCAATACGGGGATATTGAAGCCATGCAGCTCTATCTGGGCCACTATTTCACACTTGTTAGCGTTCATAGATTGCATGACGAAGCAAATTGGCCAAAGGACACGAATAACGTCGAGGTTGAAGAGAGGCGGCGCCTGGTAAACGTCATCCTCCCCATGAGCTGAGACAACTGCTGACGCTGGTGGTAGTACTGGTCAACATATACCCTGGACATCTACAGCTCTATTGTATGGAACGGCAGCGTGCACGCATGTGGCGCTAATGCGCGCGTCCGATATCCTACAGAGGTCGAGGACGAGTTTATCACGCATGGTGCCACCTTACTCTCACCGCGATCGTCCACCTCCTGGCTCCGTGGCTGGAATTTTACCACCGACTTGTATCTCGCGCTTGAACATGCTTCGAATCGGCTGCGTGCGCGTCAATCCCGCATCGACGATCGTATTGATGTTGCTGCAGTCTTCGGTATCCCTGCTTCATCTTCTGCTGCCGTGCTTGCGACCATCAACGCACGTCACTCCGCTCTACCGGCGGAATTCAAGATGTTCGCACCGCCCACTGGCGACCGTGTTCGCGACATCTTCGGATTCCAAGCTGCAAATATACAAGCAACAATGCTATTACTACGCATGCTTTTATTTTGCACTGACGACGACGGCCACTCGCCCTCAAACGTGCAGCTCAAATGCAACATCGCAGCCGAACTCCTTGCTATCTTCCAGACTATTCCGACTGCCTACCTGTGCGGTATCAGCACGCCCCTTATCTACCACCTTGCAGGGATCGGCATGATACTTGCGTCTGTCATGGAAGGCCTGCTGTCTGAGGCAGGGTATCAGAAGGTGAAAAGCATCTTACTGTCGATTGCAGATCTGCTTGAAAGTTTCGAAAGTGGGTTGTCCCGCGCGGCAGATATCAGTAAAGGTCTCCGCTCGCAGGTGGAGCGGATAGACGAGTACATGCGCGTACAACGCCTGCCTGCGGACAGACCTTATGTGCAACCGCAACCAAATCATACCTCATCGGTCGAAACTGCACGCATGTCACTTCCATTGCAGCAACACTCGACTCCAAGCAGTACAACTGGGATTCAAATAGCTGGAGGTGGTGATAAAGAAGGCCATACGCAAAGTACTGGTGTCAGCGCGGAAGGTCAGTTTATGAACGACGGGTGGCTTGGTGAGTTCCAGCTCCCGCCCGAGCTGCTGGAAGACTGGCCATGGACATTCAATCTGCAGCCAGAGACCTGGTCGTTACTAGGAACTGCAACAGCCGGAAGAGATCATTGGTAAGGACCCTGTGGCTTGGATTAGTAGTTAAATACCTAGATTTCTTAGTATTTTCCTAAATCTACTAAAAGTATAGGTTAGAACAAAAGCCTAAGGTCTAAATAAATAAAAACTTAAAAAAATCATTTTGGCCCTATGTTACTTACTAGCCCACCATTACGGTGGGCTTTTACGAGGTTTCGTGCAAATATTATTTGCAACTTCAACCTGGCGCCACGCACAGACACCGGAGCGATGACGATTCAGCTCTACCAGCTGAATGATGCTCCTTCCTTTGATGCCGTTGAATATTTGGGCACAACACACATGCACACAGAAGCACAAACTCCACATCGGAGCTGAAATCTACTTCCCGATTCCCAGATGGGTATATCGTCGGTGCGACACAGCCAAGCCGACGTTAGGCAACCATAAGCTGCGAATAAAGCCGAGACTGCGCAGCTCTTGCCTGTCGCACACCTCAACATCATGAACGAAGCGTCGTCTTTCTGGGAGGACGCTGTGTTTGTCGAACGTGATGAAGTTCATGAGCACAATGAAGAAAACATAATCGCTCAGGATGACGATACGATCGCCTCAATACGCTCCTGGCTCCAACCGACCGACTTCAACAGCGAAGGGAGCGAGTATCAAAAACACTTGTTGTCCCATCTTTCAGGCACGGGAGCATGGGTGTCAGCGTCGTCGATCTACCAACAATGGCATGAGAGCAGCAAGCATGGGCTACTCTGGGTGCGGGGTACTGAAGTCTTATGAACCCTAAGCAGATTTGGGCCTGACAAAGTGTAGGTATTCCCGGCTCAGGCAAATCAGTCCTTGCGGCAAAAGCGGTCCATAACTTGTTGCAAGAGCGGGCTCCAGTACTATACTTCTTTTTCCGGCAGATCGTGGACGCCAACCACAGACCTCGAGCTGCTTTGCAGGATTGGTTGACACAAGTGCTTCCATACAGTCCGCCTTTGCAACTTCAGCTCAAGACCTATATCGATGACTCTGGTGGCCAATTGTGTAGGCTTGACAGCGTTTCCATGTCCGATCTCTGGCAGCATCTACGCACAGCTCTGGCGCATATGAGCAAAGCCTATTTGGTCGTAGATGCACTTGATGAGATGGATCAGGGACCCGAAGCAGATGCTTTCGTACAATCCTTGTCGGACTTAGCCCGCTGGAGACCATCTCAAGTCAAGGTTCTCATGACCAGTCGCCCCGTGGCAAATGTCAAGCGGTCGCTATCAGGGACTGCTATTCTCAGACTCAAAATGGACGAAGGGAATGTTGATCGGGATATCAGCGCATACGTACGAGCTAGACTCGAGCATTCAGAAATTCCCCTTGAATATTATTCTCCGATCCAAGCCGCGGTACCCGGTAGGGCCAAGGGCCTGTTTCTTTATGCAAAGCTCGCAATGGATGCTTTGCTCAAGGACGGCGTCGATATCAGCCAGGCACTGGGTGAGATACCAGAGAACCTCAGCCAAATGTATACACAACTCCTCAGCCAACACGCAGCAAGATCCGGTGTTTCAGTGGACGAGCAACAGCTTATTTTGAAATGGATGACGCATTCTGTTAGATCGTTGCGACTTATCGAACTGGCCGACGTCCTCAGCCACCAACACACATTGATCGATAGGAACCTCGGAGCAGCAAAAGGCATACTTCGCTTGGCTTGTGGGTCGCTTTTGGAGCTACTACCCGATGAGACACTATGTGTCGTCCATCATTCGTTGACCGAGTTTCTGAGAGGTGAGGTACGGACGGGAATGGAGGAGTACCCTATCCTAGAACCTCTGACCACGCATCACCAGCTGGCTCTGATGTGTCTTTCATACCTCCAGAATGGCTGTCTGCAAGACGGTGAGCCGCAGCCACCCTCACGTCATAATCCGTTTGCCCCGGCTCCTGCCAAACCTCTCTTAGCTCCGTTCGCTAAGTACGCAGCTGTGAACTGGAGTACGCATGTTCTTCAATCTGGTGAGGACGGCGTGGCAGAAATGAACAGCGCACTCGATAAATTCACCACACATACTCATTTCCAGACTTGGGCTCACGTAGCTGGGTTGCGAAAAGACGCCAGAGACGTGACCACGCCCATATCTATGGCAATCGGTTTGGGTCTTTCGGATTATTTAAGACACCTCCTCGAAAGATCTGATGTCCATGTGAATGAAGGCGCGCCAATTGTGTCGGCTGCTGCGAGAGGTTTCACTGACGTTGTGGACCTGCTCGTGAAAAGTGGTGCAAATGTAGACCAGTACGACGCTGGAGGCTATACCGCTCTTCATCGCGCTGCGATGAACAATCATCCGGCGATCATGACTCTACTACTACAGGCAGGCTGTAACATTGATCTGGCAACTACGACACGCAGCATGGATTCTGGTTTCTCACACCGCCAATGCCGAGCATCATGGTTTGCATGCGACCGCGGTCACATCGAAGCGCTTGCAGAGCTACAGAAGTGTATGACAACATTGGATCAAGTCGGGTACGCTTTGAGGGTTTCTGTTGAACGCAAGCGTACATACTTGGTACGACAGCTGCTGGAACATCGCTTGATGAACTCGAACCCACACGAGAATCTCAGAGAATCATCTGAGGCAGATGGTGGTACTCTCGAAGAGAGACGGAATGCTCTCCTGGTACTGGCGTGCGACAACCGCGACTTGGACACCATCGAGCTCCTACTCGCTGCCGGTGCGGATGCAAATGCAAGGGCCTTGCATGCCCTGGCCCGCTCGAAAGCGAGAGTCGATCCAGAAACTGCGACGCAATGCTTCGCGATGATCATAGGAGCGGGTGTGGACCTTAATGCTCCAGACTACGGCAGTAACAGTCCGCTACACTACGCCGCGGACGCTATCGCAGCCAAAATGTTGTTGGAAGCAGGAGCTGACATTGAGTCACACGGTCAAGATGAAGAAACTCCCGTGTTCACATGTGCCAGTGTCGAGGTCTTGAAGGTGTTGGTAGAAGTCGGTGGTGCCAATCTGGAGAAAAGAAACAGGGACGGCAGAACCCCGCTTCTAGCATCCATGTACAGGAGTCTCTCAACCCGGAAAGACGAAAAGGCTATACTGGCACTAATCGACCTTGGAGCGGATGCGAGTGCCGTGGACAATGAAGGTAACGGCGTGTTCCACTACGCAATCAAGGAGTTCAGTTCCGAATTTCCGCAAGGTCTCATCGAACGATTCTGTGCAGCAGGTGCAGACATCAATCGAGTGAACAACCTTGGCGAGGCTCCAATTCATCTTACAAAGATTGAGATACGAAAGGGTTTTGGCGTCGGAGATTTTCCAATCCCCAGAAGGACGCCTCAGTTCGAAACATTGGTCGCCGCAGGCGCACGCCTTGCAACTACCGCGGCAGATGTCAGCAAAGATCCACTGTTCAAATGGATCAGCAATTCGATCTGCGATGCTCACGATTCGCACCTGGCCGATGTGAAGGAAACCTTGATCAAATACGGGGCTACTCTGGATGTCGTTGATGACGAAGGAAGGACTCTTCTTCATGCTGCAGTCACAGACACCAGACACAAGGCGCACATGATTTTCCTGCTCGAGCAAGGACTTGACCCTCAGGCAGTCGATTACAAAGGCAACACTCTCTGGCACGAAGCGGCCTCGCATCTAGCCGGCATTTCATATACGCCACAAGATAAGCCCGCGGAGCCCTTCGAGCAGCTGACGCAGATGGACATCAATCCGATGCAGCCCAACCATCTAGGCCGCATTCCATTACATATTCTCAGTGCTCTTTGGCCATGTGCAATACATGATTTTAAGAGGTCATCGAGAGCCGTCATCGGCGCGGGTCATGCAGAAGTGGAGACGGCGTTCGATATGATGCTATCTTTGTCTCCGGAGGTTGACATAGTAGACAAAGAGGGTGTGACACCTCTCCATCTAGCTTCTACCCTTTCCGAGTTTCTTGTTGGCAGGCTACTATCAAGGGGCGCTGACCCATCTCGCGTTACCAAGGAAGGCTGCAACGTCATTCACCTTGCAGCTCGAGCCGCAAAGCCAAATATTGTGGGGATGCTGCTTGCAGTGTTGCGATCCAAGTCCATTTCGGCCCTCGTATCTGCCGCGAATGCTAGAGATCATCTTGGACGATCGCCTCTGTATTACGCTTGCCTAGCGGGATCATACGAGTCTGCTCAATTCCTGGTAGAGGCAGGAGCCACCGTCGACATTGAAGACTACTCGACCTCCCCATGGAGAGCCATCGCGAGGTTTGAGGTGCAGTCCTTGAACTACAGCAGCCGATCCGGCGACAAAAAGGTGGGTTCTGTGTTGATCGCTCACGATGGCGAGTCCGCGGATAAGCGCATCATGTACTTTGGCAAGGAAAGGCTTGATGAACTCGTGGCTCTTCTTCTTGCTAACTCCATGGGTTCAATGTCAATCATAGACCAGTCCATTCTTGATGCAGCATCGTTCGACGCAGACTACACAGTCGAGCGTCTGCTTGAAGCCAGAAACGCAGCGCACCTTGGCGAGTACAACGCAGTGGATGGGCAGGTCACTGCAAGTATCGCGAGAATACGGGTAAAGCGCGAGGATCTTGGGAAGCCATGCAAGAATTGCTCGAAGGCGCACTACAAATCACCCCTTCAAGCCGCCATGATTCTGAACGATCATCGATCGCTACCGGACGCCTTGGTAGCTGAAGAAGATAAAAGCTATCAGCAATCAACTCTTCGAAATCTGGTATCCAGCGGAAATGCATCGGCTATACGCCATGTTGTGAAGCTTCATGGGCCACAAGTTCTCGATGATCGATCTTGGGGTCAGCAGGATAACGTGCAACGGCGTCATTCATACCAGAGACCAGAAGACGTCGAGCCTTTGCTCCTCAAGGCCTGCAGAGGTGCAGTACCGCATCTCGACACGATACGAGTTCTTGTTGAACAAGCTCAGCATAATATAAATATTCAGCAACAAGCCACGAAGAAAAAAGAAGCCTACTACTCGGGTTTGACAGATTCTGGAGGCTACGTCGAGGGCGAATGTGCTCTGCACGCCCTCGTACGTGGTGAGCATTGGTGGCATGTCAACCAAGGCTTGCGCTACTTCTTGGAGCGCGGTGCAGATACAGAGCTTCGAGATGTCCACGGCATGACACCCTTGAATGCTGCCCTCAATCGTTGTGGTTGGCTCATCTTCGACAGAACTGCAGTCAAGCTTCTCGTCCAGCACGGCGCGGACGTCAACACCGTGGATCGAATGGGTCACTCGTGTCTCGCCAAAGCCTGCTCTGATCCGGAAATGGCCAGGCTGCTACTAGACCGCGGCGCAGTCGTTACTCAGAGAGTACTTATCCAAGCCATTGAGCTGATGGACCCAGACTTACTCACACTACTTCTCTCGCGTGGCGGGGATCCAAATATCCGCGGAGAATCCGAACGGGCACACTCGATCTCATCAAATGGGCGTTATCCTTTGCACCATGCAATCGTGGAGATGAACAACCGGCATCATAGCAACAAAGCAGACCAAGAAAAGTTTAGGAGCATGATAACCGTACTGCTCGACCACGGTGCAAATCCGAGTGCAGCATACGACTCCACAACCATCCTGCACGAGCTTCTGCGTGGGAACGAAGCCCTCGATCAATTGTTCACATTATCCAAGAGTAAATTCAATATCAACGTCCGAAACGCGGCAGGAGAAACGCCTCTGCATCTGGCATGCCAAGGAAGAAGTCTACGTCGACGTTCAAGTGACAGCGACAAGCCGAGCACACTCAGATTGCTCATCTCCCACGGCGCAGACATCCGCTCCCAGGATAATGAGGGAAATACCATATGGCACATCTTCAGCAAAACAGGCTCCTACGGTTACTCAAACGTGGACCTCCAGTCTCTGTTCGAAAGCGCGCCCAATCTTATCAATACTCCGAACAAGGCAGGCGTAACACCACTGCACGCAGCCATAAGCCACATTTCACGGTCGCCAATACTGAACTTCCTCCTCGATAATGGAGGCAACCTGCATGCCCTAGACAGGAAGGGAAACTCGCTGCTGCACTGCCTTCTCCGCAACGACTGGACGGTACATAATTCCCGCAAGGTCAAAGGTATATCACTTCCATTCTTCACCCGCCTTCTGGCCGCAGGCTTGGATGTGAACCACAGAAACGAAGAGGGCGAGACGCCCGTGTTTAATTTCTTCCGGCACAGCAAGGTTGGGCCTTGTAACTGTGGCAGGCAGGACCTCTTCGCGACGCGGAAAGCGAAAGTGCAAGCGAAAGCCAAAGAGCAGCCGGGGGTGGAAGAGCAGCCAAAGGCTAGAGGTCACGAGAATGCAGAGACCCCCGCCTCACCTCGCTACACTTTGCTCGATCAGTATGTGTACGACATCTTCACCCGCGCAGGTGTAGACTGGCACGCTGAAAGCGCAAGAAAGCAGAACGTACTGCATATCATCGCGGGCCTCGCGAAGCCGGAAAATGATAAACGGCTTCGGGATTTGGGGCAGGGTGGTCTTGCTGCGAAGTTCAAGGCCTTGATGGATATGGGGGTGAATGCAGGGTTGGAGGATGTGGAAGGCAGAACACCTGTAGATGTTGCGGCTGAGCTAGGCTACAAGGACATACTGGAACTGTTTCAGGAGGGGTAAGAGAATGTTGGTAGCTCGGGGTTAGGCCTGAGTGAAGGCTTAGCGGGGTGGAAGAAGTAAGAGTAAGTAGTTCAAGTACAAAAGTATCAAATGAGTAGATAAAGTAGCTCGTCGATCGCTACGAGATGCTCTTGCTTCTTTCCAATGAGTAACGATAAGAGGAGAGATACCTTTTACGATCATCGCCCATCCAATGTTTCCGTTATGTGTACAGCTCTGGCCTCTCTGATAGATCACCTTACTTTGTCAGGCTCAAGTCATTGATCAAGGCGATCAACTTGGGTCTCATGCACACAGCAACTAGCGGAGCGGAAGTAGCTTGATGTCAGGAGAAGATCCTGTTGCAACGTTCAATCCATTACCCGTGACTACATATCGTCGATCAATATCTATTATACATGAAAGGTATTATCCAAGCCTACGTCTTCGACTAACATTCTATTATCGACTCTCCAGGATTACATGCCGAAGAGAGCACCAACAAAGATGGCACCGACGACACCAGCAGCATCCACGGCACGGAGACCAGCAGCAGCGTTGGTAGAGACCTCAGCCGGAGGAGTCTATGCTGAGTCAGTTGGTGCTTCGGAGGAATGTATCTTGTACTTACAGCAGTCGAGCTTGCGGTGGCGTTGGTGCTAGGCGAAGCCACACCTGACACATGAGAGCTCAGCGTTCCATTCGCAGCGTGAGTTGGGTAGAGGGGGGCAGAGATCGGAGCAGAAGTGACTGGTGTGTGAGATGCCGGTGCAGAAGAAGTCAAAGCAGAAGAGGTCGCAGCGGTAACTAGAGGAGTGGACGACGCAGAAGGGGGAGCAGCAGAAGAGACAGGAGCCTCACTTGTCGCTGATTCGACGGGCGTAGCTGAGGCCGCACTGCTTGGTGGTGGAGCAGCAGAAGAGGGCGCAGCTGCCGAAGAAGGTGCGGCAGAAGGGGCAGCGGACGACTGCGCGGCAGCAGAAGACGGAGACGAAGATGCAGCGCCCGCCGAGGGCTCAGTGGAGAACCCGCATCCAGCACCAGCAGTGCTCAGAGTGCCGCCATAGTAACGCCAGATGTTGAAGTTGCTTGGGCCGGCGCAGGCGAGGCAGTTGTTGTAGTTCTCGACAAAGTCGGCGTTGTTGCAAGGGTCTGCATTATCGTTAGAAAGAGCAGTCATACCTCAATTGCATCGATACATACCTGATCCGCGGGAGAGGGTGATAGCAGTGCCACTGATGCGGATATTAGATCAAGTTTGGGAATGTTCAGCTGCATACATACCAGTCCTCGTGGCATGCGTAGGCAGGAGTGCCAGGCTCCTGACGCTTCAAGAGAGAGGTGAAGTAGGCATCCTCACGTGCGACCAGGCTGGTAGCGCTGGCGGCAGCAACAAAGCTAGCAACGAGGAATTGAGTAGCGACCATAGTGAACGACGGTAGTTGAGCGAGTGTTCGGATTGTAAAGCGAGATGCTGGAAACTTGATCTGAGGATAGGATATCAATTCAGGTACGGACGCCGCGGGTTTTGTAGCTCTTTCACAGGCCGCAATCGCTCCCAACTCGTGCCGAATACGACCTGCTGCTTCCCGCGCCAGGAAGCCAATTTTGCCAGGCTTTACAGGCTCACATGCACGACAAGCAACCAAGGCGTTGAAAGTGGACGAACGCCAATCGGCCGAACGTCGGAGATCCTCATTCATCGAATTTTATCAGCTCATCTGATTAGATGGATGAGCGACTAGGCCTGAAGCGGCAGGGTTGCATCCGCTTATTGGCTGGGCGTGTTCGCTACGATTCGTTAGAACCATCTGATAACCTCCTCAATACCGGGGCCTGCAGGTTTTGCTGCCACCAGGTGCGCCATTGGACATGGCGATAGTTCTGGACGTAGGCTTTCGCCTGAGAAAGTGGGTCTCCAACGGGCGGCAGCGTGTGATTCGAAGAGCGCAGGACAACTCAATACTCAGAGCACTTGGCGACGCAACACAAGACGGGAGCCGGTTGGAACACGAGTTTATCATGCCTTATCTGATCCTTGGGCCGGTACACATGACTGGAACGCAAAGAGCGAACACCGAGTACAAGACGCTGCCGAATTCATATAGCAGATACCCCTCAGGCCCTCCAATTTGCTCCTCGTTGGACTTTGACGCACAACATCACCAACATGCGGGCAGCTCTCTTGTCATTCGTCGCCGCTCTGGCTGTGTTGAGCAATGCACAAACACATGGTGAAGGCGAAGAGGGATCTAGCATGGGTCCAGTAGCCTTCCTCTGGCCACCGGACCGAATCTGGGACGCTGAGCACGACAACACCTCACCATGTGGAAGTTCAGCTGGACCATCCAACCGCACCATATACCCACTGTCGCAAGGTGCTGTTGCGTTGAGCATCGCCGATGATGCATGGCATGTTGCCTTCCGACTGGCGATTTCGGACAGTAAGTTCACTCTTCCATCATGACCAGCATAACTTACAAACCCATCCAGACCCAACCACTCAGGCAGACTTCGATGATCAGGTTGTAAACAATATCTCGGATATCGACCCGGGTCACCAGTGCTACTCCATCGACCGCCTCGAAGGCATCGCAGCCGGCACCAACGCCACCATTCAGCTCGAATACTGGGCGGAATACGAGGGCGAGAACAACGGCAACAACCAGTCATTCTTCGCTTGCGCCGACATCGTAAGTCTCTCGCAGTCCTGTTCCATACTCACCCGTATCACCGTCACGTGTGCCTACTAACCCCTACCCAGACCTTCGTCGAAACAATAAACTTCTCCATCAAAGTCCCCTGCTTCAACGTCACGTCTGACGACTTCAACGCGCCCACCCCCAGTGCCTCTGGCAGCACTCCTTCCAACACGGGTCTCTCGTCTTCGCAATCCGACACGCCCTCGTCGTCCGGCAGCGGCGGCGGTCTGTCCACGGGCGCAAAGGCAGGTATCGCCGTGGGCGCTGTCATCGGCGGTCTCCTGGTTCTGGGCGCGATCGGCTTTTTCTTTTGGCGCCGTGGTAAGAACACGGGGCTCAAGAATAAGGATGCGTATGAGCTGCGCGCAAAGAGTTTGGGAACGCCGACGGGGTCCGTGCAAGCGTAGGGTAGATGATCGAGGGGGGGGGGGGGGGCTCTGAGTGTACGCACGCAGTGGGAGGGGAGGTCATGGAATGATGGCATGATGGGAATGAGGAGGGCTGGAAAACGGGGGTTAATTTCTTAATGGTCACGACGTTACGATAGTTGACAATGCTTGTGTTGTCTTTGCACGCTGGAATGATGATACCCTTCTTCAAATCCTGATTTAACTCATGATCATGGGATATCCCTTTTGCATGCCATGAGTAAGCGGATGGTTTTTCCCTTCCAACGATATGCTGGGAGTGAAACGGTGGCTGGGAAGTCAGGATGCAGCACTCATTTGCTCGCCAGCCACCGGGTGGGCGGCACCGCATTTTGCCATCCAGGGGTGATACTCACCTTCTGCATACGGTCTATCAGAGATATCTCGGGGTTGGCCAGTGAGCACTTTGTCCATCTGCTTCAGGGTTATCATCAACGTGTCCAAAGTTCAGGAAGATACTTTTTGAAATCTCACCTTAGATGGGTTGGTTTCTTTCAATAGGAATGTCTCCCTGTTCGGATCCTATTGAAACCAAATTGCCGGACGCGTAAGGCGGTTGGAGGAAAAGGAGTCTCGCTCTAATTTCTCACAACACGCCTCCCGGCAGTCGCCGTCTGAGCATTTACGCCCCTAGTTGTCGGGCTAAGGTCACTGCACCTATGGATGGGACGCTACTTACCTCAGATAGAAATAAGGGCATGTGAATAGAAATTAGTCACTGCAGCAGATGTATTCAACTAGCTACGTGAGACGAAGGCCAGGCGACCACTGCTGTTTTCTTCAGTTAATATCTGCAAATGGGGTATTGAAGCTTGAACTTTTCATCCACATGCTCGATGAATTAGAAGTAGGTTGCATACTCATGAACAGACCCTGTTAATAGTCACGCTCAATGCGCCCCAGACGTGTGACAGAGTGGGGTATTTCTCTCTCATTGTACGGCAATTTAAGCGTACATAGTCTCTCGTGTGTCACTGCACTGTAGATCGTGCGTACTAGCCTAGACATTAAACACTACAAAGATGTTTGCGCATAGTTTCGAGAAGCGTTCACATCTCCAGACGACTCGTGGTGGTCACCTACCTTTGCGTGTCGTGAGAGCAGCGCGAACTGGAAGGCCACCCCAGACACCAATCGCCGATCGTGTTGGACGATATCCTAGCGTTCTGTGTCCTTTTGGACCAACGCACAGCGCCGAGCTCGTGCGTACCAACACCGGTCCAGCCGCCCATGCGCAAAAGAGCTCTCGCAAGATTCGTAGAGGTTCCAACGACCACCTTGGATGTTTCGAGCGTGCAACCATCCATCTTCCCCGAGATAGCAGACGAGGCATTGAGAAAGGGCTGCTGATTTATTAGGGCCTGGTTTGTCGTAGGTCAATCCGATTCCCTGGTTGGATATCATGGCATGCATGTGGTCGCAAGTGAAATCGGTAGCAGTCGAGATGTCATTGCGAGTAGATGACAATAGTCGTCTACAAATGCGACTTCGGCTGTGACAACGGTGAGACGATGAGCGGAGGGGGTGGCGACAAGGCTGGCGTGCATGGGTCAATAGGTGGATGTGCCTTGTCCTGTTGGACTGGATCAAAAGTGCTATAGTGAGGGATACGTCTGGGGTCATTCGTGACTAGGGGTGACGTTACATCTTGACCATGTTAAATCGAACGTGGATGGAAAAATACAAGACTTCATAGTAATGAGAGTATATTGACAACATGTGGGAAAAATCGCTCGTCAAATGCCCCAAGCATATACGCAAATCTAAATCTCCAAGGACTTCTAACCAGCATCTCTATATGCATCCGCTCCAAATGCTTCGCTAAATGCAGCAAACCAACCACAAACGTGACTCAAAGAAAGTATAGAACTCTAATAAACCGAGCAGCCAACCTGCGCTCTCGTCAACGCAGACGTAAACATGGCCTGCATAGCCTTGTAATGGAAGAAGATGCCGCCCAGCACAGCCATGTGCCAGATGTTGTGGCTGCAGCCGATGTAATCAAAGACGCCCGGGCACCAGCGCTCGGGGCACTTGCTGGCGTACAAGACGGCGCCGGTGATGTACACAAGCAGGCTCTTGGTGATGGGTGCGTAGAAGTACAGCGCCCACTGGGGCCCGCGGGTCCAGGAGAGCTGGAAGAAGGGGATGAAGCCGGTCAGCGCGAGCGTGCAGTAGAAGGCGACGCGCAGCCAGGCCATGTCGGCGCGGTTGAAGCGGGGCTGCCAGGGGAGGATGACGCCGCCGACACCGAGGCCGGCGGTGAGGACCATGTAGGACCAGCGCGAGATGGGCTCGCAGTAGAAGGCGGCGTACTCGGTGGTGAGAATGGAGGCAGCCACTAGGAGCGAGATGCCGGTGTAGTCAACGCAGGCGAAGCGCTCGAGCAGGGTCTGCTCGGAGATACTGCTCATGGTGTGCCAGATGGTGGAGCAGGCCAGACACTTGCATGCGGCGAAGAAGAAGACGCCGGCAATGAAGATGTCGGCTTTGCTTGACTGGCTCCAATTGACGCTGGACGGGTAGAAGTAGAAAGCCAGTGCAAGAACCATGATGAAGCCCAGAAGGTGAGACCAAATATTAACGAGCTCGTTGTGGAAGCCGAACACAGAGCGAACGCAGGCCCACTTGCCCTCTGAGAAGCGATACCCCTTGATGATGTGGGGATTGATCTTCCAGGGCTCCGGCAGGTCGTTGTAGCGGATCAGGCCGTGTTCCTTTGCACGAGCTAACGCACGTTGTACACTTTGCTCAATCGTAACCTCGACAGTCTCGCGGGCGCGACGAGCCTTGTCAAGACCGCTGTCGACCACGCCCTTGGCAGCTTCGATACCTTCGTCCATCCTCCTTCGCCCACTCTCGTACATGTCGTGAGCGTATGATCCAATCGTGGCGTCCTTCAAGGCGTATGCGCGGGTCTCAAACTCGGTCAGATACGAGTCCATGAGCTGTATGCCTTCCATGACCTTCTCGCCCAGCGTCTCTTGCGACTCCAGCGCTTCTTTGTATCGCTCCTCGAGAGTCTCCACGAAGACGGATGCTTGGCGGCGTCCGGCTTCGAGAGCGCCGTCGGAAATTTTCGAGCATGCTTCGCGCACGGTAAGGAGGGTTGTGTATGTGTATTCGACGCCTGCGTCGTATTTGAGGTGGCCATAGTCTTCAAGAAAGTCCAGTCTGCAATTGAGGTCGGCAAGGAAGTGGCGCAGCTGTGAAGAGTCAGTCAAAGCGAGGGTATTCGTGCAAATATTCCTACCATCAAGTGGAAGTTCTCGGCTTCCTGGACGCAGGGCCTGGTGTGCCACGAGTGGCGTCGGTGGTGCTGGTCCTGGAAAGTGCCGTAGGCCGGACGGCGCAAGCGCTGGACGGGCTCCTCTTGCGAAGTCATGACGGCGGTGCTTACGCCTGTGGAGGACAAAGAGCGCGGCATGGTGGGCAGTGGATTGATATACGGCGCGCGGGGCGTTGAGAGGCGAGACTGAGGGGCCAATCGAAAACGGTTCCAGATCAGGAAGGTCTGCGGACTGTGTGCGTGACGATACGTCTGGCTGACCTTTGCATGTGCGCGCAAAGAGGCTTTCTGGCTGGAGGGTTTGCTCTCAAGGAGGGAGTCGACAATTGTGCGCTAAGGAGTGGTGGACGAATGGGCGATGCGGAGTGCGCAGCGTGAACGGCGAGCCGAAAGCGGAGTGGATAGCAGCTATCGCGCGGGATTACGAGATTATGTATGGAAGGACGACCGAGGGCAACGGTGCTGTAGGCGCAGGACGTCAATTGAGGTCTGCCGGAAAGTGGGAGGGAGGAAGCGACGGCGTTTTAGGCGTGTTGGCGCTCGTCATTCCAATTTCTTCGTCCGAGGCTCGATACAATAGGGCTCGGTGCTTTCCGGCCCTGCATATTGCGAACACCGAACATGAGTTCACGCTTGGCCAGTTAGCTGCCAGATTGTTACAGATAAGAAGCCGCATTTTAACCGTGTCTACACAATTTTTATTGAGACTACTGTACTACACTGCTTCATCATGGCCCTGAGGCACATGTCCAGGGCTCAAAGGCACATGGCAATATCGTGGGTAGGACGGCTCGCGCTGCTTGGCACTTTCGCACTTTCTGCATTCGACCTGGTGCCCTTGTCCTCTTTGAGCACCCTGCGGTTCGCCAGCGCATTGTTTGCTTTGATCTGAATGTGTAGCAGCAAGTGACTATTGGTTGTAATTGCTATCTCGCACTTCATCCAGCTCCGTCCGTGTTTCGAGGTTGAGCTCGTCTCAGTGCCCCTCTTCCAATTTCAGGGTCGGAAAGTCGGCCTAACGGAGTGGCTGGTTCGCTTCGTAACACAGATGACGGACTTCACTGCGTCATCTTGACCTGACTTACCTTACTGCTGATTGTAGAAGGCATAGTCCTATATCGGAAATGCTGCGAGCCTCCAACTGGCCAACACCGCGCGGCATGAAACAAACAACAGCCTCGCTCCGCGTCATCGCTGCTGTGCCTTCCTACAACCTTACTTTGACCGTGTAACACGCACACTATCTGCGCCTAACCTTTGGCTGCATTCGCACTTCGTCATCGTCGGTCCTGCGTCTGCAATGCCGCATCTTGAGGGTTTCAGCTGGAGCCTTGAACATCACGATTCGCAGATGCTACTGAGACAGTCATCGAACATTCTCTCACCGGATACTTTGTACAGGATCCCTTGTCGAAGCTGAACTTCTGGCAAATACCATAAGCAGAGCCTCACCCCTCTTGCGTAGCCAATCGTGCCGCACCCTCGGCGTCATGTGAACCACACCTTAGCGCAGTTTGTTCCATGTCATAGTCAAGGTTGTAGCACAGACAGGCAGAATCACAGGTACAGTTGCTAGAAAGCGCCACAAGGCTCGCCGAGCATGCAGTTCGCTCTCCATTCTTTCAGTGTTCTTCCGCCCACCTGCGTTGCCTCCCGACCATGACCCAATCATCGACGCCCTGATCGCCGCTTCTGACTCCCGGTCAGCGATGCCCTGCATACCTAAGGTGCCATGACCTCAGAATACGAGGATCGTAACTTCACAACCATTCAGCAATTTTGACATCTCCACATAACACCCCAGAGCGTGAAGTTTGGATGTCTCGATACTGACGAAACATGGCAGCACTCGCTGCGATCCTACCAGTCGTCTCCCGCAGTTCATGTCTTGCGCTAGAGTTGTACCAACTTGCCGCCTCGTCTCCAGAAGAGGCGCAGGATCTCTTGAAGATTGCGAAGGCGATCAACAGTTTTGCTTCGATCTTGAAGCAGGTCGGGACCATCATAAAGGAAGATGACCGACTGCCTTCGTATGAGGTATGCCATTTCTACTGCCACCTCATCTCTTCAGTTTGTCTGCTACCTTTTGTCAAAGAATTGTTGTCAGCTTTGCCTCTACAAACTCGACAAAAGTGCTAGGTGGCAAGGAAATAGCTATCGAACGCACTTCGCGCTCGCATACTAAGCACATCGAACTGACTAGATTTAGGCCCTCGATGTACTCGAAGACGTCACAGTGCAGTCGCAGACTGTTCTGAAAGAAATCGAGATTACAACTGAGCTTCGCAGACATGAGCACACCGAAGAAAGAGATGAAGCGCAAAACTCTAAAAACGTCTCGCGAAATGGTTCAGCCAATGTGACGAGGCTGGCCTACTCTGCCGCCCATCTTGAAAGCTTACGGTTGACCTTGGCTGTCCTGCTACAGACTCTTTACGCTGCGCAGAGCATCATGTGGTCAAAGTAAGTACATGCGCTCCATATCTTAGTGTTTCGATCAGATCACGCATGTTCGAGTTGTGCGGCAAGACGTATTTCCAGTGGATGAACCATCTATCATCAAACTTAGTCAAGCCTGATGCCTTGTACTAACTATTATTGTAGGCTAGGGCCCACAGTACCGCCAAAGCAAGCCGCGAAGGCAGTGTTAAACGAAAGAATCCAGCTGCAGGCACTCATCATCGAGCAGCAGATGTCAATACTGGCGGCAGTGGTGCTTTACGAACAGATGCCTCGTCAGGACGCTCGGTTTCTAATGGAGTCAGACAGCTCGCAGAGCCTCGTTACATCGGGCCGCGAGAACGAATTACCCAGCCCAAGCCACCTCCATTCGTATCTGGACACGTATCTAGGGAGCCTTGATACGTCCGGTTCTACAGAGGCAGGATGGCTTCCAACTGTATGCAGCGTCGCTACCTCACGGACTGAGCACCTGTTGGAGAAATGGACCACTCTGCCAGGCTTCGATGAACGCCTCCGTGATGCAGAGCGAAAGGCGCGTTCGAAGAAGCACGAGGATCAGCAAGCAACTGTTGAATCAGACAGCGACGAAGAAACGAGACAAAGATACAAGCCTAATGGCGCCGGTCCAGCTTCACCACTGATACAACGATCTGGTAGCATACAGCCTCTGTTTACGGATACAGCCACACTGCCCATACCCATGCCCCGTTCCAGACACGGATCGACTCCAGCAACACCAGCAGCCTCCCCGAGAAATTCCCGTACGATATCTGAACTCCCAGCCTCACCTCGCTCAAGCATAGGAAACCTACCCGTAGAAGCAGCCGCCGCAGTCGAAGCCAAAGAAGAAGATAAAGACCTCGAACTCGAAATCCCATGGTCCCTCCGCACTCGAGAGTACGAGTGGCGCTACATCGACAACACCCTCATTGGCTCCAACACCGACCACCCCCCCTCCACCGCCTACACTCGCCCCGACCAATCCTGGATCGAAGTAGCCGCAAGCTGGGTGTGCAACGAAGCCATCGCGCAAGCCGGCTACAAAGCCACCCCCATCCAGAAAGACCGCAAGGACGGCCGCCGCACTCGCTCAGACACGTTCTTCTGTATCACGCCGGCCCTGCACTTCGACGCCGTCAAGCGCCTCGTCGAGCGCACCGTCGCTATCTACCGCCAGAACGCGCCGCCCCCGCGCGCACGCCGCTCTTCGTTCGAGCGCCCGCCCAAGCCGGACCGCGACCGCACGCCCACAGCGTCGAGACCCCACTTGCCCCCCGAGCGCACGCAGAGCACGACATCCTACCCGCCGCACCCGCCGCTGGACCGCTCTGTCTCGCTCCCCGGCCCCGCGCCGCCGCCCTACCCGCCCAGCGTCGCCTCGCTGCCCCCGTCGCGCCCGATGCCCATGCAGATGCCGATCCCCATGCCGATCCCCATGCCCGGCGCACCGCCCGCGTCCGCCACATACGCGCCGCAGCAGCAGTATCCCGCCCCGCTGCCGAACGCGCCGTACGCCTACCCCGCGCCGCCGCACCTGCAGCCCTTCCCGCTGGGCCCGCACTCGCCGCAGCGACAGGGGTTCGTTGCACCGCGGCCGTGGGAGCCGATGGCGAGGGGCGACGCGGGGCGGTATGATGCACGGTATGATGCGAGGTATGATTCGCGGTATGATGCGCGGTACGATTCGGACTCGGAGGGGTCTGGGAGTGGGGGGCGGAGGCGGAGGGACAGGGAGAGGGAGAGGGGGCGGAGGGGGTACGAGAAGGATGGGAGGGGGTATGAGAGGAAGGAGAAGAAGGAGAGGAAGCACGGGAAGAGTGCGGCGGTGGGGACGCTGATGGGAATTGGCGGGCTGACGGCGTTGTTGGATGGGCTTGGGGGGCTTTGAGGTGTGAAAGGAGGATGGGGTGGTTAGCAAGATGAAGTGCTGTGAACACAGAGCAGCTAGACGCACGACTTGTGATATGCATGAATTCGCCGCGCAATTTTGTCTTTTGATCCCATTCCGACTCGCCGCGAGCCGTGCCCAACCCAAACGCCGCGCTATGCAAGAACCACGCTCCTCACCGGCTGTCCGCCACATCCGGCAACCGCTCGATAACGTACTTCCCCTTGGCCACACTCACAATCGGCACACCGGGAATCTTCCTTATCCGCCTCTTCAAGTCGCGATCATTCGTCGCCACGAGATACACCCTATGCTTCATAACCCGCTCCACAATGCAATCATCCGCATACGTGCCCTTGTGGTCACACTTCAAGCGCTCCCACCGCTCGTCCCGCGCAATCCTGAGCGCAATCCGGTACTTGGGCCCCAGCTTCTCGAGCTCGGCCATGACGCACGTGGTGATGATGGGCGTGGCCTTGGCGTACAGCAGATCCATCAGCGCCTTGTCGAGCTCGAGCTTCGCGTGCACCGTGTGCGACAGGAAGTTGGTGTCGACGAGGACCGAGTACGGCGGGCCCAGGGCGGTGTTGGCTTGGAAGAAGAGCGCGGACGAGGCTTGCGGGATTTCGCGCTTGGCGACTTCGGCGGCGGCTTTCTTTTTGGCTTCGAGGTCGCCGTCGGTTTGGTTTTTCTTGCTAAGGGGGTGTTAGGAGGGGGTGGGGTGGGAGTTCGTGGGTGGTGAGGCGTACAGGCGTCCGTCTTTCTGGCCTGTGATGGAATGTTAGCGTCGTGGATGGTGTAATGGACTGGGCGACGCACCAATAACCCTCTTCATCTGCGCAAACTTGCGCGTCTTCTTCTGGACACCCATGGCTGCGACGGTGGAGGTGCGGCGCGTGGATGTGTGATGATACTTTTTGGTGGAGCACAGTTGCCAAGACTTCGAACTCGAAAATCGAGCGCGGTCGCTGCTGCCGCGGATTCGGCGCTAGCGCGTAGTGGGTCCCAGGAATAGTAACAGCGCACTGCATGCAGGGACGAGTGACAGCGCGAGGGTTCACGATGGAAAAAAGCTGCACGACCAGGCGCAGCTCGTGCAGTCGCAGGGCCGCACCACGCCGCACTGCTGCAGCCGTTGTCCATTTTCTGCCGCGCATCGTATTCTTCGCTATTGGACGTTCGTGACGGTTCGTCACCGCCGCTCGCTCGCGCCCCCATTCCGATCGCTAGCCCGTGCCAGCACCAAGCGAACTGGGCGCTCGATCCTCACTCGGCCGCGCCCCTGCAGCCCCGTTCTCTCCGCTACACTCCAGCAAACAGGGTCTCTCCGCCTTTCACTGTGCTGCCGCTCGTTCACCAGCCATTCCACAGCGACACAAGTGACGCCTGAACTGCTCTCCAGCCCGACCGCCGCGACTCGGCACGCCGTCCCCTGAGCGGCCCCTCGATCCTCGATCCCACATCTCAGGCACCAACCACACGCCGTACCCACAATGCGTCCGTCAGTCGCCCTGGTGGGCCTGCTGCTCGCGGCAGCACCTGCCGTTCTGGCGCAGGACGACAACAACCTGCCGCAGCTGTCGACCATCCAGCAGCCCGACGGCGAGGGCACCACTGCCGCCTCATCTGCCGCACCATCCACAGACCGGCCGTCGTCCTCAGCACCGCCGTCTTCGGCAGAGGCCACATCAGCACCGCCGTCGAGCGCCGCGCAAACGAGCGCTGCAACGTCGGGAACTGTCGCTGCCACCGCTGACAACAGCGGCACATTTCCTACCGTCACACCTACCGCCACTCAAAACACACAAGGCATTGTCCAACTCTCGGGCTTGCCCACGCTCGCCGGTGTGGGTGTGCCTGTCCAGCAGGTGCCAGACACAGCCAATGCACTGTTCATGCAGAAGTCGGATCTGCCGGACGGGACCGTTTTCATCTGCGTTGGCGCTATCCTGGGCTTCCTCGGTGCTTGTGTGCTGCTATGGCGCGGTCTCGTTGCGTGGTCGCTGCACCGATCCGTCAAGCGCGCGGCTCTGGCGCAGAACCTGGCTGATATGAAGGCCATGTCGTCGGTGCCTGGCAAGAAGCGCGGCATGTACACCCATGTCGGTGGCAACTCCAACATGTCTCTTGACCACCTGGCTGCGGCGCCCACTGGGCATTCGCGGCCTCAGAAACCATTTGCCCAAGGTCCAGGCGGAACTCCTCCCAGGTCCTCGTTGTTCTTCTCTCCCACTGCAGGCGGCGCAGGCGGCCTCGCCCAGCCGGGCACCCGCTCGTCGAACTACCTGCCCGCCGGCTACTACGCCGCCGGCACCGCAGCGCCCGCTGGTGGCTCTCCAATGGGCCACGTCGGCGGTCAAGGCCACCTGTCGACCAACTCGCTGGCACTACCCGGAAACCGCTTTAGTCGAGCGTCCGGAAACTCGCCGCCGCTGTCGCCCTCGCTTCCCCCGTCGCGCGGCTACGACCGCGCCCCCGCCTCTCGCGACGGCTACTCCAACTACAACCGCGCCAGCGTCGCCACCCTCAGCACCCCCGGCAACACCCGCAGCGGCGTCTACGCCCACGACGCCAGCGTTAGCAACCTATCCCTCAACGTCCCCGGCGGCACTACCGAGCCCGGCGGCCGCGCCCCCTCCGCCTACCTCGAGGATCTGTTCGAGACCCACGGCGCGTCCCACTCGCAGGAGAGGTTCTAGGCGCATCTCGAGCCGCCCGTGGTGCGCCGCCCGTCGCGCCTCGCTGCCGGCGCCGCGCTGCTGCGTCGCGTGTCGCGCGAGCGCGTGTGGGATGTCGAGCTCGCGCTCGAGCGCTCGCGGGAGGCCGTCCTGTGGCGGACGAGGGACGCGCGCGCCGCGCTCGGGGTCTGAGTCCGAGAGTTGCGCTGCCTGTGCGGCCTGTGCTGCTTTGTACCCCTGCTCTCCACCCCCCCGCTTGGTCTTTTTGTTGGGCGCGTGTGTGCTACCCTGCGAAACCTGCGAAACTGGGAGCCGTGCCATCCCAACACCACCCCAAACGCGTGGAACTGTAAATACGGGGAGAGTAAGATGGGGTGATCGGACGCGACGCAGCGGGCCTTTTGGGCTTTTGGTTTGCCTTTCTAGGGGTTTTTGTTTCTTGTGCATGATACCTTGCGCTGTGCGGTGCTTTTATTGTTTGTAATGAAATTGGCGAGTATAGTGGTGGGTCGGGTAGTGGAGAGGAGAGAAGTGGTGAAGTGTAGAGTGGTACCTAATTGGAATTGAGATTATGAGTATGAGTTTGAGATTGAGATTGAGTTTGAGTGTGATTGGAGATGTGACTGAGGATGTAGATGTGACTGCGAATGGAAGACTGAAAGCACGGTTGAAGTTACCATCAAGATGCATATCAACTTGAGACGGAGGCATATTACGACTAACACGAATTCTAAGTTGGAGATCAAGATGGTGATAATGCATGTAAGATGTAAGATGGGTCTGACGCGGATAAGCTACACACAACACATGCACAGATAAGATCCAGGTACATGGGTACACAACATGCGGATGGCCTGGGGACCCGACGTGCTTCTGTTGTGTGGTACACACTCACTCACACAGACGCCCACACACATATAGGTATACACACACATATATGTATATATATGTATATATATATGTACGACACAACACCCTTTCCTCCGCCGCGAGACACGATATTCTACGGTGCGGTATAGATAGCCTAGCACGTCGCTTGATAAGTTGATAGTGTGTGGTGGTGTTTGCATCTGCATGTAGTCTATAAGACTGTGTGTAGTGTAGGTGGTTCCGTCTGCATATCTGTCTCCGGCTTCGCTGTCTATAGGGAAGTACGTTTACACCAGGACCAGCGCAGCACTACGACGATGTGTTGGTGATCTCGTTCGCACACGCCATATGTACGGTTGTTTTCATGGCAGTCTTGTACGGCAATGTGTAGCGTGCAAGAGTGACTAGCGTCTTTGCGTACCTCCAGGGCCACCCTTACGCACTGCAATTTCTAGCGTGCAAGAGCAGCCTCATCTCGCTACCTACTTCGCCTAGTTGTGGCGGCTGCTAGTGAGCGTTGACATTTGGAGGTGCCTAGTGCACTGCAATCCTTAGCGTGCAACAGCGCTTTGGCATCAGCGCTTGCCGGAAAGAGGGTCGTTGATTTTTGTACCCAGTGTACCGGCACAGTGCCCTGCAATCTCTAGCGTGTGAGAGCGAGTAAACCAGTAGGGTCAACACGGCTTTGCACAGTACACACACCAAGGCTGAACGCTCCTCTGGCGTTCAGGCAGCCGTGAGGTGGGGGGACAACATGGCTGTGCACACAGCAAGGCTGGATAGGTATGTGCAGTGTCTGTGAAATATGTACTTCAAGCACTGCAGTCTCTGGGTGCAAGAGCAGCGTGTCTACGGTCCCTGCTGCTCTGGCTGCTTGTGGCGTCTGTAGCGTACGCAGCGACAGTCATGGCTTTTGCACTGCTATCTCTAGCATGCAAGAGCATCTTGCTATTCAGTTGCGGCGTCCGCGGGATCCAGGGTGGCTGCTAGAGAGAGGTATAGAAGCTGAGTCTGCATTGCAATCTGTATAAGGAGTGGGCAAGAGAGTGTCCCCGTATAGATCCCCTTATTTGCACTGCAATCTCTAGCGTACAAGAGCCTCTCTAGCGTCTTTTGCACACATACCCTTACCCGTCGTGCACTGCAATTTCTAGCGTGCGAGAACAAGCCCAGACTAACGTAAGTACTCCAATTGTCTGGCACAAAATCTCTTGCACTGCAATCTCTAGCGTGCGAGAGCCTACTCTTCAGCCTCAGGCACCCCCTTCTGCATTTCAATATCTCATGGGTCCCGCATACTTACAATTCTAATACACTGCAGAAACCGCGATTCTGAGAGTGCCATGCGGGAGAGTACATAATACTTATCTCCACGAACCAACGACCTCAAAGACTGCGGCTTGAGATCAGACCACTGATAGGTATTCTGTAGCGAGTGTCGTGACTTTGAATCATCATTTCAGTGTTTGCTGTAAGCAAATAGTCCCGTACAGAGATACTAGGCTGGGGCTGTCGTCTTATACTGCCATGCGGCTCTGCGAGCGCAAGCACTGCAATCTCTAGATTATAACAGCCGTGTAGCGCAGTGTAGTGCGGTATTAACACTGCAGCGTCGTCGCTTCTGCAGTGTACACATTCAAACAGTGCATCTGTACCTCCCTTCATCTCACGTGATAGCGTGTGGTGATGTTTGTGGCCTCAACATGGTATACTGTATGGCTGTCTCCTTCTCCATCACTATCTCCACTATGTATCTTGATAAGTTGATACTGCACGTCTCACCACGCCGCGGACCCAGAGGTTGCTGCTCGTGCCTCGCGAGTGCTTACTACGTACACCACGGCATTACTACACTGCCACCCCATCCCAGCACCCCGGACTATGATGCACCTCAGTACCAACGTACACGATCAAATTAAGGCAAGGCACTGGTGAAAGTGCTATTGGCGACCAATCACATTGGATGCAAATATGCTGTAGTTGCGTTCCGGCGTCGATCCAGTAGCACCTTGCACTGCAATCTGTAGCTCACAGCAGCCTGTTCCACCTCTTTGCTTAATTGTAGCGTCTGCAGGATACAGAGTGCAGCGGCAAGGATCCTTGCTCGCTGATTGCTACCAGGGTGCCCGGAGCACTGCAATCTCTAGCTTGCGAGAGCGAGCCCAGACTAATGTAAGTAAGCTCTGGTTGGCTGGGTCTAACAGGGGTATCTGGAATGATATACGTGCAAGAGCGAGCGCGGGGACACCAATTCACAGGATGGCTGAACGCCCACAGGTATCTAGGTAACGATGGCGATTATAGTCTTCACAGGGTGTTACCATGAGCACTGCAGTCTCCAGCGCGCGAGAGCCGCTCTGTCGCATAGCAGCGTCCTTGGTCGTGTTGTTGAAGAATCCTACAGACACCTCACCGGGTGCACTGCAATCTCTAGCGCGCAGGAGCCGCTCTCGCGCTGCACGTAAGCCTCCGAGCCCTTCGCATAACTCACCGAGTGCACTGCAATTTCTAGCGTACAGCACCCTCTGTCGCGTTCATGATAGACTTGTAATGGAATCCTTGAGCAGAACGTTCATGCTCTGATTTGGTCTTGCTCGGGCACGACTACTACGTTGCTGCTTGCCCTGCTCTTGCGTAGAAATAGAAAGGCGTTGTACGAGTGTTAAACACTTCAGAAAGAGCTCTGGGTGCGTAGACGGAATGTCTCTGAACGAGGGGACCGGGAGGCTACCTTGGTAGGTTCGATCTGGTAGGATTGTAAGGATGCCCCGCTGCACTGTAGTCTAGCGCACAAGAGCAAGTATGTCCACAGCAGCCTGGGTTTGCACTTTATGATGGGGACTATTCGCAGAGCCGCATTTGTACGAGGCTAGCGCCGTCCTTGCACTGCAATCTCTAGCGTGCAAGAGCGAGTACATTAACAACAGCCTTGCTTTTCAGGAGAGTTAATTGACTGAATGATAGCTTACGGGAGTCTTGTGAAAGTTTGGACAATTTGGAATAGCTACTGTACGCTGTTCTCCTAGAGCTCCTGACAGCGGAATGACGCAGCATGCATTAGCCTGCCATCGACCCTTCGTGTACGGCTAGGTAGGCTGACCCGTGTGGGAAGCACTCAAGGCTGAAGCTGCACTGCAATCTCTAGCGCGCAGGAGCGTCTCCAGCACCTGCCAGATATACGCCCACACGAGCAGTCCAGCAGTGACAACCCCTCACTACACCACACCACACCACATCTCCCAACCACCACACCCATTCAAACGTCAAACACGTAAACGTCGAATATGTAAGCACACGCCAAACTCCACGCGCACCAGCACCCCCCCCGCCCCCAGAAGGAACGAGAGAGGAAACCCCAAGCGCCGAGCCAAATAAAGACGCGCCCGCAGTCCTTCTAGAACGCAAATATGACAACCGCCGCGGTGAGCATACCCGACGGGGCCGTTGATTAATCGTTCGTGTATGATTGTGTGCGGGACTGCGAGGGGGCCGGGCAGGCGTGAGGTTTTGATGGCGCGCCAAGCGGGCGGGCCGGGGGTTTCGCCGGGCGCGAGACAAGTCGAAATTTCATCTGGACGGATGTTGAGATCACGACAACGACAGCGACAGACAACGACAGACAGCGGTGTTGCAGCGACGGTGGCAGGCCGCGAGAGATGATTTGGATGTTGTCTCTCTGCGGGCGTGTAGCTTCTGCTGCTGCGCTGCTGCTGCTGCTGCGCTGCTGCTGTTGTTGTGTTTGTGCGTTCGTCACAACGTTTTATACCCACGATTGCCTGCTCTCTGGATCTTCGCCCGATGGCCAGAGAGCAACATTCCTTCTAGTGGGAGAGGAAAATAGGTTTTTAGCAGGACCGTGTCTACTCCACCCTACGCATTGCCGTCTCTTTAGATGTGTAGGACTATTTATATGACAAACATCTCTTGTGATGTGTGTGCTTTACTTTGGTGCTCACTGCTTGGGCGTTGCTCACTCCTGGGTGAGGTGAGGCTGGTGAGGCTGCGGTCAGCCACAACGTTGAATCCGCAGTGCCACGCATCACGACGTTGGGAACGGGCCCTGATGTGGCTCGGCATTGGGCAGAAGGCGAGCCCAATGTGGTTGCCAGAGCAGCGCGGGCTTCACCTGTGGTCAGCCATGCAGTCCAGGGGCGCAGGGCTGTTCTGGGTGAGGGTCGACGGACGCTAGAACCGTGTTGGAGCGGCGCCATGTGTTCTGCGGAACGGCGTGCATTACTCGCAGTCGCGTGCGAACTAAGCAGCTCTCGACGTCCCCTTTCTCTCGCCGGGTCGCGGTGGGATTGTGCCTGCGTGCAGAGCAACCTCGCAGCCAGTGCCGTGCTACGTGTCCGCAGTCCAGTCCTCGAGCCACGCCCGAGCCCCCGCCGCACGCACGTTCTACACCTCCGGGCACCTCTCCGCTGCATCCTTGTGTGACGCTCCGCGCAACGACATGGCTTCCGCGCTGAACAAACGCCAGCAGGCGCGCAACGAGCGGACGCTGCAGGAGCTGATCAAGACGGTGCCGGGGAACGGGACTTGCGCCGACTGCGGCGCGAAGAACCCAGGTAAGCTCTAGGGAGTGTGTGCTGCGGCAGTGACTGACACGGGCAGGATGGGCGAGCTGGAGCGTATGTGTGCCGGCGTGCGCGGAGAGACTGAGCTGACAAGCGTAGCTGGGCATCTTCCTGTGCATGCGCTGCGCGGCGCTGCACCGCAAGCTGGGGACGCACATCAGCAAGGTCAAGTCGCTGAGCATGGACAAGTGGGACAATGCGCAGGTCGATGTAAGAGCATGAGCATGAGAGCGCCGCCCGCCGAGACAGCGCTGACGCACACGGCCGCAGAACATGAAGCGCATCGGCAACGCCGAGTCGAACAAGACGTACAACCCGCGCAGCACCAAGGCGCACATCCCCATCGACGTGGACGAGGTCGACGGCGCCATGGAGCGCTACATCCGCCAGAAGTACGAGCAGCGCGTCTTCATGGGCGCCTCGCAGCCCGGCACGCGCCACAACACGGGCAGCACCAGCTCAGAGGACCGCCCGCCGCCGCTGCCGCCCAAGCCCACCGGCCGCTTCGGCTTCGGGCTGCGCAAGACGTCGACGTCCAAGTCGCCGCCCGCGTCGCCGGGGCTGGGCTTCGACGCGTACCAGGCCTCGCCGCCGCGCGTCAACAAGCCGTCGCGCGTCTTCGGCTCCAACATCCACACGTCCGGCGACGGGCTCGACTCGAAGCTGGCCACCCTGCGCGACATGGGCTTCCCGGACGACAAGCGCAACTCGACGGTGCTGAAGGGGCTGAACGGCAATCTGGACCGCACCGTCGAGGCCCTGATCCGCCTGGGTGAGCAGAACACCGGACGCTCCGGGCGCACGACGCCCACGCCGCCCGCGAAGAACGGCACGAACGGCTTGTCGTTTGATAACCCGAGCGCGTCGGCCGCGTCGACGAACCCCTTCGATGCGCTGGATGCGGCCCCGCTGGCTCAACAGCAGCAGCAGCAGCAGCAGCAGCAGCAGCAGCAGGGGCAGTTTGGGTACGGACAGCAGCAGGCGAGCTCTTACAACCCGTTTCTGGCTCAGGGACAGGGCCAGGGCCAGGGGCAGTATCAGGGCCAGCAGCAGCAGCCACAGCCACAGCAACAACAACAGCAGAGTTATGGCCAGTCATACAATCCCTTTGGACAGCCACAGCAGCAGCCACAAAATCAACAACAGCAGCAGCAACAACATCAGCAGCATCAACAGAGTCTAGAGAACTCGTTCCAGGGCATGCAGCTGTCGCAACAACAGCCCCAATACCAGCAGCCTCCGCAGCCCGCGCAACCCCTATTCCCCAACCGGACAGGCGGACTCGCGCAGCCCAACCCGCCCTTTGCGCAAACGAACCCCTTCCAGCAGTCATTCACACCCCCACCAATGCCCCAGATACCCGAGCAATACGGCTCATTCTACCCCCCGCAACCACAGTACCAGTCCATGTCCCAGCCGGCGAGCCCAGGGAACCCCTTCCTGAAGTCGTCAAAGAGCCAGATCTTCACCCCCTCTTCAGGCTCCAACCCATTCGGCTCGAGCCTGAGCCAACCGCCGCAGCAATTCCAGCAGCAGCAGCAGCAGCAGCAACAACCCACACAACCACAACCCTTCAACCCCTGGACCACCCAGCAACCCACCCAAACCCCCACCGCCCAAGCCCCCAACCCCTTCTCCACCATCTCCCAACCCTACCAGCAATCCCAACCCGCCCCCAACCCCTGGCAGTACACGAATCAACCCGCCCACCAGCCGTCCTACCCGCAGACCAACCAACCCAATGGTCTCCAGAACCCGCCCTTTGATAAGTACGCCGCGTTCGCGCAGTTCGCGCACCAGCCCGCGCCCCAGCGCTCATCCACGATGCCGAATCTGCTCGCGCAGACGGGGGGCGGGGCGCAGGCGCCGGGCGCGGGTGTGGGCGTGAAGGCTGCAGGGAGTGCGGAGACGAGTTTCTCGGGGCATGCGAATCCGTTTTTGAGTCAGGCGCCGCAGACTCTTGGGCAGACGGGCGGGGCGCAGAGTGTACCCCAGCAGCAGCAGCAGCAGCAGCAGCAGCAGCAGCAGCAGCAGCAGCAGGAGCAGGGAGCAGGGATCCAGCAGCCGCCCGCCCACGCAATGGGGACCCGGCATGTCAGCAACGAGAGCGTGGATTTCGCGGGCCTGATGGGCGGGCGGCAGAGTCCGGACGCGTTTGGGAGTCTGAGTTCAAGGTTTGCGCGGTGAGGTGGTTGTTCTTTCTCCGAGAGAGGGATGGGATGGGATGGGATGGGATGGGATCGGATTGGAAGGCCCCGGGGACTTGGAGGGCTGGAGGGTTCAAGATGCATGGCATGGCATGGTATAGCATGGCTTGGTATGGTATGGCGTGGAAGTAGTGCTTCTGGTGTGCATGCTTTGGGGGCGTTACGCGGCAGGGCGGTTTTAAAGTGGACGTAGCGTAGCAGCGCTGTAATGCATTTATTTTCTTGGTTCACGTGTAGTGCCGTCTGTGTATACGGGGTGCTGCTAACAGATATTCGGATGAGCATGCTGATTGATTTCACGTCAGATGGAGTGCGTCTGAGATCATTGGGCGGCTGGCTGCAGGGTGCTTCTACTGCATGGTCTTACCATAGAGAACTCAGAGTTTCTTGATACCTTTATCGTTAGAATATCTGAGGATTTGGAGGGTTTGATTGGAAGTGTTTGGTTGGAAAAGAGAAGGACCTGCTGCGTAGGAAGCGTACTTCGAAGAGCTCTAAGGCTGTGAGGTGTCGAGTAGAGATCAGCCAACTCTCACTTGCCATTGCTCAACAATACAACATGGCCAAGTATATTTACTTACACTGAAGCATAGTGCATGTTACATTCTATCCAATGGCAAGACTACATATCAGCTAGCCGTCGTGCTCCTGCGGTAGCTCCCGCATTCGAGCAAGTCTGCTTGGTGTTCTAACCAGCAATACCTCAATGCGGAGCTTCTGCACCCTCCCGCTCACATCGTGAGTGTGTCATCTGCTCGCCACGTCGCAGTGGGCCTCACCACCCGTGCATCCTGAAACGAAGCGCGGTGGGTTCCTGCATAGATGCCCGGATCGGATCGGCGCCGCACTGAAGCTGCACAACACCTCCGCCGTTCGGCGCAACCACAGCTCGCCTCAAAACAGCGGTGTGAACTAGCCCGTCCGCGGCGATCCTCAGCTCCCTAGCTCCACGCGTTCGCGCATCTCTTCATCCCCCACTGCCCGAGCTCCCATCACCACAGCCTCAGCATCGCAGCATCAACATCAGCATCAACATTGCAGCAGAGCAGCAGCCCGCACCCAACCCTTCCCAGGCACACAGGTGTGGACCCGTTGAGGCCAGCACATACAGTAGCGCACCGCCCGCAGCAACAGGGAAAACACAGCTGCAGCCCCCCCAAGCCCGGGCCCCGCTTTCGCGTCGGACGACCTTCTGGACTCGCAGATCGAGGCGCGCAGTTGACTCACCGTCGCGCTGTGCACGAATTGCGCGCGACCTGCTCCACGGCGGCCCAGGACGCGCTCGGGAAACGCTTAGGCTTTAGGTGGTAGGGCATTTGCGTAGAGGGTGCGCGCGGATTCTGCGTGAGGCGTGACGAGGGAGAGCTCCACTCACACCCGCGAGATTCGGGAAGGGGGCGCAAGGTCCACTTGTGGGTGAAGTTGAGGGTGTGTGAGGTCTCACGCCACGAGAAGAGAAGGGGTATAAGAAGAGGGCTGCTGCGGTCTCGGTGCCGGAGAGCAGGGAACAGGCATTGAGCGCGCGCGCGGCGATTGGATCGCAAAGACCAGCATTGCACCACGACACCCGTCGAAGCGCATCACAAACACACACAACAACATACTCACCAACTTCACACCACCCACTTCCGAACAGCAAACATCAACACCACACACACAACCCCCACAACACCCGCAACAATGCCCTGGAACCCCTTCTCCACCTCCCCCACCCGCTCCTCCTACTCCACCTCCTCGCGCCGCGCCCGCAGCACCGCCTCCTCGCACCGCGCCCCGACATCGCGCTACACCCGCAGCCCGCGCACCGGCTACCTGCAGTCCTTGTACCGCAAGCTGCGCGCGCTGTGGCGCGACCTAGTCGCGTACGCGCGCCGGCACCCGTACAAAGTGTTTTTCGCGGTTGTTATGCCGCTCGTTAGTGGGGGCGTGTTGACGAAGGTGGCGCGGGGGATGGGGGTGGAGTTGCCGGATCTCGGTGGAGGGGCGAGGGGCGGTGGGGCGAGTTATTCGGGGGGTTATGGAGGAGGCGGGAGCCAGGGGGGGTATTATGGGAGTCAGGGGTATGGACCGCCGCCGAGTAGGGGCGGGGAGGGCGTGTTTGGCGGGCTGGATGTGCAGAGTGTGGCCGGGGGGATTGGGAGTTTGGCGAGTTTGGCGCAGATGGCGAGCAAGTTCATGTGAGGGGTTGATGGTGGGGAATGGACAAGGGAAGGGGAGGGTGGGAGACTGGAAGGGTAGGATGGTGGATGGTGGACTGGATGGCGGACGGTGGACGGGAAGTTGGCTGGCTTGATGCAGATTGGTATACTCGTTTCGTTCCGTTCGTTTACTTAAGATATCCCCGGCGTTCTGGCGCTGAAATCACTCACTCAAACCCACACCCGCTTATCTTTCCCTCAAACGCCAAACTCCAGCCCCCCAGTCCTCAACCCCTCAGCTCTCAACCCCTCCACACCCCATCAGCCCCCCTCAACCCATCCCCTACCCACTCACAGCCCCACTCAACACCTTCGCCGCAAGACTACTCAACAACCTCGCCTTATCCGCCTGCGGCATCTCCTGAAACACCGCATACACACTCATCCCCTTGGCATCCCTGACACTCCCCAACCGATTCCCCGCCACCGCCCCCGCAACCATGCCCCCAAAGTTCGCGACGATGAAGCCCATCGCGCCGCCGCTGAGGCCGCCGATCACGCTCCAGAACTTGCCGGTTGGCGCGGAGCCGTCGGCCATGCCTTCGTCGCGCAGCATTTCTTCGAAGACGGAGCCGAATTGCTCGGAGGCGGGGGCGTGGGCGTGCGGGTCGTCTGCGGTGGAGGAGGAGGGTTGCGAGCCGCCGAAGCCGAACGCGGACCACGGGAAGGATCCAAACCCGCCGCCGCTGCCGGTGTTGCTTGCGCCCGGCCGCGGCACCTCCTCCTCGTCCTCCCACGCGCCCGCGCCGCCCCACCCTCCTCCTCCCCCATTAAACGCCCGCGCGGCATCATACTCCCTCCTCCGCCCCGCATCCGACAGCGTATAATACGCGTCATTCACGGCCTGGAACCTCTTCGTGCGCGCGGCGCGCTCGGGCGAGTCCGCGGGTACCCGGTCCGGGTGGTGTTTCAGCGCGGCTTTCTTGTAGGCGTCGCGGATTTGCTGGGGGGTGGCGGTGGGGGGGATGGAGAGGGTGTGGTAGTAGTCTTCTGCTGGGGGGGGGGTTAGTGGCGTGGTATTGGGAGGAGGGAGGGGGGCGTACTCATTGTGGGCGGTGGTGTGGGTGTAAGTGTGTAGGTTGACTTGACGGGGCGTTGTTGGTGGTGGGGGTTGTGCGGTGAGAGAGTGAGGTGCAGGCAAAGGCAAGGTGGTGTTGGGGTTGCGATGACGTAGGGCTGAACGCGGGTTGGGGTTCAGCCACTGTGGCTTTATTTCACATGCGAGATTAACAATGGATGGCGTGTCGTTCAGAACCACGCGTTGCTTTTTATCGTATCCTACACACTTCCAAAGAAGCCACTATTTCGCCACGTTTCCCATATTTCGCACAACTCGCATATGTTCATACTCGCCCTGCACTGCCCAGCCTACCTGGCACGGCTCTGAGCCTTGGCCTTGCGCTTTCTTGTCTCGCCGTTGATGTTCTGTGCGGTCGCGGACTGGAGCGCGGCCTCATCCTCAGGGAGGTTGGACGTCTCCAGCAGGGGCTCGTCGATGAGCTCCTTCTTGCCGAGCACGCGGCCCGCAGACTGGTTGTAGATGAACTTGGGCAGCTTGAACAGCATGGTGTCGTAGATGGTCGGCGCAGGCTCCTCATCGGGCTGTCATAGTTAGCGGATGCTGCGAAGGTGAGTGTCGTCACTTACGTCGAGCAGGAACTCGCCCTTGGTGCCGTCCTCGGTCTCCTCCTCAAGGAACACGTTGCCAACAGAGTCGACGATCAGGACCTTGCCGTTCTCGGCGACAATGCGCTTCTTGGCGCCCTGGGGGCCGGAGATCAACTCCACCTCCTTGGGCGTGCTGATGCCAGCAGCGCGGGCCTTCTTGGCGATCGCGGGCTTCTTGTCCTTCTTGCGCTGGTCCTTCTCCCAGGCACGCGCCTCACGGCGGTTGCGGGGGACAAACTCGGGCTCCTTCTCCTCGCTGTCCTCCTCGTCGTTGTCGAATTGCTGGGAGTTGATAGGGGGGTTGGCAGGAGCGTCGACGCCAGGGATACCGGGAATGGCAGTCTCGTCACCCCATGCGGTCTTGCGCGCGTGACGGATGTAGCGGTCGACAAAGTCCTTGCGGCGCTTCCAGCTCATGTGCAGAGCGAACCAGTGCATGCCACCGCCCATGACGATCAGGACGCCGACCAGGACAGAGCCGAGGCCGGGGCGAAAGCGGTCGTAGTAGTAGCCGGAGCCCTTCCAGGCAGGGAAGCCGTTCTTCAGGAAGTGGTCGTAGCGCTGGCGCTCGGGGCCCTTGAGGATGTTTGCCACGACAGACAGCTTCTGGTAGCGTGCGGTGACCTTCTTCATGTGGGCGTCGATCTCCTTCTTCGAGGGCCCCTTGCTGGCTTTGGCGCCAGGCGCCTTCGCCTTTTGGGCATTCTTCTTCGAGTAGTTGGCGATGAAGACCTTGCGGGCCTTGTCGGGGTGCAGCTCGCGGCCCTTGTTGCGGTAGGCCTTGGTCAGTTCGTCCTGGTTCACGCCGGGCTTGACGCCCAGCATGTCGTAGAAGGTGACATTGGCGCCCTCCGACTTCATGACTTCGTCGCGCAGACGGAAGATTTCATGGTCTGGTCTGACGTTAGCAGCTGCAATGACGGTAGGAGTCTGGCGCAGAGCACCAATTGGGCATGAAGTGAACAGCTTACGTACCCTCTTTCGACCAGGCAGCAGCAAAAGCCGCGAAAATGCCCAGCAGCAGGGCCAACACGGCAGTGGATCTCATGGCTGGTGGTGGTGGTTCAGCGAGTTCAAGCCAGATCGCGAATTCAAGCAACGGAAAGTGATGTGGCTTGTGCGCCAGTAGCGCCGCGAACTGCTGGAGATCTGGGCAGGGACAGGGACATCGTCAGGGGCGTCGGGGACATCGTCGGGGACATCGTCAGGGCGGGTGCAGGCGTGCGAGTATGAGAGCATAGCTGAGCCATGTAGACAGGCTGCCCTCTTCTGAATTCGCCAGCATCGTCGGCTTCACGTGTCTTGCTGTGTAGGTGTCCTCAGACGGACTAGGAAGTTGGGGCGCAGTGTGGCTCAGCGTGGTCCCTTATTTTAGATCGCGCGTTGCGGCAACGGCATCCAACAAAAGTAGGAGCGACACGTACTCCTTAGGTCAACTCCCGCTCATTCCACGCCGCGTCACCACCACCTCTCGTCGACCTCGTATCTGTAAGGCAGCCATTTTACTGTTATATCCGTGTCCGCCGCGAAAGGCCACATCTACCACTCGCTCGACGCCCCGACCCAACACCACGCTGACCATGACTTCTCCTGCAGAACGCGAAGAACAGCACCAGACGCTCATCACGCCCGACGCGCCCCAGCTCCAGCCCCAGCCCCAGCCCGCCCCCGCGCAGACGAGCAACCCCTTCGCCGCCACCATGTCGCGCTTCAACATCCCCATCTCCGCCCTGACGTCCCGCATGGACCTGCAGGGCCGCTTCGACGGGCTGCGCTCGACGTCAGTCTCGTCGCGCTTCGCCAACCTGCGCCCCATCAGCGAGTTCCTCGACGTCAAGCGCATCTCCAAGCCCGCCAACTTCAGCGAGGCCCAGGGCCGCATCAACTTCAACCTGGGCTACTTCTCCAGCAACTACGCCGCTGTCTTTGCCATGCTCAGCATCTACAGCCTGCTCACCCACCTGCTGCTGCTGTTCGTCATCATCTTCGTCATCGGCGGCATGTACGGCATCGGCAAGCTCGAGGGCAACGATCTGCAGATCGCCTCGTGGCGCGCCACCACCTCGCAGCTCTACACCACCCTGGCCATCATCGCCATCCCCCTCGGCCTGTGGTCGTCTCCCTTCTCCGCTGTCCTCTGGCTCATTGGCGCGTCCGGCGTTACCATCATCGGCCACGCTGCGTTCCTCGACAAGCCCATCGAGTCAGCTTTTTCCGAGGAGGCGGTCTAGACGGTCGGCCGCGAACTCCTCATGCTTCGCCCTCGTGGGGAAGACCATCAGGGCGTGTGGGGAGATACATGGAGGAGGGGGAAGACGTGTATAGATATCAGGATGTGACCGAAACGACCGGCGTTAATGTAGAGCAAGGATACCAGCAAGCTTCAGATAGCAAGCCTCTTTTGAATAAGGACGATTTATACTTCAACGACATGGATATACGAGCATGGGAACGGCGGACTGCGGCGCTCGGTGGTGCGCCTCCCCGGAATGACCGCTACCAGGAGGACGAAGGCTACGATGGAGACCGTATGTCTGCAGCTGAATACGAAGAAGTGCTTTTCCAACGCGTCCTCGACAAGATCCGCCTAGCCCGAGCCGCAGACATCCCCGACGTGCAATTGACGCCTGAAGAGCTCGACGCGTACCAGTCGAAGCTCCACGGGACGAGATCGCCTGCAGTGCGCACGCCTCGGAGTCCGCTTTCCCCGCCGCTGACCGACGCCATGAGTGTCAGCTCAGCCAGCAAGAAAAGCTCGAGCTCGCGGGCCAAGAAAGAATCGCGCTCGCTCTTCGCGCCGAAGCCGAAAAAGGAGAATCCAAGCCGCAAACCCGCTCCGTCGAACATGTCGAGCGCGCCTCCGCCTGGCTTCATGGTCCCCGGTCCAGATGGCCAGCCAATTTACACCCCCATCAACGCGTACCAGGGCGACCTGACCCGCGATCCAACACCACCGGCTCCTCCCGTACCCAGGCACGTTCCGGCCAGCGAGCGGCCCGTTCCCACGCGCCGCGCGCTGATAGACATGCCTGGCGCTTTTCCCGGCGCGCTGCCCACGTCCCCGCATCTCTACCACCGCCCGCAAGATCTACCGCCCACGGCCGGTCTGGGCATCTCCCGCGCCCCGCCGTCTTCAAGTCTGAGTCTCAGTCCTACCGTAGAGCCGTATGTGTACCACACGCCCAAGCCAACATACACGCGCGTCTCAAGCGCAGAGAGCAGTTTCACCGCCGTTCCGCGCCGCGTGCCCGTGCCGCAGCCCAGTCTTCCAGACGTCGGGCTCGGGGCGCGCGCCGAGCGGGCGAGTGGTGCGGTCGATGGGGTGCGCGCTGAACGGGCGCAGGACGGTGTTGTGTTGGGGGATGCGAGTGCTGGAAAGGCCGCGGATGCAGACGCGCAGACGCTGGGCGGCAAGTCAGTCAAGGACGGGAAGCGGGAGGAGCGGCGGCGGAAGAGTAAGGGGAAGAGGGCGCTGTGAGCGGTGTCGTGAACGGTGTGAGCGGTGTCGTCAATGGTGTGCACGTCTCGGTTTATGTTATGTCTGTTTTTAATGAATGTAGTGGTCCTTTTCTCCAACTTGAACGTCCCAGCAGTCTCCGTATCTCTAGTCTTTCACTAACGCATCCCCGCCCCAGGGCGTTTGCAGAGCCTCATCCCGCGTGCACGCTCTTGTACGCTAGAGATTGCAGTGCACTGGAACCGTTAAGTCGGTATCGTGCTAGAAGCTTGCCGTGCAACGTTGTGGAAGGAATCTTAACTTCGTCCTTCGGGCTCCAACAGCCTAGGCTGCGGATGCGTACGGTACCACCAAGAACGACGCTGTAGTGCGCTAGAGATTGCAGTGCACGTCGTTATGGGCCGGCCAATGCAGTTAGCCTCCGCTGCGCCTCCCGGAGACCAAACCGGACCAATGGTAGGTGTGCCGTTGCTAGATTACACCGCAATCTCTAGCCTGCAAAAGCCTTTAGAGCGAGCTCATGGGTCACGTGGTGAGAGGAGTACCTAAGAGTCACAGCGATATCGTAAGCCACTCTTCGCAGATGAACGAGGTCTTGAGACTGCACAAGATCGAATATACCGGTTAATCGAGTAGCAGCCTTGGTGCCGTGAACTAGGGTCGTTCACTGTCTGCACCGGCGCCACCTTGTTCTCTCTAGATGTATGTGTACTCTCTAGTACCACACTGTTCTTGGGTGTGGACGACGGACACGGTTATTCACGCACGGCTTAGATAAGTGATACATTACAGGACCTCCAGGCCTGTGCAGTCCTCAGGAAAACGGGCGTATGGGCTAGGCAGACCGGGTAGCCTTGCGGGTCCGGTGAGTATCTAGTGCACTCCCTGTACTGGCATGGGCAGTGTAGAGGCTATTGTGCGCTAGAGATTGCAGTGCACATCTCGTGTATGCAGTGTGCGGTTGCATAGGTCCCGTTGCCGGCTCATTGCACTGCAACCTTTAGCGTGCAACAGCAGCGTAGGTACCCATCTCGGGTTGGGATCCTATAGTGGAGACGAGAGTCTAAGACTCACTGCAGGATGTATGCTGCTCTTCACGGATCGGAGAAGTCTTGAGACTGTGTGGGATCGAATACACGTGTTGGTATATGTATAATGGCACTTTTAGACTGTACCTCGTAATTCGTTCATTGAAGCGTGCTAAGGGGAAGAATGCCAAGCCACATGGTCCTCCTGTTGCACTGCAATCTCTAGCGCGCAAGAGCCTTAGTCTGCGTGAGATTGAGCATACCGGTTGAGCTAGCAGCAACCTTAACACCTAGTCGTTCACTATTCACACCGGCGTTTTCTCTTGCACCGTGTAGTGCTACAGCAGTGCCTATCGATGCTCCCGCACTCTAGAGACTGATTGTATACATATGCGCGGTCCCCATATGCGGCTCTGTGTTTTGTCGCTCGATCGTGGTTGCACTGCAATCTCTAGCGCGCACCGGCCTTCACTGTCTACCTAGGTACACAGAGACTACAAGTCCAAGAATCCTATGCAGTCTACGCCTCTTCTCTAAAAAATCAACGAACGGCACGAAGCTGCGCCTGGACTAGTATGAAGCTTACCTGTATTGGTGCAAGAAGGCAAACGTACGCTCACCAGAAAAAGGCAAAAGTGTGTGGCTTTGGTGGACGTAAGGGTGGTCTCGCGGGTCCAATTACACGCTCTGTCGCGGCTCTTGCGCGCTAGAGATTGCAGTGCAAAATGCGAGCTAATGCAGTTGCCCTCCGCTGCGCCTCAAGACCGGCCAATGATGAGAACCGCATTTAGTAGAGAATACAGAAGGGGCAATGTGCATCTGAATCTGCCTTGAAGCTCTTTTGACAACGCATATTCACGTAAGCACAGAATTTTCCACGGATAAGAAGTACACTCTACGCAATTAACCACTTATCCCAAACTATTGACCCTCGCCTTCGACATACCCAGACGCTCTAAGCTATACTCTTGAACCTATATCTTCCTCGATAAGAAATACCTCTATTGTCGTACTCTGAAACAACATGCGGGTTCTGTGCGTCGAAACACTTCAGTTTAAAGAGTTCCATAGCCTGCCGGACGATGATTACGCGACCCTCTCTCATGTGTGGGGTAGCAACGAGATCAGCTACGAAGACATCAGCCGCACGACCCTGCCAGTGCCGGTTCCTATCGAGCACAAGCACGAAGCTTCCGCCAAATTGATCGGCTGTAGAGAGCAAGCGCGCAAAGATGGCATCAAGTACCTATGGATCGACACCTGCTGCATCAACCAGCCAAACCACTCTGAACTTAGCGAAGCTATAAATTCGATGTTTCATTGGTACCAGAAGTCTAAAGTCTGCTATGTCTACCTGGCGGATATTGGGGTGGGCGACGATTTGGCGGCATCTCGATGGTTTCTCCGAGGCTGGACTTTGCAAGAATTGATAGCGCCGCAAGACGTCAGATTCTTCAACCAGGACTGGCAACCCATCGGGAATAAGAAAGATCTCGCTCTTACTCTCTCAAAAATCACCAGGATACCACAAGATTTTCTAATGGGTAGAGATCTTGAAGAGGCGAGCATCGCTCAGCGGATGTCCTGGGCTTCGAAGAGGGAGACAAGTAAGGAAGAAGACCTTGCTTATTGTCTTTTTGGTATATTCGATATTCAAATGCCTCTTTTGTACGGTGAGCGCCTTCACGCCGCGTTCCGTAGGTTGCAACTTGAGATTCTGCAGCACTAAGATGACACCAGTATTTTTGCCTGGGCAACTGGCAAATCTTCGAGGCTCTACGGTGAGAACAATACATTTGGTCTCTTAGCACTCGCCCCAGCTGCTTTCAAAGACTCGCATAACATTGTGCGTGCAGACTTTCCTGTCGTGGAAGGATTCACCAAGGGGCTTCGAAGCATCTATCATTACCAGTACGAACACAACAGAACAGGAAGCTAGTAGCTATCTTAGGCTGCAAGATAGTGGATGAAGAAGACAATAGATTGGCTATCCGGCTCCAGGATATCTCCACAAATGATGGACGGTTTGCTCGGTTCGGAGATCTCACCACGGTATCAATGACCGATAGGGTCGAACGTACTCATTTCCAAGATATCACGACTGAAATGAGACTTTTTGTGCGTGTTGGATTTGCAGCGGAAGCGACATGGCGCAAAGGTGGAAGCAGCAGAGAAAGGATATTCTTGCCTTTCAGACCTCGCGGAGAGGTAATCTCGTGAAGCCACGAGTTTTGCTTTATTTCCAGAACCAAGACGCAGCAATGCACTTTGGAATAAAGACGCAGCTTCAAGTTTCTGAGCTAGTAGCGTATTCTGAGTATGTTATGGAGGGTGGCGAATGTAAGGCACGTGTACCGCCCTTTGACATGAGGGACTCGACGAGCATGCGATAGCTGCGCAAGTGTGGTTTCAAAGCAAACAGCAGTGATAAATGGGAGTCCTATTGGCTTCTGGCCATATCTAAGTAAGATCTGCTGCCTAATTTAAATCCTTCTGCATGTATCGCTGAGTAAGGGACTGTAGCCCAAGACTTTAGAAGTAGGCTTGAATAGTCTTCAGATTGATCTTCGCACATATATGTGAAATACATCCTGTCATGGTGTGCTAGTTCTGAGTTTCATTCAGCTATATCTAAACATCTCGTAGAATATCAGTTTAAGTGTTTCAGCGGTAATGATACTATTGACATAGTTAAAGCTTGATAGCCACAATCTTCCCACCTTCAAAGCCGGTCTCCGTGACAGGTGTCCCAAGTGCACCTCCCGTTGTTACGTACAAGACCTTGTGATCTAGTCTGGTTCGTCCAAAAGCAGCTGCTGTTGCCATGGCGAACTCGGTGGAGTTCTGAGCGCCTGCAATGACACGATGCGTCCCATTTGGATGAACCAGGGTGACAACATTGTCTATGAGGCCTGCGAGATAGCCAACGCCAGAGCGGTCAAGAACAAAGTCATCAGCCATTGTGTCGTCCGAGATGAGTTCGTAAGGACCGACTGCAGTACCGGTATTACGGTTGATTTTGACGCGGCAGTACAGTCGTTGCGGGGCGTTGTTGTAATAGACGTAATCTTCATGGATCTTAACCCCATTGACACCAACAAGCGGCCCAAGAGAGGTATCAGCAGTCATGGTACGCTCATCCTCCAGGACGATGCTGCTCTCGCCAGTACGGACGTTGACTCTCCATATAACACCGAGCATGGAGTCAGCAGTGAGCACTAGCCCCTTGGCGACGTCCAACGTGGTCATACCATTCATGTTAAGGGCGCCGAGCACAGTGGTGATCTTGGTGATACTTGGTCGTCCTCCGCGCGTAGCTCTGCGATAGTCCACACGCCAGAGAGTTTTCGGAGAGCCAACGATGAAAACATCCGGCTCCATCTCGGTGATACCTGTCAAAAACTCTGCACTACCAAAGGTATGGATCAAACTAGCGGTGGTGTTTTCTTGTGGGTTTTGCCTGAGAGATAACGACGGGTCATGGATCTCCCAGAGCTGAGGCGCATTGACGTGAGTAACGAGTAGATTCCCGTTACGGCGCACGGCGATGTTTTCCACCCATGTGCCATTTGGAAACTGGTAAATCTTCTGGGTATGAATGGACGAGTGGGAACCAGGGTCGGCAGCTGTAAGACAGATGATTAGGTAAAGAAAGATGAAGGAGGCTGAAAGAAATGAGGGTAATTGAGCCATCTGAGAGGGATGCTTATCTTGCATGTGCGTGGATGCACAATCCTTTCCCAACTCTAGAGGTTTATGTAGTAGGGTACTGCGCCAGGTTTACTCAGCCGCATTCGCACACGTGCTTCTTGTGGAGCAGAGGGTCAAGCGGTTGAATTACCGGCGTCTTGTTTGGCCACTCTATCTTGTTTTCCACGTGCCAAGAATGATGCACTCTGCCAGTAGTCAGTGCGTACACACTACGTTAACTCCGTGTCATCCAGTTGCAGCCACAGCTATCAAGTGTTCAGATCGTTGGGATTAAAGCAATCTACACCGACTGATTACGCATAATTCGGAGCAAAAGAGATTGGCTGAGCGTAATTGCTTTTTCTATTCTGGTTCTCTTCGGCATCAGTTCGTCAGTTCCACGGCGCTGCTCTGTCTACATTGCTGAACTCTCATTCGAAGCCGTGTACCGAGCTTGCAATTATCAAGCTAACTTACAAGGGAATTCCTTTGCTTCTAGGTCACAAGACACTTGTAATCGATTCACAATATATTGAACCTGAGCATCGACTAGTGTCAAACAGGTCGAACATGTCCTAAGGTGTACCTGTGATGAAGTGGTCGCGGGCGGACTCGGACTCAGGCATGGCCACTTGGCAACATCCATGAGTCCATATCTACGCATATCATCGAGTATGTATATAACATCCACTCGAAGAGCACAATGGACACTGATCATCTCAAAGAGCTCAATTTCCCATTTCAACCATCTCGCGAAACCCAACATGTATCTCTGTCACGGATCCAGCTTTCTAGCTCTACTCGGCCTTCTGGCATCGCCAGTGGTAGCGCAAGATAATGCTCCTAGCCCGGAGTGTGCAAAGGCAGTCAGTTACACCCCTTCTTATCTTGATTCATCACTTCATTCACCCGCAAAATTGAACAGTATCATAATCTAACCCGAGATTGCAGTGTGAGATTCTCGCCCAAAGTTTTGGATCACGGCTCCACTACCCAGCCAACGACAATGCTACTTTCTGGGATTCCAAACAGGCCGAGGTCGTCCCCGCCTGCCGTGTTGAGCCAACTGGTACCGAAGAAGTTGCATCCGTCTTGAAGACTCTGGTGCAAACTTCCTGTAAATTTGCCATCAGGTCGGGCGGTCACACTCGAGAGCGCAATGACGCCAACTCTGATGGTGGTGTAACAATTGATCTGCGTCAGATTCGCGACGTTGAACCCTCGGCTGACCGCTCACGTATTCGTCTTGGTACCGGCCACGTTCTGGTTTCCTCCTACAGAGCTGCTGAGAGTGAGGGTTTGATGTTTCTCGGCGGAAGAGTCGACTCTGTTGGTGTCGCTGGGTTTACCCTGGGCGGCGGTCTTTCCAACTTCTCACCCAGATACGGCTTGGCCATGGACAATGTCTTTGAGTACGAGGTAAGCGACCTTCGATTCAAGAAGTACGCTATGACATACTGAAATTGTTGTAACAGATGGTTCTCGCCAACTCTTCTATTGTCACGGTCAGCGAAACAGAGAACCCCGATCTTTATTGGGCGCTTCGAGGCGGAGGAGGCAACAACTTCGGCATCGTTACGTACTTCACTGTTCGTGCATTTGAGCAGGGTTTGTCTTGGGGAGGAGCGAAGACGTACTCTGATGACCAGACTGAGGCCCTTCTCGATGAGCTTCATCACCTGACCACCGAAGGCTCCTCCGCTGACCTTGACATGGCATTTTGGTCTACCTACACGTACTCTGCAGAAACTGGCGAATTTGGCTGGATTGTCAACCAAGGCCACAGCCTCCCTGCTGAGAACCCTGCTGTGTTTGAGCGTCTGAACGCCGTGCCACACGAGTCTTCTTCCCTGCGTCTCGACTCCTTCAGCAATTTCTCTATCGAGGCTGCTGGTGCCACTCCTTGGCCTAGAAGGTATACACGTCCATATGTTTCCATTCTATCTGCTGACTTCAGTTTCCAGGAACATTTTCGCGTCTATTTCCCATTACCCGTCTGCGGAGCTGGAACGTCGCATCCTTGAGGTTTTCAGGGCGGCTGCTCGCGGCGTTGAAGGTGTCGAAGGGTTTTCAGCCACCACAGTGAACCAGCCTTTCTTTCAAGGCTCTGTTGCAGCGATGAAAGCGCGTGGAGGTAACCCTGTTGCTGTTGAAGCCGACCGCCCGTTTACTGGTAAGCATACGTGTTTCCCCCGGTCCTTCCTGTCGGTCTACCGCCGCGCAATCACTAACGCTTTTTGAAATTAGTAAGCCTCCTAATTCTTACGTGGCTTAATGCTGAGGACGACGACGCTGTCTACGCTGCCGCGGAGGGGTGGATTGAAAAAGCCACAGCTGCTGCTGAAGATGCAGGGCTGTACCATCCTTATCTTTACATCAACTACGCCATGAGAACGCAGGATCCTCTTGGACGCTTCCCAACCGAGAATCTTGAGAGGCTGAGAAGGATCCAGTCTAGTGTTGATCCAGCAGGTATCTTTACTTCTAACGGTCTCTGCACAGGTTACTTCAAGGTTCAGTAAATACTGTGCTTATAGGCTATTAGTAGGGCAGACTTATCATAAGGGCTATTTTACACTAGATACTACAGTGTAATTTACGCATTATTTCCCAACAGAAGGCCTAGACTGCTGCTTTAGAGAAAGAGGAGAGTAGTAGACTTGTTGCTTACTAAAACAGGGAGTGCTGCACTACAGATTGCAGTACACACGGAGCTCATCTTTTCTCTACTGCCATGAGGGCAAGAAGGCTACCTGTGTACCGAAGACAGGTTAGATAGTTATTCTGCCTATCGGTCCAGAGTTCTTGATGACGCATGTTCAACACTCTTCCACGCAAAAGCAAGGCAGGTAGTAATATAGTAGCAGTGCTCAAGCAAGAGAAAAATACAGCTTCGAAGCTCTGCTACTTCAGGAGGCTGCATTGCGAGCCTACGATGTATACCTAAGTAGGCACTGTAGGTACTTCGTACTCGCCAGAACAAAGTGCTTGCATTGCTGGAAACCTAGGGCATTTTGTTCCTGGGACATGTGCCTTTGTGGATTCTTGGAGCGAGCTGGTTACAGCTCTTGCTTGTTGGCTGACGCGGCCGCATCGTAGGAATGCTACATCGAGACAGCGGAAGATCTGATGCTGGATTGCGGGGTGACTGGCAGGCTTCCAGGCGGCGCTACGAAGGAGCTCGTTTTTTTTGGCCGATCACCAATCCAAAGCCTCACCAAAATAAGGTAAGAAATGCACTTGCAGCAACTCCACAACAGAACAGGTACCCTGCACCTTATTAAAAGTACTTTATAAAGTAAAATAGAGGTAGCACTACTATACTTTAGCTCTATAAAATTATTTATCATATATAGTAGCCTGTGCAGTAGAAAGAAGCTCACGTTTTGGCGTTGGTTTTAGTGAGGATCTCACCAAAGTAGCACTAAATTGTATGCGCTCGCTGATCGGCCAAAAGAAACGAGCCCCTTCGTAGATTCGCTGTTGCACGCTAGCGATTGCAGTGCAAAAAGGCTGAGAATCCAAACACTGCCCACCTGTTCATGCATGCGTGCACGGCCACCTACCATAATTAGTAACGCTATGGATCCATACGGCAGTGCACATCGTTGGTTGGGGATATCCAACGACTGCCTAGGTACACCACACCAGCCTTGCCCTAGTCATCACAGACGCAGAGTGGTGTATGGCTCTCGGTCCAAATCATCCCGTTCAGTCATTCTCGTTGGCCAGCTCTACCGTACCTGAACTGATTACTTGTAAATGAACTGTACCTCGTCTGCAGGCTTCACAGTCACCCACAGCTCTTCTCAGTGCCACATGATGCTAAAGCAAAGACGTGTAACACCACACGTGCTCTAACGCACTAGAGATTGCAGTGCAGCTTATCCGCTGACGTCACTTGCACAATCACCTTCTGCTGTGTTAATATCTTACGACCTCGGGAGCCGTACGGCAGTATAAATCGTCAATTAACAAACCTGACATACCTAACAAACGTGCCCATGCACTTCGCACCTTTTCTAGTTACCGCAGATGCAAAGCAGAGCGTCTCACACCACATGTTCTGATCCGGAACACACTACACTGTCTACGAGTCGCCTTAGAGCGGCTCTACGCAAACGCAAGACCGCACCTTATCCACAGGCACTCGCACCTTGTGCCACCGCGCTGTATCAAGCCAAAGCGTTGTCATATTGCATTCGCTGCTGTGTCCTAAGAATTGCCATGTATTTGGCAAGGCTGAAGCAGGCGGAATGGCTGTTATACGCTAAAGATTGCAGTGCAGTGCAAGCATGCATGAAGGACCACACATCCGCGGGACGTGGTGAGTGTGAAGGAGGCTGAGTATCTAGACTTTGGGGCGCATATACTGTAAACGCTCTGTAGAGGCCGTTGCACGCTAAAGATTGCAGTGCAAGGACTGAAGGGGAGTGTGGTTTTGTGTAATAAGCACCAGTATTGCCGTTTCTAAGTGGCGCTAGAGAGGCTCTTGTACGCTAGAGATTGCAGTGCAACGCCTTTGGCCCCCAAACACGGAAGCTAGCGAAGAAGATCTCCATGTTCAGCCTGTCTATCATTAACCCCGAGCTCTTGATAACGCATCGTGATTGGGCATGGTACCAAGACCGGAGTGCTGTTGGCAGCGTGCGTGAGAGTTGGGAGCGGTAGGGCTGGACAAGTGGCTTCACGCGCTGTGGACATCACGGGAACAGGCTCGAGTTGGTGTATATACATAGCCTTCGATTCGGGACACTCTGCATTCAATCGTGACGCTCAGATCAACCTCACCAGTCTACTGCCAGTTTCTTCGTCTCTCCACATTCCTCCTAGTAACATCGCTACAGTATACAACACTCTCGTCGGTCTCACGGCACGCACAAACAGAGAACAGAATTGCGCCCCGTGAGGGAAGAGGATCGCTTGCGTGTTACAAGTACTAATACAACGCCCAAACCCGGCACTCGAACGCTACGATTTTACACCAGAAAAGACGGCTGCACGCCGCGGGCCGCAGGGTGGGTGCGGGAAGACTGGATGTCTGCGTGCGGGAGCTGCAACGGCAGCTAGATGTACGTGCTGGCCAACTGTACGCGCAGACTCGACACAAGCATGTCTAGATCTGGCCGCGCTGGTGGCGCCCCGTCTTCAGGTTGAACGCGCGCTGGTCCTTCAACCAGCGGCGGTAGCCGGCCACGCTGCCGATCTTCTCGCCGTAGTAGTCGGGCGGCGGGTTGGCGAGGGAGGACACGGACGGGTCGACGCGGTGGCGCTTGATGCGGTTGAAGAAGGCGGAGTCTTTCTGCTTGGCGTCAGTCTCTACTCGTCCACAATCGCAATTGCACCGCAATCGCAGCCCCACGTGAATAGACGCACCCTCGTGAACTCGGTCAGCACGCCCCGGTACGCCAGGTTGAACACCTGGTTGCCCGGAATCGGCCCAATCAGCCAGCCCGCGGCCAGCATGCCCAGCGTGCTCAGGCCCATCAGCATCATCGGGTCGAAGCCGCCCAGCTGCTCCGACAGCACGGCGTCGTAGCCGTTGTTGATCATGAACGTGAGCCCGTAGTACGTCACGCCGATGGCGCTGGCGCCCGAGCACGCCTGGCCGATGCGCCGGCGCGTGCGGCGCAGCGCGAAGAAGTCGTTCCATGTGAGCGCGGCCGAGGCGGGGGCCGACGAGGCGCTGGGGGCGGCGGGCGAGGTCGAGGCATTGCGGACGGCGGGCCGGGCGAGGGCGCGTTGTGTGAAGAAGGGTGTTTGCGATTGCGGCTTGCTGGGCCGTGTGCATGTGGAGAAGGGCGCGGACGTCGAGCACGGCGCGAGGATCGCGGGCGGGTGCCGGTTGGCGAAGGCCCGCGCGGGGCAGAGGGCGCTTCTTGCGAGCATTGTTGCGTGTGGACGCGGGTGTGATGGGTGTGGTCGAATTCACCGAGCTGCTCGGAGCTAAGCTTCTGGTCTTGGCGCGATGTACGATGCCCGCCTCACGCGACGCAACGTCGGATCCTGGATGCGCAGATCACCTTCAAGGTTTGGCGAAGCGGTCACATGAAGGAATTCGTGTGTTTGATTTGCACAGGCTGCTGGGCACACGCAGAGTTTCGATTTTGATCTTCGTGCTCGACGTCATACCTCGCTTCCTTACTCAGCACCAGCATCAGAAGACCAGATATTGGTGCTCCACTCCTGCGCTCCTACACCACACCATATCGTTGTTGTTACTGGGCTTGTATCTGTGTACATGCGAGACCTTGACAATACGAACTTGCATTCCCCACATCTCACACCATGTGCGGCTCGCTGCTGAGCTGTGGCCGCATCGTGAAGGAGAAATGGCCATCCGCCGCTGCCGCACCCGCTGGGAACATGTGGGCAGGCTCGAGAGGTGCCGAGCAGAAGGCACCTACAAATAAAGGCAAATTGCCCCAGCAGCAGCAGAACCTCGACACCATCAACGATGCCCTGATGCCGCAAGTCACGAACCACTATTCCAGAGGACGAGTGGAAAGCTGGCTGGCCCGTGAATGAGAGTTGACCAACTTTGCGCGGCACTATATATCAAAATCCATACTACACTCTACTTTCGGTAGATATCGCCAGTTCTCCGGATCTCGTCTTCGGCGTCCTTGCCTCGGCCTTCCGCCTCCAGTTTCCTCACCAGCGGCAGCACTTCTCGCCCGTACGCCTCGATGTCGTCCTCGTAGTGCAGGAACGCCGACAGCACCAGATTGACACCCAGGCTCTTCAGCAGCAGAATGCGATCGGCAATCTGCTCCTTCGTTCCAATCAGCTTCGTCTTGAACCCGTCGTTGTACTGCACCAGATCCTCCACCTTCGAGTCCGCCCACATCCCCTTCTTGTTCCCCGTGCTGGCACCCGCCTGCTGCACCGCGTCACGGAACGCCTCGACAGCCTCCGTGTCAGCCTTGCCCTGGATCTCCTTCAGCACCTGGATCGCCTCCTCCTCCGTCTCCCTCAGAATCACAAACGAATTCACCGCAAACCTCACATGCTGCTCGCGCCCCACCTTCCTCGCCCTTTCCTTGACATCCAGAATCTGCGCCCGGAAGCCCTCGAGATCATTCCCATTCATGAAATACCAATCACTGACCTGCGCCCCATTATCGCGCGCATCATCGCTATTCCCGCCCTGGAAAATCTCCGGGTGCGGCCGGCCCTCCCACCTCAGCGGCTGCGGACTCAGCCGGTAACCCCGGTACTGGTAGAAGTCGCCCCCGTACGTGAACCCGCCGTCGCCCGCCGTCCAGATCCCCCGCAGCGCCTCGATGAACTCGCGGCTGCGCCGGTACCGCTCCGCGTGCTCCAGCCACCACTGCCCGACCGCCGTGAACTCGCCCTTGAACCACCCGGACACGATGTTCACCACAATACGTCCCTGCGTGTAGTGGTCAATACTAGCAATCTGCTTCGCCGCCACGGTGGGGTTCCAGGGCCCGGGCAGGATCGCGGCGATGAGCTTCAGCCGCTCGGTGCGGTGCAGCAGCGCTTGCGAGAAGGTCACGGATTCGTGCTGGTTGGCGGCGCCGTAGGACGCCGTGAAGCGGATCTGCGTGAGCGCGTACTCGAAGCCGACGGCTTCGGCGGTTTGCGCGTAGCGTACGTTGGACGCGAGGTCCCAGGACGTGCGCTGTGGGATCTTGGAGATTACCAGCCCGCCGGAGACGTTGGGGACCCAGTAGCTGCGATGCGTTAGGGGCGTCGACCACGAGGGGGGGGGGGGGCGGAAAGGGGAGAAGAAAGGCACATACGCAAACGCAACGCGCCCCGGATCCGTATTCAACTCATGCGGCGTCGGCGGCGTAAACACCTCCTCCGTTGCGCTTCCATCCGCGTGTCCATTAGCTGCCATTCTCAATCCAGATGTATTCAGTCTGCACTTCAAACTTCAAACTTCGAACTTCAAATTCTACACTTCAATCTCTACACTTCCCCGAGCAACCCCCCTCTTTATATCCCCCTCCCTACATAGCCCCTACATACCCCCTCCCTCCCTACAATCCCCTAACCAATCTCCCACCCCCCAGAGCCCCTCCGCCGCGATGGTGAGCGATTGCACAAGAGTAAGCCCGCGGCGCGCGCTGACGCGCCATAGCAGTGATGGATGGCGTGCTGTCTGCGGGGTCGCCGCGTGTGTACTACAAGTATAGTGCGCGCGGGTTTGGGATCGACACGGGTGATGTCAGAAAGCGGGTTTACTATAAAATAGTCTTACATACTAATAAGAACGGAGCGAGGGGGTGGTGGTGTTTGGGCAGGGCCGGGTGGGCGGATTGCGTGATGGGAGGGGTGGATGGCGGGATGCGGGACCCAGTCCACGGCACCGACACTGGCAGATAATATACGGGATGGGATGGGACGGGATAGGATGTTTTGTTATGGTATGATGTATCATTATTCCTAGAAGCCATACAGTACTCTACTCTACTACGCACCGCACTACACCGCAAACCCCCCGCTATTAACCTGCCGCGGCTCGCCCGCCGCCTCGAACGTGCCGTTGCCCAGCCGCCTGAGACCCTGCGCCGTACTCCCCGCCGCCGCCCATGTCACATTCGCACCGAGCCCCTTCAGAAACGCGGTGGTGCCGTTGTTGAAAGTGCGCTCGAACGAGATCTGCGCGGGCACGAGCTGGTCGTGGATGCGCGGCTGCGCGAGCGCGTCGGCCGTCGACAACTTGCCGTCGAGGATGTGGATCAGGTTCTGCGCCGTGGAGGTGATGATGCGGCTCCCGCCCGCGGCGCCGATGGCGACGTAGAAGGCGTCTGCGAGGGAGGCGTTGGCGTGCTCGACAATCACGGGCGAGATGGAGGACAGCGGGCGCTTGCCCGGGCGGATGAAGTTGGCTGGGCTGGGGATGTAGCCAAATGCGTTGGTGGTGTTGGGGATGGAGAAGTCGTTCATTTCGTTGTTCATGATGACGCCCGTCTCCGGGACGACGAGCTTGGAGCCGAAGAGTAGGTTGACGGTGGTCGTGAGCGTGATGGCGAGGCCGGATTTGTCAGCGGCCACGATGTGCGAGGTGCCCGGTGTCTCGAGCGACTCGAGGCCCTTGGGGTCGTAGTATGAGACGTTGAAGGTCTGCGTGTCGCTGATCTTGGAGCGGATTTCGGCGGCGGTCGCGGCCGAGATCATGTCCTCCTGGTATTCGTCGATGCCCTCGAGGTATAGGGGGTCGCCGAGCTCGGCGCGCATACCGTAGGCGAATTTCATGGCTTCGTCGAGGCGGTGGGTGGTCAGGTTGATGGCAGCTGGGTTGCCGAAGCCCGAGTAGCCTTCGACAATCTTCAGGATGGCCAGGGCGACCTCGCCACCGCTGGGGGCGCTGCATGCGGTGAGCTTGTAGTCGTGGTATGTGATGGTCGAGGGCTTGCGGAGGGCGACGGTGTAGTTTTTGAGATCATCGAGGGTCATGGTGCCGTTCCTGGCTTGGAGAGCGTTGATCATGGCTTCAGCCAGCGGACCTTCGTAGAAGGCATCGGGACCCTCGTGGGCAATGGTCTCCAGAGTGTCTGCGTAACGCTTCCGGGTGATGGTCTCGTTCAGCTGAACGATGCGGCCCTTGGGCGCAAAGTCAATAGCCCACTCCACATCGTTGAGCAAGAAGTTTGTGGTTGCATTCATGCTCGCAGTCGCAGAAACGATGTAGCTGACCAGATCCTCGTTGACGCGCCATCCTTCGCGCGCAACCTTGACAGCTGGCGTGAGGACCGTCGCCCAGGGGAGCTTGCCGTAGTTCTCGTGAAGGTACTGCAGACCGCGTAGCTCGCCAGGCACACCAGAAGCCAGCCCGCCGGTGAGACTGGCGGCCTCGTTGTCTTTGTACATGTCCTCGAATGCTGCAGCGGGTGCTGTTTCGCGAAAGTCGATGAACTCATAGGTGCCATTGGGTGCTCGGACAAGCATGAAGCCTCCGCCTCCAATACCTGCCAGCTGTGAGTATTCAGTATTTCATGTCGTGCGTTCGTGATCATACCAGAATGGTACATGCCAACCACTCCCACGCAAGCTACAGTGCCAACTAGCGCATCTGCGGCATTGCCACCCTGCTTCAGCAACTCCACGCCAATGTGGCTGCAAATGTCGCTCTCCGAAGCCACGGCGCCCAGTTCGCCATCTCTGACGATTGGTGGTGTTGGGTAGCCTGAAGGCACTGGGTTCGCGAGCACCGACTGCAGGGTCAGCAGCCCAGTCAAGCAGCGCGACAGCATTGCACCCGGCGCCATGTTGAAATTGTCGCGATAGAAGGAAGCTACAAGCTCTACAAGCATTGGAGCCATGACGCTGGGTAGTCTTTCACTTTAAATCCGCGATACAGCCGGGCCTATTACTTGCCGTACCACGATGACGATCACTACCTTTACCGTTTCGGTAAGAAGCTTACACCATTGAGGAAGCTGCAAGAAGCGGCCGCTCTCGGAGGCTGTAGATCGGAGCTCCACGTACGCAATAGTAGTAAGGATAACGACATGCTGGCCGCGCGGAAATTGTGCAGCATTTATCGAGCGCGTGTATTCGGCCAGGCGATAACGGATGGGGACGTCCGTCGATAAGAGATAGGCAAGGCGGACACTCGTTTACGGCTGTCACTATCCAGTTCTACTGTGTGGCTGGAGAGCCTTGCATTACTTTGTGGTTCTGCTCGTGAGAGGAATACTTGGTTCTGGTGCGACTGGTGCTGACGGTGGCAACGAGCCTGGAGATGCATTCAGCGCCGCCCCGTCATAGCCTGGAGATAGGCTGTATGGTCGCGCTCTGATGCGCAGAGTCAATCGCATGCCAAACAACTGTTGCTTGTCTGCGATCTGAGCATGCACAATGGGGTTGATGGTGGCTGGGAAGTGGCTCGTCGAGTGTGAAGTTGCGCAGATCGTGACACCGTGAACACCGACGCGTTGACGCGTTGCGCGACCGCACCCGCGTCACTAATCCACCACATTACTCAATGGCGCCCAAAAGCAGCCAGCCCGCTTCGAGTGCCTCCCAGAAGACGAAGCAGCCGTCCATCTCGAGCTTCTTCACACCAAAGCCGTCTCAAACCCCCAAAGCACCGCCCAAAGCACCGCCCAAAGCTCCACCGAAAGCGTCTCCGCAACCTCCGCCGCCTGCCGCCAACGATGCGGCTCATAGCGATGACGACGAAGAATCTCTGCCGTTAGGGCGCTCAGTACTGGGCAAGAAGCGCACAGGGCCTGCGTCTGGCGAGGATGGCGAGCCGCCGAAGCGATTGCGAGTCTCCGAGAGCGAGGAGGCGCGCCCTTCGCTCGGCCAGGCGACTGCAGCTAGCCTGAACACACCCAAGCCCGTGAAGCTCACAGACCGGACCTCCAAGTTCCTGTTCTCGTCGCCGCCTGCCCAGCGTGACGAGAACGAAGCGGTCGCCGAAGACGATGCCGCAGCAACTCAACACGAGAGGGAGCGCCTCCACGCCAAGTTCGTCAAGAAGCTCGGGCGTCCAGACAGCTTCGCGGAGCTTCGCAGGCGCAACAAGATCCTGGCAGAGGATGAGGCAAATGGCGACGGCGAAGGCGCTGAGGAGGACGAGGAGGAAGACGCGCCGAAGCCTGCCAAAGGGAAGAAGGGTGTGGCAGCGAAGAAATCAGCCTCCAAGTTGACCCCAATGGAGAAGCAATACTTGGAGATCAAGCGGAAGCACCTCGATACCATCATCGTCATGGAAGTCGGATACAAGTTCAAGTTCTTTGGCGAGGACGCGAGGACAGCATCCAAGGAGCTGGGCGTCGTTTGCATACCGGGCAAGTTCAGATACGACGAGCACCCATCCGAGGCACATCTGGACAAATTCGCGTCGGCGAGCTTCCCGGTGCATCGACTGCAAGTCCACGTTAAGCGACTCGTCAAGGCAAACCACAAGGTCGGTGTGGTGCGGCAGATCGAGACTGCAGCACTCAAAGCTGCTGGAGACAATAGGAACACGCCCTTTGTTCGGAAGCTGACGAATCTGTACACAAAAGGAACTTATGTTGACGACGTTGAAGGGTTGGAGGCCGGGAATGGAAACACAGCGCCGGGCGCGCAAGCCACAGGCTACCTCCTCTGCATCACCGAAACCAATGCCAATGGATGGGGCACAGACGAGAAGGTGCAGGTTGGCCTGATCGCCGTGCAGCCCGCAACTGGTGACATTATCTACGACGACTTCGAGGACGGCTTCATGCGAAGCGAGATCGAAACGCGGCTACTCCATATCGCACCTGCAGAATTTCTGGTCGTCGGCGACTTGTCCAAGGCAACCGACAAGCTCATACAGCATCTGTCCGCAAGCAAAACCAATGTCTTTGGAGATCGCTCGCGGGTCGAGAGGGTGGAGAAGCCCAAGACGATGGCTGCACAGGCTTACGGTCACATCTCCAACTTCTACGCCGACAAGATGAAGTCTAGCCAGGAAGGAGGCTCATCAAGCCAAGGTGCCATCCTTGACAAAGTGCACCAACTGTCAGAACATGTCACCATATGCTTGTCAGCGATGATCACGCATCTGAGCGAATACGGGCTGGAGCATGTCTTCGACCTGACCAAGTATTTTCAACCATTCAGCGCGAGATCATACATGCTTATGAACGGCAATACGCTTTCGAGTCTCGAGATCTACCAGAATCAGACCGACTACACTGCCAAAGGCAGCCTGTTCTGGACGATGGATAGGACTAAGACTCGTTTCGGGCAGCGTCTTCTCAGGAAGTGGATCGGACGACCTCTCATCGACAAGGAGCGCCTTGAAGAACGCATTGCAGCAGTGGAAGAGCTGAAGAACGGTGAAAATACCATACCTTTCGACAAGCTGAAGTTCCTTCTGAGCAGGATCAGGACGGATCTTGAGAAGGTTCTGATCAGGATATATTACAAAAAGTGCACGCGACCAGAGCTGCTGGCTGCGCTGCAAACACTCCAAGACATTTCTGGCCAGTATCTGCAGGTGAAGTCGCCCGAGCAAAGCGGCTTCAAATCACATCTGCTCAGTGAAGCCGTATCGAACATTCCTAAGATCTACGATGATCTGAACACCTTCCTCGAGAAGATCAATGCCAGTGCTGCCAAAGCGGATGATAAGTATGGATTCTTCCAGGAGGAGCACGAAGCAGAAGACATCAACGATTTGAAGCTCAGCATTGCCTCAGTCGAGGACGATCTGAACACACACCGCGCGGAAGCCGCTGCGAAACTTGGCACGAGTAAAGTCGATTACGTCACTGTCGCTGGCATCGAGTACCTCATCGAAGTCAAGCGCAAGTCTCCGCAAGAAAAGAAGGTCCCTGCATCGTGGCAGCAGATCTCCGCAACAAAGGCTACCCTGCGCTTCCACACGCCAGAAGTCAAGCGCATGTGTCAGGAGCGTGACCAGTACAAGGAGTCCTTAGCTGCAGCATGTGACGCTGCTTTCAAGCGCCTACTAGATGACATCTCAGCAAAGTATCAAGAGCTTCGCGACTGCGTTCATTCGATCGCGACGCTTGACGCGCTTTTCTCTCTGGCCATTCTTGCTAACCAGCCTGGCTACGTGAAGCCCACCTTCGTAGACGATATCGAACTCAACATCACTGGTGGTCGACACCCTATGGTCGAGCAGCTACTTTTAGACGCCTATGTGCCGAACGACCTGCACCTTTCACACTCTGCCACGCGCGCTCTGTTGGTAACAGGACCTAATATGGGCGGCAAGTCCTCCTATGTACGTTCTGCTGCTCTCATTGCCATCATGGGACAGATCGGGTCGTATGTGCCAGCAACCGAGGCACGACTCGGTATGCTGGATGCGGTGTTCACACGCATGGGCGCGTTCGACAACATGCTCAAGGGCGAATCGACCTTCATGGTCGAACTCAACGAGACATCCGATATCCTCAAGTCTGCGACTCCACGTTCGCTCATTATCCTCGACGAGCTTGGTCGTGGAACCAGTACCTTTGACGGTGTGGCTATCGCTGAGGCAGTGCTTGACTACGTGATTCGCGACTTGCAGAGTCTGACGCTATTCATCACGCACTACCAACATCTGTCGAAGCTTCATTCACGGTTCACAAAGGACGAATTGAAGAATGTGCACATGTCGTTTGAGGAACGCGACGGTGGTAGAGAGCTCGTCTTCTTGTACGAGGTTGCCGAAGGCACGAGTCATCGCTCTTACGGACTGAACGTCGCGCGGCTGGCCAAAGTACCGGAGAAGGTGATCGATGTTGCTGGTGTGAAGAGTGCTGAGCTGGAGGACGACATGGCGGCCTACAAGATAGGCAACTTGTAAGTGGTAACCCGATTTCTTGATCGTACACATACTGACTGGGACAGATCGCGAGTGATGAAGAGTCTGATGGCAGGTGCATCTGAAGGAAGCCTTGACAAACTCATCGAAGGTATTGAACAGCTGTAAACGCGCACATCTTCATGAACAAGATCAGCAGACGATTCTAGGAGGATAGTAGCTAGAGGTACAGAATAATACCCACATCTCGGACTTAATCGTACGACCGAACACCCGTCTGTTGAGCTGTCTTTCCGCGATACTGTCGTTATACTGATATTCGAGCCAACAACAACAGCGCCTCATTACGCAAATCCCACCGCCGAGCACGCCATACCGTTCCGAGAACATCCCGACATTGGTCAGCTACTAATATCCCAGGTATTAATGTACTATTATCTGTGTCTTGTAGAACAAATTCTGGGCGCAAACATGTCTCGGGCAACGGCCAAGTCAGTTGCTATAATCGGTGCCGGAGCCGCTGGTATGTCACACATCACCATGTGGGACATTCATCTCATAACCCACAGGTGCCGCTGCAGCTGCCGCATTCGACGCAGAAGATGCTTTCGATATCATTCAGGTGTTTGAGCGCCGTGAAACCCCAGGAGGAACTTGGTACGGCTTTGCTGCTTATAGCTGTGCGGTGCTGACCAGACGCAGGATATACGATTCAGATCCGGCGCCACCAAGTCAACTTTTTCCGGGGAAGGACCCGCCAGAGGTTGATCCCCCGTTGAAAGTACCATCTAATCTCCCTGCGGCTGTGGCGCCATCGGAGCAGACGAGGTTTGACAGGACGCCGATCTATGATGGGCTCACGTGAGTGATACACCACAGAACACTCCACTCGAGAGTATCTCTAATTATGCATAAGAACAAATGTCCCAGAGATCATCATGTCGTTGTCGGATCAGCGGTTTGCGTACGGTCCGTTTGCACCTCACTGGATACCAAAGCAGTATATCCAGAACTACTTCGCGACGCACCGCACCGACCGCTTCCTCGTCCTCAACACTACAGTCGAAGACGTCCTCCGGGACGGCGAACGCTGGAAACTAACTCTGCGTCGCCACGATGCCGTCCAGAAGGTCGACGTCTGGTGGGTTGAGCACTTCGACGCTCTCATCATTGCCAACGGCCACTACTCTGTCCCCTACGTATGCCCCCACTACGCCCAGATCTCCGTTCGTTCTAACAACCTTAGATCCCTCAGGTACCCGGCCTCGAAGAATACATGCATGCCTTCCCGTCCCGCATCACGCACTCGAAATTCTACCGCTCACCCACCCACCACCCCAACCATACAATCCTCATCATCGGCAACTCCGCCTCCGGCCACGACATCACCACGAACCTCGCAGCCTCGGGCCTCGTCTCCCTCCCAGTCCACCAATCGCGCCGCTCGCGCAGCCGCTGGGACGGCCCCGAGCCCCCCTCCGGCGTAGCCTGGAAACCCACCGTCTCGCGCTACGACCCCGCGACCGGCGCCATCCACTTCAGCGATGGCACGAGCCTCACCGACATCGACGCCGTCATCTACTGCACGGGCTACAAGCCCTCGTTCCCGTTCTGGAACCCCGCCAACGGGCCCCTCTACGACTACGCGTCCGCCCGCCTGTCCGGCTTCTACGAGCACACGTTCTCGGCCCGCTGGCCGCGTGCCCTGGGCATAATCGGGCTCCCCCGCGTCCTCACGTTCCGCTCGTTCGAGTACCAGGCGATCGCACTCGCGCGCGTGTTCTGCGGCCGCGAGGCGCGTGCGCTGCCCGGCGCGGAGGGCGTGCGGGAGTGGGAAGTGCAGCGCGAGAGGCTGTGTAAGGGGGAGGGAAGGGGGTTCCATACGCTGCTGTGGGACGGCGGGGAGACGCTGGACTGGTTTGGGGTGTTGTATGGGATTGCGGGGTTGCCGAGGCTGGAGGGCGGGGGGAGGGTGCCGCCGGTGTTGTCGAGGGAGGAGAGGTGGGCGTATGAGAATGTGAGGAAGTATCCGGAGCCGGGGAAGGGGGTGCGGTGGGTTGAGGGGGGTGAGGGGGGTGGGGAGGGGAGGATGAAGGATAGTGCGTGGTTTATTTGAGGGGGTGGTGGTGATATAGTCAACTACGGTCTCGTATCGTCCAGTCCAGAATAGAGGTTATCCCGCAGAAGCGCGGCTGTGTATGATCGATGACAACGTACACCCCGAAAATTCTCCTCTGCTTGATGTGTAGCAACCCGAGTACTTGCTGGCACGTTATGCATGAACCGCGAATCCACCGAATGGTGCTAAGTCATCTGTAGCCAACACACTGACTAGAGCGACACATGGCGCAACTGGGCGCCGGCATTGCTGCCGGGTATTTCAGTTTCGTCTCGCAGACCAAGCAGAGTTCATCATTTCAAGTGATCATGGTTTGGCTGTGATAAACGCTATACAAATAAGTATCCGCGATTTGGTTGAACATAATTGCTATCGTACCGCTATATGTCAAGACGCCGCTCACCGTCATTGCTGTAATCAATGATCAATCTAAACTTTTAGATGCAACCCACCGGGCATCTCCAATTCCCGACTCCAGCTGACACTACAGCCACACATCTAACCACAGAAACCTCCCACAACGGCCACGTCACTCCCACTTACCATTCTGACCCATCATCTGCGCCCTCCGTACCTTCATCTCCGCCTCCGACACCTCATACCCATTAACCCACGCATACACCGCGCTCACCACGCCCCCAACCGCCCACATCGTCGCCGCCGCCGCCCCAAACAACAGCACCCGCTGCCCCGTCCCCAGCACCTCAAAAAGCGGATACGGATAAAACCCGTTCTTCGCATAGCACATATCCTATCCCACCCGTCAGCCCCGCACAGTACCACACCACATCACAACAAAGAAACGGAAAACCTACAATCCACACCCAATACGCGCCCGCCACAACCCCACACCCCGCCAACCTTGCCCCAGCGCCCCATTCCCCCGGCGGACTCAACGCCACCGCATCCAGCACCAGCGCCCCCGCGGGCACCGCGTGGAACCCCAGATCCGCGTGCAGCGGCGGCAGCGGCATGCCGGGCGGCAGCACGAGATGCAGCGCGGCGAGGCGCAGTGGCCAGTACAGCGTGCTGATGGTGAGCGCGAGCGGGGTGGCGACAGACGACAGGGCGTTCTTTGCCGCGAAGAGGTGTGTCGAGAGAGAGGTGGGGGGTGAGGGGGGTGTGGCGCTGGTCAGGTCGGAGAGGAGGGCGAGGAGGAAGGTTAGCGTGCTCAGGGCCAGGCCGATTATGGTTAGGAATTGGAGGTGCCAGCCGTAGGATGTTGACTGGGGTTGTTAGGATGGAGTTTTGGGAAGGGGGTTAGGACGGGTTGTTGGGATTGAGTGAGATTGTCAGGATGGGGTGTGGGAGGCTTGACGGTGCTGCGGGAATGCAGTCATGGTGAATAAGATCTTTGCAAAGATCCGCTGCGGGTAATTGCTTGAGGAGCGTGCTGTTGAACTTCTTCGGGAACTCACAAATTGATTCGGGTTGTCGTGCAGACTGCGTATGACGTTAGCGTGCTTCGGGGGATGTTGTTCGGGGAATATTACTATTTGAAGGAACTGTAGAAGCTTATGAGACCAAGGACCTGTTAATCGATTAACACGTCTTGATCTGATGCTTGCGATGACATGGACGTACGTGCAAGGCACCCGAGAACCCCTTGGAAGGGGCCTCGAATCGCTGCAGCGGATGTCGCGTGCTCTGCAGCTCGGCTGCTTTCCCTGGAGTACCCATGTGGTCCGAATACAACAAGATGTGAGATGAGGACAAAGCACTCGACCTTTCAGTATTGTCGAGTCCTTCCAATGACGTGTAGTTGCTGTTCAGCCAAGAGCTCGCGTGGAAACTTCGGTCCAACAACCCCACGTGGTTGCCGTTCATGCGCACTCCAGACTCCACGCGTCTCTGTCTGCTTTACCCCGCCGCTCCCCGGCGTGTAGTCCGACATGTGTCTACCGATGATAACCCGTTCAACAGCCTGATAATAGGCTCGCGTCGTCAGATGACACCAATAGGCTATGTTTGGGGCTTCTGGAGTCCGCGTTGGCGGTTGAACTTCGGACGCGGCAGTCTTAAACCACGCCAAACCGCTTCGCTAACGCCGACATTGCATAAACCTCGGAGCCCATAGTGCGAAATCTAGGGAACTTGTCCATATCGAGGTATTAGTGCGATGCTGGCTTCTCCACTTCTTGTCCTGACTACATGTTCTTGTTCGGGAACACGGCGAGCGTCCCCGGCTTTGATCGAAACAGTGAGCTCCGCACCTTATAAAGACGTGACAGCGCCTTGAACGGAGGGGACATCAACTCACTTTCGCTTTTGCACTTTACTCTCACATAGGTACACATATAGAGGAGAATTAGCACCACATCGCTGTCAACCTCATCGATATACCTCAAAATGAGTGCGAAGGTCGAGAAGATCCTCGCGTCTCTGACCTTGGAGGAGAAGGTTACACTCCTTGCTGGAAAGGACTTCTGGGAGACCGTACCCATCCCAGACAAGGGTGTGCCGGCCATCAAGGTACACAACATGATCGATCGGTCTGCCGCGTGAGCTGACTGTTACAAGACCAGCGATGGACCCAACGGCGCACGAGGCGAAGTCTTCGCCGGGGGAACACGCGCTGCATGCTTCCCGGCTGCGGTCTGTTCTGCTGCAACATGGAATCCGGAGTTCGCCCACCGGATAGGTAATGCGCTGGCAGAAGAGACAAAGACCAAGGGCGCACGAGTTTTGTAGGTTCCATCATAGAGCATGGATGAGCACTGCTGACTTCCAACGCAGACTTGCCCCGACAATGTGCTGCCACAGGCACCCGCTCGGTGGCCGCAACTTTGAGAGTTTCTCTGAAGATCCTTTCCTCACAGGCAAAATGGCTACCAACGTTGTCAACGGCCTGCAAGAAAAAGGTATTGCGGCGACAATTAAGCACTTTGCAGCCAACGAGCAGGAGACTGAGCGTCTCCTCGTTGATGAGGTCATCTCTGAGCGTGTTCTGCGAGAGATCTACCTCAAGCCATTTGAGATGGTTATCAAGGACGCCAAACCTCATGCGGTAATGACTGCTTACAACAAGGTCAACGGAACTCACGCGGACTCCAACACTTTCCTTCTGAAGCAAGTCCTACGAGGGGAATGGGGCTGGGACGGCCTTGTCATGAGCGACTGGGGAGGCACGAACTCCACAGCTGACTCGTTGAACGCTGGGCTGGACCTCGAAATGCCTGGTCCTACAAGATGGCGAAAAAAGGAGGCTGTTCTGAAAGCTGTCAAGGACGGCGAAGTATCAGAGCAAACAATCACCGATCGCGCCCGAGCAGTACTGAGACTGATCGAGCAGGTCGGAGCGTTCGAGAACCCTGAGATACCCCCTGAACAGTCTATTGTCAACCCAGCCCACAGCAAGCTCATTCGAGATGTTGGTGGTCAGGGTATCACACTCCTCAAGAACGAGGGTGCGATTCTGCCATTGTCGAAGGAGAAGGTCAAGGGCAAGACGATCGGTCTTTTTGGCCTGGCCAAGGAGGCGTTGATCCACGGCGGTGGAAGTGCGGGTCTCAACGCACACTACCGCATCTCCCCAGAGGAGGGCTTGAAGAACACATACGGCAACGATGTCGAGTTCAAGTTTGCACAGGGCGCCCAGACATACCGCTTGCTACCGCCTCTTGCGAAGCACTGCAAAGATACTCAAGGAAGCCAAGGTTGGAAATTGGAGTTGTTCAAGGCAGGCGAATCGAAGGCCTTGAAGACCATCGATGGCTTCAAGGAGTCGTCTTTCAGCCCAATCGTCGACCCAGACGCAGCTCACAAGGAGGTCAAGCTCACCACAACCTTCACACCGACTGCGACTGGCAACCACTACCTCGGATGCTCTGGCATTGGTCCTACCAAAGTCAGCATCAACGACAAGGTAGTATTCGAGCAGAAGGACAACTCCCCAGACCCGATGGGCTTCTTACTTGGTGGAAACCCGGAAAAAGAGTTCACTCATGCTTTCAAGCAGGGCGAGACCTACAAGGTCGAGATCCACAGTCTGCCTCCAGTTGGCGGCTCCGACTGGGGTATCCTTGCCGGTCTCCCCGGATTCAGGATGGGCCTCATGCTGGAGGAGGAGCACAACCTAGATCTCCTCACACAGGCGAAGAACCTTGCCAAGGAAGTCGATTACGCTATTGTCTTCACTGGACACACTCCCGCCTGGGAGACCGAAGGTCAAGATCAACAGAGCTTCAGCCTTCCTCGTGATGGATCGCAGGATGCTCTTGTCGACGCTGTCGCATCGCTTAACCGCAACACCATCGTGGTAAACTCGACCGGTGTTGCTGTCGCAATGCCCTGGCTGAACAAGATCTCCGCCCTCGTCCAGGCCTGGTTCCCTGGCCAAGAAGCCGGTAACGCTATCGCTGACATCATCTCCGGCGCTGTAAACCCCTCTGGCAGGCTCCCCGTCTCGTTCCCGAAGCGCGTCGAAGACGCACCCGCCCACGGGAACTTCCCCGGCGAGAAGAAGGGCGACCAGCTTACCGTCAAGTACGAGGAGGGCGTCTTCGTCGGCTACCGCCACTACGACCGCGTCTCCCAGGACAAGATCCAATTCCCCTTCGGCTTTGGCCTGTCGTACACCACCTTCGCTCTCGGCAACGGCAAGGTCGCACAGTCCTCTGCAGGGACCTTCACCGCCACCGTCTCGGCAAAGAACACCGGCAATCTCGCCGGCGCCACCGTCGTCCAGCTCTACGCCGGCCGCAAAAACGCCTCCGCCGACCACCCCGTCAAGACCCTCGCTGCGTTCAAACGAGTGCACCTCGAGGCCGGCGAGGAGAAGACAATCGAGCTCCCTGTCTCACTCAGGGACATTGCGTACTTCGACGAGGCTTCCAAGGGCTGGAAGGTCGAGCGCGGACAGTACGAGTTCTCGTTCGGTCAGTCGACGGCGCATATTGATAGCGTCGCAACTGTGGATATTGAGGGTACTCGCGAGCTGAAGTTGTAATCGCGGCATTGTTGGCGAACAGTACTGTAAGCGAATGGTATCGTGAGTAAAGTAGATAAACGGCCTAAAGAGTTAATGAAATCTAATGAGACCTGTTACAATCACCGCATTAAGTATTGCCACGAGCGTGATTGCCATAGAACAGACCATTTCTTGGACGTACGTCATTTAAATGTGTATCTGTGCCTTAACTTCGGATTACCTGGACACACCTCCACTTCCAGCTGAGTTTCCACTTGGAGCTGGCATGTATACGTATACCAGAGTTAGATTGATGACAGCGAAACTCTGCTGAAGAGTTTCAGAGTCAGGATTAAAGCCCCGTCGTGGGTTTCGATGGCCGATTGCATCAGGCACATCGCAAACGACGATTCACGATCACTTTTTTCCTAGTCCTTGAATAGTGCTTGACTCAAGTGCTCTCCGCGCAAAGAGACGTTGGAAAAAGCGTATATTTATTCTGTACTCCTACAACAATGAAGGCTCTAACTGATCCATTGAGCTCGCAGCCCATGTCCAATCCAAGCCGTTGAGATTCATAGCGTTCGCAACCGCCTCCAATTGCTCACTGCTCAACACCTCCTCCATGTCGAAGCTATGAGTGGACATGTACTCGACTTCCGACTGCATGGACGCGAGAGTCCCTGGCTGGATATCCTCGTATGGCTGCAATGGAAACGCGTCATTACTGTCATTAGGACTGAGTTGTGTCGGATACCGTGGATTAGGCTCCATGAGCTCCAATGACTTGAGTGTGTCTCTCAGCTGCGAGAGCTCGTCTTTGCGGAACGATGCGATGCTGTTGCCGGTTGACGCCATTTCGTTGAGCACGTCGAGTGCGGTTTGTAGAGATCCCTCGTTATCTTTGAAGAGCGAGGGATCGACGACTGGCGCGATCAAGAGTACCAATGCTGCAGACCATGTTGATTCCAGATCAAATGGTACAAAGACATCTATTCAGAGCATTTGTCAGTCGGAAGATGTCTGAGAGGTATCAAGAATACTTACCAAGTAAAGTTTGGCTTTGCAAAGCCGCCAAAATCTTGGTTGTCTGCCGTGCTGAGCCGACGCAGACTCGCAGCAAGGAACGGACTCCACCAGATGAGGGCACACGGATCGGCTTGAGGGTCTCGACCCTCCTCTGAAGGAAGCTGAATAAGAGAGGCTTGGTGTTTAATATGATACACTTTGATATTGAAAACGTCAGTCAGTCGTACAGGAATACATTCCAGGATATGGCGCTTACGTGATGGTGGAATAGATGTAGATGTGCGGACAGTCTTGAAATCCCTTTGTCGCCAGGGTTGCCTAGTTCGAGCGGAAAGTTTGACGTGCGCTCGTCGTTAATTGCCGCTAATGCTTTGAGCGCAGCTTTGATACTATTCAGGAAGTTGATGCCTGTTCTCCCTTCCTTGCTGTATACCGCTATTTGCCATTAGACGTGTCTTCGAAATCTGTATAGAACTAGGTCTCACTTTGTTGAATCATGCCTTCGATATCAGCTAGCTTGATATGAATATGAAGAGCATGGACTTTATGAATTGAGCTCCCAAAAGTAGGGAGCTGGGCATTGATGTCGCGTGCGTCGATAGCTCTTGGTGCGCCCATCAAAGCAGACATGTGGGAATCAAGTATGTACACGGTCCACCAGATCTTGCGGCATCGTTCTAGAACCGCAGCGGAATGCTGATGGAGTGGCATATCAGTGTGGAAACCAAACGAGATAGCTGTACGTATGGCTTGTCCGATCTGAAGGTGTCAATGTGGGGTCTCAAGAACTCTGACGTTACATCTTACTTACCATGGTGTATGCAACGATCCGCATATCAAGGCACTGCAGGTAAAGTGCTGCGCAACAGAGGATTTCAGTGCTTTCTACAGGATCAGTCCAGAGGAAAATCTGATCTGGAAGTATCTGCATAGCGCGCACGAAGAGATCGGCACCAGATGGCTTCCTGCCTTTTCTTAAGCGACCAACAAGCGATTTCCCTATCGCCAAAACTATCAGGTAGTGAATATACCAGAGCTCTGGGCAAAGATCCTGCGCCTGATTGCCTTCGTGAAACAAGTTGAAGTTTTGCATGAAGACGTCGTTGTCGAAGACGTGAAACAATTGTCCGCAGTGGAATTTAACAGTGTTGATGAGGAAGAGCGCATGGTCTGCAGTAGGTAACGCAGGCTGCGCACTAATCGCTGCTGTCCGCCGCCCATCCCATCCGAGATCGTAAGCGGTTCCATCATGATGAAGGTCAGTCTCGGGAAGAGGGTAGCCAAAAACTTTGCTGTGGGCTAGAGCTAATGCTCTTCTTCCAAACGACCAGTTTGATGAACTGCCCAAATGGACTGCGCATGTTAAGCTTCATTACAGAATTCTGCGAGGGAATCCACTTACGAGCACGACCAGTATTCACTCCAGTATAAGTGGATTGACCGGAAACTAGTGGATTAATGATTGGAGGGCGATCGCTGTCGCTATGCACACTCGCAGCTCGTGATTCGTCATATCTCGACCCAGGCGGTTGATCGATGCCCAACTGTGAAGTTGGTGTTGATGATGAATGGTCCATCTGAGCTTCGTCTTGAGCTGGATTTGAAATGCTTAGTCCGCTTCTGTGCCTCGAGCTCTGCGGTTCCTTCTCGAATTCTGGTGACGCCGACAAGTGACGCTCATGCGAGAGACGCCTCCCGTCATCTCCTGCGCGCGAGGCATCCCTTTGAAGTCGTGCAAGGGTTCTGGAGGATCTTAGACATGCAGCTATCTCGTTTTTGGGTAGAACTCCTACTCCTTAAAAACCAGCACCTGCTGCTGTTTCTCAGGAAACGTGCATGGTTGTTTCCTCTTCTCGCAGTGAGCGCAAGGCTGATTGCCCGAGCAACGGATCTTTTGCCGTTTGCAGAAGTTACATCTGTTTTGTATTAGATGGGTCAAACACTCATGTGTTCATAACGGTGAAACGGAGGGGTGGACTTGCGCGTTGGGCACGCGTTTCCTGACGCGATTTGCCTTCGAACTACCACCGGGTGCAGCATCAGACATGCCGGTGTAGATATCGGATGATGGGGGAAAGTAGAGCCAAAAGGCAGTCTTGCACTTGAAGCAGGGTCATCGGCTACGAAATGGAGGCGTCAAACCTCCGATAAGGTGGTCCGGGATCGGAAGCTGCATCCGAGTCCAAAAAAGGCTAGCGTGCAGATTGCCCGACCCGAAGTCATCATCCATCGGCACTCCCTGGCAACTTAACGTCAGCCAGACCAAGCTCTGCAAGACAGATAGTAACATATTAGCTCTATTCCAAATGGATGTCTGCGTGTAAGTCCGGGGGAAGGATGATGTCCAGAGCCTCCCGAGGTCGCATTGGAGTCAATTTAATACTCGCACTAAACACGGCGGTAATCGCTGGCATTTGATCGCAGATGTTAAAGCTAGGCCTATATCCATTGCTTGTTTCCAAGGTGCGAGACAAAGGCACCACCATACCCACTGTCAATGCTGACCTTCTCCCAGAGCGCGATGTTCTCCCTGGCCGCATCCTCTACGGTAGCCGGTCCCTTGAAATGAGGAGCGTATGCCACAATCTTGCCCATAAAGTCTCCAAGGCCTTGCAGTTGTGCTGGTGTCACTTGTTGTACACGTTAGTCGAATTGAGATACCAATCATGCACAGGGTCACTTACGTTGATCAAACTTGCCAACATCCACAACACCAGGACTGATGCTTACGAAGAGCACACCATCTTTCTTGTACTGCGCGTTGTACTTGGCAACTATGACGTTCAAAGCTGCTTTGAACGCTGCATATAACGCGCTGTTCCCAACCTCAAGATCGTTGATGAGGTCAAGGTCCGCAACGCCACTGGAGAGGGAGATGACCTTCTTGACCCTTCCCTTCTGCACCAGAGGGAGAAAGAGATTGAAGAGATGCATACTACCAAGGATGTTGGTCTGATTCAGTTCTGCCAAAACCTGCTCAAGCTCTTCGATCTTGTCACCACTGTTCCCAAAATCGTTAGGTTAACGGCAGATGTTATCGACCAGCGGAGGACTTACAGCGCGCCAACGTCATCAAATGCGTCAAAAGATGGTACATACGCCCCGTTGGAAATGAGATAATCGACACCACGATCACCGAGAAGCTTCGTAGTCTCCATCGCAGCAGCTTTCAAGCTGGCATAACTTGACAGATCTCCATGAAGGATGTGAACGTTCTGACGACCGTCCAACTCTTTCGCGACTTTCTCCTCGGTTGCAGCCTTGTCACGAACTAATCCAATAACTGTATTCTGTGGATCAACAGAAACTTGCTTGAGGAATTCGAACTAGGACCAGGTCAACAAGCTTCTGGAGAATTTGGCGACTTTTCTGACCCCAAGTCCTTTCGATGCTCCAGTGATGACGTAAACTGACATGTTGATGAGCGCTTATGTCCAGTGTTCGATAGATCCAAAAGCTGCATCTGGACTGCTTTATATGCCATTTTTTGTGGATGCATCTTTCCAACGTGGCGTGGGACAGAGTTCATCCCACAGGAACTTGGCATAATCATTCGATCAATGGTGTCTAGGCAATATCTTAAAGGAGATACTGCTTAGGCGCCACATTCCCAACCGCCGTTTCATTTGGTCCGTGGCTGCAAAGTCTAGTCCGTGACTGTAGAGGTTAGTAAGTGTGATAGTAAGCTGACGTTTATGCACGTCAATATGCCCAAAAGGGGTAAGGCCTGCCAAACTGTGGAGCTGACAATGCACTCTGAACGCCGCTCTATGCATCAATTCATACTTGGCAGATAAGTATGAGCCCTTGTATTCTTGGAAAGAAAGTTATGTCGCGGAAAAGACGAATGCGCGTCTCGAGCCATCCTTAGAATGGACAAACGATGTGAGATCGCAACGCACAAATCAACCTTGCGCTCTTCGTCGTCTACGTTCTCTTCTTAGGTTTAGCAGAGGAGTCTGAGTACGACATAAAAGACTGGAATGCGTTCCAGTTACTGATACTCGCAGCCATACCCGGCACATGTGTGAATTCTTATTGAAACACAATCTATCGTCTAAGAACAGGAAATTCTATCAGTCTAAAATACAGAGAGCACGCCTTGTGACTACCGAGGTATTAGTCATGCCTTTCTTGCCTCCTCCTCATCCATACCACCCGGCACTATGAAGCGCGTTTGGTTGCCTTCGTCCTCAACTTCATCATCAAGAACACAAGACCATAGCTACTGAAACAGAAAAGGACCACAATGGCAGCGTTTCTCCACCCATAGTACTCTTCTTTCAAGTTGAGCGTCCGAAGGAATCCTGCGCCATCCGAGTATTGACACACTTGGCAACCTTCAAGTGCACTCGGATTGAGCAGATTGGTCTCGACACCCATACCTCGTTGATATTGTGACAGATATTCGCCACACGTCTGATTTGATGGTGGGTCAAATATTGCCAGTTCGCTTGGGTTGCAGACTACCTTGGAGGACCAAGAGGTAAATACGAGTAGCGATGACATAAGATAGTTGAAGGGGTCAATGTAGTAAAGCCTATGGTCGTTGTCGTTAGCAGTGGCTCAATGGAACAGCTGATTGATGAAGCGTACCAGTACCGCCAGAATTCCTGGATTTGACTATACGGTGCCATGACGCCAGAGAAGGACACCAATGTCGTGATGACGAGAGGGTTCATCAACGAGGCAAAAACAGCGTTGGGAGCATAGGCAGCGATCATTTGCCCGATTCCGGTGTAGAGGAATTCGTAGAAGACCTGACGCTTGTTAAAATTGCAATGATTGATGGAGCAGAACGAGACCTACCACAACAAAAAATGTGCTGCCAGCATACTTGGGTTCGGTCGGTAAACCAACTGTAAAGTACCAGCACACATAATATAGTAATGCGCAGATGACCAGATACGGCAATTCTGAAACGATTAGACCTGTAACAAATGGTATCCAATGGTATGTTTTGCTCTTCTTTTCGCGAGTTTCGTAGATATCGCGACGGTCGATAAACAGTGGTTGTAGCTGTGCAATAACACCAGGTGCTACAAAGATGAAGTTGAAAATAGTGAACAGTCGCAGCTGTAGGTCGTTTAGACTGTTACCCACTTGCCAAAAAGTAAAGCCGTTTAGCAAAGGCAGTGATATATGCAAGATAAACTTGTTATCAAGATATTCAACGTTGCGGAATATCGCAACGTTCATTCGATGCGTGACAATCTTGATTTGGTCCCACATGGATGCGGCGAATGCATGACCATCATCGACGTAGCCTGCAGGTTTTGCTGCTGCGTCTTCGATCAGTCTGTCCAGCTCGTTGTTCATACGCTCAAATTCTGGTGACTCAAGCCAAACTTTGTTCCAGTTCTGGCCACGCGAAAGGCTGCCGGAAACCACTTCAATCATGTGCTCAGCCGGGTTCGCCTCCTTTGGACAAGGTGCTCCTCGGATGGCAAAGTAGTTCTTGACTGTCTCCGCATCTTCTCCAATGTCGCCAAAGTAGACGGTTTTCCCGCCCTTTGATAATAGCAGGAGTGTATCGAATTGTGCAAACAACTGTGCTGACGGTTGATGAATGGTAACTAGAACAGCCTGACCAACTTCAGCTAGTTTGCGTAGGAATCGAACCGTGTTGTAGGCAGCTTGACCATCAAGGCCAGACGTGGGTTCATCCAGGAAGATCAAAATACTAGGTTTGGCGACCAACTCGACGCCGATAGTGAGGCGTTTGCGCTGTTCAACTGACAAGCCGGCTCCTGGGCGACCGACGAGAGTGTTCTCAATATCATGAAGCTGCAGGAGTTCGATTATTGTATCGACGTATTGCAGCTTTTCAGCACGTGGCGTGTCGCGAGATTGACGCAGGAGGGCGGAAAACTCTAGTGCTTCACGCACGGTGGCCAGTGGTTCATGAACGTCCATCTGTTCGACATACCCAGCCGATCGTTGGAAAGAAACTGGGAGAGGCCGACCATCAACCTGAACGGATCCATGGATTGTGCCATCTGTCTTGCGTTGCGCAAGCACATCAAGCAAGGTCGTTTTGCCTGCGCCCGAGGAACCCATAAGTGCTCCAAGCATACCAGGTTTAACGTACCCCTGGACATTATCCAGAAGCACAAGTTCGCCAGATGGAGTATTCACGGTGTAGGTGAGATTTTTCCACGTAAATACGCTGGTGTTATGAATGAGCTGACTGGCAAGAGTAGCATCAGACTTAGTCGAGCTTGCGCTTGGTCGTATATCGCTTGCTGGTGCCTCTTCATCTCGCGTTAATTGGCGATGTACTTTGCCACGCTTTTCTTGAGGTATGAGCAGTCCACGGCCTCCCTCACCCATCTTCTTCCATCGAGATGTGAAGACCATGGTGAGAACGACATAGAAGATCCACCAAGCGCAGAGGATGCCGAAGTTACGCCAGATATTGCCATGACTGAAACCGAGATGTTGAAGGTATTCGTCACCGTTTACGCTCGATGCACCTACGCGCGCGCCACCTACTCCAGTACAAGCTTGAGGGCTTTCGCCAGGTGTGTACCCCTCGCCGTTTGGAGCGAGATTCGGGCCAACGCATGGTATGTCTTGGCCATGAAACTCGTTTCCCATTAGGGCCTCAAACCCATAAGCCATAGGATTGATCCAGTAGATCCACACAAACCAGGGATGCATGATAGGCTTGATGATCATGTAGCCCATGTAGACGAACATGCTGACAATGACGAGTCCAGATGCCTTGGTTGCGGCATCAAACGTAGGAAATGCAGCTCCAATCAGACGAAACAGTTGTGTCATCGCCATAGCTGCCATAAAGGTGATGGCCCAGAATGTGAAAAAAGCTTCAGCTGTGTACCGGAATCCGACCATGAAATATAGGATCAACCCAAATTGTGTAATTTGGAAAAGCATGATTGGAATATCAGTGGCAATCTGAGCGATTACAAAGGCAGTAGGATGATGAAGGGCGAAGGACCGGTGTTTGGCCAGAACAGGTCTACCCGTGAAGGAGTCTGTGACCTCGGAGAGCGCGATAAGAGCGGGGTATAGGAGTGAAAAGAACAGTGCGCCACTTTTGAGGAAAAGCCCAGCGGAATGAGTCGGCGCATTGTAGAAGAGCGAGCCACCGACAAGCCTAGATCGAGTTAGCCAGCATCATCTTAATAAGAAATCCATCTTACGCTTGAATCGTCGCAGAGCCTTGCTTCAAGAACAAAGTTGCCTTATCTCCCCATAATATTTGAAACTGGCGGGTCACAGCTGCTCTAACCTGGGCATCAAAGCCAACGGATTCGGAGGCTCTTTTTGGAAGTCGAGGGTTCTTCTCAGCAGCTACCTCGGCTTTGAATTCGGCTGTGTTGTGTGCGGCTTCTGCACTTCGCGCGTAATCGCACTCAGTAAGTAATTTCGTTCTGATAGCCGACCCCTCATAAGCTGTACGGATTTCATCAGCAGTGCGAGGGAACTTCTCCTCGTAGCCAGGCTTAATCGCCCGTTCGGTAGGCACTGTCACACCTGTTAAGAAGTCGGCTTTGTTTGCTGCAGGATTGCACACAAAACCAAGATCCTCCATAAAAGGCACAGCATCCTCGCGTGGGCCATAGAATATTTGTTTCCCTTCATCCAGAACAAGGACTTTGTCAAACTGTTCGAATATGCCGTTTCCTGCTTGATATAATGTCGCGATAGTCGTGAGGCCTAGTATGTCCGTCATTGCCCGCATGGCTCTGGTCCATTCTAATGCGGTGCTGGCATCGAGTCCTCGAGTCTGGGAGTTTAATCAGTTTCAGTCTGTATGAATTACGGAGGAATGATACTTACACTGTTGTCCCAGCAAAAGACGCTTCCTCGGGTGGCGAGGCATTCGACAATGGAAACGCGTTTCCGCTCCCCACCTGAAACTCCACGGATGTACGCGTCACCCACCTTGGTACCTTTTGTATGCTCAATGCCCATCGTTGATAGCAAGAAGTCCTCGTTGATCTGCGCGTACTCCTCGGCATTCTTGACACCTGGCGGAAGGTGATGGGGAACCCTAAGACGGGTAGCGAAGTCAATCGTCTGGCTGACTGTCAGGGCTGGGAAGAATATTTCCTCCTCAGTATTCATGATGATTTGACCGCGATATTTCTCTGCCTCAACATTGGTCATGGCACCAAATGAGACCTCTCCGTCTATCTCGGCGTATCCGAGGCGATTGTTCGACAACATGTTCAGCAAGCTCGTGCAGCCTGCGTCTGGACGGCCAAGCACGAGGAGCATCTCTCCAGGTTTAACGCAACCAAATGAAGAGTCGATGATTGTCTTGTTTGAAACATCCTGGGAGCCCTTGCCGAACGGAAGGAACTGTGAGACGACATTTTCGTTGAAGAGTGCTTCGCTGCTCGCGCCTTTGACAGTGAGATTGTTCCATGTTACACCGAGCTTCTTGGGCTTGGAATCTTCGGTTTGGAGGCGACGCTGATGTTCTTGAACCTTTTGGAAAGTATGTGGACTTTCGACGTTTTCGATCCGGGGTTTTTCTGACACATCCGGGTCGGCATCAGTCCCTTCTATAGAGTACGACACTTCAGATGCTGGTGTGTCCATTATCAGATGTTAAGAGGTTTCTAAAGCGAATCGGGTATAAATTATTTCGGTGTAGGAATGGTTCGAGATTAATGGGAGCAAAATGAAGCGTCGAAAAACATTAATGAGGCTCTGGGAAGTCACTCAGGAGTAGTGCTGAGAATATCACGGGACGTTATAGCTACTTATCATCCTCTGAAACGGAAGGAAAATGGCTGCGTAAAATTAGGGCAGTCTGTGAGATTACTACAAATTCTGTGAGCGGTGCGACAACCCTCCGGTTGAAATGTTAAGTATCTACAAGTCACGGCCGTACCAGTAGGAGTCTCGACTGAACACCAGAATCGGCTCAATATTGCGGCTCTAGCGTTATCCACGTTGAGGCGATTACTGAAAACGGCCCTGCATTCCCCCGAACTTTCAACTGGGATTACTGATCGTTTCGCCTAACCCGTTTAGGCTAAACGGACTAGATAGAAGTCATCATCATTTACTAACCATTCATGCTCAACGTAGTGTTCGATCAAGCAAAATAATACAAAAGCTGCGCGTACGTCTTTGCTGATAAAGATTGCGTTATTTGAGTCATTCTTAACAAGACTAGCTGCCGTTTTCTTTGCAGGGTTCAATCTCCTGCTACGACCAGGTGTCACAGGTAGGAATTGGCTCCGAATATGGCAGTTATCGAAGTATGTACGAATCGCTTAGGAGTTTACTAACAGACAGTGAAGTCCACAGATACCTATCTGCATGTTACAACATGTGTTAGAAACTGTTGGCCCTCACACGTCTGACGCCTGGCTAGAGACACTGCCTTTTTCCGCGTGAGTTGCAGTCGCAACCTTCGAATTCCGACGCCTCCTGACGAAGAATACGATCAACGCAGCAAGGCCAACCACACCCAATGTCACTGCCGCGCCAATCGCGCCGGCGGCTGCGTTTGACATACTGGAGCCACTACCTCCCGTCTGCGCCTCAGCGGTGCGAGAGCTGTAAGCTTGACAGAACAATGCCTCACTCTGACATGTACCGCACCACTGTTCAGGTGATGTAATCGCAATCTCTGTCATCTTCGACACGAAATCAGTATACGGGAGCGACTCGTCCTGGCCGCCAAAGAGCGGGAAAGCCGTCGGCGCTTCACCCTGCGTGGATCCGTTGCGGAACAAGAAGCGGACACGGAGATCTGCTGCATCGGAGGGGAAAGCAGCGACATCCTGCGATGTGAATAGCTCAAAGGCCATCGTCGAAGCATAGTCTGGTAGCCCATAAAAGTCACCAGATGCAGCCGTCAAGTTGCTCAGTCCAAAAAACGCCAGGAATGTGTCGTAGCTACCCGCGAGAAGTGAGAACTTCTGTCGACCTTTGGATGAAACCATAGCATCGAGCTGTGCGAGAATTCCGCCAGCGAAGGTCTGGCCACCGATGGAGCGCGCGGAGTCCTCGGCATCGTATGCCATGTCGAACTCCCACTCGTCGGCTAGTGTGCGGAGTCGAATCAGGTCCTCAGCTGAGACCGTGCTGTTGTGGGAGGCGTTATGGATGGACGCCACATTGAGTAAATCGAAGATGTCATATGCGTTGGCAAAACTGAGGTTTGATTGCTGGTAGTCGTATACACCAATAAGCTGATCCCAAAATGACTGGTAGAAGGGCCTTGTCTCGTCGATGCGTTGCCTGAAAGCCGAGCTCTCCTTGTACTGCCTGAGTGAGGTTGTAACAGCTGGGCATTCTTCGTCGCCCTTGAGCCATATTGTATTAGGCGAGTCGTCATTCTCGCCGTGGACTACAAGGTATTGGTATCCTCCCAGAGGCTTTATGACGCGCTCATTGCTGTTCAGCCTTTGAGTCGCAGTATTCTCATCGATGTTCTCCAAGGGTGGATATAGACCCTGCAAGAAAGCCGTAGCTGTGTTAAGCAGCACGGCTTGGTCCGGCGCAGAAGCGTAGATCTGTGAATTGACGACCTTGCCTTCTGAGACGTTGAGGATCTGCTTAGGTGATGACGAGTTCAGGTAGATACTACGATAGTCCTGTCCCACATCATAATTTTGTTGAAGTCCTAGATTGGTCAAGTTGTAGCCCTTGTAGTGCTTAGAAGTTCCTAGTCACTGGTCAGTTGGACGACGTACCAAGCGGTCCATCGACTCACGGTCACCATGGCGCGAGAAAACAGTAACGCCAAGTATAGTTTCGGCTTGAGCTGGAGCCAAGAGGCTCACAGCCGTCAGTAGCGCGACTGATTTCATGTTCTGCTGAATTCCCTGGGGTTACGAGTCGTCAAGATTTATAAGCGCACAGAGTCCAACACCTCGGCCTACCGCGCATTTCCGCGGATGTCGCCGATAACCCGATCACTTGCATACAGTTCGTGATGGCATTCTCTGACCCTCTCGTGGTTGGATAGGCGTGCGCCGTTGACTCTATGCCCCGCCTTCCAAGGCCTTGGCAGAGCGGAAAAGAGAGAAGTGGGAGGGCGGCCAAGGACTCTTATCAACTCAGGAAGGTGGCTGCGATGACTAACAATGGCTTGAGCATACCACGACCTTTGCCCCACTCCTCATTCTCAACACCATGCACTTCAAGACGTCAAGGCAGATCCGAGCGAGGTGGCATCTGCCACACGGACCGTCCGCCATGCGACCCAAATCGGAAACCCACCACTCATTGCACCTTCCTCTCGCTCTTCCTTTCACTCTTGCTCTCCTCCCCCTCCCCGTCCTCACTCCTAAACCCCACCCTCGCCAAAAACGCCAACCTAACCAAAGTCACCACCACCATAATCACAAAAGCCCCCCAATCCTCCGCCCTCCACGTCTCAGGTAGCACCCGCCACTGGCTATTCAGCGCCCCAAAAGCAGCCGGAAAATATGCGAAATCTACAATCAGCAGCCCGATCTCGACAATGTGCCAGATCTTCAGGTCCGACGTGTATCGCAGTAGCACGCCGGAGATGAGCCCGCAGTTCAGCATGTGGCCGCCCCGCTGGCCGAGGATCATCTTGTGGCCGATGTCGAGCGTGGGAGAAAGGATGTGTGATGAGAGGACTGTGAGGGGCGCATGGAAGTCTAGGTACGCGCCCCAGAGGCAGATGAGGGGGTCGATGATGGTGAAGAAAATGCGGTAGAAGGAGGGGATCGCGCGCATTCTTGGGGGCGCGGATGGCGGCATGATTGCTAGGGTTTGCTGGGGATTGAGTGCGGGCTATCTCACTGATGGCGTCGACATAGAGTTGAAAGTATGTGGAAGTAGATTTGCGGACGGGAAGAGGTGCAGGGGTGGCATGACGTCAGCCGCACAGGCCAATCGTCTCCTTTCCCGCGGTTTTCTCCACGCCAATAACTCGTTCGGCTCACTAAACTTTACAGGCTTTACACAACCCACTCCAGGATAATACTGTCCCACAGTATACCTCTCCACTGCGTGTACCTATCCGTGGCGAAGCTCAAGACATTCTTGCCTTGCTTCAGATCCGCCGCGGCAATCTCGTATTGCAAAAATCGCCACTCTCCGCTGATAGTCCCTGAGCGATACAGTGCCGGATCGCTCGTCAACGTGTCCTTGCTAATTGTGCCAATCGTCTTGTTGCCATTCAGGTAGATTGTCAGAGAAGTAGACTGCGAGTAGCCTGCGAGCGACACACTCAGCAAGGCCTTGGCGGTCTTTGAAGGCGCAGAGGTGTTGAACACGATATCCCAGCTTCCAATCTTGGAGGATGCATAGTACCAGTCGGAGGTTTTGGAAGTGCCGACGGTGAAGGTAAGGTTTGCGGGGCTTTGCTCTGTCAGGCCGTGTACGTGCGGACCCGAGTTGGTGAAGCCGGTGGCTTTCTTGTCGAAGTCGCCGATCTGGAAGATCTTTTGTGTGTTCGAAGGTACGGTCCATGTGAGGCTACCTAGATCCGCGGATTTGCCCTTGCTGATGGCGACCGTGGATGTGAAGTTCGTGTACACGTTGCCAATGGCACCGCCATTTGACGCAGCAATCAGACCGTAGGAGCCGGCGCGTACGTTAGAAATCGAGAACGACCCGGTAGCATCGGCGAAGGCGGTGTAGTAATAATTCGATCCTTGGATGAGCGGGCGAATGGACGTATCGGAGTCGCCAAGAAAGACTGCTGCACCAGCTGCAGGGCGACCGTCGGAAAGGGTGAGTTTGCCCTTAACGGAGCCACGTGCATGGTAAGCGGTATCGTTCAAGAACGCATAGGGGAATGTCGCTCGCTCTTTAGCAGCACGGAGTTTGGCGTCGGAAACGGAACCGTCGTTCTAATATGATGTTAGGGGGGTCTTGAAGGTCTTTGATGGATGATATACCAAATACCAGAGCCATGGACCCCAGATCTTGCCTACGGGTTGCTTTGTTTTAGCGCCGACACGAAAGTGAGACGTGTCTTGCACAACATTGAGCTGTACAGCATCACCTGTTGCGGACTCGCGGTGCACCTGTTCTTATTAGTCTCTTGCGCTCATAGGTCACTACGAACTCTATCGTTTAGCTTACCGTTAGCGTTTGACTCAGGTGATTGCCCGGCTGGTAGTCGTTCGTGGGATGGATGTACCAGCTCCCCGATTTGTCACCATACACGCCGATAAAGTCTCTCTCTCGCACGTAGTTCGCAAAGTCGTACTTTGTTACATAGCTGCCATCCGGGAACTGAAACGTCTCGTCCTGAATCTCTGGAGCATTGGCATACAGAGCAAATTCTGGTAGTTTGTCATCTTTGTTGGTGTTGTAGCCACGCGTGAATCGGTTTGGGTCGAGACGCCACAGGGTCCGGAAGATGGATAGGTCGGGAAGTGCCTTGTTGACAAAGTATTGGTAGGCACCCGTTAGGTCAGCATAAATAACCCAATGGAAGTCACCAAGCGATGAGGAGAATGCAACATCAATGTAGTCTGCGGAGTTAGACACAATCTTGGCACTGGTGTAGACGAGATTTGCTTCGCCGTCTGCAATCCTCGAATTAGTTGTGTCTGCTTTGCACATTGAAGGCGCTACGTACCAACGCCGGCATAGTGGCCTTGCGCTTTGCCCACTGCATCAGAACCCTGGTACTGAAGATTGGTGGCATAAGTCGCGCCCTGGGTGAGGTTCCAAAGGTCGTTGCCAATGATCCATTGAGTCGAGGAAACCTGTTGGAGAAATGGGCCTTTAGCCACAGCCAATTTGACTGCGGCGAGAGCTGCAACAAGAGAGGTGGTCCGCATCTTCCGAAATGTATTGAGGCTCAATCGCTGTAGACATCATCTCTATGCGCAAGACAGGCTGTATTTTGTACCATACGAGTAACGAGCACGCAATTCTGTCGCGATAAGACGAGCGATGCGTTCTATCGGAGATGAGGGCGAGTGTAGAGCTCAAAAAGGGAAGTGGAGCAAAGCTTGATCGAAAAAAGCGGTCGCTACGGACCGTTGTGCAGGGGTATGAACATGTCGCCCATCAGCGAGCCATATCAACGTGGCGCCTTGCCATCTTCTACTGTTACTGCGTTACTGCCGGAAGAATTATGTCGTGATCATGAGCCATGCGCAGACAATTTTTTGACGAGACGATATGCTGACCATAAGACGTGATTTCAGGGTTGCAGAATGAGGCTCGGCTCTCCCTTCTTGAACGCCGTATCCTAAAGCTCATGAGCATGTGATACGTATAGATGATAAGAAACGAGCGACTGAATGTTAAAGTTTTTCTTTTAAAAGTCGCGAAACACGAATGAACATTTCGTAGTGGGGTATAATGCAAGCAACCGTAGCGCCTTCTTCGTCGCCGCTATTCGCTCTTCTCCTCACCTGTTCGTTTGTCAAATGGAACTGTACATCACTTCTTGCGGCCCCGCCCAGCTGTGCCGGTGTTACGACGGCTAGCATCAGCTGTCTCCGCAGTGGTGCCTGAGTCTGCGCTCGTACTGGCCTGACCCAGCAACCTGGACAGATCGCCTAGCCCACCACTCCTAACATTCTTCTTCTTCCCGCCCCCTCTCTCTGCAAACGCCATCGCCATGAGCTTCCTCTTGTCGCTCTGGATTCCTAGCACTCTCTCTTCCACACTGTCCTCGACAACGAGTCGGAACACAGTAGTCTCTCGCTTCTGCCCCAAGCGGTGAACGCGATCCACAGCTTGGTCTTCGATGGCGGGCGCCCACCAGCTGTCCGCCATGATGACCTGGTTGGCTGCAACTAGATTGAGGCCAACTGAGCACACGGCGAGAGACGCAAGCATGATAGTCGTTTCAGGGTCACTGTCGAGCGCCTCGAGCGCAGCGTCGCGCGCCACAGCCGACATGGAGCCATCGATGCGCGTGAACTTGAAGCCTGCTGCAGACAGGTGTCCTTGGATGAGGTCAAGAAAGGACGTCCATTGGCTGAAGATGATGGTCTTGTTTGTCTTGTCCTTCGCGCTTGCGGCCAAAATCTGCAAGAGCTGCTCAACTTTGCTGCTCGTCTGTTTCTCAAGCGAGGCCTTGTCAGCCTCAGACTCGGCAGTAGGCTCGGGTTTAGCTGATGTTTCGACGGCGGGTTTGACAGTGGTAGAGCCAAAAGACTCCAGTTCAGCGCGGCACATCGGACACTTCCCTTGCAACTCGATGACACGCTCCAGGCATGGAGTGCAAAAGATATGCGCGCATTTGGTGATGACTGGATCTTTGTAAGTATCAAAGCAAATAGGACAGTCTTCCTGGGAGTCGATAGAAAGCTGCAGCATCTTCTGCAGGGCTTCTTTATTTTCGGCAGTGAGGTCAACAACGCCTTCGGCTTCGAGCTGCTTCATGATTGAGTCGAGTCGCTCTTCGCCAACCAACTGCCAGTGATTGCACAGCTGGCGCATACGCAGAAGAACCTCGAGAAGGTGACGGTATGTGTCGGAGGCCTTTCGATTGCCGATGTTGTTCTTATAGATGTCAAGAGTACCCTTTGCTTGGGCCTCAAGTGCGTCGTATTTCTCTTGCTCGTGTGGATGGAGCTGGAACTTGTGGACGTACTCTGATAGCTCTGGAAGACGAAGGTCAATAAACGACATCTCTTTCTTCCTTCGCAGGCAGATGCCCCCCATAAGCAGCTGTAACGCTTTATTGCCTTGCGGGTCACCAGCCAGCACAGGTCGTGAGATGGCTCCGTGGAAGATTTCGAAAGAATCAAGGCCACCTGAAAGACGCAAGAAGCGAACTTGACTGTAGAGGTCTTTGAGGTTGTTGATGATCGGCGTTCCTGTTAGAGACCAGCGTGACTGAGTCAGGAGGCTACTGACAGCAATGGTCTTCTTGGCTTTGGGATTGCGGATATTGTGGCCTTCGTCGAGGATCACCCGACGCCATGTGACGGAGAATGGGCCTGATTTTCTTGGTAATGCAGTGCTTTTTTGTGAGTACCAATCTGACGAGATTGACTCGTACGTGCTGATAACCACATCGTAGTTCTCAATCTGCTTTGGTGTGATCGGCTCTTTGCGCGCGCCATGCCAGAACATGACGCGAAGTGCATGCTCTGGTTTGATGTGCCTCTTCATTTGCGTGCTCCAATTACTCATGACAGAGACAGGGGCCAGGATGAGAGATGCATCAGTAACACCAGAAGCTCGGCGATTTAGCGCCCTATCGGCCATGATGAGCGAAATGACCTGAATAGTCTTGCCCAAGCCCATGTCGTCTGCCAGGATGCCCCCAGAAGCCAGCTTGGGATTGGTGATGGAGTAATTTGTGGCGAGGTTAGTAAAGGCATTCGGCATCTGAGGGTGGCGCTGCCAGAGCTGAACAACATCCTTGGTTCCTTGAGCCGGTAGCTGTGGAGACTCCTTGTCCAACATCCACTGCAGTCCTTGGAGCTGAAATGGATGCATTTCGGTCTGAAGTGCTGCAGGTTGAGCAGCTTTGGGCATCGCGGCCAGATCCTGCTCCTTGACACCAAATTCCTCCACTATGTTCTCGAAGTTCCTAGGATTGAAGCGCTCACTGCCACCGATAATGTCCTCCAGGCTGGGTCCTGGCCCCATGCCATCAGCCTGCGACGAGCCTGCCATGTACTCGCTCATGCTATTTTCCCAGTCCACACCCTTACCAACGCCGACAACAGCTCCGCCGTTCTTCTTTGCCCTCTTTGCAGCTTCCTTGGCCAAACGTTGCCTCTCCTTCTGCGCTGCCGTTTCCTTGCGCTTGCGATCCGCTGCCTGAGCAACCGGAAGTTTGTCTTGTCGCATCTGAGCGAGGAGGCTCTCTCGTTCAACGGGCTCGTTCGTGCCGTACACCCTGACCTCGATAGGGCACTCGAACATGCCCTTGGGGCCAGTGATTTGCGCTTCAACTAAAAGGCTCTGATTGTCCATGTACTTCGCAAGCTTCGAGGCAAGTGTTTTTGGAATGTGACCAATTTGCTCGCCCTGCACGTTCAAGACTTGGATTGCGTTCCCGTCGTACTGATTATGAGGCTCGCGCCTGCAGATGACCATTTCCCCAACGGTCGCGTAGCCATTGTAGTATCTGACCCCTACGATTTTGTTGTGTATCACTCCGTACAGGCCGTAGCTGGACTGCTGCTCATTGTAGCTCTGCGTTGAGTCTGGTGCTTCTTGCGACGCGTCATCGTCATCGTCACTGTCAATGACTAATGCGTCGTGCTGCGAGGAGCCCGCTGCGCGTGTAGGGTGTGTGTTGGTGGTGCGGGGCTGCTTTGGAGCGCGAGGATTCGCGCTGTGGGCGGAGGACGAGGGCGAGCTTTGGCTCCCAAGATCGCCATATTGGCGCTTTCGGGGAGGCATTGTCGAGGGCAATTTTCGATGAGAAAGTGACGCGCCCGACGGCCGGGCGACAGCCGTTGTGTACGGTAAATGGGTGAATTGGTGGTGGCGTGCGGCGGAAAAGCAGTACCTAAAGTTTGCGCGCTGGACGCGTCCACGCGCAACGCCCATGCGATGACCTCACCGCAGTCGCACCACCATCACCAACAACACACGAGAACACATGCTCTCCAGCCCAGTGCCCTCGGATTATGCCTCAACGCTATGTCGAACCGGGCCTGACCTATGCTCAATACGTTCGATGCCTAGCCTGATCGTCTTGCAGTTGGATGCCTGCGCACGCAGGGCCATGTGTCACTTTTTTTGGGCTGGCTGACTGCGTCCTCAATCGGCAGCATCATGACCCCTCCGGAGAACCGCAATGGACCTCGTGTCACTAGAACGACGCGCGTGTTACCTCAACAGTCAGCCAGCCACGAGTGCGCTGTGCCGCTCTCGCTGCTGGATGCAACTACTGCCAAGTTCGCGTTGTCCAGCGCCATCTGGCTCATCGAACGACCGACCGTCTCGTTGACTTCGACCGATTTGACCAATCACCTGCGCACAGCACTTAGCTCGACTTTGGATGTATATCCACAATGATGTGGTCACCTGAAAGCGATTCTCAGCATCAATAGCGAGAGTCTTCCCCTAGAAACGATGACATTCCCGGTGCATGCAAAACGATACGGGCGCGTGCATGTGCACTATGGTACTACTACAGACCCAGGTGTAGAATTTGTTGAGGCAACGAGCATTGCAAATGTGGATAGTCTATACACTGCCGAATCCGCGAAAGAACGACCAATTTGGATACGACAAGGAGATGAGGAGGCCCTCACTCAATTTGTGCCCCTGACAGAAGTGGCACCTGCACTTGAACCCAACGAGACGGATACTAACGGTCTTTACGGATCGAACTTGGCCATACAATGCACCGTACTTGCTCGTGGTGGTTTTGTATTAGCTACCAAGATCGCACATCCGCTTGCAGATATTACCGCACTGACGTATTCCATGCGAGACTGGTACTCGCCCAGTCGTGCCATGCTTACTGCAGCGCCCTTACCAGTGCTGAGCCCATCATTCGATCCGTCGCGACTGGATGCATCTGCCGCTGGCGACATCAACGCCGACGTTGCTGACCCCACCATCATGGCGGACGCTTTGAACCTCCCGTTGCAATTAGATACGACTGGTGGGCACCGCCTGCAAAGCCACCCACTCCCTTTTTGGATCTACCGCTTGCTGGAAAGCCGATGCCCTGGGCCGAATGGGACACTAAAGCGCCAGTGAACCAATGCACCGTTCACTTCAGCTGGAAGCAGATCGAACATTTGTGGCAATCAGCTATACAAGAGAACTCACCCACATCTGCAGACTTGAAGATTAGCAAACATGACGCTTTGCTGGCCGAAGGCCCTGTTCACTGTGATCTCACCCTCGCCACCCGACCTGTATTCCAGCTCGACGATTCGTTCATAGGCTCACCTACCATGACGATGGATATTGAGATGACGGCCGCAGACCTCGCATCTAGGAGACTGGGAGCCATTGCGCGTCGTATTCGTGAGACACTATCGACGGTCAACCATCCACGGCGACTGGCAGCTCATCTCCATAGTATTACATGGTACGAGAAGTCGCCGCAACGCATCTGGCAAGCATTTCTCGGAAGTCGGCATATATTAGTAACTACAGTACTTGGGCTCGCGCGGGTATTTATAGTATCGATTCTGGACTGGGATCTCGCATTCGCTTGGATGGCCATCCTCATTGGGGACGGCCCACCATCAGTACTCTGACATCGACCACGACAACGTCAGGATGGCCAGATAATAGAGTAGACGTCCCTATGCCTTTGCGCTGCGAATATATGGAGCGATTGCTACACGATCCTCTGCTTTTGCCGTACTGTGTAGATATTTTTAAGTCTTGTTCGAGTGGTGATCGCTCGGAAATAAAAACTACCGATAAAACCCGCCCAACCCACGACCACCGTTTTCGTATGCCGGCGCCCCGTCTCGCCTCGTATTGTGGATTTCGTCTGACATATCAATAACGCTAGCGGAACACGACAAAGACTTGACCCCTTAAGCTCGTGGCTTGAACTGATGCACGGTAGATCTATAGGTCAATGACGCAGGTGGGCCCTCTTGGCATCGAAGCTTGTTTATTTAAGCTTTTATCTGTCCGCGTGCATCATAGTATAGTTTAGCACATGCTCTACTCCTGTCCGCTCTTTCGCACTTTACAATCCTCTCTTCCTAATTCATCCTATCGTTTCTGCCCGCCATGCGCTTTCTTCTAACTTCCGCTGCGCTTGCAGTGTCTTGCGAAGCCTTCTCTCTTCCCTGGCATGCACGCGCAACGGACCCATCTCTCCCCGCGCTTTCCCTGTCGAACTATGACACTCCAAAGTATGCGCGACCACTTACACTTGATGAAGCGTTGTCCGGTGCGAACGCTTCTGTCACCACCATCAAACCCGAGGAGCTCCTAGATGCCAAGAACCGGCTTCCAGCGCTTGTCCTGCCCGTCAATATGACAGAGCCAGACAAGATACACGATTTGATAGACGATTTGAGCAACCTTGGGAAGAGGCAGAGCACTTGTTCCAATGTCCGTACTCGCGTGGAGTGGGATTCGGCATCGGATGGTGATCGACAAGGCTACGTCGACGCCATCAAGTGCTTGATGAGCAGGCCTCCTTCTGGGCAGTTCCCAGTCTCGAAGAGCCGCTATGACGATCTCGTTGGTCTTCATCAGACTCTGACTCCCAACGTGCATGGCAACGCAAAGTTCCTGCTCTGGCACAGGTACTACACATGGACGTTTGAGTCCCTCCTTCGTGACGAGTGTGGCTTGAGTGGACCACTGCTTTGGTTTGACGAAACGCGCTATGCGGGTAACTTTGCGGCGTCATCTATCTTCAGCTCACGTTGGTTTGGAGGCGTCAACATTGGCGGTAACTGTGTGACGGATGGAGTGAGTATCTACCCCGTCCAACAACTTAACATTGATAAAGGTGCTGACTTCTCATCAGCAATTCGCCAACCTGGCTCTGGTCTACGGTCCGGGAACTGGCAACACGCCCCACTGCCTGGCCCGTAACAACGATGATTCGAAAACCATCAACACCGGAAATGCGATCGTAGATGCCTGCAACAGCCGCTCTGATTACGCTGACATGGCTGCATGGTAAGCTAGAGTGTAGCAAACTTTCTTAACCGACCTAACAAAACGACAGTGCCGAAGGTGGTGCCCACGCATGGGGACACAACGGTATTGGAGCTGTCATGCAGGACGTTTTCGCATCCCCCGGTGACCCCGTTTTCTTCCTTGTAAGTCTACCCGTGCCGCATGTGTTGAAATACGACTGAAGAAAGAACAGCACCACGGCTTCATTGACCGCAACTTCCGCATCTGGCAGAACAACGGAGGCAATGCACGCATCTCCAGCGTCGATGGCACCGATGCCGCCGGCAATCGTTTGACGCTCAACACCAACATCAATGTCTATGGCTTCCGCCCTGATGTTCGCATCGGTGACGTTCTGGATACGAAGAGCTCGACGCTGTGCTACAAATACAACTACTAATCGCGTCTCTTGAGCAGTGAGCTCCTACTTCTTGTACATATTTTACTACGACTTTTGAGCCATGAGACCGGTATGAACGCTAGGGCATGATGCATCAACTTCATTCCTTTCGGGTTTTGTGGCGCTACTTGCCGAACCTCAAGCGGTGTGTTTGGTTCTACAGCACTGAGTGAAGGCTCTTTCAGCCTTTAGCGATGACACATGATGTTGCATATCAGCACGAAGGCGTCTTCATCTGCAGTCCACCATCCTTATCAATACTATACAAGTTGAACCCCCATTTGCCACAAAGTCTACGTCGTGCTTCGGGTATCTTCCTTTACGCTGCAATCAGCTCGGAACTCGACCTAATACAAGCTAGCGCAGACGATGTGCACTTGAGCTTCGTCAATGTCTGAACAACACAGCCCGAATACCAACAAACAATATGCCTGTCCTCATGCCCCTACATTGAACATTATAAGAGACCCTAAGCTCATGACCTAGCGGACGTCCGCGAAGCTCTGCAACGTCCTCTAATACTGAGCTTTCTCGAGGCTATATGCTTGTTTCGTCTCATACGTTGTCTCTAACGATAAGTTCTTAGCTATGTGAGCTAACTTATAGTCAGCTTATGTTAATAAAGAAGTTAACTTAACGAACCTTTGTCTTTGAAGGATATGCAGCTACTATAGCATAAGCCAAGATGGAGTAAAGTACCATCATAGATCCTATGGCATAGTATGCGAACTGGTCGTATATCTCAGGTAGGACCAGGACCCACATTCCGAATGGGGCGAATGTCCAAATTGTGCCGATGATATTCAGAAAACAGAAGACGAGTGAAAGGCCTTCTCTTGACCCTCTCCGCAGGTACTCATGCATGGGGCCCACAGCAGCAACGACGTTCGTCAAGCCAAACCATTGCATGACACACTCATCGCCCATGAGGATGATGCCCAAGACGACAATGCCATACATGGCTAAGACGTTTGCAACAGTGTAGAAAAGGACTGAAGACAGCGGCGGGTCCGGACCAAAGAATGATGAGAAAGTTCTCTTCCTATCTTCCTTGATAGTCTTATAGATGCACCAAATCTCTAGCAGAGACCATACAAAAAGTCCCTTGGACATTCCTGCTAGATACCAATGGTTGTCGTACTGAGGCGCGGCTTGACCAAGAAGGTAGCACCAAACAGAATCGTGAGCGAGAAAGAAGGTATGCATCCAGAATGGCATAGGGCCTTTTCCCTCAGTAAGCGTTTTCCGGACACACATAAAGTATGTAAGGAACCCAACAGCCGAAGAAACTGTGGAGGCCAGAAGTAGGGGCTTGTTCTCAAACGTAAACTCCTCAACAATACGTTGGTAGTAGTTGATAGACATGGTGCTTCGAAAAAAGATGTTTCAGGTGGTGGACATTACACAATATGCAGGCCACTGTTTATAAACAAATATCTGAATGACTATAGGTCTTAAGAAGTCGGATCCGGGATGTTCTAACAGCCGAGCTGGATCGGGCCGCTAGATAACTTTTGTTTCAGATTAATCTGATATGCACGTTTGTGTCATAGATTTGGAAAACACCGGTACCACCATAACCATTCGATCGGCCAAGAGTACAGGCCAGCATGCAGGATTACTAAACAGTGCATATATATACGGATCACCAGTAAAGGACTGTCACGATGTTCCAACGCTCACAATTCAACTCCTCTCATGCCATGCCCCTAATCTACCTATATAAGGTCAATACTATCACAAATAGCACCGCTTTCATTTTGTACACAATTGCCTATATAATGTCCCTCACGAGCACGTAGGGGAGTCAATCGCTTTTGCCAAGACCTTGTTAATATACCCGTACCCTACTAATGCCACTGTAAAAATACAACTTAGACGCATTGAAAAAGAATTATGTATAGCTTGCACTTTGAGCTGTCAAGCAAGATGCAAGAATATCCCAACAACGCGCTACACCCCACCAAGTTGCTCCTCGAGAGCTTTCCTCTTAGTACGGACACACATTCTGCCCAGTTGGGACAAGACTGTAACAAAAATGATGACTCTATCAGTGCTCCGCATCTGCGCTTAACAGTTTACGCCAGTATATTAAAAGCAGACCTTGAGAGTATATTCGAAGCGCCGTTTACTGGGGAGGTTGATCATGATGGGTCGGGTACCATCAATTTGGATTCGCTCGAGGAAGAGGAAGAGCAATTTGAAGGTCTGTCGTACACGATGCCAAATTACCATGGGCTATCAGGAAAACTAAGATTGGAGGATCTCGTCACTGATTGGGCTGATATACCGCGAAGACTGCGACGATCTGAAGACCAGGGCTTCTAAACGCCAGCCATCACCTTGAGGAAGGTCTTGACTTTGATCGACATCCATGTTTAGAGTTGATATCAACATGAAAAGTAGCTCGTGGTTTGATTCTAGCGATGCAAATACCAGAGGATTATACTTGCAGTGCGACTTCGACATCCCTAGCACAGACCTTTGGCCGGCATGTTGAATCAAGTCCAAAGGAAACGAAAACAGCAAGTTCTTGCTCCTTAGGTACCCGTCTGCTCCAGTGCTTGTAGCCCGCTTGCTTTGTAATGCGAGCATAGCTTTTGGTGTCGAATTACAAATTGTATAAATCAGAGTAAATACAAGTGCATCAATTGGAGCATTGCAATATCTTGCTATCCTCGGTCTGCAAACTCAGCCTAGACTGAAAAAGCTGTAAATGAACTCCGGGCCACGTCCTAGAAGAGAGCGTTGTTTGCACACGTGAATACGTTGAGAGGATCGTCGGGATCCTGCACCCTCGCGCTGAGGTCCGATATGGATGTATATAGACCGAATACGGTGAGAAAGGCAGAAGCTGTAACTCGTCAATTCGGAACAGCATAGATACAACCATCTTGAAGTGCTTACCGAAGATCATGAACCAATTAAACAATGCAAGAGATGTCTTCTTCCAGTTGATGAATTGTTGACCCCAATTCAGAAAGATCCATTGTGCATTAGCCATGCCAAACGTGAACTGTAAATTGGGATGTAAGCAATGTGCTCCCCAAGGAACTGCGACGATGACTTACCCATGTAACGAATAATGCAGAAGAAATGCCTAATATGCTACCAAAAGCAGGGATTGCGTTGGCAAGTACGAAAGCTACAACCCAGAACAAAGTACCAAGGCCGAGCCAGACGCCCCAGGTCAGGGGCGTATTATCAGTCAGTCGGTGCCTGGTCTTTATCATCTTGTCCATTACCACGTTGTACATATATTTTATTCCGGTGTGACCGAAAACTAGTCCAGAACCTAGTAAAGTTGGGAACAGAATTCCGTAGGCGGCTTTACTGGCGATACCAGGTGCAGATCCCAGGGCAGGTGATACTACATACTGACCGGCAAGGTGATAGACTACACATGCTGTGATGACGTACATCGGTACACCAATGGCATTAAGCCAGATGATAGCCGGAGTGTAGTCCTTGCTCCTGCGCACAGACTATAATTAGCACACACACTTCTAATCTTTGAGAAAGTAGATGAACTTACGGGTTCCGCATCTCACACATCACAGTAATGAAGGCTTGATTACCTGCATACGCAAAGGCTACGTTAAGTACGGACTCGAACTGTTGATTCATGGTTGCTCCTGGGTTGGGACCAAGACGCATTTGCAAGGGCTGATTGGTCGGCTCACCCCAATAACCACTGCCGCCATTAGCGACAGCTTCGTAATCGGGGCCATTCACAGCCAGAGCAATGACCACGATCAGAACAGCGGTGACTAGATAAATTCAGCACTCAGTCTGATAACATACTTGAGGGGACTTACAGATGCTGATAGTAGCTGGAATGCCAAACCATCCGGCGAAGTTCAACGATCGTGGCATGCAAAGCAGCCAGCACATAATCATTGGGATGCCAATGAAACCCACTGTGCATAAGGCATGCTCGGTCATAGTGTTGAGTGCGATGGAAAGTGTAACATTGGCGCTGGCACAGATCAAACATAGGTTCAGCACGTGTGCCACACCAACGAGGATCTCCAAGGGCTTTCCGCCCATGATTCTAGCGACGTCTACAACGTCCCTGATGGAAGGGTAACGACGGTAAAATTGGATCAGGATGTAAGCCGTGTAAGTCGCAAGCACACCCATAGTGATGACTACATCGGTCAGTATCGACGTCAGCATCTATCTTGATAACTCAGACGTACTGGTGATGATCCCAGGGATGAGGCCGATCGATAGTGTGCAACATTGCAGGTAGACTCAGGATACCAATTCCGACCTGGTTTGTGAAGAAGATCAACTAAATTGGTGAGTTGGTGTTACTGAACGGATTGAATGATCATACAGCAGTCTGTGGAGTGTCAGATAATGCCTGCTGTAGAACAGAAGCTACCTACTCGAACCATGCCCAGCTTCTTTCCGCCATATGGGTCGTGGACCTCTCCGGTCTGGTTATCGTAGGCGCCAGAATGTCCTGGCTCACTCCGTTCCTTTCTGTCCGCAAGTGCCTGGCCTTTCTCTGAACCCCGTGGATAGTCATTGGAGCTGCCGAAAGAACCCTCTTCCGGTTGTGGCATGTGCTGATCCATCAAGTAGAGGCAGAAATATAGAGTGTATATTGACACAGTTCAGTGATAACGAAACTTAGTGAAGAGGAGGAAAGACTCTTATATGATGACGGGCCGTGCGGTGCTCATTATTGGAAACCTAGCAATTCAGTGAGGGCCAACACAGCTAAGCAGCGTATCACTCAGGCGTTTGGTTGGCGACATCATCTTTCGTTACTATCTGCTCGGCGCCACTGCTTGGGGCATGGCCTCGCATAGTCGCGTGAGACGCATCATCGGAAAGGTCAACAGCTGCAAGCATTGTATCCGACACATAAGTAGGCACGTGGTAGGTCATCCGCGAGATACTTCTTGCCTTTCACACAATCTTGACTAAAATGCCGACAGTACCGACTGAAAGCGCACCGCCTAGGTTGCGGGAACCCATCGGGCGTTGCAGGACAAGCCAGTTCGCGCGTGTGGCTGAGCCGCTCAAGCAGATCAGGCAGGTACCAAGTATCAGGACACTGGATACGCTTATTGAGACATCTCATTGACCGTGCGGTGAGGTTCAGTTGTCATATCCAAGCTGGGTATGTCGTCTGCCAATGTTGCCAAGGTGCTTCGATGTGGCTGAACGTTCCGACTTCCGCACCCAGGAGACTAAGTCTTATTTTGGGTTAGCGTGTGCATGGTCGAACACCCACGCAAGGTCAACTCTCCCCAGTGCAACGATGTCTATTTATGGGAAAGACACTTGCGCCCACCTTGATTACAAAGTGAATTTCAACGAGCATATCAAGAGACCCCCCAGAACTCACAACAAAAACGACATATCTTTTCTTCGGCACTGATCCCAGCAACATGGCTTTCCAGAAAATGTTAATGCCTCCGTTGATCGTTGGTACACATAAAGATGTTCAGTCCAAGCTTCTGACACTCTACGCAGCCCAATGCTGGAGGGAAGCACTTGCAAATAATACCAACTCCAGCAAGTGCATCAATGCCCTCAGAATGTGATATGATAATGATACCCAGCGTTTGGGTACCCTAGATCTTGGCCATTCTGTAGAAGTGCATAGGTCATCACGCCACCGTGGACACAGAAGCTCTCCACTACAATTGACATCCTCAGGCTGTAGTCTGAAGTAATTGACTGGACTAGATACTTTGTGAAAATCAGTAAAAAGACGTATGAGGACATCTGTGACATCGCAGGGGCCTAGCTACATGATCGAGTTAAGTTTGATGAGGATGTACCGAATTAGATCGCCTCTAACAATGGCGTAACCATTGAGGAGTTGCGTACAACGCCTGGAGGTCTGAGATGTGAGGCCGCTTCCAAGGGCCTCAAGGTAATTTTTGTTAGCCACCAAACGTTCAACGATCCTTCAAATTTGCCTTCCATGAGCAATATGCTTACTTGCAAGGATATAAGCTTCAGGTATTACTGAGAACTCGGCAGCTACAAGCAAGTTTCCTAGCCACCTTATGCAACCTTCTATTGCAACGTGTAACGTAGGAAATCGATGCTTATGTCTGAGCATGCACTTTTGTTGTTGCCCAATTTTCAGGTGACAACGACATCTTAGTAACGGGGCCCGGTATATAACAAACGCGTATAGTATCTTGTTGATCTTCACCACCAACAGTTATTTGAGCTTCGATCTCCCAGATGTTGCTCGATGTTTTTGACTGCCAAGGGTGAGGCCTACGTGCTGATAGTATTGACGTGAGAGTTTGCACAGCACCATCTCTGGACTTTCCAGTGAGATGCGAGTCGATTAAGGAGCATTGGTAACACGCTTGCCCCGGCACAACAGCGGAAATCTCGGGCCTTCTGTTCGTCCGTATATGTACAGCCTTGATCCGTGCTGACTGTTCGGCCGCCGGGAAGTACGGGATCCGAACATCCGAACCCCGCAATATCGTCACCTTGGCTTTATGTGATTTGAGCCCGCCAGGCTGAGCAAGCATTCATGCCCGCTCCATTGGATAAGGTACGCAGATCCAAACACAACGTAAACATAGCAACAACTGCATTAAATTACTGTTACATCTTAAGAAGCTGTATATAAAACTAATAAGGATATGTTATTTCTATCTCCTATTAGATTTTAAAGTAATAATATTAATGTTGGGTTAATGTTATTGCTGTTAGCTTGTGTTTTATTCTCAGGTTGAGAACTGCTTACCTGAACCAACTGAGCGGACACAAATTGTTGCCTACCCTAACGAGCCCATCCACCATGCTGATCAATCACATCTCGTATAACCCTTTTTAAAGTGTCTGGTTTCCGAGTACTTGAGGTCACTGATTTGACATCTGTTCCCAGCGATTTATTGCAATATGAGCCTACCATTGTCTCATCATGGGCCGTCCTTCTTTGTTTCTCACGGCACCGGCCCGTTCCCTTTACTGGGTGGCGATGAGCAACGCCCCTTTTTGGACACTTTAAAACGGAATAGACATGTGATTGAAGGCGTCAAAGCAATCATCCTTTTCTCTGCACATTGGGAAACGGACGAGCCTCACATCAGTGGAGGAACCAAGCCTGGACTTTATTACGATTATGAAGCGCAAAGGAAGATGCTACCACCCGCCGCGTTTGAGTTCCAATACGACGCACCCGGTGATCCAAATTTGGCTCGAGTCATTGCTACGGAACTGGCTAAACATGGATTCAAGCCGCAGATTGACTACGAGCGTGGATTTGACCACGCTGTTTACGTGCCTATGACGGTGTTAAGACCCGAGGCGGATATCCCAATCGTGCAAATGTCAATCTTGAAATCTACGACTGAGCGTGAAGCTACGGAGCGCAATTTAGCGCTCGGTCAGGCCATGCGCTGTTTTCGCGACGATGGTTACGCCATCCTGGGAAGTGGGGGCTCATATCACGACTTCAATGCGATAGCTGGAGCATTTTTCAAGCTTCCTTCCGACCCTCGTGCTACCGTCCAACTAGATACCGGTGCATACGAGTTCGAGGATTGGCTAGCAGATCAGGCGTCTATCAGTGACGTGTCGCAGAGGTGCGAGGCCCTCGCTCGCTGGAGAAACGTACTGGACAGCTGGATTGCGCATACCGAGGGGAGCTCAGATCATTTGATGCCGTTTATGGTTACCGCTGGGGCAGGAGGTGAAAGCAAGGGGAGGAGAATTGATTATTGCGAGGTTGTTGGGGCACCGATGGGTTTCTATCTGTGGTAGTAGAACATACTCCAGTGGAAATACTAAGCCTAGAGGATTCAATTGTGTACAAATCAGGAAGGCAGAAACTAACTCTCGCCCTTCAGATGGTCCTACACTTAGGAACAAGAGCATAAGGCAAGATATGGCCTTCGTATGCTATCTGACTAGGTGTTAGCACTATCGAAAAACAAAATATGGGGTGTTAGTCAAGGATAGCTTATACTTACTCATGCCTCAGTTGAATATTTTTAAGTATAGGGGAAAATGATCTACATAGTAGAATTATTCAAACAGGGGACCGGTAAAAGATTATGGTTGTTGTAACGAAAGATGAAATCTCTAGCAAAGACGCCAGAACGAAATTTGGCCACTGATGACCTATGGAAAATTCCCCAATGATGCAATTTTTCACTGCTGCAACGAAAGCAGCTGCAACTATGTCTACTAATACTTCTGACTGTGAGCATGTTAGTAGGTGTACTTGAGTATTGGATCTACTAGACATTGTTGAATCACTCGCTTACTATTGCGATTCATCATTACGAACAGCGGCAGCTGGAATAAAGCCGCAATAGGCTATTAGCAAGAAATGATACTCTTGCTGGAAAAGTCCAGCATCAGAAGCCGATATACGCCGTCCATCCTCTTTGCACGGACCCTGGAGCTCTTCATCTGCTTTGTTTCAAACTTTAGCGCTGGCCAAATTCAGCAGAACTGGGTTATCAGAGGCGATGGTCCGGATTATGAGCACCAAGCTTGGTATATCACAGCTCTTTTGTTATCATGTCCTATCTGAATGTAGGCCTGCACGAAATTTCCGTTCGATGAACCTGAACAGGACATTAAGCCAACCGGATCGTCCCTCAAAGTTTGTGATAGTCTGTGTGTAACCGAGAGAGAATAGAAATAATGTGCAATTTTCTACAGTCTAGACCAAATTGTAATTGCATGATCTTATTCCCCGTGAATGTATATTTGTCAGCCGGCGGAACGATTTACTCACATTTGATTCCACTAGGGATCTCGTTCCCGCGGCACCCTTCAAACCGATGATATCATCTTGTTGTAGACTCTTGTCATCAGCAATTCGGGCTAGGCAGTCAGTAGTGTGAGAGCAGCTGTCCAACCGAATTAAATTTGATACTGGCGCTTTTCTCGGAACCATCAATCCATGAACAAAAATTTGATAATAGAAATTTTGCAGTAAGATCAAGATCGATGGTTGCGATAGGTGATAATCTAATGTTTCAAGCCAGGACATGCACCGCTGGCTACATTCCTAGCTCCATTTGGAGACCCGAGACTCTGCTTGGCAGTCGATCTGAGCCTGTTGAGTGATGGCGGTTCAAGCTTTGTATAGTATGAGAAAGTGACGCACCATCTCCTCAGCCACTAATAAACTTGCTAGGTAATACTATCCCTACTTAAGACCTAGTTAAATTCTGCCGAAGACCAGGCACACTAACCTCTGTAGCCACCCCACTCTCATCAAGACTGATGACCATCTCATCCACTGATAGACCACCATATAGCCACGCTCCATGACTGAACCAAGTATAGCAAGCATCCTCAAAGATACCCGTACTGTTCATATCGGAAATGCCCTGGAACGCCACCCGCCAACGATTTTCCGCCCCAATGGGATAGATCCTGACGTCTGCATCGACCGCATTCAACGCAGCAGAACCAAAGAACTCGACCCACGCATCTGACACAGGTTTGCCACCAGTAGTCCAGCTCTTTACCTTCAGACCGGGACCATCGTCGACCACGAGTTCAATCGCCGATTCGCTACTACCATAGCGACCCGCATAGTTTTCCCTAACCTGCTCCCGTCCCACGGTGTCATAATGCGGGACAGAGTAGCGCACAAGATGGTCGAGCAGGGCTCGAAGCGCCGGGTCGTCGCCCACACCAGCCACGTTGACGGTGTAGCCGAGCTGGTACTCCGGGATGATGGCTACGTAGGCGTTGTAGTATCCTTGTCCGCCGGGCATGGTGTATATATCGACGGGTCTCTCGCCTGAATCGAGGCCAAGGCTTGTGGGACGCAAGACAGTCCAGGGCATGCCGACAGCTTCGCCTTTAGAAGAGGAGGTGAAGGAGGCGGGCTTCAACCATTTGGCCATGTCGGCGCTCGAGAGTAGCTCGTTATTGAGGAGGCCGCGAACAAAGCGGACGAGGTCTTTGGGTGTTGAGAACATGCCGGCAGTCCTGTGGGCATAGGTGAATTAGCACGGATGCTCGGTTTCAATCGGGAGTAGAGAGCAATAGAGTGTGACTAGACTGCTAGGATCTGAGTTGACTCACCCGTTGAATTCCCCGATGTCCTGAGTACCGAAGTGATCGACCTCTCCGGGTATGACCATGAGCGATGCATCCTGACTGTCTAGGCCAGTTGCAGAGCTCAAACTTAGAGGGCTCGCGATGCTGTTTGCGATAACGTCTCGGAGTGATTTGCCTGTGAAGGACTCGATAGCGTAGCCAAGAATGATAAAAGCATAGTTTGAGTATGCGGGAGTACGACCGACGGGCCATACATAGTTGCTGACGAGCACTCCTTCGAGAAAGTCTGGGATCGGCTTCAGTAAGGGTGGACAGCAGCACGCGCTCAAGAAATGCTTACCCGCTCGAGTAGCACATAGGCCAAATTCTATGGAATTGCAAGTAGGGAAGCCTTCAGGGACGGTAGCGTTTTCCGGCAAGCCGAGTTCGCCCTGTAGAAAATTAGGAGGTCCCCGAAGAGAGGTGTCGAAGGCGTAGCCTGAGTGTGAAGAGTCAGCTGTGGTCTTCTTGGATCATTATCCTTCAGCTATAGCCTTACCATCGCGCGGAGCGCCAGACAGATGGCTAGCCAACATTCGAAAAGTCGTGTTCTCGAAGTTCCTCAAGCTTTTAAGCTGCGGTACATGTTTGGAAACAAGATCGTCTATATCCAGTCCTTCCTGGAGCAGCGCAGAAAGGACGGTAAACAGTTTCGTCACTGAAAAGATGCGGTAGACTGTGTTGCAATTGACCTCGCTGACGCCGACTGTGGTGTTGACGTTTGGTGCAGTCCAATGGTATTCAAAAACTGTATTTTCAGTCGTGGTTATCGAGACCGAGTAAGAGGTAGATGACGTGTTGAAGAGGATGGCTTCGCTGTTCAATCGGTCCAGTGCCGCCTTCAGTGGCTCAGGATCGAATGGGGGAGCGATGGAGAGGTCGGGAAGTGGTAGGAGTGGAATGCCAGCTGGAGGACAATACTCCCTAGCTACGGCAAGGCTCGCGCACGCGAGTGCCGTCGTTGATAGTAGATACTGTTTCATGTTGCGGTCGAGAACAACGAATAAGATAGATACTCTTTTGATGTGAGAAATGTATGGAACTGGGAGTGGAAGGTAATGAGGGTTCAGTAGTTGCTACCACAGAGCTTACGTTGAGCTTATATACTATGCTCATACTGTGGCTAGGTAGAACTAGTCAAGTACACGGCTGAATGATATCTCAGCCGCGATCACAGACACTCGCCTTGCCAATGTCGATGCTTGGACTGTACCTTGCGATCTCGTTGTTCCGTGTCTTGGCTAACTGGTGACTGACAAAAAGGGTCCCAAGGTCACGATTACCTCCCATAGCAGTATAGTTGTTCCTAACGCTACGCACGTAAGTGCATAACCAAGAGATCCATGTGGAGAGGTGGCTTAGCTTGCCAAACTCTTCGATCATCGACCACAATCTTGTCTAGCAGGGCGGGATGTGTCAGTGCGAGCGGTACAAGCGATACCGCCAACACTACGGTCGCGCGTGAATTCAGTGCAAAGTAACAACCGCATGTGGCTGCTGCACGCAAGACACGAAGGCTTAGTCTTCCCATCGACCGTACAGCCTAGTGGGCCTTCGGCTTTACAGTCTGCAGGGCGCCTGCGTCATTTTCAGACCATAGTGAAGTACGCAAGTCGAGAGACATGGTTACGGCGCTGCTGATGTACCGCGAAAGTTCGCGTTCGGATAGATGGCATGGCGCACAACTTCCTGATACTTAGAAGTATGTGCTTTCTCGCAAAGCAAGTTGCCAAAGGCAGCAGTTGTTTACGTAGTAGCGAGACCATGTCGTCGGTCTTGGCCACGGCGTTGCCACACTGGTTCAGCGGCAATAGCCGCCGCATTCGAAGTGCTGGTGAGTCGTAGGAAGTGGCAAGCCAGCATCTGTGTCCAATTGTACTGCGATACACCCGGATGTTGTCGTTTCATCTCTATGCCAAGGTCTCTGCACCAATAACATGTCCAGCAGTATCGGTGCGCGAGTTACAAATGTAGCTAGCGCGGTTGGACCGACGTTAGTGCTGATCGCCGCACGCTAAGATGTGGGCGCAGAATCAGCCTGAAGTGGTTAGTGTATTCCTGATCTGTCGAGCTCGTGGCTGGAGGTGTCCATCGATCTGTGCATCTACCTGCATGCGCACAAGATGCCATTGTAGTGCTTCCACAATGCCGCTTAGGCACACATAACGGCGGAAGAACTAAATCGCCTTCAATCCCCAACACGGAGCATTGTGCGCAGCCGACACTTCTTAGAGCAAGGGATGCTGGCAGACCCTAACATGTAGAACATGCAAAAGAAGAAAGGTAGGGACAAGCCGTCTGCCTCTTTGCGTAAGTGAGAGAAGGGCGAAGAGATGGTATAGTATGATGATTCAGCAGAGCTATGATTTGTACAAGGAAATCGAGTGGGTAGTCTCAAATCAAGCAATCACTCGATTAGCTACATAAATAAAACAGCACGGCATCTGTAGTCTGTGCTTATGCCAAGCTCGTCAGCAGTGGTTAAATTAGAAGACCAAGAGAATCAGGCTCGGACGCAGTTTTAACAAGACGTGCTTGGGACTAGACAGTTATCCTTAGTTTTTCGACCTGAACGGGTAGGTTTAGGGCTAGATTGTTACGTTCTCAACACGGACGCTGGATTCATATCTCCCCTGCTTACTGCCTCCGTGGTCTCTCTTAGCTCTCTGTGGCTATCGACCTTTGTTCCCTCCTAGTCGCCAGGAACGTTTCTATTTACCAGATCTATCGTATATTTCTGGATGAGGACGGTATCGTTTATGTGCCTAAGAAACCCTCCTGTGTGAGGTATCAGACTGGATATCGTGGGAACGTGCGGGAGAGAACCTTACGCCAACAAGAACACCTTTTTAAATCTGCGAAGATGATATAAACAGATCGCGGTGCGTTGAGGTCCCTTCAAAAAAAGGGGTGGCGTAGTAGATAGTTCTACTCATCCTTTTTGTCATGAGTACTTGATGAAGGCGATTCCCTATGCAGGCAAATCCACATGCATAACACACCACTGATGATGACAAATACTGTTACAATTTCTCAGTTTGCTCAAGCACAGCGTACTTTTTAGCTCAATATAATAGTACGCGCTTATAAGATCTCAGGCGGACTTAAGACTGCTACAGGAGGGCGCAGCTGCCTCTGTGCTCACGAGAGCGCTGCTCATGGTTATCACAGGACCTGAACTATCTCCAACCCAGCCTCTAGCTACCCATTAACCAATCTGAGCTTAGAGAGCGCATCGATAAGACTCTGGCTTCGTGGAGTCCCTATGTTTGGACACAAGACGTGTCTGCATTGGATAAGGGCACAGAAACCTCTCGTACTTCCTTCCAGCCGTATCATTGAACTCAATGGGAAGTGTCTCAGGGACAATACCATTCTCAACCCAGTCAACCAGCGCGCGGAATGTCGCCGTTGGTTGCCCTCCCGAGCCACCGGAGCAATGACCTAGTCCCGGGACTTCAAAGTAGCGGAAGAAATCTCCGACTTTGGGATCTAGGTTCATCACACGACGGTAGTAGTCGCTTGTTCCTTTGCTTGGAATGAGCCCATCAGCCTGTGTGAGTTAGCTTTGGCTACAAAGAGCAACTCAGACGCCGAAGGTAAAGGCGGAAAACCCGGCATTGTTCATAGACTTACCAAGCCATGGTACGTGATAATCTTTCCACCAACATTACGGTAGTTGGACAGGTCTGGATCTGCAGTTCCAATGATGGATTCATACTGCTGCACAGAGGCCCGGAACAGACGCGCGTATTCATCAATCGAACTGATCAGTGTATAGTTCCACTGAGGATCTTTTTGAATGTGAAACTTCAACCAGGCCTCTCCAAGTCCAGTGGGTGCTCCGGAACAGGTACCATTCGTATTACATGACGTTGATGCATAACCCAGATCAGAAGTGGTACCCGCTGGGGCGTCAGATCCCGTCAGCCGAGCTTGGTAGTCAACGCCGTGCCAAAGAAACCGACCATCTGAGTCTCGAGGGCCAGTCCATGTAGCGTTCGCAATGGCTGCGGCTGCTTTGCTTATGGTGACGTTCTTACCAGTTGAGGTACAATTGAGCGTGCTGCCAACCATCGAGAAAGGATTGAAGGAGCATTTATCAGGGTCGCTGAGCAAACCATCAGCGACACCGTCGAGAAGATCGCAAAAGGCAACGGCAGAGTCGGTGAGGGCGTTCATTTCGCATCCAGGGGGAAATTGCCCGGTTGTTTCCATCAACACTTGTGCCCAAGAAGCGGCAGGAATGAATTGAGCCCAATTGAATGCTGGAGCTGCGGCAGCAATGCCGTCATAAGCCTCTGGATAGCGTTGCGCGAGCATAAACCCCTGTCGGCCTCCCTGTGAGCAACCACTCCAGTACGAATACTGGGCCGGCTGCCCGTAAAAAGATTTGATGATGTCCTTGGCGATGAGAGACTAGGGATCGTGATGTGTTAGCACAGAGCCTGCTTTGCTGAGAGCACAGTCGAGCGTGATCTCCACGAACAAACATACCTGATCGTTCAATGACACAGAAGCAAGGTTCTGCAGGGCATACAGATTCACGTTACCAGGGCTATTGAGAGCCCAGGAATCGGGAACGTAGTTTAGTCCTAGGCCCGCGTCCGTCGACGATGTCACATAGCCCTCTCCCAAGGCTCCAGCCATTGCTGTGTACGACAAGGGGAACCGCCCAGCAACGTAACCTCCGCCCCCCACCGCTTGGAGCCGCCCATTCCATTCTTTCAACGGGAGCCATGTCTCAACGTTAATGGTGTCATTCTGACCTTTGTGCGTGTACGTAACAGTTACGTTGCAGTAGTCAACATTACGCACGGATATGGAGGGGTGGTTATAATAGAGCTGGTCTGATACTTCGCGAGTGAAGTTTTGCACCAACGTGGCAGTAAGGCCCAGAACCTGGGCCCCGAATACGATGGGATTTGGGATGGAGCTGGCGTTGCACGCCGAGGATGGGACATTGATCGACTGCATCTCAGTGCAAAGGGTGGAGGGACGATGGGTCAGAGTAAAGAGGATGGAAGGGGAAGGGAACAGTGCTACAGGGTACCACAAACACACTGGCAAAGACCGGTATCTATATTAGAGAACGCAGCTACCACAACATCGTTCTTCTTGCCCCTAAAGGAGACATATAGGCTGAACCTAGAGATTAAGCAGTCTTATCGCTGCTAGGGACGCCCACACCTACGCGTCCGCAACTGCCAAGTGTGGGCGTCCCCAACGGCGACGGAGCGGTGTGCACATGTAACGAGTCAAGGACAAGATTTGAGGGAGCTTCCGTAAGGGCATTTAGCAGATCTTACGTGATCGTATCTGAAGAGGGGACCTGCTTCTTGCGGGCGAAAGTATGGTCAAAGGTCCGCACGGTTTACACGCATGACTGATTGGCTATGTATCGATTAGAGATTGCACCATCATCTCATTTGGCCACTCAAGCCACTCCTTCCAAAATGAGCCCAAGAAAGTCGAGATCTCCTTGATCAGTATCTGACCTACGTTTCCGACAAGCCACATGTGACGTCGACGATGGAGAAGTACTGCGTAATGGCAAAGGATCACAAGCGCTTCTGGTCTACGCATCAGCAGGAGATCAGCGAAACCACCGGACAGAAGGACAGGCCATGCCCAGATCAAACCAGAAGGTTGTCCATGTGTGGGCAGCTCTCCGGGAACGGGCTCTGTTTGGTATACGAGTATCAGCTGAGATACGGCCTCACGACAGGCCGAAGCGGGTGTTGAGCTCATGTCCGAATTTTCCAGTAAAGCATGCAAGTGATCGCTCACGATCACAGCTTGTTCATGCTTTGATGACGATGCATCATTTAGGGAACGTTCGGCACGACTGAGGATGGAAGAGATGCTAGAGTGTTTCAGAAACTGCCAGGATTGTGCTGTAATGGCGCGGACTCCACGGTGTAAGTTGATATACGTGACAAATCGGTCCAGAATTCCACTGGTGCCGGCCTCTAGAGCCGCAGTGACTTCGGCCAGCGCATGCAAGCCAAGAAAGCTCGAGAAAATCAGCATAGGAGCACAAGTTTCCATTGTGACCTCGAGATGCGAATCGTTGAACAGGCACACTGCCTGTGTCTGTAGAGTCTTAGCTTCTTCACGATGTCGTTTTGACTCTCCTGCATGGGTATGACCCATGTGCATGGCGGATAATGCTAGCAATTGGTGTACGACATATGGCTCAGAGAGAGCAACGGGCATGAGGAATCGAGCATGCTCGCGATCGATGGAGTTCGTTTCATCCAGGCTTGGCACTGTCTCGAAAACAAAGTGACTAAACAATTCGATATGGCGCATGTTGAGCGGCGCATCCGAAGAACCGTATTCAGCCGTACCCGATGGAGTAGGATAGAAGGCCGAGGCTGTAGACAGTGACGGTGTCGGCACCTGAGATACGAGACCGTCGGATGGCGTTGCACTCAGTGCCGCCGTATCACTCGGTTCCGTAACCGTATCGGAAGTCGTGCTCGGCGATCGGCAGGCAACCCTACGAAATGGACTTTGATAAATGCAGACTCGGGATTCGTTCAAGCACTTGGTGCATGCGGGCTGGGTCTCGTCACACTGGATGGAAAATGATGGCTTAGTAAGTCACGTCGATAGAATACAACAGATGATGTCCTGAATCAGGCTACATACCTTGATATGGCGTCGCTTACACTCATTACAGCCATGTCTTGACTTTTTGTGCGACCTGCGCAACGGTTTGTATGAAGACATAGCGGGACGTGATTGAACAATGGTATTGGCGTGACGATGATCAAGATGACAGAAGGCAAGCCTAGACACGCAGGACAGAATACGAAAAAGTGGCGAAGAAGGGATGGGCTGCAATATGCAAATACAGCAATATATACGGATACGCTTACGAAGGTGGCTCTAAACTAGACGCTAAATTAACTTGGTGGGGGCTCGCTAAAAGTCCATCATGGATATGCGGGTACGTCATCCCTGCGACACTAGCTGCAAGGTGGTTAGCTTGCCGCCTCGGAGATTTCAACAAAGATCAGCCGTCCGTATTGTATTGTAAGCCAGCAGGTGGCGGGTATGCATCGGGTAGACCCTGACACAATGGAGAACTTGAGACGAATTACAACCAGGTAGTAATCTCTTTAGACCCACTGACTGCTGTTTGCTCGCTTCAATCAATCCTCACATATTCTTGCCGCTTGCGAGCTTGCGGCGAAAGACACGAGTTTATACGATAGCACGCAAGAATACGCTTGAGCCGTTCTGTTGAGCCAGCGACATGATGGATTTATGTAGAGGCAACGTTTCCTTCGTCTTTATGGACATGAATCTACCTTCACTCGCTCTGCTTCGATGTCCCGGATGCACTTTATACAGAACTACTACCTTTTCGCAGTCGCCGTTGCGATAGCCTTCAGCCCTACGATACATGCCATATTCTTGAATCGTACCTTCGAAGATGTGTGCACTACCTTTGCATCGGAGCTACATGTTCCCAATGTAAAGGTACAATTCAGCCAGTATCTCCCAAAGGGCTACAACCTATCTGTACCAGATTTTGTAAGTTCTCATGCTGATTCAACTCTTTGCGTTCGTCTGACTTTTCCAGCCCCAATCATGCATCGAGGCACAAGGCTCGTCTCCTTATCAAGTCATTCGCGCCGACGTATGCCGTATCGCCATGCTTGTGAACACTTCCGACACTAGCAGCATGACTCTAGAAGCCTGGTTGCCGTCCAACTGGACTGGCAGGTTTCTCAGTGGAGGCAACGGTGGTCTTTCCGGCTGTGTACAGTATGTGGACTTGTCTTATGGATCCTCTTCGGGGTTTGCAACTGTCAGCGGTAATAATGGTCACAATGGTTCGTCCGCAGAGCCCTTCTTCCAGCAGCCCGATGTTTTGGAGGATTACGTCTATCGCGCTATTTACACTGGAAGTGTGGTAGGAAAGAAAGTTACAACGACATTTTATGGAGAGAATATCCACAAGTCTTACTTCATGGGCTGCTCAGGTGGAGGTAGACAAGGATTTAAGCTGGCTCAGTCCTTTCCTGACGTTTTCGACGGCATTGTTGCTGCCGCTCCGGCTCTCGACTTCGTCAATTTAATCAACTGGGGAGGCTACCTCAGTACCTTGGCTGGTTTTGAGACCAACTCTTCGACATTCATTACGGAATCCCTGTGGCAAATTATTCATGAGGAGGTGCTGAATCAATGTGATGCTTTGGACGGTGCGGTCGATGGGTATGAGTTTACTATTTTCCACTTATCCGCACATCTCACTGACTGCTCTGCCCCTAGAATCATCGAAGACACAGATCTGTGCCATCCTCAATTTGAGCCTTTGATATGTTCAGAAGGCACGAGCGACAGTACGGTATGCCTTAGCGGTGCACAGGCAGCAACGGTACGTGCTCTGTACGAGCCCCTCTACGGTGTGGATGGGGCCCTTTTGTATCCACGCCTGCAACCAGGCACCGAGACAACGACCTACAGCACATACTTCTCGGGAGAACCATCCATGCTTGCCTCTGAATGGTTCAAATACGTTGTGTATGATCCTTCATTCGACCCAAAGACTCTGACTCGCGAAGACTTCGCCGTGGCACTTTCTCAAAACCCGTACAATATCAGCACGTTCGACGCTGACCTTTCGGTTTTCCAAAACCGAGGTGGAAATCTCCTGACATTCCATGGCATGGAAGATAACATCATTTCTTCGGAGATCAGTACCCTCTATTACCATCGCTTGGCGGAGACAATGTCGCTAGCACCTTCTTCACTTGACTCCTTCTATCGCTACTTCCGTGTCAGTGGGATGGGTCACTGCGCTCTAGGAAACGGTGCGTATGGATTAGGGATGTACTCTTTTGGAGCCATTGACAATGCCCTTGACCAAGATCCGGACGACAATGTATTAGCCCGCATTGTGGCTTGGGTGGAGCGAGGAGAGGCCCCTGAATACATTCGAGGAACAAGCAACACAAAACCCTTGTACAAGCGAAAGCATTGCAAGTATCCGAAACGGAACGTTTATATTGGCCCAGGTGACCATACGGACGAGAATGCTTGGGTGTGTCAGTAGAAAACAATAGTTGTCAGCTCCCTGGGCCGACACATGGGTTAGCTATAGGTATCAGGGCCTAGTATATATACTTGAGACACTCCACCCTGTTCCTACATGGCAACGAACGGTCTACAGTCTACCAATACAACCTGTAGCCACCCAACTAATTCTGTTTAAAGACATTCGTGCAATACCGTCCTCTTCACTCTTCTCATAGTTCACTGGTTCTAACAGTAATGAGTAATTCATTTAGGCAATGAAACAGGTGATGTTTAGCTAATGTAGAGAAATTGTAGATCGAAACTCGGTCTTTAGTCTCCTATTAACCTTGTGGTAGATAGAGGACTAGCCTGCCAAGGCTTTTTTCCAGTATTTACTCAAAGTTTTATTCGCCAGAAGACATATCCCTGTTGGAGGAAACTTTGATAGAGCAATCGCACTACAGCCTCTTGGAACCTACTCCGTTTCGAAACGCTAGAACTGAGACACAACCTAGGTACCCGGTAAAGCATGGACAGTGCATACGATGCCCGTATTACATAATCGTATGATAAGGCAGAGGCGACTTCGTTACTTTCTCCCGTCTCAAAGATCCGATGTTGGCATCGCAAGCACTTCTTCTTTTCCTCCTCCGCCTTTCCACGTCGTCCATGGCTTCCAGTCGAGTCGAAGAGATCTTGTTCCAGCAGTATGAAGACACCGATGCACCTCCTCCATACAGGGCGACTGTGTCTACCAAGACATTGTCGGACTGGACCACGACAAAAGGTACTAAGCCTTGGAATTATGAGGCTCTATCAGACAATTTTAGTGACCCGCACACACAGATGATGGTCGGGTCGATTTGAATGTTGACTCCAGCCTCTACAAGACGCTGGCAAGATGCGTCCCTGCCGTAGCGTCCGTTACCCACGAACCAGATCCCAACTCAACTACCTCGTCAGAATCACCTCGTAACCGTCGGAACTCTACCTCCAAGATCCAGAGTCTGAGCTCATCGCAATCGGCTGTTCCCACCTTGAACATCGTAATACAAGTTGTCGGTAGCCGAGGCGATGTACAACCTTTTATTGCACTTGGGACAGAATTGAAGAAACACGGGCATCGAGTCCGCCTAGCCACGCATGACACATTTTCCGCATTTGTTCGTGCGTCTGCACTGGAATTCTTTCCCATTGGGGGTGATCCAGCTGAGCTAATGGCGTATATGGTGAAGAACCCAGGGCTTATACCAAGCCTCAAATCGCTCAAGTCTGGCGATATTCAAAAGAAGCAAAAGATGGTGGCAGAAATCCTAAAAGGATGCTGGCAATCATGTGTCCAAGCAGACCCTATAACAGGGACCCCTTTTGTGGCCAACGCCATCATAGCTAATCCGCCCAGCTTTGCACATGTTCACTGCGCTCAAGCGTTGAGCATTCCGGTCCATCTGATGTTTACCATGCCATGGAGTAACACTAGAGCGTTTCCTCACCCACTGGCGAACGTTATCACGAAGAACACTTCGATTGATCCCGAAGTTGCAAACTACATATCCTACAGTGTGGTCGAGTGGATGACTTGGCAAGGGTCAGTATTTGTATTGATCTTATATACGCGTTTAGTAACCAATCACCCTGAAGACTTGGAAATGTTATTAATGAGTGGCGTGGTACAATCGACCTAGAGCCCATTACAGGTTCGGAAGGACCGAATCTGCCAAATACCCCCGGGATTCCATTCACCTACTGTTGGTCCCCAGCACTGGTACCCAAGCCTTCAGACTGGGGGTCCCATATTGGTATGATTAGTTTTTCCTCTTTGGTTTGCAGGAAGGCCGGACTAATCTGCGCAGATGTCTGCGGATTCTTCTTCCGTGACCCACCTCTTTATACTCCAGACTCCGAGCTACAGAAGTTCTTGGACAACGGCTCCGCTCCTATATACATTGGATTCGGTAGCATAGTGCTTGAAAATCCTGATGAGCTTACCCGTATGCTATTGGACGCGGTGAAAGCGACCGGAGTTCGAGCCATCATCTCTAAAGGCTGGGGCGGTTTGGGTGGAAATGGAGACCCACAGTACCAAGATGACGACATTCTATATCTTGGAGATTGCCCGCATGAATGGCTATTTCAGCATGTGGCGGCAGTGGTCCATCACGGTGGCGCAGGAACCACAGCCTGTGGACTACTTCACGGGCGGCCAACCTTCATCATACCTTTCTTCGGAGAGTAAGTAATGCAACTGAACTATTCTCTCGCATGTGTATAAGTCGACACTGACGTATCGTCATAGCCAACCTTTCTGGGGTACCATGGTCGGAGCCGCCGGCGCAGGCCCAATGCCCGTCTCCCACCAATCGCTGACTCGCGAATGTCTCATCGAAGCATTGGAATTTTGCCTTACACCAGGTGCTTTGAGTGCGGCACAAGGTCTAGCAGCACAAATGAGAGCCGAAGCCGGAGTTGCGGCCGCGGTACAGTCTTTCTACGATAACCTACCTGTGAAAAATCTTCATTGCGACATCCTTCCCAAGGAGCCAGCGGTATGGCAATACAAAAGCTCGAAGGGTGTTCTGAGACTATCGAACTTGGCGGTTAGGACACTGGTCGTCAGCGCAAAAATATCGCCCGGAAAGCTAGAGCTGTGAGTTAACCAAGAGCATTGTATGGTATCTTAGAGCAAAGAAAGCAAGGCTGACACCAATTCTCTGCTCTGAAAGGCTAGAAGTAAAACCGATAAGGATAGAAGCTTCACGATACGATCCTTTAAGTGCAGCGATATCTGCAGCCGTCACTATGTCAAAAGTACTCCTGTATGACACCATGGACATAGTCAGGAAACCGGTGCAAGCATATCAACAGTCCCGCTCTGGAGACGACGCAGTGGTCTCTGCCAGGAGCCATAATGTTGACCCAAGTAGTGCTCAACAGTGGTCAGCACACGATTCAACTGGGTCCAGTGAACCAAGCGCGACGGAGAAGCGAGAGCAAAGAAGCTGCATAGGCCCAGTAGCGTACAAGTCAGTCTCTTCTGTAGGAAGGCTAGCTGGACATGTCACGCGAGCAACATATGTGGACATGCCATTGGCAATTACTGAAGGTTTGCGATCCGTTCCATTGCTGTATGGAGGCCATGTCCGCGACTATGGCTATGTGACAGACTGGAAATCAGGTTTTGCCAAGGCTGGCAAGCACCTGGCGTTCGGAATTGCGGACGGTCTGTCTGATCTTTGCATGGAGCCAGTCCGGGGGGGCAGGAAAGAGGGCACCCTAGGCGTAATCAAAGGCGTGGGCAAAGGCTTGCTTAGTGTTACCACAAAAGCGTCGTCAGGTTAGTACTTCTTCTACGTTTCTTTTTCAACAATCTATGCCCACCAAAACATCGACCTATGACTGACTCAACATTGATATAGCGGCCCTGGGTATAGTCGCCTATCCGGGACAAGGCATATACAGAAGCGTAAGGAAGGCGAATCACTCGGCGACAGGTGATTCCGTTGCACAGGCACGTCATCGACAGAGTGAACACCAGTTTGAGGTTTTGAGAGATCCTGATGTTACAATAGCGGATGCTGTGGCTGCCTTTGAATCATTTCGACAATGAACAGTCATGGCTTGCTAGGCCAATCTACTTCCTCCACACCAAAGCTGGTCATTGTCAGGTTCATAGCTTCTTGGATAAGAGTGGCCTTCTTTCCGGTTTGCAAATACAATAGAGAAGAAGTTGTTTGAAGCCTGCATCTATGGGGCCCGGATTCGGGATGTTTCTAATAGAAGCAAGGGTACCAAGAACTGCGAACTAAATTTCATTTCCCACTTTATCCAAAACTACGCATGCAGAACAAGAATGAACTTCAACTAACAAAAGGTATTGCAAACTGTCTCATGCAATGTTCGTTAGTGAGTCGCGACTTACCTATAACAGTGGGTACCCGATATGGTCGAATAAAAGAAGTCGGAGCAGTAGTTGTACTAGGGGCGAATGATAACATCTTGAACTGACAGCTCTTGACTAATATACGGTATTAACTAACCCCAAATTTAGATTCCAAAGTTAACGCCTATTCACATACCATGTTTTCATTCCTAGGCAATTGGTTAGACACGGTTGATACGTATCAGACCCCTTGATTCAGACTCTAGAAAACCTACAATTGGTGACTACAAAATATAAGTCTCTTCTGTCTGCTACTCATTTTCTCTTAAATAAATCTTTATAAACATTGTTAGCTTCCTCCTAGTCTGAAGCTTAAATAACGTTGTCGTGTCGGTCGAAAATGTTGTCACAAGTCACATAACCAATAAGAGCTTGAATGTCCAAGGGTATGGCCGTCCTGGACGAGCGTATCACGAATGTGTACAATAAGCTTCGCGTTCGACCCAAGACAGTTACCCTCACGCGCGACCATCTACGCCTCAAAGTCGCTGGTTTCAAATTGCTGCGAGCTCTCTAACTATATGGAGAAACAAATGCCCCCTGCCGCTGTGGCCTAGCCGAAAATCCCAGGTCCTTGTTAGTTGAGCACTCTCTGAGTGGCTTGGAGAGACCTAGATTCACATGACAACAAGGAGTTCGCCTGCTTTGAGCAAGCAGGAGAGCACTAGCATTCGACACAAGCTAGTAAGGCATCGTCGCTCCCCGATCTTGGTCCGTATTTCAAGGCCTTCTTTACGAGCCAGCGCAACTTCAAGGATACAGTAAGGATACAGGAACATTCAAAGCTTTCGTCAACGTACATCATAGCTGAGTTACAGGTAGGATCAACCTCCTATGCGCTCTTCTGCATTGTGTCATGACAGCTGGAATGTGTCTCTGTTAATTTAAGACCGTTTCCCAATGTAGCGTGTTGATGGTCACATCCGAATTAATGTGAGGCTCATGCTTTGCAGTACCTCCTTCTCCCGCTGAACGGATCGAATATACACTTTTGAATCCGCTCAACGTCATCCTGATCGTTTCTATGATGGTATCCTTCCACCGGCTCTGGGAGCTTGAGCGAGTGCATCACTGGTCTTCCTTCAATTGAGATAATGACATCAACAGCCGCTGCTGCGCCTCCTGTAACGGCCTTTGGAAGCGAATTGCCACATCCGCTGGTCCTGTCGACTCGGGCTGCTGCAGGAATATCGCCTTTAGCCCCTCATATCCCTTCCGAATGAAATTGAGTTTTGCAGACTCTAAAAATAGTGACTAGCGTTTGTCAATAAGGAGGCAATTACCTGCATCACCCCAAAGAACAAGTACTTCCACGCTGTCCTGGAAATTGTTTGCAATGTGACTGACAATGAGTTCATTTTCAAGACAGAAGTTTGCGTTTTGCGCCCTATAAGATCTCGTATCGATCCGACATACGGCATACTCCACGCTTAATGCAAGATCGTTGATACTGAGCGAGACTTGCTTGAGACCAAGGAATCCAGCGAGCTGGCTAGCATGACAAGTAGTGCATTCGCATCCATTAGCCGTTCGGTCGTTGTATCCGAACCAAATCATGCTCTCAAGAGGAACCTTGATGTTTAATCAGCTCAGCTACGATGCGACCCGGGCTTGAGAGACACTGGGCGAGACTTTGAAACCGGCATCATGTTCATCGCCTTCTTGTCCAATGCAGCGCGGGCCGTTGAAGTAGATTGACTCTAAGCTCGGTAGATGTAGTAGACATAAAAATAGCATAATCGAATCCTCGAGTTGTGTGGCCTGAAGTTCTGAACCTGATCCAGGCCAAAGGCAACGCGTCGTAAGCCGACGAACCCGACTGGCCATACGTAGGTTTCGATGGAGGGTGTTGCGTTTGGATCAGGAAGCACTTTTCGTTCAGTCTTGCTATTAACGTACTCAGCACATGCTTTGGCAGGTGGAAAGCCCCCTTTGTCGTCCTCGTCGTGATAATAGCTTTGGAGCCAAACGGGTGCTTGCTATCTGTGTTCGTCAACACGCTTTTGCAAATAGTCTTGTGTGTAAGCGCAAACATAGATGAGTCGTTCAAACCAGTAGAGACATGATTTGACTGTATCTGCAGTGCGCGTTTACACCGTTAAAGCCTAAATACGAGAAGAGGGTCCGATTTCGGCCCAATGTGTGCGTAGTGCCTACTTACCCCGCGCGTGCTGTTCACTAGGTAGCGTTAATACACAGGACACGGCATTGGTAGGGCACCGCAACTGAAGTAACTTTGCATGAAAGATACGAGCACATGGTTAGGATCTTACTGAATACAAGTGCTCATTCACTATAGACGTGCTCATGTGTTAAGATGGAGAGAACTCTGTTTACTAAAGCTAGAGTAAAACGGCCTTTTTGATCGCACGTCAAACAGAACATGCACAAACTCCTCAATTGTATGCGAGTTCGAAGATAAGAAGTAGTCTACTGTAGCTTCTTGTAATCTGCAGACTAGCGGGTTGGCTGTACGAGCTATAATGAAGTCATAAATCATGTAGTTTTATCGGGCTATTTCGTGGTGAGATTTTCTGTAGTACATACATACTCGGGATGAGCACAAGCCTCGAGACGCGTAACATTGGCTGCCTAGGTGCTGCACAGCATGCTCAACACTACCAGGCTTAAATTTGTTACATGTATGTGATTACTTACAAAACCCGTTAGACCAGTATATCTCACGGCTTTCCTGTCTTCAGAAAGCCAGCCTCTAACCCAATCTATTCAAGTAAACCGAGGAAATCCGCATTGAAATGCACAGGAAATCGACACCTTCCCCTCGCAGCATCGCTCACAAAGCACGCAATGCTATTTTTCTGGCATGGAAACGTCCCTCTACCATCGCCATCAATAACGACCGTGCATGACTCAAATCCTAGGACATCGGTCCATGACTCACCGGCATTTTCGCTGCCGACATCCATAGTCAGAGCAGACGTACAGTCTCCAACATTCGAACCTTGCGTCCATGACATAATGATTGCGCAGCCGTTCGGGTTCACCGAATCACCGCGACGAGTCCATCCGATACAGTCACTGCGCTCGAAATAGTCGCTTTGTTGTCCGTAAGCATACAGCTTCCTGGCAAGAATCAAGTCTGGAAGCTTGCCCCAGCATGCCGGCGGCTCTGGATACGGACCTTGTATCCCGTACAGATCGCCGAAGAAGACACACGGATGGCCAGCTTGACGAAGTAGAAGGAGTGCGTATGCATGCGGTGTGAAGGAGTAGTGGATAGGGGTATCCATGTCTTGGCCCCTCTGGGTGTCGTGAATTTGGACGAAAGTCTGCGAGATATAAGCGAAAGCCGACGGATAAAGCCAACGAATCAGACTCACGACTGCATTGTTGGGCCGCCTCTCCACCAGAGTGTCTCGGAAGACCTCTCGCAGATCTGTGTCCTCGCCTTGGCTCAGACGAGCTATGCGATACATGAGTGGCACATCATAAAGTCTGAAATCGGTCGACATGTTGTCCATCCACTCAAGAAGTACGTTGACATCGCCGTGCCAGAACTCGCCAACACACAACAGACCGCCATTAGTACGCTTCTTCAGGTATTGGCTCCAGTTGTTAGAAAAGTTCCAGGAGTAATGCTGAACCGCGTCGAGCCTGAAACCTTTTAGTCCAAGCTCCTGCACAATCCACTCCCCCCACTTCTCTGTCTCTCTGATCACCTCTGAATTAGTGTAGTCAATATTCTCCAGCATGAGATAATCAGCATTGCCTTGCAATTTCCCTACATCTTGTGCCCAATTTTTGCCGCCCTCTACAAAACGGTAGATGGCACGTTTCTCCGTCCGTTGGTCCCAGTCTGTGCCATTGAAGTGGGTTTTGTTGTACGTGAAAGGACTGTACTTCCCGCCCCGCGCGGCAAAGTCGAACTTTGTCCACGCTGTGATATCAAAAGGCTCCGTAAGGTCTTCTGTCCGATCTAATTGAGATTAACAGGGGAAAACAGCATGGAGCGAGCCTCACTTGCCTCGTGGATTTACTTCAACTACCGAGACCGTCTCAGTAGAATCTGCAAACGCCCGATGGTTGAGTATGGCATCCCATACCAGGCCAATACCATGAACCTTGCATTCTACAGCTAAATCAACGAGATCTTGCTTAGTACCCCATTTGGTAGGCACGGTGCCTTTCTGATCGAACTCTCCCAAATCATACGCATCGTAAATATCATAACCATTGCTTTCGGCATCCTTGGCCTTGGATCCCGGAGGTAGCCACAGTTCAGTTATTCCGATCGAAGCAAGATCGGGTAGTGCTTTCTGCAGTCGCTGCCAATGTTTGTGATCCGCAGGTGAATGCCACTCAAAGGCTTCGAAAAGAACCGGGTTCTTAGATGTCGGTTGTTTATGGGTATCTTCGTGATCAGGGCGTTTTGATAAGAGTTGTGCAACCATCTTGAAGGCTGGTTTGAGCTGCAGTCGCGGCGATACAGGAGACAATATATATTCTGAGAAGATGCCACTGCTCAAAAGAGCTCCCACCATCTAATCTGACTTGCAACCGCAACGGCCTTGGTATTGTGTCCATTTTCTCCTTCTCCTTTTTCAATATCATATTGTTAGACTCTATGCGAAAGATCGCATTCGCACTCGAACTCACAAAACCACCGAAATGTGTGCACTGTTGTAAACCACCGTACTCACCGTACCAGCTTTGGTCGCCCATCTATTCGATGCTAGTCTTGCTTTACAAAGACTAGTGTGTTTCAGTATAGACGCGGGTAGAACCGGGTCGTACTCAGCGTATTTCTTCGTTTCGGATCTGACGCGGTGCCGCGCACGGTCTAGAAATGGGTATCTGCTACAAAGCATCCGGACTCCGGAGTACACGTGCCTGGTACTAGTTAACCCTATTGTTGTCTTCAATCCCTTCTTCCTCTTCGCTCATTCCTTTTGTCCGCAATCCCTTGGTTTCTCGTCCTCGTCCTCATTCTCATCATCGTCCGGTTCAACACATGCCACGAGCCACCACGTGAAGGGATTCGCTTGCCCAGGTGTTGTATGTTCGAGGTTCGCAGAATGTTTAGAGAAAGCTTCCTTGTCGGTCTTTTGATCTTGAGCAAGATCGATGTATACGGATGCCACCTTTTGTGCACTTTCAATCAACAGCGCATTCAACTCTTGTGACAAGGGTGCCTGGGCTTTCATCTTCAAACATACGTCTTCCCACTCCTGTATAGAATCTCTTGATCCTCCTTGATAAAAGAGAGCAATACCATAAATACCCTTCTTTCTTCGTTACCGCAATTTTCAGTCTAGCCTCATCAATTGTTTTGGAACAATGACCTTGTTAAAGATGCTTGTCAAAAGTCTCGTTTTCCTCAAGGTCTGCTGCACGTCCTCAGAGTTCATATGTGCCTCGCTCACTTGCATCAAATGGGATTGATTTCTTCTATGAGATCGGCGAGGATGCGTCAGGTGATTTCATCCTGAGATTTATCCCAAAACGTGCAGACCACTTTCTTCTTCAGACTATACAGTATCTCGATCGGTCTGTGAACTTCAAATCTGGTCCCAAGGGGTCCCGCAATTGATGATCAGCGAATGTTACAAGCGTTGATATCGCGATTGTCTAGGGGTGACTGGAATTTGGAGCAACATTCGAAATTGTCATCGGAGGTGTTCTGAAAGATGCTCTTTTGCATCGAGATCAACATGCTGGCTTGACATTATCTTAGACTTCGCTGAATCTTTCTTATATCCTTCTGCATCTTGCATAGAAGGGACTTGGTCCATTCGTCCGCACGTGTACTGTTGCCATCGGTGTCAAGGAAGTATAGTTTACGCCGATGCGAATCGTCGTTTGCACTGAAGCAAAACTTCACAATGAATTCGTTTCACAACTTTGACGAACTCGGTAAAGTTCGACACATTTGGAAATCGTTTGGCAACAGAGTTCTGACAACTCATGTCGTTTTCCGCTAATTGCCAGACCAAAGCCAACAGTATAGCGTAGACTGCTGTATCCTCTCGCTTGACCTTTTTTTGTCATCCGTTGGCTCTGTCCCCTAGTTCTCCTTTCCTTCCATGTTCTTCTCGGGTTCCTTGTCATTTCTTGATTTGTTTTCCTACTTTGCAGATGCAAACATATTTTGTCTTGCGAAGGTCGACCAAGCTACCGAGAGCTGACCAAATTTGATGTTGTTGTTGAGATACTGTCTTGCGTGTGAGCAGATATGGGTTTTTCCGTGACCGCTAGCGTCTTTCAGAAAGAGCACTGCATTTTTGGCACGTGTTTGGGTGTTGGCCCACACCGTGAATTTGCTTGAGCCATCGGTAAGCCAGTCTCCAATACCTACCAGGTACGTTATGTCGTTTTAGCCGGCTTTATGTCTTGAGCCAACGATCGCCGGTCTCATCACTATGAGCGCATATCGTAGCGTCCTGCTATCCTCCAATTGAAGCCTTTTTTCGTTGTCCGCATTGCCAGACCTTCGTAGGGCCGAAACACTCATGTTAAGCTCCTGTTCAGTTGATGTCGCGATTGATGCGACCAAGTCTTCGATAGCTCCATTCCACCTGCTCATTGACATGTACATAGCCCCTCACTATTCCAGACGCTGAGTCGAAATCCACTTTAACCTTCTCGTAGATAGTGTAGAGTCGTAGACGTTGTAAAGTCGTAGAAACGCTTCTATGGTCGAGGTTATCACGGCCAAGAATGGTCCATCAAGAATGATGCATTTTCAAAATGAACAGCAATGCATTCCAGGTTCCACGAGACATCAAGAAGTTGGTTTAGGGCTTGATCGTCTGTGTGGTCCTGCTTGTACCATCGCACGGGCCCTGCAAGATAGGTATTTTAACGCATATCTCGGGGCCGCCTAGGCCTGATTGGAATTAACACAAGCTTTAGCGGGAATTGCTTCGGCAGAACTCGGGAACGCCAATTGAGATTCTTCACCACGTGATGTGACGCAATCTCGTACTCTTTCCCCTCAACCTTCGTACGATAGATTCAACCCAAATATCACTCTCAAAGACGCATTCAATGTTTTGATGCTGTCATCCAGTACTATTAATCCTCCATAAATCAGACAGCATTCTTTTGGAGACATGTCCACATGTCGCAACAAGAGAAAGCGTACAGAAGGGTCTTGCCTCCGGTGCTCGCAGAAAAAGCGAAAGGTGGTTCTTGCTTCAAGGCTCTGCCCGACACGAACTGACACCGCCGCCAGTGCGATCATCTTTTGCCAAGATGTTCCCAATGCGTAAAGGACAACAATGTGTGCGAGAAGCGAACCTTTAAGGTCTGGCTGGCTCCAGCAGGAGGAAGTCGACGATCCGTCAGGGTTGAGCCAATCTGTGCGGAAGTTCAGAGGACAGCTCCCGAACAAGAGCTCCAACCTGTGGAAAGACGGGATGCTGCTGCTACATCTGATTTAATCGATTTATCGTTGGGCCAAACCTCGAATTTAGAAAGGCCCTCTCTGCCGTCTCCGACATTCTCCCCTGCCAGCCATGAAATGCAAGATGTCCAAGACAGTGTAATCGGATCGACAGCAGTCACCGAGCAGAGCACCGCTGAGATGACACAATTTCTCGTCCGACACAACTACACAACACCCGAGACGCATCTACCTGTCTGGTCTCGTACAACCGGCGGACCAATCTCGCAGCGCTTTCTTTGGCACTTCTTTGTTGTCGGCTTCCTGAAGAAATTTCTCTGCTTCGAACCCCAAGAAGTCGGACACCAATCATCATTTGAGGATCCCTTTTTAGTCTTGTTTCCGCAACTGGCACTGACAAGTCCGTGTCTCCTCGCAGCCGTGCTTTCTTTCTCCTTGCAGCAATACGCTGCATACAGAGGGACACAAACCATATCTATCTCTCCAGACTACTACAGCTCTCAAGCGATACAGGCTTTGACCAAGCGCGAGCTGGGTTCTATGCAGCCAAAGATGTTGCTATCCATTATCGCAACGGGCGTGTTTCTCCATCTAGGTGAACAAGACCGGAAACAGAACTGCCTCGAGCTTGCCAGAAGCGCAGCAGCCTACCTCGCGGACATCGCATCAAGTACACCTCTTGCATCGAGCCAAGAGTACCAGCTCATCATGGCGCTGCTTCGCTGGGCAGATATCTCAACTTTATGTTCATTACAGGTGCGAACTACTCCAGTCACGAAGGGAATACACAGAAGCATACAGCTCCGTCAGCACGAGGTACATGAGAACTTCTCTCGCGTCTTCAGCCACTGGGTCACGCATCCTATCTTTGGCTTCTCGGCGCATCTCGTCAATCCGCTACTCGAGCTCGGTCGGTTACTTCAGCTGCAGCTTCGGTGCTTTTCCTCGATCGGTAACGACGGCGGCTCCTTCGACGTCGACGAAGCAGCCCAGGCCACGGCGCTTGAGGATGATATCCTCACCGCCTCGGGAAATTTCCACACATGGTGTCAGTCTAAGGACTTGAACGATTTACAACCGCTTGTGCATCTCAATGCCGCTATGCATGCGTCCACAGAACTCCTGTTCTACTCGCGATTGAGAGGTTTTCCGTTCACTGCGCCCCTCATCCGGTCCTACGTGCGACAAATTTTAGATCATGTGTTGCAAGTCCCACAAAACTCGCCAGCCTTTGGTGCGCTTCTGTTCCCGCTCTGCGTAGCGGGATGCGAAGCAGTCGACGAAGATCTGCGGGCCGTGGTTGTACTAAAGGTGCTGCTGCTGCATCAGGGAACTGAACAGCCGGAAATGCTGGTCAGGATGTTGAAACAGGTATGGCATATCCGGGATCATCAGCCTGGCCTGCTGTGGCCGTGCTGGGTTGCAAAAGGTATGATCTTATTTCCCTTAAGTGACTCGACCATGCGAGGCTACATAAATTGTACAATACATATTGCTTACGCGCATAAAAGTTGACGAAAAATACCGAGCTACTATATGGTTTTGAAGCCGACTCGTAGCTCAAGGAACAGAAACTTCCTTCGATGCTGTCTTACTATCGGTGTGAGACGTCATACAGTTGACTTCATCCGAGTTGTCGAGACCCTGGATAATGCACTCACCGTTCGATGGTGTGACATAGAGATTGTAGTGATCCTTACCGTAGGAAAACCAGCAAAGGACCACGGACAAGAGAACGGTGCCCGTGCAGACACACGCCCAATTCATACTGTCCACCTGCAGAGAGCTCTCGGGCGGCAATGAAAAAGAGATTGCTTGGAAAACGACTATGACGATGTTAAGGGCTGCCAGCAGGACACTGCAAGCCCTCGGCAAGCGGAATACACCCTTGTCACCGAGATTTTGGCCACCCGTCAGGATGTGAGCCATGAACATGGGAGCGTAGCCGACAAAGTACAATGTCATGCAACCTCCAACAAGAGTGTTCAGCACGGCAGAAGTGGCAAAGATGAGCGTACCCAGCAACGTCGTGACCATAAAGGTAACCTTTAGCATATTGGCCGGCTCGTTGCGTTCGATGTCGTATTTAGCTAGATAAGCGGATCCCGGCACTGTGACTCAAGTTAGCACAGAAGTTCACTTGGTTTGACCAATGGTCCTTCAGGTTGAGCTTACTGGCTCCGGTGATAGCAAAACCGTGCATTAGTCTAATGGTCGCGTTGAAATAGGACACAAGGCTAAGCACGTTGAAGGCTAGGATAAGAACCATAATTGTGACTGCGCCCTGCCACGATGGAATCGCATAGTCGAGAATGGCTCCTAAAGGAGTGTAGACTGGAGATTCGAGGATGGCGTTCCAGTCTCCGCCAACGCCATATCCTATGGCAAGGAAGAACAGGAACAGCCTTTCTACCGTCAGCGAATATATCATAATTCATCATTGTCTGGTGTCTTACATGACGATATTACCAATTTGCTGGATCAGAAGCGTAATTGGCAGCGACTTTCTGGGATTTTTGGTTTCATCGGCCATGTTCATCATCCAGTGAGTTGGCCCGAAGCCTGTCAAAGGTAGGCTTGCTCCGACCAGAGCAGCAAGTCCTGTGGGCCAGCCGGTAGTGTTCGCGAAGTCAAACCAAATTGTCCTTGAATATCGTTGTTAGATACGTTATGTTTGGCGAGAGTGCACTGATTTGAAGGGAATGGGCAAGGTGGCATACCGACTGGGCGCAGGCTCTTTTGCACCCGCAATGATGGTACCTAATGAAGCGAAGTAGATAATGAATAAAGATAAGCCTTTGTCAAAATGTCAGCATCATGATGCGTCTTTGCGAACATAACTTGAAGTACCTCCAAAGGTTGCCAGACGATCCAGGGAATTGGAGCTTCGAGCGCTGCCGAAGGTACAAAGCACGTTGGTGGCCTGATAGATGAGAAAAATGTGCCATGTTTTGGGCACATAATCTGGACTGGCCATAGTTCCGATCGCGGCAATCGAGGGCGCATTGGCCGCTAATAACGCAGCAGGAGTGACCAGTCCTGCAACGAAGTGCAAATAGCCCGTAGCGAAACCCTACTCGTCGTTCAATTACTACGTGTCGCAAATGTGTACAACCAAAGAGAGGGAATGAAGAAATAGAAACTTCAACCACGAACAACAGACTTACACAGAAACGTCCATACTTCTCTCCACCCAGCTTCGTAGCTATGAGTGTGCATCCAATGTTCGACGGGTAGGCAGACGAAAATTCGGCAAACGATATGCACTGAAGGCTCATAAGGAAGCCCCAGCCCAAGGTTCCATAGAGTAGAACAGGAACACCACCCGCACCGATCCCGATGACAAGTGCTTGAGCTGCGAACAACCATACACTGACAGTGTTAGCTAAGCGTTTTAATACTGCATGGTCTACTTGACAGTGGAAGGTGGCTTTGCGTACTTGGGCAACACCAAAGAGTACAAGCTCGACTGAGCAGCGTTCATCTTTCGAGCCTCCATAGCTGCAAGTGGGATTAGATAGCCTCTCTGTAACAACAAAGATGAAGTTGTTGGAGAGCAAAGTTTCGAATTCAGGAATAGAGGCGGGCTGCACTATCTATAAGTTCCAGACTTAAGTCGGGTTCATGTGGCTGAGATAATCGGGTAAACAGATATCGAGGTGGTTATCTCAAGAGTGTATCCGTGTCGAGAAGCTATCAGCGTCTACAGGATAGAGAAGATTGCGGTAAGTTCGCCCAAAGCGGTTAGCTCTTTCCTTGTGCATGGCGAAACGCTCATTCAGCTGCGAAGTCGCAACCCATAGCGCCGAGGGAGATCACATCTCGTCACATTTTATCTTTCCTTATCTCAGATGGAGCCTTTTGACCGTTGGAATCATAGGGTCGCCACATCTAAGCGGAACGTTCGCTTCTGTCTGTCACGGCTGGACTTCGGCAACAGATGCTGCGGTACTTTTCCTGCATATGGTTAGCCTGTTCTCTGGTCTGATTACAGTCAATCTTTCGCTTTTGCGAACCACAAAAGACGTCTGCTCTAATCATCCTCAGTTTCGATAAGCCTCCGTGGATTCGGTAAGCTACTGACACATCCGACAGATTATCTCGAGACGCCACCCCCGCTTGCGGTAGATCTGCCTCATTCGCTTCACCACCTCTTTTGGGCCAGGTGGTACTGTAAGTCTAGAATACCGGCCTCGCCTGTGATGGCACCCGTATATATAGTGGACGTCTCTCCATTCCCACCCTCCCTTCTAGCATTTCTTGAAGTCACACTGCACCATTAGTCATGCTCTACGTCCAACTTCTCAATTTCGCCTTGGTTGGTGTACTGGCATGGACTATATTCAAACGCTTGTTGATTAGCCCTATGAGGCGACTTCCAGGTCCGTGGTACCTCAAGCTCTCCGACCTCCCCTTCAAGTACCACGAGTTTTATGGCACCAAGCGGCTTTGGATACATAACCTGCATCTGCGCTACGGGCCTGTAATATGCCTCGGCCCCGCAAATGCACACTTCGCTTCCGCGGCGGCAGCCAAAGCGATCTACAGCACCGGGAGCAAAGACTATGTTAAGACCGAATTCTACGATCTGTTTCGTCAGGAGGGTCATATGTATGGCTTTCAATTCTTTGCCTGGTTACTTCGGATAATGACTGCGTTCAGAAATCTATTCACTGCCATTGACTCCAAGAAGGTTAGATTTGGACGAATCGTGATGTTGCATGAATCTGACGCTTACTATCACGATAGCATAGCGAGATCCGCAAACCACTAGCAGACAGGTATTCTAACACCAATATCTTGGCCTCGAAGGTCCTTGACGCCATAACGGAACGTGCCAATGTTTTCATGCAAGAATGCTTGAAGACGGAGTCAACAGATATCTACGTAAGTAAAGCTGTTGGCTCACCAACTCTCTAGCTTCTCAGCTTCCCAAGAGCCTCCTAACCAACTCTGCTTAGTTTCTCCTTCACGCGTATGCGCTGGATTGTGTGACTTCAATGCTCTTCCACCCCTTTGGGACGCGCTCCCTAGACCAGGAGGACCACAAACGCATTGTCCACTTCCTATCCTACCGCGAGCAGCGTAACGGTAAACAGTGCTACGAACCTTCATCAGTACATCACCATTGACTCAACTCAGAAGAAGTGCTCGCCTACTACACACCTTACCTGCTCCAACTCTGGACATGGCTGCACCCCGAACCCGAACAGAACATCCTTGCCGACAAGCTTATCCGCGAGTACGTGACCTCAACATACGCCCGCGACGATCTCTCGCCTCACACCGTCGCGGCTCGACTAGCCAGCCTGAAGGACTTTGACACTCCGCTGGCCATCTCAGAGTGCCTTGACCACTTGGGCGCTGGGCTGGAAACAACTGGCGACACGCTGTGCTTCCTAATCTGGGAACTCTCACAGCCACGCAACCATGAGCGCATGGACAGACTACACGACGAGCTGAAGGCTGTCCGACCTGGTGATCGGCTAGATCAGCTGCCATATTTGAATCTGATCATGCAAGAGGCGCTGAGGCTGTATGCACCAGGTACGATGTCGCTCCCACGCTACGTGCCCAAGGAGGGGAGGGTGATTGATGGATACTTTGTTCCCGGCAAAACGGTCGTGGCTTGCCAATCACACACACTGCACCGCGACGCGGGCGTATTTCCAGACGGAGACGCTTTTATCCCTGAACGCTGGGCCGACGAATCCAAGAATCTCGAGCGCCAGCGGTTGAACATGTCGTTTGGGTTTGGCGCCCGGACGTGCATTGGGAAACAGTGAGTGTGGACGCTACTCTAAGCGTGTGGTTGTTGCTAATATGTGCTAGTCTTGCCCAGGCCGAGATGCGAGCACTTCTTTGCCGTGTCTACTCGCAGTATCGAACGTACCCGGCGGATGGAATGGACGCTGATCTGATGAAATTTGAGGATACGCCACTAACGTCAGCGCCAAAGGGCAAGCTATGCAGGATTAGGTTTGAGCTATATGAAGACATTATGGCTAAGGAATAAGAGAAGAGTATACTAGGCTAGACCTATAAGTATCTTAGCTACTATAGGTATCTGTCCTCTAAGGATCTGTTTTGTACGAGGATTGAGATAGGGGATGACAGGCAGTCCGGAACGGACCGAGGGGCAGTTTTCACCATATAACTGCTTTTGGCAATCTATCCCAACGAGTTATCGGCCTCCCACCAAAAAGAACGTCACAGCCGCTGCAACATGCAGCATATCAACCCTCGCTCAGACTGTCTCGCTCCAAACCCGTCTGACCAAGATCTCATGGTCCGTACAATTGCCGGTAAGGCTTCTTCGCGCCACCGTGCCTCCAGCTTGATTTCACAGTGTGCTTTGCGTTACGGTTGCCGCCCCGTCCGGCGGGAAACCATCCAATAGCGGCCTCCGAAGATATTACCGCGTGCTCAGTCATGATACATAGGCTCTGTTCACCAAGCTTGCACTGTTCTCATCGGCATGTAAAGAAGGTCGGGCCGTGGTTGGTTGCCTGAAATGTCTACGGCTCGTATGCATTGTCAGGCGCCGGCGCCAGCGAGTTCTTTGGGATCTCTCCCGATGAGTTGACCCCAATGCAGTCTTGTTGAAACTGAAACAGGGTAGTATGAGCATCGATGCAGTAAAGGAATACACCCGCGAAAAAATTCAAACTAGCTCCTCTATTACTTCCTTACTCATCTCACAAACTCCTCTCGCCTACTTTACTCAGATTCCTCGTCTCGAAACCAACTCAAGATGTCTTACATTGGATAAGTCTTCCACAAAACTACGTCTAAGAGCATCGATGTTCTCATCCCCGATAGCGGCAGTAACTTCACGCGGCCTACTGGCGCCATCAGCCAGGATGTCAAGTCTGTGGCTCTCGCCTATGTCAAGGAATGCTTTGAGAAGGATAGCGTCTTCAAGTATGTTTCGAATAGATATATAATAATCTAGCTTAGAACTTTACATAGGTATATGTGTACTTAAACACGCTGATATACATAGTAGTCTAAGCATTGTTAGCGTATTCTATTTAGCATAACTTAGATATGTACTTACAGTGTATTAGTAGGTTTTATGCATTCGGAAGTATTTTCCTCAGCGTTTGTACTGCTAGCAACCTGAACAGGCACTGTCGCAGTCCTCACGCATCCACACTCCGGCTCGTAATGCTTCGATGTCACATATGGGACATCATTGAGTACAGTGTGAATGCTCGCGCTATCGGGTACCGTCATGATTGGTACATGGGTACTCAGAACACAATCGCATGCTTGCTCGTAATAGCTTGCTGTTGTACACGCTACACCACTCACTGTCGTCACGGTCGCGGGCGTGAAGGTCGGACCATGTGAAACCGGACCAGGTGTGTATGCAATTGGCACGATGGTCGTCTGCGTGCAGGCACAGGTCGGTTCGTAATAAGTTATTGTCGTGCAGGGAGTACCATTGATGTGGGTTGTATTGGCAGTTGGATAGATGGCATGAGTTGATGAGCCAGATATGGGTCCAGGACTGGAGCTTGAGGGTGTAGTAGTGTTGTAACCTCTGTTCGATGTGAACACGGGATACGAACTGTTGTCGACAGTTACAGCAGAAGCGGACGAGCTGATTTGCCAGGTTGATTGACGCGTATGACTGGTTTGCGAATGGCGAGTTGAGAATGTCCCGTTGTTCGAAGTCCTGGATGACCTTGTCGTACTGATGATTTTGTACAAGGTGCTCGATATCCTGGACGAATCAACTGATAAAGAACCTGTCTTTAAAAGCCTTGATAACGTTGGGGTTGTTGTTGTGCGTAAGGTAGAGGAGCTGATAGTGGACAGCACTCTAGAAGTCGTAGCCGGAATAATCGGCCTTGACGATTCCTCTGTAAGAGACTCGCTCGAGGAGGTTGTAGTTCTTATGATGATTGGTATACTGGAAGTAATTGAGCTGGTGAGAGTAACTGACGGGGTCGAACCAGTGAGGCTGACTGGAGTTGAGGTCATGGGAATATCAGGCGTGCTTGGCTGCATACGGCTGGGCATGGACTCTGTGGTGACTGTAATACCAGGGTTGCTTGGAGTATCTGGTTGGTTTGGTTGATTTGGCCGGCCTGGTTGATTTGGCTGGTTTGGTTGATCTGGCTGGTTTGGTTGATTTGGCTGGTTTGGTTGATTTGGCTGGTTTGGTTGATCTGGCTGGTTTGGTTGATTTGGCTGATTTGGTTGATCTGGCTGGTTTGGTTGGTTTGGCTGGTTTGGTTGATTTGGCTGGTCTGGTTGATTTGGCTGGTCTGGTTGGCCGGGTTGGTCTGTTGTTGCTGTTGCAGTGATTGTTGGTGGGAACAATGTGACTGTTGCTGAAGACACAGGCGGAGTTGTCATATCCGATTGCTGTGTCGACGTACTTCCTGGAATAGGTGTCTCACTAGCGCTCGAAACCTCCGTCGGAGATTGGGAAATTGCAGTAGACGGATTTCCAGGCACAACACTCGATGTAGGTGTGACCGCAATGCACTCTTGTTGAGACACGATTCGATCGTTGATCAGTGTGACTGCACCATTGAGTGCGAATAGTCCACCGTTGACTCTAACGTTGTCGAGGAGAGAAATCGATGTGAGAGCGAGGATGTTGCCGTTGAATCTGGTCGAGCTACCCAGAGTAGCTGACGATCCGACCTGGAAGTACACATTACAAGCTCGGGCACCATTGATGAGAACAACAGATGCTGATGAAGCTGTTCTAAGGGTGGAACCGATTTGAAAGACAAATAGCGAGTTTGGATCGTTTTGACCGTCTAATGTGAGCGTCCCTGTGAGGCCGACTGCTGAAGGAGAGGTGTAAATTCCAGCCACCAAAGTCTGACCACCAAGGTCTGCCGCAGCTATCTGAGACGTCGGTGCCAGTGAGCCTGCGCTGCTGTATGCTGTGCGAGCGTCCCGGCGTGCTTGATCGGCAACTTCATCTCCAGCGTAAACAACACCTGACAGACCCGGTGGAAAGCCGGTTATGGAGTCCTTTGTATTTGGAGACAGACCAAGACTGCCTGTGATGACGGTATTTCCTGTGTTTGTAATCGCGGAGCTGGCGACGATACCGAAACGAGCAGCGGTTCCTAAGTCGATCTGGGCAAATGCCTGTCCAGTAAATTGTTCAAGCACGACGAGGAGCAATATGTGTAGCAGATTCATCATTAATAGATTGTTGAGTATGAGCTTGTGAGCCCTAGATGCCCGGCAGCGCGCTTCTTTTATGTCCCATCACATAACACCAGTACGTCAGACCAGCACTCTAGTGTATATTCTCATCTTGCTTGATGGAAGTATTGAGCCCAGTCTTCTTCCAAGCGGAAGAAATGCCGATTAGGATACTGTGAGTTTGGGAAAGAATTTTGACAAGTTCTCAGCCTAGTGTTGTAGGACGCCGGGCTGTATGCAGTTCTGTGGACGCCAAGCTCGTTGTACTTGTCTCTTTCGAGCCACTTGTACTATCGCAATGTTGGTTCATCTGGGGCCTGGAAGTGGTTTCTGTCTCCATTAGACATCGAGGGAGACTAGGGTTCAATCACACACATCCCGATGACGCGGGGAGAGTATGCCCACTCGTCATGGAACTCGACGTGGGTTCTAGTATCGGATTTCTCGTCATCGCAAAAGTCGAATCGCACTTGCGATGACAAGAGCGGCGGCGGTAGATGTATGTATATTCACAGGGCGGAAGGTCACTGTTCCGGAGACTAGTGAGTGAGACAAAGAATGTTACCAACACTACCCATACATCACAACCTAATACGGCCTAGCGACCTATAAGAGGCGCCCAGACCCCGAAAAATCACTTTCAGAGACCCCGAAGGCGTCATAGAAGCTCTGGAACGTGTGCGCCCAAGCAGTGCATCGTCACCACCGAACGCCGCTTTTCCACGCAATGCTCGGATAAATTGTCCGATGCTGCACGAATATATGGACACATTCAAAGTGCGGTTGTTCTCATATTATGAAAAAAGACAACTGCAGTCTCTGATTCAGAGCCATTGGGGCTTGATCATCCGCCCTACAAGACACTGAGTGCTTTGATGTGGACTCTAGAGTTCAGCTTTGGCGTTGCAAGGAGTTCTTGTGCGTGCCAAGGTCCCATGGTCTTGGACGAGAGCGCCGGAGGTGCCATTGTGCATACCAGCTAAGAATTTTCTCTAGCAATCTCCTATGGTGGCTCAAAGCTCAGTTCAGCCAAGTTTTCCCGGGGCATATTCACTAACGAGCGTACCTTCGGAGGCACGCGCTCAATGTCTGTTCCCGATGAGTCTCCCATGCTACCCGTTATTTTCTCGCACTGCGCGATTGGACCGTACTCGACCAAGCTGCTCGCCGTATCGTTGGGCGTACCTGCAGCAGAGCTGTCAGAGACAAAGCGACTTCGAACGCCGGGCGTGCTCATCGGCGAATTTGTTGTCCTGGGCGAGGTTGTTGTCGTGACCATGGGCGTGTTTGTTGTTGTGTGGTAGCTCTGGACCGAAGTCTCGTGTGACAGGCTTGACGCGCCGCTTATCATGGTCCCAACTGCGTTGCCTGTTGCATGTACACCTAAGCTGGCCGCCGCATCCATGTATGTGACCCCAGTTCCGTACATACACATGTTGTTTCCGTACATGTATGGATATGGCTTGTCCATGGATGTAGATGTCTCGTACATGTATGGAGATGGCTCGCACATGTACGAGCTGTCCGCATACATGACTGAACCGCCAGTTCTACACAAGTACGATTCGGCTGCTTCGTATAAATTGGAGCTGTCTGCACCGCAACTGACCTAATTGCTAGCGTTGTACGTAGCCAACCTATCTCCGCCGCCCTCTTTATACGTAAGTACGTTGTTAGGGGCTTGAATGACTGCTCTGTGCATGGATGCGGCGTTGAGTCTGGTCACGGCGGTACTTGCACATAGATACTCTGCTGTCTGCATAGGGCACAGCGCTGCGTGCGGGGAGCAACCATCTGCTGCGCAACTTTGCTCTCTAGATAGAGCAGCGTTGTGCTGGGTAAAGAAGGCTGTATGAACGCCAGTATCCGTCTGGGCGTCCGTACTGCTCCAGCTCGTCAAGGGCAGCTTGAGCGTCCGCCTAGGAGTTGGACATACGATATCTTCACCGTGCTTGCTTTTGACTTGACTACAGCGCAGCAGCTAGTCGTCGCTAGAAGTACCCTTCTTCTACACGATGAGTCAGCTTTCATGTTCCCGAAGTGATGCACTGAGCTCACTTTGTTCAGCCACTTGATACTTGCTTCTTTATTGCGACCTATTCTGCGGCGCGCGCTGTAGCATCTGCTTTGCGTTTGCTTTTGCTGTCCTTTTTGAGACGGCGCCACTGATCGCTTAGCTTGTCCTGCATCCGTGGTCGCGAAGCGATGTGGTTGAAGATTGTTGTGTACTCATGCTAGGAGCCTACTCCTGGGCTCTTGGCTGTGGTTATGATGATGTAGAGCTGGACCTTATTATCCTTGCTGAAACGGGCCATGCTTGCGTTTGGCAAATTTGCGAGCGGACAGTTTTGTGTCTCTAGCCGCAGATATGGCGTCCTCCATACTAGCGCTGAAGCTGATATTAAGGCTGCAAGATGCTCTGTCCATGACTGAGACAGCTGTTACCGATCTGCCCATCGCGAGTCGCCCGTTGGCTGACCATGCGCTAGGCCTGCATAAGCGACATGGCGCAACGCTGACCTTAGGAACGCGGATATGGCTGATGGATGCAGGGCCTGAATGCCCGAGCTCGTAGGCGCCTGGGAGAGCTGATGTGCAATCGGTTACCTAGCCGATTCTTTGGACTATGGTGCAAGTGCAGCAAACGTCCATCGAATGGCAATTCTCCATCATGTGGGTCGCTACCTAGCGTTGAAGCAGCTACCTGTTGCTGAGTCCAGCCAGGCACGCCCCTCTTCCAACACGGCCCCGGCAGCGCTGCGCCGTATGCTAGCATGAACTACTTGGCTTCTCGAGCAAACACGAAAGTCGCTCCAGCACGACGCTGCGCCGCGCACCAACGCGTGATTCGACAGGCCGACTAAGCTCCCCTCAGTTTACCCGCGCTGCTAGTGCTGCTAGTGCTGCTCGCGCTTCTCACTTGCCACACAACATGGTACAAGCTCCTGTTGTCACTACTCGGATTACCCTTGTCGCGTCCGAGGAAGAGGAACGAGCGGCCGATACGAAGGTACTTGCACGGCCGCAAGCACGCCGCTGCACTGCATCGCGATGTCCAAACGCGTCAGGATCCCCTCGAACGAGTGGCCCGCGCTGCCCCAGCAGAGACGCCTCCTCGTGTCTGCGTGTCTGCCCGCGCCTGCCCGTGCTCATCAATCTCCTCAGGCGTCTTGGCTCACGCCTGTATCAGGGACTGCGATGTGCGAAGCAACAGCGCAGCGCCGCAATCGGCGGCGATCGAGCGTGTTGCAGGAGCGCAAGACGAGCTGCGGAACCCGGGCGGATCGAGGCGGCTTGACGAGTTGGAGGAAGGAGATCAAAAGTGGGTGGCATTCGGAAGGAGCGATGCATGCTGGGCGACTCGTTGGGTTCCGACGCACTCTAGCCGCTTGTAGCTAATGAGCTACGTATCCAATAACATCCCTGCTATCGCCTGACTGAGTGTGACATGCCCCACCCCCCTGCATACTAATCGTCGCCTGCACGGTGAATTCCACGACAGCTTACAGTCAATCGCGTCTGGAAAGGTCGACTGCGGATACCAAAAGCCGTTCAAAAGCAGCTTTGATCATGAGCAAGAGTCACGGTCCTGCGACACAAGTTCTGCTTTAAGCCCACCCAGGTATCGGCCCGTGTTAGGCAGTAGATACTACACAATCGTCGACTACATTCACCAAAAGGGTATGCCAACAGTTGTCTACTGCCCGGGTGAAGGGATCTCGGCAGTAGTTAACAGTACGCCGCTTGGCAGCCGAGACAGTCAACTTTTGCGTCGTCAAAAGCGAACTGCCTCAAAACAGACGACAACTTCCAGCGTGCAAAGAGCAGTGGATTCTCCACCAAGATCCGGCGCAGCATTTCCCCTCTCTTCTCTGCACCAGGCCATTTGCCCTGCCACACGCGTACATAAGGCACCATAATTTCCAAGGCCTCCCTAACCCACATTCCTGCTCTTTCCTCACCAATCCTCCCCTTTTGTACCATCCGCCTCTCCAGCTCCCCCAAGAAATGCTCTCTCTCTTGCATGTTCTCTACCAATGCAGCCTGCATGACCGCTAGTAGGATATGTGACCGGATTGAACAGTCCAACTCATCCACCTTGATTGCTCCAGCTCCTAGTCCGGCTGTCTCCTCCATCGCAACAGCGGCTAGGAACTCGACCTCCTCCTCACTCCCAATCTCTTCCTGCCACCCCCTCTGCAACGCTTGATCTGCAGTCCCTCCATCCGGTATCCCACACCAGTAAAACACCGGCTTGCTAGGTTCTGGTTCGACAACCTTACCCGAAGAAACCTGTGCGAGGCACTGTGCTTCCAAACTGTGTATATCATACAATCCCGACGCGACATTGAGCCCAAAGTGATGGGGCCCCCGTGCTTCGCGGTTGTCCTTGCGAGGCGATGGGTCAGATGTAGGGCTTGAGGATGAAGGGATCTTCTCCTCTCCCTCCAGCTGGGTGTTGGTGTTCGTGGACAACGCTTCTTGTTTCGATTCTGCGATGGGAGGTTTGTAGTACTCGTCTAGCCAGAAGCGCGCATGTGGTTCCGAAAAGGGGGGTGTGCTGGGGTAGGCCGCGTGTAGGCGTGTCAAGGCTGTGTCAAGCGTGCGGATGGCTAATTCAATAATCGTGTCAAACGGAAGGAACGGTTGCCTGTGAAAAGTCCGCCCCACAGTATAAGCCCAGCGGGGGAGCTTTAGCACGTATTCGGATACCGGATTATCACGCGGCAGACACAATGGGGAGGACGAATCGGGAAGATCCTGAAGGTCGGGCATGCGGTAGAAGCGTGCTGTGTTGGGTTGGGTAATAAATGCGGTGGAGTAGTAGGAGCGCCAGGCTGTGGGATTCAAGAGGGCATGGTGCGCAGTGTAGAAAGCGTCGAAGTCTGAGAAGGTGAGAGGGTCGTCTCCATTGAGTTGGTCGGTCCAGCGGTAGTAGGCTGCTGCGATCTGGGCGAGATAAAATATATCCAAGGTACTGTTTTATCTTAGTCACACACATGCAGGTGCTGGGTACATCGGTATGAGGGATTCTCATATGAGGATGTAGCTTACCGATTGAAGCGGAGCTCGTCCTCACCAAAAGACCAGCTATGCGCGTGCAGCTTCTCCACAACATCGAATACGCCCTGGCCGTCCCACAGCCCCTCATCGATGTAAATGTATGCGATCCGCAAGACATCATCGTGACATGTCACTGGCACGATTCCGCCTTCCACATTAGCCAGAAATTCTTTGGCTTTATCGTCCATTGTAGTGCCTGTGGTACGCAAAATGCAATTGCTGTAGTTGATGTTTTGAAATTTGCCTCTAGGGCAGGGAAAGTAACAATATTGAGTGGTAGGCAAAGTCGGCGACCGCGTGGTCTATATACAAGATGCCGAAGGGGGCTAGGCCTAGTCGCGTAAAGATCTACTGAACCTTGGAACCGTGGGTACCCTCACAACTAGTTCATTCAATATCGATATCTTAGTCAGACAGAATATTGATAATCTCTTGAGGTCGCTGAAGCGAGCCGACGACCACATGAACGGATCATCTTATAATGTGAGTCAATCTGTGTAGTACGCAGATCGCCTGCGTAATTACGGTTATGGAACCATCGTGCTTGGACCAGCAATCACCCGCTGACCATGTGTAATTCGTGTTCGTTCTGATTTCCAGGCATAAGACTTAGATTCGGTAAGATTTCTAGCTGCGTGCAAAGAACTCCGCTACCGTAGTAAGTCTACCTTTCAATTAACCACCCGTGTTTATCCCGAAGCCTCCCCTTCGATGCCCACATATTCTCACCTGTCGCCCCCTAATCACTGATTCCTCTTAAATAGCGTTTCTACGGTTTATATGTCCCCTTTCCGTAGCCTGGAAGGGAGGTCACGAAACCCCAATCCGCCGGACCGATTTTGCCAATCTGTTTGTTGGCCTCGGTCCCCCGCTCGGCGCACTGCGCGAGATACACCATGCCAGTGTCGATAAGGGCCGGCGGGATCAATCCTTGGGTCCTTTCTAGCCAGCCTTTTACCTTGGCGAAAATCACCGTGTTCTCGACCGTCGCGCCTGGAATCTCGGTATCGATGAAGCGTGCTTTGTTCTTCTCTGCGGGGTCCGATGCGTCAGTATTAATAGCAACCCCAAAAGGAAGAGAAGGAGTTGAATACGTACTGCTAACTGGCTTCGGGTACCACAGTTCAAGGGGCTTGCATGTATCCTTTGTTTCATCCTTCACGTCCTCGGGAAACGTGTAAAGCTCGGGGAGGTAGATCTTATTCCATTTGTCCCATTCGTCGGCGTCAACCGTCACCACGCAATCCCATTGAACCGAACCATCAACGGAATTGTCACCCCAGGCTTGGAACGAATTCAAGATGTAAAGACCCTGACCTATCTGGCGGCCCCCGTTGCCTATGGACTGCACAGCTTTGCCCCCGTTTTTGTTGATGGCTTCGGCTTCGGCCTGGACGGTTAGATATGTTGGTCGCCCGATTACGGAGGACGTGGAATGGAATTTAGAATGGAGTGGAGGAAAGAATGAATTGGAAACAAACCTTTGACATCACACGATATCCGATGTGTTTCTTGACATCACCAGCGCGTGTGTGCAGTCGAGCCTCGTAGTCTTGGGGAATGGCCTGGACTGCAACGGAGGCAGCAAGTGCCAGGAGCGCCCAAAACTTCATGGTGCGGGTTGTGGTGAAAGATGTCCAGGAACAGAGAGAGTAAAGAGGTCTACTAGTAGATTAGGAGGAACACAAATGCTCTCTCGCTGAACCGAGAAAACAAGGAGAACGACCTAAACCGGTCAAGACTGAGATGACTACTAATTTATCAAGCGTTGGATTGAAAGGGATGGTGCGATGTTACCTGCCATACCTGTTTGGAACTCTCTAAACCATCCCTGCAAAGGCAGCTCCGAGAAACAAGGCAATAGATATTTCTAAGTTCTATGTAGTAAGGGCATATAGAATTAAATTGGGTTGCTATTCTAAAAGGTGATCTTCCTGTAGAGCAGAGCTCATATTTACCCATGTCTGCACCGAAATAGCACTTCTCCGAAATGCTTGGGGGCCTAAAGTCACCTCGGGACGAGCCTGCTAGGGACTGGAAAGTGATCGACAGTGAGGACCTAAAGTGTTGAATCTCTGGTGTAAGCGATGACTCTATTAGCTGGCTGCCTGATTTTGGGGTCTGATTGTCACACTTTCCTATGGCGTGAACTTGAAAGCCAGAGCTCTTGCGGAAGCGACGACGGTGCTAGCTTGCCTAGATTCCAGGGTCCTACGTGAGACACTTTGTTAGCTTCGGTGGAAAACTCTACATACATAGGTACTTGAGCCTTCCTGTTTTCGAGCAGATAGACGCACTGACCTCGAAGCAAATGCTCTATCGGAGGCGGAGAAGTGCAGTGCGGTGTGTCTTCAGGCACGACGGCCTAGACAGGGGCTTGCAATTCACCAAATTTGAGCTTCACCATTTTTGGTTAGGTGGGTTCTCAAGGTGCATAGGAATCTCGAACGGGCGGGCGTACGGGCGGGCCGCTCTACTTACCGAAACCAACACGTGGTGGGTCCGCGGCATTTAACGCATACGATGATTACTTGCGAGAACATACACAATTTTGTACATTCGCCAATAGTGCGCAAGGCGTGTACGCTTTTCGACAAAGAACTGCCGAGATACGTTCTCTCAATCCCGAGTGGTTATGATTAGGCAGCTTCGCAGTATGAATGTATCCTTTAGGTGTGCAATTGGGTGTTTTACCTTGTGTTGCGACCACTACCGTCCAAAATTCTGAAATCTGATGGCCTGGATTTTCCCGAATAAAGATCAATGTCGTGACATCGAGAGAGGAATTTTCATATGGCTCAAGCAAAAACTGGTACCGGGCGCTTAGAATGACGATCAGGGTCTCTGGCCTCGGCTGGCGATCTACGGTACCTAACTCACCGGTACCTGATTTCAAACTATTTCGACCTATGCACATGCCCCATTTTAAAGCTCGCCGTACCTGTAACTAATAACGGGTAAACAGCTGCTATCACCCGAGGCTAACGATAAGTTAAGCCTCGCCGAGCCGTGTGCCCCACTTGGCGCCCAGAACTACTAGTGTTTGCCTGGACTTCATCAATCTACCTATCAACTCCGTGGGATGCTCGATAGTTCCCAACGTACGATTTGCGCCTAAGTCGCGGGAAAGGGGAAACAGTGGAGGGACGGCTGGATGCTAATTTGCGGAGACTGTAAGCTACCTCCGTTGATGGTTCTAGGTATCCACCGTGCCGAGGAAGGTCGATTTTAGCTCTGTCTCACAGCAGTTGACAGAGCGCAGTATCATGGCGAGTATCGTTTGCATCAGGCGACATACCAATAAGCTGGGGGCCTGTTCCCACCCTTACCTCATGATGAAGGAGATTTTGGAGAGAGGCCTTTTCCCCTTTTCGTCGAAGAAATGTAACATCACCTGGACGGACGAGGGAGTACTAAAGGCTCTGCTCGGCCGTCTGCTTCGTTCATCTGCTCCTGCACCTTCTTTGTTTTTCTTTTCCAGCTCGTCTGGTCCTCAAGAAGATGTGGCTCTCACCGTCCTCGGCTTTAGCCGGAGCGATCGCCACCTCCCTCCTGCTGTTGTCTGCGGCGGCAGCAACACGCGTAGACGGCGGCTCCAACAAACTGAATGAATACCTTGCCGTACACCCTGTACCTATCAAGGCCGCGGCCGCCGTTCCTGCATCCGGCAGCACCAAGGCCAACGCACTTGCCCCGGAACTCATCACGGCGGTGCTCAGTGAGTGTCCATCAGGATGTGTAGACGCCGGCTCGAGCAGCAGCAACTGGACTGTCTATCCCCGTCTGGGCCGATTAGCCATGTGCAACCAGACCATGCTGCTCGACTTCTCCTTTCACACGTCACTGCGCAAGGACGAGACGGTTCGCGCCTGTACTGCCGATTCCACAGCCATAGCCGGCCACACGACCAAGGACGGCTCTTGCCTGCCCAGCGGCAGCATGACGCAGGTTCACGAGTCGCTGCAGCTGGTCTTTAACAAGACGGCCACGCAAGCCACAGGCGGAGACCTCGCGGCCGCAGCGCAGCAACTCGCCGCTGCTTGGTCGCAGCGCAACAGCTCGGCATGCACCGACACAACCGCCTTTGCTTACTCCAACACGGCTACCTTCGGTCTCTTCGCCGGCGCCGGAGTCGGTGATGTCCCAACCGATGTGCTGCAGGAATTTCTCGCAAAGATCAAGACGCCCGACTTCTCCGGCAGCGCCGTGGTGCAGCTGTGTGCCAAGGACGGTCGCAGCTCCAAATACAGCTTCGGCATTGTCGCGAGTGGAGGAGGCGACGTGCGCGTGGTTCAGGATGCCGTCGCCGCGTGGGCGTCGGCTGAGTGCCTTATTACTTACGACACCGCCGAAGACTGGCGTGATATCAAGTTGTCTGTGCCGAGTCTGTTGATCAACGGCACGGCGGGCAATGTCACGGCTACTCCTTCCCGCAACAGCACAGTTCCGCTCAAAGCGGTCAACAAAAGGGTCCAGTGTTCGACCAAGCAGGTTGTCTCAGGCGATTCCTGTAAGTATTTATTTTCAGCAGCAAGACACTCAATCCTTGATGGCGGCCCACTGATGACCTCTGTTAGGTGGATCCCTTGCAGCTGAGTGCGGTATCTCTGGCGCCGATTTCGACAAATACAACTCTGGTGAGGGCTTCTGCTCCAAGTTGACGCCTGGTCAGCACGTCTGCTGTTCCGCCGGCACGTTGCCTGACTTCCGCCCGAAGCCAAACGCCGACGGGACATGTGCCTCGCACTACGTGGCAAAGGACGAGAACTGCGCGGCCCTGGGTGCCGCAAACAGCCTCACCAATGCGGAGATTGAGAGCTTCAACAAGAACACATGGGCTTGGGATGGCTGCAACAATCTGCAGGCGTACCAGTACATCTGCCTGAGCACGGGCGATCCCCCAATGCCGGCGCCCATTGCGAACGCCATCTGTGGGCCCCAGAAGCCAGGCTCGAAACAGCCAGCATCAGGTGTGTCGCTGGACAGCCTGAATCCGTGTCCGCTCAATGCCTGCTGTGTACGGTCCCCATGAATACTTGAAAAAAACTTGAACACTAGCTCACCACGTCTCTAGAACAAATTCGGCCAATGCGGCATCAATCAAGACTTCTGCACCAAATCCAAGTCGGCCACGGGCGCCCCGGGCACCTCAGCCCCTGGCACCAACGGCTGCATCTCCAACTGTGGCATGGACGTCGTCGTCGGCAGTGCGCCCGCCGCGTCCATCAGCATTGGCTACTTCGAGGCCTTCAACCGCAACCGGCCCTGTCTGAACATGGTCATCACCGCCATGGACCTGACCCCCTACACGCACGTTCACCTGTCATTTGGCGAAGTCACGAGAAGCTGGGAGGTCGACGTTAGCGGTATTCAGGAGCAGTGGGAGTTGTTCCTGGAGCAGGTGGGCTTCAACAAGATCTTGTCACTGGGCGGCTGGAGCTTCTCCACCGAGCCGGCAACGTATTCCATCTTCCGCGATGCGGTTGCGCCCGGCAACCAGGATACCTTTGTTGCCAACATCGTGTCATTCGTAACTAAGTATGACCTGGATGGCATTGATATCGATTGGGAGTGTAAGTTCGCTGCGTTCGGCCAGTCTTTAAGCACTGTTTGATCAATGTTTCTAACTGATGCCGCAGACCCTAATGCTCCCGATATCCCGGGCATTCCAGCTGGTACGTATAATTATGATGCTCGAGTTTAGAGAGCACTGCTGACGTGAAGATGTATTGCAGGCACCGAAGCCGACGCTGCGAACTACCTCAGCTTCCTCAAAAAGTTGCGGGCCGCGATGCCGTCTGGCAAGACTGTCTCGTTCTGCGCGCCGGCGTCCTACTGGTATCTGCGCGGCTACCCTATCAGTGAGATGGCCAAAGTGGCTGACTACATTGTCTACATGACCTACGACCTCCACGGCCAGTGGGATTACGCGAACAAGTTCGCCATCGACGGCTGTCCAGAGGGTAACTGCCTGCGCTCACAGGTCAACATCACCGAGACGCTACAGTCGCTGGCCATGATCACCAAGGCCGGCGTCCCATCCAACAAGCTTGCTATTGGCGTCGCCAGCTACGGCCGCTCGTTCGAGATGACGACGAAGGGCTGCACCGGGCCCATGTGCACCTACACCGGCGGCCTATCTGGCGCCTATCCCGGGCCATGCACAGGCACCGCTGGCTACATCTCTAATGCCGAGATCAGAGCCATCACGGACGGTACTGGCAGCTGGCAGGACTCCACAGGCGCTGTGCATCACGTCAACTCGTACTCATCGTACTTTGATCAAGACAGCCAGTCGGACGTCGTCGTGTATGAAGGCACCCAATGGGTCGGCTACATGAACGACGACACCAAGCAGGACCGCACGGAACTCTACAAGTCTCTGAACATGGCCGGCGTGATCGACTGGGCCGTCGATCTGAACGGATACGAGGGCGCCCCCATCTCGCCTGGCGCTGCCGCCAACATTGTCTATCCCCCACAGAGCATTTGGGACTCATCTGACCCGCTGGCGGCCTGCAAGCCTCCCTGCGTCGTCGTCCTACCACCATACCCGCTGACTGGCGCCCACACGGTGACCTCGTGGCCCGCCCTGACCACCACGCTGCTGTCCTCTAACACAGCGGACGGCCATGTCTATGTCAAGACGACGACAATCCCCGTGCCGAACTTCGCTATCAGCGAGGTCAATCTGCAGCCCCTAACGCTGTATGCAACCGAAACAGACCAGTACACCATCAACCCAATGCAGAGCATAATGCCTCCTTCCTTCCTCTGGACACTACCTCCAAACCACGCCACCTTCCCCGCCACAAAGCCCACTCCCGCGGCGTCCATTCCCGCCATGTCTACGGGTAACGGCGTACCTTTGACTACGAACAGCGCCGTGGCGACGTCTTCGGGCAGCAACCTGCCTTTGGCCATCATCCCTCTGGTCACCTTCTTCCCGACCTCAGTTGCCGTCACTATTCAACCCCAGCCCACGTTCTCGGTCGAGTACCCCAAGCCGCCCGTCCCAGGAGGTCCTCTCACCCTCAAATCCACCAGTACCACGAACCCCAGCACCACGAAAACCGGTACCTCGCCGACCAGCACCTCGGACCCCGACTCGGGCTCGGGATCGGACAGGCGTGGTACACGCGACTGCAGCACCTTTGGCTGCCCCGGTGGTAGAGGCACCGATAGTGGCGGTGGCGGCGGCGGCGGCGGTGGGTGCGGCAAGTTCAGCTGCGACGGTGGGTGTGGCATCTTTGGCTGCGGTGGTGGGTGCGGCATCACGGGCTGCATACCGAGCTGCCCGCTGGGCTCATGTGGTGGTTTGGGCTGTCTCCTTCCCGGCGGCTGTGGAAATACCCAGGGCTCTGGTGGCGGCGATAGCAGCAACGAGTGCGAGACCAAGGTCACGGTGTCGGCGTGCACGTATCTGGTGACGAGTTATAGCGCGTGGTATCTGGCTTCCTCGACGACCACCACGGAAGTGAGTCCCCATTCTCTCTTCTCTAGTACCCTCATTCGGGGTTTAGAGAGACAGTGACACGGAAATGCTAACCCGAGACAGACTGACTGCGCGACCAAGACGGCTTGCAACGGAATGGATACCTCATTTACGACGACGCCTGGCGTTCCAGAGTGCACGCTCGATCCGGATGTCGCGAGGGCAATGGATGCTGAGGCGGCAGACGACAAGACGCGGATTGATGGGACTGATATACCAAAGGAGTACTGGCCAACAAACCCAGCGGATTATGATGGATCGAAGTTCACCCTAACGCAGTTCGGGCTGTCAGAGACAATCACGGTTAAGAAGACCACCACAACGACGTCCCAGTCCACTACTACCAAGACGGTTGAGGTGCCGAAAGCAGCAAGCGCAAAGTGTGATTATAGGTACGTCCCCCTCCTCGCCCACCTTTCCAATTCCCCCTTTCTCCAGTATGAATATCACTATGTTCTGTATTTTTATGTAGATATTGTAACTGACCAGAACAGCTATGAAGGATTGTTCATGATGTTCAGAGTCTACAAGATCGACGGCTGGGCTGACGATGGCGGCGACAGCCTGAAAAAAGAGGAAAAAGGCTGCGGTAGTATGACAGCCTGGGAGTTTGTTGAATCAAGAACGGACTGGGGAACGTGGGCCTACTTCCAGCTCCCCGTCATTATGAAAGCCGGATGCGTGGAGCGCGCCATCGTCTCGGCTGGCGGGCCGAAGTTGTCCTGTCAAGACATGGGCGACGACGAATGGGCGAAAGACAGTCCTCGCCGGCGCGACGCAGCGCCCAGCACCTTGCCGAGCGACAACTCGGACAGAACGCCAAATTTCTTGCCGAGCAACAGCACAGACAAGGGGGACACGACCAACCCGTACGCGCCTATGGTTTGGGGCGACGGTGACACGGTGACGCTCACGGCGACCATCGATGTGCTCGGAACGTCGACGTATACGACTGAGATCTACATTGCCACATTGGCAGAGCCAGTGTCAAGCACAGAGACGAAATCTTTGACTACAGAGACGAAATCCCTGATCACAGGGACCATGACATCAGGATCTACAAGAACAGCAACCACGACGACCGGAAGCACAGCCCCCACAACCACAGGCAAACTCTCACCCGACGGCTCTTGCGGCGGCGCAGACGGCTTCATCTGCCTTGGAACTGATTGCTGCTCCGCATACGGCTTCTGCGGTTCTTCCACCGACCATTGCACCGCGGGATGCCAGAGCGCGTTTGGCACATGTGCGGAAGGAGCCAGCAACAAAATTTCACCCGATGGCACTTGTGGTGGAGCGAACGAGTACTCGTGTGCTGGAAGTGGATTCGGAGATTGCTGCTCGGCTTACGGATTCTGCGGTTCCTCGAGCGATTACTGTGGTACGGGTTGCCAGGGTGAGTTTGGGACTTGTTAAATGCTAGAATAGGCGTAGAGAAGAGAGTATGCCCTCTTATAAGGCCTTTAATAGAGTACTTAAAATGTTACTACTTCTTATCTCTTATGTAGACTTTTATCGAAGTTATTAAAATTACTACTCTACTATACTAAACTACTCTTTTACTTTACTTATAATTAATACTTTACTAAATCTTTACTACTGAATTCTACTAAAATTAAGCTTCTATACTTTGAAAGTTTATATTAGTTAGTACTACTAGTACTACTAGTAATTGTCATCTTCGTCGCGTATTGCTGGAGTCGTCGGTTAATTGAAATAGTCAGGGCAGTTGATTCAGAGGAGGTCGCGGTCACTGGAGGCTCTGATGTAAATGTATGATAGTTGATCGGGATACCATAACCTCCATGCTGCGGAAAGCCATCGCTTTGCTCGCGGATGCAGACGTGTCAGTGACGATTAGCATTGCCATACGTCGCTTCTCTCCCGGCGAGTCACAATTTCTATGCACAGCTGGCCGAAACTCATCACAGGTGCAGTCGATGTATGAGGCCTTGCAGTGCCTATCCCCATGAGAAGTGCTGCAGCAGCGTGAACTTGACCCAGAGGGAGACAAGCGGCTGCCGAAGCGTGCGAAGATGGGCACAAACACACTGGCCAAAGGCTGGATGGCTGTCTGTTGACGAGACGTTCCAAAAAGGAGAGATAACAGAAGTGTCGTCGCCACCGGCGATGCAAGCGAAAGGGCCACAAGCCTTGTGGCCCAAGAGAGATAGAGCTGGCGTGGCGACAGATCAGAGTATCTAACCTGTCGCGCCTCTGCGGCATGAACTCCAAAAAGAAACCGCAAATTCATGCTGGATGTGCTATACAGAACTCGACGCCTAATGCGCGATTTTAATACGCTAGCGACGCAACTAGAACGAAGGTAGCAGACGATGCTGAAGTTCGCGACTCACAATATGTTCTTGTTATTGCAGAGGTCTTGTGGGCCGAGAGATGATGAGATAAGACGTATCGTGCACATCAGGCCAGACCGCATGGATGACGCAGCCGCGGCGAGCGCCATGCGCCGTGCTGTAGGTCGTTAACAAACACTCAGCCGTAAGGCATAGAAATGTCGTGGCTGCGCACAACGATGAATACCGTATCAAGCTAGCTATCAGTGTTAACTAAGCAACACACTATCGAACTTTATTCATTATAGCGTGTCTTGGTGCGACCGAAGCAATTATCACAGGCAAGTGATGGGTAGATGGGGTGTCATCAGCTGAAAAGCGTGCGCCAGCTGAGACGCAGCTGCATGGCGAAAGCTTCAGCTCCAAGCCTCGTGTGAGCTAGCAGCAACGCTGGACACGCGCATTGATTTCGCTTCGCGGTAGTGACTTTACCACATGGAGAGAGCACAACAACATTGACAAGCCAATCGCCGGTCGCGCGTTGCGTCCCTTCGCAGCTTTCTGCAGGTAATGATTCTTCATGTCTATTCCTTGATTTTCCTAGCTGACTGCCAAAAGCCACATGTGATCATTGGAATAAACACGGCTGGCTTCTTCATTCGACAAATCAGCTGTGACCGGTGCAGTGGTCGGGAATTGCTGCCAGGGGAGAACATCGGTCCAATCTCCACTCTTGAGTCTGACAGGGAACGCGACTATGAGATTGCGTAGAGACTGCAATATTGTATGTTTCCAATACTAAATTCGATATCACACGCAGCTTGCCTACTCTAACAATACCATACCACCGACCCTTCTAACTCCCACGGGACCTCTGTCATGCATATGAGGCACTTGCATTGTGGGAGCTGGCGCCTTCGCTACGTCTACTGCAGGAGTGACGACAGCAGTGTCGCGGTCGATCTTCTCTGGTAACCCCTCGTCCGCCGGCGAGAAGTTTTCATCAATATCAATCTGCTTCTCGGCGAGTTTTGCATCCGGGTTGGCTAAGGTGTCTGGATTCGATCGCGGCGCTGGTGGGGCCTGTGTATTGGAACTTGTTGATTTACTCTGTGTAGTACTGTCTTTCGGCTTTGTTTGCGTCTCAGGCAACCTTGGCTGGCTTCCGTGTTGCTTTGCTGGCGCCGCTGGAGAAGTTGGTGAACCCGTGCCATGCTCATTTGGCTTCGTTCCACTTAGCTTGTTCACTCTTAGTTGATCATCGTCCTCCTTGTCCTCTGGATCACCACCAGGCAGGAATTTGCGCAACTGCCCGAGACTCATCCACAGATCTGGATAGTTGGTGGCAGCCTCAGCTAGAGCCTCGTTGTATTGCTTTATGATCCTCCGAGCTGCGTCCTTTGCTTCTTCAGGCGTCAAGCCAGCCATGCCGCGAGACTGATCGTCCATCATGTTCCGCACCCCCCTGAGAGCCTGACGAAGCTGTCGAGAACGATTTGGCTGATTACGGGACTTGAAGTATGTCAAAAGCCCAGCTGTAATGGTGCTTGCTGCGCCCAGGTATATTGTTGCTGTTTGAGACTCGGATGTCCGGATACTGGAATCAAAAATCATTTATGATTAGATAGTACGCCAAACGAGAGAAGACTGTGTCACTCACGCTCCAAGCGCAGTCAACGCAGCCCCGATGATGATCTGCATCCAGAGGAGTCCATTTGCCAGAGAAGCCACAAACCAATATTGTATCGTGCTAATGATGCCTCAGTGACATGTGTAAGGCTGTCAGATTGTCCGCTTACTGGAGTCGATACTCCTTTCTGATCCGCTGATCGAAAGACGTTGTACCCTTCTCCGGGTCTTGACTGACCGGTCAGTATGGCTCTCTCACAACGTAGCTTCTTGCGTACCGATTCCAAGAGCATTGCCGTACGCCTTTTCAGTGTCGTTTGTTTCGACAACTGGCAGTTGCCTTCTGAGGCAGAACCATTCGGACATATTCGCAACCTGCTGCCGTATTGACAAGGCAATGTTAGACACACAATACTGTTTTTGTAGAAGGTCGTCACGTCAAGGAAAATTGTTATTCGAGCTGATTATGCACGAACGCCTTTGTGGATAAAGCACTTGTTAATTAAGTAGAGGAAGTAAAGGCTAGCTGCTAGCCTAAATTTAAAGCAGCTTAGCAAATAAGCTTAATAACTATAATACTAGTAGACTAAACAATAGAATAAAAAAGTAAGTTAAATATAAGATATTAACACTATTCAATATTTAGTAGCTTAGTTATCTACTTTATTTATTAAATATTAAGCTATTATATTTATTACTAATAGTAGTTATAACTATATATAATATAACACTACTAATATGTAAGTTTTAATATAAGTTATAAGATTTCTTTTAATGTTGTAGCTACTTCTAGGGGTTGTTTTAGTGTAGAAGGCGGGAACGCTGGGTGAGCGGAAAGTATGTACACTAGCGTACCCCGCACCCTGGCGCAGAGGCTGAAGCTGAGGGTGGGAATACTGTCGCGCAAGCTGGTGGCTGCCTGAACACAAGCTAGACAAATGATAAGAGCGCGGTGATATGAGCTACTGCGAGGACCTGCGTTGACTACTGCGAATACGAGCAAGTCTGGTACGTGCAGCTGGTGTACAAATTTCCGAATGCAAAAGATACTCTCTTACGAGATACCGACAACTCAGGTGGAGCTGAAAGATGCATGCAGTTCGTATCAAATCTCCACTGATTGGACAGCTGTGCCATTGGCTGGTTTTGTGGGCGGTAGCGTCAGGGTGGGTGCGAAATTGTCTAGAAGTTCACTCCTGAGCAGGTTGATATCTACACCTTAATGCCGCCAAGCTGAAAAGGAATTGCTCAATCAGTGCTACATACCCTAAGCAGATCAATACACACACGTATCGTCCAGGAACTCAACATGGTAACCAGCGCACAGACGAATGGCGTGCCAGTCGATCACGACCCATCAATTGTCAAGCTCCCTGCTACTTGGGATCACTGGCTTGGGCAGATCCTGCCAGTCGCCGTTCCGGAAGCCGAGGAGTACGTCGGAAACCTGGTCAAGCAGGAAGTAGCTAAGCTGTCTGCGAACCATCCGGGGAAGTCTTTCTGGGAGGTCTTTGGTGAGGCCATTGCAGCCAAACTGAAAGACCAGAGTCTGCGAAAGGACATCTTCGATAAATTACACCTGACTGGCTTCATTGCTAAAGCCAGTGGCTTCTCTCACGGCCTCCTGAATCTAGTAAAGACAGATCCCAACCTGGTTTCAATCAAAGATGCTGCTCAGCAACTCGACACGAAGAAACTGGCCGCCGAGCTTGCAGACGGCGCGATAGCAACTGCTCAGACAGTACGAAGAGAACTGTTCACCGCTGAGCCGACAGCTGCCATCGCTGGAATTGTTCAAGCAGACAAAGTCGTAATACCTAACGATGATCCGGTGGTCAAAGACCACACCCTCACTGTTTTGTCAAGGATGGGCTCAGCAGATCTTTCGATCAACTCACCTCATACTGTCTTACGCCAACAGCCCGAGCTGCTGGCCAAAGTACCTGAAGAACACAGGGCGGCAGTGGTGGAGAATATTAACACCTTGGCACGTACTCAGACTGTGGCTAGAAGCCCTCCAGCCCTAGAAGCCATGATGAATAATGGACTCACATCGGCGGTGGCTGTTTCGAAAGCCCCCTTGATGGATTTGAAGGCGATCATGAGCCATGATGACGCAATCTTCGCCAAATCAACCGCAAACCAAGTCATCTTGCAGAATCAGATGCTGCTCGCGAATCTGGTGGATCGTGTCAAGACAAGAACCCCAGGATTGGTTGGGCCTAGTGAAGATAGAGATAAACGCAGACTCAGGATTAAGGAGGCTATTCGCAACCGCGGTTTGAACCCAAACCTTGAAGACCTCTTCGACTCTGCAGATCAGACAATCGCGGACGAGAACATGACGGTCTACAGTCCAGCCTCATATTTCATGGATCTGCTAATGTATCTTCGGAACAATAACCTCGATGGCAGGATCTCGCCGGATGTGAGTCGCTCAGGCGAAGACGATAACTACAAAGACACTGCCCTTGGGGCGCTCTTTCGCCGAAGGCCGGACTTACAAGATCTAGAGCTCACCCCAGCAAACACTTCAGCTATGCTGCCATATATCGATCTCGTGAACGAGATCATGGAGTCATTTGTAATTCACCTGCCAGAGTACATAGCCAACCAGAGTGGGCCGTCTCCGATAGACTCATTCAACGTTGGTACCCAAGATTCTGACGATCTCCTGTCTCAGCCTCAGAATATCAGAATGGATGCATACCGTTACCTGGCTAGTGCTGTCTATCCGCCGACACTACCTTATCATCAACCTGTGGATGCCCAACGGGCCTTTCTGAATTTTCTTGGCACCTCACGAGCCGAGATTGTGAATACATTCAGACCTAAGCCACGCCTGCAGAAATTCGAGGCTCGTTCATCCAGAGCAACCAACGACGTACAGTTGCAGTCTGCTGCAACATTGGAAACCAACAGGCGAACCCTCAATCGTGCGCAAGCGAGAGCATTGGATGCTCAGTATTATTGCGAGGTCCTTGGAATGCAGCAAGAAGAGTTCCTCATTCTCACGAAGGGAGTCTTCTGGGAGAAGGAGTTCTTTGAGATATCAGCTGGCCTTTCGCCAATGACCGATGAACAGTACCAACGGCGTGTTGGTCTCAGATCCCCTGTACAGTGCTGGGGTTATTCGACCGCGGAAGAAATGTTATCAATGGATGAGAATGCCAGAACGGGAGTGTCCTTTATGAAAGAGCAACTCCTCCCAAGATCTGGTCTGTCGTTCGTGGAGCTTGTTGACATCGTTTCAACCGGCTTCGTAAATCCTCATAAACCCACGAGATTGGAAAGAATGGTGTTTGACAGCTTGCGGTATAGCTATAAGTTCTTACAAGAACTAGTCGACAACACTGGCACCGCCCGGTATGATCGCATGGCGGATTTCGTGGCCTCGCATGTTTCAGAGCTCGACCTACAAGCTCTTCTTGAGCGCAGCAGCTTCCAGGCAGGTCCTTCGCCTTCAACCGAGAGCACTATCAAGGATAATCTGAAGACGTGGATTAGAAGCAACTTCAAGTCCATAGGGAAGATAACGGTAATTGATGCTGGAGAAGGTCCTCGTCTCAGAGTCGCGGGACGAATTGTAGCGGTAAATCGAACAGCGGCAGGGCTACCATCTTCATCCTTGGAAATTGCCGAGCTTAACTCAGACGGCCGTATCTTACAAGCTCCGGGTATAGAGCTCAGTCAGGCCCCGGTTGCCACGCTCTTGGACGACGGCACAATTCTGGATTATGCTGGTAACCGGATGGGACAAGTTGGTCTCAATTCTCGAGTCTACTATCTGAACCCACTCAATGATAACGACTTCAACGACGCATTTCCCAAGCTCAATTTCTTTATCGAAAACCAGCCATTGTGGCTAATCACGGGTGGTAAATTGACAAACAGCTCTGTAAGCGATGGTTCTGTCGACTTGGCCAACTCTCAAAATTTCAACAAAGTGTGGTTCCTAGACGAGGGCATGGGAGGAGGCGGCAGCATTGACAATGCTCGACTTGTTCACCTTGATGGATCGCCCTTGTCGCTCGAGGCCTGGGATCGGCTGCATCGGTTCATCAGACTTTGGCGCAAACTTGGATGGAGCACGGCAGAGACAGATCGTGCTGTATGCTCTTTGATGAGAACAGATGTGTCGAATTCGCAGGTAGACGCAATTACCATGCCGGTCGCTGATGCAGGTGGTACTACTTGGGGCAAAGACTCGAAACCGTTCGACTATCAGCTACCAGTTGACTTCCAAGACTTTGAAGATGACTTGACACCCGATTCCTCTCAGGACCCAAATTCGAGTCTTCCCTTGCCTGATATCACGTTCGGACTGATAGAGCAGCTCGCTGCCGTGAAACAGATCCTAAGCAGGACACACCTGACTCTCGAAGAGCTCCTGACCTTCTTTTCTTGTATGACCTTTGAAGGGCCCAAGTCGCAGTATGCACGACTTTTCCTGGCACGACAGCTTCGTATGCAATCGTCGGTCTTTGCACCAGATTCCTCAGGTTCATATTTCTCCAGCACCCAAACTGTTTCCATTCGGCAGCAGATTTCGACTGTTGCGGCCGCCTTGTCAATGAGACAAGAAGATATCACTTTTCTCCTAACACCACAAAATGTCTTCCGTACGGGAACGGTTTCTGATATACTCAACATGAACAATATTTCCAGACTCTACAGATACGCACCGCTGGCAAGAGCCCTATCAGTCCAAGTGAAAGACCTTTTCCAAATCATGGCGGGATTTGGCGACCCCTTCACTTCTCCAAAAGCCTTTTTAGGACTCCTGGATGACTGGGAGAAGATGTCTGACGCCGGATTTCCTTGGCCAGAATTACGTTACGTGGTCGACCAAATTCCAGCATGGGCAGACCCCCTTGCATTGACGGCCTATGAGTCGCTCACCGTGGCTGCCTCGTTAAGAGCGAAAATGATTGAGATCCAAAGTACTCATCCATTGGACTTGCCAGTGAGCATGAGAACGCCTGATCACACCAACAGCATCGTCTCCTTGCTACTTCCTGCTAGCACCGTCGCCAAGATAATGGGTCTACTGCTTGGAACTTCCACCAGTTCGGTACCAGCCCCGGCCGTGCCAATTGTCAACTTCAGCGATTTGGTCGGCTTGTGTTCGCATCATGCAGCTGCTTACATAGTGCCACCAATGCAAGATCATTTAGAACCAAAGCCCATCCTCCAGATTACCGGCATCATCAGCAATGAAATCAAGAAGCAATTGAAGCAACTCTTGAGCAACTCAACAACAAATCACGACAATGGCATACCTTCCGCACTTCAGAAGGCCTGGCAGAGCTCAGTCGATCAGTAAGTTGAACCTTTCATGTCACCCTCGTAGCGCCCTTTCTAAAAAACAGCAGAGTTTGTCAAAAGCCAATTTCAACCTTTGAGAGGGTCATGAATGGAATCCTTCCAAACAAAGTCATCGAAGAAGAGCTCAGTGGGAAGGATCAGGTGCTACTTGTACCCAATTCAACAGAGGCTGTTACCGGGGTCAATGCGCCGTCTCAATCAGTCAAGAACACCGACATCAGCATGATGTCGAACCCAAAGATCGACCGATTCTTAGCATACTACATTCCCTTTCTGCAAGCTAAGCTCACCTACAACTCAGTCCTCGACACATTAGCGACCGTCGCAGGCTTCAGTGATCTCAATATTGCAAAGACATACCTGGAGAGCATCATATCTGTTTCTACGCGACCGAAGCAGACAGAGACCGAGACAGGCCACGACAACCGACCAGCTGATACTCATCACTCTGCTATTGACTATATAATCAAGTTTCTCGGCAACAGCCTTACCTCCTGGGTTGGATATCTCACGTTTGATGTCACCGGTGATTACATTTTCTCAATTCAGGATACAGTGAATGCTCCTGAGACGTTTCATTTAAAATCGGTTGCAAAAACAGAAGGAGAAGATGACCTTGGCACGGCTTTCGGAAACGGTGGACTCTTTGGAATATCGATACCTGATGATGATGAAACGGGGCCTCCAATTTACTTCAAACGCAGTCCTGGGGGTCCCGCAGGCTTGTGGGTGACTGATACAGTGACCATAGTAACCGGCCGTCAATACCTACTGACGATCAAGACTGCCGAGAAGAGCAAGTTGCATTGGCAGACAGCGTCTATGGAAGCCCAGGAAATTCCCCAGGATCATTATGTTCCGTTGTGGAAAGGGTACCTGCGACCAACCACCACGGATGTTTACCAGCTATATGCCAAAGACCTCGGCTTGCCGGCTGTTAAGAATCGGCCGGCAGGCACAGTTGTTTTAGATGGCCGCTCTAAAGATTGGGGCGCACCCGTGGACAGCGACAGCGACACCTTTTATCCTCTTGGGGACAATCGACCAGGATTACGGCTGAATGCATCTAAGCTGCATCCTCTCACACTTACTGGCATCTCCCCCAACCAGCTGTGCTGGAAAACGCAGACGACTGATATCGAGAGCATACCATCAACATGCTTTCTGCCAGCTGGAACGCCAAATCAAATTTACATCATTCTTACAAAACTTCAAAAGTTGGCACTGTTCTCGAACCATTTCAAGTTGAGCTCAGAAGAGATCCTATACATCCATCAAAACGCACAGACCTTCACCGATCTGCCGCAAGACGAGGCCAAAGTCGAAAATGTTCCGCTTGCCAACGTCCCTCCGGACTTTCCTGACATAGATCTGGACGGCATACATGCCCTAAGGGGTTGCACACGGTTGTACGATTATACAAAACTCCGAGATCGATTGCCGCAGAACACAACTTGGTCATTGATACAGCTTTTCTCCTGGGCAACACGAAATGGACAGGCCAGCGGGGCAGAATTGGCGCAAAAGATATCATTTGCCACCTCCTGGCCAGCTGACAAAGTGCTGGTCCTTCTCAGAAATAGCAACTTCACAGCTGGGATTGCTTCCGAATTTTGTAACGAGAGGATTCTGATACACTTGCAAGCACAACTTGACCTCTCGCGACGAATGGCAGTCCCGCTGGACAACCTCTTCATTTGGGCAAGTCCATTGGGAACAGCTCCCAGAGACTTCCATGCCTATCATGCGGCTTCCCAGGCCATCCAGCAAAATGCTCGCTCCCGGTTCGGTTCTACAGACTGGACCACAGCTGTTCGGCCTCTGAACAATCTTCTTCGAGAGCATCAAAGATCAGCGTTAGTTGACTACCTCTTGGTGCAACGAAAATTTGTTCATGAAAATAATATCGTCGACGCAGATGGCCTCTTTGAGTTCTTCCTGATAGATGTTCAAATGAAGCCCCTGGTAGAGACTTCCAGAATTTTTCAAGCTATCGCGACAGTTCAGCTGTTTGTCCAGCGCTGTATGCTAGGTCTAGAAGAAGATCTTGTGGTCGCCAAGGTGCTCGACCGACAGCGATGGGAATGGATGCAGAACTACCGTGTCTGGCAAGCAAACCGACAAATTTTCCTCTATCCAGAGAACTGGATTGTTCCCTCTCTTAGGGATGACAAGTCGGATATTTTCAAGAATTTCGAGTCCGAACTTCTTCAGACCAATCTCTCCAAGGATGCCGTAAGTACTGCGATGCGCAACTATGTTTGTAACCTAGCAGACTTGACAAATGTGAGTATCCTTCCAGCTTGACAGAGATATACTTACTCTCTACCAGCTTAAAGCAGTTGGCCTCCATGTGGACAAGCGAGGGAAGGGCGACGTGCATGTCTTCGCGCAGACCAGAACTTCTCCTTTTACTTTCTATTACAACCGCTTTCGACTCGTGCAAGGTCAATCAGGACAGTGGGATGGTTGGCAGGATATGAAAATTCAACTACCTGCCGTCCACGACACGCGCGCCAACACTACCGGTGTTTACATGGCCCCGATTGTGTTTGACGGACGTCTGATCGTCTTTGTACCCGAATTCACGCAACAGACTATCCCAAGCTTATCGGAAAACCAAACATTCTCGGAACGCGGAGGGAAACCCGTCCAGGACTCTGTGCCGCAGAAGGTCTGGGAGTTGAAGATGAGCTGGACCGAGTATCGCAATGGGAGTTGGACTCCTCGGAAGAAATGCCCTCAGCCATATCGCGACATCTTTGGGGATGGAGACGTAAGCCAGTACATCCTACTCCCATGTCTTTTGTGGAATGATGGCCAGTCCACGGGACCCTCAGGTCGGGATATTTCTCCCAGCAGTGTGGCGATATATGTAACGAATCTTACGTTTCTAGCACGCCTTGCCGATAGGAATTTGCCACCATTGGTTTTGGCTGGCTGGAAATTTGATGGGCGTCAGACATCCATAATGACGCAGGAACGAGTGGATTCCCTCAACTTGAGGGCTAGTCCTGGAGGCAAACGTATCTTCCAAGTACATCAACCAGACGCAACGTCTTCAGGTGCTGAATTTTCAACAACCACAAGATCAGCCGCAATGTTCTCCTTACAGGGGAGCAACATCTCCTCGGCCACATTGGTTTCACCCGAGAAGATCATCACTCTGGACGGGCCCCTGCAGTTTGTCGAAGACGCAGACTCCTACAGCAACTTCTTGACTGCGGAAAGCTTGACCACCAGGGTGGTTGATCCTCACGGGCCTTCCATCGTACCGCTCAGTGTTTCTACCGATGCAGACTTTTCGTTGCTCAAGGCTGCAGCTCAACGCTTTTACCATGGCTTCATCCATGATCTCCTGCGTGTACCAACAAATGGGAGTGATATTTCGGTTCTATTTGACATACTGCAAGCCATTGGAAAAGATGCATCTCCGCAGGGTATCGACCAGAGTATCCAGGACTTCCGCGAAGCATTTGGCGCCATGACTTTGACAGAGAGCACCGTAAAGTCACTCCCTCGACCAACGACTATGAATGGTACCGCCGTTCCTTCGCTTGACGTGGAACCGGCTCCTGCATCTGATTCGTTAAATGCTACTACTGCGTCACAGGTTGCTGTCCAATTCGATCAACGGTCCAGACTGTACTCCTTATACAACTGGGAGTGGGGTATGCATGCTTGTATGGCGTTGATGGACTCCCTTCTGAAGGCCCAACAATTTGAGCAAGCTCGCAATGTGGCTCATTACGTGTTTGATCCTTTCGCTCCTGGTGATAAGAGCGACCCGTCCCGGTTTTGGAAGTTCCCTCCCTTCAAGGTGGCTTCAGTGGCTACCATAGAATCGCTGTTCCTAGAACTTGAGGCTGGAGCAGTGAAGTGAGTCGGGTTTTGACTTTTGTCTTATATTGCATACTGACAGTTGACAGCAATCCTATCAGCGACTGGAGAAACCACCCCTTCCAGCCTCATGTGGTTGCGCGTAGTAGGCCCGAGGCGTACATGAAGTGGATTGTGATCAACTACATCAAGATTCTGATTGGCTGGGGCGACTCCCTATTCTCGCAAAATACCCTCGAAAGCATTCCACAAGCTATACAGTTGTATGTTATGGCGTCCCATATATACGGTCCCCGGGGGCAGATCATCCCGCGACGAACAAATCATGTACCTCAGACCTTTAGAACGCTGTCGAGGAAGTTTGACGCGTTCTCCAATGCGATGGTCCAACTTGAAGAGGCGTTCCCCTTTAGTAATCAAATGCCTCTACCTGTCGGCAAACTACCACTAGACGACGATGACAACCTGCCCAACCTCTTCGGATCCGCTGGAACATTATACTTTGCCATACCGGACAATCCCAGCATTCGACAGCTAGCTGCCACCATCGATGATCGTCTGTTCAAAATCAGGAATTCAGAGGACCTCAATGGAAATTTCCGGGTGCTGCCATTGCTTGCTCCTCCGATAGACCCTGCTCTGCTCGTTCAAGCCCACGCACAAGGATTGTCATTGAGCAGTATCCTACAAGACCTTCAGGGACCCCTACCCAATTGCCGGTTCGAGGTGCTCTTGCAGAAGGCGTTTGATGTTGTTGCAGAGGTCAAAGCTCTTGGGCAGTCTCTCATATCCATCCGTGAACGTCACGATGCTGAAGAACTTTCGCTTGTGCAACAGCGTCAGGAATCTTCGCTTCAGAAGTCCTTGATGGATATAAAAACAATGGGTCTCCAAGACGCTCAGAACACGATCAAGGTCCTCAAGTATAATCGGACTGCGGCTGTTAGTCGTTTGAGCTATTGGCTGAAGCTTGTGGGAAATGACCAATCTGGTATACCCGCACTTGACCAGGAATTTCAGGAGCTGGATGCAAAAATAGTTCCACCAGTCACGTCTGGTGGCTTGGCTCTATCAGCGCATGAGCAGGAGTACCTTGACAAGTCTTCCGATGCTCAAAATATCACAGCAACTGTGAACAACTTGGAGATTGCTATCGCAGCCATGAAGGTAATCCCGGATATAACATTCAATGGTCAGCCATTGGGAGTCGGATCATCAACGGCTATTGGATCTAGTGTCGTCTCATCCGAGTGTGATGCCGTTGCAAGAGGTCTTAGCCGGAATGCAGAGTTGCTGAACAGCCAGGCGAATACTTCTAGCACAATTGGGGGTCATCAGCGAGCACTACAGGAACGCATTCTGCAAGCCAACACAACGGGCTATGAAATCTCAAATATCGATAAGCAAATCGCCGGAGCGCAGGTACAGATTGCCCTCGCTGAACGAGAGATTGAAATTCACCAACAAGAGATCGACAATACGCAGCAAATAAACGACTACTTGGCTTCCAAATACTCCTCTGTCGATCTGTATACGTACATGGATGGAGTGACCAAAAGTCTCTCTTACCAAACATATACCACCGCCTTGGCATTAGCAAAACGAGTCGAAAAGGCTTTCAAATACGAGCGACCACAAAATGGTTCCACAAGCTACATCCAAGCCGGCTATTGGGATAGTACCAAAGATGGCCTCTTCGCCGGGGAAAACCTCTACCTCTCCCTCAAACGTCTTGAAGCCACATACCTTGATACGCGCGGCTACGACTACGCAATCGTCAAATCCATTTCGCTCCGCAGCCTCGACCCCCTGTCACTCATCCGCCTCCGCGAACAAGGCACCTGCAACTTCTCACTCGACGAGATCATCTTCGACATGGACTTCCCAGGGCACTACCTCCGACGTCTAAAATCCGTTAGTCTCAGCATCCCCTGCAACGTCGGCCCTAACACCTCTATCAATGCAACTCTGCGCCTTCTTTCCAGCGAATACCGGATTTCCCCCGACCTAACCCCTACGTACGCGAAAGATCACACTCCCTCTTCCTCAGGAACTGACCCGCGCTTTGCACTCGCCACCCCGCCCGTGTCAGCCATTGCCGTCTGCTCCGCGTCCGCAGATGCAGGGGTCTTCACACTCGACTTCCCCAGCGGAACCCAGCGCTACTTGCCCTTTGAAGGAGCGGGCGCAATCTCAAAGTGGCGGCTTGACCTGCCCAAAACGGTGCGCCAGTTCAATTACGACTCCATTTCCGATGTGGTGATGCAGCTGCAATACACATCGCTTGATGGAGGCACGCAGCTGCAGACCGCTGCGGATGCGGCTGTCAAAGCGTATGTGAAGAGAGTGGAGGATTATGCGTCGGTGATTGGGTTCGCCGCCACCCTGGATTTGAAGAACGAGTGGGCGGGAGAGTGGGCGAAGGCATTGGCTGGCAACGCTGCTGCTAGCGCTGGCGCGGGGCCTCGGGCGGGCTCCGCTGATGATGGTGTGGTGAAGCTACAGCTTGGCGACGTGCGGCCAAGATTACCCTTCTTCACAATCGGTAAGAGGTTGTATGTGGTCAAGTTACATTTACTAGTGGATCAGGATCTGAGCTCTGAAAAAGTTAGTATCAGCATTCGATCCAGCGGTAGTGGGACAAAACCCAGTGATGGCCAGGCACAAAAGCTGGGCGGCGATTTGCAAGACGTAAACCCGCTGCACCATTATGCTTCTGAGAGAGGCAATGCTGTTTTGTTTGGTGATCAATGGATGATCAAGCTTGGGAATAGAGAGGTTGTTCAAAGCGTTACTAAATGCGTTTTGTTGGTTGAATATGTGCTTGCGGAGTAGGTCTTAGCTTAATGCGTATCACATCTTCATAAGTTCCTTTCTTTTGTTGCTAGCCTGGGTTCTGCAGAACTATGTGTAACGCTTATCTCCTGTACCCTCCTCTCATGTAATCACTAACTGGATCTATGTGCGAAACATCTTGCACCTACTAATTCTATAATTAATGCCATACCGCTAGCCTGCGAGACCCGTCATCTACATATTCGCCGCGAGTTCTATCTTTGCGTCGCATACAGGTAGCACGTAAGGACGTAGTAGCTGTTGTGCAATCTTAGCGACAGAGATTCGCTTGCACACTCGCAGGTCGCAGCTGGCGATGTTCGATCGTAGCATCGTGCTGGTCGACAGAAACAGCGTCACTAGTACAGTATTGGCTTCACAGACGGATGTTAGAGTACTGACATAGGCGTGATGTCGTGGAACACGACAGAATCGATGAAGAGATGGGCATGGTCACAGTTGGCGCGCAACCAGTGCGATGACAGAGACACGAGAATTCAGTCCATACCGCTCGCTCATCGTTGATGGATTCTATCTCCACCAACAATGCACTGCTATGTAGCGGCGTGAATGCTGAGCAACAAGTCTATAGACAACGAGCACCATGATGTGCATTACGTGCCGAAGCCCTCATTAACCGTCACGTGGTCAGCCAGACATTCTACTACGCTTACTGCAATGGCTGTACAGCTGCGACGCGAGCCCTGAGCCGCTAGAGCCTACATGTGAGGATCTGTGATCTCATGAATATATGTATAAGTCTGAAGACTAGCTAACTACGTGGGGCTCCGTCGAGTAACCCATAAGCACGAGCCACCAAGCACGTGACACTACACCAACACCGCACGCAAAAAGGACAACATCAACACCGCACGCAATCGAGACAATGTCAGCACCGCCCACCCCGCGCAGTGCAGCCCCCAGCCTCGACAACGGCAGCCGCTGCGCCGCCAGACGCTCTGCCCGTGCGCGCTCCCACTCCTCGCGCACGCCCAGCCCCAGCAAGAAACCCACACCGCAGTCGTACCGCCGCGGCAACATGCGCTACGCCAACGCCCTGGTCGACGCCCTCGGCCAGCTCCCACCTGCCATTGACGGCGAGGCGCGCCGTGTCTTGGGGCTTCAGTCATGGGCCGAGCTAGCACAGCCAGACACACACGCCCAGACACCGCCGGAGATGCAAGCACGCCTCGCAGAGCTGGCGGCCACTTACTGTGCCGACTCGCTGCTCAATGCGCGCGAGTGTGCGCTTGAGGGCAACTGGAAGAGCAGCCTCTTCACCCTTCTGCGCAACATCGACCTCCTCGCTCTAGACACCTTGTGCTTACACATGTCGGAGAGGGCTTGGTCCCCGGCCTGAAGCCTGCAGCGCCTCCTCTCGACGGCCTGCAAGAAGCCGGCGACGGGTCTGCCTTGACTCTCGTCGACTCTCAACACCCCGCCATGACCGCTACTACCGCGCCTTCCTTCCCTAGCTGCGTGCCCTCTCTACTGCTATTAACACACTCTTCTACCTACTTATAATCTATTACTATAACTACTATAGCTATAACGACGTAGGTAATAAGACCCTCCAATATAGTTCTAATTCTACTATAAGGTGTATAGGAGCACTAGGAAAGTTAATAACTAGGGAGAATCTTATTCCTATAAGTCTTATATAAAGAATACTTAAAAACTATCTATCCTAAGACTACTATAAGCCTACCTTTTATACCTATAAGTCTTAGTTAGCTATAGATAGATAAGAAATATTAATAGGGGTAAGTTAAGACTAAGTTAGAGAGGTGTTAGTTCTAGATAGCTATAGATATGTCTAAGACTTAACTTAGGATTAAGCTAAAGCTAAGTTAAAGGTTATTTAAGTTAAGTAGTATCTTATTTATAAGATTTAAGATATTAATAGTTAATTCTTATATATATAGTAAGTAGAAATATAACTCTTATAGTTTATATTTAACCTAAGTATTAATCTATAATATTAGATCTTAACCTAACTTTTAAGCTAGATAGTCTACTTTATACTACTTATTATTACCTCTTACCTTTAAGATAGATAGATTATATCTATACTCTTTAGTATAAGACCCTTTTAGTTTCTCTAATAGTATTTATCCCTAAGAACTAATTAAATAGTACTTATAAGCTTTACTTAAAGTATAACCTTAATATTTTAAATACCTTTAAGATATCTACTACCTTAGGAAACTAAGCTACCTCTAGCTTATTAAATAATATAGATATAACGTACCCTATGGGCAAGCGGATTAACGGGCGAGCGAATCACTTTTGCTAAGCCCCTACTAAAGTATCCTCTATATACCTGTAACGACGCAGGTAATAAGACCCTCCGATACGGTTCCGATTCCACTACGAGGTGTATGGGAGCACTGGGAAAGTCGATAACTAGGGAGAATCTTATTCCTATAGGTCTTGTACGAAGAATACTTAAGAACTATCTATCCTAGAACTGCTACAGGCTTGCCTTTTATACCTACAAGTCTCGGTTGGCTACGGATAGATAAGAAATGGCAACAGAGGTGAGTCGGGACCGAGTCGGAGGGGAGTCGGAGGTCGTTTAAGTTAGGTAGTATCTTGTTTGTAAGATTCGAGATTTTGGTGGTCGATTCTTACAATACTAGTAGGTTAAAACTATGTATAAATAGCAATATTTTTTTAGTAAGAGCCTAATATAAGAATTATTCTCTAGGTCTTAAATTATCTAGCTCTATAAGGGCTTCCTTTAATAGTATTATAGCGTTAAGTTGTTAGAGGTTTAAAGTAACGTCTAAAGTTGGTGGGGTAGCTTACGCACTGACCCGGCTTACGAGGTGCACAGACACGGTAGCACAAGTAGCTGACCTTATCTTGCATAACCGATAACCGAGCTCTGCACGCACATCTTCTTCTGACGAGCGTACGTATTCCACCACGTCGCACAAATCACTGGCTGTGCCATCCACGTTGCGTGATAGAGGCATACCTCTTACCATGACTGCAACGTCTCGGGTACAATATGTCTACCCTGCACTTGTAGCGTCCCAAATTCGGATTCTGATCTTAAATCCTTCTTTCAATCATGATGCGCCATTAGAATTCTCCTTTCACTGCGTCGACCTCGAGGATGTGCAAGGCAGATACGAAGCTATTTCATATACTTGGGGAGAACCAAGCTTAGACTCTGTCCTTCTCCACCAAGATGGGTCACACGTGCTTGTAACCCCAAATCTCGACTTTGCCTTGCGACGTTTGCGATACCGACTTGATAAGAGATGGCTTTGGGCAGATGCGGCGTGTATCGATCAGGTTAACCCACGTGAGAAGGCGCTTCAAATCCCTTTGATGGATAGGATCTATCGAGGTGCAAACAGAGTGCTCGTCTGGTTAGGCCGTGGAGGCGGAGATGATGAAATTGGAATGCGTCTCCTAGGGAACTTGTCGTTGGTACCGAAAAGAACTGTTCCACGACCTACTTCCGACCCTGGCGGAGCGGGATTCTCCTCGACTCAATCGGTGGAAGAAATGCGCTGCATTCAGCAAGTCTTCGAACTCCCATGGTTTCGTCGCGTCTGGACTATTCAAGAATGTGTACTGAATGTGGATGCTGTTCTAATGTGTGGGCAAACAGAGTTGTCCATGGCGAGAGTCCTTGCTGGTATGCGTATCATCAGAAGTACGGATCGCATGAAGCAGATCAATTATTCCCTCGGATTCGAAGCTTTTGGAAATACAGCGGACCTATGGACAACGTATGCCCTAATTGAGGCTGACAACGAACCTCAACTCCATACGCAGTCCTCTAAGTTCGATATTCTTTCTTTAGTCCACCGATTCTCGGGACACCATTGCAGCGATGATCGAGACCGCATCTTTGGCTTGTACGCCTTGGCTTCTAACATTGCGCCTGCCACGTTAGGGGACGCAGAGGTCCCAAGAAGCCACGGTGTCGTGTATTTGGACGTGAACTACACGTTCGATACACAAGCTACATACTTCGATTTTGCAATCGCGTGCATGAAGAACAACATGACTGTTAGGATCTTAGCTTCTGCTTTACAGCGTCTAGGTCCTTCCGACCAGCCAGGATGGCCATCATGGCTACCGGACTGGCGGGTGACGCCCAAGCCTTTAGTAGCACTTTCGGAGTATTGTTCGTCGAAGCACATCATCTACATGTCGTTTGCTGGTGAGATTCGCGACCAGAAAGTCAAATTGCAGGCCGGCTGGCAGCCTGTGATCGATTTCAAAGGCCCAAGACCGTGCCGCGCGAGATTTGCCACAATCGCTGTCACTAGCAAAACAGCAACAACAGCTTACTTGGAAGACTGTCTAAGTTCAGCTCTCAACGTGCGGGGTCCATCTTTCGATCCGAAGGATCGTTTCGCCCGAGACCCAGCAAGAAGGCTCTTTCACATGCTATATCGCTTCCTTCACCAGGACACACCTGAGCTTACCGACTCCTGTGGGTGGATCGAGAACTTACTGACAGACTGGCGGTCAGGGAGAGCAGTTTCTCCCACATCAGATGAATGCAAAACCCTACTACCAGATAGTTTGGCTAAAATGACGAGTCATCGCAGTTTCTTTGGCGCCTGCGATCCAGCGTTCGATTGGGATGAGGCGACAGCATATACCGCAGGCGAGCCTATGTATGGTTGGGGTCCTGATACAATTGAGGAGGGTGATGAGCTGATCATTGTCTCTGGAGGTGACCCTATTCATCCAATGGAACGTGGCATTGGCTCATGGCATCCTAATCCCATCATGTACGACTACTACGCGCTTGTTGTCCGTCGCGTTTGCGATACCGACTCAAGTCAACCTTCTGAGTCAGATTCTGATACAAGTTCTGATACAGAGAATCACTCCCTTCTACAATCTGACGACGACACGATATCTAGTCACCGCTCGTCCTCTCCATATAGTCCCAGCTCTGAGCCACGAGAGACGCGATCCCGGTCTTGGACCGATCTTACTTGGAACTACAAAGCAGGTGTTGCGTCGTATCGCCTTGTAGGCGATGCATACCTGTGTAGCAGCGCTAAAAGCAATCTTGACCACGATTATACTACTTCGCAGGTCAGCATCTGGATGGAGTAAGATTGAACAGGCGAAAAGAAAACTAAACTTATGCTCTCTAGGAAACTAGTTTATATTATCTAAGCAAGGCTCTGTAGAACTTTAATATTAGTCTCTACACTGATGTTATAAGGCTAGTTTAATATATATCACTAACGTACCCCACGGGCGAAAGAATCAACGGGCGAGAGAATTACTTTTGCCAAGCGCCCACTAAACTACTCTTTCTTCATTAATGTCTTCTCAACAACACCATTTAGATGCGTTAAAGGAAGCTTAGATACAGCTTGCGCTCCAGGCTCTTGAACAAGACGCAACACTCTCTCAGCGACGCGCTGCAGCTATCTATAGGGTTTCTCAAGCTGCACTAAGCGACTAACGCACTGGACGAACTTTATAAGCTGATTCTATAGCCAACTAGCGGAAGCTGGACATCAATAAGGAGAAGGTGATTGTTAAACATGTTCTTGAGCTAGATGCGCGAGGATTTTCCCCTTGGCTCTTAGATGTGACTACTATAGCTAATTCTTTAATTGCCACTCAATGCGCCCTTCAAGTACAACGCCGACACTTCTGAGCCGGGAAAGAGCAACTTTGGTGTCGTCATTCAATGGTACTTCATGGGCAAAATTAAGCACAAAGTGGATTATGACTATATCAAGTATTGTCCGCGACTCTACAACGCACTGAAAAAAATCGATGCGGAGAAGCGTGCTGAGAAAACAGTTGAAATACTGGGACCCGAAGAACCTAGGGGTGCTGAATATCAACGTTCGGGTCACCGCGGCCATCCTGGTATAGGGGCAGGAATAACTAGTCGGCTCATCACCCCGGTGAAAAGTCCAGCGGAAAGCCTATTAGTCAACATCAGCAACGATGAGCATTCTGATCTGGACAAGCTGCACACTTACTTGGATTCGTATGGCGCGCTTTACTTGTTGAAAAACCTACCCGACCCGGACGAGGTTCAATTTTTGAATCAGAGCTTCCTTGTCGATGCCCAGCCGAGGAAGCTCCTTATTGGCCACCATAAAGAGCGAGACAATGAAATCTATGCGTATATGCGAAAGTCACGCAAATTCCACGAGATCAAATTCTATATCGAAGATCTGCGCGCATCTTCGAAAACAGCCATCCGCTCTGAAGACGTTGCTAAACAGCGCATCCTACACCCATTTGACAAAACCTATCCAAAAGGTACTCACAGCATCGGCCAAGATGAGAAAGCCCGACTCACACTTATGGTAAAGTGGTACTTCATTGCGGCCGGGATAGCAAAGGACTGTGTGCTCAGAGAAACGAAGGCTTATCCTGAGCGCTTGCGAAACGCGCTTGAATACATTGCTAAACGTATGGGGGCTGCTTCAATCAGACCACCCGTCGTTGGGTACGAGCGGCAAACTGAGCCCGAAACTACATCAGAAGAGGCGAACCCAGTCATCGATAAAAGTCATGTCCAACTCTGTCCCGCCGAAGTTACACCCAATCTCTCGTCATCGCGCATCCAAACCAATTCCGATTCTCCACGTCCGTCAACTACTCACGTAGAGCAACTGGATAAATCTTCCAATACCGTCGACGACCCAGAAGTGAGAGGCAGAAAACGCACCGCCGAGGATGCAGAGTTCGAAGACCTCGCCGAGATAGTCTCTCAAGTACTTACTGTGGATCGGGACCTCACAAACCAAATAAACGACATCGACAAGCAGATTGAGCTACTTCAGACGCAACGCAGGGACTTAGTAGAGGAGAGAAAGGATGTGAAGAGAAGGTTCAGGAGGCAGACTTTGGCGATTGCGTCGAGGACGGATGGATGAGGAATCGGGGCTAATTTTGGAGTCTGCCGCACAATACTTCCATGGCTGCTACGTCCCGTCACTCTCAACATATCGATGGAAACCTGAAGTCAGCTTAATCTAGTGCGGGTAAGCCAGTAAGAAGAATATGGTTTCAGTAGTAACAAAGCCAAACATCACTAATGTTCAACTGGTGAGAAGAAAACGCTTCTACTGCAGCATCTACTAAGGCGAGATGCTGAGCGCTAGCAAATGTCTCGATGACTTTTGAAGGAAACGGTAGCCGGGCGATCCCGTGCGTAGAAGTTTGTATAGCTTTGAGATGAGTCCACGATCCTCGTGGCTGTGATACCTCTGCGCCTATGAGATCAGAGCAATGATCGTCATCACTTGCTTGGAGATCGAGGAAGAGAGGATCGTCAGTAGCGACTGTCAGGGACTATCATGTTGTAACCCAGCGACTGCTGATGGCTATGAGGACTATGTCCTTAAACTATTATGGCGGTGGTGAAGCTGCCCACCAGTACTCTCTTGTCAAGGACGAGTCAGCCGAGCTTCTGAGGTTCGGGCGCTGCTGACTATCAGTACTCTGTCGTTGAAAAGATAGGATCTGTTCCTAGCGTTGATGCTGACTGCACGCATTTGCTGTGCTGGCAACTTGTGCGAAGCTCCTGGCACGAATGCCGGCGATCAGCAGCTTACCCTCGCTAAGCTAAGCCACCTGTTATCGCTTACTGTCGCAGGCCAAACGCTCTCGTGAATCTGAACTCTATTTCAAAGCGTGCCGTGCGAGGGCCTACGAATAAGCTGCGCTATGATGCCAGAACTGTTCAACAGCGAACAAAAATTTTCTTAACATCCCATACCTGCAATACCGCACCTAACCGTGCGACAAGAATGTACAAGAGACTAATTAGTACTGAAGACTAAACAACATTAATTGGTGAATATGATTTGGTAGAGCGGCGACTGTAATTTCCCGAAAGGGTTTGGTTTTGGAATAGGGGCTGCTCCGTGTCGCCATACCTGAGTAGGAGCGATAGTCTCAAACTGACTGAAGCGCTCAACAATCTGTCGCCGTAGCGTAGCGGGAGCAGCATGATACTTGCGAAGATGCGCATCTAGACTCACGACTGCTGTACAGTGCTGCTTGCAAACCACAACGCCAAAGTCTTTAAGAAAGCAGAATACAGCGTTGCAGTTGCTAAGTGTAAGCTTCCGGGGCCATGCGTGCAAGTCTGCAGTGTTGCTTTTGCTGTTGCTTACGTTGTCTGCTAGTTAGAGTGTTGCTGCTCGGCTGTCCCACACATGCTCCATTGCGCAGAAACCCTAACTCTACTTACCCTAACAGCACTACGTTTCGCAGAAGTTGTAAACGAAACTTTTCGCGTCGCTGTGGAAGGTACGGAAGAGTTGAATTTACGATAGTAACCTCTTACTAGATACCCGTCCCCTCCTCCGCTTTATAGTACTTGAGGTTCGACTACTTTGTACTTTTGAACTAGAGTCCTTCTTGCTTCCATCCTTCGGAATCCTAGTCCTTGCCCTGAGCGTCCTTTCCTCCTCCCACTCGCTTGTATCCAGCTCTGACGCAGGATCTGATTCTACATTACTCTGACCAGTATTTCGACCTGTTGCTCGCCTCTTTTTTGACATGGCGCGCTCTTGAACAAGATCGTTCAGTTGCTTTTGCATATCGAGAATTTTTCTCGTAAGAGGGCTGCAACTCTCAGTCTCTCTGCGTCGCTTTTTCCCTCTTTGTTGCCTCTGCTCAGGTGTCTGTGTATGCAGAGCCTCGTCTGGGGGCTCTGTATCGCTTATTCCGGGTGTAGCACACTCTGGTGTTCCCTCAGAAATAGCGTCCGGGTAGTAACCAACTTGTGTCGTACTGCTTGAGGTTTTGTGCACGGTTGCTAAGCTATAGTCTAGAGCGTCTTCCTCTCGGGTCAACGTGAATTCATGCCACATATGGCTGTTTACCAGGTAGCGATCAATCAGATCAGGCTGCAATTTGGTAGGAAATCCATGCTCTAGCGCATATGCATTGGCATGTGTAACTGGTCTATGACCTGTTTGGAAAGCTAGGAGTTGAAGGAATCCATTGTAATCCTTAGGCGTATTGGGGTCGAATGCAGTAACAAGCGCGGGGAGATGCTTCTTTGCAATGCTAGTCGCAGTTTGTCTGTACAGACTGGTAGTTGTCGGAGTAGGGCATTTGGCTGTTGACCTTTTCAGACTCGAGTGGGCTTTACTTGAAGAAAAGCAGGCCGTTGCACTGTCATGAGTACTAAACAAGTGAGGGTTCGTTGAGCCTGTAGATTGCGCCCCTGACTTTCGACTAATAAGACTGCGGAATGGGCGGATGTACACAAGGTAAAGGTAAAGAACTCTTTGTACCATAGGACAGGGGGAGCGTACGATATAAAACGAGTTGTTGGTGTTGGTGTTTGCCTTGTTGTATGCGAAGACAAGTATCACTTTTCCTTTGTAGATAAAGATGTTTCGTCGCACGGAGATCGTGTCAGCCCACCGTAGGACTCTGAGCTCCTCACCACGTGCTGGCATGCCGCTTGTTAGGTGCATTGCTGCATAAAGCAGACGAACAAAGCTGTCGCTTTCGTTCAAGTACCGCCTCTGCTTTGCTCTCCCTCTACTTGTCTCTGACGAGAAGCCGCCTTGTTCTGAGAACGCTAATTTGCTCACAGCGCGGAAAGCTCCCTGGAGTTTGTTGGCTGGGTGCGCCAGAAACGAGAATCCAGGGCGATGGGTCGCAAGATTATCTTGTAGAATGTCGAGTTGAACGTCTGGCCACCATCCGAAGAGGAGCTCCTGTGCACGGCTTTGTAAACCTACTACAACAGTGTGAATTGTCTCACGAAATTGTCGCATATGAATCTGTGTTTCCGCAATATGGAGTGTCAAGCCATCTAAAGACCAGGAGATGTTTGTTCTAGGACCCTCGCGCCTCGCGATTGCTCTTCCGTGCTGTAGTCGCTCGATAAGGTAACCAGCTGGTGCAAGACTACCTCGCTGAAGACACTTGGGTCGGATATGCTCACGCAGTCGCTGTGCTTGGTCGGGGTAGGCTGTACGCTCGGGCCAAGGATTCTTAAGATAGTTGTATGGTGCAAGTGGTAGGGCATACTCGAGTATAATCAGGCGACCTACCCACAGCAGTGCTGATATAAAAGGAGTATAGTCGTAGGGCTTGCGGAAACATAGCTCTGTGGGATGTATTCCCAAGACACCAGAGAAGTTCATGATAGCGCTACGGCTCATGTTTCCGTCGTGCGACAAGTCTGTCCAGAACATGACAAGAAGTTGAAAGAGATTTTCGTTCAGGGCGGCCAGAGATGACTGGAGCAGAATCCTGAGGTCTGCCTGCTGGCTGACAGCAGTGACGTGGTCCCAGATATGGTTCATCATGGCCAGCTGAGCCGTGGTTAGCTGCAGCCCAGATATGTCGTTTGTAGGCTCTTTTATGTTGCGCGACAGTGCTAAGACGCGGAAAATGTAGCATAAGAATCGCTCGTGGATTCTATAGTATCTTCGTCGGGTGTTTTCGCGTTGTGGCAGCTCAAAAGGGTAAGGAAGAAAAGAAGGCGTCCAGCTCCGCAGCCAGCAACGCAAAACCCGTGGCGTCTGCTTTAGTGTTGCTTCGCATCGTTGGAAAACGATTCTGCTGGCTTCTACAATCTTCCAGATCGTTCTCTCCGTCTGTGCTGGGCTTACACATTCGAATCCGTTCCAAAGGCCTAGTCTGAGATCATCTGATGTTGCCATGGGAGGCAGTGCTGCAGCTGCAACAATGATATGGATAGGCTTGTGAGCAAACCACGCTGGCCACTCGCAGCCTCGCAGCCACTCAGTGTTCTCGTCGTGTTCTAGCTCTCCGTCGAGAACCACGCCGTTTAGCTCATCATCTAAGCGTTCTTCTTCTTCTTTCTCTTCATCCTCTACACGTGTCAAGCACTCGCTATTGCTTGTCTCAAGTGATCTTTCGTCGCTCTGATGCTGGTGAGAGCTGTCGTCTTGGCTCACCACCCAGTATTTGGGCGAGTACTTCGTCCAGCTCTGTAGATAACACTTGTATCGCGATTGATCTTGAAGGCACTCAGGCGCGCTAATGTTGTGGTGTTTCTTTGTATGCTGTCGTATCTGATCCCAATTAATACTCTTCCCCTCCGGACAGTGCGGGCAACAAAATCCAGTCAGAGGTGGGCCAAGGTAAGAGAGCGGCGTAGATCCATCCGGTCGGGGCACTGGATCATTGAAGGACTTCGCAGCAGGCACGTCGTCAAATCGTGCTATCGTAGCTCGACGCACTTTGGCGGGTTCATAGTGGCAAGTCCGCAAGTGGGTGTTACAGGTACTGCGGTGTAACAAGGTGTACAAATAATGACGTTCTTGCTGGCAACAAACGTGACGTAGTCTAGAGAGACCAGTCTATGTTCCTATAGCGTTTAGATATTAAGCTTAGCAGATTGGTAGCTAACGTTGTATACATTTTGCTTAGCAACAGACGCTGTGGGTAGGTCATTTCTTTTTGCAATCTGGCTACGTAGCTATATAAGATTACTAAACGCTTTGCTTGCGTAGCACACGTTTCTTTCCTTCTATTCCCATGACTCTAACCCTTTCTTCTCTTTGTGTATCTGACACCAGTGCTTGTACAGCTGATGCTGACTCCCCCGCTCTTTAGTCTAGCTGAATTTGATACGCTTTGGTTCTGAAGGACGTTACAAAGATCGCTGCTCAGCCTACGCTTGCTTCGTGTCAACAATCTCCTATCATGCCCTTTTGCCTCTGCTACCTTTTCGTCTCCGCTATGCAGCGCGAAGGATTCCTCTTCTGACACACCCACGTCCACCGCTTGATTTGCCGGCTTCATCGTTGGCGTCATCAATTCCTTTATCTGTGGGTCTAACGGGCCCGGATTTGCTTCTCTGTCTATAGGTCTGTCCTCGTCGATCTCCAGGAACCGATGCCAAATCAGGCTGTTTTCAAAATAGCGTTCGATGAGCTCTGGCTGCAATCTAGCCGGATAGCCTCTCTCGAGAGCGTAAGCGCTTGCATGAATCGATGGAGTGTGACCCGTCTGGAAGGCTAATAGGTGAAGAAAGCCATTCTGGTCCTTTGGAATGTTCGGGTCGAACGGCTCCAGCAGTGTCAGGATATGCTTCTTGCTAATGGCGACCGCGATGTGGCGATAGATACACAGCTGAAGTCGAATGGGGCAGTCTGGCGTAGCCAGCTCTAGGCTCTTCGAGCAGTCTACTGCGCTGAAGCAACCGGTGGGATGATTGCTTAGGGTGAAGAGATGCAGATTCGTCTTTGTTCGCGCATCAATGAGTTTCAGTTGTCGGAGGAGGAAGTCGGTAAAAGGCCGTATATAGGCAAGATATAGGAACAAAGCTCGCTCTACTATAGGACAAGGCACCCGAATAATGTAGAACGAGTGGTTTGCTGTTGTGGACACTTTGTTGTAAGTGAAAACTAGCATGATGTGTCCCTTGTGTATTATAATGTTGCGTTGTACAGCGACGGTATTCGCCCAGCGTATGATGCGGAGCTCTTCCCCTCTAGCGGGCATGCCGCTCGTCATGTGGATACCTGCAAAGATCAGTCGAATAAAATCGTCACGTCTCTGGAGATACGCCATCGCTTGCTGGCGTCCAGCGCCCTGCAGTGCTAGCCTCCCTTCTTGAAGAAAGAACGCTCGGCGGTAAAGATGCTTGAAGCTCATTTGCAGATTATTCTCAGGCTCCGCTAGAAATGAATAGCCCGCTCGATAGCTTGTTAGCTTGTCCTTGATCTCACGCAAATTGACATCAGGCCACCACTGAAACATTAGATCGCGAGCTTCCCGATTGATCGCATCCAGAAGAGAGTGCACTGTAGAGCGCAGCTGTGTCAGAGTGATCTGAGATCCGTTCACCTCGAGCATCTGGCCATCAGGTGACCAGGAGATGTTTGTTCTGCCACCTTCCCGCTTTGCTACAGCTCTGCCATGTTGGAGGCGCTCAATGAAATACCCGAGGGGCGCGAAGGTACCACATTGGAGATACCTTGGCCGAATCTCTCTGAGAAGCCTCGACCCTTGATCTGGATGCGCAGTGCGTGCCTGGAGAAGAGGGTTCCACGAACTGTAAGCTCGCGACGGCAGCGCATACTCGAGGATCACTAATCTTCCTACCCAGATTAAGGCTGAAAGATATGGAGTGTAATCATACGGGGTGCGGAGAGTCAGCTTATACGGGTGGATCCCAAGCACACCGGAGAAATGAATGAGTGCTTTAGCACCTGCATCGCCGTCTATCGAAGTGTCTGTCCAGAAGAGAACGAGCAGCTGGAAGATAGTTTCGAGGATGGAAGAGGATGGAGGAGGCGGTGGCGACGAAGGACTTGACAGGACTCTCTCCGCCTCACTCGGCAACAGATTGTCCAGCCCCGCCCAGATAGTATCCGTTATTTCTGCCTGGAATGCGGTAAGTGTCAGACCGTAGATGTCGTTCGTGTCGTAACCCTGCGCAAAGCAAACCTGCCTCGCTCGGAAAACATAGCAAAGGAACCGATAGCAGTAGGAGCGGTACTTTTTCTGCGTAGTCTGTCGCTTTGGTTGCTCAAATGGGATAGGGCAATAATGTGGACCCCAGCTACGTAGCCAACAGCGAAGAACCCGCGGTGTAGATGACAGGGTCTCCTCGCACCTGTCTAGCACGCGACCCACAAGCTCAACGAGCACCAAGAGCTTCGTCTCTGTAGCTGAGCAGCTGCTCCATTGAGAGCCGTTCCATGGTCCTAAGTAGAGAGCTTCATGCTTCTTCGAGGGAAGCTGCGATGTAGCGACAATTACATGGAGCGGCTTGCGTGCGAACCAGCGTGGCCACCCGCACTCACGAAGCCAGCGCGTGTTCTCGTCGTGCTCTAACTTGTCTGGGAGACATGCGTTCGCATTTGCTTCATTGGCAAGCCGGTGTTCCTCTTCATCTTCCATACGGAGAAGCTCCGCCATATCTGGGTCGCGACAAGCTTCTTCCAGCTGCGTTAGCCTTTCCTTATCTGCTTGCTCTTCCTCGCAATCTGCTTCTACAGACTCAACGCTGTCCGTCCTAGTGTGGTTCACGCGCCAGTATTGCCCTGTCTTTCTGTGCGCGACCCATTGTTGCAGGAAGCATGACACGTCCCTCCTGTTAACTATTGTGTGCCTCTGACTATGAGTTTTACTTAGATGCTTTCGAAACTCGCCCCAATTTACCGTGAGCCAGATGCAATGTGGGCAGCTGAAACCCTGGACAGGAGCCGCTAGGAACGGCAAGACACGGCTGTCATTGGGAAGTGGAACAATGTCCAAGTCTTCCTGCGCTACGGGAACATGTTCGTATTGGCGGAGTATAGTTGTGGATAGGCCGCTGCTGATACCGTGATGTCGCTGGAGATGATTGAGGAGTACCTTGCGGGGAATGGCGCTCCTGCAAACCGTGCAAAACAGGTAGCCATATAGTGGCAGGTAGGAGATGATGTCCGGCGTTTCTCTCGCTTCTAACTAGAAGCAAGCAGTTAGTAAACTTGACTATATTGGTATAATTGCCTGGGCACCTGCCTTAGCAATAGTAGAAGGGGGATCCGGAAGGCTCGACTGCAACGTGCAGTAGCTGGGATTGACAGGATTTCCTGTGTAAACTTTCCACGTACGAGACATGGGCTAGGCTTAGTACCACGCCCGCAGTTGCAGTAGTTGCAAGAAATTGGAGGTTCAACGCGGAAGCGGAGGTTGCGGAGTCAAGATAGCCTAAAGGGGTAACTGCAGGGGTAGTCATGAAGTCCATCCGGGACTAGTACAAAATAGGGTAAAAGAGATCCGTGCGGGTACTCCAACCTGTCGGTTCCCTGCCATGTAGGATCAACTGCGACTCTAGATGCGACATGTATACTAACAACGCTCTTTCTTGCGTTAGGGGGATATCATAGATTTTGAGCTCAAAGATTCGTTGTACTGTACCAAGTCATCCACTCAAGTCCATGGGATATGGAGAGGTTGACGTGGAAGGGCAAGATGATGACACGATGGTGCTCATCATGAGTCTGCTTCAAGGTTGTTCTACACAGGTACCTTTGCATGTTAACCTTATCACCTTGAGAAATGCCCCGTGCCTCCCCGAACCAGCGGTCTTTGTCCGTCTTTACGTGTCATCGATCGCTGCCCACTAACCCGCAGCAAAGCTTGTGCCGACGGAGGCCCAGCAAAGGCACAGTCGCTGTATTTGTACGTCGCGATTCACCTGACCAAGAAGAATGCGAGCATCGTCTACATTGTCCAGCACAAGCAGTCATCGCTGCTTGCATGCGCACAGCCAGTCGTGCACCAGCTCAAACATGTCCGCCCGCGGATCTCGTCACCCACAATCTTGACCCAATCAGCGATATCGCGACAGCTCTGCGCGAGGCGGGCGGCGTTGTTGGCGTGTACTAAGAGCAGCCATGTCTCGGGAGACCACCGGCGGGTGCGGTAGTGCGTCTTCGACGATCTAGCGCGATTCGGGTTTCTACCGATCTACTATCTATCTCATCAGGACGATATGTTAGCAATGGGGAACTGACGTAAGGCTCCGGACTCGCTCATACAGCAGCCCCGTGTTGTCATGAAGGAACAGCTTAGGCCAGCGACCCTGCGTGTCAAGTGCACGGACACGCGAAGGCGCCAAGCGCCACTTCATCAACAGGGGTCGTTAAGCCTGGAGCGGCAAACATCAAGAGGCAAGGCAAAACATAAGGGCGACCCAATTTTGAGTGTTAGACCCAACGCCCGCGTAGTAAGATGGCGTCTGCTTTCGGCAGATATAACCCGCCTCCTTTCCGCATCCCATCTACAGGGCAGCCTGCTAGGCCCGACCCGCCACCGGTGCTTGAAGCGCAGGCAGACCACGCAGAAAAACTAACAGGCAACATCGCTTTGTACGTTACTCTGGGATTAATACACTATTGCTTACTTACTGGCAGATTGTTCAACAATACAAATTATTCGGATGCTAAGATCGATATTCACGACGTGATACTCCCTGTGCACAAGTCAATTGTCTGCATCCAAAGCGATTATTTTGCAAAGGCTTTTCGACAGGAGTTCGTTGAGGGAGACACAGGAGTCATTAAGTTTAGACAGGGTGATGGGGCCGCGTACTGGAGGGTTTTTGAGTATTTGTACACGGGCGACTATGCGGAAAAGTTGTCGACAGAGAAATTCGCAGGCAAGTGGGGTACCATCATCTTTACACTTGCTAATCAGCCTAAGTAATAGACAACGATGCGCTACTTATCGAACCTTGCGTCTACGCGCTTGCCGACATGTTCTTTTTGGAAGATTTGAAGGCGCTATGTGTGCTCAAGCTACGGACGAAGTTGAAGGAGCTTTGGACTAGCGACGAATTTCCAGCGTGCATTCAGAAAGTATATGCATCTACCTCTGATACCAATTGCGAGATGCGATTCGCTGTGCTTGAGTCGGCTACGACACATGCGCATGATTTGAGCGCGAAGGAGGGCTTCAGAAACCTTCTTCGAGAGGGTGGCGATTTTACTGTTGAATATGTAAATGCTCTCAATAGAAAGCACGCAAGATAGATCGGAAAAGTATATGTGTTCCGATTGATCACAAGCTCTATGAAGCGATCATGCGTGTAAGCTTAGAACCACGGCGTCTGCATTAGCAGTCTCGTTACGTATTCGACAACAAAATCTCCTCCTTCACGTACAAGATCTTGAAATCCCACTTTTCCAGCTAATTCACGAGCATGCGCAACAGCCACGTCGACCAAAACAGGTCGCATCGTGTGAGGACATCCAGTAACCGAGTGATATACTTCCCAGACACACTCAAGAAACAGATCACTGTCCCACCCCTCGCATGTTTCCCGTCGAAATTTCTCAAGGGAAAATGTTTTCAGGTCTTCTATACAGAACTCATTTGCCAATACATATACATGCAGATGTCTAGACAACTTGTCGTCATCTGGAAACTTGTCAGTCTTCCTTACTAAGAAGTGTAGCTTGCTTACCCTTGACTTCAGTGTTGTTCAAACAGTCACTGTAACCGCCTGTATATAGATACTCAAAGACCCTCCAATATGCAGCACCACTTCCTTGTTCACAGTTCAGTATCCGTTCATCTTTGCTGAAGGCTTGCTGGCACGCTTCTTCTAAGTATATGCTCTGAGGACAGATGACAAACCGATGAGCCGGTAGTGAGACGCCTTGTATCAAAATGATGATATCTGAGTGGGCTGCTTGATTGAACATGCTAAAGAACAAGTCAGCTGGGAACATCTGAACAGCTGTAGACGTACTTCGATATGCAGCTCGTGAGTTTTCTCCGATACCGGCTTAATGTATTGGTTCCAGAAGGTCCCAGGACATTAAGTTTAGATCCTTCTTCGTTGGTTTGATTATCTCGGACATTGTCCCCAGTCTCTGTCGTAGAAGTTTGAAGGGGCTGGATTGCTGCAGTACCCATAGTCTGGTAGTGACGGCTCCAATGTCCGACAGCTGTCATGTGCTGCTCCTTGGCACGCTGCGAACTAAATTCTCTTGTGCACCCGTTGCACTCAAAGTTGTCGTTCCAATGTCCAACAGCCGTCATATGCTGCTCTTTGGCATGCTGCGAACTAAATTCTCTTGTGCACCCGTCGCACTCATAGCTCTCGTTCCAATGGTCTGTGTCATCCATGTGCTGGTCACGAGATTGGCGAGTGCGAAAAGTGCGCGTACAGCAATAGCACTCAAACATCCTCGCTCAGGACAACGCGTTCTCGTGTGCTTGTGAATCTATCTGTATGGCTTTGAAGGAGTGAAACGAATAAGAGAGATGCCAGTTGGGTGACTTCGGTCTGTCGGCGGAAAGATGTCAGGAAGAATCGATGATCGCTGTGCTAGGCTCGATAGGCTTGGCGAACCGCAGCGGGGAGTCCGCAAATGCACGTATGATCACTACGGCCAACTTATTCCATGGTCACAATCATTTTATACTAGCGTGGAGCTACTGCGGCGTCGTTTTTTCGTAACGACTTTGTGGACCGGACTTTATTACATAAATGACAGCTTGCAAGACGATAAGTGTAGAGCCTTCCCAGCGTCGCATGTTCCTGGCAACGTAGGGAATGTTCTGCGCATTTTTCATTTTGCTCAAATGAAAGTAGCTTCCCGGTTCTATCACTGTCTCGAGCCACCGAGTGTGCTGCTGATATAGTGCGGGGACGACTCGGAGTTGATATTGATGTTGATAACAAGCGCTTTCTATGGGCCAAGCTGCGCCAAATTTCTGATCGCTCATGCTCATAATTATTGTTACTAACAAATAATAATGCGGATGGTGATCGCGGAATCTGAAGGTAAGGAAGCAATAGCCACTATGGGAGTTGACGAGCATTTTGACTAAAGACGGTCACAACAGCGAGGACGGTGATTACTGTCGAAGTCGAAAACGGCGAACGCAAGATAGTCACCGAGGTTGGCGTGGTGCGGTTGCAGTGCACGCACTTCGCTGAGGGTCGAAGGGTAAGCGCGCCAAGGGTTCACGTGTGCTGTGTCCTGGAGGCTGCGGTCTGGTGACCGACTTGACAGGGTTGTCTTGTAGATTGCAGTTCGTGTACTGCGGGACAGCTGTTGACTGCATGGGTTGGGGGTTAAGACTGGTCTGAGAGTAACAAGCGGCTCAAACAGCAAGTGGCTTTGGCGAGGCGCTTAGCGACGGGCTATGAGAGGACCAGGACGGACGCTCGAGCAGACAGAGCAGCGACTTCGACACAGGCGGACGTACGTGAGGTAGTGGTGCAGGAGCTGAGCAGTTTGCGGTTTGCGGTTTGGGGATGCAGTCTGCGGGTTGCAAACGCTTGAAGAGCATCAGCTTGTATATCCCAGAGTGGCGTGGCAAGGTCAATAAGCTATATTCTGAATTCTACTAGCATGTCTTAAGCTTGATCTTCAGACGTGCGGGACAAGTTGAGGGCGCTTCATTCGACTTAAACGTTGCATACCCCCATTTTTTTCCCCATTTAACAATAGCTAATTGCATATCTCCACTCTGTGTATCGACCTACCTCCACGCGAACATCATGAATCGGGCCTCATTCGTGCCTATTGCGTGATTTGGCGCGATTTGGGGCCTGTTTCGCTGCCCTCTTCGCGCTAATCGAGAAACAACCCCTTTTTATGATCTATTTAGGTTTAGCGCAGCCGTGGCCCAATGCATACTCAGGCACGCTGTGCGCATAGTGCTCAGTAGCAGCTACACTCATGTCTCTGTAATGTCGCGTACCTGTGCACATTAGCGTTCCAGGAAAGGACAGCTCTCTGTGTCTGACTGTCTGCAGTGCCGAAAAATTTGATCTCTGCGATGTCCAACTGCACAGGCCATCCAGCAGAGGGCACACCTCTCAAGAGCGCTTCCGCGCCATCCTCGTGGACAGTCTCTATTGGAAATCCTGCAAAGAATGAGGTAGGTAGGCAGCGCTGGTGGCAGCCCTTATGTTCCATATCTAAATCCCGTCTAACTAACAACGCAGTAGCCCGCTGAGCAGGAGATCCCAAACATCATCTCTCAGGTACCGCAATTTGGACACCTGTTGTTCAGGCTATGTCGCATCGTCATGCCGTACAAGCCCCTCCACTACCACCCAGCATATAATGATTTGCGAGTCGCACTACGTTTCAAACAATATAGGGAAAAGGAGAGACGTCTGGTACAAGCGGCAGCCAGAGAGATGCGCTAACCCAAAAAATCGGTCCTAAATGCGCACATAACAATTACAAAGTCCAAATTACCATATCCCACTAGATAGTCTCTTTGTTTCTTTTTGTTACAGCAATTGGCCGTGTGAGACTCGTCCATACAGCAACAGCAGAACTAGCTACCTATAGAATTTGTTGGGCGGGTTGTTCTGCAGTGGTCATGGCGTGTTACACCGCAGCTAGCTCTACCTGTAGTGCTACCTTTGGTGCTTCTGCTTCTGCCACTATTATTGGTTGCAACACCGCCTTTGGTACGTGCCAGGCTGCATGTGCCGCCTTCCTTTTGAGAGAAAACACAGCCTTGTCACGATACAAGTGATAGGTAACTGAGCGAGCCTGCTTCCGTTACGCCCCGAGCTGCAGACAGGGTGCATAAAAGTGGGACACCAGTACTCTCGACCCCGCACTCGTCACCGTGGCTAGCACCTTCTCTTGACACGTTATTCGGCCTTGATAAACACGGCGCTTCTCGCACCCCTTCAAGGCTTACTTGCTGACAATTTCGCAACTGCATTCCACCTCCGCGTTCCGCCTTTACTGCGTTTTGTTGGAACTGAACATTGGCCTATAGATTGTAACTGTCATGGCACCGCTCTATAAGCCCACATGCATTTTCTATGCCCGTGGAGCATGTAGAAATGGCGACTCTTGCGGTTTCGTGCATGAGAGAGACACAAGCGCACATGATCGCTCAAGACCTGTTATTCCAGTCTGGTCACCTCCTCAGGCCCCGAATACCAACTCGAGTGTAACTCCCACACGTGAGGCTCAAGGTCGAACGACCGACAATCTACCTCAGTCTCCCGATTCTCGTAACACAGTCCTATGCAGGTTCTTCTCGCAATCGAGAGGTTGTCAGAAAGACTCTTGTCCATTCCTTCACGTCACGCAAGGCCCGCAAAGCATAAGCATCAACAACGAAGAGCTTGCATTGAAGGAATACGAAGTCAGTAGTCAGTCATTGAAGCTTCAGAGACCTGACGCTCACGCTTTTCGTAGGAACTTGACGATCTCAGTTGGACTTTCTATGGAGCATCCGTACAGTTCGACGAATGCGGCCACGTTCTCGAGATTTCGCTTCCGACAGACTATTCCGTTGCATGCGTCACAGGCTTCCCAGCCGGGACTACCTCTGAAACAGTTGTTGATGCCTTGCACGGATTAGGGTTCGTTCTAGACACCAGTCAAGTTCGCGTGCCTAGCCAAGATGTTTTGTCGGAAGTAAGAGCCACGGTGAAAGTGAAGGATCCAATGTTCGCTCGAAATCTGAGTACTACCCTGAAAGAGGGTCATCATGGACTCAGTGCAACGTCAATAGCAACTGCCACAAAAAGGACGGATGGCAGGAAAGTCTACGTATCCTGGCACAAAGCTACCCGCAACGTGTGGCTGAATTTCGGAATTGAAGAGATAGCGACCCGTGTTGCGCAGAAGTTCAATGAAGGTCGATATACTTGCCTGGGCCATCGCATCAAATCATCCACAGCCAAGCACAGTCGGAGCTACAGCAGATTTGCCCAGAATCATGTGCCCTGGACAATCACTTTGAGTGATGTTCCTAGGGTAGCGACAGTAGAGCATATTAAGCGTGCCATCACGTCAAGTTACGATGAGCCTCGACACATTAAGATGGGCGCGCTGAATTACGAATCATCTGATGCAGAAGTCAGCGTTGAAGTACGCTCACGATTAGAGAGCCACGGGCCACTTGACAACTTCCAACTCGCCTTTACATCCACGGGCAAACGAGTCAAAGTCACTGCATGGTTTCAAGAAGAACCAGACGCCAGATCTGCCCGATCTCTGGATGATGTACGACTTTCTGTCCTGGGAACCGGAAAACTGACTGTCGCACAGGTGTCATCGGTCAAGGTTAAAGTTCCTACAGTAGTCTACGCCGTCTCCAAGATCAGTATCGAGAAAGAGCAAGAGAGCTGGAAAGAGCGCAACTTGATACTACGTACTTATCCAGACTCCAAACAACGATATATGCTGTTGAAGGTTGAGAGTGATAACGCAAAAGATGTTGTAGTTGCGCGGAGCAAGCTCGATAAGATTCTGAGTGGGAAAATCATGACCGACGGTGGACGAGCGCTTTGGAGTCCGGCATTCAGTCTTAATGGGAACGCGTCAAAAGAGCTGAAATTTATTGAGAGAGAACTTAGCATACTTGTCGTCAGGGACAAGTTAAAGCGCCAGCTTCGCTTTCATGGATCTCCAGAGAAATTGCAGGAAGCAGCTAGCCGGATTGGAAATTTGCTCAAACAAGAGACGATGTTGCATCACGGCATCGATCTCCAGCCGCATGATCTCCTATGGGCAGTTCAAGGCGGTTTCAAGAAGATCGAACAGCAACTAGGCAAGAATGTCGCTATGCTTGATGTGGTGTCAAAAAAGATCACTATCAGTGGTACTAATGAGCAACTCACACTGGCCTTGAGAATCATGCAGGAGAAGAATGTTTCGAAGGCTGAAAAATGTCTCGATGACACTTCCAAGCCAGACGAAGATTGTCCAATCTGCTTCTGTGAAGCTGAAGATGCCATCAAGACTGCTTGCGGACATACCTATTGCCTGGACTGTCTGGAGGCATACTGCAAATCTTCTGCATCAAACACCAAAAATGTATTTCGAGTGAAGTGCCAAGGGGCCGGAGGAAACTGCTCTACGAATTTCACGCTACGCGAAATGAAAGACCATGTCTCATCTTCTACCTTTGACGAAGTTCTTAGATCGTCTTTTGGAGAGTACATTCAACGTCGCCCCGAAAATTTTCGCTGCTGCCCCACTCCAGAATGCGGCTTTATCTATCGGTGCGCTACAGTCTCAGAAGCAGCACTCCCAGGTTACGTTTGCCCAAACTGCTCCGAGCCGCTGTGTACCTCTTGTCACGCGCAGCATGGAGATTATACGTGCGCAGAGTACAAGGATATCGCATCTGGTGGTCTCGAAGCACTTGAGAAGCTCAAGAAGGAACTTAACATCAAAGATTGCCCAAAATGCTCAACGCCAATGGAAAAGATTGACGGCTGCAATCACATGACTTGCGGAGGTTGCAGGGCGCACATCTGTTGGGTTTGTATGTCTGTATTTGAGAGAAGTGACCTTTGCTATGAGCACATGAACAGACAGCATGGTGGCATTGGGATTGGATTCGGATTTGATTAGAGTTGCTGTCAAGACTTCATCTTTCCGTCGAGATTGTAGTAAAAGGTCGACAGGACAAATGTAATCGACCGCTACCTTGAGAACCGTCACATGTGGCACGAATTTACCTTGACCCGAGAAGAAGGTGTTCTAGACTATAGTCTAGCAACCGCATACGATACCCCAAGTAGTACCTCACGGGTTAGCTACTGCACGGAAAACATCGCTATGGAGACCTTAGAGTGCGTCACACCTAGTATATGATGCTTTGGGAGCTGCGTTGCGACTCGAACAGAATAGGTATAGCGCCACCTCACTCTGTGAATTGTAATCCGTTCTGTCTTGTTTTAGCCTAACGCTTTATGCTGTACATCTGTGCGTCTCTTAGTCCATTCTTAGATATTCACACGATGCTTCGTCCACGTGTATATATAATACTCTAATGCTAACTTATCACAGTTCCCAGCAGCTATTTATTACAGATAGATTGTCGCAGCATAGTGAGATTGCGCATAAGCGGACTGACATGGTGCTCCTTCAAATGGCTACAGTGACGCAACAGCTTCACTGTCAGCCATTCCTGCACTCACACCATTCATACACCCAGCTTAGTTCAATTCCACTACAGTGAATCTCGATTCCTGTTCCCTAATACTGTTGTATCCAAAACAGTCACATATATTCACTATTGATCGACAATCACACCTTGATTTTCTCAGAAAGAAAGGCAGACCATGTAACTGCACGCATTACCTTGTGCTGCTAAAGAAGCGAAAGTTTCCTAAACCTCCCACCTATCTTCCTGCTGATCATACTTCCTCAAGCCCTTGGGCCCTATCTCTAGACATTTTGCCGGCCTCCAAACATCTCAAACACAGATACAAAGTAGCCAATTGTCGACATGAACGTAGACCCGGACTTGGAACGTCTAATACAACCCAAACCCATCTCCCTCTCGACATTTACCTCGTTTACAGCCTTCGCAATAGGCCCGCTCGTGTGGTGGGCCCTCGACTCCATTGAAAGGTGGGGCCTCCATGTTCACGCCTGCCCATTTCTTGAGCCGATACGCGACTCTTTCGATATAGGATCGTTCATCTAGCTCAAAGGTGCCTAGGTAGTCGCAAGACTTGCATCTCTGGTTGTACACAATCGCGATATATCCGTTGTTTTCGTATCCTCTTATCTCGATAGGCACCTTCCTACTGTTCCAAAACTGTTTCCTACAGATGTTGTTGTTACATATAAATCTGCCCATGACGTGGGTAAACCACTCATGATCGAAGTTGTCGTCGTCATTTTGGTCGTTGAACCATGTCGAGGATAATTCTGGAAAGACTGCGTTTTTGACTTTTGGATGTAGTTCTGAAAACATGAAAAATTCTCTGGTCTCTTGTGTGGGTTCAAAAAAGTCCTCGCTGGTTATCTGCGAGTGTGTAGTGATTGCGGGTGGAGTCGTTGAGACAAACATTCGAGCAAGACGTTCGATGAGGAGAGATTGCGCATTGATGGAACTACTTGGCCAGATGTTGCTTGAAGCGCCCTCATCACGTCCTTGATACAACAGAGCGTCCACGGGATCTGATGGCCAATCCGAGGCGGCCTGACAAAACATTCTGTGGTCCTTGAATCTTTTATTGCTGCCGTAAGATTGATTGCAATCGTGGCAGTGAATGGTCTTATTGTGCACAACCGAGTGTTTTCGGTGCTGTTCGAGTGCTTCTTCGGTACCGAAAAAGCGATCGCAAGTCTGACAGTGGATTTTGTTGTTGTGCACAGGTGAGTGCTGTTTATGCTGTTCAAGTGCTTTCTTGCTGGCAAAATGACGACTGCAGAGAATACAGTAGCCCATAGTGCAGACGATTACAGCTTTCTGTTTCTTTGAATTGTGAGGGGGAAACTAGTTACAATGGTAAAGATGTGAATTGTAGAGCTGCTGAGTCTTAACGTATTGTAAATCGAGTTCGCCTTTATGTTGTGCAACTGGAAGCATTCCGTGGCCCAATGGCACAGCAACACATGGCGGATGGCAATGCAGGCCAGTTTCACAACAGACCAAGTGGGGGGAAATTGATAGTCAGTTCCGCCCCAATGAATTCCCGGTCCTCATCCTTCTTCGTCAGGAGATAGTTTCAGGCACTAGGACGTTACCCTCGTTACAAGCTTGTAACTCCTTGTAATCTGCGTTAAACCGTAATTTAGCATTATTTAATTGTCAACCGAAAGAACATCGCTAGATACTGCAAATGACTTCCGACGCCATGACTACCATAATAGAAAGATTACGATACAACTTCTCGTCACTATTTCATAACTGTGTGATACTACGAGTGGGTGCGGGGTATGCGTCACGTTCCTAAATCCTAAGCTATCGTATTAGGTACAACAACGTGTCGTGCGAACCAATCAGGCAATAAATAACGTTTTCTTCGCTCCAGGTATCTTTGATCGCCTTGCTGTTCAGTCATCCATCAAGTAGCATGAGCGAAGATACCGCTTTACAAGTCGCTGGAACTGCACAGCAGGTCAGAGCATTTCGGACGCGTAAGGCCCTATAAAGCTGACATACTCATGTAGCAGCAATCTCGTACGGCAATGAATAACACCATACATCATGCCTCAATCACAATCGGAGGCATTAACTACGATATCGATGTTTCTCAGATACCATATTTCTCGTACTTCGTCGACTTCCGAGGCAAAACTCAGCCACAAGGAACGGAACTAGTCCACGGCCCCATCGCTTTGAAACTCTCAAGGGAATTCAGTCAGGCCATCGCCAGTGTTTCATAGCACTCCCTCCCGATCTTTCTCAGCACCATGGTGGCCTTTGTCCAGCATGCGACCAAAGCATCGAAGCTCACAACGCAGCTGCCAGCATTGAAGGTAGACAGACAAATCCAGAATGAATAGGCTCTTTTGCGCGTTCGTGCATAGTCGAACAGACAACGTTAATTGGAACGAGAGCGTGTCCAACACCTGCATCAGAATAAACCTCCTTCAACTTTCCGAAAGATGCATCTAGAAAGGCGCGTATCGTAACCAAGTGTCTCGAAGCGAAATGACTGGAAGGACACTAGAGTCTCATGAATCAAACAGGAAACGGGGATGGCTACTTTCTCTGAGTAAATGCAAAGCAGGTGAACATGGCAATCCACCACAGCTGATAGGCTGAATTAGCGCTGTGGCTTTCAACACAGCCCCCGAGTTGCCTTGGCTGTGATACACATCAGTGCCTGCACATGTTCTTGAGGACCTCGTGCGGTTGTAGATGCCCTTGGGGGTTGAACATGGACTTACCGCAGGCATTCGTTGAACCATCTCTGCACAATGTAATAATGATGAGATAATTACGTAGATGTTGCCGTTGACTCTGTGTTCAGCAACCTTCGTTTCCAAAGTTGTGCCCCGCCATGCCTAGGGCGCGCTAAATTGCATTGGAACAAGGGTTCGTTGGCCGTTGTCTGTTGTGGGGTCGTGATTGTTTCGTGATGCACGGACTCCGCAACAGATTTTGAGCGTGAAGCGCGCGCGTAACTTGGTGTAAGTAGACTGGTCATGCACATACGATGCGCTGGCTCGTTCAGCCTTGTCTGGCCACTGCATTCCTAGAATGTTTGGCACCCTTGATGACAACTGCTCATAAGGACCTGATACGAAGCGCGACTTGCAATTCGCGTTCTCCCGGATCGGAATATACCTATTGAGATGACTACCGAGACTAACTTGAGAAGCACGCGTCAAAACTCTCACCAATGGGCCGCCTTTCTCCACAACGACACCTCTCTTCAGCTTAACGCTTCACTTCCGCACAGCTCTTCGCTCCTAGCAACAACCTATCCTCAATCAGGAAGTACGGCCACTGGAGATATCGTTCTGTCATATCTACAGAGAGTCTTTCGATTCATCGGTCAGGTGATTTTGAAGATCAAAGGCTCATCAGACAAATGGACTATTACGGGAAGTGTGCTCATCGGTATAGCCTTTGGTGTTCCCGCCTGGCTTGGTCTACGTTTAAAGACTCGAACAAGCAAGAAGGGGCACTATATGCTTTGCTTTGAGGAGATGGTAAATTACCAAGTCCCTTAATGAAAGACTGCTACTAACACGAAATGGATGGATATCGTCAGAACTGTGCTTACACAATATCGACATCCAGTCAAGATTGGTCTGAGCCCAATACCACTGGAAAAATTTAGACATTCGCTGAGTACTGGTCTCTCTTTTGGAAAACGATCGCTGGCCTCAAAGATGAGGTTTATTGGTCACAACAACGCCGCCATGAGGGTGAAGAGAGTCGCGGCTCCTGAGTCTGGACGATTTTGGGTTACGGGGGGCCAGTCCTGGCTATACATCATATGTATAAGCTTCTCTGTGACCTTCGTATCGATTATCGTGACTGGTCAAAGAACGGCTGCGCGGAAGAGGATATCACGGCGGACTCATCATAGCAGGGCATTTAAGGTACTGCTGGCTTGTATATTAGCATCCTCGCTTCTGTCTATCCTTTTGGTCTACACAGTGGTTGAATTGAGGAGCAAATGGAGGATAGCTGGGGAAGGTCACCTCGCGTATTGCTATGCTGATGAGGTAGTTGCCTGGAGATCTGTCCTACACTTGCGATACCATTGCTGATAACATGCAGGATCATGCAATGAACACGGGTTGTCCTGCTCGTCTGGTAAATCGCCCAGATCTGTTCCGATTCCAGCCTTGGGATATGCTAGACCTTGTCACTATTGGTATGTTTTCCGTGGTGGTCAGCATCGTACTGTTCATCATAGGAGATGTAAGATTCTTACTCTCCCTCTCCCTCTCTCCCACTTCTCTGGCATTTACCTGCCTCTGAACACACACGAGGGATCCACCCTAATGTACACAAATTGCTCAGTCTCCCCAGCTGGAAGGGGAGCTGTAGCTCTGATATGGTAGCAATACCCGCGTAGGCAAGAAATGCTTTCTAAGGTAGTGTGTTGGCACTGTAATTCCATAGCTTAGCACGTCATATATGCCCTTCGGGAGGCGAGATGGTAGACTTCATCCCCATTAACTAGACGTAAAATGAATACCAACCAACCAACCAACCCCTTCACCCCAACGTTATCCTCCAACGCTTCGCTAAGGATACTCCTGAGTCCTCTAACTGCAGCACAAGCTCTTCTTCAGTCTATTCTGGCAAGGATTGGCTTAAAATAGAGACTCTGTTGCGAAAAGTAGTTAGAGATGAGACTAGTAAGGAGCTGAGGAAGATCAGCCGCTCGCTCCACCACATCTCAGTCCAGAACCAGCTTCTCCACCACGAGAATCAGGGGCTTAAAGAGGTTCTTAAGACGCAGAAGAAGTACAAGAACAAGGGCAAAGCTCTTCAGTTCCAGCCTCGCAAGGGCTATGACGGTGGGGCTGAGTTCTACTCTCCTAGCAGAGTAGAGAAAGCTCGCTCTGATGAGAGGACTAAACAACAGAACCAGAGGGCAGAAGAACTTAAAAAAGCTGAGATGGCAGAGCTGAGACACGCTAATAAGCTGTACAATAAGAAGGTTGCTCAGGAGAAGCGTGAGCAGCGGGCAAGAGAGAAGGAGGAGCGTGAGCGGGTCAGAGCTGAGAAGGCTGAGGAAGCAGCCGAACGCAAGGCTCAAAGAGAGCGTGATAAACAAGCTCGCGACGCTGAAAAAGCTCTACAATTGCCCCAAAGAGGCAAGCACAAGACATCACAGTCTGTAGCACCAATAAAGAAGCAGAAGCGTGGTGCAGTGGCTATGCGGCGTGGTGTTGTTGCTGCAGGGCCTCCTGCCGCACCTCGCACCCACACCACCCGCAGCGGTAGAACAGCAACTGTATACAATTAACTTGTATAAGAGAATATCGTCGCATAGGCCTATAGAACAATCCACTAGATTATCCTGTAATAACAACTATTGTATGTGGCTGTACAGCCTCATTTTTGCAGGTGCTTGTTAGGGTGGTTCGGCGCGTTGACTGAATCCGCGCGTTGAGTGCACGGACACGGTAAGGCGTCAGGCATAATTCAGGAACTGTGAGTTAGTGAAGAGGTACAAAAGGCTGTACCGGCTTTATCGAGATAATGGCTCAGTCCAGCCATCCGATGTCGTATCAAGCAACAGCTCAAGGTTGATGCTAATTGGCTTGAGAGATGATTTCTTCTCTACTACTTCCTATCCGTCCCACAAAGGCTCTCATTACAGATTAATGACTTCGTCTCATGATCAACCCCCAGACAACATCTTGAAGTCTCGTACGTTGTATCTCGACTTAATCTACAATCGCAAGAAGACTATGCCAACTAGGACAGCCAGCAATGAATTTTGAACGCTCGAAGCTTCACGATGAGCTGCGCCGGTGAACTCTGCTGGCTGGCCAGAACTTGTAGACGTTCCGTCTGCGGGCGAGTCGTTTGAAGAAGGCGAGACTACAATTGGAGTAGGCTTGCCATCCGTACCTGTGGAGATAATTGTGACGTATGACGGAGGCGAGATCACCAAAGGAGTGGCTTTGCCATCTGCGCCCGTAGATGTGACAGTGACATCTGACGTCGCGTTGATAGGAGGCGAGACCACAACAGGTGTAGCTTTGCCATCCGCGCCTGTGGAAGGAACGGTTTCGGACTTTCCAGGTGCAGCTGGGTTTTCATTGTCTGATGTATCAACTCTGGAAAGTTATAGGTTAGTCAGGTGTCACTAGGGGTTTAGATAAGTAGTGAGTGTGCTTACCGCGTTGCGGCAGGCTGTGGTACACCTTGTACATTTGTATTCTGTGGTGCTGGAGCCCCTTGTGTCGCATCCGGCTGTCCGTGAACCCCAGTAGGTGCAGAATCTTCTGGTTGAGCTGTCTGAGGTTGTCCTGGCGCGGCATTGACAGGTTGCGAACCCGGTTGTCCTTCTGGCTGCTTGGGTTGGGGTTGACCTGGTCTATCATTGCTAGGCGAAGATGGCTGTGCATCCGGTTGTGCACTTGGCTGTCTGCCTGGCTGATTCGGTGGAGACTGTCCTGGTGTGCCATTATTTGGCGAAACCAGTGAAGGCTTTGGCTGCACGGCTGGTGTTAGGGTTTCCTCTGGGGGACTCTGAAGGCTCTTTGAGTCAGTCAAAGGTTGCGCAGAGACAACAGGAGTAGCTAAAGCACTACCTGGGTCTCCGCCGGGTCGAACAGCAGACGTTTTGGTGATGGTCGTTGTGATCAAGCGTGGAGTTGTGACGATAACTGTTGATGGTACAGTCGCGGGAGATGGTTCGGGACGAAGAATACAGCTTGAGCTTCCCGTGGGGTCGGGTGAAGGTGTCAGATCTGATGTTCCATTTGAGGTCGTGGTGGAGGCAGAGGTCTCAGATGGGACGTCGTTCAATTGACGTTTGGCGAAGGATGATTCTTGCACGATACCCGTGTTATTTTCATAAGCCGTTACGGTGACTATGGTCAAGTCCTCAACAGTGGAGGTGGTGGTCCCCTCAAAAACTGTTGAAGTGGTTTGTGGACAATCCGGGGGCTCTGGTGGATTGTCTTCGCTGACTTGAGCAGAGACATTGCTAAGACACACCAGCAACGCGCAACACGTGATTCCAAATTTCTTCGAAGACCACATTGTAGTTTCTCTCGTAGATTCAATAAATTGAGTTAAGACGGATGTTCAATGCTCGGAGGTACTTCAGCATAAAACGGAAGTACAGGCTCCTTATAACGTGACTCCGCCAATTACACTTGACCTCTTCTGTAAGATTGATTCTCGGCTATGCTTGAAGCTGAACACGTCGGAGTGCCCAGATCCATCCTATTGCTTGGCCCCATAGTCGTTCTATGGCACGCCCGCTAGTTATTCCTCCATGTGTTTAGAGGCACGATCCTTGGCAGTTGCAAGGTTGGCGGACACCAGCTCGAACGCTAATTTTGTCTTAAAGCGGAGATAATAATTCTTGGCAAGTGGAATATTGGTAAGGACAAAGACAGGCGCCCCCGCATCCAATGTGCGTTCTCTGGTTGACCGGATCGGGATAAGCGTTCAGCCCTAAGCTAAGCAGTACCTGCATTGCTAACCGAGGGCTTCCAGCTGATATGTAGGTGGTGCCAACATTGTTTCTGAAAGCGAAAGCTGAAGCAGAAAGCCTGAATTGTTTAAATCCCCGCTGCATCCATCGACGCTCTTGTGTTACTATCAACATGAGCGGTCTACCGAGCCCACTAGTGGTGCCAAATTCGGGAAATTGGATCGGAAATGATGGGAGCTGGTCAACGTAAGGGTCCATTCAGCTTCAAACTCCCATGTCTTACTTTCGAATTGGGCTGTGCTGATGTTGTGTCAAGGTTTTCTTTGCAAGTCGGTACACCACCACAACCTTTCCAAGTACTGCCAAGCATCAGTGGACAGACTATCTATGTTCCTGTTGACGAAGATTGTGCGCCAGAGCGTATGAATATCACGGACTGTGGATTTAAACGTGGTGTCGGGGTCGTTGAGTCACGACCGAGTCTTGGGTTCCAGAGGAATAAGTCGTCCACATGGGAGGGGGTGGGAGCTTACGAGATGGATCTTGGGAGCAATCTTGGACTCACTGGGAGTGCCTACTACGGATACGACAATGTTATTATCGGGTCCAGTCAAGATGTACTTCGTGTAGAGAGGCCAGCTGTCGCCGCGTATGCGACGCCAGACTTTTGGATTGGCCAACTTGGTTTGAGTAACAGTCCAGTGTTCATGAATGAGGCAAACCAGCCAATCTCATTCCTGAGTATGCTGAAGGAGAAAGGAAACATACCAAGCTTAAGTTTTGGATATCAAGCTGGGTCACCAGTTCGTAAGTACTTCCTCAAAACTATGGTACCCGACTAATCTAGACCAGGCTTGACAAAGGTGACAGGGAGCTTGATACTTGGAGGACACGATCGTTCACGCCAATCCAACACTTCACTCACTATTCCTTTGAACCCAGGCGTGGTCGTCGGTCTGCAATCGATCAGTATAACGACCATCGATGGCACATCCAAGCAGGTTTTATCGAACGGCATCATAGCGACTATCGATACCAATACTCCCGATATGTGGCTGCCAACTTCGGTATGCGACGAGCTTGCCTCGCAACTTGGACTTACTTACTCTCCGGAAACAGACCGCTATGTCATCTACAATGAAGCACGATCTGCGATTAAGTCATCTTCACCTACCTTCAGCTTTGTCATCGGCTCCTCCGCAACAGGAGGGTCGACAATACCTATCGAAATACCGTATACGGCTTTAGATCTTCAAGCCGCATATCCCATATTCAGCGCTCCAGCTTACTACTTTCCGATAAGGCGAGCTGCGAACGAGAGCCAAATCACATTGGGAAGAGCATTCTTGCAGGAGATATATCTAAGTGTCGATTGGGAGCGGAGCATTTTCAATATCAGTCAGGCACTGTTCAACATCCCTCCACTTGCTCAAGAAATTGTTACTATCGAACCTATGAACAAAACTAGTGGTCTTATAGCTCTCCCGAATAGTAAAACCCAGTCACTCTCCATAGGGGCGATTGTGGGTATTGCCGTCGGCGCAGTAGGTCTCATCCTTCTTATTATCTTAGGATGGTGGTTTCATTCTCGCAAGAGGAATAGGAGAGATCCCTCGCAAATGCATCCGGACCAACCAGAGGACTTCTCAACAGATGGCAAAGAATTTGCCGGAGTACGAACGGATCATATGAGCAAGCAAGGTTGCAAGAACAGAACTGATCTTGAACTCGATGGTGAACAACCCAGAGAGATGTACGCTCCACTCGAATACTATGGACAAGCTGGGCATTTCACTGAACTGGTGGAGGCGGAAGCTCCCAACGCGATCCATGAGTTGCCGGGAGCAGTCCACGAGCTCTCCGCTTCGAACGAGCAAGTCAGGACTAAGTGATATATACCTCTTATTAATCGAATTGAGAGCCCTAATTCTGTTCCTACAATCGCCTCAAATATTAATCCGTCTCCAGAACAGTAGTATTGTTTGTCTCGGTCTGCAGCTATAAACTATACTAAACATTTTTTCTTTATATATATATCTATAACGTAGATGTACAGCGAGCGGCGCAGTACACCGAGCGGCGCACTTTTGCCAAGACCACACCAAAACTTACCCTATTATAGCCTAAAACACTACAATCTGGCCCTATATAGTGTTGTGCAGCATGTAACATCACTTAGAGACCTCTTCTACAGCATTCTTACACGTTCGCGTGTTGTGCCCACCCTCTCCACACCGTCCACAGCGTCGTTGGGATGGTTCACCTCCTTCAGCGCGCACCTGCTTCTTCCTCTTCTTTCCATCACCACGCGCCCCAAACTCTGCTAGAGCTACTAACCGTTGGCCTTCCTCAACTGGTAGGGACCCTCCCTCTTGAATTCGCTTCCTTTTGCGCGATTTACGTTCTGTAGCAGCTGCTAGGGCTGCATGAAGCTCAGCATTCTCCCGTTGCGCCAAAGCTAGCTTGTGCGATAGAATTGCTCCCCCCTTTGCATAGTGCTCAAGCGCGCTCAGAACAGAGGTAGGCGAGCTGCCCTGCTCCCTCTTATACTTGTCTCGAATTAGAGTTGATTGCGACTCAAATTCTAGGGTATTGCTTGGGGTTTGCGACTGCCAGGGCTTGTTGTTTGAGGGGAGTGGTGGTGATGGAGTCCGCAGCTTCACATCAAGGGTTGATATGACCCGTTCTGGGTCAAAGGGGACCAATCCAGCGCCTCGGAACCCTCCCTGGATGTTGCTAGGGGTAATCGCTTTCTTGTGAGCTGCTTTGAAGCATGGCAGGAACTCCTGCTTTGTGATGTGGTTGATCCGGTTGCGCATGAGCTTATTGACCTCATCCCCATACGCCTTCTTCAGAGGGCCAAAACAAGCCACGTCAAGTGGCTGCAGGAGGTGCGACGAGTGCGCAGGCATGCATAGGGTCACAATCTTGTGATCCTTGCAGTATTGCTTGAATTCTGCAGAGTTGTGGCTCCCGTGACCGTCAATAATCAGCAAACGGTAGGTGCTAACAGTACGCGTCTTTGTATGCCTGTCAAAGTGCTTCAACCAGTCAAAGCCAAGCTCGTTGGTAGTCCAGCCGTTTTCAGAGATAGCAATAGTCCAATCTTGGGGCAGATTGTCGTCCTTGTACCAGTTAGACAGGTGTTGGCGGGCTTTGAAGATGATGTAGGGCGGAATGGCCCATCCTGTAGCATTGATGCCCTCAATGACTGTTACCCACTCCCGGTTGCCCGGCTGGACCTGCTTTGCTCGTCCTGGCTTCTCTGCATCCGCGACAACGACTCCAGTAGATATCTGGCCCATCATGAAGCCTGTCTCGTCGAAGTTGTACATGTCATTGTCCAGGATACCATACTTGGCTTTGATATTGGCTACTAGGCCAAACCAGCCCTGGATCACCGCAGAATCCTCGCAGAGGGCTCGCTTGTAGTCGTACTTGCGATTAAAGACTGTTTTGAGCTCCTCCTGACGCGAAACAAACCTGCTGGCCCACCTTGGGCCAACAGGGGCCAAACCGCGCTCTTTTCGCAGAGAATTGGCCATATCAGCTACAATTGTAAGCCGAGGGGACTCTCCTTGCGTAACTAGCTCAAGTATGCGCATAACAATCACCTGCTCCTCAGCGCTGGTTAGATTACGTGAGTTAGCCATAGTATCAACGCGTGAAGGTCGTCCTGCGCGTCGATGGTCTAGTGTAGTTCGAGAGACTCTGTAGATAGCTGCAGCACGTCGCACTGGGAGTTTTGCGTCTTGTTTAAGAGCTTGAAGCGCAAGCTGGATCTGACACTCTTTTAACGCGTTAAAACGGGGTTGGTAGGGGGGCATTTAGATGGTGATGGTGTTTTGGTGTGGTCTTGGCAAAAGTAGCCCGCTCGGTGTACTGGCCCGCTCGCTGTACACCTACGTTAATAGCTTATTGTAGTGTTAAGTTGTTCGCGTGTAAACGTAGGGTGCCGTATTTAGTAATCAGCTCGCTTGTGTGATCAGCTCGCTTGTGTGATCAGCTCGCTTGTGGTTCACGTTATTACAATCAATTTTTTAAAGCGAGAATATTTAAGATACTTAAACACAACTAGAAACACAAATTGTAAAGCGATTACTTCCTTAACAAGAAAGCCCAAGACAAGTAAAGAGACTTTGCCCTAGATTGGAAGACAAAGAAGAGAGAACCTTAGGCAGACCAATTCGCAATGGCCCACAAGATTAGGTCAGTCATATACTTCCCACCAGCAGAAACACTATGCCAATGCGAGCTTCCCAAGATGCCCAAGAATCCGTCTCGCTCATACTCCTTCCCACTCATAATACCGACCGTCCTCTGCCCCGCTTCAATAGTCCCAAACATCGGGCCTCCAGACCACCCCGGCGTGGAAAACGTATGCGCTTCCAATTCTCGCCCATCCTCGGTCTCGTTGTCAACATCGTGCAGCTTGATAGCTCGCTCAACCATCATAACCTGGCCGTTCTGCGCATCGCCTGGGTAGCCTACACTTGTCCAACTACCTTCGTAGTAAGGACTATCGGTGGACCACCATTTACTGCCAAGCCATCCGCAGGTGGATCCAAGAGGAGAGTGGAGCCTGCAGATGACGTAATCGAGACCCGTGACATTGTTTGTGTTTCTGATGCCGCGAAAGTCGGAGATGTAGGAGGACCCGTAGGGCTCTTGGCCATAGTGGTAGGAGGGTACAAAGCGCATCCACCAGCCAGGCATTGCGCCGTCGCTATTGAGATCCCAGGGGGCGCAGTGACTTGCAGTCATGAGAAGGTTATTTCCAACGAGGGCGGCGCTGCCGGTCCAGATAGGGCTAGTAAAGTTGAGGTCTTTACCCACGTAAAGTTTTCCGCAGCAAACGAAAAGGATAATCGCGATAATTGATCACTTCATCACGGTGAACAATGCGGTCAAGTTCCTGGTTGATTTCGAGGAGACGGTCAGCGTTCGCTGCTTCGAAAGCTTTGGTTTGGGCCTCGTGTACTCCGACGCCGTCAGGGACATAGCCGTCAGTTCCATGAGGAATGGTCGCTCCGGCGAGCGTAACTTGCTCTTGCCCTATGTTAACCAATCCTGCTGTTAGACCAGGACGAGCAACGATTTGGCGTTCCAGTTGGCGACCGCCACCAATGATATGTTGATCCATACTTAATGTATTGAGTATTAAGTTCTGAGACTAAGTGATGAATGGTAAGGTATGGAGGATACCATATGAGCTCGGTAGCCTAAGGTGTCTCCGCTGAAGAGGAAGATAATCGAGTTGAGTTGAAAGAGAAGCACCCTTATATACCCTCTGCACAGCACATGTCAAAGTGATTGAGTAGCCTGCACTTACCTGTAATTACGTAAAGAGTCTTGAGTTCGACCATTGCTAGGTTGCTTAGGTTACGTCTCGGCGCTGCTCAGCTGCTTGCATTTTGGAGCAAGTGAATCTAGACCTCTGTAGACTAAGGGTGTAGCTGGCGCAGGTCGCCCATCCTAGCCCAGTGCTGGGCATGGGAGTTTCCGCCAGTCTCTGTTAGCTCGATCCACGGAGAATTATCATGAGGTACCGCATCCGATGTTGACAGAACTTTATTTCGTTATTGTTGGTACAGTCGCTAACGACACCGACTTCCTCTCAAACGGGCCTGCAACAAAGTTCTAATTAGTAAGCGTAACTGTTGTCACCCTCAGCTGAGGCTGAATGCATGACAAATGTTATTACTAGTCAACAAGCAACGATAGATGGTCCAGATCCATGCTGGCTGGTTGGCGCCAAATGGTGTTGCGGCTGCATGCAGAGGTGAAGCCGATTTCGCTGGCAACTGTACAAACCCCGACAACTTTACAGCTGAGCGGCTTTGAGCGGACCCGCTTTCGCAACATCCACGTTTTGACCTCACATGCTTTGACTTCACATACTTCGAGCTAAGGTAAGCTGTCATGCTACAGTTGCGGCCGCAATCGATTTACGGTTTCAGCATTCTCTTAGTTCTCAGCGCACGGCCAACGCATGATAGGTTGCGAATGGGCGGGGGATATAGAGGTGTACGAAGAGGAAGCGCAGGTCATGGATACAGTGGCAGCGGGGACCGACAGGACGAGTTGGTTCAATCGGACTGGTTGGTTGAAGCATCTTGCTGGACGCAACCGCAAGCACCTGCCATGCGGCAAGGCTTCCAGGTCGAGATGAATCTAAGCTGAGGCAGGTCGAAGTCATCGTTGAAAGGGCGGTCGAGAAGTGCGTTACAGGGTTGGACACGCATTCACGCGAGACGCGGCGATGGCTAAGGAGCGCAAAGGCTTCGGAGATTGATCTACGACCGCAGGGGCGGCTACAGAACCAGAGACGCAGGCTCGGTATGCTGGGTACTGCATCAAGTCACTTTCACAACAGTGCTGGCCTGCGACATGATGACTTTGAGCGAATGGAACAGAGGTAGCAAAGTGGGCTTATTAGAGAAGTTCTCATCTTATTATTAGACAAAGTGTGGTTAGGCAGTCAAAACCGTGCGCCCGGCGCGCACACTTGGAACCTGAGGCGCGCGCCCGTGCGCCCCGTGCGCCATCGCGCGCCTGTCGCAGTGCAAATGCCCAGGTATGCTCAAGGCCCTTCTTACAACGTGGCCTTGTCAAGACCACAAGGTTCATACAACATGCAGCCAACATAGGGGACTCTCATTCCCGGTTTTGTATGGGCAACAGGCCATACGCGAAAGCGCCGGGCTCATAACTTGTCAAAACTTGGGGGATGTAAGAGTTGTCGTATTGATCAAGCTGAGACTGAGACTAAGTAATAACGCTAATTAGACATGCAGTAAGGTCATATGACCACTGACTTCATCGCCCATCTTGACATTATACACCAACACGGTGGTTCAGCACAGCGTTCAGCGGGCGCCAAATTACACAAGAACACCAACGGAGACCCAGGCACCGCGGACAATGAGGGCTCCCGCAACTCCATAGAGCCTGGTAGCATGATCAACCGTCACATCTGCCCACTCTTTGAAAGTAATGATAGATTTCTTGACGCGAGGATCGGTCAAAGTGTCATACCAAATTTTCCCAGCCTTCAACCACGCATATCCGCCGAAGCCGATTGCGGTCAGGTAGAACGCCCGATTAGGAATGCCAGAGGTGTAATGAACATCCAGGCTGTCGTTGTACTGGCTGAAATGAGCAATTTGGAGATCACGGCCGAGGATAGGGTCGTTGTATGCAGTTCCCGGATTGGCAATGTCACGGAGAGCCGCGCCTTTGACAGCAATGGGGAAGAGATTCTGACCAGTGAGCCAGTCGGCATCAGCCGCAGTCTGGTGGAATTGCCACTGCTCAACCAATGCGGCAAAGACATCGGAGATGGACTCATTCAGACCTCCAGACTGCTTCTCATAGTTGATTCCAGCTGAATACTGGGTGATGGCGTGGGTCACTTCGTGTGCGACGACATCAAGGGAATCCGCGAAATGATCAAAAATGATGCCATCCCCATCGCCAAAGGCAAACTGACTGACTCCGTCCCAGAAGGCGTTATTGTAGCCAAGAGGATTCGCAGTGTCGCTATCATGATGAACAGTAGCAGGAAAAGTACCACCTTCACCAGTGATGGACTTGCGGCCGTGCACGGTGTGAAAGAACTTGAGCGTGATGCCGATACCGTCGTAGACATTGTTCACCTGTCGGTCGAGGGTACGCGGAGCACCTTCCTTTCGAGCCAGGATGCCAGGAAGACCTGGCGTATTCTTCCCATCGTAAATGACGCGCTTCAATAAAAGGGGGGGCGCTGCAGGATCGAGGGGCTCATCCGTCGCCGCAGGGCCAACAAGAGCAACTCTCTGTTCGCGAATCTTAGCATCTGATCTCAACGTGGCCCTTGCACTCTCCCGAGTCTCGTGGTCTGCCAGTTCGCTCTGGGCGACATGCTCGAGGATGCCAGGGGGAACATAGCCTGAGCTCACAATTGGTGCCTGGGCGGCCGAAACATCAGAACTTTCGGGAGCAGTGGGTGCTTCACCGCTGGCGAGGGCTTGGACACGCTGTTCGCGAAAGTCCTGATCGACTGAGAGGGTGCGAATGGCAGCCTGACGCGCCTCCTCTGGAGCAGCCTCTGACTGAGCAATGTGCTGGAGGATATAAGCAGGGACGAAGTGGCACATCTAGAAACAAGAAGTCAGCATGCTATTGAGAACAAGAGTTTTGAGAGTCCTACAGCCCTGGCCTGATGTTGATTACACATGACGAAAGTTTGTAAGTATTCTGCGTGATAAATAGTTCCAAAGAGGACATTCAATTCAGAATGATGGTGTTGGGAGTGATCTTCGTCATCGAGGCTTAATGGGTCCAAATTACCTGAAACCACCGTTCGGCATGCCACATGACTTCAAACTTGCAATTGTAGGCGTAAGAGTAACGGCTGAACGACTGATATACATGCACGAAGCATAGATGAAAGCAGTACTTCCCTGATGTGCCGCCTCGCCCTTCGAACACCGTCACAAGGATCCTTCTGACAGGCATGCGATTGGCTTATGTCTATCACTACTTGTGTGCTCGATCAAACGACGAGAAAGAGGCAAAATGGATCACAAGTTGTCCTCTAATCGTGAAGATTGCGTGGAGGCAACGTTTGGGTGTTCCACTCGCGACTGGAAGAGAGGTTACACACCTGCTGAGAGGGCAACGATTGGCGGATAGCCTCGCGCTGCCGAGCATGGTGCACCGTATGTCACTGTGAACTTAATGTAGATCTTGTTCTGGATATTTATTGATGCGAGCTGTCTCTACAAGTCCCTGAAAATCTCTCTAATTACTCTCGGGCCATACCAAGAAGTCCGCTATGTAGATGTTTACTTAGCAAGATCTGTCCTCAGACATCACTAGATAGATCCGAGCCTAACCAACTCCTTCGGCCATCCTTATCGCTGCAGTCTTGTGTCTTCTTATAACAGTGTACTCCGCCGACAAGCACATCAGTCACAGTTCCTTGCTCTTAGGTATGCACGAGACACGGGTACACAGTCATGTTCCAGCCTCCCCGCACTAAAGCTGTCATCTTGGAGTGGATGAGCGACTGGATGCTCCAAGTCGACGTGTGCGAGACGCATCAACGGTGCTTAGCGAAACCGGCTTCCCCTCGAGCGCAGTTGCAACAAGGTTTGCGCCACACGGCAGGCAGGGATCAGGGCGCCCGACCTGACGGATTCTTCAGGTGCAGCTACAGCACGTAAGCCATGCGATAAAGCTGAGAATGCTAGCTACGTAGCTGAGGAACACCACAGTAATCGGCCTTCTTCCTCCGCGCACCCAGAGAAGACTGCAAGAACCAACTATGCGAGGCCAAGGATGGCTAGCGAGTTCCAAGGAGCCATTGACGATTATGCTCGTTATCCCTGCCCCATACTTGGTGAACTTTGTCTTCAGATCCACACCCGTAAGATGTACACTATGCCCAACTAGTTTCACTCAGACTTGGCAATATGCATGTCGAACCACAACAAGCGGACATATGCTGTTTTCAGCTCGACAGGCCGTAACCCCGCTATCCATGAAATCATCACATGCAACAAGACCTTGACATAGTTAGCGAGACATGACGTTATATGGCTTGAAGCTGTGCATATACCCTCTCAGCAGGCAACCATCGTTAACAGTAAGTGGTAGAAACTCATTGGATGGTGTGGACACGATTCCTGGATTCACTACATTAGTAGATGTCAGACAGATCCATGGCCGACAGTTCAGCCTGCATTATCGGCTGATCAGAACTTGGCTTGATGGCCAGACCAGCCATGATAGAACAATCACTTCAGCTTTGCCGCAAATGGAAGCTAGGACTGAATATGGTGGTCGGGCATAAGTTCGAGTGAAATAGCTTAAATACATGCTCGAGCACTGCGACGAAGGCACTGCTGAAATAACAATTCTCAACCCAAAATCTTTTCAGGCCAACATGGCGCCCAACCCCGTTCCAAAGATCTGCATAGAGCTGCTTCCGAAAGAAGTGAAGCAGGTTCTCCCTCTAGGCAACCGTCAGCCTTCCCCGTCGGGCTCCGGGCCCTCCCAACTCGCACTAGACATAGATAAGTTCTGGCGCAATGGTAGAACGTTGCGTGTCCGCTTTCTTGAAGGAAGCAACACAGTGCAGGACAAAGTCAAGTCTTGCACCAAGACCTGGGAAGAATATGCAGAAATAAAATTCGAATTTGTCGATTCCGGAGATGCCGAAATCAGGATTGCTTTTCAACAAGGTGGAGGATCATGGTCATATCTGGGTACTACAAACCTCACGATAACCGACCAGGAAACCCCTACCATGAATTTCGGCTGGTTTAACGAGGAAACACGAGACGAGGAGTTCTCTCGCACGACTATCCACGAGTTTGGCCACGCTTTAGGTTGTATCCATGAGCACATGAGCCCTGCCTCAAACATACCTTGGGATCGTGAAGCGGTGTACAGATACTTCATGGGACCACCAAACAACTGGACTAGAGAAGACATAGATCGCAATCTCTTCAACAAGTACCCTGCATCTGCAGCTGCGTACTCGAGATTTGACCCGTGGTCCATCATGTGCTAAGAAATTCCCGACGAATTCACGATTGGCACCTACAGCATTCCGCGGAACATGGCACTCTCCGCCCTGGACAAGGCCTTCATTAGACAAGTATACCCAAAGCGAAGTCTGAACAATGGCAGTTTCAGGACGATGGATTTGCGTTCCTCGGACAAACCAAAAAATCAGACCTCGAAACAGTTCTACCTCAACCCAGCTTACAAGCAACCCCCCAGGGTCGCTATTGGCTTGACTGAGCTTGACATCAGCAAGGACGCAAACATACGAATCAGCACTTACGCAGACCGCATCACAAAGGAAGATTTCGTTGTCCATACCGATGGTTGGGCCGATACCATCCTTTACTCGGCCGGAGCAGCGTGGACGGTAGTGGATCAGAACAGTGACTTTCAAGTCGGCGAATTCAACACTCTCGAACTACATCCCTGGCACGAACCTCAACCTCAGAACTCAAAGCGGATCAACTTCGAGCGTTCTTTCGAAGAGCCTCCGAAGGTGATTGTTTGGGTCAAAGGCGTCGACATGGACAAGCATCGCGATTGGCGCGTCACGGCGTACGCATCAGATCTCAACGAGGAGAGTTTCTGTCGTTCACGTTGATACATGGGGCGACACCACATTGTTTAGCGGTGCCGTTTCCTGGATTGCTTATCCAGCAGATAGAGAGAAGGTGGTCAGCGGGTTCGCAGATACCAGTATGCAGAAGGAGATAGTACCGGATTCTCAAAAGGGAGGGCAGGTCAAGTTCCCAGAAGGACAATTCAACAAGGAACCGATAGTGCTCGTAGCGATTAAGTCATTCAATTTCAGCCACGATCACAACTTGAGGCTCAGAGTACAGACAGACAGCGTCTCCGAGAATGGCTTCGAGTGGAAGGTTGATGTTTGGGCTGATAGCGTTTGCCACGGCGCTGGTATTTCTTACCTGGCGTTCCAAGGGAAATGTTTGCTTTGCCCTACCTACCTCCAAGCGATACACTTTCCTTCTCTTTTCTTACTTTAAACTTTCTTTCTTTAAACACTTCTTTAAACATTTATCTCTTTTTTACCCTCCTCTTTCTTTCTCTTCTTCTTTTTCCTTTTCCCTTTCCTTAATCTTACTCTTTTTTCTCTATCTTAACGTTATCGGCAAGCGAGCTGCCACCCTCACTAAGGTCTCGGCCCTTTGTATTCGTATAACTCAACACTACCACAAGCTACTATAGTGCAGAAAGTATTGAATTACTTGTTATCTACGAAATCTTTTTTATGTTTGCGCCGCAAGGCGTACTCTAAGAATAGCAGTCGCTGGATGTATATGAGCTGCGACAAAATAGGAGTAAACAACTTCGCTGTCCGGAATGTTTCTCCAGTGCCTTGCAGCGCGAGGACGCCGCTGTAGTACACTAACGTACTTGAGCTTGGTTGCCCGTCTTTGAACTCTTCCGTCATAAATGTAATGCACAACTCGAAAACGAGCTCCAACAATTCGGCGGCAGCAGTATGTATCTCACTGGGTTTGTAGCTCAAGACAGATTCTCGTAAGGACGAGTCGGTGCTGCTGTCGCTATGCAGTCCATTCTCGTCCTCTCCTGAGATCTCTGCCGTATCCGATCCGACGTCCTGCTCCTCGTCTAGATTTGTCTCGTCCTGTTCGTCTGTAGCCTCTTCGTCAGTCTCTCCATCTACTTCGCTTCCACTCTGGCTGTCGTCAGTCGCACCCCTGTCGCTGCTTCTTCGCCGTCGATCACCTGCAAGCCCCGACCAGAGGTCGGGCCCGATGCGGTGGCTCCATAGACGATGATCCCAGATCGAGCGCAAGCGAGCAGATTGCTTCCGACTGAATCGGATGCCAGCTAGGGATAAGCGCTTGCCCGATTCCATGCGCCATGCCCGGAACACGAATGCAAGGAAACCCTTCAGCCACCGACGATAAGATCTCCTGCTTTTTTCGCGACCAAGAAACTTGAAGGGCTTCGGAAAGCACGGCGATGGCCGCGTGGTGATCAGCCAGCACAAAAGCGGACGGCCGGTGCGGCGCATGGTCTCCTCACATCGATCAAGCACGGCCTGGACAGCTTGTGCCAAATGCCATATCTTCTGCTCGTCCTCGGCTGGGCTCGTGATGTTGGAATCATGCTCTGACTGTCCAATGGTCAGGTCGACACCATCGTGCACTACAGGCACTTCAGCAAGACCAAGCAATACATCACGGCGAACGCCCTGGTACGTGATAGGCCAGCGAGTGCGCTCCATCCAGGGGCCAGTGTTCTGCAGCATCTGCGTTCCCATATCAGTCAGCGCGGTGCGCTGTTGCTCCTCGCGTCGAGCCTGCTCGCGCTCCCGCACTGATTCGAGGTGTTCGTCAGCACACGGTAGGCGTATTGGGCGCAGCGTGCTTCCGTTCATCGACACCGTCCAGTATCTGCGCGTCGGGCCATCGCCCCATGTCTGTAGGAATACATCGTCGTACAGATCGTCGGTCTTTTTGGAAGGTCGTTCGCGAAGATGGACTTTACCAAGATGGCTGGTCAATTGTTTCAAGCTGGTGGTACAGAACTCGCACTTGCGGCAAGCGTAGCCTTCGTGAATCTGGAGCTCTGGATGCGCCGTCGATCCGTGCGGACGGGGAGGAATACTGCTTGGGTCCATGATATCACACGGGTGCTGACGCAAATATTGCGTGAGCCCCTTCCGGAGTTCCTTGGAAACGCCATGCTTCCTGTCGAGATGGGTTGTGACCTGGGAGCTCGCTGTGGCGAGAGCGTACTTGCATCGACGACATATCAGGGCTTGACTCTCGCCATCTACGTGCAGATCGCAGCGGGTCAGGATGGTTGGTGTAGAGTCATGATCCATGATGATGGAAAATGCAACACGGCAACACGGCAAGCAGGGAAAAGAGACAGCACCTGGGAACCACAGGACGACAGCAAGTAAGCTCTTCCAAAGGATGAGCAGCGGGGCAATACGTAAGGAGTGGTCGTGATCGTGTCGGCAGGGCGACGGGCGCTCACAATAAAAATTACAAAGCAGGCAAATCAGGAAGCAACACGCCTACAGAGTAAACAAGCGTAGATAGAGTGGGCTTGAGAAGATTGGAAAACGAGAAATAGGCTGCTGGTAGAGCAAGGATAATGAGGTGTTGTTTGTGGTACTGGTCGCGTTGGCGACGCGTGCACGGCCGTTTTCGGAAATTTAACAAAGGTTCTGGGTCGGCACGGACGTTTTGTGGAAGTTTGATCAAAGTTCTGTGGACTATTAGCCCAGTAGAGCGTTGTAAGTATGTACCCTTGAGGTTTGATTTTCTTTGTTCCAACGTTGAGTGTTCGTGTTGTAGTGGACTTTTCTCAAATGGTACCGTCGTCTTCCTTCAACACGCATTATTCCTGTAATCTTCACTGCTTTTCATACATAACAACTGTTTCCTAATAAATCCTCCAAGCATACGCGAAACCCTGAGAGCCACCTACTGGTCTTGTAATGGACCTAGCCTTAACCTTGATCTTCAATTCACCGACCGGCACATTAGTCCAAACAATCTGCTCTACGTTATTGACTCCGTCAAAACCTCTCGCTGCCGTACTACCAACTGGGAAACTCGTTGTTCCTTGGTTTCCATGTCGCTCTGTCGACCCCGTTTGAACAATGAGGTTGAGATCGTTTTGGAGCATCACGCCCGGGAAGTCCGAGTAGACCATTGTTATTTTGAGTGTTGGGTGAGGAAGGTGCACAGCACTCTTTGACGCAGCATCGGAGTTACCATCTTGGGGCTTATCTTGAGGCACAGTGATGGTGATGCCCCACTCTTCGCCCTGCTTCAGTGGTCGACCTTCGCCAGCACCTGCATTTGTGTTCGTTCCAGGCAAAATAACGGAGCCGGCAAGATCAACACGTCCGAATCCAGCACTAAATGACGGTGAAGTGCCCGATTCGTCCCCGGGATATTGGCCCGTTATATCAACAGCACCATTGATGAGCAATGCTTTGATGAGAGCAGCGCTTGGAGATCGGTGACCATTTTTTACTTGTGTTTCGCGTAGAACGGCACAGCAGCCGGCTACGAGGGGCGTTGCCATGCTTGTTCCAGTTTCGAACATCCACGCTGCATCATCAGAGATGCCCCAATGCGTAGGGACTTCCGTGATATCTTGGGAACGAGCCGATAGAATAGATGTACCTGGCGCCACAACATCGGGTTTCATACGCCCTTCAGCTGTAGGGCCGAAACTGCTAAAGGCGGCGATTCCTTCGACATTGTTTGCCATGTGGTCAGAGGCGATAGGATCAAGAGGAAATAACCTGGGAAAGAATTCTCCATAGGTGAAGGTCCTTGCCCTTGGGTTCCATGATGGTGGGTTCCAGCGGATCTCAGGTCGACGACTTTCTGTTGCACCAACGGTGATGCAGTTTTTGGCAGAGGCTTCGGCTCCAATGAGGCCGCTGTCAGTGACGCCATCCACGGGGGTTTTATCTGTGCCATCATTTCCGGCTGCAAAGCAGATAACCATTTCTGGATGATCCCAAACGAATTTATCAATTTCACTGGCGCTAGAATCATAGGGCAACTGTGATCCTGTCCAGACTGACCCCCATGAATTTGTGTGCACTCGCGCCTTGTCAGTGTCGTATGGCTTCTTGAATAGAGCAACGAGATTGAATGGAATGCCTCCCAGGCTACCACGATCGTCAAGCAGCGATTGCATGACAAGCTGGGCTTGTGAAGCTGGAGCTTCGATTCTTCCACCCATAGATGAAGAGGTGTGATCTCCAAGTACTGACCCGCACACGTGAGTCCCATGGCCGTCAGGGTCGTTGGTTTTGGAAATAGGGGACGTTCTTCCAAGCGCGTACAGTTTATTGACTCTTCCGGTGAAAGCCGGGTGGGGATGTACCTTATCTCCTATGTCGAAGCCGGTGTCTGCAACCGCAACAATTTCGCCTTCGCCTTTATAAGCAATAGAACCCACTACAACATCTGCGTTAATAATACTTCGTGCGACATTATTATACAACGTCCGGAGGGGAACCGCATGAATTGACCGTACGGCATCAATTTTGGCAACATTTTCAAGTCTTGACTCTTGAATTGAGAGCCTGATTTTGCCTCCGTCCATCTAAATTCGTTAACTTCAATAATACTCGAGGGTTTATATACTTACTTCAACACCATCGACGTCAACATGCGCAGCTGTTGCAACTTGCTGCTTCAGAGCGCTATCACCCTCAACACCTTCGTGGAAGATCACGTTCACAAGATGTGGGGCTCGAGATGCCGTAGTAGCCCGCGATGATCCATGCGTGGCTGGATTGCCTGCAGCATTCTTCAAAGAACTTTGAACGACGAATAGAGAAAGGTAGATATTAGCATAGCCAACGAATGGCAACCTTCGGATCGTGTCCAGATCTTTGTGGTTGTACCCGCAGAGGTAGGTACTATCCGAGACATATTCATGAATGAAAACCTCTTTGGCTGCAAGTTCGGTTATTTGATCAGCCTCAAGACGTCCTCCTTTGGTCTGAACGATGATATAATTGGATTCGGCAGCATCAGAGGCGGTGAGGCCGAGAGGTTGAATCGCTGGGTCAGCTGGATCGAACGCGTTCCCGTTAATGGCGATAGCTGACATATTGGGCAAACAAACACTAGAATGTTGGTTTGTTCAGCTACAAGAGAGGAGTAAAGAGTGTGGATGACTTTTCAATTCATGATCGGCGCAGCATCGCTGGCCTCTTATACCATACAGATAAGGACATCTTGAACAACAACAATAGGACCGACATGATAATCACATGTTAATCACATGTGGCTGAGTCGGGAATCAGCTCAGAGGCGCCTCTCGAGCTGAGATGCACAGGCTGCAGCACTTCCTTTGTCCCCAAGATAAGATTTGTCCCCAACGCTAGCTCTATATCCACTAGTGCAGAAATTAATTACAGCACATTAGGAACAACAACACTTGGCTGCCTTGGGTAATTTGTAGTAGCTACTTTGTTCCATTGTTCACTTCTACTGTCCTCGAATTGTCTTATGCGGGCCAAGATCCTTCCAAGCCTCTGAAGCTGTCACTGCTCAGATCATGGGATGCCGTCTTACTTGTTCTAGAATCGTTGGAACATCTCGGCTACAAAGGAGGCGGTGTAGTGCACGACGAATACAGATGGAGACAAGTGAGACCGCGCATCGGAAAGAAGGTTTGTCCAAATCTAAAAACGCCCCCTTGTCTCGCCTCCAGTGTTATTGAGATGCTACGCTGAAGTTGAGCAGGGTTGCGCCGTGGCGTGGTTGTGACAATTCACACTACCAATTCATTCGCTTCAATGTCCGGCCTAGCTGTGCCAGCAGCCAGCCATTGGTCTTGATAAGCAAGTTACTACACCGCTATCTGTGTCTATGTTTGATCATTCGATCACTACCTCGTCCATTGGCTTAACATGAGCCACCTCTGATTCTTTCTACGGTACTGAGTCAGCCCCGCTGCTGCACGCATAGAAGCTAGCAAACGAATTGATACTAGTCAGCCTTCAGTCATAGCGAGCTTCATAGCTCAGGAGGACGAAGTTCACCTCTCGTGGCTTTTGCTGAGTTAAGATATTCATCGATAGTCATAATGATACGTGTGTCACGAATCTGCTTAATTTTCAGCTCATACCTGGGCACATGGTTACAATATGGTTATTTGGATAACTGGTTAAGCAGACGTTAGCGTACCAAAGCCCTTTTCAGCCAATCGGACAGATATCATTAGTAGCAAGATTTTCTCTGATTGGTTAGAACAGACCTTGGTACGCTAACGTCTGCTTAACCAGTTATCCAAATAACCATATTATAACTATGTGCTCAGGTATGTTTCAGCTCTACAGCTGCGGAAAACGAACCCACGAATGGCACCCTTCGATCAACAATCTCACTTGGGATCGTTCAATTTCCTCGCAGGTTGCTCCGTCTTCTGCGCAGCTGCGTACCAAGGCGTAAAAAGATTCCGTCACCATTACTGCACAATCAAAAATTGGTATGCTCGGGAGTAGGGCTGAAATATTCAATTGGGCTTATTGGGCTTACAACAAAGCTTGAAGGCAAGTTCCGAGAGCTGGACAGATTACAACGGTCCTTGGTGGACTTCACTACTTGGCAACTTGGCAGCTGATCGTTAAACAGGTAAACTAGTAGGGCTGAGAGCAGTGACAAGCGAGAATATGAGACACTGTATCTTGAAATAACGTATTCCATCATCGAGTGAGCCAAAATCTCTTGGCACCACCAACTTATGTCACGAATTATCTATTTCATCACTATTAAACAAAGAACCTGCGTATGTTATGCTTACATCAGATTTATAAGATCCTTCTATATCCTTTTTGCACGTTCGAGCGTTGTGCCCAGTCCCGCCACAATTTCCACAGCGCCGTAGAGCTGGTTGAGCTGTTTCTTGATTACTACCACCACGAGCCTTCTTAGATCGCTAAGACGCCGCAGACGCTTTAGCAGCTACCTGCGCTAACGCTGCACCATACTCTAATGTGCCACCTTGCTGAATCCACTTCCTTTTGCGCGATTTCCGCTTAGTTATTACTGCTAATTGCTCTTCAAGCTCATGATTGCGGGCAACAAGCAGAGCGTTTTGGTGCAGCATAAGTTCAGCGCCTTTTATAAGCTGAGAGAGAAGCCTGCCTGCGCTGTAACAGGTGACCGAGTAAAGGACTCGCGTATGAGCTTAGATTGAGATCCAAACTCGTGAGTATTGCTTGGTGTCTTCGACTGCCACGGCGTCTCTAGGAGGAGAGGTTCTGGCGGGGTACGCAGCCGTACTGCAAGGCGATCCAACACTACCTGCGCGTTCGTAGGGACTAGTCCTGGCGCCTTAAAGGCCTTTTGACAGTTCTCCTGTGTAAACACGTCAAAAAACGCGTCTTTAAAGGCGGGGAGAAAGCCTTCTTTGTTGATGTGGAAGACGCGCCGGCGTGCCAAGTCTTGAACGCGCTGACTTGCGCTTCAACGGCGAGAAGCAGACCACGTCAAGCGGCTGGAGGATGTGCGACGAGTGAGGTGGCATACAGAGAGTAAGGATCTTGTTCTCCAAGCAATAGTCCTTAAAGTCCTGGTTAAGGTGGCTCTCATGGCCGTCTAAGATAAGCAAACTATACCCCCCTACCTGACGCGCCTTTGTATGCACGTCAAAGTGCTTCAACCACTCAAGACTAAGCGCGTTGTTTGTCCAGCCGTTCTCAGAGACTGAGAGCTTCCAATTGTACAGTATATCTGCCTCCTCGTACCATGCAGAGATATAGACGCGTCCTTTATAGACAATGAATGGCAGGGTCGCATACCTAGCAGCGCAGATGCTCTGGATAACTGTAAACCCACTCGCGATCGCCTGGCTGAACAAGCTTAGGTCGAGCGCGTCTCTCTGAGCCTGTAACAACTTTGATAGAGCCAATGACGCCCATCTGGAAGCCAGTTTTATCAAAGTTGTGCACGTCGTCGTTGTGAACGCCGTACTTGGCTTTGGTGTCCTTAACTAGCTTAAACCACGCACCAATTTTCTCTGGATCTTCCTGGAGTATCCTCTGACGGTCCTTTGCTCGGTTGAAAGCCATTTTAAGCTCATCTGAGCGCGTTACAAATCTCTCAGCCCATCGCTTGCCTACTGGCTCTCCACCGCGTACAGCCAGCAGTTTATCCGCCATATCTGCCACCTTACACAGCCGGGGCGCAAATCCTCGCAAATCGAGGTCGAGGATATATCGGACGATTGTCTGCTCTTCAGTGCGCGTGAGCTTCTGGCGATTGGGCTGGCAATTAGCTCGGGCGAGGGTTCCGTTGTATCTTCGCTGCAGGGTTGATCGGGTAACGTTAAACGCCTTAGCAGCATGTCGGACGCTTTTGAATTGGCCTTGCTTTATAGCCTGGAGAGCAAGCTCTATCCTGCCTTCATTTTGAGATTGATTTACCTGAGTTGGTTGAGACATTGCGCGTAGTAATAGTCATGTTGGGTGCCAAGAGATTTTGGCTCACTCGATGGTTTGGCGCACTCGATGATGGAATACGTTATGTTAAATGACTGTTCGTTATGAGAAATGCTTCTACCGCGTACACCATTGCTGCTTTGCCAACTTCACTTAATCTTCTTCGCATCGAACTAGTCTTCAGCATCATGGCTTTTAACGGTCTACTCATGGCTTCCAATGTAAAATATACCAAAGCTCGACGTACCCGCAAGTATTCTAGCGTTTGGTTCCATGGCTTCCGCTTCGTTCAATTTCTCGCCTCAACCATGGTTGCAGGTGTGATGTTCCTTTTCATCCATCACTTGCAAGATACCAACATTACCATTCCGTGGATGTTCTTCCTTGTGAGTCTGCCAATCCTAAGATCCAATTCTGCGTCTGATATCTACAAGCTTCAAGCTGCGGCTCTTACCACATTCTCATGGATCATCCTTTCCTCACTCCTCCACTACTACTACAGGCTTTCGCCATTCTGCAATATCATTGTAAACGGATTCATGGTCTGCATCTGGACTGTCGCGTTCACTCTACTCGTGCGGCGCATGGATGGGTACAGCCACTGGCCGGAGATGTACGACCGCTCTTTGGGGTCATGGCAGAGGCGTCCTTGTTTGCAGGCTGTATAAAAACTCTTCAGTGCTGCCATATTTGGAATGTACGAGCCACCGCCTTCTCCTCAAAGGCATGTCTAACATTTGTAGTACAGTGTCGCAACGATATGTGCCTTCATCCTCGACATTCGCACTCTCTTTCCCACGAACAACTGTGGCGCCTACCGTCGCGCGCTTGCACACCCTGGAGAAGGAGATAAAATAACCTTACAGCGGATTTTGTAATCGTGACTTGTGTGTCTATAGGAATTCGAGAGTCTTACGGCATGCAGTCAATGACCGATGCTTGAGTCGCAAGGCCCGGACTCAGCAGTGAAGGAAAGACCGCAGATGATGGAACTTTGCAGCGCGGTGACGATCAAGTCTTTAGCGTAATGAGTCAGCCCCCCAAACGATGCACACGGTGGGTTACCGAGCGTACCCCACATTTGACTGCCAAGCGCGCACCCTCGCTGGCTCCTCGCTTCGCTAACGCTTCTCAGCAATTTCGGCATCGACATTGATTGGTTCAGTGGGAGCAGCGTCGTGTCTCTGCTACCACGGAGAATGGACCACATCAGCATGGACGCCGACCTGTTCGTGACCTGACTGGGTGAGGCTGCAGGTGGCGGTTTTGAACCCGAGATGCACAGATATGGGCGTTTTCTTCTGGAGCAATGGTACACTTCATTGTTCTTCCATCAGCGGCAATGCCGTAGAATTGTGCGAACGACGAAAGGTGTTAACTCCTTCAAGAAAAATGGAGAGCATACACGTTCACGGTAGTCGAGTAAAGGAGCCAAAAAACTTATCCCAGCAACGTAGCTTGCTCCACTCGATTCAAGCAAACGCGAGCGGTCCGTTGACGAAGAAGTGATTAACCCAAGGTAACAATATTGCGATTCGGTAGATGATCGTGGCCAAAGTCTTAATTAACGAGACCAGTAGGTGACCGCATTGAGATATCTCTGCGAATCGAATCTTCCCTCAACCACGTCGAACCAACCGAAAGTTCCTGTCCCTTAGGACACTTGCTAGGGTTCGAACATGAATACGTCCTCCTGCTTGGCGCAATCAAGCACCTGTTTTAACAGTGGCATGAACACACATACGAACTGCAAGCACACATCTGTCAAAAAATGCAGGCCTCGGGACCAGGAGCCTCTACCTGAAGGAAGGGGAGGATATAATTAAAAACGGAGTCAGAGAAGAGGACACACGATAGACCGACCAGTGATCGCTCTAATTCTATGTCTAGTCGACCGACTGTTACGGATCTTCTACTATCTCCTATGCATGAGCTAACGTGTCCGTGCACTCAATGCGCGGATTCACTCATTGCGCGCGAACCCCCTCATCAACTCCACAAAAATCAAGGCTATGTTGTGTTGTTTCGCGTCAAGGTTTGGTGTAGTTGCTGTTGATCGGGCGGCACGTGCGCCAACACGGTAACCTACTTGAGCCAGAATCGCGTTAGCCTGGCGCTCCAGACTACCGACTACAGAGATGGCCACCGTTTTCAGACAACGCGGTGGCGGATTGGATGTTTGCAGCAACTTTCAAGTCTTTGTTGCTGTGCCTCATTAGCTACGTCCAATGACGACACACGACATTTAGCCCTCTCCCTAACCTGTCTGCCCAAAGATTCATGAGTTTTAGGTCGCTCACACAGACCACAGCTGCCGCCTTTACTCTACTGTGGTTCCAGGGTGCGGTAACATCCACGGCTCTAGCGCAAGCCAATGACCACCCTAGTCGAGTGGTAAGCACCTCGATCGAATCTCGCACCACTGCTGCCGAGTGAAAACATGCTTCCTTTTCAATCCACCTAGTCACTGCTCCAGTCCACATCCATCTCGGCTGCAATTGCGCCGAAGACCAATTGACGATCTGGGTTCGAACACATTTACCCTCGCTTATCCCGGGGCAGCATAACTCTGGTCTAGAATCTAGGTGATTAACACCACTCTAGACTCGCTGAAGCCTTAATTCAGTGTGCCGAAATCTTACGTACAGCCTTCACTGTCTTGTCTACCAACAAATGGCTTGCTGATTGCTTCTTTTGGCCTCTTCATCGGATTTGACACACGGTGCGTGCAACTCTTTTCCAGCACAACTAATAGGGAATCCCATTCCTTCATGCGGTTCCCGAAGGCTTGGACTGTTCATTTTACGTTATCTCGCTCCTATCCTCAGCGTTCCACATTGTCCCGTCGGAATTGACGTTGTCAACTTATCACTCACAGGACGGCCACAGGGCGGCGGGACAATCACCGGCGCGCAGGGCGGAGAGCGTGTGCTGTAGCACGACTAGCGCGCTTGAGCACGCCGTGTTGAGTGTCGCGTTAGGGCCCGTCAGGCTGAGCTTGTAGGCCGTGAAGGTGGAGATGGGCGGGTCAAGCAGGGTGCGGTGGCGCGCGTGGAAGCTGTCGGTGGGTAAGACCGTGCCGGGCGCGTCTTTGTGAGTGTTATGCGCCGCGCCTATGAAGACGCCGGTGGGATTGGGCACGCCTTTGGTGGTGGGCATCTTGACGTCTGCGAGCGCTTGGGAGGCGATGGAGAGGAAAAGCAATTTCTGTGTCGTGTCAGTGAGTGAGTTTTTTTGAACAGAATCATTACTGTACCTGCGGGTCCGTAAGATATGCTTCCTCTGGCGTCATATTCCATGATTCAGCGCTTATCGTTGGGAGCTCGGGCAGAGAGCCGTATCGAAATACAAAGATCTCATCTTCGGCCATGCCGGAGGGCGCCACAGCTGCTTCGTGGGTTAAGACAGCCGCTTGGCCTTCCATGAGCATTTGCCAGAGACTATCAACATTGACAGCACCAGGGGTACCCAGCCAGGCCTAGGATGGCAAGCTTGTTGTCGTCAAGGTCCAGAGAGTTCCCAAGGGACGTGGCAACCGTGCTGGCCTCCAAGTCGCTCTTACCGTCGGAACTGCTCTCCAAAAGAGAATACCTTTCCCTGGATGCCCCCAAATCGCTGGCCAGACATGCAGTTTGTTTTCTAATAGTGGGCGCTTGAAAAACGTCAAGTAAGCTCACCTTACAGCCAGGGGAGGAGTGAAAAGCCCGCTAGGTCGAGCAAACATGCAATCGTCCCGATCGTCATGCGAGCCAAGTAAGTTGGTGCGTATGTTGGATTGCGACAATAAAGCCGGATTCGATGGCTGCAAAAGTTATGGCAACAACCGTCAACATGGTCAAGGCATCCCGTAAGCGCTATCCTCTGCAGCTGCGTCAGCGGCAGGTATCGTTGGATGATGCGGAGGGAGCTTGACTGGGAATAGTTCTTATGGTATGAGGTAATAAATACCACTTGGCCATTTTCAATAAATATATTTCGAGTGTCGCCATGTGGAGAGTTCCGCCATCGTAGTAGGAGCAGCTCAGTGGCCCGAGCTGGCTGTCCGCCAGTCATGTGAATGAGCAGGAGCATGCGCCGTAGGAAGCTGTAGGCGACATATATGTAGGCCTGTACTGCTTTTGGGTTCCAGACAATCTGGTCAGTGTCTGTAAGGAAGCGTTTTTGGAGGCGGCCACTGTCCTTGATTCTGCGCAGCAGGAACTTAGGATGCTTACAGACAGGGTGGTCTTTGTTTGCTGGGTCGTCAAGAAACGACTCGCCAGCTTTGCTGCGGTTAGGATCATCCCGGAGGCGGGAGAGCTCTGGTTTTGGAATGAACTTAGCCCACGTGTCTTCTTCGCAATCAGGAAGCAGTAGAAGCTCTGACATTTGCTGGAAAGCAGCCTGGACCTGGTCCCGCATAAACCACCTTAGGTTGTTAATATTTAGCTGCACACCCCGGTAGCTGATATCCTGCCCGTTATCAGACCACTCAATAAAACCAGCAGCAGTAGTGTTGTTCTGAGTTGCATTGCCGTAAGCTCGCAGGTTCAGGATTAGATTCATGGGCGTCTCGCTGCGGAACGTCATGAATCGATCCTGCAGCTCGGCAATCATGTCTGCTAGATGTGTCGTCTGGCCAGATTTGTGCTCACATAGCGCGTGCTGCACTACTAGAAGCTGGGATAATTTCACTAGGCCAGACAGGGCAGACGTGGCTGCAACAGCTTCTTGGAATCCAGTCCGCTCTGCGTTGATACCATTTGCTGCAAGGAATCCAACAAAGATGCTGTCTTCTACCCTGCCGCGCAGCTTGTGATCGAGCAAGACTATGCAAAGTTGAAGGCACGCTTGCTCCTGTGCGGTACTTGTAGGTGCTGGCACCAGCGTCAATGGTTTCGCTGGCGCCGGCGCCGGTTGCTGGGCAGCAGTAGGCGGAAGGCTACTCTGCAGTACCCCTTCAATTGCAGCAGCAAATTCGCTGTATGGCTCATCTTGCTCAGCTGAGGAGCTTCTGCCAGCAGAGAGCACAGGGGACTGGAGGATACAGGATATACGGCTGATATTTTGTGCAGGGCTTCTTGCTGGGCAGTAGTAAGCACATAGTGTAGGTCCGGACCACATTGTGTAATTGTTAGGCGGTAGACGTAGCATAGCAGCCGGTGCCAGTAGACCTTGTATCGTTTGTAAGTAGATTCAAGAACCTTGCTGTGGAAGGGCTTCTTGTACGGCCGGTGCGGCAGAAAGCTGTTGACTCGGTGCAGAGCAAAGACATTGATTTCCCCTGCTATGATAGATTGCCGTGCCTGGTCGATAATACTATCAAACGCCTGCAGTAGAGCTTTTAGGCCAGGCTCATCCTCAGTCGGCGGCATTAGAAGCCACCCAACAGCTTCTAAGCTCTGCCCTTCTAGGTAGGCTGGCCAGCCTGTCTTTTCCAGCCACGGGCTCATGTGAATAGGGTACTGAGAGGAGGCAGCTGAACTAAGCAGCATTTGGGCTGTGCTGTTAACCTGCATTATATCAAGCTCTGCCTCTAGCTCTCCCCAGGTCCTGCCTGTGCTGGCACGTGTTGAGATGTGAGAGACAGGTTCAGCTGTGCGCTCAGTAGGGGGGGGCTACCCGGAACGCCTGCGATCTAGCTCCGCAGCGCCTTAGACGCTGGCAAGGCACGTCCATTTCCCACATTAGTCTGTCTGCTGCCAGCGTCCTTTGAATAGCAGGCCGGCCTCTTGTGCTAGGGTTAACCCAGTCATGTGCTTTTACACAGTGCTTAACTATCTCCTGCTTAAGCATCTGTATTACCTGGCACCGGGCGCTGGTTGTAGAATTAACATAGGTGCAGTGATAACCATAGTAGACCGGCAGCATTGGAAGGGGCGATGGGCACGGGGGACCGGTTGGATGAGGCAACGCCTTTAGGTCGTCCATGGTAGTAAGGAAGCCGGGCTGAGTAGGTGGGTTTAGCTGTGTCCAGGCCTCTACTAGAAGCCGCACATCTCGTCGCTGGAAGCAGTGTATCTTGGTATCGCTGAAGTGGTCTGGTACAGCAGCAAGCGGCAAGGCAACTTGGCATCTCCGGCAAGCAAGGAACGGGTGCAGGTGGTGGGGAACCAATGCAACAAGGCCAAGAAACCGGGCGGCTCTTTCCTCTGGTGTGATGGGAGTAGAAGGGGGCGTAGTGCTGTATACATGCGCTGCATACAAGCACTGTATGCAAAAGTAAAATGGAGACAGCTGTACTTTTAGTTTTACAGGAACAGCAGCATACAGGTGTTACTAGGAAAGGTTCTGGCCTAATTTCGGCGTATTGCTTTTCGGTAGGCAGCTAGAAAAGGGGCTTGCATGGTTGTAACGCCGGTATAGGGCCAGATAGCCAAGGGTAAGAGGGCACGCCTAAATAAAGCGACAGAATTGCTGGTTGGCTGTGCAGGAGAGGGCTTGATCTGTATTCGGGCCGAAGGGAAAGATAGGAGTAGGGCTTTGAGGAAACGAGACAGTAGGGAAATCAATTCCGATCAGACAGTTCTAGATTACTAATGATCGCGCAGCCTGAAGTAGTATCTAATTACTACCCTTTCCTTTCTTAACCCTATTCTACCTTTACCTCTCTTAGCCTTATTTATAATACTTTACACGCTTCTTCTTTCTGTCAAATAAGCTACCCGAAAGCGTCTCAGCCCAGTGAATATGAATCAGGCCGGAGCCACCCAAAGTATCAGGACTAGCCATCCTGGGAACTATCCCTGGGAACTAGATATATAAACTCCCTGGATAGTACAGACAGAAAAAGAACAACACACACATTCTGCTCTACATTTTTACATACATCTGACCTGAGAAGGCTGAAATCTGACACTTTCTCCTACCTCTCTCTCCTTCTACTTATCCTATCTACTATTAATGAACTCTTACCCTGACGCCTTATTATCAAATCAGTAATGCCCCCTGTATCAGTAATGCAGGGGTCTGCTCGCCTTGCTAATATAGTGCGGTCTTGTACCGCCTTCGTAAACAGCCTTAGCGCACTGTGAGTGGGTCAGTCCTAAATCGCTTGAACGCGTGAACGCGTCTGGGGCACCTTCATCAATGCGACGCGTCACTAAATGGTCGTAATCTGTTATTTTCTGCCGGTACGGGATGCGCATCACCACTGAGTGTGCTAAGCGCGCACTGCCATCGTTCCAATGGTTGATCTAGACCTATCCTCTTTTGTGTCTGACTTTGTAAAAGAGACGATATCTTTTCTTCACGATTACCATCTCTTTGTCTGTCGTAGCTGTGGATATGCCGTGCAGGGCTCGCATCTAGCTACACATCTCTGCCAAAAACACAGTCTCAGCCGCAAGTTCTCGACTGCCGTAGTGGCAACTCTACGTCAGGCATTTCCCAGCGCGTTGTGGACAGACGACGATATCGCCCAACTACAGGTGCCCATAGGTCCGCGTCCGGCTATCCCCTATCTTCGTACCTACGCAAACGGCCTCCAATGCACATACAACGAATCGACAGACCGCCCTTGCGCATACATTTGCCTCCACGTTACCGCTATTCAGAAGCATTGCCAGCAGAAACACGGGTGGATCAACACCATTAAGAGAGGCAATTGGAGAGATTTGAAGCGTGGACAAGAAGATGGTTCGCTCTGTCGGCCCTGGCTCGCGAACGTACTGTGCCAGCGTCTTTTCAATTTCAGAGGAAAGCAGTCATACTTTCGTATTCACCAAACGACGCTGCCGCTCAACAATGTGGGAGCTCAGCAGAAGCAGAATACCACGTCTTGTACAAACGTGGCCAGTGTGGTTGCTCCAGTTGGACTGTGGGATCAATTTGAGCACAAACTCAACCAAAGCGAGAGAACAGCTGTAACAATCTGCTACGACTCGTCAACCACTTGTTATCCTATACAACCAACGCCATGGCTGGAGGTGACTCGATGGGTTGGTTTTCTGCGGGGTCATGACTTGGCAAAAGCCGCACAGCTTGTGCTCTTGCCCGTGCCTGGGCACGCCGACCTCGTATGCACACTAATTCTTAGCACCTTCGAGTTGTTGGTCGAAGAAGCTCGCATCTCAGTGCAGCAAGAGAAGGTGAATGTGTTCGACCAACACCGTGTTAACAGCTTCATTCGTGGTCGCAGTTACCATAGACCCATCCTCGTAAAGTTAAGAGAGGGGACTTACAAAACCTATGTCAAGCTATGGAAGCAGCTCATCTGTTTTGTATACAACCTCGTTTACCTCGGGAAAGAGCCCCGACTACATCATGCTGTTACAGATGAGCAACTTTCCTCGATGGACAGAATGGTGCAAATTGCGCGCATCACGCTCGATTCTGAAGGACGGCGCGAACACGAGAATACAGCCAGCAACCCATCTTGTGGCAAGGCAAAAGCAGCTTCTTCAGAGACCGACGATCTTAGTAGGAGGCTTCGGCAAGAATGTTTGAATTTCTGCATCTCCCTGCTCGATCACTCTTTGAAAGGCAACATCTATGATAGTGTTATCGTCGGTTTCTTTGCTGTTATGGGCATCAATGAAGAGCGCAAAGGTTTTCGCGAACCAGAGAACTTCACCCACCATTTATCAGCCTTCATCAAGATAGCACAGCTTCTCGTCATGCAACGCGCAGTTGTTGCAGCAGATCTGGGCGAGGCGGAATTTCCTGGAGAACTTCTCGACGAAATGCAGGATCGATTCATGGTATCATCCAGCCGTTCACCCATGCACTGGGCCCTGAAACTTCGCACTTTTGGCCGAAAGATTCGGGATCAGATCACGTCCCTTGGCTATATCAATTGGTCAGATGATGGCCAGCGCCTATCATACAAAAGTATGGAGCTGGACATGCAAGCATTGCGATGGTTCATGCGCGACCAAGTGGAGCTGGGTCAATGTCTATTGGAACAGCTTCTTCTTATCCAGCCAGGCGAAGCTAGGGACCGGATCGTCCCTGAAATAAATCTGCGCAAATTACGGGATGATCCGACAATCAAAGAAGCAGGGTGGAGCTTCCTGAAAGACGAGCGAAACAGTTTGCTCCCAGACTACCAAAAGTGGTTGCTTCGCAGAGTGTGCAATATCAGTTCCGTCACACGGCGCTTTTTAACTAATGTTGACAACCAGCAACAATGGGAAACGAAGGCTGTAGAATCATATCTGCAGCTCCGGGAAGCGTTCTTGCGGCAGCTCCTGCTGCTTGTTCACATGACTGGGGGACAACCGGCACGAGGAACCGAGCTTCTTACTCTACAGTGGAGAAACACTACCAATGGACTCAGAAGAAACATTTTCGTGGACAACGGACTTGTTAGTTTTGTTACTGCTTACCACAAAGGGTACAGCGTAACGGGCTCTACAAAAATCATCCATCGTTATACTCCTCCGGAAGTTAGCGAGTTAATAGTTTACTACCTCTGCTTCGTACAGCCATTCTGCGATCAGATCAGAACGCTGGCACATAACATTCGTCCTACGGAAACTTCTCTGCTGTGGCCAAAAAGCGACAGCACAGCGGTGGAACGACCATGGACTAGTGATCATCTAAGCCAGATCTTGAAGGAAAGATTCCAGCAAGGGCTCCAGACGCATGCCAATATTGTGACCTGGCGCCACGCAGCTATTGCAATATCACGAAGACATATGTGTGAGCGGGGGTTCAAGCGTGATTATGGAGAGAAGATGAACGAGAACATTTTGGATGCACAAGCTGGCCATACTACGGCCATTGCAGGGCAAATCTATGCAAGGGGTATTCACGAGGCTCCAGGTCATGTTGCTTCAGCGAAGGCCGAGTACCGTGACATTAGTCGCAAGTGGCATGCATGTATCGGGTTCGGTATCTACCTAGGTACGAGACCGGTCACTTCCGAAGCCACACAGACGAACGAAAACAAGCGTTCAATTGACCAAGCTGAAGAACCAACAAGCACGCTTCAGCTCGTTAATCCTCAGTCTGCTATGCTAGGAGAGGAGAATGATTGGACAAAAGATAACCTAGAAAGTTGGGTCAAGCAGCAAATGAAGTTGCGCCAGTTGCAAAAAAGACCAACTAAACGAAGAAAAATAGCTTAAGTAGTAACTAGCACAAGTAGCATGTATACGCTTCCAAATCAACATCATGCAATTATTTTCTAAAAAGTTTAATCAGCGCTGAACTTCGTTCAGAAGGTGGGATGTTATACTTCGTCTACAGGGTGGAACAACTCTAGCAGCGTCATCTGGCGCAGCGGCGCATCTGCGACAGAGCTCACTGGGCTTGCGTGTGCCTGCGACAGCTCAACAACGCTGTTGTCGTCCTCTTCGCTGTCAAGAATCTCCTCAATTGCACAGCTCGCTGTTGGCGCGTCTGCCTCAATGCCCAGCATCTCTTTTTCGCCGATAGGACACCCAGCAATGCCTTCTGGCCCTAGCCAGTTCTCAAGCGCCTTGCTCGCAGCGCAGACGTCTGGGCGAATCTTCTTCACCAGCTCAATCCAGGCATCCAGGCCCCAGGCGCGGACTGTGGACTCGATCCAGGAGCTTGCAATCTTGTCGTGCGGCATAAGCATGAGCGTGCCCCAGCCTAATCCCTCAGCGACCCTGTACCAGCGCGTGGCTACTGTCAGGCGTTTTCGGAAGGCCTCCCTGTCCTTCGGGGTAGGGTGTGGGTTGACGAGCGCCAGCAGGGCTGCGATGGCCTCAGTGCGGACCTGCCCCTTGCCGTTGCGGCTGCGCGATCTGCTGCTGCTGCTGGCTTGGTCGCCCTCCTGGATCTGAAGGATCTTGTCGGCGTACGCCTTGCCTAGCAGCGCCTCAGCCCACCTGTACTCAATGTTCACAGCAGCCAGCACGCCCGCGTAGCGCCTGCACCTGTCCCAAGCCAGGCAGAACTCTCCGTCTGTGGTCCTGGGGTAGGCAGACTGCACTGGGGGCACATCGCGCCCTCGCTGCGAGTAGCGAAGCACGTCGTGCCGCACAGCGACTCCACCACCAAAGGGCGAACCGCGCTCCCGCCAGGTCTGCAGGAACTGGGCAGCGTGGTGGCGAGAAGATGGGTTGCCCAGCACGCGCGCCTTCTCCAGAAGCTCGCAAGCCTTGGCATAGGGCGCCTGGGCAGTGCTGTAGAAGTCGGCGTGCTCTGCGACGGGCTGTTTGATGATCCACGCGACAAGAGCCTCGTCTTGTCGCGAGATGGAAGCATACGCCGCGCGCTCTGCAGAGGACGCCTCGCTGCCCGGCTCTCTCCAGCCAAGACTGAGCCGGTTCTTGCGGCGTGCATCGTCTAGTTTCCTCGTGCGTGCTTGCTCAGCGCGGCGGTTGTTGTTAGTGATGCTGGTGGTGCGCTGTGCAAATTGTTCACCGTGCTCTGACCGCTGAGGGCTGCTTAGAGGCGTCTCTGCGGGTTCCGTGCGTGCGCGCTTTGGCGACAACACGCACAAAGAAGGGGTTGGCCGCTTTCTGCGATCAGCAGAAGAGGCAGACGGCTTTTGCGCGGATGGCGGTGCTTCCCCCGTGCCTTCTGCAAGCGACTAGGCTGCGCAGACGAGGCGATTCCAGGCCTCGTCAGACAGAGCCCCCTCTGGCAGCGATTCGTGCAGCAACCAGATAGCGGAAAGGAGAGAGTGGGCAACGAAGACCGGCTTGCACACGCTGTCGGTGTCCTCGGTTGGGACCAGCCAGCCTGCGCTGTGAGGTCTGTGGTGGCTGCTGCGCTTCGAGCTTGGAACCGTTGCCTGGCAGGAGAAGAGCTTCGCGTAGTCTTCATTTGGCGGATCGTACCCATATTTGTCTACAATGCTGAGCTCGCTCGCGAAAGGAAAGCTGCGCGCGCCCCCGTCAAACTGCTCAGCAGCCTCGCATAACGTAGTTGACCAACCCATGAGGTAGGTAATAATTTAGAAGGCAGGTAACTAATTCAGGAGGTAGATAACTAACTAAGAAGGTAGATAACTAATGTAAGAGGTAATTGATGAGTGTATAGAGTAGTAGCCGGTGTGGTGGTGGAACGGTCGAGGGTGGTGGCCGCTGAACTTTCGTACAAATTGCCGCCGAAAGTCGGTCCGCGCCCAGCGCATCACCACACCACACCACACCAACCAGCCACCTAACTTCAAGAGGGTGAACAGTAATGATCTTTTTTAGGTAAGGTTTTAGAAATTCAGATATGGTGTTTTGAGCTGCACTCGCACAGAAACACTGTGCAACGTTGTCCGCGTAGGTTTGGTGAGGCAGAACCGTGCAGAGGTTTGATCGTCATTGCGCAGACTACATAGCATCCACCCATCCAATCAAAGAACATAGGGATATCGGCCAAATATAGAACGGTGATACAACGGAGGAACATGAAATTAAAGAGGTTGGTAAGGAGAGGGGAAGACACAAGTTTAGATAGTAAATAGAGCCCAACTGGAAATCAGAAGATGCACTTGCAACCGCAAAGCACAATGGATCAATTCAACACCATATTCGTGCATATCCCCAGCTGCCGCATCGTTGTTTGCAAAGAATGCGGCATAGGCGTCGTCAAGGCCCATGTAGCTACCCACTTGAACAGCAAGCATGCGTATATAACCGTAAGCACACAAACAGACATTGCCCAGGCTGTGTGGGCAATGAACGACTTAGCAGAAAACGAGGACGAAGTCGTGTATCCAGAGCCAGGATCCGATCCCATTCCCCATTTGAGGATATGGCAGGACGGTTTCAAGTGCGAAGCAAAGGAGAATAATACAACAGTATGCGGCTACATCCGCCAGACCGTGCAAGACATGCAGCTACATTGCCGTAACCAACACAACTGGACGAACCCACAGAAGAGAGGGCAGACGTCCAAAGGGTCGCGCAGAGAGACCAACCGCATGTGGGTAGAGGGCGTACATTGCCAAAAGTTTACGCACGCAGGACGGTTAGGGCGCTTGTTTAAAGTCAGACGCCAGGACAGAGAGGACACAAGAGGGGAAAGCGTGATCATCCAGCGGCAGTTGGAGGCAGTGTTCCAAGAGACCACCGCCGTGCTAGACGAGGTCGACAAGAACGCCAACGCCCGGATCGACCCAGACCACAACCGGCATGTCACACACGCATGGCTGAACCGGACCGGTTGGGCCCGTCATTTAGGCAGCTTAGACCGCGAATGGTTGCTAGAGTTAACCCAAAAACCCAAGAGGAACGAGAAGGCGTTGAGCAAAGTTTGTTAGGCAGTAAAGATGGTGATTTGGAAGGCCCAGCAGGCGTCACGTCCGAGCATTGTCGGTTTCCCAGCAATGAACTATGTCAACCGCCGCGAGATAGGAAGCGAGACCAACGAGAAGCCGTTCAATGCACGCCAGACGGGCAAAACGATGACCAAGTATGCCGGTTGGTGGTTGTCCTTCATCCGTTACATTTGGCGGACCCATGAGTTGGAGACTGTTGAAGCACAGGAAACAGAGGCGGATGAGGAAGAGGATAGGGGTGAGGGAGAGAACAGGGGTGAGGGAGAGAACGGGGAGGGTGGATCGAAGGGAGTTCGGGGACAGAGGCCGCCGTATCGATTGACAGCGAGCCAGATCTTGTGGCTGTGGAAGATCAAGCAAGTCGTAGGTGAGGACGAGGAAGAAGCCGAAGCCGAAGCCGAAAGCGAGCGCCAACCGATCGAAGGCGGAGACAACAACTCGGAGAGTGAAGAGGAAATGGACGAAGAGGAGGAGGCATTGTTGGAGGGTCATGTGTTGGGGCTTTTGCTGTCGTTGTTGGACCATCATTTAAAGGACAACGAGTACAAGAGTGCGTTCGTCAGCGCCACAGCAGTCATGGGGGTAGACAGCGATCGTGGGTGGAAGGACGCGTTGGCATACACGCCCATAATTTCCGCCGTCGTTACCGTTGCAAAGATGTTGGTGTTGTACATGGCGGTGAAGACGCGTCAAGACCGCGTGGCCGAGCTGATGGAGAAGGAGGGATTCGCCCAGCAGGACGCCGAAGAGTTGGCTGTAAGCCATTTTGATTTGGTTCAGGAGAGCGCCAATCGTTTCATGACGCTGACTAGCTACGGCGGCACACCCAGCCCGATGGATTGGCTGTTGCGATTGAGGACGTATGGCATGAAGATTCGGTTCAACACCAACGTGGACGGCGTGATCGAGTAGGTTAGGGACACATTGTTGTACGGCCACATTCGGTTCACAATGCCCGGTTTGCGGTCGATGATCCACGGTTTGGTAGAGACGACACGGTTCGAATTGCAAAAGCAGTTGATGTTGCTAGACATCAACGAGGATGGTCGGTTAGCAGAAGGGGCCACGCCGTTGCCAGCCATTGATTGGGACAGCATCGTCAACAACCCAGCCGAGATGAAGGTTGGGTGGAATTTTTTCCAGGACAAGCGCAACACGTTCAGAGGCGTAGACGGGAAGAGTTAGTTGGCTTATCGCGTGATCCACGAGAAGAGGTTACAAGAGGCATTTGTAGACGTTCAAGCCACCAATCCATCCGTACCCGAAGGACGCGGGGTGGTGTGGAGAGCGCAGGCGGTAAGAAAATACGAGAAGGCCATACAAGCGTTCCGAGAGCATTTGTTAGTTTTGGTGCACATGACTGGGGGGCAGCCAGCACGCGGAACGGAAGTGGTGACGGTCCAGCACATGAACAGTCTGAATGGTGAGAGCCGTGGTGTGTTCATCGAGGACAGGTTGATGGTGTATGTGACCATGTACCACAAAGGTATCGGGGCCAGCGCAAAGGCTAAGATCATCCACTGTTATTTACCGCGTGAGGTAGGTGAATTGTTATTTTATTATTTGTGGATGGTCGTGCCGTTTTGGAGGAAGCTAGAGGGTGCTGTTAGGAGAGGGGCAGCCAAGGAAGCCAGCCCATTCATATGGGAGCCAAGGAAGGAGGAGCCGTGGGCACGGCCGCAACGTGGAAAAAGAGCACAGGAAAGCGACGAGGGTGAGGGTAGGAGGGATGGTTGGCGGCAGGGCGCGGACGAAGACGACGAAGAAGAGGAGGGACCGTCGTTGCGTGGACCCGAGCAATGGGATACCAACCGGGTTCGGCGGGCGATCCAGCGCGTATCGATACGGTGGTTGGGCGTGAAATTGAACATCATGTTGTGGAGACACAGCACCAAGGCGATATATCGAAGATACATCAACGACAAAGCGGTGATCAAGGCAGTCGTGGAGGGTGATGAAGATGAGGACGAAGAGGACGAGGCGTTCGACATACAGACAGGGCACAGCTCCAAGATTGGTGGCACAGTCTACGGGAGACCCATTACCGAGTCGCCATTCAGTACCGAGGCCCAGCGGGTGGCATTGCGGCGAGTGAGCATGGAATGGCATCGGTTTTTGTTATTCAAGTCGGCGTTGGAGAAGCAGCCCAAGAAAGGAACGCGAGCGGCGGAGGTCAGGAGGGAGGCAATTGAGGAAGAATTTCGGCGTTGGAGGAAGATGCGTACGGTAGACATCCAGTGTCAGTTGGAAGATTTGGTGCGGAAGGGGGCCAGGTTCAGGAGCGTGCAACGGCCGGCCATCGAAGCCATTATGCACCAGAAGAGTCCGATCGTCGTAGTCATGGGCACGGGAGCAGGCAAGAGCATGGCGTTTATGTTGCCGGCGTCGTGTTCCACCGGCGTTACGGTCGTTGTTGTGCCACTGGTTCAAGCTGGGATCGAGTGTGTAGAGTGGGACAGTCGGAAACCGCAGGAATGGGCGTCAGTAGTGTTGGTCACGCCCGAATCGGCGGTCAGCGAGAGTTTTGGGGGTTTCATCAACCGGCAACGAGCCATGGGGCGATTGGACCGAATCGTTGTCGATAAATGTCACGTCGTGTTGGATTCGACAAGCGGATGGAGGACGCGGATGCTGGCGTTGCGGGACTTGGTAAAGGCAGAGACACAGCTGGTGTACTTAACAGCAACAATGCGGCCGAGAGACGAGGGCAAGTTTATTGCATTGATGGGGTTGCCAGCCAAGGAGCAGTGCCAGTGGTTCTGGGGTCCGACGACCCGGAAGAACGTCAAGTACCAGATACAGCGGTACGATCAGAAGGAGGAAGACAAAGACGAGGTGTTGGTACAGTTGGTGGAGGAGAAGAAACGGCAGTACCCGATGCCCGGCCAGATCATTGTGTACTGCGACACGGTGGCTAAAACAGTGCGATTGGCCAGGTTGTTAGGTTGTGTTTGTTACCACCGGCAGGTAGGGAGCAGAGGCGAGAAGGCAGAGTTGGTGCGCCAGTTAACAGAGGGACGACAGCAAGTTTTCACAGCAACCAATGCGTTGGGTTTAGGGGTAGATGCACCCACCATCCGAGTAGTGATTCACATTAGGATTGTCAGAAAGTTGCGGGATTATGCGCAAGAAAGCGGGCGAGCAGGACGAGACGGGCAGAAGAGTGAAGCGATTATCGTAAGAGGGGAGAGGTACCGTCGAGATGGCAGCATGCAAGAAGGAAGTTAGGGTGGGGTAGATGAAGAGATGCGGGAGTTCATCACGACCAACGGATGTATGAGAGTCGTATTGGATAGGGAGATGGATGGGAGAATAGACAGAGTAGGTTGCGAAGCCGACGAAGAGAAATGTAGCAGGTGTGCTGGGTGTGAGACTGGGGGAGAGGCAGAGCGTGCAAGAGAAGACGAAAACAGGAGAGAAGACGAAGGCGACGGGCAAGAGGCAGGAGGGGTTGGAGATGAGGAAGAAAGGGTAGCGTTTGATCAGGAGGGAAGAGCACGAAGGATGGCGGCGCAAAGAGAGATGGAGTTACAGACCGAGGGTTTGGTAGAGATCCAAGGATTAGAAGAGGTGTTGGACGAGTGGAAGGAGGGATGCCAGCGATGCAGGGCGTGGGGAGAAGGGTGTGAAGGTCATAGGATGGCGGAATGCACGGCAACAGACGCAGAGGAGATTTGCAAAGGAGTAACGATCATTGCGAGTTCCATTCAGTGGGAGAGGTTTTCGTGTTGTTTCAAGTGTGGCATCCCGCAGGCGATATGCAAGAGGTATGAGAGCCGAGCGGATGGCGGATAGAAGAGAAAAGTCGGCGGAAGTTGTCAGTACCGTGGCGTGTTGATCGCGTCGATTGCGTCGATTTGGGCCAGGTGGTCAGATAGTTTCACGGAATGGGCGCAAGAGCGGATGGTGGAGGAGGGAGTACGATGGCAGGAGCAGGAGGAGCAGGGGGAGGCATTCAAGCGGATTGTCAAGTGGTTTGGGAAGAAGAAGCGGTGGGGCGGAATTGAAAGCAATAAGATGTGTTGGGCATTTTGGGCGTTTGCAGCGTATTGTCGCGAGATAGAAGAGTAGTGTAGGAGAGTTTAGGGAATCCAATCATATTATCCGATTGTGGTGGTCCCGACCAGGAAGAGCCCCCCCAAGCCCAAGTGGTATCCCAAGTGGTTCCCCAAGTGGTTCCCCAAGTAGTGCCCCAAGTAGTGCCCCAACCCGAGTGGTACCCCCAACCCCAGTGGTTTCCCCCAACCCTACTCAGGTATGGCGACACGGAACACCCCCTATTCCAAAACTAAACCTTTTTGGGAAATTGGGACCGCCGCTCGGACCACCTCCATGAACACCGAAACCTCCTTCCCCTCGTTCCATCATCAATTCTTCTGGCACCTTTATCCTGACCCAGGATTAATTTGTCTGCAGAATTAATTTACCCGACCGCAGTGCATACATACTCGGGTCGCACCGGCTTTCTGAGCCCGTCTCTATTCTGTGTCCACAGCTTTCTCCCGTTCCGTAGAACAGTATTCGAGTTGCTGGCCTCCCTTGTCGGTCTGTTGGTAGCTGATTCCAGCATCGAAAACTAGCTGTAAATTGGTACAGGGGAATGACCACACGCTATACCAGAAAGTGAAGTGATAGAGTGCCTGCTTCCCCGCGTAGCATCATATACTAGGCTACGAACACGTGATCTGTGCCTTCTTGATTGTGCCTTTCTATTTAGGAGATGCCCGGTTCCAAAGAGACATTGTTGATGCCACGCAGTCACGCAAGCTGAAACGCTCAATATTGAATAGATCTCTAACATCTGATCATAAAGGTCCCTGCTGACTTCACAGTGAGATACCCCATAATTTCTTCAGTTAATCCGGCCTGGTTTTCTTCGCTGTCCAGAGGTCGTTCGAGAACTATAACCTTTCGAATTCCATATAACGCTCACAGCCGGTGTGTGACGTGGCACATCGTATCGCAAACTCTTCCAGAGTTGTTTCTTCCGTGATTCTCAACGGCCAGGGCTCGACAATCGAATCCTTTCGCTTAATCTTCATTCCGTGCTTCTGCATGAATCTGTACATCTGGGTCTCTTCCATGTAAACACCGAAAGCCTTTTCGAGATCACCAAACATAGTATAACATGAGGAGATCCGAATCATCTCTGGGCTACTCATCGCATCGCCGACCATCATGGACATGATATTCTGAGGCGTAAGGGGAATAAATTGCTGCATGAGCCGTCGAGATTCTCGGAAGCGCCGTTGGCCGTTCCGATCATGTTGCTCATACACTTCACCGACAGCGTTCAAAAAGAGCATAAGAAGTGTCGCGTGTGGGCTGACGGCTTTTGATTTGAGCAGCGGGCCGAACGTGGAAAGGACTCTTTCAAATCCAACGTATCCACGATCGCAGATGTTTGAAACCTAGGTCAGTTGTCAGCACAAAGTCTCTAGCAAGGTGAGATACACATATACCTACCTCGATGCAATCGAAAGATTCCTCTGTGCTGAGGTAGCGTGGGAGTTCCCGAGCATCAACGTTGAACAGCTGAAAATGGATATCAATGTCCTCGATACGCTTGCAGAAACATAGAAGAGTATCTCTCAAGAAGAAGAAGAAGCTTCCCATGATATCATTGCTTGCCCTTGGTGCGAACTTGATGTACTCGTGATAGTTCCAACCGTCGAGGGGGCTCGCGTCGTCCATCATAGGCCAAGTTCGATCCTCATGGAAGAATGATCTGGCTGACTCAGCGTTACAGTAGGATCGCAGGAGATGTTCAGCTTACGGATTGGGTGTGTCGAACTCTTCTCTCGATGCGCCATGCGGCAGCAGCATGCCATCGTTGCGGAATGTCACCGTTGCCACCCGAAAAGAAGGGGGCTGGTTGCAAAGCGCGCGATGCAAATAGTCTACTCTCTCCGCAGCCAGCATCACGCGACGCCGAATATCTTGCGCGTCCTCTTGCGTCATTTCCGTTGGAACGTGGAGGTAGTCGTTCAGCTTGTCCCATTGGTGCTTCATTAGCGTGATTCGCAAGGATCTGCGTCTAAAAGAGAACGTCTTTGCTTAAAGAGAGGTTGGTGGCTTGTCCTTGATCTTCTCGCAGACTTGAGCGATGGGTCCAAGTACCACGCCAACAAGCGTCTCTACCATGACACGAGGGAGGAGTGCCGAGTACCATAAATGCATCATGATCGGAACTGCATCGTTGGCCTCAAGACTCAATGCGACAAACAGAAGGATGGCATTGCGGGCCACAATCATGAAGTTGATATCGTTTATTACAAGCAGGAATCGGCCCTTGTGTCCATCCGGAAGACCTTCTACGGTCGATTTAACGACATTTCGCAAGTCGCCCGAGGCCGCGAAAAGTAAGCTCACATCGCGGTCGGTGGACTTGCTTTCCAACGCTCTCAAGAGGCTCACGGCTGGCATATTGCCCCAGAGATACTGATTCGAGCCAAACTTCGATGAGAGTTCATTGTCGGAGACCCAGCTAGGACCACGGCCTTCCCGGATCCATCCTGGGACGTACACACTCTTCATGATGTCCGACTTACACGTTTTCTTGTGCCGAGGCCAGTCTGTGATCTGGCATTCTTTCGTACAATACTGTTGGTTGGTAAGATACCATAAGCTATAAATAACCTGTGAGGTGTTCCAGGATGCATAGCGTCGTACCTGAGCCAACCTGCAAGAACGACAGACGAGATTGGCTACATCTTGGCAAGGCGACTCTGTTGTGTCTTCCTTTCGTTCTTTATTCGCGCAAAGATCGGGGTGTAGGAAAGTGGCAATGTCGAAATGGGCAGACATCGTGAGGCTTATGGTGGAGTCGGTGACCAGAAATCAGATGTTTGCACCAGAAGATAATAAAAGGTGCTTGTCACAAGCCCCGCATATCTAAACCCCTGCTAGTACCGTTCCGGCATCTAGGTTTACCCGAATCTTACATCGTCACACATATACCTTTCCGACTCTTACATTTTCGACTACTTAGCGTCCACAGTAGGAATGCTTCTCAAATGCTGCTGCTCGCGCGTCTGCCTCACGCTTGTATGGAGGAGACCACCACTTCGCACCTCCAGGCCTGTTGAGATCGCGAAACATTGGAGGCAAGGTCTTGGCTTGATCCATCTGCTTCTTCTGCTCCCGTAGAGCCTCACTTGCTCCGGAGTTCTAGCTGCACGTGTAGCCGGTGGATGAGTTGTTCCGCAGCTGCCAGCTCAGGACCTGCATCAGGCCTTGCAATTGAGCACAACAACGCTTTGGCTTTAAGCCAGTTTGGTGAAGTTAGGGCAGCAGAGACTGCTGTTTGTAGCGGAGTTGTAGCTGGAGGCTCAGGTGTTGCTGGCTTGAATCTATCAAGGATTTTGGACGCATCTTGTGGGAGCAAACCAGTAGCGGAGAAGGCTTTCTGCACCAACTCTACACTGAAAGTCTGCTGCCACGCCCCCTCAAAATAGCGGGGAAAAGTCGCTCTTCTTCACCGGCACCCATCCATAAGTCTTTTAAGTTCGATTATCGAGGGCTGTAGAGTAGTTGGTTCACAGTGGCTTGAAGCACACAACGTCTAACGGCTGCAGCGTGTGGGTGGTGTGTGGCGGAAAGATTAACAGCAGTATCTTATGAGAGTTGCAGTAACTTATATAGTTATATGAACCATCGTAGTGTGTCACGTTTGATGAATCAATAAAGGACGGATGCAGCTCAATAGAAGTTCTCAACCCACTCAGCACTTACGCACAACCAATGCCGGAGAGACAAATACAACAGTCGTGATGTGCGGACACAGGTACCGTAAGCCCTACGACACGCAGGCTCTTCAACCTGCTTGGTGTGGATCCACCGGCAACATATCCTAGCGCCGCATACTTGTACGACCTCATCGCGTATCTGCGACAAGAGTCCCTTTCGCTGGGTTTACAGCGCGCTGGCCTTTCAGCACCAGGACCGCGATCAAGGAGCAGTCCGGCGTACAGTACACAAGAACATCAGCGCTTCTTTGGTAGACTCTTACATACACATCATGAGCGTTAGAAGCCTCAAAATTCATTCAATTCAGCCAAAATCAGGTATCAGACTATACGTTTCCCATGTATTATCATCTTAAATAAATCCTCCAAAATGTGCTGTCGCTTTCCCCTCCTCCAGTCACCTATGTGGTCCTGCAGCTCTCTTAGGGTTGAAGAACCTCCGCTGACCGCCGTTCCTAAGAGCCTGCAATGATGAAATCTGCTACGTAACTATGATTAAACGATGGGCAATCCACTTTGTTTGCAAAATCGATCGTAGGTGGCACAAGAGAAACATTTAGGTGGTGGCACGGCCCGCGTGCTGAGCTGTCCGTGCTGTCAGTTAACCCTCTCGAGAGCGCCAAACGCGGGGTTCTGAGTCTGCATAATGACCAATTTACGGGCAGCACCCATTCCGATTGTTGTGCGGGCGACCCTACCTGCGCTATAAAGTATCAACGCCGGGGCTGTAAGATTCCTTGTGAGACGTGTAACCTGTAACGGCTTCCGGCGTGCAAATCAGTGTCCAGACGCCACGTCGCAGCGACCTGTCGCATTGGAAGGATTGCAGAAGTGATTCGTGGTACACTACAGTAAAAGCGTCGCCATCAGCTAGAAAACGTCAGATAAGCATATGATGACACAGGTGTCCTCGAGCCCAGCTCCAGACCGAGGTATTGTATCATGGTTCGAGTCAGCGGATCCTTGATGTCCTTGTAAATGTTGCGGTTTACCTGAACGTCCGATTGGAGGTATGGTATTCGCAGAATCATGAGTTTTCCCTCTCACGGATTAGTACCAACCATGCATCGTGCCGTTGACAGGTCATCCAGAGCTACGTACTGCGCAATGCGACCCACAAGGACGCGTCACGATCTCGTTACCTCTGGCATGCAGGCTATTCTGAGTTTAGATGCAAGCCATGCTACGTTCCAAAATTGTATTGGGCACTGGTTGTACACTTATATGGTTAGCGCGGTCTCAACGGTTTACACGCCAACTCCGGCACTTCTTGATAACATCCTGCACCAATTCGACTGCATCCCTCATATCCTTTTGCTCCCCTGATGTCTACAACTATGGGAAAAGCCACTCACGAGATCGATCCCGATGCAGACACTGTACTTATTTTGAAGAACCCGAGCACCAGATTTGCGTGCTGGGGTCCGGATGAGGTCGAGGAGGATGCTACGGTGTCTGTCGAGACATCAGACGGACAAGGCTTTTCCACAGTGACTTCGCCGCAAGCGGCTTTTCCCGCGAAGACATCGTGCGAGGAAGATGAGATACGTTATCGTGTTTCTTCGCGACATCTGGCGTTGGTCTCTCCGGTATTCAGAAGCATGCTTTCTGGTCAGAACTGGAACGAGGGGGTCCGAAATGAGGTCGATGGTCTCTATCATGTTATCACTGAGGACTGGGATGCGGAAACACTGCTTATTCTTCTCGATGTCCTCCATCACCGCAATCGTCGAGTGCCACACACCGTATCGCTGGAGATGCTCGCCAAGTTGGTTGTTCTAATCGACTACTACGAGTGTCCAGAAGCGCTAGAGTCGTTCACCGGAAGATGGACTGAGCATCTGAAAGCGACTTCTCCTGTTCCATCGTACTTTTGCCGGGATCTTATGCTCTGGATGTGTGTGGCTTCAGTATTGAAGCTTCCGGATGAGTTTGCTCAAACGACGACAGTTGCTATCAGGCGAGAAGGCAAGGAGCTGTCAGCCTTAGGCCTTCCGATCCTGAAATGCGTTAGTGAGTCAGCGTATACAAGTGTGGTCTTATCCTAGACTAATGCCATACGTAGCTCGGATCGAAGAAGACCGGATGCAAGCAATTGGCACTATCTTTTCTCAACTGCAGGCTCTAGTTGATGAATACCGCAGCCAGTCATATACATGTCCGACCGGCGACTCGTTCGAATGCGGGTCTATGCTATTAGGCGCCTTGACCAAAGAAATGGAACTGCAGGGGTTATTTCCGGTTCCAACGGCGCCATTTACCGGTTGGAGCATTTCGGAACTCTACACTAAGATACAGCGTATTCGATCTCCATCATGGAGCAGTTCAAGCAAATCTAAGAAAAGCAGACACCGTTGCGATCTTGGTGCAAGGGTAATGGCGATTGCTGATCCAGTCACTCGTCTTGCCGACGGCCCTCGATTGGAGGATTTGGAAACGGGGTAGTCGAACATCAGACGCATCCAATGATTACCAACTCCACTTTGTACCTCTGTTTCCACAAACTTAATTCAAACACGTCATGCTCATTGGTAGTTAAACACGTTGTTGCCTCCCCGAATTCTTTTACAGCATGACGCCACAGCAAGTCTCGAGCAACTCATTGGGAGTGAGTATGGCGTAGTTGAATGACACAGATAGTACCAGACACGATGTCTGCGGCTATGCTCAGTCAACAAATTTGTGCGGACAGGCTTGTGTGGACCAAAGCCCGCGTGAATCGATTCAGGAGAGCTGCACGAGGTTTGTGGGTCTGATCTTCTGGGCCAGAGACGAGCTTGCTGGACAGGCGGAGGAATATGTGGTAGCAAGGGTCTTTTGGTGGAGAGCGAACAGCATGAATGCGATGGGAGCCTCCACGGCACGCTCTGAGAACTACTTAGCCGACGACACTTCAAGTCCGATCTTTCCACTACTTACTACGACTCTCCATTTCATAACTGTGTACACGGGTAAAACACATCAACATATCTTATGCGATCGAGAAATAGCACTGGCAGCTCACCCAGTCGTCCTGAAGGTCCTTGAGCCTACAATAAGACAGCACGGCTACCTTGTCAAGCACCACGCCACGGCCATATTCGGCCTTGTCGTGATACAGCTCCTCCGCATGGGACAAATGCTACACCATACGATGAAGGACCTCATTGAACATGTGGCCCACGACGTCCCGATGCTAATCATGCCGCCAGCATGGTGCTTACATGCAGCTCTACATTTGTCTAATAAGGTCTGCTGTTTCACTTTGTGTAACAAGCGTTCGCGAAAATAACTCCACTTCAATTTCACATGTTGCATGTATGCAATATGTGAGATTGAAGGCTGTAATGCATGCCCTCCGTCACTCTATCTGTGTTTCTGTGTTCGCGGCGTCATCCGCGGATTCGCGCATACGAACGCTGACCATCATACCTATGACTGTGCTTACTCCTATGCTTACCGTGCTGCTTACGATCACGATCTGAACTGTACCGGAAGCAGTACTTGTAATGACAATCACTACAAATGAGGAAAACTAGCTTGGCCATGTTGTAGGTCTGGATCATGTGAAATCACAATGTAGCCAACATGCTTGGTTCTTCAAGGTCTCGCCTTGTCTAGCCGAGGTTTAGCGTGGTGGAGAAGAAAAATGTTCCAGAGACAAGACCAAATTGGGTTGAAAAAGGAAACCGCAGCTCAGCGCCAAAAACCATAGTCAATTGCCCTAGTGCACGACTGATGTTCCCGAACGCACTTAATACATCTTTCCCCTGTTCGTCGAGCACTCTTCCAATGTGTTGTAGTATGCCTAGTCTTTCCATGTTGCTACATACCCGGCGATGGCGTCGTCTTCCATATTTTGATTCTGAAGACTCTACGATCTGTACCCTGCACAAACAAGGTTGAGCTTTGAATTTAACAGCACTTCCAAAGGACGGTGTTTCCGAGTGAGAGGCTTGAGGGATATCGATATGAGGTTGGGGCCACTGCCATCTCCATTCATATCAGGTGACATCGCTTTTCTGGTTGAGTGGCAAGGGAACGACTGTCAGACGCTGACTTTAGTTCTTCCGGCATTCTTGCATCATTTGCAATGCCTACCGCTCCGTTCGCTACTCGATACTTTGCATTTCTACTTCGCTGCCTTTCATCACGACGTCCTTCTTCCTTCAACGATTGAGCACGAGTGCTTCCATCTTCTGCGGCTTGACATCTTTGACCTCGCCCCACTGACTCACGCGCGATCAGCTTTGCCAAATCTTCCAAACGCGTCTGCCCCTGCATCACGCCAAAGACTTGCACCGCCTTTTGCTCAAATTATAGTGACATACCCATTTACAAAATCACGACTCTTCTTGAGTGCCTGTTACGTATTGGGGATCGAAGTTAGCTCGATATACTAGTGCGAAATTCGTTTCTTGTGGGGCTCGTAATCGGCTTCGCGAAGCGCCGCTGCGACCATTTCTATTGTGATCTTCTGTTCCGCTATGTGTTGTGATGATGGAAAGAGGGAACAGCGACTGGGTACCGCTTCAGGCTAAGGGTACTAGTGGTATTGATGGGGGCACTTCCATTCACCGATACCGTTACCTGTTACGCGGCTTCGGTAGCAGTAGGCTCATCTCTGATTAAATGCACATCTGCGGCATAGTAACTATCGCGGTCGGGGTCTCAGAGCCAGACTACATCATTGATTAGTTCTATACGAATGAAGCGACTGTCTCTAGTGTGTAGGCCTATGCTGTGCCCAGGCTGAACCAACGTAGCTGCAAGGCGTCATGCAAGAGATCTTTTAGCAATGGGGATCCTTGGCTCAGCCTCGCTAGCTTCGTAAAGCAATAAAACCAGCCTGCCCCGACCATTCACCTCGCGCAGACCTTACCTGAGCAACACATCGAGCCGCGACATTCAGTCCCCATTTGTATTAGTCATCAGTGGTATTGCACTCCTCGTATCAGGATGTGCAATGCACATGAGCAACACATAGGGTGCTGGTGCGTAACAACGCCAGGCACGTCGATCTAGCCTGCATCCTCACGGACTTGAACTGCAGCCTGAAAGCCTATCTTCCTCTGTGACCAAATTCGTCCGTGGGGTCCGACAGCATGTTTGCCAGAGCTGACCAGATTCGCCACGCTCAGGGTGTGGACACTGAGACTCATGCAAAGGATATCTTCGAGATAGGATAACAGCCGCATTTTGCGCAACACGCATCTGGGCAGACGCCACGCCTCGCACCATGGGAAAGATATCTCACCTCACTTCGCTGGAAGTGCTTCCAGGTGCTGATTGTTGCGGGCGAGAACGACTCTGGCAAAACCCTTCGCGACGGCCAAAAGTTTCAGATAACAGACTAACAATACCAATTGTTCTGTCAACGGCATAGTCAGCAGGCTTCGTTGGTAGAAGAACCTAACTATCTCATGGCAAAGTCGTACCTTATACTTAACGAATATATGCGCTTCTTAGATCGTGCCGGTTGTGCGCCGTCTGGTCTAATCTATAAGGTTGGGGTGCAGAGAGCGCTTGAGAGTATTTGTTGGGACAAGGAAGCTTTTGAAGAGCGAGGCGGTATCTATGACTAGAGTTGGGAAGATAGAGCAGCGACGAACGACCTTGACTGGTGAGCGTGTTATGTGGGCATAAATGTTGCAAACGTTACAGCCGCGTTTGTGCCTAAAATTAGTACTGGGTTATTGGTTTGGAAGAACACCTTGTATCTAAGGTATTAAAAATACTCACAATTAACAGAGTGCTTAGTGCTTTGTTTTGCTCTGAACGCTCACGCCAAGTGATTGTTGGAGAAAAACTGTACTGTCTTACGTTGCTTCCTTAAGTAATCTAGTATGGGAACTAATTCCATCCTCATGCTAGACCATATGCCTAAAACTTACCTCTGAGGTAGGGTGGGGTTGCCCTCAGGGGCGAAGATGGAGTTTAACCCCTAGGGGCAAAGACCAGTCGCAGCAAACTCTACTGCAGAGTAACGCTTGCCTCTAGAGTTATTAAATACTGTACTGCAGTGTTGTAGAGCTCTATGATTTTCTGGTAAGTAAAACTGAAGCTTGCAAGCCTAGCCTGCGCAGGCCTTTTGCCCTGGTGATTGTGATGTGATGACAGTAGTGTGCTGAGTTGGTGCTGACTGGTGATGGATTTTCGTTTTTAAGCAACTTAAGTGGTACTATATGTTGCTTATGCTTGCTATAAGACATGATGTTCTTGCCTAAACGACTGGTGATGCTAATGCATGTGATGGGCCGATCTACTAGCGTAAAAGATTGGGAGATTGTGCTGCTCCTGTAAAACGTAGGATTTGCACATAATCGCATGACGTCACAAGATCCAGCATGCCGTGGTCCTGTGATAGGAGATCCGACATCAGGGTGTGCGAGGGGTGGGGGTAATTGGTTGTGATATCGATTAAATTTAGGCGCTTATCATAGGCCACTGCTTACGCGAAACCCGTTTATTACGAGGAGTGCCACAGAATTTCACCGAACGATCCCTAAATACTGAGTAATGTTGTGTTTACAGTAAGCCTTCTACATACCAGTATTTAAATGAGTGGGTTTGGCTATCTCTTGGCATAAAAATAACAGGGATTGACATACTGTAGATGCTGAGTGAGTGTCGAATAGAACAAGCTTGGGTGAGATCGGATCTACACAATCGAGCAGGGACCACCTAGCTTAGCGCACTAGATCAGGTTGGATCCATAGTCAAAGTGGAGCGCCAGCAGGTGGCTTTCGCTCCCACTTTCGACCTGGTGTGTAAGCCAACCCATCGTTGTGGGCTCTTATTGTCGCTGACAGAGCAGACTCTTTCGCAGCCTGATGATTCGCACGGCAGCACTGGAGCACTTTTCTTGAATTGGGGTGTCAGGAAAACCCTCTATGACGATTGGTACGGTAACTGCATGAGCGCTAGCCGAAATGAGGCATTTCCACAACTGCTTGTTGTAATGACCGCATTGGGAGTGGTGTGGCAAGGGGTCACTGCCACCAAACACGCTGGTGTACGGAATGCAGGCCCCACAGCGTATATAATCGGTATGGATACTACCCATCAATCAGCGCTGCAGTTCGTCAAGAACGCACTCGGAAATCGGCTTCACTCAAATATCAATCTCATGATATCGCGAATGCCTCAGATTCCCGGACACCCAACCGTCCTGGGGTGGGGCAATACCTAGACAGTGAGCAGGGTGTGACATGTGTAACATTCAAACGTACAGTTGACGACACAATGCACCGGATATGAGCGCAACATGGTTCCTGTAGTGTGGGAGAAACCGCCATAGGTCATGTATGACTGTCACCTAGGTACCGTGTCCGTGCGCTGCTTTGTTCGCCCGCCTTGATTGAAGAAGCTCAAACGGGACTGCTCTGCACTATGGAGCCGATTTTGCGCAACAGTTGTATTTATAGAGCGATCTGTATGTGTTGGAGATGCGCTGATGCGCTGGCAGCGGGGTTCAAAGCTTTTGCGAAGTGTGTTGTGGTGGGGCGCACAGCCCAACATATTGGGTGGGTACGGTGCCAACATACACAACAAGTTACTTTTTTTTCTCGGAGGTATCGTGCAACGTAGTCATCAGCGTCTTATAGACAGTCAGTTTGCTACTATGATTATTGCGACTATCCGCCGCGAACGATTACTTGGCTTGGATGATCATCAGTCTTTGCAGTGAGGCCGCAGAATGGAGTGGGTCTTAGAACTAATAGACAAACATCGACACTGACGATCCTAGACCCCGCCACAATATTATCAAGTTAGTGGTCCCTGGATCTGCGGGTGAAACCGAAACCCTCCATGTTCATCAAGGGGTCCTGTGCAAAAGTCCTGAGTTCTTCCAACGCACGATGAAACCAGAGTGGACCAACTTAAAGGATAAACCATACATCATCGAGCTCCCTGATGATACTGTGGATACCGTAAGCGACTCTGTAAAGTGGCTCTATGCTGGGAGCATGTCCTTGACGTTATACAAAGCGGACGATGAACACAGGAGAGAGAAAGTAGCTAAAGAAGCTGACAAAGTCTTCGTGCTGCTTGCAGAAGCTTATGTGTTTGGAGAGAAGATCCTCGATGCGGGTTACAAGAATGCAGTGATGAAGACCTTGGAAGCGGCTAAGGAGAGTTCAAGAAGGAACATGGGGCCGGAAAGCGTTGGCATTTGTTACAAGGGTACACCTCCTGGGTCACCTTTGAGGTGTCAGATTGCTGAAAGCGTTGCACACCTAGCTCATGACGATACGGAGAATGGTATTGGTCGGATGTCTTTTATCGATGGATATCCCAAGGAGGCATTGGCGGATGCTTTGAAGGCTACGCTGAGGCTGCGGTGCAAACTGGAAGAGGATACTCAGAATGGTACGAAGTCGAATTACCTTGAAAATTACTTGTATAATAGTCATCCACTGCGTTAGGGTACTATAGAAAACAAGCGGTCAAAGGCACATATAGTTCAGCAACCTCCCTCAATATGCTCGGTTTCAAAGATCAGATGATCGAGAAAGCACAAGATCGGAGGGAAAGAACTGGATATGTTCTGATAGTATCGAGGCATTTGGAGAACGCTTTGGATAGTGTGACTTATAAAGCAAAAATATTCTATAAGCATCGCTTATGCATAAACAGCCTCTCCAAGATGTGTGTTGAAGTCTGCTGTATAAAGCAATGCTTGGCCAAACTTCACCTGAATGGTCGATTGTTAACACGCTGTCTCCACAGCAGTGCGTGCGGTGATCAATTCACAAACGTTGACTGAGCCTTCCCGCCAACTGTCAAGTCGACTTTGACAGCTCCCATTGAGTATGCTAATACACAAAAAACGTCGCAAGCGTGAGGTCGTTTCCTGGGAGAAAATTCCGTCTCTCCCAACGACCCCGCCCTGAACCACAAGAACATCTACTCAGCCGCTTCTACGAGCCTCTCGTCCTTCTCTGTACGCTAGAGCGCATGAGGGGAGGATGCACAAGCGTTGCGATGCCTGCTCGAGAACATCTGGCTCATCTGCCGCTCAAAGAGATAAGGCGAATGTTCCTCAGCGAATTGGCTTACATGTGCGACTACGACAAAGGCAGCGAGACTGTGAAAGGTCTCGGACTGCAGTACTCACCGCACAAGTACATATCCTGGGTGGTGTCCAACGCAGGCTTGAAGACGAAGGTCGTCGAATTCCTAGACTCACTACCGAACAAAATCCTGCGTATAGGAGCCGCTCTAAACACCTCACAATTAGTAGAGGAGATGACATCGGAATGCTTCAACTTTACAGCTTCAAGGATAAAGAAATACAGGAGCCACCTGAAGCCTCCGCTGCAGAGATTCACTCCATATTTTGAGGCAAGAGGACCAAGCGGTAAGGCTCGCCCTGACTTCTGGCCTTGTCAGTAATTGCCGGCACTAAGACTGATCACAATATCTGGCTTCCTTGAATGGTTTCAAGTCTGTGCGCATGCGGAGAGCTCTTTTGGAAGTGTGTCGTGCTGTATACGAAAGTCGGAATTCGGCCTTGATGCGCACGCCTGGTCGACTCTACACAAACCACCAACGGAATACTCTGAGCGCCATGGACAAGGAAATCCGGAAGGAGGCTTTTCGACAGATCAACGAGAAAGATGCGCCAAATCTTGGAAGCGCAAGATTCGATCGAACCTTTGCGGAATTGCAGAACAGTCACAAATGCGAACATTCTCGTCGTTTCTAGCGCAAAGAACAGAGTACAACTCAACGCAGTTCCGATGCGAGATGTGTGACGCTCGTCGCCATACGCCGTTGCTAACAATATCTGCGAAGAATGCCGCCGCAACCGTATCTAAGTCAGCAGATCGGATAATCAAAGCAAAGACTCAGTAGAAAATGGCAAAAAATGCAGAAGCAAATCAAACATGGGTCAGTATTTAACAACGGGAGAAGTCAAGCATTAAAATTGTACCATTATATCCTAATAGATCCAAACTCGGTGCACGTCACACTCCTCATCCGATTCAGTCAAACCTGTCTTGCTGAGTAGAGAACCAGTGAAGGAAGCCGAGCACCGATCCAGATGAAAGTTGCAATCGGTTGTTGTAGAAAGCATCAGACAGGGGATCATTGCAAAACCTACAGGCGTCCATTCTCACCTCCTTTGCCGCACCTGGACTCAACAGTCTCACTAACACAATCGTTCACCTGCACTGAAGCGCCAGGACCGACTTTAGATTTAACAAGCAGAACAGTGCCCTAACTACATGGCAGCGAACCGACAGGTTAGAGTGTCAGCACTGTCCTTTTTTGCTCTCTTTCGTACTAGTCCCGGATGGTCTCCGCGACTTGTTAGTTGCGCGCAGAGCTTCAGCCAGCGTTTGACCCTGGTATTGATGAAAAGGTTGGAAGTGAGGCATAGAAGGTGGCACACGCCGTTCGAAAGCTGAGGGGTCTCGGCGAGTGGATGCTTCGTTTCTCCTTGGCGCACCTCTTGTCTGCGCGGTAAGTGGCTCCAGGATAGACTGATACGGCCTGAAGGATGAGAATTCTGAAGGTCCTTGCTTGCGTTAATAGCGCCAATGATCATCGTAGAGATGGCTCAATCGTAGTGTAGATCTAGCAGCCATTCTTCTTACAGAGTATGGCGGCATGGGAGACCGTTCGTTTTCTTGAAGAGGCCCGAACAAGGATACCCACCATGACGCTGTTGATGCTCTTTCCGGTGCAGCAAGTCTTGTTGCCTGATACGCCCACTGGCTGGCGGTGTAAGGACATCATGGATTCTAGGAGGCAGGAAGGGCATGGACTTGAGCTTGTGCTGAAACTTGGTTCTGTGCTTAGAAGACGCAATCTCCTTTGCGTACTTGCTGTATTGACTCTTGACCATCTGTTCGATCCTTGCAATAACACGAAGCAAGTTGCCTGTCGAGGTCATGAGATAGTCTTTCAGGACCTTGTGCATTCCCTTAATAGGTGAATTCGTGATTGTGTTGTAGTGTTGGGGATGGGAGGTCTAAGCGGCTGCCCACTCCATGCGTGTTAGGTATTGGTTTTCTTGCAGGTACCTGCAAAGCTCTGGCTGGTGACTGTAGTCTTTCAGCGGATCGTTCCATTTGAATTGGAAGTCTATCGGTCTCCTCGCGTAGACAAGCTGTTTCGACTAGTCTAAGTATGCTAGAAGAGCTGCTTTAGTGCGCTCTTCGCTAATGTTCAGCGTACCTGAGTCTAACGTTTCATGAATGAAGCCCTCTGCTTAACAATCTTTTACTTCTCTTCTTTTGTCATGCCACTGGTATCTCTGCAGATCTGTTACGCTTTTATCTGAACGTTCTTATTGATGTGCCACATGCAAAAGAGTTTAGGAACTCCTGGGAGTAGTGCGCGCGCTGACATCTTTAATGCTTCTTCCTGGTTGCTAATGAAAACATGTGGCTGTTGCACACCTGTCTTGAGGAGGAAGTTTGCGATTGCCTAGTGGTAATCTGCATGTGTTTCGTTGCTGAGGAAGCAGAAGCCTGTAGAGAAGAACGTCTGTAGGTTAGTGTAGCCTAGTATATGTAGTAGAGGAAGTTTATGCTTGTTGGTTTGATATGTGTAATCTATTAATAGTATATTAGGATTTGCTAGCAGCAGCTCGACCTGCTTCTGATGGGCGAAGAAGAGGTTTTGTATGTGATTGTTGTTGTCCTTCTTAATGGCGAAGATCCAGTCTGCTGTGGACAGATTGTCTAGCAGTGCCTCCATCGGACTCCTTCCATCCAAATGTCTCTCTCTGATCTTCTTTCTCTCGCCTAACCGATATGACGCGCGCGATCGGGCCCGATCATCGCCAGACTAGGTCTAGCGCTAGGGTTGCGCGTCCAAATCGGGCCCGCCGTAGGGGGCGAACATCGCGCCTTCGACCCCCGATCATACCCCCAAGCTGCGCTGCTTGCGCGACGTGTTCCATACAAAACCTGCCGAGAATCATCTGCTCTATCGCGCCCCAGCCTTTGTTTCTGCATTTCTCGGCTTGCGTTGCTGCACTTGGGGTCATCTTAGGGTTTCTTAGGGTTAACTCGCCAAGCATGGAGCTCTGCTGGAACGCGCAGCCACCCGCAACGCCAACCGCAGCGCAGCACCGCAAGCGACCGCGTGCGAGCAAGATAACAGTCAGCAACGTGCAAGAGCGCTTCTGCTACCTCCAGCGCTATCAGGTGCTAGTCTGCAGGGAGCACGCTACCGGCATACAGAACGTCGATGTGCACCTGCGCGACCAGCACGGCGTGGCGAGCAAGGAGAGGGAATGCATCGTAGAGCACTGCCGGCAATGGCGGATCGCCGCGCCGCGAGATGTTGAGCTGCCCGCGCCGCTGGGGCCGCCGATCGAGCAGCTGGGCGAGCCGTTGGACGTCTATCGATGCAGGATCACCAGCGACTGCGGCTTCTGCACCGCGAACAAGAGCAGGATGCAGAAGCACTGCAGCAACGCGCACCAGGCGGCTTGGAGCGGCAAAGACGTGTACTTTACTAATAATAACCTAGTATATCTCATACACTAAGCCTAGCCATCCAGCTATAAGAAGAAAAAGCTATGGTAAGTAATAAAGCTAATAGAGGTACTAGTGGGGTCAGGGCTAGAAGACTGGTAAGGCGACATTTGAAGAAAGACGCTCCTTATCGAGCACAGTGACTAACGCGGTAGGAGTAGGAATTCGCATGGAGCACAAGGGGGTAAGCAATCAATTGCTTCAAGAGTTGCAATGGGTTCAAGTAGTGCAGGGGAATTAAGATAGCCTGCAGAACAGCGATCTGAGGCTGCAGAGCCGCGAGGAACTTCTGCATAGATGTTGAGAACCAAGAGGCTTACGCAAAAATGCAGTAGGGTTTCTAAGGTTAGTATTTCGCAGCTATAATAGTATTTAGATAGAGCGTTGTAGTACAATTGTAAGAGATGTAAGGTGACTAATGCCTAGAATAGAAGTATACTGCGTCTCTCATCTCTTGCACACTGCGTCTCTTATCTCTTGCACACTGCGTCTCTTATCTCTTGCACACTGCAGGTCCTCCCTTGTGCCTCAACATCGATATCTAAAGTCTTCTTCCCTTGATCTTACCTCTAGCTGTGCCTTCCAGGGCCAACCACCTATTAAATTGCCTCACCGCAAGGTAGATGTCTAGGAGCTCCCCCCTTACTGGTTTCATGAGGATGTCGACGCTTCAGGAGCGAACGTAGTGCTAGATTCAGGTCTTTGGGATGGTGCTGTCCGACAGAATTAGGAGGAAGCCCAAGTTCAGGCCCTTATCCCAGTCCTATGGAATACTGATATCTTTGCTAGGGACCATACTGTCAGGAAGCAAATCAGTCGATGGGCGGCATCGCGGAGACCGACTGGCAATCTGAATCAACACAGGTCGGACCGAGATGAAACGCACAGCTGTGGCAGTGTGGATCGTTGTGCCTGAATGCATCGCGAAATGGCTTCCTTCTCTATGTCAGGATCAGTACCTGTTGCGCAAAAGGTGTACATACAGGGGAAGGTACTCTGCAGTCAAGCGGAATCTCAGCGGTGCAAGCAGTAACAGTTATAGTCTGCAGTTTGGGAGGTCTGAGGGATCGTAATACTCCTAGCCGTTGATCAGCAGAGCGGCGCCCTGCTTGTAAACCAGGAGGTCAGTCCCCTCTATATGATTGTAGAACATCAGTCGAGCTTCGGGCGCAGACTGCAGTTGCTGGGATCATAAGCCTCCCAGCGCAGCACAAGGCACGGTCGGTGCCTACAGCGTCGCAAGGAGGTGGCGGAGCCAGCGCTCGGATTTCTACACGGAGAAGGCACAACTAGCGCTCAGTCATGTCAAGTGGAAAAAGTGCGACTGAAAGCAGGAACTGTGAGGGTGAAACGTGGCCAGAGCCGTACTATACTGCAGGTTACTGCGAACTTTCTACTCCATCTCTCTTGGCAGTGCCCAGTCTGCAACTGAGCCCTGTTCGCAACTGAGCCCTTCTTGCGTGTGAGCAGGGGGCGGTATGCTGCATCTACGCGAGGGAACTGCACCTGATCGGATCGTTGGCCCTGGTCCCGCTCCTAAACTGGACCCTAGGCCCTCTACTCCACGTTCTTCTGTGTTAGGGAGACTGCACCACGAACTCGGCCGTGAATACAGACTACTCGAGTCATCGCTAGGGCTCTTCCACAGCCGTAACGCAAGCAAACGTTCCTGCTCCCATTCCATTGAAGCGGCGTATAAAGGTCGAGGCCAAGCACTTTCCAAGTCTAGGCTAAGTCGTCTTGTGGGCTCGCGTTTCCACCGGAAGGGGCTTCTACAATCTACTGGCGACTCGTCTATGGCAATAGGCTGCTCTTGTATATGGAGGTACGGCGTGCGCACAGCTTCTAGCGCCTCTGTGCCTTGTAGAGCTTGGTGCGCGCTGCATGTTGCGCTCTGACTGGCTCGTTTGGGGTGAGCAACCCAGTGGCCATGAACCTGGCTGCTACGCGCAACGCTGTTATATGCTATTGCGCATCCAAACGAGCTGACAGATGCTTTCGATATGTGCAGGTCCTTCTTAGGCACAGGTGGTGGATTCTGGCGGTGTCTGATAGGCGTTCTATCCTGTTTCCTCAGCCTTCTATGTTGGGATATAAGAAGTGCTGCACACAGAAGGAAAGCAACAGCTATAAAGACCAAAGAAAGCGTCACGTAGAGCGACAAGCGGAAGGCTGGTGGAGTAGAAGTGGAATTTGACATCGTAGCAGGCATTGTTGAGGCTTTGCCTGCGGGTGTAGTGACGTGCGGCGAGGGAGCGGTCATTGTGCTGCAGAGGAGGAAGGACAGACTAGAGTCAAATGCAGCCCTTGGGAAGAACTCAAGAGTAGTATTGGTGATTCTCTTAGAATGTTGCTGGCAATACGACGCAACCACAGGTCTGTGCAGTTGCTGCGCTTAGGGAGACAGTCTCCGCAGACACTGCGCCCCCTCGGTCCTTCTCGCGACACCAGGTCTTCTACGCCAGGTTATCTAGCAAGTTACAAGAAAAGATCGCAGGCACAGCATCGGGGTTCAAGGAGAGAGGCGTAGGCGGCGTATTGGCCCCACGCACAGGACGCGTAGCCGGCGCTTAGGGAACGCGAGAAGCATAGTGGCGCAGCAAAAGGGCAGAAACGTCTTTATGTCTGAATATGGTCTCTTGCGCTATTGCCCTGCTACTTTGTTTGCATACAATCCTTAGGGAGTTTCTTTGTCTTCTCTCTGTCTTGCAGCGAGAGAGAGATCGCCGCAGAAGACTAGAGGAAGGCCGGTTGAGAGCTTGTCGTAGAAGCCTGGAGACCTTTGTCCCTCCTGCTGTTCCTTTGTCTTATCCCGCTCAAACAACCTGGGTCTGCGTAAGCTACTTCAGGCGGCGGACATTCAAATAACACATTGCACGTGCACTTATAGTATCTGGAGCAATATACTACAGTTTGGCAGGACACGTGTTGTTTCCAAACAGCGATAGTAATACAAAACAATCCAAAAGGTAGCATTGACTTTCTAAATTGCTACTGCTGGAACAATAGCAGCGCTTGTCCACTATGCATCTCTACGCTGCTACCTCCTCAGCCTGCATCGCCGCTCGGGATGGTACGGGGCCCGAGATAGGGACGAAGACAACCTTGCTACCCTGCGCTGCGGCGCTTTGTCTGCGTGAGTGCTGACTGATATAATAAGCGTCATAGCAAACACCATTGTTAGGATCGGCGCTGAAAGCCAGCTGTTAGTGTAATGCTTTTGTCTCTATCTGCATTGGGGCACACGTACTTGTATTCCACATTGCCCTCCCTGCGAAATCCTCCATGCTTCTTGCAACCATTTACCTCTCGGGTAAGATATGCGTCGATCTCGTTCTCCGTCACTTGCTGCTCTGAGTCCGTCATGCTCCGAATGCCAAAGTACCACTGGCTGCCGTTTGCAGTGTCTGTAACGCAGGTTCCACGCTCCTGTCTTCCCACAAGCGTGCCCTGTAGGAACTTGGCAACATTTCGAATGTTATTGTGTGCTAGTTGGGTGTTTGTGTTTCGGATTTCGTCATTGTAGCACTCAGCAGAAGCCAAGGGGAGAAGGAGAGGGCTAAGGAGGACGACGGCTTCGTAGAAACGCATCTTTGTTGGGAGCAGGGTACAGTAGTAGTCAAGGCGGGCGAATCAAGGCTTAGGTCTTTAGAGACTGTGGAAGTAGAAAGGACTTTGTTTGTTTATTTTTGAATTGGGGGATGTCTCCTCTTATACAGCAGTGCTCTGAACAGCTTCCGCCCAAGTCAGCCTTAACAGCGCCTAGGGCGCAACAAGGAAATTACAGGACTAGTCGCCTTTCTCGTTCCTTTTCTCGGGGATTGTTGATATTGTAACCATGCTAGGGTGTTGCGGTGTTGCAGTGCTGCCTGCTTACTGCTGTCTCACTCTGCCGCACTGTGCCTCTTTTTGTTGCTTGACCGCTCAACTCTAGGCGACAAGTGTTCACAACACCGAATATATCTGATACAAGCTACAAGCTACGCCGTACGTCCAGGAACAGGGTACAGACAATGCCGCTGCACAAGCTTGTGCCTGGAGAAGACACAGCCACACAATCTGTCTGTGATGGCTAGCATAAGTCCGCTTCTAGTATGATATGTAGTATAAAGCTTTAACAGCCGGCAAGTCGAGACAACCAGATCGTCTACGTCTTATCCTACTACCAAAGGCCTTGTTTTGCGCCTACAGTCAGCATGAAGCTTCTCCTAATCTTCACCAGCGCAATGTACCTAGCCATTGGCGGTTGCAGCCCACTTTTGTCTACAGCGTTCAGCACAGATCCAAACGAGGCCTTGTTGTCTACTCAATCTATAGAAGGAGTAACCAAAGCAGCGCAGTACGAAGACGTCAATTTGACAAAACGAATGGAATGGTCTCAGATCAGCATCAGCGCAGCTTGTGTACGTGCATAAAAAACATCCTGTACTGCACCTTTGCTGACCTTCCCTACGTAGCAAACGTGCGTTGTAGCTCAGGCAGCATCTCTAGGTGTAACCTACGTCTTTCGACGAGGATCAATACCAACTAGCGTCTTCCCATCTTTTGCTCTGTAAGTGCAAGCTCCTCAGGCATTTGTTCCCGCAAGCTTACCCTACTACGCAGGGCGCTATCAAACTGTTATTCGTTTTGTGATACGCGAGTGACAGCAGAGAATTTTGACAGTCATTCAAAGACCTGGTCGGAGGCATCATGGATTGCTTACGTGACAGGCGGTTAGGCTATCTTTAGTCTTCTGAGGAACAGGAGGCTGACTAGGCGAAGGAAGTGCGTGGTAAATTCAGTTAAAAGGCAGGCGACTATCTAAGCTTAGCAGGTAGGCAGGCGTACGCTCGCTACACTAGAAGGCAAGCAGACAAGGTGCCCTGAAGTATTCAACCAAGACATCAAGCATTTGTCTCAGACCATTTGCATTTCCACAACCACGTCCAGTATCCCGGCACATGCACTGCCTCCACTATCCCAAATGGTGTGATGACCGCATCGCGCACTGGCCAGTGTGAGTGGAAAAGATTGTTGCGCGCGATCTTGAGGCGTCCAGTGATTCTATTCACTGTTACTCGAAGCGCATGGAGAGAAGCTTGCGTGTGGAAATAGTTAGACTGCAGCAGGTACATGTTGCCATTATCCCACTCTTGAACCAACTGGAAGCGTATGACACGCTCCACTTGAAAGGGAAAGTGGCTGTTAGGGAACTCGTCTAAGTGATTGCTTGTTACATCACTGTTGTCGCCCCCAACTCCATCAAATCGGATCTGTGTTCCAACGTTTAGGCTGCTGTACCCCGTCCATTCATCATCGGTAAAGAATGTGGGCTCAGTCATAGTGCGGAGATGGCAAGTGCTAAATTGTTCAAGTCCATCTGACGCAAAGGGTGCGGGTAGCTCACAGAGCGTGGGCAAGGGGATTGTACAGGTAGCTGGCGGCGGCGAAAGCCCAGCCACGCTTCCAGTGCATGTAGCATTGTGCGCAAGCGCCCAACACAGCTCCCTGTAGAAGAATCCCACCACGCGATTCGCCAGGGCGTGGAGAATGACAGCCTGACGCTGCGGATTTGTTGTCTCGCTGCCATGTCCAACGTGGTTGGCAAGAGGCAACCACCGCACAGTCTGCACGAGACATGGTGGTTTCTTATCGTCGCGAGGCGTACGCCCAGAGAGCATTTGAGCAGAGAGACAGAAGCCAGCAGCTTGTGCAAGGCGCCAAGCACGAGTATCACTCGAGCACTCTGGGCTTGTGGTGGAAGTTGGCGTCGCTTCGGTGCAGTCGCCCACAGCAGCGTCAGTGGGAACAGAAGCGCTGCAGATGACATCGCACAGCTGGTGGAGGACAACCGTATCTGCGGACTGGAAGACAGGATCTACGCAGGCAAAGGTTGTGTTGTTAGCCAATGGCGGGGTACTTTGCGACAAGCGTTGGTTTCATATAACATACGGTGCATAGCAATCAAGTGTGGTAGCCAGCGCTCCACATCTTTCCTGTTAAGTGGTCGGCGCTCACAAGCTAAAGCATCAGCCACGATGTAGCGCTTCCACGTCTCCAACGCAGGACGCGAAGACAAGATAGTGCGGTAAGAATGCGCTAGTGTGGGTTGGGCAGCAAGAAGAGCTTTCCATGTAGCCCAATCATCGCACGCGGTATGAATAGAGCGGCAGGTAAGAGTGAACGCAAGGGCTGCGCTAGAGGGTAGGTAAAGAGCGATATTCCTTAGCACTTCTACCGGCAGCGACTGCAGGCTTGTAAGGGCTGTTGGGACACAGGAGGTAGTTGTGAACATGTTCGTGGAGGAAGCAAAGAAGCGATTCAGAGGATCCAGAGGAGAGGGCAGGTTAAGTAGGCCTCTGCGGCTGATGTGTCTCGGATGTTCTTGTAAAGAGATAAAGCTATTTTTAGTCAACTGTGCCGCAGAAACTCGCAACGTACCTCACAGACAAGTTGTCTACACAGGCAGCTTGTCTACTTTTGCCAAGACCACACCACAGTCTGCCACAGTCTGCTATAGTCTACTACAGTCTGCTATATACTGCTACATGCTAGCGCTGCATAGAGTTAAATAACTTATAATGTTATTTAGAGACCTTGTTTATATTAGAGTCAGGGTTATATCTATTCTTTTTATACTGTCTAGAGCATTTTAAAGATACTTTATTTTTTCTAGTAACTATAATAACTAATAGTATTACTTAATATTTCTATAAAGTACATAGTTTACAAAGAAACATATAACTACTATATACTTGATACCTATAATAAATCACATTAAGAATATAGAGTTTAACTTTTAAAGATAATATATAAGCTTGATGTTTAGTTTATTTAGGGTTATAGGTTAATTTGACTACTTAAAGCTTGTTATATTAAGAAAAAGCTATAAATAATTCAAGTAAATATAGAGAACGTATGGTATAAACTAGATTTATTAAGTATAGTCTAGTAACTACTATATATAGATAGTGTTTTATTTATTAGAACTATCTAGTGTAGAATTGCTAAACTAGACAAAGATAGAGATATAAATAGAGTTTAGAGATTTAAACAGGGTTATAGGTTAAAATAAATTGTATAGATTCAAACAGGATTATAGGTTTATATAAATTTTTAAGTTTTGATAGAGTAAGTTAGTTAAAACAAAATAGAATAATAAGGTATATTTAAATTTAAAGATAGTTAAGCTAAAGTAGCAAGGACAAGGTAATAGAGTAATAACAAGCTTAAATGTAATTTTAGACAGTTTAAATAGTAATCTTAAATAGTGTACATAGTAATCTTAGAAAGTTTAAATAGTAATTTATAATAGCATAGAGTTCTATATTAATATTGAAAAGCTAATAAGATAATAAAGCTAATAGTTAAGTATGTATAATAGTATTGTAGGGCTAAACAATAGCTT